TTATTAAATAAAGAAAAATTTAATTTTTTGCTTTTTTACTAGTAAAAAGTGGTTCATCGGCTGAAATGGTTCATCGGCTGATCAGCCTCGGTATCTGCCAAAGCACGGGCCAGATTCAAAGTTCTCGGCAGCTGCAAGCGAACCTCTTTCCGATCGCCTTACTCCACCTCAGTCACAGGGACGCCCGGATTGGAGGATTATAAAAGAGAAGGATGAGTTGTAAAGCTTGTCGAGCTTTCTGCAAAAATTGTAGAAGCGGTATTGCAACAGTAAGGAGAACACCAACTAAGATGTACTAGAATCCACAATTATTCAGACAACGCAGGAGATTGCACTTCACTGCTACTACTGTCAGACATTGCCTAGTCTTAATACTGCGATTGATGTGTACACGGCTTTAGTAGCGTGTAGAATTCTTCGCTACAAGACATTCGAATCCCAGATCTCTCTAACGGGGTCTACGGATAATAATTGCGCACCGATCACGAAAGCTATCGCAAATACGGGCTATATATGATAAGTGAGTGATTTTCCTCCACATAGAATCACACACTATCCATCAAAAGCGCATAGTGAAGCCTAGTCTGCCACGACTGGCTCCCTTGACTAGTCAAGCCAATGAAGCATAGGATCGCGAAAAGTAGCGAAGAACAGAATGGGAAATGTCTATAATGTACAGGTGATCCGCTGTAAGTATCCTTCTAAGGTGATAGATATTAAATTTTAACGACATCATCTTCTGTAGCTAGTGATTGCTTCCCCATCCCATAGACAACTATCACAATAGGTGGCATTGACTCCTCCGTTGATATATCGCAGACACTTTGTCTCTCTTTCTCCGTTGCCTCCGAAACCAAAGCTCGACTAGATGTTTAATTCCCGCTCTTATGGTCACTGCAATGCCCTCCGAAACCTTGGTGCTGGACCTCAGGAACTTGTCTCCCGGGTATCAAATCACAGTGCTTAAGAAGCATTCTGCGGGCGCTCCCGTATCTTGAAGCATTCCTCGGACGCTCCCGTGCATCGTGCTTAAGAAGCATTCCACGGATGCTATCTATCTATGGCGCTCTCAGTACATTCCAACAGTCGTAAGAATCCATTTACCACAGCCATGCCTGTAGTACTGTGGTGGATATTCTTCACGAGTTTAAGTATATTTTTCCGGCTGTCTTAGTCCTTCGATATTGCCAAACACTAACGTCACCACTCATCAGCTTGATTACCACAGCTATATCCAGAAGCCTCACCATGCGTGCCTCAATCATCCGCACCGCAGCACTAGCCGTTGTCTCTGCCGTCCTGCCCACGGTTGAATCTGCCATACTACCCACAGTGCTCGCGGATGGCCCTGTCATCCTGCCCACAGTGCTCGAGGCTGCCCCTGCCATCCTGCCCACAGTGCTCGCGGCTGCCCCTGCCATCCAGTCCACAGTGCTCGCGGCTGCCCCTGCCATCCTGCCCACAGTGCTCGCGGCTGCCCCTGCCATCCTACCCACAGTGCTCGTGACTGCCCCAGCCGTCGATGGCGTACAGGCTATCGCAGATGCTCTGAACAGTTCAGCCCTGCATCTAAACTTACAGGCCAACAGTATCGGTACAGAATTCTACCCCCCCCCTTAGCTTTTGCAATCATTTCTAACCCTTTTTTATAGCCGCTGCTAACGCTGCACTTAGCGGTAACATCTACACTAATGTTGCACCAACATTCGACCTTGCCAGGGCTATCAGCAACGCCACTTCAACATTCTGGCAGACAGCATTTGACGTCGAGAAGAGGGTGTGTGTGATATCCTCCACAATCAATCCGCAGACTGTTGCGACAGCGCAAGCAAATTTGATCGCTGGGTATGTTTTCTATCAATGCCATGTACGTGGAAACTGATGTTCAATATGTTAAAGTCTCCAAGCCCAGGTGGCGGCTGTTGCTAAGATCACCGCCGCACTTCAGGTCACGATTATCAGCCTTAAGAATCGTAAGCTTCAAACCTCTAGTTTCTCGTCCTGTCTATAACACATTCCATAGTCTTTTATGCCTTCACCTACTCTGAGATGGCTGTAGTCTCGGACTTGGTCAAGGCTTTAGCCACTGCGGCTAATGCGTCCGTTGAGCCCGTCCATACGCTCGCCGCTGCTGGTACGTCGTTGGGCTTAACAGAGCTAACACAAAGCGCCGCCGAGCTTCAAGGCTCTATTGGAGTGCTCGTGAGCACTGTTGCTTCTCTGAATTTCTTCATCACCTAGATGTTTGAAAGCTGCTTCAGGCGATTCTCAAGTAGTTGGAGACTCTGGTCTATCTTGATTTCTCAGAATATGCCTGGAATTGATGTACTAAAGCAACCATGTCAGTCATTACCGCAAAATAAACTTGAAATTCAATAATACCAATGCCTTCCAACGTCTTCACTAGCAAAAGCGAAGATAGATTGATCCTGATTGTCTTTATCAAAAACTCCTTTAGACAGGCTGGGACATATCTAAAGCCGTTGTTGATCTACATAGCTGTACTTTTCTATCAAAGTTACGGCGAGCAGCGTGGCCATAAACTCCAAGAGGAATAGGTTTATTAATGTAGTCCTTGGAAGGAGCGGAGCCCCATAATCCGCACGCGTACGCAAACACTATGTAAGCTGGTTTAAAACTTACTAGTATAGATACCTTGGACAAAGAAAGGTTATATAGACCTAGGATGCGTTAGTATAACCTCTACTCTGCGTGTTAATATTGACACCCTTATCGAGTAGTAGTTTTATGTTATACTTATGGGCTTCTTCTGAAGTTATATAAGGTGTATAACTATATATTCTAGGATATCCGATGATATAAACGCGCCTATGGAGTAGTAGCTTTACTATTTTTATGAGACCTAAGAACCTGCACAGTATAGTGGAATTGGTATTTCCTCAGGGGCCTTGAAAAACGGGGCTCTTCCTAGTGTCGACTATGATCTATAACCTAATCTAGTTGAGGTATGCAGGGTTGTCCATGGCGAATAGATGAATCGCAATTCAGCTTGTGTTACATGGTACTGATGAACAATGCGGCCCCCACCCCAACATGATAGATAGCTTACAGCCACCAGCCGATCCTTGTCAATTCCGCCGCAAAGAAGGACTATACCCCGAAGAACCTGCCATCCTAAGTCCGCGCAGGCTCATGTATGGTAGTATCAACGTGGGTGATGATGTGCTGCTGAAGGTACGGATCTATACCAAATCCAACGTCTAAGTCCCTCAGACGAGAAATGTAGTATACAAACGAGGTTTACATACCATGTTCGGCGCTTTACACGCGGTTCGTCTGTTTGACCGTACGCCACCAGAGCATACTGAGGGGAACACATGCCACCCCCCAGCATGACGAGGGCGATGAGAACTTCATTAGACCAGGAGCCCATTGCTGAACTAACTTTTGTTTTCGGTGAGAGGGCCACAGAAGGGGTTTACGTCTGGAAGACGGTTTTCTTAAATTTCCCAAAGTATCCATAACATACGCGTTTATTTATTTCGCTTAAGGTAGTCTAGTTACTTCATCATCTTGAACTGTTGAGCGTTGGTATTGCTGAGAGGCGGGTTATCCCGACCAAGTGGAGCCGAGATCGCGGAAGCGGCCCGCCTACGAACTCCGAACATCTCCAGAGCTATTCTCCACCGAACCCCAACCCGCAACCAACATGCCTCGAAGTCACGAACCCGAAGGTCACGCACATCGGACGAGATCACGATCTGGATCGCCAAATCGCGAGTCGCATAAGGGCCCTAAGCACCACCACTCACGCCGCTCACGTTCCCCTCGTCGCGACCACGATGAAGGACACAGACACAAACGACGACGCTCGCGTTCTCCAGCACCGAAGCCCGTAGTGCTCCCATACAAAGCGAAACCACTGTCGAAGCGCCAATATGAGGAGTATAAGCCACTCTTCCAGTCGTATCTAGACATACAGAAGCAAATACAGCTGGACAACTTGGATGAGAGGGAAGTCAAAGGACGATGGAAGAGTTTTATGAGTCGATGGTATGCATTCCTCCCCACCGCTTATCACGCACTTTAAAAGGAGGAAGAATGCTGACGTTGCAGGAATCGTGGAGACCTAGCACGTAGCTGGTATGATCCTTCCATGCTGAAGACTGCCCAAGAAACTGTGCAGTCATATCGCGCGCAATCACCCCGAGCTTCCACAAAGCGTGCCTCGCCGAGCTACGCAGCTGCAAACCAAGCGACAGAAGAGCAAAGCGATGATGATTTTGGCCCCGCGCCGCCTACAGATGTTGCGCGACACTCAGGCCACGGCCCCACCATACCTAAGCTCGATGACTTGACCTACCGCAACGAGTTACGAGATGAGAGCCGCTCGCAGGACCGCGCCGATTACGTTGACGACATACGCTACGAACGTAAATCAGATAGAAGAGACCAAAAGGAGCGTCTTGACGAGCTTGCTCCCCGCGCAGATCCCGGCTCCCGTGAGCGCCAACTTGAGAAGAAGCGCGAAACCACCAACACTCTGCAATCCTTCCGCGATGCTAAGGAAAGCGGCGACGTTGAAGTTGCCGAAGCCGACCTGATGGGCGATGACGGGATCGACATGTACAAGAAGAAGAAACGAGACGAACAAAGGAAAATGACTGAGCGGGAAATCAGAAGAGAGGAGATTGCTCGGGCGAGGGAGGCGGAGAGAAATGAGAGATTGAGCGAGAGGAGGGAAAAAGAAGGGAAGACTATGGAGTTCTTGAGGCAGATCGCTCAAGAACGGTATGGTTGATATTAACATAATGTGTGGCGTCAGCACACGGCTGGAAAGACGCAACTATCTACTGCAAGCCAAATGAGAAATCGTCACATCGGCGCCCAATACCTGTAAATGCTCCCTGAACTCCGTAGCTTGATGCCTCGCACTTGAGAATAAGTTGTATCAGCGACCCCGTCTTACTCATCGTCCAATATCGAGCTCGCCAGCGGGCCAAAGAAGGGAACTTCGTATCGGTCGAGCGTCGCAGCTGCGCACGTCTATTAGTATACCTATTCTGATGCCTAGAGTCCTCCAGAGAATCACTTACCATCGAGATATGCCCTCCAAGTCAGCCAGCCAATCCCTACAATATCCCCCACAAACAGCACCCAGCTTATGAAGCTCGACCAGCTGAATATGATATGTATGACGAAGGCGAACGCAAACAGCAGACTGCTCTGCCACGCATGGAACCGCACGTAATCACTCTGATGCTCCAGCACCAACAGGAGTACGCCACCCGCCGGCGGGAGAAGTAGGTAAGCCAGACAAGCTTCGTAGTCCAATCTCCAGCCCAAGCTCGTAGTGAACATGTCGACATCTTCTCTTGGCCTGCCGAAGCCGGATCGCGAGGTAGAGGGGACGGCGTTCCATGCTACGCGTTCGACTTCGGGTGAAGCGGCCTCTTGGTGTGGCTGGCCTTGGAAATAGTCATGCTGCTCGTATGCGCGGCTGGGTGGTGAGGTGAGAGTGGAGCTGCCGAGGTTTCTCGTGCGTTCGAGAGATGTACGTGGGGAGGCTATACGGGGTGACGAGACGCCTTGGGGTGGTGGCGAGAAGGCACGGGAGGACTCGGGGATGTCCTGGTAGGGGGCAAAGTTCGCTGCCATCTTGGTGCTGTCTTGCGTAACTAGTGTATCGACGGCGGTGACGGTACCTGGAGAGGATGTTTGACAGTGGGACGTCGATAAGGCTGATGCAGGGGAAGGTGTAACCGGACGGTGACGCGCTTGCGGCAGGGATGCGAGCTCGGGAGCGGATTTCGGCTAACTACGCGTGAAAGGGATCACGTTCAGCCATCTTTGCTACATCTTGCTGTATGATGTGCCCTCGAAACAGCTGTCAGCTGTTGCCTAGAGTTATTGTCTGGCACGCGGCGCTAAATGTTCCAAAGTGACCAACAGATACCCGCTCTTCGGTCGTTCACGAGAGGCTACCGAGGCACTGTACCCCATTACAAGCGTATCAGGCTTCACCATCCATTCTTCATTCCAATATGCATCGTTCCACCTCACTCCACATGATCTATATGACTGAATACTGGAGACACGTATATAAGTGAGCATCAGAGCATCTGTTGGCATCCACACCGCCTACCCCGTGTCTCGGTAAAGCTTCCGCGGTCGGTCGGCTCATTCCTAAAATCATCTACACTCGCTAGACTTTGAGAACCTCAACGTCAATCTTACACTTCGACACCCTAGAACTTCAATATTTATATCGAAAGCTACTCAACACTCTACACAATGTGTATTGCAATACTCACAACCGCACATCCAGACTACCCCTTCATACTATTGAATAACCGAGACGTACTCGATCCAGCAAACCCTATTTCCAGCATAACAACTGACTCACTCTAGGAATATCTCCATCGTCCAACAGCAGAAGCAACATGGTGGCCCTCTCCAGACACACACGTCCTCGGCGGTTATGACCTGCACCGCCCAGTCCACGGGACCTGGCTTGGTGTAACTCGCCACGGCCGGGTTGCCGTACTGACCAACTATCGTGAGGAGGGTGCAGCCATCGTCATAGGCGCACGGAGTCGTGGTTTGATTCCGAACGCGTGGTTAAAGTCAGACCCTGCGAAGAAAGAGACCACTGAAGAATTCGCAAGACGAATGATAGAAGAGGATGGTGTAAAGGGCGTTGGGGGCTTTTCGCTATGCTACGGGTTTGTTCAAGACGTCGTGAAGAGCGCAGGAGATGGAGACGAGAGCAAGAGGGCAGGGTTGGCGATTGTGAGTAACCGCACGCCAGATGTAGAAGGCGTTGCACGATTGCTGGGTAACAAGGGAGAAACGCATGCCCTCAGCAACGCAGCGTACGGTGACCGCTCATGGCCAAAGATCGTAAACGGCGAAGCGTGGACCCAGAACGCTATCAAAGAGTCTCTCGCTGCAAATGATTCCCGCGACCAACTCGTCGAGCGCCTCCTCGGTGTTCTTACCACAGATACCATGCCCCGTCAGAAAGAGAATGAGGAATGGGACATGTACCTCAACCAACTTCGCCACAGCATCTTCGTCCCAGCTATTGGTCGCGATCACTTGGAAGAGCACAAAATGCCCGCCCACGAGATTGGCGATGTTGTCAAGCACAAGGCAACAGATGCGACAAGCGGGTGCTATGGAACGCAAAAGAACATCGTGATGCTGGTTGATAAAGAGGGAAAGGCATTCTATCTAGAAAGAACATTATACGATGTTGATGCAAAGCCCATTGAGAAAGGGAAGGGAGATCGCGTTTTTGAGTTCCAAATTGAGGGCTGGTAGGTGGAGTCCAGGCTGCGTTTATGGCCAAAACCGTCCATCGTTGCAAACACCAATTCTACCATTTGCAGGAGCTTTCCAACTCCGCTTCTCTGGTAGGTGGGAGACACGGAAAGATGAAAAGATCACAATACGAAAAAGACATATTCACTTACTGTTCCGGGTTTTTCTTTTCACTTCTTTCTTGTCCATATCTTCTTGTCCTTTCTCCTTACGCACGGTGCCAAACACTTGTTTTCACTTCCAAAAAGTTAGGCTCCAGATTTGGGCGCCTGCAACACCATTTCTTTCACTACAGGTACCTGTCGACACGGACATGCCTTTAATAAGCGACACGTGGATGCAGGTAATATCTGCTCTCTTCTATTCTACTACATCATCGCAACCTGGTCTCCACCCTGGCAGAGCTGTGCATTTCCAACAGAAGCAATTTCAACTTAACGCACGCCGACGGCCACATATCAACACGATGTGCATCGCCTACTTTGCCGACCATCGAAGCTGCTACCACACCCATTTCCTCGGTGCCTACCACTGCACCGACGCCCATTGCACCGCTCAGCATATCTTCTACATTGAAGATAGTGGCAACGACTGCGAGACATGCATCGCCATGCACGGGAAGCAACTGGACCCAGACTGCGTGCCTGTGCAATACGACACGCCGGATGAAGACTTTGACATTGACTTCACGAAAGAGGGTGCATTTGACAAGGTGGTAAAGGTCTCTCGAGGAGTCTACCAGCGCAGCGAAGCTAGCTTATCGGACATCGATAGCGAAACAAGCCATTGGAGGGAAGATCGGACAACCGACGAGGAAGAGTGCGCATTCAGCAACAAACCTACGCTATACCGGGAACAGAACGGAATCTCAGTTCCAGAGGGCCATCAAGCAACCCTTTCATCCCCAAATACCACAGGACATCGCGGCCTTGTGCGGGATCAGCTGGCCTGTCTGCCTCAGAGTCCGGAGCCAGAAGGTGCTGGACCGTTCAGACCGTCGCCGAACACAACGCAGCATCGCAACCTCGTCAACGACCAGTTGGCCCATCTGCGCAACCACCTAGCGTACCAGCAACCCGTCCAACCTATCGTGCTTCCGAACATGCCACACGTGCCCTACTATACCCCACCAGCAGAGGCTATGGGCGCGCAATCTCCATCGCCATTCTATGAGGGCTATCCAGCTCATGTACAGATGCCGTGGCCTCATACAAAGATTCCTTGATGGTGAATTGGGTTGGGTAGGAGTATCCCAGGTTTTGATGTGATGGAAGCGCCTGTGGCAGGAGAGATTGATATGGGATTGGATGCACAGAATTTGGGACACTAGGAGAGCTATCAAAGGACTGCACGTTTATGGAAAGTAGAATGGGAAATAGTGGATAGAAGATAGAATCAAAACTAGAGGTCACGGACTGCGTTCAGATGGCATGAACCGGTCATTTTCTGCACCCCTTCTGAATTCCCCATTTTGTGTGTCTGCTGAAGAGTCACGTCGTGCGGGTAGCCATCAGTTGGCGTTGCTTTGATGTTACACCGTTTTGCGCACGTGCTCGGTCTTGGCGATGAATGTGACGTCTTTGTTGGCGATCCGTCAACAAACGTCCTTTCACAGGCCGAGGCTGCAACCACCCACTTGTCGTCCTCTCAAGATCGACATCTTCTCAATCGCCATGTTCTCATAGACTCTCGGCTTCTCTCGTCGCTATACCCACGACCCGCAACACCATTCAGCCTGCATCTCTCTTCTCTGCGACCCTAGGCTACCTCACTTCTGACAGCCGACATGGCATCTCTCCCGCCGCAGCGCCCGGCGTCGCAACGTAGGGCTTCACCTCCCGCCGAGTCGTCTTCCGCGCAGCAAAAACAAACAGCGCGAACGAACAGCTTCTCCGCCCATTCGGTAGACTCCCAAACGCTTCTCCTCAACTCGCCGCCCAAGCAGTCCGCGACGCCAGCCCTCGAAGCTCAGAAAGAGGCACCAGCACAGAAGAGCGCACCACAAGAGGAGGACTTTGAACCGCGCAAATGTTGGATATGCTTCAACGACGAGACCGAAGACGATGAGACGACGTCGGAATGGCGGTCACCCTGCGCTTGCTCACTGGTAGCGCATGAGAAGTGCTTGCTAGACTGGATTGCAGACATGGAGGCGCCGAGCTCAAGACGGCGGGCAGGTACTCGCGCGGCGAAGATACTGTGTCCGCAGTGTAAGAGCGAGATCGTGATTCAGCGTCCAAGGAGCTACGTGGTAGACGCGGTGAGGACTGTCGAGCGCTTGACAGGCACGCTGCTGCTACCAGGCTTTGCCCTCGTGACGGGTACGGCGCTGTATTCAACTTTGACCTTGTCCGGCACGCACACAATATATCAGATATTTGGGACCGAGGATGCGCTGCAGATTCTGGGGCCATTGTACGAAACACCCAATGCGCAAGTGGGATCGGTGGCGATGCGCTTGCTCGATCATTTGCGACAGCACTGGAGACTGGATCTAGGGCTGCCGCTGATACCTACGGTTCTCGTCGCTAGCAGAACCACTTTTGCTGACTCATTCCTGCCCTTCCTCCCGCTCATATTTTTCGTCAGCTCAGGACAGCCGGGAGACGAGTTGCTCCAGCTCCAGTGGCCGCCTAGCGCAGCCTTTTCCTTCGCCGCTCTACCATATCTGCGGGGGTTTTACAATGCATACTACGATCGTGTCTGGCTACCACGAGAGCAGCAGTGGCTCAAGGAGATCCAACCCCGTGCTGGCGAAGATGCCGCTGCGGATGCACAGGCAAATGTCGGCGACGACCATGTACACGATGACGAAGGCGTTGAGGACATGGTCGACGGCGTAGAGATAGAAGTTGATTTCGATATATTCGCAGACTGGAACAACGGCGGCGACGCAGACAACCACGAGGCCTTTGAAAATCCTCCTGTGCCTGTTGCACGAGGTCCAGCACATCCGATGAATGCGCCACCACAGGATAACGATGCCATGCCAGATCTTATTGACGTCAACGACATTGCACAGGAGGGAGCACCAGCTCCTAATATTCCCGCTGTACCACGTCGTCAACGCGTCCGTCGCGAGCGTAACATTGCCTTCAGCACCACCTCACTCGCCGACACAATTCTTGGCGCACTCATATTCCCCAGCATAGCCGCTGCTATGGGTGAACTGCTCAAGCACAGCTTACCAACTTCCTGGGTTTCCCCACCAGCAGGCTCACCTGCTACCTCTTGGCTTGGCGGTTGGGTCAACACTGGTGGTAGATTAGGAGGTGTGGGCAAGCCCACGAGCTTCTTACAGACGCGCTGGGGACGGAGCATCGTGGGAGGTTGCTTGTTTGTGGGGTTTAAAGATGCAGTGCTATTGTATGTACGGTGGAAGATGGCGCAGAACCATCGGCGGAGGAAGATCTTAGACTATGACGACAAAGGGAAGAAGAAGAGGGCTGGTACGGCGGCGTCATGATACTGATGCTTGCGATCTCACACAGTAGTATTTAGATGGTGCGATTTGGAGCGTTACCTCCCGCAGAGCCTAGATACTCATTACACTCAATCAACATTTGACAAGAGTTCCACTAGAGATCCTTGTGTATTCTGATTCCTCTACACAGCGCACAACCACCAACAGTATCTCAATCCTGTCTTCCATAGAGGTAATCCAGTCTCACAAATCCCTCGTATCATTCACAACTGTGCAAGTTACGTCTACCCAAGAAAGTGGAATCTCTTACTTGAAAAAGCAGTATTGCGGCACAGCCAGGTCGGGGCGTCGCGAACCAAAGATATCTGGGCCCCCCTTCGACACCTCCGTTCTGCACCCCCCTCCTCGCCATCGCCAGTCGCAGATGATGCTTAGAGAGTAGCAAAACAACTACAAAAGTTGCTTTAGAGCTCGAATGCCCCTCAGGCATTCTGTCATGGCAAATGCATTCATGGAGTACGTTGACTTCCCCCTACAACGCCTGGCTTGATCCTCTGAACCCTCGAATGCGGCTAGGCGCATCGTTCCAGTCACTGTGCTACTGCCTCGGTTGTGTTGCAGTCACTAATCCACGCTAATCTGAAGCGCCTACTTTTCTTTTTCGGTGCCATATAGTTGGAGCCTGTTCTCTAGAGATTTCGACTTGGGTTCCAAGCCAAGTATTCGCATGCAGCTTATATTCTCATTATTAGGTAGTTTCAAGAGATCAACGAGTAGACCGAGGGATAGGTGCAGAGTGGCGAATTTATTGTCATCCGAGAATTGCACAGAGCACCCGTAGTGGCGGTAAATGGGCTTTTCGTTTATTCCCGAAATACTGTTGTGGTATTGGTAGGAAAATAGAGGTTCTGAGGAATTCATACGGAACGTAACACGTCTACCAACACCTGAGTCAAAGGCATCGCAAAGGTGCCCGAGTCGGATGGTGAACATCGATGGTGGGTCATTGGGGTGTGTTTCAGCTTGCTTCGATCCACTAGTTTGCGTTGGATCCTGTTTTTCTATGTCATCCGGCCAATCATGTTGAGATATTGGGAGTGTAATGCTGGCTATGAGACGTTTCTTGAAGGGATCCGAGAAGTCTGTATGGGGGCGATCTAGGATCCGCAACGCTCTACAGACGACGCGCACTGTACAAAAGCAGATTGACTGCCGGCAGATGGTTAGGATGTTGTAGGCTAGCTCTTCGCTCGATATCTTGTAGTCAACTTGAAGATTGGAACCCTCGCCACAAAGTGCTAGCAACGAGAAGACGCGATCTCGTGCAATGTGGCACTCTTTGAACATGAACTTTTTCAGAAGATAGATGAGATTTTTCCCTTTTAGACGATGCGAGGACCGGGGGCTAAGGTCGTTCAACCTTGACAGGTACTCCGAGTGCTCTTTTTCGTCCTTGATCAATGGTAATTGGTTCATCTCTAGCTCTTCTCCCCGTGCCATAAGTGTTGACCGGCGCGAGAGAGCAACCTCTTGTGTGATCCAAGCACGGTTCCAATACTCAGAATTGCAGAAATCGTGAAATCCATGTGCATCGAATCCTTGTTGGGGAGCATTGCTAAGGAACTCGGCAATCCTACGGTTAGGCCCTAGCCACGAGATCACTTCTTTGGCTTCCGAGAATATACGGCCCATTTGCTGTACTTGATGTGTTCGCTCTGTATTGTTGGTCTGGTCAATACTCAAGGCGTCTATCCAAAGCCAGTGAAGACGATGCTTGTGCCGCGCTACACGCAGGAAGCAGTGTAAGTTCTTGCGAACCCAGAAACGTTCTCCATCCATTAAAATCCAATGCCCTTTACTAACGTCGTCGTTCCATCCAAGTTCGTCACCCCACGTATACGAGAGGCAGATGTATGTGCTATTGATAGTGGTGTGTCGAACCTCGCATTGGATGTAGCCTTCCGGCGACCTGTGTCGGCAGACGCGGATAAGACGAATTGATGGCGCATTATGATCGAGCGCGGCGTGCTTAAAGCAGTCAGGTGTGGCCTGCTGGGGGGAGGTTTTGGGTGGGCTAGTTCCATCGTTATCATCCATGTTGAGCGTCGTGCGTCTGATGCAGGATAAAAGCAAGTAAGCAATGCGTTGGTGAGAGGGAGCAAATTCGCACGTATGCGTAGTGAGATTTAATCGAGTAGATGAGAAGAGCAGCGCACCCTACATGTACGGTATATGGATGTTAAAGCGGGGCAGTGCAAGGCTGCAAGGCTGCAACGCCCTGCTTTGCCCATCATTGGACAAGCTCCTCACAGTGGCTATGTCAGCCACCACGGGACTACCTCCAAATGATATTAACAAAGCTGTCTAATAACTCTCCAAATACGTTTCAAATAGTGTTAAACAATCTCCTTTTCTAGCGCAGAGGATATAGACCTTATTCTGCTTCCTGCTTTCAACGAAGATTCCACGTAATCACAAACATCTCCGCACCAAAAGTACAACCCCACAGACTAGCGATAGCTCAACAAAGGCGCTGGCATCTTTTATTTGCTTTCAAACTTGAGGTTGAACTCGGCTAGCCGAGGGAAATTCGTATCGGAAAAACAATAAAAGCACCAATGCTCTAGGACTATCTGTTCAGATATCGCCACTCCATAGACGTACCTTAAGAAGAATTGTATCCAACTGTTTGTTTGTTTTAATTTTTGGGGGCCCCAAGTAACCCCACTACCGGGACCTATAGCTTGCGTCTTACTAGCCCGCGAAAGAAATCAAAGCTGTTACTATCGCTCTGCAACGTCACCAACCGACCGGTCGGCCTGTCCTCCCACCCTAACTCCTCTGCAAGCAAGAGCCCCCAGTCCCGCGTTATGCCCTTGATCCGTGCTTTCATGCCACCTTCCGTCTCCAACGTAACGATCTGATTCGTATGCAACCAATGATCGTAGTAATCACCTTCCATGTCCCGATTAAATCCCGTCTGGCAGAACGTGGAGTACAACGCTTCGAAATGCGCAAGGATGGACGCGAGGAGTTTTTCAGGTGTGAACGCCTTTAGTGGCGGGGATTGGCTGCTTGCGAGGAGATTGAGGGATGTGGTGGGTAGGGCGTTGGAGACGTTAAGCCCGATCCCACAGACGATGTCGTAAGTTGATCCGGAGTAACTGGAGGTGACAAGGACACCGCCAATTTTGATAACCGGGTTGTTCGAAGAGCCAGGCAGCTGTGCGAAGATATCGTTCGGCCACTTGAGCTTGACGGGGATCTTGTCGTACCCTGGCGCGTAACCTTTGATACCCTGAACGACGGCTAGCGCACCGAGATATTGTATGAAAATCACCGGAGCGCTCTGGTTCAGCACAAACGAGTGATGCAAAACAGTAGAGAACATCATTGCTCCTGGCGGTGCAATCCAGACGTTTCCTCCTCTCCCTCTTGCAGCGACCTGTGTTGTTGCGGCCAAGGTGAACCCGCTAGGCAGATTCCGGAGCAAGGACGGGTTCTTCTCGAGGAGAGTGCTGGTAGACGTAACAACTTCGCCATACATGAGATGTTTGCCAAACGAAGCGGCGGGGTTTCTTAGCTTGGTGTGGTAGAATCGTAAATTGGCGTAGAATGCTTCGTGGTGGAAGGGAGTCTCTTTCGTAGATGGCAGTTCCTTTTCGTGTGGAATGATGGTCTTGATCATCTTGTCGTAGTCCAGAATTTGATCAGATAATGATGATGCAGCTGTAGTGTACTCAATACACTCCTGTATCTCGTCCACCTTCGTCTTGGGCTTCATCTTGCCATCGGTCTCTTCCCCTTCGCTTCTCTCTTTCTGCTCACCATCTTTTTCGGTCGCCACCGCTAGCGTTGGCAGCTTTATGGAAACCGCGCTCACGGCTCTCTTCAATTCCTTCACACCCCATGCACTACCTTCTCTCTCAATGCGGAAGACATCGTTCTCGCCTTTCACATAGTCATCGCCATCGACTATAGTGACGATTTCAGACCAACTCGCGACGAGGTCGGAGACGTCTGCTAAGTTGTGAGACGTGAGGTGCAGGTGGGAGAGGGATGGTACTGTTTGTTCCTGCTCATTCACCTGCAGGCCCAATTTCCGGAGAATTAAGCGCATGAACGCTTGACGAGTGGCATCAGTTTCAGTGATGCTATCGATGACTGACGCGTAAGAAGGAAGGCTAGGAATCTTTCTCAGATTTTGCGGAGCGAACCTGCTCATTGTAAGCTCATGGCAGATCAGAGCAGGGTCCACGCCTTACTCTGGATGCGGACCAGTGAGTACAGCGTGGCCTTCGCCAACTTTCCGGTACACCACTGCCGCCTGTCCCTCGCCTGAGTCGACGTGCAGGTCCTCCGTATAAGTTGCTAGGATCTGAACACCTCTGTCTTCGAGTTTCTTCGCGTCGACGAACACGCCACCACCGTTGTAGTAACTCTTAAAGGTATCTGCTACATCTTCTTTTACGTCATCGAAGACTTCCTTATGAATCTTGATATCTGCAGCTCTGGCACCTGCCTCACTCGCATACTTGAATCCCTCGAAGGCTAGTCCTCGACAGATCCCCGTGAAGAAGCCTAGCTCCCTGTCCCCAACAACCGCCATCTTGGGGTCATCCACTTCGAACTCGCATCGTGCACTTCCAAAATAACCGCCAGCACAGAAGCCAAGGTACGAACCACCAGCGTTCACGTAGCGGCTAATACGTCGGTTGCCCTCACCGTCGAGAGTGCGACAGTAGCCGAGATCTGCGCCGCCCGGAAAGACAAGAAGAGCACATTTGCTGAACCAGGGCTCTTTGATGATGATGTCACCTGAGACTGGTATCACAGCGTAGGAAGGTGATAGAAGTCGTCGCAAGGTGTACAGGCAGTGGCGGACAGATTCTGTAGTGCTGCCGTTACCTTGCTCTGCATCAGCAGCTGCATTGTAATTATGGAGACGAGGAAATAGATACCAGAGTATACCAAAACATTCATCTTCTTGGTCGCCATAATGTGAGCTGTGGTGACGTCCACCTCCGGAACAGAATTTCTCCGACTGTACTCCGTGCACCACTTGAATGCGAAGCAAGCCCACTCGCAAACCAATTGGACTTCACAAAACCCCGAATCTTAGATCGTTCAATATGTCAAATGGCGACAAGGAACGCGCTGCGGCTGCGCAACTAGTAATCGACGATGAACCAGATGAGTGGTGTGTGCAAGCGTGGAGAATTAGCTAGAGCGATGAGCTAATTAGGTGACAGGGACAAGAGGATCTTCAGTACAGGCTGTGCGGGTGCGTTGGCCTGATTGGCAATGAGAGCCACCGATTGATTTCAAGATAGACGAGAACACGAAGTTGACAGACTGTTACTATGAAAAGAAAGACTGGCGGGCGTGCAAGATGGAGGTGAGTCAACCGGAGCTCCGAGGTTGAGGTTGTGCTACTTTTCGAACGTCGCACTTCGGAAGCCGAGAAGAAGCCGAAGCATGGCAGCATGGATCATAACAGAGCCCCGTTTTGCTAATCTAAGAAACTCAGATGGAGATCTTTCGCCAATGCTGGCAGAGACATGGGAACGATAAGCGCACCGGTACAAAAGATGTTTGAGGAGGCGCAGCTTCAACTTGTAATCATAAGAGCTTGTGGGCTTGTGTAAGATTAGTCGGTATAGTAGTTTCGCTCCCGCTATTATTCAGTTCTCCCCTGGTGATGATGTGTACACAGTGTTGCGAGCCCTTAGTGTAACGCGTCATTGTTGCAAGGAGATTTGGCCAGGACAGTGCCTATAGCGATCAGGTGTACCACTACCAAAGAATGCTCAGGCGCCCACCCAACCTAGCCTTTTCCGCTATCATTACATTAAAACTAAGTACGCCAAAGTGATATCTCGAAATGGAAGACAGGGGTGAAGCAGCACTCGGCTCCTCACTTCCTCTCGTAAATCGGCGGCTTAACTTCAGGATGGAACGGGCTCTTAGCAGCACTCGACTTCTGCTGATCAAAACTCCATACGCCATTTGTCTGGTCATCGTTCACCTTCTCGCCGATCTTCTGTGCCAGCTGTTCGAACAGCGGGAACTTCTCTGCGCGGGTGAAGAAGGTGCGCTCCCATTCGCGTCCAGCGTCCTTCTCCTCCTTTCGCATCTCACGTTGGCGGCTCTCGATGATGGTCTTTTCTGCGGATGTAAGATCCATGTCGCCCTTATTGATGGCCTCGGCGACCTTCTTCCACGCGCGGCGGGTTTCGAAGTCGTCTTGCTGTTCAATGGGCGCGATGGTGAGGGGCGTAGTCGAGATGACCTTGTGGTCAAATGTGTCGACTACGGTCTTGGTCTTTGCATCCTTGATCTGGAAGGAAGTGTTCCATTGCCCATCTACCTTGTAGATTGTGTCCTTCTCTTTGCCTGTAGGGTAGAGAACTGCGGAGAATGTATTCTTCTTGCCAGACACCCAGCCCTTGCCACTATAATCAATGCGTGCTGTGTAGCCGGAGGATGACTGGATATATGTGTTACTGTTCAGCTCGACATATGGTGAACCCATAATGAGACCTTCGATGTGGAGGGAAGGGAGAGTAATAAGGTAGGATTCGTCGAAAGCATCGAGGTGGAGGAGGGCATGTCCGACTTGCTGCAAAAGATTAGCTTCGAACAACGTGAGGTACGGGATATCCTACTTTGACGTTGATGGTGGTCTTGACCGATGCCTTCTGCGCGTTGTAGCCTTCCAACCGGACGCCATGCTGGCTGTTCCAGATGGAGTAGGCCGTGACAGGTGGGTGATGGCTGGTCGCATTGCGTTAGCTGCCAGCTCAAAACAGCTGTGAGAAAGTGTTCGTGCGTACCTGACTTGCTCGCTGACGAGCTGCGTGGTGCCTGCTGCGTCTTCCCACTTGCCCAGGAACAATTCGCCCAGGAAAGGATTTAGAGGCTTCTTCTCACTCCCCAGCTTCTCGCTCCGGCTAGCATATTGTTGTTTGAGTGTACTCAGGAACCACTTCAAGACCAGCATGGCTCGCTTGGCCGGGTCCTTCTCAGCGGCGGGTGCGACGAAGACGGTGGGGTGTTCGGTCCAGTAAGAGGAGAACTCGGTAAGAGATTTGGTGGAGAGGATAAAGGCGGGCGCGGTCATAGTCGACAGGTCGCCATTGAAGGATGCTATCGACTACCATCGTGTGAGCATGAGTAGAGAGGGCTGCGCGAGGTGCTGCAATACTTTGAGGAAGCTCGACCAGGAGCTCTTTGCCTGCGGGGGCACAGCGGACCCTTCTTTTTCGGCCATATTTGCGGTGTAGGAATGCGCTTGCGGGCAAGTGTTGCTGGAGGAAGGCGAGAAGAGATAGAAGGCCACTCGTGTTGCTTTGAGTAGACTTTGGAGTTTGCGACAGGTTGAGTGAGGACTGTTCGGGGGGGGTCAATGCTAGTGTTATGGAGACGGCTTGTTGCTTAGTTTGGGGTGAGTGACGTCGGCGGGCGGCTAAGCCACACGCGCAATTTCCCAAGAGGTCATGATGACTGTCAGTACAACTCCACGCGTTGGTCACGCGGCAGACTGCTCACTTTCTGAATAGTCCCACAAGTGCACGTATCGCATTATATTACGTGCTGCATGTATTTGCAATGCTAACTGCTGAAGTGATTTATGCTACGATTAGGTCCTGGCCTCTTCACACGCTATCATTCTCAGGCATCAAGTCCCGTGTCTTTGCTTTCAAATCCCTTAAGTCTTGACATCAGGCTCGGTGCGGCCAATGTACTCCTGTAGCTTCAAGAGATCGGTCGCCAGCTTCACGTTGTCCTTGAGGTAGTCTTGTGCGTCTAGGCCGTAGGTAGACTCGTCGCTCGTGTGCTTCTCAATGTACAAACGGATAGTAGCGCCGCTGCTACCGGTACCAGACAGGCGAACGACAATGCGGCTGCCGTCGTCGAACTTTACATAGATACCTTGGTTCTTGCTGACGCTACCGTCGAGGTCCGTGTAAGAGAAGTCGTCAGCCTCGACGACCTTGCGACCGGAGACAGTTGAGCCGAGGAACTCGTCCTTCTTTGTTGTGATGAGCTCCTTCATGTGGCTAGTAACCTTGTTTGCGCCCTCGGTCTCGCAACCTTCGTAGTCGTAGCGGGTGAAGAAGGTGCGTCCGTATGTCTCCCAGAAGTCCTTCTGAACCGAGGCAATACTGGGTGTAGTACCGCTCTGCTGTCCGACTCCAGCAAGGATGTTGAGCCAAGCAACAACAGCCCATAAGCCATCCTTCTCACGGATGTGGTTGCTGCCAGTTCCAAAGCTCTCCTCACCACAGATGTTCATCTTGTCAGAGTCAAAGAGACCACAGAAGAACTTCCAGCCTGTGGGCACCTCGTAACACTCCACGCCCTTCTTCTTTGCGACAAGATCAATTGCACCAGATGTGGGCATGCTTCGTGCTAGACCATAGATGCCCTGCTTCTTGAAGTATGGAATGAGCTCGGCATGGTGGGCAATGATGGCCAAGCTGTCACCGGGTGAGACAAAGCTATTTGCGCCGTAGATCATGTTTCGGTCGCCGTCACCGTCACTAGCTGCGCCGAAGTGGATACCATTCTTATCAACCGCGTCGACCAAAGATTTGGCATAGACAAGGTTGGGATCGGGATGATGGCCGCCAAAGTCTGGCTTAGGTATGCAGTTCTGCGTGCTGTTCGGGATGCCAAGCTCTTTCTCGAAAATGTCGACACCGTATGAGCCCGTAACACCGCTTAGGCCATCGAAGAGAACCTTGAAGTCGGAGTGCTGCTTGAGGAATGACTTGATCAGGTCGAAATCAAAGATGTCCTTGAGCATCTTGAGGTAGTCCTCAGTCGAGTGGATAATCTCAACTTCAAGGTCTCCATATTTCTGAGTGCCGATTGTGCTCAGGTCGACGTCGGGGATGTCGGCGATCTTATAGGACGTGAGGGTCTTTGAGGTCTCGTAGATTTTGTTTGTGACGCTCTCGGGGGCCGGTGCGCCATTGGCCAGGTTGTACTTGATACCGAAGTCCTCCTCGGGGCCTGTACATGGTTAGCTGATAGGGCTCTGAATATCTCCAGCCCCATCGATATCTACTCACCACCTGGGTTATGGCTTGCGGTCAGCAGGATACCACCAGTTGCTTTCCGTATCCGGATAACGTGACTGGCTGCAGGTGTGCTGAGGATGCCGTTCTGGCCGATTAAGAGTTTCTTGACGCCATACGCAGCGCCGATCTTGGCGATCAGTTGGGTGACCTCGGGGTTCCAGTACCGACCATCACCGCCAACGACAAGAAAGGAGCCAGCTACGCCTTCAGGGATTGACTGCAGGATGCTGGCAACGAAAGCCTCCGAATAGTTCTCCTTCTGGAAGACCTTGACCTTTTTGCGGAGGCCAGAACTAGTGCGGAACCACAAGTCAGCCATGGTCAATTGATAACATAGCTACGCGTGGATACTTCAGATGTGTTCGCAGCTGGTGCAAGTAACAGCCGCGAAGATACGTGAGGGTCTCCAGGCTCCACTATGAAGATCCGGGGGATGGGGTATGACGAGAGCGTGGTTGGACTTACGTGCCGGGCTTCTGGTCCTGGTAGGGTTTGATTTGGACTGTTCGCACGCTCATGGTGACTGGGTATATACTTCAGGCTGTTATTGTGCAATTGATGCAGATTGGGGTGATTGAAGTGTTGTTGAGTTGGCAGCGGGCAACTTTTGAGCTCAGGTGAGGGGCAGGTCGCGCTTTCCCCACCACGCGGGATGACGCTGTTCATGGCGCCCACTAACACGTGTGCGGAAGGAGATCCGCCACTCCACCTCAGCCTCACCAACCAACTTTTCTTCCCCTATCCCCATCCCATCTAGAAAGTGCTCTGAGTACATCCAGAATGGGTGTTGCCGGGCTGGCTAGGCGTCTCGAGCCGTATGCGAGCCGGTATTCACTTCAGGAAGTGGAGGGATACTCGGCGATACTCGACGGGCCAGCACTGGCCTACTATGCTCATAAACTCGCCCTCGTTGCCTCAGCCGGTCAGACCAGGATCCCATCCTATGCGGATATCATTACGGCAGCCTTTCGCTGGTTAAACTCATTGGAGGATATGAACATTAAGGTGTGAGTGACCGTCGTCGCCCCTTATTGTCTAGCTTGCATGCTCAAGCCTCGGGACGCGGTGCTATATCACATATGGACTACAAGGTGCGCACATTCGTGCTTCATCTAGCCCTAATAGATCAATTCTAAATTTGGCATCGTGTGTTCCCTGCCTTCATCTCTGATATGGCAAGCCTCGCTGCGGTAGCTGCTATGCTCACGTGCAGAAATCATGCGTGACATGCATATATATTGAGTCGATCATTGCTAATATATCGATCCCAGGTCAAAAATACTGTTCGATGGAGCCCTTCCACAATCAAAGCGAGGCGAGAGGCTCTCAAGACTCGAGCAGAACAACAAGCGAGTCCAGCAGCTACGCGCCAGCTACCCAACCGAAGCATGCCCGATACCAACGTACTTAGGCTCCAATGCATTTGCTTTCCTTGCTCCAGCATTAAGAGAAGCCCTAGTAAAGTCACCTTTCGCCTCTAGAACACACATCGTACCTGGAGAAGCTGACGACTGGTGTGCGTTGTACGCGAAAAATGATGGACATTGTCTCATTTTCACAAGCGACACCGATCTCATTCTTTACGACTATCCTCCAGAGACGCTGATCGTTTTTCCGCAAGACGCTGATCTATCGGCGGGCATCAGGGCATACTCGCCGGAGCAAATACGACAGAAACTGCAATTGAAGAGCTTAGTCCCATTTGCGTTCTCCATATCCCAAGGACCATCTGATCTCGCGAGCGATATACTTCGCAAATCGCAAGCCTTAGATCTAGCGTCTAACGACTACCTAGCTTTCAGTACGCGTTACACTGCCGAAGCTGCTGCGCCAGCTTACCTCTCCCAAACCAGAGCTAGATCATTCAACCTACAAGGCCTAGACGTTCGAGTGTCTGAGTTCGTGCATCAAGCTTTGGACGGCTCTATACTACCCCTTGTATATCTCCCACTACTGGTTGAAGACCCTAATCAGGCATCTGCATGGAATATGGGACAAAACATTCGCATCTTAGCCTACTCGCTTCTGGCGCCTCAAAATGCGGTTGTTCACGAGTACAAACGGAAAGCGCAAGGTATCTCAGTGCACGAGATCAAGATGTATTGCACCTCGAACATGCAAGTACTAGCCGTTGACCTAGAGCAACAGGTCAGCGCTCTGGCGAAGTGGGCTTCGTCAAAAGCGGTCGAAGCGAATCTGCTCTGGCCGTTATTCTCTCTGAGCCTTGTACTCGCCGATCTAAACACCGCACCCTCGGTGGCTCTGGTTCTACGCGTCCTCAATGGAGAATTCGACAACACGTGGGCATTTATACAGCTCATGGCTCGCATCCAAGCCGTTCTTTACTCATTACGCATGCTCAAACAAATCGTCGGGGCATGTCTTAAATTTACCGAGGAGAACGACGCTAAGCTCCATGGTTGCTTGTCTAGCATAGATGAGCGCATGAATAAATTCCCGTCGATAAGCAACATGTTCTCTGTTCCAGGCCAGAGGGGAAAGACATTAGTAGGGCATGAAAAGCTGAAAGACCTGGTCGAGGAAATCTATGCATCAGCTGGTGTAGAATTACCTACTCAGCAGGTATCGAATAAGGTGAAGAAGCGACAGGCGAGGGAGGCAGAGAGGAAGAAGCGGAAGGCAGAGCAGAGGCATAATCCAAAATCGCAAATCCCGAATGGTTTTATGCCACTTCCGACAGATTAGACGAAGCACAGATAGGCCAGCCGGGTGAGCTTTAGTACCTTGATAATCCAAAATTAAGATCTACGCAAGGACGATATTTCTCGACACAATCAAATGAACTTCATCGAGGATTATTGCAGCACTACCAACCCAGGTTCGTTTGCTCGACAAAGTCATATACGAACACCTGCTCCAGCAGCGGATCCGTCTCATTCTGCACGACGTCAGGCTCAGATCCACGAGGAATATTGTCCTGACATACCTTCAGCCTATCATGTCCGGCGTCCGTATCAAACTCCTTCCTCGCGGCATCATCCTATATCTCACTCAGCCTCTTCCACTTCCACCAACTTCCAATACACGCACACTCAACATACCTTGAACACGACCACGAACCCCGTATCCCACCCTTTCTCCCTCTTCACATTCGTCAAGTCAAGCGGCGTATTGAGCGGCCGCCCACCTTTCGGCAAGCCGAGAATCAGTTCTTGATGGCTGGCATAGAGATCCAAGAAGGCTGATGTGCGGCCGGCTTTTTGCGCGTCGGTGACGTTGGGGTGGAACTTGAAACAGGCGACCCGAGTGACGGGGAGACTCGTGGTATTGGAAGGTGTAGATGATGCCATTGTAAGTTGGAAGAAGGAGGAGGAGGAGGTGAGCGAGAGGGTGGATAGTAAGAGCATGTGTCTGTCTATTATTAAGTCTTCAGATCTAAGCAATAGGCACGTTGTGTTCGGAGTACTTGCTTGGGATTGCGGGCCGAACCGTGACTTGTAGGTAATCTCTAAGAGGTCTAACTAATGTCATTGGCGCGTTGGGCTTATGTATAGGCTTCTTGACGGGATAATCAGCGTAGTACGCGGGTGGGGAGCCGAAGCATCACGACAGTTGAAGACGAAACTGTAAGCCAAACGCATTTTATTACCATTCTACTCTCACCGTTCTTCTATTACCATTCTATCTACCACCCTTGAAATACATGTAGGAATTGTTCGCTACAACAAACTATCTGCTAAGTCAGCAGAAGTTCAAAACAAAGATCATCGTTCCAGTTCCTTTGCCAGGATTGTGCTACGCATGGGTAAACACACCTTCCGAGATCTTATCACTTATTCTAAAACAAACATATGAAAGCTATCCAAGCCTGGCTCCTTCTCTGGCGTTCTCAAACGCATCCCAACAGACCTACTCTGGTAGGCCTGTAGAGATATGCACTACTCTATGCAGTACACTCATCCGCGCAAACCCTGTCGGGGCGGGAGAGCTAAGTCTTCGACTTCTTGCGAGCAGACTCGTCATTCGTGGCATCTGATTCGCGCGAGCGCTTGCCCAAGGACGAAGCTGTAGGTTGCGACTCAGGTCCCTGCTTAGCAATGCGCAGTGACCGTCGGACTGGCGCAGCTTTAGCAATCTTACGACGCCGGGGCACCGGTGGCTGCTCGACATCGTTGTGCTCTTGAGGTTGGGCATCGGAAGTCTGCGTGCCATATGCCGAGTCGGTATGCTGTGTCGAGGGTTCCAGCTGGGTCGTGACGGTGTTGTCCTGCTGGATTTCGTCGAAGGTATCTTGTGGATCAAGCGGCGGTGTCGAATGATTCTGCGCATCAAGTGGGTTGATGTGGACGTCGGCAGGAGGCTCACGGTCGATCATAGGGCTGTCTTCCAGAACGATACCCGAGTCTTCCGCACTCGCGTCCTCAGTGGAACTGGACTGGTCATTCTTGATGGTACCCTCGTCGATATCATGAGCCTGGGGAGCCTCGTCGGCATCTTGATGTGGAGGAACGCCGCCGGACATGGTGTTGTCGGTCTCGATGCTGTTCAGCACCGTCTGCTCCTCCTCCTTGGCCTGGATCTGGATCACCTCTTGCACATCTTGTGTTGGCTCTACAGCCTGTGTTGGCTCCGCATCCTGTGTTCGCTCCACATCATCGTTTGCCTCAGCGATAGGTGTGGTATTAGCAGGTGGTGTAGATAGCGAAGGCGAAGAGGCCGTTGGCTGCGAAGTCGTGCGGTGCTCTGAAGGGACCCTTGTATCCTTCTCAACCACCTGCTCTCCTGCCTTCGGCGATCCATAAGATGCCATAACGGCATGCGGAAACCTCTTCGTAAACCGCGGGTCGCTATGGTGCAAGCAGAAAGATTCATTTACCGAAGTTGGCTCCCGCCAGTATGGGTCTATAGGTCTATCCTGGCCATACTGGGCTTGGGAAGGTCCAGTCGACGAACCAGAAGGAGGATGCGTAGACCTATACTCAGACTTGCGCTGGCGCTTCGGTTTGAACCGCGCTGAGGGCGGCAGCTGCGGAGTAACAATGGCGCTCTGCAGAATCTTGAAAACGGCGAATCCATGAGCGTTGTCGATCTCATACGGTTGAAGGGCTATGATAATGGCGGCGACGAGCTTCTCGGGTGTCATAGTGCATATATAAGCTTCTGTAAGATGTAAGCATAGTGATGGGGTGAGAGGGCGTTGCTGAACTTACGGTTGGTCATGAGAGGCTCGACGTATTGGGGAGGCTTCTTCGACATGTTGGCCGATTTCTCCGGTGGGGTTGAGGAAGTGGTTTGGTGTTGTCGGTCGGATAGACTGAAGATAGTAGACAATTGCTGATCTTGTGTGCTTGCAGAAGGTTGAGACTGAGTCTTGGTCTTCTGGCGTTGAGCTTGCGGTGGTTGAGTAAAAGTAGAAAGGAAGTGTAATGTTGAGGGGGCATAGTGCTATATATAAGAGGAGGGGGGAGCGACTTAAGCGAGCGCGACGGGGTCTTCGTCGCGGGCGTGTCGCCAAGAGTGAAACACATGAGTAGACTCTTGCACCCGTTACAGGGTTTCCCATTGTAACTGGGAGAACGGGCCCATTTTTGCCAGGATTTCCCATGGTGCTGCCTAGCATACATAGTCAGGGTCACGTGTTTCTCTTTCACTGTTGGTCAACTCGCCTCGTTTGCACAAAGTGGACGCCCAACCACTCTGGTCGCACCCAATCATAAGCACAGTGAGTGGAATCAACGTCCGCCTGTAGAATTCAAGCATTACCAACATGCTACATTCCTTTAGTCCTAGATATTCGTGTCCCGTGGTATCGTATAAAACAAGCTTCACAGAAACTTGGTTTCCAATATGCCGTTTGCTAGGGCTGAGCTTGAATTTGCAACATCATATCGACAGCCACACCTCTTGGCAGGCCGTTTGTCGTCCTTTCGCCGACACTTGTTGAACCGCACTTGCCCTCACCGTGATAGTATGACGCCATCAGCACAAGAAACCGTTGCTATCGCAGGGTATCGCATATCGTAGCCTAGGCTTTACGTGGATTGCGCGTTTGAGTACATCTTCGTCTCCTTTGGCGCACTCTTCCACTGACAACTACATCGCAGCGTGCAGACAGCAGACTCGTTTTTGATTTTTGGATATTTTCAACTGAAGGGCAACATACTAAAACCAAATCCTAGAACCCGCGTCTATACGGCAAGAGCGATGGAGAACCATCAAGTACGCGAAGCTGCAGGCGGCAGCGAACACCGTCAACTCCGCACATCACAATCCCAACCTCGCCAATCAGAAGCGCACCATGAGGCATATCCTTATAACTCTGACGATACAGATGATGACGAGCATGTAGACGAATTTACACAAGATATCAACCGCCGACGAAGCAGCACTTCAGCCTCGCAGCAGCCTGGCGTACAAGACCGGCAGCGTCCTCAGGAACCATCACGTACATCCGAGCAGAACGAGCAAGCCAGCGTAAAGGCAACATCAAGTGAACCCTGGGACATTATCGAACGCGAGGTGCCAGTACCAAATGCAAGTCTCCAACCAACCTGCTCTCCACATATCTTCCCATTACTAACAGCACTCGCAGAGCACAACAGGCGCCAAATCACCCACTCCCTCCTACGACTTCCCAGGAACCTGGGACGCGGCTCTGCATGAAACGACCAGCGCGCTCAGCCAAGTAGGCGTGGCATCCAAGTCCTACGCCACAGCACTATCGCACTCCGGAGTCGGAAAGGCAGGCTGGAGTATCGGGTCTGCACTCGCCTCCAGCGCCAACAAGGGGGCATTATCACTGGCAACTTGGGCCGTGGACAAAGTCGGTGCGGATACAGCGCAGCTACCCTCCCCTTTGACGACCTGGCTGGGCAAGCAGGATAGACTCAACGAGGCGAGAGGGCGAGCTAAGCAAGCGGAAGAGCGACGACGAGCGCGGAAGAGAAAAGGTAGGGGACGCGAGCCAGTGCTCACTGGAGAGGACAGGACGCCGTTGACGTTTGGAGATGAGCAGGGTGCGTTTGTGTTAGAGACGCATGAGTTGGATTCCACGGGTCAGTTCGTCGACACTCGAACGATCGGCATGCTACAGGAAGACGGGTGGGCAACTACAGCCACGAGTTTCAATGCCAGGACTGAGGCGCCTGCATCGTCCGTCCCAGCTGCAAGTCTCGACAAAAACGGGTTGAGGGGAAGAGAGGAAGAGAAGGAGGAGGAACAGAGAGTAGATGATGGACTCGTGAGGATGTTCGACTTTGACGATTGATTTGTGTGGGGTTGGGGGGACTTGGATGTATTGAGGAATTTCGCGATTGGATTGGGGAAATATGACATGACCTCTCTGGTCTAACCAGATGACTATCGCAGAGACTCGCTGGCACTTACGAAGCCGCCAATGAACTAGTATACATGACAGACTTGAGGAAATGATAACGTACCGTGCTGTATTTCAATGGTTCTTGACTGCTTTTCAAGCTGAGAGATGACACGCAAAAGCTATTGAAAGTTAAATGCAATATGAGATTTTTTTTTACACTTGAACGGGATCGCTCGTCGGCGTCGCTTATGGTCGTTACATGATACTTTAGATACAGAAACACATGCACCCACCCACCTTCATCTCTGCAGGCTGCTCTTATCGTCTTCAGCTCTCTACAACTTCTGCTTCTCCAGACCCTTCCAGCCCCACTGCTGGGCAATGAGCTCGGCACCGCGCTCGCCAATGGCCAGGACCGTCAACATGGGGTTGATAGTGGGCATCTCGGGGAAGACACCGGCATCGGCAATGCGCACACCCTTGAGGCCACGGACCTTTAGTTCGGCGTCAACGACGGCGAGCTTGTCGTTCTTCACGTCACCCATCTTGGTGGTGCCTGCGGGGTGGTACACTGTGTGGGCCACGCGCCTGCCGTACTCGCTCAATTGCTCGTCGGTCTGGACCTTGGGTCCGGGAGCGACTTCACGCTTGATCCAGTCCGAGAAGGGCGCTTGCTTGGCGATTTCACGCGCAGCTTTGAGACCTGCTACGATGGTGGCGGCGTCATAACCTTCAGGATCGGTAAAGTAGCGGAAGTCAAGAGCGGGCTTGACGTTGGGGTCCGAGGAAGTGAGATAGATCCTGCCGCGGGAGCGGGGGCGAGGGATGTTGGGAGTCATGCAGAAGGCGTCTATTGGGGAATCATAGCCAAGACTAAGTAATCAACGTTAGCAGAGTGCCTAAAACTGAGGTATGTACAGAGCGGCTTACCGAGCGGTGTTCAAGCAGAAGGGGATTTGGTAGCAGTGCATCATGATATCTGCAATATCACCATCATCGCCTGCAGCATTCTTGGCCTCACGGCGGAGGAAGATACCCGCATCCGAGTCCATGGTAGTCTGGTTTGCTGGTACAGGCTTGTTCAGCTCGAAGAGAATGATACTTTCGGGGTGATCAAGCAGGTTCTCGCCCACACCAGGGATATCCTTTACGACGGGTATGCCGAGGCTCGAGAGCTGGTCCTTGGGTCCTAGGCCAGAGAGAAGCATCAATCGCGGGGTGTCGACTGCGCCTGCGCAGAGGATAGTCTCGCACTTGGGGCTGAGCACTCGCTTCTCGCCATTTTGCAGGGTAAGGTCTACGCCAGTGACTGTGTCGCCCTTGACGTTGATCTTGCTAACCCAGGCGTTGGTGAGGACAGTCAAGTTCTCGCGCTTCTCCTCGCCGCGGAGAATAGGATGGATGTAGGCTACACTGGCGCTGCTCCGTCGGCCGTCGTCGGGGTTGTATGATACAGAGAAAAATCCAACAGAAGGCTTCAAGGCACCCTTGGTCTTGATCTCGTGATTGAAATCGTGGATGACAGGGATGTCCATGGCAGTGGAGCACGACTCGATCCAGTCCAAGCAAAGCTGGTTTCGGTGGTTCTCGTGCACCGGCTGAACGGTGTTGCGGAGGTTGTCCAAAACACGCGTAAAGGTCTTGAAGCTCCAGCCCTTGCAGCCCTGGGCTTCCCATCTCTTGCAGTCGTACTCGAATGGCCTGAAGGAAATGAGGGTGTTGTGGGATGAGCAGCCACCCAGGACCTTGGCACGTGAGTGTCGGATGTTGGAGTTGCCCATGGGCTGTTCGGTTGTGCCGTAGTCGTAGTCGAGCTCGCCGCCAAGGAGGTTGAGCCAGTCCTTGAGAAGCAGCACGCGATCGTCCATGAAGTCACTGGGTCCAGCCTCAATCAAGAGGACAGACTTGTTGGGGAGGTACTCGGTAAGGCGAGAGGCAATGACACAGCCAGCTGTGCCTCCACCGACAATGACAAAGTCGAACGAGGCATCCTGTGGGATGGTGGTTGTGGTTGCTGCCATGTTTGATGACTAGTATGGGGGTGTGTCGAGTGCAGAAGTGCAGAAAAAACTACTCGTCTCTATCCTGATAGCCAAGCCCAGCGGCAGCTTATTACCTTTAAGTACTAGGCCAGCAATGGGAAAAAAAATATGAACCAGGTCGCGAAACAAAGACCCTGCAGGAACTCGCGTTGCTATCGGCGAAAGTCAGACGACAGTTGATAGGTCCGGTGAAGATGGAGGTGGTCAGAGGCGTCTAGCTGCAGGATATGTGATTTGCCTTCCCAGATAAGTTTTGCAGTAGGGCCTTTTCCGGTTGGACCGGCGAGATGCACGTGCTTTTAGAGTACTGGAGACGCTTTCGGCCCGCGATACATTGTCATGGTGGTCTGGGGGGACGACGGGGAACAGAGGGGAGGCGGGGCCATGAAGGGGGTGGGAGATAGATGTGCATCGGCGCTTCTCTCCTTCTGCTACAGCTCCCAAATGTTCTCCATCTCGAGCCCGACGCCCATCCTCTCTCCATCCAAAAAAAACACTACTTGAAGCCTCGGGCAGAAAAAAGTCGAATAGCTGGCCAGTGCTTCCTATGACGGTTGCATGGCGCTAGAAAGCCCCGCCAGAAGGACGCCTCCATGCATATCCCGGACCCACATGCCTTGAACGAAAGGCGGTGACATCGGCAGGCGTCGGGAGCAGCGTTTTGCCATCTGCGAAAGGCATCCAGATCCAGATTCCCGTTGATAACTGCGCGCACGGTGCTGCTGTCGCAATACGTAGCGAAAAGCCTGCTCTTCATATCGTACGACCGCCTGGTACTGTAGTCGAAACACATCTCTCATTTGTTGAGCCACCTAAAGCGCACCTGTCAGTCTCATGTGAGTATGGGAGGCGAGCTTCATGCGAAAAAAGAAGTCTGTTCATATACTAACATCTCCATAGACTCATTGGCTTTACCAATTCATCCTACACGCCTCTGAATTGAACCTTGAAGACGTTGAAAATCACAATACAAAACAACCGCAATGTCTCTCCCATATGCACCCCGCTTCGCCTTCTACGACGGCAAGTCCCAATCGGGCTCGTCTACCTCATCCTTCCAGACCATCGACCCCGCAACCGCGAAACCCGTTGCCGACATCCACACCACCACACACTCTGCCATAGACGCCGCAATCGCCTCTGGCCAAAAAGCCTTTCCCGCCTGGTCAGCCACCCCGCCCATTGAACGCGCCCGCATCCTCCAGCGCGCCGCTGCATTACTACGCGCCCGCAACGATGAGCTCGCCCGCATCGAGACCAGCGACACCGGCAAACCCTTCACAGAGACGTCAACCGTAGACGTAGTCACAGGCGCCGATGTGCTCGAGTACTTCGCCAACCTCGTGGGAGGCGGTGGTCTGAACGGCGAGACGACACAATTGCGCCCAGATGCGTGGGTATACACAACGAAGAATGCGCTAGGCGTGTGCGCAGGCATCGGCGCGTGGAACTATCCCATACAAATTGCCCTCTGGAAGTCTGCGCCCTGTCTGGCAGCCGGAAACTGCATGGTCTACAAGCCATCCGAGTTCACACCACTGCATGCGAGTGTCCTGGCCGAGGTCTATGCACAAGCTGGAGTCCCACCCGGCGTCTTCAACGTAATCCAAGGCGGAGGCGACGTCGGCGCATACCTCACCAAGCATCCTAACATCGCCAAAGTCAGCTTCACTGGCCAAGTGACGACGGGCCAGAAGGTAGCAGGCAGTGCCGCAGGCGGAATGAAGTACGTGACCATGGAGCTGGGCGGGAAGTCAGCCTGCATTGTCCTGCCCGACGCAGACATCGAGCAGGCCGTCGACGGAGCCATGATGGCCAACTTCTTCTCCACAGGCCAAGTCTGCACAAACGGAACCCGCGTCTTCATCCCAGAAGCCATGAAGCCCGCCTTTGAGAAGCGCCTACTGGAGAAGATCCAATACATCCGACCTGGCGACGTATCAGACCCGAACACCAACTTTGGCCCCTTGGTCTCAAAACCGCATTACGACAAGGTAATTCAATACATCAAGCACGGCATCACCACCGACAAGGCAAAACTCCTTCACGGCGGCCCAGAAACCCCCTCCTGGCTCGCCTCACACCCCAACAAAGCCTACCAAAACGGCTATTGGGTTCAACCCACCGTCTTCACAAACTGCACCGACACCATGAAAATCGTGCAAGAAGAAATCTTCGGCCCCGTCATGGCCATCCTTCCATACAAAACCGTCGACGAAGTAGTCCAGCGCGCAAACAACACGAACCTCGGACTCGCAGCGGGCGTCTTTACAAACGATCTCAACTCGGCACACAAGGTGATTGCCCAGTTGGAGGCAGGCATTACCTGGGTCAACACGTGGGGCGAGTCGCCGGCCGAGATGAGCGTGGGTGGGTGGAAGCAGAGCGGTGTTGGTGTGGAGAATGGCAGAAAGGGGCTTGAGGCTTGGGTGCGGAATAAGAGTACCCTGGTGGAAATGGGTGGGGCTGTGCCGACTGTTTTTGCCAAATTGTAGTATATTGTACAGAGTGATCATGTAGATAAGCCGAGGATACCCAGGGTATTGAATTATCCTCAAAACAACGAATGAATCGAACGTCGTTTTTGTATATCTATTTTATTTACTAAGTACTGCCACTACTATAACGTACAAAATACTAGGCTTGTAATAATTAGTCTGCGATATATAGAATGAATGATCGATGGAAGGGCAAGCTGAGTCGATAAAGTAGGGAAAGAGGAAAGAGGGAAAAAGGAAGAGGGAGGAGAGGCTAAGTGTACAAATGGACGACTTGCGAGTGTCATGGATGGACGATCAAAAGCGTGCTGAACGCAGGTATACCGAGGCCTGAATAGATTCAGTGCATTTTGTGACTCTGCGATGAGTCTTGCGTTCAACAGCGTGGACGTATATAATTTGTAACAGAATCTGGATATTGGGTAATGCTATTCAACTCCTATCCGATAATGCGTTTCGTCAGACCTCCATCTACATCATTCGAATTCTAAGCGTACGAGTCCATTTCAGCCTCATTTCTTGCCCTTTGCCTTCGTCTTGCTCCTCGTGCTCTTGCTGGGCTGCGGCGTATCTTCTGCCGACTCGGCCGCTACATCCACTCCTGAGCTCTCGTCCGCACCCACTATCACACCGCCATCGTCTTCCGTCTCCCTGTTGTCCGAGTCAATGCCTCCATCCAGACTCGCTCTCAACTCCTCATCCCTCGCTTTCCTCTCTGTTTCCCATCCCTTGACCAGGCCTGCAACATCCTCACTCTGCTTCTCCTTTCCATTCCACGCACTACAACCCCCACATCGCCATCGTCCCACATCCTCGAGGTTGTGGGCGCCGGGTGGTGCTTGGCCATTGACGAGGCGGCACGAGGAACAGATTAGAGCGAGTCGGTTTTTCGGTTGTGTTTCGTCTTCGCCAAGGAGTGCGTCGAGGATGCGGTCGTACCAGTGTGGTTGGGTGAAGGTGGCTGCGGGGGCGGCTGAGTACTGTTTTGTTAGGTCGGCGGAACCGAACGCGTTTGGTGCGAATTCGGCGTCTGGGGCAATTGGAGGGGAAAGTTGCTGAGGTGGGGAGGGCCTGTGTGGCGAGGAGACATTTGAAGGTGGTCGCTGCGGGGTAGAAGGTGGTTGTTGGCCAGGAGATCGCTGGATATTGGCTGTAGGTGGAGGTGCAATGCCGGTCCGCGGTCCCTGAGGCTGGCCTGGCTTCTGAGGGCCTTGCGACTTCTTGCGCCCAGGTGAGGGGTCTGCTTCTTTCTGCTTTGGTGAAGCACCATATTTCTCGAGTAGTTGCTGGGTCGAGTTGTACTTGGTGGCTTCCTTCAGTCTCTCAATGGTAGCGTCTCGTTCCTTGTTGAGCTTCTTGAGGTAGAGGTCGGTGTTTGAAATGCGGTAGTCGAAGTAGCTCGTAAGTGCGTAACGGATCCCATAGATGCTAGTCGGGTTTAGCATAGAAATGCAAGTAGCCTTAGTATGAACTTACATCACAGGTCCACCAGCGACAACGGTTCCCTCGATGACACCCCAGTTCCTCCAGCCGGTCACAAGAGTGAGCAGCAAGGCAGCCAGGATATATGCGAAGCCCGCATATAATGTCCACATGACGCGAGCGCGTCTTGAAAGCTGACGTTGTCTTTCATTTCTTGTAGTGGCTCTATTGATCTTTCCGGTGAGAGCATTCAGTGTCCTCTCGAAAGAGGCAGCGTCTTCGCCAGCCTATTGTCAAGTTAGTTGGGCCATGGTGGAGACTCGGCGGTGTCTTCTTTACCTTCCAGGGCCAGAATGACACCATGGCGAATTGAGTTGTAGAAGCGCAGCCCAGCGCGGGTGCTTGTATTCTACGGTAAAGGCCAGCGAGGCATGCTCGTGTGTGAGAACCTCAAAGTTGCGACGTCAGCGGGCAGTCGTGTGGATCGGCGCCGGGGTGAGCCCTGCAAAACCCTTGTCACGTGTCGGCAACTTTCTCGTCGCCCGTCTTCCGCATCTCGTTGCCATCCGTACGACATCGTCAGATCACAGACTACCAGCCCAATGTCACGCGAGATGGCACTTGTAGCATACAGAAACCTGCTGCGATCAGCGCGCATCGCTTTCCAAGGTACGACACTTAGTAGCAGCGAGGTCGCCGGCTCACACTGCACAGGAGACATGCCTACGCTCTTCGCCGCTCGAGCCGAAGTCCGCAAGAACTTTGAGCAGAACCGCCATCTTTCCGCCGGAAGCGAAGAACTCTCCAGCTCCATCTCACGCGCAGAGGAAGTGGCCAAGTTTCTCAAAGAGAATGTGGTCCAGGGGCAAGCAACCGAGGGAGAGAATTACAGTATGTGCCGCAGTTCGCAAGCACTTTGATTTGGCTGCTAACCCAGCTACAGAGCTACGGATACACGAGCATACCGAGCGAGGGGACAACGAGGATATCAAGAAAGTAAAAGGGAAGAGTACATTAGGAGGAGTCAAGTGCTGTTCCTCTTGAGATTTTGTCCAGCCTGAAATGAATCGTGATACCCATGCATATCCATGCAACAATAACGCCAATCCAATGCCAAATATTTCTTCATCCTAGTTGCCAGTCAAGCTAGCATAGTTGACCTCATCGTCCTCGCCAGGAGGGGGCGCAACTGGAGCCATATTGTCGAAGCTATTCTGCGGAGTTGCCTCAGTGGCCGCTTGGGATGCAGCCGCTCGCCGCGCTGGGCCTGCTGCTTGTCGTCCTTCCTTCGCGTATTGCATCCTGATGTTCTGATCCAGACTGTCCAGTTGCTTCGGCTTGCCCCAAGTAACCCTCATGGGGCAGCCCTTGATTACCACCTTGCCTTTTAGCGTCTCCGCCGCAGTCTCCGCGTCCTTCCTTTTGACGAAATTCACGTATGCGCAATGTGCTCGATGTGAACATATGAGTGACTTGAGCTGGCCGTACTGGACGAAGTGGGTGCGAAGATCGTGCTCGGGAAGGTCGTCTTCAACACCAGTGACGAATAGTGAAACGACGTTGGGGTCTGATGGTGGCAGCCAGTCTTGCGGGCTCGGCTCAGCCGATGCACCTCCCACGCGGCCTCCTCTTCCAGGCCGCATGCCTCCTCGTGCGCCTGGAGTACCCCGCGAGTCCCTCGTCCGTATAGGTCCTGGGACATGTCCGCCTGCGCTACTTCCACCGCCACCAGGCGCGGGCAGTGCCTTCTGTCCACTCTCCTCCGACTCTGCTTCTATCCGCCGCTGCTTCTTGTAGTAGGGTTCGCTCTGCGCCAGACGCTTGAGCAGGTCGCGTGCCTTCTCGTCGGTCTTCTCGTATGCTTCCATGGCTCCCCTGCCCTCCTCAATCTCCTTCTCGTGTTCCTGCGCATAGAATTGTCGGTTAATGTCGCTTTGCGGGCCGGGCGCGACCATCTTCAAGGCCGCATCACGAACGACGATGGGCAGACCAAAGGACAGATCCAGCATGCAGCACTGGCAGCAGTTCTTGAGGCGCGCGCATGTCAGGCAGATGTTGGTGCGCTTCTGTCGGGCGGTGCGGTCGGCTTTCCAGCGGAATATAGTGAAGGGTCGTGTGCATATCTTGCATTCCTGGGTAGGTTAGTACATGTTGCAGAAGATAGGTCGCCCAGGCTAGGTGTCACTTACAGCTCCATGATCCTCCTTTAGCATCTGCACATAGGGGTTGTCCGGCAGACACTTCTCGCAAACGGACGGAAAGTCGGTAGTTTCCCATCCTGACCTGTTGAGGTCCTGCTTGATTTGCGGAGGCATGTCCGAGGTGAGAGGGCGCGGCGACGGGGGTTGGGTGTCGTATGTGGAAGCCCACAAGCAGCGTCAGCGAACGTATAGATAGTCCTTGGGTACGTGGTTGTGGGGCGCTACAGTTCTTGACAGCGTCTTGGTGTCTTTCGTGGATGGGGTGAATTGTGATTACAACTATGATCATGACGCTAGAAATCTCCAGGCTCCTCCGCGGCTTGGCAACATCGGTGGCGACGGCTAGTGGCCTCCGTGCCTGGCCGCGTACAGAGCGCGCGGTGATTGGACAGCGGTAGGAAGCCCCCTTATGAAATTGTCCACATCTCCTACCGCTGTTTCCCTCGATACCGACCTTGCTGCCAATATTTTAATATTAAGGGTCCTGACTTCCCAATTGACACGATCTCATTGCAAACCTCTACTTCCAATTCCACAACACGTCCTCAGTCTTCCCATCCAAAATGTCTCCAACTGCCCTTCAACAGGAAGACCACACTCGCGATGCCGAGTTCAACAAAGCCATGCACGGCAAGTCTGCAAAGGCCCGTGGTGGCATGACGGCCATGCTCCAGAAGGACAAGGTGGCACAGCAAGCCGCCGTCGACGAGTACTTCAAGCATTGGGACAACAAAGACGCCGCAGACGAGACGGCGGAGACGAGAAAGGTATGCGGTGGCGTGACTCTCCATCCTCTGGCACACGTACTAACACGATCCAGGAACGACGAGATGAATATGCTACCCTCACCAGGCACTACTACAACCTCGCGACCGATCTGTACGAGTATGGGTGGGGTCAAAGTTTCCACTTCTGCCGCTATGCCTATGGCGAGTCCTTTTACCGAGCCATTGCTCGCCACGAGCACTATCTTGCCCACAAGATGAGCCTCAAGGACAACATGCGCGTCTTGGACGTTGGCTGTGGAGTCGGAGGACCCGCGCGCGAGATTGTCAAGTTCGCTGGTGTCAATGTTGTTGGATTGAACAACAACGACTACCAGATTGAGCGCGCTACAGCCTATGCGGAGAAGGAGGGCCTCTCGGACAAGCTCAGTTTTGTCAAGGGCGACTTTATGGTATGATTGACGACTTGATTCCCTGCACGCGAGATTAACACTGGCCCAGCAAATGTCCTTCCCGGACAACTCCTTCGACGCTGTCTACGCCATCGAGGCGACCGTCCATGCACCGTCGCTCGAGGGCATCTACAGCGAGATTTTCCGTGTCCTCAAGCCCGGTGGCGTCTTTGGCGTCTACGAGTGGCTCATGACCGACAAGTACGACAACGACAACCCCCACCACCGAGAGATTCGCCTCGGTATTGAGATTGGTGACGGCATCTCAAATATGGAGAAGATTGAGGTTGCCCTGAAGGCTATGAAGGCTGCTGGCTTCGAGATGGAGCATCACGAGGATTTGGCTGAGAGGGATGACCCCTACCCATGGTACTGGCCGCTTTCTGGTCAATTGAAGTACATCTCCACCATTGGCGATATCCCGACCATTCTGCGCATGACCAAGATCGGACGAGGACTTGTTCACAGGTTTGTTGGTGGCCTCGAAATGATCGGTCTCGCGCCAAAGGGTACCCAGAAGACGGCCGACAGCCTCGCTCTTGCGGCCGATTGCCTTGTTGCCGGTGGCCGCGAGAAGCTGTTCACTCCTATGTACCTCATGGTTGGACGGAAACCAGCAAGCGCGTAAGCCTTCTCTTCAGCTTCTATTCGTTCATACTAGACTTTTCTGCATGTGGATTTTCTTGGTGGCCTCGCGGGTGTTTCTCTTCAGTCCTGGAGTACCGTCTCCTGGCATTTGCATCCATATATCTTAGAAGATGCGTACTATATATACTGTAATACTTGGGTGAGAACGAACAAGGTTTAGGGAAGGTGATGGTAACGCGACTTATGGCGAGCGTAGAGTAGAATGAAGAAGTAATGCTCCAAGAATGTGTTGCCCATGTTACACAGTCTCTTACAACATGAACAAGCTTTATCGCATAGCATCTTCACCAGAAACATGCCGTGCATAGTGATGATGGGTGCTAAAGTACTTGAATGTTGGGCCACTACGCGCTAATCAGAAGAGCTGGGCGCATGGGCCATCTCAACGACTTCGCATCCCCGACCTCCGAAGAAATTATCCAGCAGCTTCAATCACTCCAACAGCCTCAGCGGCCATCATTCGCCCACGGCAAATCTCTCCACCTCCTCCTCCCCCTTACTCTCGACATCAATCGCCGCAATGGCCGCTTCCCGACTTGTCCGACCGGCTTCGCGCCTGCTGTCCGCGTCCCGACCTGCGCCCGCTTTCCGGCCAGCTTTCCGCGCTGGAGCCATAACACCGACAATTGCGCGGAGATATGCGTCTGGACAGAAGGAGATGACGGTGCGAGAGGCCCTCAACGAGGCCATGACTGAGGAGATGGAGAAGAATGACAAGGTCTTCGTGCTGGGAGAGGAAGTTGCGCAATACAATGGAGCGTACGTTGCCCCTAGTCTGGCTCAATCGAACTACACACATACGCGATAAGCAAGAGGAGGAGTCGAATTATGAGGAATTGCAAAGCTGCGGCGGGCTGTTGTTGTAGACGGCGGCTAACGGAGCTCACAGGTACAAGGTCACCAAGGGCCTGCTCGACCGCTTCGGCGAGAAGAGGGTAATCGACAGCCCCATCACAGAGTCAGGTTTCGCTGGTCTCACCGTTGGTGCTGCCCTCGCTGGTCTGCACCCAGTTGTACGTATCTCCACCCGCAAGCTCATCATCATCAACAGCACGCCTAACATGAATACAGGTCGAGTTCATGACCTTTAACTTCGCCATGCAAGCCATTGACCAGATCATCAACTCGGCCGCAAAGACACACTACATGTCCGGCGGTATCCAACCCTGCAACATCACCTTCCGTGGCCCCAACGGTTTCGCTGCTGGTGTCGGAGCGCAGCACTCGCAGGATTTTTCCGCGTGGTATGGAAGTATTCCTGGCCTGAAGGTCGTCACACCGTACAGCGCCGAGGATGCGAAGGGTCTGCTTAAGGCGGCTATTCGTGATCCCAACCCGGTTGTTTTCTTGGAGAACGAGTAGGTCTCTCGTTCCTAGCAGTCGACAAGGGGTTGCTAATCAGTTCGCAGGCTTCTGTACGGTCTCTCGTTCCCCATGAGCGAGGAGGCTCAGAGGGACGACTTTGTCATTCCTGTAGGTCAACGAACGCGAAAAGCACGAATTGGACACTGACAAAATCACAGTTCGGAAAAGCCAAGATCGAGCGCCCAGGCAAGGACCTCACCATCGTAACCCTCTCCCGCTGCGTCGGTCAATCTCTCGTTGCCGCCGAACAACTCAAGTCAAAATACGGCATCGAAGCTGAGGTCATCAACCTGCGCTCCGTCAAGCCCCTCGACGTCGAGGCCATCGTCAAGTCCGTCAAGAAGACCGGCCACATGCTCTGCGTCGAGTCTGGATTCCCCTCTTTCGGTGTCGGTGCTGAGATCATGGCTCTCACGTGCGAGTATGCGTTTGACTACCTGGAGGCACCTCCCGCGCGCGTTACGGGCGCCGAGGTCCCAACGCCGTATGCGCAGGGCTTGGAGGAAATGAGTTTCCCGACCGAGCAATTGATTGCGGACTATGCCGCTAAGCTCCTCCGGGTATAAGGATTTGTGGGTCAAGGGGAAGTTTAGTGCGACGAGGAGGCTGTGAGGATATGAATATGTATCAAAAGACAGCAGCAGTTCATAGGGTCGTAGGGGTCTTTTCCAGCGACTGGTAGCATTTCTGGTTGCATGTACAAGTATTCCATTTTCGCAAGACTTCTAATGCTCCTCTTCTCGAGCGAATCAGATTCTCTACTCGATTTCATGTGTGGCCGCTTCGACAATTTCACAGCGTATCTAGAGCTTGTGCATAGTCTGAATGCGCTCCCTCTTCTTGGCAGGTAGTAAGAGGTTGAAAATGGCTAACTAACTGACTACAGGGCAGAATATGGCAGAATATGAATAACTGATTCCGTTGGAGTTCAACTTGCTTATAGAGAAGCATCTTCTTCAAACCCACACGTTAAGCACATGGCAATGCCTTAGGGGCGAAAGAGGGAGATGTTTCAGCCCAAATCAGCTCAGCTGCCAGCTCAGCTTCTGAGACGGGTTTCATGTTAGACACTCGGTAGAAGCGACAACAAAAGGTCAGTCCACATGAGAGCGTACCAGTGCTCGGCTTTCACGTGGAAGTGCGGTTTTTGTGCGGAAAGCGGGAGCCAGCATCAGGGCTGATGGGTTCGGTTTGTGCACAAGCGGGGATCCGCGCGATCTGGACGAACGTGGCGGAGCTGGAACACGCAATGGTGCCTTGTCATGTCGTGGTAGGTAGTACGCATCGTGGCCTGACTTTTGGCAATCGATGTATGGTGTTGAAGGGGAGCTGGACGCTAGTATAAAGACGAACGAGCTACCCCGTTCTTTCTCTACGTGCTTGTTACAAGAATAGTCAACTTGTAGCCCGGTGCCTGTTGAGCCATGGTTTTCTGCACCGAGTAGTAAATAAACAGTACTAGGATTCTGGCGGGTACTCATCTCGCAGAAGCGGCTGAGGGATCGCATCAGACTCGTTGGAAGGTTGACAGGTGGCACTAATTAGGAGAACAATAATGAGGTTTAAAACTGTAGTTGACGATCGTCTCGACTTGTCCTGGAATATTTATTGTAATTACGAATATCTCCACACTTCAAGTACCTTTACAACACTAGCAATAGATTACCTAGGGCGTAAATGCTTTGGAAATCCTCTTAGCTGAAGAATCGAGGTGGACATTAGACTTATCGCTGGACAGAGGAAGCATAAGCCGGAAATGGCACCGAGTTCAGTTTCCACCATGTGCCAGTGAGGCTTGTAACAGCACTGACAAGAAGGTGAACCTGACCCTCGTGCATGGCAAGCGCACTCCCTTGAGGCTCGGAGGCATGACATGTGAACTTATGGCGGCATGCGGGCATGTATGTTATACGGAGGACTGGGTCTCCTGGGTAAAGTCCGGTTAGAGCTGTGGCTCATTTCGCCCGAATCCGAGATCTATAGCGCAGAGCCGTACATGTCCTCGTAGGAGCCGCTATGAGGAAAATGCAAATTCAAGTGTGTCCTGCGCCTAGGTGCTCCCGTGGCTCGACCATAGTGACCCAGATGTGTAGAACTACACGTGTGATCTGGTCGTGATACAGTGAAGGCATGGAAGCAGAAACACAAAACCATCTGGATGGATCGGCTTCTAAAGCCCGTTGTCTCATGTTGTGCAGTTTAGCGAGGCACGTGGAGCGAGTTGACAGCGCATATCTCTCCTGCGGGCTTTGTAATGGGATGGCTCATCCCCACGTGCGTGCTCTGATGGATATGCAGCCATGTGCGTTGCTTGATGTGCGACACGAACGAAATATCGATTGCTAATCATAAGCCAGCCCCGGTGCATGGTAGCACAGCGCTTTGAGACTTATCACGCTGTCGTCTCGCTAGCCGATGTACGCTAGTCATTCCGAATAAGTTCTGGAATAGACATTGGTGTAGCCTTGATGTGTGCTCTGGATGATTTCGAAGTGGAGACCTGAGGTCTGCTCGGCGCCAGAAGTCAGTGATTTGTGAAGGTAAGTGTCAGAGAGGGCACCCCAATGTACAAGACCAAAGAACGTTGAGTGTGCTGGGACTACAGAGTACCGAGTAACTGGCAGCAGTAAGCGCCATATCGACTCACCAGAGAGACTGAATGCTGCACTGGAGTAGGACCGTCGCTTAGTCGATACCAGGCGTGCCTCACGTGCTACATAGCGGCTGTGAATGCCATGTGGAAGCCACGCCGTAGAAGAAGGGAAGGAGCACATGAAATGTTTGACATTTGACAAGCTGATATGCGCAAAAGATCTTCGGGAGCTGCAGCCGCAACCACGAGGTCGGGTCTGAACAACTACGAATCAATGGCATGGTCCCAGTTCCGAGGAAGGCTGCCGACTCGTCGAGTAGGCAGTGGCTTTGTGTTAGAACAGGGTTTGGGGGCGAAAGCGGCTAGAGAAAGTATCGACCTGTTCGACAAAAAGCCGGAAAAGGGAAGATAATGTAGTACCAGGGACCACGGTGCGACGCAACTCTAGAAAGAGATGTAGCAAATGGATGGGCAGGTTAATCACGTAGGGACGCAAATGACTCTCGGAGTAGAGCTGACGGGTAATTTAACAGGCTAATATGTTCGATCCTACTTCCTACTCTTACCGTGAACAAGGTGAGTCTTGGCCTTCTTGCGGTAGATTCCCCCTGAAGTCACCCTCTACTCCTAGAGAACCTCTTAAGGCGGCCAGGCTGAGAGAGGGACGCAGCCACTCCAGAAGGCTTGACGCCATCTAAACAACAATCACTCGCGAACTGCACATGTGGCTTCCACGAGGTTGCGTTACTTTTGTCGGGAGAATAGAACGCCTTCGAAAAGTGGCATCTAGTTGGATGGGTATGGTTCTTCGAAACAGCGGACATGGTTCACCAAGTTCGGAGACTTGGTACGACGCACTTGCGCAGTTTGAGGCCAATAATTCGCCGTAGCTAGCCTTGGCATGCGTTGGCGGACAGTCTGACCATGATTATTCCCTCTAGATGCATCTGTGATATTACGTGGTGTGATGAAGGGGCCTGGGAGTATCGCAATGGCGAGTCGATGCGGCTGGCAAAAGCAATGTTGGGTCTAAACGGTGGAAGATCGCGTGGCAAGTACTTCGCAGAGGTGGGCGTCGGCGTCGTTGCACATTTAGTAGTTCTAGACTATGTCGGCGTCCAGCCCGTCGAGTGGGCGGCATCTGGCTAATAACACGGATCATTATGCCGTGTCACCACCACTGGCGGTGTCGGCTAACTGTGGACCAAACCTCTCTAACCTGCCGCACTCCGCACTCCGCATCCCTCAACCTGACCTCTAGAGAGCGAATCGTATGACGGAGGCATGCAAAAGTTCGACAATCATGCTCGGAAGATGGTCAGCTCGTCAAATTGAGTATGCACCGGGTGTCCAGCACACCGTGGCCTTCATAGCATCCTATTCCACGTCCTGGTCAGGTTGAGCCCCATTAGACGCTTCAGCATGGGCGCAACGCCTCGTTGACCTTATTAGACTAATTCTGTCGCTATTGACCGCTTCCAGTCACAGCATCCACCAGTCGGTACATCTCGATCTCGATCTTGCAGGGACCCTAGCCATGTCCAGATTGTCTCAAAATGGCCTGATCGGACAACCGTTGTCACAACTTGGCCAGCAGCTTCTGTCCTTTCCTAGACCATTTCAACCCGTACCATCCAGCCATTCCAACGCCGAACATGCGCTGAGCCTGACAAAATCAGACGCCTTTGCCATGCCGCGGCAATCGGGCCATCCTCGATAGTTTCGACACGCTTGAGAATGGCACCACACATCGTACGATTCGCGCCGCAAAGTGAGGTCAGTGTTGATGTGCCGCCTCGGCACAGAATGGTGCTGTTGTGATACTACAATGCAAAACCTACCCCTTGCAATGCTTTCTTCAGACTCCAATTGGTGAGTCGAGCACGCCTTTTCGGCCTAGCTCTCAACCAACTGCACCGGCCAAGTTCGGGAAGCAGCCTCGAATAATAACATCTAGCATTGGTGTTAGTTCAGTAAGTGGACTGACTTGCAGATTTCCCGTTTTGGATTAGAATCCTCAGCTCCTTTGTGGAATCCCATTTTCGAGTTGCTTTTGCAGGCCTCATCGACGATTGACAAGCCCAAAGTCGTTGCACTCCTCCCAGATGGGATCTCAAGCCGCATGACAACTGATTTGTATACAAATAAGTCGCAGATCGGCCGCTTCGCACACATGGTCACAACGTGCGCCACATCTCCGTCTTGAAGCTCAGGGGTCGCTCGGATGGTTGCGAGAGCGGCATGATCGCTTGCAATGGTTCATGACCTACGAGTAGTGGCATGATACATCAGACTTGCAAGCTAATTGAAGTAACTACTTGCAGACACAAATAAACTTACGACTACGCACAGTGATGGCTTTCTACGAGTTGGGTTGCGATATGGTTCGTTAGTGTATATCGCGCAGTAACAGGCTTCAGCCAACGGGCCGACTTTAAAGACATCACTATCCCATGCACACATCCCAGGATTATCCTCATTTTTTTTGGTCATTTAGAGCATTTACAGATGCAGTTCTCCACCTGCATAGACACCTTGTAGAGACAGTCCAGTAAGTCAATTGTTGTCACACCTCAATCAACACCAGAGACCAGGACTACTCATGAGCGCCAACCAACGTGAATCCACCCACGCGCGGGCGCAGATACACGCATTTTCCTAGACTTTGATCGAACTATCAGACGCCCACCTGGTAGTGTCACCTAAAGATCCGCGCCATGGCTTCTCACGAAGACGCCACGCTATTCTTTACTCTACCTCTGGAACTGCGCGAGCACATATACAAGGAGGTCCTTGCGTCACCAGCTCAAGGCCCAGAGCTGCTTCGAACATGCCGAGAGATCAAAACAGAAGCGCACAAATTCCTCTTTCAGAGACCCATCAACTTCCATAGTCAATTGTCACTGTACGAATGGTTGGATCAAGCACCACACAACCTTCTCCCACACGTCACCGAGGTTTCTCTCACGATCCAGGATGTCAATTTCCGAACACTACTCGAACCAGAAGCTTCAAACAGTCAACCTACCACCCCGCCTCGTCTTCTGACGAGTGAGCTATACGAAGTGGAAATTGGCAAGCTCGATCAGGCCCTGAAGCAGCTTCCGAAAGTCAAGACTGTTACAATTCGAGCCCTGTCAACCCGGCAATCTTTCCTGTACCGCGACTTCTTGGCCAAAGTTTTAGAATTGTTAAGCTCAATGTGTCCGACGCTGCTAGATCTCAGATTGGAAGGCAACATGCACCACCAGAGCCTAAGGTTCTTGACTGGCCTACAGCATCTGCGGTGTTTCTCCTTCGATGGATTTTCCTCGACGTCAGCGACTGAGACGGCGGATATATTGGCGAGCCTTGAGCACCTTAGCAGCTTAACCCTCGTTTCTCAACATGAGCTGCTCATGCCGAGTACCTATCTACAAAGCGGGTTCACATCGAAGCCTCAATCATTCACTGGCGACGTTGTGCGTACAATCAACCAACTCGCTTCCTTTTCGGTCATCGAGCGCACACCAACACCTTCGACTACCTTGTTTCTTACATCTGAGGTGCTGGCCTCACTCCAAGGACACAAGGCGCTCAACAGTCTTTCGATCATTCTTTCATATACACCGGACGACGAGACTCTCCTATCTTTGCAAGAATTTCTTAGGAGATCTGACATCCACCGGTTGGAACTCGATTGGCCTGACTTGAAACCAGGGATATTGGGAGAATACTCTTTGGTACAGGAGGATCTCAAGACGCTCTGGGTCAGAGCACAGAGTGCGTCAGATGCCTATACCGCCCTCGTTCCTATCTTCGAGAGTCGACACGAAGGAGGTCTGCCAAATCTCAGAAAGATCGTCCTGATTCGTGCCAACAAGGATGACAGCAAATCGAGAGTTGCCTCCTCGGATAGAAAGGATAGTGGGATCGGAGTTTCAGAGAACAAAAAGCTTCATGTGAGTACACTCATGTTGTCTAGGAGCCGCAGCGACGAAGCGAGTGGTTTGACATCGCCAGCCTGAACTTCATCCGTCCTAATGTTATGCAAGCATCAACTGACCACACGTGTTTAGGGCGCACCTATCGACAGAATCTTTGACAAAGACGAACTTTGTCAAATTAAGAGGCGATTGCAAGTGCTGGGTATTCAAGTTTTATGGTGTACAGAGAGCGAATGACTTCACCGCTTTTACCCAAGAAATACCTCGCACGAATGGGAAAGGAAGACAAAAGTGTCCCATGTAGTGGATCTGTGCTATCAATCATCTTTGTTGCGTTACAGTCTGCGTCATGCGTTTGCATACGGTTGTCATGCGCCTTTAAAAGGCTAAGCTGGAAAAATGTACGACAGATCATTAGTCATCCATGTGATCTGGTATCAATCAATACTGTGTTCTGCACTCATATCCTGCGGCTGTATCTTCTCTTTGGTTGTCAGATGCGATGCAATTTATTCTCAATGCCCGCAGACTAATTCGTAACAAAGTTGCCTATCCGGGGGCGAATTAGTAATCATGCCGGATGGGGTTAGGACTTACCAGACACTTATGAGGTACTGAGGGTGTCTCGCTATCTTTCTGCTGTAGACGCAAACGCAAAACCTTGCAAGACCTTGATGCTCATGTCTAGCGGAGGGGTGGAGAAGCGTGGATCCGCTGCTACAGTGCGGGTAAGTAAGCTCAACCTCTCTACGTTTTGTGCTAGTCCTTCACATGCTATGCCCCTCCTTCATCTACCAACATGCCCTTCGATTCAAACCAGAGCGCTAAGCCACACTAGGCGTGCGACCTATGCCGCAGAAGAAAACGGAAATGCATTTGGTCGTCGGGTACCGAAGGCTGCACGCATTGCGTCAACTTGAACGAGAAATGCACTACTACGCATATTCGCAAACAGAGAGTTAAGCCGCAGAGAGGGTATGCGAGCCTATCGATCGACCAAGTATAGAACCTCGCGCTAATAGGTTTCTAGCAACCGTATTGCCGAGTACGAGAATCGAATTCAAAGATTGGAATCACTACTGCAAGAGCGTAATGCCGCCCAACCACAAATCCACTGGCAACCATTGCATGCCGCAGACCCAGCTGTCTCAGTCTCGACGTGGGTCAATGATCTTCGCCATGAAGTTGAGACTATGCCAGGTCCCGAAGTTCCCGATTTCGACCCTTTCGACCTAGACGCCAATATAGATCTCCCTGGGATCTCACCTCCAGATGACTTGGCCGCGCTTAGTATCCATGACGCAACTCGAGATGACTCTACTCTAAGCGCCTCAGTTTTACTTTCCCTGCCCGACATCCAGCCCTCGACGGAGTTCCAAGATGACGCTGCGTTCCTTCAGAGCACGGCGTTTGGGCCTGAAGCCAGCGTGGTTACTGAATTTTATCTGCCACCACCGCTACCTGCACAAACCGGGTGTGATTGGTACCTCCCACCGCCCGAAATGGGAACTTCGTTACTCGCCGAGTTTCTCACGGACTTTAACGCCGCTTGCCCCTTGTACCAGCCTCACGTTATCGCCGATCACCTTCGAGTCTGCTACGCCGGTCATTCCGATGGCTCTGTAGTCTCATGGATCAGTACTTATGTCATTTTTGGTCTTGCGCATATGTAAGAAATCCGTGTACGAGTTGCAGAGGAGACACACACTGACTGGGTACCTCGACTAATTAGGCTTCGCGCAATGAGCACTACTGGAACGCCGTATGATACTGACATGGCGCGGTACTACCTTGCTCGAATTTATCGTGCTATGAACAGTCTTCTTGTCTCGCCGCCGTCTTTAGGATTAGTACAATGTCTGCTCGGCGTAGCACTACTTATCACGACTACTTCATTCGGTGTCAACATGTCAGAAGGTCACTTCGTCTCTACCGCGTTGCGCGTAGTTCACAACCTGGCTTATCAAGACGACGAAACCTACGGATCAGATACAGTTCGAGATGTCGAACAGGAACGCCGCGTCTTTTGGTTGGCTTTTATCTACGATACAAACACAAGTATACTCACCAACTCTCCGACGACCCACCGCCAAGAGGACGTCATATATTGCGTGCCGGAGCTCAAAACAACGGAGCAGCTTGGAACAGTCACAGCAGCGGAAGGCAGCTGGAGGGTCAACATGTTCGTTCTGCGCGTAAATCTGGCTGTACTACAAGCAGAAGCCATCGATCAAGTCCTCTCCGTGACCACTGATAACAAGACACCCACAGACATCGATGCCGCAGCCGCGGTCGTGCTTTCACGTCTACAAGCATTCCACAACCATGACATCTTCCAATTTACCGCTGACCAACTTTTCCAACTGCTCTATCGGTCGGATATTGTGCACACCATTAGCCTGGAGGCATCGTATTTCGCAACCGTGTTCCGACTACATGCTTTTGAGGCTTTCGAGAGGAACTCGCGTCTCAATCCTTTTTCGCTGGACGGCTTGAGCAGAATGGCGAAGGTGAAGCAGCAGAAGAGCTGTGCAGAGGCGAAGCGACTGTTGAGCCTCCTGCCCATTGCATCGCGGGGCGACGTGGGAATGTATTGGTATGTGCCTACTTTACTATGCTCTTATTCCTCAACATCGTTATGTCTCTGGGTTCTTCACGCGCGCCTGCTTATTAGACTACAGGCAACTGCACCGCACTTTTCTGGCAGCTCTTGTCACGGTGCTCGCACACCACATCAACAACCCCACGGTGGAAGCGCCTACAACTATCGAGATGCGGGGATATGGCCATGTGTTGACTGACATCGGGCACATGGTACAGACTAGTGGCAATGTGGACATTGCACAAGCTAGAGATGTGTGCATGGGTCTATACGTAAAGCTTCAAACGGGGTTGCATGTAAAGTGGATGCAAGGCATGGTAGAAGGAAACGAGAATATTGCGCCAGCGATAGTACATAGAGTAGGTCGCGCTTAGATGCCTCAAGGTTGTTTTGAGACGGAGTGTTTTGCGGACGGAAACAGCCCTTAAGGTAGAGGATTGAGCCTCCAGTTGGGATAAATAGATCGTCTTGTATCTTATCAGATGCTCCTTCCGATCCTTTCCGGGTCGGCCGCGAGTTAAGCCGAGCCGCAGGGCTTGGACGACCAAGATTCTTTCATCGCGAACCGTGCTTGAACCACTTGATCGGCTGCCCGACCAGCGAATAAGCGCCGCCGACGCCAGAAAAACGCATTCCAGATGCAGATGGCGTCATGTCAGACCCTGCTAAATTGACTGCTAGCTCATCTGTTCCTGCCATCGCCCTCGGCGACTTGTTACCACCGAGATGGTGAGGTAGAGATGTTACGCTTTGGGATCGCGGGCCATCAGGACCGAATACCCTGAGCTTATGGTCTGCTTCCTACCATGTATTTTCTCTTATCATACCTCGGAACTTGAGCAGAGAAGTCTTTTGAAGAAGCAGCACTGGTAGGCCACCACCGCCCCTCGCAGCCAACGACTCCACACTTCGCCTGTCGCAACCCCACCCATACTGAAGCCTGCATTTATCGCCGCCCGCAAGCCCGTCTGAGGCAGTCGCAAACATGGCTACAACCCCTGTTGAGCTTTCAACCACAAGCAACACCTTTCCGACGCGACAAAAACCCATCCCATACACCATCACCAACGGCCGGCGCACCCCACTATCCTCCATCCTCCCGCCCCTCGTCTTTGGCACCGCGACCTTCAACCACCAATACAATGACGACCCATTCGCGCTCGACACGACTGGCCTAGTGACATCAGCACTGACACACGGTATCCGCGCCTTCGATACTTCACCCTACTATGGCCCTTCAGAGCAGCTGCTTGGCAGTGCTCTCTCCACACCATTTGTACGGGAAACGTTCCCGCGCAACTCGTACATGATCCTGACCAAGGTCGGACGGATAGCAAGCGAGGAATTCGACTACAGCAAAGAGTGGGTGCGGCAGAGTGTCGAGAGCAGCCTACAGCGACTACAAACCGAGTACCTGGATTTGGTGTACTGCCACGATGTCGAGTTTGTGAGCCCAGCAGAGGTGCTCGAGGCAGTCAAGGAGCTGCGGCGCATTAGAGACGAAGAGGGCACAATTCGCTATATTGGCATCTCAGGATACCCCATCGATGTCCTGGGCGACATGGCTGAACTCATTCTCCGCGAAACTGGCGAGCCTCTTGACGCAGTCCAATCCTACGCCAACTTCACACTGCAGAACCAAACCCTCGCCAGTCCACGGGGAATCCAGCGCCTCCGCGAAGCTGGCGTCGACGTGGTCCCGAACGCGTCGATTCTAGGCATGGGCTTATTGCGCCGAGAAGGTGTCCCCGTCGGCGCGCTGGGCGATTTCCACCCCGCGCACTCGACGCTCCGCGAAGCAGTCCGCAACGCAAGCAACTTCTGCGACACGTACGGGGAACGCATCGAAGTCATTGCCATCCGCTTCGCGCTCGAGACATGGATTTCGGCTGGTTCGATATGCGGGTCCAAAGGCGATCCTGCGTCGGGTGTAGCCTGGAAACACGAGTCCAACGACGACGTAGGCGGTGCAAAGCTTGGTGTCAGCGTCATCGGCGTGAGTCGCGCTTCGGAGCTGGAAAAAACGATGCTTGTGTGGCGCAGTATCCTCGACGGGCTGGAGGGCGGCAAGGAGACGGCGGTGCAGGCTGGACGGTGGTACCGCGCGTGGGAGTGGTCGAGGAACCGCAGGAAGGCGGTGCAGATCCTTGCCGAGGGTGTGCAGGAGGTGCTGGGCGAAGGATTTGGGTACGCATGGTCGAGCCCGGATCCTGGTTATGTCAACAAGCGGAAGAAGGATGCCAAGGTGGTTCAGAATCAGAAGAGCGAGGCGCCATGGTTGACGCCAGCGGCGAGTCCGCAATGTATACCCGTGGAGGATTTGGGAGAAGTTAGGGAGGAGAAAAATCTGCCACTTCGGTGAGCGTTATGAAGGCATTCAAAGTACATAGGGACGACGTTACGTGTATAGTTATGACGATGGAATGGAATCTGGGTGGATGTCTCATATATTTTGTTAGCTAGCATAGACCATAGACCTGGTATGAACATTGCCTTTACATCACTATCTGATTCATCATCATAGTTCTGCATTCCCTATTATATATATGCCCAGTAGCTACTTGCTCTCTTTATTTAATCATGAACAAGATACAGTTGGACTTTTCGACGTGAATATTTATTTATTTTTCCTATATAATTATCTTTGCTGTAGAACTCTACTAGAAAGAAAAATACAACCTAGCAACCAGTATATTTCCCCAAGTTTACCATGAATTATGTACTTGCACCCCCACAGCTTGAAAAAAGGGGTCGTAGTCAAATCGAATCAAGTTACTCAGCCGTGGTCATCTAGCCATCCAGTCCCACAGTCCAGCAAAAGCACTCTGAACCGCAGAAGTCGCACGGCCACTCATCTCTGCTGAGTCCATGCTCTTGACGCGAACTTGAAGAGGGTTCTAGGTCAAGCTGCGTAAAAGCTTCTAACACCTTCGTATACTGCATGCTGCTCTCAGCAGCAGCACAACAACCAGCCTCTTGAACCGCGCCAGAAGTAGCACCATCCGCGAGAATCGAGCCGGATCGCGGTGGCGGCGCAAAGTACGCTGATACATCGAAAGACCAATCCCCTGCTCCTATGCAGTAACCCGAGGATGACTGATTACGAACAGAGGAAGAGGGGCAGCAGCAGCAGCAGCAAACACAAAAGCAACACGACCTATAGCAAGGGCAATGCGCATTGCTTGTCGACTCTTCCTCATTCAATGAGCCCGGAACCAGGTATTTCAACTGCCGCCGTATCGAGTCTTCACTGAAGAAGCCCCTGGGATCTAGCCCCTTGGGTAGGTTATTAACTGATGATGAGGAAGATGAAGCATGTTGTGTTTCGACAGGAAGGTGTCGATTTCCGTTATCGTGCCGCTTGCGTATGTTTTTCTTCCGGGGAGCTTTGCTGCGGCGTGGATGTTTCGGCATGGTTGTGTGGATGAGTTGTTTCCTGTAGTGCTGGAGACTGGGATGTTTGTGTATCGGACGAAGAGTGTGAGTGAGGCCTGCCTAGGAGAGTGGACAGGATATGTGGATGGAGGAGTGTGATGTATCTTCAGTGTTATATATGTTCTGGTGGACGTAATGTGAAGGTGTGTGATTGAATGGGCCAGTGTGTACGTGACTAAGTTGTACTGTGACTGGAGAGATGACTTGAAGTGAACCGTGGAGACATTTCGATTTATTTACATTTTAAGAGTATGACTATGGTAGTTCAGTAGTGCCGTGCCAAAAGGCCTGACTGAACAAGTATATATCCCCACAAACCTGCTCAAATGACTAACTCTTGATATGATCTTACACCAACTTGTCACCAGCGAGTTTCAAAAGCATGCTCCCGCTGCCTGGCTTGCTAACCACAACAGCTTGTGCAAGCTTCTCCGCCGTGATGTCTGGGAAGTGCTTCTTGTAGTACTTCTCCTCCCACGCCTTCTTGACTGCTTCCACCTTATCCTTGGGCACAAGATGAACACTGCAGCCTCCCCACCCGGCACCCGTTAGTCGACTCCCACAGCTGCCAGCAGCACGGGCCAGGTCGCACAGCTCGTCAAGCTCGGGGCAGCTGCAGTCGTAAATCTCGCGACATGAAGTTTGCGTCTCGTTCATAAGGTCGCCGAGGGACTGGAGGTATTCTTGACCAGTAGAAGGTGGCGAGGACAGGAGGGAGCGGAATTTGATAACGCGAAGAGCTTCAGTGAAGACGTGGAGGGCGCGCTGGCGAAGCATGAACTTGTCCGCACGGACCGGGAACTTGCTCATGTAACGTTCGTTGAGCGCTTCTTCAGAGATGCCAAGTAAGGCGCAAATATCACTTCTTGAGTACCCTTCTTCTAGTGGCAGGTAATCCCCTATGTGTTGGATGAGCTTATAGAGCTGGGTCTCGAAATCGGCAACGGAGGTCTTGGTGTTGTCTGATACGTTTTCTTTCTCTTCAAAGTAGGTGTCGTGGAAGCCGCGCAAGCTGACGCCTAGTGGAGATGAGTCTGACGGAAGTTCTTTCTTCAACGAGAAAGCTTTGGCGAGGAAGACAGCTGCTAGTGTGCATTCTACGACACGCAGGTTGTAGCATACGGGAGCCGTGACGTGCTTGTCCGCGGCGACGAAGCTCTGGGCTGTGACGAAGGTGAGCTCGGGGTCTGTTTGTGGGAACTCGATGTTTGTGAAGTCAAGGCTGGGCTTGAAAGAGACGTATAAGGCGGAACCGCGAAGGGAGAATACTGAAGCTGCCTGGTCCATGCTATAACTGTTGTTAGCTTGGTATGAAAGCAGACTTGAAGCACGTACCCTCCAGAGTTGACACCGACAGAACGCTCAGACACAATGGCAAGCTCACACAGCTCCTTTTTGTTCACCTTCTCCTCTCCATTCGCCGCCAGAATTGCTAGCGCACTGGTGCACACGACAGAAGCTGAGCTGGACAGGCCACCACCGCTCGGTACCGTACCGTCACACACAATGTCCATGCCGACTGAAGTGAACTTGCCCCGCTTCTTCTGTAGCAATTGTGACACACCCTTCAGCCCAGACTTGAAATAGTTTGTCCACTCATGCTCGGTAGCATTGATGGGGATGTCTCCCTCGGCAGGAATCTCGAATTCTCGGGCTGGAAATTTCTCCGAATTGAGGTTCGCTATCCGTATACGCGGCTTCTCTTCGGACGGTCGTACAGCTACCGCCATGATGAAGTCGGCAGTGATGGCCATGGGTAGTACCTCGTATAGCGAATAGTCAATATGCTGCAAGTGGTGAGTACTGGGCCTCGCTGCTAGAGTGGAAGGCTTGCTCTACCTCGCCAATGATGTTGACACGTCCTGGACTCCTCGCAAAAAAGTGTGCTGGCTTGCCGTAGAGGTCTTTGAACTTTGCTAGTAAGCTCTCCCATCGCTTCGTCTCGACTGGCAGCGCGTCGGCGGGGTAGATGTCGCGTAATGATGTTGCTGTTGGGACGTCCATGTTGAAAGTGAGTTGTAGATTGGCCAATGTCTTGAAGGAGGAGGCGTTTTATAAACGAACAGAGTGGTAAAGTGGTCAGGAGAGCAAGGATTGATTCATCACGAGTTACGCAGTCGCGAGAGGCCTGGGAAGTGTATGGGCGGGGCGCAACTTGTAGCGAAGTGGGGTCTCGAGCCTTCCCGCTTTAGGAAGCGCATCCGACGCGAGTTCCGAACCGTCCGCGGTCATGTCATTGATCGAGCTGCAAGGCACAAGGTGGGTGTTTGTGGAGATGACGCAGGATCACACGACGGGGGGAAGACGGAGTTGCTTAGAGCGTGTTGAGCCAAAGGTTCAGTCGAGTACCCCCTTCATCCCAGACCCCTTCCTCTCCCACGTAGGCCTCGCCCAATGCCACTCCCACTGCCACTCCCACTGCCAGCGCGACCCCTGGTTGAATTGCTGCGACTGACACCTCGCCCAGCCTGTCCGTAATTACTCTGTCCATAGTTACCAGGAGTTGGCGTTGTGGAGGTACCGCGCGGTCGCGTCCCTCTGCCGCGTCCCCTGGTTCCCGTCTTTGGAGCAGCTTCTGCCCTTCTGCGCTCTTCTTCTAACCTTGAGGCTGCGGCGTCTCGCCTCGCCTGCTCTTCGGCCGCTCGGCGCTGTACAGCATGCTGACGATGCACTTCCTCTTCTTCGATGGCGACTAGATCTTGCGACGCGCCCTGCCATTGCTGGTTCAGAATGAGTCGCTGGCTGTGCTCTGTCTGGGATAGGATGCGCGTCCAGGTCTGGAGAAGGGTCGAGGCGTTTAGAACAGTCTTGGAAACAGTCTGAACTCTTGTTAGCTATGGTACCATCTCAAGTAGCATTGGGACAGACATACAGCCATGTTGTCTTTGGCCTTTTGCAGGCTCTCTACAACGCCTTCGATGACCTTGTTGACGTTCCTTATGCTCTCCAACTCTCTTCGCAATGCTGCCTCACGCGCCTCCTCTGTGGTGTAGTGCGACTGTTTGGCACGCGTTTTCCCGCCCGCTGCACCCTCGCCTGCGCTCGCAGCTGCATCCTGGGCCTTCTTCTTGTTCTGTCGCGCGGCGGGGGTGTCGAACAGGGCGTCGCTATCTGAGTCGGAGAGATCCAGAGCGCCCATGTCTGGTGGATGCATGTTGGAAGGCGATGAATGACGCCAGTTACAAGCGAATCGGGCCAGTAGACACCAAACCTCAGAGTGTTGGCGTGTTTGACGTGTTTGACTGCGGGCGGTGAGCCATGACCACGGCCTGCATGTGCGTTGTTGACGATGATGCGCTGCCCTGGCGCTTGGCGGACGGCGCACCAGCCATCGCCAACCTCCTCCCTTCCATCATTCCTGCCTCGACCCTTCGATAACTGAACGAAGCCACCCCCCCATCGTCTCCACTCCGCTCCTCCCCCTTCACCAACACCCCATCCCCTATCGCACTCTCGACTCCACGCCGCGCGCATCTCTATCCGCTGAATTGGCCCGCTGCACGATTAGGCGCTGGGACTTCACGCTTGTTTTCGGATTGTTTTGATTTTGGATATTGACGCTTCCTGCCTCCATTGCTACGACAACACCCTCATCGCCGCCCTATTAGCAAACGCTCTACGCTCTCTTTCATCATGGAGCGCACTCCCTCCCCTCCCCGTCGCCTACATACCCCGCCGGCGCCTCTTCACGGTGACACCTACGAGCCCTTCTCACCGCGTCGCTCCACCAGAGTGGCCGCCCAGCGCGGCCTTCACCACGAGCAAACGAGCCCGCGGTCCAGGCGCGACATAACCCCTACGGCTTCGACAAAGCGCTCTGCCGCCCGTGCTTCTGCCTTTGCGCTCTCACCGCCATCCTCTCCAATTTCTCCACAACAACTCCGCTCTCCACGCTCGACTCGACGCGCGCGCCTGGATCTGCACCCTCTTGATTCAGACTCAGATCACGTTGCTCCAACGCCAGCGCGTCTCCTGTCAACAATGGCACCCGTAAGTCGCACTTGCGCCTGCGTGGCTTCTGCTTTTCTTGCGATTGCCAAACAGCAACCGCATCCGAGCTTGAAGCACTCCACGCTCCCCCGTTCACGTCGCCTAGACCATTGCTGACTATATACAGGGCATGCTACCAACACCAGCAAAGACGCCGCGCAAGCGCCGCATCGACGATCTAAGCTCGACCGCGCGCGTATTGTTCCCAAGCCGCCCCGCTACCATCGACGAGGTTGTGCCGACGCCGCGAAAAGCGCGCAAGACTAAGAACCTGTACACCCTAGAGAGCTTTGCGCAGCAGAACGACGAGTCGACCGAGAAGATTGCCATCTATACGGACTCCAAGGAGCGCGTTCCTTCGCCCGGCACTGAGGAAGACAACCCTTTCATCGTGAAGAAGGGCAAAGGCAGGGCCAGGGCGACCCCACAGAAGCCACGCAAGATGGTCAGTCAGAGAACCGAGAAGATGACTGCAGCAGCGGAACGGGACGAGGGCATGGTATATATTTTCCGTGGCCGCAAGGTCTTCCGCAAGTTCCATAACGGGCCGCCATCAAATGCTTCTGAGGCTGAGGAAGATGAAGAGCTCTCCGCGGACGACATGCAGCTGCGACGCCAGATTGGCCACGAGGCTCGTCGTCCTCTTACTCGTTCCTCTATCAAGCCGCGCCTTCTGTTCCAAGCAGAAATCCAGGAGCGTAACCGCGAGAACGGCACCGAAGAGGACGACGAAGAGGCGGTAACGGACATTGAGATTCCCGTTGCAACTCCGAGCCGGAGGAAGGGCAAGGGCGCCGTGCAACTGCCCACGCTAGAAGCTACCCCGCCGCCTACTGTTCGCAAGGTGAAGAAGGGTATGTGATAATTCCCACCACAGACCATATCAAAGACACTAACAATATTTCAGAAATCTCCTTTGACTCCTGGTCACGCGTCAAATCGGCGCATAGCTCAAGCAGCTCCTCGCGCGAGACCAAGAAGCGAGGCGGTGAGCCTCTAGAGCGCGAGGCTGACAAGCGGGCTCGAAGTGAGCACTCTACTTCTTCCATGTCGCTTGACACCTTCTAATGTGGCATCTAGCCCGTTCATCTTGAGTGTTGGTTACTACTACTACACCTGCTCTTTTTGAGTTTGTTGCTTGTAGTACCTCACTTGATACACTTTCGTTAGCCTAGGAACTGGAGTTTTGGATTTGATTTGCATGGTCTATTGGCCATTAATGTTACATAGCGAGCGTCTTGATTTGGAGGATACCCATACTGCGTGTGTACTGCACGATGCGATGCAAGCATTATGGCGATTATGAGGTACTAAGGCTGACTGTATAGCCGAAAGTCAAGTTTACAGGTTTGGATATAGCCTGTTTGTCCAAGCATAGCATACTGTGCACTGGTGTACACCGCAGCAGCATAGTATGTTGACGGTCATGGGGAATGACAATAGCATAGTCAAATAAGATCAATTCTCCTAGCTGATGGTACATGTTCCTGTGATGTGGTATCCAACAAGCACGAATGCAACGCTCTCCAAGCACCTTAAAACTCCGCTAAAAATCCAACCTTTACGCCTTCTTAGGCATCTTCTGGAAAAAAGAACTCATCTTCTTCATCCCGCTCGTGTCTACTTTCTTCAACTGCTTAATACCCCTGCCCTCGAGTTTCTTCTTCTTCTCATCTTCTTCCTTTTTGCGCTTCTTTTCCTCGCGCTCAGCAACCTTGTCGTCGTCTTCTTCAATGGCACGCTTGCGGGAGATGTTGTCTGAAATGGAGCGCAGGGCTGCGGCTTCGGATCTAAGTTTGGCTAGTGCTGAGAGGTGGGTGTCCAACGTTGAGAATCTGGGGGCGAGGAGGTCTTGTAGTATGCTGCGGAGGGTAGGAGGGATATAAGAGGATGATAGGTAGTTTAGGCTGGTGCGGAGGCGGAGGAGATATGGTATCTCAGATGGCGTGTGCAAGCTTGGTTTTGAGGGGATATCTTCTGGTATCGTGATACTTGTGTTCACGCTCGTTTGGGACTCTATCGATGTGGTGACTGATGCTTCGGACTGCGATTCGACGTTTGTAGACGGTGTTGAAGTGCCGTCTATTACGGTTTCTGTGATCGACACTGCGCTCAATGTACTCTCCTCTCTCTTGATGCTCATAATTGGCACTTCCAACGCGGTCTTGATAAACTTGTCCTCCAAGCTTGGTGGTAGGCCGTTTTTCACCATACGTTCTGCCTTCTTCATCAACACGTGTACTAGCTTCTCGTTTGAGAGTCGGAACATGGTCTCGTCGCCTGCATCGACTGTGTCGCATACAGCGCGCATTCTCTTCTCCACCATGCGCTTGAGACTTGGGTATTGTATGAGGAGCGCTTTCCAGTGCCGCGCAGAAGTGGAGAACATATCAAGGTAGTCGTCTAGCGCGAGGAAGTGCTGTTTCGTTTCTTTCGCGCTCTTGGGTGCTAGGGCGGGGAGTACGAGGAAGAGGATGTCGATGGGCGTCGCGATGAACAGGTCTGCGCTTTTGGTGATGTAGCCGCTGCCTATCCGCACATCATCTTCACTCTCTGCCGCGTCTTTGGAATCATCGTGTTCTCCGCTCTTCTCCCCGGTGATCAGCCAGCTCTTGCAATCTTTCTTTGGCGCTGCAATGCGTGTGAACTCATGAAAGCCTTTCTCTGGGCAGAAGTAGTATCTTGATGGTGTGTCGTTTGCGGGATTGTCGAGTGTTACTATCCGCGCATCTTTCGACGCGTCCCGTGGGAGTACAAATAGTTTGGGCGGGTTCGAGGTACTGGTGGGTAGAGGTTTGATTGTTGAAGGCGTGGGTTCTGGTGTGGACTCTTTAGGGGTAGCTTTTGCAGGTTTTGACCTGGTTCGTGCCATTGTTGTATGTATGTATGCACAATTAATGGTGCTGTATAGAAATTGAGTTTGTAGATGTTACTATCTGCTAGATCATTGCGCTGGAGGATGTTCAAAGTGATCTGCAAGTCGCGTCTACGCGTTGGTGGAGTACAATCGCGTCATCCCTGCAACTTTGGTTTCGGATTAGATGACCGGAACCTTATTGCTACCGCGAACAACAATTCGATGTCAACAACGACGCCAGCATTCACACACGCGCCAACCTATTTTTCTTGATACTTGACATCTTCTTTGGTGGTCGGTTTGCTTTTGCGAGTGACTTGGCGATGATATGGGCGTTGTTGTGAGGTTACCTTCAGCTGCGCCGCCGCCACAATGATTGTGCGGGAGAGCCCCAAGTCCAAGGGTATGTGCTTGCTACCGTGCTCTCTGGATCGTATTAATAGATAACAGTCAAGACAAATCAACCCAATTGGCCACCGCAATCGCCTGTTGAAGCGCTTCTGAGCTCACCGTCCGGGCGCCGCAAATACGAAAGACAGCGCGAGCGCAATTCCGTGTCGCCCTCCCCGTCGAAGCGATACCCGATGTCGCGAGGAGGTGCGCCAGCCGAGGAGGATGAAGAGGATGACGAAGAGACCCTACAGCTGCAGCTCCAGGCTATTGAAGCGAAGTTAAAACTCAAGGCGCTGCAGAAAGCCAAAAAGACAGGGGCAAGTGCAGATGATGACAGCAACGCGAGTTCATCACGGCCAGGCACAGCAGCGGAACTGCGCCGAGTAGACTTCCCGCGACCACGAGCCGACGTGCAAGTTCCACACTCGCCCGTGCGAGCTCGACGTGCACCGGAGGAGCAGAGGAGTCCTGCACGAGTTATTTTAGGCATTGATAAGGGATTGACGGGTCGTGATGTCAGTCTTAAGCGGCCAGGGAGCAGTATGGCTGGGGGCTTGTCTCGTACAAACTCGAATAGAGGGGGCGAAACCCCCAAAATCAAGTCTTTCAGTGAGCGTATCGCAGAAAGTAGGATTAAAGAGAAGGAGCACGAGGAGAACGAAACAAAGCTAGAGCAGAGGAGGAGTCGAGGGTTTGGATTACAAAATATCGAAGGTCTGAAGGATCGACCTGCAGTATCAAGATCAAACTCGTCCTTGAGCTCGGTGACAAGAAGCTCGCCGGATATGTTGCCGCCGACTTCCAAAGGCCATAGTAGAGCACAGAGTCGGTTAACGAATGATTCACGGAACCCACCTACGCCGCGACCTAACTCAACCCTATCTTTCCGATCAGAGAGCACACGACCGCCTTCATCCTCGTCAAAATCCTCTTCAAGCGGATTCGGTCTTACCCCGATTGCATCAAAGTACGCCGAAATCTCACAGCGGGATAACAGCTCAGACGCACCAAGCTTCGAGTCTTTTTCAGGCCTACATCTCAAGGCGCGTGAGACGCAGCACACCGTTGTCACGCGCACACTGGAGGGCAAGACGGTACTCACGATCCCACAGCTACTAAAGGTAGTTAAAGCGCCTGACTTTGACCCGCCAGACTGGGAGAACGATTATGTCGTCTTGGGAGTAATATGTTCCAAGTCAACACCACTCAACTCGAAGAATGCAGCTCGAGATCAGACCAAAAGCACCCAAGAGAAAGGGGTGGATCAGAACGGCAAGTTCATGGTCATTCGACTAACGGACTTGAAATGGGAGGTCGATCTCTTTCTATTCGACACTGGGTTCTCCCGATTCTGGAAGCTTCCTATTGGCACGTTGGTCGCAATTCTCAACCCAGATATCATGCCACCGCGCCAGCGCGACACTGGCAAGTTCTCTCTCAAACTTACGAGCTCGGACGACACGATTCTGGAACTTGGTACAGCGCGAGACCTGGACTTTTGCCATGCACAACGAAAAGATGGCAAGGACTGTGGGCAGTGGATCGATAGCCGGAAGACGGAGTTTTGCGAATTTCACATCCAGCTTCAAGTCGAAAAGAGCAAGCGAGGACGCATGGAAGTCAATACGATGACCGGCTTCGGAAATGGCCCTCGTGGCGGAGGCAAGTTTGGCATGTTCGGTGGCGGCAGAGGTGGCGGTTCCAAGGGTGATGAGTTAAAAAGAGAAGGCAAATTCCATGACCGAGAGATACACGAGACTGTCTACATAGCTCCCAGACCCGGTGGTGCTGCAAATCTTATTGATCAAGATCAGCAAAGCTGGGAACGCGGAGCGAATAGAGAGGAGCGATTTCGCAAACAACTCGCCGAGAAAGAGAAAGAAAAGGAACTTGCGAAAAAGCTCGGGACGATGGGGGATGGCAGCACTGGAGGTGACTACATGAAACTGAAGGGCGCTGGTACTCAAAATCTACCTGCTCGAGGTTACACTTCTTCGCAGGGTTCCTCTGGTATGAAGCCAGACAAGCCAACCGACTGTGACTTTACGAGCCTGCTCGGCCGTACAGCAGCCGACGTCTCTCTTGCTCCTGTCAAGCGCAAGCGGACCACATCCGTCAAATCTACAACCGCCAGCGAGCCTGTTGGGTGGGGCTTTAAATATGGCCGCATTCCTTCACCTAAGAAAGACATGACCTCTGCGTTTCTTGGGACTCGTGAGACAAGCCCGGCGAAGAAGAGAGCGCGGCTCCTCTTGCCAGAAAAAGGCATCCGTGAGCCAGGGAGGGACAGCCTTGGTGGACTGGATGTTGGGTTGATTGCGGCCATGGATGAGGACGATGATGATCTGGAAGTTGTTTGATTCTCGTGATATCCTAAACTTTACATACCTTCCTTGTTTCTTATATCGGATTCTGGACATGGACGCGTTTGGATGGCGTTCAGGTTACCTTAGCCTGATTGGTGAGGCTAAGCGAGTGGCCCATGGGCGATTCCCACTTTTCGGGTTGGACACTTGCAAGCTCCAGGCTTTGCTCTCACATAACGAGTCTCCTTCATATCAAAATCAACGGCGCGTCAGCCATTCCTTTCATGTTCTCAAAGTTCTGGCTCAGCTGCACTCTAGCGGTGCACTAAGGAAGCGTGAACAGACATTCGGCCGTCATTTGTAGCAATAACACATCTACGACAGCAAGACCTAACTTCAGTCACTAGCAGTATTCTTCACTAGACAATGGCGCCTCAAACGCTCAAGGACGAGGAGAAGATCTACGGTCTTATCAACTACGAAGACCTTTACGTCCAACCTCTCATACTAGCCGCGTTAGAAAAGCGCCTCCCATCTGCAACCTTCGAACTAATTTCTTCCCTCACACAATTACCATCACCAGCATCGCGCCTACTGCAGTTCGTTCAATATGAATCCATCGACTTCGACCACCTGATGGAACATTCTTCGACATCGCTAGCAAATGCCTACATCATTCGCAAAGCCCTCATCCGGAAACACTACCTATCCACCACAATTGCTAATTGGATCACCAAATATCCGGACTCGGCGCTAAAAAAGCATGTCAAGCCTAGTGTGGAGTTTGAAGTTGATTATGCGGACTTTTTGGACGATGCGCTTGTTGAGGCGTGGGAGTTGAAGGAAAGTTGGGCAAAGAACGAGACTACGGAAGAGCCCAGCAAGCGAGAGTGGTGGATTTTGAAACCGGGAATGAGCGATAGAGGTCAGGGTATTAGATTGTTCTCGACTGAGGAGGAACTGACAGATATCTTTGAGGAGTGGGATCCTGAGAGTGATGACGAAGAAGAAGAGGGGGATGAAACAAACGCTCGCAGCGATGACGGAAATATCCGTGCAAGGGAGGCAAAAGAGGAAAAGGAGGAGGGCAACGGCATCATAACATCCCAACTCCGCCACTTTATTGCACAGCCATATATCCATCCACCATTACTCCTATCGCCACCGAAGAGCATAAACGAATCCGGAGACAGTTTGCGGAAATTTCATATACGTACCTACGTTTTCTCCCTAGGTGCCCTACAAGTCTTCATCTACAAGCCTATGCTCGCGCTCTTTGCCGCACGCTCTTACATTCCGCCATGGGATCAAGTGCTCCAGGAAGACCGCGACGAGGCGATGAAAGCACACTTGACAAATACATGTCTGCAGGATAGTGGCGACAGGGAAGGGAGTGTTGGCTTGTTCTGGGAGCTCCCGAATGACTTGCCTGCGCAGTCGGATTTCAATGGTGGCACTAGCCGACTGAACCAAAAGAACGGAGATAGTAGCTGGAAAGACAAGGTCTTCGATGAAATTTGCCGGATAACGGGCGAAACGTTCGAAGCCGCAGCGCGTGGCATGAGTATACATTTCCAACCGTTGCCCAACGCCTTCGAAATCTTTGGGCTGGACTTCATGGTTGGTATCGAGCCAAACGGAGAACTGAGGACGTATCTACTTGAGGTCAATGCGTTTCCGGATTTCAGACAGACGGGAGATGAGTTGCAAGGGTTGGTGGAGGGATTGTTCGAGGGGGCTGTGGACAAGGGGATCATACCATTCTTTGGCGTTGGCGGAGACAAGGGTAATGCGGGAATAAAGACAAGCGAAAACGAGGATATGGTAAAGGTGTTGGATATTGATCTCGGACGGCGGTAGAGTACAGAATCACAGGCGCCGGGAATTCTCCTCGCCTTGATAGCTCACCTGATCCACGTCAGAAAAGCTATCGAACTGTTGAACCACCTTGGAGCTTAGTAATCATTCTTTCTGAGGTCGAGCTCAACAAAGGAGAACGATTTCAGTCATTTACGCTTTACTATAATCTACCCAAAAAAAATATAGGGGATCTCACAGCAGACAATTTCAGCGCTCCAAAATTCGTCCGAAGTGCATTAGCGAATTGCGAGAGAAAAGATCCTTAGAATCTGTGCAAGGTTGCACCACCTAGAGCTCATTGGATCGGCAAGTCTCTGGAAAGAGTTTAGCCTTAGGGGAACTCCACATTTGTCAGGTGGATGTAAGACCAAAAACAGGTATAGAAGAGGGGTAACCTGTAGGTGCAGAACTATCGGAGAGAGATGATGTGAGTCCAGAATTCATATTCACAAAGCTAAGCAACACAGTATGTATAGACATGCTAACAAAGAAAGAAAAAAGATATCAATAGCGCCTACGCCCCAGTTTTACCTGTTGAGTTATCCCTGGTTCCAAAGAGAGCATGGCTAAGACAGCAAACCGGGAAAACTGGTCGTGCATGAGATGGAAGGAGGTAGAGCCAACAGTAGTGCTTTGCGTATGTATTGCGCGACAAAGCATTGAATGTTCGAAATCCCGGACAAATATTGGAAGTGGAACTTGGCGGCATTTGTCAGCCATGTCTTCCTATATGAGCACACTCAAGTCGTGGGGCTAGACCTATCAGTATCACAGAGAATTCAAACAAAGATGGCACCCATTCGTGTCGGTATAATTGGACTCAGCTCGGTCACAACAAATATACCTGGTAGAGCTGGTACCTCTAAAGACGGGTGGGCTGCAAGGTAGGTTCTACTTATGGTCTTCCACTAGGTACTATCACTAACTTAATACACAGTGGCCATCTCCCGGCCCTGCTCGCCTCACCAAATTACGAAATCGTTGCCCTCTGCAACACCAGCGTCAAGTCTGCACAGGCGGCAGTTGAGCGCCATGGCCTCCCATCCACTACAAAGACATACGGCGACCCCGAAGACCTAGCCAAAGATCCCGATGTCGATCTAGTCGTCTGCAGCGTCCGTGTGGACCGCCACTACCACCTTACAATGCCGTCGCTTAAGGCTGGTAAAGACGCGTTCGTGGAGTGGCCACTGGGATCCAACCTCCAACAAGCGGAAGAAATGCTTGCTACAGCTAAAATAAGCGGCAGCAAAACCATTGTAGGCCTTCAAGCTCGTACCAATCCTTTCATCCATAAGGTGAAAGATTTAGTTGAGAGCAAGGCAATAGGCAATTTACTGAGCTCTAACATCATCTTCGACACAGGCTTTCCAGGAGACTCTGAGATCCCCGGTGTCGATTTCATGACCAAGAAAGAAGTCGGTGCAAACTTCTTCACCATTCTTTTCTCACACGTAGCAGATCCAGCCTTTTACGCCTTAGGTGGGCTGGAAGACGTTTCTGCTCTGTTGACCACGCGCTGGCCCGACACGAAGCTTTTCCATCCCGATGGGCGTTTCGACAAATGGATCAAGCGCGAGACGCCAGACCATATGATCATGCACGGAACACTGTCTAACAATGCCGCTCCCATTTCCATCTTTGTGCGGAACGGCAAGTCGTTCAAGGACACGCCGAACCTGACGTGGCGTGTCTTCGGGACTAAAGGAGAGATTCGGTTCACAGCTAATGCTGCCCCGAACATCGGGTTAGACGGCCAGAAGATTGAGCTATTTGATCATGAGAAAGATGCAGTGGAAGTCATTGAAGTTGAGTATGACGACAAGGTGAAAGATTTACCGCCTCTTGCGAAAAATATCGGCGCTTTGTATGAGTTGTTTGCAACGGGTGGTACGGTGGAGCAGGGCTTGGTGGGCTTCGAGGAGGCAGTTGGTATGCATAGGATCATTGACAAGATGGAGAAGAGTAGTGAAGGGGGGAAGAAGGAGAAGATAGCAAAGTAAGCACGTCTTTACTTCGTAGCATTGGATAATGTCATCTTGTTTTTGGAAGATTGAATAACTCTGGTTTTGTGTTTGTAACGTTCTTGCCTTGCCTTTGCGGTCACATTGACTCGAAATCAGACCCTAGCTAGACTGACGTCTGTGTGTTGAACACGGACCTGGAATTATTTTATTATTTTATTATTTTATTATTTTGGAATTTGCATAACAGATTGCACTTCCGCTACCTGAGGGACTCGTCTTGCTCATACATGACTACTAGCCTGATCAAGATGATAGTGGATCCCGGAACAAAGACTCTACCTGTGCAGGAGCCACAGTCCGTCCTGTGTTTATCGTCGAACATTCAGCGTTTTTGTAGAACTCTTGAGCGTTATAGCAAGTATCATAGGAAAACTGGACATGTTTGGTGTACATACTGATTAGTCAGCACGTATCATTAGCGCCCGGGAACCTAAACGGGAGGCCGCCGACTGCGGTCATTAGGCAACAGGGCTGAGTTTTTGAGATTTATATCATTGCGACGAGAACTTCGATGAATGTTATCCGTCACAGCCTTTCATTGCACCGAGTTTCAATAAAAAGAATCGGAATACGACTACGACCCAGTCACGCAGCACATCCCACGCCTGGACGGCATTACATCGTCGAGAAATCATCGAGGACCCAAAAGAGATGGTGAACGTGGACCTCAGTCATGATAATCTGGTGATCAAGCCACCAACGACGGCAAATTTGATTCGAAACTTCGACCAACGTGTCATTCAAGCCGACGCGGAGAGCACCCGTGTTGTTCTCCATTCCAAGTTTCCAAAGCTTGTCGACGAGTTTCTTGATCATAAGCGCGCCCATGGCTCAAGTTACGAGAAGCAGCTTTATTCTGAGACATTTACCTGGAAGGATGAGGTCTCACGCCTTATAATGAAGCGTCCTCTTACATTCATGGGCTCTCAGGATTTCACCATGCTCCGCGATGGTACAACAATAAACAACGAGACTGGCGAGTGGGATCGCAATGGCACAGTAGATCAAGGCCAAAACTCCCATCTGACTCTAACCGACTATCTTTCATACGACGAAATCATGTTATCGTCACTCATTGGTGTGAGTAGCTTTAGCTACTTCATCAATGACGGAAACAGGTACAACCGAGGTATTCCTGGGCAAGTCGGAAAGTTTCAGGACCGCGGCGTCATCATAGGCCTGGTGGGTGCGCGATTCGAGAGGCCAGATAGGATGGACTCGATCTATATGTTACCTTCGCAGTCACCACATCAGGATCCACGGCTGAAAGGCATCTTCCAGTTATATTTTGGCGCCACGAAAGACGAATCAGCGGACTTCGACAAGAAAATGTACATGGGGAGAATGCGAATAACGGTCGACATGTTACTCCTGGAGGCAAACGATCGAGCAAAACAGGCGAACCAGAAAGCTTTTACCTACGTAGTGGGCCTCGGCCTCGGCGTATGGGAGCACCACAGTGATCAAGCATCTCTCTACATCGACACATTCACCTCAGCAATTGGCTCACTATCGCTACCCCACATCTCAACACTCAATTTCGCCTGGGTTAGCCACGTTGATCCAGCCTGCGCTGAACGTGTTACTTCTGCTGCCAGCAAACAAGGCATCAAAGTCATCTTTAGCAAACGCAATCCTGCGGAGAAACTGGACACGGACGAGCTGCTTGTTTTGAGTTACGCGTGGGATGGTAATTCGTTTCCTGGGAACGAGTACTGGGGTGGTAGTCTGACGGGTAGTGGAGACCCTGCGGCGGCTTGTATGAGCACGATTCCGGAGTTGCATAACCCGCTTGTGAACCCCTTTACAGACAGGATCAAAGTACTCGAGCCGTAGAAATCAAATGGCAACTTAGCCAGTTACTGTATACTCTGTCAATTCCCACAATGCTATACATCTAGGCAATCGCAGTCTGAAGTTGAGTAGCAATCCGAAAGTATATGATCAACGTGACTTTTGTTGCCTTGAATGAGAAAAGACATCTATTGGATACACGTGCTAGAGCCGAATGGCATATCGGGGAAGGCATCAGTGTATTATCTTCGATGTAAATTTTGGAGGTGAGTAACATAGCGGGGAGGACTTCGGTACGTTATCTGTTGTGCATTATTCGAGATCTAACATTGAAGAGAGTTACATCTACTCAGGATGCAGCACACCTGTCCTACAAGATATAACATAATCAGCAAAGTAAGCGTCATAGTAGGGCCACATTTAGCACTCGCGGTATTGAATGCCGGGAGCCTGGCGTGGAACCAAATGTAGCGTATGTGCATACCATGGATAACCCATCCGATGACTCACCACCTCGGGTGGGCTTTCATGGCAAAAGTATTTAATCTACTCTCACCTTGACATATCATCTCACGGATTCTCCTCCACTTTCGATTTCCGGGACGGCCTACCTACGTATACTGCGACTATGAACCCTGAGGCGAATTTGAGTTGCGACCCCTCTACTACAGATGATCAGTATGGCTCCGATTCCCTTCTAGGGCGATTTGGCAACATCACAGCTGCGGCAGATCATGTCGAGACACTTTCACGGACGTATCTCCTCAGCCACCCAGGTAGAGACAATGTCGCCCCAAATACTGCGCTCCATGGCATCCTGCGGAAGTTCCTTGACGGAAAGGTGAAACGCAATGCTGCAGGTTTGATGTACATCTACGATCGGGTCAAATTTCGGACAGATCTGACGCTCCTCGCAACACAGTTGCTGGAAGCCGCTCGAGTAGCCCTACCGGAAGAAGCCGCATGTGCCGAATTCAACGTGGAAGATTTCGAAGGAAAGTGTCGCACTGATCCCGACCACATCAACGCTAAGAAATACCACTTTGCCAGGGGTAAGATCTTTAGGACGGTCTTACCTGATCCTGATATGCAAACTCAAGGTTTCCGGTGGAACAAGCCGCATAGGTACATTGCAGCAGCCTTGGCTTCTGACGATGCTATCAAGAACACATCAGATCTGGAAGAAGCTATTCATCGGCTTGAACAAGGTAAAAAAAATGCTTTATTGATCTTTCTCCCAATAAGTCGCTAATTGTCGTTCATAGCATATACAGAGGTGTTGAATGGTGTCAAGAAAGAACTTGACCAGAACGAAGAGATCTGAGGTAGAAAGCAAGGCCTGCTTCAAGACTGTCGAAAGAAGCCTCACAGCCTTTTGGGAGATACCAGATGAGATGTGCAAGGCAGTGCTTCGGTAATAGAGAGAGAGCGAGAGAGAGATAGCAAATGTGCAAGCCTGAAGGGATTAGGTTACTAAAGGTGTGGATAGCGGTAATTCTTACGCTCGACGAGGCGATCTTGGCTAACTCGCACATATGAGATGATACACAAGGGAAGCAAGTACTCTAGTATGAACAACAGCGAGCCAAAAGCCATGTCTGCCGGATTTTTATGTCGATCGACGAAGCGGTAGCGAAGAAAGAGCCTGAGATGACTTTTTCTCGACTACGAATTCGGCGAGAGGGAGATGCAATGAAAGATCTTCGAGAATGAGATCCAATTCGATCTAACTGGAGTCTACTCCATATGAGAAGAACATATTACACTCGAGTCTGACATCGGGCCTCCAGTAGGAGTTTGGGTTGAGGTGGAGAGAAACATTGGAGTGGCGACCCGTACCGAGCGATACTCCATTACTGGTTTCTTGCCCACCTAGGTGGAGGAGCTTATCTACCTGCGTCCGCGATCCAGTCTACCCAGGCGGAGGTGGCACCTAGAGCTTTTTTCAAGGCGTGAAGTTTGAGGAGGACGCGGACAAACCCATCTCCGCAGGTGAAACCTATGCTGATGTCCCAGTGAACGATAGTGAGACGGCCATCTGTAATGTACCGTTGCCTACGAATGTGTGGACGGAGCGAGAATCTTGGTTTGGTAGTGATTATGTCATCAAGAAGAGGACTTCAAATGATCTGTACTGGTCAATAAAAGGGGATATAGGTTGGAATGATTGGAGGCAATTGTAAAAAGATGTTGTTGAATGGAAGAAGACTTACGGCACCACAGCCGCGCTGGAGGCAAAGTTCCAGTTACGCTCAATATAACGCCTATGTATTCCCGGTGAGAACGCCGTTGGCATGCTGTTTGGCGTAGATATAGTCGTAGCATCATCAGAGAAAGGCATTCGCCAACATCTCTCAAGCAGTGCCCACCGACACCCATTCGCCATTCCAAATACCATCCGTCTTGCATCCAGGACAATTGGCGTGATCGCATCCAGTTGGTTTCGTGAAATCGTACTCTTCCCAAGTGATAGCCTCCTGTTTATCCTCGTCCACCATAGCGGTATCTTCGTCTTTCCTCAACTCCACTGATGGCTCAGCCATAATCACCCCACTCACCGTCGTCTCTGCGCTCTCTGCAGGTACGGCGTCAACCCCCTTCCGCTGTTCATCTTTCTTCCCTTCCTCATACCCCTCTTTCGCCCCACTAACAGCCACACCCACTTTCTTGAACCTCGATCCACCCGCCCCTGCAACAGCAGTACCTCCAATCTTCGTAAAACGCCCGCCAACCCCTGGCTTCTTATTCGCGTCCTCAATGTTGATGCTGCGCATTTCAAGGCCTTGTTTCGGTTTGCTTCCCTCGGAGTCGTTGGATGCGGTGAGCTTCTTCATGTCTGCTAGACGTTGGCGGTGGTTGTGGTCGTAGGAGCGCAGGTGGTTTTCATAGTCGAGTTGTCGGGGATAGCCCTTGTCACAGATTGTGCAGTTGAAAAGGCGGACAGCGGCAGGGAGGGGGTTGTTTCGCTGTGGGCGGAGTCAGTAAGTAAGTGATTGGTGACAGCTAGTGTTGTTGGGGTGAATATCGAGGGCTTACTGGCGGCATTTTGGCGATTTGAAAGCGGTGATAGATAGGAGAGAATGTGTGAAAGCTGCTCAGGCTTTTTTTAGTGGCTGTTTAAGCTAATGTTCGCAAAGTCGCAACGCCTCGAAGTCGGGATACTTTCTTGGTGTTGAGGCTCAAGCAAGCCGCGGTTCAGCACAGGCCACACAGCCGCTCGCGAATCAACGTCATTCCGATTCCCTGCATCAGCATCGCCAAACTCTCCAACATTTCCGAGATCCAGTTATCAATCCATGGCGGACCGGGACGAGCTACCTCCCATAGACGATGAAGAGGCGGGGGTAATGGGTTTGACTGAGGTTGATCCCTCCCCGGTCGAAGAAACGCCAGTCGAGTACAGAGAGAAGAGCTACTTTCCAGATCAGCAAAGAGATGGAAATGGCAATGGGGAAGGAGATGGTGACACGGAGGAGTTAAGAGGGATCAGGAGGATAAACACACTGGGGCTGAGATTGGGGGATCATGGGCCGGCATGGTGGCGTACGTGTGCCCTTGCCTTCTTAACAACCATCTCCCACTTGCTGTACAACAAGAGGAAGAAGAGAAGCTAACATTCGAATAGTTGTGCGCATACAAAAGTACTCTTCCTACGCCTTCGCAACATTCACAGCCCTCCATGTCGCAAACGTCTCTCTAATACCACTCGCAACCCGCTCCGTCCTTGACTCGAATCGCTACTTGCTCCTCACGCGCCCCTTCTATCAGTCCACTCTCACCGAACCGCTCCTAGTGGGCATCCCTCTCGTTGCACACATCACTTCTGGTATCGCGTTACGACTGTATAGGCGGCGACAAGCATTGCAACGTTACGGCGCAGAAACAAAGAGAGACAGAAGGACGATACCTTGGCCAGTGATTACCGGTACAAGCGCACTGGGCTACGCATTAGTCCCATTCGCCGGGTTTCATATATGGACTACGAGGATACTGCCGCTGTATGCGCATGGCGATAGCAGTTTGATCAATCTGTCGTACATCTCGCATGGCTTTGCTTCACACCCTTTTGTAAGCTTTGCGGGCTTCACGGCACTGGTGGGTGTCGGCGTATGGCATTTTGTCTGGGGTGCTGCGAAGTGGTTAAATCTGGCGCCGTCACAGGTCAAGGCCTCGGAATCACAGAAGTCGCTAGTTAGGAAGAGAAGATGGTATGTTATCAACGGGATTTCGGCAGCCATTGCGACATTATGGCTAGCAGGTAGTCTGGGTGTGGTAGGCCGAGATGGCAAAGTGGAAGGTTGGATTGGGAGGGAGTTTGACGACTTATACAAGTATATACCCTTTCTTGGGAGATAGTGAGGCTGTATATTATGTACTTATACCCTTGGAACTACAGCTTATAATTGGTGTATATCCTCCCTTCCAACGGCTGCAGTATGTCTGCGGTCGTCTTTGGGTGTGAGCTTACAAGCAACTTCATATCTTTTGTGTCGGGTGGTGACTGCGATGTCGTTGTGAAGTTAAGTACAACCAGAGCAGTCTTCTCCTGATACCGCTTCGTGTAAACGAACGTGCCCAGGTTTTCGGGATCTAGAAGCTCGAATGTGCCGTACACGAAGACGTCCTTGTGCTCTTTTCTCAGTCGTAGTACCCGCTTATAGAACGATAGCACGCTTTCTGCATCCTTCTCCTGGCTCGCGGCGTTGACACCCTTGTAGGCATCATGCACCCTCATCCAAGGCTCTCCAGTCGAGAACCCACCATTCACATTATCATCCCACTGAAAAGGCAACCGCGCATGGTCGCGGGCCATTAGCTGCAGCCCATGTGCTATCCTCTCCTTGCGTGTGGGATCCGTCCCGTTCTCCGCCAACCGCACTGCTTCAGCCCAGTAGTTCTGCGATTCCACGTCCTTGTACTCTTGCATATTCCACTCCTTTGGCGCATTGATCATGCCAATCTCCTGGCCTTGGTACAAGAAGAGCGAGCCCGTTTGACCAATCAACCATAGTGCGAGCATCTTCGCGCTCTGTTCTCGCCACTCCGGCGCGTCGTTGGCAAAGCGCGATATACTGCGTCCATTGTCGTGGTTTTCGTTGAAGACGGTTGTCCACGCGTCCGTACCTTCGATGAAACACTGCCACTTCTCCACGATGCGCTTCATCTCTGGAAGCTTCCACTCGGCTGTATCGTACTTGTCATTGCAGCCTGGTGGGCCTTGACCAAGGTGTGTAATGTCGAACTGGAACACCATGTCGAGCTCTTTCTCCAATGCGCTGACGTATGGAACAACGGATTCAGGATGTGAACACAACGAAAGCTCACCGACTGTGACTATAGGCTGGCCGTCATAGGTGCGGTACTGTGAGACTACGTCGCGATTCATCTCCTTGATGAACTCATGGATGCGTGGGCCATTGCACCACATTTGTGCGGCAGGCTGTATATCGCTTGTAGGATCTGTTACCGGTGCATCAGTGAACGGCAGCACCTTGGAGTACTTGTTCACTGTATCAACACGGAAACCATCGATGCCTTTGTCGAGCCAGAAGCGCATTGCGGAGTTGTAGATCGCCCGGCGGCAATCTTCATTTTCCCAGTTCAAGTCCGGCTGTGATTTGTCGTATAGGTGAAGATAGTACTCCTGCGTATGCTCGTCCCAGGTCCAAGTCCCGCCTGCGAAATAGGAACGATAGTTGGTCGGTGGTATGCGATTCCCCTGTTCGTCATGGCGTGCAGGTCTCCAGAAGTACCAGTCGCGCTTCGGGTTGTCCTTGGAGCTTCTACTCTCCTTGAACCAGGCATGCTGATCACTCGTGTGGTTGACTACCAAGTCCAGTATGATCTTCATGTGGTTCTTGTGGCACGCCTCAACGAGCTCCACAACATCCTCCACGCGCCCGTATGGTGCATATACCGCTTCGTAATCAGAGACGTCGTACCCCATATCAATCTGGGGGGAGTCGAACATGGGTGAAATCCATACCACGTCTACTCCAACGGAGGCAATGTAGTCAATTTTCTGGAGGATGCCTGGTATGTCACCCCAGCCATCACCGTTGCTGTCCTTGAAGGAGGCCGGATAGATCTGGTAGAAGGTGGCTTCCTTCCACCAAACACGCCTGTGGTGAAGAGAATCTGCGTGCGGGGACATCGTGCTGGTAGATGAAGCGCGCGAGCAGTACCACTACCTAGGGCAGACTTCCTCGTGCTGTATGGTTGGTTATGCTCGTAACCGTAGTGGTTGATGTCGGCGAAAAAGGATGTCGGTTTATTTACGCCGGGGGCTTGTATAGTGACGACTGCACAAGCTCACCGTTTGAAAGTTGAGGATGCAGGCAAATGACGGCGGTGGCTCAAGAACAGACCAGTACTATAGCGAAGGGAACGACGACAACAAGCGGTGTTATGATCAGGAGACCCGTTCCCTCATTTGTATCCACCACCAGCTCGAGCTTGCCACGCGTCGCTGCGGTGTCTCCATCGCGGTCGTTTCCCACCTGTGAAGTGTCGGGATCAACGTTGCTCTGCAGCAGTTCGCGAGTCGGGTCTGCCCCTCAATTCACTCTCCGCGTTCCTCCCGTGTTGCCTCCGCGTTGGTTCCGGCTTGGCTAGAAATTTTCCTTGCCGAACCCTCACCTCCGTGTTGCCTCCGTCTCCGTTCTTTATCACCAGACTTGTACACGGCCCAATAATCTTGCAGCTTGTCGACTCATTAATATATTTCGAGCATAGCGTGAGCGATTTCGATGTCAAAGCTGGGGCGCCACGGGGGTTACTCCAAGTTGATGTGGAGTTCTCGCTAACCCGCACCTAAGGTCACCCTTGTTCAGGCATGATCATCTGTGCGCGTATTGATGTTGTATAAATCCTGTCAGGAGTCCTAATAATGCAGTATCGATTCTAATCGTCACTTCTTCTTCGTTTCTGTACTTCCAGTTGATGCGATGACGGACAAAGAAACGCAAAAGCCGATTGCGACGCAGCTCGTTGCGCCGAATGAGGAGGCTCAACATGCTGCCAACGACGAGAAGTCGATGACCCTGTTTCAGGCTATTAAGCTGTATCCGAAAGCTGTTGGCTGGTCGGTAGTGCTTTCAAGCGCGCTAATCATGGAGGGTTATGACCTTGCGCTTTTGGGAAGTTTGTATGGAAGTCCGCAGTTCAACCGCAAGTACGGTGTCTTGAAACCTTCCACGGGGAAGTACGCCGTTCCTGCGAGCTGGCAAAGTGCTCTGTAAGCTCACTCCATATTCTCAGAGCAAATCGTGCCAGCGGCTAATCGTATCAGATCGAACGGCGCAAGAGCTGGCGAAGTAATTGGCTTGATCCTCAACGGCTTTGTCAGTGAACGGTACGGTTATCGGAAAACGATGATTGGCGCCTTAATGTCAATGACGGCCTTTATCTTCATTCTATTCTTCGCGCCCAACGTTCAAACTCTAGGTACGTGACGTCCACGTATGAATTACATGTGAGACATACACTGACCTTGTACACCGAAATTTAGTTATTGGCGAGGTTTTCTGCGGTATCCCCTGGGGCATGTTCCAAACTCTTACTACACAGTATGCATCCGAAGTAGCTCCTGTAAGACTAAGGCCAATCCTAACCACATTCGTAAACATGTAAGCCATCCGTATGCTTTTAAATAAGCCATTAATGATTGTCTGTTAGGTGCTGGGTAATGGGCCAATTCATTGCCGCTGGTGTTAATCGGGCTTGTGTCCAACGCCCGGATCAATGGGCTTACCGCATTCCATTTGCTATGCAATGGATTTGGCCTATCCCAATCATGGTCGGCGTGTTTCTCGCGCCTGAAAGTCCTTGGTGGCATATTCGCAAAGGGGACAAGGCTGGTGCCAAAGCCGCGCTGCTTCGTTTGACCTCCCCAGACAAGGATCCAAACTTCAACGCCGATGAGACGATCGCTATGATTGAACACACCAACGAACTAGAGAAGAACATGTCAGAAGGCACAAAATGGAGCGATCTCTTCAAGGGCACAGACCTTCGTAGGACCGAGATCGTCTGCTTCACGTGGGTCGCCCAAACCATATGCGGAACAAATATCATGGGCTATTTGTAAGTCTCCTTCCAAACCAAGGAGGAGTACCAGACTTACCTTCAATAGCGCATACTTCATGCAGAAGGCCGGGCTTCCCACCGTTCAATCATTCAATATGTCCATGATCTCGCTCGCTCTCGGGCTGATTGGTACCATGGGATCTTGGTGGTTGATGCAAAAGCTCGGTCGACGAACAATCCATTTCTCGGGCGGTTGCACCCTCTTTGTCATCCTCATCATCGTCGGATCATGCTCCTTCGCCGGGACAGAAGCCTCGAACTGGGCCATTGGAGCAGTTCTTATCGTCTTCGTTTTCGTATACGACTTTACAATTGGTCCAGTCACATACTCGATCGTCTCAGAGATGTCATCAACGCGCCTTAAATCGAAGACGATCGTGATGGCACGCGCGCTGTACAACATCTCGAATATTGTAGTCAATGTGTTGACGAACTACCAACTCGGTGATGCAAATTGGGCTTGGGGTGCGAAGACGGCGTTCTTCTGGGCGGGCACATGTGGCTGCGTTGTTTTGTGGGTATACTTCAGACTTCCTGAGCCCAAGGGTAGGACGTATGGTGAGCTTGATATGCTATTCGAGCGAAGGGTTAGTGCGAGGAAATTTGCAAGCACCCATGTTGATCCGTATGGCCATGGGTCTGGCCTTGAGACGAAGATTGAGGAGAAAGAGACTACAAAACAGGAGTGGAAGGAGTGAGGCAGATTAACTAGCATCGTATACCCCTACGCGAAGCTAAGCGCATTGTAAATATCTATCTTAAATTAACTGAATTCTCCAACATATCAGCATTGAGTTCTCTTCGACAAGCTAGAGGAGGGCTGACCACCTTCAGTCACGATTCTCAAAATCGAACCCATTAGATACTTCTCGTCTCGGCATAACAATGTTGGAAGCGGCGATCCCCAATAATGCGAGCCGCGGGTAGCCATAAGGCAGTGTATCATCCACTAACAAATTGACTATGCTTTGACTAGCCTCCAAGAAGCAGAATACAGGATGATCTACGCATAGTCCTAAGATCCAGATTGTGGTCCCTGCATTTTTCGACAGGATTCTGGCTACAGGATGGAAATGGTGGCCAATAAGACAAGGGTGCACAAGTCAATCAGTGAGATATGAATCAGCAGAGACACTCCAGATGCTAAACCAAAGGGTTTCCAAAAGCTTTGGCATGCGTTAAAGCAAAAGACATGTTAGTATAAGCCGATTTTTAATGCGGCACTAGGACAGTGGTGTCCACTTTCGGGCCCTGACTAAGCTCCACCCAAGGATGATTTTTGTGGCGACAGTGGATTATCAGTAGCAATGGTTAAACTTTTCCAGACACAATTATCAAATTGCATTATCTCCTTAGCAAATTGAAGACATCATATTAGTTTAACAGCACATTCTTTAGTTCTTGGTGCGTTCTCTGCAAAAGAGAGAGCGGTTGTAAACCACCTTAAAGGACCAATCAAAAGGAGAGGAAAAGAAATCTAAAGTATATATGATAGCAGAGACATCGCTTGGGAAGCAAGAAGATAACGCTTTCTTCTACTTTCTCCCTTTAATTTGCAAGTCATCAGTCATACCCCCATCTATCAACACACTCCAAGGCATAATGAGGAACTCTATCCTTATTACAGTTCTCACCATCTTTGCCACTATCTGTGGTGTCCAATCCAACCCGCTCCAACCTGAACAATGCGGCCCTGAAGGGGGCCACCAGAGATGTGTTGGTATCAGGTGCTGTAGCCAGTAAGTGCAGCTCTGAGAATGCATGCCGAACACGTACTAACTTGTCTTTCTCCTCAGTGCCGGCTGGTGTGGCGTATCGAAGCACTACTGTCTTAGAAAGCTTGTAAGGTGTTACGAAACTATAATACTACTCTGCAGCTAATGCGACACAGGGTTGCCAATCAGGATACGGGCTTTGCCACGGCAATCCTATATAGTTGGTTTCGGCAGCAAAATCCACTGAATAGGGGCCCCATGGATGCTTCAGGGTATTGCTACAGGCAGTATGTAGAGAGTAGATGTGAATTGAAGACCAACACTAATCATTCTCTTCAGATAGTGGGATGGGGGATTGTGGGGAATCGTCAGCTACTGCTCGACAGGATGACAAGTTGGCTTAGGCACCTTTAGGCCTCAATCCCACTGTCTTGTCGTTAGCAATACGCGTTCTTCGTCCACCTACTCGTCGCCCTCTTTGACTTGTTCGGTACCATTTCGGAACGGTAGTTGCGGAGTTAGCTTCGGTGAGCAAACACGCCAAATGTCGTTATCTGGAAATTGCTGTTGTAGTCGGCTAGATATAATCGTGTTACAATTATTATATCTTCCAAGCATCTCTTTCCTGATGTCAATTCGACCAGCTAGCCAAAGTTGGTGATCACGTGTAAACATTCCCCACTTCGGCTAAACACGACGCGTTCCGGCTGTCTTACAACACATTTTCCTCCTCCAACTGATTTTTGCAGTCGCAATCTAGTCATGCCATGATGCAGAATGCTACGCGTGTTACGAAGAAGGCAGTGTCGAAGGCATGTGATGCTTGTCGTCGTCGGAAGATCAGATGTAATGGATCGAAGCCATGCCCGGGATGCTTATCCGCAAATCTAGCATGCACTTTCGACTTACCAAGAGGGCAAGGAGGCAATCGAGGGGCGAGAGCGACCATTTTGAACGAATTACGCGCGAATCAACCGTTTATTGACACGGCTATTCATATACAGGACGTTTCGTGCATACCATCGGATGACAGAGCTTGCGAGAAAACGACCGCCACCGAACTCGGGAAAGAAACTATTGATGCATGTATAGATGCCTATATAGATCGCATATATCCGACAGTACCTCTCCTAGACGCCAGAGTTTTGAGAGCTGAAGCGGCTCAGGCAGACATCTCGCTCAATTCTCGTCAACTCATGTACGCCTTCTGCGCATATGTTGCCAACTTTGGGAAGCTCTCCGATGAGACTGGTCCCCTTTTCCATCAATCTTTCGACGATAGTCCCGGTACCTACTTCTTGGATGCTGCACTGTCCACCCAGGATCTAGGGCGGGTATTACAGCCTAGCCCTCGTTCTGTCTACGTCTCTTTCTTCTTATACGGAGCGCATGCTGGCCAGGGAAACTATCGTCAAGCCTGGTTCTATCTAAGAGAAGCTACTACGCTTTTCATGATGCTGAGAGGTGAAAGTCAGGGCTGGTACGATAACATAGCGCAAAGACGTCTGTTCTGGATTTTAGTAATCTCAGAGCGGTAGGTTCTCTCTACCATACTCTTGACAGTCCTCGCTTATAAAATCATAGAGCACACGCATTACGCCGGAACCGGCCAATTACACTCCAAGCAACTCCCTCGAGTCTTTCTCTCGACGCGATGGATGAGCTAGGTCTTTCTTACCTTGCATCCATCTTTCGCCCTCTCAACGAGGTTTTCTTTTCCGTCTGGAACGGATCAACGCAAGAATGTTCCAAAGATTGGCTTCTTCAACTCGAACACGATGTTAGATCTGCACTTCCCCCACTTCTTGACTTGTCCAATGAAGAGGTGGCGAACATTAAGGTTTCCCAATTCTGGCTACAAATCAAGCTCTGGGAGCTCTTCCCCCGTTTTGGCTTCTTGTCGACCGAGTCAGTTTACGAGTGTTTGACATTTAGATATCCCGTGTTGGTAGCCAAGGATCTCACAACATTCGCTATAAAGTTGCCGATTGGTAGCTTGCAGGTCCACGGTGTTGGTATGGTATGATAAATTTCTGGCCGAGCTTGATGCATCTGCTGACCTTACTAGACTGAGAAGGTCTTTGATATAGCCTGTGCTCTGGCAGACGTTCTACCTTTCGTATCTTTCCCAACATCACAGATGCAGCTAAACCCAACCAACTACCTTACACAGATTATGTCGCTCATAGCAAAGTTGCCTGGCGGCTCTGCTAAGTTTGTGCCATTACTTCTGGCAAAGGTAAACGAACTCCTTCCGGAGTTGGTGAAAGTGATTTGTGAAGCCGCGCAGATACCCTCAGTAGTCCTGAATGATCCTATGAGTCCCGATACGCGTTTTGTCTATGAGGAGGAAGTCGGCCGAGGCTTGTACATGGACTTGAGAAGAGGAAGATAGTGGCTTGAAGAAGAGATGTATTCAGAGCATTCGAAGAAAACGAAATGCCTCTTCAGATGAGCAGCACAACTGAAAGAACTGAGAACTATACGGAAAAACGAAATCATCCCAACATCGTAATAACTGCCTCAAGCGAACTCCTTCGAAATGCCGCGCCGACGCGAAATCGCACCATCATAGTCGCCAGCGACCACCCGCTCAAACCCACCACCCGGCCCACATACGAAAATGATATCGTCGCTCAACTTCATATACCTCGTGTCCCTCTTAGGTTCCACAATCTGCGGCTGCATGCGCTCGCGGCGCTCAATGAGCCACGGCGGGAACTCTCCAGTCTCGTCGACGTACACCAAGCAGCGCTCAAGCTCCGCGAACTTCCGGAACTCGAGAACCTGCCAGTGTACCAAAGGAATAATGAACGGCAAGGATGCAAAACCGCAGGTCGAGCACACGGCGAAGCGGAGAAAGCGCCAGGCGAACGCAATGCCGTGGCGGTGGCGGCGGACGAAGGTCTCGTGCCAATTGGTGAAGCCTGATCCAGGCACGTCTGGATCGTAGGGGTCGCGGTCGAAGTACATGTCGAAGAAGCGCCCGAAGGTGTTCTCGTAGAAGATGTCGTTGGTGGCCGCCAGCAGCCAGAAGGAAGCGAAGACGTAGAGGAGGTATGCGCGCCGGAAGCCAGCCGGCAGCGAGATGCGACGTTGAACGACATGGCCTAGGGCCCAAGAGAGCACAGTGCCGATAGCGATACGCAGCTCGTTGGAGCCCAGGAAGAACGTGGTGGTGAGCACCAGGCTCAGGAGGAGTTTGATAGTCTTCGGTGGCAGCATATTGGGGTGGTGCTGTCAAGAGGGAATTGAAGGTGGCGATATGCTTGCGAGAAGGAATTGTTGCGAAGCTAGCGATACGTAGAGGATAGGATAGCGTAAATTGGGAATATGAAAGTCGAAGAGCTAAGAAGACGGTTTTATATACCTGTCGCTGACGTTACCTAGTAGATGTTGTACAATAGCTATACTATTATCAATATAGTAAGTTGTCCTCTACATACTTGACAATACAGCAATAGTAACTGACAATAGCAACTAGTCAGTTATCACTAACTGCTTTCACTTGCCCCCACTGTGTTTCAACCTTGATAAGCGACAAAAGCATTGAAGGGCAACACAGACTCCTCACTACCCGAGGCATCGCTGTAGGTGGAACAATTTTATCCGCTAGAATGAGTTACCATACTTTCCGTCATCTGCAGAGGCGCTACTATAGATCTTCAGGCCTCATCCCAGTATCTACGGCCATATGTTCAAAGATCCTCTTCCCCTTCACCTGGACTGTACGATTCGACGAGGACCTTGTGATATGTGCCCCACTCCTCTATCAGTCTCCTAAGAGATGCATCATCACTATCTTCCGCATCGTCGTCGTTGAAGGTCTTCGGTTCAATGGTCGAAGCACTGTCGGTCGTCTGGTCTTGCGCACGCTGTCTCTGTAGGACTTCTCCCAGACAGCTCAACTCTTCATCCTTCACGTCCAACCCGCCATTGACCTTGTCGGCTTTTGTCATGGCATCTTCAGGCATATGAGAGTGGCGTCCACCCCGCATGCCTATAGAACCCATGTGGAGGAACGAGCGCAGCGATCGTTTTCCTGGCGATGGGGTATTCAACGCCGTCTTTCCCGTTTGTTGGGAATGTGCAGCAGGCTCGTTCGAGGCTTTGGGCTCTTGCCCGCTCAATAATAACTCGTCCTTATCATCGGAATGTGCGTCGTTCTTCGATAGATGCCAAGCTCGCTGGCCGCGGAAGGAGTTCTTCAGGCGAGAGGAGAGAGAGAAGGATTCATTGCGGGGCAGATCCAGTGATTGACAACGGACTTGTTCATTCTTTTGTTCCACCTGCCGGCTCTAGACTGAATGTTAGCAACTTTGAAGTCTAATTGCCAGCCGTTTGACCGATTTACTGGTGTAGGGATCGCAATATTGGCACATAACTCGAAATAACCTGCTCACACTTGGCTTTCATGGTAGTGAGGTTTCCAGTCTATATGGGGGACTAAAGTATGTTCATCACGCAAAAATGGTACTAGAAGGTGAAAAAAGGGTACTCACTCTTTCGATATCAATTGTAGTACGCGGCTGTGTGTACCTGGTGGTCGGGATGCCCATAATGGGCAGATGAAGAGGTCAGTATGTTGATGGTGAAGGATGAGGGGTTTCAAGAGGGGTTCTTTTCAGTGTGCGTTGGGACTCTGGTACCGGGTGGTAGGCATCCACACCCTTGTGTTCTATGAGGGTCTGAGGCTTCACGTGAATGTCATCAGGGCCTTGAAAAGAGGAGGTACGCTGCTTTTCATTTTGTAACTTCTTAATTACTCCCCAATGGTCAGATGCCCAAGTTCAAACCCAAAAGTGCTCCATTGGGTCTTTAATGTGTCACTAAAAAGCCCCGAATATAACGAGTACAGTCGATCATGCGCATGGAACGACAGCACGCTACCACTTCAAAAATCTCTAAGATCAATCCCCGCAGCCTCTGCGATCACCTCCAGCATACGAAACTGCTCAAGGGCCACCGCTTGTATCTCCATCCGTTCCTGAGACGCTACTTTAAACCTCTTCTCCCACCTTTTCTGAATGCGCACACCCTCGTTATCAAGTAGCATCTCTCGTTCCTTCCATAGATTCATCATATCTATCATAGCATCCACCGCGCATTCGTTCCGAATGTTAACAATAGTACCGTCGAGTTTGTCGAGGCTGTTTTTCTCTTCTAGCGACTTGGAAACTGCGTTCTGATGGGCCTGCTTCTCTGCCTCCCGGTCCTTCCTCGCATCTTGGATCGCTTCGTCATTTTTCTCCATGCCGTCTTTGATAGCTTCCTGGCTCTTCAAAATGTTGATCTTGACGAGCGAGGCTAGTAGGGCCTTTTGCTCTGCCGTGATGTGCCCATGGCCTTTTGCGCGTTCCTAACCAGGAAACTGTCAGTCCTTAGATAAGAGAACCTTTTGTCCTTGAAGCTCACAGCTTGTAGTTTGTCTGTTGCTTCGCTGAGCGCATCGCTGCGATTGAAGCATTCCGCCTGCATATCGTCGGCGATGATGTCGAGTCCTTCTTTTAGCTTCTCGATGAACTCCATCTCGACCGCATTCCCCTGCTTCAGGCCTTCAATGATAGAATCGAGCGACATGATGACGCATGGATAACAAAGCGTGCAAATGTTGGCGATATCGAGCGAGTAGCGATCGTGTTGGGGGAGAAGAAGTCGCAAGTCGGCTACGACAGGCGGATGCTTAGATGTGACAGTGATCGTGAACATAGAGCAAGCTACACCTTCACCATCAAGATTAAGAACACATGTGAGCAAATCATTATTTGGATTTCTATCTGACGATTAGAAGATCTCATCGTATAGGTCCGGCGTATCACAGCTCAGCTCGTACAAGCAACCATCTCCTTGCCCGAACAGCAAGGACTGATCAAGGCTTGTTGGTACGGAATCCCAAAATATTCGCCAACCCAATCACAATCTGGCCTGTCTTCTCCCAGCCGTCTTTGTCCACCTTACAGCGCTTCTCAGCTTCCTCCAATGCCACCTTCTCCCTCTCCTTGACCTCCTTGACCTCATTTTTCAGCTCGCTCACATCTTCTCGGATACCTGCCACGTCGAGCCAGAGCACTTTATACGTCGCGTCGTAGATTTCGGGAGCAGCGGCTTGTATCATGGTCACTACGTCGCCGAGAGTCTTCAAGCGCGCTTGTAGTCGTGCGCGCCTGTGCTCCAGGGACTGCAGTTGGCGATGAGAGTCCGCCTGGACATCAGCTTTGAATGTCTCGTGGCGCGTGTTGATGCGTGGGATGCTGTTTTTGCACCCGGTGATGATAGAAGCAATTGCTTTGGCTATCGCTTGACTCCGGGGGTCTACCGGCTTTGCGGCGGGTGTATTGGGCTGAGTAGCATGTCAGTTCAATTGATCTTACCCATAGAGAATCCATGTGCAGAGTCTCCTTCCACTTCTTTACCTTCGTTTGACCGTCATCCATCGGTCTAGCGTCATACGCGCGCTTCACTTCGTCGATCTTTGCACCCAGTTTCTCCTCGTTACCGATGCTAAAACGTATTAGTTGGTAGGTACATCATATAGAGAGGACACGATTACGTACAGCTGGATGATGTTTGCAAATGGCAATTCGAGAATCATGTCGGTGAGTTTCATCGCCAGCCCGGGATACGCCGCGTGGACCGTAGGGTACATTGCCGCCCCTAGTATCTGCAGGTAGTTGATAGGTAACGCCATTGTGAGAAGGAATAGGTGAGATTGTGGCTGAGTCGAATAGCGTGTTGAAGGATCAAGGTACGGGAGCAGCGGCGGGGTGTTTATATGAAGACTGGGAGATGCAGAGACTCAAGGTGAAAGAAAGAGCTATTTTCACATTCACTCCCAGATCACACATGATCAACGCGATTCCCAGGAATCTTGGTTATCATAATGATGTGCGCGTAATCTTGTTTGTACAGAGGAGAATAATATTGGGAGCCGTTATAAAAAATGTTGGCGTATATAGATACTCGTTCGATGTGTTGGGTGATTTCAAGGCTTTCGAGCGCATGGAGGCTCAATTTGCTTCCAGAGGAATAGTCGGACTTGGATGCCGAGACAAGCTTTTACTGACAAGGAGCCTTGCGATACAGAATGGAATGAGGGAGCAAACGGGCTGGCAACGAATCGTGCCGATTGGAACGGTAATTAGATGTATTTAACTCTACAGGTTATGTGAGCGCTATGTACATGCGTAGCCGCGAATGATAAATAGGTCTAGATTAGTATCAGGTAGCTATTTAACAAGAAGAAGAAACGTTCACCTGTATTACAATATCGATAGACAAGAGGTTTCGGCACACCGTACCTAGAAAGAAGTAGCCTGTCTTAACGCAATATCTCATTCCCAAAGAGAGTATTGAGCGCCATGTCACGCCTTGCCTTGCCTGTCTAGCCAACAACACGCATTGCCCTCTACACCAGCATCTAAGAAATTCAAAATGACGTCCCGTCATCAGCATCAAAAAACTCCGCCTCTGTCCCATCACTCTTCCAACTCTCGCGTGGAATCCTATCCCTCAGCCACGTCAATACAGCATCCGTGCCCTTACCAAGAATTTGATAGTTCGGGACCCGGAATCGGTTTCCCGCAACCTCCAACGCCGTCAATATACCCTGGAGCAAGCCGATTCGCGGTTCCAAACGCTCGATATCATTATTGCTCAGATTGACGACCTTCAAGCCGGTCAAGGACTCGGCGGAAACCTCCGAAATACTGTTATCGGACGCGAGGAGGGTGACGAGGGCGGGGAATGAAGGTTGTAGTAGAGTGAGAGCGCCGGTGAGGCGGTTATGGCTAATGTCGAGGGTATGGAGCGAGGGCGCTGTTAGGTGTGCTGTCAGCGGCTCGAGTGACTTGATCTTATTGCTAGCGAGGCGGAGTTCCCGGAGCTTGAGGAGCTCGAGGGGTGCTGTAAGCGCAACTTCTATGTTGTTTTTGGAGAGATCAAGGACGGTGAGGTGGGCGAGATGCGACAGCATAGCTGGTATGGCTTTTAAAATGTTTTCCTGCAGTTGTAGTTGGCGCAGGTTGTCTGTGAAGGCATCTAGGGAGGCTTCATCCAGATCCAGCTCAGTTAGGCTCTTGCCCGATAGATCCAACGTGCCAGAGGGGGTAAGCTTCCACATAGTACCCTGAGCTAATTCAGTTGTGTCGCTCTCGACATCTCCATCTTGATCTGCGGTGGTCGCATCGGAAGCCTGTAGTCGGGATGCTAAGTCCCGCTTGATTTCCTCAGTGCCCATTGTCAGAAACTTCCGCTCCCGGAGTGGATTGGCCGCAAATGTGAGGTGCTCCAAGTTCTCCATTAGAGCTATTCTCTCGTCAAGTTGCGTAATATCGTTACTTGTAAAGTCTGCGGTGCGTATTGGCAGCGTCACAAAGCCCTCAGGTAAAGTATCGAGCTTGTTCTCACTCACGAGGAGCGTGGTTAGACTGGTCCAGTTGGTCACTTCGGGTAGGGATATTAGTCGGTTCGTAGATAGGTTCAGAATCCTAAGTGAAGACAGGTGGATAGAATTGCCGCCGCATAACGATACAAGCGAATTGTTCGCGACATGCAACACCTGTAGGTGTGGTACAGAGTCTACGCTGAACAAGGCGCCATCGAGCCGGTTTTTCGACGCGTGGAGCTCGATGAGGCTTGAAGTGAAAAGTTCCGCAGGTATTGTCTTCAGCTGGTTATCGGAGACGTTGAGCGTCCGTAGACTTAGCTGTCCCATTGCAGCTGGTAAGCTACTTAGTTTGTTGCCCTGCAGCTCGAGGACCTCCAATGCACCGAGGTTGCAGAGCGCTGTAGATAGATCCCCTTGCAGGTCATTTTCAGCTAGCTTCAGTTCGCGAAGGGTGGGAATGTGAGCGATGACCTCAAGAATCTCCATAGGGAGCTTGTTCCTTGACTGTACTGCGTTAGTGTGGCCATACAAAGAAAGGAGGCCGGCACTTCACGATTGGACGAGCACTGAAACCATTGAGGCCATCGTTTGGAGAGGTGCAGGGAAGACTTACGAGATTCAATTTCGAGAGTTGCGTCAGACGTCTTAAGCCCATCGGCAGCTCTCGGAGGACGTTTCCGTGAAGGTCGAGGCTCTGTACTCCCCCAAACTGGGGTCCTGCCTCGTCTGAATCAATCAGATCTTCAATATCAACATCGGGAAACATAGCCACAGGAAGGGCCTCCAGCTCGTTATCTGCGACCACGATAACATCCAGGTCGACAATTTCACCCCAGGCTACTGTTTTGTCTTCGGGATCGTATTTATACATGGCGAGTACTTCGTCCGGTATTTCTTTGAGGCCCATTGCAGCGATGTTCAGGCGCCCATCTACGCGTGCGCCGTCAATGCGCTTACGCAGTAGAGATTTCCCGCTTTTCCCACGCTGATTGAAGGGGTCATCGTCAAGGCCAAAATCGAAACTTGCAATCTCAACCGGGTCGGGGATGATGGCATCTCTGGGTGGTGTGCTGGTGCGCACCGGCTCGACCTTTCCTTGCCTTGCAGCTGCCTTGGCCTTTGCAATCTGCTCTCGTAACGCATTGGAGGAGCTTGCAGCTTTGGGAGGAGATTCAGTGGGCGTTACTCCTGCATCCACTTTTCGAGCTGCCTTTGCTTTCGCTATTTGATCCCGAAGGACAGTAGATGAGCTTGATACTTTTCGGCTCGTATCTGGCGTTTTCGTCGTAAGATTGTTCCGGCTCGGTGGTGTGATTGGAGCAGCAACTGCAGGACCAGTAGGCGATATTGCCTGTCCAAAGGTGCCGGCCAAGGAGGGGCGAGCCTTTGGTGTCCGTGTAACCATACTTTTGCTACTAAACAGAGGGCGCGGTTTTGGCGTATTCACAAGATTCTGTGCTTGAGAGAGTGGCAGCTTTTTGATCGTGGATACTGGGCGCGATGTTGAAAGTTGTCGACTAGGTGTCGCAGTAGGTGTTATCACATTCGCACTGGCACTTCTCTTACCAGGCGCGGTCATGGACATTCTTCCTGAGGGAGCAAGCAGTCTCTTGGGCGTTGCCGGGGGTGCATAGGTCGGCCCGTCACTCGTAGTCGGCCTACTGTTGTTTGACATTGCTGACGCAGGCCGTGGTGGGGGCGGCATACTGTTGTCTGCGTTGAAGAAGCTGGATCTTCGCCTTCCCTTTCTTGGCGCTGGCGAAGGTGGCAGATGTGCTAGACTTTCTACAGTCCGTTCTGAAAGCGACGGTTGTGACCTCTGAGTCGAACCCCTCTCAAACTCGGGCTCGTCCTCGAGCACATGGTCTGGCTCAGGGGCGTGCTCATGAAAGCCTGCCCTAGAACTTGCTCTTGAGGAAGCTCTCGAAGCTGACCTAAATCCATCCAAACTGCCTACTGCATCATCCTCTCTGCTAATATTTGAAGCGGACGCGGGCTGCGGTGGGGCTTTCGTCTGACGAGACGGGGGCCGGGCAAACGGTTTCTTGAACACAGGCGCATCGTTTGTAGGGATGGAGGTGGAGGCTCGTGGTTGGCCAAAGCTGGGTATCCCACTCGCTCGCCGTGAGGACGAGGTCAGGGAAGCCCGGGTGGGGCCTGAGGTCGCAGATGAAGCGGTTGAGGGGGTGTTGGAGCGAATGAGCGACGCTCTGGAGGCCTTCTTCTGCAAGGTTGCTGTCTGGGGATTCGGCCGGGATATCGACGATATAGATGGCTTCTTGCGTAACTGCTCGGTGGACGCGGGTGCCCGCAGTTGAGACTGACTGCCAGAGGGCCTGAGCACGGGGAGACGAGACGATGCTGGCCTGGGAATGCCAGACGGACGTGGAATGGCTGACTGGGAGTCCATTGTGTGGCGCCAACAGCACGCTGGATGATGAGACGGCTGGCACGTCAATGGCCAGGAACGCGTCTCAGGCGATATATTTCCAGGGCGATATACATATCCAACCAGACCGGGCCGCCTCTTCCTGTGGACAAATTGGCCTGATGGGTGTGGATGCCCAAAGGTGGACGCTGGGCGCACAAGAGTGTCTGGGCGTGGGCGGAAGGGTCGCCGTTGCCGGTACAACAAAAGTTGCCCTGTTTCATCGTGACACTGACAGTTTGGGCCTAGCGCGCTGCCACCACGGGCACTGGCTGTTGAGGGCAGGCACGACCCGGGGTCCACCTTCCAACCTCCTCCACGCGCTGACCGCATCGTCTCTCCGCAACGACTGAATACTCTGGCTAGACCAACACTCCAAGCACCACGTCTCACCACAACACCTGTTCACGTCCATTTGGCTGCCATATTGGTCGCATACCGTTTGCGACCCCGCTCCGCCAGACGCGCATCGACGCGCTCCCCTGCAACCGCCGTTTTCGTACTTGACCGCCGACTATTGCTATCGCGCGTCCTGCACCACTTGCACCCCCTACCCGCAACCTTCTTTGACAGCACTCTACCCACGCCTCTGCTACAGACGGCATCTTGCGCAAGCACCTCGCAGTCGTCGCGCCCCGCCTGCTCCTGACGTGTCGCGCATTGCTTGGGCCAGTTGCGCCTCAGGCAGAATGGACGCCCAGGCATCCCCGTACCCGGCGTCGCAAGACTTGGTGCCTACCACCGAGAGCGCGCGACCTGAAACGCCGCCCATGCCTGTCAATCTGATAAAACTCGCGTCGCCCGACCGCGTCAAGTTCACCTCCCCCGCGCCGAGGACTACTTCCTCCCTGACGCCGCCGCCATCCTCTCAGATACCAAACACTCGCGCTGCTATGCGCACCCCGACTCCTCCTACGCCCCAGCTGACATCGCCTCCTCCCACCAGCAAGCTGCCTAACCAGCCCTCAGCTCTGGTGGAGGCTGCAGCCGCCCTGTATCCGCAGGACCAGATCAACAATGCTTCCTCAGAAGAGCTCCGCTCCATGATCAACAGCCTCTCCACTGCCTTCCGAGACATGCGACTCTCTGCGGCACACTACAAGCTGCAGTACAACATGGCCGTCATGGAGAGCCAAGAGGCTGCCAGTCGCATGGCTGTGGAGCTGGCCATGGCTCAGCGTGAGATCGATGTCTTGCAACAAGCCGAGGAAAAGCGCCGGAACATGGCCATGCCGGAGCAGAGCTATCAGGAGTCTGCAAACGCAGCGAATGCCGTCATCATGTCTGAAATGAACCGCCAGATGCAGATGCTGCAGAGTGAGAATGAGGAGCTTCGTGATCTGTTCGAGCAGCAGAAGCGCTTGACTGAGCACAGAGAGGGTGAGCTGGCCAGCCTGATGGAGGAAAACGACAGACTGAAGACGAGGATCCGCAAGAACCGCGATCACATTGCGCCCCTTCTGGAGCAAATCGAGCAGGGGTCACCGAGATCTGTCTTCGGGACTCCACACCAAGCAACCCCCCGGCATCGCGTCAATCGAGTGCCACCCCAGCTCACCAACGACAACAGCAGAGGGCAGAACAACTTTGAGGCACTCCTTTTAGCCGACAAGATGCTTAGCCAGGAGACGGCCACAGCTCCCTCGACACCGACCAGGGCGCACATGCCAAGGTCACGATTTGGGCACCATCGAGGCGCACAGTCCATGTCCTCCCTTCCTCAGACTCCAAATCGACGTGTGGCTCAGCCTCGCGCTGAAGTACCGCGTACGCCGCCCCATTTCATACCCGCATCTATTCCTCAGTCGGCACCCCCAGCTCATTATCAGCCGAAGCCCGTGCATAACCGTCGACAAAGCAGCAACTCCACCATTACTGCATCCAGCGTAGACGAGGAAGAAGCCTTCACGGACAGAGAAGGAGAAGATGAAGTCCCCGAGTCTCAAGCAAGCCAAATGGCCACGAGCTTGCTACGAAGGGCTCCCCCTAAAGGGCAAATGTCTGCGCCATCGTCCCAGTCCTCGAGTTTAATTCAAAGCAAGATATTCGGACAGGTCAAAAAAGGCTCTGGATTGTCTCGGTCTGGCGAATTTGAGAAGCGTAGACTGCCGTCATCTTCAGACCATCACAGTAGTCCCAGCAAGCGAGGACGCATCGATCAAGGCGTAGGTCTCGGCATTGGCGGTCTATTGCGAGAATGAGCGTTCCTGACCACCTTGGCAGGGATACTAATGTATACGATATTACGAATCTGGGTGGATAGGAGGAGTCGGTTTGGAGTCTGCTACTCGAAATATGGATTTGGATACCCTTCTTTGACGCCGCTGAGCGTCTGCAATCGGCTACATGTCGAGCTTTTATCATTCTACACTTGCCCGCACTGAGCTGGGCCCTTACTTTTCGGTTGTTTGGGAACCACGATCTGGAATGGATCGCTGATGGTTGACGAAGGACATGTTAGTAGCTAGTGAATACAACTCAATGTATATTTGGAACATCTCAATCCATGCGATATAACACCACTGATCTTGCTTACTCTGGCCTAACTACAAGGTTGATGTTGACGGTCGAATTTTGATAGTTTGGTGCAATGACGGGAATGTCTCGAATCAAGCTCTGCGGTTATTGAGTAGTCAAAATAAAAAGTCCAGCCGTTGATGTGAGCCAGTAGGCTTGTGTCCGTGCGTAGAGCTAGATTTTGCCACGCCGGCGGAACGTTGCGCCGAATAAGCGACCCACGCCCGAGCGAATTTTGTCCTCGATCACAGAACTTCCAGTGTCAGCCCGTACTAACCACAGGTCCGCCATCCAGGTACGCTCACGATCCTACAATCAACACATTCTGCGCAGAGCACTAATTGTTCAATAGACAATCTGCAGCAATGGCGATCAAGCACAACCAGCAGATTCAGAAGAACCATTTCCACAAGGACTGGTATGCGATACCCCAACTTCTGCGCAAAAGTCTAGGCTAACCGTCGCAGGCAACGCTACGTCCGCGTGCACTTCGACCAGGTAATTCCCCTCTCACCTCACTGAGAGTTGTGGCGCCTGTGTTCAAATGTTGACCATCGCAATAGCCTGGCAAGAAGAAGTCGAGACGTAATGCTCGTGTCGCCAAGGCCGCGAAGGTCGCTCCTCGCCCGGTCGACCTTCTCCGCCCCGTTGTCCGATGCCCGACCATCAAGTGTATGTGGACTCTGGTGATTGTGGAAGTGCGATTGCTGATTAGGACTCTAGACAACCGCCGCGTCAGGCCCGGTCGTGGCTTCTCTCTCGTTGAGCTGAAGGGTATGTGGACTAATTCGATTTGCGCACAGCGTCACTAATATCCATCAGCTGCCGGCATTCCCCGCAAGTTCGCCCGTACCATCGGTATCTCGGTCGACCCCCGCCGCCAGAACCTCTCCGAGGAGGGCCTCAAGGCCAACGTGGAGCGCCTCCAGGAGTTCAGGAAGCGCCTCATCCTCTTCCCTCGCCGCAACGGCAAGTCGAAGAACGGTGACTCTTCCGCTGAGGACCTCAAGACCGCCAAGACCGGTGAGAAGATTGCCTCCAGCACCGCCATTGCCCTACCCATCAAGAACGTCATCGAGTTCGAGTCTGGCCCCATTGCCAACTACAAGGGCGAGGAGAACGCTTACAGGAAGCTCCGCGACGCTCGTTCTGAGGCCCGCCTTGTCGGTGTCCGTGAGAAGCGCGCGAAGGCGAAGGCTGATGAGGCCGATTCCAAGAAGAAATAAGCTACACGCTGAGGTAGTGGTTCGGTTCTTTGCTATGCCTTACGATGGATTCAAAAGTCATGGGTACAATCTGGCGAAGGGTATTCCCAGCATGGGCGGCGTCAAATGGTTAGGTCTGCCGATATGGTAGCGATGTGAATGATACCTAGTTTTGCAAATGCAAGCCAGTGCCCCCACATGATTATTTCCATTACCGCGCAGGTGCCATTGGATGCGTGCCATGTGAGAGCTGTGTTCTTTGACGTAGATGTGTTTATGAGCTAACACACATGCTGATGCTAACGCAAACGTACAATCGATCAAAGTTGTCGCATTCATTCCCGCGGCATTGCGGGGCTCAAGCTACTATCAAAACTCGTCTCCTCCACACTCCGATTCCACCCAGCATCACCAATCTCATCGCACGAAGAACTAACATCTGCTTCGTATCTGAGATTTAGTAGTGCCCTTCAATACCCGTAGCAATTGTATTTAGTAATGGTAGGTTATGTGCGAGGCTCTAATGTTGTTCAACCCTTTCGCTCAACGTCTAGCTCTCTTCTTGCGACGTACTCGTTTTTTTCTCTATTAGTCACTCTAATTTCATAGATTTACATTGACTCATTCCTCTCTCAGATCCTTCTTGCGGTATCACAATCTGAAATTGCATCTTTCAAAACGGTCGACGCCCAAACATCGCTTGCTTGCTTCACGCTAATTGTTGGTCTCTCCCAATTTCCTCCCCGTTCTAGACAAAGTGAAGCAAGCTTAACTCCAAAATAGCTCCTACTCAAAAGACTCCGACGAGTAGCCCGACTACAATAGCGATTAAGCCAATCCAGTCCAGCTGCGAAGGTGAAGTTACCTCCGCCCCGATTCTATCTCAAGCATGGCTTCCTCCCGTGAGCCTATGGACCCGCTTGCCCCAGCTGCCACATCTCTGATCACTGCGACGCATGGTCTGGCTCCAAACCACATTTCCGCAGCGGCCAACATCTCTATCCGCGAGTACATCTACTTCCTTCCCTATCCACTCCCACCAGGCACACCAATCCCTTACTCAATCGGCTTGCCCAACAACAACCCGCTGAACCTGCCACCCCATCAGTTCGAACCAACATCTACCCTCGTTCTCACGAGCCCGAACCGCACGTTTGTAGATATTAGGTTCTACAAACCATCCAACGCTGATGTGAGCACGACGCTGCCAAATGAAGGTGAGAGGAAAAGACTAGAATGGGCATTTGCTGGGACCAGCGAGTCACAACCTATCAGCCTCCCTCAAGACAGTAAGCCATCAAATGAGCGGGGCGATGGGGAGGAGAAGACGTGGGAGGGCGTCACGCACTCCAAATGGACGCACTGGCTCGACTCCCGCCACCCAGTCGGCAGCCCTGATATCCCCGTTGATGAGGGCGATATGTATCCCATCGCCGACGACTTGACGCTCGAGCACGGCCATGCATTCCAGCCGCTTATGCATGCACACAAGACGCATGAGGAAATGTGGCGCGACCTCACTATCCAATCTACAAATAGCAGCGGCACTCATCTGTGTGTGGTTCTGCGTCTCCACGCCGATGCCGCTGGAGTAAGAGGCGTCATCGTTCGCCTAGGTCAGTATTGTCAGGGCATCGTCATGCAGCGCGACTACTGCACGGTTGAGCGGTGGGAGTACTTCGCTGAGGGGAGGCGAGACCTGGAAGAGGCTACGAAGTGGAAACGCACAGCGCGCGTTGGAGATCAATTTTTGCCGTGCGCTGCGACGTTTAGGCCGGAGGTGCTGGCGATGGGTGGGCTTGTGAAGTACCATGATTATGAGTGGGTGGTAGAAGAGATTTGGGAGTGGAAATGAGTGCTTAGTGGTGATTAATGGCTGATTGAATGATCGATTGGAGCTGAATGACGACGACCCAAGCGCGAGCTATAGAAATCCATGTACAGAGTACGTAGATGTGAGATTTGGAAATGAACTCGACTAGATCGAACTAAGAAGCCCTGCTCATCCCCATCTGCCCTGGCCAAAAGGGGCCCTTCCCACACCCTTTTACATGACGTCAGTCTAGACAGAGGGTTTGCTAGAAGTTCTACGCAAACAGGCGGGATGTGAGATTGAGGGAACTTGAGTTGATACGCAGTGAAGATGCTGAGTAAGGTATCAATAAGGGCTCCTCGGAAGCTGCGGTCTACAGTCTGCGGCCATTTGATAATGTAGATTGAGATGTGATACATAACGCTTGTGAAGAGAAAATAGCTCAATGGCATAACAGAGGAACGTGAGATCAACGCGGTAGTGTGTTTGAACCAGCAAGCCACCACTGACGATTCGTCCGTGGTTAAACATATCGATAGTCCACGGGAAAGACGAGATGTACTTAGAGGGTAATCGTTTGCATTTGGTAGGAGACGGAAGGCTGACGGCGAACAGCGCTCATGAAAACAAAAGGAGAAGAGCAAAAAAAGGAACCCAACTCTGGGAGGTCAGTATAATCATCAGTTGTCGTAGCCCCAGCCGCCTTGAAGACCTCGGCCTAAACCACCCCCACCCTGAATCGCGCGTGCAACCTGAAACCCTTGGGTCAAGATCCCCATAGCATTATCGACGCCCGCATGTCCGGTGGAGATAGTTCCAGGCATCGGTGGATCATCAGGCCTAGCAATAACACCGCTCATCATCTCCTCACTTGCTTCGCCCTGGAAGCGATCAAGCGCCAGTCTGCGCACAGCCACATGCCATTTCTCAAACCATTGCTCCTCGCTCACAGTCGTATACGTCTTGTTACCGTGCGCATCAGTGATGGAGAACGGCCACCCTGCTCTAACGATGGCATAGCGCTTGGTAGCGAAGAAGAGGAACGGCCAGGTGAAGATCCAGAGGAATGTGAGGTAGAAGATCCAGCAGACCCAGGTCTTGAGTCGCCACTGGTTGATCCGGTTCGAGGTGTAGATGTCGACGTTCTGGTCTTCGACTGGGAAGGTGATTGAGATGTGTCCACGGTAGTTTGTCGCTCGAATCACACCCTCGAGGCGATTCTTCAGCTGCGTTTCGTCGAAACCTGTAATGACGCGACGGAGGCGGAACGTCCGTAGCATGCGAGGCGATGCGCAGTAGCGGTGACACCATTCCGTTAAAGTAGCTTTCTGCATTCCTACCTCAATGTCTTGCTTCGCCCCTGGAGCCCTAGTTTTCATGATTGTGCCTCTATATGTCTTCTCGCCGTTCTCAACGGTTACCAAGTCCATAGCAGTTGTGTCCCGATCGTCGAAATTTCTTCGCAGGTATCGCTGGAGATTGATCACGATTCTGAAATCGGTAATCTCGCTCGTCTCTTTCTTATCTCCCCTCTTGACGGTCTCCTTATGCGTACCCATAATATACACGAGCGGCACCGGCGCGGTCTGAGCGCACGAGCGGATGATGTCTTCGAGAGAGATAGGATCCGTATCGTAGCGAGTGTCCATGTAGGTTGTTGTTTCGCAGACAATAGGCTTGCCATTCTTAAAGGTGGGGTTATTGTGGTCGGTTCTGGTTGTTGGAGGAGGGACATGGCGGATGGGCGCCTGAGCAGCAACATTGCTATCTGCCTCGCTGTCGGCGTATGAGGGCGGTAGGCCGGAGATCTCGAGCGCGTCGTCGTAGGTATAGTCGTCAGGCGTCGTATGTAGAGAGACGGCGTCTGGGTCATCATGATACCCCTCAGCTGGAATGGCGCGGGCAGCTCTACCCATACTGGATCTTGAAGTAGCGATTGCAGCGGGCACTCGTGATGGATGATGTGTTCATACAGGTAGTAGATGTAAAGAGAAGAGTAACTTAGCCTTATATACGATGCTATTGTCTAGGGGTTGCTGGTGAGACGCCACACGCGCGTCTCAGCGCTATCTTCAGGCAACTGCTTACTATTGGTGTCGAAGGATCGCAGCACCAATCTGCGACAGAAGGCATAAAGATGCAGCATTCTGATTAGTGGGCGAGTATGTGTTATGAAGTCTGTGTTGCCATCTCAATTGCATGTCTTGTCAAGGCTAAAGAAGATGGAGAAGTTGCATGCCTGGGGGTGGGGGACGTTCCTGCCCGAGACGCTAAGTTTAAGCTTAAATCGCGGGCCAAAAAATTGGAGCTCAACTTCAGATTGCGCCAGCCCTCACAGTTGACCCAGCTTTCGTTCTGTACATAAATTGGGTTGTTACATATTTTGGAAGCTTCAACACGTCGCAATCAAATCTGGCCGTCTTCGTCCCCGCTCTTCGCCTTCTATGCGCCCCGCGAGCCCATAGAATATTTCCTCACAGATCATGGGCTATAGGTAGTCCTTTCCTTCGACCGCTACATACCTCGCCCAGTATGGCTTCCGCAGACGCTACCATGGCCGATACACCCTCCAAATCCATCGACGCTACACCACGAGCGGGCCAGACCATCAGCCACGGGGGTAGGGAATACACCACCATCAAAGAGGGGCTGGCGCATATCCTCGTTCCTCATGGTGTACCCACGTCAACCGACCCGAAGCTGTCGAAGGAAGACACGCAGAAGCAGCAAGTCTTCTACAACCCAATACAACAGTTCAACCGCGACCTGAGTGTATTAGCGATCAAAACCTATGGGCAGGACTCGATACAGCGGAAGCTACAAAAGCATGAACAACATGTAAAGAAAGGTGAGAGGAAGAAACAGAGACAACAGGAGGGGCGGGGGCCAGAGGCGGCTTCAAATGGAACCTCATTAGCCGATGAACCGCCCTCAAAGAAGAGGAAGCTTGGGCAGGACGACGCTGATGAGGGCGCAGTTCCCTCGAAGAAGCAGAAAGTCGCGGAGAATGGGGAAGTCGAGCAAGAGGAAAACATTGACTCGGCGCAAAATATCCCTACCGATGCAAATGGCGAACGTATTGCCTGGCAGCCACCTTTTAGCATTCTAGACGCCCTCTCTGCGACCGGTCTCCGGGCGCTTCGATATGCGCAGGAAATCCCGTTTGCAACCGCCATCACAGCAAACGACATGTCGCAGAAGGCTGTGGACTCCATCGGGCTCAATGTGAAGCACAACAAGCTTGAAGAAAAGATCACGCCCAATACTGGCAACGCTATAGCCTACATGTACAGCTTCTGTGACAAGAAAGGGTACGATGTAATCGATCTTGATCCTTATGGTACTGCAGCACCCTTTATTGACTCGGCCATCCAAGCGATCAACGACGATGGGTTGTTATGCGTAACCTGTACCGACTCCGCCATCTTCGCATCGCACGGCTACCTAGAAAAGACGTACTCGCAGTACGGTGGCTTACCTTTCAAGGGCGAACCATGCCATGAAGGAGGCCTTCGCCTTATTCTACATGCCATTGCCTCCTCCGCGGCTCGGTACGGCATGGCCATCGAGCCCTTACTATCTCTATCAATTGACTACTACATCCGTGTCTTTGTAAGAGTGCGAAAAGCCCCGACGGATGTAAAATTGCTCGCTGGCAAAACTATGATTGTCTATCACTGCGAGAATGGTTGCGGCGCTTGGTCAACGCAGTTCCTCGCACGGAATAAAGTAACCAAGAACAAGAACGGCAACCCATTTTACAAACACGGCTTCGCTCAGGGACCCTCGGCGGACCAGCATTGCCAGCACTGTGGTTTCAAGACCCACCTGTCCGGTCCAATGTACGGTGGCCCGTTGCACAATGTAGGATTTATCGAGAGGGTGCTAGCACAGCTGAACGAAGTTGATCGTGAAACGTATCCGACAACAGACCGGATACAGGGTATGTTACATACAGCTCTGGAGGAGATCACATTCGGCAGCCAGCTGGAGAAGTCGAATGGAGCACAGAAGACCGAGGTGCTTGATCCTTTGATTCCAAAAGCAGACCCTGCGGAAGTCGACCATCATCCCTTCTTCTTCATACCTAGCTCAGTCGCAAAGGTTGTTCACTGTTCAGCGCCTCCCCTTGCAGCACTGCGCGGCGCATTGCGGCATGCTGGATTTCGAGTCACCATGAGTCATTGCAAGCCCGGATCAATCAAGACAGACGCTTCGTGGAAAGACATCTGGCACATTATGCTCGAATGGGTGCGCCAACGGGCACCACTGAAGAATAAACCCAAGAACTTGAGCGCAGGGCATGCCATCATGGCGAAAGCAAGCGCCACTGGCCATACCAGGAGCATAGCTACAGAAGCAGCACCCTCCGAATTTCTGGCACAGTCCCTACCAGATGTGCAGAGCAATGGCGAGAACAACGTTGAACCCGAGGAACGACCTCCACAAGATCTACCAGCCTATCTCGACGCAAAATATGAGGTAAACTTCGACGAGAAGCTCGGGAAGGACCACGACAGAGGCAAATATGTCCGGTACCAGCTCGCGCCTAGAGAGAATTGGGGGCCCATGTCACGGGCGAAATGATTTGGATAGTTAACAAACGATATTCATCTACCTAGCACTTCATTCACATTTCTTTTGCTTATACTACCTTGCAAGCGTATATTTTAAGCCTAACTCTTTTATAAATGTAGTACTATGCTATAGAGGTGGGCTACCTCTGATTCACTAAGTAAAGCATCCTTGCCGCAAGGCTGAAGCTGCGGTCGCGTCTGCATGTAAGTCAGACTAATGCATGGTCAAAGTTCAGCCTTCCTATGCTAGTCAAGGTGCTATGTTCCGCGCTTTGCAAAATACTCTTGTATCACTAACATCCCAGTCTTACATCAAGGGCCACTGGTGCTTGATAAAACACTGAACTAATCTGATGCGTACTATAAAAAGGGTATAATTCATCTTCGGTAGACGGATAAAAACAAGCGATTACAGCTCATCGTGCTCTACAATCTTGTTTCCAGATTCTGTAACAAAATTATCTGGGAACTGTTGTACCAGCCGCGCCCATACAGCAGCGCCATGTGCTACCACATCTGTTGGGGCGATTTCTGTCATCACGCTTACCATTTGCGTTCCTACCGCCCTGTATGCCATGATGCTAAGATTGGTAATCCCCAGCGAGGATGCTTCGCCAGCAATTACGATCGCTCGGATGCTATCGCGTTCGTATATCTGCAAAGCCTCCTGGATCAAACTGTCGAGGAATGCGCTTACTCGTTTTTCGTGTGCTTGTATGCCATTATTCTAAGACCTAGGTCAACTTGTGAAAAATATTAATGAGTTAGGTGTCATAAACGTACCTCGCGGAACCTATCTCCACACTCCTTGCAAATTTTCTGATGAGCGACAGGGAACGTTCCATATTCGAAGGCCACTTCTAGGAGCCAGGCAAAAAGATAGTCTTTCTCGTACTCCAGGAATAAGATCAAATTTGGTGGGCCGTCGTCGTTGTTATGTTCTTCAGGTGCTCGACCAAGATGCTCTCCTTGAAGAAACCCATACCCGTGGCAGGCAGCTTGTTGGAACGAGCCAAACTTGATAAATCGATCTAGGGGGTTGTTCGGAGCGACGGCCTCAATGGCAGCATTCCACATATTATAATCAAACACTGAAGGTAAAAAGAGAGCTCTATATTCAGGTGAATGACCTAGCTGCTTGCGCAAGCTCTCGGAAACTGGAACAACGGCGTGATAGAGCATGGCGGTCGCATTGTTCATGTAGCGAGTGCCGATCGGTGACCCATCTCCGTGGACTGCATTGTCGTAGTATGCTTGGTACTCAGGACTGACTGGATGTCTAGTCACCTCGACGGCTCCAGAGGCGTTAAATCTGGAAGCGATAATAGCAGTTGGGCTGAACGTAAGTCCAAAAGGACTCTCAAGGTTTTTCTGCACGCCTGTGCAGACACAGCGCGCAAGAGTGATGATAGCAATAAAGCGAATAAATGAGAACATTTTTTGTTATTTCCGTTGCTGTAAGACCATGGCTGAACATGAAGTTATATGGCAGCCTCCCTCAAAGTGTTAGCCTGATTACCCAACCTATGACTGCCTAGCGTCATAGAAGCGTTAGACGTTGCCCAGGTGCCCAAGGTAGACTTGGCAGCACTAAACCTCGCCGCAACCTTACTGAAGCGCCCCCCCAAGCGCTACGTTGAAACTTGTTAGCGTGCAATCCGTTTCTATCGGCCCAAACTGGCGCGTAAACTTTCAAACGTCTTGCCCAAATCAAGACCAGTGCGGCTTGATCCACTTGATCGCCTCATCAGAACGTATCAATTTTTATAGAGTTTTATATGGACAAGAGGATTTTCAACGAGATGGGGTATCACAAAATGCTTTGCTGCCCACCCCCCACATACCACAGGCGTAATGCTCTCCACCCAGATGAATCATACTATTTCCGTTCACTAAATGACCATACATGATCAAGTGTTGGCCGCCTGATTGGACCAGACTTCTTGGGCGCTGACGTGCAGCCGCTTCCTCGCCATGTGGTAGAATACGAGCAAGACTACGCTGCCCTCATGCGTTCGTCCTACCACCAGATATCTGAGCCAAAGGGTATGACAAACGATGCAGCACTTTGCTACTCAACTACCACTCGACCTATTGATATCTCTTATGAACTTGAGTAAGGATTTAGATCGTAAATCTCTTGTATCTGAAAAAAACTCTTCAAACGCCGAGAGCTCTTGAGATCACCCAACTAAGCGCCCCTCCTTTGGAAGTATGTCCACAACTCTATGCCGCTCTCATATATTTTAGCCGACATTCGATGCTTCTTCAGGGACATGACATCTCTAGTAAACGGTCTAATATTGACAGCACTCAAAGTACTTTCACAGAAACCAGCGATAGCTCAACTAGGGCGCAGGCGCTTTGAAAATCCTCTTAATATTGATAGCGCTACGAAGTACCTACCATGAGCTACTGGAGGGGTAATAGTCAATATAAGAGAGGTATCGCTCTGCTATCAAGTCTCTCGATTAACTAGATGTTGGTATACTCTTTTCTTTGTTTCACGCTTCGTCTTCTCATTGCGGATACCGATTTCATATCCAAGATGATCCGGCTAGCATGTATAGTCCTTATCGCTCAACTTGTATTGTTTGGTTGGACAGCCCCTCTCCATTCATCTAATACTCATCATAACACCGCTGTCTTTGTTAAGAGAGTGTATTGGAAGTGGAAGCTTGAGGACTTTAACAACGAGTTCAAGGGGATCCTTTGGGACCCTGCCATAAACGATTGCACACCCGACCAGCTCCATAAGATCATCTTTTCTACACGTGTAGCGATGTGAATGCTAAGCACAGTACGCCATGTCGATAATATAACTTATATATTTGCAAGTCACTTAGCACAGTTTGTCAAAATAGCTCACTTTTGTTATTATTCATGCCTTATTTAGTTTTGATATACCAGGAATAGGTATTACATAAAAATTAAGCTACTCAAAAGCCGGTAAACCCCTTTACTAGTAATCACACAAAAAAGCGTAATAGAATTTTGTACAAAAACGCTGGTTCTCCTTGGTTGTCGGCTAGTCGATGCACGAGCTCATTATCCATGTATAATCTGTTATTGCATACCTTTTACTGCTAGACTTCATTGATATGTTTTTATGCAACAGTTTAAAGCTTGAGGCCACACCTAAGAGAGAGCTTCTTTTAGATCGAGCGAGTCATACTTGGTGCAGGACGTACAAATGGCAGCTATCTCATTATAGAATGAGGCTGTCTAGTTTGGTCGATATTATATCAACGAGCAGATGTTATGATTACATACAGTACATGGTAATAATGAGAGAGGCCATGCACTACGTTACAAGTTGGAATCAACTTTGGTGGGAGTGATTGATGTGTATTTCGCGTTGCTTGATCGTATGAGCCCTTGCCATGCTGAGGTTGTAGTATCCCCCGTATGCAATACACAACTTACGCACGCGATTTCTTGAAGGTCCACGAGTTATGTTGTTGAACCGCGTCACATATACATTGGCGGAAGCACAAGGAGATGCGGAAGTGTCGGAAAAGAAAGGACGCATGTATCTGATGGAACTCGATGTGAATATGCACTGCCCAGTCAACTAGCTACGTGAAATCAACAATCTCTTCAAATAAGATGACAGTTGCAAATTCCAAGGTTTCGAGGTGCTTCGCTGGGTTGAATAAGTACAATAGTCGCTTCCTAGCGGAATTGGCGTAATGCTACTTTCGCTTGGAGCGTAACGCCGCTTGATCGCTGTTCGTGACTCTGAGCTAGCCGTAGCAACACGATAATGCTTTTTGAATTTAGAGAAATTTCACAAACGAACACAAACCTGCTTTGTCCGTATCAGTTGATCGTACGGCCAATCCAATATATAAAAGCAAAGACAATGGAAGAGATGCGCTGGACCAATGCCTGGCCAACAGTCATGATGTTCAGCTGTCACGGAGGAAAGCATAGCTTATCGTGCCTCACGGAACCCGGATCGTGCGAATACGTGGCGTTCTCTCTGTTAGGCATCAACGATGGGTCGGATATTAGTAGTATGAATATCTGTATTAAAGTGAACAACTTCGATAGACAATAGCGCTCATATTATACTAGTTCATAAAGCCCAAACTTTGTGATCGATGGAGTATGAAGGATTGCTGAAGAGACGTTGCGCAGATTACGTCATAACCGCCGCTCAGTCCCAACCCCTCTCATCCGAATGTGCAGCTGCACGATTTCCGAAACATAGCCCCCGAAAACTAGAGAGCCTGTATCACGGCATCTGTAAACATGAAGGTGGGGATTTGACGGTTCTGTACCTGCAGAATCTGCAAGAGCAAGGAACCTGATGCGGGCGAACATTGGAGGCGTTCGGAGCGACCAGGCTGATCCCGCGGAGAGTCATCGAGGAAGTTGAATTGTTCAGCACAAAAAAGGCTCAAGCCGCGAACTAACATCGACTAGGCATAGGAAGCTCACCGAAGCCGTGGAAATAACATATCTTGGCCGTTTTCGACACCTCAAATCCATTACGCGTGGGAACGCTAGCGGCTCAAAAAACCTCGTCGGCTCCATCATGTCAACACGACGTCACGCTAAACAACAACCCGGCAGATGGATAGTAACTAACCCTCGCAACGACGCATTTGTGCTGCACTCCGGGCGTCCAATTCAATCTGAAGAGCTACCGCGGCACGTCTGATTCGCCCCCTGCCAGTTTCTGATCCCAATCCCACAAATCCCCTGTATTCGCCATCTTCTCGATGCCTGCTGTGCATCGCCGTGTTGGGCAAGTCATGAAATCATAGTTGAAACCATATTCGTAAGCTCCTTCGGGAATTTTCCTTGTTGTCATTGATGTGGAAACGACAGAGATGGCGTATGCCATTGGACCTCGATGTCGTAAGTAGGCAATATGGACCGTACATAAGTGTTGAAGGCGCCCCGGGAAGGTCCTGTTACATATCTGCGTCCCTTCAAAACACAACAAGATGCTCACCAGGACCGTTTTTACTTCGACGCTCCTTGCGGGCTTTGCGGCCGCCGCTCCCAAGCCCCAGGTTGCGGGTTACTCGGCTGCGGATGCTAGTTTCACGGTCTCTTTCCAGCCCGCTGAGACTCCCGCCACCATCTTTGGACCTGATTCTCAAGTTCCCGTGAGTTGCGCTGAAACCACCTCTTTATACAACAACTGATCTCTTGAAGGCTATCCCAACAGCACCTGGATCGGCGCCTCCACGGAGGAGTTCTGATGTCGATGGTCCTACCAGCCATGGACCTTATGATGGCACCCCCACAGTGACTGGAGCAGCGAAGGCGCCGGCTACGCTCGGAACTGCTATCGCTCCTCTACCACCAAATCCCACTGCCACCTACTACAACAAAAATGGACTTCCTCAAAACCCCATGCCTATTCCATACACGCCAGCAGGTGGTCTTGGTACCAACGGTACCGAGCCTCGCTATCAAGTGAACAGCGATTTCGACTATGAGTCGATCACCCTCGGTCTCTACCAGGAATGGATTGAACTCGATCTCTTTAACAACGGTCTCGCTGTATTTTCCGAGCAAGACTTCCTCGACGCTGGTCTTACTGCTGAAGACCGTGCCTACATTGCCTTTATGGCTATCCAGGAGAGTGGTCACGCCACACTTCTGACCAACATGCTTGGGGAGACTGCTCCTCCTCAGTGTACATACAACTACCCGTACCGCACTGTTCGCGAGTTCATCGATTTCAACATGAAGGTTACACGCTTCGGTGAATCCGGTGTTTGGGGGTTTCTCGCCCATCTCGATTCACGCGAGGTTGCCAACCTTCTGGCTCTCTCGATTGCCACCGAGACGCGCCAGCAGATTTCTTTCCGCCAGATGCTTGGTCTCCCACCGCAGCCTGTATGGTTCGAGGCTGGTATTCCCCAGTCGTGGGCATGGACATATCTTGCTCCTTATATCAGCTCTTGCCCCCAAAACACTACCCGTCTTGCATGGCAGAACTTCCCGGCTCTGTTCATCGACAACCAGCCGAACCCCAACCGCTTCTCGCCTAACGACACCAAGCCTCATGAGGTCGCTGGCAAGCGTGTTGCCGACCCCGCCGACTCTACCATTCCTGCGGATGAGAGCTGTGTCAATGTCAACGCTACCGAGTATCCGGGATACTCTTGTGCTCCAGGTGTAGCACGCAATCGCTCTGAGCCGCTCTCCTTCCCCGGCAAGCTCCTCAACCTGACTTGGGAGAGCCCTGGTCAGGCCGTCGGACCCAACAACTCCTATGTCACCTCTACTTCTGCAGGTGCACCAAAATTTGTTGCTTGGGTTGCTCAGCTCAACTTGACCTACACGCCTCTCGAGATCACTGGCAACAACACTGGATACACTTATCAGCCTGCTGGAGAGGTGTATCAGGGCGACCCAGCTGTGAACGACACCATGTTCATCGCACTTACTGATTCTGATGTGTTCCTCACGCCATTCAATCTGAGCATGATCAATCCTCATGTTGTTGCGCTTGGTCTATATCAGGCCGGCTAAGCGTGTTTACGAAAACCAAAGTAGCGTTTGTACATGGTCCATCAGCTTACTGAGCATGAACCATGTAATGTAAATAGAGAGAGGTATAAACAGACCTGAAATAGTATAGCAGTAGTAATGAGTAATGACATTATCATCACCCGACATACAAGAACTGTACTAATGCAATGAGTAAAACTTGATCCCATCATAGCAAACTCGTTCAAACTGCAAAGATCAGTCATGTTGCAAAAATCATGGTGAGGCTGAACCTTGATGACGGTCTAACCGAATACAGGAACTGCACCAGTTCGGACCTTTTGCGGCGACGAACCACATTTTGAAAGCTCTGCGAACAAAGTGGGGAGCGGGGGGCGTTATACATGAAACAGAATAACACACAAAATCTAGAATCTACCTTGTATAAAACAAAACGTGTTAAATCGTTACGCAGCGAGTATTCCAACGCTCGCCTATTGAAATCTTTGACGGCCAAAAGCCCCTCCTTTCCAGAAACTAGCCTGCAAAACCTCATCACCATCACCAAAAATCCCAAAAATGGCAACGCAAGATCTTACCATCCCGCAACACACGCCCATCGGCGAAGCTCCCCGTGCCATCGATGATATTGCTGCGCAGGAAAAGGCCTCGCAGCTACCCCATTGGAACGCAACCGTTGCATTCCAACTCGGCTGCGCGCTGCGCACACGGCTGCTTACTTTTGAACGGCCCGCTGTAGTGCACATTTCTACTGTTAGCACGCCTGCACACGTGCTGTTTCATTCGGTAAGTTGAGTGATCCCATTTAATTTCGTCGGTATGTGGTGGTGGTGGGATGACTGGATGTCGGGATGGGGAGAGTAGGGTCATGGAAATGGAAAATGGAGAACGGAACATGCGCTGATTTGCATATAGGTGACGCATTCGGGGACGGCGCTTGATAACGACTTCTGGGTATCCCGGAAACGCAATTCGGTTATTAGATTTGGTGCCAGTACATGGCGTCTACACAATGCCTATGAAGGCGACGAAGAGAAGTTTAAGAGTAAGATGGCGCTAGGGGAGAAGGCGGGCGAGTATGCGATTCACGGCGGCGGTGTACCAATATATGTGAAGCACGTTGATACGCCGGTTGCGGTTGTCGTAGTTTCTGGGTTGAAACAGTGGGATGATCATCAAGTTGTGATTGAGGAGTTGGCAAATGTTTGTAAGAGCTTGGACAGGACGGCCTAGGGTTGGAATATCGCCAGGGTAGGTAAATCCATCTAAAACCACTTGCAAACTCGGATTGAGTATTCGACTCCTGGTGCACTTCCAAGTTATATTGACCAGCCCCGGGCTCAGAGCGACTCATTGTAAGATAGAGCCTTACTAGACCTACAAGGTGCTTCCTTACTCTGAGAAAGAAAAATCTGCTCTCACCGCCATATAGAGAGACTTCAAGACGAGATTCTAACAACTTTCAGGCATCGTCTTCCTCATCAATGACCTGTGTAGCATACCAATCTTTAAGAGCTGGAGTCTCTGGAGTATGGTAGCACTCTTCGATCCAAGCAAGTGCGTGGCTAGCCCTTAATTCTGTTATCCACGCTTTCTCCTCGTCTGTCAGCGAATCGTGGCGCCATTTGCAGAATGTACCGAACCTACAAGCTTTATACGTGAAGAAAGCTTCGTAACAAAGGCCGAGGTCCTTGTCGAAGGTCGAGCCGTAGCGAACAGGATTGAGCTTGAAGTCGTTCTCTCTGTTATGGGGATCTTGAAGATGCTTGAGAGCGTGTATGACGCGTTCGGACAGCTTGAGCAGGTTGCCAGCCGTCCGTGGGGCTCTGGCGATGATAGGCAACTTTTCGAGGTAGGGGATGCGCTCTGGAACGAGATGCTGGCGCTTCGAAATGACACTGCTCTGTGCTCCATGGGCAGGAATGGCAGCATTGAAGCTGACTACAAAGGGTTAGTTACAGATACATGGCGTAGAGAAGTCAACAAACCGTGGGAAGACCCCAGGGGAGACTCGCTTGGTGTAGCTTCGTGCATAGATATGTCACCGACGGCTGGTGATGATTAGCAGCGCCTAGAGATGCCTTGTCGACGGACACTCACTGGACTTTGTGGAGGATTCTAACTGAGATGGCATAGAAGCAACTGTCGCTGTCTGGGCCTCGCGGTGACTAGCTGGACGTGCGACGTCACGGTGGAGCTCGACATCCACAGGCGAGCGACTCGGATTAGAAGCCGCGAGGCGGCTCTGGCTGCGAGGACGGACAGAGAGCCTGGAATCTGGTGAGTAACGTCGCTTAAACAGATCTATTGCAAGAGGAATATGCTCACTCTGATAGTATTTCGTCAATGGACTTGATGATGGGCAGTTTTTGCGAGTGGCCAATCATCCTTGCTGGACAGGCGGTACGAGTGGAGTAGATATAAGAGGGATGAAGACGTTGTGAGTGGGGGTTTGTTGTTTTCCAGGTGAAGCTAGCCAAGCAGAAATGGCAGGAACGCAACGCATGCCACCTGCCTTCACCGTGACTGCCTCATCGTCACGACTTGGCTGGTTGTGACGTAACAGCTTCAAGGAGGAAGGAGCACCTTGCCAGACACCATAAACCGAAGATAACGATGAAGGGGAAACGATTCGAGAGAATGGCATCACGCTATAATGCAATTGTAGATTTCGTGCCCAGTAACTGTTCCCTAGGAGGTCGACAGGAAGAATGGAATATTAGATGAATCCGCATCCTGCTAGTCCTAGATTGCGATGTTGTCGATAAAGATGCATACCAAGGAGCTGAATGGTAAACTTATCATTCAAGATAAATGACTAGACATTTGTGAGTTGTAAGCGGAATTAAAAGTCTACTTGTAACGCACGTAGTCGAGCCATCGTACTTCAGGAGGTTGTTAGATAAACTTCCAGGGTTATAGGCTCATATAGTTAATTAGTCTAACCAAAAGCATGAAGATGAGTGTTCGTTAATAAGAACAGTTGTTAGGCAGATAGCTACAGAGTATATGCGGTGACATGCGATGTCGTCGATGATGGAGTCTGGCCAATCTTAGGCCAATCGCTAGCTCATCCTTCCGCGGACCACCCCAGATCTCGCATCACCGCCTTGGCTTGTACATCCATCGAAGCTTCAGCCGAAGCTACCCCAGCCCGCACGGCAGGAGTCGCATCTGGAGTTGACTCACAGGGTCGATCTCGGAGTAAAGCCCATTATGTGGAGTTCGGAGTGCCCTAAATAATGCTCCGAGACCTATCAAGCGGGGCAACGCCAGACTAACAAGCCAGCGAAGACCGGCCCGGCCAGCTCCACCCAACAAACCGATAGGGTCGCATAGGGCGTGTTTGTCAGAACGATGAATGGATATATGCAGGATGTGGTCGTTGCGTTGTCATAGATGATGCGATGATCGAAAATGGAATAAATGTCCAGAACCGCATACCGCATATAAAACTCTGCATTCAAGTCGACCACACTCTGAGTGTCCACGAATATTGCGAAATTGGTGCTATTGGTACTTGCCACTCTTAGAGTAAAGAAATAAGAGGAAAAGACCACGAAATGGATCCAACAGCGAATCCCGCGGTACAATTACAGCACTTGCCCACGTCCAGCGATGGCAGAGCACTGGCCGAACCAGATGAGATTTGGGATGGATTACGACGAACGGTGTCGAAGATGACGGGTCGATCGAAACTCGAAAGCGAAGAGAAACACCACAGCAACCATCAAGAAACGGGTATTCGATCACCCGGACGGACACGGTCACAGCGAACACGATCACAGCGGACGCGCACTCTCGATGCTCAAGACGAGGAATCTGCGATACCAATTGTGGACGCAGAAGACGACTTCCCCGAAGGCGGCTTGCGCGCATGGCTTGTCGTCGCATCAGCCTGGCTTCTTCTTTTCCCATCATTCGGTTTCATGGTGTCTATCGGCACGCTGCAGGATTACTGGAGTCAAAACCAGCTCTCGAACATGACAGCGCGCGACATCGGATGGATTCCCTCCGTCCTCGTGTACCTATCGCTCGCGCTGGGTATCTGGGTTGGCCCGTTGTTTGATCGTTACGGGCCACGATGGATAGCGTTGACTGGAAGCGTGGGATTCTTGCTAATGATATTCTTCCTCGCCGAGTGCAAGACCTTTTGGCAAATGCTCCTGTGCTGCGGTGTACTGGGAGGTGTATCCGGCGCGATGTTGACGACTACAAGTTTGGCCGCCGTGGCGCACTGGTTCAAAGAACGACGAGGTCTTACCCAGGGAATCGCCATGATGGGATCGTCATGCGGAGGACTGACAATTCCTCTGATGTTACGGACCACACTCCCAAAGTACGGCTATGCATGGTCGCTTCGCATCATTGGCTTCGTGTTCCTCTTCTGCTTCATCATAGGCAACATCCTCATAAAAGCTCGCATTCCTCCAACTGCAGCTGCGAAGAAGAAGGCCATCATTTCCCTATCAATATACGGAGATCTAAGGCTGAGCCTCTTCACCATAAGTGTATTCGGCTTCGAGGTTGTGCTTTTCGGAGCCCTAGGTATTCTGCCTACCTATGCCACACTCAGCACCAACTTCGCACCCGCTACTGGCTTTAATCTCATTGCAGTCTTGAACGGTGTTTCTTGTATCGGGCGCCTACTTCCAGGATATGTTGCAGACAAGATAGGACGATTCAACACGCTGTTGATCATGATCGTCTTCACACTGTTATGGATGTTGGTGCTATGGCTGCCCCTCGGCACCTCATCCCTCGCGGCGCTGTACTCCTTCGCGGCACTTTTCGGGTTCGGGACAGGAAGTTGGATGGCGCTTACGCCTGCATGTGTAGGACAGCTTTGCCGAGCTGATGAGTTCGGGCGTTATTATGGGAGTATGTACTTTATCGCCAGTCTTGCAACGCTTGTCTGCATTCCTATTAGCGGAGAGCTTGTGGAGACGGTTGGGCCACAGCCCATGGTCGCGTTCTTTTGTGCGATCCTCGGTTTGAGTCTGGTCAGTTTCTTGTTTAGTCGGTGGGCGTGCCTGGGGAGGCGCTGGACTGTCAAGGTAAAGGTTTAGGCTCTTAGTAGGAGTAGTGGCATACATTCTTAGTTGGTCATAATGAATATTATTGTGCGAATATGATGGGCATTGACTTTATGCTGTATTCGCCAAGCGCTGCGAGGGGGTGGAGATTGGATTAGATTCCAAAACTCTCGGATTCTCCGGCTTATGAGCGTGATATCTGCATTTAGATCAACTCAATAAACTCCAAATCATCTGTCAATATCTCTCCATCCATGATCCCTTGAATGTACGCGTCTCCAACGACAGTGTATCTACCATTATCCCCTATTCGTAGGACGAAAGGGACACTACCACCAGCTAAAATGGCGATGACATCCCCAGGGTTCGACTTGACCGGACACCAAGCCAACCGTCCCTTCTTCGTGACAGCAAATTTCCGCCCCGCGCTTACAACTATGAATGGACGGTGGGTGGAAAGAACTTCGGCATCCATTCCAATTGCTGAATTTGATGGGTACCATGAAATCCATTTGTCGAAACGTTCGAAGCTACTTAGGGGTAGGATGCGGCGGTAGAATGGACGGTTGTCTCTGTCTGAGTCGAGATAGTTTTCCATGGTGCCGCATATTACTGACCAGAACGCTGTCTTCGGTGCCCAATCTACTACTATTGGATCTCTGTTTGCATCCTTACATATCGCTGCAAGTGAGATCAGTTCTTCCAGAAAGGCACCATATGACACACTACCAGGCACAGATCCGACCAGGTCAATCTCCTCGATTACACTCCCTTTGAGCGCAAGCACTCCTGGCTCAATAATTTCGAGGTCTGCAACCTCATCTTTGCACGCATTATAGAGATGCAGATGACCTACCCAGTTCAGCCAATCTGTGTAGTAATAGTCGTCTTTGGCCGACACCGTCCAATCGGGGACATATGACGGTAAGCTGAGATTCCGTTCACCAGCAACAGGAATGTGGCTTAGGATCTCCAACGGCCTTGTGTTCTTCATAATTTCCACAGTTGCTAGTTCGAAGTTCTGTTCTGTTGAGAGCAGGTAGTTTGGTCGGATTATGTTTTGGTACTGGCCCCGTGCAAGCCCGAGCATCCCAAAGATTTTGTCACGCATGTCGGTTGCGTCTCTCGTGTTTCGGAATTGGCTGAAAATGTATGGCAGGGATACATCTTGGAGAAGTAAGCGAATGTATTCCACATTTTCCATGACGATCAAACTTTTGAAGATGTCGTTGTGATTAGGGCAGTCAGACCTCAAAGCGGAGCAGCATCGCTCCAAGTGATGGAAGTAACTCTGCACACCCTGTCTTGCAACATTTCTGTCGAGCAGGTACCGGCCGCATTGGAACACGGATCGTCGAGACAATAGATACTCCTGGACAGTCCATACACGCGTCCACCAAGAAGAGCCAAAGAACATCTTCAGTCCTTTCTGGATCTCAGGAGCCGTGATATCTCTTCCATCGAGCTGAAGGCTTGGGTTTATAGCTGGGTGTATGTGGAAGCTCTGATTTTGGCCCATTTGCTCCAGGTACCGCATAACTAGGTGGAAGTTGTCCCAACCTTGACCCAACCAGATTACAACGTTCCAAGCTCTCTCGTAGATGTCACGCATGAGCGACACCTGCTGTGTTCGCTCGACCAAATTTCTTTGGTCTATGCATATTGCATCGATCCAAACGACCCTTTCCCGATCGGCCAGTCGCAATCCTGAAGCGCATGGTACAGATTAACAGTAACGCCTATAGGTACCCCATTGACGTGGACCGGAATAGCATGCTTCTCGATGCCCCAGACATAGGAGAGCGCTTCGTATTGGGTAGAGTGCGTGTCAAGGCACCCGTCATATTCGCGGGTTAGTGATACAATGCTAAAACGACATATAATAGGATCGGTCTCTCGCAAGGCTGGTCCAAGGTGCAGGAGTCTGATCTCCTTTCTTGTTGTACAGAGCTCTGAGTAAGTGGTTATGAATCTGTGTTTCGTTGTCATAAGCTCTATCCGTGCTCTGTTGTTGCAAAAAGCGCTTCGAAAAGTTGGACAGATCTTGGATTACATCCCATGCTTTGACAGTCCTGCCCCGTCACCGTCGTGTGCTGTTGCCTGATAGCCATGGATTCCTGCGCATATATAACGAGTAGGCTGAGCGAGGCTAACATTACGATTGGTCAGTCAAGCGTCAGGACGGCGAGGAAGAAGAAGCTAGCGCAATAGTGCAGGACTATGGTAGCGGCATGTGACTGCGCACAGGTTATCGTGACTGCATCTTACAGGCGCGCTGCGACGTCAGAGGTATGGTGTAGCGAGTGATAGTGGGCTGAGGATGGCATATGGCAGAGCATTCGGCCTGAAATCCTTCAGCCCCAGCGCGCATGCATCTGGAAGTAGCATGATAAGTGATGGTAGCCTAGAGGCATTCCATAGCAGGTTCGTAGAACTGAAGCCCAAGAGCAAGGCTGCGCTGATTACGGCGGGGTATGAGCTGACGCATGACCGTGGCGGCTAAAGGTCAGTAGGGCGCTCATAGCCGCTACGATTTCCGTTGTGGAAGCAGGACAAGCACAAGGCGAGAAAGACTCAGACGTAGAAGAGGTTGTAGAAGGATGCGCGACAAGGGGAGGAGGGAGTGGCCCTTGCCCTGCCAAGGCACCGCTTCTTCATGGCGATGTTTCGAGACCTGCAGCCCCCTCATTTGTTACCCTACGCGTAACCATGAGCGTTGCGCTCAACTCTTCCGTGCTACGTTAGAACCATGGGTAATTTTGCGCTCCAGGGCTAAACGTGGAAGCCTGTATAAGGGCTGGGCTGCAGCGTCGCAATATGAGCCTTGCACCGCCCTGGAGGTAAGTAAGCAATCTTTACTCGCGGCTCCGTCCTCTTCATACCGATATATCCAAAAACCTTGTCTGTCACTCATCTAGATGAAGTGGAGAGGCTTCTCCTGCCAGTCTCCTTGGATTTTGTTTTACCGTCATCATGCACCTTCTATGGCTTCCCATATGAGGACTGTCGCTAACACGCACCATGAACTGATAGCGGATCGTCAAGCGATCAGTAACATCGATTTCGTTCCCTTTTTGTATACCGCCTAAAGCTTTTCCTACATCCGTAGCAATACGATAGGAAATGAACGGTATGGTACAGCAGCTATAAATTGCAAGCGGAATCATCAGAAGCCACAAAACCGTGGATGGCAAACAAAGGCGAACCTTTCCTATCGAGCGCCGTCAAACGAAAAGTCCCCCGCCCGACATCCAATAGTTGCCCCATGTGTACCCTATCGTGTTCCATGCCTTGCCAATACGCCGAATCAAATAACCCAACTCCTCTCCAGTTGCCGGGTCGACACACTTTCTTTTTGAGCCCAAGGGGGTTCTGGTGGATCTGACTGGTCTCGCCATCAGCAACTGCGTTTAGGACCTATTCCTACCACTACGCCTAGGCTGGCCATCAGCGGTAGCAGCCTTCTTTGGTTGCTTTTTGCGAGCGGGCTCTTTCTTCTCCTTTTTTTCGCCACCTTTGGGACGACCGCCCTTAACACCCTGAGCCTCGCCATCGCCCTCAGCATCATCGGTCTTTGTCTTCTTGAAAGTAAGCTCCTCCTTGTCGGCATTGGTGCCGTTAGTCTCTTCAGTTGGAGAATCTTCAGCCTTGCGCTTTGTGCCAGTCTGGGGCGCTTCACCCTTCTGGCCATCCTTGGCCTCTTCTGTCGAGTCGACCTTTGGAGCCTCTGCCTTTGAATCTCCGTTCGGCTGAGCGTCCTCTTTTTTCTCCTCATTCAAAGGAGCATCTTTCATCTCTTCGTCCCTCTTCTCAGCGACAGCCGGCTTAATGGCATCCTGCGACTCGGTCGGCTTTTCTTCTTTTTTCTCTAACTCGGCTGGCTTTTCTTCCTTTTTCTCCAACTCGACTGGCTTCTGTTCCTCCTTCTTTTCAGTCTCAGCATGGTTGCTGTCTTCGTTCTTCGACTCGCCGTTGGTCTGGTGACCGTTGGCGCCCCCGGCTGTCTCCTCGACCTGGAGCTCAGAAGCATTCTTCACGACGTCGTTGCCGGATCGCGCGATGTGAACAGCGGGATTTTCAGGCTCGGCGTTCTTCGTAATGGTATTACCGCGATGTGACTCGATGGCGATCTCTCCCTGTTCCTTCACGTCGGCAACAGTACCCGCCGGTTGACCTGAACCCCAGCTCCATGAGACTACAACGGATAGACATGTTAGCACAAGCTTGATGGCACTGATGGCACTGATGGTGTGCGTATGCGCGCAAAGCCATGCTCCACGCGCGCCAGCGGCGCATTGCGCCTAGCTCCGCGTTTGCGCCGAGCCGCAAGCAGGCGTAGAGTGGCAGTTGGGCAAAGCGGTTTACGAGCGCGTACCTTTGTCTCCTTGCTGGATCTCGGCATCAGTCATTGCGTGCTGTTGCGCTCAACAATGGCAACTGAGATGAGATGACGTGATGGTGCGCAGATCGGACTTCTGCGTCGCAGGGTGCGGGGTCGAGAGTCAATTGATGCGCGTAAAGCTAGAATCAATGCGCGAAACGGTATAGATGATGCGTAAGGGATTGTGCGATGCGTGGGGTGTATGAAAGATGGGTAAAGAAGAATGGAAGTCAGGAACCGGAGAGCTGGAGGTGAGCTCGCTCTAGATCGGAAGCTGCAAGCATGGCGATCATGACGTTTGATTGGCTCGTGCTGGCTTCCCCATATATGGTGGCTGGCCGCAACGGGCCATGGCGTCATGACGCATGCAAGCCGCTCGCTTGCATGGCCTAATCGGGACGCGCCGTTAATCGCCGAGAACGTCCTGGCCAAATTCGTTCTCTTCTGGACCCCGATGCGCTCATGGCTGGCTATTCTTCATAGTGAAGTATCTCTAGTCTCTACGAAGACTCTACCTGAACTAACATACCAGTAGACTGCGTAATATAGAATTCGCACCTTGCGCTCCACAACCTGTAGCGTACGTGTTTTGGCGAGCGGAAGAATGTGCGATCGCAGCACATCCCCACCAGCCTACTGCGGCCCAAATAAGCCAAACATGTGGAAGGCATACATGGTGCGCCGAAGAACGTGCGGCTAAAGTGAGAGCCAACAGATGGAAACAACCCTTCTATGCATGCATCCTACCATGATACGCCGGCATAAGTGGCAGATGATAACAAATGCAGCTTCTGCGATTGTTACCCGGGTTCCAGTATAACTCAGCTCTAACCCTATCTCCGAGTATTGTCGTTGCACAAGATCTCTCCTTCAATCGCTAGATGTGCCTTACGAAGGTAGCAAGCGACTAGCTGAGAAGAGAATACGCTGGGCAAACGCAGCTGACGGAATGAAGACGATCAAGATCTAAGCTGGGCGTGCCTTGCAGACACATCACTCCTGCAATCTATATCTTCTCACTTTCGACTATGCTAGCTACAATTACATGCCAGGCACGACAACAAATAGTGTGTCAAGAGCGCTGTAAAATATGGCTTGATGGAAACAACGGATCTCCCTCGCGCCAGCTGGCGATACATTGACAGAACGCAGAGAGTGCTGGAATATCTCATCTCATCGCGGATACAACTGTCTCGGTACCGGCGTTTGAAACCCTTTCCAGAAGAGGAATATGCTGTACTGCGTAACATGGGCAGCTCATGTCAGATGGGCGACTGTCACTGATTATTGGTAGGGATCAGTATTATATAAAAATCACATCAACCTCCATACGCCCAATGATACACGGGTGAGCAAGGAATCTCTTTGCTCTAAAGAAGCCTCTTTTATGGTGCAACATGCGTCTTCGTCTTTCTTTGACACTGGCAGCGTCATTCAATCTAGTCACTGCCGACCGTACTGGGAATCAAGTCAGCACCGTTCACTGTGCGCTCACAGGCAAATCGTTCCTCCCGGCGTTTCTCAGTTCCAACCAAGCAAGCTACCTGGTGCCGGCTCAATGCGGCGCTCTCTGCCGGTCGAAGCCTCTATGTCAGAGTTACGGCATAGAGAATGGCTCTTGCCGCCTATACTACCTTCCTATGTACGTATCCGGGCTCGAGAGAGCAAGGCGACTGCACTGACAAGAACACAGCATATTCTCGATAACGAAGCAGCCCCCTTATGCCAACACCTTCTATGACAAAGCATGCGCAACTACCTCCGATATGTGTCAAGTCAACGGCCTTAGATCTCCGTCAAGTCCTGCTTTTTTTATCTCGACCAAGTTTGCCGACAACTCCTTTGCCGGATGCTCTACCCTTTGTAAAGGAACACCGGACTGCCGAAGCTTTTCTATACGAGTTGAGAATGGGGGCACTTGTCGCTTATACAAGAACGCCCTAGCTGCAGACTTCGTTCCGAAGTCGGACAGTCTGTACCTCTACTGGGATGTGAACTGTCCGCGAGCGGTGGTAAATTCGGTGAGCAAAGCACTAAATGCCTTTCTAAGCCGTCTTTGCTGAGCTGAACTAACGCAATTCCCATATGCAGGGGCCTTTTATAGGTTCCTACAGGCCAACTACTACTGTTCCCAAGCTCTCTGTCCAGGCAGCAGTGATATTCCCAGCGCATACAAGTCCAACCCTACTCACGACTGACAGTCCGCCGTATACTCCTAGTGGCCCCCAAGTGACCCCAATCGATGATAATGAGTACATGTCAACGTACACCTTCTTGGAGTTTCCCCTTGCAACGGTAAATTCAACAGGATTACCACCGATCACGACCGGTATCGCTCAGCCTAAGCCTATCCCAACAGCTCCATGTTTAGTTGAACCAGGAGCGCAGGCACAGTTTGTAGGTCAGCGCATGAAATATCAATGAGAATCTAAAGGCTAATTTATCGTAGAGCATTCTTAATGAGAATTACCTACCCATGGTTAGTAGAGCGTCCAATTCGGTTGGGCCTTTGCTACAGCCTACAGTTGCGCCTGCAGCCAACGATCCAATACTCAATCCAGAAGCTTTAGAACTGCCTGGATTCTACCTACAGCAGCCTAAAGGCGTTACGGGGTACGTCAAATCTGCTCCGGGTTATGTCCGTCACAGAAGTTGACCTACAGCAGTGCGTATGACTTGGTATATACCGGGTCTTTAAACTTTCAATTCGTCGCCATGAACAAAACTGGGTCGATTGTCCTCACAACATCGTCTACGGGAACTGATTACAAAAACGGCCTTGTCACGTCCATTTTCAACTTCGACTGTTATGGCCGTATTAGCATCGAGCAAGGTGGTTATAGCTACAGCTGGACTACCAACGGTACGTCAAGCAAACTAGTCAAGGAATCACCGGCTGCGGAAAACATGAAAGCTCTACCTAAGAGCATCCCTGCGGTTCAGAGCGCCCGCAAACACCGCAAACGTAACCATCAGCTTGCTAAAAGGCTCCAAAAGCGGTCATATACAGATGGTCCTGCCCCGAAATGTCCCGTCCAACCTGCCAACCTGATCCCAAAGACAAAGCAAGGCTATAAGCTGGGTGAAGGCAACTTCTGTGACAACCTTAACGATAAATGGTCACTCAGTCCATTTGACTTTGATCTATCCTGTGGTGTTCAAAGTCTTTGCTACGACCAATGCGAGTCCTTTGGCTGGCAAAGTTGCAACGGAATCTTCGGCACACTTATGATAATCTCATGCGCAGATGCCTTTGAAAGCTGGTGGGAAGTGGCTGTGAGTTCACGAATTATGGCACGACTTTTATGATTAGTAGCTAACCACACAATTTCAGCTTGCGGTAGCATGTGTCGCACAAGCAGGCTATTTCACTGGTGTGGCTGCTACAAGCACTGGACGCGAACTCTTCTACAAAGCCCAAGGTGCCATGTGCCGCTGCTTCTGCTCCAATCCCCCGGATACGTGTGTATTCACTAACGGCGACTTCTACTGCGCCGATGTTTTACAAGGTAGCGACGATTTTAATTGTGGTGACTGTGGAAGGGTATGCGGCCCAAATACGAAGTGGTATGCACATCCCCATACCTACAAAACGATCTTCTCGTAGTTTTTGAGGCACATGCTAATCCACCTTCTAGTCGCAACGGAAACTGTGGCTGCACACAGGATCAGTGTGGGACCACATGCCTAGACTTTCGAAACAACGCAAATAATTGTGGCTCGTGTGGCAACATCTGCAACCCGGCTTACTGCCTCGACGGTCGATGTTATGTACCAAAACCAGGCGAGTGCACACCCGAACAAAGCGTTGCCAACAAAGACTTTAGTGATTACTATCCCAGCTTCGCAAACTGGGAAATGGCAGCCTTCCCAGGATGTGAACTGGGAGACAAGATCAAATTTGCACCGACCAACTTCATTGACTCAAGCGGAGGCCGAAACCCTGCTGTTCTGGTGGATATGTCGAGCCTACCGAACTCAGGCTGCCAGGCAGCCATGGTTCAAGCAGATGTCAAGATGTGCCCTGGGATCAAGTACGAGCTCACTTTCGCCATGGGCTATGTCAACCAAGTCAACAACGATGCCGTTGTCAGCAATGCAAACTGCATAGTGAGATGGCTGACTGGAACACCTACCGTCTGGGACAACAACGGCGATTATCAGTCCTCGATTAATTATAATATTGGCATCGGCAACCCCTACTATAAGGGCTTCGGACCGTGGACTCTCCACGTAGCCAAGGGCGACCCGGGTGTGAGGCATTTTCGGGGAGATCTTTTTGTCAACTTGACGGCTGTCATCAGTTGCGGTGGTGCTACTGGTGGCGCGGGAAGGTTTGTTATCAGGGACGTCAAAATGACCCCCGTGGGCTCTGTCAAGAAGAGATCTTTCACGGTTGGCGAGGGGCCAGCGTTTTCGAGCAATCGGCAGGCCAGGGGTCTCATCTTGCCACCAAACAATTCTACCACGAAGGTTACTCAGGAGATCGCGCCAGTCACATCTACAACAAGCACGCCTCAGGATATTACGCCGGCCAACATTACTACGAATATCACTCTGGAGCTCGAGCCGTATTACCCAGATCAACAACCAGGCGTAGTGCTTGTAACCAGCTTCGATCCGAAGGTGGAGAATGTCACCAATGCGCTTGAGGTTATAGGTACAGAGTAATGATAGTCTCTTCCGAGTCGATCATTTTCGAGAGGGTTGAAAATGCGGTACATGCAGCACTGAAGCCTTAGGACATTCGCTACATTACGGTGCTGGAGCGTGACGGGTTTGTTGTGTTCATGGGAATTGTGATGCCAGTCGTTGATTGTTGCAAGGACATTTTGCGTTGTCGCTAATATTCGAAAGATAATTTAGAAATCAGAAATTTTGCCTCATGAATGTAACTCCAGCGAGGTTCTTCGAATTCAGTATCTGATATGCAGTATATGCCAGACGGCGTGGCGTGAATTTGCTAGTGGCAAAGATGTGGGAAGCTCGGAGTGGTACGGTTGCCATTCCAAAGTAGAGTACGACAGCTGAATCATAATCGACCGCGAGACTCATAGCCATCGTCTTGCTAGCCTGTTAAATATCGGTCGTGCTTTTTGTGCTTCGGTCCGCTACAGAAGCATCGCATCTTACCAAAGAGCAATTGACCAAACTGAAGTCATAGTTGGAAGCATTTGAGCTGTACCATGCACCATCTTGAGCATTCATTACAATCTCTTGATCTACCACCACGCTTTGGTTCCCGTGGCGGCCCGTACGCCACCAATCCTCCGACTATGCTCATAGTCAAAAGCCTTTACCAACCCCACGAGATGACTTGCTGCCGCAAGCACGACCAACACATGGAAGATCTGATGACTCGAGCCCCAAATGTCGAATGTTCCCGGACTCCACTTCTCCGGAACCCTTGCGGCATAGAGTGCTGCGCCAGCAATGTACAAGACACCTTGCAGAACGACCCAATCAAGTCCGATGCTCTTCCGTAACTGCTCGACACCATACAGACGAATGCCATGCAAGACTGGAAACACAGCAGACAAGCCCATGAGCACGAACATGAGCGCTCTGAAAGGTCGGAGCGCTGGAGTACGAAACTTGGGATGTGTGCAGACAATGGAGGTCCCTGCTGCGAGCGTGGTGATCTATTCATACTTCAGTTTTGGACGCTTTCATTACCTCAGGACGTACGTACCATAGCCCAGTATGTCCGCCTCAGTTCCGGCTCCTCTCCAAATGCATAGTATAACACCGGGATAAAGCTTCCCCAAATCAAGAACACGATGCCCAGATAGTCCAGCTTATTACCCCACTTAGCCACCTCGTGGGAGTGGTTCTGTATGGTATGGTATGTCCCGCTCATACCCATACATGCAATCGCCCCAGCAAAGAAGCAAATGAACACAAAAACGTCCTCCTGGGTAGCGGTATCATATCGTGGGGCTAGTTCGCGATATACTACCACCCCCGACACGGCTGCCAACAGAGCTCCGATGAGATGTGAGTAAATGTTTACAGTCTCGTTGTGCAAGTACCCAAGGCTCTTCCAGGATTTGGAGTAGGAATTTGATTGGGCTCGGTAACCAGATTGGATGTAGTGGTTGTCTTGCTGCCAAGGTGCGAGTTCATCCCATAACAGGATGAGCTTCTGCTCTATCTCTTTGCCAACTTCTGCTACGTCGGAAGCAGCTTTCTTCGCGGAGTCCATGGTAGGCTTGTTCTCAAGAGTTATGACACAAAAACGTAAAGAGATGGAGGTATCCTGGGATATTCAGGGAAGGGAGTATCGGATGATATACAGATTGTTGAGGCTCACATGTCTAAACTATGAAGCCTCGGGAGCTTGACATTCAGGCACCGATTGTGAAGCTAGGCTTTATCTGGCGCAGCTTGCGAACTATGTCACCCATTAGTATTTTTCATAATCTATTGAACCAGATCTAGAGTAGATACGCTGAGAAAGCGGTTTCTCTGATACTAATGGCTCATATAAGGGCACGAAAGCGTGAGGCTCACGCGTCAGGCTCGGCTTTTACCCCTCCATCGCCGAAGCAGCTCCCCACATCCACCTTCCCCCTACCTCACGCGCGATTGCTGTTAGTCCAACTCAGGCCATGCCTCGCTGTTTCTGCTCGTGAAATGGAGTGTCAAATAATTATCTCGACTGGCCCGCCATGACGCCACCGGGTCGCTCAATCAATCCTACACCTACACCAGGGATGAAGTCGTCAGATCCCATCCGACCCAGCAGCCGTCGCGGTGCGTCAGGCGCGTGGAACCGCCTCAAGCCAGTACGCGAGGATGTGCTCGAGGTTTACGGCTTGCCATCGAAGGGGGAGACTCGGTATATACCATTTGTATCCGTACATTGGCACCCAATTGCTTACGCGTGCGCAGACTCAATGACTTCAAAACACAAGAAGTCTACTTCAACCGCATCATCGAACGTTACATGAAGCTCTGCGCCCTTAACCGCGAAGAACTAGACGGCCTCTTCGCCTCCGTCAGCAGTGCGAAACTGGGCAATTCCAATGCCAACAACAACCTCACATCTTCCTTCTCCGCGCTCGCACTCTCCAAACATGCACCCCCTTCGAACGCCTCGACCGCAGCCTCCGCCTACAAAACAGACCCAATACCGCGAAACGCATTTGCACCCTCGATCAACGAACTGGCAACGGTTCTTGCAGCCCTCCGCAAGCTCCGCGAAGCCATAACAGCAAGCAACAGATGCGACAACTTCGCCCGCCGCGCCTACTTCTTCGCCATACACGTCTCTATCCTCTGCCACGATTGGTCCTCGTACCTCCCTTCACTCCACTCGCTACTCCAACATATGCACCCGCGCAACGCCCTCGCACCGCACGATCTCAAAGAGTACGTTGGCCTGCTGATTCTCGACCAGGCGTGTCGCCAGGCCGACTTGGCAGGCGCGCGAGAAACGAAGCTGCGGTACGCGTACACGGATTGGCGCGTAGAAGGCGTGTTGAAAGCCCTGGTCCAGGACGATTATGTGGGGTTTTGGCGGCTGAGGAGGGCGGTGGATGGGTATCAGCGGGCTGTTATGGGGTTTGCGGATCAAGGGGTTAGAGTGCATGCGTTGAAATGCTTGGGTAGGGGTTATATGAGTGCTGATAGGCGGTTTGTGGAGCGGTGTACGGATAGGACGTGGGAGGATCTGGTCACGGATGGCGTGGGGTGGGAATTGACTAGTGATGGAGAAAAGGTGCTTATCAAGAAGCCGAAGGGGAGCTGAATGCGTGTGCGTGTAGAGCATGGGAGTTAAGAATGGATCTTCTAATGTCAGTACGAGGCACAGGATTGTTTAGGCTGAACTGGTAAGTTTTCTTTCGCATCAGTACATGCAGTGGTCTAATTTAGATACAGCAGCCTATTGATACAGAGATGCGGTTAGCAGTCACACAAGAGTATGCCGCGGAAAGAAGAAAAGAAGAAGAGCCTTAGAAGGAGCGGGAATAGAAGCTTCGAATGGGGTATCATTTTGGACTCCTCCAGATCGACTCAGTGTCACTCGTCGTCCTCCATCTCTTCATCTCCGCCCTCGCCGGCATCAGCCTCATCATGCCAGACATCATCATCCATATCATAATCGTCAAAGTCCTCCATCTCCTCATCTTCGCCCTCTCCCTCTTCCTCTCCTTCCACCTCGCCCTTATCAGCCTTCTCCTTGCGCTTCTTCTCGACGTTCTCGCGCTGTATCCGTCTCCTCTCTTCCTTCTCCTTATTCCTTTGCGCCCACTTCTTCTCCATCTCCTGTACCTCCGCCTTGCTCTTGGTGATGAATTCATGCCACATGATCTTCCCGCCGCAGACATCCTCCTCGACCTTGGTAAGCCTCAATTTCATTCTCGGCCCTAGCTCTACGAGCTTTACCGCGCGCTTCTCGACGCGAGGTTTCGAGCCGCGGGCGCGCATGTTTGCTGTCGCAGGATCATCGCCACTCTTGAGTCTCTCCTTTTCGCGTCGCGAAAGCACCTTTTGCCGGACGGGGGCTGTAACTTCGACTTCAGCGTCTGTGTCTGCTTCAGTGTCTGAGGCGGATGTGTAGCCCGCAGCCGAGGGGTCGAGCATGTAATCGGCCACGTCCTGCAGCTTGCCTAGATTCGGCAGCGCACTCTTCTTCTTCTCCTTGCTACCGATCAACTTCTCTGCTGCATATAACCGTCTGAGGGCTTTCGGGACGCCGGTGATTTTGGTGGTGATGGCGTAGTGTCGCAGGCTGATTGTGCATGAACCGTTTTCTTCCGACGGCGGCTCGCGGTTCAGAAGGAGCACTCGCTTTATGGTGTGGAGCGGGGTGGTATGTGGTTGGATTGGGGGAAACAAGCCCTGGAACATGTCCGTGACCAGCTTCTCCAGGTGTTTTGGCGGCGCTTTGTCGCCCAGTTCTTCGCGCGCGGTATCGCTTGTCATAAAGTTGTTCATGACGAGCAGCGGTGCGACTTGGAAGTCGTTTGCGCCGGCGCGTGGGTGCCGCAACGACTTCATGATGTCCTTGCAGAGCGAGTAGTTTTGGACGCGGAAGTGCAGCGTGGGGCCACGCGGTGTACGAGCAAGGCGGAGGTTTGTGTTTCCTGATTCCGAGCGCGAGAAGAGGAGGAGGTGGGAGACGCCGAGGGGGCCGGCCATGGTGGTGTAGTCTTTGAGTTTGTTCGCTCTGCGCTCCTGCCATGGGTGTCAGTGTACAAGTTCCTTTTTTCTTATGAAAGGGAGAAACGGGAGACGACATACCTTCAGTCGCACCGCAGTGTCTGGCTCCATGACATGGCGCACATCCTGCACCAGCTGGCTGACGCTGCTTCCCACCTCTTGGGCGCCGATGCGAATCACCATGCTCTTGGGCTGCCCATTGAGCGGCTTCTTCGACTTCTCCTTGTCCGTTGCGGACTGCTTCTTTCGCTGGCTGCTTCCTCGTGCCATTGTGACTGTCCGATTGTGGTGTTGTCGTGAGTGAGTAGAGAATGCGAAGTTGGAGCTCTAGTCTCCAGTCCCCGACTTTTTTCGCGGAAGCCAAGATTTCGACTTTCTTATCTTATCGCCGCCGCTAAAAGTTTTTGGTAGTGAACTGAACCATCCTGCAAAGCCACGAACTTTCTATTCGGTTCACAACACAGCAATATGTCGACCTTCAAGAAGAGGAAGCTAAATGGGACTGCGCCCTCGCCAGTCGTTGCGCCCCCGAAAACAAGACCTTCGAGCTCCAAGCCATCGTCGCAGAAGCCCGCCCTGCAGCGACCCGAGCCCGAGTCGACCGATGACGAAGTCGCTGAGGAAGAGACAAACACAACCGACGCCCACCACTCGAGCCCTGAGGCAGAGGATGAGCCCACTACCGCTGGGGGAAGCAGCGAAGCAAAGAAGACGTTCGCCGACCTAGGCGTCCGAGAAGAGCTCTGCGATGCCTGCGAGAACCTCAAATTCACTACACCCACGCCTATCCAAGTCCAGTCCATCCCTCTAGCCCTCGAGGGACGCGACGTCATTGGACTTGCCGAGACGGGGTCTGGCAAGACGGCCGCCTTTGTGCTGCCTATCTTGCAGTCGCTGTTGGAGAAGCCCCAGGCTTTGTTTGGGCTGATTATGGCACCGACTCGCGAACTGGCATACCAGATTGCGCAGCAGGTCGATGCCCTGGGCAGCATCATCAACGTCAAGTGCGCGACGCTGGTGGGTGGCATGGACATGGTTCCCCAGGCTATTGCATTGTCAAAGAGGCCCCATATCGTCGTCGCTACTCCTGGTATGACTGAGCTCGAGACGAACAATCTTACATCTACTAATCTAACCCAGGTCGCCTGCTCGATCACCTCGAAAACACAAAAGGCTTCTCGCTAAAGTATCTGAAATATCTGGTCCTTGACGAAGCTGATCGCCTGCTCGACCTCGACTTCGGTCCCGTCCTGGACAAGATCCTGAAAGTGCTGCCGAGAGATGGACGACACACCTACCTTTTCTCGGCCACCATGTCCTCAAAAGTCGAGAGTTTGCAGCGTGCAGCTCTCCAGAATCCCGTCCGAGTCTCCATATCGAGCTCATCACATCAAGTCGTATCTACGCTGCTGCAAAGATATTTCTTCCTGCCCCACAAGCACAAAGATCTCTACCTCATTCATCTCCTAAACGACAACATCGGCCACCCAACCATCATCTTCACTCGCACAGTCAACGAGACCCAACGCATAGCCGTCCTTCTCCGCACCCTTGGCTTTGGCGCCATTCCCCTGCACGGTCAGCTCTCGCAATCCGCCCGTCTAGGTGCCCTCTCCAAGTTCAGATCTAGGAGCAGAGATATCCTCGTAGCTACTGACGTCGCATCCCGCGGTCTTGACATCCCCTCTGTTGACCTAGTCGTCAATCTTGATCTGCCTTCCGACTCACAGACCTACGTGCACCGCGTTGGCCGAACCGCGCGAGCAGGCAAATCCGGTAAAGCAGTGTCATTTGTTACACAGTACGATGTGGAGATTTGGCTGAGGATTGAGAATGCCTTGGGCAGCAAGATCGAAGAAGAGGTTATAGACAAGGACGAGGCCATGGTGTATATGGAGAGAGTCAGCGAGGCGCAGCGGGTGGCGATCAGGGAGATGAAAGATATACATGAGCAGAGGGGAAAGGGTAGAGGTGGTGGTGGTGGTGGGAGGGGAAGGGGGGGTGGATTCGCCAAGAGAGGGAGGGATCACATGGATCGGGAGGAGGGATGAGATACTTTGTATGAGGTGCATGTTGATTGTCAACACTGCAATTAGTCATGCTATTTGGTTCCTCATCGTATCCTGCGGCCATTGCTTCATTCGCCTCACCTTGCATCGTCCTCTATTTACACAACCTCAATTGGGTGGTTATGGATGAACACCCAACTGCGTTTTCGATGAGAGATTTATAGGGTGTGGAATACAAAGCGTTTACCAACCTCGTACCAAACCACTTCTGCATTCAACGGTTTCTGGTCTGTTCACTCGTTCTTCTGCACTGATTGGACTACGATGAATCGACGACCAGCGGTAGCCTGACCGGAAAATGCTACGTCTCAGGCAGCGACCTTGAGCGACCACAATACCGAATGAACGGAAAGCATTGAGCTGCTGGTGTACCACCATGTACCACCTAGGTTCGTCCTACATCCTCCATATTTCGCGCCAGAGGTCTCCGCCAACAACCAAGTGGACTAGAATCCCCACTCTCGGGCTTTACAAATTTCCCGTCGTTCTCTTACTTCTTTTACCTTGAATATGGCTTCTTGCTACTTGAAAGTCGGCTCGATCTCAGAAAAGATCGTGCCCTGCAACCACACAGCCATATCTGAAGGAAAGCACACCTCTTGTTGCGAACCTGATGATCTCTGCCTAACAAACGGGCTCTGTCGAAACCCAACTGTCAACGAAGCAACGAACTACGCATGGCGCTTTGGCTGCACAGACGCGACGCTTGCAGATCCATCTTGTGGGAACTACTGCAACAACATCACGAGTAAGCGTGCCGAAACTAGGTAAAAGTGCTCAGGAAACTAATTGTGATAGATGATTTTGATAATCAGTTAACGTGGAAGTGTTCTGGGGATGAGACGTGGTGCTGTAACACAGGCGAGCCCGGACCTGCTAAAGGGCGATATAACCGTACCAACACGACCTGCTGTAGTATCAGTGAGCTATTGTTCCATGCGGCTAACCCGACCGTGTATACGACTGCGAGTCTCATGAGTCTATCGTTTTCGATCGATACCTGGATGGCTTCTGCGACTGCATCGTCTACGACAATTTCCAATATCACAGTGGGAGCGAGTGCATCGGCACCACCTGAAGCAAGACGATCTAACTCCCTTGCAATCGGCCTTGGAACTGGTCTTGGCGCTGTAGCTGCAATTGTGTTGGGCGTTGGGTTCTTGCTCTTCCGGCGTAGAAAGAGACGTGCTAATGAACCACAGGAAGAGATAAAAGAGCATGGGTGTGCGGAAGTGATGAGTAACTGCGTCGTTGAATTGACTGCTACCAAGGAACCGATGGAAATGATGGTTGCCCAACCGCCGTCGGAGATGGACACGAGTGTAGAGCCGGTGGAGATGCCTGGTGGAGAAGAAAGAGAGAGGTGTTGCCGAAGATAGTACCGTGGAGTCTACCTTGAGTTTTGAGGTTTGGAAGAGACTTGCTGTCATCTCGAATGCCTAGGAATTTCACACTCCAATTCATTGACTCCCATCTGCGCCTTCCGCAAGCATCTCCTTAGATATCAGCTTGGGACTCACTCGCTGGCGCTACAGCACCACTTTCATCACCGAAATGCATCTGTTCAGCCGCTCCCTCGACTTCTTGCAGCACTTTCAATTTCCCTTCGCACACAAGCTTTTTCCCCTCCATCTCCTTCCTTAGAACCAGAATCGTTGGACTGAAGCCCTCGAGCGCATCCAGCAACGCGAGCGTCGTGCTGATGGTGTCAAGATGCGCCTGAGTTGCAAGCCTTGCTTCGTCAATAGTCGCGTGAATGAGGTCGCGTGTTTCCCAGTTTTTGATGTCAAGATTGAGCGTGGTGAGGGTCTTGGTAATAGAGTGGGTGTCAGTGTCGATGTCAGTGTTGGGCGCTTCAACGATGTCTCCAAGAACAGCCTCTTGCGCCGTTGTCGGTGGAAGTCTGGTAGTTGGTGGGTTCGAAACTGCATCCTTGGGGTTCTCCGTGGGCTCAGTGTGAGGTGACTCAGAGAGCTTTAGAGGAGACGCGTCAGTGCTGGAGTTTGAATAGGCACCGTGGTGAAAGATATATCGGAGAAGACTTTTGGGTGCCATCGTGCTGCAGGAGGTAGCGAGTAGTTGAAAGAGAAAGAAAGTTGTGCGATGATGTACGTGGAGCTGGAAATATTTTGAAATAGTGACGTCGGAAGCGTCAGCGTTGTTGTTGGTTTCACTTTCACCACAAGACAATTGCGTTTGCACATAACCTCCCGGTTTGAACCAAGACCCAAAGACTTGACTTCTAAGACTATTCAACAAGCAGCGATTGGAAAAGACAACGACTGAAACAAAGAACTAACAAATCACTCTCCGCACTTCTACCACTTTGACCGATCGTTGTGCACTGCCTCCCTTCCCCGCAGATACTGGCTCCTACACTCGTCCAACTCTTTTAGGAATTCCTGTACTCGAGCAACGATCTCTACGCTCGGAACATCCGGGTCCACACGACCATCGAGCCAACTTTTGATCACCGCATCGTTATTGTACTCGTCGAATACCTTCCGCACCTGACGCGTGAAGTCCTCCCAAGAACCCCTCTCTTTTTTCACTCTCTCCATCTCCTCAGTTAGAAACCTGATGGTCCTACAGTCGCCTATGTACTCTGTCAGCCGATTTTCGAGCCAAGTCTCCGGGGCAAGTTGGGCTGCGAGTTCGTCGCGTTCGAAGACCAGTCTGCGAACCTCAGCGGACGACATGGAAGTATCGGACTTTGGCGAGGCGGGACTGAATAATTCGGTCTCCATGTCGTCAGGTGTTCCTGTCATGGTTGACAAGTGATGAAGATTTACAGGCTGCGAGACATGTCGCTTTTATCTCCACTCTTGGAACTTCGAGACTGAGAGCAATTATCCCGTGCCTATTTTCTTTGATCAGATGTTACTACGCTAGTACGCACAAACTACCGTAGCAAGCGTGATTCATTGGGTGTTACAAACCGTGTTATAAATACATACCTTTTTGGTTGCATGGCGTAGCGGGTGCGGGCAGCGAGATCTCGTCGCCGACACGGTGCAGCATCCAGAAAGAAATCACCTGCGTCAACCTAAAATTCGCACAAGAGAAGCTTCGAATAGCTCAAAAGTTTGGACATGTCTCTCAGCGGGCAATTCTCGTGTGATGGTGGACCTACTCTCCGTTCTTGGCGCTCTCGTGGGCGTAACGTCTCTGATCATACAGCTCACAGATGAATGTGTCAAAGTCTCAGCCTCCTGGTGTTTAACGTTCTAAGCTAATTAATTAGTTGTTGAAATGACGGTCTGTACACAGCAGCACGTGTTACCAAGACATGCACGTGCACAGTAACACTATCCCGGTACCCGCCCAAATCGCCAAGGACTGCGTCCTCAGCCCTGTTCAGTTCTACGCCAAATACCACTCTAACACCAAAACTGTCTCCATCTTAAATTTTGACCTATTCTCTGGGTGCTGCGGTGTACGGCTTCCAGTTGCCAATCCATAGTTGTTGGAAGGATGTTCCATGAGCGCCATGATCTCGAAGTTGGCGCCAAACTGCGACAGCGTTAGCTGAGCAGGAGAGTCTCCCATGTGAAGCGAAACCTACGTCCTTGACCGACTCGATCCGCTTGATGAGCGCTGCTTGTTGGTCTGCACGCACGCAGTCACTGAACCGGAGAGCAGCAAACCGGCATGAGTCGACGTCCGCCTTGAAATTGGGGTTTGGGATAGCGGTATGGGTAAAGTCGCCCGCCTCAGGGATGGTATCTAGCGGACGGAGAGTAGACTGATTCTTCGATGTGGACACGCAGGGGTTGGGTTGACAGGAGCTCACAGCGCTGGGTTAGGGCAAAGTCCGTCAGCCGGGCTTGCTTCAAGTCTCGTTCTGCCACCACATTCCCTTCACTTTGTTCTAGCATCCAACAAGGTTACTAATCAGTGTTAGAGTAGACCAGCGAACCATGACTCTACAAGGATTCACAGCGCACTTGCAGAGCGACGGAAAGCACTCATCACGCATGAAAGTCAAAAGTTCTCACATACGTTGACCACAACGGTCATTCTTTTTCATAATTTCTTCATCGATCCACACCCGTCTACTACTGTCACTACGTCCACTCCACTACATCTTCCGTCCTTCTCACTCTTAAACGTAGACATATTCAATCTTCATGATGGGAAGGCACCCAGGCTCGTATGGCTGGGGGACAGGGAAGGGAGAAATGTGGACCGGAGAAGTAGGGTAAGAGGGAAGAGCGGCGACACTGGAGGAAGCAGCAGCGCTTGACGCAGCAACAGCGCTTGACGCAGCAACAGCGCTTGACGCAGCAACAGCGCTTGAAGCAGCAACAGCGCTTGAAGCAGCAACAGCGCTTGGGGCAGCAACAGCGGTAGACGACGCAACAGCGCTTGACGACGCAACAGCGGTAGCCGACGCAACGCCAACAGACGAGGCGACGACGGGGGAAGAAGCGCTGGGTGTAGGGGTGGGAGCGGCACATAGAGGGGCGGCGTCATTGAGCTTTCCAACGGCCCAGGTCGAGGCGTCGTCGGTGTACAGCTCGAAGTAGCTCAAGTGCTTGTTAACATCGTTGCCGTTGGCGCAGATTGGGTCTCCCTTAGCGCAGTAAGAGCGCAGGACGGGTGCGTAGCGGTTCAGGCGCGCGAGGGAGGCGGCGCTGCGGCCGTCCTTCTGCAGACCGGCGCCGTCGAGGACGTTGTATGGCTGGTTGGCCTCGTGCATGACATCGCCCCAGAGGAGAGCAGCAGCAACTAAATTACCACATTAGCACAGTCCAAGATCCGAGTGTGTCATGTCAAGAATACTTACTAGCATTACCAGGAGCCGAGGTGTTGTCCAAACCGGTGGTGATCTGGGAGCAACCCCCAGGTCCACCAAGAATATCTCCAGTAATCCAGGCGCCCTGAGAGAAGCCGTTAAGGATAATGTGCGTGCAAGGGCACTTCTTGTTGAAAGCAGTAATCTGGGATTGACCGTTGCGGACTCCCGTAGCAATCTGTTCGCAGAAGTTGCCGTTGATCATAGTCTCGAACACAACCTCAATGAAGTCGCAGGTCTTGCCCTCAGCCCTCAGCTTGCCGCACGTAGCTTCAACGAAGGGGAAAGTACGGCTGTCCTGGTACGGCGCATTGTTACCGCGGGCCATGAAGATAACGGCATCGGCGCAGGGAGCGTCGAGCTTGGGGGCAGTGGTTCCTTGAGCGACAGCGACGGCGGCGACAGCGCTGAGCGCGAGAGCGTTGCGGATAATGGAAGACATTATTAAGGATTAAAGAAAGTGGTATTAATTGGTCGTCAAAAAGCGAGTGTACTGGTTAGATTGCGAGGTTGGAAGACCTATGAGACGAGAGAAAGACCTCTTGGCTTTGGGGAAACAGTCTTTAAGAGGAACCCTATACGAGCCGTTCATTTTGCAATGGTCTGAAAAGCGGAGTGTGCCTGACTAGATTAGGAGTTGGATGCGTTTTTGGGAGAGCTAAATCACCGTCAGGGGTTATTCGGCCCGACCTCGTGTGGATTACCAAGCAGTGAAGACCTGTTATTTATCTCGTCCTTAGTAAATAGTATGAGAGCAAAGTGTTAGGCTGTAACGGCTGTGGTGGCCACACGAAGTATTGAAATCTATCATCTCAATGTAGTATAGCTTGCAAGATAGCCCCTGACTTTTCTCTACCGGGATTATTTCTGCTACCCACCAGTAGAGGATGGCCCAGGGGCCGGATATCTCATTGATGGATACCGTAAAACTCTGCCATGTTTGCGTCATGGGTCAACGGGGCCCCGATAGTGACTTGTTTCTCCAGCCGGGAATGACGCGCTTCGAGACGCAGAGATCATCTGGGACGTTGCTGATGAGGTTTGCGTCGAAGATGATATTTACCTCAGGCGGTCAAACAGTGACCAAGAAAAATGCTAGCGTGCGCCACCATCTCGACGTCAATGCTTACACCCCTATTTCCTCGTCTGACGTCTGAGCTTGTCTGAGATAAGACATCGTGCACGTCCCTGGCCGACCCGAAATGTCTTGGCGTTTTCTCACATCTCCACCTGCTACTCCTCTCACCACCTTACTGTGTTATCGTAACGTGGGGAGTCAATACGAAAATCGTCGTACAGTGACATGTCCAGCCTGCATCATTGTCAATGCTTGCTCGATCGCATAGCTCATGATGATCTAGTCTATGGTGTCATGGTACCTCGCAGTTTCCACGCTCGACACGCGCCTGCCACCATCATGTGCCTGAACTTTCCACCAGCAGCGACAGCTCAGACGGAGCAATGGAGCATGTGCCCTTGCCAGAGACGCAACACGGATGGGACAATACCGTCAAATCACTTGCAGCTCACGGAGAGTTGCGATAGGGAGAGAGGGGGAGGCAGCGCAGCGAGTCCCCAGTACAAGGCTGTGCAGGCGCTCGAGCTAGAACACGTTGCTATTTTAAGATTGGACCAACTGACTCAAACAAACCAAGCAAACAAAACAAACTGAACAAAGATAATTCTTGCGCTACAAGCCGTGAATTTAATACAGTAAAATACACAGCCGCTAATACACACCAGTATGCGCTAAAGCAACGAAGGATCGTAAGACCACTTATTCTGCTCGGCAAAACTCCCGGAAGCACAAACGTCGAAGGCATAACAACTTCAAAATGCAGGAACCTTTCTATTGTTCCCAAAACTACCATTGTATTATATAGTTTTGATATATCACGAATAGGTGTTACATAAAAGTAAGCTACTTAAAAGCTGGTAAACCCCTTTACTAGTGGTCACACAAAAAAGCGTAACAGAAGTTTGCACAAAAACGCTAGGTCTCGTTGGTTGTCGGCAGGTTGATGCAGGAGCTAAGCTCCAAAAGCTGCATATCTTTTAACAACTGTGCGTAGACAGGGGTTATGCGGTTAAAAAAGATCTAGAACTAATAATAAAACAATCAACAGCATAGCCAACAGGAGTGTAATTTTCACATCGCACACTTGTGCTGGGTGCGGAATTAACTAACGCATAGCAATATACTACTTACAGCTTCAAAAACTTGTATAAGAGTAATTTATAATGTCTAAATCATAAAATCATCTCATTACGGGGTGGTTCTTGTTACGTAGTGGGGGCTATTACATACAATCTGCTGCGCGGTTGAGCGATTGCCGGAACCGGGAGCCTTTACAGGAAATTTTACTAGAGACGAATGTCTGGACAATGGTATCTGTATGAACAGACGAAGATACGAGGCGAACGGCTCACCAGTCGTATCCTATTGGAGAGAAGAATGTACTGCGATGGACTGACGAATTGGGACGTGTTTGAATGTTTGCACTGATAATGTGGGTATACTCGATTCTGGCGTTGAATCATACTGATTTAAATTAGGTTAATGGTGGCAACGCACAAATGACGCCTTGCGACGGTACACCAACATCAGAGAAATTGTGCTGTGGGGCAAACAGAGACTGCTGCACAAGCAATGCTATTGCCATCGCGAGATCCTTTAGTGTGTCATCCGCCGCTTCGTCTACCATAGCCCTGTTTTCGACAGCAGCGTCAGCGTCATTTTCACCAACTATATCAATAATTCTTGAGGCCTTGTTTTGTATCCCTCTGCATGGCATTACGCACTGTTTGTTTACGAAAAGTCAATTCATCTTTAGGAGCTTATTATAAGCTACGGTTCTATATTATGAATCTATTCCTATGCATGCGAATTGAGACCATTACAAAAATGACACGGAATAATGGGACTGTAAGCATAGATAAGAAAGACATATCCGCATTGCACTTACAAACCAAGGGAAGGTCAATGCTAAGGCTTGAGTTCACGCCTCCACATTCTTGATGTAGAAGAGCATCATCAGAAGCCTGCGGTGTTGAAAGACTGTGATCTTCTCAACAGTCTTGTGGCCGAGCTGGTTCTTGTGTTGGATCAACAGATACGCAACACTGCTCCCATTTGGCGTACCAAGCAGCGCCTGACCCTCTTTGGAGGTAGCATCATATGATGTACCTGGCCACGCTTTCGTCTCAGTACCATTTTCAAGGTTGATGGTGTCTACCATGGAGTTGGTCAAATTGTTGACTACATTGTACCGCAGAATATACCTCAAATCCGAATCGGCATTCTGTTTTTTCATCAAGTCCCACTGAAGAAATGCGATGTCAGACCAGTATTTAATCATCGGAACTTGTGCGTCATAATTACCAGACTCTTTAAGCGCCTCCATCGGTGAGATGTTATCGTAAGCCACAATAGTGCCCTGAACATGATTGATAACCTGGCAGAAACGCGCCCCGGTAGGTGGATACACCATGCTCTCGAAATCGTAGCGTTTGCAATGCTCGTGCTCAACACTACTATTGAAGCCGGTCTCATCGAAGAATTTCCACTGCAGGCCGATGGCTTTTAGGACGTCTTGCATGGTAATGAAGAAAGGCTCTGTTGAAGGGAAGAATACTTCATATACGTAACCATAGCGTTTTAGTTCCTTATCGTCGAGGAAGGAGCTCTGAGCGGAATCTCGCGGGGGATTGAACATGGTCTGACCTGCGTGATAATCGTTCAAGAGCATCAAGTTTTGAAGCAACGAACCTTTTTTCTGAAGAGCCTGTGCATGGACATCCCGTAAAGGATATTTGTCGGGTGTTGTGAGAGATTCCGTGACTTCGTTATGCTGAACCATCGTCTTTGTATGTTTAGCGGCCTCGGGGTGGGCTGCCAGACTACCAGCAAGATCTTGGTAGAGTGCTTGAAGGCCAGACATGTCGATCTTTGGAATGAGAAGGTACTAAAGGATGACAGGCGTGCTGGTCTGATAATCGAGATGATGACTAGAGAAGAAGGAGGGGAGAATATGCTATGAAGACTAGGTAAGTATTTGAGCGGAGTATATGCTTATCCAAATTGCACTGTGAGCGACTAACTACACAAGTTTACAATGTATGCAGTAATCTTTGTAAGATGACACTGTGTAAAACTTGCTTTAGACTGACTTGCGAGCCGACGTCGACTGGCAGCCTCAAACATTGTGAGCTATCGGCTTTTGGATTAAATACATGACATTTGTTAAGGGTCTACAACCAAACACTACCTTTCGAGCTATCGCCAGTCTTAGGATGTGTACTAGCACCTCGGCGCAAAAATTAATGTATATCATAAATACTCATATATTATCTCTCGACGGCTGACTTGTGATACTAGATTCCGAGGACAGGAGCATCAAGTTCCGAAATATTGGAGCAAGATTCCCAATCCTTACATCGTCACTGAGTTCCCCAGTTGTGGATAAACACGAGGACCACTAACTCTTAGTTACTAAGGGCTGACGTAAGAAGGCACAAATCCTTCTGGCCACTGTCCCGTCATCCCAAAGACGCCAGTCGCCTTGCTTCGAACAGCTTGCTGAGTGGCATACTGGGCCACATTCTCCTCCCACTCCTTCATACTCGTCTCACCCTTCAGAACTTTGATCAATGTTAACGCCTGCATGGCAGCAATATCGCAGCTTGCTCCTAAATGTGGTCGAATTTGCGTAAACGCTTCACCTGCTAGTAGTAGCTTCCCATCAAAGAAAGCTGACACCTTATTGTCAAAGGATTGAATGACAGTCAGCAAAGGCAATTCTGACTGTGCAAAGATCCCATGCCAAAGCGACGACAGCACGTCCTTCCTTCGTGCTAGTTGCGCCTTCCACACTTCGGGCTGAAGAATACGCGCAGGCACTGTGACGTTGTGACGCTTTCCGTCGACATCGGTCATAAACTTGGTGAACGTGGAGGACAAAATATCGCAAGGGTCGTACCAGCACCACTCAACAACTCGCTCGCCAGGTTTCATGCTGCCATATTCGTTGGATGTCAGGTAACTGCTGAATGTCAACAAACACGACAAAATGGAAAGCAGGGGACCCACGCCAGGATATAGCCTCCGTCAAACATGAACATAGCCAGTCTCCCCTGTAAAGCTCCTTTTAGCTCATCCGGCGTTTCGCTTTCGGGAAAACACCCTCGCCAAGCAAGATAGCCCGCATACTCAGGTTTGACGCCAGGAAAGACTTGGCCTCGAACGACTGAGCGAGCGCCGTCTGCGGCGACGACCAGATCTGTTAGCACTTCAAACTCGACTCCGTCATCATCTTTATAAACCACTTTTACGGAGCCATCATGTTCCATCACGCTCCCAACCTTTTTCCCCATCTCGAAACGTACCACGCCATGTCCTTTCACATCTCCCCTACAGGCCTCTTTGAGTATACCGTGCACATAAGCCCAGCTTGAAGTGCGAACATCCTCTCGAACCGGTACCTCTGCCAGAACTGTGCCATTTCCATTCATAATCTGCATTTCCGCGTTTCGGATGGCGATAGAGTCCATATTAACACCTGGTACATACTGGGTAATCAGACTTTGCGCATTCGGCCAGAGGCTAAGACCCGCTGCTCGTGCTAGCATCTGTTCATTAGAGCGCGACTCGAGGATACGAACGTTGCAGCCAAGCGACTTCAACGCGAGAGCGTGCATGAGGCCAGAAATTGACCCGCCAATCTGTAAAGCGAGTCAGTACGACGAGTAACGGTAGATGAGAAGAGCGCACTATAACAACATCCTTCTTAACGGCAACTAGCATGGCGATGATCGGATCACGGGATAGGAACAGCGAGTGGACTTGAACAAGGCCCGTGAGCGCGCAGATGCTGTAACCTAGTACGTCCTGTTGGGGCATACGCGTATAAATAGGAAACAAAAGATTTACGAACAGCCTACCCCCAATACTACATGTTGGGCTATAAATAGGAACTTACTTGACACTTACTTCTCTGCTGTGTCGGGTACAGGATGTAAACTACACCCCTCCCCTAGCTCGGGAGCGTAGCGTAAATATTGAAATGTTAGCGTTAGGCCTCCTATTTGCTATGACCCTTGCTTAGTACTTAGACCCAGCTCGTCTATTCTCAGAAAAGGGATATACTAAAGAAAACTAGAGATTCAAGCTTAGTTTACAAGGTTTTGTCCCCTGTAAGGGGCTTCTTAGGTCCTTATCTATTGGAAGGAAAATGTGAACATCCACGCAACGCCCCCAAGCCGGGTGAGGGATGTATGTGGCTGCTGATGACAGGCTGAGAGAAATGTGCAACCCAATACGGCTAGGTCCGGATTATTCACGTGAATAGGCGTTCGCAGGGCGTAAATGGGTGTCGGCTCATCGGTATGACGCAATACCTTACTTATACTACATCTATCAGCAATAGTAAAACCCAAATAGAAGAAAAATAAACGGAGCACTGTTATTTGTAGATCACTCACTGCAGAAAGTAAGTTTACAGCACGGCAGGATAGATGAGGTTAACAAGAGTCACGTGTCAGATCAAATGTTTAACCTCCTGACTAGTAGACTTGATTGTCATCCTGCGTATGTCCTGCTGGTTTATTGCCTCACTCTTTCGATCTCGATAATTTCAATAAAACAGAAGGTAAAGGCGTTTCTCGGGAAATCGTGTAATAACCTTTACAAATTACTTTTACTAATTGGAGCGTAGGCTTCATGGACTCTTTACGTATAAGAAATCACCGGATACTGCTAACATCTCCTACACACTCCTTATTCTGATGAAAGATTTGACAAGGTCCAAGGGAATATCACCGTAGATTGCCGAGAGAGTTTGTTCTGCCGAAGCCACAGCATATTGGTATGGTGAACCACAGAAGTCGTAGCACTCCCCTCTTGGTTTCTCAAATTTGTCGCTACCAAAAACACATTGCGGATGAAGACCCCAGGTGTTCGCACTGTTGCAGCGCAAGAACTGAGGCTCTAGGAGCTAAGGGAATGTTCGACGTTGTTGCCTTGCATCGCCGGATCCTTCGCCACACAAAGAATCTTATCGCGTGGTGATCATCAATTTCAATCCCTGGCTGAGCAGTTCCGGCTCTCGCCCACCTAAGTGCATTCATTAAAGTTGGTCAGGTCTTATGATCAACGCTATGAGACTCCACTCATCCTTCCTGATCATTCGCTGATTTTTGTCGCTGATTTGTGTAGTTTCAGGCACCAATCTCTGACTTCCTATCGGCACATATTCGCCATTATCTCTGTACTGTAGCCATTTCAATCATCAGGCGAGAACGTATCCAGAGCGTGATTGTCACGGGCTGACAGTCCCCCCGATCTTAAAAGCAACCCGGGTATTCCTGACCACTTGTACTCCTCTTTGAAGCCTCTTTTGAGAATCTGATCTAGGGAATCGAGCTTGTCGGCGTTTCTCTTAAGGGTTTGGAAGATGGCTTCTGGAGTCATATCGCCTCGGACGGCGAGCAGACGAGAATTGATGAGCAGGTGTCTGGGTGCTATCGTTATCGTATGACGACCTATACTTTCTGTCCTCTGTAGGTGACCTTTTTGAATGGATGGTCCGGGTACGTGCAACCCACAACGAGGGAGCGCTATTGGCGGGCTTAAAATGTTCCCATCGGGATCGTTTATGTACTCTCTCGCTTGGCTATCGCGACGCTCTCTCTTTACGCCCATGTGGATATGGTCGTCAACATTTTCTGTAATGTTTGTACATGCAGTACTGCCACCTGAGCTTGCTTTACCAACATTACTAGAAGTCGGAGAGACAAATGAAGCCGAGCTTGGTACAAAACTGGAGGTCTGGCTCAAGCTACTCCTAGTATGGTTAGGACGTAGACTGTTCCGGTCCGAGGTCATTGGTGAAACGCTTTGAGTGTTCGTTTTACGTGACAGTGGTTTGTGTGGTATTCTCGTCGAAGCAGTTGTGGAAGGTCGTCTTTCAGATTGCACGCTCCCGACGTTTGATCGCGATGTGTAATTTGAACCAGATTTACGCGTACGTGTCCTTGATAGGTTTCGAGGCAGAAAGCTCTCTTCGCATCTTTCAAGAGATTCCGTAAATTCGAGTAGCGCACCCGCCGCAGGAAGAGAGTCGATGGCCTCGTCTTTTTGTTGATACAGCGTAAGATTTGTCTTCGCAGTATGCATCAACTCTTTGTTTGTGCGGTGTACCGTATGTGTATTTTGTCTATCACGGATTAGCAGACGAAAACAACTTTCGTGTGACGCACATTTCTTGCTCTACCATTATGATCTTGTCTTCAATCTGCATCCCATATCTTCCCTCAAGCTCCTGTCGAACCCGTGTATCCTTAAGAGCAGCTCTCAGGTATTCAAGCTCAACATCGAGTTTCTTAATGCATACGAGGTTGCTGAATCCGCTCATACACTCCCTTGCCACGCTTAACGAGGCTCGAAGCGCACCCACGGAGCTCTTGCTAAAGAACCACTCGAAATGTGCAGCAAAAGTGTCAGAAATGGAGTAGCGATATCGATGATTTGATCCAACAGCTTGAACTTTATCTAATAGTTTATGAAGATTGTCAATAGTCGATTTGGCCCAGGAGGCCAGGCGGCCGATAGAGGATTTAGTGCTGGTGCATTTCTCCAAGTCATCAGCACAGGTGCGCAGGAACGTTTGGTATAAACCTGCAAAGATGATCGTTTCGTTAGCGAGATCTGACACGTCCCGACGGGCGTGCCGAACTCGCTTGGTGGCCTTTTGAATAGAACGACCGATGCGAATCAACTGAGAACTGAGAGCAATGCCTGCTGCAACAGCACCAAAGATTTCCGCCATTCTAAATGTTGAATCGATTCAAGTATTATGAAAATCTGTGTTGAGATAGAAGAGATAGAGTTCTAGGAGGGAGGGTGCTAACGTTTTTGTAAAACCTGAGAGAGCTGGAATGAAAGGCAGCCTTATGAAGACGTTGACCGGTGAACTTGTGGTTCTGTCAAGGCTGTATCACATCCGCCAACCAGCGATTTTTGACCCTCTCCTTGACGACGGGAGGTGCATACTCGCGCATAGCGGGGTTTGCGCAGCATGAAGACTTAGCGTTCCAAGCCAGCAAGCGCATTCTCATCGACGTGTACTCATAACACCGAGTTGTCGTGGGTCGAATTCGCGTCGACCTAGTTCACCTAGTTCTTGCTGTCATAGAGCCTAGATGCGACTTTATAGAGGTCTAATATCCCCATCTTAATGAGTTATATCATATGTCAGCAGCGAACAAGATGATGTGAGATAATGGAAGGCGTTCTTTAGAGGCCCGCGCCCCATGCGGAGACGTGGCTTGTAGTTATTGGGAAAATGCGAATAAGTTGTACAATGTGATGCCTTGTTCCCATTTGCGCTCGTGCTCTCCCGCGGTCACCCAAGCCTCGCGACTTGTCTGCGCAGCGCACGGTCACTGATCACGTGGGCTAATATTACTTGCTCTCTTTCTGCCTGCTCGGTCAGGTAAGGAGGCGTTAGAGTCAGGACAAAGGGGGAAACTGAACTTGGTCCATGAGATTTGGCATGGTTGCGCTGAACGCGGGCTCGTTGTTGACCTGACAGGGCCCACAACGCGGACCCCCCACGTCCAAGCGCGAAAGTGCGCGTCGTCATCCTTGGACAAACATGGCTTGCACTGATCTCGTCGTCCCTCTAACCCCATCGTATCGGGGGCCGATTATTTCAACTGGTGGACCTGAAAGTATTGCTCTAATTTCATGCTTCGAGCGTAGAGTTCTAGAAGTTCCCGCTTGGCGATCCCCACAATTCAACCGTCAAGCACGTTCTCGTCATCGATGTGGCAATCTCCATAAAATATCGCCATTCTAAATATAGCACTCAACAACCCAAACAAGACATGCCCTTAGCACAGCTAGAATCGTACATTCCATAAAACTTCTTGAAATGCATAGGTCTCGGCAGATCGACAGCCAAGAGCATCCAGGTCGAGAAACACGAGCCTCATCCACGTCACCAGCCTTGGCATGCGGCGCTATGCGCAGGAGCAAACATTTTTCTTCTTAATTGAAAAGCTCTTCAATTCTACATACACTTAATCAATTCGTCCGTTTATTTCGACACAGTATTGTTTATTATTGTCTATATCCTTAATACTTTGCTATCATGTTGACGAAATTCGTGTCTCTTCTCGCCCTGGCTTCCACAGCCGTCGCGCAGAGAAAGGGCTTCAACTACGGGGCAACGAACGCCGATGGCTCTTGTCGCGGCTACAACGACTTCGTCCGTTTCTTCAACGAGGCCAAGTCTCTACCCGGAACATCTGGGTTCACCTCAGCGCGCCTTTATACCTCCATCCAATGCGGTACCGCCGCTGATCCCATCTCAGCATACCGCGCTGCGATTGACACCGATACCTCGATTCTCGTAGGACTCTGGGCCAGTGCTGGTCGTGATGCGTACGAGAAGGAGCTCAACGCGTTAATTCGTGCCGCCAATGAGCTGGGCAACGCCTTTACGGATCGTATCATTGGCATCAGTGTTGGATCTGAGGACTTGTACCGCAGCAGCCCGCAGGGTGTTGCAAACAAAGCTGGACCCGGTGCTACGGGTGGAGAGATTGAGGGATATATCGGCTGGATGCGGGATTGGATTAGGGGTACCAGGCTGGAGGGCAAGCCCATTGGCCATGTTGATACTTGGACTGCGTGGGTCCTCCCCGAGAACCGCGGTGTCGCAAACACGGTCAACTGGCTTGGACATAATTCGTTCCCATACTTCGAGAGTACCCGACCCAACGCGATTGAGCAGGCGCCAGAGAACTTCTGGTCTGCTGTTAGGCAGACCGAGGGTGTGTCGGGTGGAAAGGAAGTTTGGGTCACGGAGACCGGCTGGCCACATGGTAAGTCGAAAGTGCTGTGGTATGAAGAGCAACATAAGCTAACTCACGTATTTAGTGGGACCCAACTCCGGCTCTGCCGTTGCCTCGCTTGAGAACGCCAGACGTTATTGGCGTGAGGTCGGTTGCTCGCTATTCGGCAACCGCAATACTTTCTGGTACACCTTGAAAGACGCAAACACGGCACAGACGGACCTCTCCTTTGCCGTTACGCCACTCCAGAACAACACACCTTTCTTTGACTTGACTTGTTAAGCAGCACGCTTCAACGTGGTAAAATCGAGGGCATGGAAGTGTACAGAAAATCTTTGCACTCATACCGTTCGACTTGTAAACGATAGCGACAAATATATAAGCAAGAACAATATTCAAGACGATCTTCGTGTCCACATCACTCCCCCTTTTGGCCATTGATCTAGAACAAGATCCTTCAGACTCCCTAATTCTTTGTATATGGAGTTGTTCAGGATAAGTCTTGTAGTAACGGGAGCGGCATACATCCATCCTGGATATGAAGAACAGGCAGACAGTCATTGCGAGCGCTAACGACCTAAGCTAACCAAGCTGAGGTTTAAGCAGATGAAGAGATGAAGCTTTGCAGTACCTATAACCAGGATTTATAACAATGCATATGGTAGTAATATTGCAATTCTGAGGAAGGGAGCTCATTTGGTTAGCTTCTTTTTCGATAAATATTAATACTCTCTGTTTCTAGACCAAATATTGGATGTGAAGGTGAAGGTGACATTCGAAGCCCGGGCGATTGCTCCTGCCATCATATCATTGCTTCAGCTGACCTCACCTCTCAGGTTGGTCACTTTCTCATCAACACCACACTCTCACTACAACACACCTACAACCAGACTGTGCTTAAAGATCTGTCACCCACCATGCGCATCAATCGGCGCCCCTGTGCGTCTGATCGCCACCATGACCACGACCACGCAGTTACGCAAGACCCACATCGCGCTGATGTGCGCATTGGCGCCTCTTCGCGCAACGTCGAGTAAGCTGCAGCACTCTCTTCATCTTGCATTACTAACTGGCTCCAGACATTTCAGGATGGAAGCTCTTGGTGACTCCCTCCCGGTATACAGCGAGTCACTTCCCGATGGGATAGACATTGACGGCGAAATGCCGCCCGTCGCTTCCATGTTCCAAGATCCAGCACGCTCACTGAAGCATGTTACCTCACTGTTGATTATACTACTGGGTGCTCACCAAATCTAGTCGCGCTCCTGCCAAGATGGTCGACACTGGTAGGTGGATACAAACCCCACAACCGTGAAATCTTGATCAAATCCACTAAGAGACTTCACGGTAACTAACTGGAACAAGACAGCCTTCTCGAGTTCCTTACCGTCTCGATCAGACTACAAAAGCACGAGTCCAGACTCAATCGGCGCGCAACTACGATCTCCGAAAACCGCAAGGATCCGTTCTGCTAAAGAGCACCGAACACACGGCGCCTCAATATTGTCACCCAAAGTCGGACATGGACAATCACTCAATGGCAGTGCGAAAATCTCCAGTCCGTGACAGGAACTAAGAATGAGTTCAATTACAATGGTGACAAATTTAGAGGTAATTTCGGGACAGTCATCATTCAGCGGGGTCTAGACGGTAACAACGTTCTTTCCTTATTTCACATAGGCAGCCACTGCCAGCTCCGCCTCGATTACGCTTTCAGCAACGCCCGGGTAGCTGTATATCTTAACCAACTTCAATCCCGCCTTTGTGAGGATGGCCTTCCAGTCCGCCTCAGTCCTCTCACGGACTGCAAAGTGAGCCAACATCATCATGTCCATCGAAGTAGCCGCGATCGTAGGATGTTCCTCCGATAGGACAATCTCATTCAACAGTATCCGGGAATAACCAGGCTTGAGTGCTGGCTTCAAACTCTCCAGAATCTTAATACCCTCCTCGTCACCCCAGTCATGCAGGATAGAGTGGAGCGCATATGCTCTCGCTGCCTTGATCGGCTGGGGAGTGAAGAAGTCGTGAGCCTGGCTTTCGAAAGGAAGCTTTTTTTTGTCCTGGATGCTGGCGATGACAGGTTCACGATCTTGCAGAACAAGCTTTCCAGGGTGCGAGGCGTGTTGTGTTGCGAACAATTGGACGTCGTGTCCACGGCCGCCTCCAACATCTACGAGAAGCACATCGTTGTTGCTGGGGTCAAAGCCTTTGATCAAACGCCCAGCAACTGGGTAGAAGCCCGGATCGTACCAATTTGCCTTTCCAGCGCGATACGCAGACATGAAGGCATCAAACTCATCCAAGTGAGGAGGCGTAGCAACCAGCCACGGAAAGAACGGCAGCTGGGTTCCATGAGCTGCTTGAAACGGGCCATCCGTCAGAGATGTCGGCAGCTTGTAGTCGGTCTTCTTAAAAAATTCCGGAAAGCCATTGAACGATGGTCGAGCCACATCGTAGCAGAAGTCGATGCTCTTCTGATAGTTATCTGCTGCTAGCCCATCGCTCAGTGCTGTACCAAAGAACTTCCCATTGAAGAACGAGACGATCTTCATGGCGATAAGGTGACGCATGATGCGTTGTAGTAGTACCACATCGACGCCCGTCTTCTGTGCCAGATCATCTGAACTAATGCCGGCGTCGCTAGCATTTTTCAGGTGCTGGAACAGCTTAACTTCCACGGCAAACTTGCAGTGCGCTGACAATGCCGGCTGTAGCACGATCAGTACAGTAAGCGATTGTGTTTATGGCATTCCTGTCACTGACCTCAGCCCAGAAGCTCCTTTGGAGGAATTCACTGGGTATTTCAAGTGCGGCGATAAGATCCCTGCCAAGTTCGATGAGCGATTCACGCGAACCTATCTCATCGCCTTCAAAAGCTCTACCAGCAGCGGCGATGCGCTCAAGGATTGGAAAAACCGGGTTTCCCATTATTTCGATTGAAGATATCGAAGTCTATCTGTTTACTACGCAGAAAGAAGTGACATAGGCCCTGAGAAAAAGACTGGACTTATAGTAGCGGTCCCACTCCTCCTACCTTTCCACTCGTGAGGCACGGTAACTGACTCGCGACATTAGTCTGTGTGTTCCTTGTCTTGAAGCTGGTTTACTTCCCTCTTGCACATCCTAAACTGCGAAGACATGTTCAAAAAGCCAGCGATCTTCGCGGTCTTGAGAAGAAATAATGGCCGGACGAACTCTAACTGTTGCTGACCTTTTCGAGGTTCTTGTATGTCCCAGTGATTGCTCCAGGCGCCTGTTGTGCGGCCTGGCGGATGTGACGGGACGCACACCCCCCACCGCCCCACCCGTGAATACTTGGACTTTAGCGCCACACCAGATCTATCGTACGCTTCCTTTTCGCCCTAGTTTAGCCTACTATTTAGATTGTACGTATGGCTAGGAAGCAGCGTAGCCTAGAGATACAGACCTTGACCAACACATGTATTCCTTCAAGGTCGCCTTTTTCATACTTGTTTATTGGAGCAAACACGCCACAACTCCTGAGCTAGAGCAGCGTTTTATGCATTACCTTCGACGGCCCTGTATCCTGCCCGTATAGTGACCCACATTGTCCCGTGTCTTGGCAATCACCTGTTCCCGAGCTGCTCGTCTGGAACCAAATGTCTACCAAGCACACAAGTGCTTCAGTCTTTGACAACCTCCAGGCTCTATCATTGCAATTTCCCAACCTGACTCCTACTCAGCGCACACCTTCCCAGCTGCCTCCCCAGGTTTGGTTGTCATCGTGACCAAAATTTGCAGCAAGTGGGTCACAAAAAATAAGGAGCCAGAACCTTGAAGTAATATGATGTAGGACGCCAGAATAGGTCTATTTCACATGGGGGATGAGCTGATAATACGAAAGCGTCACGCTATTTCCTAGGAACTAGTTGCGGCACAGTCCAAGCCAGAACACTAAAGCGCCGTACGTTTATGATGATCGGCGTGGTCCTTGACGCAGCATTCCGAATGGATACTTTTACCAACACGAGAAAACATGTTCCGGCAATTTGGCTGAGTAACGCAGACGAGACCTCTCGAAGCTAGGAAAAACATGACTTCTTTCATGTCTACTCAATTCTAAAGAATTTCAGGTGTTGGTAATGACGACTGTAGATTTGAGCCAAAGTCGACAGACGGAGATCCTAGTCGTGGCATGGGTCATGACAGGAGCTGCCATACTCACAGTTGGTGTCAAGCTCTTTGCTCGCGTCAAGATTGTTCAGGTTGTCGATTGGGCCGACTTCTTTATATGCTTCTCACTGGTAAGATCTCACCTCGTTTATTCGGTCGCAACATATTAGCTTGAATCTAATTCACGCAGATTCTAAGCATCATCGCCTCTTCGTTCGTGCACTATGGAGTGGCACTGGGATTTGGCCGTCATACGGCAGCTATTGCAGCTGAGTACGGCGTGGAACGGCTGTTCAAGACCGCCAAATTCCAAATGCTAGGATACCGTAAGTGGAAGACTACAGTTCGCAATCCAGGTCGAGTGAATTGCTGAAGCTAATGAGTTCACAGCCTTCAACATTGGTCAGTCTACGTTCCGCACAACACCATGGTGCGTCTCCTAAGTGACCCCCGACAGGCGCTTTCAGTTTCCCAAACATCTCCATCGCTATTCTGGTGTGCCAACTGCTCGAGCCCAATCCGCGACGAACCTTCATCCTATATGGCATGGCCATCCTACAAGTCATTTTCGCAGTCATCACGATGACCCTCGCGTTTTCGCAATGTCGACCGACCCAAAAGTTGTGGGAGAAGACACTACCAGGATCATGCTGGAATCCGAATGTTCTCAATTACTTTTCATACTGGCTCTGCGCGTACACGACATTGACCGACGTCGTTCTAGCCGTTGTGCCAGTTCGCGCGTTCTGGCAGCTTCAGATGCCCATTTCTACGAAGGTCGGTCTCTGTGTTATGATGAGTCTGACGATGCTGTCCGCCATTGTCACCATTATCAAAGGAACGTACTTACCCTTATTCACGGATACGACGGATCCACGTACGTACTACCCCGATACCTCGATACTGGACAAATACTCATACTCCATAGTGTACAAGCCGGTCCCCTTAGTCCTCTGGGGTTTGTAAGTATCGACCATCTCCCTGCATGAACCATCAACTTGACAGCTGTTCATTATCCAGGGTCGAACAGAATATAGTCATTATAGCGGCTTGCATTCCAACCATACGGCCTTTCTTTCACAGGGCTTGGAAACGCGACACTAGCACTGGCAACGCATATTCCGCTTCCTCCGACCCTTTCGCCAACTTATCAACGAAAGGAAGCCACACGGGACATCGCAGGGTCGGATCGGCGACGGATGTGGCACTTGAGGACATATACAACAAGGATGATGCGGCATCGCAGGAGTCACAACAGGGTATTATACGCACTGTTGACGTGCCTGTAGACTGGAGAGCGCGTAAGGCTCATCGTGCGAGTGACAAAAATGTGCTTGAGTGATAACCGAGTTCAGCCATGAGAGTAAAATAGCTAGATAAGAGGCGCCAATATGATAAGCCCATACGTGCGGCTAAGTAAATGAATCATCACGTCCGAACCATACTAGGTAACAAAGGCAGACCCTCGTGTTAATAATGCTACACATACAAGAAAGAAAAGGTCTTCTGGTCTATCAAAGACCCCCCTTCAATACAATAAAGTGATCGTTAAGTTCGCGTCTTCATTCCCCCTCTCCAGGCTTCAGAGAACCTCAGTAGTTGAAACCGCAACCCTCGCACCCTCCTCGTCTACCCTGGTCTCGATGTCTTTTCTCTTCGCATCCCTCTTTTGCAAGTATGCAATTGTGCCGGTGATCAGACCTTGCGCGATAAATGCACATACACTATAGATAAATCCTTTTCTAAACTTCGGTGAGTCAACCTGCGGGTACGTCAACAGAGGCACCCAAGCATTAAACGCATAACCCATGCTGTTCATGATGCCAATCACGATTGCTCGTTCCTCCGCATCCGCGCCACAGATTTCGTTCGCCCAAGACATACTCAGTGGCCCGTATGGCACAGAGGCGCGTTGCAGGAAGAACGCAAACCATTTGAGGCCAACGGGGATTGTCCAGATAGCGAGACAGAGAGCTGAGAAGAGGCCGAGAATGGTGGAAATGCTCATAATGCGCGCCCGATGCCGGATTGCATCACTGATGATAGCGAGGGAAACCGTAAGGACCAGCTGGATTGCTGATGCCCCCGTGGGGATGATGTTGATCTTCGAGACGGACAGATGTTCGGCTTTCAGCCATAACGAGAAGGGATTCACGCTGCTAGAAGGCCAGAGATTGATGAAGATGATGTACAGAAGCGTTAGGAGGTAGACATGCCATCTGCCGAAAATTCTCTTGAATGCTGAACGGCCAAGACGTGTTCGCGGAGCTCGACCGACTTTCGCCATGCGGCTTTGTGCAAGTGCACGGTCCTACACAGGTCAATCCTAGCCTTAGAGCTATTGATATGGATTGACTTACATTTTCGTTTAGGTAAAAGGCGCGCGTGTTCTCCGGCAAGTCGGGAAGTAGGAAGAAGCCTGCGATGCAAATTGGTGTGCTGATGATGCCATCCATGATCTACGAACGTCAGGAACAACTTTTGTGCGAGGTGATACTCGGGTACTTACAAATAACCACTGCCACCCGGCAAATCCTCTTACACCATTGAGGCCTTTATACACAGCAGCCTGTAGGTATCCAGAGAACATGCTCGCAGCAGCCGAAGATGCATGGAAGATGCATGCTCTCTTTCCCAACTCGCTCGGCTTATACCATGAACCCAGGATGGTATGCGCAGCGGGATAGAAGATCGATTCTGCTAAGCCGATGAAGAAACGAATTGCAATGACATGGTTGCTCGTCTTCGCCGCCGCAAGACAGAACGTTAACATCGTCCAGACCAGTTCGCATGAAGGGACCCAGATTGATGGCCGAACTTTAGTCAAGACAATCTGACTTGGAATCTGGCCAATAACATATCCCACCGTCCATGCTGTGTCGATAAGATTGATCTCGTTCTTGTTCATTTGCAGATCCTCCTTCATGCCGCTAACGAAAGCGTTGCTGATGTTCGTTTGGTCGAGATTTTTGATGAAGTATCCGAGCGAGAGCATGGTAATCAGGTAGATGTCCAGCTTTTGGATGAACTTGCGCTCTTCATGAGTGCGGCCTGGCTCATAATCCCAAATGTAGGACCACCATGGTACCTTCTTACTCGCGGGCTCTTGTGATAGCGAAACGTCGGGTGGGGTGGAAGGGTAAACCTCTGCTTGGATTTTCTTGTCCGAAGCTTGGTTCAAAGCCATCTTGGGTAGGAAGAATGGTTGCGAGAACGCTCAAGCTCTGCGCAGGATTTCGGGGCCATAGTCTTCGAGGACCAGCCGTTTTGTATGCACGTAGGCGGCAAAAATTGGGAATGACTCTATACATGCTTCAGATTGCGTGAGAGCGTGCTACAGGGTTCATCACTCCATGCTGTTCATCGGCTGCGATCAAGCGCCCCCCGAACGGGATGGAATCCCACGATCAAGGCGCTACGATAGCAAGCGAGAAGCGCCAAAGTTTTGAAGCTTACAAGCTTGATGATGTGTGGAGTACTATTAGGTGCGGAAGTGGCTCGGGAAGGGTCGTGGGGTTGCCGTCATCCCCAGCATGAATGAGGTGCTCGGAGATGCAGGGTGTAGATGCGAGCTTATCATTGGGTAAGCGCGAAGAACGTAAATAATACGATATCGATGTCTGCCCATTTATGACTATAAGCAAGCAGCAGAACTACGATTCTTACTGTTAGAAATTGAGTAGAGCTCAAGCATTGCGATATACAGGAACAAGCACGTCTTTTGCCAATGTGACACCTCCGATCCTAAAGCCGGAAAAGAGCCGCGCTGTGTTACAGTTCACATTTCTTGTCGACTCATGTCCTTGGATGACTATGGCACCCTGCTGCAAGCCTAGGTTAGAGATAGGACGAGCAAACTACGATAGCACAAAGAAAGTGGCATCTAAATGTGACTTTTAGCGTGTTATGCAAATATTCAGTTGGAGGCTGTAACAGAACTCACAAGAACCATTATTTTGAGCTGCGAAGACCAGTATAATTCTCCTTGGTTTGCAATATCTTCAGCTTCATTGGATACGGAAATAGCCTCATTCATTCTGGGTAGACTTTGTTTCAGATTGAGAGATTGTGCAGCTGTTCACAAAGCAGGCTAGGCTGTATTTTTTCAAATCAATGGGAGAGAGGAAAGAAAAGTATCGAAACTCGTTTAAAGGTCTCTAAGAACCGTGGAAGCGATGTCGTAACAATATGGTACGGTACCCTCATGCAAAACCTTGTCGCCTAAAGTGAACCGTGGAAGTACGGAATATTGTGCTGCTTTGTTGTAGCCTTATAGCTCAACTAGGGCGCAGGCGGCTTTGGAAATCCTCTTATAAGGAGCCCGTTTTGATATATGGGAGCTTGCAAATTGTGCACACTATCGAGGAAATAGGTTGGGTACACAAGCGTACAACAAGTACTAGTTAGTGTACGTGTGACAAGCTGTAGTTTGGTTGCCTGTGCCGCAGCGCAGTTACATAAGCACGCCGTTGCCTAACTTCTTGTTTGCTAGCAAAGCGCGACGACATTGTTACTCTCTAGAAGCAAAAACATTGCAGCCATGCTACGCAGTCAACACGGAGAGCTATCCGCACCGAATTTACTTATCGCAGCTGCACCAGGTACTTTAAACCCCCTCTTGCTCTGTACCGAAAAGGCTAATGCTAAACCTAGAGCTACGCAATCAGGTGTACAGTTACCTACTCGAGGACCTTCAAACTAGTCTAAACGTCATCGACTACTATGAAGTCACAACATCCAAGAGAGATCGTCTTTTAAATTTTCTTGCTCTTACTCGCGTCTCCCGCCAAATTCGTGGCGAGCTCCTGCCCCTACTTGTAGAGTCCCAAGTAATCCGCGTCCATCTTCGCCATGTTCCTGCATTCTCAAACTCGATACTCTGTCACCATATCTTCGATTTGGGCATTTCAATCGAGATACCCTTGAAGATAGACATTATACTGGATATGTTCCCGAATTCAGTCACAAAAATGGACGCGGATATGGCTTCTCTCCTGAGGCTCGTTGTGACTCGACCGAAGCTGCATTTGGCGTTTACGACTACCTTGAGGGGCAGATGGCGGGACAAAAAGATTCCCGGGGCATCAGAGAACAGGGTCCAGGAACTTAATCGCATCTTCTCCCTTGAGCACCGAGACGCCTGGAAGTCTGCCCTTGATTCATCGATAGCACGTGTCGAGCTCTCTGAAGTGTCAGAAGGAGAATTTCTGGGAGAGTTTGACCTTTGCTTGCGGGAGGGGTCTGAGGTACCACCTCTGCATGACCTTGGGTTTCGTGTTCAGAGTCTAGATGCAGAGGGGCGGGTGCCACGGGGAAACGGACCATTCTTGGACCGAAATTGGATTCGGGTGGTCATTTAGACGGAGTGGTAATGTGAGGCCTGTCTTCATCGGTACGAAGAAATCTTCTTCAGATTCAGTCAGTACTGGGCCAGACATGCTTGCCTTCCCAACTTTGTGTGGTTAGCACTAATTACTGGGAATGCGAATAGGAAGACATTTTTTTAGCTACCTAACCAAACAAGGAATGTATTCATACCATATGACTTGTAGTTTCAAGATGCGAGAATAATAAAGAGACGGTGTTGGCTAAAACAGTAATCAAAATGCTCAGAGTCGTAATGATAGGCTTATCTTATCATCACGTGCAGCGCGTACTAGCGCGTTTCCTTGATGTCTCTTCGCGCGCTACGCCTCCCCCACCACTCGACATGGGACGCGACACGTCCAACCCACTCTATGGATGCCCTGCTAGAAGGACTCAATGATGCGCAGAAGAGTGCGGTCACCAGCCCTGCGAACGTCGTGCAGGTCCTCGCGCCTCCCGGTTCTGGAAAGACGAAAACACTGACGGCGCGTGTCGCGTATCACATCAACCACGAGCGACTGCAGCCATGGAACATCATTGTCTGCACTTTCACCATCAAGGCGGCACGAGAGATGAAAGAGCGCATCAAGGGATTCGTAGGCGAAAAATTGGAAGCCAAGCTGATTCTGGGTACCTTCCATTCGGTCGCCCGTCGCTTCCTCTCGCGATACGGCCATGAGATTGGGATCGTTAAAAACTTCGGAATTGCCGACACTGATGATAGCAAGGCAATCATCAAGCGCATTGTGACGCGGTACCAGTACACTATGGAACCCGGGCATGCTCGCTCAAGGATTTCCCGCCTGAAGGCGAAGGGCACCTCGGCGGAAAGTTTCGCTGCCACCTCCAAGAAAGTCGACGACAATGAGTTCGCGCAGATCTATTCGTCATATCAGGAGCATCTCAAAGCGTCGAATCTGCTGGACTATGATGATCTACTTGTGCGATGCGTCGAGCTGCTGCAACGGCATCCATCGTGCGTGTCGACAATCCAGGCCGTTCTCATCGACGAGTATCAGGACACGAACAACATCCAGTACGAACTAATGAAGCTCCTAGCTCAACGGACTAAGCGCATCACCATCGTAGGTGATCCTGACCAAAGTATCTACAGCTTTCGCTCTGCCAAAATTCAAAACCTCTATCGCATGCGTTCGGAATTCCCGGAATCGATCGTCATCAACTTAGAGAACAATTATCGTTCCTCTGGATGTATTCTTGGCGCAGCTTTAGCGGTCATCGAGCAGGACGAGAGTCGACCAGAGAAGGCCCTGATTGCTACTCACTGTGTCGGCGAACAACCCACGCTGCGCCATCTCGCTACTGTAAACGTTGAAGCTCAGTGGATCGTCGGCGAGATACAACGTACCAGAACACTTAGTGCCGGACTTCTGAACTATAACGACTATGCAATCTTACTACGATCGGCAAATCTGTCACTATCCATCGAACGTGAACTAGGACGAGCTGGGATACCATATCGCATGGTTGGTGGAAAGCGGTTCTTCGACCGGGCAGAGATTAAGATTATTCTCAACTACTTGCGATGTATCAGTAATCCTGATAATAATGATGCCATTGTGGGCGTTATCAACACGCCATCGCGTAGGGTCGGAGACAAGACTGTCAAGGGCCTACTTGAAGAGGCAGAGGTTCAGAAAGTGTCGTTGTGGCGGCTCGTTTGCGACATTGCACAAAAACGAAAAACTCCTGCGACGAAGCTCTCTACACCATCGGAGCAAGGCATCACGCTGTTCTTTAGGCTGGTCAACAATGCGCGCAAGAAGCTATTACCCGCGGCTGGTGATGCCTGCAACCTTCTCGACCTTATCAGCTACATCCTGACCCAAACCTCTTTCGAGTCGTATCTCAAACAGACATACAAGGAGAACTGGAAGGATCGATGGGCCAACATAGAGGAACTGGTCGGCCAAGCCACGCAGATGGCCGCTACTCTCGCAGAGGGAGAGGAAGCTGCCGACGATGCTTTACCCGCTGTAGACGGCATCGAGCAGCGCCCAGACACCGCTGTCGATACTCTTTCCAAGTTCTTAGTCAATGTCGCTCTCGCTACTGAAATTGAGAGGGATGGTGGCGAAGAGATCAGTCAAGTGACCCTCTCCACTATACACGCCGCCAAAGGCCTGGAGTGGCCTGTCGTGTTTGTCCCTGCAATATATGATGGATCACTGCCACATTCTCGAGCCGAGAACCACGACGAGGAACGACGGCTGTTGTATGTCGGAATGACGCGTGCGCAAGCCCTACTCTATTTAAGTTGCCCCGTCAGACAGTCCGGCCAGGACCAAACAACCCTATCAAAGTTCGTATCATCGAAGAGTATTCAGAAGTACTTCAGTGACCGAGGGCCTGACCTCGCATTCAAACGTACCACCATCCCGGATCTCGCTACGATTCTCCGTAGACCGTGTCCCGCAGCTACTGACCTCGAATCTGCTCGCACTTTGTTGGAACGCCTAGAGGACGATAAGCATCCAGCAACGAGGGAAGAAATTGACGGGGAAGGTTCATCTTGGGGGGCATCATGGGATGATAAGTTCAATGGCTCCGGCCCTGGCGATGACGGCGGCCAGGCGTCCATCAAGCGGCGCAAGCTTGAATCTTCTTCCTCGTTCTCCACAACCATGCACAAAAGTTCGGGCTTCTCCATGGGTTCCACAACCATGCAAACTGTTAAGACAGGCTTCACCAGCGCTAGGGATCTCGGGGATCTGCAGGCTATGCAGCAAGAGGCAGAGCGCATTCGCATGCTTGCGACTGCTCGAACCGCAGAAATAGGAAAGGCGACGTACAACGAAGCGAAAAAAGTAGACGCAAAGCCAGCCCGAGCAAAGGTTGTCAAACCACGCGCAACAGGACAAGGCGCTATCACGAGCTTTTTCAGGAAACCCGGCAGTAACTTCTCAGCAGAGGTAGAGCGAGTGACGGTTCCTTCCTTGCAACGTTCACAGTCCTCGCTGTCGGGCCATACCGCCCTTCATGACATTTCAAATGTTCAGCCAGCTGCACCACGAGCCCCACAACGTTTCCAGTCGCTATCATTACCCAGCCACAAGTTGCAAAGTCGGCCCATCCTGACTAAACCGAAGCGGAGCGAACCTGAGCCCGGGGCTGAGTCTACTCGATACGTGCTTCTGTCCAGCTCGCCCGCAAAACCCGAGCATGGAGACACTACCTCTACCCCCTTGCCAGATGACGAAGACAAGACCATACGAGATCCGGAGAGTCCGGTGAAACAGTCTTCGTCATCATTCAGCACAGCTTCTGGGTTCCGGCCAGCGTCTACGTTTCATACTACGTCCATAAGCCAGGTGCAAAATCAGGTGCAGAATCAGATGCAGAGGAAGACGCTGGGGACACGGAGGACGATGCAGGGATGGAGCGTGAAGCATAATCAGATGCCGAAGCCGCGGCCATCATGATGTTTATACCAGCCAGGTGCTTTGCGCTCGATGTTCAGGAGTTTCAGGGGTGCATTGGGCTGGCGTTCAAAATCTAACTTGACATTAAGTAGCTTATCATACCCCAACTTGTTCGCAGTAGCACAGTATCACTGAGGAAGATTTATTGCGATTCCTGTCGATGACAAATCGCTCGCACCTCCCGAAATCTTTATAGCACTGCAAAAGCACTGCAGTAGGAGACACTACTATCCTTGACATCCTTGACCAGACTACTTCTCTCGTACCGCACAAACTTGAACCTCCCCTTGTCTTCGCCCAACCCTTCCGCTTTTTCCACAGCGGCCATGAATAGCCCAATTGGATGTCTACCACACACTGTATTCCCAGTTTCCCTCAACTGCTCCAGAAACTGCCTGTGTGATCCACTCTCCACGGCATCCATGCTCTCCTGGTCTACAGCCGCGATGCTCTCGTGGATAGGATAGTCACGCGGTACGCGAGAACTCGAACGCAATTGTGTGGCAGCGGAGTTGTCGGCAGGCTGGTAGTACGTGTAGCGGAAGCGGGAGCCCCAGTGGCAGAAGTCGGAGGATATGACGAAGAGGTTGGAGGGGTCGGAGAGGTAGGGCGCGAGGAGGGTGCCGTAGCGGGTCTCCGCTGCAGCATCGGTGTTGCCGACCATTATGGGGACTAGAGGGACGGAGGTAGAGTTGCTTTGGAAGGAAGCATTGTTTCTGCGGCCATATTTTTAGAGGGAGCAAACACTGGGTGGAGTAGGGGGGGAAATATACAGTGAGAGCATCTTGTAAATGTAGGGGAGGTGCATTTCCAAGCTATGCTCGTCCTCGTCGACGCTCTTCGACATAGTTTCCAGACCCCACTGCTGCTTGATCTCCTGTACGAGCGCGGTGTCTACAGTAAGATCACCCAGTGGTGTGCCGTACTTGTTGCAGCCGGTCGTAGCGGCGCCGGTGAGATAGTAGTGATGCGACGGACCGAGAAGGAAGACGCGTTTACTATCTTTGCAGTCAGCTTAACGTCGGGAAGACATCCGCGTATTGTTCAACGTACGCATTCGCCCAGTCAGCGCTCTTGTAGGCCCATGCAGCAGCAGGTCCGGAGTACGAGTATCCAGCATGCCTGCGTGTCCATGAGCCTCATACGCTTCGCAAGTCTACGTCATGGCGCCTACGGTGCAATTATAGCTCGAGCGTGTGGCGACGGTATCCGAATCTGTCCCTGTTGCGACGAAGAGGAGGCGATAGGAGTCGTCGAGCTGGGCACTGCTCCGAGCCAGCCGTCAAGCTGCTGAGAGAGGAGTTGGCCATTGTCTGTGTACCACGAGCCGGCGTGGGTGGGTTTGCGGGTGACCATGATGTTGTCTGAAGTCGTATCGAATGAACGCAGAGCCGATAAGAGAGTTTTCGAGTGGTATCGCGGTGAAGTGTGGAGAGGGTGTCGTAGGTGAAGAGAGTCTTGCGGGGCAGCTTTGGTGGGGTTTGGGCTCAAGCACTCATGCATCACGTAACGCTACCTCTGCATGCTTTTGACTCTTCGATGCTGCTAAGGCGAAGAACTATTCGTGATCTACACCTATTTTCTTTGTGAAGCCGTGTAGAGGATGCCATTTGTTTCGGTGGAGTGCGATGTTATATGCACCATGAACTCGACATGACCATTAGTGTCCTCCAAGAAGTACCATGAGGACTCAAGATTGCATGTAGAATATATAAATGCTCTAATTTTCGACAAAAGATCAACTAGAAATTCAGCATTCTACATTTTGCTCGTCTCAGAAGTTGCGAGTGTTCGTTAAGTGATTTACCCCACAGCACGCGACCGCGTTTCGAGAGGGACGCGTCGCGCCAGCCACCGTTTGCATCGTCAGGACTATCCCATTTCATCCCGTCTCCCCATCTCTCCCCACACAATTTCATTGCACGCCTCCCGTACAACTCGTTGTATATACACTCTCAACATCTCTACCCCCAACTTTGATTTGTACGAGACATAATCATGGTCCTCAAGCGCAAGCGTTCCGTCGACGATTCGCCTCTCTCCATCTCCAGCTTCGGCGGCGTCTCAACACCGGAAGCGCAGTCGCCCTCGCCATTCCCCCACAGATTCGATGGCGCAGCGGACATGGATGTAGACATATCATCTCGAATTAATGCCTGGGACTTCTCGCGCGCCAGCCGAGTCAAAGGCAGCGACTGGGGCAACCGGACGCGTAAGCGGTGTCGCGACAACCGGCCAGACGAGCGCGCCATACACAGTATGAAGCGAACTCCAGTACTATGGAGATAGAACGGGTCGCTAACATGGCGTAGAGAACACATTGAACAAGCTCTTCGCTGCGCAACGGCAGCATCCAGACGCCTCTCCCATACCATCCGATTCGCTGCCTTCACAACAGCCCTCTCAGGCCGCTCCCAAACCACAGAAGTCTACGCTGCACTCGTTCTGGAAGCAACTGCCCGCACCACCCGTTCTGTCGCCTACGTTTGCAGTCCCAGCGCCTCAACACCCAGAAATATCACATGGACCACGCTGCGAGGACTGCGACACGCTGCTGCGAAGCGAGAACGATAGCATGGACGTGGACATTGACATGGATATGGGCGGCGCGGTCGAGAGCAGTCCTTTCGCCTGTGGGGACTGCGGGAAGAACGTTTGTGCTACTTGCGCAGTGGTATCAATGACGAGGCATTGCTTGCAATGTGCGACGAACGGGAGAAACTCAAGGCGGTGGTGGTAGGAGGTTGATACATTCATAACCAACTGTGTGAAACCCGGGTGTGCATTAGGTTCGATACTAGGAAGCCTTGTTATCATACATGCTGTTGCTCTTGTGAGCTGGGAGATTGTTTCAGCGGCGTTCACGGACATTGGATTTCTATGGAGCTACGATATCCCTATATTTGTTTTTGACTAGCGAGGCGTACTGGAGTTCACATATGGAGAGAGTTGCAGAATTCGAAGGGCTGGTACAGTGCTCCTCATTCTTCTCGATCAAATCGAAATAGATTATCTTCAATGTTGAACCGCAATTATCATCAAACCAACGCGATTCTCGCATCAGATCATTCAGAGTGTCGGTATTGGCACCTTCGTAATCCAATCTAGGGTTTAAAAAGATAGACTGCAACCCACTCATAACCTTTTCCCAGAGCCGACTTCCAAGGTCATCAAAAAATCAATGGTCAAAAAGCAACTGAAAGGTCGTGCCCGGGTTCTATGAACGATGTTAGACACAATCCAGTAGTTGAATTGTTCATTGCAGCTTACCGAACCGGGGTTATCAGAAATTTGGCTTCAGTCAAAATCTGAAGTGATAACCACTACCTGGTTCGAATCAGTGCCTGTTCTCACGATTTCTAATCGGGACAAGTGGGCTACATACACTACACAACCATGGATGCGCGGATGGTGCAATATACTTTGATTTGTAATTACAGCATACAAATACTTATCGTAGATCACTTGCTTTGACAGCTGCCCTGTACCAAGAATCGAGAGACGGGAATTCTCCAATGTGGTGGCGTGCAACCTTGTACTGTGTTTGAACTAATTTAGGTAGCCGATATGCAAGATCCAGCGGCCCACTACTATACGCGGCGAGGCGAGGGAAGCCTGGCGAGTATAGCTTGAGAAGCGGGACAATTCGGCAGCAATGAGAACGATCATGAAGTCAAAGCATTGCAAAGATGTAACGGGCCAAAAGCGTAGTAAGGGAAACATCCCTTCAAAAGATGATGGGCTCCCAGTAGGTTCTGAGGAGCGAGGGAACGGCCTAGAAGACTTTATCGCCCTAGGGCGAAACAAAAAAGAGCAAAAAGAATGATGCGTACGAGCGGGGAGGATCGAACTCCCGACCTTCTGCGCTTCACATTTTGTGGATGTAAAGCAGACATCATAACCACTAGTTTGATGTTAGGACAACATCTAATTATGTGAAGAAATGGGTAAACTAACCTAGACTACGCTCGCTTTGATGAGGAGATGATAAATTTTCAAATTACAGTACTCATTTAGTCCTCCTCCTTCCCCACTGGTGTTGATGTCGTTGAAAATTGGCCAAAGGGGTCATTGTGGGTCATCTAAGAAAAAATGCTGTGGGATTTGATCGGTAACAGCAAGAGCGGGGTAGTGGAGTCGGCCGAGAGTGGTGGCAAGGCTCGCTACAACACAGTTCAATGTACTGAACTATTCCTGGGCCATCAACTGTTGAATAAGGAGGAGTGCTAGAAATGTTGGAAGGATACCAGGCTCACCTCACATGTTGATCTTGAACTGAACATTTCGTGCCCCCTGAAGTGCCCCCATACTGCCATGCTGCACCGCCCCATGACATAGTACTCTTAACTCCGAACAAACCTCAGGCTCAACTCAGCCCGTCTCACCAACCAACTCAACACCACCCACTCGCCCAACATGTCGCACACGCTCTTCACAAAAGCACCCGCGCTGCGGACCGCGGCCCGACGCTCAATCCCCCGCGTTGCCCCTTCGTCCGCATACCACAGCTCCTCGGGTCGCAAGATGCCCTCGGGCACAGCACCCATCCGCAACTTACTCCGGCAAACCACACTGCGCGCAAGCGCCATCGCCGCCCAGCGCACCTCATACCCTGCGTCGCAGCAATTCTCGCAACAAACCTACATCCAGCAACAGCAGCGCCCGCGCTCGCCCTCCCCACCGCCCCCCTACCAAGCGCGCAACATCTCCGTGCTCGCGCCGCAGAACCAATGGACGCGCTTCACTACGCCGTACAACACACTCTCCTCAGTCCGCACATTCGTCTCGTCCCCCAAGATTCAATTCGCCTCGCATAGTTCCTCCACAACGGCCCTCAGTCCAGAAGCCCAGCAGAGCGTCGACGAGGCGATTGAGGAGATCCACGATTTGTACGGTACGGCCAAGGACGAGTTCGAAATTGCGTCCGAGGAGACGGAGAAGAATACTACGTATGCGGAAGATGATAGGGCGGCCGCGAGGGAGGAGCTGGATCGGTTGCTGGCGTATTATGCCGAAGTGACAAGTAGTAGTGCAGCGGGGGTGGAGAGAGTAGTTGCTGACGAGGTGAAGAGGAGGGTTGGGCACCGCGTGCGGGAATTGGAACATGCTGTTCTTGCCATGGAAGAGGCTGCTTTACATCATGATTAAGAGGGCGTTTTGGATGCGGGGTGGAGTGGAAGGAGAGACGAGTCGATCTTGTACGATATCCGTCATTTTTTTTGGGATCTCATGTCAGGGCCGCCTTTCATGGCCGAGCTCACATGGGACGTTAACAACATGTACCACGTTTGTATTTTAGTATGTGGTAAGCCTTGCCTTGTACAATATTCATTTGTTTGTTTCCAAAGAGAGCCTTTTGTCTTTTGTAATTGTTGCTTGTACGATGACAGACCGTCATGGCAATGTTTGGTTCAATTCAGCAGCAACGAGTGTTGTCATTTATTGGCTGAGCCATCATTATAAAACCAAGAACTCCACTTCATCAATAGGTACGGCGCAGGGCAAACGGCTTCATATACAGATGTCACCTTCCTACTTCTTCTCACTCCTACCGTGCAACACCGCATCAAGTTCGTCTCTAAACGTCGTCACACTACGCGAAGTATCCTTGACAGGGTTGCCAAACCAATCCAGCGCCTTCGGCACGCTCTTCTCCTCCATCTCGTCGCGCAGAATCTTGACCTGTTTCTGGATTTCGATCCACAACTCTAGTTTCTCAATGTCTGGCTCTCGGCCCTCATTATCCACCCTGACCACGAACGCGTCCTGGTTGATATGTGTCATGGGGTCCAGGGGTCCAGCCCATCGCTCCGACTCGCGCTCTGCATCGTTGATATCTTGCCCGCCTCGTGCGGCAATGGCCAGAAGCGAGGCTACAAAGGCTTCTTGCATGTATGCGAAGGAGAACTTGTCAGTGATCTCAGCAATCTTAGCGCAGAGTTTATCGGGGAAATCAAGATCGTTGTTCTCCTCGAGCTTGCCTTGCCAAAACTTGGCGTACTGGGCGCGCTCATCATAGCTGGGGTTCGGAAAGTAGTATTTCCGGTCAAATCGGCTCGGTCTCTTCGAAATACCAGGGTCTAGCCTGTCGAGATGGTTGGTAGAACCCACCATCAGGATGCCGTCGTTGGACCTGAGTCCATCAACTTCGTTGAGGAAGTACGACCGCACGCTGTCACTGACGATAGAATCCAGGTCCTCGAAGACGAGGTAGCAGGGTGCTTCCTGTCTGGCTTTGGCGAAAATCTGTTTGATCGCGAATTCTGGGCCAGCGAAGGAGGAAAGGGTGCGTACGTAAAGAGTTGGTACGGCGAGACGCGAGTCCCCGTCTACGCCGCGCTGGTAGAGGCTGTGCATCATGGCCTTGATACTAATAGTCTTACCATTACCTGGCGGACCATAGTATATGATGCCGCGTTTCCACGGTACCTTGAGCTTCTGGTACGTGTCTTGTCCGTCGAAAAAGTTCTCCACGTCGGCAATGAGTGACTTCTTCATTCCTTCATTGAGAATCACGCTATCCCAGCTGGCGTTCTGAACTGAGGCATACAGCTCAGCACTCTTCTGCCAATACCCGCCGTCAAACACCCAGACCTCGTTGTGCAGCTGCGCGCTCCATGTTGTAGCCTCCTTGATCAGCGCGTCCACCTTGTGCTCCATTTTAGTGAGGATGTAGTGATTCGTGACGGAAGGGTACGGTTGCGCGCCGTCGCGGCCGTCGGCAATGTACACGATGAACTCTTGGTCCTTCCACTTGTACAGGAACTTGCCAAAGACAAGGCGTTCGACCATGGCGCCAGGCCTGGTGTCAAGCCTCCGAGCTGGTGGGATATACGAGCGCCATTTTACGCCCAACCCGTAGACGGGGTCATTGACAGTGTCTTCGAGCGGTGTCACCTTTGCGAAGCCAGCAGAGGCATAGGCCAGGAGATTGAGCCCGCCTTGCTGGGGCGCGATGACGAGATCGAGGTTCGGATACTGGGTGCGAAGGGCCTCGACGAGCACAATGTCCGTATTGACACGCTTTGCCGTCGAGTGGTCAAAGTAGGCAAGGCCGGCCATGTCGTGAGAGTCGCCGTTGAAGTTGTGAGCTGCCATGCTGAAGCTGTGGCGGTATCGGACGAAACAGTGGTTGATTGCAACGTGTGCTGAAGGTGCTTAGGAAGCAAGAGAAGGACTATAGGGTAGTAAGTTATGAGGATTAGCCTGGAGTCTGAATTGTGGCCAGTGTTGATCGACCGAGTTGGTTGTCGTGTCTGCCTAAACACTGCCTCATGAAGGAGCTGTAACCTGGAAGCTTCACGCGTCCTGGGGGCGGAGCTGTCGCGAAGAGGCGGCCAGTTCCCCGCGGCTAGACGCCTCACTAAATCGACGATGCATTACGTAACCACCAGTGGTACCTCTACGAGCCCTCAACACCAGGGAAAAGCATCGTGAACTCCTTCAACTCCATGCTTCAGATTTCGTGGCGCGTGTGTAAAAGGAGCTCCCACGCCCGTCGACCCTGTCATCTCATTGCCGATGCCTGCAGAGCGACGGCAGCGCGCCAAGTTTACCAAGCCCGGAAGGATTGAACAAGCAAACGCCTCTTTTCGCCTTGACATCGTTTGTTGCAACGTTCTTCAGCTCATATCTCATGAGGACCGACGGCCAAGGAGTGTGTTGGGACCTCGGGAGGCCATACGGAGCGTTGAAGAGCAGCAAGACGTCTTGGAAGCTTGGTATCAGGCGCTTTTCAATCACTTCTGCTGTACCAAGTATCGCCTGATGGTCATGCGATTCGGCAGCCACCGGAAGCACTGTTCCGTCATCCCCTCAGCCCTGAGGTGGACGATAGCGACTTGACTCTACATACATCTCCGCAACTGCGGAACAGTCTTGCGCAGGGACTATGCGGAGTCCCCAGTTCTAGCTCTCCCGCCCGTCCACTTTCCTGGGGACCCAATGTCGCAATCTTTGAAGCATTCGCGAGTTAGGAGACTGCGTAGCCATTGCGGATGCACGTTGGTGCACCGCCTGGCTGGTGATGCAACACGAACTGGCATGGATCGTGTATGTGGCTCTCATTGTGTGGCACTATTAACCCAGGCTCCAGTTAACAGTGGCTCTGACTGAGGATCTCACTTGATATGCCTGGGCACTCTCTTGTCACTCCTGATATTGAGTCGACAAGGTTCCAGGAGAGCATCCCAGACAATGCCACCTCAATATATTGAAAGGGTGTGGTGCTATTAGCCTAATGAGCACGGAATCGTCGCAGATGGACGCACTCATCCAACGACATCAAAGCAACCGTATACATGGAAGCCAATGAGGGCAACGCTTCCAAAGAGGTGATGTCTATCCCTTCAAGAGTCGCAAAAAGATAGCAAGACTCGATGGGTATGAGGCCTGAACATATCGCCAGGCTCGAGGTGTTGACAAATCCTAATGTGCAGCTAGCCAGACATTTGGAATAGCTCCACTTCTTCACGCCAGCAGATCCACGGGGACGGAACGGCAGAGTGCAGTCGACACTTATGTGACAGATGTTCCCGCTGGCCCGAATCTTGCATGCAGCTCAGGTGGGTGGTGGGATTTTCACTTGCTCCACCCCGAAATCCCACGGCACGGAAGAAACCATTTTCTGTGGGGTTCTGCTACCCCTAAACCAAAGAAGACAAAGTATACGAAAAGTACAAGATCTGCAGCAACACGAAGTTGCTGGGTCTGGCTGGCGGTAGTGGCAGGACTTGACGATGATGTTATGTCATGCTTTGGGCCAGTGGCTGATGCCGAGGCTCTTGGACAAAGCTTGACCTTCCATTTCACGTTCTCTGCGCCAGCCCTGACCCATGTCATCATCATCCCGTCCCCTTTTTGGAGCGCACCCAAGCATTTATTGCTTCAAAGCATTCCCGGCAGGCCGCAGCGGTGGCTTATTTTGAACGGAGCAGCACGACAGCTGATGAACGTTGACGACGCCATCCCCCGTATCCGCGATATCCGGCATCCCAGCTCTAAACAGTATGTTGGAGACCTCTCACCTGGCAGCGCAAAACACACGCTGCTCATTCCCCTGTATACGCTCTACTTCTCGTGTCACTACCCCGATGCAATTTAAGCATGCATGCACTAAATCTGCCGGATGGCGCATTTGCGACCGGGACATGGCTTTGCGCAGACAACGCTACTACCAAATTTTCACGGGATCTACGAAGCGAGAGTTTGATGGCAATAACCACATCCGTGCCTTGGCCATTCAATGTTGAGGGGTGTCATAGATTCCAAGCGTTTTGATGATGCAAGGCTTGGGATCTGGACAACGCCCACATCGGCACATCGAAGCAAGCACTCCCATTTCCCCGCGTCCTCGTACGAAAGACAGCTGATCCTAACGAGAGAGAATACACTCCAGTCGGTTGCGCACCAGTCGCCTTGTTCTTTGTCGGCGTTCATCCGGCCTCGGTAAGCTTCTTTTGCGCACTGATCCCCAGTGCAAGTGGCTTTCTGAAGGACTGATTGACGTTCGTCCGATGACTTGATTGACCGACAGTGGGGCCCCATGCTCGTCTTTTACCCGGTCTGGAGGAGTGAATATGGGGATAAGATTTTAGTGGTCCGCTTTAGAAGTTGTTTGGATCTAATTGCATACCCTTAGTGTGTCGTGCTAGAGCCAGGATAGATCCACCGCTCATGGCACACGCCGTTTGGCCCATGACTCCCCTGCACGGCCAGGCCTGCAGATATATCAACCCCGATTCCCCAGAATTACCTTCTTTTCTTCCCCAGACCCCTCGTTCGACCGTCTCCATCGGACTCCAGTACCTAGTTGCTAGTTCCTGAGCACGCTAATTTTAATCATATTCGCATACAATTAGCACAATGGCTACCGCTATCGAACACACCGAGGCACCTGTACGTCCCCCTTTCATTCGTGTCATACAAGTCTAACCTTCATCGCAGCGCGGCCCAAGCTTCGAGAAGTCTACCAACGGTACCAATACTCTCGACCACGCTCACAATGGCAAAACAACCCGGCAAAGGGCGCCTTATGACTACGGCGGCAACCCTCTGGCACACGTTGCTACCAATGACCCAGAAATGCGCCTTACTGCCTTTGGTGGAGACTTCCAGCCCGGTCTCTACAGGGCTCCGAATCGCAAGTTCGCCAACCCAGCGCCCCTCGGCCTGTCTGCCTTCGCTCTGACGACGTTCGTTTTGTCTTTGATTAATGTCAACACACGTGGCATTGGCCATCCAAACATCGTTGTCGCTCTGGCTTACGGCTATGGCGGTCTGGTCCAGCTTCTCGCTGGCATGTGGTATGTTTACAACGCGTCACTCACACGGTTAACAACCGTCTAACATTAAACTAGGGAAATGGCTATCGGTAACACCTTTGGTGCTACAGCTCTATCATCCTATGGCGGTTTCTGGCTCTCGTTCGCCATTATTCTGACACCTGGCGGTTTCTCTATCGAGTCCGATCTTATCAAATTCGGCGAAGCCACGTTCCTGAACTCATTCGGCCTGTACTTGATGGGCTGGTTCATCTTTACCTTTATCCTGTTGATCTGCACTCTGCGCTCGACTGTGGCTTTCTTCTTCCTCTTCTTCACGCTCGACCTAGCTTTCCTTCTGCTAGGAATTGGTTACCTTCAACACGACGGTAAGCATCCGCAAGGGGACTGCATCAAGGCTGGTGGTGCATTTGGCCTGATGGCAGCATTTGCGGCGTGGTACAATGCGCTTGCAGGTATTGCAGACAGCTCGAACAGGTCAGTTTTCCATTTTACTATTCATCGTCTAATTGAGCGTATGCTGACTTTGCTTGCAGCTTTTTCATCATTCCCGTTGCTCACTTCCCCTGGAGCGATAAGGGCCGTGAGCACCGCGACAAGGTCGACAACTCGACTGCCCGCGACGCTGCTCACACGGCATAAGAGAGCCAACTATGCGCTTTCATCGAATCATTTACGCTGTCATTGTTCCCATGTGCTTGCGATTGTTGATCGGCACATGAAGTGCCGGCACCAAGATTGATGGGCACATACGATATGCATCCATCAGGCGATTGTTTATAATACCAACGAAGACCTCATTGTACGCTATTTAATACGACATTTCTATCTCAAATCATCGAAGTGCAGTCCATGACTTCAGATATGAAAGAGCTATTTTATGCAGTGTTGAATCGTTTGCTCTCGACATAATTCATTCTACAGCGCGGAATGCTTACTTGCTTCCCCGCACGCGCTCATCAGCCTTATAGTAAGATCAGCATATAATGTACCTACTTCTCAAGTCACGCCACGCCACAGTCAAATAAGTCACGCGAATCACATAGCACCGCTGGGGCTTCCCCGCTTCCCCGCCCCTCATCCGACGATGCAACCGCTAGTCCGCCACAGTAATGTTCGTTCGACCGACATTTCAGGTCCTAATGTAGTCCGCGGCCGTTAGCTATTCAGTCGTCATCCGGTGTTCATTCCCGGGCGAGGGTGGGATTAAGCCATTCCTAAGCCATTCCCAAGACTTCTTGGCCTTGGGTCTTGGATGCCGCGGCTTGGGATGGAGTCATTTGACTTTATTCATGTTGCGGGGCTCGCTAGACAGAAACATGTGCATATCATCCCTTTTTGGCGTGATGGGCGCCTCATTTATCTTTTTCGACTCAGTGGTGACCCGCAAGTTCCTCGACAATTCTAGTCGCGGAATCCTGCCTTGCTCGCACGATGATCACGTCTCTATTACCCAAGTCCGTCCACTCTTCTCAGCGTGAAGTTAGAGTGCATATCTCTACTATAAAAGTTGCTGAATTCAAAATTCTTCGTATGGTTTGACAATGAAGTCTTCTACATCCCATCTACCATATCTCCTCAATAATATTTATACACTTCCATCCGGCACCTGAATGGCGCCATTTTCTTTCGACCCTTCGAGCAATTCCCCCCAGATCTGCTTGACCAACTGCTTCTTGTTAATCTTTCCCATGGCATTCCTCGGTATCGTCTCCACAACCTTCATCTCCTGAGGGATCTTGTAGTTGGCAAGAATCTCCTTCAACGCCCTCCTCATATCGAGCGCGCTCCACGCCTTCCCTCCCCTTCCAGCCGACTTTCCCAGATCCGAAAGCACAACGACGGCAGCGACTTTTTGGCCCCAGGCTTCAGAAGGTAGCCCAACGACAGCTACCTCGGACACTTGGGGGAGGGATAGCATTTCGCGCTCGATTTCGAGGGCAGAAACCTTCTCGCCGCCGGTTTTGATGATGTCTGCGGATTTACGGCCGTGGATGAAGTAGAGTGGTCCTTTGGCCCATTCCTGATCGCTCTTGCCGGCGCCTTCAAAGTTTCTTCGCACAGCTACGTCGCCAGTCTTGAACCATTTGCCTTGTCCATCCGCGTCTTCTACAAACTCTTTCGCAGTAGCCTCAGGGTTCTTCCAGTATTCTCGGAAGATAGTCGGTCCACGGAGTTGGATCTCGCCCTGGCGTTCGCGGCCTGTTGCAGAATCGATTTCATGTCCCACCTCGATGATCTCGCCCGTGTCTAAATCTACGAGGCGCGCTTGAACAGAAGGCAGCGGCCAGCCCACCGAGCCATCCACGCGATCGGAGAAGTTTAAGCCACAAGACAAAGCCATACCAACCTCAGTCATGCCGTATCGCTCAAGCAAGACGTTGCCAGCACTGAGTTCTGTCCACGCCGACTTAACGGGTGTGGGGAGGGCGGCAGAACCGGAGATGTTCAGACGCATATTCTGAGGGTGGAGGGCAGTCTTCGTCGCGGCTTGAAGCTCAGGTGATAGGCTAGGATGGGCAGATAGTAGGCGCGTGTATATTGTTGGGACAACAGTGAGGAAGGTGATTGGTTTCTTGGTCGGGTCAGGATTCGGCAAGAAAGGAGCAGCTAAGCGCTCCCAGAGTGCTGTTGCGTTGAATGGGAACTGAAACTCGATTGTGCTGCCGACAAATAGAGGCGTCAGAAGCGCGTTTACGGTTCCATGGATGTGGTGGAGCGGTAGTACGTGCAGCAGTACATCCTGGCTGCTGTAGTTCCAAGCCTCCAAAAGCGATCGCGACTGTGCCGTTAGCACGTCTTGTGGCAGCAGAACGCCCTTGGGCCGGTTTGTAGTCCCCGATGTGTATAGCATCATACCGCCTTTGTCACTCGTAGGCTCTTCTAATGTCACGTAGTCGTCCTTCTTGCCCATCATGATCTTCTCCTGCTTGTAGTTGATCGGCTTAGTCTCCATGCCCTCTTTCAACACGTCATCTGCTTGACTCTGGAACTTCTCAGACGACAGCAGCATCAACGACTCGCTCTGGTCGATGATATATCTCAGCTCGTGGGCAGGGAATGTCGGCGATAGCGGTACCGCGATGGCATGCGCAGCGAGAATCGAGAGCAGTGTCACTATGTATGGGTCAGTTGGTGCCTTTTCAAGGTGGATAGAGAGGGGCTCCAGTCGAATGCGCACCTACATAGTCGTAGCCATTTTCCACCAAGAAAGATATTCTCTGTCCTTCTGCGCTCTGTCCGTTCGTATTCCGCTGCAACTTGTCCTTCGCAGCCGCGACATCGTTCACCAGCTCCCCATAAGTGAAGGTCCGGCCCGAGAGCGAGTGCACGACAGCCGTACTATGCGCATCATGCTTCTTAATCGCTTCGAAGATGGGTAGGCGGGGTAACGTGGATGCCATCCTGGCCGCGTGGGAGGCAGCGCTGGCGGGAGGGACGTATAGAGGATAGGCGCAAAGGGATATCTTGTGTCGTGTGAGGGTGCGAGAAAAAAGATTGCGCGCCCACATGGCGGAGGAAGAGGGCCAGGATCAGCGCAATGGAAACAGGATGCAGATGCAGGCGTGCCGATGGCGTACGGCAATTCAGTGGGGGAATGCTGGGGTATTGCCGGAATCGCTAGCTCACAACAAATAGAACCATGATTCAAAAAGCTTGTATAAGCTCAAGGACGTGTAGAAGGATCAGAATGTAACAAAGCAACCATGTTTGAGACGGATTGCGACTTCAATTGCCGTCTGGGTGAGTTCCAAAGCCTCGAAATCATGACGCGCTTCGTCATGAAGCTTCCTGATCCGGCCTTGGCACCTGCCTCGGCTTGCATTTCTATTCCCGAACCCTCCTAAATTCTCAACACCGCGCTGGGCATCTTTTATTGGTTCCTCACCATCGCCCACTAACCGACGAACCCATCGATAAATGTTCTTGAGAAGAGTAGCTGTCGCCGGGAAGCGGTCAATGTCAGCCATGTCGCAATCCATGACTCCGATGGAAGATGCTCTGCGGGCAAAGGGAAGCTTATCTCACCTCGGATGACCCAAACACCAGCGTCTAGATGGACTAGTACATCTCACATATGAGAACTAACTATAAAGCAGATCACAGACGCGCTGAAGCCAACTGCACTTGAGGTCTTCAACGATTCACATAAACACGCACATCACAAAGCCATGCAAGGATCAACAAGCAGAGAGGTACATATAAGCAAGGCACCAAAAGAAATTCGCTGACGTATCGTAGACTCACTTCCGGTACGACCGCACGAACTATGACTGTGCTTCTTCATGGTACAGATTACTAACGATCATAGTGTCTTCATCACATCTTCAGCCTTCCAAGGCAAGATGCAGGTTGCGCGCCACCGCATGGTCAATTCGCTCATGAAAGACGAGATGGCTCAAGAAGGTGGAATCCACGCCCTTCAGCTCACGACGCGGACTCCAGAAGAGGAGGAGAGTAGACGGCAGAAAGAGGCAGCGCAGGCATGAGACCTGACAATGGATGACTTCAGATACCCAAAGACACTTGGAGCAGACTTGTACAACATTGATTTCACTTGCATTAAGTGAGAACTAAAAGAAAGGGCTGCATCCCTTGAGACTAACGAGTGACGGGGGTTTAGCTAAGTAAATCATTCCCATATCGGCCAGTCACCGCTTCTTACATCGCAATTTTCGTCACTTTCCCAGCCCTGTTTAACCAGTCCAAGAAACCTATCAAATCAGTCAATAACGACTTTCCTACTGTCACACGCGAAACGTACCTTTCAGCTATCCCGTCCATCACACGGCCCTTCCGTCTTCACACAGCTCGTCCTTCTACCCAAGTCATCGCAACCACCAGCCTTATTGCACCAGTAAACATTGTCATGCTTCCACCCAGAGATGACGGCGGCACAGTAGCCACAGTACAAGCCTGGCCGTGGATTAACTCTGATGAGTTCTCTCGGCTTTGATCAATGGTACATACCTGCGTTCTTCACTTTGGTGCACTTGCATGCTCGTTTGGCGAGATTGGCTACCTCTGGCTCAGCTTCGGGGTTGGCGGAAGCGTCGCGGACGGCGTGCTCGACTGAGCGGTCGTCGATGGGCTCTGGGACGGCGAAAGCACTGCCGGCGAGGAGAAGAGTCGCGAGGAGGGTTTTGATGGGAAGCATTATGGGCAAGTAGGCTGACTGATTGACTCAAATTTATGAAGATGTTCGTATTGGCTGGTCTTGAATCCAGTTGAATTGCGATGAAGACGGGTATAATGGCGCCATCGTAGCTGTTTATATATTCGCACTCCCTCGCTGATCGTCAGTCCTCTATCCTAATACCCTCCTCCTCCTCGCCGACAACAATCTTAGTTCTCTCCTGCAGTCTACCCAGTATAGCAGTTCACAAGACAGTTTAGATTAATACGAGGCCGTACAAGGACACGACGTACTACACGAGCCCAAACACAAGGCTCATCGCATAGAAATTAATCACGTGTGCGTGTTCCCCGCATGTCAATGAGTACCTAGACTAACCACTTCGATACACAAAACTATATATATCACGCCGTTCCGTCGCAAATTTCGCATTACTCACGATATCGGGACCTCGACGTTGTACAAGTTACGTTTTAATCCTGAAAGCGAGGCTACCGAGTCTGAGGAAGAGGGCTTGAAGTGTGGTAATTGGTAGTCTTGCGAATGCGAAAAATGCGGGTGTATAGTGCGGCTGGAATGGAGAACGCTTGGTTGGGAACGCCCCGCATTGCGGTTGCACGCCGGTGAAGAAAGCGCTGTAACACGGCGTGGAACGTTACTTTGACTGAGATATATTGACAGAAAAGGTATGCATTGCGAAATATCTCATCTCGGTCTAGGTTCGGAAGGGATGGTGCAGAAATGGTGCAGGTATCTATTTTACTGAAAGATGATCTATACACTCGCGTATCAGACCTAGCATTTGGACCCTATTGGCATGCAGTATTTGGTAGCTTGTTCAATCTTGCGTACCTGATATTTTCCTAAATCTTACAACCTGACGTCTCTTCTCAAGTATTACTATGCATCTTAGAGAGCTAGACACCTACTTTCTCCCCTTTTGCTTCGTTCGACTCATCAGTCGCAGCACCCATCTATCATAGCTGTCGGAGCGTAGAACTCAAGTAGAATACCCACCCATTAGTAGAGTTATGTTGTTTTCTAGAACAAGGCGTATATCAGGTCTAAGAAAGGTCAGTGGACGTACATAAGAGCTTATGATTGCGATATACTCTGATTCTAACGAGCTAAACAGTTGTAACTGTTGTGTTTTTACTGTGGTAAAAAACGTCATCGTACTCTTCATCAGTCGATTCCATTAAACCAACGAGTCTGAATGTGTCAGGTCGTTCTGTGCAACATTTCAAAACCAAAGCATGGTGTAGCTTTACCCCTCGCTATTCTCCTTATTCCCACCATCTACCCTATCATCTCTATCTTCATTGTCTTTCTGCATTGTCTCTCTGATTCTCTCTGTCTTCCTCGCCGCTCTTTCTTTCGCTGGTCATATCTCCCTCGTCATCCTACTCATCTGGTAACCGTTCACCAGTAAGAGTCGTATCTGATTCAACCCGCGTGGCGGATATTTCAAGAGCATTATCTTCTTGGATATGTTGAATTGGGGTTGGTTTGCTCAACGAAGGATCCACATTGAACGAAGCAATTTCTTCCAAGATTTCATTGTGGCATCTTGCGATGTTGAGCCAACGGCTGTGCAAGTAGCCTACGGCTGGAAAGGATGCCCACACTCTTGCCAACGACCCAATCATAATGATGTATCCTGATTTTACTCCGCCAGTAGATATATTGTGGGTAGAGTACAATGTGAGTGAATGATCTTGGCATTATAGAGGGATTAATGTTTAGTAGGGTGCCAGATAGGCCCGTCAATTGAAGCCCAGCTCCAAGAAGGTGCACGATTATATCCATCTAGCGCATTCTCTTCTCCAAGAAGTGCTTGTTGTCACACGAGCCCCGTTTCAAGGTCGATTTTCCATAGCCCAGCCATATACTCATCGTCGAGTTTCGATTGAAATGTCCTCGCAACCGCGGAACCAGTAAGATTCATCCTCGAATATGTTTCCACGACCCCATTATACCATTTCTGATGGAAAGAGAATAAGTCTAATTGATCGAGCATAGTATGCACGTTAAACCGATGGCTCCTTTCGGCAAGATAGTATCCAGTTCCGCACTCACAATGTCATGTTGTTTCACATCCCCAATGCAGTTCGCAGTTATAGAAGGAGATCGAGGAATCGACGAGCAAGTAATCTTTCCTACAATGCCCATCCACGCTTTGACAGTGGTTCAACCCAGAAGTGGTGGTTATAAGGATGAATAGGACAAGCGAGATAAATAGGAGATGTCTTCTTGTCGTTGGCCATGCATGGGGAAAGACGCGTCGAAAGAGATATCGTCTAGGCCACGAGAATCATGGCGCAGAGCTAAAAAGCCCGGCCCATCACTAAGGGATGAAGTAGCCGCAATAACAAGCGTGGAATTGTAGTAGACACCACTCATACTGACCGATTCAAATCCCGGTCTTCTTTACTGCCCTGCAAGATACTTCCTTCAGCCGGTCAGTAACGATAGCTGCTTGAACTAGGAGTTTTATCTCCTCTGAATACGCCACCTATAAGCGTTAGTGATGAGATTTATTCACTCGATTGGCCTGATATATGACTCTAGATGTTTAGTTGCATAGATGACCGTCGCGTGGCCAATGGTGGGTACAGGTAGAAAACCGGAAAGAGCAATGGTACAGTCCCCTACAACTACCACATCAACTTCCCTGTGACCATGATAATTTCAATCACAACCGAACAGGATGTGCTGATGTTTACGTTAATGCTACAGATCTAGAATTATGCAATTTTTCTCTTTACTTGTGTGGGGTCCGTAATTAGGGTCTGCAGAATGCACTCCCTTAAATGAGGCCGCCATTTTTGCTACACCTCTTTCAAAGCGAGGGACAAATTACAAATCAGATTGGCACTGGACACTAGACTCTAAAATCAATGGCTAATGTTGACCAGTGATACGAAAAGTGCAAGGAGCTAAGTAGACTAGAGTGAGAAGACATGAAGGGTAGTGAGGGAACAGCGGAGTGAGGAAAAATGCTATGGACGAGCGGGAGGGCCCACTTCTTTTTGGTCACATTGCGCAGGTTAGCATTTTGGTGCTAAGGAGCTTCTCCTATCATGGGGCAAGGTCAAGTACCGGCAGTTATGCCCGTAGCCTGCAATGAAAGCCGTTAGAAAGGAGTCCCCTTTGACGGTTCCTCTGGGATATTCCATCGTCACGCCATAACCGGACGAGAGTGGATACGTATGTGATCAAAGCCAAAGAAGATCTCTCGATATCACAGCTTGAACAGGTCTGTGCGAGAGGTCAAGTGTACCACACAGTGCTTAGCTTTAGAATTATGCATGCTGGAGAGACTAACCATTGGAAGGCAGAGTTTCCCATGTCGCCATGAGTGAAACACAACCCCTCTTGCCCTGATTCAAGGTGATGCGCTAACAAAAAGACGTGAGCACAGTCTCGTGACTCTTCGATATAATGCAGAGCCCAACTGGTGTTTCGACAATTTAGCGCACTGATCTAGCCCCATATAACGATTGCGTCAAAAAACGGGCCTGAACGAGTCAATCCACTATCCACATCTAGAACTTGCGGTCAACCCGCAGGCATCACCCATAAGGCTGATCGACACCTCCCCTCCTCCAACAAGCTTAGCAGAGAGTGAACCCCCTTGGAAGACATATTCGTCAATGTCGATCCCTCGATGCTGCCCAGCAGCTAGCTGTGACAGTCAGGAGAATCCTGACAGCCCATCACGCTACTAAGTCGCCGATAGCGCCGAAAGGAAGGGTTACCCGCCCGCTCGGCTCGGGTGAGATTGAACGTCCAAACTAGTAAAGATGTTTTCTGCTCATTCGCAAGTTTGGACCTAAAGGAGCTGGTGGCCTGCCCTAAAGTAGGCTTGCGGATATCTCCGCGATGGTGATCGGCGTACTAGCCTGATGTCTCGGAAATTTGTCTCCGCGGCGAGGGGATCATCACAGGCCCACAGATGGAAATAATGGGTCTTTAAAACAGGGTTGGCTTTTAGAAAGTGGGTATTGATGCCAAGGAGATCGATGCGTTTGTAGGTCCCGTGAGCCTTTTGGCGGTTAGAGATATTGACGTGAGCGACTAACGTACTGGCTGCTTCAAGTGCTGTCCGGGCGTATCTCGTCGAGAGATTGTTGATCAGATAGGTTGGGGGTATGATGAATAACGACGTGCATCTGCTTCCATGTGCGGAAAAGGTATTTGTCAAGCCGTGGTATATATATGTGATGATATCGTGTTCTCTTAAGGATCTGACTCGGAGCTGAAACCTGTGACTACAGTTGGGTAGTCAAGCTGCGCATTATTCCAATGCAAAATCAAGAAGCGGATTTGACAGCCCGAAGCACCAGCCTTGTCTTCAGTTTTATCCCTGTTGCAAGAATTGATTATTCGTAATAGTCCCGCGTAGAAACTGCTCATAAGTGTATGTATTGGCATAAACCAAGCCCGCTGGTCAAGTGATTGATACAAGGCTTGTTTGCGAATGTGAACATTCTTTCTTGGTTAACCGGAGTATTACGGAGTATTGACCGTGTGCTCCCTTCTACATGGCGTTAGCTCCATGCAGCACATTAATCGTCGAAGGTGCATCATGATGAGCCCAGTTGACAGCTTGTAGGATCTGTGGTGAGCGGAAGAGAGTGCGTCGTAGCCGTAGTATAGCTAACATTCATATAATAAGCCGCATAAGACATGCATGACCGATCTCGGAGCCGATTTGCAGGTGACATTGAGTTACAACGTCGTTGATGACACGCATCAAAGAGCCTATATCGTGTGGCAATATGTGTTCCTCATCTTGACATCGTGTCCTCTTCCAGCGACCATCTGACGAATAACAAGTCTAGCGACATTGTTGCAACCAGGCTAAAGTCATGTCGCTGCATGATCGATGCATATAGGAGAGGCGGATGAGTATACACTATATTCGGTCCATCTGGAGCCTGGTAAAACTGCATATGTTCTGCAGTACAGGGGTGGACACGTCATCTACCGATCCGAGATATAGCGTCCCTTTGATACCGTTTCGTTCAAGTACAATAAGGTCGATTTGAGCCTCGCGGACACGGTTGGAAAAATTCTGGCCCCTCCGTGCTGCGGTGAGCATAGCACAACCCCATTTGATTGTGCTATGGTCTAGCATTAATGGTCACGAGTGCGCTACTAATTGAAGCATACTGCGGGATGTATCTCGAGCTTCTCCTATGAAAAAGGGTAGACGGTGCCAGCGCCGGTAGCAGATGTGAAGCACAGTCATAGTGCTAGGCTCGTACTATGAGTATCCAGGGGCTGTGGAGTAGGTTGTACTAATGCACAAATCATCAGTTTGTGCACGAGTATGTGCATTTTGAGCGTCGAACATGGGGCCGTCAACTGGCTAAGGAGTTGAAGGGTGACAGATGGCGAACAGACTGTTCAGGGACCTCTGTGATTTACCTACTGCGGGAGGGTTGCTCACAGGGACCCGTTACTCTCCACATATGATCGCCGTTGAAGAGGTGAGGGAAGTTTCTACGTTCACTCTCGAACATCTGTTCCAAGCCACATAAGGAGATAAGGTTCCTGACGTTGTTTGTCATCCGTGTGCTATTGTGGCTGGCGAGCCGAACCCCAGCCAGGCATTCCTCGCCCGCGGGTAAATCCTATGGTTTTATCTCGCAGAATACGAGGTGGGCCGTTTCACTGGGCTCACAATTTTGTCAGTTAGCCAATCATGAATTGTAGATACGGTGTAATTACCCATGTGAACGCTCTCTTGGGCTGTGGTGCATCCTAATTGACGATGCGTCGGTTGTATGTATGCGAGAATACTGCCAGTGTACAAGGGGAGTCTCATGCAGCTTTTGGGGGTTTCTCCGCGGGAGGAGGATCTTGGAGATAGCGTAGCTACCCCGTCAGTGACCAGGCGACGGCTCGGTAGGTATCGCAAAGTCGCAGTGGTAGAAGCATTGTCCTGATGGAGAATGTTGAGGACGCGCCCTCGTTCCTTCCTACTCTTGTTTTGGGAAACTACGCGTCGCCTGTTTCGCTTCACCAACAACATTCTACCATCAACACTACCATCAACAGTCTACTAGCTCCACACGCTGCAAAACTCGCTCCCGACAATAGTGCCTCCACTTCGTCTCTTCCCTCCTTGACCGAACTACAGGCTGAACATAAAGGCCCGGCTAAGTGCCGATGTATCGGCGACCTGGTTCCGACCGACCCTGTCATGAACACCAGGGGAACATACTATGTCACCATCAGCACGTGCACAGTGAGCTTACCCTGGCCTTGACAATGTCGACATGCGCACAGGGCCATGGAGACGAGGCGACGATCACTGGCCTATGCCCGCTGTAAGATTACATTGGTTTCACACGACGTCGCGCGCTCGCGACACCAGAGCGACAAGCAATGATCGAAGGCGACAAGACAACGAGACAACGAGACGACAAGACACATCTGTTTCGTGCTACGAGTCAAGGAGCTTGCTATTTCGAGACGACCAGGAGACCCGCCCCACTGGAACAGGAACGAACGCTTCTGGCGGCTGTAGGTCCGCGTCATTAGTCCGACTTACATGACGTGCCTCGCAATCAGAGGCGAATCTCTGCTCAATTTGGTCTTGGCTGCGCAACCGACAGCCTGGAGCCGGAAGCTGGTCGTGGAGTACGGCTAGCCTGCGGCACTGCGCTCACCATGGCACTGGATGCATGCTATGACACTTTGGGTACGCCCCTGGCTAAGGCGTACTCACGAGGGTGCTTTTACTCCCTCTACAACCAGGGTCATGCCTCATTCTGCCCAAGGCGGTTTGGAGAGTCAGCGCGGAGAGTCGACAACCCGGCTATGGCTATGGCGCAAAAGTAACACACTATATACCCTAGGTCGAGACGAACGCTGAGCCAGGCTACGTGTCGCTCGCGGTCCTACCCGTCGCGGGGATACCACCTGCAGGTACACACAAAAGCTGGTCTTGAAAAGCCCGCCTCACGACACTTCCTCACAAGCCTCTAGCAACGAGACAACGTGCACCGAGATGAGGGGAGGCGGCGCGCATCTAGCATCTCATGGAGCGTGCCGCTACCGCCCTGTTAGCTGTGATACGACATTAACTGGGGGGAGGGAAGGGATCGCAAAAAGCATCCTTTGGCCAAGGTGATTGACGCAGCCAAGGGCGTAACGTGGTCTTGCGCCAATCCAGATCAACCCAACCGCTGGACACATGACGGAGCATGAATGCGGCAGGGGCTTCGCATTGAAGCCCAATCCACTACCTGGTGCAGTGAAGATTTTTTTAGTTCTTCTGCAATTTGTGCATACGACTATACGCATGCATCTAGAAGGGGTGCAGAAAGAGTGGTCTGTACTACCATAGTATGCATATCGAGCAAAAGGAACTGCAGATAATCTGAACGACCAGGAGCTGCCAAGCCGACAAGGGGATGGTCCATCGCCTGCAGCCTTCCACAGTAGCTTGCAACTGAACCACCCCCACGGTCGCCTGGATCCTGGAGAAGTGGCCCAGTGGCACCCCTGGATCATGGAGGGGCATGGTGTCATCGACTTCGCCGAGCAGTGAAATACAACCGTCGCTCAAATGTTGAAACCTTGTGTAGTTTAGTATGCACTCTCTTCATCGCGAGCCCCCACACGGCTAGCACGTTCTCGTACAGTAAGCAGGCCCTACTCTGCTGTGACAGCTCTTATGTGGCTGCATGGCGTGTATACGATAATTGCTTCTTCCCACTGCAGTGAGGCGCGACGTTGCCACTGCTGAATGCCGTGGACGTTAGCGATGTTCGACACGGCTGACGTCTACTTGGACCCACGTTGTCTGATCAACAATAAGAAGCAAAGAAAAGCTGTCGAGACCCCAACGCTTCTACATGGACCGCTACGGCTAGCTTGAGATGATGCAGATCTACTAGACAGTTGAGTTTGGGCTGACAACACCCTGGCTGGGCATGCCGTCGCCCCAAGGCGCCCGTGTTTGAAGAGGCTGCGGCACAGAGCCATGATTTGGGGGTTTGGAGTCCGCGAGCTGCTGCCAATGAGGCGCTCAACAAGGAGATGAGAGCAGCACATGTTCTCTCATTTCTCACCGAGCGGCAAGCGTAGTGATGGGATGGGATGTGCTGAGGGGCACATGATGAGACACGGTCGTGCGGCATCACACACACTGCCCCCGCCGGCTACATGACGGACAGCGGTCGAGGACAAGTGCACGACCAGCCACGGCCCACGGCGCGCACTTGGTAGGCAGCTAGGGCCGGCAAGCTGCAATCAGGATGACAGAACGTCTCCCGGACTCCCTCCCGCGGGCCAGGACCAGGGCTAAGGCCGGGGCGTGCAGGCTGCTACGGCCATAGCATGCGCTTGCGTCGCTTTGGGCGAAATGGCCATCCTCTCTTGGCTTACGCCCTTGAACCTGGCAAGTCTGCGCGCTCTTGCGGTGGGTAGGTGGATTGGCTTCCGCTTCCGCGCGTCCCTTAAGTCAGTGTCGACGGTGCAGTAGCGTCCAAAGTCGTGCGTGCACAGCGTGCCAGCAAATCCGAGCAGGCTACAAAGCACCGCCTAGCGTGTCGACAAAGCCGCCGACAAAGCATGATGTACTTGGTGGTGCCCTTACTCTCGCGCAACATGGGGGCGTCAACAGGGGCATGTTGCAACTTCGATGATTTGCTGCCCGGCCAGCGATCCTCCGACGACTACACCGCAAATTCTTATATCACACCCGGTCCTGGCGCGCTTTCAGCCGATTGCGGTCGTGACTTGCGTCGACCCCATATCCTCAACCGCTCCGGACCTCCAGCTTCATTCCTCCGTTGCTTCACTCTTCCTGTTTGATCTTCGGCCTGGTCCCTACAGCCTCAGTTGATTACTCGCTGTATAGCATGGCGCTTCGCCCCTACAAACCTTGAACAGCCACTTCTAGAACCCCAGCGTCGCCTCGTTCTCTCTCCAGAGCCGTTGCAACCGTGCTCCCGCGCCTTGGATCTTGTCAACTTTCGCCTCTTCCAACCATATATCAATATCCCGAAAATCTGGTGGGTTGTCTTCCGGGCGACCCAACTAACCTTGTCACGCTGGCTACTCAAACACTCCCCGCTATTCGAGCCCCTCACCCTCATTTTCCACATCGCTTCCAACCATCCTTAACCCCACCGTACCACGACAACCCAAAATCGGATCGCCCATGGTTGGCCCATCGTGGTCAAGGGGGCTCTAACGATATATTTTCCATGTCGAACTTACCGGCAGGAGGATTTCGTTCAGAGCAGACCACCCCCCAATTGTCCCCCACTCAGCCATATCCTCCTATGCAGCCACCTTTCAGGAGCAGTCCTCGAGAAGGCCCAGCAAACTCATTGGTTTCGCTTCCTCCTTTACGCCAGCTCTCCAACACACCACCTACTCCCTCTGACCGCAGACATGGCACTCCCTTTGGCGTTCATTCAATGCTTAATCCTCAAGCGGAACTAGTCGCACAGCAACAGAATCGAAGACGCAGTGCCTCACAGATGGAGTCGCCATCACCTGTCGACACTCAGCATCCGCATAGTCTGCCATCGATTAGCCGACCAACTAGCGTTGATTCCACCCAGGATGACCCCAAACCTCCTAGAGTTTTCCAAGCACCAGGGCCCCCAGGAAGACCTTCCATGAGACACATACTAAGCCCAAAATCGCCGAAACTACACAGGACGCAAAGCTTGGGTCTCCTGAATCCACCAACGGGCACCATCGACGCCCATCAATCACCTTTCTTGACAGCAAATACACGCCCGTCAGATCTGGTGACATCGCAGCCGGCTTTGCCCACGCCCCCAGGAGGCCGAATTGCGTATTTCTCTGCAGTGCCACCATCGGCTCCAACACCACCCCCAAACATGATCCGCACGGATGTTCGGAGACCAAGTATAGGATTCCCGCAGTCCGGTAGCGCGAGCCCGATCACCCAGTACTCTCCATACAGCCAACCTGCCTCTGTAGCTTCTAGCCAGTACGATAATCAAAGTACGCAAGGACACTACGCATCTGGGCCTACCCACGTGCACATGCATGATGTACGACACGGGTCGATCCCCATGGAAACTGAACGAAACAGCATGATCCCTATGGCCCCGTCTAGTCAGAGCAGCATTCAGATCATGACAATCAAAAGCCAGCTGGGCCACCCAGTCCAAATTCCGGTCGATGTGCAGGCAGCCTCCAAGGTTGCCGACGAGAAGCGGCGGCGCAACGCTGGAGCATCCGCTCGGTTCCGTGCTCGGCGGAAAGAAAAGGAGCGCGAAGCATCGATGAGCATATCGAGATTGGAGCAACAAGTGCGTGATGCGATTGAAGATGCTGAGTATTATCGAAGCGAAAGAGACTACTTCAAGTCGATCGTGTTTCAACAACCAAACCCAGAAACACATTATGCAAGAGCTCCATCGCCTCGACTAAGGCGCCCTTCTATAGCACCTTCTCTCGCACCTTCTTCCTCCACTGGGCCCGGTTCCGATGGCTCTTACGCCGAGTACGAAGAGGAGGCGCGAGAAGAGGAACGTAACGTGCGAAGGCGAACCAGTAGTTACCATCCTGTAGCTGGACCTCCACCTACTTGTTCAACTCCTTCTGGCTCCGCATCTCATGGCTACTCTGCGCCTGCATTCCTGCCAGTCAACCTACCACCTGTTCAGGGTGCATCTCATGACCAACAGTTCTTATCACACCAGCAGGGTCACTTGGCTGCCCTACAACAGCCACCTTCCGACCGACCAGTGTACCAAAATTCTTTCATTCCGGATGCTGAGCGTTATGAGAATCGACATTGGCCTACAGGTCCGACCGAAGCTCGACAGAACTAGGCCTCCATCATACGTTAATCTTCTTCGTGTTCTTAGGACAGCCACACCCAGACACGACCACCTTCTTATTTCCAATTTTCAACATCCCTGCATAGCATCGCAGATTTCTCAATCTTTTCGTCATTAAACAAGTACAATTTTGCGATATACCCCTAAGGGCTTTTTTCACCCAGTTTCCTGTCATAGTCGTTCATGTACCAGTCGCTGTTACCAATCTACAAACTGCATTTAGAGTACCCATGTCCTCGCGGACACCCAATTGTCATTTTCTACACTTTGCATACTACATGCCTATCTCTACCGCATGGTGCGGTACTTTGTTTATTCATGTATTATACCACCCGTTTCAACAATGTTTGCAGGTGGCGTTGTTGGATCACGGCCAGCCGATGACGATGTATCTATCACCTACCTTGCAGATCAATATTAGCAAAGGCATGGCTCTGAAGCGAGATCCCGACAGCACATCGCCCTCACAGTTGCCAAGAGACATTCGCATTCACATAATCGAACTAATACGCGATGTCCATGGGCTCACGTTAGACATTTTAGCACCGCTTAGGCGCTCTCGAGTGCGAAGTTAGTTCAACTAGTCGATCAGATTGGATCCCACCAAAGGGTGACGCCAAACCTACTTGCTTTCACTAGCGGATTAACATCTGGTGGACTATTCTCCGATGCTGTCCGCTTGACGAGAATTACACAGAACAGCTAGGACTTTTGCGCGGTTCTTGCCTCATCTACTAACTTAGCGCTTCCGTATGGTAAACTTTCACGACAAACGGCCCGATTCGGAACTCTACCGTACCGTCCTGCCGACCTGGGGTCCCCGGCATGATGAGGAACACCAAAGTTCGGGACTTGGGTTAGGCATCCACACGCCTGCGACCTGTACGAAGGTTTGGTGATTTGAGTTCGGCGCCCACACTTCTGCGGCTTGTATTGAAGCTCGGAGATTTCGGCAGCCATGCACCTGTAACTCGTAGAAATTTCGGGACTCGAGCCTGCCGTCCACGTGCCTGGGAACCGTACGAGATTGATGCCCAACAGCCAGCCGCAATACATCCGTAAAATTGAGCAATAGTTTTACATGACTAGTCACTGGCGCGTTACCAAGTCAGGGTACTCACATGAACATTTAAGGTCTTTCATGATAGACATAGTTGCAAAGTGAGGCGGCTCACTTCGAAAGGCATGGCCTCGGTCAGTCATGCCTGTAGACCCTGGGATACTTACTCAGCACATGTTGGCCCTCACACAGATTAATTTGTTCGACATTGTTACAGTGGGAGCTTTGATTGACTGAAGAATATCTACCGTCAAAAGGGAAGGTCAACTTCTTTTCGCAAAGCAGAACTACGGACTATTGTCGAAGTAGGTATTCTACGCCGGCGACCAATCACTAAAGGCTGGCCGCATTTATCAGATTGACGTGCCGCGCTTTCCCCCCGGGACATGCACGACATGCACATCATTAACAATCCTGAGCTCGCCAATCAAAGTATTTGTCCAGTATCGATGGTTTCCCTGTCGGTACTACCGTTAGTTCTGCCGGACCCCCGGGCTAGAGAAGCCACACCGCCTCTACCACGAACTGACTTGCATGGCTTGATCAATATATACGCTGCATCTGCGGGCATCGAGCTTGGTCCTATGAGTCCACTGAAGACCGCTTCAACCTGGCAGAGAGGAAATTCACCCAAGGAGAAACAACCTAGTTTCAGGACACTGTCTCCCCACAAGCCGCGCGATGCCGCGGAAAAGCTGTAGACGATTCGCTAAGCATGCAACGAGAGCTACTTCTGCAATTGTGGGGTGGTTTTTCCATTCTGATATTTCTGCATGGATGCTGACGGACCAGGCTGAGTTGCCTGCCAATCGATATGGAGCCTGAAGGCTTGAGCTCACCGTTTACCATTCTTTTGGGTTGGAGCTTATGCAGCTAGCATCGAAGTCAACATTTCTGAGCACGAGGCCACTACCGGCTACCCGAGTCCTCTCGGCCCGATGGCTTATACGGGACGACGTTCGGCTGTCAGCTTGACGGGACTGACTCTGCTCATTATCATTGAATGTCAACTGCCGGACGCAAGTCATACCCACAACAGGTTATAATGCTGGTGGCAATGCGGCCGACTCGGACTCATTGCCCAACGCGGACGACCTCCCTTTTTCTCTACCCTCGCGTCTGCACGCCATGCAAACAAGAAGTTCGAATACCTCTGCGGTTGCAATCCGTCCATGTCCCACCTCGACACGTGTATGCCCACACCGCATATTTCGCCTGGGCCATGCACGTCGTCCACCAGATCTGCGTCCGCGAACTCAATCTGGTCCTCTCGTCTCGTTTCCTGCGTCACGCGCTGCATCGCCTAACTCCGTCTGCACGAAAGAATGCCTGCTGCGCGGTACCCAAGCCCCCACGACTCCACCGGCCTTCCTGATGCAGCCACCTTGGAAGACGTGCTCAATTTAAGATATCGCAGGGATTCGGAATTGTGACCGTGAGCTGGCAATTTGATGTGTAACAGAACCAAACACGGTAGCTCGGACTATCATCTGGTGGGCTTTGATGCGCAAACGAAGGATGCCCCACGACTACCCTGACTCGAGGACTCGAGATCGCAAAAAGGGGTGTGGGCGCGGGGCATCAACGTCATGCCCGCCAGCGCTTAAGCATGCAATAGAGAGGGTTGCGCAATAATCAGGAGCCACGCCCGCGTCTCTGCGCCTCGAGTGGTTACACGGCATTTGTTGAGGGTCATTTTCTTCGAAAATGATGTGTACACGCCTTAACGTACATGTTGCTGACGCTTTTTCGAACGCCGTGACATCTACGCAGGTAGAGTGGACTAAGTATGTCACGCGTGCCGTAAAGCAACGCAAAACTACCCACTGTGTCGATCCTATAGTTCTTCGTATGCATAGAGCAGCGGGTAGCGACGGTGTAAGCGTAATTGTGAGTGTAACTACAAAGTAAAGATCAGCATAGCAGTTCCTGATCTGGCACTCCCAAAACAACAACGAAGCAGGGACAACTTTCGCGAATCCAGTATAGACTGCATCTTTTGCATAGCCGTGTGCCATTCATGCGCTTCTATCTGATAAACAAATCATGTGAAAGAGCGACTCCTTCCCGGCTATCAAATCAAACTCATCTTACCCAGGAAAAGAATATTACAACAAATCCCAGCAAGCGAGCCAGATCAGCGAATCCAACTCCAGCAGTGTAATAATTAACCCTACTTTTCTCTATTTCCCATCCTGCACAGCCGAACGCACCTTCGAATCCACCATGCAATCCCTCGCGCAACGCACGCCCACCCGCCTATCCACACACTCGCAGCACTCCACCTCCACCACCACGCAGCAACCAAACGCCTACATATGCACCTATATCTCCCCTCCCCCTTACCCGAAACCGACCCACCACACCGGTACCGCACCGCACCGCACTCAATCAATCTTGAAGCCCAACGCATGCATGCGTATATGCATGTCAGCAGCCTTGTCTGCCCGCCTGCGTGCTTACAGCTTACCTACCTACCCGTACGCGAATGAAAAGGGCGCGTACAAGCTTCCGAGAGAAATGAGAAAATTGGTAACCAAAAGGCGCACTTTTGTTTGAACGCCCGCATGTAGGGTGTAGTCATGTGAGTGAGTCGTTAGTCGTTAGTCGTTTGTTGAGGACCGTATAGAGGTCGGAGAAAAGCTAGGCAGAAGGAGAGGTTTTGTTTTCACTCTAGGTGGTGAGATGAGATCAGATGAGATCAGATGATTTTGTGCTTCTGACATGCGCAAGGTAGGGATTGTTTTCTTACTTTGCTTGTCTGCCTTGCCTTGCTTTTTGCTTTAGGGCACATGTTAATATGATTCCCTACCTCCTCGAATCACATCGAACCGCGTTGCGCCAAGTTCACGCAACCTTTTACAGAAGAGGAGATGCTGCGACAACTCCCTGTTGTCTATCATACACCCTCATGCCCTCTGATCTGACATCTTAGAGGATTACGCAGAGCGCAAAGCATGAACAGAGCACACACGTCACACCACCCAAGTTTCTCCATACGGAGATGTGAGTGTCGTTCAAAACGAAAAGGGCAATCGTGTTATTCATCTCACTATTCCCGCATATGTTATGTGATTGAGGAATGGTGCCTTGCATTCGATTTCAGTTCAAACCACAGCAGCAGCAACGCCCAACGTAACCGCCAACTGCCATAGCCAACCCAACGTCCGAGCACTGCGTGTCACAGTGCATTGCGTGCGTTCCTTTGGTGGTCTCACTCACTTAAAAATAAGATTCCCGCGATTCGCGACGATGCCGCCGCACATGGTTCCAAAAAGGGAGGATGACGAGGGGGTACGGTAACGGGTACGGGAATGCAAGGGCGTCTCGAAAGACGATAGGGCCACATGTTGCTTGCGCATCCGTGAAGGCAAGGATGTGACGCGAGACTGTTGAGGCGTGAGACGGCAAAAAAGCACACTTGTGGGTGTGCAAAATTGCTTTTTCGCAAACGCATGCGCACTGCTCGATGGAGTTGAGACAGCAGCTAAGGTGGAAATGACATGTGCACGCGTGCATATTCAACAAGTCAAAAACAGGATAAAGTGGAGGATTCGTCTACTTTTCAAGCCATGACGGTTGCACAACGGTTTTCGCCCCAAAACGCGTGCCTCATCTCGCTTCACACACGATCACACTCGGTGGCGTCATCCTTCCGCAGTCGCAGTCGCATTCACAGTTGCGCACGCGCCCATCGGGTGGGAACGTAATCATAGCGACGCCATCCTTCACTTCGTGCCTGCGCAAGTCGAAACTAGGGTTCCAATGCGTGCGTCATGGCGACATGAATAGAGGGGAGAGTCCTTCAATGTCATAGGACATGGCGCAGTATCGAACGAACCCCTGTAACGGAAGCACACCGATCGCAGCCTCTCGGGGGAGATTCCCCTACGGATAGATGACAAACGGGACGGCGGTAAGGCCGGCAACAGTGTGACCTGCCGTCTAGGTTCGACAGTACAGTAGTTCCAGCATATAAGGATCGGAGCTGTGAGGGAACATAGTCTGGTGACGTTCGCGAGTGCGCTGTAGCTTGCGGGGTTACCAAGCATGCGGGGCTTGCAATCTACCCGATCGTAGGTCTTCCCATACGCGCTTTTGAGGAATCTGTTGCCATGACCGTGGCGTGGGGGTAGGCGAGAGTTCGCGGGGTCACTTGGGGGCTTCGCTGCAGGGTGAGTTGAATTGGGTTAACACTATGCCACCCGTGACAGGTCTGTACTCCATTATGTGATTTGGAACAAGTACACGTGGGTTTGACAGAGGCGGGACTCAGATGTCGGCTTGCTTCATCCCCCGCCAACTCCAAACCGCGTGCGCAACGTGTTGAGCCGCCGTAGCGTCTCGGGCATGTCATTCATGCCGCTTTCCGAGCGCGTTAAGCGGTAGGCCGAGTAGTTCTTGTTTTCTTGCAGCAAGGTGTCAAGCAATGTGAATTCGCCAATCACACACTGACCGGAAGTGAGGAGATCGAGCGCATCGGAATGGCCAATGTCCGCGGACGACGGTAACAGTGCGTCCTCTTCATCGTCAAGATCGGCTCCCATATCAGAGAGCGTGTCGGTCCGGTGCAACACGCCTCGCTCCTCATCATCGGCATCTTGTTCGCGCGCCGCATTGTCATTTGACACTCGTGTCGTATCCTCGACGCCCGATTCTGACGTGGCCCCGTCGCCGGTGGTCGTGTTCGTGCTCGAAGCTGCCTCTCCAGCAGACGATTTGGCCAAATTTCTCTTCAGCTCCCGCCTCTTAACGTGCACTGACACCATGACGAGCTGCAGCAGCAAAATGCACAAATCCAACGCCCCGAGCGTCCATTTACTGGTCGGCCCCTGCTGGCCAATAAAGTCTATCATCAAGCCACCATGCAGGAAGCCTCTTGTGTCCTCGTCCGCAGCGGGCGCAGGGTACGTGAGATGCAGTACGAAGTTGACAGCGAAGGCGAAGAGAAGCAGCGGGAGGAAGGGCTTGGGTTCGTCGGGCGGGCGTTGGAGGGCTGTGTCAGGGATGGGCGTCAGGAGGGATCCGTGTATGAGGGCCTTGACGGCGAGCCAGAAGAAGGAGCAGCTGGCAGGACTCCATTAGCATAATATCTTATGGTGTAGTCAGTGGGAGAGCAGGCCGTACTCGAGATAGTAGAGGGCGATGAGCTCCATGTACACCGTCATGTCCAGCTCGCGTAGAAGCTCGTTGAGCATCCGTATACGCTTCCTCTTCGCATCCAGCCTTCTCTCCTTGGCCCATTTCTCCCGCTCTCGCTCATCTTCCTCATCATCAATGGCCGCTATCGCGTCATCAGGGTCCACGTCTGGGTGAGAGCCATTGCCATCGCCATGTCGCTGCGCAGCTCGAGACGACTCACCCTCATCGTTCATGGCGCCACGGAAAGGGTTTACACCTCGACCTGGCGTGCATCGAAGGCGAGAATACCTTCTTGATGTAGTAGTAATACAGTTGCGCAAGCTTAAAGATACAATCGTTCGCGAACCTGGGGTTAGGTCGTAGATAGCGGATCGGCGGTGGAACATCCGAAAGGGCCGATGACCGAGAGTGGTGAGATAATCAACTCCGCATCGCAAAGACATTCACTCGCCCATACTCTGTCGTCTCAAGCTATTCTATAGCTTCAATTGTGGAATCGGAACTTGTGCTACACTGTTCCTTTTGCGGTGGACTGTCAAGACGTTCAATAACAACCACCACCTCACGCGAAACCTCCGCCACCTCCGCACTATTATACATCATCCACCATGCCCAACTTTGGGCCGCCCAATAGCGCACCACTCCCCTCTTCCTTTGACGAGAATGCGTAAGTATGCCCCGGAAAATCGCTATACTCTCTGCATATTTCCTCTTTCAACCCAACTTCTAACTTCCAACCAGCGACTTCTACAACGAAAACACGCTCGACAAGATATGGCGCCGCCTCCGCGAAGAACCCCTCATCCCCTTTGGCTGCGGCCTCACAGTCTGGGCCATCGTCGGCGCCACTCGATCGATGCGCAAAGGCGACCACAAAATGACAAACGTCTACTTCCGCCGACGACTCTATGCCCAAGCCTTCACCATCGCTGTGCTTGTAGTGGGAAATGTCTACTGGCAGAAGGACAGGATGAAGCGCAAGGATTACGAGAAGATTGTCGCGGAGAAGGAGGCAATGGGGAAGAGGGAGCGCTGGCTGAAGGAGCTGGAGGTGCGGGACGAGGAGGACAAGGCGTGGAGGGATCGGGTGAATAGGAAGGCGCGGGGTGCGGGCGAGGAAGCTAAAGGTGTGACGGAATTAGTTGCCGAGAAGACGAAGGAGCTCAAGGATCAGGCTGCGGGCAAATGAGCGGATCGTTGAAAGTGCGCCTTTTTTGCGATATGAATACGTTGGAGTTCTGCGAGTCACCTTCTTTCGGTTGTACATACTTATACATTGTAAGAGTAGGGCCAGGAAAAGCCAGGGGCATGGAATTCGTTACTACTCGGGCCATTTAGCTTTCAATTGTACTATTTCAATAAAAACTACCTCACGCGTGAGACCCGGGCGATACGTATCTACGTATAGTGCCTTGATTGAAGGAAACTCGCCGTAAACATTAGACTGCAATTGGAAAGTAAACAACTCTCCCTATCAATAACTAATCACGTAGTCTGATAACAAACAGCTTACTCTCCAACAACATGCCCATTCACCTTCCCGCCCTCAACTTGCTCTCCGCCCTTGAACTTGAACCTCTTTAAACCCCTTACACCAACATTGATCTTGAAACAGCTACCCGCAAACTCATCAGCAGGCGATCCATCTGGTCCGCTCGTGCCACCCGCGCTCGTGATGAAGAGCTCCTCGCCAACAAAGCATGGGCACGTAGGTTGCGCCGTCGGGACCTTGATCTCCGCTACAATCTCGCCCTTGGGAGAGATGCGGAGTACGTGGCTACCGCCGTGGAGCGCAGTCCACATGTAGCCTTCCTCGTCAATGCAATGACCGTCGGGCACAGCGTCCTTGCCGTACCGATTGTCTTCTGGCATGACGAAGAAGGGGCGCTTGTTGGTGACTGCGCCGGTAGCGGGGTCGTAGTCAAATTGGTAGATGGTCTTGAACGGGCTGTCGGCAAAGTACATGGTTGTATCCTTCTTGTTCCACGTCGTGCCGTTGGGAATGGTGATGTTGCTGAGAGGTCGGTCGAGGCTCATGTCTGGGTTGAGACGGAATACAGCACCTTCAGAGCTCCACTCTGAGACGAGAGGATCGAACATGTAGCCTGCCCAGAAGCGACCCTGTGAGTCTACGGCGCCGTCGTTGCCGCGGAACTTCTCATGCTTGTTTGCAGTGACTTCATCTTCCGACCAGACTTTTTTGATCCATCGATAGTCGCCGGACTCCTTGTTGGCAATGCCGTAGCCGTATTTGCCAGCGAAGATGAACTCTTTGTCGTTGCCTTCAATGTCCGCCGTGCAGCTGATAGACGTCAGTGACTGTCATACTCGACGTAGTATATAATTAGCAGCATAGACTCACCCCATTGAAACACCGCTATAGTCTTTGATGACTTTGTGGCTTGAGGGGCCTTCGTCCACGTTGACACGGTGAACTTTGCATTTCTCGACGTCAAGAAAACGGATCGTATTCGTTTCCTCTTCCCAGAAGGGGCCTTCCCCCAGCGAGCAGTTCAACTTGAGCCATGGCTGAGAGATGGTTAGCGATTGAAGGTTATTGGTAAGCACTGGAATGATGCCAGTCTAAAAAATGAATAGCGAAGTATAGACCGGAAAAGCATCCAAAACAGAAATTGTGGAAGCCACTGAGGCCTTTACAATAGAAAACTCGCGAATAGACTACAATTGACATGTCATGTCACAGAGTACTAAATGTGGGATGATGACCTTAGCGGGGCTCCAAGAAGCTACCCCTCCCTCCACAGCCGCTTCGAGGACCCAGTAACTCAACGTACCTCAGTAATCTCGTACTTCTTGACGCCAGACATATTGACAACCGGTTCCGTTGCTTGCGTAGGTGTATTTATTCCGCTCTCGATGTCTTTCGTCTGGTCTTTGACTTGTTGATGTTGTTGTGTGTTCTTACCCGTCGTAGCACCACCTGTCCATGCGTTTCTAATCGTGCTCCACAATTTGGATAGCGTCGCTCCCATTTCGAATGACGTCCCGATGATCCGCGGATTGACGCTTGGGATTCGCTTTTGTATCGTCGAGGAGTACTCTGATCCAACAATACACGCTCTCTACGCGATTTTGTGAATGCTGAAAAGACGCCAATCCACACGGTTGAACCAAAGATGACAATGGGACAAGAGATGTACAAAGAATGTACCCAACGATTCTCGAAAACGCGGCGGCTTCAGGTACATATGGCCTTCATTCTATTCCTTTTCCGCGCTGCTCAGGGAATTGCTGCCGGTCGTGCGGTTCGCTTGGACAACAGGCCGTTGCCGCAGCGTCAATCAAATACTTCCCCGGGAGCGTGCTGTCCATAGCTGCTCATTTCAGTGAGAGCGGTATGGAGGATGGGACGTATACAGTATAGTGGGTTGTATTGCTGATAGAATATGCGCTTGATGAGGCGGTGATAACAACGTATTATCGGCTGAACGGTCCGGCGAGGCCTGTGCATCGAGCACGTTGTCAGAAGACGGGGAGCAACGAATATCCGCTCCGGCTGTACAGGGCTAATCTGTTTCTACAGGCGGAATTATTTGTCGAAGATCGAAAGGACAGGTATATTGTCCCGATTGTTCCGGTTCAACAACCTTGGAGTGAATTGTCCAGAGAGGGCTATTGATCTCGTACAGTGCATGAAGTTATATATCTTACAGACCCAACAACGTTCCGATAGCGCCACACGGGAGGACTGCAGGGATTCGCGATATAATATCAAAGGTAGCCGTAGAGCCAGAATCGCACTGAACCAATGTCAGCTGATGGGTTGATTCTGGCTTCGCACAATGCCTTACGACGTAAGTTTCTCCTTTTTACGGCTCGCATGCCTGATATGATACGTATATTGACGACAAGAAGTTGATGAGCGGCTTCATCATCGGAACTCCTAACAGATCTGCTTCCGGTAGCGCATGCAGTGATCCGAGATGAAGTCCCATATACACAGCGGCGAAAGCACGGTTGGCAAACAGCTCCATGCCTCACCATACAATAAAACAAATCTACCACAACGTCGACACACACCAAGCAATATCAAGCAACCTGGAACAACACTGTGTTGCAGTATAAAGCTAAGTTGTACTCTTGGCATAGGATTCCCCTTGCCTCAAATTGATCCACTTCAGCGACTGTGCGAAGAGGAGCTATACGTGCGCATCAAGAAAATGGCCTTACACAACAGCTCGTCCACGTTTTTATTCTCTCGAACAAGTCACCTCTCCGAGTACGAGACTAGGATAAGCTATTACAATGCCTTCATGCTGGTAGTCGCATTCTCAGTATCGCCTATACATCTAATTGCGAGCGCGCGGATGATCACCTGGGTAGACACACTGGCCAGCTTGAACGAAGAATCAAACCCCTAAGTTCGAAAACTTCCGCACGCTACTGCTACTTAGGGATGATGACAGTGGAATGTTCAGCAAGATGTTACTAATTCTAATACCACGTTTGAATGTAACACCTAGATTGGGGCTACCCCGTACTCCTAGTACTGCTTCGATAGCTGTTGCATAGTCCTTATTTTTGTGGGAAATGAGTGTGTGCTCTCTGCATATGTATGATGTATATCATCTACCACGTGCGCCGCCAATTTCTCCCAAATCTGGACGTCCCTGACCATGTTGTGATGCAAATTCCTCCCGTTGCATTCCTGGATTCAGTACTCCGCCAATCACTTCATACAACAATCTTCGGCCTTTTCTGGCTCCTTGGACCAATACACTACGATTAAGTACAATAGCAATGCCTGAACATGGTATGGACTAGTTGGGAAAGAACATGATTGTGGCGGTGCAAAGTAGAAGGTTTCCGCCGCTGTTAGGGTTTTGGCGGTGATTACTAAAGTTTGCGTCCGCCACAGTATCTTGCCCTTCACCGGTTTTCCTCGACCACCCAGGATGACATGCATTCGGCAATTTTTAGAGGTATTGTGGCCCCAATTGGAAATGATCCTGAATCGGCGATGCTAGGCATCTCTTAAGGCATATTAAACACTTAAATGCGGGGTTTGACTATGAGGATAGTCTGGGTAGAAGTATTCTGATGGCTATCGACACAGCGCCATTGTCTCCTCGTCAGGCAGATTGCCCTGTCACCCATCGACCACATCGCGTAATATGAGCTAAACATACCAGGTGCTTAGTTCTTACGCTTTATTTTTGCCCTGAAAACCCCGCCCCCACATGATATGCAGTGTATGTTTAGCAGCCTATCGTAGACACTTTTCCCACACAGCCACGACGCCTCACGAATCTCACCATTCAGCTTTGCTTGGCCTCGTCTTGACAAGAATATAAGACAAGATCCTCAAGCCATTGCGGAGAAAGGGAGCCTATACCAGAAAAGTTTAGTACACGATAGCGAGACATGACGACTCAAAACCGACAAGACATCGAGTGCGCATCACCTTCTCCCAAGGTCAACCACAGCCTCGAAAACCCTCTTTCACCGAATTTAAACGTACAAAAGACAAACACCAGCACTTCGAGCAATGGAAAACCCGAAGATCCTCGCCTCATCTCCCCACGAAGTGACTACTTATTGGACTGGGCTTTGAAGATCCTCGGTGTAGCCGCAGCTCTCCTTTTCGGAATATGGGCGCCGATATCCTACAAAGCGACAGCGGAAGGAAATAGAGACAATGATGCATCGCAAAGCGATATCTCGGAAAAACTAAGCGCGATGAGTGAACAAGCCTCGCAAGCCGCGGCCATGCAGACGTCTGCGGCCAGCGCACTAGCTCAGGTGCAAAAGCAACTCAATAATCTGGGAACACTAAGAGTATGGGAGTTTTGCGAAGGAAGAACAAACCAAATCTCGGCCTGCGCGGCTTTAAATTCATCTTCGAAAGTCAACAATGTCGTGTCCCAGTTGCTCAGTCTTTCACCTGTAGTGCCGGAGGGGTCCAGTCGTACTCCTAGTACGACTGCGGATGCTACTTCTACTGCTACTGCTCGGCCCCCAGGAGGAGGATCTCCGAAAGGGGGGAATTCAACGAACTTATCACCCGCGATATTGGGGGCGATATTGGGGGCGGTATTCGGAGGAGTCATTATTGTGAGTCTAGTGACAACAGTCCTGGTGTTGCGAAGACGGCGGATCACGCAAAGGACATCAGAGGTCCTGATTCGCAACATGTAGTGGTAAGCTGAAGTATGGCACAGATAATCGCGAACTGTCTAGCACGTTTAGTTATCATGTATTGGTATTTTGATGCCTTTTGCACGTGTGATAATGTAAGAAAACATGCTATTTAGCATTTCAAGCACCACTGCGCGACAATGCACGTCTTAAGTCGATCTGGCGCGTTGCAATTTCCCAATATCCACACGGAAGCTTTTTGAGTTTCCACTTGGGCTTACCACTTCTTGCGTAAGTCCTTGTCGTGCAACAGCCGACTTCCAAGCATGAATATTGACCCGACCATGAGTGAGACCCCCTTTTTAGATCAGCATTACTCCGCAACTACTCCTAAACTCGATACTTACCGAGAATAAAATCAACCACCTATATCCCTCCTTCTGATCAGCATCTGTGATAAGTGCGCCACCGATCGGTGTTCCGACCAGGCTCGCAATAGCTACAATACTGTAGAAAGCGCCAATACGAGCCCCAAGTATGTCGTCAGGTGTGATCTGTCCGATGATTGACGCTGGAAGGGCGCTAACACTACTAGTACTAAAGCCATAAACGCAAGCAAAGAGAACTAGAGTGGCGAGAGAGTTGCTGAGAAGCCAAAGGAAAAGACATAGACAGCCCGATACCAAAGCCATGGGCCATAGGAGGTTTAGGCGACCGACCTTGTCGCCTAATAAGCCTCCACTGTCATCGATCAGTGGGATAATGTAGCTACGTAGAGGAAAACTTACAAGATTGCCCCGAAGATGCTGCAGCCGTACATTATGCACAAAAAGTATTCACTGATAGTATTGCCTGGATATGCGACGTTGGCATATATTTCTGTGTGGTTTTAGCGAGGAGCCTGCTAGGAAGCTCACAATACCCACTGATATAATATGAAGGTATCCACAGCCCAAGAATGGCGAACCAGGTGCCCACGCATAAAACCGCGTAGCGAAGATCAAGAAAGCCTCTCAAATCGATAAGCGAGCTACAGCTCGATCGTCCACTTTTACCACTCTTACCACTCGGCAGGCTCGTAGAGATGCATAGCGCGATCGAATAACATATACTTTGCATGTTAGAACATCGTCAGTGAGATCAAGATCATACTAACCCAATTTTGAGCGCCGTGAGTCGCAACGCGTTTGAGAAGCCGACGATTGGAAGCAGCCGTTCGAACATGAGCGGAAAGCCAATACCACCCAAGGCAGAACCCGTCGAAACTAAGCCCATGGCTAGGGCACGCCGCTCCTTGAAATGCTGACCGACCACCGTCTGCGCTGGTTGGACCCCAAAGGCGATGGTCAGACCCATGAGTAGCCCTTGGATGAGGAAGATTTGCCAGAACTGTCCAGGTCGAACGAAAGATAGCAAAAGTAAGGCAACAATCGTGCCCGTTCCTGACCCCAGATATAGGTACTTGATGCCTTGTTAGAACTTCGCCAGATCTAGGGAGGTGAAACTGACCTTGACACCATATCGATCGCAAAGAGCGCCAGAAATAGCCGCGAGCGAATTCATAAGCGCCATTTGCAATGTACCTATGAAGGCAATCGTCGATGTTGGAGTGTTTCTCAGGAACTCGCTGGTGTAGTAGTTCTGGAAGAAACCGAAGCTGTTCATGATACCAAATGAGGCATAGTAGACAAGAATCGATCCAACGACGGTAAGCCATGCCGCACAACCACCCTCACGTTCCTTGATTTCACATAACTCGGTGTCGGTAATGCTCTCTGGAGCCTGGAGCTCAACGTTGCTGAAAGTTTTCTCAGTCATGGCCGGCTGTGTGAGAGACAACGAATAAAGCTTACATTCCAGTCGGGTGTTGTCTTCGTAGATATAGGTACTGGTTACATTCGGATGACTGTTCCCGCCGCTGTATATTAATCTTGGCTCGACAGAATGTGATGTTGGTAGGTCATCAGGGAAACTGCGGAAGGGAAGGCATCGGTATCCTGCGTCATGGGCCCCTGAGTTTTACAATTGCTCTCGTGTTCTTGATGCATTCTTGGTCATTTGTCTGGAATGTATCTTCAACCACGGATAGATCATCGCGATAACAGTTATGTATGTGTGGTTGTGGCTCCAGAGATCGTTAGAAGAATTACGTCCCATTGAATGAAACATAGTGCTACCGCCATGTATACCACAGCCTTTGCGTTGACTGGAGCTTGATTGTGACATAAGCAGCGGAGCGCATCGGCTCATGCCGCTCGGATGTGTTCCGGGCCCAGTTCTGTGGAAACCTTCTGGGTTCGTTGATAGCAAACTTTTCAGGAATACAGCACGTCATTTTATGCGGCATTAGGTGCGTGGGCGAGCATTTGCAGAAAGGGGTCCAATCGGTTATGAGTTATTCGTGGCACGTATGATAGAGCGCTAGCATTACAAGGTGACGTCCGCCGGAAATACAGGGCACGACCTTACCAAATGTCGAGCCCAAATTGCCGTGAAGATATCCGCGGATATTTGCTGCAATATGGGGCGAGATAGAAGGTCATGGTTCTCGAAGAAAATTATGTGCCGAGAGATTGAAAGACCTACGTTCGGGCTATCTGTCTGCGACCACGCGAGGAATGTTGTGACCGATTGATTTCTTGAAATTCAAACCACACGGCGTACCTGTCAGCGGTAAGCTGTAGTGGCGTATGAAAAGGTCGTTCTGACGCCTTAGAGTGAATGGAATAAAACCTACTCGAGAATCTTATTGTCAACTCGTATCTGGTAGCTCATCACTTGATATACTCGACTTCTACTTCGCCCCTAGTTTTTGCTAAGCGTTGTATCCAGTCAAAGGTCTTCTCTCCCTGCGGCCGATGGCCCATTTTGATAGCATCGAAAGGCACGATATAGTTATCCTCGTGCACCTCGAAGATCGGTTCCCGGCCAAAGAGATTGCGAATGGGAATCTGGTTGACAGATATGCCAGCGTCCTCCCATATAGCTTGGCCGTGTTCCCCAGAGGTATATCGAGTCTCAGTGTCTTTGAACTTGTGGGCAATTTTTGTAAAGGCACTGAGAGGTGGGAGACAATCTTGCGCGGCGTGTCGGGGGAAGAATCAGAATCCACGGCCAATACTAACCAGTATTACGAAATCAGCATTGTAGGTTAATTAAAATGTGTCTCAGACTACATCACCCGAGGTTGATGATACTGTTGGCTGGCCAACGGACCCCAAGGAATGCACAGCTGCTAGCCGGTATAATCCTGATTCGATCTTGTGGCTTCGAGCACCAGTGGTAGTACCGAAATCCCGGTTTGCAGCCAAAGATCTTCGACTGAAAGAAGTAGATGGCGCAGTAAAAGCCCACGATAGCCCCCGCAGAAGCGAGTACCTCTTGTGTCGGCAGGAGATTCTCAAGAATTGAGTAGTCATATTCAGGATGAGCTTATTCTTCAATAGCCAAATCCGGGCGATGGGCTCTGGTCTGGTACCAGTTCGGAAAGACTCTTTCGTATTCGAAGTCGACATCAGCTAAATTCAAGATGCGTCGCTCGCTAGAGACCTCTTCATCCTCAACCACCTCGCCGTGGTTGGTTGGAAAGGTATCGAAAGGAAAAGGGGGAATATCCAAAGCGCGACTTGGTATGGAGCTGGCTGACAAGTGAAATTGTTCCGCATCAGTAAGCATCTTACCCCATGTTTCGGGTACTCTCGAAAGACAGATGTATGAGTCACCGCTCACGTAGAAGATTTCACGGTCATCGAGATGCAGTTGTACATTTCTTGAAACCTACCTGTCGCACCGTGGTGGGCCACTACAGATTGGTACTCTCACGAGGTTCTCTAGGCCGGACACAGCCAGAGGTACGGTGTTCCCCTTTCGAGCTCGTGCTTGGCTCACTGTAAATACCACTTTCTCTAAGCGGACTGCTGCTTTAGTATATTCGGCACGCTTTTGCTCTAGCCACCTCTGATATTGTGTTGGCTCCAAAGGCATCGTCGCGACCAGAGTTTTGCCTAGACCGGTAGGGAATGAGTCCCTGCGAATAGTCATCAATCGTGAAAGCGGTCAGGCGATCAGGCGACCGAGCAGAGATATACCAGCGGTTCTAATAGACATATTAGCGTCTATGCCACTTGTACACATAGAATCCTGGTGTTCTCATGGGCCCAGTAGCGGTGCAAAGCGAGATGTAATCTGTGGAGGGTTTTTGGAGGTATTCGGGCCACGCAGTTTCGATCTCGATAAGGATATCTAGAATTATGATGTTGCAAGAGCAGTGCAACATGAGAAATGTTAAAAACAGCCGTCGCAATCACGGGACCAAATCAGGCAGTAGCGGGGAAGTCGGCGGGGATCAATTGTTAGTCGACGTCATCCTAGCGCAGTTTCCGCGAGACACCTGCTACTAACAGTCCTGACTATACACTACCTTTTGCAAAACTTAAAAAAGTGCTACACGCATTCAAGACTGTCACTCTTTTGCTATCATGTCCAAACCGGAAGAGATCAAGGACACAAAGGTCGCTTGGTTCGAGCAGAATCCCGATGAAAGCAAGGTACCCCCCGCGGCTACTCGACGCCTTCTCGAAACGTACAGCGGCATCCCGCCAGAGGACGTCTTCGAGCACGTCGTCAATCTACGCAACGAAGCATGGAACGTCTTTCCGTATCCATGCATTGGACAGTTTAGGTTCCTTGAGCCGAGCTTTTTTGGGTTTGATGCGCTTCCCGAAGTCCTGGAACGCCTTTGCGAAGGCCAAAAACTACTCGATATGGCCTGCTGTTTTGGACAGACTGTCCGTGAGTTGTTCGCAGGTGGAGCCCCTGCAGATAATATCTACGGATGCGATCTTCAACCAGGTTTCATCGAACTGGGGTACAAGCTTTTTAAGGATCGAGGCAAGCTCCAGACCAAATTCTTGATAGCAGACATCTTCGATCCCAACTCAGCGCTGGAAGAATTGAGGGGCCAGATCGACATGGTCTATGCTGGGTCTTTCTTCCATCTCTGGGGTCTTGACGATCAGATAAAAGTGTCCAAAGCTGTCGCCACGTTGCTGCGGCCTAGGCAAGGTTCAATGATCCTTGGTCGCCAAATTGGAGCTGTTGAAGCTAGCGAGCAAACATCTCCTACTGGTACCATGTACCGTCACAATGTGGAAAGCCTCAAGAAAATGTGGAAAGAGATAGGCGATGATCTGGGAGTCACATTTATAGTAGAAGCAAGCCTCAAACCGGTTAGTGAAGACCACTTCTTGAACACAGACGACACACGACGAATCTGGTTCGTAATTCGCCGCGAATAGAAAAGTCCGAGTACCGGTGGCTTGCTAGTTGTTTCTTTTGCATAGACTGCTGGCATCACTCCCAAGCTTGCTTGACGAAGCATCCAGAGCGGTCTATAGTCCGTAGTGAGTGGAGTCAAGCTCAGGAGCATTTGTGATCGCTGCAGACTCTATATTCGAATACGAGATGTGTCCACGTCTCTACTGGGAGATCTTCTTTCTAGCTTTGTGGTACCTGGGGTGCACGAGGTAGCGGCCCTCTTTTTATGCTAATAGCTCGACACTCTATGGGTCAACACGCGATTTTGCCGGGCCTAGAGACCAGGATATATAACCTTACAATGTCAACCCTGTCGAACAACACTAAACATATATTCCCCATACATTTCAATATCTACACCCTCAATCCCTTTGGTCGGCTAATTTCACATCTCAGTGGTTCGACCACAGGCTCGGCGCGACCAGAGGCCTGGATGCAGGTGGCTTCTACACCCTTTTCCGACACGCCTTCGACGAGAGAGCCTCCGAGAGTATCTACCGGCGGGATTCGAGCATGCTTCGTGTTCATTTACCAAAGCAGGAGCAGTATGCGCGTTTGGTCCGACATGCTCAACTCGGGTTATCGACACGCTCGAAGCGTCAGTTCTCATTTATTTGCAAATGAAGTACACGACGCTACATGCATTTCTACCGCTTATACCATTATACGCCAAGTCAAAGACGGAGCTTTGCAGATGTCTTATAAGTAAGGATCTTTCCCAGTCAACTGCCGTTCATCCTCAACTTCGGTATCTGCCATTGTCCACCACACAGCTAAGCTTTCGTAAACGGTACTATGAAACTGTCGTTGATCTTCGCTGCGGCTCTTGCTGCGAGTGTAGAATCAGCTGTTTTGGAGAAAAGGCAAAGAGGGGGTCCAGATGGTATGTGAACGTTCTGTTACGGGCGCGCTTTCAATGCGCAATGTTTCTAGACTATCAGTCTTCCAGGCGAAAATTCAGGTCTGACGGTTATCAGTTAGCGAGTGCGGATTGGACGCATTCGAAGGACACACGGCCGAGGCATCGTTGTTTTGTAGCAGCATCCTCAAGTCAGGCACCGCGACCTCGACCGTCACACGCGGCGTCACTACGACAACCACTGCGACAAGAAAGGTCACAACGACAGTGTATCCCCCGTCAAGCTCTAGCCCAACCCCTACGCCGAGCCCCTCTCCTACTCCCACTCCTACACCAACACCGACGCCGACGCCTACTCCCACTCCAAAGGTACGTAGTCCTTGGCAATACGAAGCATCGAATTAACCCAGGGTGTAGCCATCGTCTTCTCCGTCTCCCAGACCGTCCTCTTCAACAGTGCCCAGCCCACCTTCATCTTCATCTGCTGTTCCCAGGCCATCCTCGTCCTCGTCGCCTTCGCCAACTCCAGTACAGCCTTCGTCGACCATTGTCACGAGTCCTTCGCCGTACGTCCCCTGCCCCGAAAAGATCCATATACACACTTTACTAACAGTCCGCAGTACCCCTACCAGTGCAGGCTGTGGCATCGTCGCCTACGTGAAGACCACACCCGCCTACTACTTTGAATCCAGCGGCACAAAGAACACCTTCACCGCCTGCCAGGCCCTCTGCAAAGCCGACACAAGGTGCAAGAGCTTTGGATACGGAGAGGCAAACTGCATGCTCTTCGACGTGTCTGCGTACGTGCTAATTCTCATCCTCCACTCCAAACTCTGCTGCTCATAACCACTCAACCCCCCTCTAACCTCAACACAGCGCTGAAAACACAAACTACAACCCCATGTCGCCCTACACCTTCTACGACGTAGCCTGCCCCGTCGAGCTCCCCGTGCGCAAGCGCCAAGTCAACATCTCGCTCCCGGGCGGCGGCATTAACATCTCGCTTGGCCTGGGCAGTCCGCGGCAAATCTCGTCGGCGTGCTCGTGCTTTATTACGCGGGGTCCGGCCGAGACGACGGTTACGCGGACGGCTACTAGCTCGGTTGTGCGGACGAGTACGACTACTGCTACGGTTACGAGGACTGCGGAGGGGAATTAGTGGGATAGAGGTGTGGATCGTGTGCGTGGCGTTTTGCGGGAAAAAGAGAGCAAGGCAAGGAGGAGGAGGAAGGCGTGGGGAAATCCGCATCGCGCGTTCGATATTGTATATAACTCTTGATCAAAATCATTCTCGTTTCGCATCCAAGAATCCTTCTACTCTACTTGCTGGTGAAATGTGAAATGTGTTGTGAAAAGTGAAAAGGACACCTTAACAGAAGATTTAAGGCATAAAGAGTAAGGTAAAAAAGTCTGCATGAAAGTGTTGCTGGTATCAAAAAAAAAGACAGGAAAAAGTCGCCTAACAAATGCATGAATTGCCTCGTCCGAATGCATTCCTCGTTCTTTCCCACTTTATAAACGCCCGGGAACTCCAGGGAGGGGGGCAGAGGTAATCTGGCCCTCCCGAACAGATGTTGCATTACAGGGTATTTCCACATCGAATGATAAGACGCCGCTCGCTCGACTTGCGCGCTGTGTATTTGTAGGTTGTTTAGGGTCGTGGTAGGGGTAGGCGCTTGCTCGTGTCGGATCGTTGCTCGCTCGTTCGCTCGTGTTGAAGGATGGTGGTGGTGGTGGTGGTGGCAGTTGCAAGACTGCCGCAGGATAGTCTGTTTACTGCCCGACCGGCCTCCAGACGTCCTTGTGCCCCTTCTTGCCCCAAAACTCTTCAAACCACTCTTGGCACTTGCCGCCAACCCAGCAGCCCGCAAAGTGCACGAGCAGGTCGCCATCGCGATAGCCCATGTTCTCGCCACCCTGCGCGTAGGCGTTGAACTTGCGCTGCGGGTAGATGCCCACGTGGTTTCTTACTATCTGGTGCTCGAGCATCAGATGCTTGATCGCGTCTTGCTCGGCGCCATTGTGCTCTTGTCCCATCAACATGGTGTAATCCGTCATGGTCTCGAGTAGGTATCTCGTAAAGGCGGAGCGGCGGAAGAAGGTGCTGCCCGTGTTGACGCTCTGGTGGTCCTGCGTGATGAGAATGTCAATGTCCTCGACTCGGAAGTCTTTGGGTGTGTTGATGTTGGTTGGGTTCTTCTTGAGCTGGCCGTCGAGGATGGGGGTGTCGCGCATGAGGCCGCGCTTGATGGCGTCAGGGCCGACGATTTCTTTGACGAGGTCGTAGTCGGGTTGCATTATGACGATGTCGGTGTCGATCAGCCAGACCCATTCGGCGTTGGGGTAGAGGGAGAAGGCTTCGGAGACGGCGGGGATCTTGGACCATGTCTGTCATTGTAGATCAGTAACTTAGTTGGTGCGACCAGGGCGCTGCATGGTCTCTCCTCGCGACTTGACTTACCCTGTGAGCCTTGCCGATGTCGTAGCGGCTCGTGTTGAGCCAGAGGTTTGTGTATCCATTTCTCTCGCAGTACTTCTCGCGGTCGTCCAGTACTCGTTCCAGCACGTTGGGGATGGCGCTGTTGTGGCCGCCGCCGTCACTCGCTGTCAAGACGACGATATCCCTGTTCCTGGGGTTCCGCGCATATCCCTTCCAAGAGCTCGCGTAGTCAGGCACGTCCCAATCCCACTCTGGCTGCGCCTTGAAGTAGCCGGGCTGGGGTTTGTCGTTCTTTGTGACGGCGGGGGCTATGGCTTCAGCGGGGGCGTAGTTGCGGTAGTAGTCGACTGGGACGTCGCCGTAGAATCTGAAGAGGACAATGATGATCGTAATGAGGGAGATGGCCAGTATTATGGATCTACAGCGCCCATGTCAGTAATGTGTAAGGCGACCCACGGGGCGTAAATCCACGAGGCGTAAATCTTGGGGGGGCCGTACGTACTTTCGTGGTAACGACTGCAGCACCTGCATTTTGTTGTTTGCGAGCGCAGGGAAGGAGCGCAGCATTGTGAGGCAAACGCACACGGCGAGAAAGTGAGGAAGTAGGGAATTAGGAGAAATGGGCTGGATGGATGGACTGGCGCCCCTTCACAACCAAGCGTAGAGACGCCACCCCGGGCTACCCAGACGGCGCTGCACCACACGGACACACGGACCCTCACTCAGCGAGCAAAGATAGCGCGGCCCAAAATTTGGGCTATACAGAATGGGCTATAGCAATAGCAAGCTCTGTCAAAGTTTGTACCGACGGAATCGATCGGGCCCGTGTGATTGGCAGTATTGCTCTTAGCTGCCCTTAGATTACCGTCACGGCCCTGATGCGGCCTTGTACCAGCTAATTACACCCGCTGTATCACAATCGTTTGCGCACTTATCGCACCAGCGACGCGAGGGCTTCACCTCGTCCACCTCTGACATGCGCCCCACCCTTTTGTCGCCATAGTTGTACACGTTCCCTTCCTCTGGCGCCAAGTGTCAGTCCTGGAGGTGATCTGGTTGCTGGGACTGCGTGGACTCACCAGGCTCACCCAGGCCTCGACATGGGAAATTGGCAGAGGAACAGAAGAATTAATTACCGCTCGTATCGATTTCAGTAGTCTCAGGGCCCATCTTATTAAGCTTTGCCGCATCCGTGGGGGCGAAGCTGAGTAACCATGACCACACCATGCACTTGGACGCGACCACGATAGAAAAGCCCTAGGTTGCGAGGCTGATTAAGCTCAAACCCTTGGAGGCTCAAGTATTTTTGGACGCGTGGCACAGGAACAACAGCCCATCAACTACGCCTCGAATGCGTGATGTTTTGTTCCCAACGGGGCTGCCGGAAGCTAGCTTGTTAGCTGATGGATCGTAATCTAGTCCAGCGCCCATCTAGCCGACTTCCACGCCTGCCGTGTGCACCACCTATTCAATAATCAGGAACCAGGGCCCTGATCCGTCTCGACGCAGCCACACATACATCATGGCCTCCTTTACACAACTCGCTTCCAAAGCCGACTTCGACTCGATCGTGAGGCCCGCCACGGGCAAATCCGTCGTCGTAGCCTACTGGCCCGAAGACTCGACATCCAACGCCGTCGTCGTCGCGCTCAGGAAGCAACTCCCGGCATCTTGCTTTAAGCAATATGGAATTGTAGACATCTATTGCTTTGACGCGTATTCCCTCCCAGACCTAGGCACCGAGCTGGACGTGAGCTTCGTGCCCACCCTCATGTGGTTCATAGATGGCGTCATGGATGCCATAGTCTGGCACGAAGGAGTCAGAATCCAGGGAGAGAGCGTGGAAAAGGGTGTGAGCAGGGTGGTAGAGAGGATCAAGGGCGCGGAAATTGGTGAGAGTGACGATGATAGCGATTGGTGATGAGGTGGAAACGTGGGTGGGGCAGCTGCATAAGAGAAATTTGACGAGGAACCGAGCTGCTCCTCTTGGACGACGGGATTAGCATCCTTCGAAACTCATAACCGGACTACCACATCAAGCCTTTACGCCTAGACATTTGTGAAGGCGAGCGTTCGGCTTGTAGTAGCCGCCAAAGATTGCTAGCGAGGCCCTCTTCGACGTCGCCTTCTCTATGCGCCCTTCCAGATACGGAAAAACCTGGATAACATCGAGATGGCATATAACAATATCTAGAAAGTTGCATGATAAGACTTCCGGTCTTCTTAGGTCGCGGTTTCCAAGCTGTCCTCATATCACAACATGGACAGCCGCTGGCAGTGTAGCTTCCCATCTTCTCATGCCTTCTACTTCTTCAGTCCACAAATCCTACAATTAATTATGCTTGCCTTGCAGGTTGTCATTGAAGAGAAGAGGATAGGAGCAGCAAATGCATTGCTATGGACTGTTAATTTAGGGAGACTCTGGTCAATCTATTGTTATTTTTCTAGCGATGTCTTTCCATTTATGCTACTCTCTTCTCGCAACGGGCACTTTAGTCTGTAAACACACAATGTCTTTCTCCTCGTGACTATTTCCCTCCATCTCCTGTCTATGTCTGTACATTGTTCTCATTCCAGCCTCACAATGTACCGTTCTTATTGTCCTGAGCCTTCTTTGTTGAGCATGCGGATGCGAAGAAAGATGTTTTCTCCCCTTTGTCAAGAGACAATTGACCCCAGCCGCGAGAGCTCCAGAAGCTTTCACCCACCTTTCGTACGAAGAGTCTCTAGCAAAGGTCTCACACTGAGCTAGCTCGCACGTGGAGTGTAGATTTCTCAATAACTACATTCGCATACGGACGCTCTACACGAATCCGAGGAAAAGCTCGTGTCGCGCCTTCCATCCGACGCAGTACACATTCGAAACCCGTGACCCTGGGCTCGTCGTCATCTTGTTAGAGCCAAAGCTACGAAAACGCGCGCACCAGCAGAGTGAAACACCAAAAAAAACACCAATCACGCCCCTCCTCCTGCTCAGTGAGTCTTTCACCGAACCACCATTGGCACGCGCTAGCTCAGAGCCCCCGCCCGCCCCCTCGATACTTATTGTGCCCTTCCCGACTACTCTTTCGATCACTCTACACCCACCGCACACTCAACTGAACCAAATCTTGATTCAGTTCTTTACTCGATCGACTCCGAACCTTTTGCCGCACCCAACTACTCCCAACTACACTCGACTACACCCAAACACACTCACCATGGCACACCAGCTCGATGGTACGCAGCTAGCTACCCTCATCCAGAACCTAGACCACCCCATGGTCAAAAGCCTGTTGAGTTTGACAGCCGCTTCTGGTGTCGCGCTCATCTGGCAGCATAACGGCCTCCCTATGCCTGGCTTCGGAGAATCCATTGCGGATTACGCCGCCACTCGTACTGAGCCCTCAAGCGCATTGCACTTCACTCCCTCTCCGAACATCCCGCCCATCGACATCTTTGGACAGCCTGACGTGGAGCTCTTCTCTGTCGCAAACTTCACCGTCCAGACGAACCTTCCGGAACTACCAATCCTCCTAGACAACATAAACAACATCAACGCCCTGAATAGTTCGCCGCTCAAGATCGGTGCTACGGTTGGCGGCTTGGTTGGTCTCGCCGCCATTGCCTATGCCTACCTCAAGAAGCGGAACAGCAAAGATTCATCGCAACTGACCGACGCCGAAACAATCGCATGGCTCCATTCAGAACTCAAGAAGGTCACCGACGATATGTCAGGGGTTGAGTCTCAGTTGATCACGACAAAGATGTATGCCCTCAATGTCGACCACGCTCTTGCTGAATCCATCAACCGTGAAGAAGCGCTAGGCAAGGAGGCTGTGTCTATCAACGCGTCAAAGCACGCGTTGGAGCAACAAATCGACAAGCTCACCTCGGATATCGCTGAGCTCCAGTCGCAGATTGTGCAACAACATCAGATTGGCCTTTCGAATCAGGAGGTGGAACAACTGATCGATAAGCTCACCTTAGAGATCACTGATCTCCAATCGCAGAGCATCCATTATGATGAGATTGAAATTGCGAAGCAGGAACTGGAGCAACAGATTAAGAAGCTTACCGCAGATATCGCAGGGCTTCAGTCGCAGATCCTGCAACACGATCAAATCAACGTATCGAATCGGGAACTTGAGCAGCAGGTTGACAAGCTGACCTCAGATATCTTGGGGCTGCAGGCGCAGATCATCCAATACGATCAAGTCGTCACTTCAAACCAAGAACTAGAGCAACATGTCGCCGCGCTCACATCGGAGATCTCTAATCTCCAATCGCAGATCAAGCAACATGATCAAGCCAAGATTTCGAATCAAGAACTGGAGCAACAAGTCGCCAAGCTCACCTCGCATATCGCAGAACTCCAGTCGCAGATCGCGCGACAAGATCAAATCCAACCCGAACTGATTCAGCGCCATCAGGCTGAGTTGGAGAATAAGAGCCAGACATTCCGCAAGCTCAAGGACAACTATGATCGTATCTTCCAGTCTTTACGCAGCCACAAGCAGCAAAAGGAGGAGCTGCAAGGGAAACTAGATGCGCTGACCGAAGCCAAGGCCCAGCTACAGTGTGAGCTTGCTGACGTCTCTGCGCTTCGAGATGACATTACCCTCCGCCAACAAGAGCTGAATCAGCAAGTGGCTACTGCTCAGAAGGAACGCGACGACCTCGCCACAAAGAACAGGAGCCTCCAGCAAGAGGTGATTGGGCTCACGCAGCAGAACAAGAACATCACCGCTCAGTACGACCAACTCACTGGTCACCTCGAGGCTGCTGAGCGGCGCAACACGGACTTCGAGCAAACGAACAATGCAATGGTCCAGCGACTCCAGGGTCTCGAGGAGGGCATCACAAAGCTCACAGAGGAGCAGCAAGCGATGTCTGCCAGCAAAGACGTATTGGAGATGGATGCCGCCGAGCAGAAATCGAAGGACGGTGAAGAACTCACCAAGTTGCGCTCCGAGAAGGATCACCTCCAGCTGCAGATCGATAAGGCTACCGAGGCTCACGACCTGGAGAAGAAGGACTTCGAGGCCAAGTTGAACGATTATCAACGCAGGAAAGCTGAAGACGAGTTGGCTGCGAAAGAGTGTGCCGATCGAAACCGCAAGCAGCTGGAGGCTTATCATGAGAAGCAGCTGGATGATGTCCGCAACAAATCGGAGGCCGACAAGACGTCTCTTCAACTCTCCCACCAGGTCGCCATGGATGAGAAGAGCAACGAGATCAAGCATCTTCGAGGTAAACCCGATGCTGATCTCCAAGCCGCTATGGAGAATGAACGAGTCCTCGTCGCCCGGCTAGACGCTCTTCAAAAAGAAAAGGAGGACGCCGCCAAAACTGCAGAAGAACATGTGCTCAAGGAGCGTGAGGCGCTCCTCCTCGACAAGGACACTGCCGTTTCGGCCGCGAAGATGGCGGCTCAGGAGGAGCTGACCAAGATCACTTCTGAGCAAGACGCCGAGAAGGCTAGCGAGCTCGCTGCTGCAGAGAAGCGCGCCAAACAGCAAGCCGAAAGTCTGGAGCAGGAGCACGCAAAGGCCATCACTAGGCTGGAGGGTGTCATCCATGATCTCCGCACAGAGCAGACCAACTCCAAGAGTGAGTTGGAGCAGCAGAAGACCGAGTACAACGGTCGCTACTCTGCTCTGGAAGTGGAGATGAAGGAGCAGCTTAGCTCTCTCCTGGCCAAGTACAACCAGGCTAAAGAGGACCTCACGCGTCACGAGTCCGTCATCAAAGAGAAGGACGACAAGATCAAGCAGCTTGACGAGCAAAAGGTTGAGGCTGACGAAGCCTTGAAGGCCAAGGAGCAGGAGCTTGCGCGAAATGAGACGACGATTGGCAGCACCAACAAGGACCTTGTCAACCAGCTCGAAACGAAGAACAACGAGGTCGAGGAGCTCCGCCAGCAACTGGAGCAAGTTACCAAGAACGAAGCTGCCAAAGAGCAAAACCTTGAAAAGCACCAGCTGGAGCTTAAAGAGCTTCGTGAAGACAATGAGAAGCAGCTTGGAGATGCCACCAAGCGTGAGCAAAAGCTCAAGGAAGAGCATCAAGTGGAACTCGACGCAAAGACTCGTGCACTTACTAAGCTCACAGCCGATATCCAGCCGCTCCGCGAGTATGTAGGAACGCTACAGGCCTACTGCATGCAAAAGAACGAGTCCCACAACAAAGAACTCGCCGCGCTGAACGAGGAGCTCATGATGGCTCACATGGAGGAGGATGGCCACGATGACGCGGTCAGTAAACTCATCACTGACCAAGCCGAATTGGAAGAGAAGTTACAGAAGGCGGAGGCGAAGGTCAAGGAGTTGGAGAAGGGAGCGAAGCAGACCACGCCAAAGTCGATGTCTCCAATGGTATCGGCAGCAACCCAGGTGACGGAGAATGAGCTTCGTGAAAAGATCCAAGGTGGCCAGATTCAGGTTTCTGAAGAGAAGGCCACCGAGATTGCGGATGTGACATCGAAGGATGTCGTGGACAACCAGAATGTCGATGTCGTGGTTGGTGATGAGGCTGCTCAGGATTCCAAAGAGAAGGTCAATGAGAATGCCAATGACACACCGAAAGATGCCGTGGACGATCAGACCACCGATGTCGCTCTCAGCAATGAGCCTGTCCAAGCGCATGAAGAGCAGCCTGCCGACGCCAAAGGCAGTAAAACTCCCGCTAAGACCCAGTCTGACGTGGCTCATGGGGAAGACGATAGCGCGACCAAGACCACTGACCCAGCAAAAGCAGTAGGAGGTACCGGTCGCCTACCTCCAGTGAATCGCTTCAGCAACCGCAAGAACCTCCGAAAGGACCTCGCAGAACATTTCACGACGATCAATTTCCGTGAGCAGAGGTATCCTGACAACAAAGTCATCGAGCTTCAGCTACCATACCTCGATCCCTGTTACAAGGACATTCCAATCATCCAGCCTGTGCAGAATCCGCAAATATCGATCCAGGACGGGAAGGCAACTCATATCCAATGCAATGATTGCCTTCAGTGGTACACACGAGACGATATCTACGACCACTTCCCGGTTTGCAAGGCTTTCTTCAAATATGCGAAATACTGCAAGCATTTCGAGAAGAACTTCATGAACAATGCGGCATTCAAGGAGATGCATGCTCGGGAGTGCAAGATCGAGGACTGCCAACCCGAGTTTCCCTGGTTGACCAAGAAGAAGATTCAGCTGCCGGTGGTGAAGACCGACACCAACGATAACGGTCCAGAGCAATCGCCGAATCTTGAGAAGTTGGCTCAAGACGCTGCGAAGAATGCAGCTAAGCAGGACGCTGGACCGCAGACTTCAACGCCGGTCCGTCCTACCCCCGCTGTAAGCTTCAACCCGGGAGCAGCGGCCTTCAGCCCCGGAGCAGCAGCATTCACTCCCCAGCGCGCTGCAACCCCGGTGGCATCGGTGGTCGCCCTCAGCGGACCACCCCCAACTCCGCAGCAGCCATTGTCCACAGAAGCTGATCCTGCGCCCACTCACACCACGACCGCATTGCTCTCGTCCCGGTACGCAGTCAGCCAGCCAGCAATCGACCAGTCTGCGGCCAACCAGCCCGCACCCTCTCCCCAGCAGGCCAAGGCGCCTGTGAAGGCCTCACAGCACGCCCCCTCGCCTAAACAGGGCAAGCCGCGCGGCAATCCGCCGGCTCATGCTCGGGGCTCTGCTGCCAACACGCGTGGGGGACGTATTACGCCGTCGTCGCGCAGCAATCTGCCGGCTCAACAAGCGCGTAGCCGTCCAGCACGTGGTAACCAGCAGCAGCAGCAGTCGCAACAACAACAGCCGCAGGGACGACAGCCGCAGGACTGGGGAGATGCTGGCCACAACGTCATCAAGTACTAGGGGAGTTGGGAGTCGGGAGTCGGGATATATTGTGTGTTTTTTGATTTTTTTGATATAGGCATGAATCAGTATTCTGTCTTTGTAATAAAGGACTTGGAGTCACCTATGCAACCCCAGGGGCCATAGGTTAGGTATTGAATATATGGAAAATGGAAATGGAAAAGGAAATGGACAAGAAAAAGGGAGATTGGAATCTGAGATGGGAGTTCAGGGAATGAGAATCATAAAGGTCGTATGGAGTAGAGACTTTGGAGTCTAATTTGAGATTACAAGAAATCTGCCTCTGCCTCTTCATTTCTGTGACGCATGAAGCTTTGTACAGATTAATAACGTCGTCTGATCAATCGTTGTCGTGGATACCTTCAGTCAACGACTTCAAGCATGTTGTATGCCTTGTGCTGGACCGCCTTCTTGACGACGGTAAGCGGATCGATCTTCTTCTTCACCTTATGCACCTCCGTGATGCCATCGTCACTATCCATCTGCGACTCCTCCACAGCATCCTCGTCATCAAAAGCACCGCCCTCTAAGAAGGCCCTCAGCATGCCCTGCGAGTAGCCCGACACCAACGCCGTATCTACATCGTCCATGGTAGTAGGCTTATCCGTGCTGTGCGCAGCCAGATTCCAGAAGATGAGGCGCGGCACCTCGTACCCTGCGTTGGCGTATTTCTTCTTGATGCGGTCGTACGACGAGGTCCAGCGTTCAGAGGATTCCCCAGCTTCATTAAACTGCATGTCGCTGAAGACAAAGATCTGCTTCACCATGTCCTCTTGTTTGAGGTGATTCGCAATAGCCATAGGGAGTATGACGTCTTCGAAGACGGCGACGAAGTCTGTGCTGAAGCCCCAATCCGTGCTTTGAATGTACCGCACTTTGTCGACGAGGCCGCGGGCATCGTTGTCTCCCCCGCTAGTGGAGATGTAGGTAGGGGTGCTGTGGAAGCTGATGAAACCACCTCCGAACGGAGCAGCGGTGATTTCAGCAATGAGGAGAGACAGTCCGATTGCAGAGTCCATGGGGCACGAGCCGTCTTTGAATGAGGGCCAGGACATGCTACCGCTTACATCACAGACAGCAATGGACGATTGCAGGGTGCCCGCATCACGGACGCGCTTGAGCAGCGTATTCCATTGACCGTCAATTACCTCGCTGTGTATTTCAGCCTCCACGGCGGCTTTGATTGCTTTGAAGTTTTTCGCACCTGTTGGGTTGTGCGCTGAGATGTTCCGCGCTTTGCTGATTAGAGTGGAGGGCAACAGAGTGGCCCCGGAGATATTCGCTTTGCCAGTCGAGACGTCCTGAATGTAGCTTTTGAAGCGTTCGAGATCCTTCTTCACGAAGAGACCAGTGTAGCGATCCATGGCGAGTGAGGGAACTCGATCGTATTTGATGTTGTCGAATGTTTCGGCAGCGATGTCCCGCTCGACGATGCTGAGGGCTTTGCGAAGCGGCGAGGCATACTGTTTGCGATATTTCTCACGGATAAGGCGAAGGTGGAGTTCGCGGTTGGTGCTATCTGGGCTGAGCGAAGCTGGCTCAGGGAAGAGGATCTCGGCGATTGTCGACAGGATGAAGGTATGCTTGTCATGAAACTCTCCAAAAGTAGGAGCCCACTTGGCGGCTAGAGACAGCTTCTTCAAGGCTGATTTCTTGCCAGAGTCCAGCAATGCCTTGTCTTCTACTAGCTGCTCAGCGAAGAGCCTCGCGACGCTGACGTGGAGTGCTCGGTAGAAGGGGTCATTCTTCATCTTCTCTTGTACCCGCTCATTCTGCTCCTTCTTCTTCTGCCGTCGAAGCTCTTTTGCGCTTGCTTGGTCCCAGTTGCGTTTTCGCTTGCCTTTCGACGTGTTGTCGGCCTTTTGGTTGAGGAGTGCGGAGGGGTCGCCATCGAACTTTAGCTGATCATTTGCGGCGAATACGACAAGGTTAAGGAGGTCCTTCCAGTATCCGTGGGAGAGGCCGTTTCGTACATCATGGGTTTTGGCAGGATTGGCCTCATCTGCGTTGATCATGTCAAAGTCGTCATCTCCTTCCTTGCTCTCATCATTTTCCTTGTCTTTGGCGGACTTTTTTTCGATCACGGGCCGGACAAGCCATCTCATGTTTGCAAGCAGAGTAAGGGGGTGGTACTCTGCCACCCAGCCAAAGGCCTTGTAACTCGCGATCCTGTTGCTCTTGCCGAGATGAATGCTTCGAGCGTTGAAGATGATCTTGAGCGTCAGCAACGGGTCCTCCCGCCAGGCGTCATCAAGCAACGTCTTTAGCTTATCACCCGTTGTGTTCTCGCCAAGATCGTAGAACAAGTCGACGATGGCACTCTTTGAGGATATGTTGGTAACATCAGCGTTCTCTGTGAGCGTCTTGTTCTCTGCAGCCAGGGCGTCGGGGGATTGATGGTGAGCAGCATGCTTCTCCAATCCTGCAACGAAGGGCGCTTTGATGTCTGACTTGGGAGTCGCTGCAGAGTCGCCTTTGTCGATGGTGGCGATGTCACGCTCGAGGTCTTTTAGTTGCAGATGACGTGCACTGACGAGGGCTTTCTTGACGAATGCCTGAAACTCGCCCTCTGGCATGAACAGGGCGGGGTCCTCAGGGAGCAAGACTGGAAAAGACGAGTCGAGGACCGAATGCTGCGAGCCGTGAGCTGCATCTTCGGTCGCCATGCTTACTGAGGAAAAGGCTTGGTGGGCTGGATGCACAATGGAGAAGAAGAAGCGTGGATGGTACAAGGGCGAGAGGGCTACTATATGCGGGCAGAAGGAGTGACTCCGAGCAAGCGGGAAGGCGCATGCTGCTGCTGCCTGACGATGCAAGTTTGCTCTATGCAGCAGCATACACGGCCTTGTGGCGCTCGAAATAGACAACCGCCCATGCGAAAGGGCGGACAGCATATTATACGACATACTAAGACATTACCGTGAGTCTTTGGGATTTGTGGATATGCTAGGCATCCGCCTCACGTGCTTACCCTGGGTGGTGTGGTATTGGGGAGCTGGCACAACAACAGCAACAACAACAACAGCTCCTCTTTCTGAATTCAATGTAAACAGCCCGTCAATTGGCATGCTTCGTAGTCGAGACATTAGCACGAGAGAGCTTCCAAGGGTTTGTTCTTCGACATGTGTACTGGCTGACTGTCTGTGCCAGGTCTTGGTCACGTTCAACGAGCGCGCAGGCGCTAGCAGACGATCTTCAGACGAAGAAAACGCACACCCGTGCCAAAACTCCTGCGACGCTGAAGATGGCCCCTCTGCCTCGTTACTGACTGCCTTCAGCCTCTTCTTCGCCAATTCATCCGTGAGTCGAGGCTCTTTGGTCCGCCCGCGACGTGCAAGGAGACCAAAGGCAGAGGCGGGACAAGGGCCACTAACTAGGTCCCACGCCAAGTAGGCTCGTTTTGCTGCTCGACTGCTAACCTTCTCTAATTCTATAAAGCCGAGTTTTGGGCCTACCCCACTTACCATGGATGCTAGCCATGGGCAACCCCCGAATACCTTTCGAAGTGCCAACGATGCCGCCCTGTGGCCTGCCCAGCCCGTCCAGCTCGCCCGAGGACGCCAGCCGCGAGACGCGTTGGCGAGGACCATCCCATACAATGTCTCGTCCATGGACGAGTTCGAGACGTCATTGCGTGAATACCTGAACAGCCCGCCCGACCAGCCTGAGCACACCGAAGCCCAGCTGTCCTTCTGGATTGGCACCAGCTTCATGGTGCTGGCGCCCGAGTCGTCCACGTCCTCCAGCGTCATCTCGTCGTCGCCTCAGCAGCAGCAGCAGCAGCAGCAGCAACAGCAACAACAACAACCACAACCGCCGCCGCAACCCCACGTCGCGCACCAGCAGCATGCCCACGCACCGCCCGGCTACCAGCCTGCCAACACCATACCGGGTCCGTATGGCGACCCCCAGCACGCATACCAGTCCGTGTCAGACCCCGCCATGGCCCTGGCCCTGCCCACCTTCCCACCGTCAGTAGACTCGAATGACGTCGCCAGTGGCAATGGCAACACAAAGTCCGAGCACAAGGTCAGCTTGAGCATCATGGAGGCGCTGCAGCCCACGTCGAATCCAAAGGAGAAGATGCGCAAGCAGAGAGCCATTGCAAAGTGCTGCGTCGACGCGATACAGACCATCGACGGCTACCGCTACAGCTTCCACAACTGCTGGAACAGCAGGGAGGACGACAGCTTCCGCTTCTCCTACTACTGCAACGACTCGCTGCTCAACAAAGACCGTGCTGCCAACGGCAAAGGTGCGAAGCTCGGCAAGCGCGCCACCAAGCCCGTCTACGACTGCAAAGGCGTCCTCTCCATCAAGTTCTCCGCCACCAAAAACACCCTGGACGTCTTCTACAAGCACGTGCCTATACACAAGACGTACGAGGAGCGAGCGCCTCCTCCACGCAAAGACTCGAAGCGGCGCAAGTATCTAGAAGAGAACGACCCGGACGCGTTGCGGAGGATCGCCAGTCGGCCAAGGTCACTCAAAGAAGACAGCGAGGAGTCTGAGGTTGCGCCGAAGCCCAAGAAGAAGAAGCTGCAACCAGAGGCTCCAAAGCCGTCGAATACCTCCCTCGAGAGCGACCTGAGAGCGCAGAGCCTACGATCCCTACTGGAACTAATTCAAGTCGACCCACCTGGCCCAACAGAACCAACTCCTCCAGAACCGCCTCCGCCCCCGCCTCTACCTCTGCCCCCACAGCAGCTCATAGTCGTCCCGGAAGCCCCTACCCCACAAGTCCAACCCCAGCCACCGCAACAACGGAAGCGGCCGAGGAATAGCTGTGACATCTGCAAAGCTAAAAAGACAAAGGTACGGTGTAATACCTCACGAGTCTACTATGATAGAAAGCTAATTCACTCCCAGTGCGACGGCACAAGACCTGTGTGTCAGACGTGTATCGACAAAAAGCGACAATGCTTCTACTCGGAGCTAGCCAACGGAGAGGACCAGCGTAAGCCATTCGAGGCCAACGAAACGGTGCGCCACGCGCAAGTTGCGAACGAAATTTCAGAGTTGGACAAAATGAAGAGAGAACTAGACGAAGCTAAGGCGAGGATTCAAGAACTAGAGTCGGAGAAGCGAGCTTCGTCTACTCCTAGTCAGACACCACAGCTGGCATCACGACCTCAGTCTCAACCGCAAGCCCAGGCGCAACCGCAGTCTCTACATCGCGCTCAGATATCGCACCCACAAACGCAGCATGCAGCACAACAGCAACAGCAACAGCAACAGCAACAGCAACAGCAACAGCAACAGCGTCAACAGCCTCCGCCCAACCACCGGCAGCAGCTTCAGCAGCTCAATCAGACCAACCAGCGCGGACTCCGCAGCCCACAGCAGATGGCGTACAAGCTAGATGTACAATCCCCGCAACAGCAACAGCGGCTTCAAACTCCACAGCAGCCACTACAAGCCCCGCAACAGCAGATGCAAGCTACCCAGCAGCAACTTCAAGTCGCTGCGGCGCAACAGATGCAGCCAAGCCAAACCGTCCAGCTCCAGACACCACAAAGCTACTTTGCCGCCACTCACTCTGCATACGGCACCCTCAATCGGCCGATGCCACAGAACGGCTTACCCGCCCAGAATACAATGTCTGCGCAGAACCAAATGACCCAGAACACGATTGCTACCCAGACTACCCAGCATCTCCCGCAGACGCAGCCCCAGCCCCAAGCCAACCACCAAATCCACGCGACGAGCACGGGTCTTACGCCCACCGCGCCATCTGTCGATGCAAACAATCCATATGCCCGAGGCGACTTTGCCTGGCCGTACTATGGGTACCAGAATGCGCAACAGCAACAGCAGGATCAGTGGGCTGCAGCGCGCGGGTCCAGTGTTTTTCGATAGGAACACTTTTGTATCATGTTGCTAGACTATTTTCTTCACAAGATGCGCATCACGAATCTCTTAGCTTGGTGCATGGAGTTTCCCTCCCAATTGATTTGTCAACGGCCATTCTTATTTTTCCTTTTCAGTTTGTAAAGCGTAGCGTTGGCGTTTTAAGAGGGCGACATATCGTATCACATTTATATACCCAGCCTTCGTTATCTGTTTCATCTTCGGAGCCTCGTTCTTTCCTCTCTTTTTTTTTTGTCTCGCTACGAAAGTCTATGTAGGAGGGATGAATTAGCTTCTAGTAGTGCAATTTCGCAAGAATTATCTAGCTACGTAATGTAATGTCCCGTGGTGGATACGTCGTAGTTGACCGCACAGTGTTGTAATGTGATATATTTATTTTACGCATCACTTCAGAAAAAGGTGCGGATGCAGAGATATACTCTACTATATATGCATTGCCAAACGCTATGCCGTATCTCTACGGGACTAATATCGACCCAAGAGGTAATCTAGTCTGTGCAGTCTGCTCATATTCACCGACGCCTGAACGACTGCCTAGCTGCTATCGTGTACCTTGCGCCGCCCCGATTGAAACGCCTTGCAATGCTAACCGCTAAACCTACGCCCAAATTCCTCTCTGATGTATGCTTCGTAATGACACTTCCTATTTGGCTCCCAAGACTCAGCCTTGAGGGACTCATCTTCCTAAGTGAATCCCATCTTCGAGCCCAGACCGCGCAGGCTCGCACCAATCCCGTCACCCAGGCCGGACGACGTCTTCTCCCCTGAGAAGCCCTTGGATTGCTGGATGTCCATGCCCGCAGCGAGCATGTTGATACGCGTGAGTCGGAGACGCAGGGTGTGGTCGTACGTTTCGGCCATGGCCAGGGCCTCTGCGTGCACGTCGTGACGGGGATTCGTCGGCGGAGAGATGAGAAGGCGGTCGACTAGATCTATCCGCGCGTCGAGGGTTTCATTGTTGATCATCTCCTCCAACTCGTCTTCGATGCTCCTATGTCCTGCCGCGGGGAACTTGGACGCCATTTCATCGAGCGTCACGCAACTGAAGGGGATGAAGTACTGTACGATGCTCTTGGTTCGGATGCGGCCGTAGATTGTGTTGAGTACCTTGGAAAGATAGACATCTAGCAGGTAGTCGTTGCGGTAGCTTTCAAGGATTTCCAGACAGGCGCTGTATTTGGAGTTGCAAAAGAGGGCAATGGCGCGGCGAATGTGTGGTTCTAGCTCGAGGAAGTTTCGGAATTCGCTATTACCGAGAACTCTGTTCTGCAGGTCACTACGGTCCATGGATGCGAGTGCGCAGAGACCGCCATAGACGGCTACGTCATTGCCTGACAACACTTCCTTTTGCCATGTAATGTTTGCCGCGGGCTCGGCGATCAAGAATGCGGGTGAGGTTCCGAGGAAGTTTGCCGCAGCTTCGCGGTAGTTACCCATAGCCATGTGTGAGAGACCAGTACAGGCAGAAACAATAGGCTCGAGCTTGGTCTTCTCTTCGCCCTTGAGTTGGGCGGCATCCACCTTGGCCAGGTTTGCTTGTACGCCCAACCATGACTTCTGCGCAATACTAACGTACACGAGGCGCAGGGTCATATCGGCGAGGTGTTTGTTCGAAGTGCAGTGTTCGCGCATCTTCAGGTATGCCTTTTGCGCGTTACTGTAGTCACCAGTGTCGTAGTAGAAGTGGCCTAGGTCCTCGTTGCCCATCTGTAGTCTTATTAGCTCCCACATTTCCACGCAGTATTGACCACTCGTACCCGAATGCTCTCCTTGATCAAGTTGTTCTTGTATGACTTCAACTCATGCTCTAGCCGATCTTGCTCCTGCTGCGTCTCGCGCGTCTTCTTCTCCGCCCATGTCGTGTCTGTCAAAGCAGCCGGGTCTTGCGGTGCAATGCTACTGAAGTTCTCGACGAGGCTTGTGTATACGTTGACGTTCTTGCCCTTCTTTGCTTCGGCAATGGCGAGGCGGTAAGCGTCTACGGCGAGGTATGGCGAGTGGGAGCCGATATGAGAGAGCCGGTCGATTCGTGTGAAGCCTGGGAGCAAATCAGTCACTTCCTCCAACTACATCGAGGCTTTCAGGACCGTACCAGCATAATTGGCAATGTATGATTCCAGGTCGAACTTGGGCGGGTCTACTTGGATTAGCAGAGTACTTGCGAGTATAGTTGAGCCATCTTACCTTTCACAACGACTTCGCCCTTCGAAATCTGCTGCTGAAAGAAAGGCGACTGCTCCACGTTGGCCGCCATGGTTGAGTTATTGCGGTTGTCGTGCGGCGGTTGTGCGGACAGTTGATAGAGCTCCAAGCTATCTGAGTCGCTGCTGCCTTCCCCACGGCGGGGCGACATGACTAAGCAAGCTCCACCCCCTCCGCGATGAGGGTTGCTAGCACCTCGTCCTCCCATTGCAGGAGTATAACGAACAAGCCTCCCATTATCCGCAATAGAGAGTACGGTGCATTGCAATATCGTGAGGATATACGGCCTGCATCTACCTATGCCTTCGATCGTCCTCACGTCCGGATTGGGATTTTTGTTAGCGATCTGCAAATCAGTACGCCTCTATTATATGTAAAGGTCTGCACAGTGAGATAGGAAATGAACCAGTTAGCAAAGTACCGTTACTTCGAGTTTAGATCCCCTTGATGAGGGTCTGAGAATAAATCATAAGCGCGCTGGATACTCGCACCAGCAAATGACAAAGGCCTTGTGTAGATGGCGGCAGCATCGTGATTATTGTGCTTATCTCACACTCATTTCGAATCCCACAACTTATTCACGACGTAGGTAATATAGACAGCCAGCCTCAAAAGCACTAACGGATCTTACAATTCAAGATTTCCGAAGAGCCTCTTAGGGAGTTCCGCTGAGAATCATCTTCGGACTCCGCCTTACACATCACTACATAATCCACTTCATCACCCAAAATATCTTTCCTCTCGTATCACTAATTTCCACACACGTTTCAGAACCCGTTTTGAGTATATCACTGTTCAAGCCAAGCATCTTTTCAGCTCCCACGCCGTATTCAACGCTCAGCTCACCGCAGATCTACCCCCGATTAAGTAAGAAGCTGGGCCTCATGGCCAGCCCGTGGCGGGCCAAGAACGACGGATACTTGCAAGCGACACGGCCGCTGATGGATTTGGCCATAGTCAAGTACTGTTTGGGATTTGTGGGGGATTATGGGCAGATTTGATAAGCCGGATTGAAAGATATGAGGGGCTTGGGGGGAGGGCGGATCGACGCTGCAGTGATGGGGCGTAGATGCCAGGTACATAAGTGAGACGGGTACCCCCCAACGCATGGCATGCAGCTTCTGCATCGCTTTACGACGACTACAATATGAACGACCTTTACGTATCAGCCGCCGTCATGGGCGGAGACTCTGGTTGTCGCCTCTTTGATATGTGCGCAGGGGATCATCTTCACAACTCGTTTCTTCGACATGCACAGAGACGGAGTGTTTGCAGAGTAGAATGGAGTTCAAGTTGACTAGCAATAGATTCAGAAACTACGTCTTCGCGCACAGCACGGCTAGACATTACCATTCCCGGCGTACAATCTCATTCGAGTTCGCAACGACCCAACGCCAACACAAGACAAAAAGTTCCTCCAAAGGGAGAGTGGTATCGATCCAAAAAGAAATAAGAAAGAGCGCCGTATTCCCGCGGGATATTAAAAAGGAAAAAGGACATTAGACGCGGACGAAATCCCATCAACATGAAGTGGTAGTACAGCAAAGAGTCGTCGTCGTTCGTTCGTCGTCGCGTTTCTGTGTACGGGTCGACCATGTTTGCCCATGTAACCTTTTGAGTGTCCCAATCCATCCGTATCATATCCAGACCGTATCGCTCAAGTGCAGTCAGTCGGTCTCGATTCCAAAACAGCAAAGCAAAGCAAAATCAAATCAAATCAAATCATGAATTCCTCCATTTGTGGCACCTTGATGGTGCCCATGATGTTATCTGGGATCCAGGGCCCCTTCTCCTCAGGTGTCGCATCATGCAGCGAGTTCGCGCGGTTCATCGTCTGCACATCGAGATCGGTAACATAGCTCTTGCCATCGGGCAGCTTCATGCGCACTTCAAACTCCTGGTCAAGCATCATGTCGTCTTTCCATAGACGGCGGGGCCCGTCGTACACGCAGAGAACGCGCTTCTTCATCTTCATCTTGTCAGTCGGGCAGCCCCAGGAGACGGGGTAATTTTTGCGCTTCTTGCGCCCAGAGCCTGAGATTGCCACGCCGCCTTTGGAGAAGGTTAGGCCGGCCCGAGGACCTTTTTGCGTCTTCGTAATCTTGTTGTTGGTTGTGTTGGGGAGGTTGCCACCCCCGACGTGCTGCGTTGCGCCGACACCTCGGGGATGTGTTAATTGTCAATGGCCCTTGCTCGACTTGATACCTCCCTTGCCGGAGCGAGAGCGGCGCACGCCGTAGGTGTCATCCTTTTGGTCGTCATTGTCGAACTCCTCCTCCTCGTCTTCCTCCTCATCATCGTAGCTAGGCACGCTATACTCGATGCTCTTGGAAAGACCGTTACGGTCAAGGGTCTCGGTGACGTCCTTGTCTTCGGCCACAGAGGTGAGGAGGCGCTGGTTGATGGCCTCGCTGGGGTCGGCTTGCTGCACAACGCGCAGCACACAGTCGTCGAGATGTTCGTAGAACTCCTGCGCGTTGATGAAAGTGACCGAGCAGGTAGAGCAAGTACCAGCGACGTTCTGTTGGCCACTGAATGCCTTGCGACCAGATGGACCCTTCTTGCGGCTATTCGGGGGATTCTGCTCGACGCCGTGAACAGAGGTGAGATGTCGCTTGAAGACGTCGGCGCGGTTAAAGCTCTTCTCCGCCGCCGACCCACTGCCTGGGCAGAAGCCACAGACCATGGTACCCTTGTAATGCGTAAGAGTATGTCGGTTCTTGTCGTACTTCCTCGCGAAGCCCTTGACATTGTACTCGCAGGTCGTGATTGGGCACTTCTCTGGTCGCTCGTTCTGATGTGTGAGCATGTGAGCCTTCAAGTCTTTGAAGACACGACCGCACTCGGGAAGAGGGCAGAGACCCTTCTCGCGTGTCTCGTCGTCCAGCTCGTAGCTGCTACCGCTCTTCCGACTTGTGCCTGAGTTGTGGGAGTGAAGAGAGTTGACCGAGCCTCGCCTCTGACCGCCGAACTGTGGGTACGGCTGGTACTGTTGAGTGTGGAGATAGGGGCTAGCGCTTCCTCGCTTGATACGGGCTGAGCCAGGACGCTGGCTGTGCGAAGAGATTTGAGAAAGAGCTGGGGAAGGAGGCTGCTCGATGACTGGGAAATAAGGAGACGGCGTTGTCCTGATCTCAGGATAGGGGCTATGCGGCGCGAATGCGAACGGTTGGATCAGGTTGGGGTCTGCTTGCATCACGTCAGAACTTATCTTCTGTGGAGGTGGATTCGCAATACGGGGAGGAAACCGACAAGATTGGAAAGACTGAGAAAGAGGTGGAAGTGATTTGACTGAAGTAGATGTTGCGGGCGACATGTCGGCTATGCGGACCTCGTTCGACAAAAGAGAGTTTCTTCGCTCGTTTGACCTCACAGTGGACCAATTCGCCGATGCAGGAGTAATTGGTGTTCTGAACACATGCCTCTCAGACTGAGGCGTTGAAGGAGATGCAATAGAAGATGATGAAGCTTGTGTCGAAGGAACTGATGACTCACCCACAAAGGTCTTTTCAACTGCCATGATACCAGGATACTCGAAGCTTGATGTGAGTCCGAGGCCCATGGGATTCCAAGGCTCGTTGAATTGCGGTGCGAGGGATGGAGAGTGTATAACGGAAGATGACACTGAAGCACCGGACTCGGAAGAAGCTGAAAGGACCGGGGGTTGATCATGGAAAGAGTGTGAAGATGAATTGGGGGATCCGGCTGGCGTTTGGTAATGGAATGGCTTGACGCCTTGGTCGATTGTATCGTAGTGGAAATGCATATCTTGAGGTCTCGGGGCCTCCACAAGGGCACCCATGGGATCGTATGAGGCACCGAATGTCTGCTCCATGCCGTATGTTGAGGAAGGCAAGAAGGGCTGGTTATGGTGAAACTCCATCTGCTGCTCATGGGGATTTGAGTAGAGCTCAAAGTCGTGAGCCATATTTGGAGGATATGGGGCGTAGTCCACCATGTTGGGCAATGTTGAAAGCGAAAGGACGCAAGTTGAGAATTTTGCGTTGAGATACGGCTCGATCCTTATTACCGCATTCAAGTCAGCATAAGTAATAAACAGGTGCGATCCGATCGATGATGGGGGTTGGCAGGGCTAGCGCGTATTATAAGGGACCGACAGGGGCGAGCTTACCTTCCCGGAAAGATGCCGATCAAAGTCCAAAGACGTGGCACGGGTCGGCGACTACACGATATCGTCGATACCTCTGTAGATCTTTCGCTTGATTTTGGGTGAGTGACAGCGGGTGGATCCTTTCCGAGATATCTCGTACAGTAGTCCTCAAGGCAGGCAGGCAGGCGGAGGACGAGTCACAAGCGAGAGGGACTTGGTCCTGAACGGTAGTCCAAGGCTTTGGAAGGGTCTGGATAGAGGGGGGTTTATGCTAATCGGGGCCTGGAACTGGAGGACAATGCCTGGGGGGCGAAGTTGAGTTTATACATAAGGCCAGAGACAGGACCGCAATAGCCCCCATCGCGCACAGTGCACGAAGCCACTCGACAGCATGCCGCACCCCTGCTGGGTGTTTACTGCCCTACGGCCTACGGAAGCTTGGACTGGTGGCATGAGGTGGCAGATTGGGAACGGTCAGTGACGCTAGGAAAAAATAAGAAAGGTAAAGGTTACCGGCCGCCATGAATTGAGGTCCCCGCCTCGATCGCGCGCTCCGACCGCTTCGTGGTAGGACAGGCCTCCTGGAGTCGCGGTGTGCCCGACCCCTGTTCTGCTCGAGTGGACGCACCAGCAGAGCAAGCCATGCCGAAAGTAACAAGGGGAGACGGATATGGGCGAGTAAGATTACAGAGCGGAGGAGCCTCTACGCCTAGTCCGCCAAAAGCAGGCGAATTGGGCATAGGACCTGGACGATGCGCACGATTGATCACCGCTTCTGTCGGGGAGAGGGGAGGACTGGGGGGCCATGGTCCTGCCATTCCGCAGTCTTGGAGCCCGCGGCGCCTCTAATTCGCGATTCCTTCGCTTTGCCCGGTCCGCAATACGGGAGCGTGGCTGGTGAGCGGCTGTGCTTGCGTGAATGACGTCTCATTGGACATGGGACGGGTCTAATTTTACCTGACCATTGCCTCTAACGGGGCTCCTAAGCGACCGCTCGTGGGGCTCGTGGGCGCAGTCATCCGAACAAGCACCCAATGCGCTGACCTCACCGCGTTTCCCATCCTCTGGACGACACAGAATGAGGTTTGCTGTTGACTAACCGGCGGCCCACATCGTTGCGGTGCGTCATGGCCTCAAACTTCACCGCCAACGCGAGCGGACGCAAGGCTTCGAAGGCTAGGGCGCAACCACGCCGGCTCCCAATGCCGGGGCTTCTGGATAGCCACGGTTGCGCTTCGACATGGCGGATGCAGAAGCTTTGGTGGCTTCTCGCCAATTGCAGCGCTTCTGCATTCTCTGGTCGCAAACTTCAACTTGTGTCCCGTTTCATGAAGATGACCCGGTGGGGGTGATCCAGGGCACCGCAATCTCGCTCAGACAGTCTTGCGCTGTCAGAGGTGCCAGAGCACGCTATAGGCACACGTCTCGTCCTGTTAACGGGACGCCAGTTGGCACTGGCCTTGACCCGCGGACTTGACATTCCGTGTCCATGTCACTGCTGGGCCCGGGCAGCCATCTTGTCACTCCCTCTCTCGTGGTCCCTGAATCCTTCTGGCCCGAGAGCATGGATAAAGTTTAATAAGAAAGCGTGAACCGCAGGCTGGTGCTCTCCGTCTTCGACCATGCAGCCTATCATGTCCAGCCTGACCCTGACCAAGCACATAGACCTGTACTGCAACCGCCACATGAATATTGACTGTGTTACTACTCGATGCTTCTCGACGATGGAATGTAACACATCTGCCCAAAGCAGACAAGAACTCGATCTCACCCCGTTAATGAGGCGCCCAACTTCAGTACGTTAAATCACCGAAGGCGCAACGCTAATGCGTTCCCCTGGGGAGTATCAGGCTTTCCGAAATTGAGAACTGACTGGTGCATGTGCGGGGTGATTCTTCCCATGGAACGGCCCTTCGTCCTTCCATGGAAACCCATGTTAGTGCAGATACCTGGGCTCTGAAATCGAGATTGTGATCATAGCCCAACGCGCCGTCGAGCTTTCGGTGACTAGAGCATAACACTCAGAGCATAATTGCTGATTGGCTTTCTAATAGGGTTTTGTGACGTCCGGGAAGGTATATGGGAGGCCACGGACTATTTTAGTCCTGCGCCCTGAAGCTGTGGGGGTGATCATATTTCATGTACGCAATAGATACGTGTTATACGTGACCACCCACGGCCGCTGCCCCTCTACAGGGCCAAAGAGACTGACACATCAATATGAAAGGTGCAGCACCAAGGAAGCTAGTCTCAGGTGTAATGGTAACATGGCTGCGCACCGCCACATGTCCATATCCTCTATAATTAGCGCAGAATAGCAGGAGAGGACGCAAAGTAGACAAATCATCGAGTCCTTTTACTGTGTCTCGAGAACAGAACGTGCGTGGATCGCATGTGCTTCCAGAGAGGAAGCTGCACGGCCGCAGGTGATTGGCCGTCTAGCTCGCCTAGTGACTAGCATCCATTCGACGACCCTACCCGAAGCGGGCTTGTGGTTGCGGAATAGAGTGATGGAAATGACCGACGGCAGATAGGCTATCGCGGAAAGGGATTGTTTCGCGAAAAACCTAGTCGACCATCTAACCTGTGTTCCGTCCTTGAAAGTTCGAATGGTACCAGACTATGTATGTGAGCGATTGACATGCAGGAGACATGTTTCGTCGCGTGCTGATGATGTTTGTGGTTTGTATTTCGATTGGCATTCGACTCGTCATTATTGGGGCTTTCTGGCCGTTGGCTTGGTTTTGCTCAGTGCATCTAATCTTAAGAGTAAGCGCGGAGAGGCATCCCGCCATCCACAAGTCTCGAAACGTTCGATTACCCCCACAGACTTTTCACGAAAAGGGGCTCGAAGACCGATGAAAGCAACAATTGAGACATGCGGTAGCCTCAGCAGGGAAGATGAGCCAGCCATGGCACACAAGTCTCCTGCGTCTGCGACTGGTCCAATTACGACAATGTGCGGTATGGTCCGGCCCTTCCTTGGTACCGGAGACGATCGTTCCGTCGCTTGACCTTGTTGGCGCTCCGTCAATGCTTTCGTGCAAGATATCGTTGTTTGAGATGAACGTAGCGCAAATGTTAGCATGCAGGCCCCTTCTGGAAGGCCACACGGAATGAGGGGTGCGACAGCAGATGGGTGTGCAGCACATGGAACGCCCAAAGCCACACACACGGGTGATCCGCAGAGGGTTGCTTGCTGTATGAGTACCAATATTTCGGAATTCCCCAGTTCGGCGCCGCATCACTTTCGAGGAATGCAGGCATCTTGTGTCCCGTTCCATGGCAATGGTTCTGGGGACCTATGGCAGCCGGTCAATTCCTTGTGCGACGCAATCTATCCTCGACCTCTAGCGCCCGATTTCACGTAAAGGCTGTGCGAGTCGGGGTGCCAAATTTGGAATCGTTGCAATCACACCTTGCATGCATACGCGCCAAAATGGGAGGTATTCTATCGGCGAGAGCAAGTCTGCTCAGAGATGGTGAGTGGGTTTATCCGTTTCGAGCCATCGTGTCATGTTAGTTCCTACCGTCGTTCATCGGCTTCACCGCGTGTCGATAACAAAATGGAGGACGGTTAGATTGTTTGCGTCGGCCTCGCCTAAGCACGACAACCCCGCAAAGCAAGCCACGGATCCAGATAGAGACGAGCAAACACCGGCCAGCTGGATTAGCGTCCCAAGGCGATCCTTCCCGTGCACATAAATGATGACTTGCCGTGTTAAGACAGGGGTACTCTCGGGCCGAACAGGGAGCATGGATTTGAATCGAATGTGAGGAGAGATTTCTGCCCGTGCCAGCACATGCTTTTCGACTTCCATGTGCGTTCAGCAGTTGGATTCCCAGCTGACTGATTTTGCGAGCAGAGCCTCATACCCCTCGCACCCCTCTGCCAGAGGTAGCATGATTGGTCAGCCCATACTGCTGGCGCGTCGCCCACCCTCCACGTTGAAATGTGCAGCACAAACAAACAAGATTAGAAAACTGGAAGCTGGCGTGTTGCGCGGTATATTCCTGCCAATCATCGCTTCTCGCAGTCAAGCCCGCAAGACCAAAGAGATGTGTTGGCAGCCTGGCCACCATCTCAGGCTGCAAGGAGCTGCATACAATTACCAGAAGGGTTTTGCATGCCATCCGAACCAGGGCTGTTTTCAAAAGCGGCGCCCATTCCCACAAGTTGCTTTCAAGGCTGGCTGGAAATGTTGCCGCACATTACAAGCCATGCAATGGAAACATCCGTGAGGGGTTTTGGGGGAGAATGAGGTGGTCGGGAGCGCCATCCTTTCGCCTCAGGACCCTGTCAGCAAAAGCAATAGTAAAGCCCCATGCATGGAGAGGACCAAGGGACTCAACCAGCCTCGTGACAACTGCGGCAGACAACCCCATCTTCCAGTGTTGGGCACTGGTCCAGGAGGACCCATTTGTGAGGATTGGTCGGTTGCTAGTTATCACTCAAAGGGTCCGTGTATCGCTGATTCTGGCCCCTCCTCTCGCCAACCCCAGTCCTGCAGGACCATTCGAGTTAGATACTGAAAACATGTTGCGTGCCAGGCCACGAGCCTAAACGGATTCACAAGAGCGATGATCGCTAAGAAGTCTAGAGTGCTTGTTGCCTTGATCGGGTTGCTCCGCGGGAGGATCCATATTGATTTAATGTTCGGCGACCAGATATGAGACTTGCGCAGAACTATATCGAGACTGGCAGTCAGGTTGTCCTCCCTGCTGTGCCGGGGCAATGACGTGGGCAGGGCCTAGGATTGCGAGACGTGTTGGGCTCCTCGCTTCCCGCCAGCCTGGTGCTTGCGAGATGTCTTGAACGAAGAAGAATCAGCCGTGGCGATGGCAGCAAACCAAGCAAATGAGAAAGAAATTGCAGTAAAGAAGAGATGTAGTTGAAGTAGAGTTGTTGTGGAGCGAGTGCCAACCGCAGAGTTGGGTGCCCTCAGCTCACACGGCGGACGATACGAAAGAGGCAACTACCCTCCGAACGCCCACTCCCCATCGCCCTCAGCTGGTGGACTTTATCTTGACGACGATGCTTTCTTTGTGGTGAATAAGAGAGAGAGGCATTGCTATCGTCAAGCTGCGTTGCGAGAGTCGCGTACCGACGTTCGCACCTGCCCCTCGTAGCGGCTGACGACACGTGAAGCTACTCACCAACCTCATCTCCTACCAACCTGTCTTCCTGACTCTTGATGCTCATATTCTAATTTCAGTCGTACTGAATAGAGGACCGGCTCCACTTCATCCTGTAGCCATCATCAGACAAGCAGGATGTCTCGACTTTTGGCGGGTTACAACAGCATCTGCTTGAGTTTGACAGCGAATCAACGCGCGCTTACCTCAGGACCAATCTCTGCGCAACCATCCAAGCTCCTTGATCATCTTCACAACCTCAGAAACCATCCACCTTATATGCCAGATGTAACAACGGTGCATACGTGCGACTGCTGAATCCCCCAGAGTCGCGCCGACTCGACTAACGCTGGTGAGCCTCGACTTAACATCGCGACATCCAAAGGCGCGCGTCTAAGCCAATGAAGCTTGCATGGGGCGCGGCAACTTCCCAATCCCTTGAACTTCAATGTAAGACCGAGTCCATACTATCGCTACAGGGCTCTGATGTCGTTCTCTAGCTGTGGTCTTAGGGCAGCGTTGTCTCTGCTACTTACAATGTCATACCCACGACAATTTTGGACCGCCAATGTGGAGTTCCTAAAAGCATCTTCAGATTCTAAACGAGTTGGATCCACCCCTGAACAATTTCGGTCTCAGCAGCTGCAAAACAGCGATGCTGACTCTAGCCCGGTTAGCCATCCAACGAGATACACTTTGCAAGTTACCAATAGCAGTATGCCTCAGCTATTTGCAGGGTCTCAGCCACAACAACAGCCTGTTGGAAACGTCGCGTTTCTATCTGCGTTGCCGCCCAGTATACCTCAGACATCTACAGGACCTCTACCACAACAACGATCTGCAAATGTTGCGTTTCTGTCTACGTTGCCGCCTCAAAGGACTACCTCGAGTAACACGATGGCATCCACTACCAAGTCTTTCGAGATCTATCGGGGGTATACAATGCCATCATCAAACCAGACAGATCGACAAAGTTCGAGTGCCCACAACCAAGAAACAAATGCCGAACCAGCTGCGCTCATGCGCCCACCACCTCAAATGAATACAACGCAAGGTCCAATTCTTCGTCCAAACGCCGAGTCTCCCATCACAAGTGCTGGTGGATCGCCTCTGAATATGTTCGCATACCCACCGCTCAAAGAAACCTCCGCCGGCAACCTAAGACTTCTTCGGATTGATGGCACCTTAGACGGTAGCCCGTCTGGCGATTTGTGTTGTACCCTCGTCGCCGCACAGCCGTGGATTACTGGAGAGCATTACGAATGTTTGAGTTACTGTTGGGGCAATTCAACGGAAGCAGGTCGTCTCTTCATTAGGACGTCTGAACACCCGACATGCAACTATAAGCAAGTCAAAGTTAGCATGAACCTTTGCAGTGCAATGCGCAAGCTCAGATCAACGCATACTATGAAGTGGCTGTGGATTGATGCCATATCTATCGACCAATCAAATTTAAAGGAGCGCGCTTCCCAAGTTGCCATGATGAAAGATATATACAGCAAGGCTTCAGGCGTTGTAATCTGGCTCGGAGAAGGCGATCGTTGTTTAACTGCTTCTGTGTCCACCATATCTGCCATATCGGAGCGTTTCCAAGTAGACACACGGATTGCGCCAACATCCATCGTGGGGCCTGATGGCCTGCGTTTGACTGCAATCGATATAGAACAATTACGCTCATATGTGTCCATCGAGATACTGGGAACCACGCTGGAGCATGCTTACAAGCTTCTCGCGCACTTCTTTGCGCTGCCTTGGTTCCGCCGCGTCTGGGTGCTGCAAGAAGCATTCGCACACAATAAGATCACTGTTCGACTAGGAGAGCATACACTGCCATGGGGCGCAGTCATTCTAGCAGCTATTTGGGCCTCAGGATTCACGCGCACATATATCGCCAAGTCGGCCAATGAGTACCCAGCCGAAGGCGCCATGAATCGAGGCTATTTGCCGGAGCTTTGGCTCGGACTCTTACATACAAGAGCTACTAGAGGCTTATCCATGCTCGAGCTAGTATCACGTACGAGAGATTTCGAGGCCTCGGATCCGAGAGACAAGGTCTTTGGTCTTCTCGGTCTGGCAAATGATGTTGGCAATCCTCAGACTCGAACAGTTGGCCTTCGCCCAGACTACACTAAAAGTAAGAACGAAGTCTATGCTGCATTCGCCAAAGATCTCATAACAAATACGGGAAGCCTGGACGTCCTATCCCTTGTGAACACCTTTACCCCTCGAACGCAAAATCAAGAATTAGTCTCATGGATGCCGAACCTTGATGCACGAGTAGCTACAATCCGCGGGTTGGGGTTTCCGAGAAAGTATAATGCTTCCTTCTCAACAATAGCCAATGTGGACATCGTCACTCAACACAAACAAGATAATCTTACTCTAGTCCTCTCTGGCTTCTACATTGATACAGTCCACTATGTCACAGAGAGCACTATGTCCTTTTCTCGGGACCTCAAGGTTTACATCAAGGGTCATATCGAGGCAGTCACAGAGTTGTGGAAGACCTACGTGAGATGCAGCAACCCTGGCGTCCCAGAAAACATTATTCTGCAATCCTACATCGAACTCATGGCCGCTGCTGGATTTGCTATGCCCACCGAGTTCCCTGCCTATCCTCTAGGCAAGATCGTTCCGTCTCGCGAGGTACCCTCACTAGTCGCAGATTTTGCAGCGTACTGGTCTCGAGTTGAACCCGAGTTTTCAAGCTTCTCTGAAGCTCTCGGATCCCGTCTCAAACAGCTGGCCGAATTGGGCAATGCAGAGCAATTTGGTGTGCTTGCAGGGAAAGCGTGCCATGAGCGACATTTCTTCCTCACCGCTAGAGGACGTATAGGTCTTTGTCCGAGGGATGCACAAGAGGGGGATCGGATCGTCATATTGTATGGAGGGAGCGTGCCGTATGTGTCGAGAGCGAGAGAGCGTGGGAATTGGACTTTTGTTGGCGAGTGCTACGTTGACGGTATTATGTTTGGGGAGGCAGAGAAGATACAAAGGCAGGATCAGATCTTTCCTCTGCTGTGATGAGCACCAGGAGTCTGATGTGTCCACTACTCGTTTTCGCCGTTGAATAGCCTGGCGTTTCCCCTCGCTTGTCCACAACACAAAGATGACTTTCCGGCTATGGCTCTCTCACCCTGATACCGTTCATTATTAAACCCCTTCTAAGATTCGCAGAGCTCTCTCACCTGAGGCGCGCACAAACTCCGCAGGTAAAGGCAGACCGGTTCGTGCTGGGAGGGTTATAAGTATTCACATCACCTCTCAAGATATCATTTCTTCTGTTCTCAACTCCCTCGAATATCTATTTACTTTTGTTTACAAAGCTCAAATCAGTCGTGCCAACACAAGACGGTTTAGTGCAACATCTCTATTCACAACGATGTCCCTCTCAACGATTCCACCCGAGCTTGGTGGCGAAATCGCCCGCTTCATGGACCATGACGCACTCAACAATCTTTCGAAAGTCTCCAAGTACTATCGGAGTATCGCAGAGCCATTCCTTTACCGGAATCTCGAGTTCAGAGGTCGGCAAGATACCAACATTCGCTGGCTATTCTTAACAATTGTGTCCCGACCCGGTCTTGCTGCGCATATCAGATCTTTCAAATTGATCCTCAGATGGAGCCAGGCGAAGGGCAAAGCAACCACTGTTGACTTAAACGAAAGCTTTTGCAAGTTATACAAACAGCTCAAAGGTGTTTTGCTTGAGATCCTCGGTGCAAATGCGCCTCCAGAAATGACCAGCACTTGGGTGTGTGAGATTGCAAGACCCGACGGCCTCGAAGGTTGTTTGGCATACATCCTATTCCGGGCAGTTTCAATCCTATCAATTGACCTTGGAGAGCCGATACTGCCCAAGTTTGGTCCACTCCTTGCTCAGATCGCATACTATGCATGCCAAAAGGGCATATTTAAAGCGTCGGTACCCTTCTCGAGACTGAAGAATTTTCGGGGCCCCTTCCCAGGTGTAAGGAACATACCGCATCTCCCTTCACTCGACTTCCTCGAAATCACACACTGGTCATGGAAATTGCAGGATACTCTCAATCGAGCGCCGGATATCCGTACGTTGGATACAGCAGGTGGGACAAAGATTCAGAGTCTGAAGTTACAATTCGTCGACATACAAATTTCTACATTATGCAAGCTCCTGCAACACGAGCGCCTACGTCATCTCACGGTATTCTCTATGATTAACATGTATGACCTTGGAAACGACATTTCTCAATCTATAATAACCACGCTTCAAGACCACTGTCCTTACCTCACAACTCTGGAATGGCTCTGCTGGGCTGAAGAATTCGGCGAGGGGAATTCGGAGCCAGTACAAGGACTTCAAGAACTTCATTCCCTCACAATTCTCCTTATTGATCTAAGTTTCATGGTCAATCATCCGCCTCGTACTTCTGACTTCCTCAACCTCACCCGCATTCTGCCGCCCAATCTTGAATCCTTAAATCTCGCCAGTGTCCCTTGCTGGAATTTTGTCGATTGGGTTGAACCGTACGCCAACAATGCAGTCAGCACGAAACACGCAATGCAACATATGCGGTATCTCAAAGCATACATCCCGTTGCGAAAGTTCTCTATCAGTTTAGACCCGGTGTTGGAAGGCGACCGGGCATTGTGGATGCAACGATTTTCTGGCATCCGACACTTTTTGATCACCATGGCTCGCTCTTTCTTGGCGATGGGAATCAAACTCTCAATTCTCGAGGAGGTGCTTGGGTCCTACAGCGAACTCAGATCTGAGCTCTTAGTGGATGCGGAGTCCACAGCAGACGACGAGATCCATTGAGGAGCAGTGAACAATGCGGCGTTTGAATGGGGATATGCAACAGGATCTTGAAGAAGAACGGAAATGTGGGAGCTAATGCGGTATGCCAGTATGGTGGGGGCGACACTAGGAAGGTAAAATGGGACGAAAAGGTTATTCAAGTGCAGATGGAGTTTCTCATTGGCATTGTAGTCTTCTTTGATGCCTTTCGACATCACTATCGCTTCCAATGACATCACTTTGAGATCTCGCCCATTTGCTCTCAGCCTTGTTCATGTCCATCATAGCATGAATGCTGTGCTACGAATGACTATCTCATTGTCCTTTCAATGGTATCTATTCCAACCTACGTGGGCGAACAGGCGTTTGGGGTTCGCTGCCTGGGCCAATCAATGCCCACATGTGGGTCCCGTCACAGGGGCGCGCTAGACAGTTTTCACACCGCCTTCGTTCTCGTGTCCGCCACAAACTCGCGGCCTCCAGTCGCGAACACCTACTGTCTTTCTCCGTCCTTAGTATCTGCTGTTAGCATTGCATTCCCGGCTTATCTCAACAATCCCTTAGCCATTGACGGCGCTCGCCTTCTTTCAATTGTTTCCATTGCGCAACGATCAAGCGTCATCGTTCGATCGTACGACTTTGTACTACCTCGCCACAATCAACAAAACGCCAAGCCACCATATCATCCATTAGATGGGCCGACTTGCCTTCCCTCTCGATGCAGAGCTTACCGGCCCGGATCGTGTAGTTCTTAGCATCTTGCAGAAACAGTATGAAGCACATGGAGACCCTTTGGATAAAGCTTCTTCGGAGGTAGCGGAGGAATCGGACGACTCAGAGACCAAGCACTCTAAATTCGTCTCACCATCACCAGAAGGTACATTATATCCTTGAACTTCTGCTATGGCTAAGAAGTCATTATTTCTTAATTTGATTATCATCTGACAATTTACAGATCTTCAAGACCAAGAGCAGCAAGCAATCGCTTACCTGAAGAACTCCAACAACCCAAAGTCAGATGCATTTGAACCTACAATCTTCAGCTCTGTGGATGAACCAGATATCAAGAACGCCCTTCTCCGACAATGGATCATTGATCCGTACATCCGGTGGGCTCGGACAGTTGTTCGCGTTGAGACGGACGTTGTCATGGTCACCCATCTTTTACTCTACTCATGCACAACACTCCCATCCGCTTTGTACTTGTTCAAAAACTTCCACTGGTGGCACGCCATCCTACACGGCGTTATGCAAGGGTGGTATATGGGAGCATACACGCTTTTGAGGCATCAACATATCCACATGCGCGGAGTTCTTAGCAAGAAGTACGCCATCATCGACCAGCTTTTCCCATACGTTCTCGATCCGTTGATGGGACACACTTGGAACTCCTACTACTACCATCACGTCAAGCATCACCATGTCGAAGGCAATGGCCCCGATGATCTCTCCTCTACGGTCCGGTACCAGAGAGACGATGTGTGGGATTTCATGCGCTATGTCGGCCGCTTCTACTTCTTGATCTGGTTTGATCTGCCTCGGTACTTCCTGCGCACTCGTAAACCTGTCCTTGCTTTCAAGGCAGGCGGGTGGGAGCTCTCCAGCTACGCTTTCTTGTACATCATGTTCGCATACGTCAACGCGCCCGCCGCAGTATTTGTGTTATTTGTCCCCCTCGCGCTTATGCGCCTCGCTCTGATGACCGGAAACTGGGGTCAGCATGCGCTCGTAGACGAAATGGAGCCGGACTCGGACTTCAGATCCAGCATTACACTTATTGATGTTCCTGTGAGTCGAACATTAATTGCAGACGAAGTTGAAAGGTCGCTAATGTACATCACAGAGCAACCGTTACTGCTACAATGATGGCTACCACACATCTCACCATCTCAACCCGCTACGGCATTGGCGCGACCATCCTGTGGCCTTCCTCTCCCAGAAGAAGCAGTATGCTGATGAACATGCGCTGGTATTCTACAATATCGACTACATGTTTCTCACGATCAACCTGCTGAGGAAGAATTACGAGCACGTCGCGCGCTGCTTAGTACCCATGGGCGATCAGATGAAGCTTACGCTTGAAGAGAGGGCAGAGATGCTGAAGCGCAAGACAAGGAAGTTCACAGAAGAGGAAATTGCGGAGAAGTGGGGGAAGCAGTATGCGAAACTGAAATAGACGAAGGCTAAGATCTCCAAAAAAACGGCGTCTGTATGTATTGATAAAGTCGAGGATGTTATAGGCGCTTGTAAGGACAAATCAAAGACCTAGAATATTTTGGGAAAATCCCCAGACAAAAGTTCGTCCCTCCTTCCTCAAAGTACCAACTTCTTCGGACAGTGACGTGGGCTCTTGCCTCGGAATTTCCACTCTTCAATCACCCAATGCCACCCAATCCTAACGCCTCGCGAACTGTCCTAGACCGCATCATTGATTCAGCTCTGGCAATGGCGCTCATACATCAATTACCAATTGACCACAGCTTATTTATCACAACACCAAACGCGATACAGTATCGCTCTCAGCTCATCGACAAGTCCCTCTTCGAATGCGAAACCGCGAGCGGCATCGTCAACGCGTGTGCGTCGAAAGACAATAGTGGCCTGTTCGCCGTCGCAGACAGTCAGGTCGTTGTATTGTATGATGTAGCGCAAGGCAAGAACAAGAGATACAAGTTTAAGGGTGGTGATGTCAGACAAGCGTCGTTGAAAGGTCGGTTCTACGACTAACAATACATAGGGCGAGCCTCGTCTCCTCCTTTTCTCGCCTGATTCGCGCACACTCTACTTCACTACAACCTTGAGCACATCGGTTCAAGCGTACTCCATCCCAGCAGCGGAACTCTTGCCCTCGCTGCCGTCACATCCATCACCACCAAACACTATCGCAGTATCATGCAATGGCGACGTACTGCTATCAGCCTCGCCTGATCCGCCGATGATATATCTTCATGACAGAAGATGGGGAGGCAGCGCGCCAGTCAACTTTCAACCTATAGATGCCCATTCGCCTATCAATTGCGCCGTGTTTCATTCTTCTGACGGCCTCGAATCGCTATCTCATACGAGTTTTGTGTTGGGCTTCCAGGATGGCAGTTTGGCCATGTATCGACTCCTCGTTCCACCCCTTTCGAAGTATCATAAAGGCTCGCACACGCACCGTTTCCAACCTCAACCACTGAGGGTTGGCGCACTGAAGAAGCTGCACAAGGCGGCAATGGGAGGCATAACAGCAGCAGCGCTCATCCCAGGCTACAAGTCGCGTGTGGTCAGTATCGGGCAAGATGGACGCTGCCGACTCGTCGACTTTGAGGGCGGCGGAAAAGTGCTCAGGACATAGCATGTCTCCGGTCCAGCGATTTGTGTATCCGTCGTATCAGACAGATCTATTTCATCGAATATTAGGAATGAAAAGGTGTTGCTGCTACGTGGTGAGGCAACAGAAGATGCTGGTCAGGTCTACGAAGGCTTGGAGACACTCATCGCGATCGGTACACAAGCTGGGAAGGTTCTGGTGTTCAACGTTCTTGGCTTACTCATATATGAGATAGCCATGGGCGTGCCAATTGTCAACGTCGAGTGGGTCGGCGATATGTCCGCACCGTCGGTCCTGCCAAACCGTAAATTTTCGTTGTCGCCTGAGCCACGTCCGGTGACGGACAGGCTATCGAAGGAGATTGAGGTTCTTACTGATGAAGAAAGTGGCACCGTAATGAAGACAGCATCGCCGTTCAAGCGAGTTGGAGAATTTCAAGCGATCCCGACTGCATACACGCGAGACTTGTTCACCAACGATCTTCCACAGCGCATGTCACGTCAATCCACTCGAAAGCGATCAGATGCTTCGAGCGGCTCACCGCTACAAGTCAACAGGACCCACGAGCGACCGAGAAGAAAGTCGCTGATACGACCGCGCATCGCAACAGAAACATTTGAGTCACCTGTGGCAGCACCCCGTCTTCCTATGTCTAACAGCAGAGCAAAATCATCCTCACTTTCTGCACCACCATTACAAGAAAGTCGTAGGTGGCCACAAGTACACCAAGCACCGAATGTGCCACCATCATCCAAAGCACGTCGCCTCTCTGCCTCTTATGCATCTTTTTCGTCTCAGGGTTCTGTCTCCGACCAAGAATTCTTCACACCTCCTTCTACACAGCGAGACAAGGGCAAGACACCCCAGCGGTGTGTGAGCCAGCAAGCATCAGTCACTGCGTCAAAGAGCTCAGCACGTTTTCCACCACCACTTCGTTCTGTTTCTCCGGATCCGTCAAATATACCAAGCAGACTCAATCTTCGCCCAGCCTCGCAGACCTTCAATCCTACGTTTGGTACAAATCAAGCAGAACGCAGCGCGGGTCCCTCTATCCCTGCCCCAAAGACTCCGCAACGTCACGTCACCATCGATGCCCCAGGTTCTTCATCGTCTCTTGATAGCCTGTATTCTCGCCCAACGTCGCGTGTGGTGAAGGAAGCTTCACGAAGACGGTCCTCGATAATCTCAACAAGGACACCACAGCTCACCCGACCCATGACCCAAAGATCTGATAGTTCACCGAAATATTTAGATGGAGAAATGGATGAACCAAAACCAAAGTCTGCATCTAGAGCAAGACCAGCTTTAATTAAGACGTCCAGACGGGACTTCAGCTATGAGTCCGGTCAGCGATTCGAAATGGGAAGACGAGAGCGGGTTTTTACTAGTGTTGATGAGATGCAGCAGCTGCGAGACAATACAGAGATGTTGAGGGACGACATGCAGGCGTTACGAGAAGAATTCCGGGCATTAAAAGATGTGTTGCTGGGCTGGAGGGCGGGGGAATAACAGTTAGGTGGGCTGTGGTGTGTCGCTTCTCCAGTTGTCCTTGCTCGTCTTATCTTTGTTCTTGTCGCGCTCTACTCTCCCCAGTGATATCCATATTCAACCTTTTCAACACATATCAAAAAGAAATCGCATAAATTGAACCAGTCTAGGGTGCCTGGTTTGCCTTTCCCCCACGATGAACAGTAACGGAGACCCAGCAAGTATGACGTGAAGGTCACAGGAACCATATAGCAGTTCAGATATCTCGTACAAAAGTCTTCATACTATTCAGCTATCCTATTTTTACCCCGTTCCGTCCAAAGAAAACACCGCGCTATGCAATACCCAGGCCGAAAAGGATACCAAACAACTACATGCTATAGATGAAGCCATTGAACCGTCGTCAAGTCGTGATGGAACATGTCGCCAGTCGTGCAATATCGTGTCAGTTCCCAAGGGCTCAATCTGTTGCCAAAAAAAGGATGCCCGACAGTCCCCCCATGTCCAAATGTAAAGCTGTCCCAAAACAGCGTGAATGTGTATGTAAAAACCAGGAAGCAAAATTTCGCATCCATCAAGAATACCCTCTCCAACCGCGAAGCTTTCTACGCGGCAATTGGATCCTCGCCATTCACCTCGTCGCCATCCTCGATGTTCTCGTCAACGCCAAAGCCAGAATCCCACTGGCGCTTCGCAACCTTCTTCTTTCCCTTCTTTCCAATCTTGACCTTCTCGCTCGTCTTTGCGACTTTTCCCGTAGCAACACGATGAAGATCGACACCCTGCGTCTTGACCTCCACGCGCTTGAGCTTCATCTCTTGCACGATCTTCAGAGCCTCGGCATTGCGTGCTTTGAGGGCGTTGGCGAGCTTCTCGTTCTGGTCTTGAAGTTGGCGCTGTGAGAGCAAGAGCGCGTCGATGGTGACGCGCGTATCTTGCTCTGTAGCTTCGAAGCGGTCTTTGAGAGTGGCAATCTGGGCCTCAAGAAGGGCAATGGTTTCGGCGCGGGCATCGCCCATGAGCTGGAGCTCTGTGATTTCGCGGGCGCGTTCGTCAATAGTCTCCTCGAACTCGGCAGTGCGCTGAGCAGATGCAGATTGCAGGTTCTTAATCGTGGCCTCTTGCGTTGAGATAACAGACTGGAGCGAAGTGATCTGCTCTGTATGCGAACCCACAATATTAAGGAGCTCGTTCGCTTCAGCCTCAACGCGCTTGGAGAGCGAAGTATTCTCCCTCCGATAGCCCTCATTCTCGGCCTCCTGGGCTTCGAGATTGACCTCGAGGCCTTCGATCTTCTCCTTGAGTGATGTCGTATCCTCCAGGTAGACGCGATCCTTCTCAGCAACTTCCTCGACAAGACGCTTAATCTCGGCTTGTTGACGCTGAACTTGGTTGTTTAGATCGGTGATGTTGGCCTGGAGGGAGGTGATCGTGGAGTTGGTGGAGTTCTCCAGCGCAGTATACTTGACTTTCAGGTCTGCGAGTTGAGCGGCAAGAGCTGCAACTTGGGTATCACGATCTTGCTCGAGTTCCTCTCGAGCCACCGTCATGACGACGAGGTTGTTCTCAACTGCAGCAAGGCTCTCCTGGAGGTTTGCGATCTGCTGACTCAACGTGGCGATGGTTGCCTCAGCGGTCTCGCGGACCACCGTCTCGGCTGTGAGTTGTTCGTTCAAGTCATCCTCGCGCTCTTGGGCGTCATCTTGAAGCTCAGCAATCGTATTCTCTTTCTCCTGTTGAACTTGGAATAGCTTGGACCGAAGCTCGTTCGCCTGGAGACCTGTATCATGAAGACGCACGTTGAGATCTTCGATCTTCTCGTTGGCCTCATCGAGATCCGCCTCAGTCTTCTCGCGCTGAGAGCGTTCAGCTGTAAGATTCTCTCGGAACTCGGCGATTTGCTCCTTGAGCGCAATGACAGTCTCGTTCAGGTTCTCGATTGTGTTGGCATGCTGGTACACAATCTCAACCTGCTGGTCGCGCTGACCTTCGGCATCTTCACGAGCCTCTGTCTGTGTTGTAAGCCGCTCGCGAAGTGTTGTCATCTCGGTAGTGATGTCATCAACGTCAGACTCCATGCGGGTGATACGGCCTTCTAGCTCTTCGATATATTGTCCCTTTTGCAGAGCATCAGCCTCGGCGTCATCGCGGCCCTTCGTCTCCACACCAAGTTCACGTTGGAGATCCTGGACAGCTTCGGCATGCTCTTGCTCCATACGAGTAATCGTGTCAAGATGGTTTTGCTCCAAGTCAGCGATAGTCGCGTTGGCCGTGTCGAGCTCCTCGCGTAACTTGTCGAGAGCAGTACCAAGACGCTCCAGAGCGGTCTCCTTGTCTTCGTTCTCGTCCTGGAGACCATGAATCTGGACGTCGTTGTTTGTGAGCTCAGCCTCCTGGTCCCTGGTCAATGTCGTCAACGTAGCGACGTGCTCCTCGAGGTCAAGAATCGTCCGCTGCTTATCCTCGTTGCTCTTGTCCAAGCTGTAGACCTCCTTTTGTAGCCGTTGCACCCGTTCGTCAGACTCACCGAGAAGGTCCAGGACACCCTCGTACTGACGCCGTAACCGCACCTCAGTCTTCTGGGAGGTGTTAAGCTGAGTGAGCTTCCCGCGCAGCTCAAAGAAGATGCCACTGAATAGATCAGGGACCTTGCGAAGAAGCTCCTGGTTCGTGAGGCCAATGGTGGTGTCTGGGAAAAACTTCTCAATATCGGCGCGAAGAGTCTCAAAGCCGTGTCGCAACTGGAGCAGAATCTCATCAGTTGGAGCGCCAGCATCGATGACGTGGAGGTTCTGTAGCTCGAGTGTCATGACACGGAGAGCACCTTGCGATTTGGCAAGCATGTTGACGTAGTTCTGCAATTCTCGCTCATAGCGCTCAACGGCCTGGTCGTGGATCTTGTCCGGCACAACTTTTTCTTCGTCATCTACTAAGGTGTCGTGGCTGAGTTGCGCGATGCCCGGCAGGGATTTAAAGGTGACTTGGCTGGACAACTCTAGCACACGGGCGGCATACTTGCCGTTGGGCGTGTGCTCGAGTTCCAAGTCTTGCGACATGTGAAGCTCCTCCGGGTTCACCAGCAGCAGGTCATCTTCTTCGTCTTCATACATGTCGACGGCATCGTCAGCATCGCCAACATCCCCATTGTATAGCGAAGACGCACGCAGCTCGTCGATCTCATCACGGGCTTGCGCGAGCTGGTTCTCTAGCTCCTCGGCATTCTCGTCGGTGATATCAATGGCTCCAAGCCGGCGAGCCTCGAGGCGGTACTCTAAATCTTGAATCTTCTCGTCCTGTGCGCGAAGCTGGCGACGCAGCTCCAGCAGCATCTTCTTGTCCTGCTTCTGGTTGTCTTCGAAGTCGTTGACCTCCTGGCTCAGGTGGCTTCGTCGGAGACGGCGACGCGTGCGGTTATCGAGAACGGCAGTGAGTGGTGCGTATTGGATCTGGGTACCGTCTTCGTCTTCCTCGTCGACACGCTCGATGTGCAACTGGGCGGGCATCGACATGCGAGCACGGCGCGTGTTGGTGAAGCGACTACGAGAGGCGCCAATGCGGTCGAGATGAGGGGTCAAGCCTGCTGGGGGCTCTGTTGACGCTGGTGGTGCGAGTTCATCCTCGTCATCATCATCATCATTATCAGCGGTGACGGGAGGCTCGGAGTGGCGACGAGTAGGGCGGCGGGTCGTGGTGCTGCTGCTCTGCGTTTGTACGTGGATCGTGTCGCCTTGCTGCGAGCGGGCGAAGGACTGCTGAATTTCTTCTGCGATCTGGTCCTCCTCGTCGTCGACCTGCACACGCTTCGTGCGCTTCGTGTGCGACAGCTCTGCGGTCGGCGAGGCAGTCCGCTTGCCAGTGGACGTCATGTTTTCGGACGGCGCCTGGTTCTTGGGTCGGCCGCGTTTGCGTCGTGGTGCGTCACCGGGGCCCTCGTGATGGTGTTCAGAGGGAAGGCCACTGAGACGGGCCATGGTTGAAGCGGCTGGTTCGATGTGCCGTGTGCTGTGGTCCAGGTTAGCTTTCCAAAAGTTCTCGTAATGGACGAAGTGCTTGGAGTTGGACCTCGTACCTATCCAAAAGGGTGCGTGCAGAAGCAAAGTCGTCAAATGGCCCGTGGTAGGCTCAGCTTCAACAAGCGGTGGGCGGTTGAGATAGGGTATGGGGCAAGCTTGGTTATATTCAAGAGGGCGGTGACTGGTGCCTGGCGCCTGGCGGTGGTATGGGAATTGGGGAGGTTGGGTTGGTGGGTAGTTTTGTGTTTTATGCTACGTCAATCCTGCCGCCGTGCATCATAGCCAATGGCGTCGAGACTAATTTGCAGGCCGGCTCCGCGGGTGACGTCGACGCGACTGGTCACTATGAACGCGCTTTCACGCAAGGATGACTTTTAGAATGAAACAAAATAATATACAGGCAGGGTGAATGCGATGGGGTCACAATAGCAGAATAGCGCGGCTATGGCAGGGCATTGTTGATGCGACGTCATGGTGGTGTTTCTTTCTCGACGCGTGGAGCTCGGGCCATGCCATTGTCCATTTGCGCTCACCCTGTCAGGGGAATAGAGTAGAGGCTTCAAAGGGGGCTATTTTGCAGTGAAAGGGTGGCCTGGAGGGGTTTCCAAAGTGCCTACGCCCCAGTTGAGCTATCGTTGGTTCTGTGAAAGGTGGCCTGGAAACATTCAAAAGGCTTGCGGCTACTTCTTGAGCAAAAAGTCGCTCTCGATCAACAACCCCTTCGTAGCGCTGGCTACTCCATACAGCCCTCCCAGCGGCCACGTTCGCCAGAACCGCTCGTAAGCCCATTCGCTCCATGTCTCCCTTTTCTTCGCCATGGCCTTTCCTCCAGCAACACCCTGTAGGTCCACCTTGACTTTATCGTACACACTTGGTAAGCTCTGGGCGTGGTACCTGTTCCTCAGCTCCTTGTACTTTTTCTCGTTGTAAATCTCCCAGAATTCTTGCTCAGTATAGTACGCATGTGCGTACAGACACTTCATACCACCCAGTTCTGTCACCTTGGCCTCAAAGTCTCGGTTCAGCTTGATAAACGCGTGAGCATCTTCAGGGCCCATGTCCCATATCCCAAAATCCAGGAGCATGTCGTCTTTGACGTTGTTGCCTTGGGAGAAGCTGCGTTCGTCGCGCGGTGCTGACTTCACAGGGCAAAGCCAAAGTGGCCAGATACTCGTTCTCCCATCGGTCCACCTGGCGAAGTCTTCCGCTTTGTCGTATGGCACGCCATAGTCCTGAATGATCGTTCGTGATGCGAGGCCTGAGCGGTGAAGGGCGTGCACCATAGTACGGGAGTACATGAAGGGATCGAGCAAGAAGCGCGTGATGCGGTTGAAGGGCGTAATAAAATACTTGAAGGCGCGTAAGCCAGACCAGAAAACCCCTCTGTCGTAGCGGAACAGATAGGACTGGACTGGTATCGTTTCCCTGTAATCCGTCTTCTCGTCCCTACTCTTCTTCAACACATCCTCAGCATGCATGTAGAACCAGGGATCGGCTGCCCCGTCAAACCTCTGTGTCCGCCCGGGTATCGCATCATCACTGAGGCGGCCGATCATGATCACGCCGCTGGACATTGAATACAGAATGCCATCCATGTAATCTACTCCAGGCTGGCTCTCGTAGTGTCGAAGTTGCTTGGTAGCCTCCTGTACGCTGCTGACGGGGATGTACTGCAGCTCAACGTAGCGCTTTGCGTCGATAAGCTCCATCTCTAGGAGGGTGATGACACCCAGGCTCCCGCAGCTCCCGGCAGCCGTGAAGAACAAATCTCGGTGCTGATCAGCCGATGCCCAAATCACCTCGCCATTGCCTAGGATGATCTCGATGCCCTTGATGCTCCGATCAAAGAGGCCGAATTTGTAGGAGCTACTTTCCCCACTTGTGCCAGAGAAACTGACGAATATAAATTAGCATGAAGTCTTCAACAAACCGTGGGTATGTTGGCGCTCGCAAATCACATGAGGTCTGTGTGGATGCGATGGTTGGCAATAGCACTTACCCACCGCCGACTGTGATATTGGGCAACTCCATGACAACCTTTGGTAATAGCCCTTGAGCCAGCGTAGCCTCTACGAGCTTGTCCATTGGGACATTTGGTTCCACCAGGACCGTTTTGCTGGCCTTGTTGAACTGCAATACATGGTTGAGCGAGCTGACGTCGATAATTTGATCGCGTTGACGAGACGACTGGCGCGTGGATAGCGTAGAGCCATGGTAGATGCGGAATGGAGTTTTCGAAAGACTGAATTGTGCGACTTTGGATGCGAGCGAAGCTACTGTCGACTTGTGTGTCTCCATATTGGATGAATATCGATGTTATCAAGGCTAGCGATGCTGTAGATCGGAGTGAGGGTGAAAACACATGTTGCCGCAGTGTCGTTCATATCCAACATAAGCGCGCAGGGCTGAGCCTTCTCCGTTCCGAGCATCGCCCATGCTTACGGCCCAAATCTGACGAGGACGCGCAGTTCGGATGGGAAGGCATTGCCTCTGTTGGCGTGGGGCATCGCGTTCTGCATGTCGCTAGGAGCTCGGTACTCTACAACCCCAGCTCGTTCTGTCGTGTTGACAGCTTGTGCGACTTGAATGATTGCTACAGCACCTAATTCATCTGCGAGCATATCGTTCCGTGTCATGTTCGTTCGAATGGTGCCTTCCCGTGGTTGCCGGAAGCCCGGCACAGGCTCCACTCGCCAAGGGCGCTGACGTACACCGATTGATTGATGTCTGTTCTAGGTGTTGCCCATCGCAAATTCCAAGCTGCGAACTATCAGACAGTAATCAAGAAAGAGGAGACGAGGTTGATAGTAGCACGCCTTCGAAACGGGCTGTCGATCAGAGAGCTCAGAGTGAGGTTTACAGCTCTTCTCGTGGGGTAACAACGGCCCACTAGCGCGAAGAGTTCAGCCTCATCGCCAGTCATCGAGCACCACCAGGCGAGACTGCGCAAACTTCAAGATCAATCAATGAGATCTTGGATACCCCAATTTTCTCAGATTACCCTCGTCAGCCATGGATGCCCACAAAGCCACGGTGGGCAAAGTACGCTCTCGCATTCAACACTACTACGCCACCAAAACCCCATTTCGCATTTACCATGGCAGCACTAACAGCACTCGTCATGCCAACTTCGACCGAGACGCCATCGTGGACGTTAGCTCCCTCAATCACGTTCTCTCTATCGATGCAGAAAAGAGGACTGCACTAGTGGAGCCAAATGTCCCCATGGATGCTTTGGTTCGCGAGACTATGAAAGCCGGCCTTCTTCCACCCGTGGTCATGGAGTTTCCAGGAATCACTGTAGGAGGAGGCTTTGTGGGCACCGCTGGCGAGAGCAGTAGTTTCAAGCATGGCTTCTTTGATCGAACAGTGCTCAGCGCTGAAGTAGTTCTTGCTGATGGGACGCTTGTTACTGCATCTCAGAGCGATAATGAAGAGCTCTTCGAGGGCCTGAGAGGAAGCTTCGGGACACTTGGCGTACTCACCATGGTCGAAATGCGGCTGATTCCCTTGAAGCAGTTGGTTGAGGTTACGTATCATCCTACCTTCTCCATTGAAAACGCAATGGGCAAATTGCAATACCACACGACGAGCCAGCAAAACGACTACGTTGACGGCATCCTCTTCTCCAAGGGTCTTGGAGTCGTCGTGACAGGTCAACTTGTTGATGCCTCCCCCCTACCTGGCCTCCCGGTTCAGCGCTTCTCCAGGCCTTGGAATGAGTGGTTCTGGATCCACGCAAAGTCACTCGCCCGCAAAGGCATCATCACGAAGGAGCTCGTGCCGATAGAAGACTATCTTTTTCGGTTTGACCGCGGTTCGTTCTGGATGGGCATGTATGCTTACAAGCACTTCATGGTCCCGTTTGTTTGGTTGACACGCGTCTTACTCGACTACTTCATGCATGCGAGGATCATGTATCACGCGCTCCACGCATCAGGGTACACGGATCGGTACATCATTCATGACATTGCCTTTCCGGCAGGCAATGCCGGCCCGTTCGTCGAGTACGTTGACCAAACGTTCGGAACGTATCCGTTGTGGCTGTGTCCACTGAGAAGAGATGGGAGATCCTCAATGGGTCATCCGAAACCTTTTGAAGATGCTGTAGGCGGAAGACAAGACGCAGGTGTGTACGACGGTGAGTATATTAGCGTTGGCATTTGGGGGCCGTACCCATCATCTGAAACCGAACATGTTCGTGCAAATCGAGAGATTGAAGCTAAGATGCGCGAGTTGGGCGGATTGAAGTGGTTGTATTCGCGTGTTTTCTATACGGAGGATGAGTGGTGGCAGGTCTACGACAAGCAGAAGTACGAGGAGTTGCGCAAAAAGTTCAAGGCGAGCTCACTCCCAACGATTTGGGACAAAGTCAAGGACAGGGGGAGAAAGGAGGACTTTGGCACAGGCTTGAAGGGGTTATTGAAGAGGATCGTCAAGGGCAACTCCTTACTAAGTGGGTTTTACGGCATCTACAAAGCGGTCCGGGGCGGAGATTACATGTTGAAGAAGACGAAGAGTCAATGATGTCGTGGCTACAACTATGACTTTGCTGCGAAGTGCGACGAGATCATCCTAGAACATAAGATTGCGTCTCATGGTAGGAGCTTCATGCCTGAATAGAAAAACGAGCGCTGGGGGTTGCGTCCTTCGGTGATTTGTCATGGCCGTGTTCCGATTGGCGACGGCCCTTCATCGCTTCTTCTCACTTCGTCCCATCTTCTCCATTTCCTGTCACTACTGAGTCAGCACTTCACCCGTCTTTAATAACGATCGCGACCAAGATCGACCGTCTCCTATGCTGATAAACGTAGTAGCCTTCAGCGGCGTCATCTCCCCGCGGTCACCTCTTCCGAAGCGAACCATGACGTTGTGTGGCTGTCCCCGCCCCGAAGCCTAGACTTCTTCCATATCGCTGGCGCCGGTCAGAATCGTCATCAACACCATGGGAGCATTATGGGCTGAGGAACCATTCCAACCGTCGACCCTCACTTCGAAACATCGGTCGCGTTGTTGTCGGGCGACATCCGGATGCGTTGTTGTTTACCTGTTGTGCCCAGTCACAGCGCAGCGTCGTTTCCGCTGCCGACTCTGTTCCGACCATGCATCTCATCTGCAGCATTGGGCTCCGCAAGACTGCCGAGACTCCACCATGAACGTTGCTTCAAAGACAGTCAACGATAATCTTAGCTGCAAGGAGCTGCCGCATGTCCAAATAACCAATTGCACGTGGATGACGCGGCGCCAAAACCCCTGCAAAGACCAGCTGAGCCAGCAAGGTTACTTCAGGCACTCTCCATCGTGCTTATCCGAGTCCCATCCTATGGACGCATTTTATTAGAATGGTACATCGCGCTGTTCCTGCGTCGTTCAATGAAAGTTAGTTCTGCCCAGAGGCTGAGCTAATTTTCACTAGGAAGTACCTAGATAAACGTCGGCCCTAGCTGCATGCCCTCATACCGTAAGAGCCTTATGATGCCACAATGTTCTCCTCTCCCCGGACTCAAGCGCGTGCTTGCAGTCGGAGATTTAGCGTTTTCCAATGCTATCGTCTCGGCTTTTGAGCTTCCGAGTTCAAATACTGAATCCGGAGTTTGCCATATGAACCTACACAACCAATAAGAATACTCGACGGAAGTATCCGGGAAATGGCGATCGGTTGCACAACGTCATTTCTGTGGACATGGCTGCCCGACAGCTCTATGGAAGTTGCCGGTCCACAAGGCTGCGTGCCGAGCCGCAAAGCATTCAACTATTTCAAATTCAAATGGTCCGCAGCGTGACATTGCAGCTAGCTGCATACTTTGTTTACTAAATCTTACTTATCATAGTACATAACCAAGTACGCCACCGACGACAGACTGACTTGACTCCAGAATGTCATGTAAAACCCTTTGGCTGCTCATTGCTTTTTGTTGAATTTATCAATATCTCTCAGTAACCGACATGGCACCCATCAATGCTATCTCTCCTCTCCTCCTGGCCGGCTTCGTCGCGGCCAGGCAATGCTCTAATTTCCTCATTCCTGTCGACATATCATCACGGCAAGGACAATTTCAGCAGGTTCCAGTAGAAAGTAACTTGGATGTCGGAGCATTTGCGACTCGATTCAACGAATACCAGAAGAATTACACTGCAACTCTTCTCCAAGGCTATCAGAATTTGCAAGGCAGCTACAAGATATCGGCCCAGTATTGTCACCCCGACAATGGCAGCAGTAGTACTATTCAGCTCTTGACCCACGGCATTGGGTTTGACAAGACGTGCGTTACACCCATGATTAAGGTCCGCTGATTTGCTAACAACTTCTAGATATTGGGATTTGGACTACAACAATTACAACTACAGCTACGTTAACAATGCCTTGGAGAACGGTTATAGTACGCTTGCCATTGACCGCCTCGGTATTGGCAACTCATCTCACGGCGATCCGTTCAACGAGATCCAGGCTCAGGCCGAAGTTGAAGCTCTCAACGCCGTTACAACCAAACTGCGCAATGGTGGCATCAGCCAGATCGACCATTCCTATAAGAAAGTTATCCATGTTGGCCACTCTTTCGGCTCCGTGCAATCGTTATGGCTCTCAGCCCTGTACCCTAATAACACAGATGGCGTCATCCTCACCGGATTCTCTGCTGCCACACAGTTCTTGTCCTACGTTGTCGCTGGTTGGAACCTGCACAGCGCTCGTCTAAACCAGCCCCTGCGCCTCGGCAATGCCTCCAGCGAGGGCCTACGTGGTTTGGCGGCGCAGTATGGTGTTACACAAGACGTTGTACCACGTCTTCAGAGATTCCTCGAGGATGCTGGGGCCGACCTTACCTCTCAGGAGGTGTGGAACATTGTGGCATCGACTGAGGTCCTCGATTTGATCGCCGGCTACAACAAGACCGTTGCTCCTTTGAACTACCCATCTGGTTATTTTGCCTCGTCCGACCTTACCTCTCTGCAGTATGCCTTTTTGTTCCCGGGAAACTACGATATCGGCCTCGCTGTTGCAAGTGAACAAACCAAGCAGCCAGTTACGGCTGGAGAGCTCCTCACCATCGGAAGCGCGCCCAAAACAAGCCCTTTTAAAGGCCCAGTTTTTGTCATCACTGGCGAACATGATGTTCCTTTCTGCGGCGGAAATTGCTACGCATCAGTTCCAAACGTTACCGCACCCTCCTTTCTTACTGGTGTGAAGGCGGCCTTCCCGTCGGCATCCGCCTTCGAAGCTTATGTTCAGCCAGGTGCTGGACATGGCTTGAACTTCCACTACAATGCCACAGCTGGGTACCAGGCCATCCAAGATTTCTTGGCTGGTAACGGCCTTGCTGCGCGGTAGTGTACGCACTGGGACATACCGGCTAATGGGCAAGTGCTGGAAAGCTATAAAGTAGTGTGCTAAAACAGAGTAATCGTAATTCAAGAATTAATTCAATGTTCTGTGCGTGTTACTGTCAGCGCATGTCTTGCTTACTCATGGCCACGCGGGAGGTTTTCGGACCGATTCCCACCGCGACGGGTCGTACCTCCCATCTCAACGTATCAAACACCAGACGCCGTGCAGGTGCATGTCTTCTTATGTCGTTGACGGCAAATTTCTCCGGCGCTCAACTAACATTGTTCCAACGAGGAAACCTCCGGCGTCACTCCCGTTTTCCAACCCTTCTTGCCGAAGAACCTACTCGTGAGCTCGGCCTCATCTCAAGCCTCTATGATCTCCACCTGCCCACGAGTCGCCTGCTGGTAGCGGTTTTTAGACTACTTCTATCAAAGACCCGAAGAAGCACTAGTGCGACTTGCATTCGCCTCCCAGACAACGTCGCGAGAACGGTGTCGGCATGCGGACTGCATTTTTAAGCCCTGACTAACACGTCTCGGGGTACTGCATAGTCGCTTCATACGACTACCTCGGTCAGTCGAACTTGATTGGGCTGACTAAATGCTGATGAATAACAGCATTTGCTGACTTGCATCCAAGGCTGGAATCCCTGCATGCGAACAGTCTCAAGCGAAGCAGTGCATGGGGAGGTAACTATTTCCATGTGTCGTTGCAAAGTTCCATATTTTATAGTAAGAGTCGATTATTAAGAACCGCATTGGGAGATACGATGCTTGATCGGACCTCCGAAGAGCATGCAACACCACGCCTGTTGATAGCGGCGTAATTCCGAAATGCGAGGCGGATAAACTACGCCCGCAGAACAGACGACCAATTCCAAAACCACACGCTTAGAGCTGCGGTGGCTAACGTTAGTCATGACCTTCATATCAGAGTATGTCGCGGTAGAGCCTATTTGGGCGTTACGAAGATCGGCAATGCAATCTCTACTGCACCTCGACTCAAGAACGGTCGAGAACAACGTTGTATAACAACGTCCTAGTGGGCTAGAGGCGGGATAGCCTTGGCGCAGCAACCTTGCAGCCGACCGAACATTAAACTTGGACTTGGATATGGGAAAGAGCTGGATGAAGATGGGTCCCTGGCGAAGTATAAAGAGAGCTTCATGCTGCCCCAATACAACCATCACGCAAGCAACGATCTGCCTCGACAACCTTGAAGATCTACAGCTCTCTTCATATCAGCCTGCAAGATGAAGTTTGGTTCCAGCATTGCTCTTCTGGCCTTTGGCCTCTACAATGCCGTTCGTGGCGACGGTAGGACTCCCCACCACTACGATACTTCTGTCCCTAACATGCTTTAGCTGTTCCTTGGGAGCGTCTTGACAAGAATGATGCTGTATGCTACCGCCAGACTCCAGTCCATCGATCCGGGTTGCATGACTAACCACTCTTCCAGCTGCTCCTCATTCTCGATCTACAAGTTGGTCTGTTCCAAGTTGCCCGCGACTGGGACCCGACTCTTTACTATAACAACATCATGGCCCATGCCGAGCTCGGCAAGCTCTTCAACCTCCCAGTCGTCCTGACTACCTCTGCCGACACTGGCCCCAACGGTCCGTTGCCCAAGGAGCTTCTTGAGCTGTACCCTACCGCTCCTCTCATCCGCCGCCAGGGCGAGGTCAAGTAAGTCCACACGCTACCCTCTTTCGGGCCCAGATCATGGATGAACAGGGAACTGACATACCTCCAGCGCCTGGGACAACGCCGAGTTCCGAGCTGCCATCAAAGCGACCGGCAAGAAGCAAATCATTGTCGCCGGCATCACCACCGACGTCTGCACCGCCTTCCTCGCCTTGGCTCTTCGCTCCGAAGGCTACTCCGTCTTTGCTAATGTTGAGGGCTCCGGCACGTACACCGAGCTCGTCCGCGACACGGCCAACTCGCGCATGCAGCAGGCTGGCGTCCAGCTCGTTTCGCTCTTCTCCATCGTCTGCGATCTTATGCGGGATTGGCGCGCTACCCCTGGTGCCAAGGAGATTCTGCCGTACTTTGACAAGTACATGCCTGTTTACGGTCAGCTTGCTCGCCACCACGCGGCGGCTGTTGAGAATGGCACTCTCATCCCCAGTGAGGTTGAGCTGATCACGGGTAACAATGGCACAATTGTCGTCTAAACCGCTAGCGAGGAGAAGTGAATTGGACGAGGTTAAAGAATACGGGAGGAGGTTGTGAAGAGGCATGTTCTGGCGGAAGAGGGGTTGTAGAGCTCCATTTGGAGGTCTAAGACGAGAATAGGATTGTGTTTAACAGTCTGGAGTAGGAAAAGGGTGGCATAGAGATTTCGAGCATTGTCAACAGCCAATCATAGACATAGCGTAATGCACTATCTGACCTTGGCCCTTCCTCTGTTCTTGGACACCTAAGCATAATACGCTGATTTTTTGAAACATCACGATAGGATAGGTACTAACACCGTTGGAAAGAATCTCAACGCCTACATACTAAAGGTATAATCTTGAGCGAAGCTATTTCCCTATCCAGCTACCTCATGCTTATTCATCTTTCCACCATACTTGGCTATGGGTTATTGGAGCTGTGCGTCACCCGATTTGCGATCAAACCCTTCAAACCACGGCAGCGTCTGATCAGCCTCGAGTAGCACGAGGGGATACTTAGGAACTCTCTTTGTATCATAGAGTGTACTGTCGTCCGACTGCCGGTTTCGTCTTTTACCCAGTGCATCACCGTCGTCCTCCAGACTCACAAGTTGGTCAAAAGCTTTGGTGTAGCTGGTCCCCTCGCCCTTCATATCTTCGCTTCCCCAATTCCCCTCATACTGCAGTCCTAGATCCGCGTAAACCTTCCTGGAAACCGGCGTCTTCGGTGGTGGGATGCCTGTGATGTTCTCAAAATCACGGAGGTTTATGAGGTGGACGTAGAGAATCCTGGAATTGGAGACGTCCCACATGCGCGGATTCGACGTATCTGCGCGAAGATCTTGGATAATGTTCCCTCCTGCACCAATGCCGAGGGTCACGCGCTCAGGGGCAGCGATACGAAGTTCAAAGGTGTGGTCGCTACCTTGAAGGATGAAGTCTAGAGAAGGATTGAGGCTTAGCTAGTTACTAGAGAAGAGCCGCTGTGACGGTACTAGAAGAGGAGACTTACCGTCTGGCTCCCCGTAGTCTTGTCGGTGTGGTGGGATGCCTAGAGTATCGAGGATTCGTTGCTTCAACGTCTCGACGTCCTTTACCTGACCATCGAAGACAATGATGCCATCCAACCTCACCTTCGTTGTCGGAAATCCTCCACCGCGCAGGCGGAGGACGAGATGAAGTGTATCACCCTGTATATGTAAGTGGAAGATAGCTTGGGGTTTATTAGATGAGATTCGCTCACATCTCCAACTTTGTAATCCATCAAAGTACGCCCTTCCCTAAATTAGCACCAGAGGCTTAAGGTAACTCTGCTAGCACTCACCATCCTCCATCTGCTTACCACTGAAAATCCATCTTTGCTGATCCGGTGGTATTCCCTCGAGCGTCTGGACCAGATTCTTACCACTATCAACTGTGTCACCCGGCTGGACCCACAGAGGAATAGTTCTGCCAGTTAGTGTTTTCAGTGTTATAGTGATACTGTCATCTAGGGCGATGGCAGGCATCAAATCGAGGGTATTGGGCGTTCCGGGTCCAAATATGGGTTTCTCTGGGTCTAAACAGGGGCTAGAAGAATAGGTAAACCTCATACCATTCGTGGAAAAGCCTGTCACATCCTCGACTACTCGCCTGAGATCGGCAATGGTACTTGATATCGGCAGCTCGACTATCAATGGCGCCTTTACCGTCAAGAAGGAGACTTTCGCCCCGTTTAGAAAGTCAACGTGGCAGAGGAGTTTGGCGCTGCTGGGTGCCTGATCCCTTGTTAGCCAACTCTAGGAAAAGATATCGCTGGAGGCACCTATCCCGCTCCTCGGATAAGAGAGCCGGTAGCAATTCAATTGAAAGGGAAACCCACAAGAATGAGCTCGAATTGGTTCACGCCTGGAGACTCTGAAGTCACGGAGTCCAAGTGGCTGTACGTTCTCCCCTGCCTGAACCCATCGCTTGTATCCACTGATTCAGTAAGAAAACCGAACTGTTCCCAGCTCTTCACTCTAACATGAAGGCTCGGGTTGTTGGCAACAAGTCCTGGGATATGAAGTTCAGAATCCGGCATGTTGAAGATTTCTCGCGCAGCTGTCTGTAAATCTTCAAATCTATCATCGGCGTCAATCTGCCACGGCCGTATTAGCAAGTAGAGTACCGTTGCGCATTGATATGCAATAAAACTCACCTTGAAAATAACAGGATCTCTATCCGACCCCTCTCCCCTCACGGTCAAGATGTTCACCCGTGAAGGGTTGCGAAACGCCTCCAGCTCGACAATGTCGGAATGTTTCGGGGCCTCGCTCTCCAAATCGGCCACTACCTTGTCGCGTTTCTTTTCACACTCCAGATCCAGATTTCTGAGGTGAATGAACTCTCCCGGCCTAAGACCCATCTCCTCTGGTGTTCTTAAAACATCGTACGTGACCGCCATATCGGAAACTGGGCCATATGACCTCAGATTACCGCCATGCGTCTGAGGGCATGCATCTCTTATATTGCCAGCAAACATACGTTCAATTTTGAACTGTGGTATGATCTGTAACTGGATCCCCCCGAAATCATCTTTTCCGGTCATTTGCCATTCGATGGTGCCTGCATCTTCTTGAGTGCCTTCCATGGAGTCTAGAGCTTGCTTGCCAGATTCTGTTAGGCTTTTCAACAGCGTCGTAGATTTTGCGTCTTCCTTTGCCTCATGGGTTCTCCTCATTGCGACGAATTGTTTGACGACGCCAGGTCGGACCGCTACACCATCAAGCCGGTCTTGCTCCGGGATGACAATGTAATCTTGTTCCCGCAGCGCCGAGGGTGATTCGATAGATTGGAGTCTATCCTTTGGAGTCGTATAGAACAGATTTTCTCCGGAAATCCCATTCACGCCTCCGAGGTATGGCCGCACGGCAAACTTAGTAGTGTCAGGGCAGTCGAAGGAGATATACATGGCCTCTCTTTCGTACATCGGAAGAAATAGACCTCCTTGCGAGGTGACCTCGGGTGGAAGCTCGTTTCTGTGTGCCTGAGTGTTGAACAAGGGGAACGTGCCTAGCCCAAGAGGCGGACTGACTTCTTTCGCGTTTCCCCGCACGCACACTGTCCGCATGAACGATATCTGCAGACTGGAAGATTTTTCACAACCGACAGTCACGGAATGACTTAACCCAGTATTGTCTTGCATCCATCCGGGGTACCTGCGAATTGTGGCCTCGACCGGTGTTGGGAATATTCTGCTGAAGAAGGCCGCTACCGTTTGGTGCTGATTGATCTTGTAGCCAAGCGATTCTTTAAAACACGGTCTACCACTAGTTACCTCTACGTTGGAGGTAAAGCAGTCCACCCACTCCTCAGAAATTGAGGACTTGCGGCATGGAAACTTGAATAATCTTGGGATGGTAAGGTCTTCGTCAAGTTAGACATTAGTAAATTGTTACCATTGAGTTTCTCTGATGGGGCTTACCTGGCGCCTCTTCTCTTAAGAGGCCTTGTAGCTCGCGCAATGGAGTGTCGCTAGGGACTCGAAATACCCTTGTACATTGGGTCCAGCCTCGCTCCACTGCAGAAATCCTGGGTTTCAATCCGCTGATTCGTAGTCTAACCATGTCATGCTCACTATCCGCATTAGCCAGAGTGATTGAAGCCTTGCTTCCTCGGTCAGTAGGACTTTTACTAGAGAACCCAGGCACTGTAGCCTTGAGCAGTGATGAGACTCTCCCTGAAACCAAGGTCGAAGTGGTCCTGGAACTCGCTGGAGAACTGGTTGGAACTACTTTGACCTATTCGATAATGAGTTACTACCACGACAAAGCAATAGTTTGAGGATTCCCACAATTGGATGGCTTCTTTCTGCGGCACCAGGAGTTCGTTTATCCTCAGGTAACCCTCCAAATGCTTCAGAAGCCTCTTTGGCTAAATGAGTTGCTGTTTCTAGATGTAACGTGATGTGAGTATCTAGAATTTGCTAATACGTATGGCTTGAAGAACTTACCCACAGGGTTGACCTTGCTTTCGCCAGAAGCAATGGACTTGATGCAACTTTCGACGAGGACATATACCTGATCTTTTGCTGAAGGATAACGACAGATATTTCGGTGATGGGTGTTGACCGGGAAGACCATCTCCTGCGGCAACCCTAGCCGGGCAGATTCAGGCGGAACTACCTATAGAGAATGAGACTTGGAGCGATCAATTGAGAAAAGAGGCTCAAGTTAGTCTTACCAAAACTGTCAACGGAGGTTCAGAGCGCGTCTCAATGAAGGACATGATTGTCAAGTCGGCAGACCGCGGCAGGAATGACTTTGAGATATTGAGGAGAGTTGGGGAGTGCCTGCTCAGTTCTTTGATGAGATCCGTCCTCACAAGTTGGGTACCAGACATGATTTGGACAGCATTTCGGAGAAAAGAAGTCCAATTGACAATATTAGAACCGTCGTGGGGCGTGCCCATGAAGACTATGCCGATAGTCGATGACAAGATGTTTCCGTACTGGAGGTTGTTCTCATGTGCCAAGATAAGTGCCTATGAATATGAGAGCCTGCAATATGCAAATAGCAGAGAATAAGTTTACCTTTTTGACGACAATGCCGCCAAGACTATGGGCAACAAAGATGAGCGGCCTATTTTTTGTCTTTGTCATCTATATTAGCACTTGGATGCTCTCGAGCTGCCTCGAGTCTTACCTCTGGCGACTGCCTCATCATCCAGAGCCTGTTGAGCAAGTCTCTGGCAAAGTCCTCGATGGTACCTTCGGAGTGGCTAAGAAGCAAGCTCGAGTCATAACCGAATGTCATTATTTGCGCATGCGGCATGACTGTGGGAAGAAAGTCTTCCAGCCAGAGCAAGCCTTCAACTTCGTCTTTCCACGTACGGCGAGCATGTCCATTGAGTCCATGGACGGCAACGATGCTCCGAGAAAATTAGCTTGAAGGCTCATCATCAGGATGTTGACTTGGAGTTTACTCGACAGAAAGTGATCCAGTGTCGCAGGGCAGCTCCGGAGGCGGATGCAAGACGAACAACCCATGCGAAACCGACCCAGATACCGCATGCCCCGCTTGCCTTCTCTCATCGAATGTGGTACCTTGTACATTGTATGTTGGCTGGGAGGCTGAGCTCTGTGGCCCCTCTGGTTGCTTAAACTTGGCTTTAAGCCTCTGAAACGCCTTCTTCATCCTGGTTTGTCCTTAATCGAAGCAACAGCTGGGAAGTAGGTCCTGATCAAGTAGTTTCTGGGTTCGGCAGCGAGTAGCGACGTGGACGGTGTAGAAGAATGCCTTGTAGTGTCATCCCTACGGCGAGGAAGAGCGTCGTGGCCAGCTGAAAGCACCCGCATATCAAGCGGGGTCGTGCAGCTGAAAGCAACACATATCAAGCCGGGGCGTGTAGCTGAATTCGATTGTGGCTGCATACTGCTGTTGGCCAATGTCTGAAGTCGGTCGCGGCGGAACGATACCGCGCTCTTGACCAGCAACAACGCCTGCACCACAACGGCATCTGCCCAGCTATATCCCAGCTATTGCAATTCCGCAATCAACAGTCCCAAGTCGTCTTTCCCCGCATCCCGCGACACCATGCTCTATCCACACCTCCGTCAATTGCTCCCCAGAGCGAAGAACCTCGCCCAACATGCGCGTCCGCATCCCGTCTTCTCAACAGCATGAAGAAGCTCCGGCAAGCGCTGTCAATCATGAGAGGAAGGCGATACCAACTCCAGAGAGCTTCCGCGCGAACAGCATATTGACGAAACACATTGTGCCCGCCGGCCACGGTTACGCCTTCGCGGTGAAGAGGGGCACACGGTTCCGCATCGTCGACCTGCACGGCGAACAGGTCGTCGACTTCATGGCCTGGGTATCGACTCCACGAGCCTCCAACTCCAGACCCGAAGCCAAACCTCTTCCCACCTTCGAAAAGATGTCAACGGCATACACACGCTACCACCTCCGCGGGGTGACCCCTACGATCGGCGAAGCCCTCTACTCCAACGCCGACCGCGCCCTCCTCCGCATCACCGCTGACACAGTCAAAGTGCACGACATGACATTTATGGCCTGTTTTCCCGCGCTCTACGAGAAAAAAGGCATGCATGGGCATAGGAGTTGTGCGCAGAATGTTTTCGAGGTGATGAAAGAATACGGTATGAGGGATATACTGGAGGTGTCGGAGCCGTTTAATTGCTTTCAAAATACGCCGAATTATAGTCTCAAGGCGATGGGGAGTAGTAAGCCGGGCGATTTTGTAGAGTTTGAGGCACTAGAGGAGTTGGTGTGTGCTGTAAGCTGTTGCCCTTATGATATCGATGGGTTCAATGGAGGCAACATTACCGACGTAGCAATTGTTATATCAGAGGAAAAGACAGGAGAGATACAAGAGCAGGAAAAGACGATTGCATAACCCGGCTAGGTAGTGTGTGATGCCTATATGAGTATCCGTGGCTTCTAGAATGGACGCTCTCATCCAAGACGTTTCGCTGCATATCTCTCACATCCTTTCACTTCTCGTCCGTCCTACCATCCCACGCTCCTCACGCATCTGCTTTAGCTCCTCCAACGGCATCACCATTCGTTCCAGTCTGGGCAGTCTGCATCCAACACCGAGGTAGAGACCCACCAATCGTACCCTTGTATGCTGCGATGTCTACCACTACTTCATCCTTGCCTAGCAAGCACGATTTTGTCCACCAGCTAAAGGCCTCCTTCAACGTCTGCCGCCTGTTCTTCGCCCTCTTAAACCATACGGTCCGACATGACGGACACTTCGTCCGACCGCGGATGATCCACCATTCCAGGCACGAGTGGCCGACGAAATGTTCGCAGCCGGTGGTCCATACCTTGATGGGGAACTCACACTCGGAGCGGAAGCCAGCGTCGCATGTGTGCTCTGGCTTTGCGCCAAATGGTGGCTCTTCGTGTGTGCCTGGTGGGTTGCGAGGGTGCGCCGACTTGTTTCGTGCTCGTGGGTCGGCAGTAGGTAGTGACTTGCTGGTGACTTGGGCAGGGGCTGCGGCTGCGGCTTGTGCTGGATGTACTGGTCGTTTCTGCGCCTGCTCGTACGCCATCTTGAGTAGAGGGTAGAAATCGCACATGGTCCGCTGGCAAATTGCGCATCGTCTGTCTGGCTCAGAAAGATCGGAGGCCGAGACGCGTGTGAGGCAGGAATTGAGCCAAACCACGAGGGGCATTGGTTCTTCGCGAATGCAGTCTGTGACGGTGATTCGTGGGAGTTCTGGGTTGGCTAGCGACATGTTGGTCATGGAGGGTGTACGGTTATTGAATGACATGTTGGATGTAGCGATGTGGATGGGTTGAGACCTGTGTGAAGACGTGTCGGAGTTATTCATCTTGGTGGTGAAGCCAACGTGGCAGCCTGCGTGGACACTGGGGCAGGTGCGAAGGATAGGTGAGAGCCACGTGCCTACCAGCAGTTGTGAAGTGAACACCATCAAATTCAACCATTGTCATTGCTGCGAGTGCTTCAGGGCGCTATATCGTTCAATATGGAATCTCTTCCATGATCATCTAATCTTGTCTTCAGATTTCACGCAATCTTACCGTGTATTCGAGCGGATCACCTAGCAGTCATAAATGTCGAAGTAGAACTTCACATAGCGGAGTGTGATGCGAAGTCGCGCTGTCACAGTGCAGTCATGTTGAAGGGCACTGTCAACCATCGTATGCACATGAAGTTGATCTTGTGCTGGACAATAGCTCACGATCAATTTCGCGGGACCTCAACAACACCCCTCTTTCTGAACCCCTAGCTTACCTATCCTGTAGTTACCTAGGCATGCCAAACCAAATCCCAGGTTTTCAAATCTCCCACTTCTTGAGCATGCACACTGTTCCTCTACCGCTGACGTCCCTACCTCGCAGCTCTCCCGAGGACCTGAGATGTCCTATTTGCTACACCCCCTACGCAAATCCACCAACAGGCTACGTGCACCCTGACCTCGGTGCCGGCCTCCCTGAATATGCAGTCCAGATCCGGAACCGCGGCGCTTGTGAGCACGTCTTTGGCCGAAGCTGTATAGAATCGCACATCCGTAGAGGGAATCCCTGGAGCCACACATGCCCACTGTGTAGAGTGGAGTGGTTCCCTGCGCCAAATGGCGGACGAAGAACGGTACTAAATGACGTTGAGATCGCGAGAGATGGACTTTCAAGGGTGGATGTACATGATGAGCAGGTTAGAGGAGAGTTGGAGGCTGTTGCCAGGGCTTTGGAAAGAATTAGTGAGGTGTTGTATGGGTATCGGTGGATTTGATATACGGACTGCGGGAATGAAGTAGACGAAATTTTAGCAACTTGTTTGTTTCTATCCAATCCTGCTATATCATTTCGAATACGCAGCTGCTGTTTTGACGATGCGTTTAAGCACGCCTTACATTTAGAGTGATGAGCTGGTCCATGAAGGGCAGGGACCAACAGCTTATTAATACCTGGAAATTGCTTTGATCGCGTAGCATCGACTGCTCTGGTACGTGTTCCCCTTGGATCTAATGGTAAAGGCGCGCATTGAAGCCGTCGGTCAGCTCTGCGCTAAGAGGATAAGCGAAACACGCTAGTTTGATCACGTGCTGATAAGATAAGAGCTCCTCTTTTTGCACCTGCCAGCGAATGTGACATCAGGATTGCAAGGTGCAAACGAACTTCTCGATAAGATTTCGGAATGGACGACTTCCAGGCTGCCACAGATCGCTTCTTGGCTTGGTTCAAATCCGTCGGTGGCGAATTCCGGGATGACCTAATCGAAATTAAGGATCTGAGATCTCGAGACGCCGGCAGAGGCATTAGTGAGTGACCATCGAGCTGAACTAGAGGTTTTGGGTGACACTAACATCTTCAGTTGCCATAAAAGACATCCCAGAAGAGACCACTCTTTTCATAATACCTAGAGATGCCATTATCAATGTACAAACCTCGGCGCTGCCCAGGCTGCTGCCCAGGCCTTTCGATAGGTCCAGGGACGAGGCTGACGAGTACGACGAGCCCTTAGACCCGTGGAGTTCATTGATCCTAGTCATGATGTATGAGTTTCTTCAAGGCCAGGCATCTCGCTGGAAACCATACCTAGACGTGCTGCCGGAAACGTTTGACACGCCAATCTTCTGGACAGAATCTGAATTAAGAGAGCTTGAGGGTACTTGCCTGACGCCAGAAAAGATTGGAAAACAAGAGAGCGATGACATGATTCGCTTACGCATCCTCCCCTTGATCCTACAAAATCCTTCTATGTTCTACGCTAGAGGCGCTCGGCACCTTCCTGAAGACGAATTGCTTAGGCTAGCGCATCGCATGGGTAGCACTATTATGGCATACGCATTCGACCTTACTGACGAGCCTGAACAGTCCGAAGATGAGGAGGAGGGCTGGGTCGAGGACAGAGAGGACCAGGTGATGCTGGGAATGGTACCCATGGCAGACATTCTGAACGCCAATGCAGACTTCAATGTATGTTGCTTTTTTCTACATACTCATTCTTTTCGCTGATATTAATCCTGATGTAGGCCCACGTCAACCATGGAGAGAACCTTGAAGTCAACTCGCTGCGCTCGAATATTGTATCCGGATCAGAGATCCTGAATTATTATGGCCCTTTGCCCTCTTCCGAGCTACTCAGACGCTATGGATATGTTACACCTGAGCACCGCTGCTACGATGTCGCCGAAATCGCCTGGAGCCTTGTTCGATCGTCACTATGTAGTCACCTCGGACTGGCAGACAACGAAATGGACGAAATAGTAAGTTACTCCTCAATGATTCGCACATGAAGACGTTTCATAACACAACTTTAGGAAGCCAAATTCGATGAAGATGTGTTAGAAGACTACTTCCTCATCGAACGTGACTCCGGGGAACCTTCATCAGAGGGGCGCCTTACCTATCCTGCTGAACTTCTGGAAATCTCGCCAGTGCTTGAGGATCAAATGACAGCTGTCCTGAAGGAGATCAAGAAACTAAGACCCGGGTTTATTCCCGACAAACGAAAGCGCGATGAAGTCTATGATACTATCATTACTACTGCGCTAAAAGCTAAGTTCGGTCAGTACCCCACAACACTGGAGGAAGATGAAGCGCTGCTGCAACAGGGGGACTTGTCTAAAAGACATCGTATGGCAGTTTCCGTAAGACTGGGGGAGAAACACCTGCTCCGAGAGGGCCTTGCCTTGAGGTCGAAGGGTGCTGGAGCACCGCCTGATCCCGATGATCCCAATGAAGAGAGCGTCATGAAGAGAGCGAAGCACTAAGCACAAAAGTTGGAATGGATGAGAAATGTCCGGGGATCTAGAATGAAGCTGTCGATGAGTACGTCTCCCTGAGGCATCTCGTAGATTGCTAATCGACGACGTTAGCCTCCCTGGAACAGACGTGGCTACTTGCTATCCTCCTGTGCGACTTCAACATAGTTGTAGCTCCGCATGACGCAGAAAGTCTGAGGCCACACACAATCTTCATTCTTGCACATCACCGTACAGCGCTTCCAATCTTTGTTCCACCTCATCTAACGTGCCTTTAACCTCATCACTCCCATATTCGACCTCTAGCGCCCCCAAGAGCTGTTGCATGAAGCCAGTCGGTGGTAAGGGTTGTACATAGAGTGGCGCGCGCGGCCGACGTCGTGTCACTCTGTTCCAATCACTTATCCGAGGCCCTATAACATCTTGTTGTGTTGTCGCTTGAAATGGGACCGATGAGCTACGCTGAAGCGGACTAGAAACTTCAGATCCGTGTTGTGTGCTCGCTTGTGGTTCGTCATTCGCAGGTGCGGCCGCCGTCATGGAATTGCTAAGCCAGATATCGCGACAGACAGGGCATTTGTTCCTCCACGCCCCGCGAGCCCGGAGGTGATTTTCAAGACATCGCCGTCCTATTATGTGCCCGCAGCATCGTTTCAGCCCAAACCACTCGGCAACCATATCCACGCGCACTGGCCACTCCCGGTCTGGATCTTGAGCGCGAGGGGACTGGCAAGGTTCTATGTAGGGTTCGTGGCAGATGGGACATATCTGGTCTTCGGCTTCGAGATATGACAGAGACACTGGGGTCGTGAAGATAGCTCCCTGCGGCTGCGAGGCAATTTGAGGAGGCTGTAGATCTACCATACGCCGCCTAATGGACAAGAGCAGGTATTCGAGGTGGTTCGTGATAGACGGTGACTGAAATTATCAGCTTGACTTTCCATGGACCGGGGTTAGTTGTGACACTCAACGTTGTAGCACTGCTATCATGTCGTTGAAGCTAATGAGATTTAGGTAATTTTGCAGAGAGTGCTGCGAGATTAACAGCCATCAGTCAAAGACTGTGATATTTTCTTTTCAGGAAGACTTACCACCCCTGGTTTGCACACTGCGCTTAGTGAATTTACCGTGTTTGTCTCAAGAATGGCCTACGCCCCCTTCAATAGTGCCTGCCATCATTCCCAGGCGTTTAGTGTCGGAAAGAACATGCATGGCCATCCTAGTCAGCAAAAGGGCATGTGGGCCTGAGGAAAGGGTTTGCCCTTCTCTTTTTCGCTCCTCTTACGGCCAGCAATTCACATCGCATCCGGATATGCGAGCTACTTCACGTTCCAGATCCATGAGGAACGTGAGCAAAGACCTCTGATGATACTTGCGCCATATAAACGTACCAAATCAGGGTTAGTGACTACTAATATACCTAGGTACGGTTCAACGTTTATTACTAATATAGGATAGAAACTTCTTACCGATTCTACTTTTTCGTGGCAGCCCCATACTTGCGGCTGTGTCCTAACCAATCGTCCGTAAAGATTTTATCTATAGGCGACACCAAGCGATGGTGTTAAAGTATGGCTAATGATTTGAGTTCTAGTGCGTGGAGAAGAAGCTTCTGGATTACTGACTGTATGGAACGAATGGAGTGGTTGATGCTTCCGTGATTCTTGGCCAGGTCGCTACCTCACTCAATTGCGGATCGACTCGAGTACCACCTAGCGACCCTGTTCATCAGAAAGACTATAAATTCAAGTATGATGACCTTTTTCATACGCGACAACCAGATTTTCGTGGTCCCCCATGTGAGATTGGAGTGGATAAAGAGAGGGTGTCGTGGGGTACTTCGCACATCCAGGAACCAGTGAAATCTAGACTGGTCAATTCCAGTAGCTGAGATGTCTTTCCCGGCTATGAATCCAAAGTAAGGCTCAAGTAATAGGTTAATGTCTTCTGTTTCTAACAGCTCCTTGAGTATCTCTTGATCTCGCGGCTTTGGGTCTTCATTTTCCAAGACGCAAACTGAGTACCCAGACCTTTTGGAGACAATTTTCAGAGCCGCTGTGTCTATCGCGAGGTCGAATAGCGCCATTGTTGTCCGGGCTGTGGCGGGAAGACGGTGGTAGTCGATTCGCTTTGCCTCTGTCTCTAGCAACCCCATCGCTTTCGTCAAACCCTCTATGCGCCGGCTGATCATCTTATGCGCTCTCCTTACGCTATGCTTCTCGCAACATGTCCTATTTCCTTCCAGCTCGTACAGCATTTCCATGATTGGAAACCCGCGAGAGGAGACGTGCAAGACAGGTTTGTCCGTGGGACCACGAAGCACGCGCAAGATTGTTGGCAGCGCTTCAGCATGAATTTGCCTGCATGTGCGTAGAATAGCCGTACTGTATGTTCGAGTATGCCAATACCACGCGGGGGTACGCGACCGAAATAGCCAGTGATCCCATAGCTTCATGGGGCTGCGGTGGTCGATTGGCATTCTGAGTTCTACCTCGTCGGGTAGGTATTCGTAGATCATTAGTCGAAGTTCCTTGGGTAAGTCGAGGAAGCGGAATCGCTGGTGCGCTATGAGAGAGAAGGTGAAGAAGGCACGTAAATTGAATGGCTCCATAATTGCAGGAGGGTTTTGTATCTGAACGAAAAGTGGAAAGAAGTGCTTTTATAAGAATGGCGAGTATTTGCGATACGTCTGATTGCGGTGGTTGAGCTAACGCGCTGTAGTGTGTTACATACAAACCTTGGTTGTCGCGTTGCATTGCTTCCAGACTCTATATGACTCAACATCGTATAAGATCGGTACATGGGAAAAAGCCCCTGTTATTAACACAAAGGAAAGTAAGCAGAGTCCTTTTGGTAAGGGATGATATGTCGGTCGTTTCGCTCAACCGAGGTTAATCCCTTTGACTTCCAACCACTCCAAAGAGCCTGGTTACGTCGAAAGTGGTTCTAAGGCTCTGATTTAATCGTAATATGTGAGGCTTATTGGCTAGTCGGGGGCTTTTGTTTAGTTCGTTAGTTAGCGCTACGAGGGGGATAACAGGCTCAGAGCGTTTGCGACAAGAATCAAGGCTGTAAGTCAATATCCTACAAATCGTAGATTCATTAAAATATAGGCTGCTGATGCGATAGTTATCATATTTGAAAATAGTTCAATTCATGCCCTTAATTACTGTCCCTAATGCTATTTGAATGACTAGACAGTGAACGACCCCGTCTCGTGAATCAATAGTACATACCCCACGCTACACAAACCCTAGTTCGTATGTCGTATGGTAGATGGGCTGTGGTAGATCCAGCAGCCTAGGTGCTACACCGGCTTGGTGATTTCACGTCGTCGCGGAGGGTTTCCATGAGCTCACGCAGGATAGCATGCCGCTTTCCGCGATTGATATGATGCGCGGACGATTGACCTTGGAATTTGGAGAGCAAAGCATCGAGTTACTCCTCCAAATTCGTCTTTTTGAATAGAATCTTGTGGCACAACGGGCAGTCGTCCGGTGTCTTTGCATCGTTGCTCCACCAAAGCTCCTCTGGGGTAGGCAGATCCTTTGCGTCCTCTTCCTTGATCTTGCAGCACTTTTGGCATGTGGAACGTATGACTATCCAAGTGAACTTCTCCGTATCGACTGTGTCTTGTGAATTCTTATCGTAGAACAAAATACTTGTCAAGGGTGGAGCAATCTTGTATGACGTTTTGACGATATCTTGTGTGTGGACTACGACGGAGACTTTAACAGTGGCAGTGCGATGTATAGGTGCCTCTTTACATTTTAGCGAACTGTTCTGCTGTTTTGAGAATGCTGTGAAGATGCCAGCTAGCTTTTGTGCGAGCAAATTCGTGAGATCGCGCTTTATGCGCACCATATCGTCTATGACCTGGTCAGTATCCACTTCTTGTATGAAACCGAAATGGCATCACCAATTCCTCTAAGTGTCCAGTGGCATTCAAGATAGACGCAGAGGGTGTACAAGATTAAATGAAGCTTACCTTGCATGCGCTTTTGCCGACTTTTAGCTTCGTCGATGGCGACCTGGTCGACGAGAGCCTGCTCTTTCTGGGCGGCTAAGGGAGTCTCGATACTAGGTTTAGCTTGTTTATTCAAAGCCATGAGTTTATCCAGCTTCGTCTCCACTGCTAGGAAGTCCCCCCATGTTGCCCCTTGCCCGGCAGCGGCGAGAATTTGCTCGGAGATCTGTAGCACCGATTGGGTCGATTCTTGCAGCTGCGAAAGGGAGGGTACAGCCATTGGTGGGAACGTTGAAGGCAACTCCGTAGCCATACTAGAGAATGCCGAAGCTTGAGCCGCTTTGGAAGACAAAGGTCCATTGGATGAAGATGAAGAGGATAGGGTTGGCTGCGAGAATGTTTTAGGCACATTATGGGCGTCATAAGCTTCAGTGTCAAGGGTCCAGAGCAGAGTTGAAACGGATTCGCTCTTGGATTTCACTTTCGTGTCCAGGACAGTGGCGTTCTCAAGGAAGGTGACGTCGTTAATCCTCCGACCGGTATGTTGTAGCTCCTGTATCACCGGAAACCAGTACTCTCCGAACAACTCTCCCCCTTTTCCTGGTTTATACGACTCTTCAAGCATCCTGACGAAGGTATTGACATCACCCGTAGAGTTCTTGCTGTGGAGTTCGACAAAGGCACGGAGCTTTAGGCCTAGCGCAGTGCCCCTTGAGGTGGGTGTAAAAGAGAGCGGACGTAAGGCAGCCTTTGACGCGTCCACAGTTCCAAACGTAGTCGCCAGGCACTTGTCGCCGAATGTATGATTGCATCGCAGCTTTACCGGCTGTTCCGTATTGTCGAAGCCAGGATCGGCTGCCTCGCCATAGATCTTCCAGCAGATCGGACATTTACGAGCATTCTCGGCGACTTCCTCAATTGCGATCGGTACCAAGCTATCTAGGAAGTCTTGCTGCGTCGAAAATGTGTCGGAGTCGGGCCGGGGCGGCACATACCGCTTCTTCTTCTTCTTCTTCAACTTTGGCTTCTTTGGCGGAGATTCTGAGGTGGCGGGCTCGTCGCATACATCGTGATTGTCAGCCGCGTCCATCGGTGTGCTGGCCGATTGGGATAGTGCTGACTCGCTCATCTTGAGTGCCTGGTAGGCGGTCGATACGAAGCGGTCTCTGGATATTTTAGGTTCCTATTTAGCAGCTGAAAATTTTAGTGAGGGTAGCTATTCAAGACTTAGTCGATGTAGCAGTGTTGTTGATTGACCGGTGAGATTGTGAGGCTGGATGTGGTCGTACAGTTGCCTTGCCAAGTCCACTAGCGGCTTGCCCGCCAATTGTAATCCATTGATTGGCTGGACTGCGTACCAGTGAGGTGGCAGGCAATGCTCAGATGCAGTACAGATGTGTGCAGCAAATACACATTCATTTTGCGTAAGCCTCTGAAACTACCAATAGGCGAAGGAGAAGTTAAGTCTCGTTTTCGGCGTGTCTTCGAGTGATTCCAGTTTGACACACATGGGGATAACTGGGTTTATCCTTGGGAGAACTACTATTCGAAGAGATGTTCATGGAGAGGGAAGCCTGAAAACGATCACCTTCCATCACCAGCTCAGGTCACTTTGGCATTTGTGAATAGAGACAAACTAGAGATAAGCCTTCTTAACACAAATAAAAGGGTTCTGAACGGATTAATGTGCTCAGTCTTGACAATGAATTCCACGATGAGACTATGTCGCCCTAGACGATTCCACATAATCACAAACATCTCCGCACTCAGAATACAACTCTATATACTAAAGATAGCTCAGCCAGGGCGTAGGAACTTTTTGCATCTTGTGGATGTCACCTGAGATAAACACGGTGACCTTTCTTTGGGTGTGATCTCACTTTCACTCTCGCAGTTTCTGTCACTTTGCTACTGCTCACCTGACAGCACATTACTTCTATATACCCCACCACATCACTTTTCAGCGAACTACCCTCCTCCTGTCAAGTCTCGGTACTTTGCCTTCCACTTCCACTGCGCGCCAAGCCATGTCCCAAAACTTTAATGTGAGTACGCAGCCACTTCAACCTGAATGGTATGCAGATGCAGCCTTGTCATCTCTCTTTTTATCTACGACTACATCACCGCAGACCCAAGAAGCTGCGGACAAAAGTGGAAGCATCACAGCTGCGCCAGCGCCGTTTGCGCTAATCCCAGATGTGGAGGACACTGGGCTGGCGGTATCGTTGTTACGGGTGATGCCGCCGGGACACGAGGGAAATAAGACCACGAAGACGGCGACAGCCTGCAGCGCCAATCTAGAACAGCCAGATGGCGATGCCAGCGTGGAGCAACACATGCTGTTGGAACCGCCCGTCGCTACTTCACACCCTCTCCCCTCACTTCTCCGCTACGTCGACCACGACCTCATGCAGAATATCGCTATCCACAATCACCCAACTCACTTTAACGCGACATGCCCCGTCTGCTTCTTCCAATGGGACACCCCAATAGTGACATCCGTGTCCACCACCGGTTTGCCCAACACTACGCCTCATCCAGAATCCGCGGCCTCTTCAACGTTCCTTCCTCTCTCACCCTGCGGTCACTGGATGCACTATCGGTGCCTAATCTGGCTCACAACGCAAACCGGCAGCGACGCCAAGGACAAGTGTTTCGTCTGCCACAAGCAGCTCTTCGAATGGGATGGCATCACCGCGCTCACACTCGCTACGCGTACTGGTCTCCAACTTGACGACCACAATAAAGGCGGTAATTTCCATCCCAATACGCGGATATGGACTCCTTCCGACAAGGTAGAATACGAGTCTGAATGCGGGCTCATTGTGTCTCTTATTGAAGTGCACTTCTTCGCCCAGTTGAATCTACCTTCTTGCTTTGCCGATGGCTCACCGGATCTTGTACGAGCGTATCAAAATGTACTGGATGAGCTAGATCGCATGAAGAAGCCGAAGGCGAAGTGGCTGCGGTGGACGACGCACACTGGGTGGTTACTACAGGGAATGCTGGTTGCCATCAAGATGAGGCGGTTCTTGGTGGAGGCACACGAGGGAATCAGGCAGACTGAGGGGTGGAGGGCGTTTGAGGAAGGGATCAGCGTACTTCAGAAGAGTATTTTGGAAGAGGTGCACAAGCCGTGAGCTTACGGAGGAGAACCGATTGGGACAACGATTGACTGTAGGTGATTCTATGTACATACCATAGTTAATCTTCGCTGATATTCATGAACAAAGATAACAGAGAGATTTCTCACCGTTCTTCTTCATAATATGATCCATCGTGCTTTCAGATTTGAGAGGCTTGCCACTCCTACGGGCATTCCGGTTGATCCGCAGATGCCGATACACTGGACCACCACACTGCCCTCATAACCTAGTACACCCTTCCATTCACAAGCCTTCTCGCACGAACATTCACTCACTGACTCTCTCGCTCTCGCTCTCCCCCCAGCACTGTCCCGGAAACCCCATCCTTTCTCTCACCCTTCTTTGAATCCTCGCCTACCCTTTTCTCATCTCCCATCGCTCGTAATAGGTGATCCAATTTTCTATCCAGCCTCTTTATCTTCGCATGCGTCTTGTCGACAAGGTAGCACATGTAGACGTTGGTGACGAGGAACCCTGATCCTAGGAATGCAAGCGCATAGAAGACGAGGAACAGAGGTAGCTCGAGGCGTACTTCGCTTGTTTCGAATAGACTTTGGATGGTGGATAGCATCTTGATTTTGTATTCGGAACTTTGATAGGCGTTGTGGTGAAGTGCTTAATGCGGTAATGTTTTGAACGAAGTGGCTATAAATGCTGAGATGGCAGTCTTGTAGATTATACGGTCGGAGATATTGAGTTAGTTGAGTTGTCTTGGGGAAAGTGTTGCATGTTTATGTGTCCTGGAGAGCCTGCTCATCCTGCTGTTCGTCTACGAAATTGCCTCTTGCACCAAACAATCATAGCTTTCAGAGCGTCCATGCGCGCTCCTTCGAGAATGAAAATAAGGCCGTAATTGTATCATCGATTGCTCACACCGCACTGTTGTGACGTCCAAACAGTTAGAAGTTGTACCTTTCGGGGGTTGCTCATTTCCGTTACCTAAGAGGTTGCCAAGAATGGAAATCCCTCATGGATAAATTCCCGCACGTCGAGATCGACATGGCAAGGCACCACAGAGGTTTTATGGCTCATAGTATGCCACGAGAAGATTAGTTTGGTTAATATCTATGTCCTCAATGGCCTTCTCGCTCATTCATGACCAAGGTGACGTCCTCAAGCACTGATGAGATCATGATAGTTCTCTCTACCACCGATCTGCGGTGTACTTCGATACAGTCAAAGCTTCCCTTTATGTTACCATTGTCCCCGTGAGTACTGCATAGCTTCTCAGTACTCAGAGCGAACCAAGCCTAGGAACTGCCATTAATTCGGACTGCAACTGTCTCCCAGTCTGAACCCTGCTCGGACCCGTAGGGGGGAATGGAGCGAGTGCGAGAAGTCTCATCGTCAAGATCCCCACAATCAGTCGAAGCTGGGGTGTATTCCTGCTTATTCACGACCTCTTCGTACCTGGGCCCTCCAGAAACCGCCACCTGCTCATCTGCCTCATTCGCACCATTCTTCGTTATGTGCTTCGCATGTTTCCCCATGTCTGCAATGTGCTGCGCGATCTGCATGTCGACACTCAGCACTGCTAATCTCATGTGCAGATCTCCGACACTCTTCATCAGTCTGCCCACATTTTCATTCAGAACAGAGACGTGCTTCTTGAGATCGGCATCCTGTGTGTACGGCGCATAGACCATCTTCTCAAGCTGGCTGACAGTCAACGCATCAGTCTTCTGCATCTTGTTCAATCGCTCGACCACGCTCTTGTAGGTCATGCCCAGACCATCCACTTGCTTCTGCAGCCTTCCCAGGCCCTCCACTTTCTTCAGCAGATTGTTGATGCGTCGACTGGAACGATATTGCGAAAGAAGCACACCCAACAGCATGAAGACAATCAGCTTGAGGAAGAACTTGATGGTATCGAAAGCTACGCTGGCGGAGAAGCTGGAGTGGATCGAGAAGAGCGCGACAAGGAATGAAGCGAGAGCCATGGCGGTGACGAGGTAAGACTGATTGCCTTCTCGGGTGGGATTGGTGCGAGTGCGAGATGGTGAGGATCGGAACGGTGAGAGTGTATTTGGTGTTTCTCAGACCTGTGCCTGCAGTGTGCAGTCACGGCGGGGGGGGGGGCGCGTGGGGGAGGATAATAGCAGCTACAAAGAGAGCCGAGAAGATGTTCGAAAGGCGAGACGCAATGTAGGCGTGAAGTGAGATGAGGAGGGATGTTTCTTCGATGACGCGGCCGTGCGAGAGGTGAGAAGGGGCGCCTAGGCAGCAACGACCCGTAGGGAGGGAAGGAGCGACGGCAACAGCCAATCCAACAACTAGAGCAGAAGACGTGCCTGTATACTCAAGACATGGGAATTTGTTTTTAGAATCTAAGAAATAGGGACATCGTGTTTGCGACAATCTCAAACCTGTACCACGCCCTTCAAGAAGTGATATACTTGAGCAGAGAATGGGGTAAGGGCATTGTTTGAAAGACGGAGACTTGAAGGGGCGATCGAACGAGAAATAAAATGCAGACATGAAAAGAAATGTATTTGGCGGAACAGGGAGTTTCTTTCGGTTTCAACTTGCGGAGTAGTCGAAGCATTCTACGTGGGGGTTGCCGTCTGCGAACGAACGCCTCTAACATATTCGTATATTTACCATTGTAAGTCCCATGAAATAAAAGAAGGTCAATTATATTTCTCGATACGAAGAAGACAAAATCTGGAATGTCGTCCCCGCGGATTCATGAGCAGGCCATCTCAGCCTATATCACCCCAGACTAGCGCACGAAGCTCTGACCTCCGACCTTCGGCGAAGACGTGCAACACCACCAAAATTTCCGCTGCGCAGCTTCATCTTCTGCATTAGAGCTCCATCATGGCCGCCCGCACGCTAAGAATAGGTACGGACCTCACAATTCCCCTCTCCACACTCATTCTGGTCTTAAAAGCCCCATTATCTCTACCTACTTCCACTCAATCGCTCTCTCTGCCTTGCTAATATGCGTCATTAGGCCTTATCCCCGGTGACGGCATCGGCCGTGAAGTCATTCCCGCTGGCCGCCGCATCCTCGAAGCGCTGCCCTCCTCCTTCGGCCTGAAGTTCAGCTTCTCCCACCACGAAGCTGGCTGGGACACCTTCCAGAAGACGGGCGCCGCATTGCCCGAGCAAACCGTCGAGGCATTGAAGGGAGAATGTGACGGCGCGCTGTTCGGAGCTGTCAGCTCTCCTACGGTCCAGACGAAGGGCTACTCTTCGCCCATTGTTGCGCTAAGGAAGAAGATGAAGCTGTATGCCAACGTCAGGCCTGTCAAGTCAGTTGCATCGTCGAAGTACCCGGTCGACTTGGTCATTGTACGGGAGAACACTGAGGATCTCTACGTCAAGGAGGAGAGGACATACAATGCGCCCGATGGCAGCAAGATTGCCGAAGCTATCAAGCGCATCTCGGAAACTGCTTCGTTCAACATCTCCGCCATGGCCGGCGACATCGCTCTGCGCCGCCAGCGCGTCCGCGACGCAGGAGGCAATAGCATCCACTCCTCCCCGCTTGTTACCATTACACACAAGAGCAACGTGCTCTCCCAGACAGACGGTCTGTTCCGCGAAACCGCACGCCGTGCCCTGTCCGACTCCAAGTACCAATTGGTAGGCGTAGAAGAGCAGATCGTAGACTCCATGGTGTACAAGCTGTTCCGCCAGCCCCAAGACTACGACGTCATCGTCGCGCCCAATCTCTACGGCGATATCCTCTCAGACGGTGCCGCGGCGCTCGTCGGCTCCCTCGGTCTCGTGCCTAGCGCAAACGTGGGCAAAGACTTTGTGATTGGAGAGCCTTGCCATGGTAGCGCGCCAGATATCGAGGGCCAGGGAATTGCGAACCCGATTGCGACAATTCGAAGCACAGCGCTGATGCTAGAATTCATCGGCGAGGAGGAGGCTGCTGCAAAGATCTACGCCGCTGTGGATGCCAACCTCGAGGAGGGCAGGCTCCTGTCGCCTGACATGGGTGGCAAAGCGAAGACGGACGAGATTGTGGAGGACATTTGCAGGAGACTATAGAATTAGAGGGGTGATTTGGATACTGTAGATACCATGTACCACAGAAGATGATTACAAGCGTTCTATCCCACCAGGTCGCGATGCAGCGATTCTTTGCCAATCCCATGTGTTATGGACCCCAAACGGAACGCCACGCTGATACCTATACCCAACGCCAAACCTAGCTGTCGTCTAACGTCATTAAAGTCCTCAATCCAGCTCATCATCATCCCCACCAGCGCTAGCTTTCCCGTTCTCCGCCACCTTCTCCTGCTGTTCCTCGGCACCATCCTTCTTCGCCTTGTCGATCGGCAAAAGCTCTATCGATACAACAAAGAGCTCTTTGTTAGTCTCCCGATTCTTCAGCACATATCTGAGGGAGTGTGTTCTGGTTAGCCAGAATCCTACGTCAGCCCCCAATAACCAAAGCAAAAGAGATAATCACCAACATGTCAGAGTAAAAGGACATGGGTAGAGAAGGAAGGGGTGATACGAACCGTAAAGGCTGGCCATCCCAGTGGCCAATGATGGAGATATTAGGTAGCCCGTAGCCGATTTTGAGAGCGAATTCGTTGAAATCGAGGTATGGATTGAAGAAATCGCACCTGTACTCTCTCCCAGCCTCGAAAACAAACTCCTTTCGATTCTGCTCAGTGAGGAAGTGTTTCTGCCGTGCGGCTGCGCGATCGGGGATGTTCTTTTCCTTCCGCACTTGCTCGCCAGAGCCATGTGCGCCTTCTTCGTAGACGACTGCCCCGCTGTCTATGTTTGCTTCCGCGCCTTCTGAGCTCTCACCGCCCGCTTTGTCGTTCTTCTCCCCTATTTGTAGTACGTTTATACTGCTCAACAGCGCGCCGTAAAGATATGGCTCGTCGCCGTACACATCTCCGTCTAGCCCGGGGTCTATCCACCACTTGACAATGCCAAACGCTTTATCGAACAGCGGCGGTAGGCGGTCGCGGATTGGGTGGTCGAAGTCGTTGCCGAAGACTAGCTTGTCGCCGGCGATGTCGTGTTTGGGTGTGAAGGAGAAGGATATCGAATAGCGGTCGTACGTGTGCGTGGGAGTGGAGAAGTAGGGTGAGGTCGAGGGAGAGCCTTTTGGTAGACCTGGTATTGAAGTGTGAGTGGGGTCGTTGCGATCTTAGAGTGGGTGGGAGATGAGGGGAGACATACCGCGGAAGTCCTTGATTCGCATATGTATCTTCGCGTCTGTCAAGTCAGACGATATGATGATGGGCTTCTCGCTGTTTACGAGTACATCCTCATGTTTCGAGGAGTCGTAGGTTGCGCCTGCGGTGACGCGCAGCATGTATTGCTCGTGGTGCGCCATAATAATTTACCAGTATCCGTGGTATACTTAGATCCAACAATTAAGAGGCGATCAAAAGTGAGAAAGCGCAATATGAGTAACTAGAGCGCGAGTAGGTATGGCGGGGCGGTCTGCTTTGCGCCGCCAAAATTTGTTGATTAACCATGACGTCCGAAGCCGCGGCGACAGGGGTTAGCAGCGCTAGCGCGAATGAGGTGTGGCTTGATCTACAACACTCCCGAGACGATGTGGAGATTCTCAATGCAGAATAGAGCAATATTATATATTTCATCGTAAAGAATATATCCAAGAAACTCCTCTGGCCTGTACAGCACCAAAAGTCCCTCCTAAACCCTCGTGAAAGCATCGATGTCAACCCGCTGATAAAACGACACGTGTCCAAAGGTCTCCCAGTACTGCGCGAGCCGATCGTGCGAGATGAGAATAAGTTGCGAAGTCATGTAGTTGTCTACAATGCGTTAGCATACACTCAAGAAGGCGTCCAGTCTGCCGCTCACCATCTCTGAAGCCATTAGCAGCGATGTGTCCCACGCTCTTCACAATCCGCGCGCCCTTGAAGATGTCTTCGGATGCTACTCGCAGCAAGCCACCGGGCCCAATGTCCGGCGCTATGAACGTGTATTCCCCTCGCGGAATGTTTGGATCGCCGGTGAGTTTGACGGCTTCGATGCGGCCGTGGTAGACGGTCTCATCCTCCTCCGTCATGAGATCCGAAGCTGGCGATGCCGAGTCCCGCTCGTGAAAGGCTTCTTGAAGTGTCGCAACGCTATCCTCCAAATCGTCTGCTGTCTCTGGTCCATCCTCATCGCCCGACAAAGCAGCATCTGTCGGCGCTGTAGTCCACGACCCTGCGCTACTCACGCTCCCTTCGCGTTCCCTAGCTCTCAGTGCCCATTCGGCTCGCTCGGGTAGGGGCTTCGGATCGTCTGGTTGCATGACCACCAAGAACTCACAGCCATGCCCCGCGTAGTCTCCACACCATATCCCTTGCCAGGGTTTCTGGGCTGTTGGAGTGTAGTATTCTTCAGGTAGGGTAGCCCATGTAGAGATGTCTTCCCCTATGCGCATACTGACGCCGTGCTGTCGGGAAGAGAACTCCATCCACTTCCGAATTCTGAAAGTTGAAGTCGAGAGCTGATCGAGCATCGCTGGCTTACTTGCGAGTTGCCTATACCCAGAGGGCGGAGTATCGTTGCGCGTGCGCTCCGTGCTGGGTAGGGTAAGCGGCGGCCAGACTGGAGTTGCTTCTGTGGTGATGTCTTCGGGCCATGCTCTAGTGAGCAAGAGCCGCGAATGGAGTCCTGCCGATGACCGAGGCGCGCCACCACTGAAGACGCTCATGGGAATCTCCTTTTGTAGTCGGTATCCAATATCGCCCGTTGCGTACTCATAGCTTTCTGCATCAAGCCGAACGACAGGCGCGTTGAGATCGAGTTGAACCTTTGGGCTGAATGTATGAATGATAGCGTCCGGGTTATAGTCCCACGTTTGGAATGTCGGCTGCCGCCTCTCAGCTACCAGCGTATACGCTTCGATCGCATTGATTCTGTGATCATAGCGTGCTATAAGCAGCTTTCCAGTGTGAGCGATGTCGGCGAACCATATCTTCCCCTTTGCGAGGAACCAGTATGGATGGTGTTGTTTGAATAGCGCACGCCATGTTAGATTCGCACGTTTGGGGACAGTCGAGGCTGGGACCTGGGCTTGTACGAATGGTTGCCAAAGCGTGTCTTGGAGGGAGTGCTGATTGAGGGCGCGGTTAACACATCCTACGGAGAGAAGGTCAGACAAATTTAGGTGGCTGAGAATATGGTGGATCAGCTCCGAGGGAAGGGCCAGGAGAAGAGGAACCTCGGGGGTAGCCATTTTTGACGCCACGCGGCCGCACTCCAAGGATTTTGGATACCGCCGTGCCGGTTTTCGGTAAGACGCAAACAGAGATATTAGAGAATCACAATGTCGCAATAGCAGATGTTCTGGCCTCTCGGGCTATTGTGCGGGTGGCGAAGGTATTATACTGCCCCTTCAATGTTATCCACGCCTGGGACCAGCCTCTTCAAGTGCACCCTCACCGTGATGCTCCTGTTCAACCCAGACTTGAGTTCAAATCATGTGCTCCGGGGTAGGTTGTACTGCAGGGTGTCCAAAGTTGCGTGATTGAATTGGGTGTCTTCTCGGCAACCGATCGCAATAACACCTTCCAACTCGCGATTAGCTGCAGCGGTTCCGGGGAGATTGGCGTTAACAAGCAACGAATACGAGGCTATGCACGATCAAAGTCTCTCGCCAATCTTACATTCGTGAAGTACCTGCTCCTTTGGGTGCTTGAGGATTCGACCAGCCGACGATACGGCTGCGATATCGGGGTGATGGGTGACCAAGATGAGTGACGAATCGGGTCTTCTAATCCGCGTCGGCACTTGCAACGGCTGGTAAAAGGGGAAATGGCTGGGCAGGGGAAGATACGGCGTATGCGCCAATCTAAGCTAGAGAATTCGCTGATGAATTTGGTATAGAAATAGATATCGCAATGCAGAGCGTGAGGTGGTGCATATGACTGAAGTATGCGTGACGTCTGTGCGCTGCCGCTAGCAGGTGGCTTTGCGCCATTGTGGGGAACCGTTAGACCTCACCTCGTTGTCACCATCAGAGAACCACGATCCGGGACGAAATTGTGGACTTCATTCAATTCAGACTTTGTTCCAACCGACCTCAAGGCATCCGTCGCGCCTTAGCCGTTGCGTTCGACGACGCGTCCTGACACCGGCGCATATGCCCAACTAGGCCAGGCGGCATAGCCATGACGCGTCCCATCGTACCTAATCTATTGCTTTACGCTCCCGGACTGTTTCCTAATCGCTGCTATCAGCTCTTAGCTACCCATTTTTTCGCTAAATCTTATTTGACCATTGCTTCGTGTCGCTCAACAACATGAACATGTCCACAATGTAGTGAACCCTCTTTTGGAACTGGTCAGAAATCGTTACTATGGGGGTCGGCCCAGTTCTTCGGTGTCTTCAGACAGTAGATGCAAAGAGATTAGATCACAGGGGTAGTGTTGGCTGAAGCACCTCGGTCGATGCTAGATTGTGGAGAACAACCCCAGTAAGGCGTTATGGTGATGGGCCTTCTTCAGGACCAGGATGCTAGGTTCGAGTCTAGCATTAAGGCTAGAAAGGTATATCATTGCTCAAAATGATGTAGCAGCGTGCCACGTTCTTGTCATTTCGCTTTGGCGCCCTCGAAATTCCCTTCACAGTCCTTCTAAACCAGCTCTCTTATGTATAGCTTATCCTATTCGATCCAAGCGGAGAATAGTCTTATCATACAGGCTCATATCTGAAGCCTTGAGTCTATCGGTCAAAGGTACCAGGAGGCCTTTCCTTACTCACTCTCTCGAGTTTTTCTACCTTGTCCCGCTCGGACAAATCATAGTTGGCTTAACTAAGTTGGTAGGGCGTTACAAGAAGTCATCCTGGAGGCCTGAATATCGTGCAATTGGGGGTATGGACAAGGGCCTGGTGAGAAGGCTGGGCAAGAAATCGAACTAGCCCTTGAAGCAGGCTCTAGTCCAACTAGCATGAACTCGAGTAGATCGTAGGAGCAAAGCCACATGAGAAGACCTCATTAGCCTTTGCAGCCCGACAACACGAAAAGCCATACGAGAAGGTGGAACCCCTCCAGCGTGTCGGTGTATGACGACTGGGCTTTTTGATATTGGGACAACCACCGGCTACCATCACTACCTAAGAAAACCCTCCTCTCATCTACGTGGAATTCTAGTTAACGTAGTGTGTTTTACCTAGTGCGATCCCTACCAGAATCTCCGCTCTTGACGTCACGTACTCATCCTCGACGAGTCGAGGACTTCCCGCTAATGTTTTGTGGTCTTGCCTTCTGTGCTCCACTGTGGCGTAGTTCTCGGTGTGCAATATCTGGAAGCTGGCCATTCCATAGTCTCTATTATCTCTGCCTGGTTGCCCGATGTCACTACGGCAGATTTGACAGTCAGTGGAGCTTCTGCCGGTATTCCTTGTGTAGATTAGCTGTCGAATCAGCAGTCTTTGTCGCTTTGATGCTCGTTCAACGTTAATATGTATCCTGCTGTACATGGGGGACACGCGCAAAGACGATTTAAGAAGTCTCAGGATATCCTGTTAAGCTCCAGTCAGTGTTATCATCTGGGCCTAGAAAACTGTCAAGGATACAAAATGTAATGTGTTGCCAACAGAGCTTTCTGGGGATTTCGACTCCTTCGTGGCTTTCTCAGCAAAAGTCTTGCGCGTCTGGGGTGAAGTTGAGCACTGCTAACCCAGAACCTTCCTGAAGGTGTTCCTTCCTCGTTAGGTTGCTACGCCCCGGTTCGGACTAGCGCGGGCAGGCGTGGCAACAATATATCACTGCCCGCGCGGCAAACTTTTCTTCTCCATCACGAATATGGTAATGCCCTGCCCCTCCTAATGCACTCAGAACACTTCTAACATCCTGAGCAGAGTTTCAATCCAAATCGTGCTCACCCCGGCGCGCAGGGTCATCAGAACCTTGCGACCAACTCCTCATCTCGATCACCGCAGTGGCCGCAAGTCGCGGCAACTGTGAACTCGCCTGGTGTCCCTCCCCGGGGATACTACAACTACCCAATGATGCCGCAAGGTCCCTACCAATCCGGCCCCTACCCGCCCGCACCTTATAGATACAGGCCTTATGGTGCATGGCAGCCTCCACCGACAAGCGATGCTACTGCCGCACTCGCTGGGCCTTCTGACAAGACTGATGTCTTTGAAGAGGATGACGCGAGTGACGAGCAGGACGCCGACCCTTGGGCTGGCATTGAAGGAATCGCGCCCGATCAATACAGTAAGTGTTACCTCGTTATCATCCGTGAATTACGTTGTCTAATCCATCTTAGTGAAATGCGCCAGAACAATGCTCAAAATGGCGCGAGAAGACCTCGAAAAGTTTCGCAATAGCGGCAAAGATATGCCACCAGTATCTGTGGCAGCAAGAGCGTTCCTCGACGAGAAGGCCCTCCCTGCAATTCGTACGGAATTTGACGAAATCTACGCTACATTCCATGAGAGAAAAGCAGCAATACTACGAGGACATTTACGTCTTCAACACAACGATCAGCTACCCGCAACCCCGACCCCTCTGACCCCCGTCGGACTCAGCCCACGGCCGAAACCCCAAAGCCCGCATCCTACGGGTGTCCCTTCCCATACTGATGACCTCAAGTATGCTGGACGCAGCCAGCAGTATTGGAAAGGACGCGTCAAAAAACCGACATTCAAGCCCTTCACCTCACCCCATACCCTGAGCAAGCTCAAGCGATATCCTATCCCTATGAGCGAGGATGACAAAATGGGCAAGGATTTGAAGGCCTCCCGGGTTGACTCGCAGGCAGAATATTCCCTGCCTCAAAGACAGCTGGAGGCACAACCGGACCAAGGAAGCGTTAGCGATAACCTTAAAGCCTAACGCCTATTCCCTTCCCATACTCCTATGGCCAGGTTTAACTTGGTCAATTCAGAATCTCTTCCATACTTTCTAGGGTGCTTCCTGGTAAACATATCACTTCTGCTTCAAGGTATCGTCCTTGAGGTCTCGCGTCGATGCTAGGTATTCCTGGTGAATTTCTCACTCCTGGTTCATGGCTTTTGCCATGAGGTGCTATTTTCTTTTGCTAGGTTTATCCCAGTGTTTTCTTGCTTCATGGTATTACCATGAGGTGTTGTTTTCTTGCTAGGTTATCCTGGTTCTGTCTCACTACATCCTAGATAATTTAATTGATCTGTTCAATAATCCTTTTCCCTTGCCAGATGTGACTATGTCTCAAAGTAATCATTAGAAGGCACCTAATCACTCCTTACATACCTGTACTGTGTAACAAACGACCTTTTATAACATCTCTAGCTTATAGATCAAGATAACTTCCTTGGACTTATATACGTTCTACTTCAACCCTCAGCCATTGTAACGGAACTGACTTTACTCAACCCTCAACTAACAGATGAAACTAAGAAGTGCGCTTTCTGAATAAAATTCAAGCTACTCTATTATTCAGTCATGAAACATCCTAGCTACATCTCATATCCCGCATTTGGAAACCGGCCATAGCCTCCCCTTCCTGCTGCAAGAATCTACCGCTTATTCCCAAACTTGCGCACAATCGCTGCTGGTACCTTACTTGGAGAGGCCCGCTTCGTCACACCACTTGGTTTCCCACCTGACTCCTCTAGCTTTCGCTTGAAAGCAGCTTGTCGCATGCGCTCCTTCTCAGCCTTTCCCTTCTCCAAATGCTGAACATTGTTGTTGGATACTGCTTTGGCCCTCTTCCGCTTGAGAGTATCCTCAATCGCCTTTGCCTTCTCCAACTCCTCCTCGAGAAACTCGCGGCGTCGACGGGCGTCAGCAAGCTGCTCGTCGATTACCGCAAGAGAATTGTCGTGGACGTTCTGGTCCGTGGTGCGTTGTTGTCGGCCAGCGACTCCCCTTCGGGCGGCATGGCGGGCCTTGACTTCCTCATTCAATCGCTCATCCGCCGCTTCTCGGGCGCCAGCGCCATACATGCGGCTGTTTCCGGTGTACGCTCGCATTGCGGTCGGGTCTTGGAGTACAGCAGCGCTCATGTCAATGGGGCGGGCCCAGGTGGCTGCATTCCTCGACATGCCTTTGTACATCTTGGCGAGTTTGTTATTGTGGTGTTGGTGAGATGTGGTTGTATAAGTAGAGGTTAAAGCCAGGAGTGTTGTTGAGGGTTTGAATGGTGTGGTGGGAGTTGTATCTGGTTGTTTTTGTGTCGGGGGTAGAGAGAGGATTGAGAAAGATATTGCGAAAGCAGAGCCTTTTAATTGAATATCGGGTGACTCAGCTGAATAGGTATTGTTCGTCTCTTTGCGACCAAGCTATTGTCTCAAAAAATGGTTTATTCACTTTCACTAGTGCTGTGTTGAACCTTGGTTCACGCACCAAGACAGTTAGCGTAATCAACCTATAGGCCTATTGAGTCCAATGGTAAGGCTTTCATCAACCTACACACAGAAACACATGATAGATGTATCTCTATTGCACTGCTATTAAGTGGCTGGGTTCAGTTCCATGATTGCTGTGATCAAAATGTGCGTTGCGTTACCGTATCGTTCATCTGCAACACTGCTTGTATGATTTGTAGAGCTCTCCAAACTTGACAAATATTTCTTCTCAGATTACTAATTACCTCACGACCTAGTACGCGTGACATATTTGCTCAAATCATTTAATTATCCTATCAAGAATCACATAATACTCTCCTAGATATTGCTTCCTTGGTTATCTCACTACATGCTAACCTCAAGATCATAGGGTCTTAGTATTGCTAAGTTGGGAGGTCACGCAAAATTCTCAATTCCCATAGTACAATTTTTCAATCTTCGGTTCATTGCCACATTTATCACTATATTTTCGCACAGAATCCTCATGATAAGTCTCATGTAATCGCGCTCGCCACTACGTTACTTCCTGTCGAACTCGTGTAACCTAAAAACCTGAAACCCGTTTCCTGATATCCATTCAAGCACAGTCATGTACCTAGTAAAACCCATGTGACAATGAAATTGCAAAGCGCCTAGATCAAAATGACTGTCTGAGATAGGAGGAACAATCAAGCAAGGGGTATCAACCTGGAGTACACCTTGAAAAGCAGATAGAAGAAAGGGCATTGCCCGCCTACCCTCAGAGCCTGATCCAAAATAACCCTCGCCATTATGGGAATAGTTTGTATCCTTCCGATTCCCATGCGTCAAATGTCCCCATCGCATGTTGAAACTCTTCAAAAGAGGTAGACGCTTCCAAGACAGCGGCAGGAGCGCCATGCTGCTTCAAAATCCACTCGTGTTCCTCCGCCAACGTCATCTTGTCATCTGTTTCGGTGCTTGTGTGCATGCCTGTATTTGAGGCGGTACTCAGAAAGAGGTCGTCTTCTAGTGGGTAGGCACAGAGTTGCTCCCAAGTCTCACCGGGAAGGCAATCGAAAAGGTCCCAAAGTGGTGTTTCGATTGTCTCTGGTTCCTTGTTGAAAGCTGCCTTGCTGACTTCAACAGATGCTAGTACCTCGGGTTTTGGCGACGCTTTGGCAGCTTCTACAGCTGTCAGTCTCAACGCGCATATGACCCTCTTCATGACACCTGGCAGATCCTGAGATATGGGCTCCTTGGAGAGATCAATACCACCAATTGTCACACCTTCAGCCTCTTTATTCCTAGCACGCGCGGTGCTATTCATTCCAATCTGACGCTGGATAGCTTCCATTGCGTGTTGACGTATCCTGAATTCTGGATTAGGAATCGGCTTTGGTGTCACCTGGACAACGTTCTTCGTCGGCGGCCCCGTGGAGTCAGACTTTTGCTCAGTAGCTACCAGTTTTTGACTGATGCTTTGAGCCGGTTGTATCACATTCACTGGTGGAGGCAATCCAACCCAAGGAGAGAATGCTGTATCATTTGGTACAGTCGTTGGTGCTGATACTTGATATGTCGATCTAGCTATATCGCTCCCGGAAGATACCGGTCTTTGCATCGTTCCAGCAGGCATTACTGAAGGCCGATGAGGACGGGCCGACAATCTCCTAACTTTGTTGCTCTCTTCAACAGATGGGATGGGTAAGGCTGATGCTAGACTAGCCCTCTTCACCGGGTGACGAGCCTGTTGTTGATTTAGATGGACTGTGCCCTGAGAAGCTGGTGCTAGCAAATTCTGGTGTGGTCCTTGTACAGGCTGGAGGAGTGCGTCGATCCGGTTTCGTCGTTGCGCCGCGACTCCTGTCTTGTCTCGGATATTCGCGTCGTGCCACTGATTCCAGGTCTTGTGAGCAATATGGAGGTCACCTTGTTCAATGAGTCGTTCAACCTCCCTCTTCCAACTGATCAGGCCCTTGTAGATGGAGGTCTGTTTCTGTGCCCGAGAAAGCCCATTTTTGCAGCAATTGAACTCTCTGTTGATATGTCTGCAACTGTAGTTTCCATTTGATCGCAATCTACTGTTCTCAATGGTATCTTCTTGAGGGTAGTCCGGTACTAAAACCTTGTTCATTGGATGTTTTTGTTCTCCCGGCTTTGAGCTTTCCCAGCGTTGTCGAATATACACAATTTCCACAGGAGATGTCATGTCCGACGTTCGAGTTAAATTATTGGGAAGCTGAGCAGGAGCAATCCTTCGATTCCGATCTGGTTGTTCGACCTTTGGCTTACGAGGATTGGGTCGTTGAGCTGGCCGTTTGACGGTGTCTTTCCAAGCGTACAGCTTCTCAAACCAACGGGCTTTAGGGTCTTTTCGACCCGCTTTCCACAGACTTTCAATCGCGTCCTTGTTATTCTCGTATAGTACTAGGTCAACCTCGGTGCGGTCAATGCGCGCTTTCTTTGCTGCGGCTTGCTTCTGGTCCTCTTCTTCTGGCATGTCTAATGGCCGCTTTTCTCCTACGACTGGATGTTGCGTGCCTTGCTTTGGTGAGCAACTTGGAGTATTTCGACTAGCCGTAACACTCGAAGGGGTTACAATATGAAAGTAGTTATCATAGGCCACTGACGAGCCAGACCATGGTGATGAAGTGTTACCATCAAGGTCAATTGGATATGTGACTGGACTTCCTTCGCCCAGACTGATAGTACCACGATTCGGCTGAAGTGATGCCTGTTTTGGTTTGTGTATCAGCGGAACTGATGGGCTTGGAAGCTGCCTTTGTGATTGTGTACTCTGTGCTGTATATGGTGGAGGCTTGCGCTGTGAAAAGTGTCCAAGGTTGCCGAAGAGAGGGGGGCTAGGGTGTTGACCGTTCTCGAGCGACGGCATGGCGAGGCGTACGCTGGGAGGGTGATGGCACATATTCGTAGTAGGTGGTTCTTGACCGTTCATTTGGAGCACTGCTTGTCGGTATCGGCGATCCTGGTTCAACATACGTTAACGCGCGTCCAACCTCTAGTTCAGGAACTCATGCACATACAGGATACACGGCTGGCGCGGAACCAATCGATGCAACTACAGGCTCTGGTGAATCCTCAAAATCTAGGAAAGATGGCGATACCTTAGCTCAGTCAGCAATGGAGCTTCTTTGGGGTTATTGATAGAACTAGCTCACCATATATGGTGTTGTATTGCGGGGTGGGTAGACACTCTCATCAGAACCAAGATTATGATACTCGTCACTGCACGCTCGCTTTGATGAAGTGTCGGTATCAACCGAGCGAGCTCGCTTCCCAAGGGTCGCGTTGGTAGCAGGAATTGATGGAGGTTGAGCCATCCTAGTGGCAAACGGGGCAAGTGTAAGAAGGGAGTTGGAGAAATGGAATAGAGAGAGTACACGGAATCTTGTCTCTCTAACGGGGCTGAAAGGTAACACTCGTGGTAGAAGAGGGGAGGGTGTGGTGGGCAAGATGGAAAGATTGAGGGGGGGGAAGACGGGTGCGACTTCCTGCTTGGCGCGTTCGGTGAAAGAGAGGCATTTTTGGCGCAAGCCCGTGATAGAGGATCATATTGCATTCAGTGTGATGTAACGTGACTAATTTTGAGTGAAGTGGATATAAGTAATGCATTTAGTTATTCGACGCGATGATTTCATGACGTATACTTTAGTCGTAGAGTGGTGGTTGTAATGATTTATTCCAAGACAAGCCTGTATGCTAATTCTGAAAGTAAATGAAAGGTTCGCGAGTATTTCAAGGAGATAATGTGATATATAAACTTAAAGGAACAATATACAGTGAATAGAGGAAGATAGGTAGAGCGTGATTCAGAAGAGCATATTATTAAGTAGCCGTGGAATTGGATGTGGTAAAGAAGCGTTGAAATCCTGACCAAGACGTAAAGATCTATCTGCGAAGCGTAGTACGATCTTTGACAGATTTTACCACTAGTAAAGCAAAAGAATCGTACGATTTTAAGTCGGGTCATAATTGAGGGCAAGAGTAGAGCAAGCCAAGACCTTATGAAGCCTGAATTCATTACACAAGACGTTTCCTACGCATTTCCGCTCATCGTGCAGCTGCTGTAAGGGTACTAGAAACCCTCAGCTCATATATTTATATAATTTAGGTCTCTATTGTGCGAAAATACTTGTTATGGATTGTGACTTATAGAGATGTGATACCTGGCAAACTATACGGTGCTAACTCCCCTCAGAGTGAGAAAATAACGCAGTGCTAACTCCAATAGCATACCAAATATTATAGGGAAGGATGTTTAACTACTGCTTGTAAGGTTCGTCGTTAAGGAGGCGTAACGAATTTGTGTACTCTGGAGTTAGGAGTCTGCCTACTTCTATATAAACAGCGTTGGAAATTTCTTCTTGAAGGGACTAAGACGAATTGGAGATGAAGAGGGCCGCGCGGTAGGGATTTGGGTAGATAAAAATAGTAAGTAGCTGTGATATAGTTGATCTTGAGTTAAATGAAGATTGTGGGTTCTCGAGGGGGTTGGTGAGAGACCGGCCAATAAATGGTTTCCGCCTCTGTTTTGTGTAGAAATTTAGTTTTGAATCCTTGTGCTAAGCTCTGGTAATTTAGTTGTAAAGAATCCTGGAGGTCGTCTCACATGGTCTATACCATGTGATTTTTGGGTAATAGGAGCGCGAACAGGTAGACACGTGTAAAAGTCACAGAAAGTTTACCAAAGTCACACGAAACAAGAATGCATGTTTGACTGAGAAATGGCTGACTAGGTGTTAAAGCCAGATCTTGGTGCCCCTGGAGACCCACTTACGTCATCTTGATCGGCAAGAGCAGCGAGTACACCTGCGAGACGCTTCAAGAACATTTAATCAACGATCTGATAAGCCAGGTGTCCTGGAAATCGTGGCAAGAAGCAACTAGAGTTCAAGTCGCTGCAAACCCTTCACGACGAAACTGGCCGTGTCGCGACGTCGTGATGCGCACAGTCCACGCCCTTCCGTCATCCTTCTCGTCAACTTCGGTCCGTCCCTCTCCCTCCACAACGCTCCAACTTTTCAATCCCTAATCAGCCTTCCACATTCGCCTTGCGGAGTGTCGTCAATCGGCCATCTCAAACTCCTCCTTCGTGTAGCATTAGGAAGAGGCGACGCGACAGAACGTTCTTTGCTAGGCGTCGAAGTAAACCGCCCATCGATCGGCGTTCTCGCCGCTTTTCCATCTCTGCCTTTAGACCGCATACCCTGAGAGAGGCCGTTCGAAGTGACTGTCGAAACGCTCGAGGGACGGTCACGACACGCAAAGTTTCAGAAACGAAGAGACCGTTCCGATGCATTTCCATGCTGAGATCAAAATCGCGTTCGCTTCCGATGGTGGCACTCATCTCCTTCATCCGTTCATGCAACTTGACGAATGCGCGGCATCGAATTGCGTGATCGTAGCAGGCAATAGAGATTTGAACTGACATGGCGACAATGAGAAGGAGGAAACTATCGCGGTAGGGTTCGAAAACTGGGCGCAGCGTACCGCCCGCTGCTAGGAACTCGTCTCGCGCCTCTTTGCACACCTTTCCCCAGCGATGCCTGCCGCCGGAAATGAGGACACGGTCAATCTCCTGTTGGACAGCACGGTTTGCGTATATGTGTATAGTACATGCTTCCCAGCTCAATACCTCCTCGTTCGACCTAGGGTGGCGGTGTGGTCCCAGCGGCCGCCTTGTGAAGGTGAGTCCCGCGGCGTCGTATAGTCGCTGAATCTGTGCTGGACTCAGGGGATCGGCGACGAAGAGGGTGCGACGGCAAATGGGGCAAGTATCGCGTTCAGGCCTGGCGCTTGTATGCCATTCGACGATGCAGCCTTTGTGAAAGAAGTGCGTGCATGGCTTCAGGAAGACGATGGTGGTTGTGGTCCCAGGCCCGAATGGCCTCTCAGGAACAACAAGCTCTTCAAGGCAAACTCCGCATCCTGTTCCGGGTTGCGGTAGCGTTGTGTCAGCCGTACTCAATACAAGATCGTGCTTGAGAAACTGCTTCTGTCGGGGGAGCTCATTGTGCGCGACCGCCCGGCTAGCCACCACTGGCGACGCACTCGAGAGTGGCATTTCGACTCTGTGGGCGACTGAAATCAGTTAGCCTGTTGCTGTTGTTGTTGGGTTCGTTTGTAGAGTAGAGAGATGGAGAGGAGGCCATACGTTGGTTGAGTTCAGGGTCATAGTCTTGCCTTCACCTCGAGTAAATCGTACGTCAGAACAGTTTCTAGGTAAATATTGATCATCGATGGTAATTTACGACTAACATGATATCTATGTAGTGTTCAATCGGGTCGCCTGCTACAAGAGTGCTTATTGCGAGCTCGATAGCGTCCTGCGCAACCTTCTCGCAACCAAGCACGCCTGTGCGGCTTGTTTGTCACGTCTTCTTGTTGCTGTCTTACCGATCTTTAGATAAACTACATTACGATGCAACTCAGCAAGCTCGGATACGCACGTCTTCTTGCTGATTCTTCTCAACTGCAGCGCGATGGGTTTGTTCGAAAGGTAATTCTTCCTAATTAGGGAGCTAGGCGGTATCTTAACCTGTCAAAAGATGAGCTAAGCTGAACGTACGAGAGTGCCTGCACGCCACGGACAGGATATTGCTGACCTGCGAAGTTCGACGTAGGCCCCCAACAATGACCTTCAAGTTCCCACAAAGTCGGCGAATGTCGATACAGAGGCTTTGTGTCAAGTTCTACAGCAGCTCGCTGAGCAGGGAGCTCGACCGTGGGCGTCCCTTGCCCCTCAGATTTGTTGTACAGCAAAGGCGTAGACATACTGCGACCAAACTCGGAGTACTCTGGCGAAGGTTCATCGGCATCCTTCTCGTATGAAAATGAAGGTGCGCCCATCGTCGTTCCAATTCTTGAAGCTCGGCAGCCCCATGGGTTGCGAGATCGCATACCTACATTTTGAACTGCCTCCTGAATTGAAGCCTTGTTGAAACAAGAGTCGGCTGGGTTTGGGCCGTACCCTCGGTGTGTTTCTGGAGATGTCCTGTCGTCACTAACGCCAGCGCTGCGCTGGATGTTGGACCAATTTGTAGCCGTTGAAGCACGTTGGGGGCGTCTCAAGTGAGCAAGAGGAGGGATCCGGGTGCCATAAGGCGAAGAAGCCGTACCTAAAGGAGTGCTTGCTGCCGTGTCCGAGCCGCGTCTAGGAACCCACACAGATGGACGAGCTTTCTTCCAAACCTGCTCAGGAATATCTGCCTCACCACATGGCCCGCTACGAAGATGCATCATATCAGCAGGAGCTACATGCTCTGCTGTACTCCTGATCTCCATTTCTGGCGAGACAGGCAAACGGTCGCCTTCAACTGTTCGGTTATGGATATATCCATAACTTGACTGCGAATCGTACTTGAAGGGATCGTCCGGCGATTCCGGTGAATACGCTGGCGGTGAGTCACCGTCCACAGTCTGCCACTGATTCCTACTGCAGGCAATCGTGTCCCTATAAGTCCGAAAATACTCAGCGCACTGCTCGATGATCATCGGGTTCCGAGGGATACCGTAACTGTGAGCGTTACTATTCGAACACCGACACACGACAGCTCTTCTTTGATTCGCGTAATGAAAATCATCGATAAAAACTCCGTCCTTCGCCCACGCGGCTTTTACTCGCTGCTGCCACTTTATGAAGCTGGCAATAGTACAGAAGTCGAGATCATGGCGATCCATGTACATCGATAAGCTAGAGTTGAGATGCGTGGACTCGGATGCAACGGGAAAAAAGTCATCGTAATGGCGCTTTGGGCTGGTACAGCCGCATATGCGGGAACGATCGCTACCGATATAGTGGAGGACTCGCTCTTGCAACGGTGTAGCGGACGGACACTTGGCGAGTTCGTTCGCACGGCAGATATCGATGTCGCCAGTCTTCTTGCTACGAACGAAGACTAGTCTGCTCTTGCTTCTCGACGTGACCATAGTAGCTGCTTAGTTATCAGTACGTGTTGCTAGTAGGGACTGACTGTGTCAAATGTGAGGTTTGGAAGTTCTATCTCTTAGCGTGTGATTTTCAAAGTATTTTATGAATGATTTCCTTTGTCAGTCGCAGAATTAAGGCGTGCGACATTTCTTTCGTGGTGGGGTGGCGCAACAAAGAAGGCGCGATGTATAATGGACATTGTGCAAGTGACTATTTACTAACTTTGGATCAGAACAATACACACAGCCACCCTCAACAGGCTCAAAGACGTTTCATTCTATCGAAATCCGGAGGTGTTACCATCCTTGGCAACTTGCCGCTGTGTCAAGCACCATTCGCTAATTTGTAGCCTCGAGTCTCACTCCTTTGCGGCCACCCCCGCTCCATGCAAATCGCTACTACTACATATCATCCCACCTCATCCTCCTTCGGGTGACTCCAGTCCGCCTCACTGAAAAAGATGACAACTCTTGAAACACTGGCTTCATAGAACTACAGACCTGTATATGTGCTAGCAATTTGCCAGCAGAAAACAGCGCTAAAGACAAGGGGTATTATGCGCTAGATGAAATGGATGATGCAGCTATCATCATAGGAAAGACGCCGCTATCACCTGCCTGTAACGCGTTTTAGATACATGGAAATTTCACCGTTTGCTCTGGTTGCCCCGTCTTTCAGGGGACCTCTTCTCTACAAGATATACTCGTCTAGTTCTGCATCGTCCAACGGTGGATCGCCGTTGTCCGAGAGCTCATCAAACAACGGGTCAAACTCTTCTTCATTGTGTAGAGACTCTTCAGTCTCAGGCTCTACACCAATGGGTGGATCGTCGTTGTCCGGGAGCTCATCGAACAGCGGGTCGAACTCTTCTTCACTGTGTAGAGACTCTTCAGTCCCAGGCTCTACTCCAACCGGAGGATCGTCGAAGAGAGGATCGAACTCATGGTATTCTTGTTGCGACGCTTCGATTCGTGGCTGTTCTGGCGTGGATTGGGCAAGAGGCGCCTTCTTGGTCATCGGAATCTTGTCCGAAAGCGATGGATCGCCCCCGGGGAGATCACGCAAAGCACGTTCCTCTGATGTGAGGGGGAGGCGCTGGTACTCTTTGCGAGCTGCCGCCCACCAAGCATCGAGAAGGTCGAAATCAGGGTACTTCTTTCGCTCCTCGCGGAAACGAGCATCTCGGTAGCTCCGGTTAATCATCTTCATGTTTGCCTTGATCGTCTCTTCGTGCTCCAATGCTTGCTTGTCAGCAAGTGCGGCGGCGGCAGCGGCCACGGCTTCAGCATCAGGCTCATTGACGGAGTGGAAGTTCAGTTGTGCCTCCGTAATGGTGGAGTTTTCATCGTTGAGAGTGTGCTCGGCCTCCTCGACGACAGCTTTCCTACCTTTCCTACCTTTCCTCTTCTTCTTCTTCCTCTCCTTCTTTTCCTCCTTCGTTATCCCTGATTTTATATCTCGGATGCTATCGTTACACCAGTTTGTCCAGAACTTGTGGCGCGGGTCCAGATCTCCATTCTCAATCATGCGCTCGACTTGTGACTTGTATGTCCGGATCGCCTTCGCAATCGCCTTCTTCAAACCCTTCGCATCATACCCGTTTTCGCAGCAGCCATGACCGCAAGAGCGATCTGCGCAGTTGAAATCTTTGTGGAAGCACTGATAAATACCCTCTTCGTTTGGAGTATAATCTTCCACGTTGATTAAAGGGTGGTCTGGAAGGGAGACCTCATCGCGAGGCCACTCTCGCTTCCAATAGTCCAACCGGGCATTTTCTGCGTCTGTAAAGCCACGGTCTTGTGATACTTGTTGAAGAGCGTCTTGCTCCTGAACCCTCTGCTCAATCTCATCGTTCTCAGCCATCCAAGCATAATCAGCACAAGCTCCAGTGCGGGCCTCCTTGTGCTCAGCTTTGTAGATTGGACGCTCGTCAGTACCCTTGCCCTTTTTGTGGAGACGCATTTGATCTCGTGCAGTTGTATCGAAGCGGAGCTGAGGTAAGTCTCGACTTTTCTGCTGCTCAGTCAAGTCGACGGGATCATCCTTACTGTCACCGCAGCGAGGCCTCTTGGTAGGCAAGTGGGTATTGCCGTTATCCAAGTCTTCCATCCCTCGCTTTCCGCCCGTCACCACACTCGGAGGATCTAAATCAACTGGCGCGGGAACAGTAAGCTCCTTGTACGTGCCGTCTTGGTTAATGAGCATCACCCGGGACTGGAATTTGAGCCACGTGTCCCAGGGAAGCAACCTTTTCTTCTTGCCATTATTATCGATATAATTCTCTCCAAACTCGCGATCTTTATGTCGGCGGTACCAAAGTTGCTCCTCGCGTTGGAGTTCTTCAGTCTTCGACTTGACCAGCTCCCAAGTATCCCACAGCTTCTGGTCTGTATAGGTGAGAGTCCTCAGGATATCGCCGAGTGCCTGGAACTCAAGATACTTTCGGTGACGAGCCGGGATTTTCAGGTGGCGCAATGTCCAGATATCCTCTGGAGTGTAGGCGGCAGGCTCGTTTGTGAAGTCTTTGACGAAGTCCACTGGGATCCCGGGCACGGCTTCCAACTGGGTCTGGCAAGGATGTTTGCTCGCGCGGTTTAGCCAGTTGGATGCGCCTGTCAAGTCCACTACTGGGATGCTCCTGATCGTCACATTACGGGGCGACTGTTGTGGAGTACTCGCAATGCCCCTTGCTGGTACCTCATCTGCGGGTGCGACGTCCGCTGCGTAGCCGATGGCATCTTGCCCGGGTAGTTGGTGTGTGCGTAGGTTGGTATCTCGCTCTGGCAGAGGGCTGAAAGAGTCATATCGAGACATGAGCTGGGAACTTGAAGGACGGACCCGCCCAGAAGCGTCGCGAGCTAGATGTGAATGTCCGTATCGGACGTTGCGGTCAGTACTGGAGTCTTCCTGACAGTGCCGCTTGCGCTGCTCGTCCGGTTCAGGTGCGCGACGGCGCTTCGTAGAAGCCATGGGAAGTTGAGAGTCGGAAGACTGTTGAGCCATGGTGTGTACAGTTCAATGGTCGGGATAAGGGAAGGCAATGTGACGGTGGGTCGATTGGTGTAGTTGATATCTGAGTGGTCGTATACGGTTGTGTCGATACGCTCGAAGGTTTGGAGGAGGATGGTGGAGCGGCTGTGATATGAAGCGAGGGGAGGTCAGGCGCAAGCGCGGGAGCACGTGCGGGTGTGGGTGCGGGTGCGGGTGCGGGTGCATCTTGGGTGAAAGATGCAAATATTACATTCACCCATTTCACTCATGCTGCATTGCCGCAAGAACTAGCTCTTGAGGAAGAGGGAATGGATATCTCTTTTCACTAGAGGGTCTAAGGGAAGTATAGGCGCAAGATGCAGTGGACAGTATCATTCAGTTCAGCCGAAGCTGGATATATAATTCATGGGCAACCTATTTATTCGCCTCCTGGACATGATATGTCTGCGGACCACTGTCAGGCACTGTCTTATCTCAGCACATGCCCATACCACGCGAAAGCCCTTCGAACAAACAAGTACATGGGCCATCTTGAGCGAGAGAAGGCCCTTGTATGCAGTGTTTACCATTCACCTACGCCCAACCGCTTATGTCCTGCGTGGATGAAGAGCTTTGCATCGGGGTCATATTGTGCAGAGTATCATGAAATACAGAATCGGGATATGGGGAATGCAGAGATTGTATCTATTTCCTAGGTAAAAGTACCAAATTGCTAGCAGAAATTATCGCTCGGGGCCGACCACTACGCCATGGTCAAATCATCGTGTGAAAATATCTCCATAAGAGGATCTCCACTCCCCAGTATGCTGAGCATCTTTACAGGACTCACAAACCTGCAGAATACTCGATTGACAAGTTCTATTGATTGATACTACGACGGGTTGATTTACAAACCACAAACCAGTATGTTTAGGTATATAAGCTTGCAAATTCCTCAACTATTGAGGGGTTGTACAGAAAAGTTTCACTGTAAATGCATGACAGTCTACACTGACTACATTGACAAGCGATCAGTTCTTCAGCACAGCCTAGCTCTCAGTCATCGGTACGAACGCCCAAGGAGATCATCTCCATTAGTATAATCATAGGCAGTCTCACACTCGAGCGAGTCCGATGTCGAATCAGGAACCGCGAGAAGTCGCGATCAAGGCCGACCTCAATGACTGAAGTAGCGCACAAGATCGGAGTTGATGAAGTAATCGGCGTCTTCATCACCCTTCTCGAAAGGACGACCTTGAGGGGCTGGGCCGAGTCCTCGAGCATTGCGATCGGCAAGTTCAGCAGCATCCTGCAAGTACCCTCCATGCTCGTCAGACGAGATCTCTTCCAAGTCAGAACTAATAGGCTCGCCAGATTCGATACCCTCAGGGTCAGCAACAATTTCGACCGCACGGCCTGGCATAGCTTGCTCTTCCTCCGCAGCAGCCTGCAGCACATCATGATCCAGCGTCTCAGCAGCTAAGAGAGCCGCATGATCTAAATTGTCAAAGACAGCGAAGCTCTGCGCAGCGAAATCATTGGGCAGCCAACTGACGCGTGCCGGCTGGTCTGTGTCATGGTAGTAGACGTCGTGGCCAGGGAACGGATCGAATGTAGGTAGGTTCGACTCTGGCTGGCTTACTAAATGCGGACCAAAGAGAAGGTTGCGGTCGATGGGGCAGGAGTTCAAGTTGGGGACCGTGGACGTGAACCACGAGATGATGCAGATGCGGTGGAAGAAGTGCATGTCACCGCATACTTTCGTCTTGACGGCTTCCATGTCTGTAGGATTGGAGGCTGAGGCTTGCTGTGAGGGGCCTGGGTTAGCATCTTTCTTACTCTCGGACTTGGGCTGTGCTTCGAGGGTGGCATCGGTTAGCATCTCCTGGCAAATTGCACACTTCTCGTTGGCCGGGGATGGTCGACACGTCTCAAGGGCGGTATTGATGGTGAGCAACCGCGGGTTGATAGTGGAGGTCATGGCGATGGATTGCAGTTCTTTGTGAGATCTAATTGGTCTGTGGAACAGAGCTTATGAGGACCTGGGTTCCATCTGGAGGTTGTGCCTTGGGGGGTTCTAGCCTGTCACTTCACAATGTGCTGACATTGTGTGGACCACTCACCCTCTCCGTTGCCATAGCATTCATGCGTTCACAGTGTCGTGCAGCTGGCCCATGTAAGAGCTCGATAGTGTCTCTCATTCGTCATCGTTCTTCGTTCCTCGTAAGGACATAACGCTGATCTCATGAATGGGAAACAGTATACACAGTTGTGATAGCTTCTCATGTCAACCGGATTTAGTAACGAATATCCTAAAGTGACCCATGCTAAGCAAGCTCAAGCTCAATCAAAGAATCAAGACTATTCGGGTGCTGAAATATGCCGGTAATCTTTAGACCTGCGCCTTCGTACAGCTGTCGATGCTCTGTTTCCGTCCTATGACGAGCTCCGAGACTTGCCATGAGCTCCCAATCAAGACAAGCTGCTTGATGTTAGCGATGGCCGCTCTAGAGGTATATTTACTTACTTTGCGCCCAGTGCGCGCCTTGATTCGGTACGACAAAATCGTTCACCAGAACCTTGGAGTAGCCCTTCTTCATGGCAGGCACAATGGCCTTCAGTATTTGCGTGTTCACTTCGTTGTTCCCTAAAAGCAGCCACACCATCAGCACTTGTCTACTAGGAAACGAATACTACCTAAGACATTCCAAGGAGTGTCTTATAAAAGGGTAATCACTTACAATCCTGTATGATGGAGTGCAAGTAGTATGCCCGTGCGCCCTTCACGGGTTGCTCGGTCAGGAAGTCGTGTGCCATGCCCTCGACGCCAGCGCCAATTTTCGCAATGTCAATGATCTCTGGTCTGTCCTGCAGCACGAGTTTGCCCGGAAGCTGGCCCTCAAAGGCCTCCCTTAGGCCCTCGACGTCGTGGCCTGAGCCGCCTCCAACGTCGACTAGGAAAGGAGTATCCTTCTCGGCGCCGCTAATCAGCCGCTCGTTGACCGGGTAGTACTCCTCATAGAACCAACGCGGTCGCCCTCTACTCCAAGTCTCCATCATGCTGGCAAATCGCCGTCCCATCTCGGGATCACGCTTTTGGAACCACTCAAAATAGTGGGTTCCCTTGCAATTGTAGGCATACTGAAACGGGCCGTCGACACCCGACCCTGGGGATTTGAAGTTGTTCTCTCGGAAATACGCAGGCAAAGTTTGATGTACTGGCGCAAAGTTGTCTGCAATGTACAGAATGGAGTCCTGGTACGCAGGCTCGGCAAATGCTCTCGAAATTGGAGTAAGCGCATATGTATGAGGGCCCGTCTCGCGAACGGTGCCCATGGCAGCGAGATGTCGAAGCATGCGGCCAACCAAGACTGGGTCCACGTTATTGTCGCACTTTTTCGCAATGTCTGTCACGATTTCCCCAGACTCTGGACTAGACTCCATGGCCTGGAAGAGCTTGATTTCTACGGCCATCCAAAGCACACTGATATGTGCTGGCTGCGACCACAACAAGCGCAGCATCATCTCCGAGGGGTTGCTAATCTCGGAGACGAGGCTCGTACAAGCGTCGAGCAGGCCCTCTCTCGCTCCCTGGCGGCCATTCTTCAGTCCGTCACTGAGGTCGGCGATCTTATCAAGAAGCGAAAGAGTCGTCGCGGATGGGGGAGAGGAAGCCATTCTATTCTGGATCTCAAGAGTGAAGATGGTGGCTGTTATTGGAAAAGAGCAGCTGTCAGCAAGTGACGGATTGGCGGGACGGCGGGGACGGTGCCCCTCGTCTCGTCTCGTCTCGTCTCACCATCATCGGACCATCATCGACCGAGCGCACCTGCCCAGCGGACCGTACCTGCGCCTGTATGCAGCCGGCCAACCCTGAACCCTGAGCCTAACCCCACAACCCCAGACGTCGACGACATTGTGACACCGTAGCGATCTTCGCACTACATTGCCATTAGTCCTGCTTGGACCATTTTCATTATAAGCTCTTCACTATGCAGCAAGCCCAGGCTGTACGAAGATCCGCCACTGCAGAGGCGGCCGCATCCACAACAGAATCTTCAGCAGCGTCACTAGCATCAACTGCTCAAGTGGGATCCGCAGTAGACTCGGGCATTGGCTCGTCGAGCGAATATGACCAGGATAATAGCGGCCATCACTTGCTTCATGCCCAGGATGATACGAGCGATGCATCTACCGATGAAGGGTAGGTCCCCCGGCCATGGTCTGCCTCTCTTTGATGCTCATCATCGCCGCAGATACGCCGATTCAGACGCTTCATCCTTTCTATCATCAATCTTGTCCGAAGTCAGGCGCGGCGTAGAAATCGAGGGCCGCCTGTACCCGTCGTACGGCAAACACGACTATGGCATGCCCATTGACGAGAAAGAGCTTGATCGCAATGACCTGCAGCACCACAAATACAGCCTGCTGCTCAAAGATCGGCTGTTTGTAGCTCCCATTTCAGAAGAACAACTAAACACAGGAAACAGCCGTATCCTGGATCTTGGTACCGGTACCGGAATATGGGCCATAGACATGGCCGACAAATTCCCCCATGCCGAAATAATAGGTGTTGATATTGCAGCAACACAGCCGTCTTTTGTGCCACCGAATTGCGTGTTTGAAATTGACGACGTGGAAGAAGATTGGCCGTATCGACAAGCGCATTTCGACTTTGTCCATGGACGCGACCTCATGACAGCGGTGCGCGACTGGCCGCGATTAATTAGCCAGGCATACACGCACCTCAAACCGGGCGGATGGATCCAGCTAGCAAGCACAATCCCTGGAGCCCTCACCGACGATGACACCATCCCGCCCAATAGCGGCTATGTGGAAGCTGGACGCTTGTATTACGAGGTCGCACAGAAAATGGGCGCACCGCTTGATGCACCTCGGGGCTGGGCCGAGCAAATGCGCAGCGCGGGTTTTTCTAATGTGCAGGATGAAGTGTACAAGCTCCCCATGGGCCCGTGGCCACGCTCCAAGCGGTTGAGAACTGTGGGAAAGCTAGAGCAAATCATGATTTTGGACGGCGGATTCGAGGCGTACCTGTTAAGAGGCTATACACAAGTACTAGGTGGCAGAGCAGAAGATTTGCAGATTATACTCGCCCTTGCGAAGAGGGAGGTTAGGGATCCAAATGTGCATACTTATGTACACTTTCATATTACGTATGGGCAGAAGCCACTTTAAAATAGAACGTCTTTAATTCAATCTTAGCCCGAAATGTAGTTTTAATTATCATCACCTCCCGAATACCTCCCGAATAAAAGCAGATACCGAGATGAGTTTGCAAGTAACAAGGCGGCTGATTAGGCAAATCTTTCCATCTCACATGCCAATGTATCATCACTTGCAGTTTGGTCCAAAGATCTCATGTGTGTGTGTGTGTGTGTGTGTGTGTGGCTCTGTTGTGTGAATGGTGAGTTGGTTGGTTTGAAGAAATCCTTGAAGGAGAAGATTAACAGATAATGTTGTGGACCTGGGGGAGGCCTGCCATGTGGCCCGAACAAGCTCGCTCACTATGCTGCAGTTGTAATTTCGTCCAGTAAATGCTGTGCCATGGTCGTTGCCCGAGGCTGAATGTGAACAGACTTATATAAGCTACACGTACAAACTACAGCCGGCTATGAACACAAAGAAAAGGCAACCCATCAGCGAATCTACGAATCAAGACCTCTAGGGCTATTAGGAGAAAGTCGCTCAGTCAATCAGTAGGCTGTTCAAACGCGCCTCTGTAGCGATAACATCCAACGCTTGCCTAACCTCAAGAACTCTCCTACACTCGCTCAACCAGTCTTTGCTGAGCACCTTGGCCCACCCCTGCAGTCCGTTCATTTCTCGTGTCGCGGCGTCCAAGTCACCCTCCTCGAGCAACACTTCAGTTCGGGCGAGCACGGCTTCCACATCTCCACCAAGCGCAAGGCCAGACTTCTTGAAGAGAACCTTGGACATAGCGAGCGAGGCGATGTGGGAGGCGACACCAGCGTCTTCAGGGAGAAGAGCGGCTTTCCTGACCTCTGAAGCAACGCGTCGGAAGCGGTCGATTAGCAGCGCTGGGCTGGGGATACCACGCTGGTAGGCGGTAGGGTTGATGCTGGCGATAGCAGCGCTGACTACGGGATCATCGGCGGCGATCTCCTTGAGGGCTGCGAGTTCAGTGACAAAGGGCTTGGGTGTGGCCTGGGTTTCGAGCGCGGACTTGACAGCCTCGACGGCGACGACGAGGTGTTGTGTCTTGAGGTTAGCGTCGACAACGTCGTTCCACTCCCCGGTCAGCTTCTCAAGTTCATGGACTGAAGAGGACAGCTGGTTCAGCTTGCCCAGGCGTCCATCACGCTCAGACTCGACGCGATCTCGGATGTTCGCGGTGAATGACTTTTGCAGTTTGATATTTTGCTCAAGCAGCTCGTTCTTGACCTTCTGCTCGTACACCTTGTGCGCAGCATCGAGCTCAGAGCGTAGCTTCTCCTTGTACGTCTGGGATAGGCGTTCTCGCTCGTTTTCGTATTCCTCTTTCCAGTGCGTCTCCTGAGCTTGCATTTGATGGTCCAATCGCTGCACAAGCTCCTTTGCGGCCTCGTCGAATTCGCTGTGGGCGGCTTTGATCTTCTCCTCGGCGGACTTTTGCAAGTTCTCCTTCATCAAATTGATATCTGAGACGACCCTTCCAAGCTCAGACTTGGCCTTGTCCAGCGCCGAGTTGTACTTGCCATCGTGAGCGGTATCCGCATTGATGACTGTGATGAGATCATTCACGATCTTGACGACATCCTGGACGACAGGCTCGTTGGCAGATGGTACGCCGAGGTGGTCGAGCTGGGTAACGGGCTTAGCTGGCGCAGCCTTGACCTCGGGAGTCACTGTCTTCGGCTTCTCCTGCTGTGTCGCCTCCTGCTTCTTCTCCTGCGTTCCCTTGGGTGGTGTGTTGGAGCCGACCTTTGGCTCGGCCGAGCTGTCAACGGCGCTTAGATGGGGACCTTTGGCCCCAAGATCACTGCTGGATTCCTTCTGGGCAACGCGCGCACTCAAACCGCTCTTTACCGGAATTGTGACCTTGTTCTCTCCTGATATTTGTGGGTGCAACCTCCCCGGGGTAGCGCGGCCGGGGAAGCGTTTTCTGAACTCGCGCTCCTCGAAGTATGCGACAGCGTCCTCGCCAAAGGGAACGTACTCGGTGAAGAAGTCGTGGAAGTTGTCCGACTCCAGGGAGTACCAGACACCTCCCGCATATCCGAGGCCAGACAGGATGGTCAGCCACAGCAGGAGCTTTCGGAAGTATCGTCGCTTCCTGGGCTTCGGCTGCTGTGGATTGGGTGCTATGCTCGCTGTCCCGCGGCCAGTAGGGGGTGTTGTTGCAGGTTGAATGACGGGAGCTGAGCGCGATGCTGAAGATGCGGCAACCGTCTCGGGGGCAGGCGGTGGCTTTGGGACGTCGGCAGCGGGGATGGTGGCTTTTTCGATGGGTGTGGAGGGAGTGACTGTAGGCGCAGGGTTAGGAATGGCCGTCTCGCTGAGCTTTTTGTCGTCGGCGTAGAAGCGCTGGGCGAGGCGCCATTGCGGGCGAGCCTGTCGAGCCAATGGCCTGGCGGCTGGGCTGGCCCGAAGAATGGAGGCGCGCAGCATCATGGGCTACCTCCGGATAGCGGGATGAGAATGGGCGACGAGGGGGGTGATGGGCCTGTGTAGGCCAGTTTGAAGAATTGAAGCTTGCGGCGGGAGAGATTGGCGCTTGGGCCATGGCGGATCATAGCTCCGGCGCATCTTCACCTTCTTCGTCTCAACCTCTACACATCCTCAGGACTCCATCTAGTCCGTGTGAAATCTCTCCTCCACACTCACTAACCTCACTGCATTCCTGGTACGACAGTTGTCAAGGCTACGTGAGCTCCAGGTCGCATTCATGTCTCGGAGCTGCCCTCCGCACCCGCAACCGGCAGCACTTGCCTATTCGTGTTCACTTTACAATCCACTCAAGAATGCCTCACAAACTTGTCATAAATCTCATGCCAAACTCCATCCACCCTCTCCTTGACCGTCTCACGCGTCCTCTCCTTATTTCTTCTCTCTTGACGCCAACTGAAAGCACGGAGTAAGCACAGCCACCGCATCATCAGCCTGCAACGTCATCGCATGACTCCTTCACGAGCTCACCACCAGGCTGCCATTTCCAGCCCGTGAACCACCTCCACTCTCGCCCGATCGCTTGGGTCTATCACTTACAAACCCATTACTCGCATCTGCAGCTGCACAGCTTGCATGTGGCTTTCAGTTATCGATTTTATTGCACTTCTCTCTGTGTGCCCACAAACACTTCTTCACTATTTCGCTAGCTAAGCAGCCATGGATGACGACCCGCGCTCAGGAACCCGCTCGCGTGACGAGCCCTGTCACAGCTACGACCTAAGCAGTGCTGTATATGGCATGCTTCCATCACGCGCCATGGACATCACGGCGCTGACATCTTCCGCTTCACCTCCAGCTCGAAGCCGGGCTGGAAAGCGACAGAGCGCTGTGGATACCGTCGTCATTTCGCAGCGCAGCATCTCACTCGGTCCCAACTCTGCACCTCCCTCCTGGCTCCCACAGACCAACAAGCGCAGTCGCTTGCAGCATAATCAGCGTATGGAGCTCCACCAAAGCACATGCCTGAACCTCAACCTGGCATCCGACGACAGCACCGAGTCCGACCTATGGATCTTACCTGACTTTGACGACTGGGAGCTCGAGACCGAGCAGCCAGCCCCTGCGAAAAGACAAAACGAATGGGCACCGCTGCTCCGTCGAGCGGCCAAGTCGAACCTCGAACGACTCCGGGCAAGACTCGAAGGAGATGGGTGGGACTTTGTGGGTGGCAAGTACGACGAGGACAAGAAGGCACTGCAGGAGGCGGCGAGTCAGAGCGAGGAGAGTGTGGATGAGGAGTTTGACGTTGTGGTTTTGCCCGCTGTGCAGCACTCTTGCTAGCCGGCGATCTCTTCTTGTTACCCTTTCTCCTTCCTGTCCATTTCGATACCCTCCACTAGGACTTTTCATGAGTTACGGTCAGCAATGTCTTTCTTTTCATGATACCCAAGACTTATGTACCACCACTCCATGTAACCTCTTTCATTGTAATACCCTGTACGACCCCATGATCCCCGTCTTGCAAGTAAAATCTTAATGCACCATATTCTCCTTCACAAAGCTCGCCGTCAAGACATATACCCACCTTTAGATCTACAGTCACATTAATGTGGGCCAGTACGCTTCTACGGTTCCAAGAACGACTGTTGAAATACACCTTCTGTCGCATTAAACCTCTATTAAAATCTACTACATCTTATAAGCTATGCAAGATCTACCGATGCATCACCATGAAAGCCCAGCGGACATTGTTCAAGGTCCTGTCCAAATTACTCTATCCTCTTCTTCCCTTCCTCCAACCCCAATAGTCTAGCATCGCTCTTTCCGCGCTCATGCCTCGTACCTACCAGAGGCCCAACAACAGCGTGGTGCGATACTTTGGAGAGCGTTTCTTGGTAAGACTCGACTTGTGCTGGAAGGCGGTTGAGCTTCGGCCAGTTGACCTATACAGTGTTAGCTGGGCAACCTGGAAAGTCACAAAAGACGAGACACTTACATAAAGCGTGCCATTACCCCAGACAAAACTGAGACACATGCCAGCCGTGACAAGAGAGAGGAGTAGCAAGAGGCGTAACGGCCAGATGGTTGCCTCGGGTGCACGGCGAGTAAGGCTGCCAACAAGGATGAAGAAGATGCTGGCAGCGAGGATGTAGGGTATTGATTGGATGAAGATGGGTCTTCGGTCCGCAAATAGCAACTGCCCACCAATGCCATCATCGCTAGGTAGATAGGTGCCTAGGAAGAGATCGAATGCGTCCTGTCGCGGGCCGTCCTTGAAGTTATTTAAACAGTATCGCGTGATGGAGTTGCTCAAGTCCTGGAGAGCACCCTGCTTGGTGCGGATCCCCAGGCGGGTGAAGTCCGTCTTGAGCGCTCCTGTGCCAGAGTACGACTTGGAGACGACGTCTGCATTGTCAGCCCACACGTTGCGGAAGAGGAACTCGAATGCCTGGTCTTCCTCTGCGCTCTCGCCTTCGTGCATCAGACCAAGGTCGATGAGCATGCGCGAGAGAATGTAGCGGCCAATCATGCTCTGCACGACGTTTGTGCGGTCCAGACAGTCCATGCAGTTGGTTCGAACGACAGCAGTCTGGTGCCGTCGGACCTCGACGCGGCCGGCGTCGCCTGGCATATCCACACCGCGGAAATACCCGTGCTTCAAGATGTGTGGTTCCAGCTGGTTCAGCAGTAGCTTCGCACGGTCCCATCGCAGCCCCTTGGTTTCGTTGTGGAAGTCGAAGTAGATGTAGTGCAGGCGGTCGTAGGCGGTTTGCGCGTTTGCAGGCTCAATGAGATGGAATCTTTCGGCGGTAATGCTATCGCCCTCTACATTATCAACTGGCGAGCTGACTAGGTAGTCGACCATTTGCTCGTACGCCTCTTTGACCCGCTGTTCGCGACCCTTCTGGTTGACGAGGTTGACGAGCCAATTGTCACCGTAAAGGCGTATTTGTTCGGCAAAGTGCTTCTTCGCAGCTGGCAGCGCATTCTCCACACCTCGTACCTGCAGCTTCGGCGTGTATTTGAGCGTGTTGATTTCAGCCCAGTAGACGGGCACACTGCCTCTGGTCTGCACGTAGGCGAGGACCTGTGTTTCCTTTCCAGGATTCCCGCCAACTGCCCCATTCTGGTTCGACCCAAAGCCGCCTGGGCCGCCCGATGCATTGTCGTTCAGTATGATGGACTGTTCCGTCTCGTTGAAGTTGGACACGTTGCCGTTCTCGTCGATGCCTCGCGAAAAGTACCGCGTTCCCGCCTTGAGACGCGATCTTCGGGTAATCAAGATGAAGGTAAGCGGGGTACCCTTGATGGACGTGTTCTTAATCTCCATCATGCCGTACATGACAGGCAGGATATACGGGTCCACATTGGGCTGCTGCCCGCTCGAGTGCCGTCCATATACACCGCCAAGGCCTCCACGAAAGTCGATCAGGTCGCTCGAAACGAAGCGGTTCCAGAAGAAGCGGTCGTCGGCGCGCTTCCAGAGGGGGGTCGAGGGGTCGAGGTGCGCCTGGCGCTGGAAGCTGTTGGTGATGTCAAAGGAGTAGGAAAAGTACAGAGGCGACGTCTTGATGAGCGTCTTGAGCAGGCTGAGGTAGTTGTCCTCGTCGGGGTCGTGCAGCGGTCGCTCGCGCACTGGCAGGAACTCGGTCGCAACGACCTTGTAGATCATGTGGCCTTTGATCCGGCCCATGGGCTGGGCCTTGGTGATGACGATGATGTACTTGTCTTGCGATGCATATCAGCTTCCCCGTCACTGCGGTCTGTGGAGGGCATGTGTACCTAGCCGCAGCTTGATGATACCGAGGATGCCTGCCACGCTCGAGACGCGCTTTGAGCCCAGGAGCTTGCCATCGTGCAGGCGAATGTCGCCAGAAGGGCGGTCGATTACCAGCGTCGGGGCAGAGGGGGACGATGGGGAGGAGAAGGCGTAGTGCGCGGGCGACGAGTGCACATTGATGTCGCGGTAGGGCAGGGCGGTGGTGCCCATAGTGACGAGCTGGAGCGAGTGTCAAGCTGGCGTGGTAGTAGATGGGTTTCTCAGAGCAATGCACTGCTGGAGGGATGGTGAGGACTGGCCGTGTTGTCGCAATCGGTTTTCTCCAACCGCACGCACGCCCAAGACGGCCGTTCCGTTTCGTCATGGCGGCGAAGGGTCCCGGTCTAGTCTGCCTGGTGCGCTCGGGCCAAGCACAGCACGCAGCACCTCGTCACAGCAGCAACCAGGCCCTTCATTCATCTTGCACGTCCACGTCCCATATCCGCCCACCCCGTCCGCCGTCCCCCGCCCCGACACGGTGAATAGAACCCCTGCCCTCTTCCGCATCCTCTGCCTCCGCAGCAGCCCTCCGCTCTCGATCCGATAGCGCCGCGTCACGTAGCTCGCCCATCATGTCCGCCAGAGCGCCACAGGGCCAACGGCCTGGAGGCTCCCGATTCGCACAGTTCAAGTTGGTACTGCTCGGTAGGTTTGGACAACCAGGTCCCCGTCTTCTGGTGCATGGCTAATGATGCGCAGGTGAATCTGCCGTCGGAAAGGTGCGCAGGTCGACCAAGGCAGCTCTCTATTGTAGCTAACCAGTCCGCAGTCGTCGCTAGTATTACGCTTCGTCAAGGTACGTCGAGCAGCAACCCACGAAACAGCCAGCATCATGATACTGACTCGGGCAGGACCAATTCGACGATTACCGGGAATCTACCATCGGCGCTGCCTTCCTCACCCAGACCATCGCCCTCGATGAGAACACGACCGTCAAGTTTGAGATTTGGGATACAGCCGGCCAGGAGCGATACAAGTCCCTCGCGCCCATGTACTACCGAAATGCCAATTGCGCAGTAGTCGTCTACGACATCACACAGGCTGTACGTGTATAGCACCCATGACATGCACCAGGATACTAACTCGGACAGGCGTCATTGGACAAGGCCAAGGCATGGGTCAAGGAACTTCAGCGCCAAGCCAACGAGAACATCATCATTGCTCTTGCCGGAAACAAGCTCGATTTGGTCACCGAATCACCCGACAAGCGCGCCATCTCCACAGCCGATGCCGAGCAATATGCTCGTGAGGCCGGTCTTCTTTTCTTCGAAACCTCGGCCAAGACGAGCGAGAACGTACGAGAACTATTTACCGCCATTGCAAAGAAGCTGCCGCTTGACCAGGCTGGTCCACGGAACTTGAGGCCTGGCCAGCAACGACAGGGTGTAAATCTGAGGCCAGAGGCGAACCAGACCCAGGGGCCTGGTGGCTGCAACTGTTAGATGATGTGAATGCGTCCTTGGAAGTGTAGGTAGATCGCTCGCATGCCGAAACAACTTCATTGCGGATGAGTCTGCGCCCCCACTAGTTGGGTGTATGCTCTGACCTTGCAGTACATCGACCTCGCGTCAGTCGGTCTTGTTATTTTTGTGGGCATATTTGGTCCTGGAGTACGGATTTCACCCTTGCAGCTATGCGTTAAGAGAAGAGACACTGGGGCTACCTGACAATTTAATTAATGATTTCCACTTTTGTTCTCATTTCTTCACCAACCATCAATCACAACCCGTCACAGGTCGTTGGCCTTCTCTTCTGGCATGCCCGGCTACCCGATCAATCTCGTAATCTCGAAATTCCACATCCCAAACCTCTGATACAGCTTCCCGTACTCACTAACCGTAACGTTCCCACTCTCACCCTCCTTCCAATGGGTCTCTTGTGTCGCAAATCCCGTCAGGTAGGTTCTGTCAAGCATCAGCATTACCCTCACACCGCGCGTAGAGTTACTCACCCATTACTATTCCACGTCTTCTTCACCTCAAGCTCCCTGAAGTTCTTGGAAATCCTGAACGAGAACGAGACATCCGGATCCGAGTCCTCTTTCTCACAGGGGTAGTACTTGTAGGTTGAGTAGAGTGCCTCGTTAGGCTTGCTCATGACGGTGCAAAGCGTATTATAATCGCCGTCGTCGATGATGAAGTCTGCCCAGGACTGTTGCTGGTACGCTACTGGGGCATCTGGTGCGGCGAGGGAGGCATAAAAGGCGCGGACGGTGAAGTTTGTAGTTGTAGGAAGTGCTGATGGCGAGGCGGTTGGGAGAGCCAGTGAGGTGGCCACAAGACCTATGAAGGCCGTGAATATGGATGAATGCATAACGAGTGTGGTGGAGGATGTTCTTCTGCAGAATTTCGCTGATCCCACGAGCTATTTGAGCATTACCATCGACAGAGGGGTGGTTGGGAGGTATGCATCTCATCTGGATCCTTGCTCGGTACGACTTGCCAACGCAAAGGAATATCCACAGCAAACAAATCTGCCACTGGCCCACATAGCAATTACTTGCAGCATCTCACAACTAGGGAGAGATGAGACCTACACAGCCCTGACACGTACTATGATGATCCAAAGCGCTATTATAAGGTTACATTCCCGAGACTGGAGTGTCACGTATACCCGGATGAGGGTCTTGCACAAACGCCGCGTTTGGCTTGGGCGAGAGTCATGTAAAACATGCCTTTACTTGTGTTTGACTACTTCGTGGAGACGGATATAGTCGATGGGTTTGAAAATGTCCAAGCTCGCATGCAAGGGAATGGGAACAAATCTGACACCTGCACTAGTAGAGCACAACGTGCACCCATGGCTATTTGAGGAACTATCGAAAGTGCATTCTACGGGCCACAGGCAAGCTAGTTACGAATCGCTTAACATGCGGTGTGCTGTCTGTCTACCTGGAAGTACTGGCAGAGAACGCATGTGGTTCCAAGGTTCAGTGGCGTTGGGTGAGTGCTATGGGAAGAGCTAGCCTTATTGAGGCTAGGGCTTTGTGGTCATCCATGGACATCCATGATGTGATAGTTGCGACACTTACTGAGAGCCCAGATCCTCCTCTTACTTATAACAACTACACTTTTACAGTATGCATTTGCGTACCATAATATTGCTGGATGCCACAAGCATACTCCGAGGCAACGGCGAGGCCTTGCGTTCCTTCTTTACAAATCAGAACGGGACCACTCAAGCCTGCCCAGGGACTAACGCAAAGGCCGGATTGCCCTTCGCTACTGACCTTTATGCTTAAACGTTCGAGCCCAAGATGTCATGGCTTACTGGATTCTCGACAGCTTTGACTGATCATACAAACTACACACATCGTAACGGAAGAATATCAACATTCGTCACCAGTTTGCCTATCGCGCGCTTTTTACTATCTTTCTATCACCAAACTGTAACCAATATCGATCATTATTGCAAACGCCAACTCTGCGACCTGCCAAAAGTCCCGGGTGCGTTTTACACAATTCCACTTCTCTATATCTCAACTCTATTAAGATAACGCAGTCCAAAATAGACCAGAAAATGTGGTATCTCACATACGTACCAGACTATACTGACCACCTATGAAGTTACTGCATTCGGAACAAGCAGTCACTTCAATATCATGTCCTCGCAATATATTTCCTCCGTCCAATTCCTACAGGACGGCATCGAAGCGCTCTCCCGCGCTGGAATCGAGACTGAAGAATGCCCAATATGCCTGGAAGTTTTAGCACCCTTCCAAATAGTAGCTACCGACGCGACGACTTCGGACACCGTCCACCAACCCATTCGAATAAAAAGATGCGGTCATTCCTTTCACCGCCAATGCCTCTAGCGGTGGCTGCTCAACAAGGAACAAGGGACTTGCCCAATCTGTCGCATGGAGCTCTTCTCAATTATAACAGACCAAGACCGAGAGTTGATACGGCTGGTTGAGCAAAGCTTCAATATTATCACCTTCACGTTCAGGAATCTGGACGCAGACTACCGTCGCCGGGTCAGAGGGTTGCTACCAGCACCTTTTGCGGAAATCATCGACGGGCTGTTGAATACGCCTCCGATGGCCTCACCCCATCTTACGAGGAGCGAATCTACGATAGCAGCGACTCCTTGGAACCCGAGCGTCTTACCCCGTCTCAGGGTGAGAGACTCTATGATAGCGGTGATTCCTTGGAACCCGATGAACTCACCCCGCATTAGGAGGAACGACTCTACAATATCAGCGACTCCTTGGAGCTCGATGAACCTACCCCGTCTCAGGAGGAATGACTCTAGCCTTGCAGCGGCATGGGACCTTTTAGACTCACGCCGTGTCGGGAGGACCGAAACTGCGATTGCAGCGGCTGAGGATCCGATAGACTCACCCCATCCAGACAGGGACGACTCTACGACTGCAGAAACTCCTAGGGACCAGATATTTCCCCCGGAGAGTTCCTAAGAGATTTGGAGCCAGGCTCGTCTTCGGCAGTTCTGCATCGAATGATGGCCGCCGAGGCTTTTCCTGACAGGACCACGAGATTCAAGGCCCATACTATGCCCGGGGGCATTATATCGAAGGTTAGAGGGATATTCACAACACCGTATTCCCGGCGACATAGACGTAACGGAGTCGAAATTGCGTGCTGTTTTATAAAGTGGACACAGATAGAGGAAGGAGGATGCTCGGTGGTTGCTGTTGCACAGTTGTGTAGCATACCGTAGGAAAGAAAGAAGGCTACTCTATTATTACAAAAAGATGGACACACGCAGCAAAGTGAGAAGACGTATAGCTGACAGAGTACTCCAAGAAAAGTAAAGTTGACATTCACAACAATAAACAACCATAATACCAAGCTGAACAACTTCAAGTTCATCGCCAAGATAGTTCAACATCCTGTGATATCTGTCGTAGAGAAAGACTGCTCAAGCAGAAGTTTATCAGACGGCAAAGCCATGTGTGCTGGAGATCTTCGTAGCTCGATCGATGGACCTTCTCTCGGTCACTCGGTGCTTCTTTCTGCGGTGTAATTTGAAAACTTGAGCAATCCAGTTGTCCGGTACACTAAAGCCAACGACCTGGTTAGTGGCAATATACTTTTCCACACATAGAGCCCGTTCCTGCAACAATCAGTGGGCAATGGAGTATACTGAAATAGCAACAACAACAATATTCTCTTCAACGAAAGAGTGCTTCGAAGCTATCCTCGGAGTCGTTCGCAAGGTCAGGGGACACCTTTCCAGCACGATCATGCGCGATGCTCTCTACCTCGGCGCTCGGGAATTGATTGCAGCAATCTCGAACCGTTCGGAGCCATAGACCGGGTCGGTGGCAAGTTGTACAGACGATTGGCACCTTCCAAGAGCATATTAAGCTTCCTTCACGAGGCTTGAGCCCAGGAGCTAGCGGTCTTGACGTGCTTGTTTATCAACGTGGGATGATGTCAAGCTTTTGCACCTTCCGAATCGGGCATTAGCGCCACCGTTTCCGAGGCTAAACGCCCGCTCTCCACCTTTGCTCCGATGAAGCTCTGTCGAAGCTCTACCATTTCGAGCTGTTCCAACATTGAACCGCATGCGACCAACGAATGAGAAGGCGTGCCTACTCCGCACCGCACGGTCGTGTCGTGATCTAGGAGCGGTTGAGGCAAGAGGACTTGCAGATACAGGTGCTTGAACCGAGGAGGCGGGCTCGTACGCTGTATGACTATCACCACTAATTTGAGGACCTTCCAATTGGGGTTGCCATTGAGGCATGACGAAATGAGCGCACTGGGGGATATAGAGCCCCAGTATCCGCCCTCTGCACCAAGGTTCTTCAACCTTGCGACTGCCTTTACGCTACAGCCATCATGCAGCTCCTTGCATTATTAGCGACTGCAATTGTTGCGCCTGTTGTACTTGCAACTCCAATCGCTCGGTCACCCTATGTCGTCAAAGAGACACACTTTGTGCCAAAGGAATGGAAGAAGCTGGACCGGGCCCATGGCGGCAAGACGATTCAGCTGCAGATAGGCCTCAAGCAGGGACGATTCGAAGAGCTCGATCGCCACTTGCATGAAGGTACGTCGAATTGACAAGATCGGGTAATATGACTGACTTGCGCTGCAGTATCTGACCCTGACCATGCACGATATGGAAAGCACCTCAGCGCTGATGAGGTTGACGAGCTAGTCGCCCCCAGCTCGGAGACACACAATCTCGTGCACGACTGGCTTCGCGAGAACGGGATCGACATGGAGCACCTCGGCTACAGTTCCGCCAAGGACTGGGTTATCGTCCATCTCCCGATCGAAATGGTCGAGAGTCTGCTCGATACTGAGTATCACAACTACAAGCACAAGGATGGCTCTGTTGTGGCCCGAGCGACTAAGTGGTCGCTTCCTCGCCATCTCCACGACCACATTGATGCCATTCAGCCGACGACTTCCTTCTTCCGCGGCGCTCCGAGGGACGCAACGTGGGTTAGCGAGACTGCGGAAGTGCCGGCAAGCTACCAGACCCCGAAGAACGGATCCATTGCCAGTGTCTGCAACGTGACTTCCGTGACGCCTGAGTGCTTCCAGACTCTCTATTCGACCAAGTGGTACAAGACGCAGGCGAGTGACAAGAACAGCGTTGCATTCGCCAACTACCTTGGTGAAATCCCAATCCGCCCAGATACGAAGCTTTTCTTGCAGAAGTACCGCCCCGAGGCTGTGTCGCAAGCGTATGACTTCAAGCAGATATCTATCGCTGGGGGCCCAATTCAAGATGGCCCTTTGACGTACAACCAGTCCACGGTCCAGGCCATCAGCCGCGAGGCCAATCTCGATGTGCAGGCTATCGCCGGCATTAGCTGGAAGACCCCAATCACCAGCTTCTCCACTGGTGGCCAGCCGCCGTTCAAGCCAGACATCTCTACCCCTGAGAACACAAACGAGCCATATCTCGTCTGGGTGAACTGGCTCCTTCAGCAAAAGTCGATCCCCAAGGTCATCAGCACATCCTATGGCGATTCCGAGCAAACCGTTCCTCGATCCTACGCCGAACGCGTCTGCAAACAATTCGCTCAGGTCGGTGCCCGTGGTACTACGCTCTTCTTCTCTTCTGGTGACAGTGGCCTTGGTGGCACAGATAAGTGCTACACCAACGATGGCAAGAACACGTATCAGTTCAACCCAGACTTCCCTGCTTCTTGCCCATACGTCACTACCGTTGGCGCGACGATGAACTTCGAGCCCGAGGAGTCTGCTTACCGCCCGTCCCGCAACACCAGTGCTGGTTTCCGAGACTTGTATGCCAGCGGCAGCGGCTTCAGCAACTACTTCGATCGTCCTTCGTACCAGGACAAGGTCGTCCCCAAGTATGTCAAGGCGCTTGGCGACAAATACCAGGGTCTGTACAACAAGGAAGGCCGAGCGTATCCCGATCTCGCGGCGCAGGGCCTGTACTTTGCGTACTTCTGGAACGGCACTGAAGGTACGTAAACTCCATCTGAAGATGTCAGAGACACTTCGCCGAGCGAGCGATCTCTAGATCCTCTCTTGTCTTAATTAGAGTCTTGCTAACAGTATGCGCGTAGGTACTATCAGTGGTACTTCAGCCTCGGCACCCCTGACTGCTGGAATTTTCACTTTGGTCAATGACGCTCTGATTGCGTCTGGCCAGCCAACACTTGGTTTCCTCAACCCTTGGCTGTACAAGAAGGGATACAAGGGGTTGACTGATATCACCAAGGGCTTCAGCCATGGCTGCAATGTCGAGGGCTTCCCAGTAACCGAGGGGTGGGATCCAGTCACCGGTTTTGGTACCCCCAACTTCCCTAAGCTCCTCAGGGCGGCGGGTGCGAAGGGCCACTGGTAAGCGTATTAGCGCTTGATAGCTTCGTAGCAGCTTGCAGTTGATACTCAGGTTGATAGTGCTATGTATATATGGCTGTGAATGAGTTACATGAAATAGTTAACGACGCCCAATGTCTGACTTGCAAAACGATCTTCGATTCGTGAAAATTGATACAAAATAGACTACAAATAGTATACTGACTGCCTCTACGTGGTTTAGAGCTTGGAGGGGTTGGCGTATTTACAGTTTCCAGTAGGAGGAAGGTTTGTTGAGCTATCTTACTGTTTCAATACCGTTCGATGTGGCAACATCCGGGTTAGGATAGAACCAGGCCGCGACGGCGATAATGAGGTAGACGATGACCAATAGGGCGCCTTCGAGGTAGTTGGACTCTCCGTCGCGGAGGAAATTACCCACGACGACAATAGAGAGAACGAGCAGCACGATCATGAAGATCTCGAAGTTGAGATCCATGTCTTTGCCCATGATCCATCCAATGATGACGACTAGAGGCGCGTTGAACAAGGCGGTTTGGATCGAGGGGCCCACGCAATGGAAAAGGGCGAAATTCTACTCATGTAAGTAACGTCCAGTTGGTTCAGCACCATGACTTACGATTTGTCCGTCCCAAGCTTCATCTACCGCGGTCAAGTGCTCGGCAGCCTTTTCCACTAGAGGCAACATGATCAAACCAAGGAACTGGTCAGGTACACCGGACTCGACCACATCTTCAATGCGCTCAACCAGAAACACTGCAAGCAAGGTGACAATCGCCAGCGAAAGAACTAGAGCAACCATGCATTCTGTGAACGTGAACTTTGGCTTGGCGAGGTCTTCATGGTGGTCGAGATCGGCATGCTCATCAGCTTCGAGGACTTCGTCGAATAGAGAGTGTTGTGAACGAGCATTGTACCAGATGAAGCTGTACGGCGTCAGCCAGCGATTGCAGTGTGTCCGCACTCATTACTCACATGCAAAAAGCGATGATCAGCAAGATCGAAGTGACCTGGCTAATTCTGAGAACGTTGTGTTCTAGGATCTTGTGTGTGAATTCGTGGTGCTTGGTCGCTTTGTCGACGGCCGACCCCTTCAGGGCAGAATAATACGCGGAAGGAATGAGGAGGCCAAAGCCGGCAATCAAAAGCAATCCGCTGCCAACTTCACTGATAGAAGCGTGGAACTTCTGGCTTGCTTGACGTAGCCCACCAACGAAGAAGCAAAGTCCGAGGCAGAGCAACAAATTCGTGAGGATGGAGCCGAGAATGGCGGCCTGGATGACCGGGATGAGGTTGCCATGTTCGGACGACGCGTGCCCGGCGTCATGCTTGGCAATAAGGATAATAAACAGTATTATTTCGACAATGGACCCAAAGGCTGTTTCGATCAGAATGCCAGAAACCTTGGGCATCTTCCTTGCGAACTCTTGCCCAGCGAAGCCTAGCAGATTGGCGACCGGTACCATGGCGATGTAGCTGGTGACAAAAATGGCGATAGGAAGCCCAGGCGTCGCAAAATGCAGGACAATAGCAATGATTACGAAAGGCCACAACAGGTTGGTGTATTTCGCTGCATTGCTCCCAGACCTCCATGCGACGTGCAGAAAGTGAGAAGCCTGAAAGCCAGTGCGACCGCTCTCGCCATCAGGATGGATATGTTGAGGCACGATATGACGGAGCAGGGGCGTCGACTCGGAATTGTGGTGATTGGAAGACATCGTGAGAAAAACCTGGGGGAATTGAGGAGCGAAGTTGGAGGTTGGAGGCGAGTTCTGTAGATGGTGGGGAACGCGACGCGCCATTGCCGTTGCCCAGCCTCGGCTTCCAGCAAAACAAGACAGGCGCCATCTTGTTCGCCATCAAACTCTCCCACGTCGACCTTCCGATGAGCCGTTGACGTGAGGTGGGAATAGTCGAGTTGGCGGGGATTACAGAATTCTGTACATCTCACACATGTCTAAGATTTCTTCCAATTCCATCGCGCTAATTCTCCAACTCACACCAGCCTAACCGTTTTGCATCTCTTGATGGTAATGTTTGCTGGCCTTCATGACGTGCGTTTGAGGCGTTCGATTGCTGTATCGCTGGCTATTAAAAACGTACCATCTGACCCTTTCGCTGTTCGCTGTTCGAACTGTTTGCGCTACGAGGAGCAACCTTATAAGACATCCTGCACTTCTCAAGAAATTAGAAACTTGCCTCAAAGCAACGATCAAACTTCCTTCTCGACATCTCCCAAAATCAACCGCCCCAGAACCTACCTATGGGTAATCAATTTGCTACCATCGACACTCCCAACGAGTCGAAACCAAATAGGGAGACTCGCTCTGCTGGTGCAGCACCCAGGAAAGCTCATACTCCCATACTGCAGGAGGCGATGGAGGGCAGCATGTCATTTGAGGAGTTCTTGAAGAGCGGTGCGAATTTTGAAACGGAGGAGAAGCGCGTAGAGGCAAAGGAAGGCAGTGAAGAAACAACCAGCGACAAGAGTGGAAAGGTTCCAGAAGCTGATAAGATGTAAAGCGAAATGACAGTGGAGGAAGAGGGAAGAAAGACGAGATGAAAGGGCTCCTCCTAGACACTGATATGAACAAATTGAGTATTCAAGCCTCAACCACCATTCGTCTCATCTCAGCCATTACTCCCTCTCTCCTCGCACATGCAATTACCCTAAGACCCCCCCTCAGCAGCAGCCTTAGCTTCCTCCACCCTCCGACCAATCTCCCCCTTCAACAATGGATAAAAGTCCCTCGTCATGCCTACATCCACATACTCCACCCACTCGCTCACCCTCGCCCCTCCCTCTTCAAAGCCCATCTTCCACACATATTCATTCTCATACAGCCCAACCGGCGTGTCTCCGCGTGCACTAACAAACATGACAATCTTCTTTCTCTGAACAACAGCTCCGTTTGAATTTGTCTGCTCGCTTGTTCCTTCAATGATGTCGTTGACGGTGATGTGGAAGGACGTGAAGATACTTTTCATGCCGGTGAGGTTTGCGCGGTAGGCGTCGTTTGATTGGGGGTTGTAGTGCAGGGATGAGGGGAGGAAGATGCGTTGGCAGGTTGGTGTTCGTAGGCTGATGATTGTGTCGATGTCCATTGTGTTAAAGGCTGCGACTAGGGTATTGGCGGTTTGTCGTTCTTGGGACGGCATGATGGATTTGAGACGGGTGGGCTGGTGCTGTGTGCAAGTAGAGTGTTGAGGAGGTTATTATCAAATTGAAGCTTGGGTTTGTGTATTCATGGTCGCCGAAGACTAATGCAAGGCTGCCCGGCCCGCAGAAATGACAGCTAGGCTTGCAGCAGCGTCAAGCCACGATTTCAGTGTAGGCTTCTATACTGTACTCATCGGAAGTACGTCGGCGCCGTGGCTTTAGCAGCCAGCCACGCCTCGTCCAGCGTCTTCACCACGTCATCAGGCAACGGACCCTTTTCTAGATCTGCTAGATTACCCTCCAACTGCGCAAAGTTGCTCACGCCAATAATCACGCCGTCGTTTCCGCCCTTGACCCGCGTCTTCAGCTCAGAGTGATGTACAACCCATCTCAGCGCAATCTCGAGTAAAGTCAGGTTGTGCTTCTGCGCCGCGCCTTCGACAATTTTCAACGCTTGGAAAGTCGAGTCCTTGAAATAGCGCTCGCGGTACATGTTACCCATGCGGGCTGCTTTAGTGCCGAAGCGACCGTCTTCGGGCTTGATGTCTGCGGATTTGATCTTGCCCGAGAAGAGGCCGCCTGCTAGGGGATTGTAGACCACGATGTCGATACCGTATTTGCGACAAGCAGGGACGAGCTCGGGTTCGATAGCGCGAGCTGTTCAAGTTAGCTAAGACATCCTAATGAGGATGCTGCCACTTACTGATGGCATTGTACATGGCTTGGTAGATGGTGGGCTTGACCCAGCCTCTCTCTTTGCAGATGTTGTACACTTCCGCAAGCTCCCACGCCGCAAAGTTGCTTATCCCTAATTGCACGAACTTGCCCTCCTTGTGCAGCTCGTTCACAGCCTTGAGCGTCTCTTCAAACGGCACCGAGTGATCCGGGGCATGCAAATAGAAAATGTCCACAGAATCGGCACCCAGCTCGCTCAAGCTCTTGTTGAAGTGCTCTTTCAACCTGTCGGGCTTGTGTACGCCAGCCTCGTATGGGTATACCTTGGTCGCGAGTGTGAAGCCACGGTCCTTCCACTTGGCATCGCGCGTCCAGGCCTCCTGCTTGCCGTCGACGTACATGCGAGCTGTGTCGATTTCATCGTAGCCTTGTGACTGGAAGTAGTCGAGGTGTTTGGTGAATTCTTTAAAGTCGGTTATGCGCGCCCCGGCCTTTTCGTCAGGACCTATGGGAGGTTAGTTGGGTTTCAGACATGCATGGTTGAGGCGTGTCTTTACCAAAGGTCATCAATCCGAGGATGACGCGGTCCTTTGGGTTCTGTGCGATGAGAGGCATTGTGGAATTGATTCTGTAAATTGGAACAAGTAGAGAAAAGGACTCAAGCCAGTCTTCTACGATAAAAGTCGTCTAGATTCGCGTTATGGTCGCGAGATGACGACAGAGGGGTGTGCCCCGCTTCGGAACTGGAGCCATTCTGGTTCCGATTTTCGGAAAGTAGCGTGGTGTGGACTCTGGAGATGGTACCTCGCCGTCGTATCGTCGCAACTCGACAACCATCGAGGCCTGCTTTTGTCGTATTGGTTGAGTCATCGTGCTCTGCGGCGTTGCCGATATCGTTCACGCCGCCATTCTTTCCATGGACTCCATGCGATTCATGAGATGCGCCACCGAGTTGAAGAGCAAGCGGCTTTCGCGAGACCATTGGCTGCCCACTTTGGCCCCCCGAAACCTCACCAACTGCTTTCGGCCAAAAGCTGCGGCGAAGCAGGAGTCTCACGAACGCCTGTTGGCGCAGCAAACCGGGAAGTCAGGAGGAACATGCAACCTCCCGCGACGGTGCGAAAGACGATGCCGGGAAGATGCTGTCAGACAGCTGAAACCTCGATGGGGAGGAAAAGCCAGACATTCACTGCTCGCTTAGAAGGGTGTGGGGCCAAAGGGAGCGGTTGCGCACCAATGACGTCGCGGCCAAGCCGATAACGATAACACATCCAACCTGGATCCTCGACGTCTGGTCAGCTGGGCATATCATGCAGCTAGCAGGCTCCCATCACACAACAAGTCCACAGCTACTGTACAGTAGGGCCGTTGCAGCTCGTCGATTATCTGCGCCCAGGATCGTCCCGCACCGTCCCGTCGTTCTTTTGTACAGCACAGGTGCCACGTAGCAGCGACGCAGGTACGCACAGAAGCCGCACATAAAAGGCCATCAACCGCCTCGAGGGGGACGGCTGCTCCCATATAAGACCAGCATGCAGCCCGCCCACTCGATTCAGCACTCTACCTCCACTTTCACGACAGAAAGACGGCTGCGGTGTGCTAGACAAATGGGCCCATCAGCTGTAGCCAGAGGGGTCATGTGGCCCGGTAAGCCACCCCTCTGCAAAAGGTGCGAATCAGTCACGTCCTCGCACACCACCAGGTAGGCCCCCCTCTGATTGGAGCGCAAACCATCGATACAAGGTACCTTGAAGGAATCCTTTCTTGATTTAGCTTCCGGCCATGCAGTCACATCGCCTTATTGGCATCCCGCTTCGACGCCGCCAGTGCGCTGCCCTTGCTCCCTTGCCCCCAAAGCAGCCAGCCCTCTGGCTTCACATGAGATCATTATGCCCAAGCCTCTTTCTCTTCTTTTCTAAGAATCACCTATCCCTAGCCTGAAACGCTGCCTTCCTTGTTGTGTAGCCTTTGTTACCTCTGTCTGTTGCCCGCTCATAAATAGCACCTTGCCTCTGTTCTGCACACATCCCGACATCCGAACTTCGGCCTCTACATGCAACCAGTCACCACCACGCTGCTCCCAGATATTGGACGCACCTCTTGGGCGCATAGCGATCCAAGACTTGCTTCTTGGTCGCTATGTGCTGGTGTTTCAACTTGGGCTTTTCAAGCAAGAAAAAGCCAAAGAGCTCGTCCTCAGGTGAAAAGAAGAGACGGCCCAAGCCAGACGATGCGCTTCACGGCAAGGGAAATGCAGTCAGCGCAGACGTCTCAGAGAAGCGTAGATCAGGGGATGGGACCAGAAAGAGAAGGTCTGTAGAGACTGCGACCCCGCGCTCCCCGCGACAAGAGCGGCAAGAACACCGTCCACGATCGCAGCAAAACTACGACCAGGTCTACCAAGGGCGCGAACAGTACCGGCCTGCTCTGAACGTGCAGGTTCCAGACATGTACTACCGTGCTGTCAACCCAGAAAGCTCAAACTCATCGCAAGAAGCACTACTGAACCCGCGACCCCACCGAAGTCAACATACCCGACAGCGGCACCCAAACCGCACATCGCAAACCACTCTGCGCGGGCGTGGAGCCAAGCGAGACCCTCCGCGACACTCGAAATCCAAAAAGAACTTGCGTCCTGAGCCTTCAAAAAGATGGTCCCTGTTTGCGCCTTCGCCACCAAAAACCCCAAAACGTGACCATCGCAACTATCAAACTCTCGACTCCTCACCACGCAGCCACCGATCTTCCCGTCAGCAGCGCTCTCCTCAAGCAACCGTCACATCCGAGTCTTCGCCGTCTCAGACCCGCCACCACCGTTCACGTCAGCACGAGCGATCAGCTCCTTCTACACGCCAAGCACGTTCTCGCACGCCAAACACCGCCGCTCGTCGGGTGCCTGACCGGCGTTTCGCTGTGCTCGCTGCTACCAACCAGGCGCTCGAGAATGTAAGGAGAGAAGCGTTTGCGCAGCCCTCTCCGCCGCCAAGACGAGAGAGGTTGAGACGGTACGAGGGTGTTGCCATTCCCACAAGTACCATCCCGTTCAACTGGGACTGCGTGAGTAGTTCGCAGACTTCAGCTGGATATGGACATGGCGAGCCTAGTCGGCAAAGGCGGTCGCGACGGTGAGGCGTGAGACTAGTGTTGAGTGAGCATTTGCCCTAGGGCTGACATTTGCACCTTGGATGTCGAGTCATGCGCGGTTTTCTTTGTCTTTGTTCTCACTTCTCTATTGTTTTTGAAGGATACCCCCGCATAATTGGTCGCTCTTGGAAATGATAGGTTTCGGCTTCGTAGGCGTTCATTATACCCTGTCTGTTTTGCATCCCTTAATATTCCTGGCATACGCATGGTTCAGATGTTGCATACTACCGTAGAAATCTGACTACACACCTTATTCTCGCTTGAATCTCGCTTCACATGCTAACTCGTGGATTCACTGACGATCAAGCCCTACTAAACCCGTTGCTTCCGTAGCCAGGGGACTGGAAAGGAAGAAATGTGATACCTAGCTAAACCCGGTTATTAAGAATATGACAAGTATAGGTAATACTAGAATCTTGAGTCAAGTACAAAGCGCTCGTGTCACATGGCGTACTAATGTTGACTCACTGTCCGGTCTTATATCATGTGACCTTCAGCTTACCTGGGAGAAGTCTATGAAGACGTCGTCTGGCGGCATGTGTTCCGAGTAGATGTATACCTGGAACCGTCTCTCCATTCAATTTCATATGCGGGCCATGTCACGTAAGAGTGGAGTTACACCAATACATGGATTCAAAGACTTGAGCAATTGTAGTCGTGGAAGACAACGAGTGGTGTTGAAACACATGACCTGAATGAAATTCCTACAGAGCTCTTCTGATAATAAACAAGGCTAATCCAACATACGAACTAAACACCGGTGACTCGATAGGCCATGCGCAATAGTTAGGCAACATTCAAACCTCAATCTCCTTTGCGACCACCTCGACATTGACCTGGTCAAGCTTCCCGTCCAGCGGTTCCTTCTCCTTCTCCTTCTCCTTCTCCTTCTCATCCTCTGCCTCCAAGCCCCTCACGACAGCGGGTCCTCTCCTCAAAAAGTTACTCTCAGGCCCTTGCGGCACAAACCCACTATGCATATACACCGCTTGCGCCGTTGGAGCCGATTCCAAATACAGCGGCGTAACCGGCACCGTTGCATCAGCCTGTTCGATCGCCCAGTTGAGCAACTTCTTCCCTACACCTCGTCCCTGATACTCTGGCCACGTGATCAGCGGCGCAAGGTACCAGTGCGGTTCGTCGCCGACTACTTCCCTCCGAAGGGCATCGTCTTTGGCAATCTTGCCATTCCATTGCTCTTCACTAACACCCGACCATATCTCGTCGAGGTCCTCGTCCGACCAGCCCATCTTCTCTCTCCAGCCGTAGAAGTCGACGGCGCTGCGGGCGAAATGGTTGTGGATGACAGGATTGCCCGGCCCCATCCAGCCGGCTACACCGATCATCTCGCCAGAGGAGGCCAGCACGGCTTTTACCCAGAACATATTCGGGTGACTGAGGGAAGGGAGTATGCGCTTTGTCATGCGCTTGACTCGCGTGCTGTGCTCTGGTGGACGCATTTCGAGTGGCTCCTTCCTGTCCCAGAAAGCGGTCGGGAAGCAAGCATACAGACCTTCTGCCTATCCATCGTCTTAGTCTGAGAGGAAAAGAGGAAGAGGAGGGAAATGGTTCATACGATTTTCTCCGCGTCATTCTCGTCACACAACTCGACCCTTATCGCGGACTCGGGAAGGCGTTTGTCCTCCTCCACAGGCATCGTCTGGAATCCAGCCACGCCACTGGCTACCTTGATGAACTCGGCCTTTGGTTGCGACATATTGTTTGCGATGAAGAAGATTGCAGGAAATGAATTATCTGAGACGATTCTCAATACTAGTCGTTAAGTACTTAGGGTAAACGTTGACTGTACTGAAGGCAGCAGCTTCGGCGTTCGGAATTCAGTTTTCGCCCCCCAAAGACTGTGCAGCCTGCGGGATGCCTTGACTACTCCCCGCTCGGCGTACCCTGCCTCGACATATACAACTCGTTCCGGCAAGGCAGAAGTATATAATGTGAGCTTTGCATTGGCTGGGAACGATCAGGATTCCTGAGCCATAGTGAGCCACATCTCAGTGTCTTGGTGTTCACCCCACCTTCTACAACAGGCTAGAAAGGACACATGTGCGACAATCTTGTTTCCGTAACGAGTATGATGAAGAACGTAAATCAACAACGTCGCTCAAGAGACTTGAAAAGTGAGCGAAGTTTAGTGCTCGTCTGCAAGGAAATGAGGAAGTGGAGTTCAGACTAATGAAAATAGAAAACCGTTGAGAAGCGCCAACGCCTGAAGATCTCGCAGAAGAGTAATACAGTGGCCAACTGCAATTAGCCTGGTATCGGAGTCGACAAAAAAGTGTAAAAGAAGATAGTCGTTTCTGGTAAAAGTTTACATTCGGGCGCTGAAGGGTGACGCTACCTAGGTATCCGAGAAGACGAACGTCGCGCTAGACATCGCGAAACAAGAACATGAGCCATCGCGATTCTTCAAATCCGATTAATTAACACAGTAGAGACGAAAGGAATGAAGGTGATACTGTCGAGCGAACTTGAGTGTGCATAATTATGGTGATGGAAATGAAAGTTGGCAGAGGCCGAGTATGCCAGGCGATCTAGAAAGCTCCGCTTCGGCCCCGCACCTACAACTGGAAGGCACGATCATCACTAACACCAAACTGCAAGCATGACATCATAAGGGGAGGTATTCGAGTGGCATACTCTCCATATTAAAGATTCATACAAAGGGAGTGTAAGGAAATAGTATATGTAGTTTAGGAAACGTGCGTTGACAAGCTTCTCGACGTTATCTGACAAAGCTCCCCTACACAAGAGCCAAAATCCCATGTATTGACGATAGTTGCCGTTCAAGTGGAGCAGAGTCGTAAACCAGCTGGACCTGAGACAGCCGTGATGGAGAAATCATCAGCGGCAAAGATCCTACCGTTTTTCCCCTTCGTGCGGACTTCAAGGGAGATAGTATGGGTTGCCGAACCAGTTACTGTTACCCGTGACGGCGCCGTCCCTCCGATCTGTACGAATTGATTATTGAATGCAGCCGTAGGCATTGCGGCGATTACTCGATTGTCGAACTTCAATGTAATGGTGAACGGATTAGAGGAAGAAGCTCCTGAACGGATTGGTTTGACGTAAGCCGAGACGTCAATGGTTACTCCCTCGGGAATCCTGATGTTCTGTTGTATGAGTGTGAGAGTAGTGTCTTTATCTCCAGAGTTACCACTGTATGTGGTTCCTAGAAAGGCAACTGTAGCTGGGGATCCACGGCCATAGCCTGAGTAGGTCCAAGTACTATCATCATCAAACGCGGCTCCTGAATCTTGTGTCCAAGCCCACGAAGCCATCGCCGATCCTGATGTTGCATCAAATTTGGGATTCGCCACATAGTTAGTCGGGGCGGCGTAGCATGTTGCTACTGAGCTGGGCGTGGAAGACGTTGTACTGGAACGGCTTGATGATACAACGGTGGAGAAAGTGGTCGGTGTAGCCGAGGAAGTGCGTGAGGAAACAACTATAGTGGAGCTCGAAGACAAAGATGATGCAGGTGCGGAGGTGCTTGATGATACAGCAGACGAGGAGCTCGAAGAACCAGCTGGAGAGGAGCTCGAGATTCCAATTGCAGAAGAGCTTGAAGAAGGAGCCGCGGAAGAGCTTGAGGAAACGGCTGCGGAAGAACTAGAAGACACAAATATTGAGGAGCTTGAGGATGTTGCCGACGAGGTGCTTGACATCACACTTGCAGAAGGGCTTGATGAAGTAGCTACAGAAGAGCTAGAAGAGACAGCTGCGGAGGAGCTTGAGGATATCTCAGACGATGTGCTTGAGATAACCGCGGACGAGGTGCTCGAAATGACAGCTGAGGAAGAGCTCGAGGACAAGACTTCGGAAGAGCTCGAGGACACAGCTACTGAGGAGTCTGAGGATACCGCAGACGAAGTACTCGAAGTGATAGCCGAGGACGAAATGGTTGCGGCCGAAGACGAGCTGGAAGACATGACTTCGGAAGAGCTTGAAACAGCCGACGTGGAAGCCACAATAGATGAGCTTGATATGGCCGAGGATGTAGCGACTACCTCAGATGAGCTTGAGACAACCGACGCAGTAGAGGCGATATCCGACGAGCTGGACCCAGCTGACGACGTGGAGGTTACACCAGATGAGCTCGATACAGTCGATGCTGTGGAGGCCACATCAGACGAGGTTGACACAACCGGTGTACTGGAGACGACATCTGAAGAGCTTGCCACGGTCAAAGTAGAGCTCAGGGTAATATCTGGGGTGCTCGAGCTCAAAGATACGGCTGAAGAGGCAGGGGTAGGCTCTGGTGTGCTAGAAGCGCCAACTGAAGGAGAAGGTGTCGTGGATACACTATCGCAGAGGGCAGCGCCACCGGGACCAGCAATCGCTGTCAAGGAGAAGTCATCGAAGGCGACAACCTTGCCCACGGTACCCTCAGTCTCAACGTAGAGCTTGACCTTGTGGGTATTGCCTGTAACTGTAACGGGGGTGTTGGTCTTGAACAACGTGTACTCGCCAGTATGTTGGCTTAGACTCGCGACAATGACTTCATCAATGAACAGCCTGAGGAGGAACGGGGTAGTACCCGTGGGGGGAGGCCGCAGCATCTTATACCAGACACCAAAGTTGACCTTTGTTCCACTCGGAATGGAGATTCCTGCTTGAACAAAATAGCCATAGGATCTGGCGCTGTCTTGAATAGACGCTTGGTACGCGTGCCCGCCGGTATGAGGATTTGTAGTATCTACTCCTGCTGGAGTCCACGAGCCAACTACGCCCTCTGTTTCCCATGGTGTTTGTTCGTTTTCGAAGCCAGAGTTGGAGAGGTAGTTAGTAGCGGCAGCGAAGCAGCTTACAGTTGGGGAGGCGCTTGAAGACAAAGAGGCTGAAGAAGAGCTCGGGGATGGCTCAGGGGTGCTGGAGGCTCTCTCAGAAGAAGATTGTGTCTCAGATGCGCTCGCAGAGGACTGCGTTGCAGAGACGCTAAGAGAAGATTCACTGGCCGACGTGCTACTAGAAGAACTAGAGACGGACGTACTCGACGAAGACTGAGTAGCAGATGCGGTAGAAGACGACTCCGGTGCAGATGCACTGGACGACGAGACAGATTCGGAAGTGCTGGAAGAAGACAGAGAAACTGCGCTAGATGATGACGCCGAGACGAATACGCTGGAGGAAGATGCTACCTCAGATGTACTAGAAGATGAGGCAGCAGAAGCGCTAGAGGACAAAGCCGAAGCGGATTGGCTAGAAGAAGCTGAAACCGATTCACTGGACAAGGACGGAGTGATAGACGCGCTGGAAGACGAGGCTGGCTCGGACGTGCTTGAAAGAGTGCTCTGAGTGGATGAGGCAATTGTGGACGATGGCGATAGGGACACAGCCGGAGTGGATGAAGCAGAGACAGTGGATGAGATCTCAGAACTGGACGAGCTAGCGACTGGGGATGCAGACGAAGAAACTGACTCTGACGAGCTCATAGCGCTGGATGAAGCAGAACTACTGACAGTAGGGGTAGCTGAGGAGCTTCCGACGCTAGCTGATGAACTAAGCTCACTGATCGTAGATAAGACGGCGGACGAGCTAGTTACGCTGGACAACGCGAAAGAGCTTGTAGTGGAGGATATCGACGATGAGATGACGACACTTGTCGAGGCCGACTCGCTGGTAATAGATTGGGTCGACGATGAAGCCGACTCGCTAGTAGATGACGAAACTACTGATGTGCTGGCTACACTGGATGTGGCAGACTCGCTAGCGGTAGATGAGATTGCCGAAGAGCTGGCAACACTAGATGATGCAGCGGATGAGGTAGAAGCCGCGACCAAGGAGCTCGCAACGCTGGAGGAGGAGTTGGATTCGCTAGCAGTTGAAGAAGCAGCTGATGAGCTAGCAATACTTGATGAGGCAGTCTGGCTAGCGGTAGATGAGGCTGTGGAGGTGCTGGCAACACTGGATGAAGAAACAAGCCCGCTGGTAGTAGAAGATGAGCTCGCAACACTAGAAGAGGTAGAGGAGCTAGCAGTAGAGGAGACCGCCGAAGAGCTACTTGCAGCAGACAAAACTGAGGAGCTGGCGGAGCTGACTACAGGCGTGGAAGAAGCGCTGAAGATAGACGACGAAGAGGCACCGCAGACGGCCTGGTTGCTAGGACCAGAAATAACAGTAAGCGAGATATCATCGAGATTGAAAATCACCTCCCCAGCGTTGCCACCAGAGTTCTTGGTGACCTTCACGAGGAGGGTGTGGGTTGCACCCTTCACAGTAACAGAACCTCCGAACTGTGTCCAAGCAGTGTCTTGAGCGACGATGCTACCGCAAGATACACCATCGAGAAGAATTTCGAAGAGGGTGAATACTTCTTCGGAAGGTACACGCAGACCCTTGGCCCATGCCGTGCAGCTAACTGTAGTATCAGCTGGAATGGCGATATTCTGTTGGCGGTATTGGAAGACGCGCGCCGTAGCGGTCGTTGCCGTACCACGGAGACGGAAGCTCCCCGAGTGAGAAGAAGGAGGACCAGCTTGAAGTACTGAACGGCTCCAGCCTGTGCTCGAGACGGCTGACCAACCATTCTCACCTCCAGCTTCGAAACCACCATTATTGACGTACTGAACTTTGGCAGGCGTGAAGCAGCTCGGTGACGAAGTAGGATTCTGTGTAGCTCCGGCAGGAGTCACGACGGACGACGATGTTCTCGCCGCGCCTGAGGCGGATGAGCTAGCGAATGTTGAAGGCGCGAGGGTCGATGAACTAGGTGCGAAAGAGGACGAGCTAGTACGAGTAGAAGAAGCGACACCCGAGGATGAAGAGCTGACAGAATTAGAAGACGGGGCGATAGCGGCGGATGAAGAACGCGAACTTGAGCTGGACGAACGTGTGCTTGAGCTAACAGTAGACGTACGCGTGCTCGAGCCGGCAGTGGAAGAACGAGTGCTCAAACTAACAGTAGACGAACGAGTGCTCAAACTAGCAGTAGACGAACGAATGCTTGAGCTAACAGTAGATGAGCGAATGCTTGAGCTAACAGTGGACAAACGCGAGCTTGAGCGAACGGTAGAAGAACTGGCGCTTGAGCGGACAATGGATGACGAGCGAACCGTGGACGAAGGACGAGCGGTAGACGACGAAATAGTACTGCTACGTAGCGTCGTAGGGCGTGCAGAAGACGACGCAGCGTTGGTGCAAGTACCAAATGCTGAGTTGCAGCCAGTCCCGCAGTGGCTAGTCGATGAACCACACCAGCCATACCTTTGTGGGTCAGTGTGGTCGTGAAGTTAGAGTTGATTACACGTACTGAGAGCAGCAGTTTCCGAACCCACTGCCTGGACAAGTATAGCCATTGGTACCACCTGAGATACGAGTAAAATATCAGTTCAAAGCCTCTTGAGATGGTATATTAGGGTTTACAAACCGCAAGTGCCATCAGGTGAGAGCGAACTGCCGGGAGTAGACGACGTGGTGCAGATACCGAAACCGGACTGACAGCCAGCAGCACAATGCGCGGGCGTAGATCCACACCAGCCGTGCCTAAGAGTGTCAGTGTGGACTCGTACGGAAATGCGCAGTATTACTTACTGAGAACAGCAGTTGCCGTAGGTCGAGCCCTCACAGGTGAGCCCCCCATTCGCCGAGCCACAACGGCCAGTGTTGCTCACTTGCTGGGCGGAGACAGCCGTTAGGGCCGTGATGACCCAAATGAGTGCCGTACGCATGCTCAAGGTGTGCCAATGAGATCGAGATATGATTAGGATGCTATATTAACGAGTGTAAGGTTCGGGCCAGAAAGAATGATGACACCGAGAAAGACCGTGAAAGGGACACTGAATGAACGGTTGACGAAGGAACGGACGGCGGCTGGTGCGTGGAAGAAATTAGAGGAAGCTAGAGAGTGAGTATATATAAATCAAGATCCAAAGAGGTGTCCCATGCCGCGGAACTTTGGCCCATTGCGCCTCCAGTCATTGCGGTAAAAGCAGTTCGAGTGGCGTCTGTTTTCATTTTGTAAAAGCCCGCTCCTGGGATGGTAAAGCACAGCATCGTGGTATTGGGCAAGGCCCCTGGATTGCCACATGGGCCGGAAAGGCGATTGCAGTCATTAGTAAATGGTGGCTTCGATAAGCGAGATATGACAAGCTTCAGCTCAAGAATGTGCAGCGAGTTCAGCCACGTCGGGCGATGTGGCTTACCGGCCCCAGGGCGGGTTGATAGATTAGCAGAAAGCAATGCTGCGAACGTTCCAGACTCTGGTACCTGTGTCAAATACAAGGGGCAGCTGAGCCGTCCTTCTGGTGAAGTCCGATGTAGAAAGAAGCGCAAAGCGAAGGCTTGATCCACTAGCGGCCAGCTAAACTTCCGTGGCTTAGAATATCATACGCAAGAAAGGAATATTAGGCGAGCCAAGATATCGAATGAGCAACAATCTGCAGTGTTAGGGAGAGCGACACAAGGATGTTACTATTGTGTTATTCCTCAGCGCCTGTGCGGCGACTTCGATACGCGTTTGCTTGACCTTTCTAAGGTCACGTCTTCGCTTGATGATGTGAATGACTTCAACACGTAGAATGCTATGTAGATCCTTGGTCCATACCGGCTTTGCCTCTTCCTGAAAGTATTCCAATGGAGGACGTGGTCAGCAAGCAGCTGTCACATTCACGAAAACAGTGTGCAGAGAGCCGATGGAGTGTGTTCGCCATTCCGATTGTGAAAAGGACTTGTGGAAGTGACTGTTTCACCGATCAAATTCCTACCAATATTGTAGTCCTAGAATCGGTAGGATGGTGAATGCCGGCTCACCACTTTCCGATCGAGTTGCAGCGTGACGAATACTGTAGACCCATGCTACTTTATACGCGCGTTCTAAATTAATTAGTGCCTCGCATTTCTCCATAAGTCTCGCTTTACACCTTGTTTGAGTCGTCTTGTGGAATTCCGATAAATATCGTTCACATCTTACCTTGCTCTCGATGGTGTACTGACAGTAGCTGTCTGAAACCAGCCGGCGCTCGTAAACCATCTTCGAACTGGGGAATCCTGGGGCCTCGCTCCACATTTCTAACGAGTGGAGATTGTGCGCATTGTGATGTGGCTTGTATAGCGTTGTTGTGGCTAGTCAGAGGCTGTAGCGAGGGATTGAAGTGGCGCTCGGACTTTATAGTCACAGGAAGGATTCGCTTGTCGCTAGGAGTACACCTAAGAGCACATTTCGAAGGTGGGGTGAAATATACATGTTTTAGACAACTCTACCGCAAAACGGACTTGATATAGTCTGCCATGCGGCGGAGTGTCATGCTCAACAGCAAGACCGTTGGCGACCTATGGATTGTGCAATCCATGAAGTTGTTTTTGGATTCGTTTTGCCGTCGGCAGGATAGCGAGGTCGGAGACTGTAATTCCAAGACAACCCAATCCCTGACAGAGTGCGGCCCGGAATTGCCACCTCTCCAGTCTTGGCCTACGATCATGCCATTCCACTCTTTGGACGACCGATGAGTCCCGAACATATATTCGGTAACTTCGAAAGTTAACGATACTGGTGAGGGAAGATCGGCTTCCCAGGTTGAACTCCACGGCATGCTAAAGGCCTCGCAGGGTCATATGGCTGTGGATGCTAATAGATAATTGAGCATTCAAGGGTAATGATATATAATGTCAGCTTTGTAAGATGCATACCCAACGTCCTAACTATCGAGTGCGCATAATCAAACGACGTACGCTTGTCCGACTAGCAGTCTCCACTGTAGATTCGAACCGAAAGAAACGTATTTCAAGACCGCCTCTTTTGAATTTCAAACACTGTACATTGTGTCGCAGGTGCGACGATGGGAGCCAATCTTCTCCAAGGAAATCTTCAACCAGAACGCCGAGACCGAAGCTAAAGCCGAAATGTGGTAACGCGCCGCCCAATATGTACAGTGCAGCATCACTTATGTGTATATGGGTATCAAACGCCGTACAATGCCGTAAATCGTACAAGAATAGATATCGTAGTGTCGTCTCTTCCTTCTGAGCATACCGCTCATGGGTTTGAGTGGACAAAACGTGCGCCCTGACATGGCGAGTGAGCTTGTTTGAAAGCCTTTATCCGACCTAACATCCATCCTGATGTCCATGTTCGTTCTTCTGCGGGTGGCTGGTGATGGCCGAGCCGTATAGAGTATCCTAATCGGCACTCTGTCCCAGAATACTCGAACTGGAAGCATTTGCTGTCGCCAAGGCAAGCCTTGTAGCATTTGTCGAAAGACTTCGCAGCGCCCTTGCCCGCTTTGTAACTAACGTCCTCGGATATGTTCGACCAGTCTTCAGCTTTCTCTTGAATATGCGGCTCAATCATGGTAAAGAGCTCTTCAAACGTCAGCGGCCTGCTCGGATGCGATCGGGTCGATTCCCATTGTGACAATCTCGTGAAATCGTCTTCTGCGAGGTGGTGCATGGTGATGATGGCTTCGCACCACTGTTCCTTGTCAAAGCGAACAGTAGGGGGCTTCTCGCCGTTGAACATTGGCCAGTAGCCTCGGAGGGGCACACCACTCTTCTTCAGCACCTGTGCCAGCACTTCATCACCACAGCACTGCTTCTTCATATCCACACCAAAGAAGTGTGTGCCGGGGAAGTGCTTGTTCTCGCCAAACATCCTGCCCAGAGCTATGATCTTGTCCAGCGCAGCGCGCGATAGTATGAAGCCAGTCCCGCCGTGTGCAAAGACTGTCTTCTTCTTGGGCCAAACGGGAGAGCCAAAGTAGTAGGCTGTTTTTGGATTGAAGGGTGCCAGAAAACGGTGTAGATTGTCGTAGTTGACGTAGGTATCCAGCTCGATAAAGACATACCATTGCGACTCGGGCCGCATGTATGACGTCCACTCCATCATGGGCAGAAACTTGTACTTGTCCAGCCGCCAGCCCTCGTCTGACTTGGACTCGGAGCTGTTCGCAGCCTGTATGCGGTCGTAGACGTCGAAGTCCGGGTTGTTGAACTTGTATTCGGGGCGCAAGTGAGCGAGGGCATCGGCTATCTCGAAGCCGTTGTATTGGTCTTTGCGATCCGAGAAGACGAGCAGGTCCTGTTTGCATCTGCCTAAGCGGTTCAAATAGACAGGCAGCTGCGTCGCCGCTTCTCCCGCGCCAATCTTCAACACAATGGTGACACGGTCCATGACGCCCGCGGTGAATGGAGAGCACTCCTCGCCAAAGTGCACCTTCGAGACAGGGCCGGCTCGGGCAGGAGGGGAGTGCTCGTGGAGCGTGTCATAGCCACGCTTTCCGCGAAAGAGGCCGGGTAGAAAAGACGAGAAGAAGAATGTGCACAGCACTGCAGCAGCACACAGCAAGCGCAGCGGCGTCAATCGCACCATCATGGTGGTGATGGTGCTGTGCATGAAGACAAGATGTTTGGGGGCACGCGGGCCTGACGCACGACATGGCGCTAGGAATTCCGCGAACCAAACCGGCTAGCGTACTTCGGTATTCGAGTCTAGCCTAATGAATTTGCTGCCTACTCCACAGACATCGGACGACACAAATCACGGTGTTGTGGGAAAGTACTCATCAGTGCCGGCTGAGTGTGGCACGGCGACTACTATTCCTTTCTAGTGAGTATGTAACACTAGTCTGTTACAGTCGAAATGGCCTTCCAAAGCTGCCTTGCACGAGCTACACCCAATATACCAAGGCACTCTTGCGTACGCCGAGCGCTGATCACTGGCTTCGGTCCTTATATTCTTATTCTTATCACAAGTTTAGCGGCTCAACAGTGAAACGACCCATATATCGAAATATCCTAACCCATTTTGCGCATAATGTCGCGTGCGGCACAGTCGACCAACCACCAGCAAGATCCCAGCGGCTACCGTAAGAACGCTCCAATTACCACTTCGTCGGCCTGGAACTACAGTATGCCGAGCGGTTACCCAGTGTGCAGCCTCGGGGACAAAAATGTTTCACACTTTACCCAACCGCTGTGTTGCTGAGCAACGTTGGATGTTTCGTACGTTGCGGCGCAGGCATGGCTGGTATATAGCTCGTAGAACGAGTGATGGCATTGAGTATCACCCATCTGCAGAGGAGTCGCGAGATTCCATCTTTTTCCAATAAAGCATTTCATTCACCGACTCATCGACCATTAGGCATTCGTCTCTTTGAAGCCCAGCTTTCCATACATCATCCTCTACACCATGAAGTGCTTCTTTGCCATTGCATCTGTTCTGGTCTTCGCCATGGCGGCACCCACCCCGCAACCTCAACTCCCAGACAGCAATGCAAATGCCATTGCTCACATCCGTCTCATAGGGGACGCAAACCAACATTACTCTATCGGTCACACACAAGCACCATCAGCACAAAGCGGCAGCATCATCTCCGTCTTAGTTGGACAGTCGATCGACTTCAGCTCCAATGCACCTCGGTTACAGGAAATCGAGATCTCGCGGATATCTCAAGGAGAAAGTCTCGAAGGGGTGGCTGTCTCGGAGAACGATGGAAGTGTGATATGCAAGGCGTTGATCAAGGGATCAAGCGATGGTCCGACGTTCTCGGTGAAGGATGTAGGGGTATTGTTGGACGAGGGGAGGACAGTGAAGCTGACTGGGCTGGCATGTTGGGTCGAGCCTAAGGGAAGTGCCGAGGATTGACTCTGAGCGACTTGGTGTATGGCGTTTGCGTTGCTCGTTTCCTCGGGCCTCCAATTCTCACAACTCTTAATGTCTATTGTTTTCTTTGTCGCACGCATTCCCCCGTTGATTACGGCTTATATCCTTTCAATAGCTTCTCAACCATATCGATGCCAATCTGTTCTTGGGCAGATGGCGATGCTGGTTTCTCTTCCTTTTTCTCTTGACTGAAACCTCCACCTGCCATGATTTGCTCCATCATCCGCATGCCCTTCAGCTCTTGCAAAAGCGGTATATTGTTAAGTGCCTCGGGGTCTATGGTGTCAAAATCAATGCCACTAGTAGGTCTGTACGGGACTTCTACTTGGTAACTGCTCTCGGGAGTTACTACATAGTCGCATTGTACCTCGCCAGCTTTGTCTGGGTTGATCCTCTCCACGCCCAGCTGCGCTTCGTCGACTACTTGACATGTGTGCGCAACAGCGACAACAGGTACTTTGGAGGCCAGGCGCTTGATGTCCTGCAGCAGCGCCCATTGCACCTCGAATAGCGCCTGGCCTTCCCAGATCACTACACCCTGTTTATTGAAGGCCAGACCTCCTATGAGGCACATGTCTACGCAGAGGTCTTCATCCCGAATCTGCGCCAGCGAGACTGCCCGGCCAACGCCAGGCTTCTCCATCCCGTCTAAGCAGGCCGCCAGCTCATATTTATCCTCGCTTATCCTCGCTGGATTCAACAGTACAAAGCCTCTACGAAGTCTGTATGTCGCAACCAGGAGCCTCTTCCCATCTTTGAGTGCTCGATATCGTAACTGCTCGAGGCTGTTGTCGGACGTGACGAGGAGCGTGCTTGCGTTTATGTAGCAAGGCAACTCGACTACGCGATCGACAGCAGACGCGGAGCCGCGGAAATCAGGTGTGAAGGAGAGGAAATCGTAGTTGAAGCGTGAGTCGGGGATAGCATTGCGGAGCAGCTCTTGGTAGACGTGGGCCCAGATGATTTTTCTGCGCTCGTCGGAGGAAATAGGATGGGTCATCGAGACAATTCGTCGTGCGGAGATTTGCGGAGGACAAGCAATGTTGGACGATTATTGCATGGTGTTGAGGGGCAGCTTGAAGAGGGAAGTCGCGTCGGTAGCGCGGTGGCTACGTAATGACTGACCGTCACCCCTTCCCATCCCCCACACTTTTGCCATCTCTTCACAATTGCCACAACACAGCACGAGCTTTTTCAGGCCTCCTGTGGTGTACCAGGAGAGCATAGCCGCTATCGAGATGGCCTTTCATGCACCCGGTATCCTCCGTGTCAGCGTCCCGCAATAGGAGTAGATTCTCATTCGGCTATATGGGCTGTCTGGCATGTAGCCGAAGACTCACATATCAAAGTCAGAATTCTCGAGCATAGTGTGGACCAAAACGGTGCATCTAAAATATAATCGACAATGAATCACACCAAACCAGATGAGCCGGCTATCGCGAGGGCATCGTACGAATCGGCACAACAGGACATGGATCTAACGGCTCCCGAGCAGCCCATGAGAGAGCCGAGCACAACCTCAATATCTACTCCCAAGTCAGGAAAGAAGCTAGATGCATCTCTCAAGATTCCGGATGGTCTACCATCTGAGAAGCGGGTACAAGACAGAACCTCCAAACGCACAAGAGCCCTAGGAGTCCTGAAATGGTTCGTGCGAGATCAGTGGTTTCTTCTAGCGATGGCTGCAGTCGTCCTTGTTTCGTCTCAAGTCCAGATTCCGGCATCACAACAACGGATCAAACGGACGGTGGTCACATACCTCACAGTCTCGGTTATCTTCTTCATCAACGGCTGCACACTCGAGACCAGCCTCCTGGTGGCGAATTACATGCGATGGAAGTTACATGCCTTCGTCCAGTTGCAATGCTACCTCGTCTGCTCAGCCGCCACCTTCGCCATCGTCAGTCTATGTGCGACCAATCCTAACTTCATGGACCCATGGCTCCTCATTGGCTTCCTCTTTATTGGCGCCGCACCCACCACCATGTCTTCGAATGTTGTCATGACAAGACAAGCTCATGGCAACGCTGCGCTCACTGTTGTCCAATCTGTCATCGGCCAGTTCCTCTGCCCTTTCCTGACACCAATAATACTGCAGATGTACTTGTCCACCGGGGCATGGTATAGCAAAGTGCTTGTGGATGGCAAAAACTACCAGGAGATCTACCGGCGCGTATTCATGCAACTGGGGCTGTCACTTTTCGTCCCCATGCTCATGGGCCAGATAGTGCAGTGGTTTTTTCCGAAGCAGACTAAGAAGATCTTCTTTGAGTGGAAGCTGATCAAACTGTCATCCATCGCACTGCTCACCCTAGTGTGGCAGACTTTCGACCAAGCCTTCCACTCCCGTGCATTCAAACAGGTCAAACCATCCAACATCGTCTTTGTCGTCTTCATCTCGATCGCATTGTACTTCATCTGGTTGGTCATATGTTTTGTAGCCTCGGGTTTATGGCTTCCAAAAAAGGATGTTATCGCATGTTGCTACTTGTGCCCAAACAAAGCACTCGCCATGGTCGTCGCTGTCAGTTCGGTCATGTACATAAACATCAGTCCAATCGAGCAATCGAAGATGCAAATACCGGCCATCATATTTCAGGCATTCCAGGTTGCTATCGGCGGAGTCATGACAATTGCCTTCCGTAGATGGATCAGGCCTGAAGAGCAAAAAGAGAAAGCTGAAATGAACGTGGAAGCAGGAGATCAAAAGTAAGAACTGGACAGCATATCTGGTATTTATTCGTTTGTCGACATACAGATCCCGGTGTTCTATGCCCGGATCTCCACATTTCTACTCGTCGCATCGCTCTAGACAACAACTTCGTTCTCTTATCCGCGTCTTCGCTTCTTCCAACCAAGTCTCTTCTAGATTTTTTCGAAGGAAAACATTGTTCAGTCAAGATGTACAGATAACGCAAAGACGCCGGGAATGCAAAGTCGAACGAACATATCGGCTCGTTAAACTCTCAGTGTGTGCAACAGCAGCCGTTGGGAATCTATCACTGTCAGATCACTCAACCGCTGAGCGATTCAGGGGATACTCACACATGTGCAAATGCCAGTGAAGCCTTCGCAGGGGCATTCAATGCAAGGACTGGGAACAATAGTACCATCTGCATTGCGCACTTCTTTCATCGATCGCTCAAGGCTAACCTATACCCTGCGTTTAGTCGCCACAAACCTCAATCCATAGAATCAACGTACTGCTGCAGGCGATGCGACCGCAAGAGATGCCGCGACAAGCGCGACAAGGGCGGAGAGCTTCATGATATCAAGTCTTCGGGTGGGTGTTGTTTTCGATTAGTCTCCAAATGGGTGCGACGATTTCGATTCTGATGTTGCGAAACGAATTGATACAACAACACATCGAACATGAAGTAGCGACCCGCCAGTTCTTAAGCAGCAATTCTTCTGTCCATCAGTCTAAAATTAACCCCTTCTCTGGCCTTCCAGTGTCCTGTGCACCCACTCATTCACTCCACTCATTCACTTAATCAACCTGTAGATTGGGTACGACGAACGGCCGGATCCCCCGTTCCTCGTGGCAGATGTAATATACATATAGTTCATTTAAGCTAAGCTAGACTTGTGTTCCGAAATGTGCGCTAGCCCTGGGGTGCAGTGTGTCCATGGGTGGCCAGATGGCTCCCGGATAAACGGTAGAACTAGGATTCATATGAACAGCCCGGAAGATCGAAAGGGTTTGCAAGGCATTTATGGCACTTGTTATAGCGTAGCACCAGTCCTGAACGTCGGTTTGTCACCTACGAAACGAGGCCCTGTGACAGGACTATAGAGCATGTGAATGGAGGTTCAATGCAGACAGATCGGATAACGCCTGCCTTTAGTCTATTGGCTTCACGACTTCCCTTGTCGGCCTGAAAAGATGGAATCCTTCAAACCCTTCAGGTCAATTAGCAGTGTGCCTTCTGCTGTCGTGCATTATCGACCCGGAGACCAGTTTACACGCCACTCAAGGTGGACCTTGGTATCTAACGAGCCGCAAAGCACAGCATATTCTTCGCCGATCCGGGTCACACCGAATTATTCTCCAGATCTAGACTCGCAACTGTAACTACGCACGAGCCTATCGCACTAGCATTGAGTGCCTATACGGGCAGAGACTCACTTCAACCATCGGACTACTGCACACTAAGCAGCCGTTATCAGCAAAATTTCTGGTCTAGGTAACTCGCCTAGGAAATTTACATTGCTGTGGCGTACGTCGCTTAAGCTGATTGCCGTATGCAAGACCTTCCGTCCACATTGCCTAGCACACAATGGCACGAACAACAGCTCTCTTCACCGTTATTCCCACTATTTACACCTAGCGGCTAAAGAAACGCATACACGAGACATCATATTTTACATGTTGTGGATCTCGAAAAGTCTATGGGTAAGTTCAATAATGGAGAGTTTTTCCACGGACTCATGGACTATGAGACACACCTTATTCGCTGGCCCAGTAGCAAAAATACTTGGATCGTCTCCTGAATGATCTCGTCGAGTTTGATCATCCGGCCAAAAAAAACATACAACAGCGGGGATTCGCCAGTGGTCACCCACCTGACTACTAATCCGCCGGTATCCTGCTTAAGTACCGCTGAGCGAACGGGAAGCGCTGAATTCAGGATCCTATGGTCGTATGTGGAATGCTGGTCCGGTTGTTGCGTACATAATAAAAGGTGAACTTTGATAATCACAAGATATCTAAGGTATCGGTTACTAGCGTGGCCGATTAGGCCTAGGCCGCAGATACTATGAGCAATTGCACGAGGGATTGCTGACTCTAGATGGATAAGCCTCAATCGGTCGGTTTTCGAGCGAGGATGAGGATGTAGTTAGCATCGCTGACTCTGTGAGAACTGTAGCTTAGCGTTACATGTGTTTAGGCGTCTTGCAAGGTCTGTACTCCGAGATATCATATTACAGACGAGTCATTTGAATAGAATACACTGATTGCTTATTCCAAGTTTCGTAGAACGCCAGACGCTCGCTCCAATCGGTATCACGTCCCATACGCTACCGCATTACTCGGCCCAAGTGGCGTACAATCTTACAAGAAGTAGAGAAGGAAATGGCAGGATATCCGAGAACTGCTGCCGCGATAATTTGTCTGGCATACCAAATGCGCCAAGACGCGCTTATCGCTTCCGCTTCTTGCCCTTATCCTCGTCGTCTTCATTCAGCGTGCCCTCCTTATCCTTCCGCGCAGCTTTCTTGTCCAGCTCATCCCAGCTCTCGCCCTCTGAAAACTCATCCTCAGACCCCTCATCGCTCATCTCCTCACTTGCGTTCTCATCAAAGTCGCTCTCCGCGCTTGACTCGTCCGAGACTGCTAGCTCCGATTCCGAGACCTCAAACGCAGACTCTTCTTCCTCTTCGCCATCATCCTCGTCGTCGGTTTCGGTCGAGAGGAATGACCAACCACCATCAGCGAAGAACTGATGTGGATCAGAAGTAACGGTCTTCATGATTGTAGCCCAATTGAGGTTGAGCGGACCTTCGGTGAAGGGAATGTCGACCGAGTCCAACCAGTCTTTGACGGGATCGAGAGACTCGACGGGGATGGTGTTGATGTGCACGGGTGGGCGGTTATAGTCCTTGAATACAACGACCATGTCGAAATTTCGTAGACCGAACTGCACACGTTCGAGATGTACAATCTCGATCTCTGAGAGGGTAAGGCAGGTGAACGGTGGCTCGGTGAGCTGGACGAGGCAGTCTGTAGTCGGTTGTACAAGAACCGAAGACCGTGAGGGCACACCGTTGAAGCCAAGCTCCCGGTAGGGGATATCGACGCTGACGTTCTCGTTCCGCGCTGCATCGGCAATCTTTTCGGCGAAGTTCTTGAACTCCTTGTCGAGAGCTGCACGCCGCCTACGCTCTTCTTGCTCTTGCTCAAACTCCTCTTCATCACCAAACTTGTGTCGGCGCTTGCGGTTGCCCGTCTCGTCAAATTGCATCTCAGTGGCTTCGCGGACAAACTGCACATCCTTGGTCTTCTTTTTGCCAAGCATGATAGGGTTCTTCAGATGGACGTGGATGATGACGATCAGCTCGTGCTGCGAGGGCTGGAAGAAAAGGTGCTTCATGTTACTGAACAGGACATCGATCTTAGCTGTGCCGTTGCCATGAACATAGCGCAGACCGTTTTGATGAATCTCGACGCTTCCTGGGATACGCTTGCCATCGAGTGCAGGCCGAATGAAGATGAGGTCAAGCATGTGTGGTTTCCGGGCTGTTGCTGTTAGTATGATCCTCAAGTTGAGATATATAAATAGGGTGACTTACTTTTAAGAGGAATGAGTTTATCCTGCTCCACGACGTCCTCCATCTGCTTCTTTTCAGTCTCTCGCCTAACTACATCCTTCTTGAGCTCGGTGATGTCCTTGGTGATTTGGTCAATGCGATTCACGTCGTGAGATTTGAACGTCAGACTGCGGATAAAGTGTGCATTAGGATCTTCAAAGGGCTGATCATCCTTGCGGCCAACACCTTGACCTGGCGAAAGAAAGTTGATACGTAGCGATGTGAAGTCGGCCTCGGGAGTGTGCGATGCGTTCTTGATAGTATGAATATGGAACGGTACAGGCCGACCCATGATTGGGAGGAGCACTGTGAGATTCTTCTTGTCGACAACAATCTCCAGGGTAGCGACAGAAGCAGGAAATTGGTTGTCACGTTTGTACGACTCGAACTTCTTGAACTTCTTCTCCTCGGTACCATTGAGAGACTTTGCGCCTTCGCTGTATTGTTCCAGGCCTTGAGCCTGCTTTTTGGAGTGTAGCTCTCTTTGATGCTGTCGCCGCTGCTCTTCCTTTTCTGCATCCTGATTGGTAGTTCGCTCGTGTCGCGTTCGCGTCTTGGTGATGTTTGTCTGAGCAATAGCGGGAGCTCGCTCCTTCTTCACCTTGGGCTTAGCCTCTTCCTCCTCATCGAAGAAGAACGAAACGGCGTCTAAATCAGAGGTGGTATCCTTGGTGAAGACGGCGCAGTCTCCTTGTCCAACGCGGACCGTGTCCACAAGCACAAGCGAGTAAGATTTGCTCTTCTTGTCTTGCGGCTTGCTGTTCTCCAGATCTTGTAGGCCGGTCTGAACGACCAAGGTCATGCCATCCTTGAGGACACGGACGTTCTTACCGCTCAGAAGAAGCGCGGCATCCTTGTTCTCGGTGCCAATTCCGTATCCGACGTTCTTGGGGAAATGCTTCTCCCACTCGGGTTTCTTTGACTTCAGGTGCGCCAGCGCCTTGTTATAGACATCTTTGGCCACAACGCCGTCTTTGATCGACTTGATGACCAAGTCGTGTATCGCCAAGAGAAGCTTGTACGCAGTCTCCTGCTCCTTGTTCGGTCCAACCATGTAAGTCCGACCCACCATGGCGCCGTATGTCTGGTAGCGGAGACCAAGGATTGAGATAATGACACCTGCGTGCAGGTTGTTGTCGTCCGGCTCTGATGCGAACTTGAGATCGTATGTGCCGCCACTCTGCACTGTCGGTTGCAGACACCAGTCCAGCTGCAGGGAATCGAATGTCTTGGACACCTTCTGCTTTTCGAAGAACTTGGTGTCGTCGATCTTGTTGGCGACCTTGTCGGCGAGGGCTCGGTGGGAGATCTTCTTCTCGGAATCGAGGATATCCGACATTTCCTCGACGAAGTAGTTGGTCATGAGGGCACTCGAAGCGCGCGCAGCATCCCGGATGGTTCGAAGCTCTTTTTCGTCCTTGACGGACAATGCGGCATTCGATAGAATAGGCGCCAGGTCGACCTGGTCTTCCTCGCTGAAGCCTGCATCCTGGAAGGCGGCCCTCCACTCGTCTGCGAAGGCTCCGGTGGCGCTGTCCTTCTTAAGCACAGCGACCTTCTTGCCCGCTTTCTTGAGCGTATCCAAGCATGTCTGGAACTGCTTCTTATTTTCTTCGACATCCTTGCCGCGCACGAGAATCTCGACAGGGACCTTGCCACCCTTCAGAGGCTCTAGGTATGAGGCTGTAGTGTATTAGCACCTTTATTGGCATGCGTGCAAGCGGATAGGGGACTCACCCTTCTTCTTAGTGGTGACAATCTGGAGTACGTCGGGTGTAAGGATGAATAGGGTCGCAGGGAATTCGTAGCCTAGCAGCCATAGCTACAGTGGTTTGCTGTTAGCTTGCTTCGTTCGCAATCATCGCCATGCGCACTCACCTGGAATGCTGCGGGCTTCAGGTAGCTGCCTGGCTCGCTCGCTTTGCCCACAACGGTGGCGAGAGAGCTTGCGCCCTGAAATATCTGGTCGCCAGAGCGCTTGTCGGCTTTCCACTTGGTGACGAGGCTGCTCAGACGCTCCTGGAAGGCCTGCTTGTCGATGACAATTTCGTCCGCCATGATTGAAGGCGTGCGCGCAATAGGATGCCGTTCCTTCAGCTGTCTTGACGGGGCTGAGAAGGAGGTTGAGGAGAGAGAGCGACGATGGAGAAAAGTCGCGAGTCGAGGTAGATGAATGGCGACGCGGAGACGCGATTTAAGGTGGGGCCCGAGCTTCGCGACTGCCTTCACCCACTTCAACCACTGAGCGGGCCACGACCAAACCCTCAGCTTGGCTTGCAGCAGTTCGTCACCGGCCTCTCTCACCTCCTCGTCCATGCCAGGAGATGACGGCCGGCTCCAGTGCGCGCGCTGGAGTCCTTCCCTACAGTCATGGCCGCAATGACAATGATGGCTCCTCCAATGGCCCCCAGCAGCCGACCAAGGCTCCAGCAACGGGCGTGCAGGCGGCGGGCATGCGGGCTGTCGCCGCTCAGATGGTGGCCTTCTACTTCAGAGCGCCTGTGAAAGCCTTTTTTCGGGGGAGAATAGACTACATGGGTGGGTCCATCTGTCCCAAAGTCGAAGTGAGCCATGTACTAATGTCCCCCCAGGCTATGCTAGAGCTATCAATCCGCACATCAGCGCTGCGGCTGGGTGGTCGTGGAGAATGACAACACCAGCTATACTCGCCCATGCGATACGAACTGAGGGATGGAGTGTCATACCGAACCAGGTGCTCCCGCCGTTGATGGCCAACACATGCATCGGCGCAGTTCTCTACACGGCATACCTCCACAGCCTCTCCTCGTTACATGCGCCCTCGTCGTACCAGACCAAGCGCGTCTTCCCTCCACCGCCTCCCTCGGTGACCTTTACTGCAGGCTTCGTGGCCGGCGGCATCCAGTCGGTTGTCGCCGCGCCATTCGACGCTCTGCAAACTCGCTTCCGCACTGCCGATATCCTCGAGGGCAAGTACAAGACCATGTGGCACTATGCCGGCCACAAGCTAGGTTCCATTGGTCTGCAAGGCATATTTGCTGGTTGGACGTTAAGCTTCGTCAAGGATGCTCTTGGCGCTGCTGTCTTTTTTGGCACCTTTGAGACCATCAAGAGTCAGGCATATTACGAATACGTCGCCCGCTACTACGGCAGTAGGACGCGCGATACTCTCTTGGACAAATCCATTCCCTACCTGGACGACGACGACAGCCGTCCTGTCATCAGACCTCACTATATGCTCGAGCCCATGTTCTTATTGTTAGCAGGCGTCTCCGCGTCCATTACCTCCCAACTCGTTCAACATCCCCTCTCCGAAATTCAAGACGTACATTACCGCCGACTAGAAGCGCTCGACTTCCAAGCCCATGAAGAACGCAGGCCATCACACATCATGCGCCGCTACTACCACGCCTACGAACAGACTTTCGCCCAGTGCGAGAGACTGGCGAAGCGCGCCGGCGGATGGAGAACCTATCTTTACAGAGACTTTCTGATGAGCACAATACGGCAGGTGCCTAGCACAAGTGCCGGCCTGATTGTCTTCGAAGTCGTTCGACGAAAGTATTCTTTCGAGAACGAAGAGGTCATGATCAACCACGAAGATGCGCGCATACTGTTGAATTAAGAACAGGAAGATGACTTACATACTGTACACTATCGCACATGATACCCACTATAGACTTAGACCATGTATATATGTACATTACACGCACATACGGTGTTGCATGGAGAAGATTCGGCACAAGTTTGTATACTTCGTTGACACATCAACTCATTCCTCACGTTAACAGTCTCCAACCTTGGTGCACCAATAAGCAAAAATCTTACACTACAGCATTCGCAGATCTATCAAATCTAAAAGACATAGACTTCAATAATAGGCCCTTATCGTGCCACAAATAATCCCACAAAGCGCCTTCCAACATGCAAGTCTCCCCTCACATTACGAATGAACTCCCAAAGCCCCACAAAGACCTCTAATCCCATCAATGTCCATCCCAACCCAACAGTCCACACCATCCTCGCGTCATGGATCTTGCCCCACGCAGCGCTACTTTCTTCTTCCTCACCACCTTCACCTTCGCCCTCTTTAGCAGCGGGCGAACCCCCTTTCTCCTTTATCTTCGCTTCATGTTTCGAATCGTCATCTCCGTCCGTCAAGCTCTCAAGTACCTTCGTACTACTACTCCCTGTCTTTTTTGGCGTAGGCGTGAGGGAAGACCAGCATCCGTGAGTGAGTGTGACTGTGACGGGGGCTTTTTCCGGATCAGACGGCGTGCTGGTGGATAGGACGGGGCAGTCGGGATCCCAGAGGATTGGTACAGTGGGGTATGAGGATAATGTTGGGAGAGGAGGTGAGTCCTTCGTTTGTGGTGGGTGGTGGGTGCGGGAGGGAGATTGGGTTCGAGGTATGCCGCTTGTAGGCTGGGGGAGTTCAGTGGTTGTGATGTCTTGAGGGTTGGTGGATTTGATGCTAGTGAGCAATTCTAGAGGTGGTAGGTCATCTGTACTTGGTTTGTCTTTTGGTGTGTTGTCTGCTATCACAGGTTCAACATCGGTGGGTGGAGTTTCGTCGTCTGCTAATACAGGCTCGTCTATCATTTGTGGTAACTCGTTCTCAAACAGATGAGATTCTTCTGGGGGCACTTCATCTGCAGCGCTGGTGGGAGACGGCTCATCAGGCTCGTCGAGCGGTGGACTCGTATCGATTTCGTCTTCTCCCTCGAACTCTTCCTCTCCATGCTCCTTGATCTCGACTCCCTTTTCCCTAACACTTGAAGTAGGAGCAGGTATCGATCTTGTTACTCCAAAACCGGACTTCTCGCGTCCCCACAGTTCCAGCCGTCTGGCCCTCCTGGTCGCCGCGTTAGTTGACGGATCAGCAGTCGCCGATTCCGTGGTTCTCGGAGTATCTTCCTTTTGCGTCGATTTCGCGGTGCGCAGAAAGCTGTTGATGTAGTCGTACCACGAATTCATGCTTGCTACAGTTAGGTAGGGAACGTCTTCACCCTGCTTCTGTGCGATGAAGGAAGATGCTTGAGTCATGCTAGCCTCTTCGACATCGACTGGGAGAGGGCTTGAGGTAGTCTCGGGGAATCCCGGGCGTATCTCTATTGGTATGCTGCTGGTGAGTGTCTTTTTGGGAGCAGGGGTGCTCTTGGGTAGACCTAATCGTGTTCCTGCAGGTATAGCAGTCGCAGCACTTGTGGTGAGAGGCTTGGATGTCTTCGCAGTTCCGGACACTTCGTCAGCCGGTATAGTAGTTTTCATGTTATTAGACGATTGTCTAGATGGCTTCGCAGTCTCAGATTCAGCTCCAGCCTCCTTGGATGTCGCGCCTTTCGCTTTGGTAGATTTCACGGTCGTGCTACCCGCACTCGTCTTTTTTGTCGTTTGCCCTACTTTTTCGCCATAGTTAACCCTCCGACAAAAGTTAACAGCATAGTCCTCGCGAACCGGCACATTCGCTGTGCCGTTTCCAATACCAAGGCTAAGTTCAAAGTAGATGCCTGACCCATCTAGCTTGAGGTCATCTGGATTCTTGGACATCTCTTCTGGCACACCTTTGCAGAAAGCTAGGGCAGTGATGTTAGGCATGTACATAGAAAGGTAGCCTTCAGAACGACGAAGGTCTACCTTCAGGTTGTACAGGTTCGTGCTGCGCTTGTTGAGAGGGTTAGGCAGAGGGGAATCCCAAGGGAGTGTTGTTGTTGCGAGCGGGTCGGTATCGCGTTTTGATATTTTGTGCTCTCCTTTGTCAAAGATGACGGGAACCCCAGAGATTGGGCGTTGAGAGATAGTAGGTTCTTGCCCCCTGGAATTGCCGGGATACGGACTTGGCATCAGATCATCGCGGGTAATGGACCTGATATCTGGTACCGCATTATGAGAGTCTACATATCTGGTCTCGAGATGTAGTTGTGTTGTTTCCTTGCGCGAAATTAACTCATCGGGCTCCGATATGCTTTTTTGCTCTGTAGTATGGTAAAATAGATCTGTGAAGATATGTTCTACATAGTCCTTGCTCTTGGTGGCGCCTGCGAGATCTGAGCGAGCAACAACGTGAGTAGTTAGAAAGAGAAGTAAGATGCCGCATAGTGATTTCATGTTGTTAACAGTCTGCAGTAAGGTAGTTGAGAGTAGGGGAGGGGAGCGTGATAGGGAAGGTAAGAGCGACCGTCAAATGGTTTTGATACGTGCCAAATATTGAATAGGAATATGTGATGCTTTTGCTAAAAAAAAATCGTGATGAGTGGCCCCATTCATTGTCCTCTTGAATCCATTGATTCTACCGTAACTGATGATAACGGGCGAGCCGTGAAAATTGAAAGACCAATATGCTATAATCACAAGCGGAAGTCATCTGCCACCAATTTAACTAAGCTTGGTCGCGAACGAGGTCTTGTTATAGTGGCAGTGCTGACATGCTGTGTAGTTGTTGAAGTTACCCATATTGTTGTCGTAGGCTCAGGAGTACTGCTAACATCAGTTTGATCTCAACAGAAGCCGGGTTTCACGCACCTAGTAGATATACGGTGCACGTGCTTGGTAATATACACTGTCGTGAATACCTCCTGAGTGCTCAGAACGGTTGTTAATGGCTTCCTGTCGGACTTGGTGCTCTCGGTTTCAAATTCAGTCTCCAACAGAAGGATTGTCGAAAGGTCAATACTCTCAACCGTGTCTGTAATCGTAGCCTGCAATGTTTCAACATGAATGGTCCCAGGCCCGGTTACAGTTGTCGATAACTGGACCGTCCGTGTAGTAGTGATAGTGTTTGTGACTATTACAACCTCCCACACCTCCTGATAGCGCTCGCATTCGAGATCACCGTTGTCCAGGACAGTACAGATTTTGACGTCGACATCTGAGGGCGTCTCGCCTGCCGTCAACGATTGCCAAGGAGCGAGCCAGTATGTGTACATGCGCTTGACGGTCGGTGCAGGTGTGATGAGCGAATAATTTGTTGTGACAGGCGTCGGGGTCTCCAGTGTGAAGCCACACTCTGTCGAAAACGTGACCTCTTGACTACAGTCCGTAATAGTGACTTTTGATGCCAACCCAGTAAGCGTAGTGGCACAAACGGTCGTTTGGATAGGCGCATAAGCGGTGGAACAGCTTCCAGTTCCGTCGATAATCGTAGAATAAGCTGTCGTTCCATTGGCGTAAGGCGGCTGCGTTATGGGAAGCAGTGCTATAGGAGGCCCGACACACCAGGTCATCTCAGGAATATAAGACTGAACGACTTGACTTTGCGTGGTGACCTCAACGGGAGAGGCATCGGGAGAAGGGAATATGATGGTAAGTATTGTGCGAGTTGTAGTCGATGATGGATATGGCTCCGTCACGGTATATGTGGTAGTATCGTGGATAGGTTCTGTGATGGTGTAATTGACCGTCACCGGTACCAGTGCTGGGAGAAGCACTGCGACATTTTGCGTGACATTGACGACCTCGTGTGGTAGACCGTGTGGGACTTTTGCGAGCGCATACCGTAATTGTAGTAGAGTTACAATGGCGCGGAGCATACTGAAAGAGTATAGAGACATCGGCAGGTTGGAGCAAGAATATGTGACGTGGAGCTCGCGATAGAATTGAAAAGACAACCAACCCTCTCCATGGCGCCCGTAATGCTGTTGACGTATCGCGTGGAATGTAAGGCATATTGTCACTCCCTTACTTACCGGATGGCGATCCTAACAACCTCACGAGTCTTGCCCTGGATAACTGCTGTTCTAGAAACCGATTGGAATGCCATGACCCTAGGAAGGGAGCTATTAGTGACACTAGTAGACAACAGCCTTGCGCATGCGCGATGAGTTGGTAACCACCACAGTGGTCATGAAACAAACGCCCCATCTTCGGACATGAGATTTTAAATGAGCCTGTTTGAGGTGACATGCACATGTACAGTCGTAGATGAACAGCAAGCGAGGGAAAGGTTGAGGTATGGACGGCAGGCGAGGGGAGGGTTGAGGTATGAACAACAACGAAGGGGGAGGTCATGATTAGTCATCCTACGCGACTTCAGCACGGGCTTTGTGGGTTGCATATCATGGCATGCGACTTGGAGGGTTCCTCCCTACCTCATACCCGCTCAAAGTGACAGCTCGGCTAACCAATGGCTTCTCGTGGTTCCGAAAGCACGACATCAAGCCCCTCAATTGGCCCTGATTCATAAGTGCCGGGCAATAAACGCGGCAACTAGGCTACGTTGTAGACTACTCCATATCCCCGGCCGCTCGTAGCTCTCATGTCTTCGCTTCCGTCACCAGGCGTGTGCATCATCCCTTGGGAACCATCATGACTTCTTCGTCTATCAAGCTCGCTGTCTTGGATGATTACCATAACTTCGCAGCGCAGCACTTCTCCCATATTGACCCCTCCAGGGTTGAAGTTACCGTCTTCCGTGACACGCTACCAGCATATACACACCCCAAGACTACAGATGCCGACCGCAAGGCCCTAGTCGATCGGCTCAAGCCTTTCTCCGCCCTGTCCACGATGCGCGAGCGTACACCATTCCCCAGCGAGCTACTCCATCAGCTGCCCAACCTCAAAGTCATATTTGCGACCGGCGGAAAGTTCGAGAGTTGGGACGTGGATACAATACGTCGGCTAGGCATCAAAGTCTGCGCGGCGCCGGGAAAGGGAAGGACGGATGGAAGAGGCAGTGGCCCGTCTCCGCGTTCATTACCGGTCACGAAAGGCGGGGGTCCTCCGACGACACAGCACATATGGGCGCTCATCCTGGCGCTGGCACGGAACGTAGCTTCTGATGACGCAGTCGTCAAGGGCAAAGGAGTGGCCCCTGGCTGGCAAACCGAGCTGGCTATTGGCTTGCAGGGGAAAACACTAGGCTTGGTAGGTCTTGGAAGACTAGGTGCACATGTAGCAAGGATAGGTGTGCTCGCTTTTGGTATGAAAGTCGTGTGCTGGAGTACAAACTTGACGCAGCAGAAGGCGGATAAATTGGCTGAGGAGGCTGGCCTGGCAGTGACGGGCGGAGGCGTCATTGGTGAGGATGAGAAGACGTTCAAGGTCGTCAGCAAAGAGGACCTATTTCGAACTTCTGACGTCGTAACGGTGCATTATGTGCTCAGCGAGCGCTCGCGAGGCATTGTAGGCGCGCAAGAGCTGCAGTGGATGAAACCTTCTGCCCTCTTGATCAATACGTCTCGAGGACCACTCGTCGACGAAGCAGCGCTACTAAATGTACTCCGGAATGGGCGCATCCGCGGTGCCGCACTCGACGTATTTGATATTGAGCCTCTGCCAGCGGACAGCCCCTGGCGCTCTGAGGATTGGGGTGCTAAGGGTAAGAGTCGGGTACTACTGACACCGCATATGGGGTATGTGGAAGAGGGAACATTAACAACTTGGTATGAGGAGACAGCAGAGAACTTGGAAAGACTTGTCGAAGGGAAAGAGCTGCTGCATTGCATTACATGAGCACCAGAACAAGAGCTGGGGGTTATTTACTTTCTGACTCAAATACTTTGCATCGCCCAATGATCCTCAGGACCTTGACAGGGCGCCCTGTGCTCTGCTTACCTGCTGGTTGACTAGACAATTCAGCGACTTCGAGATAGCAGCGATAACTACTAAAGAAACCAATAAAATAGATTAAATACGTCACGCCCTCCATCCTACAACATTTTGTATACACGAAGTCACGGACGTTGCTAGCCTAAACTTAAAGGCTGCTCTCTACTACACATAGTGTCCTGTACCCTCAGTCCGGCTTTCTCCAACGTCTCCAGTATCGATATGAACTGGCGGCTCCGATGCTTCGAGTTCAGCCGGTGGTCCTGGCACAACATGCACAGCCTTTGAGTCAAGCGCGTTCTGCGCAGCTTCAGTCTCCACTTCGCTCCTCCATCTCCCTCCAAAAAACCATTTGTGCTCCCTGAAATTCCGATCCTGGTCTTCCATCTCGGGTACACTTGGATCTTGGACCGTTGCAGCAGCTTTTCGTCGTTTTCGCAGATAAAGTATTGTCATAACGACTCCGATGATTGCTGCTCCAAGAACAGCACCTACGCCTATACCTGCTTTTGCCCCGGTACTAAGGCTGTTGGATTGAGGCGTACTGGTGGGTTCAGAAAGGTTAGTCGTTGACGTACTCGTGGGCAGAGTTATGTTTATTCGTTTCGCTAGGGATGTTGCATAGTCGCTCGGAAATAACCTGAAGTCGTCTATCTGCCAGGCGACTACGACAGGATCTGCAATTGCTAGACCAGCCGTGAGTGTTGTGATACTCGATATGATAGACGGTACTTGAGACCCGCCGCTAGGGGGTGACCAAGACGTGTATTCGTACACCGGGGTGACGGTCGCGCCACTGTATGCGGGAGTTGTGGTGATAGGAGCATACGCGCGAAAAGCCGTCGAAAAATGACTCAGACAACCACGTGGATATCCAGGATCAAATGTCATACCGCTGACAACAAGCTATTAGTACAAGGATTATGACTAAAGAGGTGCAAAGGCGATTAACAAACCTTCTGCAGCAGCTTGCTTGCCAGAATGTGTGAATGCCGGTGGAGACATTCGATTGGAATGCAGTCACGCCCGCAATAGTTTGTCCATGAGGACATATGCCAGGGCTGTAAGTTGGAGTCTTATACAGCTGACAGTCTTTGTACGAAGGATCAGAGACAATGGACTTTGAAGGATCAACACTGAAAACAGTAAATGGTGGAATCTCCGTATTCCCACATCCAATCGTTCGTGGAGGTTCTAGCATCCACCTATCAAGACATTGGGGGGGAGGAGTATATATAGTTGTAAGTGGCGGTGCATTCAAGCTCGAGGGTCTCGAAGGTATTTCGGGGAACGTGTCTGTAAAAATACGAGTAGTAGTAGCACCAACGTCCGAAAGTGACATGAGGTACGTTGAACAACCTAAAGTTGAAGTATTCCCAGTGCGAGGAGAGCCTACAATAGGCATGTTTGCAATCAAGGAGAGAGATCAAGAGCTTGGGATATACAAAGAGTGCATTAAACGGGGCGAGGCCGAGAAACGGAGCGGAAAGCTTAGGGCACCCCACAGTTCTTAAATCTACGAGTTGAACAAGGCTGAAAGCTGTGTTACCCCAAATACCCCTCTAATAGACATGCATGCATCATGTGAGCTTGCTGTTATAGACCAGTAGCACGATAGTTCACTTAGATAAAGACCAATGATCACCTTTGAGGCTTGCATTATCAATATTTCCGTTTGCCGTATCAGTGCGTTGCGACTTGGGCTTATCGAGCCTTGCGGCTGTAAAAAAGCAGTGTGTTCTCATGTCGAAGGCGCTAAGGATACACGGGAGATTGTATGGGAGCTGTCTATTCTATACTACAAGTATTATTCCTCTTGGTTCCCCATAATCCTCGGGTACGTATGCCGCAGATAGATGCAACCTAAATAGTCGTCAGGGCATAGTTTCCATGTAGCCATTTTGCAAGGCTGGCGCCGGGCTGGAGCTATACCCAGGGTTTGTCCTACATAGCCAGTGACACATAATTTTCAGCTCGTTAACACACAGCATGAATAGAAGAGAAGGGCACCATAATCATACAGGCTTTGATCTCAACGAAAATATGCAATCGAGAGGACAAAATGGGTTGTAGTGTAACCACGCCTATTTGCCATGTCCGCTCTACAAGACAGCATAGACGTGCTACCCTGGTCTCACATTAGCTTTTCAGCCATAATGAATAAAAGTCTAGAGGTTAATAATAGAACCCTTTAACAATTGCCATGTAAATTTTCTCAACGAAGTAGTCTTATATTTGTTATATAAAAGTAAAATCTATACGTAATATACAGTTTCCCTCCTTCCTACATACTAGAAACACCGCTCGCGACACAGGGCGTGTCTACTAGCGATGTTTAACCCCAATCAGTATTAGGATCTACTCGCCACTGGTAACAATCATTGCTGACAATGCCGCCCTGCTTCCCGTCGACGCCTTCACAATTACAGCTGTTGGCAGGCACCTCCATGTAGCGGTGGCACTCGTCAAAGTTCCAGGTCCATTGGCAGCCCTCGTCGATGGCGAGCGACGTGACAATCTGGACGCCAAGCCCACCACCCCCGTTGGGCAGGGTGTATGTGTTGGAGAGGAAGAAGTTCTCTCTTAGGATGGTTCCTGGCCTGCCCAACGCGTTGCAGAAGTCCCTGATGGTGTTGTCGATGCGTACGTGCTCGGTCTTCTGCCCGCCGTTGTAGCACTCGGCCTTGTTCTGCCTTGGGTCGCCCTCGCGCGGCGACTCTTCCGGCGGTTGTGACTGCGTCGCTGTCGCGGTGGTTGTGGATGTGGATGAGCTGGATGAGGAGCTGCTTGGCTTGGGACACACGGTCTGGAGTTCTTCCCAGTTCTCGTCGAAGTCGTCGCCCTCGCCGCCTGGGTCCGTGAAGGTCCCATTGTCGCCGTACAGCCAGGGCTCGTTGATGCAGTCGAAGTCGAAGAAGCCGCACTGCGTATATAGGGGCCCGTCGAGCTGGCCGAATATGGGCTGGAGCTGGCGCTTCGGCCAGCTGCCCGTAGGTGGTGGGGCTGCATTGGGGCCAATAGAGGGCGGGGGTGTGGGAAAGGGTGCGGTGGGTGCTGTGGTCGTTGATGCTCCATCCGGGCCAACATACACGACAGCAGGCCAGTGCTTTGTTGTCGCCAGTACAGGCCAGAAGGGCTCGAGGCCTTGACGTTTCTGTTTGGCTGCTTGCCCAGTCAGCGTCACAACCTCGAAGACCCACTGCGAGATGGTCAAGGGCGCCTTTGTGATGGTGCTTGTCCAAGTATCTTGGCTTACTGTAAGCAGAGGATAGTTCAGGGTGCTGGTTGCCTTGGTCCACGGGGGGATCTTGACATTGCAGGGAGGCGAGCAGGTGAACTTTGGCTCGTCCATGTCCCAGATCTTGGGGTCGATCCAGGTGTACTCGCCATACAGCGAACCGTTGCTGCTGACATCCAACACGGAGATCTGGGACCAGAAGGGATGTGTGTTCACATTAAGATTATCTTTGGCCAGTATGCCCTTGCCATCCATGACGGCCATGTACTTTGCGCCGATGGTGACGAGGTGCTGGATGCGAACGTTGGAAAAGTTCTTTTCGAGCAGGAGAAGGGCTTTTTGGCACAACTGCTGGTCGATACACGTCTGTGCATAGGTCGAGAACCAGGAATAGAGACCCGCGCTAGCGATGAAGATGTTCTGAGACTCCCGAATCATGACGGCCCACGACTCGTCACATCCGCTGAACTCGTCGCCGGCGGCACATTTGTAATCAGGGTCGCCCGGGAAGACACCAACGACTGCCTTGAAAGGAGCTGGTGGCGGTGGTGTAGGCTGGTAGTAGGGCGATTCCGTCTGGAGCAAACCTGCGAAGATGTTTGTTGCTTTATTGAAGTTGAATTGGTAGAAGACGGCATGCTCGGACGCGGTGCCATAGAGCCTATGTTATATGATTGGTATCTAAGAAGATAGACTGCAAATTCGCCACTAGATAGGGATAATCACGTACCATGTTGGCCGTGTACTCTCGATTAAGAAGCCACGTGCCACGTAGACGGAGGTTTGCACCATGGTGTTGTTGGCGTCGTTAAGGTCGGGATCGCTGGCACTCAGTCAGAACGTTGTACCATGGAAGGACTCGAGGCAAGACTTACTCAATCATGTGGTCAGCACCCCAGAGCCACATGTTTTCAAAGTATCCCGACCCCGACTTGGTCAGGTGCATCATCAAACTGGCAGCACTGCACCCAGCATCGACACCACTTGTCACGGGAGGACACTCAGCAGGCGTCAACTTGGTACCTGTAGCGCCTCCAACACGTGCGTGGCAGTCCCAAAGACCGGCTGCTCCGGGACTCGACGCTTGCATGTTCCACTCGACCAGTATGGCACCAGCGGTTGGGCCAACCGTGGTGAAGATGAGGTCCTGCATCTCGACGTCGCCGACCTGGCCCGCGTTTCCTACCTTGAGCATGACTTTGGGGTTCTTTGCATCTTGGAAATACGAGCCAGAGGCGGCCAGCTGTGACCACGTCTCGCCCACGATCTTGGATCCGCTGGGCACAGTCACCGTCGACGTCAAGATGTACGAGCCCGCGTCGACGAATAAAACCTTGCCCACACTCGCATACAAGGCAGACTGGAATGCGGCCGTGTCGTCAGTGACGCCGTCGCCTCTGGCCCCGAGGTCCTTGACATGGACAAAGTCCCCAACGCCGCGGTTCTCGTACTGGGGCTTGGGGCGCTCAAAGTAGGCGCCATTGCTATCGAGCAGCGCCTGGTGCCTGCGGAAGCTCCCAATCTTGGCACCTGTCGTGTAGGTGCGGTTGGTAGCTGAGCCCGCGTAGACAGGGCCCATGGCCCATTCATCTATACGAGCTGAGGAGCCATCTAGCAACGTCTTGCCTGTGGTGTCGGCAACCGCAACTGCCACGCCCGAGAGCTTGATGTTCTCGAGGATCAGCCCCGTAGAGCCAGAGGCCACGGTCGACGAGGGCGGCGTGATGACGACGACTGTCTTGACGTTGGTGAAGGAAGAGTCGAGGAAGGAGGCCGAGCCGATGTTCCCCGCTGCCGTCGCGGCCTGGCCCGTGCCGCTGCTGCTTAGGGGCACCAGCTTGAAGCCAGTGCCGACGTTGGTCATGGTGATGGACTTCCACACCCACCCCCAGTCCCAGATGAGCTGCACGCCCACAGTGCATCCGTCAAACTTCAGCCGCTGCGCCGTGAACTGCTGGCTACCGCCCAAGAGCCCGACCGCGCCGCCCTGGAACGTCACATCGGAAATCTGCCCCCCGCTGCCATTCTCAGCGTACATGCCCTGTTGCGTTGGGCCTGCGATGAGCAGCACATTCTGCAAGCTGGTGGCCTGGGCGACCTGGTAGTGCAGACAGGACACCTTCTGCGAGGCGCGCGTCTGCGTCACGTCGATGATGACGTTGCGAAGCTGCCGGTAGAAGTTGGCCGTGTTGACAAAGTACTGCTGGTCCTGGCCGTCAGTGCCTGTCCCCCCACCCGTGTACTCGTCCGTCGACAGGACGCCCATACCGATGAAACTCTTCGAGGCCAGGAGCGTCGGCCTGGCGTTGGCGTCGCCAATGACCTGGGTGCCAAATGGCAGGGCGATGGTTGTCGAGATGAGATACGTGCCTGGCGGTATGTATATAATCGCGTTCTTGAGCGTCGACCCGTTGCATTTCACACCACACCGTTTTCCATCGTTCATCGCGGCCTTGAATGCTTTGCTGTCATCCGTCACACCATTGCCAACCGCACCGTAGTCGCGCACGTTGCGAAATACCGCGTAAGTTGCATTGTCGCCCCACGGCACAGTGCCCTTCCTGGCAAGACTCTCCATCCAGAATGTACCCGTCGCTCGCCGGCTCAGCGTCACGTTTCCTGCCTTGTCGGTTGCGTCTGCCTCGGCCACCAAGGCTGCAGCCTCGGCCAGGTCATCGGTCATCTCTAAGAGCGGTGAGACTACTGGACCATCATCTCTGGCATCGAGACGCGCCTCAACAGCCGTCTGACTGATGATGGTGCCAGGCTTCAGCTTGTAGTTGTTGCGCATTGGGTTCAACAGCCGGGCTTGGTTGAGTCTCGATGACTCGGCAATGGCCTTCTCGACTATGCTTCGCGCCTTCTCCACGTCTGACATGGACACGTTCTTGAGGAGAGGTGTAATGGAGGAATCAGACAGGTTTCTCGGAACCGTCTGCCGTTCTGTCCAAGTGGGCCGCTGCTGCATTGGTTCATGGCGGACCTCGTTGTTCATTCGCGGCGGAGCTCTGGCTGTATGTACGTCTTCGAAATCGTCGTCCAGATCATCGTCATCATCGTCGTTCCATCGGCTCTTGCCCATGAAAGACATGGGTACGACCGTGCCCGTCATATCGGCCATGGACTCGAACGATGCGGAGTCATTGGCGGGAACTACAACCTCGCTTCCCTGGCTTGACTTGACCAGCTCCATGAGGCGTTCGGGACTGAGCCAATGGCTATGAGAAGTCGAGTTTACTGCCTCTTCTCCTTCCTCCATACTTCGTCTTGCCTGAGAAATCCGGCGTTCATCCGTGACTACGGTCTTGTCCGGGTCGTCGTAAGTAAACACTCTGGCGGCGATGCCATCTGGTGCCGAGGTCATCGCGAAACCAAACAATATGACGCTGTTCTTGGGTTGGTAGTATGGAAAGGCCCCGGGAACCAGTAGCCTCCGCCTTCTCACCATCCTTTTTAGCTGGTTTTGCAGGGCATTGTGCGCCTGTGCCTGCCAATCTTGCTCGGCCTTGACTCCTCCTCCACAGCGTATAGCGGCACAACGAGTCTGTGCTTTTTGATCAATGTCACCAAACTGGTTGTCGCCGCCTTCGACCCATGGTGCCGCCGGGAATTCGTCGCACGAGTACCGTATTTTGGATTCTATTATCTGGCCGTTGACAATCTGGTTTCGGAGCTGGTTGGTATCGGTTCCAGGCTCGAGCTGAGTAGTCCACCAGGGACCATCGTTCCGCATCACAGTCCGTTGGTTCGGTTCGGGGCACGTGTGGAAATTCTTCCAGTATGGAACATGGTGGGTCGGGCAAGTGTGCTCTCGGCGGTTGTACGAGCGCCAAGCAGGGTCTTTTCCGGTATGTGTGTCGTAGCCAAACACGTAGTTGGGAAGCCCGCTCGTGGGATGAAGGATTCCACGACCCCTTCCGTTAATTTCAAAGAAGTTGTAGGCATTTTTACAGATGTCTTTCATGTAATAGCAGTTGTATATGAGGTACACAGATTGCGGGGCGAGGTCAATAACTTGCTGGGGCACCGTAGCTGGGTTGGGTTGGCTGCAAGACTTGCTGTTAGAAATCTGGCCATACGGAGTTGGATCCAAATTGAAGGTCGCCTACTAAAAGTACGCAGTGGTGGTGCCACCGCCATTGGGGTTGGGTACATTCTGGACTAAGTAGTCTTGAGCATACTGAGCCAAGACCAATTGTCCCACGAGAAAGGCCTGCAAGGCCACAAGATACGCTAAAAAGCGGAGTAAAGCCATGCTTCTCTTAAGAAAAGAGAGATGGTTGAGGTAAAGGGACAAAGGGGAACATCATCTGCTGTTCACCAAGACATAGAATATCATGGTGGTCGACAAGAACTGATAACTTTATACTGGCTCTCGCGACATTTTCCTCCGGCTAAGAGATAAGACAGTGTACGAAAATAATAGTACCGCTTACCTCGGTTGATCTCCTGTTCTGAACACCCAGGTCTTGAATCAAGTCTGACCGGAGCGTTCCCCATCCCTTCATTCGACGCCAGACGACGCCAACTGATGCGGTAACTAATTACTACATTTAGGTAATCAAGCGAGGCATATCTGCAGCTGCTTAGCGAACGGTGAACGCCTTACCGGCGCTACGGATTGCGGTGCGGCATCTGGGCCTGGGCAATGCTTATGTACGGCCACCCACTGTATATTAAAAAATTCTACTATTCAAGCACTTACTTGGTCTTTTACAGGGTCTCCGAAAACAAAAAGGATCGCGCATGCATATCTTCTTCGCGATCCATAGATTAGCAGCATGGTAACCGGGATATAGACTTCGGGCCACCAACGCCGCGGGATCTAGGCAATGCTTAGCAGGGAGACGATTTCACGGCGCACACGCTGTATAGGGAAGGTCGTACTGGACAAGCATTACTTTGGCCGCGTCTGGTGTCTCGGCTCTTGGAGATATCCCACCTACGTAAGGCTGGAAAAGATATCGGGATACGCAGGGGCAATCCTTCAGGATTTTTATGGAGAGCTGAACTTGATTGGGATGGGTAGCTACAATTTAGATCATGCGGCGGATAATGAGATGGTGTTATTGTTTGTACCTGGATTTAACCGATATGAACCTTTAGTCTAATCGAGTAGTATGGTGCGAGGTAAGCTAGTCACTGCGCTGCTATTATTAGATGGTATGTGCGCACAATCGTTTCCACGCGGGACGACAACAAGCTTACCATGATATACAGTCCTCATACTAAACGGTCCTTTTGATTAGACGTGAAAAGAACCAGCGGTCTGATAATGCCACCGGCACTTCAATATACACGCCCTATGCATATGCAAGGTAAAAAATGCATCTCATCTGACACCAGCCTGTTCTTCAGTCTAAACCCATCGATCCTTCGCACTAGCGGCCGATGTCACTTGAGTTTGCACGTCAGACTCGGCTGCATGGTCGGGAGGCATTGGAATGAACGGATGAACGTGACCGGGTGGAAGCCCGCAAGATCCAATGAGTTAGGAGCGTGTTTGTACGAGGAAAGATTCAGGTAGTCAGTTACTGCCAACAAGTGCAGGTTCTGTCGCGTGTCATAGACTCTTTGATTATCTGCTTGACAGGAGTATGGCAGAAATGTATGTATTGTATATTGAAAATAACAAGCTGTCTAGGTATCTACCACTACTCTCAAGTTCTAATTCACCTCATTAGATGACCTCCATAGTTGTATTGTCTTCGAAGAAGATGTCAAGATTGGTGAGGACTAGCCGCATGTTCCAAATGCAGATTGGCTGTATTTCACCCTCCAGTCAGTATCAAACTGGCAGAGGATATCGAGGGCAATTTCAAAGGATTTAAACTGGGAAGAACTCACCATCCTGCACCACAGTCCACGGGTAGTGACCCACACTGGCCATTCTTGTTGCAACAATTCCCATACAGCACATTGCAAGTGTACTTGTTCGTACCCCCACAGGAGCCATCAGGTGTGGTACCCGTCTGCCACGGTAGAGAGGCCGGCTGGCTCGGGGTCGCCGCAACCGTGCAGTTGCCCGACTGGCACGATTTTGTGCCACAAAAGGCATCACCAGTGCCGCACTTACCGTCAAAGTTACAGCAGTCGCCCCATTTCCCAGCGCAGCGTCGAGAGCCGTGCTGAGAGCCACATGTCCCGTCTGTACTGTATACTTTGTCTCCTAGGCAGGCGCCTTCGAAGCATGTACCGTCGGCGCAGTCCTGTCTGGATGGCTGTTAGTATCAAGTACCGTATATGTGTGTTGAGGACCTCGTTTCAGGGAACACTTACGTCGATTGACCGCATTTGAATGTCTCGGCATTGCAGCACTGTAGATCGGTCCCGAGACAGGTCGCGTTATTGTGCTTGGGGCCACAAAGACCATCTGTAGCTCGGAGGGGCTCAACGACTATCATCTTTCAGTTACTGAACTTCTCAGAATGCTCCCTCCCTCTGTCAAGAGTACTCACAACCATCAACGCAGTACCTAGACTGCGGCTTGATATTTGAACAATCCGGTTTCAGTGTCGGGTTCAGGGAAAAGAAAAAGTCTGTGGTGATTTGGTACTTGTTGCTAATTTCCGTACACGTGTAGTAGTTGACTGTGTCGTAGGTCTTTCCCCAGGATCGACAGTTGATCTCGCCGGCCTTGGGGACAGTGGAACTGCTGGTTGCACTTGGAACAGGAGTAGGAGTAGTGGAGGTAGCTGCGAGGTTATTGGCCCGAGCAAAGTTCCCAGCCTTGACCCATGTTGCGGGTTGGCAGTCATCTGCGACGACGGTCAAGAGGAGAACAAAGGTGGAGAGGAGGGCGGCCGAGGACTGCATCCAAAAGAGCTTCATGTTTGGAATACTGAAGTCCGTCTGGGAAAAGTCAATTGAGGATTGAAGGGTGCACTAATGGACTCTCAGTTCAGAGCTGTGAGACGAGTGAGAGATTGACACAGCACATGAACGAAAGATCTCCAAAATGCACATGAAGTAAATGTAACGTTACATTGTCCAAATGGGTACACATTATCGGTTCTTGCCTGCTTCTGATTCTTCCGCCGTGTTCACCTCTAGGCGTCCAACATTCATGGCCAGACCCGATAGTCGAACAGATAGGTAGTGAAGGTTCGAAGCAATGCTTGTTTTCCTGCCTCGTATCTCAGAATACACCAACAGGAAAACGGTGATAGTTCCCCCGGTAAGCCTGAACCCAGGCGCCTCGTTCTTACCAGGTTATTTGCTCCTGCCTTTTGCAGTATAACCAGTGGGCCAGAAGAATTGATGTGATGAACGCGAGATACACGGGGATGGGGTTAGCGTTAGCCCTTCTCGCTTACCAGGTACTACCGCAGCCCTAGTTGAATATTAATTAATTTTCGTAAGGCGTCCCAACGAGAAAATTGACTAGCGGCTCCGGCGTGCAGGTAAGGCGCTATGTTGCGAGCATGCTTGTGTAGGCACTGATAGTTTGGTAATTTCGGCTACTCAGCTATGAGATTCTCTACCGAGGTGAGCAGATGGACCTGAGTGTCTCTACTGACAAACAGGTTGTTGGAATTTCCTTTGTATAAGTAGGCGTGCAAGTCACAGCGACAGAAGATCAGGGTCAACACACGCACTTCCTCATCCTGAGTTGACTACTTGTCTATATCTATCAAGCCTGTTTGGAACCGAAGAACCGAAGAACCCAATACTCGGTCAGGTCATTATATTAAGATGCATACCTTTACCGTTCTTTTTCTTGGCACCCTCCCAGCCCTGGCTCTGACGGCCTCGCTCGGAGCCTCTATCATCAAGCGCTCTTGTGGCGAAACTGCCAGTCGCGTCTGCTTTGGCGTCGATGGAGGCACAGCGCAGAACATCGACAAGGATGACATTCAGTACGCTGCGGATTACCTGCGACATCTGGCAGACGAGAACAACAACCCGCTGTGGACGATGCCACCCGAGTTCGACTGTGCTGAGTGGGGGCTCCCCGTCGCCGACGCAGGAACGGTGCTTGTACTGGCCAAGCACATCAGGCCGCGCACCAACTCCTCAGTGACGTACTACGACCTAGCCCGTACCATCGACGGTGGTGTTGACGCAACGCCGGATCAGAAGGCTGCATCTTTGCTAGGCGCTTGTGGATCCGGAGGGGGAATGCAAGGTGTTACGGTGAATGCCAACGATCCGGCTTACAACACGCCTGAGTATATTGCCTCGAAGGCGAAACCTGAGGATATTATCATCAAGGTCGTGAGAGCCCCAAGCTCTTAGAAGGAGATAGAGACCGGGGGTGAGAGGCAAAGCTGGAGAGGTTGCACTGAGGCATGGGGACTGTGTCAGGTTTATCATAGGTTTTCTTGGACTATTTCCAGTAATTTGAAATATGCAATTACAATGCAGAACTTGACTGTCTAAGTTTTCCGAGTAGATCAAGCCCTTATAAAGGTAGGCCGTAAAAGGCCACAACAAGTACTATCATACCTTCTCTAATGGCTAACAATAAAAGTTTTCGTTAGATTTACTCTTGTAATCAAGAACTTTAGCAAGCCTTAAGTGTCCCTCTTTACCGTTCATTTTTCGCCACTCCCACTCTTCTATCACCCATACATGATTCCCAAGAAAATTAACCATCAGTTTGGCATCCGACGGCAACGGGATGTTATCCAATAGGTCACCCGCAGCTTGTAACAGGTCCTCGCGCAGACTCATTAGCCAGGGATGAACTGCCGAGACGTAGTCGTGAATCGTCAGAAACTCTCCAGTGGCCTTGACCAACAGAGAGACGGCCTTGCCCCGAGGCCGCTCTCCGCCACAGCACCTTAGAAGGTGTTCATGACTTTCTTCATCTTCATCCGTTTCTGGGTCGAAGTCGGGAAGCATTCCATAGCGAACTTCATCATTACCTTCGTTGTGATCGCCGGCCTCCGTATGATCAAAGTGGAACTCGAGCCACTGAGTTTCCCATTCCTGGAGCTGTTCAACACACACATTGACGGACGAGATCTTGGGTTCGGTGAGCGCGGATTGAGATACTGGAGACCAGGTTGCAGTCGCCTTGTCGAAATAGGGCGCCGAAGGGGTCTGGGAAGTGTAATAGGTGTCTTCCATGACACGAATCGCGCTGCTCAGAGGGCCTTCGAGAGTCCATTGAAGGCGCTGGGCATCGCGAGTCGGGCCAATGGGCTGATGGGCTTTCCTGATGTCTTCGTAGGTTGGTAGTATGTCGCTCCGCCCTGAGTCAGTGGTAATTGCTGCCGTGGGAATTGAGCCGACGAAGAGGGACATGGTGGTATAGCTGACGAAGAGTGAATGAAGAAGAACGAAAAGTGCAGCTGGAGATTGCGGACTGCCTTGGCTTTTCTAGTTGCTAGTGCAGGATGCGGGCTACTATCCACCTAAAGTTAGACTAGGCTACAGTCTGTACTAGTAGAGGTATCAGGCTAAAGTATAGTACCCTGAACGTTCTAGACCCAGGCACTAATAGTAGTGAGGTGGAAACATTAGTGCCTAATATTCTCATTGCTGGAATATCCATTTTGAAAGGCATATAGCAAATCGAAGGTGATTACCCACGCGCGAGAGCGGTGCGCTCAAAATATGCCGTCAGCTTGCCCTTTGGTATCCCTGGACAAAACGCCCACGCGTATTGTTCCATGAATCTTGCAATCCTACTATCCATATGTTGCATTATCTTCTGCTTCTCTTGTTCGACAGACGTACTTGACGTAGCAACCAGGGTCTTATGTTGCTGCAATTCCACTTCACCAACAGTATGCCCGAAATCCATGGAATCAAGAACAATCCGAAATTCATTGTCAGCTATCCAAGCTTCCCGTGTGGTGGTGAAAGCTGCTACACGCTCGAGTCCAAACTGTTGTTGTTCCGTGCGTGCAGTGCCGGCGATATCCTTTATGCATCGAGCGATGGCGTGCGGATCAGAAAGCTCCTCAAATCTCGAATTGATAAAATCGCCGCCTATGCGAATCTTTGCCTCCCATTTTGCATTTCGTCGCCTCACCCAGACACCCGCTGAAGAGAGGAGGTTCGCTCGGTCGTAGTACACATCAGATATTGTCTGCTGGCCGAGCGATTGGATGCTTTGAAAGGGAGGGGATCCGATGTTTGTGGTCAATTCCCGCACCGCAAGGCACCGGAATTTTCGCTCCACTTCGAGGACACAAGATGTAGCCGAGAAGGATCGGGGAATCATAGAGCGACCTGAGGATAATTAGTCATAATTACAAGGAATACAATGTGTATTCTGAGCGACTCACGCGTCTGAAGTTCGGATCTTTGAGAGTGGGGCGCTATAATAGCTCCTTCCAAGGTTCGTAAAGTGCAGATGCAAGGCTGACTAAGATACCGCGCTAACTACAAATGGCACGTTGATTATTCTCACGTACCACTACAGGATGAGAGAGAGATGGAAAATTTTGATTTTGATTTCATAAGAGTCTAGCTGAATATTTTATGTCGCCGCGACCAACCACTTCCATTTGTCTGTGTTCCTTAACATACCGATAAGCTTCTCATATGATATGTCAGTCTCCCCGCTCGTATCGATCTGCCAGCGTTAGAACACGAACAAGTAGCATATGCCACTGAACCAACCTCAAGGAGTAGACCCTTTTCCCGGTAATGATCAACTATACTTGGATTTGACACGTTAAACTCTTGATATCTCTTCTTGAACATCTGCTCGTCGTCTTTCTCTCTGCCGGCTAACTTTCTTGCGAGAAAGCGCTCCAGAGCCAATTCTTCTGGACAATCGAAGAGCATGACAAGTATCGGGCTTCCAAGCTGAAGTATATGAGTACGTTGTGACAAGTAGCAGAGGAGAACTTACCACTGCCTCAACAGGCGCAGCTTGATTCAAGCGCCGCGGGAAGCCATCCACCAGAATCTTCTTTCGTCCATCTCGACACGCCTTTTCGGTTTGGCTCTTCAGTAATGGTGCGAGCGTCTCTACGGGTACGAGTTCTCCACTTCGTATGTTGTTGACAATGCCCTCGTCGGCGTCTGGAGAAGCCACGAGTTCTCTCAATACGTCACCAACTGATAGGTGGACGAACCCGTAATCTTCCGAAAGCCTTTTACAGAGTGTTCCCTTTCCAGATCCTGGAGCGCCTTGGCGAATTCAGTATCTATCAAGCACAGGTGAGGGCCTTACCAAGTATAAAAATGATTAGGCCTGTAGTGACATCCATAATGGCCTCCAGACAAAAGGTGGTTCGCTTTAGAATCGAAAGTAACATAAAAGTCCTTTGCCATTTGACAACGCATCACGCATAAATCGGGGGTGGTGTAACCTCGTTGGCACTTGCCATCGCAGCTCTAGGTCACCACTATTATTTCCGCCGGCGCAAACGCCCGGTAGCCGTAAATTATCACTTCACGCGTCGCTGCAACAAGACTTGCGGCTTTTGCTTCCACACTGCCACCACCTCACACATGGAGCAAATCGATAAGGCCAAAGAGGGCCTAATATTACTCAAAAGAGCTGGCATGCGGAAAATCAATTTCGCAGGTGGCGAACCATTCCTTTACAGCAAGTTCCTCGGCGAGATGATCGACTTCTGCAAGGAAAACCTACGCCTTGAATCGGTCTCAATTGTCACCAATGGCAGTCTCGTCCAGCAGCGCTTCCTCGAAAAGCACGGATCAAACATCGACATTTTAGCAGTGTCCTGCGATTCCTTCGACGAAGGTACAAATATCGAGATAGGTCGGGGAGCTGGCGATCAAGTTCGACAATTGTACAAGATCGGATCCTGGTGCAGGCAGTATGGTATCAAGTTCAAGATCAACACAGTAGTCTGCCGGCTCAACTACCAGGAAGATATGAACAAGCACCTTGATAGCTTGCAGCCGTTTCGTTGGAAGTGCTTTCAGGTCCTGATTGTCGCTGGTGAAAACGACTCAAGTGGAACGCTCCGCGACGGCCGGAAGTTCTTGATAACAGATACCGAGTATCAGAATTTCTGTAAACGTCACAGTCGCCAGGCTTCTTTGGTTCCAGAATCTAACCGGCTTATGGCGAAGTCTTACCTCATACTTGATGAATATATGCGTTTTCTAGATCGCGACGGTCGTAAACCATCCGAACCCATACTCCAAGTAGGTGTCAATAAAGCCCTTGAGAGTGTGTACTGGGATGAGGGCGCTTTCAAAGAGCGTGGAGGCATTTATGATTGGAGCCGGAAGAAGGGAGCGGCGGAGAAAAAGCTCGAATGGTGAAGTGGTGAAGTGGTGTTTAAGTTTCCTATGAGGTCGTCCTTTAATGACTAGTAACGTTTTTTGATCCTCGCTGTTAACAGAGCTGTTTGTCAAAGAATTGCGTCCCTATATGGTCTTTGTTTGCGCATGTGAAGTGCCACCACAGGAAGTATGTCATGTCGTGCGGCGTAGTGGTGGAAGGGTGAGTGATTCACCAATTCGACCAATACGCAGAAAAAGAACGTGTACTAGAAAGTGGACTTTAGGGTAGGGTTTTAATGTGGTCTATAGATGATCCTAACGCTATGCATATATGTCTATGTGGTATTGGTCCTGACGAATACTAGATAGACTAGCTGTGTGCTCATGAGGATTAACTACCATAGTACAGGGCCCTACCCCTACGTAATATAAGCTTTATTGAAGAATTAGAAGAAATTTCTTCGCAATACGTGACTCATTTTCTGTCAAGGTATGGAGGCTCGTAAAGGTTCGCCAACGAAATTGTCTGCATAACATGCATTAGTCTTGTTTGAACAGATAAGACCAGACGTGACGGCTACTTTACCTCTCTAGTTAAAAGAAATTCCCAGACTGCCAATATGTGAGAGCGAACCAGGCTCAATGGATGTGATACCTGACGAAGCTACTTTTTGGGACAGCTGTACAGGCACTTTTTAAGTTCACCCTTCTTCCATCCTGCACCAAGACAAAAGGACTAACAATCTCCACTGCGTTGCTCGAGGCAGTCAGTTTGCGAACCACAAGCGGCTTCGTGAGTCCCCATATCCGCAACACCCGGTCGCCCACCCGAGTCGTGAGTGAGCAGGCGGTGCGAAGCAGTTTGTCATGATCAGTTATACTTACCGAACAAATCTGACGGTCTGCCTGAGCGACCATGTTGCAAATAGTGGTGTGGGTATGTAAGAATTCCGTGAAACGAGCGGGCGCGTCGTGCGTCTCTGAGTGCAAACGCAAAAACCTCTCTAGTTCCTCTCTTCTGGACTTCTTGTAGTATTTGTCCCATTTCTTCACATGCTTCGGCCATTGATCTCCATCAACTACGACTAAACCTAGAATGCGCATGTAGGACCTGATATCGGGCGTCCAAGATGCACACAGAAACATCGCGCGTAAGTTGGCGAGGTGAAGATCCTTTTCGGATTCTCGAAATGTGACGCTCGTTTTACGAAAGGAGGCACAGCCGCATATGCTACCAATTTCTCGAGCACGCACTGTCAAAACAGTGTCTGCTTCCCCGATTGACAACAATCTTCCTGTCTTTTCGCGATTGCAGATCCTTGCTACCTCTTCCGTCGTTCTCATGCTCTGTCCCCGAGTGTTGGTTCCTGGAAAGTCATACTCACGTATCCAGTCTTGTTTTTTGTATGCGGACCAATCGGGCACCCACGAAGGAGCTCCTGGCTGTCCTCGTGCAGCAGCAAATGGCAGAAACTCGAGGGAACTGGTGACGCGGATAAGGTTTATAGTGAGGACCCAGTATATCTTGGTAATTTCCTGGTCGTACGTCGGCAGTGGGAGATCGTTGGCGCCTCTTTTCTGAAGAATGCCCCACATGCCATAAGCCATATCTATGGGCTCTTTTGATTCGCGACGATAGATCCCGCCGACAAGGTCATCTGTCGTGGAGTTATGGACACTACTCGGTTCCCATTGCTCAAAATACCAGTTGAAACTCAGATAGATCAAGTTGAAAAATACGCTTGTGAACCCCAGGAGCGCGAGCACCATGGGCGCTGTATGTCCGTATTTACCATATACGAGTAATTCGAGGCCCAATAGCAGCACAATAGCACCAGTGACGATAAAAATGCACGGAATACCCCTCCTGAGATGTTGACGGATCGTGAGACTCTGCCTGATGAACGCCTGGTAGTCTTGCAATGTGAACGATGTGCTGCTTGAGGCCATTGATGACAATGAGCCCAGTCTTTCCCTGTCGAATGCGAGCTTTTCCCACAGAGCAACAAGCCGCCGGCAAGAGTCGTAGCGGATGTTACACAGGAACAGAGCGCTTCTTTCGAGTGCAGCCCAAGTTAGGTGAGCGTTGCCGCACACTAACACCGGATGTGAAGCAAGCAGGATCTCCTGGTAAGTCCATACGCGCTGCGTCCATTCTCGTTTTAGCACAAGGTCGAGATCGAGCCAGGTTACATAATTCTTACGTTGTATCCAAGGCTTGGAGCGCAACCAATGGAACCTAGAAGAGCCTTCAGATGTAAGTAACTGCATGTTGCTATGGCCAATTGGGAGCATACCGGGCATGAAGGGGAGTGGATGGTACGCAGGATTGAACGCTGAAGCGTAAAGAGACCACGCTGCGGCATACGGGCGGTCAACCTTCGATCCATCCAACTTGACGTTGAAATGTTTCTGAAAGTGCGAATTCGACAAGTATGCCATGGCTCTGTCTGTTTCACTTGACCCCTCGCCCAGCCACACGTACACGAGCGTAGCCTTCATGTAGATATCACTCATGAGTGGGATTTGCTGTGTCTTTTCTGAGGCATTCTCCTGATTGATACATATAGCGTCAAGCCAGATCGTAAAGCCACCGAGTTTCTTACGCAGGTGCCACAGCGCAGAATGACAATTGCTCGTAATTTTGAAGCGCACATCATCGCACCGCATAACATGTGGCTGAGGTGCGTGGGTACCCCAGACGTACGACAAGGCTGTGAAATCGGGGTTCCTGCCAAGATCTTCGACGCGCAGATGGGCTTTAATGGGCGCGTTATCGGAATCATCTATCGGAAGAGGGAGAATGTCCAATACTCGAATGCTCTTTGGTCCTAGGTCTAACGGATGCTTCTTATACGCTTCTTGAACAGTCCAAGCCGGCGGCTCGATCGAATCGACAGCGATTGTAGGGTTTCTCATCGTTAGAAAAATGCCTGGGCCAACGAGGCCGAGGCAAAACGATTGTGTCTTGTACAGGCGGGCCAGGGCGGTGTGAAGAAGAGATGAAAGATTGGTGTAAAGTGGGCTGTATAATCCTTGATATAGAGTCTACCTCGACGTGTGTCAGCAGCTCGATATGACATCAGTCACTCACTCATCCAAGCTCACGATGCTGGCCCCCGAGGGACCTTTTGCCGGTAAGCATGTAGCACATGCAATTCAGCACGGTCAGCTCTGGTATCTAGCATAGTTGCGGTTGGAGCACATGACGAGCGAGTATTGGTGCAATGGGAACGGGTGGTTGTACTTCTAACTTGCGCTCGAACCCGAGAAGAGGGTGTAACATACAACAACAAACGTCACATGACTAGTCTCAAGCGACATTTCATGAGGATTGACTGCCCCACCGCTCCCGCACACCCCTGCAGCACCCCCTGTCTCCGATGCAGGCCCGCACCGACTCACCGATGGTTCGACTCCAAAAAATTGTCCACCATTGCAATCAGTTGCTATTACAAGGCACAATGACAGACATGACGGACTATTCGCGACCTGTAACGCCAGAAAACGGCACCAATGGCATCATGACGCCTCGCACGCCCAAGCAGACAGGCCTCGCCCTCACAGAGTACACGGCAAACCCGAGTCCGCCGTCCGAGTCACCAAAACCCAGGCCCAACAGTGTCATACCAGAAGCGTTTCTGCTGCCCAATGGCTATCCTGATGTTCGTCCTGCGTGCTCCTGAACCTTTACAGGGCTATTTGAGCACCAGTTAAACAGTCGACAGTATCTCCGCCTCATCCTCACCTCGCGCGTCTACGAAGTCGTCCAAGAAACCCCCCTCACACACGCAACGAACCTGAGCAACCGACTGGAGTGCAAGGTGTTACTCAAGCGCGAGGACCTGCAGCCCGTCTTCAGCTTCAAATTGCGCGGCGCATACAACAAGATGGCTCACCTGGACCCCAAGGATAGGTGGAGGGGTGTCGTAGCCTGTAGTGCTGGAAATCACGCCCAGGGCGTCGCCTACTCTGCGCGAACGCTCAAGATCCCCGCCACCATCGTCATGCCCTTGGGTACCCCAGACATCAAGCACAAGAACGTCTCGCGTCTGGGCGGCTCCGTCATCCTACACGGTGCCGACTTTGACGGTGCCAAGGTCGAAGCTGCGCGACTAGAGAAGCTGCATGGTCTGGTGTCGATACCGCCCTTCGACGATCCCTATGTTATTGCTGGTCAGGGGACAGTGGGCATGGAGCTACTGCGGCAAACAAATCTGCAGAATCTCAAGGCCGTATTCTGCTGCGTGGGCGGCGGGGGGCTCATAGCAGGCGTGGGCATCTACATCAAGCGGATAGCGCCGCACGTCAAGATTATTGGCGTGGAGCAGTACGACGCAAACGCCATGGTTGAGTCGCTCAAGGCAGGCAAGCGCGTCTTCCTGAAAGACGTCGGCCTGTTCGCAGACGGTGCAGCGGTCAAGACTGTGGGCGAAGAGACGTTCAGGATATGCCAGGAGGTAGTCGACGAAGTAGTCCAAGTTACAACAGACGAAACCTGCGCCGCCATCAAAGACATGTTCGAAGACACTCGCTCCATCGTCGAGCCCGCTGGCGCCCTCGCCCTCGCTGGCCTGAAGAAGTGGGTCAGCCGCAACCCGTCACCAGACCGTGAGCGTGAGCTCGTCGCCGTTGCGAGTGGGGCCAACATGAATTTTGACCGCCTTCGCTTCGTTGCAGAGCGAGCAGCCATTGGCGAGAACAAGGAAGCCCTTCTATCCGTCACTATTCCTGAACAGCCAGGCGCATTCGCAAAACTCGTCAACGTCATCCACCCCATGGCCGTCACAGAGTTTAGCTACCGCTACTCCGGCCCCAACCAAGCCACCATCCTCGTCGGCGTCGAACTCAAAGCCGCGACGCGATCGCGTGATCTCCCCGATTTGATCGCACGCCTCGGTGCTGAAGGCATGACCGCTCACGACCTCTCGCAAGATGAGCTGGTAAAATCACACATTCGATACCTAGTCGGTGGCCGCAGCAATGCCGATGACGAACACCTCTACATGTTTGAGTTCCCCGAGCGGGGAGGCGCGCTGTACAAGTTCTTACACACGCTGCAACCGGGCATGAACATCAGCCTCTTCCATTACAGAAATTATGGGGGTGATGTTGCCAAGATATTAGCAGGTATCCAGTGCAAGCAGGAGGAGAGTGGCAAGTTGGCGAGCTTCTTGCAGGATATCGGATATCCGTACAAGGAGGTCACGGATAGCCCTAGCTACAAGACGTTCTTAAGGGATTGATTATAGCTTGAGAGTGAGGAGATTTAATGATAGAATAGACAGATACCCGGCTCATTCATGCACTAATTATGAAAATGTTTCCCTTTTAAAAAGTTCCCTAGTGATTGAAATACCGGTTTACTACAGGCCACTATTATCCCGATATCTTTTATTTCCAGCTGAGCGTGATTTATGATTTCTGATTACAGAAAATGAAGATTTAATTATCCTTGAATAACACACGCTTGCTTCTATCATTCCACCGCTGCTTCTCCGGCACTTTCCTCTTCTCTTGACGCAGAAATATGGGATCCTAATTTTTTATATGTTTTATGTGGACAACGAGATGGGTTGGTCGATTGATGTTGGGTAGGAGTAGCGTCAAGCTTGCTTTCAAGTGACTGAAAACGAAATTCAGTGTCGAGGTACCCCAGCTTTATCAGAGTGATTTGCGTGTCGATGTAGCTGGGCGGGATATTCTCCCTGAACCAATAGGGGTGCCTACATGAAGTGAAAGGAATCGAATCATGCTCAGTGGGAAGCGAGTGCCGTTCACAAGGTGGCGTTCTCCAACGGCGCCATCATCATCATTAGCATCAGCATTATTGTCCACAGTAGCCTTTTCGGGAGAATTTTTAAACGGCAAGGTGTCTGTATATGTGATTGGTGGAATGTCGTTGCAAGAATAGCAGATGGTATCTTGGAGTTATATGTTACCTGATGGAGACTTTTTAACCGACCTGAGAAAATACGAACTTCAGCAAAAGGTGAGTCGTCAATACATGTTTCGATAACAGTCTATGAATAGATAGAAAGCGCTGGATGCCGTGTGCAATATACATGGTCTCAAGCCAACGATTGTTCAGGCGTCACCCGTCCCCTTTTTCGAGATCGTGTAGTATCAAGGTGAGTAGATAGTGTGCCATTAGCACCTCTTTCGGAGCATCCTCGACACTGTTTACATGCAACAACTAAGATTGTTTGTGCCGTTGCTTGGTCTGACCGCAGAAGGAGTGATATTTCCGTCTTCGCATTGCTCGTATATTCGGATTCTAGTCCCAGTGATAAGAAGCCTAAAGCCTTTCTAATAGGAACTCTGGCTTGTAAAGCACCCGGAAGAAAACCATCCCCTGAGTGCTAATAGTGGGTCGAGAGCAACACTTTGGCGTAGAATGGTGATGATGACGATGTTGCATCAGCCCGTGGCAAGTATGTGGCAAATACTGCGTAAAGCTGTGACCTGGTGATGGGGCGATGTGAATCAAGGGAAACGAAGCGGCCAACGATTGGAACTCTGTGTCTAACTGCTGCGTAAGCTTTCATCACCGATTTGCCCCTTTCATAGGATAATAATCTTGAAAGCGTACCATGACTCCCTGCATAATTACAGGCTGCGAGTTCTCCATGGTAGGTCAGCGCTGGCTGAACCTCACTTCATCCGCCTCCTCCTACTGCGCTTTGTGCCACATTCTCCAACTTGCCACCTGACTCCACCAATTGCCTTGCTGCTGCTTGAATGGAGATGCTCTCCCGCCGCATTGTCTGCAATGCCGTTTCGAGGGTGTGCGTACGGGATCGAAGACGGCCGACCTCTGCGCGGAGAACGTTGACAGTCTCTGCCTGTGATGAACTTGAAGAGACGGCGTTGTGTGGGAGTGTGACAGACTGTAGGGCGGGACTGGCAGTCATAGAAAGTTCTGCAGTTGGCGTAGCTTGTTCATTGCCAGTCACCATAGCTTCTTCCAAGAGTTGAATCCGCTGGCCCAACTCTGTTCTTTCTGTTTGCCATTTCTTCTTGTCCTCGGCACCTTGTGCCTGGAGTCGGTTCGCCATTTCCATTATTTGTCGGTATTGTGCTCCGTTGGCAACTAGTTGACTCCGTGCTTCGTCTCGACTCTGCTGCAACTCTTCCACCTGGCTTTCCATCATCACCACCTGTCCTTGAAGCTTTCCCTTCGCCTCTGTCAGGTTGTTGATCTCAATATCGTTGATTTCGAACTTCTTCTCAAGCGTGATGCTCTTGCTCCTCTGTCGCTCGAGGTTTTGAAGTAGGTCATCATATTCCCGTTGGAGTGTTTGAAATGCAAGTGTCTTGACGCTGATTTGGTGTTGCAGATCTTGTAGGTGAATGCTTTGGGCCGATTGCTGTACCGATGTAACAGCCGGTGATATGGTCGGTAAATGTGGAACGTTGGGGAAGCTTAAAGAAGATGGAGAAGGTAGGATAGTCGAATGCAAGGGCTGTAGAGCTTGCATAGGCGATTGTGGAGGCATGATTACGGAACCAGATGACGATGGAGTATGATACGGAGAGTTTCCTGTTGGTGTCGTCTCGCTCCCATATGGATTCCTTCGACTGTCTTCGGGCATCAGTCTAGGATGGGTGAAACCAGAGAAACCATGAGGAACAATGGGGTATTTTCGATTCGGAGGAGACTGCTCCTCGGGCTCCTCGAGGTGGTGTTGGCCTCTCCTCATACTTGGCGAGGCGTCAGGCTGATATTCTGACTCGAGGCTGGGCGACGGTCGTTGCTCTAGCTGCTCTTGAAGCTTGTCGTTAGTCCATTGCACGAGATCAAGCGCCCATTGCAAAGCCTCTTTGGTGCTAAGATGACTAGACCTGGGAACCTGTCAGAGAATATCAGTGCTGCAAGAGAATTACGTAAAGTCATACATACGGCGGATGGATAGAATAACTTACTGAGTCGCTTAAGTGAATCTCTGTATGTGTTATGGTTCTCACCCTAGCACCTAGCAAAGCCAAATCCGTGGTGAGTGTGCGCACTAAATTGCGGGTGCTCAAGCATTCTTGGCCTGGGTAGTTGGATGGACAACAGATCACTGCCCCTGCTGCATGTGGCGTCGGGCCAGTACCGAAACAAGGCCAGTGCACTTCGGTAACACTAGGCGAGGAATCATCTAATTCAAGAGTCCGAGGATAGTATATTGGATGTTCTGTAATCATTTCAGCTCAAGATATACGAACCGGGAAAAAGAAGGGGAAATCTGGCGCCGGATTGAGAAGAGAGTATCATGGGCTAAGTCCACTAGCAACTCGCGTTTGACGCGCTAAGGCTACAAAACGTAGTAGAGGGTGTTCGTACCAGTGTAACCTTGTTGCTGGCCTTGCGAATGAGGATGTTGGAGAATGTTGAAGAGAGACTGGGATCGAGGTCTCGATATGTTTAGCGGGGCGACATCCTGCGCTCCGGGAGAATTTTGCGAGGAACGGGATGTGATGCATTCTGCTGATGTTTTGCAGGGCAAAGTATAGAGTGGCGGCAGCCTTCGATGGCTCAGTATCCCGTCGTCACGAGAATAGTAAGCGATTCGTGGGGGGAGCGGGGAAGTCTGTTGGGCACCAGAAGGAGTAGTGGCCATACCTCGGCGCTTCAGTTGCTGGTCATTTGAGTAGTCTTCTGCCCATGGTCGTTTCCTGACTGTCCAAGACTCCATGAGTTGGCTCAGCCGAAGAATAGAGGCAGCCTCACCTTTGCGCCCTTCGATTTGGTGAAGCGTCGTTGGGGCAGCATTAACAGTAATTCACTATGGATACAGTGCTGAATCCTCAAAAGACGATACCGAATGCTGCGCGATTACTAAGACCGGCCACGGCGTGGTGTGGAAAAGCGGACGGTGGGATTTTGTTAGACTGGGCAGCTTTGGCCCTGGCTACAAATATACAATACGAAAATAGACGTAAAGCAACCGATATAGCGGTTGTAACCATATGATTACATTTTTATCCTAAGTATGTCGTGTTAGTAGATCAGCGTCAAGCAGGTGTTGCAAGACGTCAGTGCACGAAATGCTCCGTCGTCTCCCATCAGCAATCGGTCAGCGTCACTACCGCAACGGACCCTCTTGGTAGGAACATAAGAGTCTAGGTTATGGATTAGAGTGGCGGCGCCCAAACGGGACTATCCAGAGACAAATAGATCATCGGGATCTAGATGAAAGAAGCGATCATGGCAAACGACGCAGCTTTCTGTAGAGGTTCGAATACGACGTCAACATGATCGATATGTCGAAGTCTTGCATTTCGACAAGGATGTGGAGACTGGTAGAGATGTTTGCATATAGAGCACGCAACAAGCCACAGGGGCAGCGTCAAGAAGCGGGTAATGATGAGTAAGACCAATTGATAATTCTTGGTAATGAAGACGCGCTACCTGGCCGGACCTAGCGCGGTTAGTCATCACCATCCACTCTGACAGTTTAGTCATACAAATTGCGGAAGTTACACCGAAAGGGATTGAATGTGGTCTGATGCGTGGCCAGCTCGTGCGTTCGGGAAATGCTGATGGGAGGCCAAAGAGTGGCAGCGGCACGCTCGGTAGGACGGCCAGTTGCACTTCGTGCCGCTCTACCCATCGAAACAACGGTCGTTGGCAGACGACGGGGACCGTGCATAGTATGTGCAGATACATAGGCGCAAATCAAGTAAGCTTCTGCTGAAGTGCGTTGACTACTTCCTCGGGCGTCTCTTTGATGTCCTCGGGCGGCGTTGGACTTTTGCGTTCGAAGACGCCAACATCGCATGAAGTCGAAGTAGCCAAATCCTACGTAGAAGGTTACAAACATGCTACATCCGCCAGGCTAGAGACTCTGCACTTGTCTCCACTAGGTACGATGACCCGATGTCCCGGGCAATGACCCTTAAACGATCTTCAATCCAATCCTTCTCCTTTGCAACCACTTCAGCCTCGATCGCCTGCATGGCGTGCAGCTCATCTAAAATCCCTTCCAAAAGCGACTTGCACGCTTCAACAATGCAAGCGATGCTTGATCCTGACAATGGCTGGTCTATCCTTTCCAGATCGCGGGCGAAAGAAGTTACCTTTCGTATCAAACCCGTAGTTTCTGCTTTCCATGCATCACCAAGGCCGTCAATGACTCCTAAAGTGCCTTTATCTTCAGTAGAGCCGCGTCTAGCTGACCGTGCTTCCTGCACCCACGAAACCCAGTGTTCGAACTCGCTCACGAGACGATGAATCCGGCCACCTGACTCAACCAAGGCAGGGAGTTCGTGAAGTGGCCCTGACAGGATTTGGATATATTCAACCAACCCTGCGGTCGACTTTCCAGCGCTCCATTCCAGCAGAGATTGAAGATTCTTTTGTTCCTGTCCCGCACGTTCAAACTCCAGCATGGCTTGATACAAGCTGGCGACTTCCTCGAACTTCTTGTGTAGATTTCGCTTCGCACTCGTCTCCCAACAGCTGCTCACATGAGCTGACGCCTCGTGCAACAAGTGAAGCTGAAGTAGTTCCGATTGGAGATTGACTATCTCAGGCGGCAGAGCATTGGTACTAGGAGCTGGCGCAGGATGAAGAAACGTTGCGGTCGGTGCTTTGCCCGTCTTCCGTGGCGTGAAATGTTGTTGTAGGGTGGAAAAGGCCGGACGAGCGATTTTCTTCGGCTCTTCTCGCACGGGTTCACGATGTCTTGATTGAGATATAACTGGCTCTGCGGGCCTGATTGCCGTCACAGCGTTGGCGCTGCCACTCAAGGCCTCGGACTTTACTCTAGTGCTTGCCGAACGAGTATGGGCAATGCGTGTAGCCCTTGTTCCATTGAGCGCTTTGTCTTTTGGAACATCGTTGGTCTTAATGTTGCTACTTGGCGCAACCAAAAGGGATTTTGGCCTTTCCGAACCCGTGTTAGACTTCACCGCATCTCTTCGAGCGGCTGCAGCCGTGCTAACAGACTGCGCGCGGGAATGAACCGCAGTTCTCGTTGGTTGAGCTGACTGCATTACAGCACCGGGTTTGCGCAAGGTTTGCGATCGACTCAGCACGGTCGTTTGCGGCTCGGATGGTTTGCTTACTGAAGCTGGAGGGGGCATTACTTTTGAAGCTGTTGGATCATTGCTGTACATGGCTCGCTCAGATGGTGCGGTTCCAGTCTGGTACAGGGACCGTGGTCGAATTCGCCCTGGCGTTGCGCTGTGAACATTGGCCTCCTTAGTCACAGATACGTTTCCTGGTTGCCCCACAGACCCAGTCACGCCGAGGTCCGCCTCTTTAGCATCATTGTTCCGGTTGGAGACGTCTGAGGGCACATCTGAACGAGGGTTGTACCTGGGTTGGCCAAGCTGAGGCAATAAGCTGCGTCGTTTAGCTCCCTCAACATCACTTTGGAAGGAGGGAGGCCGAGCTATCGAAGGGCGCAGAATCGAGTGTGCCACATCTCTTGAGGCCTCTTCTGGTTTCACGTCCCGAACAGCGGGGTCTGACTATGGTGTGTTAGCTTTATGTTGAAGTGGGACCGAGTCACTAAGCTCTACCTGCGGCTGGGAAGGCGGGGGGTTAGCCTTGCTACTTTGCAATCGTGATTTCAACACTGCGTTCGGTCCAGGAACAGGCATGGTTCGTGTGTTTTACAATGGCTGGGTACGGGTGGCGTCGAAAGTTGCACAACATAGGAGACTCGAGTTGTTTACGTTCTTATCGATAGCCACGTCATCACGTGAGATAACTCGTGAAGCTTCCACTTCAGCGCTCGCTACAAAGTTCAAGATTTCAGGTTGAATTGCATGATCGTGATCTATTTGTATCTAATTTTAAGTGAACGGCTGATGCTTACTTCGAGAGTGGTCCTCCAACTCCATACCGGATATCCATCGCGAAAGCACAAAGAAGTACCCGAACTTAATGCAGGTAGCAAGAAAAATAGACGACTGTCTATTTTGAGGCACCTGCGAAGGTTGAGGTCGAGCGGGAATCCAGCTCAGTGCATGGGTATCTCATAGACTTCCACGGCGCGCTGGAAACGAAACGCCCTCGATCGCTGCGTAATCGACGAACCAACTGACGCGTTCTGCACCCTTCAAGTTCACTAATCCACACGGCAATTGCTGCCCTTCATCGGTATCGAAGATTTGCCTCATGACATCCTTCTTCCCACCGCCAGTCGCGACAAAGGCAATCTTGAGTCCATGTTGCGCGACGGGTAGAGAGATGGTAATGCGCTTTGGTGGGGGCTTTGGTGAGTCGGAAATGGGGAGCACCCAAGCTTCGGTTTCGCGCAGGAGATCGGAACCGGGGAACAGACTGCAGGTGTGGCCGTCTGGTCCACATCCAAGCAGGAGGAGATCGAACAGGGGCAGCTTTACACTGTCCCTCGCTGCAAAAACGCTAACCAGCGTCTTCTCATACTGGTCGGCCAGCTCTTGTACATCGTCGAGATATTTTACGTCGATAGGGTGGACCTTGGGTGTCCCTAGCTCGGCCGGTATCTTGTCTAGCAGCTCCTCCTTGACCAACTTGTGATTGCTGTCTTCGTGATCCAAGGGGACGACGCGCTCGTCAGCGTAGAAGATCTCCCACTTGTCGAACTGAACTTTGCCGTCGCCATTCGTCTCTTTGAGGAGTGCTTGCGCAAGGGTCTTGGGCAAGGATCCGCCAGAGATTGCGATGCGGAAAGCGTGGTGGCGCTCAAGAGCGTTGTTCTGCGCGTCGAGAACATAGGTGCGGAGGCTCGGCGCGAGCTCGTCGACGCTCTGGAAGGCGTATAGGTTCGGAGGCTTGCCCATGATTACGGTGTGCGCGTTGCGTTGCGATGTGCGGTGAGGTGAGGTAAAAGGGTAGAGGCGATGGTGGGGTGGTTAAGGCAAGCTGCGATGGTGGGGCTGCGTGGCGTTATTTGAATGGGGGCCAGTTAAGGAGCCCACGATAGTGACGTGACGACGTTGTTATTTTGCACGATAGTAGCAGGGCAGTGCGGAAAGTGAAGTGATAGCGGCAAGGCTACCTATGAAATGCCTGGTCGGGCCTCAAGATCGGTCGATTCGAGCCAGTCATGCAGCATCTTTCTGCAGATGTCATATCGCGGCGTCCCGCGTTTTGCGCGGTGCTAACCATTGAATGAAGTATTTGACAAAGCCACCCAGGACCTTCAAGGGAAGTAAGGATGAGGATGAGGATGAGGATGATTGATTTCGACTACGATTTCGATCTGCTGATACATCCTAAGCAGCGCATTGCACATGATCGCTGCTGCCGAATTCCGCCCATGACGCCAGCCCGGCGCTTGAGAAGGAACGGTCGCTAGTCTACTTGTGGAAGGAGTGTCACGTGCTTGTGTCAATTCTACAGCGCGTTGTGAACAACCTTCGGCTTCATATACTTGGAATCCGTAATTGTTAGGGGCTGGCTTGGAGTCGACGAGATCTCGATTCCATTTCTAGATCACCAGGGTTCAGCAATCGGGGTTGCAGCGCATTCTGTCACAGAAGGTACCACCTGGGCACCTCATTCCACAGGTAGTCATGGCGACCAGCCCGAGCGACAATAGGTATGCCAGCTAATGATCTTGGGGCTAACATGTTTGAGAGTTAGCCAAGTGGCTTCTATCCTTCCTCTAATAAATCTCGCCAAAATGTCACTGACAAAATGCCACTACCGTGACGGCGAAACAGTCAATCTCCCACCATCAGTGTCCACTACAAGGTCTAGATGACGCTACAATAAACTTCCTTAGGCCCCAGTGATGGCTTGCAATTTTCGGTATTCCAGCTTCCGTATTCAGTCTCTTGTCGTTGTACGACGATGGAAAGTCTAGACCGCGACTCCGCCTCGACGCCGCCTCAATTCAGGGCACATGCTGGTGAACGCCAACGAACATGTCGCTATTGCAGTCCTCAGCTGGAACTCTATCGGGTCCGCGGGTAACCTTCTTGTTATTAGACTTCGACAGGCGTTCCAGCTGTATGCGGGGCCACGAATCAGCTTATGCACGCTCGTCCCTAACGGCTATCGTAGCTCTCGCCGCAACTAGATAGTTCTGTAGCACGTAAGCTCTGGTCCGACCATTCCAGCGCTGTATTCCTTGAGAGCTGGAGGCAGTCCCAGACGCGCCACAGAAGTCATGGCCGTCTTTAGTGCCTCTGCAGTACTTCTAATCAACGGCACAAGGTTTGTTAGGTCTTTAGATTGCCTTGGCGAAGCGAGGAGGAAGCCAGTCCGTCCAACAATGGTGTACTCGGTCGGAAGAGCTTGCCCGTAAGATTGGAGGATGGCACTGTTCTGTCCTAGAGGAAGCAATGCTCCTCAGCGAGCACCTGATATGGCCGGTCAAGGTCAAGGAGTAGGTGTGGGCTGCGAGGTCTAGACCTCACGTTACGGTTCGGCCCGTTGTAACAGAGCGCCGTCACTACGTCCGTGAATGCCCGGGACTGCTGGTGCTTCAGCAGGGTTGGACAACAAACGGGTTCTGCGTCTGAAATGCTGTGTCTGATTGCTGCAGTGGCATGTGCGCGGTTTCAACTGTTTTCGAAGGGCGAAGGGTGATGAAGCCGAGTAGCCAAGTCTGGGGCAGGGTGAGGAGTTTGGTTTGATCGCTGCTAGCCTGCTGCGACGCTTTCAGTCAGCGGACCATGGAAGGAAGGCTGCGGAAATGGAGACGCGTTGGCAATATATCTGCGGACGCCCAAGACAAGCTGCGGTCGAAAGCGTTGCGCAAGCAGTGTCAGTCAGCCGTGCCAGTCAGCAAGCAAGCTCAAAGCCACACACAGTCATCGAATGCTGGGCAGCATCCACTATGGATGGGTCGTCAGGCGGCAGGGAACGAGGCTGGCAGCGTCTTCCTGTCGCAGGCTGCGCTCCAAGATGGGCACGTCGACGAGTGGGGCGGCGCTAGGACGCAAGCGGGGCTGGACTGGATGCCCAGATCGGCCTCTTTGAGTGAATCGCGATCCAACGCGTCTCAGCAGCAACGAGCTGCCCGCACACGCCCAGCATCTTTCTCTCCTCCGTCCCAGCACACTGGCCAGTTTGCCCACAAGCGTCGCAATGTCACACAAGATCCAATCAGCGCTGCTCCATGGCCCGCTCCGCACTCTGTCTGGTGCGCGCGCCGAGTGGGCATGGCTCGATTGCTTATGACCATATAGGCGTCCACGATCCCTCGTACTGAGGTCTGATGAACACTCCCGGTCAATCCGTACCAAGACACATACTCGCGTAGACCATGGGTGCAGATTGCCGTACACCAGACGCTCCCCACCACGAGCCAACCTGCTACTTCAGTATCCTCCCTTCCTCGACTACCCACTTCTCTGTCGAAACACCCAGCACAGAGTCCACCATCGCCTACTCAACCGACACGTTCGCAGAACCGTCCAACCCGCTGCTGGCCTTCCGCTCTACACAACCGCTGCACATGTCGAGCCCTTCTGACGCCTCGCGTCTCCTGCAACTCCAAACTACAGCTGCCCACCGTCCCAACGCTGAGCCTCTGCAACACCGCACCTCGAGCACTTCTTCCGATAGCTCCAGCTCCAGCATGTCCTCACACTCCATTTCCTGCTGCCGTTGCCGCCGCGACTGCCTTACCGGCATGTACCAGATCGGCACCAACCGCTATTACTGTAGCCACTGCGCAAGGATGACCGGCTACAGTGCTGGTTGAGCGGCAACACGCGACAATTTCAATTTCGCTATGATTACACACAATCTACATCACATGCCTACTCGATATTCGAGCCATTATCGTCTATTTCTCTCGTCAGAAGGACAATCAACAACAATACACGGACCTGAAATGTCACCGCACATGAGCTTTATTAGCACAGTCGACCTACAACCTCGACACTCGGAATTTACTGGATTAGAAGGAAAGGGTTGAAAGAAGTGCATCTCTATGCATCACGTGGAGTCGAGGGCACAGCGTCTTGGAGAACTGCTCAGCAATGAAGCGGACTGAGAGGCTTCAAAAGAGGGCTGGATGCAACGGGCTTGGTAGTTTGATGAGGAAGAAGACACGGAGCCGGTACTCGTGCCGTTGTGCTGATGCAGCTGGTCTCGTATCGATTTGAGGATATGATACCCTAGTTTTATGGTAGTTCAAGCAAGCAATGGCTGTCAAAGCATGAATAAACAATCCAAAATTTCATCAATTCACGCTACTACACTTGCCTCGTATACTGTGATTTCCCTACTTAATATCGCTCAATGAGCTTGACAAATTCAATCAACTTTCGCCTTTGAGCAATGCAGCGAACAGCCAAGCGAGCTTCAAGTTGATGAAAACTGCAGTCCGACGATCTTAGACAGGTACTAACAGCCTGAACAAACCCCGTGGCCTGTCCGAACCTTCGCCGCGTCTTGGATTATCAAAAGACATTTTACATCTCTACAGACATGAAAAGTGACTCCCGCATCAGGCATACACTCCAATTGCGAGACATATGCAAGACATACCATACAAGACAAAGTCTCGCTCTTCCCCGGGTCTCGAAACAGGCCAAACATGAATATCCCGAGGGAAGGGAAACGTCGCAAAAAGATCACCCCACCAAATCCTGCAACCAGCCTCGTCATCCTGCAAACCCTGATCTCCGCTCAATTTCCCTTTTCAGTGGGTCTTCAACATGCATGCCTGCACACTATCGCATTCTAGCATCGAGATGTCCCATTCCCATGCACTGCAGATCCTTCGGCGCTACAATCCAAGCCATTTACTAGCTAGCTAGTCAACCACCCACTACACGCCCGCTAGACGAAGGTGTCCAACCAGTTCTCTCCGTGCTATGAGGTAGCTAGGGCTAGAGCAGGAAGAAATCTGCAAGCACCAATGAGCGCCATCACCAGGCACGATCAAGCCGGCTGCAGGGTCCCATTAGGCCTGGGGGCGTCATCCAAACGTCGATGTTGGGCGCTGCGTGAGATGCGGGCAGCCTATGTACATGTACGTGTGGCTTGGTACACCGTGGGAAAACAGAGTAAGGCTGCTAGAGTCGGTGCTTGTCAACCCGAACGTTAGCAGCTTTCACATGTCGTGGTTAGAGACGGGAGGTGGGCTTGGTTGGGCTGCAGACAAGGTTCGTTGTCATCGTCCTCGAAGTGTAAAGGCTGCAATGAGGCGTTCCTCGGAATATAACTGCCGGGTTCATCCCGAACGTCGACTGTGTTTCATCAACTAGAGCAACGCAGTATGATGATTTGCTTGTCCAAACACACGCCTACAGTAATCGTAATCGTGTCCTTCTTTCTGCCTCGCCAATCAATTATTCATCATCTCGCCAATACCCCAGAAAATCTCCCTCCATAGACATCATCTCTTCCCTACCGCCACCAGCATCATCAGGTCACACGCACCCATAATATATTCCGCTTCTCTCTCTTGCTTGGGTGTAGCTCCATGCAGGGTTGAATAGTTAGCACATCTCTTTCACTCTAGCTCCATTAATACGCCTCGGCAACCGTCAAGCATCGACGATGGGCGGGATCCCATCGAACATCTCCCGTCGTGTGGAGTCCCTGAAATGACGACGCGTGCTCGTTGCCGCGTTGCTTACAAAGAATAGAGCGGGACATACGAATTAGATTTAGGAGGGGAGACAGTAGAAGCTATTAACTAGTCTCTTTTAAAAGAGGAAGTTCCTAGGGAGGTGATTGTGCTGAATTGTCAAACGAATAGAAACATTGCACAGGTTAGGATGGGGGTAAGTACAGCTTGGTGGGAGAATTTGTAGATTTTATCATAACTCTCTCTGGGATTCCCATACCGCTGCCGGAATACTCAGCTCAACGTGTGAGCATCAGCTAGTCGTGTTGCCCTACATTGCATAGCATTACGTCCATACTGCCACCGGTTCTTGCGCGAATGTTATCGAGCTAGACGAGTAGCGTTCAAGCATCGCTCGAGTCCTCGTCGGCAGCAGCCTCAGCAACGGTCAAGGCAATGCGATCGAGATCGCGTTGACCCTGCGCCGTAATGCGACGACCGCCCGTATCCTCATCCAGCTCCAGAATCTGCAACTTTCCGAGCGCCTGAATGGCCTTACGGTCGACGCTGCCGCTACCGCGGTGGTGGTGGGATGGGCGCGATCCGCGATTCTTCGCCGTACCGTGAGCTTTGCGGAGGCGACCGACGCCGACTGCACATTGTTAGTTTTGGACGAAACGTCAGAAGGGTGCATCATTACCAGTCTTCCTCATGTAGATGTGGCGGGCAACGGCAGCGCAGCGAACATAGAACCAATCCTGGTCGGAGGGAGGAAGTTCCTTCGCATGGCCAGTCTTGACTGTATCGACCCAGCCTACCCAGCAACGTTTAGTATATCCCTCATCGCGTGTAGCACTTTTCAATCTCTCAAACATACCCGGAACAGGCAATTTACCCTGGCGCTTCAGAAACTGAGCATACACTTGTATGAACAGCTGCGCCTGCAACCAACCCACACTCTCAGCAAAAATTCCGTCATCAGAGCCTTTTCAGGCCCCTCACACTTGCTCACTTACGTCGACGTCGCGTACTCCAGTCATCTTGACGGATCGAGTCTGTGTGGTCTGTCATCAGCAACTCCCCATCATCGAAGCTCTCGCGCGGACTTACATTGGCGTTGGAATTTAGTTTTGTCTGGGAACAGGACGGTCTGGACAGTGGTGAAGCACAGAGACGTGAAATGAGAAAATCAGTTGTGTGGCTGTAATATTCGATGGGGCGGGCGCGTGTGGTTAGCCTCGTCTATCGAAACCAAAGCCTTCAGGTTTGAAACAGACACTAGATTGAGTCAGCTATGGGTCGAAACCATGGTACTAGCTAGACAATGCCCTTACGCAAAGCTGGCTGGCTCGAAAGCACCAGAGGTCTGTCGTCGATCAGGACGCGCAACTGGAAAAACTCCGTACTGCTGTTGCAACCAAACGTCAAACAAATCCCTATTGGCAATTGTCGGTGCCGACTAATTACGCGCGACCACTGCACTCGTTATATGGCAGTCATACCTGTTCCGATGATACTAGAGGGTTGCTTCCGACTATGCCTGAAGAAGATGGCTACGATTCAGTTGAGGGAATCTGGGAAGACGATAGTGAGCTAGAGGAGGACGAAATAAGAATTGTCCATCTTGATCCGAATCATCTATCTCGTTTCGAACAAGCTCTGGGTCATATGAGCTGCATCGATACGAAGCTTACTGACAAGGTCCTTTGAGAGTGAATAGCACATTGCAGCCCCTGAGTACCTTGGAGTTCATACACGAACATCTCAAGTCGAATCAGGTGGCCACACAGTATGCATACTCGGGCCAAAGGTTAGCCCAGTCATTGCCAACTAAATCGAAAGTCAGATGGCATTACACAATACTCCAAAAACTTGGAGACTCACCAGCGGGATTCCACGCACAAAATTGGTCCAGTGTGATACTGTGATCGTTTGCAATAGCCCAGCAACCGTGGCCCCGTGGCCCCGTGGTCTTTCGAACCTGAGTCCAATTCCATATCCAGGCTAGAGCGCTTTGATTCTATCCGGTTTGAGAATGATACTTCGCTCTCTATTCCACCGAGATCGTAACTTAATATGGGTCACAAACACGACTTAGCGCTTCTAGTGGTGCGTCAGACTCAGCATACGAAGCTTGATCGCCGACGCCACACTGCTGACCAGGAACTTGATGGACACGGGAGACAGATTGCGTATGGACGTGCACGTATAGTACGTATAGTGTTTCATCTACAACGATGAGCGTACGAGCAGCTCGTGTTCTGGTGGTTTAGAATACAGCGGCCTGTGCACACAAAAAGACACGGCCTTCTCCCGCACGTCCTGCTTTGTGAATTATCTCCGTGCTGTACTAGCACCGTTTAGTGCCGACCAGTCCTAGTACCAAAAATTAGCAAAAACATACAACAGCGGGGATTCGCTAGTGGTCACCCACCTAACTACTAATCCGCCGGTATCCTGCTTAAGTACCGCTGAGCGAACGGGAAGCGCTGAATTCAAGATCCTATGGTCGTATGTGAAAGAACAGGTCAAGAGAACTGTATATATATATGAAATATTGAGCTATCTCCATGCATAAACTCAAGACAACGTGTTGTGGTCCGCCAATAGGACCAGGCAGGGTGTCTTGTGCTAAGAAAATTCTCTTATTAAGTTTCTATTACGAAATATCAATCTAGCATGTAGCCAAAGAATCACACTTGAGAAATTGCAGAAATTGATTATCTTCTTACAATCCATATATTGTAAAAATATGAGCTTCTTCCATAAAGCAGAGACCCAAGGTTACAGATTGTCTCCGCGTTATACTTCCTTACTCGTCCTCATGTTTAGTTGTAGCATGTTTCAGGGTTAGCGTTGGTTCTATGTGGACGTGCGCTCTGTGGTGAGCCACGTTACCATCCAGTACAGCCGTTCACCGCACATCCTTTCGCCTCATAGTGGCTACGCTCGCCCTTAGTCTTATCACCAGCACTTTGCCAGCTTGCGCTCTCTTCGGCGTCACAGTCTCGGTCGTAATTACCCGCGGTTGCATATCCTCTTGTGGTCGCCTAGTCCTACGAATGCTTTTGGCGCTTGGCATATTACCCGCCACTGTGCTCGTCCGTAAATAGAGCTAGAATTACTATTCAGTTGTCCTCCGGCAATATTCCCTATGAAGCTGCAATTGCACTTCCTTCGTTCTACAAGGGGCCAGAATACGATCCCATTTCTGCGCAAATAGCATGTTTCGGAAGAGCATCGCCAGGATGGCAGCTGTTCCCAAAGACTTGGTTGGGACTACTGGAACTACATATCAATACAAAAAACAGCTCCAAGAGAGAGAACGCTTTGGCCGTGTTTGGTTAGCAACGTAAGTTCTTGCCAAAGTGTATCGCGCACAGGGTGCAAACTGACTTTCTTCAGCAGCGGACAAGATCGGTACATCTTGAAAGACATTCCTGAACTTATATTCGACCATTTCAACGAAGAGATTCGACCCAACCTCCGTGATAGTCCCTTCATACGACTACCAGTGGACACTATCCCTAATAAGCATATCTTCGTGTTCCGGTATCTGAAAAAAAGACCTTTTAAGCCTTGTGAGGAAACAGATTTCTATGCATGTTACAAAGAAAATCCTTAAGGACAGTCTCAGAGGACTCGTTGAACTGCACAGCCAAGATATCATACACCTGGGTGATGAAGCTCTATTCAAGATTACAATGCCAAAAGCTGACGAACATCAGACATTAAGGCAGATAACATCATGGTTGACTACCATCATGACAAAGAAAAAATGATAGTTGAGAAGGTTCAACTCACTGACCTTGACAACGCGGCCTATCTTCCTAATAGCAGGTACATCAAAGGGATGTTAGCCGGCAACGAAAACTGGCGTAGTCCTGAAGCATTTTTCAAAAGCAAAATCAGCAAGCCAGCAGATATGTTCTCTTTTGGGATAGTTGTTAGTGAGATTCTGCTCAAATTTCAACACTGGCCACTAATACTCTTAGTGTATCTATGCCGTTCTTGGTCGTGTGATATTCGGACCGGACGCCGATCTTGAGAAGCATGAAGAGCTGGGCGCATTGCCTGGCATGATTCGATTACAGCGGCAGGTTTCCTATTTTGGAGATCAGGAAGGACTCAATCGTCTGAAGACGCACCTCGGCGACGACGAAATCAGTCTCATAGTTTTGACTATGCTTTGGGAGGATCGGCATGAGCCCTACATCCCATATAAACCATTCGCAGAGTGGCTTGACGTGGAAGATACCTTTTCAAGGATCTAATTCTGCGGTTGATGAACTTGGACCCGTCGAAGCGAATCACAGCTCAACAAGCATTAGAGCATCCATGGTTCAAGGACGTTTAGAGAAAAGGTATGACACCAGCCCGTTCCACTTTTATACTTTCTCGGTTACTTGCTACTGGTAAACGTGACTAATATCTTTGTCCTGGCCTCACCATATGCCTAGTACACATATGGAAGGAATCTGGAAGTTGGCGCTCGCTCCCTGGCGTGGCGCACACTGACGATATTCCTGCAACTTCTTGCAGCAGCACGTGTATAGCCGATCACACTGTTCGCACATGTTTCTTGCAGGATCCATGAGCCGCCTGTTCAGGCCACTACACGTTGATGGGCTTACGCTAGTTTCGAGGTAGGCAATCTCAGTTGAAATACTTTTTTTGGAGACGGATCCTGCTTTTCGGTTAGTACTAGCGCTTCTCACGTAGATCCAGACATGGACTGGCTAAATAAACGTGGATTTGTTTGGAAGCCTGAGAAGTACCGCGTTTTGGTATGTTTAATCGAATGATATGATCGAGAAGTTCTTAGGTAGAAAATTATTGGTTATCATCCGGGTGATACCTCTATCTATACTGAAAGGGGGACAAATACGAAATTACCTGGTCTGCCAGAATGTTTTGGAATCTTCTACTCTTTCACTAGGAAGCTATAACGGTTCTACGCTTCTATCACTTGAATACCTCGCATCAAGTGATGTTCGACCCAATACGGCTAGGCTTCCTGCTGCGCCCGCCTCACCAAAAGATCCTGACTCATGCGGGTGATACATATCTCGTTTAAGAAGTTGTAGAACTTGATTCTCTTCCCATCATTCCACATCTTCTCAGGAACATCCTAGTGCAACAATCACATCAAAGAATTCCACTGATAAGAACTTCGGTGACCATATCGAGTGGATATTACTCCATTCGATATTCTTCCTCTCCGAATACAATGCCGGACGACATCCCTGATATACAACTTCTCCAGGCTAGTGTGGATCCAGAGGACCAAAGCGATTTTCGACTTCTCATCAATCGAAAGTTTGTCAAGTATCTTACTATCGATGCCGGCATATACGATGTCGAAGATATGTGTTTCGGACCTTGTTTAGTCTCCATCATACCGCCTCTACCGCCCGGTGACTGGAATAAGGGCCATATAACACGTAACACATCAGATGGCCGTCCTCATTTCGCCGAAGCGACGAACGCCCCGCTCCTCGGAGTCACACACCTTTGGCATCCGCTTCAGATCGACCATTTGGAACTTTGCATGGGACAAAAGCTTCGCTCGAATGTATATGAAGCTACGTGCCCGCGATTCAACACCACGATCATAGCGAAGTTCGCACGATTTGCTTGGGAGATACCGCAGCTCAACGCAGAAACATCTGCGTATGAATGGATCGAAAATCAGCAAATCGGGCCCGGGTTTCTCGGTCATCTAAGCGAGGAAGGCCGAGTCATCGGCTTCATCATGGAACGAATTACTGATGCTCGGCATGCAACACCAGAAGATCTTCCCCTGTGCCAGCTGGCATTGTTGAAACTTCACAAACTGGGAATTCGACACGGAGACCTAAACAAGCATAATATTCTCATCCTCGACGGCAAAGCAACTCTACTTGATTTCGATCATTCCACGCCGTGCCACGACCCGAAAGCTCTGGATGAGGAGTTTTCAACGCTACAGAAGGAGCTGTGCGAGACTTCTGGTAGAGGAGGAACGATAGTGCATAGCAATGCAGTATAAGAGCCCCATTGAGGCATGTGCACTAGAAATGCGATCTATCTTAACATAATAGATCCTTATCAATTAATTGTAACTCCGCGCCTGCCAGGCTACAATTCCCACCCACTATCCCTGCCCCAGATCGATCTTCCCGAGCTTCTCGCCTTCACCAAAGTCGCAAGAGTGGAATGAGTCAGCCAAGAACTATTCCGAGGCACCTACAATGTCATATTCGCGCAGTTACCCCCTCCCCCCTCTAATGTGGCGACGGAATATTGGCCATCAATGGGGCAAGGACACCGTTAATGCGTTCAAACTAAACTATTAGGATAACGGGGAAAAAGAAGGGTAGCTTAGATCTAAAGAACTAGAATCTATATGCAGATTTTTGTGGTTCTCTACTTTGAAAATTTGCTGCTTTATCTAAGTGTCAAGACCAATAGCATTATTTTTGAAAACAACTGGAGAGTTCTCAACAATTACGATGGCGCAGTACACCACGACCTCTTGGCGATTGTAACATCTCATACGTCATATATACACACCCCTTCTACTTGAATATCGTCACAGCTCTACGGCCACATGATTCCATCACCCGCAAATTTGACATTCCTCAGGTCCGTCCGCACATCCAGCGGGTAATCCTGCTCCCTCAATTCCCTCCTCCACTGCTTCGTCCTACGACTCAGCACCTTATCCTGGATGCTCAACTCCCTCTTCGCCAACGTCGTGCGATATCCACCAAGGCTGCCAGCGATACAATGACTCTTACCGGCCCAAGCGGTGTCCGCGACTGCCTTCCAGATCGCGGTGACATCTACGGTCATCTGCTTCGTGTACAATATCCTGCAATCAGCAGCTTCGTAGACGAATTGTAATGGGACATCCGATGCGCCTTCGAGGTCAGCATCGCGGATGCCATCTCGGAAGTTGACATTGATTGCGTTGCCGATAGATGCGCGGTCGAAGGGGACGTCGCTCCAGTACTCGCTCAGTTCAGTTTTGTTGAGTTGCGCGGCTTCTTCAGGCGTAGAGCTCAGGTTCTGCACGCTGAATTGGGCAACAGATTGTATGTACGTCCATGGAAAATTGTTAGTGCCCTTGACTCCGCCGACGGCTTGCGTTATTCCTTCGCGGGGACGACCGCCGAGTGAGATGTACTTCACGCCTGCGCGCTGGCGCATGAGCTCGGAGAAAATGGTGCATGTGGATGCGCAGTAGCCGTCCGTTACTACAACGATGTCTTCAGCCGCGAAGGGCTGGGTAGTGTAGTTTGAAAGTGGACCATATCCGTGGATGTAGATGCCGCCAGAGTTCAACGGCGTCAAGACGTCCGAGAGATTCCAGTGAAAAAGGTTGGTGAAGTTGTCGCCCTTTTGAAATTGTGGACCGAATTTCGCATCCCAGTTAGGGAAGGACCGGTCGTTCACGTCAGTATCAGTTTGATAGTTGAAAACTGATGAAGCAACATCGTCGATCAGTTCTGCAAGCGTCTCATTCCCGTCTTCAGGGACAAGAATACGTGGTAGACCTTCAGCAACTTCAGAGAACTTCTGTCCGAGAACATCCGTACTTTCGAATGCGCGGAAACGATCAGCGGCTGCGTGTCCAAGCTTATTGGGGAACAGCAGCTTGTAGAGATCGTAACCAAGCAAAATAGTACCACCGCCATTGGCCTGAACATCGACGACCAACTTCTTCTTACCAGCAGCTTTTGCGGCTGCGAGGAACTTCTCCGCAGTTGACTGGAAGGCCTTTTGCGCACTGATGCCAACGAATGAGGGCACTGAGAGAACAGCAACATCTGAGTAGTCATCCTCTAGGAAATAGCCACCAATCAGGTTGTGTGATTCACGAATAACTGGAGGTGGGTAGCCGGGCGCAGGAATAGTAGGTGCGGCAGAAGCAGTGGCGGTAGCTGAAGGCGTAGGTGTCGTGGAATTTGAAGGAGTAGGCTCCGTAGCCTTAGTGGGTGGGTTGCCGGTAAACCAAAGCTTATACAGGCTTTCGCCGTCCGTGATTCCATTAAAGGGAATCAGGACCTTTGCGTAGTTGTTGTAGGTCCTGCTGGTGCCGTTCTCAAACTCGAGCTCTGTGGTAGGGCCGGGGTAGATCTAATATGCACATTAGACGGATGGTCGCGGTGACGATGACGAATTGAAGAGCAGTGCTTACCCATCGGCCTCGCCCCGATCCAGCAAAAGTTCCAATACCCGACCCAACTGGTCCGAGAGATACAGTGGCCAGCTCATAAAAGACGCCGTTGTAAAGTGCGTCCCTATCCTGGAGAGATCCATACTGGGCCCAATTCTCCAGAAAGTCCTTCGCGTGCTCGCCATTGATCTTACTAATTGGAGATGCGCTGAACGAAGCGTTACCGAATGACTCGCCCAAGACATCAGCATAGACATAGGCCTTTGGTAGCTCCTTGCCATCTGATGAGGCAGATACAAGAGGAACAGGTCGCGCATAGTTGAAAACGGTCCCTATAACATCGGGAACGTAGACGAAGTGCCCGTCGTGTGTGCTTTGAAGGAGAAGGTAGAGCTCGAATCCAAACTTTGCACACATCAGCTTGAGCTCTAGAATTTGACTCAGTGTGTCCATACCTCAAACTCGCTGTCGTATTTATCTCCAACAATCTTCTCTCTGATCTTCTCCAGCCCACCCCAAACATCGACCGCTGGCTGTACTTTCTCTACGTACTCTTTCGGGGGATCTTTGAGCCAAGCGGTGTTGCTTTGCCACCTGAAGTATGGCACCACGCCATCAACGAGCGCAAGCGCGGCAGATTGATTGAAGGGAACCGATGTGATGCATTCGTATGCCAATTGTGCAGGAACGGTAGGTACCGTAGCAGTTTGCGTCGCAACGGATGCACTCACTTGCGCACAGGGACTCGATGCATTGTAATGTGCATGAAGCTGTGGTGTGAGAGGCGACGAAAGAGCAATGGAGGCAAGAGAGAAACCCGCGACGGTACTAAGAAAGCGAGCCATTGTCGCAGCCAAACCGACCAATGGATCCTTATTACTTCAGAAGGAAGCTATCTCAAGTTCGCTCGTGCCATTTCAAACGCGATGCTCCCCCCATCTTATAAGGTGCTGCACCCAAGCTCCCTTCACCGCGGACCTAGATCTTGCGCAAGCTGCCACTAATGATGATAGACATCATAACTGCAGGTGCACTGCTAGTCCCGGTCAAAGGCTCCATGTACGATGAGGCAAAACCTGCCTAGCAGCGAATAGACGATGCTTGCTTGATAGCGGTTATATTAACGTCAACGGCCTGTGCAGACAAGGATGCTAGATTGGGCAGGTTGAGGTACTCTGGATTGACGATCGCAGCTGAAGCTAAGATACCGATGACAATTGAGCGGGGCTGAAAGTGGACATGTAGAGCTGGAAGTTGTATACAGTTAATCGGAGCCGCGTGAAGACACCGGTAAGAATTGATAGCTTCGAAATTCCGCTCTGTGGAGGGGATGAAGCCTCCCACCTCTGGGCAACCACCTCATTCGGATGCACGATGTCGCCAGGCTAAGCCCCATCAGGCAGGAGCAATCGAGTCGAACCCCACAACACTACCTAGGTAGGAGATCCGCCGTTCTCGTGTTATCGTGCTCGAATGATCCCGCTCTTACGATATCGGCTACCGGATTCGCAACGGTGGTAGGATAATGACGCTCGAAGTGGCGGATACCGAAGTAGCGAGTGGAGCACGAGGCCGCACGATTGTTCGACATTCTAATGCTGAATTGCAACATTGATATAAGGAAATGGTTACAATTGTCAAGAGGCAGAGAGTCATTCAATTAACGATTAGGTAAGTGTGTCAAGCAGTGTGCTCAATCCGACATCATAACTCGACACAACATCTTCACCTACCGACGAAGCTTGTATAACACAACGGTAGAGTAGTTCGGCACTTTCTTGTGTATTAGGCGAGCATATTTCATGCAGCCTTGGCTCTCGCCTCGGCCTGTTCTATGAGTTTCGTGTGCATTTCGCGAATCTCTGGGATGATGAGCGACTCGATCTCCATAGCCGGTTCTCCTTGGGGTATTCCTTTCTCCGTCGCAAAGAAATCGTCTGCCTCAGATGCATCCTTGTTTGCTAAGTAATCAGCAGAGCCTACCAGTGATGGCATGCCAGAGAAACTCTTGGTTCTGCGGCTGCGCGGTACTCTAATCCACTTCTCGCCCTCGAGTGCAGATACAAAGACGACTTCCCACTTGCGCGTAAGCAGCAGGTTGCCGATGACCAAGTGATGCGAGTACTTGTTCAGTGAGTACTGGGCCTTGCGGACCAGCATGGAAGGGTCTGTTTCCAGCTTGAAGCTCACAATCATGGCCTGAGGCGCCCAGCCGTCCACGAGTTGCTTCAGGAACTTTGGGACAGGCTCGAGATCGATGACCAAACTCCTCCCTTCAGTACGCGCAGCGGGTACCTTTGTATTGCCTCCTGCACCCGCGCCATCTGGGCCCTGAAGGAACTCCTCGTTGGACTGTATCTTGTGTTCAACCATGCGATCTTGGGGAACGAAGAAGTCGGACACGGCAGCGGCGAGGTAGAACATGGCTTTTGGCCCCAGAGGACGCATGAGCTGGGCGACCTCGCGCAGATTCCACAAGTACTCGGTTATGGTGACGTAGGACAGGATCAATAGCCTATTCTCGCGTTTGACCTCGGTGTACTGGCGCAACACGCGAAGCATCTCGTCCTGGTGCTGCTCGTCGACGACGACCTGCCCGTTCTCCTCCTTCATGTAGTCGAGGAACGACCGCGTGTTGTGCGAGTAGTGCCGCGAGTAGGGCAGCAGCGAGAACTGGCGGTGCAGGAAGATGACAGCGTAGCCATTCTGGAGGAAGTACTCGGCGCTGGTGGCTCCGCGCGTGCCAGCAGAGAAGTTGTCGATGTAGCGCACCGTCTGTGTCTCCAGGGGCACGGTGGTACCACCTGAAGTTACCAGGACCAGGCGGCGGCCCTCGTCAGCATGGCGGCCTATAAACTCACGGGCGAGCGTCGTGTTCGTCTTCAGGTCTTTCGGCGGCGGCTCGTGGGTAAAGTAGTAGCTCTCGGCCTGTTGTGCACTGTTGTCGCTGTCGGCCATGGTGGCATTGTCGAGCGTGGGCGCGATGCGCTGCTGCGTTGTGCTGTTGACGAGTGCGGGGTAGCTTGAAGCTTGCAGTAAGGGGTTGGGTGAGCGTCACGTGCAGCCCCTCGAGCACCAACGCTCGCCATCGGAAGAGTCTATCGTCAACTCAGCGCCATTCTCGAATTCGTTCGGTCAGTCATACATATCAAAAGAACATCTTTAGCAACTTCATGTCCCGGATCCCAGACAACACATGTCTCTCTCGTCAGCTGCGGGAGGGTGTCCTCTTCAGAACGCTGTCTAAAGACTCAGGTCTACGTGAGTGATCATGCCCAAGGACAGGCAGACGATCTCACCGATCAACACAAGCCCTGTTTTCATTCTCATGGTGGCACCTCGTCTCTATTTGAAGAGTAGGATGCCAATGAAGTTCAATCTAGTTAGGGTCACCCCTTTCCATTTGGGCCAGCGCCAACTTAGACCTGTCATATCGAAGCCACAGGTCAGAGGGCCTAACGTGCTCCCGCATGCAATCGTGTCCCTGGCGTCTGGACAGCATCGTGAGAACCGCGAGGGTTGGTCATCGTACGCTTGGCACGGAAACTAATCAGAAAGGGAATCACCTACATGCAGATGCCCATCGTCGTTCCACGCTCGTGCAGGAAGTACAGGTCCTAAACACTGTCTCAGTCATCCACACCCACGCATTACATGGTGTGCACACCTCGCCACATATCCCAAGAGACTGGGTCACCACGAAGCGGAGGGCGAAACCCATTCCAGCGGAGAGTCTCTGGGTGACTTGATATCCATTGGTTGCTCCGAAGACCAGGTAACGGCCTCATCATAATGTCTCTCCCCGCTCAAGCTGATTCGACGGAAGAGAAAGCGCTTCCATTCAAAGGTGTGGCACCCAGCGCCTGCGTCGAGCTCCGGATAATGTTACTCCGCTGTAGACTATCAAACGAGTTGCGACCGCTCTCCACCTGTAGTACACGTACAACACTGCATTGGCGAAGGCGGAGATTGTACCTTTACCGGAGTCTATCAACAGTCAGTAGACTCTAGTATGCTAAAAATATTGGACATGCAACTAGCCAGTCGCACCCAGAAGATATTGGCTGTTGCAGTAGAAGCGAAGCTCTGCCATGGATTTGTTGAACTCGATAGAGGGTATAGACTTGAAGAAAGGGGCAGTGAATACGATGTGTCCTGTAGGCTAGCCAGCGAAGTGGTCATTTGGTTCTGTGGAGACTGTGCTGGAACGAAGATGGTGGTTGTAGAGGAGGCACCTGTACTGTATGGACTATGAGATTTCAATAAGCCAACAACATTGATGAGATAGATAGTGAACGCTACCCTACTGTGAGAACAATACCGTCTCATCTACCTCCTTCGAGCTCTGAACCTCATCTTTAAACGTTCATACTTCGATTCGGATATGAGCTTGATACCCAAAATCAAACCCAAGCCGCATTGCTCTTTTTTCGATCTCCTGACGAGACGTCATTCGCATCTCAAATATCAACAAACATACTGTAACACAATATATTCTCGCGAATGGCTTACTTGGTTATCGCTCTTGGTTGCTTTTTGCCTGAATAATGTCCGATGCAGAGGTGCGGGGTGTTTATTGGCGGAGCATGCGGGGCCGAATTGATCAAACGGACTATGTGGGGAAGGAGAGTTTCGTCAGAATGATTGGGATGGGATTGAGAGCTGGTACTCCAGAGTAGGACAAGAGTAATAGGTATCTTTTGTATGTATACATTGTCATCACTAGGTTGTAAGAATGGGATTTTCACTTTGCTGAGGATGTAACCTGTAAGAATGTATAGAGATGATTCTGACATCTTCACCTCAATGCTCCTAATGAAGCTGTTTCTGTGAAGACAATATTGAGACTTCAAATGAAGTTTGCTTTGCGAAATGGTTCTGTCGAGGTGAGACAAAAATATCGATAGGGGGTTTCTTCGGACATTGAACCGAACAATGAGCTGGTGCTGATTTCTCGAAGCAATGCTCGGTGCTAATCACTCCATATTGCTTTCTGGCATATGAAGTTGCGATCTAGGTAGATGTGGATCATCATTTATCGCAATAGAAGTATTTGGCCGACATTAAACCGAACGATGAGTAGATGGCATTTGTTTTTTTGTATGGGAAAGGCTCCGAGATGCCGGCGCGGATTGTTGACGTTGTTCATGTCAAGCTCTGATAGCACATCGATCGTGGAGGCTTCACCGGGATTGGCACGTCGAAGTTTCAAGCTTGAGAATGCCAAGCTCCTAGGCCTGTACGTCTTTGGGCAGGTTCTGTCGACTTCTCATCGCGGCCTGCACCGTTTATCAATCTACACAGCGCGACACAATGCGCAGTCTCAGCCGTTATCGATACACCTTTTCGAATCGTGGCTGCAGAGGCACTCAGCTCGTGATCGGCGGCTGAGACGCCAGACGATGCGGATAGTTACGATCTATACTTCCGAGATGCAACGTCGGGCGCAGAATCGACATGGGACTTGTAGGGCAGTGTAGGCCTGAAGAGCTGTGGTTACGTGTCTCATATGCAAGGGTACGTGGTCTTCTAGGCCATGTTTGCTTCTTTTCCGACTCGCTGCGATATCTCGACTCTCTCTACGTCATCTCCAGCTGCACATTTGCTCGCCGTGAAAGTCTCCGCCGAGTTGTCGTTCGTCCGAAGACCGCAAGACACGATTCATCACTATTGTTGTTTGTCTTTCCGTTGGATGAAGGGTTTCTTGGGGCTACTGGGAAAGTTACATTCCAATCATGCTGTACGACGACTACACTCACCAATCCAATACCTCACGTCTACTCCCGCCGCCGCACAAATGGCAGTTTGCGCGACAACGGCTTTCCGCTAGCTGCATCCAGCGGATGCACTGCACCTCTTCCGATAGTCATGGCGTCCGACATCATGATCCTCGCTGCCTTCAAAACGCAAGCTGCAAAGCACGCTGCATGACCAGGCATCGCCATTGTTTGAGAGCGTTGCCCGACAGAACGCCATCGCGTAATAGGCATGTTGACAAGTCAGCTCTCCCTTGCCTCTCTTCTTCTCGCCTAAGAGGTCCGGCTTCATCGGGCCTATGAACGATGGCCTTCGCGTTACGTTGCGTGGCAGTTATTGGACAGAGCACAGGACGCATCGCAAGTCAAGCAGCCACCGACATACCAAGATCTTGTTGCCGCTCGCAGCTCGCCTGGGGGGATCAATACAGCGCAGCGCTGTAGAGTCCAGGGCAGCGGTTCAACGTAACGCCCTTTCTCCCCCTTGACCCTGGCAGACTCCAGATATCTGCTCCTACCCCAGCCACCGCCTGATGTTGCCGACTCGATTTGGAGTCTGGCCGGAGCATATACCTAATAAACAATGTGTCTTACCCCTTGGGTCCGGTGCTGTGGACTTGTGCATGTATATATCGTGCGGAGTGCCGAGACTGTTATCACGGTTATCGTCCATAGATAGACCTGGATTTTCCTTCCTCACTTGGCCGACTGTCGTCATCGTCTCTCATTGTTTGTGTTTGTATATCTCGATCATATTATCCGCAAGATGGCTACTTCACCTTCGACCATGACATTTGCCCCCCATCAATCATCACCACTTGCCAGGACAATGTCGCCTTTCAAAGATGCTCGGCAACCGCCGCCATGTACACCTGCAAAGACAGCGAAGCTATGGGACGAATATGAAAAAAGAGCCTTGGAGAATGCAAGGGAACGAGATTCGTTAACGCAGGTACAATACGCGCAACGGTCCTCTGGTCCTGACATGGCTAAGGGCTACGAGCCGAACTCCGCGCCAACAACTACTACGACTCGGTCAAGTTTCGACTTTAAGTTCAGAAGGGTGCGCGCCGCGACACCATCCACGACTGTCTCTATATGCAAGACCTGCAAACAGCCCATTACTTACGCGTCGGGCATATGCGAGCGCTGTATGAAGAAGATCATCCTACCTGCACCTACTGGCGAAACAACACCACCTCTAAGCCCCTCATCACGCAACTTTGCGTCGGTAGACCTTGAACAACTACACAAGACGTCGACCTTGGAGGATAACAATATGCCAACATCAACATCTCCAAAGCGCATGTCCTTTTGTCCGCTCCCAACTCAACTGGTCGACCCGCCAATTAGGCTATCCTCTCTGCGGCCGCCACCCATCATGCAAGGAACATGTGTGGAACCAAATCGAAGCAGAAAAGCTTCGCTAACCGACCCCAACGAGCCCTTCCTCCGCCTCCAAGTAGCCCATCAATCCTACCAACCACAATCGTACTCGCACCCTACAACACCAACGTACAGCAACATACCCACAACACCGCCCTCAACCCGGCCATCCAGTCTCGCCAATATTGCATCAATACCCACATCGACATACCCGTACGACCGTAAGACTAGCGTCACACCTTCAGAACTTAGTGCCCTGTACCCATACGCTTCCAACACTACGACCAGCCCACCCAGTCTATGTAGAGTCAGCGACGCGCAGCAGAATACGACGAGTGCGTGGGATGACTGGGACAGTGACGATGAGGAGAAGGTGCGGCTTGTGGGGTGGATAGGGCGAAAAAAAGGTGGGAAGAAGGGCAAGGAGGGAAGAGCGAGCAAGGATAGCTTCGAGAGTATGGGCGCGATAGAAGAAGCGAAGAGAAAAGCGAAGCAAAGTCGGGAAGACGAGCGGTTGGAGCAGGTGCGACGGGACACGCTGGAGTTGGTGAGGGCTAGCAAAAGTAGCAACGCGACGAAGAAGAAGAGGCCGAGGGGGTTTGTGAGAGTCATCAGTTGCGGGTGTAGTCAGGCCTGAGCTTTGTTTGGCCTCATTCATTTGTCATTTGGGCGTGCGTGATCATGATTGTTGGTTTTCTTGGGCATTGGCACGGATGGTGTTTCGGGACTGGAAAAGAACGTGTTATGACTTATGGTTCACAAAACGGCGGTTAGTATGAAGGTATGCATTATGGATTAGAGCGAAGTATCTAGATAAGATCACGACCGACTCGAGCGCTCAGAGAGGTTCTTTCTCTGTTACTAGTCACCACGGCTCAGCAGCGTCGTTCATTCATCAGCATCAATAGCAACACTCGCAAATCAGGCAGAAACATTACCACCTCGTATCATGTCCATTGCATCTCCACAAACAAACTACACCTTGATCTCCTCTACCAGTCATCTCACCGCAGCTCCCGCGCAGAGACCACCTCATCACCCGCAATGTTGCTCAAAGGACCGCCAACACACGACCCGCTGGCCGCCCACCGCCCACCGCCTTACCCGCAACTTTGCAGACGCAGTCCGCACGCACCCTCCTGCCGCAACCGGATAACCTTGCCGCACTCCCGCACTACACTATGCATGTAGCCCAGCAGTGTCCTGGCGCTTGGCTGCCAGCGCGGTCTTATAGGGTGAGATGTGCATGCGGGATGAGGGGTAGGCGAATGCGGTGCTTTTGCGGTGTTGTGCTGACTTATAGACGTTGTGTACACCTATGAGGTGGAGTGCGGGTGGAGGTGTGTAGCGTTGCGAAGAGGGTACAGTGTAAGCTGTAAGGTGTGGGGCTGTCATGGGCGTCTAGTCGAGTGAAGCGTAAAAACGCGCAGTCATGCTAAAGCGACAGGTCAAACAAGCTTGCACCCAAATCATCAATCCATGATGCTTAGAAAAGCGCCAAGATAGATTGTTAGGATGTGTCGTTATTTTTTAGGCTGGGCAATTTAGTCCCATGCACAATCCGTGTACCCGTACGCCGGGAGCTGACGTCGCATTGGGGGCCGAAAGGAAAGTGAAAAAGAGTCTCGAAGCATCTTTATCGTACGTTTGTCGGGCGTGAGAGTCGTGCGTGTCAAACATTTCTGCAGCACCTCGGGTTGTTTCTGGAAGACTAATTGACGCCTTCCGCGTGAGGGTCCCCGGGCGTGATTCCGTACGCGACTGTTACACAGGGGCTGGGCAGGCGCCCGTATTGTCCTTTAAATACTCGGCAGGTACGTATATTCTCCGTCTGCAGGAAGATCGTTGGACGTACGCGCCGTTTAGATGAGCCGTGGTGTGATCGTTGCTAGGCACATGATCCTTTCGTGGAAAACCTGGGACCGACGGTAGCACAACGTATCGCTTGGCGGTATGAATGGCTGGTGATGCTTGCAGTCGGTAGCAGTATGAGAGAACAGGTGACGCTATCCTTGTTAATCAGCGTATCTTGATAGTGGCGGACGCACGTCTGATCGTAAAAGAGGTTTCTGGTAGATCTCGTATGTCATGTTGACAAGCCGTGAAGCCTCTAGACCATCGTCGCAAGATAGGCTTCGAATCGAGAGATGGCGTGTCAGAGCTTGTCTGCTTCAACTTTATTAAATCTCTACTTGTCGCTCTCCAAGCCTACCGCGCTCGATGAAGGCCAGCGGGTCAGAGAGTCCGGTGAAGGCTCGGGTTGGAACATAATTTTGCTGTTGTCTGCCTAGTGAAATTTCATGCTCGACGGCTACCGACATGGCCTTCTGCAACTTCGGTATGCAGTCCAGGAGCGGTGAGAACGAGCCTCTTGGTAGAAGAGACGCAGATGAGACCACTTGTGCTGACTATCATTGAGTGAAGCAAGAAGTGAGTTGACACGAGAGATCGTCAAAATGTGCCACTGGCAGCTGCGTGTCGTAAGCATGCTTTTCTTTTTGTCTTAAGTGTCCATGGTAGTAACCCAGTGCAGTGGCAGTGCGGAGATAGCTTCTTCACCAAATATTCCTCATGCAGCTTCGACCGTGCAGCACACGACCTCAATAACTTACTGAACCCGCTACATCCGTCCGTCATACCCCTCGGGGCGGACAAGGTAGCAGCCGATACGAATGAGGCTCCACGAGGTGCGAAGCGTTCGAAGAAAGGCGCTAGTCGAGGTGGTTCCAAGGCCAGCCTCAAGCGCAAGTCCAAACCCATCCCATCAGGCCCGGTCGTTCACGGCCCAAAAGCCCGGCCAGGCGTGGCTGTTATCAAGGACACGCCGGCAACCAATACCGACATGACAACGGTCTCCAACGGCGCGAAGACGGAAGAGGTTATCCCTATGCTGCCTCTGTCAGAAATCGGAAAAGCGTCTCGGTTTGGGGACAAGACGCTCGGAGAGGGCAGCAAGTGCAGTGTCTTCGAGGTGGTTTTTCAAAGCAAAGAGCAGACCGTCTGCCCAGCCTGTGCGAGGAGCCCCAAGAGAGCACGGCTACCGGCACATGCTCGCGGATGCTTTGGCTTGAGTTGAGTGGTGGTGGCGGTGCTACGGGCGGGACAAGCATCGTGGCTGCAGAATTAGGGTGAGGATCAAACTCTGCTGCGTTGGTGCGGCCAGGGCGTCTTCAATAGGGCTGGCGTCAGGGGCTGATAGCTGGTAGGCCTTGGAAACAAGGCATGAGAGGCCTTACTCTGTCATGGCTAGTTTGGATGCAATCTCATCAATACGAGAGTCTCATGCCTTGGGAGTGCGGAGTGCAAGGTACTGGGCGCTTGAATACGATCGTAGGGCGATGTCATAATAGCGGATATGCTTTTTAGCTTGCCGCCTCCAGTGCTGACAGTCGATAACGCGTCCTACGCAACTTGCGGATGTCACCCAAGCTTGCCACGTCGATACTGTAGCCAGTAGGCTAGGCAGTATTGAAGACGCGGACAGTCGCGATAGTGGAAAGGGTGTTATTGCACAGCCACGCGCGTGCGTGGTGTTGAAGTACGCGTAGCATTGGAAAGGAAACGATGATAGTTTCGCCAATCGCCATGGACCTCTGCGATGAGATGTCTGTTCGCTCCATCGTAGAATGTAATGTATAGGGCTGGCCTCGTGTGGAGAATTATCGATGCGGTGCGTGTGCCCCTGACGAGCATCGGCCTCGGCAGGCGAAGCTGGGGTTGCGGCCCCTCGGTCCTTCCCTCAGGGGATTGGCTCCTTCCCTCAAGCGGCTAGAGGCGTGGCTGCCGCTACCATCAGCTAGAGAAGGCACCCAATGCTTGACCAACTCAAGCTTCGCATTACCGCCAAATTCTCTGCGCTGCTAGCATCGTCATCTTTCCGCACCACGCTGCCGTTGGGCGTTGCGTCCAGCTCGTCAACCGCCTCAGACACGCCGTTGCGCCATTTACGAGGGCCTCTAGCAGGCGTCATGCGTCGCCTCTTCCCCGAAATGGGTGCGTTGGGAAGAATGCGGCTCCTGTCCAGAGCCATAGTGCCTCACTAGACACACACCCCTCCCCTCGTGCGCCCAGAAATAGAAAGGCGACCAGCGTATAACCCCAGCGAGGATCATACCTGCGCAGGGCTAGCATTGGCCATGGCTCCAAGATGAAATTGCCGCCGATACCACATTCAGTGCTCAGCGGGCTTGCCATTGGCCCACACGCTTCAAACAGCCTCCTGTTTCTTTTATTCTCGCCGACACCATGGCCCAAATCACAGCCTAGGACCGTCAACGTTGACACATACTTGAGCCACAGCGCTCCCATGTTCTTTTTCTTATCCCCATCGTTGTTGGCACCCTTCAAGCTCCTTTGCCTCCAACAATTCTTTCTTTAATACGCTCGTTCAGCCAACTATCTTTGGTGTAGCTGTCACTCGTTCCAGCTACCTCAGTTAATATCGCAGTTAACGCCGCTTCATTTCTTGGTGTTTTGGTGTCACAATCTCAATTCGCCTATAGACGTTAATTAATATTCGTCTCCATCTACGCGGCTACTTTGTACCTCCATGCGAAACACCACCGAGGAACATCATACGAACCACTAAGACCAACTGGTACGTTGCTTCCTTTACATGTGTTACCACGAGGCGGCACGCGGCTTCCCTGCATATGGTTGCTACGGTGCTTTGTCGGAATCGTCTGCTTTATCGAGGTGAAACATCCGACTACACACCACCACGCATATCTATCAGCGTTCAAAACAATTGCATCCGTCTTCCTTTTACTCCCCTCGGCTTTGTTACTGTTCCTTACCTTTGCTTCGCCGTCACTCTTACCAGCTCCTGCGTTTTGATGGATTCTTGATTTTTTATGCATGCCTCCTAGCTTACGGTTAGCCTCGTAGATTATCACTCACAATGAGGGCATCCCTGCTCGGTCTCGGCGCCCTTGCTGGTCTGGCGACAGCAAACATCAACTTCTTCTGGGTCAACCCAACTTGCGAGTTCAACACTATTGAAGCGAACGACTGTTTGACTGGCCAGCACTGCACAGAGCAGAATACGTAGGTTGACGCCATGGATATCAGGGCCCTCTCGCTGACTCTTCGCAGATGTGCAACAGATCTGAAGAGCGACAAGTCCAAAATCCTGTCTCGGTCCTCTCTCCGCGTAGGTCGAGTAAAGAAGCAGGCCGGGAAATACTCCACTGACGGTCAATGCGGCCCTGCGAATGGTAACCTGCTTTGCGACCCAAAGAGCACCGCGTACACCGGCTCTTGCTGTAGTCAATACGGCTGGTGCGGAAACACACCCGGCCATTGCGGAACTGGATGCCTATCTGGCTGCGGCAAGGATGCTGAGCCCACCTCCGTGACGCCTGTGGCAACGCCTAAGCCAGCACCTGGAGCCCCGACTAGGGACGACGGAAGATGCGGCAAGGATTTTGCAGGAGCATCGTGTGACGCGAAGGGTCCTTATGGTGGCTGCTGTTCATCCTATGGGTACGTATTTTACTATAAATCACCACGTTGATACTAACGCAATCATAGATACTGTGGTAGCACTGATGGTCACTGCCTTGCCGCCAACGGATGCCAGAACGGCTGCAAAGACTCGACTCCAGTAATCAGCTCAAGGGCCGATGCTACGCCTGCCGTATCTAGGCCACCTTCCACAACGACCTCTGGTGAACCCGTTCTTGGTAAGCCCTCGAGCGTGGTTAGCGCAAAACCGTCCCCTACTGGTGTTCCCACTACCGATGGAAGCTGCGGAGCGAAGTTTGGAAACACTATTTGTGGTGACTGGGCCCAGGGAGCCTGCTGCTCCATGTACGGATACTGCGGTAATACTACAGGCCACTGTGGTGAGGGATGCCAGAACGGTCCTTGTGTTAAATTGCCTGGCCAGGCTGCACCTGCTGCCAGTCCCGCCCCAGCCGCACCTAAACCCGGCACTATCGTGATCAAGGGTAGATCTGGTGTGCCTGCCATGCACGCTGGCCTGCTGCCCAACGGCAAGGTCGTGTTCCTAGACAAGGTCGAGAACTACACCGATCTCAAGCTCCCGAACGGTCAATACGCCTACTCTTCCGAATATGACCCGGCCACACAGAAGTTGGTGCCCTTGTCATACAAGACCAACGCTTTCTGTTCCGGTGGCATTTTCCTTGCCGATGGTCGATTCGCTTCTCTGGGTGGCAACGCGCCCCTTGATTTCATCGACCCCACTGTCAAAGATGGCTTCAAGGGCATTCGTTTCCTCAAGCGATCGGCTTCTGACAATTCCCTCGATGGACAAGCTTGGGACGAGCCCGGTCCGCAACTCGACACTGCTCGTTGGTACGCTTCTGTCCAGATCATGCCTGACGACACCATCTTTGTCGCTTCTGGAAGTTTGAACGGCCTTGACCCCAGCAAGCCGGAGAACAACAACCCTACCTACGAGTGGTTGAATGCCGACGGTACCCCACAAGGCAAGAGCACCAACATGGAGATCTTGAGCAAGAACCAGCCTTACTACATGTACCCGTTCCTGCACTTGATGAAGGATGGCAACCTTTTCGTTCAGGTAGCCAAGTCTGCTGAGATCTTCAACACTGCTACCGGCAACGTTGTTCGCCAGTTCGCAGATTTACCTGGATCATACCGTACTTACCCCAACACGGGTGGTTCTGTTTTGATGCCCCTATCGAGTGCAAATGACTGGAACCCAGATGTTATCATCTGTGGTGGAGGCCCATACCAGGACATCACTGCTCCGGCTGACCCATCCTGTGGTCGCATCAGGCCTCTTGACGCCAACCCCGACTGGGAGATGGACTCGATGCCTGAAGGCCGTGGTATGGTGGAAGGTACCCTGCTCGCGGATGGAACCATCGCTTGGGTCAACGGAGCCCAGGAAGGTGCTCAGGGTTTCGGTGTTGCCAAAGATCCCGCCCTTGAGGTTCTCCTTTACGACCCCAACCAGCCCAAGGGCAAGCGCTTCACCACCGGGCCCAAATCGACCATTGCGCGTCTATACCACAGTGTTGCCCTTCTCCTTCTCGACGGCACGCTTCTCATCTCCGGCTCCAACCCTGTCGAGCAGCCCATCCTAACGCCAACGGCCAAGGATCCCTATGTCACCGAGTTCCGCAATGAGATCTACACGCCTCCTTATCTCCAGGGCAATCCTACACGTCCCTCAAACGTCCAAATCTCGAGCAAGGACCTCAAGGCCGATGGCTCAACTTTCACCATCAAGTTCACCGCTCCAGCCAACTCCAAGGCTGTCAAAGTCTCTCTCTACTATGGTGGTTTCGTCACGCACTCTGTACACATGGGTCATCGCATGGCTTTCCTCGACAACACTGGTTTCAATGGTGGCAGCACCGCTCAAACCATTACAGTCACGATGCCTCCCAACAAGAGCGTGGCGCCTGCTGGTCCCTATGTCGTCTACGTTCTTGTAGATGGCGTTCCTGCCATTGGCCAGTTCGTCAATGTCTCGTAAACAAACATTTAGTACGAAGGAGATCTTTTCGTTTGTTCGAATCGAAGAAGTATTCTTGTAATATTATTACCGTTATACAACCTTTTCCTTGTCACGTTTGAGTAGTTGAAGTGAAGGATGCGTGTTGTCTACGCACCATGTTAGGTAGTAATAAGAAATACATTTCAATCACCCAACTACCTTGATGTGACAAAAGGGGAATTCTAAGAGAAGCGACTATGCTAGTCCGTGATTTTTCTTTATGTAAGTAAAGTTACGCTAGCGATGGCGGACTATACAACGTACGAGTCGATAGACCTAGCGCCTTTAGCGCAGTAGTAGGCGTCGAGCTAACCACTTCTCAGACTACAGTTACAAAGAGTCAAGTACAGTCTGAGTAGCCATAACAGAAAGAACTTTGAATTATGAATGCAAAATATATCGTACAAACTACAAAACATTAACAACACCGCCGTCTTTTGGGACAACACTGGGGGCTACTCCCGACAATAAGACTCCCATGCCCCAGTCTTGTGTGCATGTTCACCACGCCAAAGCAGGCAGGGTCCACCATCGACGACGATGCTGAGATCCTGTTCCTGTTCCTCCTCCTCCTTGTGGGCCACCTCCATTTCCAAGGCCGTTATCAGGCGTATCTGGCTCCTGGTCAGGACGGTTCCAGCCGGGTTGAAACCATCCGCCGCCATTTCCGTTACGACCGCCACCCCTACCACCACCGCGGCCGCCGCCGTTACGACCGCCACCTCTGCCGTTGCCGTTTCTACCGCCGCCCCTACCATTGCCGTTCGGGCGCCCTGGTCTACCGAAGGGGAAATAATCTGGGCCGTCGACTCCGTCGCCCACCGGTTGAGGGTAGCGATCAGGAATGTCGTAGGGTCCATCTGTTGGGCGGGTGGGCCTAGTCCTCGTTGACTATTAGGATGGTTAGTTGACGCGCACAGGAATAGAAATAGTGAAGCCTTTTTTTCACAAGACTCGATCAAAAAGGACAGGTCAGAGACGTACATTTACATAGTCTGCGTTGACCCATACATCCAATGCGTTGATACCACCGCAAGACTGCGAGGCATCACCACTGCAGGCAGTGTTGCAGGTCGAGGGGTCATCAATGTGGTTGGGCTCGTTACCGCAATAGCAGTTAGTACCAGCTTCAATACCAAAGAATTGGTATGGTGCGTTTCTATTACGGCGAGAGGGGTAGGTGCAGAAGCTAGGTTCAATCGTCAGCATCATGACCACATGCCCAGATAAGAATTGTTCAAGCTTACGCTTTGCAGCTCTCCTGCGTCAGGGTGTTATCGTGGGAGATGGACGAGCCGTTGAATAGGCGTAACCCGGAAGGTTGGGGGCCTTTCCCGCGTTTCTCTTTTCGTGGTGGGGGTCGGTCCTCGTAATTGGCGTAACATCCTATGTATTGGTTGTTCGGAAAGATGGTCGACGCGCGCTATTGATCAGAGTTAGCAAGCTGCTCGGAAGCAGTGTAAAAATGATGATTTCCATGGTCAAAAGCTCTGCTCTGCTCTGCTCTAAAGCGAAATAAGAAAAGGGGAAAACTGCTATCAGTTAGTATAGTAGGAGGTATGCTCCATCATTTTTTCTTCGGGGTGCCCTGACGCCCTCCAAAATGTTAAGCGCATGAGTAAAAATAACAAGTGACAGCACTTTGACAAAGAAAAGCGCCAAGATGTATCCAGTTACCACATATCAGCATGCGATTTACCATACATTTATAGCAGTCGGTAAGTTTGAGGGTGCGGGCGGCGATCTTGAGAATGGAATGAGATCTTACACGCGAGGATTGCTAGACTACCAAAATGAGTTGGAATGCGCAACATCACCCAATCAGCGTCTGCAAACGAAGCATTAAGCTCCACCCTTGCTTACGTTCTTAGCGAATTATACTCATTTTTGAGAGCAGCCTGTACGTCCATTCACTCAAGTTTGGCTCCGCGGATATTGGGCGCGAATGCAGGGGAACGAGCAATGAGCTATTCGAGTGATACCAAATGGAAGTCATGAGGGAGTAAATACTCTTGCCATTATTACAGATCGTTAACAGTGCAAATGTAGATTATGGGTCCAGGCATGTCGCAGATCTTCATCTTTAGAAATTATGTACATATATGAGGTATTATAGCATCAGACAGGACTTGTCTGCTCTCCAGCACAGCTTCCCCTCGCTGTACCACACCTCAGATGCAAAGCATCCGAGCTGTCACCCAGCCAAAGGCCATAATCTCCATCGACAACGGGGATGATCCAGTTTTGAGATACAACGTCCCAAACACTGAGGTCTTTTCTTGTCACCCGCAGATTCAGCGTCTGGCTGGTACCAGGCGCCAGCGTGCTCGTCTTCTCAAAGTCTCGCAACTGGATGATCGGGGTGTCGACAGTGCTTGTGCTTGGGAACTGCACATAGAGCTGTGCGACGGCTTTGCCCGGGCGACTTCCAGTATTCGACACAGTGACCGAGATGCTATATGCGACGTCGAAAAGCGCTGGGTTGCCTCCTTGCGCGCCACCTGCTTGTGGGCCCGGGCCCTGTACGTTGGAGTAACCTTCGGGATACGGGTATTTGGTTGTTGAATTTGCTGCTTTCGCGGCGTTATCAGCGTCGTTCTTGTCTAGCCATGAGTAGAGATATCGCCAGATACGGTTGAAATTCTCTGGCCAGTACGCTTCGGAAGCAGGGGGAATGGCGGTTGAGTAGGATGGTGTTTCGCCTTTGGCTGGTCGTGTAGGCGGTGTGGCTGTGAGAGGGGTGACGGCAGTGATGGTGGCATTGGAATAAGCGAACGTGGTGTAGCTAAGGCCGTGTCCAAAGGCATAACGAGGCGTGACTTTGGCCTTGTTAAAGTGCCTATAGTCGACGTATAGACCCTCAGTGAATGTATCCTGCGGTTGGCCAATTTGGTACCCAACAAGGCTAACCGATTGTGGATAGTCGCTCTCGGACTTTGGCAACGTATATGGGAGGTGACCAGACGGAGAGACATCGCCATAGAGGACTTGCATCAATGAGGCTCCTGCTTCTTGGCCTGGTAGATGAGCGAAGAGGATCGCTTTCACAGCAGGCAGATCGTGCCACTCCTCCAATATGACAGGCCCTACCGTGTGTACGACCACAACGACGTTTGCGTATTTGGCCGCGACGTCTTTGATGAGCTTGTCTCCATTATGCCATAGATTGAGGTTCGAAGAAGTCCGGTCACCAGGGTTGTTCTCCACGGTGATCTATTGGCACGAAATCAGTGTACGTCCACATGCATTTCGTATATAAATTGTACTCACGTAGTTTTCTCCTGAGTCTGCGCTGACGAAGACAATTGCCGTATCATTCGGAGATGGGTTGGAGTTCGAGGGAAACGAGTCAGTGTTGAAGAATTGATATGTTGCGCCTCGCGCTTTGAAGCCATCGATCGGACTGTCCATGTAGGGATAACGAGCTGACCCGCTACCCCAACCCATGCCAAGCGTGCCCTTGTTGCAACCTTGGTCGTTGCAAGAGTTGATCCCATCCGGGTTCTTCTCGGCATCGGTACCAAAAACCTTCAATGTTGCGTTGCGACGCAAGGGCAGGACATTATTCTGATTCTTCAGCAGTGTTATCGCATCGCGAGACACATCGCGAGCAATCTCCGCGTGATTGGCCTGGACGTCCACGAACTCGTTTACAATGCCTCGTGGCGATATTAATGCGGCCGGATACAGCGGACCTTCGGCATCTTGGGTGTTCGTATCGAAATTAGGGCGGGGATAGTTTTGATCTTGGCCCATTTGGAAATAGGCTGCCAGGATGCGAGTGACAGCATCGTCCAAGCGGTCCACTGGGACTGAGCCATTCAGCACTGCACGGCTATACTCAAACATCCAGTAAGAATTGCCGAGGACTATAGGAAGGTCGTGTCTGTCTCCTGGCATCGACATGTCCAGTCCAGCCAACGTTGATGACACTCCTGAGATCTGCGCCAGCCTATTTTTAATTAGTAAGATATCAGAAATACCCAGCGATAGTACTAACCAGTCAGACATAACGAATCCTTGGAAACCAAGCTCATCTTTGAGGAGACCGTTGATCAAGTAGCTGTTTTGAGAGCAGGCTGATCCGTTCACGGCATTGTATGCTATCATGACAGAGCCAACACCGGAGCGAACTCCTTCAGCGAAAGGCCACAAGTAGAGCTCATGGAGCGTCCGATCATCCAGGTTTGAAGAAATGCCAGGCTTGACAAGGCTATACATCCTGTACATTTCTTGTTCGTTGGCAATCAGATGCTTGAGGGTTGCAATGACTCCGACGCTCTGAATTCCTTTGATAGACAACGCTCCTCCATAGGCCTGCAGGACTGGATCCGAACCGAAACCTTCCCAGTTTCTTCCGCCTCTTGGCTTTCTTCCCAGAGCCCCAACACTAGGTCCCAGGTGGATATTGACCCCTTTACCGCGAAATTCCTCACCAATGGCTACGCCACGGCGATACAGTAGGTCTTTGTCCCAAGTAGCACCAGCGGTGATTCCTGCCGGAAATGCCGTATTATGGTCTGTATTTCGAACCCCCAGAGGCCCATCTTGTAAGCAGAGCTGAGGAATTCCAACTCTCAAGGCACTGCCTGTGTTTCCAACACATCGACCCATGAATATTCCGGTACCTGCAGTGAGGTTCGTTTTCTCGGCTAGGGTCATGTTCGAAACAAGCAGGGAGGCTTTCCGGTAGCTCTCGCTCCAGTCCGATGTCCATCCTCCGTGCGGCGCTGAGAACTCGTCAGTGGCTGGAACTCGAAATCTGAGTTGGGATTTGGAAGGGAATTGACGCTGTTTCTACTCACCTGGGTAATAGGGTGCTGCGACATATCCAGGGGGCACAGCATCGCGTTGCTCAATGGCCGCACCAGTCACAATGGTAGATATACAAAGAGCTAGAAACAAATGCATGGTGAAAGAATGACTAATGAACAGAAGGAAGCGTCGCGAGAAACAACGTTTCGCGTGACTGGACACATAATGGACGGCTAGAATATCTATATACCCTACTCAACGCTATGTCTCCAAACCCCGCAAATCTGAGGCATTAAGCACATGGCATACTTGCTAAAGCAGTTTTTGCGCTAGTCATGGTTTTTGTATTATGATGTACGCATGCGTGACGCGAAGGACAAATTCAGCTATACGCCCGAGGCAGCTGTGGTGGAGAGTAGGCTCCTAGCAAGGGTCATGGGGTAATGCCGGCTAATCGTGTCGATCCTAGTGTAGTGGCGACAGGGAATCAAGGTCGTTGGTCGCCTTGAGGAGGTGCGTGCATGTGATAAACGTCCGGTTAGCCATTGGACGCAGCTGGCCGTTAAAAGGTGTTTAGCGTTCACGAAGGCCGTTGAGAATACCAGCTTTATTCGTCATTGGCCTCGACCTGTGTCCAGACTTGAGAAGAGTTTGCGCGATGTAGTGATCGACATTTATACTCTAGTCGCCCATATTTCCCACGCGACAATGCTCCTAGATCCCGATCCTAGGATCCTTACCCTTGTAGAGACCATGATGTTGCTCAATGCGGGGGCTCGGGCTCACTACGCGCGTTCTTGGTCGCAGCCATCGGTTTTTGAAGGGACGACGAGCGCCAAATCAATTCCAATAATGTTTGAGTGTCGAGATAAGAGCACTGGGCCGCTCTTGACAAGGACTTATCAAAATGCGGAGGCCAGCGGAAGCAAGACCAGGGTGCCAGAAAAGATTGACAGGAGACATTTTTCGCCTCGGTCGGTTACACTAGCGCCATCATCGCTTCCCCTTTATGCATTCCCACTTCCAAGGCTATGGACCTTTCTCTCCGTATCACACCATCAACCTGGTAAGCTTTGGGTTAAGCCTCGGGGTTTGGCTTGTTCAGGATTCGATATTAACGTCGCTTGCGTTGGTACACTAACCAGACTACCCGCTCACTTGCCAGTAAACGACGCCGGCCTTGCTTCCTCATTGATTGACGGAGTGTCGAAGCCGATGTGCATTAATCAGGAAGATGGTGCCTATTCGTACCGACTCCGTATCTTCCCTGCTTGGTAGTCTTGTCGTTAAAAGTCGTCTTGTACGAAATAGGTGTCACTTCATGCTGATCGCGTCCAGCATGGACTCGTCAGATGCTATTTACGCTCGCGTTCGGCAGTAAGATAGAGACCATGGACCAAGCCGTATGACTCGATAATCATAATCGTGTGAACCTAGGGGCCCATAAAGGCACCATGGCCGACATGGAATCCTACAATCCAAAGTCTTGGTTCTTCTCGTTGCCACTCGTTAGCCCGTAGGGCCTATCATAATGCCTTCCTATAATGCTGCTTTTTACGCTTCTACAATCTTCGCATACTTGATCCACTCAGTTGCGGCTAATACCTGTTCCCAAGTTGGTGCGCTTGGACTCAACATTAAACGTTCACCTTCGATCGAATACCTCACCGAGCAGAACAATTATTGGAGTACTGGATGTGGAGCGTTGAAGCCAGCATGTATCCTCTACCCGAAGACCGCCAACGAGGTTTCGGCCATCGTCCAGGTCTTGCACGATAACAACGAAACCTTTGCTGTCAAGTCTGGAGGCCACAATCCGAACGAAGGTTTCGCCAGCATCCAAGGCGGTCCATTGATCTCTACAAAGGAGCTGAATGAGGTGACGTTCGACTCTACGTCGATGACTGTGCGTGTTGGACCGGGCAATGACTGGGAAGACATTCACAAGGCTTTGCAAGATACCGGTGTCACTGTCGTAGGCGGAAGAATCGGTGAGGTTGGAGTCGGCGGTTACGTTGTCGGCGGTGGTCTCAGTTTCTTATCTGCTGAGTATGGGTGGGCAGCTAACAATGTTGTCGAGTTTGAGGTCGTGTTGGCCAATGCTACCGTTGTCACTGCATCTTCCAAGTCTCACCCTGATCTGTACAAGGCGCTGAAAGGAGGCGGGAACAACTACGGCATCGTAACGGCGTATACAATGGTCGCCCACCCTATTGGCCAGGTATGTTAACGCTAGATTCAGTCAAACGACACATACTAACTTAGAATAGATTTGGGGAGGCAATCTCATGTTCAGCGGAGACAAGGCTCCGCAGATGCTTGCAGCTGTGAGGAACTTTACGGAGAACTACCCAGACGAAAAAGCCGGCATCATCATGACTGCCGAACGTAAGTGTTAATATACGACTGTATGTGAGCTATACTGACTTTGTACTGTGTCCAGTTACTGCTCTCGGTGCCGTTGACATCTGGATCATGTTTCTCTTCTACGATGGACCAACACCGCCGCCAGGCGTGTTCGACATGTTCACTAATATCGGGCCAATTGTCAACAACTGCAAGACCCGAAGCTACTATGATCTACTGAAATACAACGACTTCGCCGTCGTCAAAGGTTCAATCTACACCATTACGACTGAGACAGTCCCACTGCCCAGCTTCGAGAATGGCGCAGAAGTTATGGGTGCAATCTATAACAACTGGAGAAATACGACCAAGGGAATCTTAGGAGTCGCAGGCGTCATCGGCTCCATTGCTTTCCAACCCATCCCCAAGAGGCTCGCGCGAAAAGCTCGAGAGCTGGGTGGTGATCTAATCGACCTGGATGACGATGTGGACCGTATTGTCATCGAGTTCAACTGTATGTTCCACTTTACCCTTGGATTACCCGCCACTGATAATGTCCTAGACTCATACTTGTTCGACATCGATGACAAGACAGTTGACCAAGCCACACAGCAGCTTTACAAAGGGACTCGCAATCTCGTGACTGGGTTCCAGCAGAGTGGCAAGCTTCCTGATGCGTATCTGCCGCTGTTCATGAACGACTGGTGCGAAAGTCCTACCACAAATACTATCTGAATGTCTTAGCTAACATACGGATAGTAAGTAACGAACCTTTTATAAGACACTCCCTACAATGTCTTAAGGTAGTATTTGTGTGTAGTATTTGGAAAAGTGCTAATTGTGTCGCTACTTTCAGGCTATTTCCGACAGGACTACTTCGCCCGGCTGCGAACTGCCGACTTTGCACGCGGCGTGAGGGATCAATACGACCCGTCTGGATTCTTCCGCGATCGCACCAAGGGCTGGAAGTTGTAGACTCGTGTGTATGTATCAGGCGATGATTTGGTCTTGATGCTGGGTTTATCGATTCGGAGGCCGAGGTTGGGGCTGCGAATGGGGCTATGCGGGACGGCTCGCTGTAGCAAGTAGACGAACGGCCGTTCTGTGCGACAACCCACTGCTTGAATTCAGAGATTTGTTCCCATCGCGCCACCATGCTACAGTACCTTGTTATCTTTGGGGCGGCTATGCTTGCAGTCTTAGAATACCGTAGCGCGAGCATCGCCTGCGTGAACACTGTGCCTGTAATAGCGTTCGTCCTGCTTGTACATGTCTTGGCTGCAGTCGACACCATTGCGACGTATGGGCGAGGCAATCAAGACTCGATAGCGAGCCTTCTGTTGGAGGCACAGCAACGATCCGCAACAGAGAGCAGGGCAGTGGTTCATGGGCGCTTCAGAGAGAGCCTTGGGGGCCCAGCACGTGCTGTCACGCCTTGTCGGTTGAGCGATCTTGGTCGCGATGCGGTCGCGATCTGTTTCGAAACACCAACACTCACCGGTCCACTCGAGGTCGCCCGCGCCTATCCTGAGCGTCTCATGGGCTACCAGCAGGCCGCATTGCGACTTCGATTGCGCGTCTTGGCACGCTCTTCTCATGCTCTTTCTCACGTTCTCTCTGGCCTCAATGCGTCTTCTGCTTCGGGAACGGGCCGCTGACTGTGCAGCACAGCAAGTCAACGGGTGGGTGTGTGTGCGCTGCCATCTGCAGGTCCTGGAGGTGCTCAGCCCTACCATGTATTGATGACTTCAGCACTGTACAGGAGTTTGAGCAGACGAGGCGCCTCGACACCCTTGTGTCGCTGCCAAGGCCTTTATTTGGCCTTCATGGCTCGTCGAATCAGCGTCAAATTAGCCGCCCTTCCCGTCCTCCACCACCACTCCGCTGGTCGGCACTGGTATTCTTAGATACAGCCGCACTAGGGAGTACTGAGGGTGATCTCAAACAGGCGCTTCCGTTACAGACATCCCTCCCTTGTTCTGGGGAACGAACCGCTCGTTGTCGCTGGTCTGACCACTCAGAAGCCCAATTTTGGCCTCACCTCACCCTTTCTGATGGCGCTTCAAGTCACGGCCGAGTGGACAGCCTCCTCTTCGCCTAGTTGCACCTACGCTTTCGGGTAGACTGGTTATCGATCCGGCGATTACAGAAACATATCCTGGTTTCACATCTTTTCTCCGAGCGGCCTGCTGGCCATTGTTATGAAGCACCCACATGGTGCCTCTCTATCTATAAAGCCATTCGCCATGCCCATGGTAGAGCCTCACATCCCCCAGGCCCAAAGGTATGAACATCTGTTCTTTCGTTTTCTTGTTGTGAAAATATCTCCTACCTTTCGTTCTTCTCCATCACTCTCGTTCTCCTACGCCCACGCTGCCTTAATCATAATACACAACCCGGTCGCTTCCACCAGTCTACTCTTTCCCAGTCTCCGCGTCCCTCCTCATTCATATTTCTCCTATCATCTCCGTCTTTCCCTGTCCACATCTCATAGTCAATATGCCTAAAATCGAGAAGGCTCCTTCGTCGCACCGTAATTCCATCTCGACCGCATCAGCAGCCGGGGGTAGCGGCACTCGAAGCTCCTCATGGTCCGCCAAAGACGATGAGATCCTCATCCAAGCCAGAGCCCAGGGCCTCAATTGGAACCAGATTGGACCAAAACACTTCCCCTCCAAGACGCCAAATGCCTGTCGCAAACGACACGAGCGGCTGATGGAGAGGCAAAACGCAGAGCAGTGGGATGGTGTCAAGTTGGATGTCCTAGCGCAAGCATACATGGACGTGCGGCGGGACATGTGGAGTATTCTCGCTGCTCGAGTCGGAGAGAAGTGGCAGCTTGTCGAGCAAAAGGTACGTTACCCTTGCATTTCTTAAAGGATTCACAACTGACTTGGCACAGTGCATGGAGAAAGGTCTGAAGAATCTTAGCCAGGCTTATCGGTCCGCGCAGAAGAAGCAGAACGACGGTACCTACCTCGACCACGAAGACAGCGGAATTGGCGTTTCTGACCTCGATGAAGAATCAGAGGATCTCCACCATCACGTAGACATGCCCAATGTGTCTGCCCCACTCCAATACACTACATATCCTGGCGGCTACCCTTCGCAACAGACACAAAGGGTGCCCAGTATACAGTCTATGCTGCATCCACACCCACATTCACATCCGATGCAGTACCCTTCCCAGCATTATTCCAACCCGCAATGAGCATTTATAGCTCTGCGCCTTCACTTTCACATTTTCGTCTCCTCCATCCAGCATCTCCTTGCCACGATCTTTACGACCTCTTCATCGCACTTGCAACGTAGCGAGTAGCCCTTTTTTGTACCTATACCTGTCGATAATCCACCGACATCGATCGCAATATCCTTTCATTTTCTCCTCTGCACTTTCACCACCAACAGGTGGCCAGATTAGCTAGTTCTGCATTCGTTCGTACTTTGAGCATTGGCATTGGGTGGCGTTGGAATGTAATTGGGGCATGGGCAGGTTGGTCACTCGTTCCATCAAGGCTTTATTGGGTGGGGTCTGATACAGTCCTTTGATTATGCTACTGCATGCATTTGGTGCTCATTTTGAGCGTGGTGGTTCTGTCGTAGATTTTTGCAGCTATGCGCTTCTTGTCAATGCTATTTTTCGTCTTCCTCTTATAATATTGAACCAGACAATCCCACGAGGTGTGTAGCAAGTTGGCAACGTTGATCTTGGGCATTTTTATCGATTGTAATTCTTGATGTCTTCTCTGTCAAACTATCCTCCACACGTCGCGCGTCCTGACTAGCCTTGTCTCGATTCTGCTACGACGAAAAGACATACCACAAAGCAACGTGACTGTCGCTACTCCCCTTACTCATCGCCTTGCTAGCTACACCAAGCGGCTCGGTTCTCTACCTTGCAGATGTCAGTTCGGCTCGTCGTGGTTGCACCAGCATAGCCTCACGCACGCACTCAGCCTTCCCAACTCCCCCCACCACCAAGAAGACGATTCCACTCCCTTGGTACCCCGCAAATAAGCACAAATCGATAAATGTGACAACTGCATCTCTCGCCCCAAAAATAACGGTCCGCAGCGGAACACTCGATACCCGTCCCACGCGACCTCAGATCTCATCTAAGACAATGCCCAAGCTAGGTTAGCTGCGCTCCGACCGTTCGCGCTAAATCGCCTTCATGACATAACCAACGGCGCTGCACTCCGCCTCCATGTACTCTCCAATTGCGCGACACGATGGAAACGAAGTAGCACGTGAAACTTTTGCGACTTGGAGCTATGCCCAAGGCGCCGCTTCTTCGAGTTCCCTTCACCGACCCGCTGCCGTTGCCGAAGATAATCCCTACGAGCGCGAGCACGGCAAGTGGTGCTATTGCAGCCCTGGTCGACTTTTTGTCGCCTTCCCTTACATCCAGTACTGTTTCTCCCGCTCGAACGACGCATACTCTGCGATCAAAGCTATCAACGCCCCAGGACCGTCCTCAAAATGGCAGTGGAAAGACGCTCCTCCTCACAGGCGCAGGGATCTCGGTAGCCTCAGGGCTCGCTGATTACCGCGGCCCAAATGGAACCTACACGCTGAACCGGACGTATCGACCCGTATACTTCAATGAGTTCTGTGAGAACCACGAGTCGAGGAAGAGATACTGGGCGAGGAGCTTCCTGGGTTGGACGAACCTAGAAAAGGCCAGGCCAAACAAAGCGCATGAGGCCTGTGGGGAGTTGGGACGAATGGGTGTTGTTGGAAGTCTCATTACTCAAAGTAGGTGCATACAAACTTGAAAGTGTTGAAGTAGCTCAGAGCTGCCCTCGATACTGTTTGAAAAGGCTCTTCGGTGTTGCTAACACAACAATCGTGAAGATGTAGACTCGTTCCACCCCACTGCGCACCCGCACCTGCCCACTACAGAACTCCACGGCTACCTGCGCAGCCTCGTCTGCTTGTCCTGCCACTCCGAATACCCACGCAGCACGTTCCAAACCCAACTCTCGCGCCTGAACCCCTCCTGGGCTGCCTTCCTCGCCGAGATGCTCGCGTCCGGCGCGCTCGACACGGAGAATCCCGACGAGCGCCGCAAGCGAGGGCTCAAGACGAATCCAGACGGCGATGTGGACATACCAGATGCGCCTTATACGACTTTCAGGTACCCAGCGTGCCCGGTGTGTCTGGAGAACCCGCCTACCAAGGCTGGTGGGGGGAGAGCGAGGGTACAGACGGATCAAGATGGCGCATGGGACCCCAGCAGCGAAGGAGGCGTGCTCAAGCCTGCTGTTATTATGTTTGGGGAAAACATTCCTGTAGCTACGAAGGTCGCTGCTGCAGAAGCTGTCGATGCTGCAGATAGGATACTGGTCGTTGGGAGCAGTCTTGCTACCTACTCCGCGTGGAGACTTGTCAAGAGAGCGAAAGATCTACACAAGCCCATTGGCGTGCTGAACATGGGCGGTGTGAGGGGAGAGGACGTCTTCTTCGGCGATGTAGAAGACGCTAATACAGGGAGGGGAGCCGTTAGGTGTAGTGCAGATGTGGAAACGGTACTACCGCAAGTTGTCAAGATATTGCAAGAAATGAAGAGAACGAGGTAAAGCCTCTTCTGTATGATTACGTGTATATGTAGACGAAATAACCAGAATAGAGAGAACATGGGTTGTCATATTGGAAATGTGAAATATGCAGCGTAGGCAGCGCTGCTGGCGCTACGATGCTTGCCAGTCTAGGCAGTTCTTCATGTTGAACGTTGCCCATAGAGTGAAACCGTACATACGCCAGCCATGCGAAAATAAAGCAAGAACGCCTCTCTCCTAGCCCCTGAGTGGGCTCACTGTATTGTTGACTTCCCATCAAATCCCTCGCCGCGCTGATCCACATCATCATCGCTCACCACGATCCCCGAGTCCCCCTCCTCCGCGCCATGCACCTCCCCTTTAGCATTCAAGAGCGCCCGCAAATTTCTGCCAGGAATCATATTCAGCTCCTCACTACACGATCGGCAAATCCTCAACTGGCACCACGTGCACGCCCACTTCCTCTCTCGCTCGTTGGCGTGGCAGATCATGCAGCCCATGGGCTGAAAGTTGTTGTTGCTCCAGACGGTGGTTTTATGGTTGGTGTAGCAATGCAAGTGTGCTGGGCCGATTTGCGGAATCCGGCTCGTGGGAAGCGGGATGGGTTGCCGGGTGAGGGGCGTGAAAGGTGGTGGAGGTGGAGGCGACTGGGCGTCTTCTGCGTTTGGCAACGAAGGGGGCGATGAGTTATTGGGTTGCTGAGATGTCATCGGTGCTGGCGCAGTCGAAGGAGGAGCAGCTAGATTTGGCTCTGGGGCATCGCGCGACGTCGTTCGTGGAGGAAACATATCTTGTGCCGGTGGGTTTGACACAGGCGAAGCCATCGTCGCAGGGCTAGGCTTTGCTGGCTGCTTCTGGGATTCAGGAAGTGCTTCGAAGCTGAACGGTCTCTGCTGCTCGCTCGGCGGCGGTAATGGCGAGACAGGCGAGATTATCACATCCCTTCCCGTCTCAACTGGCTTCAACTTCGGCGAGGGCGTCATTTCTGGGGTAATCGTGTCCACATTGCCCATTGGAATGGGAGGAGCAGGTCTGTGTGCCTGGATTTGTCGGTCAGCAAACGTATTCGTAATGAGCTTGGAACGGTTGGTATCCTCACATCCGAGGCAGAGCACTCTACCGAACTAATACAGGCGAGGGGAAGGGGATGTGGATATGTACCTTCAAAATGTTAAAACTTGAGCTGCTTTTGGCTCGAATATGCGAAGGCGAAGCTGGGCCTTTGGCTCGAGGGTTTGAGGGCAGACCGACGGCTGTGTAGACCTTTCGCGGTGGTGCTGGGGGAAGAGCTGCTTTGTCTTCCTCCGGCGTAGGTGGCAGTTGATTGAAAGCTGATGCTTGTGCCTGTGCTTGTTGTTGAGGTTTTATGGTTTCTTCTGAGGCCTGCGGTGTGTCGCTTGAGGATAGGTTTGAAGCCTGGTTATCAACGCCGGCTTCTCTCGGCTCAGATGTAGGAGGTATAGATCCACCTTTCCCCCCGCGAGGTCGATTGCCTAGCTCTGCCAGGCTCATGAATTTCTTCACTGCCATGATCGGAACCGCTTTTCTTTTGATAACTGGTGGCGCATCTACAACCTCGGAAGACAGGTGCGCCGTGGCGTTCGTCTCGCCTTGCGATAACAGAGAGTCACTCCGAGCAAGATGTTGTCCACTCTTTGATTGATCTTGTCCCATTGTCGCTTGCTTGACACTCTTTCGTCTTATTGACTTCTCTGGCGGTGGCGGCGGCAGATCTTTCTCCTCAGGGGGCCCTGAAGAAGGAAAGTTCCGTGGTAGTGCTGGAAGTGCTGGTGTGGACGGAACCGTCGCCGTTGATCCGTTGCTGATAGTTAATTTGAGCGAAGCCGGTTTCGCGCCACGGGACAAGCTGCGCGAAACGATCCGCCGTTGTGGCTGCTGTTCCAAAGAATCTTTTCGTAAGCCATTAGGCGACAGAGGTGCGTCCTCATGAACTATTATGTATTAGCGCTCTGCCTTCAATGGTATATGTTGGCTGCTGCTACTGCAGTGGGAAAGAAAAAGAAGAAAAGGTAAGGCAGGCCAGGCTTGAGAGCAGTTTGCTATCTACACTGCAAAGTGTGATTTGCTTACGTGAAGCTAACTCGCGGTGAACGCGTATGTAAGACATGATCTACACCAACAAACGAATAGTCATAATCCGCAAGATGACCGTTTGCTGTCATTGGGACAGCGATCAGTTTGGCTTACCTCGTAGCTGAAACTTCATGCCCATTCGTTGAACGGCAGGCAGCGGTTTGTCCCTGAGGTCATCTCCCTGTGATGGAGGCGGTGGAGGAAGCTCTTTGAGCGCCGGCACAGGCGAATATTCCAACGGTGATGTGTCGCCGTGACCGAACGAGTTTCCATAGTCGTTTAGTAGTGCGCTGACAACATCTTGTCGTGAAGAGGGGGCGTTTAGTCCAAAGCCCTGTTGGGCCATGACGTCGGTCATTGTATCTAAAAGAGACGCGATTGCTGTTGCTAATGATTGTGTAGCCTGCCACTAAGGAATGATGTAGGCAGCGGTTATTGTAGTAAGGACTGACTGGTAGAACGGAAAAAGAACGTAAAGGTGGGGGTGAAAGGAAGAGAGTGACTGAGACACAAATGAAAGATATATTGGTTCCAGCCCCAATTGATATCGACTTCCAACGAGTGCAAGTCACAAATGAATGAATGAATGAGAGGAGAGAAAGGATGCTTCGCGCGGAACCTGGCGGTCTCAGGTACAAGAGAGACCATGGGCCAAGCCTGCGGGCCCATCAAACGCATAGATAGAGTGTGTTTGATGGCCTGTCACAGAAGCGGAGAAGCCACAGCTCCGTTCCAGCGCGGATCATCCTTGCATGGATGAAGGATGGAGATGACAGGATGGTACCGAGCTCCACCGACGCGGCACCATGGTCGAGAGGACTACAGAAACAGGCACAATATGTGAAGCGTTTGAATCCTCGTTTAGTGAATCTTAATACAATCATAGCGGACGCGCACCATGTAACGACAGCGCGCGCTGTGAGGGCGGCATAGGATGGGCCTCATTGTCGCGAAGCTGAGGCAACTGTGGTGAGGTCTGACGTTCAGGGGTACAGCTTCCTGTCAAATCACCTCACCCCGCAGGTCTGATCGCCACACGTGACGCTGACTGCGCGTTTCAGCATACTGGATTAGAAGATTCCGCCCCACACCGGCAGTCCATCTACAGCTGCAGACGCGTTGACGTGTGACGTTAGGATCGACGCCCAGCCTCTGGTGTTACGTAGATGGCCATTGCTTACACGGTCGCCAACTGCTCATCGGGGATAAACGTTGGACAAGTTAAGATGAAGATGATGTATACCGGGAAACTGCTATCGATAGCGTGGGAGGGGTGGAGATGCACGATCGCAGCAGATAGATTGTCCTATTTATGAGCATTAAGATTTCCTGGGTCATCTCAAACGGCTAGCCCCGCCTTACATGCAGTAGGACCGATGGTCCAATTAGGGAATACGAGATGTACCAGTGCTATAAAGCATATGTAAAGGGCTTTTGATCTCTTGATCACATAAAACTATCCAATCCCATCCAGCCAAGAAGTATAGACAATATCTCTCGTCTCTCGGCACGTTTCCGAATGGCCAAAATGCCCTCATGTTTCCATGATCAAACCTCAAACCGCCTTCGAAGCCATTGCTTCCTGTCTAGAGTCCTGGGGTATCCGCCGCCTGTTCCACGTCGGTCGGTGCCACGTAAAGCCAAAGAAACCCCGCCCATGCGCCATCGCTAATGATCGATCGTCCGTAGCCGTCGATAAAAAATATCAAGGTAGTTACAAGAATGGTATGCACAAGTAACGCTCAGTTACTGGAAGATATAAAGTATAAACATTAGGATCAGGGTAATCGTAGGTGTGAGTGATGAGCTCGTTGTTGCTGCGGCACCTTTCAGGGGCGCTGCGGTGACGTTGACAAATGTCTTTCCGCAAGATATCGAGATTTGTTGTGCGGCCATGGTGTAGGTTTTCGAGAGAGGCTGGGTAGCGTTGTTGCCGTAGTTGGCAAATACACTCATTACATCCTGGAGGCAGGTGTTGCAGGTGGGCCTTGATCCGCCAGGAAGCTCCTGACCGATGGGCAGATAGTACGGATACGAGTCCGTGGTCGATGACGAATTGCTGACTGCATTCGCGAAGCAATAGCTTCCCGCATTGTCTCGCAAGCAGCTAGCTTGGTAGGACGGTGTATATGCCACAAGCCCATTGTACGCCTGCAATACGAGTGGGTTGTCGTTTTCGTAGTCTGTCTTGCATGCGGTTGCAGAGACAAGGTCTCGTGCAAAGTTGTTCAGGGTTGCCCGGCATTGCGTCGCGTTGACACCACAGGTTGCGTCCAGTGTTTGGGTGATGCGTAGGTACGATTTGGATGCGTCGAAGAAGGCACTTGAGGTCTGCGATACGTCAGCATCAATCAACAGTCGTCGCAACCAGGACTATAGCAGAAAACATACCTGCAGCATCAAGGAAAAGGGATGGCAGTTGTTAAAGGCGTCGCTACGGATGAGACGACTGAGGAAGCTGGCGCAAGAGCTGGTGAAGTTGTTTGAGAGGCCGGTATCGAAAGGCCGAGGGATGGCGAAATCGGTCTTGTCGCCATCAGGATCCGTGGCAATAGATCGCTTGGAGCGCGGTGCAGACAGCGTTCTGGTGGCATCTTGGTTGCTGTGTAGTGGAGGCATCAATAGCGGAGCTATTGGCGGCGGACGTGGATCGAGGTACAGTGACGATCCCTTCCACGCTAGGTCGTCTTCCACGAGCAGCGGTGCTAGTCGATTACCATGTGTATCTGCAGCGGATGCGGCAACAAACAGAGAACTCCAGGATAAGAAGACGACGAGCAGCGAGAGCAGCGCGCGGGAGTCGAAGCGGGTGGGTGGTGGTGCTGTTGTAGCATATAAGGAGGTGCCGCGGCACAAGTTGGTGTGTTGTTGCTTCTTCCGCGGTGGCAGGGTAGTGGATCTATGGTGCGACAACAGGATCGTTCTCGACTCGCTTTTGGCGAAACAGTGCGGAACCATTGCTGGATATGTTCTGGTGGGCCTCGACAGTACTATTCTTATCCGCAAAGTTTCCTCAAACTCTTGCAGACCATGACCGTGCCTCTGGAGGAGCCAGACAGTCGAAGAGACGCTATGAATTGGCAGTCCCTCGCGATGATTAACAGCGGTCCGCACAGCTTTGGAGACGTCTTGGAGGATTGGCAGGGCCTGAGAACGAGCTTGAATTTGTATACGGCAAAGAGCGACGAGTAGTTGGAGCCAGCTTGTCGATGTCGATCGTCGCCAAAAAGGTCAACCCAGTGGTTCCCCCAGGTGTTCTTCGGTGCTTTTTAGCAGCCTCGAGAGGTTGTGCACGCATGGGAGCAGCCGTCCCTTATGTTGGATTGCCATGGACGCTTGCGCATCCTCCAAGCCATCGCCCCATGGCGGCCCTGGTTGAGAAAGCCAGGGCGCGTCCTACAACTAAGACTCGATGGTTCGGCTGACGGCTAGCACTTTGAGTCGGGTAATAGCAGCTTGGGACAAAGTCGCTACTCAGGCGTCGTGAGTCGGTGGGCGCTGATAGGTGGGAGGGGGATTGGTTTGTGCAAGGCAATATAGTCCATGTATTTGGTAACCGCATTGGTGATGTTCTGGCCCAAGGAAGCTCTGTCCAGGGGACACCATTTCGGTCTTGGCGGCTCGATCCCTTTCGCATGTTTGCTAAAAGCTGCAGCCTGCACGGCATCAGTGCTCGAATCCGTTGTTGTGCAGACGAGAGGGTCATCGTAAGTTAGCTCAGCCGTTAACCTGGCTGTACGCAATCACTGCAGGCCGCGCTGGGGCACCAAAGCTGGCTTGAGAGGCCATTTACGTCCTTGCGATATCGCAGGGCGACTATTGAAGGCGATTGATTGAAAATAACATGTTGCGGGCAGTTGGAATGCTCCCGTTGTCACCACGCACGTCCTCCTCGAAGGAGCAATATCGGCCGCCTCAGTCAGGCCAACATGTCTGTTGCCAAGCCAATAAAGCCACCTGAAAAGTCAGTCCCCTATCGGCGCCGTCCTTCATAGTCCCTTGTGTGGCCTTGTCAGCTGAAGAGGTCAGACAGGCTCCAACATTGGATCCAGGTTGCACTCGCTCATCTCGACTGCCACTATCTGCCTCTCTTCGTTGGCCCAACGTCAAACATTAGGCCAATCTGCATATCTTCGCTGGCCAACGAACAATAGGCCAATCTGCGACCGACATTGGGAGAACGAGCATCGGCTCATTTCTCCAGCGTATGTCGATGATGGACTTTGCGTCTTTCTTCCAAGATTACCCAATATCCCCTCGTCAGCAGCCACTGCTTCGCTGCACACCAACATTCTACATGCCCACACTTTGAAGAAAATGCACGCCATCTTTCAGATTGAATGCGACATCACGGCTGCTTACAAGGGAGCAACAACCCACCCCTGATATACTGTTTTAGGCGTGCTGTCTGCATGAGGCTACCGCTCGATCGCCTTCATTCCCAAAAAAGTCGGCTGCCTCATGCATGCTCGTGCGGTATCGTGAAGGCGGGGCTTCAATACCCACAGTCCCGGCTCCATACCGTTAGAGTAGTACGGAACAGATCCGAGCCTAGTTGTAGAGAAAGCTAAGCATATGGATGCCCTCAAGCAGAAACAGGACATATTACAATTATTTGTCGCTCCGCATTCGAGATGCAAACCATCACAGCTCTTATTGCAGGCGAGTAGATACCAGGCATCGATATCGATAAGCAGCGATCTATAATCACCCCACGTCGTGTCAAGGGTACCGCTCCTGCCTGATTCACCTAGTCATTATCAAAAACGGCATATACCCACCACCCGGCACACGAAAGCGGCAAGAAACAAGGGAAACACCACTACCACCAATGAACACAGTAGGAGAGAACATTCACACTGAAGACCTGATGACTCCAGATAGGCTACTGCTGAGGCCTTGGTGTAATTAGCACAGTGGTTCGTTTTCGTCCCATGCATCCAGGAATCGATATAAGATTCATCACCGCTTCTCTCCCACCTCTAAACAACATGACCTCGATAACCTCACGGCCCTAAACGGATGTTTCAGATGAACAGCGTTGCACTACTACCAACCATCGCTCAAGGAATTGCGTCGGGGAGCCCGGAACTTTCCTTATGGTATCTGGACAGGGTGTTAGATATTAAAGGACAGTATGATTCAAGACCCACATCTTGAAAAGCGGATCCCAGACGGTCACGGCCCTTCTGGACACGCGGCCATTGGCAAGAGTCGGCGGCTCCAGGAAAAAGTGTTTGTCTGCTGAACACTCGAGAACCCTGCCGTATAGGGACTCATCCTCGAGGAACTTCTCATATGCGCTCACGATTGTCGAAACAGACGTCAAGCTGGAGGTGGTGAGCGATTTCCTGACGCGTAGGCCCTATACTCACCACTCTGGAGATACGGCATCTACCATTTCTTGTGGGATGATGGACGTGTGAACAATTCCTGTCCCTCGTCAACTCTTGCGCAATCACAAACTTCATTACGAAATGGGGGCTTCTTACCCGGGCAGATAGCATTGATGGTGATGTTCTCTTTCTAACGTTTCTCAGTACAAAGGTTTACTGTGGGTAACTTCCAGAGATGTACATTCTTTAGAATACGCGCTGTTGCCCGAACAAAGTTCACAACGGCCGCTTTGGCGCCAGCATATTCCGGATACGATTCATGTGGTACCACAGCGGCCACGCTGGCAGTGGCGATGATTTTCCCTCCAGGTACTGTGTTCTTTCGCATGAAGTGTATCGCCAACTGCGTTCCGTACACAACGCCCTTAAAGTCCACGTCCGTACAGAGCAGATCCGGTTTTGGCGGTATCCTTCGTCAGTTAGCAATCAGCTGCCTGGACGACAAGAGCTCTTACTTGTCAGAGTTGCGGTGTTCGAATATGAAAATCGAGCTAGATGCCATCAGCGGGCATCCTTATACACTTCCTTGGGGACGCACCTTTTGTCGACTATGCCCGCATTGGCACACAACGCATCAATCCTCCCATACTTATCCCAGACCTGCTGGAACATATCCGCCTGACTTAATACTCGTCAACCCAATGCGAAGTACGATCTCAGCATCTACGCACCTGTCATAGTCCGCGACATTGCATTTATGAAAGCTCGACCCTTGACCCAACTCTTCCGCAAACTCTTCGTTCTCGTTGATATCGGCGATGGCCACCTTCCAGTTTTCTTCAACTAGTTTCCGAACAAGCCCCATTCCCATCCCACTATTACCGCCGGTTACAATTGCTACACGAGGTGAAGAAGGCATCTTGGCGATTATGTGAATAGCTTACCGAAGTAGCTTTCTCCATAGCTATATACAGACATCAAAATCACTTTACCATGATGTCACAGTTCACGGGTAGCCTTTACCGTACACCTATCAAGCTACAAGATATACAACCAACCATAGTAGTACCTCTAGTTGACCCCGCGTTGAGGGGTGGGTCGTCAGCAATATCTGGGTGTGGCTTCGGGCCAACGCCTCTTCTCTTCACCTAAGAACACATTCTGAATGCGTTGTCTACTTGCATTAAAGCTGCTTATTCGCGGATTTAGACTCGTTCAATTGCTATCAAAGTCTTGGTCGAGAATACCGTAATCTCTTTTTTCTGGATAACGTTTCCCGATAGTCAGAAAGTTAGAAAGTCACAAACAAATTCCATATCTTGGCGACCAGACAGCTCTCTCATTGGTATCTCGATGATCCCCTAGTTTAAACCTTCGCTTCACCTTTGTTATTGGCTACTTACTTGATAATCACCAGCCAGTCACTCCTCGCTCAATCCCTCTTGTACAAGCTCACACCTTCCTTAACAGGTATCGGAAAAGCTTTCCCGTCGTTGAACCACCATTCCAATCGAAACCAGTGTCGATTGGCCTTGAAACTCAGCCATATCTGGGCACTGTTGGTGTATTGACCCTACTGCGGAGCGCAATCTGAGGTGTAGTGACCACTTCCTTTCATACCAAGCGGGAGCTAACGACCGCGGGGGCGCGGATCTGCACGCTTATGCAAGCCCTACCTGCTGAATTGAGAATAGCGGCTACTATTCTCGAGGGTTTCTGGTGGGGTAAGATAACTAGTTGTAGATTCGTCGATGCTGTCAGATGACAGGTGAGGCAACAAGAGGAGAAGCTTTCAGTGTGTATATAAGGAGGCAGACATGTCGAGTCAAGCGAAAAGTTGGTATCGTTCTTTAAGTAACTTATAATTCATCAAGATGAACGACTTCTACCTCTTCGCAAACTGCAATTTCGTACCAGATAAATACAACGATGTACGCCTACTCCCTACAATCAACCAACACCACTCAAAATCCTGCCAACATGACAATGATGATATAGTAACGAGAAAGTGTAGTGGCAAACCGCATACGACTCCCTCGCAACCTACGTCTTCTCCTCCGAACCCACAACAAAATCCTACTACTTCGGCATCCCCATCGATTACGCGCACGACATGTCCAAAACAACCAGCATGTTTGCTTTCGAAGTATACGGATCACGAGAGGTAACTCCACTTCAGCATCTATCTTTTTTACTAGGAAAAGTCATGCGGCGATGTGATTAATTAATTGACTAATTGACGGACTGACTGATGAATACTGAGCAGGATCTATACACAACCCACCTCACCTCCCCAGCCATGCAAACCTTCCTACAAAACATCCAGCCAGCAAGCACTACCGGCCTAGACCTGGCTCACTACCGCCTAATCGCCGGCTTCCTCGACGCATCGAATACGCGCGCCCCTGCACAGATCATGCAGGATATACGCATAACATGCAATTCTCCTGCTGCTCGTGCAGCTATCATCGACTCCCTAAGCAAGCTCGTCAATACTGTCGACGGATCCGAAGAAGGAACATTGACTTATATGGGCTTTTCTAGTCTTGATGATGATGTTGGGGTGAGGATGTATGGGCGTTGGAGGAGTAGAGAGGACTTTGAATGCTTCATTCGGAGAGATGAGGTGAATAATTTCTGGGCGGGTAACAAAAGCAGTGTACGGGCGATGGAGCAGAGGCTGTATGTACCGAATGGAAAGGGCTGGTTGCATAGGGGGACTGGGTATGCTGGGGAGGACAAGGGAAGAAACGTGAAACTCTAAGGCCTGGTGTGGGAATGACTCAGAGGACTATGTTGAATTTTCCAGAAAACGAACCTTCTGAAACATACAACATCCTGTGTTGATGATTGGGATTGAAAATTATCTTGTTGCATTCTAGCTAGAAACTGAGCTAGTGCTATGGGGGGTTATCTCGAAAACATGCCAAATGCTACCATCCTTTTGGCGCCCGCTACGATGCATATGATGCCGGCCTCCCATGCAGAAAACATTTCGCCATACCATTAGCAAACCCTAAGATCAGTTCTCCTCGCCGAACCTGAGCTAGTCTTAAGGCCTCCTATGCCCTGCTGGACAGCATGCGCTCGACAAATTGAGTAAAGAAGTTTCTCCACTCCTTCTCTTTCTTTGGTCCTTCAAACGCGCCGGCTAGCGTGCGAAGGTATTGGTCTACACCATCGTCACCAACTCCCACACCATTGAGATCACTCTTTAGGCGCTCGACGTACGGCTCGCCAACCTTTTTGATAATCTCGGTCTGGAGATTGGCGGCTTCGAATAGGACCTGCTTGGCCTGCGCGTCTTTGGAGTTAAACCCTGGCGAAGCGGGGATTGACCAGGCGAGAGGCGAGAATCGCTCCACTACGTAATTGTCGAAGCCCGGCAGCGGTGCCTGTGTGGTGATCGGCGAAGTGGGTGTGGTGTTTGCGTTTGGCCCCACTTTGTCGGGGCCACTCCAGACAGAGATCATGCGAATGAGCACAAAGATGGCGAGACGCGCGGTCGGATAATCGTGAGTGTCGCGAGCAAAGGTCTCGATAGACGAGATGACGGGTTCAAAGGTTGCTTGGTTTGCTATATCACGTTAGTGTTGTCACATGAAGCTTCTCGCGGTATTCTTACTATTACTAACGAGCACAGATCCGAGACCATGGTTGAGAACAACAACAATGAAGTTCAAATACTCTCGCCGGAGTTCAGCCAGTTGAATCTCGTCATCTGTGCCTGAGGGAGTCACCGCCAGTGCGGTGAAGATTCTCTGCAGAACCGGAGTCATGACCGTGTCCAAGATGCCAGCGATCTCTGCCTTGAAGGTGAAAATGATCTGACCAAGGACTTTTAGGAAAGTGCTGATTTCGTCCATCGATGAGCTCAACGAGAGAAGTCCTTCGATCCAAGAAGGCAGCTGCTGAAGTAACCGTGAGCCTAGGACAGCGACCATGCGCGAAAAGGCGAAGCGCGCCGCGTGACGGATTGAACCAGAAGTGTTCAGCGACTCGAGGGCGACGAGAATGGCTTCGGATGCTTTGATGAACTCATCTGCCACCTCGCTTTGGGGAACAGCGCTGTTGTTGTTGGTAGGGACCCAGTCGGAATAACCGCGAGCCAACGTTCCGAGTGCCATAATGATGTGGTGGATTTGAAGAATTGCTCGCTCATCACCATTTCTCGCCTGAGGCAGCGTCTGCTGCAAATCAGTGAACAAAGGACTCATAATCGTTTGTGCGTAGAGTTTCTTATTCTCCACCGAGACCGTGTTAGACGAAGCAATGCAGCCAACAGCTTCAAAAAGGTAAAGCTGAGAGTTGAAGAGTGCATCGGCAGACTGATCTTCTTCGTCTGAGGACATCTCATCTTCGGAAGTATCTGGCAGCTCAGCCTTGATTGTAAGCAAGTCACCAACCGCCTGGATAATATTGTACGAGACATTTCCAAGCTGAGCTCGCAGGTGCTTTACTAGGCGCTGGAAGAGGTACCATGATCGCGAGCGGACTTTGATGTGGTTGTTGTGGGTAAGCTGGACAAAGTTCTCCAAAACCTTGGGAATCAGATGAGGATTTTGTTCAAAGAACTGATAGTAGCGGACGCAGATCTCCATGTACTGGAGCTGAACAGCAGGGTGTGGGTAATTTGCAAGACCTAGGTTTTGTTAAAATTGTAATTCATAATCGCGATCTGCAGTGACATACCAGACTCGATCATGCTGTTCATCATACCCACAAGGTGCTGAGCAGCGACAGAAGAAGGCTCACGCTTCGCGAAAAGTCCCTGGTTACGAATCGCCAGCTCTCCAAACAAATACATCTCGTGTAGAGCTAGTTCGAGATCGCGCCAGTTCAACGTTTGATCGCCTTGTGACAAGCGGCCGAACGTGCCATTGACCAGGCGGCTAAGGGTTTCGATATAGTATGGTTCATCGATCGTGGTCACTGTTTGTTGCAGTACATGGAGCCTTCGTCGAAGATCTTGAAATTCTGCTTCATCCGTCTGATCGCCCTCCTCACCCCAGGATGCCGTCTCATCGTACTTCATCTTTGCGATTATAGCGTCCAAAACTGGTGGCAGTACGGCGGCGTATTGAGGTGGTACCGTCCCTGATTTCTTTTGCAGCTTGCGAAGGAATGTGAGGAGGTCGGTAAGGGACGGGATCACGGTGGAACAGACTTCGTCGTATTGGTCGGCGAAGAAACGTAACAGATACGGAGTGAAGATGCGGATGAGGTCATCAGCACGCTGGCGGGTTTGCTCGTCAACTGAGTCATTCTCTAAGATCTTGACGATATCAAAGACAATGTTGTTGACGAGTTTTGCTACTGTCTCCGCGAGATCGTTATCGTAATTTGGACTGTTGAACTCTGCCAATGCCGGGCTGTTGATGAGCTGGCCAACAACTTCCGAAAGGTTCAGGAACAGAATTAGCTCGACCTTGTCTGCGGGAGTCATCTTTTTGCCCACAATCTCAGAGAAAGTGTCAATTGCTGCATCCCGAACTCTTCCCGCCGGACTCTCAGGGTCAGCTATACCTTGTTGGCCGGCCATTTCAAGGAAGGTTTGGATCATGGCTTGGTTCACAATCAAATTGATGTCGGTCCAGCTAACCCAACGTCCGATAGTTTTCAGACACATCTCCACGAGGCCCAGATCTGACTCCCTCCACTTGCCTAGAATCTCTTGCCATGATATTGAGATCTTCTGGGCATCTCGTTGTCGAATAAGGTCTTTCAGCTCGGTATTGCGCTTCTTTTCATCCTCTGGCCTAGCAACCAACTGATCGGCGATCTCGTCGTGTACTTGACCGAGCATACGCAGGTATAGAATTGTGGTAGCGGTGTTGACGCTGCCGATGGTTGCCTGGTCGCCGGCCAAGGCGCGGAAATCGTCGAAGAAGGATTGCCACGAAGAGGGGTATAATGCTACAAAGATGTATGTGATGGTCTGCATCAGCTTATTCTGTATGTGGTTCGTGTCTGCAGCGCTACTGCCTGGCGCATACGACTGCCGTATGTGACCCATGAGTGTCTCCTTGATGTAGGCGAGGCTCTGTTCGTCCAGCCGGTGCTCTTGGACGGCATTGTTTACGAGGTCGAGGGATGTATGGCGAACGAAGTCGGAGGGTCGAGGGTCACGCGTGAAGAGGCTGAGGGCTGCTTGCCATGCCGAGCCTTCGGTCCGCAGCTGGTTCAGGTATTCTATGGCCTGGCCGCGCAGCTGCTGGCTCGACGTGGGGTTCGAGGCGATTTGGATAGCATTTTCAACCTAAATGGGCAACATTAGGAGCAAGTCCAAGGAAATTTGAAAGATCATGTATAGGATGTGCACGTACCTGGGCCTCCATTTCCTCCACCGTCTGGGTGCGGGACAAGTTTGGTTGAGTCACGAACAGTACTGAGGGTGTTCAACTATAGGAATGGGCATCGGAGGTAGTGGCGGAGGTAGTGACAAGGAGGAGAGAAGTCGAGTGATGCTACCGGGTCATTGGACAGGGCGAGAGCTGCATGCTGAAAGCGTTACGGAGGTGAAGGTAGAGGCTGCGGGGCACAAGGGTCTGACGTACGGACTGTGCAAGGGATATCGGTGGGGAGAGAAGGTGAAACTATGGTCGAGTAGACTAAGCAAAGAATCCAACCACTTGATATGTGCCAGCTGTTTAGTTCTTTGTCACCGTGTGTGGAGCGAAAACATTACATGCGCGGTGGAAAGTGGCAGCGCCAAGGCCGGTGGGCTGCTCTGGTGCCCAATTTCAGCGTGTGACACGTGCGTTCAAATTCACCCCACCAACTTCTTTCGACGGCCAGAGCTCCGGTAATGAGATGCTACACGTCTTCAGTATATTGCCCAGTTTGCAACAAAACCTGAAAAGTCTCCGTAAACTAACGCAGGCGACTTCCGAAGACATATTACCCACAAGTACTACTTCAAAGCATGTTCAAGATTAAGATTTTTAGAGGCTGCTGATATTCCTTGCCCTATGCTGTAACTTGATATATTACAAGATGAATTTGTACGCTTGAAACAATCGGATCAAGATTCACACTGCACGAAAAAGTCTATTTCGAGCAATCGAATAGTTATTAGCGATACGCTATTTGTGAAGGTGAATTTAATTTCTACAGCATTTGTTTGATACCCGAACTGCTTCTGTAGTAGTGAGTAGGTGAGCCACTGATCGAGTGGGCGTGTGCACTTACTATGCACCCAAGTGCTTCGCCGCCCACGCAACGTGATCGTCGGCAAATGTAGCCATAAAGTAGTAGCTGTGGTCATAGTCGGGTTGCATGCGTAGGTTGATGCCCTTCTCGTTGCCAGCGCCTTTGGCTGCCTCGATGAAGTTTTCCGGAAGAAGTTGCTTCTGCTTGTAGAAGTTGTCTCCAGTGCCCTGTACATAGTTAGCGAGACTTGACCCAAGATACTGCGGCCTGCGACACGCACCACGTCGATGAGAATCTCCAATGGTCCCTTCCATTGCTTCACGAGTTCTGTTGCGTCATGCTCCTTCCACTTTTGCTGCTGGTCGTCGCCAAAGTATCCCTTAAACGCTTTCTGCCCCCATGGGCAGTTGATGGGGTTGGCAATGGGCGCGAAGGCGGAGACGGACTTGTACTTTCCAGGGTTCTTCAGGAACTAGTAGCGTGGTCAGTAGTGCTGTTCGTCTTTGGTCTGGGCAGACAAACCAGTGTTAACGCGCCATGACCACCCATGCTGTGGCCTGTGATGCTGACTCTGCTCGAGTCTAGCTCTTTGAACGACGAGAAGAGTGCCTCGGGAAGCTCCTTGGTGATGTAGGAGTACATGTTGTAGCCCTTTGTCCATGGCTCCTTGGTTGCATCAACGTAGAAGCCTGCGCCTGAGCCGAAATCGTAGGCCTCGTCCTCGCCCTCGATCTGAAGCCCCCCTGTGCCGTGGGTTAGTTGGGTGCTCACAAGTCAATGGTGCGGTTTACACGCACTTGGTGATGTGTCGGGATACACAATAGCAATGCCGTGTTGAGCTGCGCCGTGCTGGAAGAAACCCTTTTCGGAGCAGTTGTTGCCGGTGCAAGTCAACCCAGAGAGGTAGAAGAGTACGGGGACCTTCGCTCCAGACTTCAATGCCTGGGGAGGTAGAAACACATTGAGCTCCATGTCTGTGTTGGTGCTTGAGGACTTGTGCTTCAGCTTGAGAAGCTTGCCTCCAAAGGAGGCGATGGTGCCAGTGGTTTCGAAAGACATGATGGATGCAGTACTATGGTGGATGAAGCGCGTAGTAGGAGAAGACAGAGAGAAACAAAGTCGTGGGCGTCTGAGAAGTTTTACTAGCTGTCGCATTGGGTGACGTTGTTCCTGTGGTTAGTGCGGGGAGATGGTGGATAGCTCCCTGCCACAGGCTACCAGTACCCCACCTTCACTAAACTTTGGCTGGTTTGAGGAATCGGGTCCGCAATCACACCTGGGCACACGGAGAAGGCTTGGAGAAAAGCGGAATTTCGGCTGTGATTCGGGATTCAAAGATACGCAACCACCTTGCAGACGCCTTTCGCCGAACAAGGCCCGTTTTCCACCCATAAACATAAACTCCAGCCCAATGCAGCCAATCAAACTCGTTCATGTCAAAAGCTCTTCGCACGTCCAATCCTCGTAGTATCCGTCAGGCAGATACCGCCGCACCACAAGCGGGATCTTCTTCTCTTGCAGTTCCTTGGCAGCGATCTGGAGAGGATCTGTCATGCCTTCGACGTCTATCAGCACCGGAGCGTTACCACTAGAAGTACTATCAGCTTAAGTCTGCGTGGTCTCGCGTTGTCCTATTCACCTTATCTGCAGCGCTCTTGTACCCAGTACACGCGCTCGCTCGTATTTGGTCATGTATGGCGTTGTTGTGCGCTTGTCGTTGTCGACTCTCTTGGACTTTTCGCTCTCGACTGTGTTGTTCGCTTTTTCTTTTGCGGAGGCCGCTGCACTAGCATCGCCTGCCACGACGACTACATCGTCGTTTGGATCCACTGCGTCTGGGTCTTCGCCCCCGCCAGCTTCGTCCGCGTCGTCGTCGAGGATATCGGGCTCAGCCTCTTCGTCGAATTCGATGGCAGGCTCACTGTTCAAGTCAGTTGCTGCTGCAGGACCTTGTGCTAATACCCAAACGATGCGCATGCGCTGTGCTAGAAGAACAAGGTAGACTATATACATATACGTACTCGTAGCCACCATCCCCGTAACCGTCGTCTCCACCGTAGTCAGACATGATGGCGGTCGGTAAACGTGCGTGTGTGTGTGTGTGTCTGGGATGTAGATCAGGCCGCAGAGTCGGTATGGGAGGTTCGACTGTTAACTGGGGACAGGCGTTCTGGTTTGCAGCGCGAAGTCAAAGAAGAATCGCGAACAAAAAAGCCAAAGCTTCAACAGGGATCCGGCCGCCCCAGGGCTTGGCAGGCGGAATCTTGGCGCAAAAATTAAAGTGGGTGTCAAGTTGCGACCCGCTACCCTTGGACATGCGCCTCTTGTCAACCCAGAGCTTGATGTACCGCGATGGCTTTGAAACGCAAGTCGTTGGGCGATGGCGGCGCTGTGCCGCAGAAGAAGTCTCGAATAGGTATGCTGTTCTCACCGCCATGACGTTTTCAATCAATCTGACCTCCACCCTCAGATGCTGCCGATGAGACTCCCGACGTGGACTGCGTGTCGGATGGTTCGGGTGACTACAAGGTCAACTATACCGACACGGGTGAACGAAGAGCAGAGAGCGAGGCCCGCCGACAGTGGAACTATGTCTGCCCAGTCCAAGGCTGCGCACAGCGCTTCAACCGCCCATGTCGTCTCGAGTCTCACATGCGAAGCCATAACAAGGAACGACCATTTGCTTGCACCGAACCAGGCTGTGACAAGACATTCCCTCGCAAAGATCACCTCCAGCGACATCTAAAGAATGCCCATAGCGACCCGGTCGCCGAACGAACTTACATCTGCGACTGGAGTGGATGCGGGAAGAGCTTCACTTCGAACGGCCGGCTCCAGCGACACAAGGACGTCCACGAGTCCAAGTTCTACTGCACCGACTATCCTCCCTGTAACGAGGCGTTCAGAAAACAGAAGGCTTTGGACGCACATATCAAGAGTCAGCACCAGGAAGTAAAGCCGTATTCGTGTACCTCTGTCGACGTAGAGACGGGAGAGAGATGCACAAGTGGTTTCCAGACTGAGGGCGCGTTGCAGCGGCACATGGACAAGGTGCATTCCGACGGACAAGAGGAGGGCCATTTCTGCATGCTTTGCATCCCACCAGGTGCTGAGACGGAAATTATGCAGACTGAGTCTGGCCACACGATCACGATACCAACACAGCCGCTGTCTTTTGCAACCAACGAGGAGCTCGTGGCACATACCGAGGAACATCACCCACCCATTTGCTCTGAGTGTGGCCTGAATTTCAAGAATACATCCGCGCTTAGGGCCCATTTCGACACCGTTCACGCCGATCCAGCAGAACAACCGCGATTCCCGTGCCCGAAGCCAGATTGCGATAGCGTTTTTAATCGCAAACACAACCTTAGTGTCCACATACAGACCGTTCATGACAAGCAGTCTAAATTCTTCTGTGCCGCGGACGCTCTTCAGGAGTCCAAGCATGAAGACCTCAAGGCCTGGAATGGCGAAAATGCTTGCGGGGCAGCTTTCAAGGCCAAGTCGTCTCTCGATCAGCACGTCCGAACACACCACCTGGGGCTGGGCAACCGCAAGCAGCTCCGAAAAGCAGCAAAGTCAAAAAAGAAGCCGGATCCTTCGATGCTTACTCTACTCACTGGCGTGGGATACGACAGAGGCAGAGAGGTTCCCTGTTTGGTCAAGGCCTGCGAGTACCGCTTCTACCTAGACCGCGATCTGCGCCGCCATCTCCGCGCTGCGCACTACATCCCAGAGGAGTATGTAGAGGAAATGATTCAAGAGCGCGACGCGATGACTGGTGGCCAATTCTGGATTGGTGGCCTCGACGAGTCGATGAACATGTTTGAGTCGACGGAGCCAAGTATGCCGCAGACTCCGGCCCCTTACTTCACTGACGGTGGTATTCCGACAATGTCCCATCTCGATGGGCAACCAAAGTCCATCGACCCCCATTTTGGCTACTTTGACCAGCAATTCGATCACCTCCAAGTTGCCTTGCTCGACGAAGACGCTGAGATGGATATGGCTATGGGCTTGGGCGATCTGGCGCCTGCGACGGATGCGCAGGAGGGTCTGCAGTGGGATATGCTTGCCCCGGTGGAGCAGTACAATATCGATCAAGCTGGGCATTGAGTGTGGATTTTGTTCTCAGCCAAGGCCGTCTTGTAATGACGAGGGAACAAAACATGGATGAGCATGTTAGGGATGAGTAATGATGTACACGAATATGCTAGAATAGCGATATACCCAGATGATATTACAAGCTCAATTTTATACTCTTTGTCCATCCTCGTTAAATGTAAAGTGCCCGTCCTTTCCCAGGGTGCTATTGATATTGCGATGTGGAAAATATATAGATGTTTCATTCGGTAGATACAGTACAACTCTACTATAGCCTCGTTACCCTTCATATGCTCATCATGCGTGTAATATACCCCCACCCCCTCTATCCAACCAACATCTGCTGCAATTACCCCCTACCTGCCTGCCGCTTTATATCTAGTCAAGTGATGAACCATGTATGCTCCTCGCGACCGCCGTAGAAAGGGAAACGCGCGTACATGCGTGGTGGGTATATAAGACGATGTAAAGCCTCCGGTAAGTGAAAAAAAGGAGATAGAAAAAGAACAAAGGGTTGTCTTTATAGAGAATGCGCCGCGCTGATAGGTATGCTGGAAAGCCAAGGAGAAAGAAGAAAGTAGGAATGCCAGATGGCGTGGTGGCGGAAACTCCATGTACGCCATGCTATGCGCCAGGAAATAAGACGCCGATGTTATACGCTTATGCATCTATGGTGCCTGCCGATTGAGAAATGCGTTTCGTCCGTAAAGGCTTGATGATGCGAGGCGAAGGAATAAAGATGGCCCGCTTATGCTGCGGCCTTGACGTACTGAGCTAGCGAGCTCGACTCGGAGATGGGGGTAACTGTCTCCGTCTTCTGGAGTGGCCAACTCTCATGCTCGAGTTTCGTTTGCAGAGTGGTGCTGTGCTGTTCTTCCCAGTCTCGCCGCCACATTTCGAATCGGAGATCCCATCTCTGCAACAACCTCCGTCTCCGAACTTCAATGATGCCCTCCAGTTTTCCAGCTTCTTTGGTGTACTCGGCTTCGCATTTAGCCTTTTCTTTCTCATGGGTTTCGTCCATTTGGTCGAACTCTTCCTCCTGTTTCCGTAATCTGCGTTTCGTTTCCCTTTCTTGCCTGGCCCTCAACACATTAATCGCATTCTCATGTTTCCTCGGTAGATTTTGCTGTATCGTTCTTTGCCGGTCAAGTTTTCTGAAGTCTTCCTCACTTACGGCGTGCGCATGCTCTGGGTGATTTGCATTTGTACCTAGGCAATAAGCTTCCATGTGCTTCAACGCCGTAGCTACATTCTGCGTCTCCTGGCTCTGTGCCTTGCGGAGGTCGTGTTCGGCAATGATCTGCAGTTCCTCCAGGTGTTCGAGGTCTGTAGCATGCTGCAGGATATGAGTAAGCTGACAATAAGCGCCATATAGCAACCGGGACCTACCTGTTCCATTCTGTCACCCTTGCTAGTTTCGTGTTGGAGTGTGAGCCATTTAAGCGAGCATTGATAGTGTGCTGAGAGCGCTTTTCGCTGATTACACTCGAAGGCTGCCACCCGGTCGAACTGCTCCTTCTGTTGGACTTTGAAGCTCTTGAACGCCTCATTCGCCAGCGCGGAATCGATGTTGATTGCTTCGTGCCTGCTACGCTGGACAGGTGTGTTTGGTGTCACCGGGGTGGTTGAGGTGTCTCCCAACGGGCGGGGGAGATCGACCGACGACATGCCATCTTCGCAATAGCCAGAGTCGCGCGGAGAGCCAACATCAGGCGACTGCATTTCGCCAGTCAAAACGAGATCCGTTTCTGCCTTTGTCAAGACTTCCTCCAGTACTGTGCGTGGTAGTGCCTTCCCACAGCAATTCGGTACTGTGCGTGCCGCACTCTGCAGCGCTTCCTGAACATGTATGCGAATAGCAAGCGCAGAAAGCGAGTGGCCGCATTCAAGCTTGTCGCCTCGAGACTTGCTGTGGTGTCCATGGTGGGACCGTGAAGTGCAGGAGCTATAGAGCGTCAGTGTGATGTGACGTAGGACGAGTGTGTGTCATGGTACCTGGAATCTTTTCTAAACATGGCAAATAGACCTGAGCCGCGCTTCCTCCGTGGCGCGCGACTCTGTAGTGAAGAAGCACTGGAGAGGGTGGACGGTGCAACAGACAGGGTCGAAGTGGAATGCCTCTGCTGGCTGCCTGGCACCTGCCCTTCCATGGCCTGATCATACTTGTCAACAGACAGAGAAGTGCGCGCGAGCTTTGGAGGCACCCTCTGTGCTGGTGAACGGTCAGGCGAGTAAATTTGGTCTCTGGACGTTCGTGAGGGTGCAGATGTGAAGCTTGTCGACTGGGTTTCCTGGGAATGGATCGACATGGAGCTTCGATGATCGCTGTCCACAGTCAGGGTAGACAGCGCTCTAGAGATGTCTTGCACTGGGCATAGAAATCGATAAGGGTCCTGGATGCCCGATTCGCGAGCAAGCAAGGCCAGCTCGGCGTCCACGTCGTCTTCATTTTGGTTCACGGGGAGATTGAGCGCTTCCGAGAGATAGACGGCATCGGCGAAGATGAGCGCTGTGCCAAGAGCGACAGGGTCGTCTCCTGTGTGTTCACGCATTGCGCCGGAGCGCGCATCAAGTTGATGTGTGTAGTGGCGACTCTAGGAGGAGTCCGACCTGGACATGCGGGCGGGAGCGTCGTCTCTTGTCAATGCCAGAAGTCGCGTTGGAACTGGGCAGCCAGCGCACAGTCTTGCTTGGACGGGCGTAGAGGAGCAGCAGGAGCAGGAGCAATTGCGGAACAGGTGTCAATCTGTCAAGTCAAGTCAAGTCAAGTCCAAGTGCGTGTCGGTGAGGGTTGGGTTGGGTTGACGTCTGAAGGGCGCTAACAAATGGAAGACGCCCACTCTAATCATCTGCTGCTGGCTGATGAGAGTGCCGCACATCCCATCTTGCCTGCCGGCGCCTGGTCTGGCTCGCTAATGAAATAGGACATTCTTACCCGCCATTTGCGCATATCTCGCTGGCCCGGATCGAAACAACGCGCGCTGCCTTCGAAACATGTCATTGCGTTTTCCCCACCCTTGCAGTCCCGCGGCTGGCTGCAGTGGCACCCTCTCTGCAGCCTCCCGACCGAGGTTAAGCCGTGCTTGTTCAAAGGGTCGCACGCCCACGGTTCCTCAATCTCGATACGGATTTATTGTGGGCATCTAGACTGGCCGTCATACTGGCGCTGCAGTCGACCATGGTACCACCATAGCTATACCCGCGCTGATGACTCGAGGGTGGCCGAAGTTCCGTTCCACTCCGTAACCTCACCGCTCTCCTAGTCAATCTCGACATGCGACGAAACCGACAGGGGTCATAGAAATGACCGGAACGCAGCTTCATTTCTTCTACAAGAATTCCTGGAAAGTGGCGGACTCATTGGCAGGCGTTGGGTCGACCTGAGGCAACACACAAAAACGGGCAGTCTTCACCTTCCTCCAGGCCCAAGAGCCGCCCTGTACGAGGCGGAAACCTGCTGCAATCGACTCTGATATCTTTCCAACCTTCCTTCCGCCTTGCCCTGCGGGTAACCGTACAGCTTCCGGTATTCGGCATGACGATCGATCGAGGGACCGGTCACAGACGGCATCTGGAGGACAGACTCGCCGTTTATCACTTGCCCTGACCCAGGATTCAGGCAGAAACCCCCCTTAATTATTCATCACATTTCGTGGCCACTTGCCACACCGTGTGAATGGCACACTAATCTAGGGGTTTGATATGAGAAGGAATCAAGTGACTTGATTAGCTGGCCCTTTCATCTCGACACGTTGGCACTTTTGGAGCCGCGCGCTCGCATTCGCATCTGATATCCGTGCAAGGGATAGTGCAAAGTCTCTACAGGAACCGCAACAGTGCGACGTGTACATGAACACATAGAGTCTATTTCAAGCCTTGTGTCATCAAAGTACTACCGACCTAAGCGACGAACGAGTGCCGGATGTGCTCCGCATATGCAGCCAAGATTCAGTGTATGCAACTAACGGTTTGTGTGCACAGATGCAGATCGATCTACGTATCAGATGGACCTAGTTGGTGGCGGGGTGCTACTCGAGGGATCCATCTCTGCAAGGAGAGAATATCTATTAAAGGGACTAGACGGAAGGTTCGTACGATATCCGTAGTGACGATATAGATGCGAAGCGAAGGCAGAGACGTATGTATACATAAAAAGAGATATAGTGCCATGTGCAACAATTGCACGTTCCATGAATCGCCAGGCCGACTGCTGCTGCTGATGCGTCGCCCGTTTCTCCCTAAACGCCGAGTAATATGCGAATGGTCTTGAAGAAGCTAAAAACGAACATCTACCCAGAAATAAGGACCCATAGTAGAAAGACTGTATCATGTTAGCAAGATATCCAATGTTGCGGGTTTGCGGCACACATACATATCATCAACACGCCAAACATCTTCGCAACAAGCCACCTGTTGCCTTGGACCCGACTCCAGTACTTCATCAGCTCTCGCTGAGCACCCTCAACATTATCTACGACATCCTCGGTATTTGCGTCTATCCGCTGAATTTGCTCGCCCTGTTCCGACACCATTTGAGCCAGTTGGCTGAAGATGCCTCCTAGCTCTTGGATGGTAGACTCTATCGACTCTATCGCTCGCCCTCGCTCTTGGATATAAGCGTTCTGCGGTTGCGCCTCCTCCATTAACAGTAACTGTGTGTCTGATTGCGGGCCACCTCGAGTGAGCGCTGACGATCCTGATGGTTCAAGGGAGAGCAGGTCTTGCTGGGCAGCGTTCGTGTTCCTGCCAAACCCTCCAGGCGAGCGTCCTCGCTGGGGTGTCTGGTACAGAGGAGAATCGGTTCTGCCGGGGTCGTGGCTGCTATGTGATTGCGCCGCAGCAGATGACAGAAACTGTTCTGTCCGTGACCTCGAGGCCTGCATGTTCTTGGTCCTGACCTCCAATACGTCCTTGAAGTTGGTTCCCACATTCTGCAGCTTGTCCTTCAACAGCAAAACCACGTTGCTGTTGTGCTCTCCTTCCTGATCAACCCCGGGTTTCACTTTCGGGTGTTGCTTGATGTTCATTTGCTGCAGAGTCTGCACCTGGCTAGACAAAGCAGTCATGTCCTGCTTGATGACGAAGGTGAGCTCGTCAAACTCGACGGGCCGGTCATCGAACAACGTTTTGCGCTTGGCGAGTTGTGAGAGGCGCTCCAATTTCTGCATGGTGCTCGCAACCCCTCGCGCCACCTCGGCGGCATTGCGCGCAAACTCTGAGCGTTGGCGCTGAGGATTGCCATTTGCTTGCGTCTTTTCTTGTGCTGTGAGGAGTGACTGCCGCTGCGCACCCGTCTTGGATTGCGCCTGCCGTCGCTGCGCCTGGGCAAGAATGGACCGAAACTCCTCTGTGCGGTCCTGTATCGAGACGGCCATCGTGGATGTATGTTTTGGGGGTGGTGAGGGCAGAGCCGGGTGGTGGGTGGAATTAGGGGAAGACGGCGGTGCCTTCGGGAAGGGTGACCAAGCGCTGCGGATGCGCTGGAGTGGCCAAACTTGTAATCGCTCGAGGGTCAACTGCGTCTACTCGTTGTTGCACTCTGTGTCGATCTGGTGGGAGAAGTGGAAGGGGACCGCGACCGGGACTTGGTCGTGCTACAAGAATCTGGCCGCTTTCAGGGTGCGCAAGGGACGGGGGGCAGCCTGTGTCTTTCCCTCGGGGCCTTGTGGGGGTACGGCGGGGGCCCAGTGTGAGTATGGGTTATGAAGGTTGTTGAGAGGGCTGGGTGGTATAAAGTAGAATAAGCGTTGGGGCTCTTCGAGACCTGGATGGGGGAACGTGGTTAGTTCTTAGAGCGGTCCATGTCCGAACTTGGAGACGCCACGGCTGACCATGTGTGGCTGTACAAGGAGGCATGCGTAGAGTTGGCGTCAGTCGAGCAAATTAGAGACATGTTTGTCATTACATCCACGCTCTCTACCCTTCTTTAATCCCGAGTTTGCATTGTAGGCATTATTACTTTACTCTGGCTGCTAAGGTTGCGCTCAACTGCTGACGTACCTTGCCGGAAGCTTGGTTTGGTCCTCTCCCGAGCCGTGACAACCTGAGCTCCACCCTCCGCCATCACTCCTTGTATTGCATCTCCTTCGACACGGCCACAGCGCGAGACACTGGCGATACGCACATCCCGTTCCTGCGAGCGGCATTTCACTCCTTGCATGCGCTGTAGAATATAGCAGCATCAGGGCGTAGCCCTGGAGACGCCGCTCTCGACGAGTGGTGGACACGACCTGTACAGGGACCATCATACCATCTTTGGCAATGTCTGGCCCGTTTCGCTTTAATCAGGAGGCGGCCAAGTCCCCGCTGTATGTTGCTATTCTCCACATGAACATCGCTGTTCATAGACTGACGCTGGCAGTGACCGCTCCGCATCCCCCTTCTCTGCTGGCCAGCCCGTGTCCTTCAAGACCAATGTTAATCGCGCGAAGACAAAGAAGTGGGTGCAGGCCAAAAAGAATGCCTACGATGGCGACGATTGGGGCGACTATGACGAGTACGATGAATACGGCGTAAACGATGAAACCCCGCCGCATGCTGAACCGCAATCTGCGCAGCGCTACTATGCTCAACGTACGGAGCAGCCGACACGCAGCTTCACAGATCCCTCGCAACAGGCTCCTCTGCCGAAGGCGCGCAGGAACTCCTTTGAGCACGGGGAAGAGCAGCGCGCTTTCTCATCCACCATACCGCAACCGCAACAGGGCTATGGACAGCATTACGGAGAGCCACAACGACAGACAAGTGGCGCTGAGTCTGACATGGGGCACGATCCCTATCAGCGACGTGATTTTAGCCCGTCTGCAATGCCTACGCCCCTCCAGACGCGCATATCCGCCGTTCCCACTGATATGACTGCCTCCCCCTCCAACACTCAGTTCCCCCCGCGCAAGAGCAGCATAGGCCAGGCCGAATCGCCAATGGCCACATCTCCACGATCACGCGCGGGAAGCCACTCCGACAAGCCGTTACCTTTTATTAGGCCAGCCGACATCTACAAGCGCGTCGGAGAGGAACGCGAGAGGGAACGTGCATCGTTAGATTCATCGCGACCAAGCCTCGACTCCTTATCATCCCGTCCAAAGGATGAGGTTGCCTCTCCTCAAATAGAGACTGGTAGATCACTGTACCCATTAGAGTCGGTCGCAGAGCGAAAGAGCGAGTACTTGCCGGACTTTAATGTAGCATCCCACCAGAATGACAAGCAGCCAGCTCAAACTGCCTCTTCTCAGCCCGAAGCGTTCAACAGTAATTTCTCGTCTAGAGGCCCGCAGTTGCAGACTCCTGCCAGCCATGCGCCTGTTGTGTCACCCCCAGATGACCAGGGCTTCCGCTCAGTTGTCGATCAGGCTTTCACTCGCAACGATGACCAACGTTCGGTTCCCCCCACCCCAATATCCAAGGATTCCAGTTCCGAAATGTCGAGAACGAACACTAGTAGCACCACTGGCATTAGCCCAATTATGAGTCACGTGCCCAGCTCTGCGACGTCAGCCTTGAAGAACCGCAATCAAGCAGGGGGTGATGGTAGTACTCCCGCAATCGCAGAGGAGCCTAATGAAACTGCTACACCAGTTTCCCGGTCAACGCCCGCGTTTGTACCCGAGCCTGTTCATCACATTCAGCGTAAACCATCGCCAGGCCATTCTCGCAACATCTCGAGCTCATCGCTACCCCGCAGTGGTTTGGCTACTCCAACTCGTGGCGATAGCCCCGCGCGTTCGCCTGTAATAGCCCCGCAAAAGGACTTTTCGGAACCAAAAGCAGCCCAACTTGCAATAGACACCACCGACGGAATGAAAGGCGGGCTCAATGGCCCATCGATCGCATACGCTACCCGTGAATCCGATATCGCAAATGCCATGAAGGGCAGCCCAACTAATGCAGCTCCCGAGCTAAGAGCAGCAGAAAGGCAGTCGCAGAACACGTTCTTAGAGTCACACAATGCGCAGTCCCCTATTCAAGACGTCGTCCCCCGCGATCGCTCGGAATCACCAAGCAAAGGTCGCGTGCAAGCATTGGCTGGCAAATTCGGTGATGTTTCCCATTCAAGGCGCGGTTCTACTCAGTCGAACACGTCGAGGAACAGTGTGCAGTCATGGGAACGGAGCCAGGATAACTCGCGGTCGGCATCTCCAACGAAAGCTAGCCCCAGCAAACCTAGCAGCCCTGTCAAGGAGTTCCGTCCACATCTGCCTGGACAGTGGGAGTCCTATGCTACAACAGCCATCACGCCATCTGATCATGGCGATGTGGACAAGGAACTAGGTCTCGAGAAGAACAAAGCTCTGTCTCCACTCGAAGAGGCTGACTTGACCCCGACGACTGCCAAGTGGCCAGTCGCCGAAGTTGAAACTTCAAATCCTTCAGATCCAATGGCCGCACTCAAAGATGCTGGAGCTGCTATGGTTCACTCCATTCGATCAACGGTCGGGCTCGATGATACCCCATCCAGTTCGCAGGAAGAGCAACGAGCCTACAAGGGCCATGGCGATGTTTACAAGCCTCGACCCCTACAGCTGGACCGAACAGAATCTTCCGTATCGAGCATACCGCCCACTCCACCTGCCAAAGACTCCCCAGAATCTGAGTATCCACCACCTTTAAGAGAGAAGAAAGACAAAACCCCGGCACCTTTCGTACCGGACCCCTTCACTGGACAGTTGCGCCCGACCCTTGATCCTCAATTGAGTACTGATACGTCAGCTGATGACCAGGAAAGCGATCGCTTACGAAAGGAAATCGTCGCCAGTCTCAGCCCGGTTCGGACTTTAGCAACACCAGCGATCGACCCCAACCGTGGCTCACTTCAATCGGTTAGTTCAGATGCAAATCGTGCCAGTTCTATATTGCCAAGCGAATATGACAGCTACTGGGCGGCTGGTGACGATGCTACTCCACGTCCCTCGCAGGATGCGGAGCGTAGCATCCCTGGACTGTCGTCGGCAGCCGTTGTCCCTCCAGTCGTCACAAAGGCCGAGGAAGCTACAAAGCCTGCGATACTCAACCGTTTCAGTTGGGAAGATAACACCCCAAGTAGTCAACCAGAAGCTGGTCCTGTTACAGAACCTTTGAAGGGCCCACAAGAAGACAAAACATCTGCACCTACTGTTGAACGTGCTGCAGAAGAGGAGCGTCAGCGATGGTCTGAAGGCCTTCCAGATTCCTACTTCGGACCTGGTCATACCTTTACAGTCACCAAACCAGACCCCATAACAAACGCGGAGTTGGCAAACCGGTCTCTTACTCCGCCTCTGGACTCTACTCGTGCAATTGCTAGTCCCACGCGGGAGCATACAAGATCGCCTGGTCTTCATGTTGTCAATACGGAAGTCGATCCTGAGGCTGTCGACCTCCCCCCTCGTTTCAACGCAGAGCATTCGCAGCCACGGCGAACTAGTCATGGGGAAGCCGCAGCACCGCAAGACCAAAAGGACGCAGATGCACTACCTCCAGTGCCTACCTCTCCGATTGTGGTATCCAAACCATCATTTTCTCACGAGCCTATAGCAAAGTCGCCTACGACAGATAAACCACTAGGTGCCCGCGAGATTGCCACCATCACTTCTACCCAGGAGCGCATCGCCACGTACAATAAAACGCGCGATCATTGGGCCACGACTGATCACGGACTCGAGAACTGGCTGGCCTCTACTCTTGATACCAACCCGGACCTCGCCACACAAGCATTTCCGTTGCAACGACCACCCACGGGAACGATTCGTCACAAGCACACGCCATCTCTTCCTTTACTCGGGAAGCTTGGTAGTTCGATGAGCAATCATCATGGCACAGAGCAACACAGCACGCCGGGTGCACAGGTTCCAGCTGGCCCGAATTCTCCAACCTCTGGAACACCGTCTGGCCCAGGGTTTGGTGGTCGGGTTGCAAGCCACCAGATGCAAGTCAAGGGCAAGGATTTGCTGCACACAGCTGGTGTGTTGAGCGGAAAGGGAATGACGAGTGCCAAAGGCTTGTTTGCCAAAGGCAAGAGCCGCTTTGGTCGCGACAAGGTAGATAAATGATCCCTTCCCTACCCCCCTCTGTCTTGCAGCACGATACGAGAATGCTATCATGATACTTTCCTACCATTCTGGAAGATGGACAACGACATACGGGTGGGTGGAATTGCTTGGATCTCGAAGTTGGCGTTCTCATTTTTTTGGGCGTTATCATTCATTCCTAGTTCATGACCATGTCCCCGCCTGTAGTTCCGTAATGATCTGAATGTAATCTCGGTTCTCTTACCGTTTTTCATCATCATGATAGATGCACATGCTGATGTGATGTGTGATGTAGGCCCTTTCCCGAACCGACTCGGCACCTTCCTCTCGCGAGCCGTCCGAAGAGCCTGAATTTATCACGCCCATCTCACGAGCATCAACGGCAATGACAACGACGCCCGAGAAACCAATCACTCGTACTTCGACCGCCACCGACAGCCCCAACGACGAGAAGAAGAGTCGTCGGTTCTCCCTCTCTTCGCCATTCTATCGTTCGGCCCGCTCCAGAAGTAGGCCGACCAGCATCGCGCTTCCCAGCAACACTCCATCTACCTTTGACAATACACCCAGGAACACGCCGCCTCGCGAACTTTGTCGCGTTCTCGATGAAGATAATCGGCCGCGCTCGTTCCATGCTCCAGACTCCTGGAACTATGCGCCAGGCGTACCATCGTCGTTTGATCAAGCCCAGACTACGCCGCCGGGTAGGACTCCACAATCACAAAGTCGATTGGGCATACTGCCTTCACCAGCAAAGAGCGCGTTCTCGTCGAAAGAGAAGGACAATGAAGAGGATATCCCTCCTGTTCCACAACTTCCCGATGCGGTCTCAGAGGGTCAGTATCGGGGAACGAGCCATGAGGATGCTAGCCACAGAATGCTCCAGTCGATTATACGATATGCAACACCTCCTTTACCATCACAGGATCCATCACAGGATGCGACGAGGGTTGTGGAGAGCCCTGCGGTTGATCTGGCAGGTGCATCGGGGGAAACATCACTAGATACTGGAAAGGCGCTGCCACCCGCCCCTGCAGAGCTTCAGCTGCAACTTGAGCGGGCTGGTGACAGTGACCGACCACCGCAATTAAATCACGACCCATTACCGGATACAGTAAGCTTTTCACCGGCAAGACACGAGCAAGTCGACGACGAGGACGAGGACGATCTACCACCGCAATTGAATTACGATCCACCATTCGCGGCCAACCCTCAGCCCGCAGAGATCCCATCAGTCACATCATCTATTAGGCCGTCACCGGCAGACGTGAGCGACGACGACGCAGACCACGTATACGCACAAGTAAAGGCCGACTCTGGGTTGCAGGTGCCATGCAGTGGGCTACTCGTGAGCGATGTCAGCCCTCTTTTGCCGCCTATCAAGTCGTCACTGGACGATATATCCGACGAAGATGACGGCCTGCAGACTCGTGTGGGCGATGGATTCTCAGTACTCTCGCAAGGAAAGCCAGGGGAGCCACTTGAACAGTCAAGGGAAACAAAGCCGGCACTACAACTGTCGAATGCGGATAGAGTCGTCGATCAGAATCAAGCCGTTCACGTTGGGATTACTGCGCAGCGTCCATCATTCGAGACTGAACTGATTGGCGGTGATATTTCGCCCGTCTCGACTCCTTCACGCGAAGTTGACGATGCTGCTGCGATGCCCAAGGTAGAGAAGTCGGAGGCAGGCAGCGTATCGAACTCGGTCTGGTACACGGACAGCGAGTTGCATCTCCCCGGCTCGAGGGTGGGCCCGATGTTGCGTTTGCCCGAGCAGCAGGAAGCGATGGGCGAAATTGCGGTCCAAGTGCCTGGAGCAACACGGGACGGTGGTTCGCTAAGCCCAGGCCACGCATCGCCCCCGCACCTGCATGCCAATGCTGGAGCTGGAGCTGGAGCTGGCGCTGGTGCTGACCCGTCCAACCACCAAACTCGCCGCGTCTCCGCCACGCCGTTCAAAGTCGTCCACGCCGTCGAGGAGTATGCCGCATCCAATTCATCTCTTGCATCATGGGACCACGATAGTATTGCCGCTGAATTACACTCCCCACAGACCCAACCGGACGACATGAGAGATGAAAGCGACCTCGTTACGCCGGTCGCCCCAGTCCCGCGCATCACTCAAAATGGCCCACAGCCAGATAGGGCTGAGGGAACTCTTCATGACACGTCCAACACGGCCACGCCCAATGGATATTTCAGGGGGCAGACGACCTCTTCCGAGGCAATGCACCAACCACAGCACTTGCAGTCTTCATCGGCTAACATGACCGTGCCTGAAAGATCCAAATCGCTTCTTTCGCAAATCTCTGCCATGGTCTCGGACGGCGGCAATCCCATATCCCCTGCATCAAGCATCGCCGGAAGATCAACGCCATCCACAATCCGCCGCATGCAGCACGACTCGTCAACAAAGTCTCCTTGGAACCAAGCCGACATTCCCGAGGAATCCACAACAGCTTGGAGCGACCACACGCCTACCGCCAAGGACCACGATTTTGATCTGTACGCTGATCACGATGGCATTGTGAAAGACGTCCAAGACGAAAATGGTCAGCCCTTGCGAATTGCAGACGCCCAGGTTCCCCGCTCAGCTCAGCATTCTCTACCAGCCAAGTCTGTAGTACCTGCTGTCGAGAGTGCAGCAGAATCCAAACACGAAGTACGACCGAAGCTAAGCACAGAGCGGCCCATGAGCTTCATTTCTGGACCTCCAGACCAGGATGGAAAACCACAGGATCAGATCAATCAATTAGCGTTGTCACAGGGTGCCCAAGTACCACCGGTTCCTGAGCAATATCGAAAGCAGCCGCAACAGTCTGGTACACTTCCTGTCGACACGGTTCACTCTATCGCACCGCCGGGGGCTGTTGCTCAACATCAGAATTACTCCCAACCGCAGCATCAAATTCCGGCTGGACAGCCACCTCTAGCAGCACCTGTCTCTGCAAACAACAATAACCAGGATACCAACCCCCAGGCCCTTAACAATGTAACGACACGTGCGCCAGTGCCCTTAACTCCTTCTCAAGAAGCAGTACAACCTCCTGCTTCGTTTGAAAGACCCCTGATGAATGGTCAAGCGTCACAGAATGGCCAAATGCCACTTCATGGCCCGCAGGACCCTCGTATATATAGCATGGCACCAGGACAGCCTGTTCTACAAGGACCCCCGCCTCACGCACAGATGGTGATGCCAGATCACGACCCTCGAGCTCAAGGTCAGCCTATCGGACCGCCTCCAGGACCGAGGAATCAATACGAGTTTCAACAGCAAATGATGCAACTCCAGGCAAGATATCCACGAGTCCAAGGTGTGGAGAATCAAGCTCCTCCGATGCCATCCCAGCAGCCGATCCTTCAGATGCAAAAACCGCAAGAGAAGCCGTCATCGAAGCCTAGGCTGTCGTCCGTCTTCAAAGGCTTTGGAGGCAAGTCTCACACCTCTCAGCAAAGCTCAACTGGAAACACTGCAACGAAAAACTTGAGTCTTAAGCCATTGCCCGCAGATCCCAACCGCAATAGTTCATTCCACTCGGCTGTCAGCAGCCTTTCTCTTTCCCGTGAAACACCATCTGCAGGTAGAGCAGGAGAACAGCCGGGCGCGTTTAATCCCTCCAATCGACCGCCAAGCATGGGAGCAGATTCGCTCCTGAGTCAGGTCAGTCAAGGCTCTACGAGGGTGCAGCCGGCGGACTCCCGCGTCGACCTAAGAATGCCAGCAAGCCCTCCGCCATTCAATGGAATTCCGCCACAGCAGCCTTCCAATGCAACTCCAGTGCCTAACGGACAGCCACAGCCGTATCGTGCCTCTACATCTGGTATTCCAGAAACGGGAAAGAAGAAAAGGTTTTCCACATTGGGAGGTCTATTTAGTCGAACAGGTCTAGCAGGCGATGAACTCCCTAAAAAGTCTAAAATATCCAAAGAAGACAAAAAGGCTCTCAAGGCTCAAAGACACTCTACACCCCCTCCAGTTCAGAATCCCGTGCCACAATGGCCTCCGCAGCAGCAACAGTTCAGGCCTCAGCAACCTGGCGTGGCTTACCCCCCTGGGCAAGTTCCACCCCATATGGTTCCTGGCATGCGACCAATGGGTCCACAGTATGCATCTCCTCAGACCATGCCTCCTCGTGGTCTTCAAGGCGCTCAAGGGCTACCCGCGCAAAATATTTCTCGACAGCATCAACAGCCTCAGCCTGGTTTCTTGCCGCAACAGCCTATAGGTGGCGGTCGTCCCGAAGAGGGTTCTGCTTACCAACGAACAAGGCAGGCGGTAGAGTACCGGGCCCAAAGAAACCCCACGCAGTCATCTGTTCAGGGCTCCAATACCGTCACTCAAACTTCAAGTACGTCTTTCGATCACATTCCACCAGATCTCCGTCAAACACGTTGGGGTCCTCCTCCAGGTGGGTATTACAAGCCCGAGACTAAGCAACCAACAGTTGATCAGGGAGCCTATGCGGACTCCCAAGCCGCGCGACAAAAGGCACTGCAACAACGTCAGCAGCAATCAGTACATGAACAAGCAGTCTACGGAGCCTCACAAGCGGAACGTTCGCTGTTACAGCAACGTCAACAGCCGATACAGGGGCAGGGAGCCTATGCGGCGTCACATGCTGAGCGGATGCAAGCGCAACAGCGGCAACGATTAATCCCAGATCAGAGTGGCTACGCAGGATCGCAAGCAGAACACCAAAACGCACGGATTCAGCGAGAGCAGCATATGTCGGAGCAAATGGCATATCAGGCCTCGTTAGCACAACAGCAGCTAGCAGAGCGGCAGCGACAGCAGCAGCCTATACCTGGATCAGGAGGCTACACGCCATCACAAGAGGAGCGCCTTCTTGCTCAGCAACAACGACAGCAACATGAGCAACAGCAATTCCATCTGCAACAGCGACAGGGTAATGCGCAACCGTCACTTAGTCGCCGGAGTGTATCTGGGCCAGTTCAAAGCCACATCTCGCACGCTGAACCCCCTGTCTCACAACGCCATGTGAGCTCCCCAGTAACGGAGCCGCAGTATGAGGCGCCTCCAATCCCCGCAGCATACAACCACGTCTCTGGGGCTTTTATATCTCCTCGTGATCGACAACAGCAGCCCCTGTTCTCACCTTTCAACGATCCAGCAACTGGCCCCTTACAGGACCAGTCCGGTCGGCAGTACTCGGATCCGCGGATGCCACCAATTTCCCCGCAAATATCTGCACAGTCTCAAATAGCTCCCAATAGCCGAACACATTCAGACGCCAGCGCTATTTCAGTGGTGTCACCAATATCGAATTCCCCAGACAACCTCACAACATCACAACCTCCTAATCAGCAACCCCAAAAGCCGAGGATGAGTAGCATTTCAGAAGTACAGGTACAAGAACAACCATGGCACTTGAACTTTCCGGAGGGTGCTACAGAGCAAGAGATTGTTCGAGCTCGCCAGAGGCAGTATATGGAACAACAGTTCACCGCTCAACATCAACTGAATACCGAACGGGCTGCACGATCGCCATCCCCAAATACATTGCCCCACGACCAGTCATCTCAACCAGCACCGGCTTCTGAGACCCAAAGGCAAGGGGGATTCAAGGAGCTTTTACCACGTAGCTCTCCACAACCATATACGATGTCTCAACCAGCACAGTCTACTCAACAGGACCCTCCACGAGTTTCCGATAATTCACATCCTACGCAACCTGCGCCAATACACCCTGAACAGGGTCCACAGCCAGCAGCATTCCCCCTCCCAATGTCACCAGATCCGGCCAACATTCGGAGCCCAGTAAACCCGCTCGCAGGTTCCCTTCCGCCACCAGCACCACCGAAGCTGCCGCACAGCCCGATGCGTCCCATGTTTCCTCCTACCAATCCGCCTCCAGTTGTGGAGCAGCATCATGTTGACCATGAGCCACAACAGTACCAGCAGCCCATGTCTGACGAACCTCCCCCATCCTATGATGGCCCCGGTGTTCCCAACGATGGGATGGACAAGAGTCGACCTGAACATCCTCGGCCGCCCAACATTACCACAGATGCACCGACAGAAGAACGTCACTCGCAAGATCCTCGACAACGCCAGCCATCGATTGGAATCTTACAGCACCCTCAGCCCGCTTCGATGGCCGCATCACCTCAGCGATCAGCAGCTGACATGGGCGCCGAATCCCTTCGCCGCCAGCTTCTTCAACAGGAAGAATACGCGCGTATGGAGCGTATTCAGCGAGCTCAAATCCAACATGCCGAGTCGGAGCGCGAAAGACAAGAACGCGAAATTGCTCGAGCGAGAGCACGAGAGCTAGAGCGCAGCGCGTCCGGCGGCGGAAGAGTCGGCAGCCTGCGAAGTGTTCCTGGCAGTCGCAATGGGGGGACACCTGGCTGGGAGAGACGAGGCAGCACTTCCAGACCTGTTTTCGAGTTGCCTGCTGTAGAAGACGACGAGCCTGCCATGAAGGCGACTTCGTATCCTGGCCAGGAATGGGTGCCTCCCATGTGGACGGATGATTGAGCATCCTCGAGTCCACTATATTTCATTTCCAGCTTTCACTTCACCTTCTTCGACCAGGATACTCCATTTGGCATCCGTCGCCCTTATTTTTCGCACAACCGCCTAGCGATGTGATCGTTTTGCGTTTCCATCGTGACGCATTTGAGCGAGCTAGCATTTTGATCTACACATTGGAGTTGGATACCCCATCATCGCTTCGTTTTCACTTTCTCTCTTGTGTTATACTCCCAGATTTCTATTTATATACTTTGTTGTAATTAGTTAATCTGGCCTTTGTAATCTTGATGGCAACCCGCAATCTCAAATTCTTGTTCAGACATATACTTTTTCTTTTTTCTGACCGCGCTCTGTGCTTGTACGTGTCCCGTCACTGCTTCCTGGCTCACATTGGAATAACTGCGAGCCAAGGAAAAGTTCAATCTTCATCCATATTCACGCAACAGCTAGATACCATCGTTCGATGCGTTCCCATCCAGTATTTGCAATTGAGCAATCTTGCGTACTTTCACTTATCATGTCTGAGAATAAGAGGTAACTCGACATTGTTCACCCGGTCAACCTAGAATCAGGATCTCCTCGGGTCCTATCAAGGGAAAGCTTAATACAGTGGCACTGTCATATCACAACAGCCTGGTCCTATGGTGAAACTATCTTCTCATACTACTACAGTGAAAGAACACCCCAGTGCCTCCTAGGCATTCAATTGATTCCCACCCGAGTCCTTCCTAGCCTTCTCTCTTTCATCCACAACACTCACACTCTGCACAACATTCCCCAGCACCACCAATAAGCAACATTCTCAACTCAACGAACCCCTACAAAAACTTCAACCAGGCAATATGTCCCGACCCGCTACCACTCTCTCCGCACGCCTTCGCGCCCGTACGATCTCACTGTCCATGACGCCTGCTCAGCGCCCATTCTCACTCAATGTCGACGCAGCGAAAGCACGAGTGGCGCATTGGGAACCAACCTTCCCTTTCGACGCTCTTCGCTCGGACGAAGAACAGAACGACAGTGATGGTGATGGTGATAATCAAGACGGCAGCGAGGACATTCAGAACTGTACGACGTACAGCGCCTTCGATCCCCGCGCGTCGCGCCCGTTGCTCCTCCTGCATAGCGGTGTGGATATCTCGGTACGCCCGCCCACGTCGACTACTGCGGTTATACCACGTGCGGTCAAGCCGTGGCCGTACTCGCTTCCTGTGTATCTGAGACCGGGAGTTGGTACGACGTTTGCGATAATGCACACCACTCTTGAGTCTGCCCGGCTTCCTGAGACGGAGAAGGATATGAAGAAGAAGGAGAAGTTGCCCGCGCAAATTGGCATCTTGCAAGCTGTGCTATACGGTGTCCCTGATCCGGAGGAGTTTTCTTACGCACAGGCTGTTGTGAAGGACGGTGGTGTTTTACATAGAGTTCTTTATGGGGTTAAGGATCCCCAGAAGGGCGGAGAGCATGGTGGACTTGTTGGTCGGGTTGAGGCTGTGAAGGCCAGCGAGGATGCTGCTGCTGCTGCTGTGCTGGTGATCCGAGAGGTCAAGGTCGATTTGGAGGATAATATTGTCGAGGTCAAGGGATCTGAGATTGTTGCCAAGTAGGGTTTCGCTTTGGGCTGGCGAGCTGTGATGGGTTTGCATGGATTCCATGTGGCCCTGTGGATTGACTCCTGGTAGATTTCTTGCGAGGATGATATCTGAGATTCTGTAATAAGATGGTGAATGAGTACATCTACTCAATATCGATATCTAAAAGCAACTTGCATGAGCAGAACCCATGTTAGCTGGGGGTATCAAATTAAAATGCAAATGGTAAGATTCGAGCCTAGTATCGCTATTTCCAAAAACACATCGTCACTCTAGGTCACCCAAAACATTGTTCCAAGTGAAAAGCCCAGGTTGACCGTGATGTTCTCGATTGAAGATTATTTGTTGGACAGCTGTGCCCTGGTATCACCGCTAACCCCAACCCAGACAGCGGCGGAATCCGAAGCCGCGGCAAGAGTCCCCTATCAAGACTAGCGCGTCTCGAGGGTTATCTCGCAACAACCTTGTACATCAGTGACATTCTCACTCAGCCGTCTTCCTCATCTCCCTAATGTCGCAGTAATCTGTTTTCTAAGGACCATTTTCCATTTCTGCTTGGGGATCCAGCGAGCGTTGCGTCGCGTTGCGTTCGTACATTTTCGAAATGCCGGCTCTTCAGCGTATCTTCGTGAAGGCGTACTGGTCTCTAGCGGGTGTCGGTATTGCCTGGGCTACCTTCGTACTCCTGCTAATCAACCCGACGATTCAACGGCAGTGAGTTACTTCCATATATATCAACCCCATTCGTTTAAAAGAGTTTGGGATGTTTGCGTAGCTAACGTGTTTCTGCAAAGTGCTCTGTACTCGCATAAACTAAATACTAATTTCTGGCACAATGTCTCCACGCCTGAGGCTTTTGGCTTCGCAAAGGGTCAGGTCCAACCCTTCTGGCTTGATACAGCGGATGGCGAGAAGCTGTTTTGCTGGCATGTGCTTCCTCTAGATGTTTATCTGCAGAATGAGTACGAGCTAGTCAAGGCTGCTACGACGGGCGAGGTTTTCGAAGAATTAAAGGGTACTGTGGGAGAGAAGTTGATGCGAAGAGATGGAGATAGTAGGGTTGTGGTCAATTTCCATGGAGTAAGTCTGCGATTGCTGTTCCAGTCTATTTCTCTGGCTATCTTCGCTTGTCATTTCGTTTCATCCCAAGTCACCGTTTTCTTGCTATTCCCTTCATCTATTATACTCTTCGCTTTCCTGTCTTTCTGGTTTCTTTCCCACGTCCATCGACTTCAATCACCCTCCTCATTTCTAAGCGTTTCCTTGAGTATTCTAACCACCCCCACAGAACGCAGGCCACATAGCCCAAGGCTGGCGCCCCTCAACCTACCGCTCCATATCCGGAATCCCAAACACTCACCTACTGACCTGCGACTACCGAGGCTACGGTCAATCAACACTGAAGAACGCGCCACACACCCCCACTGAGACCGGACTAATCACAGACGCCATCTCCCTCTTGTCCTACATCCAGTCCGATCTAAAGCACCCATCAACCCGCACCGTCCTCCTAGGCCAAAGTCTCGGAACAGCAGTAACAGCCGCAACCGCCCTATACTTCGCGGACCCCACCTCTTCCGACCTCCCCACGGACATCGTACACCCCAAACCCCACGCACAAAGCAAAAAGTTCGAAGGCTTCGCAGGCATAGTCCTAGTAGCCCCCTTCCGCGACCTCCCCTCCCTGCTCAAAACGTACAAAATAGCCGGCTTCTTCCCCATCTTGCGGCCCCTCCTCGGATACCCCAGGATCCTAGACTGGGTCTCGACAAAGATAGTAGATACGTGGCCGACGCAGTTCCGCCTCCAGGCTCTGCTGTCCCATTCCCTTGTCACGCCCCATCAGTCCCTCCATATGACCCTTCTGCACGCCCGCAACGATGGCGATATTTCGTTCCGCGAGTCGGAGGCGCTGTTCGAGCCGTTGCAGTCGCTGATGTTGGCGGAGGAGGGCGCTAGTGCGACAGAGGAGCGGCGGAGTATTCATGGGGGGGAGCGCGTTCGACGCGGGGCTTTTGCGTATAAGAAGGTGGAAGATGCGAGGGGTGAGAGGGTGGTGGAGCTTGAAGTGGTGAGGTTCGGTGGGCATAATGAGGTAGTGGGGTGGACGCAGGTTAGTCTTGCGATTCGCAGGGCGTTTGAGAGGAAGAGTTTGAGGCCTGGGCTGGATGTTGAGTAGGCCTCAGTGTGGAAGAAGGCCGTTGAGGTTGGGTTGAGCCGAAGTGTGATGCCTTTCATTGTAGAGTAGTGTCGGTTTGATTTCGTACCCTTCTACAAAGATTTAGTGCAAGTAAGGCAATGTATAGCGAGAAATGAAGTAATTGTTTGAGGGGATATCATTCAACTTGCTCATACGATATATACAAATACATGTACACTGTTTTACATCCACTCATGTCTCCCGTAAATGCGCCTAGACGTCCGTCTATATGCAGTCCTAGGCATCTTCGAGGGGTATACTATATCAAAAATGCCAAACACATGATCTCATGTCTTTTCCACTTCGTGCCTTGTTCCTATATCTGCTTCAATAAGTTTGCCAAACGCATAACTTCTTACGCGTTCCTGTCCTTCTGCTCCTTCTCGTACTTGGCAACCAATTCCTTCTGGAGCTGCGGTGGTGCAGGACTGTAGTGGCTGAACTCCATGCTGAACTCGCCCTTACCCTGTGTACTAGCGCGCAGCAGACTGCTGAAACCAAACATGCTGTTCAAACTACAATCTGCGTAGACGGTGAAGTCTTCCGGGCCGATTTCAGTATCATTGATGACGGCGTTTCTCTTGTTCAGAATTCCGACGACTGAGCCCTGGAACTCATTGGGCGCGGTAATGGTAGTCTTCATGAGGGGTTCGAGAACCTGGGGCGCACCAGCTTGGAAGGCCTTGCGGAAAGCTTGTTGCGTCGCCATCTTGAAAGCCATTTCGGAGGAGTCGACGGCGTGCGTCGCACCGTCGTTGATGACCATCGATGCTCCAAGGACCTTGTGACCAAGGAGAGGACCCTTGGCGGTGGATGCCATGAAGCCCTTTTCGCAAGCAAATAAGAACTTCTCCGAGATCGTACCACCGGAAATTTGCTGCTCGAACTTGTTCTCGGTGAGTGCTTCGCTGGGCTCCATCCATCCCACAACACGCGCGTAGTCTCCGGAACCACCGCTTTGTTTCTTGAGCGTGTGGTCGAAGTTGACGCGCTTGGTCATGGTTTCTCGGTATGCGACTTGGGGTTGGCCTGTCTCGCACTCTACGCGGTATTCGCGACGCATGCGCTCAACGTAGATGTCGAGATGCAGTTCTCCCATACCGGAAATAACCGTCTCCTGCGATTCGGCGTCGACATGCACTCGGAAGGTAGGATCTTCGCGCATAAAGCGGTTCATGGCTTTACTGAAGTTGGGCGTGTCCTTGGTATGCTTGGGCTTGATCGAGAGGGAGATGACGGGCTCGGGGACGAACATGGAGGTCTGGAGAATTAGCGTTGCTTAACAAGTAGCAAAAGTGACAGCTTACCATAGTGTATCCGAGAGCGCCATCGGTAAAGGTGTCCCCAGACGCGCAGTCGACGCCAAACACAGCACAGATTTCTCCAGCGCCAATCTCTGGTACTTCCTCCATGTCGTTGGAGTGCATGCGCACAATCTTCGGTATCCTAACCTTCTTGTCTGACCTTGCGTTGAACACGTTCATGCCCTTCTTCAATGTACCTTGGTACACACGAATATATGTCAATTGGCCGAAGGTGCTTTCTTCCAGCTTGAAGGCCAGGCCTACAAATGGCAGAGAGTTGTATGAGACCAGCTTGACGGGAGCTTCCTTTCGCTTCTTGTCCAGCGCCATGTTCTCGACTTCGGAGGGATTCGGGAGGTAGTCGCAGACGGCGTCGAGCATCGGTTGAACAGACTTGTCTGCAAGCGCAGAGCCCATCATGACAGGTGTGAACTTTAGAGCAATAGTTGCCCGTCGGATGGCGGCTTTGATCTGGTCAATGGACGGTTCTTGTTCGTCCAAGAACATTTCTGCCATCTCGTCATCAACATCCGCAAGTGTCTCGATGAGCTTCTGCCTCTTTTCATTGCACAGGTCTACAATGTCTGCCGGAATCTCATCCGTTTCCCGAATGGTCTCCCCCTTCGGACCCTCGTTGTAGATGGCTTTCATCCTGACCAGGTCGACCACACCTAGGAAGCCATCTTCACGTCCTATTGGCACCTGGAGCGACGCAGCTGGTATCCGGAGCTTCTGGTTGATTTGCTCGACTGCTTTCCAAGGGTTGGCACCCATGCGGTCCATCTTGTTGACGAAGGATATCCTAGGGATGTTGTATCTCCTCATCTGCCTATCGACTGTGATTGTCTGACTCTGCACGCCGCTCACGGCGCAGAGAATCATGACCGCACCGTCAAGCACTCGCAGCGCCCTCTCTACCTCGATTGTAAAGTCGATATGGCCAGGTGTGTCAATCAGGTTGATGTGGTATGTCTCGTCCTCTCCTTTATCGTTCTTCTTAACCCAGTCGCAAAAGGTGGCCGCAGACTGAATGGTGATGCCCTTCTCACGCTCAAGGTCCATCGAGTCCATCTTTGCGCCAACGGCGTCTTTGCCTCGTACTTCATGAATGCTATTGATACGGCCAGTGTAGAAGAGTACGCGTTCGGTGGCGGTCGTCTTGCCGGAGTCGATGTGCGCTGCGATACCAATGTTACGTACTCTCGATAACCGCTCCCACTCGACGGGATTGAGGCCTTCTACAATCTTCTCTTGCGTTAATGCAGAGGGGTCTTCTTTTGCTTGCTCGAGTCTACAGTGCTCGATTAGCCTCAATCGAATTGCTCCCTTAACCGCCCACCGCCATCAAGGCAAAATGCTAGTGGTTGACACTTACACCTGCGCAGCAGAAGACTGCCATCTCGTTTGCTGGTTTCTTGTCTGACTCCTTATCCATGTGTCTGTCTTTGTACCATTGGTATACGGTGTGCGCGACGCCGCAATGGTGGAGAGAGCACATCGCGTAGGGGCTCGGGCTATCGATCGAGCAGAGCTGCGAAGACTGCTTGCGGCGAGCGATTGCGCTCGTAGGAATGGCTGCACCCTCATCTTGCACGAAACAAATGCTGCAAGAAAAGAATTGGAACGAAAGGACGACACTGAAGTCTGCTGATACCTTTGGGCGGACTGGCACCACTAGAAAAAAGTTATCGGAGTTTCGGAGGTGCCAGTCACATGACACCGCGCACTGGGCCTGCCGTTAACTTCGCCTCGCATTGTTTGCAAACAACGGCCATTTTATATAGATGGAGTGAGGATATACTGGATTGATGGTACATAACGACGTCTGGCAATTATGCACGCCACTATAGAACTGTCGAACAATGCACGCAATAGTTTGTATCCAGCTGCAGTCCCCAACAATTATGCACAAGAAGTAAACCCGTGACACCCACCAGTGAATACGAAGCCCCACCAAAACAATCGCTCCTGAAAATGCTTGTGAGAATCGAAGGGGGAAGGGTGCTGAGCAGCCCAGAGCGTAGCAGTACGTCTGTGGTGCGTGTCTCGGTTATGTGAGCTCCCGGACTCTTCGAGGATTTTCACATGTGCCATTGACAACTAGAAAGCCCATATAGCTTCATGTATCCGAGACCGCCTGGGTTTTGGCATGGCATCACTAACGGAGCGTCTCGCCTTCGAAGTGGGGTGTCTGCAGCTCTGCAGCCGATGAATCAGCCCCATGGGGGGTGGTCGGTTCGGCGGCCTGGTCAGTAGGGCTGGAGGCCTTTGCAGCACTAAAATCGGCCGGGAGACTGTCATGCTGCTCCTCAGCATGGTGCCCGTTCGTAACTGCCGCTTTAGCCTTGGTGGCTACCTCCTCAACCTTCTTCTTGCCCTTATGCAGCGCGCTGCTTACGGGCGCCTTGGTGTGGGCTTTGTGTGGCGGAGAGACGGGCTTTTCGTGTGTTTTGCTCGCACTGGCAGCTGTAGGTCTCATCATGCGCTCAAGAAAGCCCTCCTTTGGCGCACCAACCGAAGAAGCACGCGAATCTGGTCGCTTGGGCGCAATTGACGGCCGTGGGTGTTTTCCGGCTGCAGAGACTGTAGGCCGCGTCGCGGTAGAAGGCTTCCGGACGATCTTCGGTTCCTCGCCATGTTTCGCGGCGGATGCGGCGGTGGGCGCAATGAGGCGAGAAGGTAGGCCAACAGGGCGCGTAGGAGATTTCGGGCGTGGCTTTTTGAAGGCGGTTGGTGAGGTGCTTGACAAAATGTTAGTACACTAAAATTCTTTAGACCATGCGTTACGTACCTGACACGGTGTGTAGCGGTCGCTGGTTTCGTTGTAGCCGGCTTCTTGTTCTCCGGAACGGCAGTCTTCGCTTTGGTAGCCGCGCTGGCTGTGTGATTAGTAGCTGTTGAGGAGGCTGCTGCGGGACGCAAAGAGCTGCGGCTGGTCTTCGCAGCTGGGGCTTTGACAGGCTCTTTAGGCGCAACTGGCTTCAAGTGTAGTTTCGCAGCTGGACTGGGCTTCGCTGCGTGCGCAGCGACCGAATGCCTCGGGGTCGTAGGTGTCTTAGGGGCTGTCTTTGGCAGTGGGCTCTTAAGCAATGGGCTCTTCGCAGAGGACGGCTTGGCCGTTGATGCCTTGGCTGTAGAAATGGATGCAGGTTTCTTGGGCTCCAGCTTCTTTGCTACAGGTGTACCGTTTGCCTTCACTTTGCTCTGAGCGGGCTTTAGCGTTCCATTCGTAGGGATGTCGCTCGAAGCCTGAGCTGTATCGGTCGGTGGAGGCGTCGAAGGCAAAGCCGGACTGTCCGAGACAGAGGCTTCGGTCGTGGGCTCTGCTGGTTTCGAGGGTGCCTCTTCTTGTACTTCTGTAAGCACCTTGTCTGGAGTATCGGCGGGCTGATCGGCGGCAGGCGCTGGCGTTGGAGCGGGCTGCTCTGCTTCGCTAGTCGGTGCTGGCTCTGCGGGCTCGACTGGGGGCTGCTCGACTGTCTTCGCCGGGGTTTGCTCCACTGCCTTGACTTGCTCTACTTCCTTCTCAGGGATCTTCTCTGCGACCTTCACAGGAGCCTTCTCTACCACCTTGACTGGGGTTTTCTCTGCTACTTTGACTGGAGCCTTTTCTGCTGCTTTAGGTGGAGTTGGCTCTGCGGCCTTGACTGGGGCCTTCTCTGCGACTTTAGCTGGAGCCTTCTCTGCCACCTTGACTGGAGCTTTCTCTGCTGCCTTGGCCGGGGCCGGCTCTACTGCCTTGGCCGGGGTCTGCTTGGGCTGTACTGATGCCTCTTTGGGTTGGGTCTTCTTCTCCACCTCTGGCTCGGGATCTGGGAAGTCAGACCCCTTCATGATAGAGCCAAGATTCGGCATGTCTCCAGCTGGCGAGTGGCGGATGGGCGGAGGGGATAATGAGGATTCTCGTGATGCAACAGCCTGCTCGGGGACGGCTTCAGCAATCGCAATGCTCTTTTTGCGCTCTGCCTTTTCCTCGCCCACAGCCTTCTTCAGCTCTGCAATCTCGTCGGTATTGTCCTGGCTGACGCTGAAGCTCTCTCTTCGGTTGGCCAAGAAGGGGTTGGAGGGCGTGCCCAGGTCTGTGCTGACAGGAGGCGTGCTAGGCTCGACGGAAACGAAGGATGCGCGTACTTTGGCTGTCGGATGCGTGTTGCTGTCTGTCGATGGGTGCGTGTCTACGGGGGAGCGGCCGCGGGGCTCAGGGGAGGAAGGCGCGCCTTGGTTCTCGAACATGGCCCGCAAGTTGCGGACTCCGGAGCTCATGGCTACGGACAGGGCGAAGGGACGTCAGTATGTGTGTGTATGTATGTATACGTGAGGTGGCAGGAGGGAAACGGCAATGGGTTGGAGGATGGAGGCGCGCGAGATGATGTGGTTTGTGCTGAAACGCCCCAATGTTTATGTACAAGCAGTGACGGAGGGTTGCGACAGGGATTCAAGGGGTTTCAGGTGGGAGCAACTCACAACGGCTGCTTAGGAAGATCAATCGAGCTTTGGGCAAATGGGCGATTGTCGCAAGAGGACAGAGGGGTGGGAAAAGGAGGCAATGAAAGTCTCCTGAGGGGTGCACAGGAGAGTCCAAGTTGTTCTCCCGAGCAACCAAAACAGAGGGCAGACCAACCAGAAATCCCGTAGCTCGGCGGTGTGACGTGAACTGCCCCGGACTTTATTTTTTGCATAGAACCACCTTCTCATCAGCACTACTCGTGCATTGCACTGCATTGACTGGTCAATTAATAGAAGCATTATACAATATGCCAGCAGAGGAATCCCAGCACCCGTTGCACCGTTGCGGCCCGCGACCCTCAATCCACGGGTTCATGCAAGCGTTCATTACAGCCAGCCAGCCAATGGCAACACTATGAGCGCGATTTCACCCCATTTCTCTCGCAAGGCTACGATTCATAAACTGATGTAATCAGAGTTTGTCTATCTATACTCTAGGGAATCAATATCTCTCGATATATCTGGGTATCATTAAATCCATCGCAGTGGCTGACCACTTCAAAACTTCCACAAATCAAATCATCAATCATATAGCTCTTCAGCAAGCCCTTCCTATGTGTTTATTCCCCATCTGAAGCGGGCAGGCTTATCCCTTTAATTCCACAGGCGCAGGAGCATTCAAGGTAGGACTCTCCCCAGCAGGTAGCTCAACCAGGTTCTGCTGCGTCGCAGATAGTTCGCCCATCGGCACGTAGCTAATAGCTTCGTTAGTGGGCCAGCCTTCAGAATGTATGGAGTATGACTATTACCTTAACACCTCTGCCTCAGTATGGTGTGCGTACTTGGTCTGTGGTGGGACCAGCTGCACGTCATCTAGCTCTGAAGGACTTTCCATAGTGCCATCGCTTGGTGTTGTCGCACGCTTCTTGTGGCGCCACAAGAAGAAGGCTCCGACTAGGATAGCTGCGAAACTGGGTATGCCAACACCGAGTCCTATACCAAGAGCGGTGGAGTTGAGGGATTTGGGTTCCGAGTCTGTTACTCCGGCTGTCGATGCTGTGGCAGAAGCTGTGGCAGTGGCGTTGGCAGATGTAGCGCTTGCGGTTGAGGCGGAATTCGAGGTAGTTGAGGTATGGGTTGGCCTGAACATTTCGCCAATGATAGTCACAGTATAAACGTCCGCGGGCGAGTGGTCAAAGGAGAAGACCTCGAATTTGTCGTTGCACTGGCAATTGTCCAAGCAGCAGTAGGAGTCGACGCTGCTCGAGTTGCAGCTATAAACTGGGGCGCCATTATTTTTGACACCTAGAACAAAGTCAATCGCTTGCAACATCTAAGAGAGGCATCGGTGGCGTACCCATACAACTTCTCGGACAGTTGCCACTCTTCCAAGCTTTATCCGTGCATGTCCCTCGATGTATTCGAGATTTGGCGGGCTCGTGAGGATCGGAGACACACAGGCCGTCAGAGGTACATGCTTGTCTATCAAAACAGCATGCTGAAACTAGGGCATTTGGATTACACGCCGTGTCTGCGCCAGCAACACCTCCGTCTGGGAAGTAGCACCCCGTCGCGAATACAGTTGAAGAGAGACAGAGGACGGTCGAAAGGGTTTGGAATGAAAGCATAACGAACGGCAATAGGCGCACAACGACGGAGATTTGAAGTCAAAGGGAGTGTGAGGCCAAAACAAATGAGCGAAAGTCGCGATAGCGGAGAGGTATGACTTATGAATCAACGGAGATTCCAAGGTTGGAGAGGTACTAAACCTATTCCTTCATAGCAGCAACACTTTCCAATCTCAGGGAGCCACAATATCAACGGCCTGGGCACCTAGCGTCGATCATATACTGGAGTATCTACTGTCCGTCCAGTCCCAGCTTCGATTCGTCGGCATCATCTCAATCCCTCATCTATCAGTCCTCTTAACCTCGCTCGAAGAAGAGTGTTGGGAATTTCTTGGGAGTTTGCAACATTCGGCTTTGCAATGGTTCGGGTTTGTTGTTGATCTCGTCCACGGGTCGAAATAAGGAGATACGCATCCATGCGCCTTCCTCCGGTCGGACTAGCGTTTGGCGTTACGCGCTTTCGGAACCTGGCTGGTTCGCGTGCACCCAACTCAACGCCAGGAAAGGTGCATCTCGCGAATTACAACCTTCAACACCACGTCATGTTAAGAGGCTGCCCGCGCTCTCTGTACGCATACCATGTCTGAGCCCCGACGGTCGACGAGAGCGCGCGCCCGCGAAGAAGCTGCCCCCGAGACGCCAAAAGAGACGCCCGTCAACGCTACCAAAGCGTCGTTGAAACGCAAACGAACAAGCATCGTCGTAAAAAACTCGGCCCCATCGACACCGGCCAGTGAAGGCGTACCATTACCCCCGAAGCAAACGCTGCCTCTCAAATTGCTCGAAGGCCAGCCTCTACCAACGCTTCCTGAGCCGCAGCCTCTCGATCTTCCCTCGACCGAATGGCAGAACATACAACAGAGCGGAGTGCTCGAGGCATCTCTGGAGCGGTCGCGGGCGGTATGGACATCGGGTGTCAACTTCCGCACCTTCCATAAGCACTTTGTACAGCCAAAAAAGGTGGCGGAGCGGACAGATGAAGACAAGACGAAGAACCAAAGACAGAAGGAGCTTCTGCGCAACTTCCCTCAGATAGGCGTGGGCGGAGAGAAAGAAAGTGTAGTTGCGCAACTAGTCATAGAGCCCCATACTTTCAACATCCGACTCTTTGGGCCTCGTGAGATGGTCAAGCACGTACAGAAGAAGGCTCCAACCTCGAATTACGGGCCATGGCCGAATCACAGCCAGCACAGCCAACCTAACCAGTACACGCAATACAACAATGGGCAGCCAGTCTACCAAAAGCAGCCCCCACAGCCACGACCACCTCCCCCGAAACCCGTACAACAAGCCCCTCCGCCAGCGCCAACCTCAACACCTGCACCAGATCCTGTTATCCACATGCTGGCGGCACGCGCTGGGACAGATCCAGAGCTGAAAGCTGTCATGAAGATTGTCGCGGCAGGCTCGGCAAGCAAGGAGCAGCTCGAGTTCTTCCAAACCCACATCAATGAGTTGACGGCTATTCTAGCCAAGCAGAAGGAACAGGCGACCAAAACACCAAAGCCATTACCTCCTCCTCCCCTGCCAAAGACGCTCCCACCACCACCTCCTTCTGCACCAAAACCAATCGCAGCCCCTCCACCTCCACGACCAGTCCAGCCAGTTCAGCTGCCACCACCACCAAAGCCGTACAGCCCGATACCGCCCCAGCCGCAGATGCAACAAGCACACCTTCCCCAACAGCCACACCCTCCGTACCCGAACAACTACAACTCACCACAGCAGTATCGCCAACCCCAGCAAGCATCGTCGTATAGCGCATCGCCGCAGAGGACATCATGCCGACCACTGGTCTTTGAATTCGTCGAAGGAACCAGTGACAAGCTCTACTTCCCCTCATACAGCTTCATGGAATGGTTGCCCAATGGATCGGGGGTAAAGATTTCTTTCTTGGTCACCAAGATGAAACCAAAGCCAGAGACTCCCGTCAAACCGCCATCTACGCCTGCTCCGAAGGCAATTCAAACGCCCCAGCCTACACCAGGTGTTCCTTTGAATGCAACCCCTAGTGGACTACAGCCGAACAGCGCGACGCCCACACCGAACCCCAACGCCCCTGCGGCGTTACAATCCGCTGCCCCACCAAATCCGACAGCCTACGTTCCACCTCCACGAATAGAAGACTTTGATGAGAAGAACGACATTGCCGATATCGAGTTCTACCAGCCCGTCACAGTGCTCCTTCTTACCGATGATCCCGACATTATACGTTCACTGCCTCGCGCGGTCCGGCCTCCAGATGTGGTAGAAAAATACATGAATGAGGTCTTTGACAAATGCAAGCGCGCAGAGGAGACATATCTCGCATTCAAGTTGCCGAGAGACGGTGAAGAGCTGCCAGAGAAGAGAGTGCGGAGTGGCGATGTGACACCTGCTGTGGCCACGCCGACACATGATGCATTCATGACAAGCCAGGGAACGGGGATGAATAGTCTGCTGGAGAAGAAGAAAGCTGGAAGACCAAGGAAGAGCTTGGTCTAATTACCACATGTACCAATATTGGAGCGTTAGTAGAAGAAAGTATGAGTAACTCGAGCCCGAGGGCGTCGAGATAGAGAGAACAAATGATACCCCGGATCGACCATCATGGTCCCAGCCACTACTTTCCCACACGGAGCGTCTATACCTCCCCCCTTTCTCTAACTGCCTTCCCTCATATCTTCCCAGCCCAGTCCCGCGCAGGGTGCACCCAAACTCATCCTAAAACTACCAGTCCTCATCGCCACAAACCCCCAGAACGAATGAACCAGCCTCCCCTCCAACGCATGAATTTCACCAGTCTAGATCACAACGCTATACTTATCACGAACTGTACCTTGCAGTGAGGTGGCTAATAAAACGGCCCCATTCAACACCGGCAGATCAGATCTACAACGTGAGTGCAGGGATGTCCTAGCTGGGAATGTGGTGGGGACAGGACGGGGGAGACGAGGGCCGGGGTAGTTGTTTCATGTTTCGCGGCTGGCCGGGGGTCGGGTCGCGGTCGCGGTCGCAGTTGGGGTTGGAAGGGAGCGAGGCGAGGATGACAGGAGCAATTTGCATGGGGGCGAAGATGTCGTTCAGACCAGTGGAGGCCTGATTGCGTGAGCGACAACCAATACTTTGATTTGAGCAAGGACGAGTTGACTAGGACTTGCCAAATCCCCTGAAATGTCTCACTCTTGGTGGTCAGCTCGTGGGTTCAAAATATGGAGTAAGTAGTAGGTTTGAAATGTTTAATTGAATCTCGTTTCATTGCGTTGCTATACGCCATGGGTATTGTGTTATAGACAGACAGACATCTTTGCAACCTTGCAAGATGGACCCCCCTTTCTTTCTTTGTTTCTTTCATCCAATGTCCTCCAACGCCGATAATGCAAAGCAGCTTCAACATGAAAAGAATGTGAAGAATGTACAACAAGCCGGTTCCAGACCTAAACGTCCCCTATATGTAAAAAAAAAATGTCTTGAGCGAGTGAATGTGAACATAGGTCGAACATTATCATCAAATGTCGTGTCTAGATCGTGAATCCTATTAAACCGCGGGTACAGCGACCTTTCGGCTCGCGTACCGCCGTCGGGCAATACGCCCATTGTAGCCACGCTTTGAGATGACACCGTTGGCACAAGTAGTACCAGCAGCGACAGCTTGCCAAACAACGTTTCCGTTGTTGCAGAGACCAAACTGAGTGGTGCCATTGCAGACGATCGCGCCGTTGGAAGTGCACGTGGTCGAAGCACCACCGCCCGAAGTAGGAGGAGATGGCGTAACGGTGCCGGGAGAGGAGGGAGCGGTAGGTTTGGCCGGTGAAGGAGCAGTAGGTTTGGCTGTCACGGTGACGAGGGTGGTCGAGGTAGATTGGATGGGTGCGGGTGCGGCACTGGGAACAACAGGTGCAGCGCTGGGGGCTGCAGGGGCTGCGCTAGAAGCACCAGGAGCGAAGACGCCACCAGGGCTCGAGGGCTCAGCAGGTGTAGTCCCAGAGGTTTTGCCACAGCCGCTACCGGTAGGGGGCTTGAGGTCATTTGTGGCGCCCTTCTGAACAGAATCCCCAGGAGTAGGGAACTGAACAGCAAAATTGGGCACGGATTTGCAAGTGTCATCGAGATTGGCAACTAGCATATCGGGGAGAGAATTGAAAGCGGACTTGTCGCTGGCGCCTCCTGTGACGTCGATGGGTGCACAGTTCATATACAACTCAGGCTGGCCACTGAGTTTGGAGAACCATGTCCAAGCAAAGGTCGCCTTGCCATTCGGAATGCTTGCAGGAAGCTCGAAGTCGTAAGATAGTGCCTGTGATTCTACACCTGGGCATCCTCCTTCCATGGACTTGATAACCTTGAAAATAGAGTTCGCGGTGGGCTCGGTGTCTAATGACACACTCAACTGGCAAGATCCGCCTCCATGGACTGCACTTCCTGAGAGCGCCATTGTTTGTTTTTCTCCAACTTTCATGGCGTTCATGGTAGAAACCGTAAAGCCGTTTTGAGATTTGCACGGGTATTGAGATTTTGTGATTGGGCTGTTGTCGAGCTTGTCAACACTGTATGGAACAGGTGACTTCATAAAAACGTGACCGTTCGCAGTGGTCAACAAAGCAGTTGCTGCTAGGAAGGCTGATCGGAAATGCATGGTGATGATAAGATGTATGTCGTACAACGGTTGCTCTTCAAAGAATGTAATGAGAAAAGAAGAATGAACTAGTCCAGCTAGCGGAACAAGAAAGTATTGGGAATGCAAAGGATGCGGAAGCTGCAAAAGAATGGCTGTGATGAGGACATGCTTCGCGGCTGTTGCGGTCTTTTATGCTTAATCACATCGTAGGATGTCTGCTACCACCGGGGCTCCACACAGTCTCCCTGATGGTCCCCTAATCAAACGTTCAGTCTGGACTATGGCATTTCGACCGGCGTGGATGGCCACAACGACGAGCGTCTACTCTGTGAAACAGACTATCAGGTCTACTCAGGCTCTCAGCCAAGGGGTTGGCGAGAACGTTGCATAGCTGACGCAGGTACATCATGCGTACACATCCGAATAGGAAGGCTGTGGCTGTTTCGATTTCAAGGATACCAAGTTCTGTGTTGTCGCCTTCAGGAGGTTTCGTTTCGATGATCCATCTGGTCGGCCATTGGTAGGGGCGGAGTCGCTTAGCGGTCCGACAGAAGATCCGGACCCCTGCCTTATGCTACGTCGCACCTCCGCCCTACGTACCCCTGCACCTGGAGACCGATTGGTGAGCCGCTTCTTCAGCTGTACGCCATCGCATCGTCGAGGGTCGAGTCCACATCCTTACCCACCCAGCGGCTGTTTGTGAAGCTTGATTTTCTCAAATTTTACGCAGGGTCTATCACATCTTCTTTCAAGAAACGTGCAGGACTGGCTGTAGCAAAGCGTTGATTGACTCGCGGCCAAGTGTAAACCCCGAGGATGCAGGATGCCGCCCGCTGTTGCTGATCTAAAGGGATCACCGTATGTTTCAAGGCCCTTTACTTCCAATAACGTACAACGCAACCACAGGTCGCTATGTCCAGTGATAGTAGAGCAAATTTTCTTAAGCGATTCGAAGCGTAACCATTCGCTTTACAGTGCTTGAGCGCGGGGTCCAATGGTCCGAGCAGCTGCCTGGAGGCGGCAATAGTCCATTCATGATTCGACCGTATACGGATATTTGAAAGAGTCCTAGAGGAGGAGACAAACTGATGCAGAGCTGCGCTGCGCACTGTTCAGTAGTAAAGGCGGTCTCGTTCCAACTTGCGCAAGGGTACACCCGCTGAAAAAGCAATGTGACCAATGTCTTCTTCGCCGCGCACATCTCCGACGTGCACTTCGACATCTTTTAGGAGTCTTGCGCGTTCCATTGCATCCAGCATCGTTCCACCGCGTGGTATTCTGACCCATGGATTCTCATAGGTCATGCTTGAAACAAATCCAAACACCTCGGGCCCGAGTGTTCGATGCTTGAGTGCCAACGCAACAGCTCCGGTGATGAAGATGACAACCGATGCTACCATCAGGAGTGAGAGCCATGCAGTATTACAGGCAAAGATTTCTACCGTGCTCGTTACTGTAGCCGTTGTTGTCGCGCCTATGAACGGAGAGTCACTACGCTGCACCGCCGCGTCGAAGGTTGGCCACCAATCAAAGAAAGAGTTGTTGGTCGCGGAGAAATTGGCTGGGAGATACTTGTCGATATCAGTGACGGGTAGCGTGTCCGGTCCATAGAGAGTCAAATTTTTGGATAAGCTCCCGAAGTAACCGGTCGGTTGAGTTGTGAGTTGGTAGTAAGTATTCAGTACCAAGCTCAGTCGTCGAGAGAAGATCTCGGGTTCAATCAGAGATACATTCGTATACCAAGTGTCTTCAGTAAGATGGCCAGCCTGCTGCACGAATGGGAAGGTGGAAGTGTTCGCCAGGAATTGCTCCGTTGGACTCGAGCCAACGCTGAAGGTGACCGCGATCGGAAATTGTTGCGCGAAGCCTTGCATGACCAGACCGTGCTCAAAGGCTGTGAGCGCTGAAGGCCTTGTGTCTGTGAGCGACTTCCTGACTCTCTTAGCTATACACTGCCCACCAACGCACTCTATCATGGACTCCACATGCTTCTGGGCCACCTTGCATCGCGCGATATTCAACCCGAACTTCCCACTCTCTTTACTTGTCGCATATATCGAGGTGTATATGAGCTCTCGTTGCGTTCCCACTTGCTCACTACTCAGACGAGACGAGTTGTAATGGCCGACGAACCCATCTAGACGCCCCAGTAAAGTCTCATACATAGGATCCTCGGGAACCCAGGGTGAACCGAGGTTGGTGTCGATAAAGAAGGACGTACTTCGGCCCTCCGATGGCTCGAACGGGTTATTCTTAGATTTGTTAGACCATACTTGGCCGGGTACGAGCTCGTCCAGTTTCCTGAAATCTGTTTTGCCGTTGTTAGTATCATTATTGGCCCCTGGGTAAGGCGCTTGAGTGAAGCGTCCACATTCGACTGTGAGGTAAGTCGATTCCATCGTGAAGTTCGACTTGTCGTTTGATGGAAGTCCGACCAAAGGCAGTCCAACCAAAGATGAGTAAAGCTCCGGTTCTCCTATCTGAGGGACCACCACCCAGCCTCCTGCGTCGGGTTTGGTGCTGTTGAGATACTCTAGGTTGGGGATCTTGACGTTACCCCAAGGATCTCTCGGTCCTACCTTTGTCTCCACCGGCGCCAACAAGGCCGCAGTATACAACGCTCCTGCGTCGGCAAACTTTCCGCTCCCCACGTAGGTTGACGAAAGTCCCCACATGGTCCCACCTGGTCCAGTCGTCGTATAGCGGAGTTTGGCGGCCGAAAAGCTATCTCGATCATGCCTCTTCATAATTCGAAGAGAGGCTTGACCTCCGAGGGGCGATAAAGCCCATAAGAATAGAAGGTTGACTCCCACTATGGTGAGGCGTTGCATAACCATTTGGCTTTCGATGGTTCCCCACACGGACTGGCTAGCCATGAGTAATTCTAGTGTCTGATTCAGATTAGCCGTGGACTCAAATCCGAAGCCGACCTAGCTAAGCTTTCAAGTGACGCGTGTGGCGGAAGGAAAGGCTGTTCCATACACTTATCTTCGTGCCTTTTTCTGCCAAATATCGTGCGACCATCTTCATGCTTCGTCCACTGATAGCCGCAAAGATGATGGGGAACATTGTAGGGCCCTTGTACTATTAGTGTGAAGTTTGATGAGATTAATAGAGAAGACTGACGAGATCCATGGCAACTTCGACCTTTTTGCCGAATGCAGAACCATTGGTAGGCCTGCCATTAAGTGTGATGACTGCGACTCCGAGAACTATAGTATGTTAGATGCTTTCAAATCGAGCTGCTTGCATCGCTACCTACGTATGAAGTATATTGGCAACAGTACCAATAGGACGTCTCCGACGCCGTAGACGTATGATAACCAAGTATGCTTTTTAAGTGGTCTGGCTTCCTCAGGCCAACTTGGCACACGATCAACGGTCGCTATACATGTCTTTGACTTGGTTTCCGCTGGGGGCTGGGTGGTTTGGTCGATTTCCTCCACAGTCGAGCTTAACATGTATCGTCGCATTGGGTTCCATCGCGATTCGATGTTTGCGGTCATTTTTAAAGATATGTTCCTGTCCGCAACGCACAAAGATCACTAGAGGAAGGAACGAGAACGTGGCTGACAGTTCGCGACGAGCGAACGCATCTCTTTTGGACGCCATCAAGCGGCACAGCCATAGCAAATCCATAACAGATCCATAGAAAATTGCTAAGAATATACCTCCAGGAGCGCGCTTACGTGCATGGGAGATGAGGGATGCTCTTAGCGAATCGATTGATGAGGGTGAAACTCGAAGCGCCAGCTGCATCCTTAGCTCCATGCCACCAGTACGGATCCTCCCGCTGAGCTACGGACGCGATCTCCATGACGGTGATAGAGGATATGTACGAAGCGTAATAGTGCCGTAACGAGGGCCAATACATGTTGCAGAATATGGCGGGTTGCAGAGGGCAAGATGAGCTGGTGGGGAAGCCGCCGGGGAAGGACAGCCGCATTGCCGAGCACGTCCGAAGTTCTTCAAACCAGCCAGCTCAACTCCACATCATTCCTCGCACCCAACTCCAAGTATCGCAAGGCTTTGTTCTAGTTACTCACAATAAGCTATTGAACAGCAGCACACTCTGGAACTCGAACTGCATCAACGAATCTGCATATGCGGCTTCAAAACTAACGCATCTATCTCGTAACTTCTTCAAGCGCTAGTAACAGTCTTAATGTCCACAAGGACTTGCCTGCGGCGTTCAGGTGCAACTACCCTCTTGCCAGAGTCACGGTATATGAGAGCATTAGCCTGCGGCTCAAGTGCAGATACGTCGCGCATGCGACAGGGGCACGTGGCGCCTACTCAGACATGGCATGACACACGTGTGAGATCCAGATCTTGAGGCTCTCAGCAGCGGCTAAGGCGCATGGGAAATCTATAGGAATAATGAGTCCTATGGAGTCCTCGTTGAACTGCTAAGCGGCAGAATACCTCAACAAGACGAAGCTCCTCGTCCAGCTTCAGCCTCTCCCTCGCAAAGTCAGGCGGAGCCGCATCACGATCAGTCAGAGTACGCCCTAAACTCACAGCGGGGCGCAGACCATGCGACCTGCCAGCATAAGACAAGTCGACCCAAGTGATCTACCGTACGAGAGTTCCCGCAGCTGAGTGTAAAGACCAAATGTGACCATCACGGCAGAAATGTGATCAAACAGGAAGTGGTTGCCTGACCGGTGAGCTTTTCTTACACACAATAGAGTACATACAGTCATCTCATCCTTCTTTCCTCTCAACTTTGGTAAGATCAACTAACCCTCAACAGCTTTGATCGTCAACGACAAAATGAAAGAGGAAGCTGAAGCTACTGTGAGAACAGTAAGTTATCTGACTATCTCCTGTGCCTACTATATCTTCAGACGTGGTCTGACTTCATACAGGCTAAAGCTGTACTGCAAGAACTAGTGGTTGTCGTCTCGCTGGTCCGGACGCTGACGGATTCGTTTGGGTCCGCAAGCGATCTGTATCGCAAGCTCAAGCAAAAGTCCCGCTCAAGAAGTAACATTCGCGAAGAGCCAGAAAGACGAGATGGTGATTCCTTTCGAAGCCGTCGAGGCTCTCATACTGGCTACTATCATGGTCGTCGGCCTCAAGTAAGATGGAGTCATTCAGGAAAAGATGACTACAGCAACAGCGACGATGAGCTCATCTGCACATCGTCTGTTCAGGTCAAAGCCGAGTACGACCGAGGATACCGGAAGTTGGGAGAGCCGTTCGCGCGCGGTGATCGTACGTACACGGCTCAGATCTGACATTGTTAATTAGAGTTCTGACAAAATGTAGTAATCACGCAAAACCAGCTCCAGTCGCAGATCATACAGCTTCAGCAAACGTTGCTCAATATCCACCAAGATCTGCTGTTGAGTACGTACGTCTCACCGTCATCTTCGCACTCACATCTCGCGCGTCTCATTCAGACGACGCGTACAGCGCGTGCAGCTTCCATCATCGCACTCGACATGCAGTACCAACGAATGCTGCCTCGTATTCCCCCGAAGTCGCCAGAACTGCTCATTCCTGGAGCTTTCCCGTTGCCGCTGAGAGGGCATCACGAAAATTCTCATGCTACTGGAAGACGGAGGTCAAGGATTAGGAAGAAGAGGAATAGCAGCAGTAGTAGTAGCAGTTGTTCTGACCCACCAAACTTTATAGAGCGACCGGAACCGGTGCCAAAGCCAACTCCACGGCCGCACGGCAATAAGCTTTTCTGCGTGTATGCGCGAGACCTCCAACACAAACCTCGTCTTCCTTTGATAGACAACTTTAAAGATGGCGGAGATAACATGTGTCAATATTGTCATTCATATATTGCCACACGACCTGGCAAAGCATGGGAGATCATTAAAGACAGGGACAAGAAATTTGATAAGCATACACACACTCTGTCTCGAGCCTTTCTGGTAAAAACACGCTTTGTGATCAAAAGTCACCGAGAGAGCGGAGGTTTCGCATGCGTGCTCTGTGCACGGCTCAACAAGTCGGACACGGCGTGTAGAAGTATCGGAGAGCTGATACACCATTTGTGGGAGGAACATACGAGCGATGAGTTGGAAGAGGAGGAGGATATCGTGGAGTGTTAATTGTATTCCTGTTTCGAAGATACCCCTCAGCCCCGACTTTGAAGCGTCCCATTACAGTACTTAATATATTCTTTATGAATCCTAAATATTCACTTCAGAACGTTGCAACAATATCTACACCCCCCTCAACTCCCCTAATCTCCAATCCTCCCCTCTTGCCCTTCTTAGCATCACACGTATATACACTTCCAAAATACCACCTATGCGCCTCAATATCTATTAAAAGCCACGCCGTATTTCCCCTCAGGTTTATCGCTCCCTCATAGATTTGGATATCCCCCGATAGCACATCCTTCTTATTTGGCTTATTGATATAGTACTCAGGACTGGTATGTACGTAGCCCATTGTCAACAGCGGAAGCTTGGGCACAGGGTCATTCCAATGCGTAACCCTATAATTACCACCAGACTGATTCGAAATGTACGAACTGATCTTGGTTCCTCCAATCCGCGGAGAGCCAAAAGTATATAGTGCAGCGGTATAGCCTGAGTTTCGTAGTTGAGCAGCACCGAGCGTGGCAATGGCAGCACCGAGAGAGTGCCCAGTCACCGTAATCTGGTAGCTGGGGAAGGTGGTGGATGCTTGTTTAACGGCTGGAATTACGCGGTCTCGTGCGTCCAGCCATGAGTTCCAGAAGCCATGGTGGGCGGTACATCCGGAGCAGATATCGGTTGCTGTCGTGTCAAACTCGAAGTTCGTGCGCCAGGCGTCGATGGAGGTGGAACCGCGGAAGGAAACGATGATCAGCTTGTTGGTATGATCGACTGCTACGAAACCTGTTACGTCGGTGGCAGTCTCCTCCCTGGTCCCTGTTAGTCTCAAAGTTAAGTTCAAGGGTGAAGTAGATGCACGCAGAACTTTTCCCAAGTGACTTACCGACTATACTCGGCCACGGTAGCCGAGTCCGCATCCTGCACAAGCGGACAATTGCCAGAAGCACATTCAACCTGGTCGCCCGGCGAGTTGTAGTTGTTTGCACAGTAAGCTGCTGAAGCATATTGCTCCATTAACTTGAACCTGGCGAGGAGATCGGCTCCGATCCCTTGTAGTTGTTAGCCTGCATCGTCAAGAATATTTCGGTTTGATCGAATTACCTCTTTTCTGAATGAGCGGCGCGGCATTGCCGGTAAGAGCACCGAGTAGTACCGCAAAAATGAGTGACGAGATTAAACCCATGTTTTTAAAGAATGACGAATTGAAAAGAGAGACTGTACAACGCAGTAGAGCGCGTTAGAGACCACCGAAAGACACAAGAAGGCTCGATGGGCTCTCATATACACCAAAAACACTTCCTCACTTATCACAAGTGCTCGTTCTAGCGGGAGCCATGCTGCATTTGTCACGCAAAGCAATATCTCGACGCCCACAAGAGGAAAGCATAGCTACTGCGCTACGTCCCGCTCCTCCCGTTTCTCTTTGCAAAACCGTAGGCCATAGAAATTATTGGTCGGCGCGTATATCAGGAGGCTTGTTTGGTCACTTGAGCTTGTCACGGTGGGTGAGGGCTTCTGTGGTATCATTGGCTGGGAGTGGAAGGTGGCTTGTGGGGCGGCGTCTCGAGGCGGTACGAGTTGCACAGTCCATCCAGGCCAGGGCTGATCACATTGATATTATCGGATCGCGAAAGTCTGGACTGTTGATTAGATGCGCATCGCTTTGTCTTGTAGGTGTATTGCGAGGATAGGTTGGATGGGCTGCTGTACGGGTCGAAGGGAGGATGGCCTGGGCGCACGCTAATGCCGCACTCGCTCTTCACTTCCACCACATATTCCATCATTATCAACAGATTTCAAGAAGGTGACCATCATAACGCGACACTTCACCCATCAATAGCTGCAAGTTACACGGTTATGGCACAATAGTCTTCAATTTTCAAATGCTAGCATTCTTGTCCCAATGTACATCTACCTATACTATCCTATGCAACTTCCCAAGAGAGGATGTTACATTTCGAAAGACAGTTTGTCGTGAAAGTCAAAGAGATGGCCCTATGGCGCACCAGAAGGCCTCTTCCCATGAATCAAGCAGAAAGAGATGCAAATATCCCGTTCACGATGGAACCCGCTACACACAATGGTAAACTTACCTGCGTGTCTGTACTCCCTACTCGACCTTGGGCAGCTTCCGTCCGGACCAAGCCAGGTCCCAGAATGTGAAAGCCGTCCATATCTTCAGAAGCGAGTGGTAGTAGGCGAAAGCCGGATACGCCGGAATCAGAAAGTAGAGAACGAAATCCATAGGATGCTCCCAGAACCAGGCAGCTGTCTTGATCAGCTTCGTCGCCCAGATGAACACAATGAAGCTGCCGAGAACAGCGAGTCGATGACGGGACTCGGCGTAGGCCTTGGTCTGCGTAAGAATCAATACAGCAACGCCATCCCAGAACAGGGCCGCGTTGTACATCCACGGGAAGTACGTAGTCCAGACAGTCAGTGGCCACTTCCACCAGATGGTTCGATCTGCGAAGAGAGCAATTGGGTTCTGTCGGAAGGTCGTTCGGCTCCAACGCAGGCATTGATCTGGGAACTTCAGAGGGAGCTTACCAAGAACCGTAGTCATCGTCGCTTCCTCAGAGTACTGGATCTTAATGTCCCAGCCGTTGTTGATGACGTGGCGAGTGATGAAGTTATCATCATCAGCAGTCACTGGACCCCAACCAGGGAATCGATCGCCAAAACGGAGGACGTACTCGTTGAGGAAGCCTTGTTTGAACTCATTGTTGTTCACGATAGAGGTGCGAATCAAGCTAGAACGGCCTGAAACACAAAATACGCCTCCATCCGCAGCATTCGTTGCACGAATCTCGAAGTTATGACGGGCCAGGTAGAGTCCACCCATCACGTTCCAGAAGCCGGACCAGTATTGCATCCATAGATTTGTCAGGTAGCCTACGTTTGGATCAGCAACGTAAGACAGGCGCTTTACCCACTTGCGAGTGCCGACGAAACCGACTTTCTCGTTGGCGAAGGCAGGAAGCGTAGCCAAGAGGAAACGAGGATGCCAGATCGCTGTATCATCGACCATGACGAGAATTTTGGTTTCAGCCATTTCAAAGGCCTTGACAACCTGGTGACGCTTGTTGGAGACTTTGGCGTTTGTTACCTGGATGTCAGTGGTCACATCAACGGCTCCAACGCCCCATAACTGCTGGTATGAAGAAGTTCCAGCTTTGAGATCGCTAACGATCTTTGCAAGGATGGCTCGAACCTGCTGAGCTGCGTCTTCGGTGTTCGTCGAAAATATCAAACGACCAGGGCCATTGGCGAGGATCGCAGCTACCATGTCAGCAAACACTGAGTTCCCATTCGGACCTACAGTAGGCACAATGACAGTGCAGTCGCTCGATGTAATCGTTTCACGGCCGGTAGCAAGCGCGGGGTTGTAGCGGAACCAGAAGAAGACATTGACAAGAATGCGCCAATACCGGAACGCAAAGAGTGCGGCGAACCAGACCAGTGCGGAGTCTTGAGCATTCTGAGCCATGATGCAGGTACCGAGGAGAATCATAGCCGGAATTGAGTGAGCCAGAAGACGGAGCGAGGAAAGCAAAGTTGGTGGATCCGGACGCTGACGGACATCGTAGATGAGGAAGATGTTCCACGTGAACATCCCGCACATCATGATGGTCGCCAGGATTGTTGTAAAATCCATTATGGGCGAGGCTGATATGGTTTGGACTGGTGCTTCGTTCGGTTTCGTTGGAACTTGGAGTTGCAGTTTGTAAATGTTTTCTTGGGAAGAGGGTGATCGTTTGCTAGTGGAGGTTGTTCTGTTCTGCTAGATGAATTGGTTTGCTGGGAAATATATGATTTGGCCTCAAGAGCCCTCGTTCTGCTCCGAACACAACGTGAAAGCTAATCGCCATAGTGAACGAATGTGCCCGTTGGGCGCCGGGGAAGATACTGTGAGAGCATATTGAACAACATGATCGCCTACATAGTGAACGAAAGCGTTACTACAGTCATTACTCCAGTCCAGGGCAATAGGAGTCAGAAAGGAGTAGTGAATGTGTGTGTATAATGCGTGTTGTGACATTCAAAATTATAGTGATGTTGTAGATATACAATGTTGGGGCGAAAGTCCAGAAACAACCGATCGTGAATACTTTTGTACCTGAGTAAGACACACTACATTGTAAAACTCGTTGGCTTATTGTGTGCTTTACTACCCGAATGATGGCGAAAAGAATATGTCATAGCTGCAAAAGGGGTAGCAAACTTACTACAAGCTGGGGCCGCCCTGGGTCCTTGTTTGTCAGTGTCGTCTCTATGGTTGTACTCGGTTCGTCTTGAAGGACTTAGCAGGAATTTCGACATTGAGGACGCCTTTGATTCACTCGAAGACATGCCGTGCTATGCTACACTGAGGAGGAGAGTAAAAGCTAGAAAACACATACAACTCAAGATACCTGCTGAGCTATCGCAGTCTTTGATGTACCTTGAGAGAGCTGCGCCGCGATATTGTAATACTGAATGGAGCGCTAAAATCTTCCTATAGATCAACAGGAATATTAGTGATGATTTAGCTATATAAGGCGAAGATGGAAATTTGTCCACGATACACGTGGAAGTTGACACAGATTTTGAATTCGCACATATGAATATCCACCGAGAGCACCGCCGGGTCCAATATCATGATTCCCAACCTCATCAGTCCCCTCAATTCGTGCCTTCATCTTTTAGCCACGGATCTTCGAGGAGCTGAGCCGCAGTCGGCCTTGCTTCAGGCACCCATTGCAGCATCGACCGTATGAAGGCCAAGAACGCTGTTTTCTCTGAACCCTGAAGACGTCTCTCAAGTCCTTCCAGAGTCTGAGGAGATAAAGGTGGGTTACCTTTCCATTCGCCATTCTCATTGAACACTCTCCATGAGTTCTGGCTGCGTTTCTGAAACTCCACAGGAGGATGGCCTAGAAAGCCTACCATTTCACCAATATGAACGCGGTTATTGTGCAAGTTCTCATTGTCATAACCATCGAAAAGGTATTGAACCTCTATCATATCCCAAATCTGTAGAATTCGTTAAAAGTGTCCAAGATATGCTCGCGTGGTTTGTAAGCGTACCATGCAAGCAGTCATCCAGATATCTGCGCTATGCCCCCAGTCTATCTGCATAAGTATCTCGGGTGCTTTATAGACCTCCGGGTGGATTTCTTCATATGGGTAAGCTCCTCCAATTCGAGCTTCGCCAAAGTCGCAAAGAACTGGGCTTCCAAAAGCATTTTCTCGCGGATGACGGAAACTTCGCGACTGGTAGATTGTACGTTCCTCATCTACAACCTTTCTGATACAGGGGTCGGTTCTTTCTGTATTCTCGAAGTCATCGAGTACACTAGTGTCCTCGATCTGCATCATGATATTGGAAAGTTTGATGTCTAAATTAACTCGTTAATAGAAGAATAGTGAGGAATTAGGAGCCACGTACCACAGTGTGTAATATTTGCAACTGTATGTAAGAAATCTAAAGCCTCAAGTAGGCAGCGAGTTATAGGTTTGGCAAGCCCTGATGGTAGTGGCACAGGGCGTCCACTCTGCCTCTGAAAATCATGCAATGTAGTCTGCAGTGGCTCATGTACAAGACAAACGTGGCGTCTTCCATTTGAGCGTACGAGCTCAAACACATCAAGGACATTTCGTATACGCAGGCAACCGATGTTGTCTGTGGTGATGTTGGAAAGATGTTTGTAAGCCGATATTTCCCTGTTGGCGCGTTGCTTTGGCGTCCTCACATGCACTTTGACGACGACATACTTAGTTTCTCTGAGAATTGTTAGATGATAAGTGTGGTGATATCTGTGGACACATACTGAATGTCACGGCAGAGCCAGACAGTGGAATTTGCACTATATCCCAGTTTACCAGTGATAAGGTATCGGCCATGGAGAACTTCACCGATATGAATGGGGTAGAACTGGTCGGCTTCGTAATTAGAAAGAGTTTCTTCTTCGAAGGGCTGACTGTTCTCTTGTTGGGCTATAGTTGACCAAGACCTGATCGGAGTAGAAGGTAGTGATACGAATGGTCGCAACTGTAACTGTAAAATTCGCAGTGGTCCTACAGCCTTTCCTAACGTTTGCACCTGCGTTCTTGATGCAGCGCGTTGGGCGAATGTTCGGAGTGCGAACATATTGAGGCTCAGGTGTCGAAGTTGCGAAGCTACCGGCCCAGCCGTGCTCGTGCTCGCGCTCGCGCTCAAATAGTACTAGCGCTCCAGCTTTCATCTGGGCAGCCTCTTAACACTGATTTCCTCCTACATAAACCGATGCGCCGCCATGATCCGCTGAACTTCATGTGTTTTTCACCGATGAGAGTTCGAAGAGCGGTGTGCTGTGTCCTGAGTCCTCACCATGTGACGCATCGAATCCTCGGTCCAAAGTAGTGTAACCCTCGACCACGCGAGCTTCGCGCGTGCGAAGCTTGATCAGGCATCAAGTTGTCTCAACGACCGAGCCCTACGGTGTCGCGCGTCTTGTGAAATATCTCTAGTGTGACGCTGACGATCAGATGGCCAACGAGTCTGGAGATAATGCGGGGTTGGGATGCAGACTATCTTAGCACCTTTAGTCGATTCGACATGTTCTTCACCTTCCGATCCTATTCGCATAACCTAGGTGTTGCTCCTAGGTAATTTTGAAGAAGGACGCTACGGGGATATGCACAACATAGTTCTATTGCATTTGTCTGATGTTTCCGTCAACCAATACCTCTCATAGCCTCTTTGTTCTAGACCAGCCGTCATGTTATTATACCGTCGTCAGACTTCATGCATTTTCATCCGGCAATAGCCGCTTCTCATTTTGGTCAATCATGCTTCACTTTTGTCCACAGTCTTGGGCGGCATGTTGTCTTCTGGCCACGAATCCATTGTAGAAAAATGGAGTAGTCGCAAGAAAGTTGAGTATGTACGACCAGAAACTGCCTGCTTCCTCTATGTACTATTCTACCTGATAAATTTCCTGTTACCCATGTATGGCGCGTGTTGGCTTAGTCCGCGGGAGCAAGATGTAGTTTGATGAGCAGGGCAAGGGTCTCCACCACTCAAGTCCACTCCTTCAACATAACTTCCAGGTCTCCTGAAACCGCCCAGGACCACGCAAAACTAGCCGAAGCTATTACTAACACGGGACTACAGGTGTCTACAAGGCCGTCAGGCGGCATGTCCACGCTATTTATCAAACCTTTCCAACTGCCTCACTAGGCTCATCTCCCGCGCTCACATTGACCTCTTTAGCCCAGAATCTTATTTACTGAGACGCGGTGCAACACTGCAAGGCTTTCATACCTAATCTCTCTATCTACCCAATGGAAAATATGCTGCGCTGTTGGCAGGTTGGTCACGTCCTCTCTATCGGACAAGGCCCTGGGCTCGACATATGTGCAGGCGACTCAAGATTCATCCTAGCAAGGCGAACCCCAAAACGTAAGGTGTATATGTATATGTATAAGAGTATATGAAGTGAACCCGGGTTTATGAAAATGCCGTACGACTACACAACCACCATCGCTTGCAGCCTCCATTAATTATGTCTTTCAAAGCACTGATTGTGTCCCTTCCACTGGTTTGGCGCTGTGCTACCGCACTACCCGCTGGCCCTGGATTCTGGCCGAACGGCACTTCTTCTGATACTTCTGATGTCCAGATTGCCGCAGCGTACGGCCTTATTGACACGTACGATGGAAGCAACTGGTTGAGCAAGTTCGATGTCCAGGCTGTAAGTGTTCGTTCAACGGGAAACTCTTGATATTGACTCCATACAGATTGCTGATCCTACCCGTAAGTTCTATGTTCATGGCATGGTAACTGTCCAAACTGACACTAGCACGGAGATGGCTTCGTCGAGTATGTCAACGCGCAGCAGGCTCAGCAGCTTGGTCTCCTAAAGACACAGGGAAACCAAGTGTACATGGGCGTGGACACAACATCTGTTCTGAATCCTAATGGACCAGGTCGGAAGAGCGTCAGGCTTCAAAGCAAGGCAGCCTACAACCGTGCGCTCATCATTGCAGACTTTGCACACGTTCCTGGCAGCAACTGTGGCTCCTGGCCAGCTTTGTACGCCTTCTCTCAAAACTTCGACTGAGTGTAACTACTGATTTGTACATAGCTGGATGGTAGGCCCAAACTGGCCAAACCAAGGAGAATTAGATATTTACGAAGGCGTCCACCTAAACACCTACAACCAGATTACCCTGCATAGCTCTCCCGGTTGCACACCATCCGTCGGCCCCGGCGGAGAAACAGGCCGTCGCGTTGCTAACGCAGACTGTGGTGCTGGCGGTGGCTACGACGGCTGCGGCGTCATGTCTAACAGCCCTACCTCATACGGCACGGCTTTCAATGCTAACGGCGGCGGTGTATATGCTTCACTTTGGACCAGCTCGGGCATTAAGGTATGGTACTTTGCGAGCAGAGATGTACCAGGTAACATCAGGAGTGGGAATCCCGATCCAAATTCTTGGGGCACACCGGTCGCGAATTTTGCTGGGTGCGATTTCAATGCGAAGTTCAGGGATATGAGTATCGTAAGTTCTCTGCGGATGAACGTGTATAGAGGGTTATAGCTGACGATTACCGATAGGTTTTCGATATTACGTTCTGTGGAGACTGGGCGGGTAAAGTCTGGGGCTCGACAACTTGCTCGCAGATCAATCCGAGTTGCAATGCGTATGTCGCTTCGCAACCGCAGTCGTTCGCTGATGTAAGTCCTTCCGTTTCTTGGATAATCTTGCTACTGACGTCTAGCAGAGTTATTGGCTTGTAAACTCGATTAAGGTGTACAACGTCTGAGAGTCCAGACAAGCCCCTATGACTGACTGTTGGTTCTCGATTTCTTTTCCACAGTACATTACTTTCGCTTCATGAACATGTTGACTTTTTCTTCGTGTATATAGCTTCCTTTGTGCGTCCGTCTTCGAGTCAGAGGTGGTGTATACGTCGGACGTTCGCTAGATATCTTTGTTGCCTTATATCTAAATGTCTAAATTCTAGGATAAGCTCTTGACGGTCTACGTTTGTGCCTAAAGAATCGTCAAGAATCTCTCCTAATTTGTCTCGACTGCCGCTTTCAGAGCTTCAATCTCGCCTTTCTTCCACTCCGTAACCTTGCCTTGCCACTTCTCGCCTTTCCCTCCCCCCTTGGCCGTACCCACTATACCCTTGACCTGTGATGCTATGCTCTCGACCAATTCTGGCTTTCCTGTGATGACAATCGATCCAGGTGTGTTGACCTCGCCTGAAAGCAACACCACGACACCGCGTTCCTTGACCACATCTTTGATTTCAAATACGACGAGGTTGATAAAGTCCAATCCATCTGTTGCTCGATAAGAGACGACAGTTTCTTGCTTCTCTAACCTGGCCTTGATGCGATCTCCTTCGAACTTTGCGATTTCTGCCAGCATCTTTTTCTCTTTCTTACGCGCTTCAGAGACCTGATCGCCAAGTCTCTGGACATTAGCTGCAACATCTGCAGGTGCGGCGCTGGAAGATAGCGAGACGGCAATTGAGCGAAGGCCGTTGATGGACTCTGTAGCCATTTTGATAGCGCGATCACCTGCTGTGAAGAAGAGGCGACAATTAGTCCCTCGAACGGTTTGCGTGTGGTGCAGGAGGATCAGGCCTATATGACTTGTCTGTCTGAGGTGCGTCCCGCAGCAGGCATTGTAGTCTAAATCCCCGATCCGAATGAACCTAACAATCCCTTTCTCCCTGTCATAGTCTTCAGGTAGACTATCGGAACCCTTTCCTTCAGGCGTCTCCACTGTGATCTTCACGTTTTCCCTTATTGCCTCATTACACTTTCCTTGAATCACTCTGATCTCCTCATCAGACGGTTTCCGCGGTAGCTCAACGTAGTTCATTTCTCCAGCAGTGCCCATACTCCAACCTAGAGTCTCTAAGCTCATGCCGTCCATGATGGCAGATAGTAAGTGCTGGCCAGTGTGTTGTTGCATGTGATCCCAACGCCGTGGGAATTCGACGGTTTGCCGCACGAGCGTCCCCGGAGAGAGGGGTGTTCGGGAGAAGTGGACACAGCGGAGGCCATGGCGTTGGATGCTTGTGATTGGGATTGACTCGTTGTGATCACCACTCAGGGACACGAGGGATCCATGATCAGTCGGTTGTCCGCCGCCCTCTGGGAAGAGAACAGAGTCCGCGAGCTCGATAAGCCATGTTTTCGATGGTGTCGATTCGCTATTCTGCAGTACTTTTGTAGGATCTGTGGATTTTTTCGACTTTGATTTGCCGTTTTGCTGCGGTGTCTTTGGTGGTATGTATTCGTTGCATGATACCACCTCAGTTTCGAGTGTCTGAAGATAAGAATCCTGTTGACATTTGAGAGCACCAACTATGGTCGGACTAGGGCTTGCTACAGCACCCATTTTTGAGGTGATGAAACGGCGATTAGACTGAGAAGGGGATAATTTAAGCGAAGTATGACTGGATGGTAAAGAGAGATAGCGAGGACAGTCGAAGAAGCTGCGAGAAATGGTCCACTTAGTCAGCCTATGCAATAGGTTCATCGAGGGACGCAGCCTTTACCAACGATAGGCATGTACTACGCGTGTTCATTCGATACCAAGACCAACATAAGATATTATCGAAGCGTGTGATAGTTGAAAGGACAAAATCCACGGAGGGAGGCTAACTCGGAATGGGTTTGGCGCTGATCCTCCGCATCTCTTCTCCAGATAGTCGCAGGTTCACGACTCAGGCTGTCATAACGCAACCAAAGCGATCTTTTTGTTCCTACCCAACGGTGCAAGCTTCATGCCAATGATGATACGACGTGAAGAGGGCGAGGCCACCACACCTTCGAAAGACCGCCCATGGAATACTACTCGACCCTTCGATGACGTACTCGAAGTTGCGCTGTAAAGCTTCTGTTTGATCCTCATCGTCTACTAATGAACAGGCTGCTACCATCTTAGCTAACCATGCAGCGACCGAAGAAGGCGACTCACGCGGCTATAAGTCGATTCATAGCGTCTATCCTACCCGCGAAAGAGAACGATGTCCCGCGCCTCTACCACGTCCCTCGAAACCCGCGATATGACCCCGAAACGGCAGTCATCGAGCAAGTCGTACTGAGCGTTACCCCGACACCTGGTGTATACACATTGATAGGCTACCCACACGATGAACCGGACGTCGAACTGAGAGCACCCGCTCCCAAACCGCATCTGCGCCCACCGCGAACGTTATGTTTTCTTCATCGGCCATTCACGCTCGACCGGCGCAGCGTGCGCAAAGGAACCCTTGTGATCTCGAGTCATACCGCTTTTGACGAGGTCCTCACTGTGGGTTGGAATACAGCATTGGCAGAGCGGCTTGGTATGAACGTGGGCGAAAGCCTCTGCGTGCAGGGCTACAAGGGCGATCCCGAGAGGAAGATTGGGATTGTTGGTCAAGTGGCTCAACACCGGGACCTACTTGTAGGTCGTATACAGCAAGAATTCGGGAGCACAGAGCTCGTGCAAGCGGGATTGTCAGATGAGATTCGCGTTGTCGCTATCATGAACGCGTTTCACGAGGACGAGGTACATCGTGTACTGGAGATGGCTCAGCGGCGTGGGTGGTTAGGTCTGGACACGCCTGGCAAGCACATGCTGTATCTTACTGGGCAGCCACGTGTTGGCGGGATGCAAGCTGCGACAGCGTTAGGCATGACGGTTGCCTGTGTAGGACACCGACAAGCGGAGGATTGGGGCATTCGATTTCTTGCTGCAGGCATGCGGACGGCGTTCCCTGGAGTTCACGTACAAGAGGTGTACGAGGAGGAGATTATACAGGCGAGAGACAAGAAAGTCGCCGTCTGAGTCAGACTTCGACGGCTATAGTCCTTGATCGCTTCGCTGAATTTGGCAAGAGAAGGACCAGCCGAAGAAGAATTGAACTTTTCAAGATCGGACCGCGTGGTGCTTTGAAAAGCTATCCGCGGCAAAAAATTATTACACAATCAAACATGCCTTCTCCTCGCCCATTTGATCAAATACTCCCGCCCGGCTAACCTCCAAGTATCCTCCTCGACGTAGCTCCCGTTGTAACCGCGTCCATTAGCTTGAATCACCAGATCCAATCCATTCTTACTCACATTATACATGGGCCAATTCGGCAAGCCCTCAGCGTTCGGACTCCCTCCAGCAATAAAGTTGATCCACTGCGCACTCATCTGATCGCTCAACGCCCTATACTCTGCCCACGGCCCATAGAACGCCGGGTTCGCAAAGACAAACGCCACTTCGCTGAAATGACTAACGCCCTTCCACGCAGGCGCTTCACCGCCTTGGGTAGCGATGGGATTGTTTTGCCACGGCTTAGTGTTGAACCGATAAATGTATGTGGGCGCAAACTTGGAATACCACCGCGCATCATCGAGCCTAGTAGCGTGATAAAACACGTCGCCCATAATCGCCGCAATGCGCTTGAACTGCACACCTTGCTGAGAAAACCGCTCTGCTCCCGTGTTCAGCGGTATGCCCTGCGCGGGATCATCAGGGTACAGCTCTGTGATCCTCTTGACGACAGCATCGGGGAAACCGAAACCTGTGCTTCCTTTGAGGAAGGCGGTGAGTTGCGTGTCGTTGTTTATGACGCCGCCTGCGGGGGCGTTGTCGGTGCCTTCGTCGGAGTTTGTGCCGTAGAGATGCGGGATGTGTGCAAAGCGGCCGGAGTGCAGTAGTTCTGTTGGATAGTTGGGTATCACATCGCCATCTACGGTTGGATACCAGCCTGGGCCTTGAATTGCTGATGCAAGCAGTGGTGATATAGATTCGTATGGGACTGTGCGTAGGCAGTCAAGCGTGTCGACTTCGTCTGTGCAATTTGCCTTGTCGACGATGTGATCGTAAATGGGTTGATACCAGTCTGAGACATTATACCATGCTGTAGCCACAGAGCCGGATTCTTGAATACTGCGGTGGAAGAGGTTGTCTGTCCGTCCGCCGTAACTTATGAGGAGTTGTCCGACTGCGAAGGAACCGGCTGACTCGCCCCAGATGGTGACGCTGTCTTTGTCGCCGCCAAAGGCTGCGATATTTTCTGAAATCCATGCAAGGCCCTTCCGCATGTCTCGCAGTGCAAGATTCGTCTGCCCACTGCCCTGGATTTCTCGCGAGTAGAGCATGCCCCATCCTCCTTTCCGGTAGTTGATACTGGTAGCAATGATAGGTTTGCCAATCTCCACGCTCCTTTGTACAATATACGTCAAATTGTAATTCGGAAGTGCACTTGTGCCGACTTGATAGCTGCCGCCGTGGATCCAAACGGCCACAGGTAACTTCGCGTAGTCCCCCGGGGAGAGTCCAGCTGGGCGCACAACGTTGATGCTAAGACAATCCTCGCTCATGCCGAACTGGGCATCTGTAGGGTCGGGACATGTGTGGCCGTATTGCTTAGCTGTGCGTGTCCCATTCCAAGTCGTGTTCAGAGATTGCGGAATCCGGAAACGATTTTGTCCACCTGTGTTTTGCGCATATGGAATCCCCAAGAAGATGTCTTGATCGAATGAAGGTAGGTATAAGCCTTCATACGTTCCATTGAGTACCGTGACGGTTGGCTGCGCGGCCAATGCAGCGGTCGCACATAGCCATGTCGACAACGCACTCAACCACCAAGCTCCTGCAACTTCTCTCATAACGACGACTCGATAACTCTCGAAACTGAGTGGTGGCGGATTGATGAATAATGTTGGGAGAGCTTGCGGATTTTAGTTTCTTGTACCTGGCAATTAGTGGCAAGCCGAGGGCTGGCACCATAGCAACCTGCAGCGTGACGTGACGGTGTTCCCGGTCTTTGGCGAGCACTTGCATCCTGATCGTCAGGCGTGCAGGTATTCGCACCGGGTGCTGCACCAATTAGGGAGGTAGTTGCACGAACCTTGCATGGTCATCGGCTAAATTTCCGGTACTTGGTAGCCTTGCAAGCACGCCGCTCTCCAATATCTCAGACAGCAGTGTCCATCAACCTTGCAACACATAGATTATCCAGCTTTATGATAGCGAGGCGACTGGCGAAAAGTACTATTTGATGATGGGTATAACGTACTAAAGCGATCTCTGGGTTCAGACAGTGATATTCAACTAGGAAGAGCCAATAACGCCAAAAATGAAGCCTACTTGGCTTTGCAGATCAAACAAATATATAGTCGGGTATCATAACTGAAAGTAAGAGTAAGACTGCTACCGCGCGGTAGTCAGTCTATAAAGAGAAGTCAAACCACATCTTTGAAAGGATTTCCTTCTTTCTCTTCTTTTTCTTCGACGAGTCAGCCCCAAAGCTCTTTGGCCAAACGTATATGCGATGAACTCACATCTGTAGAGCCTGACCTCACGGGCACAGGAGCTGGCGCAGATAGCGGCACTTGTCCTGGTAGCTCCGCGGGCATCTCTATGGCCCCTCCCTGCGGCGCTCGGTAACCGTACACAGGAACGGGCATAGCATTCTGCGGCACAGGGGATGTGTAGAGAGGTAATGGTGTCAATGGCGGCGACAGAGGATTAGCAGATGGAAACGGCGGGGGGCTATTCTGGTATGGTTGTCCCTGCGGGTACGGTTGCGCTTGAGGTGGGTAGGGTTGTGTTTGAGGTAAATATGGTTGCACTGGAGGTGAATATGGTTGTGTCTGTGGTAGATATGGTTGCGCTGGGGGTGAATATGCATGCGCCTGCGGATACGGTTGCGATTGAGGATATGGTGAAGGAACGGGCTGAAAGTAGGACTGCGTTGGTTTTTGCAGGCGCTCAGCGGCCCATGCGTCGAAGACCTCGGTCATGAGTCTCATCCACTCTGGAGGAGCGCCTGTGAAGTTGTATTTGATTGATCGATCTTTGAAGGCAACGAAGTAATGCTCTTTGTGGTATGGCGAAAGGGCAACATACTAGCAAACGAGTTAGCTCCGCGCATATACATGAATTTGATGAAGTAAACTTACAGAGACGGATTGGGGCGCAGCGTCCTTCAAGATCTTGTCCAATGCGCTATAGTGGCCATAGAACTTCCATGCAATATACCCATCTGGATACAGGACCAGCCAGGCGTTCTTCTGGCCTAGAGCTACGCAGCATGGTGTATCGAAAGCCTTGCGCACTTTATCTTCGAGTTCTGACGGTATACCACCCCATATTGATCCATGGCCCGGGGCTGATGCGAAGTAGCTGAGGTTCTGGCCAAAGGTCACGAAACACAATCGCGGCGCATTAGGAAATGACTTGGTCCATCGTGCGAGATCGGCGTAGTTGACATCGAAGTAGGTCTGGGAGTAGACTGCAGGGGTCAGTATGTGCAGGAAGCATTGGAGTGGTCGGTTGTTTCGTTTCATCGCGCCGCGGAATGGGGTTCCAGCCAGGACTCACAGAGCTTGTCTTCGCCGTTCAACGTCTTGCATCCAACATACCACAACGGCTCCGGGGAGTTGACTTGCGGCGCAAGGCCTACACAATACGGCTGGGCAATCCTCCATGCCGGTCCCATGGAACTATTGAACAATTGACGCAGCGTTTGCGGGATTCCATGGCTACGCGTTGTCAGCTCGGCTCAAAGTAGCTTTAACTTGGAATGCTCACAATTTCCATGTTTTGGGACAATCGAAAAAGAATGTATTGTTGGGCCCAAAGACGAATGTTATTTCCGGCATCGAGTCGTTTGTTGCTCAGTACATTCGAGGAAGAGGGGAAAGAGAGTAGGCCGCAGCGGTCGCGCGGGTTGCCTTGATCGCCGGTGACGGATCCGAGCGAAGGAATACGAGGGCTACTTGTGGCGCTTGGGGGCCGTGTGCTGAAGACCATACGGCCTGTCTTTGGGCGCCAGCGCGACGAGCTACCCGTATCGCCAGCCTAGATCGACTGACTTGTCCAGCCCACCAACATGGCGTTGAGGCGAAGCACCAGCGGAAGAGAACAGTCGCATCTTGCTCGAAGCGAAATCAGCGAAATCGCAGTCACATGGGCGATTCCAGCCTGCTATCAAAACATAACAATAAGAAATTGTGCTGACTTGACGCTGTCCGTCTTCTTCTCAAGACACAAGAAGACGGGCTGCATGGGCTAAGCGAGCCTGGCGGGAGAGGAAGTCGCACCCCTAACACAGAAGCGACACCTGCGCATACCTAGCAATACTCCCTCTGCATGTGGTGCTGTCCCTCTAACCTGGCTTACTCTGAAAAGTTTGACTGCTCCTCATGAACCATAGGCCTAGAACAATGCTAAAAAAGACGCAACCACACCAGCGAACAGCATCTCTCCAAGTCACCCAATCTATCCCGCTGACCAATTCTCCTTCCCTATAATCTTGATATAGAGAGAGGGAAAACCCAAGGATGCTTTTTAGTATGGAATCGCTGCTACTCAGCACTCGCGGCACCATTCCGTCTTTGAAAGCATTTCCTTAGTCAGCTGAAGCCTCAAAGACGTTTCACTACAAATCAAGACACGGATATATCCAAAGTCTAGAGGGCATCAACTATGCATCAGAATCTCAGATCTCTACTGTTGCTTGAGCCATGTCGCTTCTTCACGATACCCTTCTTAGCCTCCTCCGCGAATCAAAGAACCCCCAGGTCCTCCACATCGAACAACATCTGCCTCAATACGAATCATGGGAGAAGCTGCATCTCTTGAAGCAGTTGCTGTGCATTCGCGCCCCTTCCCCACCATTGTCGATTCAACTTGTTCGCGACATTGATGCCGTTTTAATTCACGCACGCGACCAGCGCATCCTGACGCTTGGTTCCTCAATACCACCTGTAGCGACCCTACAGCGCCCTGGAAAATCTGACATTTCGATCAAGCTATGGCAGGGCGACATTACATGCCTAGCAAGCGACGTCACGGTCATCACAAATGCCGCCAACGCGCAGATGCTGGGCTGCTTCCAACCAAGTCACAAATGTATAGATAACGTTATACATTCCGTAGCCGGTCCACGACTGCGCCAAGAATGCTTCGATATCATGACGGCTAGAGGAAGTGATCTCCCAGTGGGCGAGGCGCTGGTGACGGAAGGATACTGCCTTCCCTCCCCGCATGTTATACATACCGTGGGACCGCAACTCGCTCGAGGCGCTGTGCCAACGAACGAAGAGATGCAACAGCTCAGACAATGCTACGTGTCGGTACTCGATCAAGCGGAAGGTCTTCCGAGCAATGAAGATGGGTCGAAAAGAGTAGCGCTATGTGGCATTTCGACTGGCCTATTTGCTTTTCCAACAAAGATAGCAGCGAAGATCGCTGTTGAGACTATCATGGCCTGGGCTGTGCACAATGACAACACGTCGATAACAGAAGTTCTCTTCGTCACCTTCGCAGAGGGCGACTACGACATCTACAACGCGCTAATCACGCAAATGCATAGCAAGTGGCCATCGATCCTCACGAACCCATCTCCAACTTCAAATCACAGCCTTCCAATCGAAGGTAAAACACTCAAAATCGCCCGGCAATGGCTTGAAACAGCCGACTCAATCATCATATCCGCAGGAGCAGGTCTCTCCGCCGCCGACGACTTAGACTACACATCCCGCGCCCTCTTCGCGAAGCATTTCCCCGCCTTCCTCAAACTCGGCCTAACAACGCTATACAGCGCAATCGGATTCAACGACTGGCCCTCCGACCAAGACAAATGGGGTTACTACTTCACAAACGTACAAGTAGTACGCTCATGGCCCTCATGGCCCCTCTACCAAGCACTCATCCCCTGGCTCCAAACTTTCGGCGACAAAGCACATGTCCGCACGTCGAATGCAGACGGCCTCTTCCTGGCAAATGGGTGGCCCGAGGAGAAACTCTCTACACCTCAGGGTCGCTACTCGGTGCTCCAGTGTCTAGCAACTTGTCGTCCCGACTCTACTTTCGACACACTGCCTTTCTACGAAGCCGCGTTACCGCATCTGGACACCCAGACGCAACGCCTAACCGACCCGTCAAAAGTACCGCGATGCCCGCATTGTGGTGGAGATATGATGATCTGTGTCCGAGGCGGCGATTGGTTCAATGAGAGGCCTTTTCAAGCGGGCGAGGCGCGGTGGAAGGATTTCAGGCAGAGGGTACGACGGAGTGGGGGAAAGACTGTTGTGCTCGAGCTGGGCGTGGGGATGAATACACCTGGCGTTTTGAAGTGGCCTGATGAAGACCTCGTTCGTAATGGAGATGGTCAGATAAAGCTGATCCGGGTAGGGATCGGTCCTTCTGTCACCATGCCATCTGACTTGGAAGAAAAGGGCCTAGCAATTAGCATCGAGGGCGATATCAAACTTGCCTTGCCTTGGATATTGCCTGATAGTTTAGACGAGACTCTAGCACGATAGCATTTCTTCGCTTAATGCAGAGACAATATATAGCATTCTCTTTCGGTTCTGAGGCTATCTCTACGTTTCTTCTTCGTTGGAATCTTGTTTCTTGTCAAGTAAGCTCTTCTCCTTGATGAACCAAGCAAAGAATGCGCTTCCAGATACCATGACTATGCCAACGCCCAACGCTGCCCTGGTCGCCTGTCCGTAACAGTCTCTTACAATATCCTTGAGATGTGGTTCCAAGCCTCTGAAGTACGCCAGCCCAGCTCGTACGCGCTCAGCAATTTCTTCCGCGTCCTTGTCACCGTTTAGAGCTGACTTGAGAGACGTCCGTAATGTTTGGTTGAAAGCCGTTGCGCACATGGAGATGCCGAAGACGGAGCCCAACGAGCGAAATAGGTAGCTACAGGCTGTGGCGACGGCTTGGTCCGCGTGGGAGGCGTTGGAAATGAGGCCAATGAGTGTGGTCGTTACGCCGATACCATTCGAGAAGGCACATATGCAAGTGCCCACCAGCATGACTGGCAAACTTTTTGTAATCGTTCCAGCAAACAAGAGGATCAGCGAAAGCCCAACGGTCAAGTTCGTGTACGCGATGACCGTGATCCAGTAGTACTTGGCCGTCCGTTTCATATAAAAGCCAGAGAAAAGCGACCCGCTGACGCCACAAATGATGGATGGAGCAAGCAACAACCCGGTTTGAGATGCGCGGTAGTCGTCTCTGATGACTTGCCAGTACAACGGGAGGAAGAAAATCACCGCGAGCCACCCACCAAATGAGAAGAAGTTGCACAAATAGCAGGCGAATAGCGATTTGTTGAGAATGATACGTCCAGGAGCGAAGGGATTGCTTGCGACGTATTTCTCCACGAGGACAAATACAATGAATAGAGGCGTAGTTGCCAGACCCGCGATGGCAAGTGGGCTTCTCCAGGAGATATTCGAGCCGCGATCAAGGCCCAGAAGGAGTCCAAAAACAGCCACAATGAGTATGACGGCGCCGAGCCAGTCAATCTTCGCAACCTTCTCTTTCCAATGCGAGTGGTCCTGCTTCGGGAGATGGAGGGCGAGTGACACAGCAATGAAGGCGCATATGCAAATCGGACCTTGTATAAGAAACGTGTAGCGCCATCCAATACTGTCAGCCAACAATCCGCCCAATGGCGCGCCACCAGCAGCGCCAACGGCATACACCAGATTGATGTAGCCTTGCCAGGTCCCCCTCTCCCTCAAGCCCACAATATCGCTCAGCATGATGCTCGTGCACACTGCCATGCCGCCACCTCCTATGCCTGCGAACGCTCTTGCGGCTATCAGTTCGCCCATGTTCCGCGCCAGTCCACAAAACGTCGAGCCGATGCCGAACACTAGGTATGCAAAGAGGAGACATTCTTTGCGGCCAAAGACGTCAGAGAGCTTGCCGTAGACGGGCTGGAACGCGGAGAGTGTGAGGAAGTAGCCGGTTGCTATCCAAGAGGTTGAGGAGAGGGCGTGCAGCTCGGTGCCAATAATGCCATATGTCGAGACGACGAGAGTTTGGTCTGCTGCTGCTAAGAAAACCTGTGGACATACTTATCAGCTGGTATACGAATAATGACGGAGTAGTCCTACTCACACCTATCGCAATTGCAGGAAATATATACTTCATGCGCTTCTTCACCTCAGGCAAGCCCTGATGTTTGGAGCTATCACCATGGCTGACTTGCCGCTCAATGTCTCCTCCGTCGTTCTCATTGTCGTCCTGAGTACCTGCTGCCCCGGGAGCAACGCCAATGCTTGTGTCAATTAGATGTGCGTTTTCAACCGGCTTTGGTAGTAATGGTGATGTTTCCGTAGACTCTGTGGAGTGGTGTTGCTGCCGTGAATTGTGGGGGGCCATTTTGCGGGGGTCGCCTGGAATGCCCTAATGATGTTTGTTTCAACGCACAAAGTGAGCAACTATAAGAGCAGCGTAAGCTAATTTCAATCAGCCATCAAAGCTAGTAATGCTCAATTTTTTCAGCATGGTTCTGAATAATCCGAGATCCACAGCACGCCATCAGTGAGTCACGACTCGGGAGGGAGCTATCGCTAGGATGCATTCTATTGGTGCATCTAACGCATATCTCCGTGATTGCGATAGGCAGGTGCCACGCATGTCACGTGGAAGCGTGACACCGCGTCTTCGTACGCGGCTAAACTTTACAAGAGGACAACCAGCATAGGGCGTGCATCCCGTATCTGCTTGACATGTCTTCCTCTAGCTTATGTGACTCCCACCATATTTGGTCCCTTAAAAGGCTGACAGGACTAAACATATCCGCTTACTTTGCCCCTCAAGATAACAACAAGCTTCTCTCTAACCTCCAAACATTGTTCGTGTACGCAAAGTACTCCAGGCTCCTCTCTCCCTCCCAAGCGTCAATGTCTCGAGCACTCTCCCAACCCTTCAACGGCCACTGCGCCTGCAAAACCATAACCTACACCCTCCTCGCCCCACCTCTGATAACCCACTGCTGCCACTGCACCTACTGCCAACGCGAATCCGGCTCAGCATTCGGCCTCAACAGCGTCGTCGAAATCTACAACTTCCGCATCACGTCTTCCGCCAAACCTACCGTGACGGGCGTCTCATCGCTAAGTTCTCCCTCGGGCGACAAACACCTGATAGCGCACTGCCCGAAATGTCTTACTGTCTTGTACGCACATTATGGTGCGAACAGGAGCTTGATGTTTGTCAAGGTGGGTTCGCTGGATGATGAGAGTAGAGAGATGGTGAGACCGGATGTGCATATCTTCACTAGTACGAAGATGGAGTGGGTTAATTTAGGGACGGAGGAAGAACGTGGTGTCAAAGTTTTCGAGGAGTATTATCCAAGGGAGGAAGTGTGGAGTCAGGAGAGCTTGAAGAGGAGGGAACGGCTGCTGGAGTGGCTGGAGGAGAAGAAACGGGGTGAAGAAGATGTGGGGCCAAAGGAGGATTGACGTGTTGATGGGATGTAGAACAACGTGCTTCTTATTTGATGCATTGAAAGTTTCCATTGGCGCCTGAATTCTAGCTCTACAGCTATATAACTATGCAAAACGCCTTGAGTTCATTCTCATTAAATGCTCCATATAGATCGCGTATAGACATGATGCTCACAGCCCAGCCTTCACTACCAGCACACTCGCGCCCAGTTTGCCCTCCCACACCTTCTCCGCCAAAACGCCCAATGTACTTGCCGCAGATGATGAGCTGGTGATCGCATCTGCATCGTCTGTGGCCAACACATTGTTTCGGCCAATGTTCCTACCCAAGACAACAAGGTCACCTGCGTTCTTGGGTGCTTGCCCGACTTCAATACTTGCTCGAGCGATGACATCCTTAACTGGAGTGGTTGAAGGCACCGTTTCAAAAATGACGCGGTCTCCAAGATCCGCGGGCAGGGAGGCGTGCAGTGATGCGAAGAATGCTGCGTCTTGTTCGCTGGAAGTAGAAGGCGACGTATGTACAATTTCACCTGCTTTACCTGCAACTGCGCTTGTGGATGAAGTAGATGCAAAAACAGCGCCGATAATGGATTCGGGGACATTGAAATAAACGATCGTGGCAGTCACATGCTGGTTCTCGGCGAGCTGCAAGACGAGACGAAGAGCTGTACGATCGTCATCACCACCAAAGAATGGGAAAAATATGTGGTGACTGCGGTCAGCGATGGGTGCTGTGACGGCCTTGTCGCGAGTGCTAGCAAGACTAATGTTGCTGAACTTTTTGGTGAGCTTCAAGTCTTGCTTCTGGTCTTTGTTCTTGCTGCCGCCAAAGTTCTTGTTCACAAGCACCGCCACAGGAATACCGGATTGCTCGAAAGTCGAGTTGACGAAGGAGGTGTAGGACGAGGCGGCAAGCTTGTTCTTCGTCCCCTTATCCTCAATGATGGCTTGTTCGGACATACCCCCCGTTTCGCTCCATGGAAGCAGGAGGAAGTCGGAGTCTGAAGCCCGTGTACTCAAAGTCTCGGCAAATGATGACTCTGGCACAACCAGAACCTCGCCGCTGACCGCTAGGTTATGTAGTCTACCAAACGTCCGGAAGGTATTGACGACAGGGTCGTACGCTGTGTAGGAATCCATCTCGGACACTTGCATCACGGAAGATCCACGATCTGTCAGATTTAGCAGGCGTAGGCCATAAGCTTCGACTGGTCGATGCGGCGTATCTCCCTCCTGCGGCAATTCGCCAATTTCGTTGCTCGTATCGATGACCTTGGAAGGATGCGTTTTTGCCGCTGGCTTGTCCGCATTCCCCCCAAAGAGGGAAGTAAAAGCAAGTAGGTTCGGCATGCTATCGAGACGAAGGTAGACGGTCAACCGCTTGATCTTCTCGGCAGCAAGCTTGTCATAATGCACGCTGTCCCTGGCGCTTTCGGATCCGTCCAAGGGTTTTCCGGTATCCCAGTCAATCTCGCCTCGGCGGAAGGCCTCAACCTTCTTCTGGTACCACAGTGGATAGAAGTACATTGTAAGCGGAGAAGAGGCGAACGTGGTAACGAGGGCCATAACGACGAAGATGGTAAAGGTTCGTGTGCTGAGAATCTTGGCGTTCAGCCCAATGTTCTGTGCCCGTTAGTAATTGAAGCCAATGAGAATGTGATAGCTCGCTCACCAAAACAATCAGCTCTACTAAACCCTTGCAACTCATCAACGAGCCAATAGCAAAACACTCGCGCCACAACATCTTCGTTCCGCGAGCTGCGAGTGTGGCACTAATGAACTTGGAGAAGAAGGCAACAGCGACGACTCCAATAACATACGCCCAGACAATGCCAGAGTCCAACAGTCCAATGTTGGTATTAAGACCAGAGAGGGTGAAGTATAGCGGAAGGAACAGTCCGCCGATCAAATCTTCAATCTTCTCAGCCACTTTGATGGCGAAACCACCTTCGTGTGGACAAATCAATCCGGCCATGAAGGCTCCAAAGATGGGGTGCACTCCAATAATACCAGTGAAGAAGGCTGACCCCAAAGCGATCAATAGCGTGAGACTGATGATGCCTTGACTAGGACCATCTTGGAGCGCACGGGATCTGCGAAGGACGTATATGAAGGCCGGTCGAATAATGTAGACGAGAAACAGCATATAGCCGGCACATGTGAGAAGCACCCAAAGGGCTGTCAGACCAGAGCCTGCATTGACAAGGGCGACGCAGAGCGCAAGTAGGACCCATCCTGAACGAGTTGTTAGTCGCGCATAGCTGAGTGGTCTATCAAGGGGCTCAACTCACCCACAACGTCGTTTCCAACGCCAGCTGCTAGCACAATGACTCCCACAGGGGTCATAAGCAGCTTTAGTTCAGTGAGGATACGGCAGAGGACAGGGAAGGCCTGGAAATGTCAGCAAAGCGATGCGTTGTTTCCGATTCGAAACTCACAGTAATGGCCATTGCAACGCCAATAAACAACATGAAGATGGGAAAACCAATTTGCACTGTGCCTGGCTCGTCCTTGAACTCATTGTACAGCCCAACTGCAATGGCGCAACCTAGGCCGAATGGTATGGCCATGCTGGCCAGGCCGACATTTAGAGCCACTTTCCAGTTGCTAAGCAAGAATCGGAGATCTACTTCTAAGCCAATGATAAACAGAAAAAGGGTGAGACCAATGTTGGCAACCAGGTTCAAGTTGGTCATTGATGCTTCCGGAAAGATCGAAGTCTTGAAGCCTGGTATCCGGCCCATTACGGAAGGTCCAAGAATGATGCCGCCGATAATCTCGGATATAACTCGAGGCTGTCGAATCTTAGAGAGGGGCCAGTTCAGGGCGCGACAGAAGATGATGATAATGGAGGCCTGTAGTATTCATGGTTAGTGTATGCTTCTGTATGATGGTCTCGCCTGCGCAGAATGCTCATCTGGAGCCAAAGCACCATTCCGGTAAGCAATGACATGATACGCAGCCGTAAGATCACAGGTGATCACGGTACATTGGCGAAGCTTCCTCACGCCAACCAAAGCTATCATCCAAAACGGACGCGAACCCGACGACTTACCTGCACAATGAATAGAATAATGGGATTCTTTGCGTCAAAATGTACTGGGTTGACACCTTCCAGTACACCTCCTTGCGGAGGCGCCTTTACAGGCGCCGTGGGCGATGCGCTCGCCGAGGCTACGTTGGTCGACATGGCGAACGCGTGGGGGTGGGGTGGATGTGACCGGATTACCCCAGATTAATCCCCAGAGAAAAGTTAAACTCTACCCCGGATTATGGAGATGCGACGCGAAGATGTCGGACGGCTACAACGCTTCTAATAAAGAAGAAGCTCAGGCCAGGGAAAGCCCGCGTCAGCCCAGCCGCCAGACAGGTGAGCGACTTTTTGGGATTCGACCGGGGATGGTCGCGGGTGCAATATGCAGGGTACGGCGGAAGCTAGCGAGAGCGTGTACTATTCAGGGCGTTGTGCTGTCCATGCTGTCCATGTGATAGCTGCGAAGGAGGGTCTCGTGCATGTTCAACGGGGGTTGTTGTAGGTTGAAGATGCCCGCTTCACCGCTTGCAGGTGGGTCCATGGTGGGTGGTGGCGTAACGCGCGTGAATTTGACGCCAAGTAAAGCAGAGCCCGTGATCGGCACCACTTTGGTTGCATGGCGCCGCTGGCGGGCTGGGCGTCTTCGGCTCCGTTGCTCGAAACATCACCACCCAGGAATCGCGCCAAGCCACATACGCCAGTCCTCCACAAAGGTAGTTGTGTGTTCAGATGATATATTAGGGCTGAGTTAAGGTTGTTGCCTGTGATGCAGAAATGCTTATAGACCAGAGGAATCCGTCACCTGGCTTTGTGCCACCGAAAGCCAGACTCTAGACACATTGCAACAACCATACGATAGAACAAAAAACATGGCAGAAGAAGTGTCTGCGCAGCCTTGGGTGACTCAAAAGGTGAGTAGCAACGTGGGTGTTATTTGATGCCTTGGCAGACGTCTGCCCTGCTCTTTTTTCAGTGACCGTTATTTGCTCGCTCAGGTACGTACCAATTCCCAGGTTATCAATCTCTGGGTACGTACCAATTTCCAGCCTTTCTTTCCAGACCCATAAACGTCAAGTTCGGCTTCATCCCCCGCATCTCCCAATGGTCAACTGCTAGTATCTTCTCGTTCATTACCCCACATCTACCTCACTCTTCCCCCTGCTATATAAGATCCTCGCGGCAGCGTCCAACAATGAGAGACGTCCTTTCTCACCGATCACGAAGGTACATCCGCGGCCGCAAGCCCTTGTGTAACGCTATCTACTCATAGACTGGTCGGGAGAGAGTTCCATGATGCGACCCTCGTGGAACACTTTGAATGGCCATCTCATAAGACAAAGAATTCAAGAGATCGGGATATATAAAGTGCGAGGGAGTTCGATTTCGACGGTTTTCATCCTCGATATAGAGTCTCACAAAACACTCAGACCCTTCCATTCCAATCAGAACCACGTAGAAGGAAACGTTTGTACAGCAGCCGTTGACGATGTTTTACGCTTTCAGTGACGAGCTGGTCTCCAACGAGGGAGTATGTTGCTGCAATTGTCGTAGGTTACCTTTTGGGTCGTGTGTGAAGGCTCCTATGCCCGTTTATATCTGCGCTAATGTCGTGGGGTTGCGTTAGCACGACCAGTACATAACCCACACTTCGACGAGTCTGATACGGTCCTTGTCTAGACCAAGGAAAGATTCGATGGAAGGAATCGCTTGTTAGAAACTCCAGGATGTCAAAGAAGAACATAATAGTGATGTGTGGGAAACGCAAGGCTGGTCACTGAGTTGTGACAAACATATCACTCGATTTGATAAATTGCAAATACGTTTCATAGCTCAGATGTCTTATATACACTATATCCTAGCCACCTAAGCATCTTCTACAAATAGGAAGTTTCCCAAGAAGCCGGGCTCGGAGGCAGATCGCCTGTCGCCCAATCTACTGGGCGCTCTCCAAGCACATATTCCATGGTCCCTCCATCCTGAAACACATCCTCCCAAGCCACCCACGCCTTATCCCACACCTCTCCATTGACCTTCAGACTCTGAACATAAAATGCAGTACCACGATCACCACCAGTCGTAGTAATCTTAAGCATCTTGCCATCTCCAACTCTGATAGTCATAGACTCAAACCAGGGAGACAAAACGAGGAAAGTAGTCTGCCCCGTCAACGGATATAGCCCAATCATCTGCCACTATCATCCCGCATCAGCACCCATCCCCGCCACTCAGTCTGACTTGTCGCACTCACCAATAAATTACTCTCCATAGCCCCCGCATCAGAATTTCCAGGCAACCCCTTCTCCCCAGCCCCATATAACCCCCCAATATACCGACTACGATCAACACTCCTCCACTGCGCCCCTCTCAGAAGATTATAAAGAAACGGACTCGTAAACCCAGGCTCATTCCCCGCATTGAATATCTTCAGTTCAAACAGCTTGTTCAAGCGATCTACAAACCGCTCGTCGCCGCCTACTCTCCGCTTGAGCTCAGCGACATCGTGGATAGCATTCATGCTGTATATCCAACTGTTGTCTTCGTAGTATGCATCGCCCCAGTAACAGCCGCCACACTCAAGAGGGTCTTGCGGGAGGAAAGAACCATTTGCGGCACGCGGAACGACGAAGCCTGTGTGGTTGTGGGAGGTTGCACGAGGGTTCCAGTGGTTCCGCCAGTTGCGGGAGCGATTAAAGTATCTCTCTGCTTCGTCTACCTTTTCTAGGCCGGCGGCTACTTGGTAGAGGGCGAAGTCGTTCGTTGAGTACTCTACCGCCTTGGACACAGCCCTGGAGTATCGCGGGGTGATATATCCGTATTGTAGCCAATCTGGTAGCGCACCGCGCCCTTCCTTCGTCGAGGAGTCAGGCGCTTTCGGGTCGAAGTTGTTTGCTGGTACGACTTCGGCGTCAGTTTGCATAGCGGCGAAACCATCTTCCCAGTTAATAGCCCCTGTCACTCCTTTGACAAACGCATCGGCTAGCACGTTATCCGCGTTTGAGCCCCCCTGTACTCTGCCGTTGAAGTTCGAGGAGCGCGCGTCGGGCATAAAGCCGTCGTGTCGCCAGATGTCGATGAGCGAGCGGATGAAGTCTTCGTATGCTTTTGGCTGGATGATGTGGGAAAGCGAGGTGTGGCAGCGGTGTGTGTCCCAAAGAGTGAACACATCGTCGTAGTACGGTTCTGTGCTGCTCCAATTTGGATTTTCACCGGTTCTGTTCGAGGGGATGAGGAACATCCCGTAGAGCGAGCTGTAGAGGAGCTGTAAGTCTTCCGTATGGTTTGATGATATCTGCACTTTATTGAATACCTCCTCGTTCCATCTACTCTTCGCAATCTGAACCAGAGTTTCAAGTTCCGTGTCTTTAGTAATCTCCGCATTCAAGTTCCTGCAGGCTTTCTCGGTAGATATGAACGAGATGCCCACTCGTGACTTCAGATCGGTTTCGACGAAAGTAAACACACCTCCAAGTCTCGCATGACCGGAAACCGAAGACGAGTTGCTGTAGGATCTAGACGCACTTACATTACCGTTGAAAGTCCGTGAGCTAAAAGGCTGGTGGCTGAAATTTCCGCAAAAGTAGATTGTCCAATCGGGCGAGAGATTCCATCCGTTGTTATAAGTGCCAGAGCCTTCGTAATGTCCATCAGGAAAGATGCTAAAGCTGCCCCCGGAGTAATGCTGTTCCCAGCCCAATCCCCTGAAGCTGGGAAGTACATGTGATGCATCAACGACAATGGATGCCGTGCCATTACTTGGGAACGAGTAAGAGTATAGACCGGCATGTTCGGTGGCAGCCAATTGCACCGTCACACCGTTCGCAAGAGTGGATTTGTAGTATCCAACACTTGCCTCATCTGGCAATTCTCGAGGTTGAGATAGATCCACAAGAGGATTCGGTACTTCTCCAAGTACTGGAATCTGTGACACAACGCCATATTTCGGTGCTCCTCCCGTTCCAGACTCGTGCATCATGCTAAATCCCCATATTTTTCCGTCTGGAAGATATCCAGAGTAGGCATCCATAGTCCCATTTACTACATCAGGCCCAAGCTTGACCATTGCAAAAGGCGCTGCTACGACGCCAGGGAAACGGTTACCGCCGCCTCGCGTCCCCTGACTGCTCATACTTGGTAATCAATCTATCAACGGGGAATTGGTACTCACAAGACATTAACATTTTGAGTAACATCTCCATGGACTCCAGTAACTGCAGCGTGTGAAAACAGTACAAGGCATTCCGCAGTTCTACGCATGTTAAATGCTGTCGTAGCAAAAGCACGCTCGAGTGCTTAGGATTTGGAAGACAATAGAGAAACTGAACCCCAATCTTAGGAACAAACTGATCCCAATGCGAGGGTTTGGACGAAGAGATGCTATCTCCCATTTCGCTTTACGCAGAGAGTTCGTACTAATGTATCTGTACCTACGTGGATACAAACGAAACCCCGCAGTCGGATATACTCTCGATCTCAGCGAATAAGAAAGCAAAGAGAAACGTCGTGGACCGTTTAATTGGAGAGAATCGTGCCAAGGATCTCGTTTTGGCGGTGGCTTTGCGGCTATAGGACTCCGGGTTAGTTCTGTGGTCACTAGGCGGCCAGCGACATTAGGTGGAGCTCCAAGGCGCTGCTACACTACATTGGCCGCACATACATAGAGGATGGCTGAAAATGTACAATGTTATCCAGCATGCCAGGTTTAAGGTGGGGTTCCCGTAATACTTCCCGAACGTGCATGATAGTTCCATTGGACACGCGGGTCGCAATAATCCTTGACCAATCGAAACTGCGATATACGACATGTGAGCAGCTTGCGGGTAAATGCAACGAGTACTTAAAAAAGTTGGATAAGATGGACTGCATGATGTTACGCGGAGGAAATTCGCCAGATGCTGTGTAGTCGATACATTCGCGCAGCTTAGCACAATGTTCAGATTGCTAAAAAGCTCCCTGCTCTGGCAAAATCTCATGGCTCTTGCTCCACCCTTTCAGGTTATGGACAATCGGGTTTCGACCTCCCCTTGTTATAATCCAGACAACATCTTCGTCACTATCGTTGACCTCTTGATGCTCTGCGTAGGCAGGGATAAGCGCGAAGTCGCCAGGGGCAAGGTCCTGTTTCTTTTCGCCATTCGGTCCACTGACGATAGTGCCATGGCCCTTCGCTGCGTATACAATCGTATCTGGGAGCTGTATTAGACAGGGTGGACCGTGGATACCGAAAGCAAGCGTGAGTGGGGTGTGGGATTTCAACTGACCCTCTTCACCGTGGTGATGAACAGCTGATGCTGTGCGAGGTTTTGCAATCATCACTGCTCTCGTGAGAAAGTGCGATGAAGCACAGGGTGTACAGAGGACTTGCCAGTGCCGCAGATCTGATCCGACATGTCTGTAATGGCCGACATCCTGATCATCCCATCTGTCTGTGGCCCATCTGGCGCCTTGATGTCCGAGCCTTTCTTAACCTGTACCTGGCCGGGGAGTCTATCTTGCGGCGACATGGCTGTAGCAACGAGAGTTTAGTGGCAGTGTGGTCGGTAGTAGTATAAGTGTAGAGGACTCTATGAGCTGTTCGATCATGACGAAGAGCTTATGCGGAGTAACTCCGCACGCATACGCGACCAGCAGAAAGAGCTGGAGCGACGTCCATAAGGGCTGCGCAATGTCCCAAATTTGGCTCAGCTACGTCTTGAGCGCCTACTACTGTACCTCCGACGTGTTGTCAGGCATTTGAATGTCAGCATCAGCATTTGGCTTGTGAAGACGCGCTCGACCTCTGCCGACCCCACACGTGAAGCGCACCCTTGTTGTGCCTCGGCATCGCGACCCAGTGACGTCGACGGTGTTACACCTCCAATGCGGCAGCTACGCCGCCCAGCCAATCGGCGTGGACGTATACCAGCTCACGAGATCACAAGCTTGCGGCCGCTGCACCCCAGCTGGCCCGTCCCCGGACTTTCTTGGCGTGGAGTCCGGCATGTGAAAGGACTCGAAACCGACCAGGAGGTCGGTTATAACCTACTCAAAGCCAGTTGCTTTGTCCTGTGATCCACCTCGACTCTTGTACCAGTACTCTGTGCTTCTCCTATCTTTCCTGTATCCACTTCACGATTGTAAACATGTCACAGCGCTTCTCGGCCGCTGACGTCGCGTCGCATAAGTCGGCGGACAGCCTGTGGATCATTGTCGACGAGGACGTCTACGACGTCACAAACTTCCAGGAAGAGCACCCTGGAGGGAAGAAGAGTGCGCCAATCCCATCTCCAAACTACGTAGCCCTCGAATCTAACAGTCCCCAGTCCTCCAGCGCGTTGCAGGCAAAGACGCCTCGAAGCAGTTCTGGAAGTACCACAACGAGAGCATCCTCAAGAAGTACCAAAAACTCCAAGTTGGTTCATTAGACAGCAAAGCCGCGCCGCCGACACCTCCACCAACACCACCTCCGGCGAAGAAGGAGGAGAAGAAGGATGTGGTGAAGCCTGAGGCGAACTCGGGGGTTGTTGCGCCTCAGCCAACCGAAGCTGCGGCCGAGGATGCTGAGCCTTTCGATTCCTATGGCGATCTGGTTCCCTATGCCGACCCGTCGTGGTATCAAACGGTACGTGACTCGAGTCGCTATAGCATTGCGCCGTGACTGACAGATAGCTTGCAGTACCACTCTCCCTACTACAACGAAACACACGTCGCCCTCCGCGAAGAAGTCCGCCAATGGGTCGAAGAGAAACTCATGCCCAACGTCACTGATTGGGATGAAGCGAGAAAGGTTCCCGACGAGATCTTCCTCGACATGGGCGAGCGCGGATACCTCGCCGGTCTGCTCGGTATACACTTCCCAGCTGCATACACCGATAAGAGGATCAAGAGTGTTCCGCCAGAGAAGTGGGACCACTTCCATGAAATGATCCTCACAGATGAGCTGTCGAGAACTGGTAGTGGTGGTCTCGTCTGGAATTTGATCGGTGGATATGGTATTGGCGGACCTCCATTATTTAAGTTTGGAAAGAAGGAGCTCGTTAAGCGTATTGGGCCTGGTCTCTTGAGCGGCGAGAAGCGCATTTGTCTTGCTATTACTGAGCCAGGTAAGAACACCACCCCTCTCACCAAGCCCTATAACTGCTTGCTAATGACTCGACAGATGCTGGAAGCGACGTCGCAAGCTTGACCTGCGAAGCCAAGCTCTCCGAAGACGGCAAGCACTACATCGTCAATGGCGAAAAGAAATGGATTACAAACGGCATCTGGTCCGACTACTTCACAACCGCCGTTCGCACTGGTGGCGAAGGCATGAACGGCGTGTCAGTCCTCCTCATCGAGCGCTCCGCAGGGGGCGTCAGCACGCGCAAAATGGACTGCCAGGGTGTCTGGTCCAGCGGCACAACATACATCACCTTCGAAGACGTCAAGGTACCCGTCGAGAACCTCATCGGCAAGGAGAACCAGGGCTTCAAGGTCGTCATGACCAACTTCAACCACGAGCGCATCGGCATCATCATCCAGTGTCTGCGCTTTTCTCGCGTCTGCTACGAAGAGAGCATCAAGTACGCACACAAGCGCAAAACTTTCGGCAAGCGCCTCATCGATCACCCTGTCATTCGTCTCAAACTCGCACACATGGCTCGCCAGATCGAGGCTTCGTACAATTGGCTCGAGAACCTCGTCTTCCAGTGTCAAAAGATGAACGAGATGGAAGCCATGCTGAAGCTCGGCGGCGCTATCGCTTCATTGAAGGCGCAGAGTACTACAACCTTCGAGTTCTGTGCGAGGGAAGCAAGTCAGATTTTCGGAGGGCTGAGTTATAGTCGTGGTGGGCAGGGTGCAAAGGTAGAGCGGTTGTATAGGGATGTTAGGGCGTATGCCATTCCGGGAGGTAGTGAGGAGATTATGCTGGATTTGAGTATTAGACAAGCATTGAGGGTGCATAAGGTTTTGGGCATGAAGCTGTAAGAATATCAAGGACGTGAGTAGCTGCTGCATCTTCTTCTTCTTCACGTGCACAAATAGAACCAATATTAAGAGAGTGTACTCGATTGACTCTAGTACCTACTCCGCGACCGTCAAGTCGCATACTCCAACCTCTGCAATCGAGGCGTCCATTATGAGGGAGGGGTTCTCCCCTGGAAATGAGCTGGCGTATCTCTCTTTTTTCTCCACCATTTTACCCGCGCCACAGTGGCCTGATAGGATCTCATCTACCAGCGCATGTGGAGGTTCCAACCAGAGTGCCCATGCTTTCCATCGTCTGAAAGCGTGTCTACAGCTGTGCGGGATTGGCGCAGTAGCTGTAGACGGGGCGCCTCACCTCTAACGCGGGACAACCAGGTCAGCAAGATTGCTCGTGCGTCCTCCCTGGAGTTTTGATAGGTAATTTTCTTGTTTCTTGTTTCCATTCTGTGTTGCTGGACAGCATTGTAAGACTGTAGCGATGTCCGAGAGCCTTGATATCACGCTAAAACTGGGTTCGTTAGCATTCTCACTTCTTGGAGGTTGTTGTGGGGACGAACATTGTAGCGCGTGCACACAGTGAAGCCAATCCTCGTCCGTTTTTCTCCAGCTCGCCTCTCACCCAACCCGATTGACTCCAATGCCTCCGCTCCCCACTACGTGCAGGTAGTACACCGTAATCTTCAAATGAGATTGCTACGAGTCGAGAGACTCGTATACATCCAGGCCACACGCAACTGCTCGACCGGAGCCCATCAGCGATAGCCCTTACGGGCTGTACACGGCGCCACCTCAGATCGAAAACACAGCAGGCTGTCATCATGATCTGTCCCACATCTTGGGAACCAGGGTACCCTTTGAGTTCTCCTCGAGAGGAAGCCCGAGCGCTTAGCCTGCTCGATTCTCGACGACGATCATTATGATCACCTCACCACACACCGCACCGCGAGCCCCAACAATCAATCAGCTCATATACCAGGTTCGTGACGGCGCGAAAGAGCGATGACACTGCTTCTTACTCCGACGAGGCCAGCGCGCCTCAATGACGAAGGATGCACGAGGGTCTTTATCGGGCCGAACCATTCGACGACTGAGAACCCCACCACCGCTGACAGGCAACGCAACAGCGGAAATGGTGTACCGAATGTTGACACTGAGTACGCTGGCCGGTCATTCAAGCCGAGTCGATACTCCGCCGTAGCAACAAGACGATGATTGCCTCAGATCAAAGGTCCTGGATGGGAGATGTCAAGATACTCGAAGACGCTCCACACAGCTTTGGGGTAGTTGCAGGAAGCCTTCACAAGACCCGGTTCAACCAGCTAACAGCAGCTAGAAGTTGAGTAGAGCTAGGACACCTGGCTCGATTTAATTGCAAAAGAGCTGACACAAGTCTCGCTTCGTCGATCGATTTCAAAGTCGCGACACGACAGGTGCATTGGGAGCCGGTTGTCCGTTCGAGACAAGCATACATGAAAGAATGTAAAGCGTCGCAGAGATGGCGCTCATCAACCGAGCCAGTGTGTTTGCGTTGATACCACATCGCCATTGAAGGAGCTGGAACGGCGGCTCGCCCGCATGACCGGTGCCGACCCAGCCTGTCGACGTGCTGTCGAGTCGACATCTAACAAGCAGGACTCAATGCCACCAGGTGTTCCGTGGCTGACCTGAATGTTCGAATCGGTGCTGGTCCCAACGACGCAGCAGCAAAGTACGACCCGACATTGCAAGCCTCGATCTGGGCGAACCTGAGTCACCCCACCCATTGAGAGTTAAGATGCCTTGATCACTCTGCAAAACAAGTGTCAGGTCGTTGAAATTGTCGACAGTGATATGTTCAATACGACATGGACCAGACCATGGTGCGTGTCTACCAGAGTTCCTGATGCACGCAAGCCAAGGATATGGTGTGGGCAAACATGCGCTGCCGGTGGACCTTATGATGGTCCAAACATTGTGAGTGATTTGGCCTGATTCCATGGTAGTGAGGTCGCTCTCGTCGCCTATCTGAAGGGTAAGAACAACTCCAGATACGAACTCATGAGCAAGATCCGACATGTCTTCAAGCTTAGGACGCTTAGTCCTCTTCGTCGAATCGTCTTAGTGTGTCTGGGACTGGCTGGCAGCTCAGAGCTTTAAGCTCTCGAATTGTACCAGTCGCAGCTGTTGCCACCGTCGTCTCAACTCTGCTTCGCAGAGCCTCGGCCTGACCAGCAAGGGACAGTCTGTACATGAAAGACACTTGTCCTATTCATGTAGTGGAATTACTCCCCACTTTGTTCGGATTCAACCTTGTGTAATCGTGCTAGACTCGCTGCCATCACGAGCGCGAAATGGTAGATGGCACGAGCTAGGTGTATACTCTGAGCATGGTCCTAGGCTTCCGATAGCCGACCGGGCTACCTTCTTTCTGGACTATCCGCTACCCGCATCGAAATTGTGTCGACGCCAGTGTCAGGTTACCTAGGCAAAGGCATCACTGTCATGCGTTGTGGAGCCCAGGGTTAGGGGGTCTTGTGCGCGGTCTAGCCTGTCAGTCTCGCACCCTGCAGGAGCGGGTGTGTCAAGCCGACAAGTGTTACTGGCGGCGACGCTACAGAAGCGGTCATCATCTGTAGTCTCACCCTGTCCTTCAGTCTCTGTTAAAATCGCAAGTGAGCTACCTGCGGAGCTCATCGCTCAGATTGTGTTCCAAAGGCGGGGTTGCTCTCGGATGCGAAGTCTTGACGCGCCCATGGAAGAGGCTGCTCGGTCCGGCGCTGGAGGTCGAAGTGGGTATGGCAAGGAGGCTATCCGGATCTCCAGAATGATGTGGCTGCTTCCCGTGCTGAGCATCTGTGTATGGTGTTGCGATCTGCTCAATGTGTCCTGGAAGGAGCTGTGTGTCGCACCTGCTCACTCACGTCGGGTGTGGTTTACCTTGATGGTCAGACCCGGCCATGGCTCCTGGTACAGGGGAGAGTATCATACAGACAGAATCGCAGGAGAGTTGTAAAATGCCGCGCTGTGGTGAGGTGGATCTGTTACTGTCGAGGCTGTCGAGGCTGTCGAAGCTGTCGGTATCACAACCACATGCCGGCTGGGAGAAACAGCAGTAAGCACTGTTATTTTCCAATGGCTCCCACTGCAGTGAGAGACCAGAAGTCCCTCTGGCAACACTGCTCAGAGAATCTTGTGGGCGGAGGTGGTGGTGGTGAGGAGGAGAGTGTCAAACCTAGCGGCGGGAGCTTCAAAATTGATCGAGCGCACGGCCAGCAGCGTGAATATCCGGAGCACGCACAGCGATATGGAAAGATGACAGAGACATGCTTGAATAGCATGAGAAAAATGGATACGGGGTACTCTGCGGAAGTCTCTTACCTGCTGCACAACCAAATCGAGCTGCAGCACGTTGGTTCAGCGTCAAACACGGCCTGAGGTGTCGGCTGGCTCTATCCCGCCGAGCGAGCAAGTGAGACTCTGCTATACGCTCGAGCGTCTTAATTCCACGGAGAACTACATACGTGGGAAAGGAGATTATGAAAGGATGTCGAGCAGAGCTAAAGGCCAGGGGTGCAGGATGCACAGTTCCGAGCTTAGATCAGCATTCTTTGCCTATTTGGCTCAGGTCTGAATTTCAAACCTCACGACATCTTTCCACCATCGTTGTGTTCTGCAAAACATAAGCACAGCTACAAATGTTGGGTATTTTCAATTAGGAGCAAACTTCACGCCAAACTAGGATAGATCCTATATCATGATAGATCTGGACATTTGCCGCATACTACAGCTGTCTCACCACACCGATCTAGCTGTGGCTGTGTCCTCAATGCAGTGCAAGAGCTCGGTATGAAAGAACTTGGGTACAATATAACAGATCAAGAGGATAAGATTGCACTATTAGGGGTACGGGGCCTCGCCGTACGTACAACGCTGTACCTTCCAGCTTTGTTTGTATCTTTCATTCCCCTCTCCACCCGGGGATGTTAGATATGATTATGATCGCAAGGCCATCGTACCATTTGTGGTGCATCTAGGAGCAAAAATGGAAAACGGTTCAGTACAACCATGACTGGGTTCTGGGGATATAAGGACAGGCATTAGCTGTCCAGCGTCGATACGTTTGTTTCCATACGCCCTTGACACATACTCCAAGCGGGGCATGAGGACCTTCAGTATTCGTAACACTTACAGCATATTGAACTCTAATTAATGTTATGAAGATAGCTGTGAGGCGGAACAGAAGCGCCAGCCGGTTCGGTAGTAATCGGGATATCCGGTGCTCCTATCAGGCAACAGACAATGCGCCCTACACAAGGCTTGAGTGATAATGTGACTTCACAAGAAATATCAAATTCCAAAGGAGCGGCAGGCGTGGAAGCATGGGAACTCACAGCCGGCAAAGCTTTATAAGAACCTCATTATACTAGCATTTTATGTCTGAGAGGAGAGAGATACCAATCGTGCAGCGATATGCCCTCAGTTCTTCGTGTGCCGAGATCTTTAACCCTCGAATCTCTACATCCCGCCTGAACCACTGCAGGCTAGCAACTGGACGAAGAGGTTTGATGGATAATGGCATTGGATGTAAACAGCCAGGGGTGGGGATGGACACATGAGGCCGTACAGACTTTGAGGTAAATCTGGATATATTTTCTTCCAGACGATGGAGAGCCCTAGATAGCCACAACATGAAGCAACGTGGATAGCTCCAATGCGTCGTGAAACCGTTACTAGCTTCACGAATGGGCTTGACCATTTGAGATATGCGCGTGGGGGTACTAGCGGCGTTTGGCGTGGGGCTTAGTTCCAAAGTTCCTATAAACCAGTTCTCCCAACGCCATCAACTGTGAGGAACTCTATGTTCTTTTCTGGTATCACGCTCGGCTTCTCACTACTTAAACCGAGGTGCATCTAGCTCGTAGGGCTGTCCTCATCCCGACGAGCATGGTAAGGCGCCCGGCCATGCAGCAATGGGCTACCTCTCCGCTCTCACGGAGGAAGCTCCGATGGAGTCATGGCGTTTTGGCTCCGCCACCGATGCCTGCAGGGACAGACACTGTCGTGGGCACTGTCGCCACGGATATGAAAGTTTCGAGTGGCAACGTTTGTCGGAACTTCACAACCTCACCGGAACAGTTGATCCGGCTTTGTTTTAGACCCACTTGTCTTCGACCTTGTTGTCTCGAATAATGACCGAACGCCGGGACAAGACAGATACAGCACCACGAAAACGGGCGCTCGTGAGCTGCGACCGGTGCAAATTACGAAGAGCTCGATGTATTCGCGATAACCCGGACGAGCCATGTGCGGATTGCAAATTGAGTGGGGTGCAGTGCGAGTCGAAGTTGCCACGAAAACAGAGGGTCTACGGGAGCGTAGAGACGTTGAGCCTACGGTACAGAGCACTCGACTCATTGGTCAAAGGCCTCTTTCCACAAGAAAACACACAGGATGTTAGCGTCCTATACAAGATTGCTGCAGCGCAAAACATTCCTATGCCGGAAAGCGACGATTACACGCCCGCCGACATCTTCAGTAACCGTAGCAGTCAGCCACTCCCGCAACGCCAACAGCAACAACAACCACAACAGCCTCTACAAAGTGCACCGGGGTCGCAGCAGACCTTTGCTTCTCCACAGAACCTGACTGACTCTGCACATTCCCGGGAGACTACCTCTCCACCATTCACGAGGAGAGATAGCAACCAACAAAACCCCTTCTCAGAAGTGCAAGAGCCGTCGCGACATCCCGAGGAACTGATCCCAACAAGGCATGGCGTGCCGCATTACTTTGGTCCTTCGAGCAGTTTCAGGCTTGCTACAACCATTCGAGCGCTAGTTGCTCGCTACAAAGCTGTGTTGGGGACAGACTTTCCGGTCTTTCGCGCACCTGGCTCTTTTCGTTCCAACCCAGCAAGCAGAATTGGGATTAGATCTGGCATGTCGCTCCAAGTTAGTAATATGAATCCTTCAGACGAAGAGTATACCGTACCCGATTCTAGAGAGCATCCAGCCCGAGAGCGAAGAGGTCGCAAACGGTCCAGAGTACAAATGGAAGAGACAGATGATCAATGGGAGCATCTCGCTGGGGAACCTAATCCACATACTATCGGGGACTTGCTACCCTCTAGATCCCTCGCAGATGCACTCGTTTTGGCCTTCTTTGACCATGTTCACGTCTACCTCCCAATTTTCCATAGAAGCATGTTTCAGTTTCGACTTGAAGCGACATACGCGCGAAAGACAGAGCTACTCAAAGATTGTTGGGACATAGGGTGGCTAGTCGCACTAGCCTTAGTCTTTGCTTTCGGGTGCCAGCAGCTGCACGAGCATGACCCTGAGCAAGCACACAAACTTCGAATGGAATATCTCAGTTTTGCCAAGACATATTTCCGACAGCTCCTTACAACGACATGTCTTGCCAATGTCCAGGCTCTCGTTCTCCTCAACCTTCACCACCATACCGTTGGACAGAAAAGCAGCTCTTGGCTGCTCATAGGACTCGCGGCCCGAATGGTCCGTCGTCCCTCCTGCTTGAGTAATGACTGCTAACACTAATTCTCAGGCTATCACCATGGGAATGCATCGAGACGGTGCAAATATGGAGTTCGATCCGATAGAGCGAAACACACGCAGGCAGGTTTGGTGGTCGATCTACTCGTTTGAGAAGATATTGTGCAGTATTCTCGGACGCTCAACGGCCATTGATGACCGCGAAATGTCTTTCAAGATTCCAGACGCGCCCATGCTCGAGCAAAAGACCATGTCCGCAGAGTTCATGGGCTTTAACTTTGAAGTTGTTCGGTTATCGTATTCGATTCGACAACGGGCGTATTTTGACAAGATTTCGGCCCAAGAACGATCGCCAACAATAACTGTCGCAGAGTCCTTACTTCAGGAGTGTGACGATTTCTTCACGACGATACCGACGCATTTGTCGCTGATATTCTCACCAGTGCCGTCAGACCAAAGAGGGAGGATACTATTACTACACATCTACTACTTCTACACGCGCTGCATCGTCTCACGAGATTTTCTCATACGGAAGGTCGAAAGAAGTATCAACCAATTAGAGAACAAACCTCCTCCATTTTCAGAAGACTGGGACAAGACTTTTGCTCTGAGCGAAGACTGTGTCGAATCAGCCCATAAGAGTCTTCAGTGCATGATGGCCGGTGCACATCTTGGGATGATCGGATACTCGTGGTTAGATCTCTTCTTTATCCTCCATTCTGTCCTAATCGTCTGCGCGGACTTTCTTGCACGGCCGAAGGAGCAGCCAGACTCACCCAAGGACACGGAGCGGAAAGAGATGGTGCGCACAATGCTCAACTATGTTCGTGGGATGAAGAAATTGGCGCCTACGTACATTATTCTCAGCCAGATCGCCATGCAGTTTGCCAGTATTACGGGCGTAGCTGATGACTCGATCACATCGCACATGTCGAATGCGCCACACGACTCAGACATTGAACCGCGTCCGTGGATGGGGGGTGACGGCGCCACAGAGGGCCAAATGGAAATATCGGATGTTCAAGAAGATTGGTTTGCGAATGCAACGACAAATCTAGGCTTGGATTTCTTTGATCTACAAGCCACAGCTGCAGGTTCAATGCCAATGCATGCGGACCCTACAACTTACCCTAGTGGGTACTTCGTGGATCCGAATACCAACGTGGCAGTTGATTGGACAGCTAAGACGACAAGGGGGGTGCACACTATGTGAAATAGTGTAGTTGGCCAAACCAAACATGTTTTAGAATTCATCACGCCGTCACGAAGAGTGCACGAGTTTGGGTGTATTCGAGAGTGCATGACGTAAGGTGTTGTAGGCCAAATAGGCTTAGTGCGATCGGACGCGCGATCTACTAACCGTCTCTGTCTTTCATGACGCATTTGTTCATTGATCATATCGGGGCTGCTGCAAACAAATATAATCAGGGCATGAAGTCTTTCAACAGCCTGTTCTTGAAATTTTGTTCTAATGTCACATTCACGCGATACTGATCCTCTTTTACAGACCACGAATATGGCGGGCCCTGCCGGAGCGAGCAAAGATGGCAAGAAGAAGCGAGTGTTAGTCGTTGGTGCTGGAGCTGCTGGTATGATCCTATGTCGAGTTGCGAGGAAGATATTCTGACGCATCGAATTAGGAATGTCATGTGCTCACCACCTCTCTGAACATCCCGACAAATTCGATGTTACCCTCATCGATGCAGTAGACTATTGCGGGGGGCAAGCGTTCTCAATTGGAATCGACAAAGAGCGCCATGGAGCTGAATGGCTGAATCAGGGGGTACAGGGTGGCAGTTACATTTTCCACCACACCTTGACCATGTTTGCGAGGCAAAATCATCACGCCGACCCTGTCAATCTGCAGGTTTCGTTTGGCAAAGACGATATTTTCTGGACCAATGTGTTTCCTACCCAGCTCCTCGACCGTCACCAGAAAGAGATTAGAAGGTTCAACACGATGCTAAAGATTGTGCGGTGGTTTGAGCTCTTCTTCGCACTAATCCCTATAAAGATACTTTTTAAGATGTTCTTCTTTTCTGAGGAATTTACGAACACGGTCGCTATGCCGATGATAGCACTCTTCCTAGGAACTGGGAATGAAACGCCAAATGTACCAAGCATCATCCTAGAGAGGCTCTGCACCAGCCCAACTTATGGCATGTGGTATCCCGCAGACAAGTTGAGCGTTGTCAGCAATTTGCCACCTATGGTTGTCTTTCCAAGGTTTGGGGAGTTCTATGAGCGATGGAGACAAGACTTGCTCAACCGAGGTGTCACAGTAAGACTTTCAACCGAGGTCACCCGGGTTGTGAGGCGAGATAAGACTGGTGTCACCGTTAAGTTGATTAAACGCACGCCAATGCCAGATTCACACAACCCGAATAGCGCCTGGGTACCGTACGACAACGACCACAATGCCGACCCAAATGCAAAGGAGATTGAAGAGCATTACGATGAGCTGGTTCTTTGCGTGCTGTATGTTCTTTGACGTCTTGCTTCAAGTATTCGTGCTAACTTCGTATAGTGCCGATACAGCTAAGCGCATCCTCTCACCCACCGCCTCTTTTCGTGAAAAGAAGGTGCTCGGCTCCGCTAAATTCTCCGACGACATTACGGTAACTCACTGGGATGCTGACTACATGCGCAAGCACTACGAGAATTTCTACAACCACGATCAAGCCGTGACGAAACTCTCCCTTGTCGACCAAACTGCCCGTAACGATATGGCCCAGAAATCCTTCAAGCCCATGTATTACATCAAAATGTACCCTCAGGACCGCTCGAAGCTGGAAATGTGCTTCGACTGCACGAATTATCAGAGTCAATTCCCGCCCGAGGTACCGTTCGACAAACATGTATTCCAGACAATCTATCTGAATAAGGCAAGGGATGGACATCTTTGGAGTATTGACGAGATCAACAAGGATAAAATTATTAGGAAAGATTGGTGGCATCAGCTCTGCCATGGTTGGACGCACTACGCTTTTGTCGTGCCGTGGATGTGGTTCCTCCAAGGGCACAAAAAGACACGCTACGCTGCTGCTTGGACACTAATCAACGCTCACGAGGTTGCTGTCATGAGCGGTATCGCTGCTGCTGTCGATCTTGGAGCTCAGTACCCGGCGGATCTAGAGCGCGACAAGTTTGCTTTCCTCAGTTTCAGGTTATACTATTTGCTCGCGTACGGGAAATGGTATAGCAGAAAGGCGACCAAGAATTCAAAAGAAGGCACAGGCAAGGACTGGGCTAGTGGAATCTACGGAAGCGTGTACCGTGGACCGGGTGTCTCTGACATTGACCGACGTCAGTGGCGTGAGGAGAACAACATCGAGGACGAGCCTATCAAATATGCATTCCCTTCGGACTCTGGAAAGAGGTAATGCTTGTGCGAGGATTGAGGCCCGGCGGTAGTGAGCTGTGGGAAACTCAACGGGCGTGAAACTAAGAAATCTAATGTGAGGATCTGATCCCGTAGATCAGGTAACCTATCTCGGGTTCATTAATTGAAATACGTAAAGTAACTGAGTTTGGTCCTTTGACCTATTGCTGCGATGGTACTCCTTATCGTGCCACAACGAATGGAACAGTTTCGTACATGAGCGTGTAGGGCGCATTATATCCGTTAAATTCCGTTAATCCGCCAAACTCCGTTAACACCCCTTTCATCACTTCACTTTTACAACATTATCAAGGTACCGTCAGACATACAATTGAGAGTTGAATTCCCGGAACGTATCTATTGTTTATTTTGAGTATTATCTGAGTTCTAGCATCGCTGCGCCCGCTCAAAATACACAAGCTTACCATTCTATTTCATACATCCAGGATGTCTGCCAAAACCGAACTGCCCATTATCTTCGGCGCCATGACTTTTGGTCGCGAAGGCGAAGGTCAAGTCCGCACGTCAAATCTGTCCGATTGTGCGGCTATACTCGACACGCTACGATCCCATGGGCACGCGGAAGTCGATACATCGCGTTTCTATGGCAATGGGTCAAGTGAAGAGTGGCTAGGTGCATTGAAGTGGAAAGAGCGAGGCTTGATCCTGGACACGAAATTCTTTCCCAACACCGGTGGGTGGTTTGGACGTGCAGAGTCTGTGCCCTTGTTGATTTACAACTATATTTGCTCTATATAGAGCATAAATCTGACATTTATCGTTTAGAAAGCACCTCACATTACCCGACATGCAGCAAGCCCTCGACGCAAGCCTCCAAGCGCTAGGAACAACCAGCGTAGATCTATGGTATCTCCACGCCCCCGATCGCAGCGTCCCCATAGAACAAACTCTATCCGGCGTACATGCCCTCTTCCAGCAAGGCAAGTTCACGAAATGGGGCCTAAGCAACTTCATGGCCTGGGAAGTCTCCGCCATCTGCGAGATCTGCCTGCGAAACGCCTACCCGCTTCCCTCCGTGTACCAGGGTTCGTACAACGCCCTTTACCGCACTGTCGAGAATGAACTATTGCCCTGTTTGAGGAAATACAAGATTGCGTTCTATGCATTTGGTCCGCTCGCGGGCGGGTGGCTTACCTCGCGGTATCGGCGTGATACGGCGGCCGAGGGCTTGGAGGCTGGGAGTAGGTTTGACCCAAGTCATATACAGGGGCGAATGTACCGCGAGCGATACTGGAATGATAGTTTCTTTGACGCGTTGGAGCTGCTGCGTAATTCGCTTAAAGCGGAAGGAGGGGCGATGACGGAGAGTGAGGCTGCGTTACGGTGGATGATGCATCATTCACAGCTGAAGCGCGAGTTGGGCGATAAAGTAATCGTTGGTGCGAGTAGTCAGCAGCAATTGGAGATGAACCTTGTGGATTTGGAGAAAGGGAGTTTACCGGATGGTGTTATAGAAGCTTTTAACCAAGGGTGGGATAGGACACGAGGGCTTACTTGGAAGTATTTCCATTGATTGAGAGATTAGTCTTGTAGTTGGCTTATTAGGTCCAGAGTGGTAGTTGTAGAACCATGGTTTGGCGGTGTTTTCAGGCAGAAAACCAGAGTTGATGGGACATCTCTAATTTCTTGAAGTAGCAACATGAAAGTTGAGTATAAATGTATTAGGCCTTCTAAAATTCTTCAATATCAGCACCCTTCAAGTTTAATTCTGTATCAAAAAAAATAACTTGCCTTGTCTAATTCACGCTTCTACCATGCCTTCCCTAACAAATACGACAACAAGAGAAGAATGGTACCAAAACATCGCCAGCATCATATTATCAGCGATGGCAAGGAGGCAACGGGAAAGTGCTGCGGCTTCCTCCGCACAGAGGGCAGCCGAAGCTACCACTGCGCAGCAGCAGAACGAGGAGGAAGCCGGTCCTGCTGAACAGCAAACAGAACCGCCAAATTCCTACGCCCGCCTCAATGCCATGTTTCCACTCGTCGACCGAGTGTTGAGAGAAGTGCTCCCCGAGATGCACCACGGACTGAAGAACAAGAGAGCCACCTGGTTGGCATGGAACTCCGTCCCCAACCGGATTCGCTCCAACGCTGGCCAGCGCCTGATCCGGGAAGTAGACGGTCCTTGAGCAAGACCAAGGCCCACTCCTTAACCGACAAGACGGAATGGTCATTATACCTCAGGAGGAGCTTGAAACGCTTGTGTCCGAGACGAGCATACGAGATGAGAATGCCAGGCTCGTCGAGATCTCAAGAATGCTGGATCCTGAGGCAGTTGCGCAGTGTTGAAGTTGTACAGGATGTCGCATCAAGAAACGATTGATTCACGTTAAGTACCTCAAGGGCCTTCAGGATAAGGCTACTGCAAACACCACTCTCGCGGAGAGCTGTGTGTATTCTTCCAAGCGCACAGCCTCTTCCACGCGGGCGATATCCTCGGACCACCTACGACCTCGTATAACGCGCAACAATTCCCAGAATCCGCGGCTAGTCATTCGGATGGTGCATTGCAAACGGAGTAGCTGGAACTGTGTCGTCAAGTCTTGGAGAGAGAAAAAGGAAAAGAAGGCAATGGAATGGACAGTATAGAGTATTCAAGTAGTATGTATACGCTAAAACGACGACGACAAGAGCCCGAAGGAAAAGGGGTATCTGTAACCAACTAGTCTAAAACCAGACAGATGCAAATGCGACTCAGGAAAGAACTCCTCATCGTAGGACATGTAATACTAGCTCTAAAATTAACCCTCATTCTGAAATAGCACTGTGCGTGGTGTTGAGCTACGGGCAACCACTGCAAATAATCATAATCAAATGAAAAACAGCTAGTTCTGCTTCTTCGCGTCGCCGCTCGCACTTTGAGTATTCTCTAGAGGCGGAATGTGACCTAGCTGGTGCTCGATGCCTCCCTCATTGGGAGTGAAGGGCGTGAAGCCTCCTTCAGGGGAAGCCTGCCATTTGGCCATGTCCTTCTTCAAGGCCTCCAACTCCTTCTGAAACCGGTTTCCAAACACGTCGATGTAGTAGGTTGCGCCGTTGTACACGCTCCAGATGAAGACTGTGCTAAGGAACAAGCCGCTAGGCCAACGATACCAAAACCAGAATGGGCAGGGAAGCATGGTAAGTACCGCATAAGAGTACTGTATGAGCATAAAGGCGGGTTCCTGAAGGAAGTCGGGTAGCGAGAGGACAAACTTGCCAATCCACGTCTTGGCGTAGGATTTGCGTAGCCAAGTGAAGCTGGTAGGGCGTCCTGCTGCAATCTTGTCGCGGCGACGCACTGTGATCAGGAGGTGGTAGCCCAGCTGCCAGACGGCATAGGGAAGTGTAGCCCATATCATCATCTGCGCAAGGCTGTAGTGATGAGGAGATGATGGATCCGAATAGCGGATGTTGTAGATGGCGGGATAATTTTCTTGTTGTCGTTGCGGCGGAAGTAGGTGAACCAAACAGTGGAGGGTTACACAGGGCATGATGTGAATGAAGAGACTATGCGCATTAGCACAAGGAAGGAAGACGTTCAAGAATAAAGGGAGAAGCACTCACCTGACGACCTTGTCCATGGAGTGGAGAACCAGCGAGTTTCGCCACATGATAATGGCAATGGCGTTGTTCCCGTAGGTCAGGCAGTAGGTTGCGATAAACAGGCGCTTAGACTGCGGAAAGACCCAGATGCTCAGGACGACGAGTATGTTGACAAAGTAGCACAGGTCGGCCAGGAAGTAGTGGTAGCCCTTCTTGTGATAGGTGATGAAGCGAATGGGCATAAAGTAGAGCAGCTGAGCAGTGTACCAGTGTGGGAAGAGGTCTGGGTGCGACCCAACGAGGTATCCAGAGACAAAGATGTTAATGACAGCCGCGATGAATGAAACCTTCTCGCGGACCGAAACGGTGAGGGACTCGTTCCAACGTCGGTTCAGACGGTCGACCGAGTGACGCATGCGTTTCTTGTATCTCTCGAGTTGCTCGCCCTCGGTCGGAACTCTACGTCGCCATTCCTCGACGACGCGGTCCCTTGTGATGCCCCGGTTCTTTGCCTGGTTCTTAAGCTTCTCGGTTTGTGAGGCTATGGAGCTCTGAATCTTCTCGAAGCGTTGGGAAAGCGCTAGGTTCTCGACAAAGTCGAACATGGTGAGCTTCTCGACAGGCGGGAAGAAGGAGACATCCTCAAAGTCGGATTCATCGTGATAGGAGCTGTTGGAGAAGGAGGCAGAGCGGGAGAGGCCGGGCGTGGAGAGTGGTGCTGGGTAGCTGGGTGTTGACGACGGTTCTTCGAGAAGCGCGTTGGCGGCATGCGTCGAGTCGCCAGGTAGTGGACGCGCTGAGAGGTCAGAGACTCCCAGCTGGGGCTCTGATCTCGACTTGGGCACGTTGGCGGCTGTGTCGTGGCCTGTCATGATGGGCAGGTCTTCGAGGACGATCTCGAGGCTGGACGGGGTGCGGCGGTGGGAGGGCTTCTTATAATTGCGCGGGGGCGAGCCTGCAGCCATGGCCGTGGTTAGCTAGCTGTTGTGTGCTGAAGAGGCTGCCAGCATCCCATGGTTTCTGGGAGGGGAGGAAGGTGGGAGTTCATAAGGAAAGTGGAAAGTACGGACTATGGAATGTCCAGATGGGATCAGATCGAGGCAGATGCTGTGCCTGTTCTCATGACAAGGCGTGTGATGTGCGGGCGTCTGGAATCCGTCCTTCGTTGCTCGACGTGTGTGGGAGCGTTGGAGGAGCAGATCGTGCGTGAATGCAAGCTGGTGATTGGCAAGCTCACGGCGACATAGTGCAGGCGGCGATGATGTGCGAAAGGCGCAATGGATGGGAGGACAGTCACGAGACAAGTATGCAGCTGGGCCGAAATGGGAGCCAAGTAGAAGCAGAGCAGAGCAAACGCAGGCGAAGGATATGGTGAAGGGCAACAAAAATGGTGCGTGTGAAGCTGCCCGGCTTGCTGCCCATGTGTCGTCACTGTGGAGGAGCCGTGCATGCCAGGCGCTAGCTAGCTACCGTACGCCAACTTTCCCGCGACGCGTCCCCGCGAACGCGATACCATTCTCACGACGATAAATCACCCACGTCCACCTCGTCGTAGTGCTGCGCAACTGACCCGCCATCATGGGGAAGCTCATCAGCCTCGAGATTTACAGTAAGCTGTCTGCCCCGCCCAATTGCCCTCCTTCCACTGCTAACATGCGCAGACTTCAAGTCCTACCGCGGGCGCCATACCCTCCTCTTTGGTGACTCGTACTTCACCTCCATCATTGGCCCCAATGGCTCCGGCAAGTCCAACTCCATGGACGCCATCTCCTTCGTCTTGGGCATCAGGTCGTCGGAGCTGCGATCCGACAAGTTGAAGGACATGGTCTATCGCGGTAGGGTCATTCGAGACGCGAGAATCAACGCAGATGGCACAGCCACCGAGGCAGACGCTGATGCGAATGGCGACGCCAACGGAGATGGCAATAGCGATATACAAGAGAACGGCGCGTCGCAGGCGGGCACCCAACGAAACGACCCTCAAAATGCATGGGTCAAAGCCGTCTTCGAGGACGACGCAGAGCAGAAGCACGAATGGCAGCGCACCATCACCAGCTCCGGCGCAAGCGATTACCGTATTAACAACCGCCTGGTTACTCAGAAGCAGTACAGCGATGCGTTAGAAGAGCACAGCATCTTGGTCAAAGCTAGGAATTTCCTCGTCTTCCAGGGTGACGTGGAAAAGATCGCCACAATGTTGCCCGACAAGCTCACCACACAAGTAGAGCGCATCTCCGGCAGCTTGGAGAAGAAGGCAGACTACGATCGGCTAAAGGCCGAGTCCGAGGCGGCTACCGAGGACAACGCAAAGCACCTGCACGAGCGTCGTGGGATTAATGGCGAGCTCAAGACATACCAGGAGCAAAAAGCAGAAGCCGACGAGTACGAGAAAAAGCTCGCCGAGCGAGATGAGGCTGTCGTCACCAAGACCCTCTGGAAACTCTTTCTGTACCAGCAGGTCATGGAGAAGGCGCGCAACAAGATCGCAAGCCATCAGGAAGAGCTCAAGGAGCATAAGCGCAGTGTCGAAAAATACAACCAGAAGCATGAGCAAGAGAGGCAGGCTGAAGCCAAGATCAAGCGCGAAGTCACAAAGACGGACCGAAGCATCAAGGGCAAGGAAAAGGAAATTGAGGATGCGTCCAACGAGCTTGCACCTATCGAGGAGAAGATTCGCCTCTCCAAAGAGACTCAGCGCAAGTATATGAGCAGGATCGACGGCCTCAGGAAACAGCGCGATGCTGAGCATGGTCAAGTGCAGAAATGCCAGCAAAACCTGGATGTTGTGCAAAAGGCCGAGAAGAAGTGGGAAGATGAGTTCAAGGCTGCTGCGCAACGCCAAGGCCGTGAGTTGTCTGAGCAGGATCTCCAAGAGTATAACCGGCTTCGCAGTGATGTAACAAAGCGAACCCACGGCGACCAGATGCAGGTCGATAAGCTGAAGCGAGAAGTCGACACAGACAGGGACCACGTTAGGAATCTACAACAGAGCGTCGACAGTCACGAGAAAGCCATGGAGAAGCTAACCACAGATCTCAACCAGCTTGAGGAACGTCAGCAGGAGTCTAGGGCAGAGGTCAAAGAGCTGGAGAAAGCACGCATTGCTAAGCAGCAAGAACTAGACAAACTCCAGTCGGACCGCCGAGAACTCGAGCTGGAATTCCAAGAGAAGAACCAGTTATTCCAAGAAGCGATGAAGCAGGTCAACACACTCGAGAGCAGTCGCCGGGAATCAAGGAAGCAAGCAGAGGCTCGCAAGACCATCGACCGTCTTAGGAATCGACTTGGAGCAGAAAAGGTGCATGGTCGGTACAGAGATCTCATTTCGCCAAAGCAGCAGAAATACCGCAAGGCCATAGGCCGCGTGCTCGGATCGCAAATGGAGACGGTCATAGTCGATACCGAAGCCACCGCCAAAGAATGCATACAATATCTCAAGCAAGAACGAATTGGCATCATGACCTTCGATCCCTTGGACTCAATACAAATCAAGGCCGTCGACCCGCAGATGAAAGGCATGCACAGGGGCATGCGCCTCGCCATAGACTGCATCAACTACGAACCCAAACATGAGCGAGCCATGACGGCTGCATGTAGTAATACCATGATCTGCGACACCGAAAAGGTTGCAAAGGAGCTGAGATACGAAAGAGGCATACAAGCAAAGGCAGTCACCCTGGACGGTCGGGTCATAGGAAAGGGTGGTACCCAGACTGGTGGTGAACTTGAACGCGATGACGACGTGACTGAACAAGCCTGGGACGAACGGGGTTACCAGCGTTACAAGGACATTGCACAGGGATACCAGAACGAGTTGGCGGCGCTGCCAAAGCTTGACGGCTGGCATGCAAAGGAGCAGGATCTGCAGGTTGAGCTTCTAGATCTCCAAGACCAGGTCCTGCGCGCACAGGAAGAAGCGAAAGCCCTCGGTCGCAATATTGAGGGTGTCAAGAAGGAGCTATCGCACCACAAGAGCGAACTAAGAGGAGTTCGACCAAATTACGAGAAGCAGGCGCAACGACTGCAGGATCACGAAGATGAGCTCAAGGGCTACCAGGATGCCGTCGATCAGGTCAATGACCAAGTGTTCGCAACTTTCTGCCAACAACTTGGATATGACTCGATCCGTGACTATGAAGCACAACAAGGCACCGTTCAGCAGGAGGCTGCCGAGAAGCGTCTTGAATTTACCACCCAACGCAGCAAACTCCAGTACATGAAGAAGCAGCTCGAATCGTCGTATCGTGGTGTTCAGGAACGTCTCAAGGCAGCAGAAGACGAAATCAAACGAAAAGCTGTCGACATCACTGAGCTTGAAGCGAAGCGAGAAGAGCTACAAAGTGCCAGAGACGTTCTTGAAGCTGAGTTAGAGACATTGCAGGAGAATCGGAGAGCATTAGAGCAAAGGCTGTCTGAGCGAGCTGCCGCTGTCAAAGAAGCGCGACGGGCCTTGGATCAGCGCAATGGGAAGGTTAAGAATGTTCTGAAGGAAGTCGACGAGGAAAATGCGAAGGTTAAGACGAGTGCAACGAATCGTTACAATACGCTCAAGGAGTGCCGGGTGAATGAGATCAGGATACCACTCACTGCAGCTTCTAACCCGTTGACTTCGCTTCCTATGACGGACATGCCTCGTCTAGATGCAGATGCCATGGACATTGACGAGGATCCCGACTCAACGCAAATCCAGCCTGCCGAGGTCGATGACTATGGCATCGAGGTTGATCTCGAAGCGCTAGATGACGAGATTAGAACAGAACTGCTCGAGATACTCGAAAACGTACGTCTTCCTCGCACACTGTCATTAGACGTTTACTAATATTCCCCAGGAGGATGACCACGATGAACGCGTCCAGGCCCAAGCCATGGCCTCTCTCAAAGAAGCAGAAGGCAGACTCTCCGACAACATAACGCGCCTGGAAACCGACATTAACAAGGCAACACCCAACATGCGCGCCGGCGAGCGCCTCACCGCGACAGAAGCGCGCCTCCGGTCCATTGACGAGCAATTCGCCGAGACACGAAAACGCGCGGCGGCAGCCAAGAAAGCTTTCGAGGAAGTCAAGCAGAAGCGCTATGATCTATTTATGAAGGCCTTCAACCATATCTCCGAGAATATTGGCGGTACATACAAGGATCTAACCAAGAGCCCGGCGTTCCCGCTAGGTGGGCAGGCATATCTCGACATGGAAGACTCGACGGAGCCGTACCTAGCGGGCCTGAAGTACCACGCCATGCCACCGCTCAAGCGCTTCCGCGACATGGAGCACCTCTCAGGCGGAGAAAAGACGATTGCAGCTCTCGCCCTGCTCTTCGCCATTCACAGCTACCAGCCCTCCCCCTTCTTCGTCTTGGACGAAGTCGATGCCGCGCTGGACAACATCAACGTCAGCCGCGTCGCCAAATACGTACGCGAGCATGCTAGCCCGGGAATGCAATTTATTGTTATTAGCTTGAAAGCAGGCTTCTTCCAGGAGAGCGAGACGTTGGTCGGTGTTATGCGGGATCAGGCCAAGATGACGAGCAAATATCTGACTATGGATGTAAGTTTTCTCCGTTCCCTTTTCTCGGTTGTGGGGATGTGTGCTAATTTTGTCGTAGTTGCGGAAGTATCAACCCGCTCAGGCTCAGACGGCTGGTGGGCGCGGAGATTAAGATGTTCTAGTTCTTTTACAATGCTGTGTACGATTTGCAATGAGCTTCACTACAGTCCCGGCGCTGTGGTTATCACCGCTTGACCTAGGTTTAATTATTTCTGCGCTAGCTGAGTGTATGCGAATCATCATGGTGTTATGCAGGGCGGTGGTTGTAGACCGTATTATCATCTGCGACAGTGTCTCTACTTGTTCAGTTCCATGCGTTCCCACAACCTCTTAGTAGGCAGCTGAGTAACGCTGTACATACATATGGCGCTACTACTAAATCTTTCAACCCTTTAGATTGATTATTCCAAGCTCGAGCTACCAACGTGCGGCGATCAAATCGCTGTTTCGTTGTTTCACTACTTCAATTTTGCTAGATGACATTCACCATGTTCATCATTCATCTGAATCGGTAGGGGAAATTGACTATTAATGACATGATAGAAGTGACGTGGTTCGCATTATGTGTGTTTAACAAATATACAAGTAGAAGCTGAATTAAATGATGAAGAAAGGGTAAATAGAAGAGTGGAGCTGGATATGAGCCAGTAAGACAGGGTTGAAAAAGGCAAAAAACACCTGGGGAGCTCCTGGATGATGTTCCCAAAACCCATGATCGTACAACCCGCTCGTACAAACCTTCATAACGCCGCGCAATGCTTCATGTGTATGATGTGGGCGTCGTGCCTCCACCTCATGTCAAAAGTGTCCTTTAGGGTTTGGTATGATTGGTGGTATAACCTTCCCTCAGTTATACTGCCTCGTCTTCGCATTTATCTCCTCCTCTTTCAGCTTCTTAGCCGCCTCCAACTTCCTAATCTCTCTTGCGACGCCGCCTGAGGCGCGCCACCAGACATCGGTGCCCCAGCGCACCGCCCTCTCCGCGGCGCCCGTCGGTCCATCAATCGCGGGCCTCACATCCAGGAAGAAGACCGGCTCGCCCGTCGGCTCGGGCTCACCCTCATAGTAATCAATCACGTAGCGCACTTCTTTGCATCCCTTCTCATTGCACCTCTGCACATACCAGTCGTGGCGATCAAACGGCGGCGCAGTCCCGTACTTCTCAGGCATAGCCCAGCCGAGCCATTGCATCATCTGCGACTTGGGCGTAGGTTCGTCAGGCCGGCCGGTGAAGCGGAGGAGTTTTGGAGGCGGGATATCCGCTGCGTTCCAGGTGGTCGTGTCGAAGGGATCTTCAGCTGTTCCTAGGGCAAGATTGGCGAGTTCCTCGCCCCTTGCGCACACGCGGTAGCCCTCTGCAATGCCACGGGAGAAGCGGCGCTCCCAGCCCATGATCTCGGCCCATGCACCCTCGTTCAAGAAATTGTGCACGCCGACCATGGATTCTACGGCATCGACTGGTGTGTCTGTATATCCTTTACGCAGCATGGCGTTGTACATTTGCTGTGGTGAGGGATATTCCCATAACGAGCCGTCGCCTTTGGGAATCGTAGAGCGTTCGCGGTCGAGGGGCAGGTCTTGTTTCTGTACATCGGCACGCTTGTTTGAGAGCTCAAAGGGCATGTTGTTGAGTGGGTTCAGGCGAGAGAGTAGACCTGACTTGGGAGGCTCGGTGGTCGTCGACGAAGAGGTTTCGGAGGCATTAGGAGGGACGTAGGGGCAAGCACCCTGAGGAGTCTTCTCTACGACAACGGGAGGCGTCGCTTTCTTGTGCATTGGGCATGATGGCTGGGATTTTGTTAGATGCGCATGTCGATATGGATGAAAGGCTGTCGTACAGGAGGTTCAGCGTTGCCTCGTGGCATTGGATGCGGCGCAGCGGGCGCGGAGGGTGCAGTGTCTGCCCAAAACCAACCCATTGTAAGTATCGTACAGAAGAAAGAATGCTAAAGTGCAGAGGTGAGCAAGGGTATAAGGCTGAAGAAGATGCGACGGGTGGCGGAGATTGTCGGGAGAAACTTTTGGCTAGGGTCGTCATCGCTCTAAGCATCACCTGCCGCACTCCGATTGGCCACATACTACAGGCAAAGTGAATGGAAGTAGGCTTGTTGGATTGAGTCGCAATGCGCTCGAAAGTACATTCATGATATCGTACGTCCATGCATTCCATTCGTACATGCCCTAGTGATGTTGCTTGTGAACCCCGAACGCTTTCATGTGCCTGCGACCTTCGCTAATCCTCCAGTCCCCCTTGAGCTGAAGATGGCCATGATACCGAAACTACCGTAGAACAAGATCATAGGATATGCGACCAGACCCCTCATCGAAGTCATGCGACCTTGGAAGAGAATTAGTATACAGCAAGGAAGCTAGCTGAAGACACAAAACTTACCGACAACAGTGAACATTGAACTGGACGAGTACGCGCACCACAAGATCGCTAAGCTCGTTAGGAGGTAACCAAAGAGACCATCCAAGGGTATGATTATCCCGAAGATTGCGACGAGCACAAGCGGGAGCAGACAGTAGCCCAGTACGGATGCCGATCGTGGAAACGTTAGAGATGATCCGAGGTGAGACCCCACAGCATGACCGTGGTCTCCGGACGCCACCTCAGCCGCGTTTACGGGTGGCGACATGAGTGAGAGGATTTGGTGAAGAAGGATGGTGCCCACAAAGGCCAATCCTAGGCAACCGTCAGCTGTAGCCCATCATAACAATGTCTCGACTACCTACCATAGATATAGCCGAAATGGAGCTTTCCAGACAACTGCGAAGCCTTAGTTTCTTATATTCATAAACCAGAGTCGCTGACGTACCAGTAAGGATGTGCCGAAGATCAAGAAGAAGAGAATCGGTCCTGCCACATCGCTGTCGGCCATGATGTGCTGATCAATTCGGCCGAAGGGGTTCAAAACAGCCAGTGTCTATCCGCAGTCAACATCGTGTCCCCAAAGGCGATAGCATTTGCTTATACCTTCATCTGTATGTGTCCAAAGTTTACTCCTAGCTCTTCCACTACGCTTGGTCAGTCGATCGAATACGGTCGCGGGGCTCGAGTTACTAACACAATGGCGGCTCTCCGTCGTATCTGTTGCATATCAGCCATTATTCGTTGCCTTTGCCGTATCCACATACCCTTCTGTGCCGAAAGCTGCAAGCCATCCTGTCCGCAGCCCTGATACGCCCATGCCCATTTGCCCGCTCACCCCCGGTGCCGAGAAACCCGCACCATATTGTGTGGGATATGGCTGACTTTGTGGTGCGCCATAATTTGCCTGAAAGGGCGTGGAATGTCCAGAGACAGGTTGGTTGGAGAATTGAGAGGAGTAGAACTGGAGGTTTTGTGCACCTCCACCGCCATATTGGGGATTTTGTCCGTAGCCGTATTGCGCCATGGTGGTAGCCTAGGGTATGGAAGAGGTGAAATGAGCGTAAGATTTTCGACCTAGAAGTTGCAGCAACCTGACCAGGAAGGCAATGTGGAAGCCTGGCGGAGCTTGAAGGGGACTGGCTGTGGGTCGGGGTATTACGTAGAGCGAGCGTGCAACGTGATTTTGCGTGGAAAAGGTCAGGTTACGTTTGGTGCAAAGGCAAAGGTCGGGTCGAGGACTATTGCTGGCGCGCTGAAGCTACAAATAAGGAGGCAATTGCGAGGTCTGTGATGTTGAATGCTCAAAATGGCAACAACATGCTTTCGTGTCGCTTCGGCGCCTTCCTTGAGCTGTTCGCCGACTCCCCGCAACCGCAGTCACGTGTAGATACTTTTGGTACTCTTCACCAAACTCACCAAGCTAGTGACAATCCGATATCTCAGAACTCAACAAGGTTATCTCTTGGAGATAGTGGTTATGATCAGTTACGCTCAGTTCTTACTTTGTTCCTCACGCAAACCGTTCAAGAAAGCGCCTCTCGACGACTTCGCATGATATCAAGAGATTAGGAATACGTTCAACTGTTGTATTCATAGCAATGAGGGGGGTATCTAATACTTATGCTAAGGGGAGAGTCATCAACGACGCCCAACGCGCTCCTAATCACTCCGTTCTACCGATACAATCTAACCATATACTCCATAACACACTCAGTACATCTCAACTGTCCGTCGGGAGGTGAAGTTGCACCAGTCACACTAACCAACAGTAAGCTTTTGACAGAGCAATAGAGAATGGACGTGCATACCATAGTTGCAGATGAAGCATCATTGTCTTCGCGGCAGTACTCGTTTCGGCATTTCGTACACGCCCGAATGAAGAGTTCTTTACAGCTTATGCACTATCAGACATTAGATTGCATGATTTGAGAGGGTATGTTCATATCGTACTGTGTGGCCACAGCCAAAGCAGTCGCGTCTTACTCCGATAATCTGCGTTTGTTCGCGTCAGCAAATTTCTACTTGACAGAATGAGCACATACCTTGGCGCGCAAGTGCCTGGTTTCCAGGTGCAGTTATCCAATAGCCAGGCTCCACGGCCAGTCAGGACGACTGGTTTCCGGAATCCAACTACATCGTAACGGCCTCATGGTGGGACCAGCGCCCCTCGCGCGCCAAGGTAAATCCTTTCATTCCCACATTCCGTTGCTCCCTGAGCCTTTCATCATCTCTTCGGCCAGGCAGTTATGTACCTTGATGGTTTGCTTTGGAATGAGATGGCTAGTCCCATTGGTTTGGAGGCTCTCCGTAAGCTCAGTCTGTTGTAATTCCGTACGCTGAGCGATAATCGATCCGGCATAACAGTCCTCGTCCCACCATTTGTGGCACCTCTCACACCAGCGGCCCTTGAGACAGTCCTCGCATCGTACGTATAAGGCTGGCGGTGGGGACCCATCCACCGTGTGTGGTATTTGTGCAGCGCGAACGGAGCTTCCATGGAGTGGAACTGGGCTAAGAAGAGGGAACTGAGACGTTGCAGAGTATCCAAACACTGCTGGGCCCTCAGGACAAGAGTGACAAGACTCGCAACCAGCTGATCCCAGCGCGACCGTCGCAATCGTAGGCCTGAGGAACGAAGCAGGATGCAAATGACCATCAGCGATCCCTTCTCTGACGTACGCTTTGCTTGGATCGTGGCGTGGGCCTCTGCAAAGAACGGCATCGAAGGCAATGATGCCTTCGCATGCTTGAAGAATCTCTGCCCACTCTGGAGATGGCCTCTTTGATGTCATCTTCCCGGAAGACTGATACCACTTGTCCTCGACCCGCGCCAGCGCAGCATTCAATGCCTCTGTTGACTTTTGGTTCCACTCAGCACTGATCTGAGCTCCCTGTGAAGACATGAAGCCTCGGGAGGCAGCTGTAGCAGGCTCCTTTGTCGTAGGTGATGCAGGGAGCGGCGTAGGGTCGCGCGGTCCGAAGAGGTAGATACCCTTGACTCGAGGTGTTCCCGCGCGCCTCGAAGGGCGGACTGCATATCTCAGATACTGCTGAAGCTTCCTCTCATTCAGATGCTTGACCTCCCGGATAGAGAGGATGCGCACGTTGTATCGCTCTTCGGTGAGAAGCTCCTTCACGAGTTCGGCCGTCACACTAAGGCCGTCGAGTACCAATGTGTGTACATTGCGTAGAACCTTGAACTTGTCGAGCCTAGAGAAGATGCCTCGAAGTGGGCCAGAATAGAAGTCGTCTTCGGAGAGGGCCTCGTCCATGCGCTCAGTACGCCAGCTGATACCACCGACATCGAGGGGTCCATCGATAGGAACAACGGCCGACTTGACAGGAGAGAGGTCGAGGTAGCGGAAGGCTTCGGGTGATTGGTAAATGACGTGGTGGAGAGCTTTGGATGTCCTTGACAGGTTGCGGAGGGAGGACACTGGGAGGTAGGGAGCAGTTTGGCGCAGGATCAAGGTGTTGGAGAGGAGGTCCGCCAGGGAAGTAGGAAGGCCATCGGAGAAGAGGGTGGGACCCATGCTAAGGCTCAAGGGGAGGATATTGCCAGATGCCGTTGGCGGGAGGTTAGATGGGTACTCACCACGTCTTTATTACAATGCGGGACAGCAGCCCAGATGGGCACGTGCCAATTTGTTTGACCCTGCAGATGTGTGTTGAGCAAGAGGAAGTACTTCGGAGGTTGAGACGGTGTACAGATGGTGGGCTGGGAGAAGGTGGGATTCCCCTGGACTCCCTGCGGCGATCAGGACAGTCACAGCCGACATGTGCAAGCGTGCTACGAGCTCAATCCATTTCTTTGAAGCAGATACTACAGCCAAGGCCGCGATCTAAGTCTTGAATATGAAGCATAGATACAGCCTAAAACAAACACTGTCGAGACCTTGGGCATGTGAGGCGACAGACGCGCCGGCGGGACTATCTTACGTGGTACCCTTCCCCCCCACGTTGCGTTACCACAAAGCATTTCCATATCGAAACTACGGCCAGCGGCAAGATTGCGTGATGCATATGGCTATTACACACGAGTTCTCCATGGAATAGGTAAGACCTTGACACACTGGCCCAACCAGTAAGTTGTTGGGGGAATTTTCCCTTAACATTCGTAGTTTATAGTGAGGACCCTCATGGCTCGAGCCTACGCGTAGTTATCGATAAGGCGATGCCATGACGCCAGCCGTCTATTATGGTAGAAGCTTCGAGCAGAGCCGCAACGCCATCAGTCAGCCACCGACCGTTGCTGCTCCTCTGTGCCCATTGTTGTGTGTGATATAATAAAAACACACCGTGCTTGCGATTTACCCTATGCTATCATAACTCCAAAAAAGCATCATGGCCTCAGAGTCAGACCCCCCAGCCGAACTCAAGTGGGCAGCGCAGTTCAAACTTGCGCGTCACACTCGAAACACGCAGCTTCCCGGCGACAAGCTTCTCCTGCCACCTTCCGCGTTAGAACAACTCCTTGCCGCAGCTCCCGTCGTAACCGTCGATTCGAATCGCCCCCACATCACTGCTTTTGACCCGTTTAATCCTTATACCTTTGACGCTGAGCGGCAGTACCGAGCCCAGTTGCAGGATCGCCACCAGCAGCTGCCGCACCCACTCACGTTTCGACTGGTGAACCCAGACAATGGCAGGGTTATATATGCAGGAATACGCGAGTTCTCGGCAGAGGAGGGAGAAGTTGTCCTAAGCAGTTTCTTGAGGGAAGCTCTGGGCGTTGAAACACACTATGCAGAGTCGTCAAGAAGAGGGAGCCCGAACGGCCACAAAGATGAGGATGACACTATGACGAATGGGGTAGAGCAGCCTGCGGTGAACGGCGTCGCCTCGATCAACATCACAGTACACGCTAAACAGCTCCCCAAAGGCACCTTCGTAAAATTACGGCCTCTAGAGCCTGGCTACGACCCTGAGGACTGGAAGTCCCTACTCGAGGAACACTTGCGATCCAACTTCACTACATTGACACAAGGTGAGGTGCTGGTTGTATACGGTGGTCGAGGGCTTGGTGGCAAGCGCGACGAGTTCCGCTTTCTAGTAGACGGTTTCAAACCAGAAGGCGACGGAATATGTGTGGTCGACACGGATCTCGAAGTCGACATAGAAGCGCTGAACGAAGAGCAGGCACGCGAGACTTTGAAGAGGATAGCAGCAAAGAGGCAGCGGGCACCAGGCACAACAGAGGGTAGTTCAACTGGCGGCATCATCGATATCTTCCAGGCACAAGACGGGCAGGTGCTCGAGGGAGATTATGTCAACTACGAATTACCATCGTGGGACAGATCACAAGGGCTAGAAATATCGCTAGACGAAGTCGACGATGATGACGAAGTCGACCTCTTCGTAAGCCCGTACTCATCTAGACAACAGGTTCGGCCGCGAGAAGATGAGCACGTCTTCGCTGATGTATCGAGTCGATACCCAAAGCGCATACGTTTACAGCCAACGAATATCGAACTTGATGAAGCAGATGCTGTGTGGATATCAGTCCATGCCTACCCTTCAGCTTCTCCCTCCACAACACCAAAGCCGTTTCGCCTCAAGGTATCGATGTTCGACCCGAAGACCGAAGCTCAAACGGGTGATGCCAGCACGGAAGCTACACACAATCCCGACGAAGTCCAGTGTAAAAATTGCACTCAATGGGTCCCCAAAGGCTCCCTCTTCCTACACGAAAACTTCTGTCTAAGAAACAACATCCTCTGCCCGCAAGGCTGTGGCCAAGTCTTCCAAAAACGCTCTCCAGCTTTTCAAGACCACTGGCACTGTCCGCAAGACACCTTCACCGGTAACACGCCCTTCAGCCGACAGAAGCACGACGCTATCTACCACACCGAGCAAAGTTGCGTTTCCTGTGGTCTCGACTTCCCATCAGTACCAACCTTGGCGCACCACAAGACTACCACGTGCCCGGGGAAGCTGATCCTCTGTCGTTTCTGCCACTTGCAAGTCCCACAAGAAGGCGATCCCAGCGAGCCTCCGAACCCCGAACTCCTCCTCTCCGGTCTGACACCCCACGAACTAGCCGACGGCGGCCGAACAACAGAATGCCACCTCTGCAACAAGATTGTCCGTTTTCGGGACATGGACACACATCTTCGACATCACAATCTCGAGCGCTTGTCCCGCCCTTCACCGCGCCTCTGCCGCAACTTGAACTGCGGTCGTACACAAGACGGCGCGAACAAGTTGGGCGACACGCGCTCCGGGACTCGGAAGGGCCAGGGCCCGGGCAATGAGATTGGATTATGCAGTGTCTGTTTTGGGCCCTTATACGTATCCCTGCACGATCCAGAAGGCAAAGCGCTACGCCGCCGCATCGAGCGCCGGTACCTTTCGCAACTCCTGACAGGTTGCGGGAAAGCCTGGTGCAGGAACGAGTACTGTCGCAGCGGACGCAAGAATCTTGGTCAGGCTGATAAGAGCATGCCCACAAAAGACGCAATCCCGCTTGTGAAGCAGTTCTTGGAAGGGATGGATGGCAGGGGGTACAGTACGCCGCTGCACTTTTGCGTCGATGAGCGCAGTCAAAAAAGTAGGACGTTAGCGGAGATGCTGGGTGCTGAGAAGGGGATTGAGGGGAAGGGTGGCTTTGGGTTAGAGTGGTGCGTTGCTGCGCTCGAGGCTGAGGGAGGAGACTTGGACAGAGCAAGGAATTGGCTCAAAGGGTGGGCTCCTCAGCGGAGCGAAGCTGGTCATTGAGAAGCATTCATGAAAATGTTTTGAGGCATCGCACTAGCAAGCATGGCGTTATGGAGGAAAGTAGTTCATATAGACTTGAGAGATACCCCGAGATGATGAGAGCAACAATCTGAGTATAATGATTGCATATGTACCATAAAGTCCCATACATAGCCGTCAGAGGCACATATGCCTTACCATTCCCAACATTGCAGAAATGAATGAACCCTGCAGCAGTTCAGTGATCGACTAAAGTTTGTACAGGAATGAGAAATAGCCTTCCATGGAGACTGAATGTCTTGGGTGCCTTCCGTTCTCGATCGATCGATCATCAGAACCGGCTAAACTTTGTAGCTGAAGTAGCCGATCGTGTTGGAGTAGACGCTCAGGTTGTCGGACCATTTGGCCTTGTCTTGGCGGTCGATAGTCACCATCTGCTCTGCGCCGACTTCACTTAGCGCGAATGCTTGAACACTCGAATCGCCTTCAATGCTGAAGATCTGATTTTGACAGTTCCTGAAGCCGTTGGGGGCATCAGGAGAGGAGCAGGAGACGTCATAGTTTTTGAAGAAGGAGTACCTGTCCTCGTTAGCATGCGAGTCTGAGGTCTTCCCGGAGGCCTCTACAGAGCGATCCAACTGCTGTGAAGGTGTTGGATTGCATCGCGAATTTTTCCACGACAACTTAAAAGGAAAGCGGTATACGTACAAGCCACCACCATAGATCAAGACTTTCTTGGAATTCAGGACGCGAAGACCGTATGCGTCGCAGATACCTGCCGGGCAAGCAGAGGCATAATCGGGGTCGGAGAAGGCATCAGATCGCCCGTACGGCTGAGATTTGGCATCGCTGGGGTACGATATCAGCATATGTCTCACGTGCAATTCGTACAGTACCGTTACTTACGGGTTGGGCATGTAGTAAGGGGTTTCTGTTTGGATGAAACCAGCGAAGACATCGCGAGCTCCGTTGAACTAGCGGAGATGTAAGCCTGGGTTAATTCAAAACGAATTTCAAAAAAAGAAATCCAAAAAGACATGCTGCGAAGGCCTCCAGGCTGACCCGCGTGCAGATGTAGTCAACATACCTGATATTGATAAAGTGCATGGTGCTCGACGCCATTTGCCCAAAGCCAAACGTTTGAGGCTTCCACATGCAAGCCACGTCCAGTGAAAATGGAGACACGCGTGCTGTTCCGGTCATCCATATCGTGATCAGCAGTCTATGATGCGATTAGTACATGGCTCCACCACTAGCAATGCTGAGGGGTAAGGCAGATGCCCTTTATGCTTACCCAGAACCAGTTGTTCTCAAAGTATGCTCCCGAAGCAGACTTAGTCACATGAACGTTAGTGTGTGCCGCCATACACTCAGGCTTTGTCGTGTGGATTGGGCATTGTTGCACCTGGTGCTGAGTGCCCTTGGCGCCGCCGATACGGGTGTGTACATCCCATAGACCAGAGCCACGTTCAGTATTCAAGTTGTACTCGATGACTTTGGCTCCAGGGGTTGCTCCTTGGGTTTGTACGATCATATCTGACCATTCGATGCGTCCACTCTCACCAGGCCTGCCGATTTGTATCACAGCTGCTGGGCTGTCCTTATTCGACCAGGTGTTACCCGAGCCCATGATAACAGAGAAGGTTTCGCCGACCATGCGGGCTCCAGGTGGAACATAGATCGTTTGGGTTACCTTATACACGCCGTGTTCGAAGAATAAAACCTAATGTGACAGTATAGTTAGTAATCAATGACAGAAGGAAGCTCTGCAAAGTACTCCAGGGATAGCTCAAAAATCCTGCTGAGTGCGTCGCGAGCTTACGTACCTTGTTCTGCGATACTGCCCTGTTAATGGCGTCCTGCACGGCCCTCGTGTCATCAGTGGAGCCATCGCCCGTGGCACCAGCGCTGCGAGCGCTGACGAAGTCTCCAGCACTGAGGTTCTCGTACTGGGGCTTGGATTTGCTGTAGTACTTGCCACCTTCCAGGAGACCTGCAGGCCGGCTAGTTGTGGCAATGGGCCCTTGAAACTTCTCTGGGCCGTTGGGAGAATACTTGTTGCCCTGGCCCCATGCTTGGATTGTAAGTGATCCGCCTTGAAGGATAGTAGCTCCGGATCCCATAATCGCAATAGGCACGTTATTCAGCTTGATATTCTCAAGGATCAGCTGGCCGGCGCCGATTGGTACGCTGTCCCTCTTCCACGCCTGTCTGCAAGTTAGTTGACTACTCGCATAATCGTAGAGCCTGCCTAGCTTCGAAATGCTTGGTGAACCTTATTTGGCGTTGGCTAAGGTACGTTGAAGCCTAGGCCTGTGATGGAGGCGTGAGACGAGATTGACTTACCATATCGACGAATCTCGGGCAGTTGGTGATTTCGCTGTCGATTATGACCACTGAACCGACCTCGAGCTTGTTGCTCAGGTAGCCGTTAATCATCGAGAAAGCCGTGCCGCAGTCGCTGATGGAGAGGCCTGAATAAAGCCAGCCCCAATTCCAAATCTGGGAGATACCAATGACAGCCTTTGAGATTTTGATGTTGCGCATGGTGAACTGTTGATTGCCGATGTTCATGCCGTACAAGCCTCCTTCGATTTCAAGGTCCGCCATATGTCCACCGGAACCTGTTGAAGATCAGTAAGAGGCGAACAAGTTACATAGGTGCCTGGTATCGAGCACTCCCAGGGCTAGCTTACCGTTCTCCACGAAGATGCCAGCATGCACTGAGTCGGATGACTGGGTCATTCTGATCTTTACATTCTGAATCGTTGTCGCCTGCGAAGCTGGCCAATGGATGCCCTGGAACCCCTTTTTCGGCGGAACAGCTGTACCGTCGATAACCAAATTTCGGATCTGGCGCATGAAAAGATTCGTCGAGATCCATCCGGGCTGACCATTCTGGTTGCTGTAGGGGCTGGCATCAATGAGGGCCAGAGCATCAAGAGTAGGGGCAGCCTTGAGAACCGGGAGACTCCTAGGATTTCCGATGAGTTGCGTCATGTAGTAGAATATAATCGGCTTGCCGATGAGGTAAGTACCAGACGGAATGTACACGACGGCAGGAGTGTCAGTGGACGAGTCGCAAACCCAGGGACCACAGCGGTTCCCATTGGCAATGGCACGGTTGAACGCATCCGAGTCATCTGTCACACCGTCGCCTTGATACTGGTTAGCCATTTCTGATTGTTGGGTAGCCTCGCCACGTACCTTTGGCCCCATATTCCTTCACGTTGCGAAAGACTTTGTAGGCATTGGGATTGTTGTTGAAGGCAGCTTTGCCCTTGCCCGACAGGTCATTCAGCCAGTAGCCATCTTGTGCAAAGGCACGCGACGACAGCTCGTTGGCAGGAACGGGGTCCCGTTCAGAAACTATAGTGCCACTCGCCAGAGCATCTACACGCGGCCCTATGAGAAGTGAGCTATGGGATGCTTTTCTTGGAGGAAGGAGCGGTGAGCTTACCAAGGACAGCACCCTGAATGCCTGCTGCCAACAGGCCAGCAATTATTGATGGCAGGTGCATGCTCGTTGATTATATACGAAGTCGAGAGGCTTATGTACGGTAGCAAAAGGGACAACCGACGTACGTACAAAGGAATGAGTAGAAAGGAGGATCTGGAAGAGAAATGGCACAGAAAGGAGGAGTGAGGTGTCTATTTACTCTTACCGTTTGTTCTGGTTCCGGCCTTGGCACTGGCGACGAGAGCGTGATAGGAAGGCACCACCCAGACCCTGGCGGTCATTCAAGAGCTCATCTTCAATAACCCACCATTCAAACGAATCGTCGTGTCAAACCTCACCAGCGGGCACTCGAATGCTCGGTCACCCGCCAGGTTAACTGCTTGTCCGATGTGCTAGCATCCATGCTTGCCGTTCTAATGCCTGCCTGGCCAAGTCCTTTCGAAGGTTCAAGCTATCCCGGCTTAAGGTGACATGGTTTGTGTAAGGGCGGCTACTCTCGTCAGTCTTATTAGACCACGAGTTCCACGGAATTCCAGAGTTTTGGGTGACTTTACCATTCCTAACCTGGAAGCCTTTAATTTCCTGAAGCTGTTCAAGTGGCCGAAGCTCACGAATTCTTCATTCGCTGCAGGCCATGCTGGAAGTGGTCATATTCGAGAAACTTACTTACGGTTGTAGACAGAGAATGAAACAGACTCAGGAGGTTTGTGCAACCAAACTTGATCCGGCAGAAGTCACCGGGTCGGCCCTTTATTCCCGTCGAGTACTGTCTCAACCCCGGTGAATCCACAAGCCATGGACATGTGATGAATACTATCCTCAAGACACTGCAGCAATTATGCCAATTAACCCCGCGGTGTTAAGTGCCCGAACCCCAGGTTTTGGGGGTTCTGCAATCACTGACGTGCCGCATTTGTGGGGTAGCCTGTGAACCAGGGTCGTGGTCAGATCTGTGTTACACCGCATATTTCTGCCCTATGATCTGCTCCTGCAGCATCATCCTCCCGCGCGCGTGCTCGTATTAATCCTCTAATCCTTGAGACACCTCACTGCGAAACCTCATCGCCCGACGGTGTCACGGACTTACCGAGTCTTGTGAGGATTCCGCGAGACGAGTATCGTGAGGGGAGGTGCAAGACCCTCCTTAAGACCTGCCTAATGGAAACAACTGTTTTAGTGAGCCATGTAACCGCGCAGACCTATCGCGAGATCAGTTAGCGCTCGCTGTGAAGCATGCAAGGGCGACAGCCTCCTGGATCTGGCGCGCACAGATTAGAGATATTTGGGTAGCGGTTTGAGTGTAGTCGAAATAAGGGTTTGATGAGACGCCACACCCTTGGATGAGAGAACTCGGAGCTAATGCCTGTTGAGGATCGCAATGAAGCCAGATGCCTCGTAGCTTCAGTTGGGCTTTTTAGGTCGAGATCTTGCGTCAGGTAGATCAGGTGTCCAGGCAAAGATAGATTGAATGAATTTGGCTGTGTCCAGTTAGATGGCGGTGTTTCGACCTTCTCCTTCCGGTAATATATCCATCAAAAATGAAGCATGTGATAAAACAACGAGCCATGGTGAGCAAAAACAAATTGGGATCGTGATGAGAGTTGCTAGAGTAGTTTTAGTGTACGTCATATGTACTCTCGGTCAAGACAAAGCTATCAGTCATGAGTACAGCTTCGCAAGCATGGCGCATACAATTTCTCGAGAGTCGACGAACGAACGGGATGACCGATATGCTAATGCCGGCCTCGGCTATGTCCTAGTTGTCCGTCGTCTTGCATTGTGCCTTCTAAGCTCTTCTTATCCGACAGACTTTTGCCATGCGAGCGGTGCTTTTGGAGCAAGTAAGAAGATGTTCAACCCATGTCGCACGCGGTGTTGTCGTGAGTTGGACCCTATCACTTGGTGCAACCTAATCGGCTTCGGAGTGCTTCTCAGTCCTCAGGTAAGAATTTCCAATGAAACGAACCGGTACGTGATCATCTTATACTGCCATAGACGGTTCGTCTATTCTGTCGCTGCGCGGACGTGTCATAGATAAAGAAGACGTCATAGCTGGTCTTGAATAGGCGTCATAATTTGACCTTGACTTCAACGAACATAGCTTCTCCCGTTGTGAAAACAGTCCCCATACCGTCTTCGATAGTCGCACGAACGTATAGCTTTCTGCCGTCCTGGCGCTCGAATTTGGCCGTACAAAGAACGATACCTGGCGTAGGAACAGGCCTCTTGTAATTTGTATTCAGATCTGTCTCTTATCAGCCCGGTGTCTCCAATGCGCCACAATTTACAGCATCTACTAACAAGCAGTAAAGGAGCTCATTCTAGTGTTTGCATCCAGCTGGCCCAGGTCTCTCAACCGTTGCATCTTCTTTTCTTGATTGAGTATAATAAGTACACCGCAGACCCTAAAGTTTAGGTCCAAAGTCAGCGCATATCTCATAAGCAGCTCATATATGATCTTACGTACTCATCGAGCATCGTGGCCACGAACCCGCCGTGAGCGATCCGTGAGTGTCCGTCCAACCCATCACCCAGATCTAAGATCGTCACCACCTCCTTATACGGAAAATCGTCATCATCTTCCTTCGTCGGTCTAAGCGTCAATAGGGCTCGTACTGTGCGATTTGTGGCGAGGGTTTCCGCGATGAAAGAGTCCTCTCCTGAAGGCTTTGGCAATCGTGAGGCTGTGCTCGTAAGAGTCCATTTGGGGTCGTTGATCAAGGCTGCTGCCCAGGGAGACGAGGAAAACTGGGAAACAACAGCATCCCCCATCGTGATTGCTTTGATTTGGTGTTCGTGGTGCCTGTTGAATGCATGGTGGGAAAAGATACATAGGCATGCCGAGGTGCGTGGTCGAAGTTGCTGATGCGATCCATGATGTGCCGAGGTACCTATCGATAAGAGTCGTGCAGTCGCCTTTTGTGTCCTTATTCCTATACACCTTCTCCATGATTAACTTGGGCAGCTCACGTTCAAACAATGAGATGGAATGATGTTGTATCGGCAAAGAGGAGTCTGTATAGAGCTCGAGATGTGTCGCGTAAACAACTTCTCATGCATATCTAGTCAATATCAACCACTGTGAAACTCCAGTATATATTGTCGCGTACAATTATAGCCCTAGGCGATTGCAGTAGTTGTTTTCTGCTCGTTGTTGAAGATTTCGGTTCTCAATGTTGTTCAATTCTCGCGTCGTAGAATGCAAGACGTCATCCATACACGCTAGACAATACGTCAAAGACGACGCGAGCCGTGAACATCTGTACTATTCTAATCCGCATCTAGATGTTAGAGACCCGCATAGGTGTCAATGATTTAGCTAACGAGGCATGGGCTCAGTGTAACGGTCATAGTTACGACTGCCCAGATTCTATAACTCCCAACAGAGCCTCTCTCCATCTGCTTCTCATAGTTTTAGAACCTACATATTATCCTAGGATATTCTAGATATTCTATACAGCAGATTTAACAGTGATGTCGTCAAAGCCACACTCCAAGACCGTCCGTGGAACTCTCGATAATCCCAAAACCCAAAAAGCTATGAAATCGGACAAACCCACAAAAGGACTCGGGGACGCGACCTCACTCAAACCCGAAAACGGCACAAAGCCCCTGCCATCCAGGGATTCAGCTCCGCCGCATGGAGAAGGAAATGACAAGAGCTCAGACTCTGCGCCCACCGTGTCAGACCCATACCGCAAAAATGGCGACGCTGGAGGGACTGGCAAAAAGCCGAGTAGGAACGGGCGTGAGGAAGGGAAAAGCCTACCACACTCGAAGACTGTCAGAGGAACATTCGCGAATGATGATGGGAAGAAGGTGAACAACACGCAGTTGGGTGATGCGACCAGCCTGAAAGCGGAGACAAGCGAGAGTGAATCAGGGAAGGACGTGGAAAGAGAAGGTGGAGATAAATCAGGGAAGAGCAAGTTGTGAATTACGAACCAAAGCATGTCTGAGCGTACATCCTAGCCAATGTATCAAAATATAGCAATAGCATTTGGTGGACTGGCAACACCACCCTTGACATTAAGCACCTGGCTGGTGAAGAAGAAAGTCCATCGTTTCTGCCTCTCACACTCCTTCGCTAGCTCCTCCAAGTCGAAAATCTCACCAATAGGCATGCCAAAGCCGGAAAGTAGTATCTGATGCATTGGCTGTGGGGATGGTGGCCATGCTTCGAAGCCGGGACAGTCACTCGCGACAGCAGCAATTTGCGTATCCCAGAGGAAGGCAAGCACTTCCAAAGTGCTTTCTAGACCCGGATATTGAAAGGGTGATTTGTTCATTATGGCTTGCTTGGTGGAGAGGGTAGCGGTTTCAAAGGCGGCCGTGAAGCCTTGTGTATAGTCAGCAGTGGTTATAGTAGAGGTAGGATGTGTGATGTATTACTGACCGGTGCGGAGTAGGATGATGTCGCCTGCTCGGAACTGAACATTGCCTTCCTCTGTGATCTTCTTTGCGACGTCTAGTGGTATAGCGTAGTTGTCCAGTGGGTCATACTTGATACCTTTACGAGCAGCATAGGAAACAAAGTCAATCAGCACGCCGCGGCCAACAATGCCTTGCTTAGCCCATGCTATGTACTCATCAGTATATGCCCGTCAAATATGGGAAGAACTTACCGTGAACGCCGAGCTTGGAAGTTTTGTTACCCAAAATCTCTTCTTGTGTGAGACCATTATAAAACCGCCCGTCATCGAAACCCCAATGTCGCAGCCCGTCCCACTGACTGCTCGTTTGCGTATTGAAAGTTAGTCGGTCATCCTTGGCATCAGTCAAAATTCCCCTCTAAGGCCTACGCTTAGTCTAATTACCTACGTTCATGTTCTTTCCTAGCTCGTAGATTTCATGCTTCAGTACCTGCCGAAAACTTTCACCTGCGTAGTCCATCTGTTCAAGAGGCCAATTCAGCCCGACCCTTATCCCAGTCTTGATCTCTTTCGCGGCTTCAGTCGTACGCTCGGGTGTTAGGTGATTCAGAGTCCCAAGCTCATCATTCATGCCCCAAAGACCCCATGCTGAGTGTGGTGGATGGGATGGGTCGAGCGGCAGCTCCGAGAATTTGGGATGCGGTCTGGCTTGCGTATCTGAGGACATTGTAGGGGACTTTGGTCAAGGAATAGGACGAGTTAGAATGAGAGCCATCTTGAATCCTCACATTCTTATAGGCAACCTCCTTCTGGCCGATGGCTTGGAAATGAATTATGCGGGGAACATAGCCGGCTATTGAGACCCGCTAACACCTTTGATGTAGTAGATATTTCGGGCGGTGCGATAGACGTTAATCTTCAAGCTTCGTGAGCGCCCTTCGCATTCTACATTAGCTCAAAGGTATCTTTTCCAATATTCCGCATAAGTGATGGTATACAAACAGTGTCGGCCTTTCGAGGTTGACGTTACCCCACGTAGCGCTGTCCCTGCATAAGCCGATTGTTGCTGCCCCACCGAGGGGCAGCAGCTCGTAGGATCAACATAACATCCAACCTTTTACTTCTTCATTTACACCCTCCCTTGTCAAATTTGAGCACAAGACATCATGGCAGACATCAATCTCCAAGAAGTCCACGACTTCATGATCTCCATTGCCAAACAGGCAGGAGAGAGAATTGTCTCTGCGAAACCTACCACCGAGAATGCAGGCTCGAAGATGAACTGTGAGTGTTGAAATCTAAGAGAAACCCACAGAATATTGAAACCTAATCTTCATGTAGCTGTCGACCTTGTAACCGAAACCGACCGCGCAGTCGAGTCCTTAATCTCCACCGCGCTCCGCGAAAAGTACCCGAACTTCTCCTTCATGGGCGAGGAAACCTACAAGCCCGGTGACAAGATCACTTCTGAACCAACATGTACGTTACAACGCCCATGTACGCACTGCATGCAAGACTCACACTGACCAAATTACTCAACGTTTAGTTATATGCGACCCCATAGACGGCACTACCAACTTCGTCCACCGATACCCATACGTATCCATCTCTCTCGGCCTCGCCATCAACCTCGAACCCACAGTCGGCATCGTATACAACCCGTTCACACAGACACTATACTCCGCGATAAAAGGACAAGGCGCATATCTAAACCAGACCACAAAGTTACCACTGAGCCCCCCAACACCACTAGAGACGCTAAACAGCTGCCTCGTCGCGGTGGAATGGGGCAGCGATCGCAGCGGGAACGACTTCAAGGTCAAGAGCGGGACGTTCAAGAAGTTGGCTGCGACGAAAGAGGAGGGCGGAGGCATGGTGCATGGGATCAGGAGTTTTGGTAGCGCGGCGCTGAATCTGTGCGGTGTTGCTAGTGGAGGGCTGGATATCTATTGGGAAGCAGGATGCTGGGCGTGGGATGTCTGCGCGGGTTGGGTGATTTTGAAGGAGGCTGGTGGTGTGATGGTGGATGCTAATCCGGGGAATTGGGAGCCGCGAGTAGATGAGAGGAGATATTTCGCGGTGAGAGGTGGAGAAGGGCAGAAGGAGATTATTGAAGAGTTCTGGGGGTTGGTTGATGGTGCTTTTGAGGTTGGGATATAGAAGGGAGGGTGACTGATAGAGGTTGGAGCGAAAGAGGACATGTAAACATGCAATAGACAAAACATCACATCTGCATCGGGCATAGCAGTATAGCGGCGGCCTAGGTTTCTCATTACACGCCACTAAAGATCCTCCACAGCCAGTCTGTCCACGCAAGCGGTCTCGATCAATCTGTTCCGCATCGGACTCTCCACCAGAGAGTGTCCTCCAGCACGGTTCTTCTCAGTCATCGCAGAACCATGCGTCCTGAAATAGATGTCCGTTTTCCTTCCTTCGCACCAACGGCATTTCTCTCATTCCATTTCCACCAAAGCGCACAAACTGAACAAAGGAAACGCAGTTTCAAAAGGTCATCATGTACTCTCTCCGCAAGCAGAGAGGGGTGGTATCGAAAGGAAAGGTGCTGCCGTTATATGATGGAGAAGTAGGGATTAAGGGACGTGATGGGGGTGAGCAAACTCCACATTATGAGAGAGGGAGAGAGATAAGATAGAGGGGAATTATGATGCAACCGGTTCGAGTACGCCGAGGAAAGCAACGGAGAGGAGTCAATCCGGTCCATGTTTTTCTGAGGTTTTCCTTTCTTTTTAAAGAGGGGGGATGACGTGCGAGTTGCATGAGCGCTTTGTCGCTATTGGCAATTTGGGTTGAGTTGGAGTTGAAAGATTGAACATGTTGTAGAACTCCGGGTGTGCGTGTTTGCAGTTGTGCTTGACGAACGATGGGCAGTGCAACCAGCCTTAGATGGTCCTAGGAGTACCGCGAGCGTTGCTGCTAACATTAGTCAATACGATGGTCACGAAGCGAAAGATGTGTCAAGACAGAGGAGATGCGCAAAGGCTCACCTCGCATCCACGAGATCATCGACATGATTGCACATAGCCACGAACAAGTCAAAGAACAGTTTTCCCCCCATCTCCATCTCCATCTGCATGGTTCCACTACGCTTGAATGTTTTCCGACTGCGGATAATCAGAGCGAGGTAATGAGCGCGCAGCCGCGAGTCGCTGTCCGGCGTGTTCTCATAGGCATACCGCGCACTACGCAAGATGGTGCCGACTTCGATCCCGCTCTGCAGGCCCTGCTTGCGCAGAGAGAGCTTCTTGAGCTCTTCGAGGCCGTAGCGATCGGCAGCGCAATACACGGCGGTGTCGCGGAGAAGAACGTCACCCACGCCGGGGTGAAAAAAGGTTGGCTCGACAGCGGCTACACGGTCGCCGGTTTTATTGGGGTCGGGTGAGGTGATTGCGCCCTCGAGCATCCAGGTTTGCCGTCGCTTGTCGTGGACCAAGCGCGGGTAGTAGTCACCCTTGTAGAGATACTCGAGGATACAAGAGAAGATTTCGGGTTCCTCCATGGGCAGGTCGATGCGTCGATTAGCGGACTCGAAGAACTGGCCCCGCAAGACTTCAGCGAAGTACGGGGAATGACAGAGGACGTCTTCGTGCGCAGCGAATAGTCGCTGGTCGGGACCAACGACAACCGTCACAATGGCAGAGGTGAGGCTCGGGGAGCCATTCTCCATCATTGGACTGTCTTTGCGCGCATCCAGCTTCTCGACCATGACCTTCTGCTTCGAGGCATCGCGAAACGATTTCTTCGGCTGTTTGGTTATCTTGCCGGAACGGTCCTTCGAACTAGCAAAAGAGCGTTTGCCGAACATTTTGGACGAAGAAAGGGATCGTAGCGAGCGACGGAAGGACTTGAAAAGAATGGACAGGTTAGTTTGACGCAGGGTGCATGTAGGGAGCTCCGGAAGCTCTCAGATTTGGCGCTTTTTGTGAAAAAAGTGCTGGATCCGAGAAGCTTAGTATGTACCAACACTGGTGGTGAAGATAGCACACTTGGGTTGTCGAGCCTGGGCTTGTCGAGAGGCGTAAAGGCTGAAGTGTGGGGGATGCCGGCCTCTTTATATTGGCCCTGCCAAGTTGTGGCCCCTGTAGCCTGCTGTCTAGCGCCGGGCTGTGTAGCTTGCATACTCTTGTTTCTATTCGTCAATGGCGCTGTTGTACTCCATGACTGGATACGGAGACATGTCAGCCAGCGAGGCCGAATTGTTTATAGGTCTTGATTTGGCACACTGCAACTGAGCTGGAAGACCGTGGAACAGGTTGGTTAGGCTGGCTACGCGATCCATGGACAAGGCAGCAGTGTGATGCCGTCAGTCCATGGATAAGTAGGAGAAAAAGAGGAAGATGGACTTTAGTGAGGAGAGGAATGTAACATGAAAGCGCAGACCTCTAAAGGCCCCCATAACGCGTTGGTTGTGTCGCATCGCGTTGCTATCGCGGTGTAACGTGACCTGTGTCTGGGCGCCTTCCCGGTGACTCACAAGAGGATCGGCTGCAGTGAGAACTAGAGAGGACTAGAGCCATGAATCCACCATAAAACCTGGACCCAGATGGAGTGAGGCGGGTTGGAAAGGGGCCAGTTGCACATGTTCAAACCTAGTGCTTCGGGAGTTTTGGCCACTCGTAGTTCGCATAGCAGGTCGCATTCTTGGTCTTGACGTAGGAAAACCAGCTGTGATTACATCGCTTGTCCACTTTTGTTCTCTTTTGTGCTTTCTTCTTGCAGTCGACTAGACCTCCAGTTCAGGCTAGGGGAAAGTGTAATGTTTGCCGGGGGAGTCATGCTCAACGGGCATGGCGCGAGCGACTTGTAAAAGTGACAAGCAAGGCGATGCAAGACGTCGTATCGGCGGATAACCATTGGTGTCCAGGCGGTTGGGAAACTGAAGTCCCGAGATTACTCCTTCCCCATGACGTCGGTATAAACAAATTGCAAACCCAAGCGTGTAGTAGTAGAAGCTAATAAACAGAGAAAATAGAATAGCCATACACGGTCGTAGCAAGCAGTACGTGAGCCCAGGTGGGTCCCATGACCAGCCAAGGTGCTAGGCTACCCGCCCGCGGGCGGAGCTTTGACTCTTCTTCTTCGTCATCCATTGATATCTTCCCCCACCTCTACCACGTTCTTTTCGCAACTATCACCTACCATTGTCGCACTGCACCCTCTCACCTAAGACCGCAGCGAAGTTCGACCATCTTGATCTCTCTTGGCGCCGATCCTCCCCTCCCACATATCCACATCACGCCTACAACTGGAGCACCGCCGCAACCTTAAGCAGCAGGCAACACATCAACCCAGGGTCCATAACACGAGAAGCAACCCGCCGCCACAATGAGTACCGGAGCAAAGAAGCGAATCATGAAGGCAAGCCTCTCGTATGATGCGAGAAAAAGCATGCACACTAACCTTGGCGCAGGAGTACGGTGAATGCATGGCTGATACGCCTGCGGGCATGAAAATCAACTTTGACGAAAAGAACATGACCAAGTGGGAAGTCATCATGGACGGCCCCGAGCAGTCTGTCTACGCCGTATGTTTCAAAGTGCCGCACCGCTTTCGATGCGCAATAGGAAGTACATGCTAACGGCCGTATAGGGTGGCCACTTCAAGCTCGAGATTACCTTCCCTACCGAATATCCCTTCAAGCCGCCGGTCGTCAGCTTCCGCACCAAGATCTACCACCCGAACGTGAGCAACGATGACAAAGGGTCAATGTGCCTGGGTCTGCTACGGGCCGACGAGTGGAAGCCACCGAACAAGGTCGTCTCTGTCCTCCGTCTTATTCAGACGCTCTTGATCGAGCCCAACCCGGATGATGCCATCGAGCCTTCGATCGCCAACGAGTATAGGGAGAACCGCAAGGAGTTTGAGAAGTCGGCGAAGGACTGGGTCAAGCGTTACGCCAAGTGAGAAGGCGTTGGGTGGACACTGGATAAGGAGAGAAGTCCTGGGGACAGAGCCGCGCATGTCCGACACGAGGTGCATTTTTTTGGGCGTTCGGCGAAACTTGCATGCGGTTGGAGATGGGTTCTGAGTCTGACCGGTGATGGGAGAATAAGCAATGTGTATACGGACGAGTTGATTTTTGCGCTGCCGGAAGCATTATCGGACATTATGCAATGCAAATGCAGGGCAGGGTTCGGCAAATAAGATGAATACGACTTCATAATGTCATCATAAGGAATTTCCCGTGACGGTGCTCGGATCTCAGATCGCGTACTGAGACAAGGTGTACCCGGTGTTTTCTCGAACAAGACCAGGGGACATTATGACGTTCTAGTCTCTTGCCCGCCTGAGACAGCCCTAACGCTGACCACGTGTGAATTGTTCGCAGGCGTCGACTTGCTTTCCAGTCGCATTTCCATCCCAAGCCTATATGCGCTCGGACTACTCATTTGCCAACGACTCATCAGCCTCTAGCGGAGGTTGTGCAGAGTGCTCCGAAGTCTTGGAAGCAACAAGCAAGTTTTCCAGAGATTAGCAGAGAGGCCCCCTGAAAGTTTAAAATGCTCTCTCGTTAGGGAAAGCGACTCCGCACCCAGTATGCTTGCTGTCTGCAGAGAGGGACACAATCAAGGTCCTTTCTCCCTTGCCAATAGGGAGATGCGGAAGATGCGCCTGAGATGCTTGTTGTTGCAAAACGGGTCTAGGGGGCTTAGATCGCGTCAACCTCGCGACGGGTTTGGGGCCCTTGGAGCGCTTATGCAAACCGCCCAAAGGTGCCAGTGCCGTCTGATGGCAAGCCAGCAAGCCAGCAAGCGTCTCCGCTGACGAGCTTGCAGAGGCCACCACCATCAAGCTCTGACCTGCCTGCGCTTCGACCCACCTGGTGCTAGCGACGGGGATGCGTTGGTAGGATGCCGCTCTTGGCGAGAGTCAATTCGCGATGCAGCTTGGAGGAGACTTCCTACAACACCTCCTCTCTTCACTACTACCCTCTGAGTAGCCCCGGCACCCGGCGGCACGTTACGCTCCTTATTCTTCACACTCATTCTCCGCCAGTTCTTCTTTTTAGCCCCACTGCGTGGGTCCCGCCCCCAATTATTCACTGCCTACAGTGCTCTTGACTTGCAGTGCTCCACATCCTCGCACCCAAACCACGTCCTGCTACAACACCACGCTTTCACCCTCTACTACGCCTCTGGTCCGCCGCCAAGCATGTTGCCGCGAATCAGCACGACGTTTGAGCTGTCTGCATCTCCAATCGAATGAGCGCGCCTCCCATCCACCTATACCACTCCACCAGCCCCCCATCAAGCCATGGGCGACACCCTCTTCCGTAATGCCACGGCTGGGGCCACTCAAGACAGCGGCATTAGCACCACCCCCGAGGCAGCCGTTCCGTCGAAGCCGCAATACGTAAACTACCGGCCCCCCAACGCTGATTTTACTCCACCAGCGTCTCCTCAGCCCCAGAATCCATATGCGGTGAAGAGAGGATTCGGATCACAGCGATCAAGGCATCCTGTGCAATTACAAATGGAGGCAGCAGCCTTGCAAGACTCCAGTCCGTCTCCATTGGAAAGCCCAACTCTTCCTCTAACCGCCCTGCCTTCCCCCAAGTATCCCTTACGACAGCGGGCTCCCACTCTCCTCCGCCATGCTGCTGTACCTTCTCCCTCTCCCCTCAATGAAGGACACATCCGACTGGACCAAACTGCCCCATCGCCAACATTTGCTCCGGCAAGGACACGCCGGGAGGGAAGCGTACCAGGCTCGCCCGACCTTCGCCCCTTCTACAACCCCCTAGCCAGTAATCCTGTAAACTCGAGCGGACCGGCATGGGACTCGTCCACGGATGACCTGTCAAGTGCAGCTTTGCACGGCCGGCCTCGGGGGATGACCAACTCTTCACAATCATCCTTTCACCCTACGCCTCCGCTGCGATCCGTGACTTCTATACCCGACTATACCCAGCACCGAGGGAACGAGCGTTCAAATTTGTCTGGCACCTACAAACCCAATAGAGGTGTTCCAAACTGGTCTCATACTGACTATTATCCTACTCCACCGAGGCCCTTCCGCGGCGAGGAGCCACGAGCCAGCTTCCGATCCGGCTGGACGAATACCACTTCAAGCTTGATGGAGGCTAGCGAAAGAAGCAGTATAGGAACTGCGCGGAGCTCTGTGGCCAGTGAGCGGCAGGCTAGTGTATACTCGAGAGACCAGTCAAGGGACCGTTTGCGAGACCGGGATGATTCGCCTGAAACAGTTCAGACCTCAGATGTGGCCGAAGAAGACGATGATCATCTGGACGCAGTTGGCGACGTTCTAGACTCGTACTTCTACGACGAGGACGACCAAGACCGCACCCAGGAGTTTGAGGACCACGATAATCAGGCTTACCTACACCCTTCACCAGTCCCTTTGGAATCGGAGCCTCCTGAGTTGTCGCAGACGCCCTCCCGCGACCTGGATTCCCTAGATTCTTTTCAATCATCCGAGAACCTAAAGCATTGGGACGATCGCCCGTTGCCGTATGTGGATAATACCACAGACGATACGCCATCCAAGGATTCGTTGACCATCCATCATCCACCTCTAATCGGTGACTCGAATGCGATGAACCGTGATGAGAACGGAATGAACCATTTGCCTCTTCACCAGATGAGTCCTTTACAGGCTCAAAACATCCCGAGGACAAGCGATGTCGTAGGGAAACAATCCGACAAACGACAATCCAAGGCGTGGCAACGATCAAGCGAAGAGCTACCCCGACGTATGTCCGTGTCTTTGCAGGCTCTAGCTCTCGGCGCACACAGTACCACAGATCGTCTAAACAGCACAAAGGAGATAGGGCCACAACTAAAAGGATCGAGTCTTGATCGCTCCAAAATGACCGAAATGCGGCGCGACATATCTGGACTGCCACAGTTACCAACAAAGAAATCGCGGCTATCACGCCAAGACTGGGCACACATTGAGGCGTATTCGAAGACTCATAGCAAGAGGCCAAGCGCTTCTCGAACTATCTCAAGCGATTCGGTCGTAAGTAAGAGTGGTCCGCAGTCTCCACCGCCACAAAGGTCCGAGCCACTTCCTGAAGTCGATGAAGATGAGGCAATCCCTCGCCGCGCATCAACTAGTGTATTCGACCGGAAAAGCAGACTGTTCAATTTGGGGACTATGGCTCCGCTTATCCCAAATAAAACTACATCAACCCTTGAGCCTCCTGCGTCCTCGCCTGCTCAGCGAATGGATGAGGCTCAGCTGCGAAGAATGGCAGCTCCGGTGGAGCGGGATCGCTATGGGTTCAAGAAGGCTTCTGATAAGATTAAAGTACATGAGTACAATGCATGGGCCCCGAAATACGAAGAGCACATCTCCCGACGGCGGAACAAATGGGTCGCCCTGATGACCAAGCAGGGCCTTTCGACTACAGACCCTACCAAATTCCCGGACGTCTGCGAGAAAGTGAAACGATATGCGCGTAAAGGATATCCTCCTGAATGGCGAGGTGCCATGTGGTGGTACTACTCGGGTGGCCAACACTTGATCCAGCAGAAAGAGATGGTCGGTCTTTACGCATCTCTTGTTACCCGAGTACGCCAAGATGAGCTTAACAAGGACGATAAGGATGCCATTGAACGCGACCTGGACCGGACCTTTCCTGACAACATTCACTTTCGCCCAGAGCCTGCAACTGACCTGCTAGACGGGGAGTCCGACGACGAGCCTGTCCTCATCCAGGACCTTCGTGAGGTTCTGTCTTGCTTTGCGTTGAACAACCCCAATATTGGGTATTGCCAGTCTCTGAACTTCATCGCTGGCCTCCTTCTCCTATTCTTGAAGCAAGATAAAGAAAGGGCTTTCATCCTTCTCACTATCATCACACAAAACCACCTTCCCGGAGCCCACGCGCGAAGTCTTGCGAACACCGAAGTCAACGTGCTCATGATGTTGATCAAAGATTACCTCCCGAAGGTCTGGGCGTCTATCAACGACACGGATCTCATCAACAGCGGCGCCGGATCGCATGCGCATCCCAACTCGAAATTTCAACGCCAACCCACGGTCGCTCTCTCCTGTACGTCGTGGTTCATGAGCATTTTTGTCGGTGTTCTACCCATTGAGACTGTCCTTCGTGTCTGGGATGCCTTTTTATACGAAGGACCACGTGCTCTGTACCGCTATGCATTAGCAATTTTCAAACTCGGCGAACCAGAGATCAAGAAATACCGGCCAGGGGACGGCGAGCTCTTCATGGCGGTCCAGAACCTACCAAGGAAGTGTATAGACCCGAACATCCTGCATGATCTGGCATTTGTGAAGAAAGGCTTTGGCAATCTGTCTCAGAATGTCATTGACCAGAAGCGCCTCTTCTGGCGCGAACAGAACAAGATGGCGCACCAAGTCTCGGTGAAGGGGATTAGAGGGGTGCCCAGTCCACCAAACGATGGAGAGGGAGACGGCGACAGCCTCAGAAAGGCAATAGGAATGGGCGGACTAAGAAGGAAGGCCTCGAGGCGGTTCCGAAAGATGAGGGGATAATACATACTACTTCGACGCATTTCTTTTTACGCAAAAGAGCCCTATTGGGATGATGAAGGGGTTTACATACACACGGCCGCAGCACTTTGGCGTACAAAACCACTTTGACTTTCTTGTATACTAATTACCATATACCCCCTTTGTGTAGGCGGCCTGGATATAGAGATAAAGAGTAGCGCATGGCCTGGGCCTGTCTGGACGGGACTGTTCGGTAATGATGACGAAGTTATGACCCTAAAACCAGTGTGTGCCATTTGTTTTGATTTTGCCAACTGTTGAAGTGACAAGTGTAGATGGAGGTAGGGCCACTCGTTAAAAGAGATGCAAATATCACAATGCCCATGGTGATTCTATTTCTAAGTCGTCCCACATTCCTAGCCTGTAGTTTGAAAAAAAAAGGCCTCTCACAAGTTCAATCCACCAACTCCTGTATATCCTTGCCCGCAAATGCTTCAAAAAATACCGTTATATCATGCTTTTTCCTTCTCCTTCCTCTTCTGCTGCTGCCTGGTGTTGACTTTTTTTTTACTTGGATTCCTGCTCCTTGGACAGGCGATCGTGCTCGTCAATATCGCTATTCGCATGTCAGTATTTTCCATCATAGCAGCTTGTCAGTAATCTTGGGGGTGTTTTATGACGTACGTAGCCTCCCAAGGATAATTAATCCAGACATCGCCCACGGTCCTGGCAGCGCTATACCTGCCCTTGAGGATTTCCTGGGGCAGTATGCCCTTCTTCGCCTTGTCCTTGTTATGCAGGACGAAGATGGAGAAGTTTGTCTTCTCGCCCTGGCGGCCTAGCTTGGTGACGGCGGCCTCGACGTCCTTTTCCAGCTCGCGCACGGCGTACTCGAGCGTGGTCCGCGTGTCGTCTACCTCGTCGACGATGAGGACGTTTTTGCCGATTAGGTTGGCCATTTCAAGCGAGGACAGATCGAGCCATTGGGTTCGCGTGACTTTTGTGCCGGGCTGCTCGACTTGCGCGTCGTCGTCTGTGCCGAGTTGCTCGTAGAGGGAGAGGCCGATGGCTTGGATGGGGATGTTGGGTCGGCCGGGGGCCTTGAGGAAGGATCTGTGCCATCTCCTGTCAGCTGCTTGATTCTCTCTCCTTCCTTCCTTTCTTTTTTCCCTGTTGATTTTCTGTCGCGGTGGTGTTTGGAGGGGGGAGTTTGTGTACAGGGTTTGCATACCGCAAGATGCGCGCGGGGACGTAGCCTCCGCCGCCAATAGCGATCATGAGGTTCGGCTGGAACTCATTGAGGATCTGCCCTGCCGCCTCCTGGCAGAGCTTGTGGATCTGCGCAGATTCCGCGTCAGTTGGTGTTTCTTGCGTTGCGTATGCGCAGGGCGTAGAAAAGCGCAAAGGTGTCGAGGGGTAATTGAGCCGCAGCAGCGTCGTGGTCCTATAGCAGGCATGCTATATGCAGGAGCAGCATAAAAGCCATGCACGCATCTGCGTCGTCGCACGTTCGAGAAATACAGACACTGCAGCGGTACACAGAGGTACCGAGTGTGCGTGCCCCTCTTGTCGCAAGTGTAACAACCGCTCATGTACATACCTGGTTATAGGTGACGTAGATTTTCTGGACCATTGTGACACGTGCTTTCCCTTTGCTCTTATCTCAAGTTCTGGGGGCTGAAATGTAGTAAGGTTATTGATGTTGGAGAGCAGTGTGAGGCTTTTCAAAAAAAAATCTTGACGCGGGCAGGGTCAACGAACGATTGGGTTTAGAAAGGTAAGCGGAGTTGGCCGACTTAGCGGGGTGAAAATGCTACTCGTTGATGGATCAGGTACGCTAAGATGGAGCTGGTTTAGACGGCGCGCGCGGGAAGGCAGGGTTCAAATGCTCACCATGTACCTAGATACATGTACGCGAACGCGTGTAATCTCTTATGTACGCAGTAGGTGATGACTTCTTTGGATACTGTGGCAATGATTTGCAGAGTCCTCCGCTGGGTAACAAGTGAATTTATAAGCTACCATGGCGCACAACGCAGCCTACTAAGGTACGCCCCGATCCGCTTCACCTAATTAATGTGCTATTGACGTCTAGCATCTCGGACGAGGCTACGAATGATGTTGGAAGCCGGTTAGCGTGCATTGATAGATTGGTCTATCTAACAAAGTAACTCTAGGGTGATATCCAAAGACGTTGGATACTCTAATCATGTTGATGTTGAGTTGGTCTGATCATGATCCGGCCGGTCCAAAACAGTCAAATAGCCGATATCGAAGAAGGATTCACATTGCTTTGGACGTTTGTCACTATCGTCAAAACACAATAAATAAATGTGCTGGGGCTGGCTGCACATGACAAAGTTTTCGTTCACGCCAACTCTTGCCGGTTTACATGGGTGCACGTCGAATATCAGGGGCCTTGGATTAGGTGCGCCCCTATTCTTGGTCAGCTGTCTGCTAGGAGAGAGCCTAGATTACACACACCTAGTGCCCTCATGTTCTAGTGCAACGCGACCCGTGGAGTTCCCAACCTTATAAAAGCTATCCTTCCACCAAGTTGAAGTGAAGCAGGACACAAGGTCCTCGGAATCAGGACCAAGTATTTTTGTGAATTGGCCGAGTTGCTCGTCAAAATGGAGCCTGAAGCTATTTTTAATATTCATCCTTAACAGGAACCGTCCGTTCTGATCTACGGGAACAAAACTATTCTCGTTCGACATTGTAATACTTGTAATCCCCTTTAACAGCGGCATGTGTGAGCTATGGACGACTTGTCCGTCGTAAGTTAACCGGGTGTATAGGATCGGCCCAGGCATCGTACTACACAGACCAGGAAAAGCTTTGGAGCATTGAACATCGCCAAACACGAGGATCGTCTTCGTGTTGGGTTGGAGCAGGAGAGCTAAATTGTGTTTGTGTTTACATCTAGTTTCAATTAGCGGCCTGAAAAGGTGAAAGAAGATGGCAACATGTTAGGGCGACATTGGACACGTTGGACACGTAAAAAGGTATGCTTACTCTAATCCAGAGCGAAAGAATAGGTGAGATGGATCAGGGGTGATTTGAAAGGACCTCGCGCGCTGCGTGTCGTAGTCCCAGATACACACGGCGATATGATCATGGAAAGATGCAGCGCAGGCTACAGTGCGCCCTCGACAGGCCAAGGCCCCGAAATAATCATGGCTCGGGACTCTAAAGGCCTTTCTCCCTTGACCATGCAGTGGCCAAACATAGCAGACGTGGGAAAATGTCGTCACGGCTACGAGCTGGTCCGAGGCTACGTAATTGCGAAGCTCTTCACGCGCTTCTCCACTCATAATGCGAAGGTTCCATGTGCCGAGGTCGAGTAGGGCGATTGAGCGCGAAGTCTGCTCTGGAGTGAGCCATATAAGTGTGTCACCGGCCAGAGATGGATGAGCAATGGGTTCTTCTAGGCGAATGTCGAAGAGAGAGGTGGGTTTGCCGTGACGATGATTGTGTACCAGCCGCGCCTTTTGGGTGCACAAGGCATAATCGGCGCTTTGCAGAGTAATGGTGCCAGTAAACCACTGATTGAGGCTCTGTTTGAGCACATCAGGACTCCGTAAACGCTGAGCCCATCGCGTGGAAACCTATGTCGAGCGTCAGAGTTGCCCCAGGGAAGGAGGAGAGGGGAGTCCCCACTCGTTGCAGGCGGCATGGCGTAGTGGTATCCAAGTAGGAGAAGATATGGGCCACCAACTCAATGGGCAGCTGTCCGATGATGTCGAATTGGAACAAGCGAGCACTGGTGATGGTCTGCAGCGCTCGCCATTCGTAGGGCGTTAGCTCGCGGACGAGAGCTTCTAGAGCTTGGTGCCTCGAGTCATGGGTTGGCAGGGCCTTGAACGCTTCGATGAAGCGAGGCGTGTCCATGGTGGTGGCTCTGTGCGGTGACACGAGCTGGCTGCGAGGCCGATGGTCGGACGGACCGACGACCTGGGCAGGAGCGACGGGGGAGCCCCTCCGCGTGGCGACTAGCGTTGGGTACTATACTACTACCTACTAATAAGCCAAAAACTACGGCTACGACGCTGGCATTAGGTTGTGGTGATAGTAGTAGAAGAATAAGAATAAGAATAAGAAGACGAAGAAGAGCTGGGCGCATGTTTCAGTCCAAGCCCTGCACCTGGCCGACTCGCGACCAACAAGGGGAAAACCACCCCCCCTGCGACGCCGAGATGCCGTCCGCCTGGCTCTCTTTGCCGTGAATTGAGTTCCTACAACGGTAGCAAATCCGGGTGACAGTCTGCGCCCTGCTCGCGCATCCATGGGTCTTGTTATCATCATCTGAAGCTGAACATGGGCCCCCTCCTCATTGCGTCCGAGGACACTTGAACATGTGCCTCCTCTGCCTCTTCCTCCTCCTCCTCCTCCTCCTCCCCCCCTCTCCCACCTTGGATGCCATTTCGTCTTTGTCCTTCTGCGCAGAGGCCCTCAGACGCGCCCACCAAGATTGATCTCCATAGATAGTCCGGCTGCGCTACCGACCCGAGCGGAACGCACGTCGTCTCCGCCCTCAGCTTGCACGACTATACGTTTGCGACACACGCGCATACATCGCCGCGGCTCACAATTCCTCCCTACTCGCCTCCCTCTCTCCCTCCCTCCCTACCTATCTGCCTACCATCTTCTTCTTCTTCTTTTTTCTTCTCCTTCTTCTTCTCGTCCTCGTTCGCTCGGCTCCTGCATCAAGCAGGGCCGTAGAAGCAGAAGCTTGGACGCGGTGATCGACCCAGTGCTGTGCATGAGCTCCTATTCCAGGCCCACGGCAGCCCTCGATCCCACCACGACCTGCACGCTTTTTTCAGCCCAACCGTTCCCGAACCAAACCCTTGACTGACAGTGCGCGCATGCACGACAACAAGTCGCAGAGTCAACCTCTTTGCATTCCACTCGCATCGCTCTGAGTCTGCCCCCCCGCAGCCCCGTTGCCCACCCATACATATCGCATGCTGCTCCGCACTTTCTCCGCCCTGCCACGCTCATTGCTACCCTACACATCGGGACCCTGCATCGAGTCTTGCTTTTTTGCTTCTTTTCTTCCTACCCATACCTGAACACGGCTTCGTCCATCTCCCAATACTAAGCACTACTCGACGACCAACTCGCTGCTCTAGCAGACCAACGTCCCAACACCGCTATCGCCCTCGCTCTCCACAATTCCCAACCGCGCCATGGCTTCTGTCGCAGAAGCCCGTCGAAGTCCATTCTCTCCCGACGCACACAACGCAAACCTCCACAAGACCATACCCATTCTCCCCTCCTCCAGCTCATCGCTGGCGCCGCCCCGAGACCCCATGGATATCACCCCGGCCTCGGCATCCACAATGGGTCCACCCACCCTGAACGGCTCAACCTTTGAGCGGAATGGCACAGCTCAATCTCAGACGCAATCACAAAGTCAATCTACAAACGGCGATTTAGGGGACACATCGCCCAATGGCAGCTCGGCCCCGGCAGTGGGCGCTGCAGCGGCCGCACAGCAGCCAAAGGTCGTCCAGACTGCCTTCATCCACAAGCTCTACAAGTGGGTATACCCCTTCACCCTTGCAACTGGATGCAACAGCTAACGCCATCTCAGCATGCTCGAGGACCAAAGCATACAGCACCTCATCTCATGGTCGAGCACAAACGAAAGCTTCGTAATGTCACCCTCCAGCGAGTTCTCCAAAGTATTGTCGTACGTACATCTGGAGCTATGGCCTTTTTGTTAATCTATCTAACCCACCCTGCAGATCGTATTTCAAGCACACCAACATTTCCTCTTTCGTCCGTCAATTAAACATGTATGGCTTTCATAAAGGTGGGTTTTCAGGTACTTTGTGCCTTGGTACGCATCCCATGCTAATCAGTCTGTTGTAGTGAGTGACGTCTTCCATACGGGATCTCCTGACTCTCCACTGTGGGAGTTCAAGCATGGAAATGGCAACTTCAAACGTGGCGATCTGGTCGGTCTACGCGAGATCAAGCGACGTGCCTCGCGGCATGCACTCATCCATCGAGACTCTTTCTCAGCACCCAAACTTCCCACCGGTCCACCAGTAGGACAACCAGTCGAACCAATGCCGGATCCTGTCGAGTCTCGCCTCAATGGCCTCGAACATAGCCTGTATGACATGCACGCCCGAATGCAGCGGTCAGAAGACACCTGTGCCTACCTCAATCAAAAGACCTTGGTCCTAATGGAGGGCATGATGCGATGTCACCAGGTAGGTCTATGCGTCGAGACCTGATCGACACCAGCTAATGTACCCTTTAGTGGAATCAAGACCTCTCAAGCTATATTATGGCCATGGTGCCAGACCCGGAAAATCCAATTCACAGGGATGGTATGCATATTCCGCTTAAACTTTATTCGCGCGACATGCTCACTTATATGTCTAGTCTCGATGATGCAGCGTGACATTAGTCGGCATACCGACATGCTGCGAGCATTGGAACCGCCCGAGGAACCCCTCTCTGCACGTCAGCCCTACTTCATGCAAATCGACAATAGCAATGGTCCTCCACTCTCGCCGCGGCAAATGCCTCAAGACAATTTGACCGATTCGCGAAGAGGTTCGTTGGCCAGTATTTCACGCCAAGCACCCTACAAGGCTCCGGTTCCCGCCCATATTGCGATTTCTCCGCGACGGTACGGCTCAATAGGCACGGGTAATTACTCTCCATCTTCAGCCAGAACCCCAGCTCAACACCAGCCACCCCCACCTCCACCACCGACTATCCAGCAGCCGGGAGCAGCAAACCTGGGGAACAATCTGGGGAGCAGCTCGTCCCCGCCCTACAACTTGTACAGGCGGCATACCTCGGCAGATATTCGCACCGTTGGCTGGCAGCCACAACCGCCGGCCGGTCCAGCACACTCACCCTATACATCCGGTCACAATTCTTCCCAGTGGCCCTCTTCACCGCATCGGACACCTATCGGAGGCGGCGACCAGCAGCTCCGTGATGCTTTGGAATCTTATCAGCTTCCCCGCGGTCCAAGGCAGCAGAACTCGAGACAAGGTACTCCGCCTTTGACAAGCGACAATACACCCTCTACGTTGAGTGCCGATAGCGGCTGGTCCCTACCGGGCGCGAGATATCCGTTCAGGGGAATCGATACACCCGGACCACCAACGCGTCGCTCGAGCATGGCGTCAAACGTGCATTCGTTGCTCAACCCCGCAGAGACGGCTGAAAGAGCGGACGAAGACGATGCAGAAGACCCACGTAAGAGGAAGAGGATGCAGTGATGATTTGCCTCTTATTTTTGCTTGCCATCTTTTTTCCATCTTTTCGTTCCTCGTGGTTGTTTGTAGGCATGAGCTTTGGGATACAGCGCATCTTTTCGCTTTGCGGGTCCGTCATTTGTTTTCACATTTCCTTGCATCTATTCCCCGTTTTTTTGAGCTATCAAGTCTCCTCGTGTTTTTCCAGCTGTATTGTCGCATATTGGGGCAGGAACCATGAATACATCGGCATGCGTATGCATTGGAGGGGCATCGACCCCCGGGTTGGCGGTTCGTCTGTTACTACATACCCTGATACTTAACGTCATCATCATCGTCATCATCATCATCATCATCACTATTATTATCACTACTATCTATCAATATCGTCTTCATGCATCTCCTGGTTGAGGTATTTCGCAATCAGATTCTTGTTACTTCTGGCAATGAAATGAGAATGCACTTTTAAGATATAGCAATGGTAACGATTATCAGACAAGACATGACAAATGCTTAATATGGTACCAATATACACAGCCGAAGCCATCTCGAAATACTATACCAAATCAACGAGAAGCTGGACCCAAGACCGCTTGATGCTTGATGCTGGTTCCCTTTCCTTGTTCGCCAGAACGCCATTTATGCAACACATCCCTTCTTGCTATACACGCCTCATCCACCGCGCAACCCTTCAGCAGCTCGATTCAGTATATCCGCCGTCTTCTTGATCATCTTGGCCGCAGCATCCCAGTCCTTCTTCTCTATCGCATCTCTTGCAAAGGGAAAGACTGCAGCTTCGAGCGCGTTGTTGGCGCTGGGTGCAAAGATGGCGTGTTTGTATTGGTCGCGGCCGGGTAGCTATTGCCTCGTTAGATGACTGATATAAAAGTAACAAAAAAAAGAAAAAAAAAAACTTACCCCATGCTCCGAATGGTCATCCTTGCCCCGCGGCAAATCTAACAAGTCACTCTCAAACCTCGAAATCTTCGCATTATGCAACACGCGCTGAAGAGTAACTGCCTGTGTCTCGAAACCCCCTGTGGCATACACTTGGTTATACCAATATGTCTCCCACTTGTGAAAGTCATCAGCCTTCTTCTTGAACATACTCAGACTGTCCACCAGCGGCTGGAAAATCTCGATATCATAGCCGCTAGCTGTCGTCTCTGTCCAGTCGAGCAGCTTCTGCCCCTCTTCTTGCAGGGCACGAGCGTAGTCTTCGATTTTCATCGGCATGATAGGTTCCTGTGCGAGTTCAAGGATAAGTAGAATCCATATTTGTGCGAGAAGGTGATGGTATTGAAAGTCCGGGTCAACGTATTTGGCCATCCAGTTCAGAGTTTCGTAGCAGCTGCCCGTCATGGGGTTGGAAGCGTGGCTGTCTTTGGAGTCGCTAGTGAAGCCGAAGTTCATGGATGAGGTGCCGGCAATAGACAGGAATGGGACGTCATCACTTGCTGCGTTCGGATTGTCTATCCTGCCATCGTGGTTCTCCCACAGCTCTTTCAGCGTCTTGTTCTCGTGCGGATCCGTAAGTCGGTCCAAAACACGAGACCAAGCATGTTGGAAGATTGGAGAACCTGATGCCCAGAGCTTGTCCCCTGTGACGCCAATGTCAACATTCAGGTAGGCAATCGCGCCCTCTCGAAGCGTGTCGGCGTTGGCTTCAACATACTCAGTTGAGCCAATTCTGTTGTCTTCGCCGCCGTCCCAGGAGGCGAACTCGATGGTGCGAAGTGGGTGCCATCCTTGAGCACGTAGTAGCCCGAGCACTCGCATAACTTCGAGCATAATGGCAGTTCCAGAGCCGGGGTCCGCAGCGCCAAAACACCATGAGTCGCGATGATTTCCAATTATGATCTTCCGACCCGGATCTTCACTTCCCTTTATAGACCCGAAAACATTTGTAATGCGCTGTTGCTCAACCTCATCCTGATAATTCTGCAGATAAACCTTGGGCGAAGTATCCGGGTGGCCAGAGAACCACTTGTCCCCTACATCTGGTACGCCACCTACCCAATCGTCCGGAAGCTGTTCGCCTGACCCTTTTAGTGACTGCAGTAGCTTTTGCGCATCTTTCCAAGAAAGCGGCAGACTCGGGATCTTGGGCAAGGCAGGGTTGTTGTCCTTCGATATGCGCTCCTGCTTCTTCGCACTAGATTTTCCAGGGGTAAGTACGTCGCCCATGATCATGTTGGTCTGCGCGACTGAACCGCGCTGAACGCTGTCGCCCGGTCTCCATTTGCCATCTGGCCAGGGGTTTCCTTTTTTGAAGCCGTCGTCAGCGGGATCCGAGTACACAAGCACGCCTGCGACCCCAGCTTCTTGGGCGGCCTTGACCTTCATCGCCAAGTCCGGCTGTGTTCCGTGGTATCGACAGAGGGCCACAGCACCTTTGACATCAACATTGCTATCCCACAACCTCTTGAAGTCTTTCTTGTCGCAATAGTTGACGTAGATCAAGGGTCCAGTGGCGTTTCCAGATGCCGATAGTCCGTGGTAAGCAGGTGTCTGGGGCTTCGGAGGATTAAACACTGAGGGTTCCTCCAGCTGGGCTTCCCAAGCCTTCTGCGGTGGGTCGACGATGGCAACTTTCCGGCCCCCTTTCTTCGCAAAATTCATGTACACGTAATACCTACGCATGTTAGCATATCCCCAGCATTTTCTAGAAATCGACTACATACTCATCATGCGTATACGTGTCCATGTGCGAGTCTTTGAACTTGCCCTCGATCCACTGGCCCAAGACGTAGCTTCCCTCAGTGCCTCCAATATGATCATAGCTCGTGATGTACTCCAAATTCTTCTCTATTCGCCAACTCTCAACGCTCTGCAGCGCCGTCTGGCGCACCCACTCCGCATTGAAAGGCTGGCCAAATCCGCCGCCCATGGGCACCACCTCGCTCACTACCAATAGGTACACCAGCGTAACGATCAGTATTAACCCAAATAACCGTGCTATTATCGACCAGCCCGGCTTGTACTCGTCGGGAATCGTAGGTAATCGTTGTGTTACAAAAGTGAAGTCCGGCCTCCATGACGGCCAACGTATCCGCGGGAGGTGGAAACTCGAAAGCGTATGCGTGATGCTGTAGAATCGTTTTGAGAGGCGACCTAGTGACCGATTCCTCCTTGATCTTCCTTCTTCTATACTCTCAGGGTCTAATATTTCCATCTCCTCCATCGTCTGCCGCAGGTCCTCATCCTGGCTCTCCCGCACCGGACTCCCGAGTAGGGAATCCTCATCCTCGACTGATTGCACCGATGGCGCCTGGTAATAGCCATTGCGCCTGCGGGGGTCTGATTGTATGTGGACATCTGGGTTTAGGAGACCTTGCCGCTCGGCGTCGTCGCTGATCTCGTTGGGTCCTAGGCGCGCCGAGGTATTACGGGATGATGTCGCTTCTTCGTAGGTGGGAATAGGCGGTGGGGACGGGGCTCGTTCATAGCCATGCTTCTCGTCGCTCATGGTGGTCTATGCAAGGACCAGCGGGCCCTGGGTGCACAAGAGCTCGCGCAGTGGCAGTGAGTTCCGGCTCAGCTTGTACGCGACGACTGACCCGTAAGAATAGTGAGTTTCGGAAGGGTCGGAAATGATGTGCTATGGCGTGCGCATAAACATAGTGAATTAGGGGAAGGGAGTGGCTAATTCAAGCAAGAAGAAGACAAGCAAACGAGGAGGGATGGCGAGGTGACGTTTCGCGCTGTTGCGATCCAGGGTTGGTCGTGTCTGGAGATGGCGGAGCGGAGACGTGGGCCGCCGAGGCCAACTCCAAGGTCTTGGAACAACTTTCGACTTGGTTCATCACGGCAATGGTTTGAGCTTTGAACCTCTCCTTTGTAACGCCATCAAGAATCTGACACGAATTGCCTCACAAACCTCGGTCGAGCCTTGGAGCAGCGTCTTTGCTCTTCCATTCAACATATCTACATATTCCGTCCACCCGTCACCTTGATCGTCTCTCCATTAACATAGCTAAACAGCGGGCTCGCAACAGCCAGAACCGCGCTCGCTGCCTCCGTCGCCGTACCCGCTCTCCTCAATGGGATATCAATGTTCTCCATACCCTTCGGAACCGCCGACTTCTGAGCCTGTGGTATCCCGAGCGCAACCTTCTCCCCGTCCGCAGTGGTAACAAAAGCGCCAATTTCTTTTGCCGCCGTCAACCGCGTTAGGATGTGGCCGAAAGCAACAGTATTGCAGCGGACGCCGAATTGGGGACCCCATCTATGCATTTGTTAGCACGGAGAGAGGATGGGGAAGTAGGAAAGCATACTCTTTCGCAATCGTCTTGGTCATGCCCGTAACTCCCGCCTTAGCAAGCGCGTAGTTGATCTGCCCTGCGTTTCCATGCACCCCAGAGGTACTCGATATGTTGATGATGTTCCTGGGCTCGCCATCCTTGACCCTGAAGTATGGTGCTGCAGCGCGGATGATCTTGAACGGGGCAGTGCCGTGGAGATCAACGATGGTATGCCATTGCTTGTCTGTCATCTTGTGGATGACTCCGTCCCATGTATAACCGGCATTATTGACGATGATATGAATCTTGCCGCCGCCAAATTCCGCGGCCTTCGCGATGAGCGTCTTGATGTATTCGTCGTCGAGGACATCCCCTACAACCGCTATAGCACTGCCGCCGGAACTGTTGATTGAATCCACTACAGACTGTGCCTTCTCTGTAGAATGTTAGCGATCAGTCTTCTGTATGCTCGTTGCTAGTAATCAACATACTCGCATCGACATCCGCAACTACAACCTTCGCTCCCTCATTCGCAAACAATCGCGCGGCTTCAGCCCCAATTCCTTGCCCTGAGCCTGTAATAATCGCAGTTTGACCTGCCAACATTCCCTTAGGGAAGTTGAGGTGGCCTGCGATTTGGTCGACGCGCTTGGAGGAGGACATGTTGTTTGGGGGACGACAGTAGAAGCGTGAGAGAGTCTAGGGCTTCAGGTGCGAACAATTAACGTACGCAGAGGATGTAAAGAAATCTTACATTTATTGTTCTCGAAAAGCGGAGTAACACAACCGTTTGGCCCGCGCATCATACCTGTAAGATGCCGAGGTCCATCACTGTGCCACTAGCGAACCTGGGGTAGGTCGGCGATCGGCTGACTCGATTTCATAACCATCATGTCGCACTACCAAGAGGTTTGCTAGCATGTAAACGCGCAAAGAAAGGGTTTGAAAGTCTCGTTTCAAATCTCATACTACCTCAACTACTCATAGATATCTCAAACTGTTTCAGTAATCTTGTGTATACGCAAATGGTAGTAGTAAAGATTGGTGATATATTAAACAGTGCAACATGGGTCGTTCATCGCATAGAAGTTCAATTGAGGGGTATCATAGCGCAAAAATAGACAATGATCTCGAACAGGACCACAGGTTATGCGGCTCCCTTCTCCTCCTTATCTCCCTCTTTCTCTTCAACCTCATCACTTCCCTTGAACAACTCCGCCCCTAAGTCGTCCAAAAATCTTTCCGCCTTCCCCGCACTCCTCTTCTCCTGAATCAGCCTCTTTTTCTCCCGGATCATTTCCTTTCTCTTGTCGATCAACTCTTTCCGCTCTCTTCTCACACGTTCCGTTTCCTCCCTCTCCCTCTCCATCCTGCCCATCTGCTCCGTCCTCTCTTCCTCATCCTTGGAAAAGTGGAAGAAGCCCGTTCCTCTCTGCCTGGCCTCTGCTCTGCCATCAAAGTGCAGTTCGGGCGGTGGTGTGAGCTCTTTGTCACGCTTAGCGGCCAGGTCGGCCATTTGCTGCGCGATGGTTTCGTCGGGATTGAAGGCATTGGTTTGCACTGTGTCGCCGTATATTATCGCTTCAGGCATGGACGGGCGCGCGGTGAAGCGGTCTGGTTCGTCGGCTGCGAGGGTGTTTTTGCGCCGCGATTCGCGTGCCACTTCTGCCCTCGTACCCTTGCGTGTCCGTCCGAACTCGTCGACATATTCGATCAGCTCTTCCACTTCTGAAGCCTCTGATTCAGACTCGGAGGCCGATGCTGCTTCGCCCTTGTCCTGATTCTCCGCCCATTTGCGATCAAAGTCGACACCGTATTTGTCGTCAATGTCTTCGACATCCCCACGTTTTAAGGCATCATATAAGCGCGCTTTCTCCTCCATGCGCCGCTTCGTGCGCTTCCACGCCGCCTCATCCTCGCCCTTCTCTTCTGTTGTGAGCCCACGGTGTTTTTGTGTAAAGTCTGAATCTTCCAGATCCTTCAAAGCACGCTTCTTGACATTTTTGTTGTGTGTCTTGAAGATGTCTTCTTTCTGCGGTCGCGCGCGGCCTGCGGCGGGCTTGCTCGATTCCGACGACGAGGCTTTGATGAGGTTGGAGAGGGTCGAGGAGAAGGCGAGTGTGCTCGAGCTGGAGATTTCTTTTGCCTTTGTGCGGGATTTGGGTCGTGCGCCGTAGAGGTGGGCGTCCTTTGATGCCATGTTGGTGGGTTGTGTGGTAGAAAACAAGCCTCTTCAATCGCGTCGCGTCGTAGGGCTGAGGCGATGTCGGCGCCGGAAAGCTCCCGAGCCTCTCTTGCGTCACGGTGCCCCGCCAATTGTTTGGCTCGATAGCCCACGTTCAGCGGTGAATTAGTAGCAGATCCACTGTCACGCCACATTATCTTGCTTTTGCGCCGTTGAGTTAATTCCGTATGACTCTGGAAAGCTTGACTATATACCGTTCCCATCAAAAACAGCTTCATTTCATCAACTGACTGCTAACTCGTCCATCATGCACCATCATCCACGTCAAGTCTTTGTTGCCGTTATCGGTGAGTACAACTCACAGTAACCATAAAGAAGAGCACATCGCTGATAACAACAGGCGCTGGTGGTGTAGGCAAAGCCTTCCTCCACCAACTCCATGGCCTCGCCCAAAAATTCTCACAATCGCCCGGCTCGACATACTACCTCTCCCTGATTTGGCTCAGTACCTCCAAGAAAGCCCTCTACCACCCCGACTACAGATCTCTGTCGAATTGGGAATCTGAACTTCAACACACGACGACACCCACGCTACCACCCTCCCAACTCGTCGAATATCTAGCCAAAGCACCCGGAAAGGTCGTGTTGGTTGACAACACAAGCAACCAGGAAATTGCAGACTCATACCCGGCCTTCCTGAAGAAGGGAATCAATATTGTGACGCCAAACAAGAAGGCCTTCTCGGGAAGTTACCAACTATGGAACGATATCTTCAACGCCGCGTCAAACGGAAAGGGATTCGGCGGCTACGTTTTCCATGAGTCGTCCGTCGGCGCTGGCCTCCCCGTCATCTCGTCACTAAACGAGCTCGTAGAAACAGGCGACGAGGTGCGCAGGATTGAGGGCGTGTTCAGCGGCACAATGAGCTTCCTGTTCAACTCGTTCCAACCTACGAGCGGTGGAGGTGGCAAGTTCTCTGCCGAGGTCATCAATGCCAAGGAGAAGGGATTCACAGAGCCTGATGCACGAGACGATCTCAATGGCTTGGATGTTGCGAGGAAACTCACTATTCTGGCTCGTCTCGCAGGTCTGAAGATCGAATCACCCACCTCGTTCCCCGTCCAATCACTCATCCCTAAGGAGCTTGAGTCCTGCTCATCAGGCGATGAGTTCCTCCAGAGACTGCCAGAGTTTGATGGACAAATGGACGAGCTCAAGAAGGAAGCGGAGCAAGAGGGCAAGGTCATCCGCTTCGTCGGTAGTGTGGACGTGCCGACTGGCGCGGTCAAGGTGGGCCTGGAGAAGTTCGACAAGAGCCATCCGATTGCAGCACTAAAGGGCAGCGACAACATCATCGCTTTCTACACAAAGCGCTATGGCGACAACCCGCTTATCATCCAGGGTGCCGGTGCTGGTGGTGACGTTACGGCTATGGGTGTTACAGCGGACTTGATCAAGGTGCTGCGATTATTGTCATGAGTCTAGAAAGGCAAAAGACTACCATGTTTAGGAACTTAGACAATTAGACAAAGGAATTCTCTGGATGGATGGAAAGGCACAAGTCGCCAATCTAATTTATCAAATTTGACGTTACATTCGCATCAGTCTCAGTTGAACATTACACATTAACCCTCAGATTCTACAATATCCCTGAAGCCGAGGACCGGTGCCAGTACATCCAGCGAGCAGAATTGGGGTAGATTTATATTTCCCGTATAGATTCCGCCACGTTAGTGTTCCCAGCAGATGTAGAGTGAGCAAATGAGATTGATCCGAAGTTTGGTGAAGTAGGGGATACAATACATGCTTTCATAAAGAGATGAAGAAATGCAGTCATTACTCATATAGATACCCTAATACTCTCTCAACCTGAGTGGCATCGTCCACCTTGGGTCAATATATGGGTCGCAACTGCAGAAGGATGTCGCAAGAGTCTGCCTTTCAGCGATCAATCCATATCCTCGTCACCATCGTCCCCGTCGTCCTCTCCCACCTGATCGCCATATAGTCGTGCCTTAAGTACCGCAATCCTCTTTGCATAAATAACACGTTCCAATTCCGGCAGATCCTTGAGCCGCTGAACAAAACTCGCGCTGAGGTGGTCGTCTTCGATGTATACCCAGAAGTTATGTGCAATGTCCGTTGCCAACAAGTCTTTCATGCGTTGTTGTGCTGGAAGTGAAGGGCCCGACGATTCAAAGACATGACATGCGAAAGCCATGATGTCCCACATATCCCATGGTGCCAGGCGTTCCAGCTTATCGACAATGTGATCTAACAGGTCTGTCATGCCCAATTTAATCGCCGCGGCCCATGCAGAAATGTTCTGAGCAAACGCTTCGTGCACTTGGCTTTCTCCTTCTGGGCGCTTGTGTCCGAGTTCTCCGCTCTCCAGGTATTCGGCGACGAAGAAGAAATCTTCAGGCTCGATTTCGGCAAGGCCTGGATGAGAGAGTACCCATGTGCCTGCTTCGTTGATTGCGAAATGTAGTATACCGGTTCTCATGTCTCTGAAGTACGGTCGGTTCCATACGTGATTCTTTTGCAATGTGCGCTCCTCTCTCTCGGGGCCAACGTAGACTAAGACAAACTCTTTGCTTTCTGTGCTACACAACGTCAATGGTCGAAGCAATAGAGTCATGTTAATAGACTTACAGCTCTTCTTCGACAACATCGCTAGTCGGAACAGCCGAGCCCTTTCCGAGCCTGTCCCAGCTGAGCAGGTCGTTGGAGGCCGAACCTAGGAAAAACTTGGATGATTTCTTCCCTTCCTGGGCAGTGGTTAGTGTGTCGCTACGTCCCGACGTATGTGTACTCTTCCTGTATTTGAGAGGAAGACGTTCGTCGTCCGAAAGTGGAGATGGTGGAGTATGTGGGCGTTTGGGCCAGGGAGGAGGATCTAGCTTTGTGGGCGGTTCACGTCGCGTGTCGATGTGGCCAAGTTCTTGGGTATATATGTTGCTGAATTTGCTTGCTCGTTCCGACCGCTTGAACGGTGATGGAGACGGGGTGGGTAATCCTGCAGTTTTCCGACTTTCGCGAATCGCCTTCCAATATCCTGAATCATTGCTATCATCATCTTCAGAGCCCGCGTCTGCGCCCTCTGAGTCCGATAATGTTACAGTTGCTGTATTCCTAACCTGGGTTCTCCAGTGGTCCAGGCCTAGGCCTTCGTCGAGAGCAGACTCGGCAATTGCGTTGGCCTCTCCAAGACCAGGAGTATTCGCTACCATGTTTCCTTCTTTGAAGGCAAGAAAAGGATCGTACTCATGCATATCGGTTGCAAGCGCCCAGCGACTGGCGAAGTCAGTAGTATATTGGGGTCGTGCCAGTAAAAACACTTACAACTCAAGTGGAACTCCGATGCGCAACACAAGCGTCACGTAACCAGCTGGTCGTGTTCTAAGGAAACTTTTCGGCGCGACATCCTCGGTACACACAACCACTGGCCAGAGGGGCAGATTTGATCCAGATGGGCGATAGTGGACGAAGCTTCCTGGTGTCAAATGCGCCATAACTATTCTGGCCACAAGGTGGCTCGTGAAGCTATGTTGTGGAATCAGTGGGCTCAATGAAGTAAGATTTGAATGTGATGAGCGTATAGGAGGCTGAAAAGCAAATGTATCAAGTAGCTTGTACGTTAGATCTGTAGACGCAGCGAAGATCCAAGGAAGGGGTAAGATGGTGATCACCCTCAGCAGGGAGCGCTTTAGAACCTAAAGATACCCTGAAGTGATGGTGATACTGGGCTAGATATAGAGGTATGATTGTGCCATGATAGAAGAGACATGCTCTAGAGGTTAACGAAGAGGGCAGTCTTGATTCTATTAGACGCTGTAGGAGCCACCTGTTGAGGTAAAGGCGGGCAAAAGCAATAGTCATGCGAGGTGAGGACGAAAGCTAAGCCTTCGTGCCATTGCAACATATTGGTGTACGATTGCTATCACTGGCATTCAAGCCTTTACGATCGGAAAGGATCCGTGGATGGTAGTCTAGAGCAGTATGCCCGTTAGGATGCGGAGCTCTCAGCTTAGTGCTCGGGGGTTTACGTAAGCTGCCCGCAATCTGGCATCTAGCTGCGCGACCATAGTTCCACGACACGCATCAATCTCGCCATTGTCCGCCGAAGACGACGTGAAGCTTTGGGCGTACACATAACGCCCGTTCTTAGTTATCTAAACTACCTGGACAGAAAATCAGCAACGAGTGGATCCCAACCTACGTCTCACAGCTCACTCAACCTCCACCCACAACCGCGACCATGCTCGGACTCAGCGCGATGCAGCCCCGGCAACTAGCCGCTCAGGTTCTCAACTTTGCGCTCGTCCTCTCGACAGCGTTCATGCTCTGGAAAGGGCTTTCCGTTGCCAGCGACTCGCCATCACCCATCGTCGTTGTACTTTCAGGGTCTATGGAGCCCGCGTTTCAGAGAGGAGACCTGCTGTTCTTGTGGAATCGAGGCCTGGATACGCAAGTGGGCGAGATCGTGGTGTATAATGTAAAGGGCAAAGATATTCCGATCGTGCATCGTGTGGTGCGGAGATATGGCGGAGGGTGAGTCTACCTTCCCTAGTTTTCCCAAACGGTCAAGGCAGTGTTGAAGGAAAAGATATAGAATCCTTGGATTGCTATAACCAAGCGTGACGGCGTAACTAACAGCGCTATAGCAAAACACCCCTCCGGCTCCTTACCAAAGGTGACAACAACCTCGCAGACGATACCGAACTTTACGCCACAGGCCAATCGTTCTTAAACCGCAAAGAAGACGTCATTGGAAGCGTGGTCGGCTTCATTCCCTTCGTTGGATACGTCACAATCCTGTTAAGCGAGCACCCGTGGTTGAAGCAGGTCATGCTAGGATTGATGGGTGTGATGGTGGTGTTGCAAAGAGAATGATAGAGGATTACGATGACTAGGTAAAGTCATACTAGAGACTGGGAAAATGCCATAGAACAAAGCAGAGAGCATATGCGTGCATGGCTATGCAGATGTGTGGTACATGGCCTGGTCTGCAAGCGCTGGAGTTGGGCGTGCTGAAGGCAATCAAGAGCGCAAGAACACGGCTTTGGGCTATGTTTCAGACGCGTTGCGCCAGTTGAACGTCAGAAGAGAATACGCATAACAAGTCCCTTTTCCCTTGAAGTTGTTGGTCCACCTTACTACCCCATCCTAGTATATTCCCACCTCGCCTCGTTCTACTTGAATATCATATGCTTCGAAACAGATTATCAATTCCGTCCATCCGCGAGGCCATCGGGGCGCGAACAGACACCACGAAGCGGGAGAAATTCGTCACTTGACAAACTATGAAGGATTATCGATTCGCCAACGCGTTCAGTAGACAAGCATATCCTACGCCACGGCACTGCAAGATAAAAGCACAAAGTAGCAAAAAGGAAAGACTGCGTAGTACGGGGTTCGAACTATAGAACTGTCAGTATGTTTTTATATGCATGTCGTACCCAGATAGTACTTACCCCGTGACCCCCGCCTCCTTCGCATTGTTTACGATGGGAAGGCGGTACCCTAACCACTAGGCCAACTACGCTTTTGTGCTTCTTGATGACAACCGAGGGAAAATCTTGATACATGTATGTGTGCAGAACTGCGACAGGCGAGTGGCACAAGAGGATTCAAAAGCAATATGGCTCAGCGAGTGGCGGTGATAACGTCGGGTAGGTGCGTATGTGGATGCGGGTTGCCGTGGCGGTGAGGATAAATAAGGCCATCACGCATGGCAGGCTGAGAAGAGAAACGCCGATGATGAAACCGTGTAAGCAAGGGTTTCTGAAAGAGAGGACTAAACCCTCAAGCGTATCTTTCTCCACCATGAACAATCTGTGTTATGAGAGGATGGTATAGGCTAAGCTGGGATCCGAAATACCAAGGCATGAGCAGTGCTACGCCGACACGACAATACCACTAGTGCAAACAACATCACCATTAGGATCGCGACAGGTAGCAGCAAAGACGCAATTTTCATACCGCAATTGACTAGTGTACATAGACTTGGTCATGAGCTTCGTGATGTTTCCTGCGTCGAGAGGGTGACGGGACGCCAAACATCATGACCGCAAAGCGCGAGCTGTACTGCGGCCGTCTTCCGAAATGAACCACAGATTTGCTAGCCGGCCTCCGCAAGGAACCCATTAAGATAGAAGATCACAAAATGAAACCGAGGCCTGATCGCCTAATCGCCTAAGCCGCCCAGGACACCGTAGCCGCCGACCGATAGAGCCCATGCAGAAGCATGGAAGGTGGCAGAGAACAGATAGTGTGCACTCTCTACTCGGACTCTTCATCCTCCTCCTCACCAGCCTGCGCCTTTCTTAGCGATTTCCTGGCTGGCTTGGGTGAAGAGTCACTTACGACGTAGGCGGCCTTCTCCTCTTCGTAGCGCTTCTTGTCGGCGGCAGCCTTGGCTTCATAGGGAGTGCGGCCCTTCTCAGACAGAGCCTTCCACTTCTCGCCCAAGAGCTTGCCAACCTCGCCTATACATGGTTAACATTGCACTGCAGAGAGGTCCGGGCGAAGCAAACTTACCGAACTTGATGCCGGGGTTGTCCTCACGGACCTTATCGCGCTGGTCGTTGGCGAAGAACATGTAGGCGGAAAGACCACGCTTGGGCGCGTTGGGGTCTGCGACGTGTTAGTACTGGATGGAAATGCACATGCACGTGAGCAACTTACCCTTCTTCTTCTTGCCGCCGGCGTCGGCCTTGGTGGCCTTGCCCTTGCCGCGGGTAGACTTCTCCTTAGGCATGATAGAGGTAGATGGTGTTGTAGGTTGAGCTTCTGTTGTGGACTTGTTAGCTGCTAGTTGAGTCGCGGGTGGAGTGCAGGTGAGAGAAAAACAGGAGCAGAAAACACAAAGACGCGCCCTTTAAGAGCACAGGTGAGATGGATGTTTGTGAAACCGTTTGGTACCGACGTTGGGAGTACGTGAGTGACGGACAGTGCTGCAGCGCTGCTATGCGCGTTGAGGGGACGCGGTCGCAAAACACCACGATCCAACGCGACGATGCGCGATTTTGCGGTAATAGAAGGTGCAGGTACTTACAGATGAAGCTGGAATCGAAAGACGCGAGTTTGTTGACGGAGGTCTGTTTTGCGGTCAGTTTGCGCCTGGCAAGGAGCAAAGGCGACGGCGATGCAAAGGAAATGGAACGCGACGACGGTCGAAAGATGCAGAAAAAGAAGGCAGGTGATGACCTCGTTGGGCAGATTGAGGCGGGAAAAAGCGTGCAAAAAAGTGTGGATGTGGTTGGTGTTGCTGCTGGTATAGCGACTTTGTGAAGTGCAGCCGAGTACTCACCAAAAGCGTTTTGCAGGCGAAAGTCGTCTGCGGATTTTGTATGGGAGAAGTTGGTTGCGCGCAGTGGAGGCAGTATGGGCGGGCAACTTGCAGACCCCAAAAACAAGGAGCCGCTTATGTAATGACAGGCACGCTCCGCTTGTTTTGCCTACGGGCATTGCACCGCACCCGGACCACGACCCCTCCTTCCTCGAGCCACACACACGCTGCTGCTGCCTCTCCTCACCACCTGCAGACGCCAGCAACGATGGACAACGATAGAACCGCCATCAAAGGCAGTAGAGTCGCAGCCTCGTCCTCGTTGTGGTGGTGCATTGCTGGAGTCGACTACGACGCTTCTGCCTGGCTCTTCACGAAGCTCGTGCGATACACGGCGCATCCCTGGGTGCGAGGCGCTGCGCTGCGCTGCGCTGCCCTTCCCTTCCTTCTCTCCTGGCGAGTTTCATGTTTGGTTAGATTGCGCGCAGAAGAGCTTGCTCTACCATTCGCTGGACCGCACGGAAAACGCCCTTGACGTTATCTTAATCGCGCGCCTGGCTGATGTTGTTGCCCAAGCACCCAACATCCCGCCGCGCAGCCTTTCCTCGCTGTTCTGGCCCGGGCAACAAGTCCCTCGGTAGTGGGCCGAATGGGTGCCAGCCTCCTGATATTGTCTCACCCCGCAGCGAGTCTTTGCCGTCTCCATCATGTCTCAGCGCCGAGCAAAATTGGGCATGATTTCCAGCGACAGCGTGCTTCTGTATGACCAGACTGGGTACGCAACATAGAAGGCCTATGAGCCTAGTGCATGGCGATCGAGCCTGAAGGAATACGCGATCTCTGCCCAAGCCCTGACAGACAAGATGCCAATCCTCAAAGAATGATATTGATGCACATGATTTGTTGACATGAGATGGGGCAGCAGCCCTCGCCAAGCTCACCACACCAGGGCGCGCGTCTTGACCAGCTGCTCTCCATCATCGACCTTGGGAGCGCAAAGAACGACAAGCGTCATCCACGACCCAGCAACTAACACGTACATGATTAACCCAACCTTGTCGATACCGTCATAACATACCCTTCCATCACGAAAGCATCCTTACACATTCCTATGGCAACCGTTATGACGTCTTTGCGTCAACAAAGTCACTGGAAGCTTGGTGGACCCTGAACATCTTAGGTAGCTCTGCGATTCTCAGAAGCAATACTCAAGCAACTCAAATACCTTCACGCTACCCCTATTAAGGCTTCGCGTCTGTTACATGAGGTCCGTCTAGGCGGACGAGTAAAGGTAGTGCCTAAGGGGGGCTTCTAGGAAAGTTTTCTAACATGGCCCAATACAAACAAGGCACAAAGAGAGTAACATGTGCATCTACATTGCAGGCCAATGTCAGCACATATAGCTAGTTAAAGGAGGTCTCATCGCAGTGAGCAGGTCCAATGAGACAAGTACACAGTACATACTGCTCATTAGCCTCGCTTTAACATTAGATAGCTTTGCGCATGATATCTTGTCTGTATTAGGGTCGATTTGCGAGCTTTGCTACAAATGTACATAAGAACGCACTAAGAGAAGGACATATGCGGTAGAGAACGGTGAACTAGAAGTTGGTGGCGCAGCAAGCACATGCATGGTGAGGTGTGTACACCCTTCATCCAAGAGCTCAGAAGACCCGAATAGGTGGTGGTGTTCTTACCAAGGCTCGGAACATGTTACCTCTACAAGTAGTCTCAAGCTATCAGGAACGCTCATATCGATTGTATCAACACTGTTATTTGGCTCTAAGCTATACATGTGCACACTGAGAACTTATGTGTACCCAGGTAGTCAGAACCAGTTGAAGGCACCCTCTGCGTTTAAGTGTTCAATATCTCTATAACGACTTCCACATGTGTGTCAGGAGGCGCAGATTGAGCATCTTGAGTTTGCGATTTGCTCGTACTCGATATCAGGTATGGCGGCGTGGTAGGCCGGGATGGATCAACCCCAGCGATTATTTTGAAGCTTACTATTTCAGCCAACTCGTCATCACACATTCATCCGTCTTCTTCGTCGTCCATGACAAGCTCGGTCAAGCCCTCGTCTGCTGCCCAGTTGATCCCGCTCCCGACAATCATAGCAGAAAGTATTCCCTTCAATGTCTTCGTCCTGCTTCTTGATTTTTTGAGCTCCTTCTCAACGGCATCAACCTGGTCGCGTAGTCGTGGATCCTCAATGTCCTTTGCCGATTTTGATTTCATATCCTCGGCTAGAGCAAGCATCATCCGCGAGAGCTCCCGGTTCTTTTGGTTTGCGACAATGTTCGCTTGCTCTACGGTGCTTAAGGCACGAGTAGAAGAAGCAAGCTTTGAGGCTAGCGAACCATGGACCATAGAAATAGTGTCGTTTTCCGCAATTAACGGTAATATGCGCCTTGTTGATGTTAGATAAGCTTTGGTAGCTAGCTCTTGTGCAACTTGCTTTTCTGCGTATCCCGTATGCTCGCCCCCGTGGACTGCTTTGAGCACCGGATCCATTACGATCACGTTGTGGGTGATCCTGTTGCGTATCTCATATTCTGCCTTCGCTTCCATCGCCTCACGCTGGGCGATGGTCAGCTGCTCTTGCAGAGCGTCATCTGATAGCGCCAAGATGTCAGGTGTAGCTAGAATATGGTTAATCTCCACAAATCCGAGTAGACATGATCGCAACACATGCCTGACTGCTGTGCCTGAAGGAGGCTCTGTTGCAGCTCGAGTTCCCGCAACTGGTCGTAGAGCTCGAGGGCTAGCTCCTCGGACTCGGAAAACGCGAACGCGTCGCTGTAGTTCGTTTGAAGCAAATCCGCATAGTCGTGTGGATCTTGCACTTTAGCAGCTACATCTGCCATCTCGACATCGCCTTTCGTCGCCATGGCGATTGCCAGATAGGGCACTATTTTGAATACAAAAGTGAGACCGCAGTTCATCTGACCAAGCGCGTCGTTCACTATCATGCATCATCGCATGGCCCATGCGTCGAATCCCTGCAACAACGTGCCTTGGCGAGACTTTGTACCCAGCTGCTCATGCCTCAACACTCGAACTCACAATTCTCGTGTCGAGCAGCTTCCACAAGCTACCGAGAAGCGGGAGGGCAAGGCTGAATGTCGCTACAGATTGCTGTAGCTCATACGGGCCAGCGCTTCGACGCTGATCCCGTTGCCTTCAGCTCCGTCGATGCACTCAAACACTGGATCGCGAGAGCTACCGAGATCCCGCCCGAAAGCCAGATTCTCCTGACGACCCATGGAAAGCATGTCAAACTACAGGCGTTGTTGACGGAGGTAGGAAACCCTCCTGAGATACAATTTATAGTGCTGAGACTCATCTTCTGTAGAAAGACATCTTCGTCTATAGTCGCGAGCTGTCCAACAACCCACAGGCAGCCATATCGTCTACTCCCCTCCCAGAAGCCTTTACCCCCGACGACCCACCGAACACGCTCTCTAATAATACCGACCTGCGAGCATGGCAAGCCCTTTTCCAAGCCCGTCGCGACTGGGCGTTCGACCTCCTCGAGAGGTCCCACTCCATGTCCCGGATAGCCTCGAAACACTTCGCAGAACAAGCGACAATAGAGAAGGGCACACAAGTTGCCGTGGGCAACCATGACTCGCATATTCGAGGACTGGAGCAGAAGTACCAGGCAGCGAAAGAGTGGTTTGATGGCGTCGAAAAGGAGGCGGGAGATAACTTACGGAGACTCGACGCTGATTTTGGGCAGCTGGGCTCTGTACCGGCCAAAGCCGGATTTGCCCAGTTTCTAGCAAAGGAAATGAGGTCTGGACAAACAACACAGAGTGCTCGGAAAGCTTCTCCAAGTCGGACTGCGTCACTTCAAGAATTTCTCGATGTCGAGGCTGTCAAAAAGGCTACTGGGACAAGCAAACGCGTGAGGGAGTCTTTTGGAAAGCGCATGAGTGGGATGAGTACACAGTTGGAGAAGATTGGCGCCGACTACAATGAACTACTGAGTGCCGTTGGGCAGAGCCAGAGTCGATCGCTAGTAGATGACACCGAAGAACCCCTCCGCCTTTACAACGAGATCGATGCCGTCGCGAAAAAGGTTGAATCTGATTTTGAGCATGTTATGGGCCTCGAGGCAAGTTCGAAGTCGGTTGCCCAAGTCTCAAAGATGGCTCTGCTACATACACGGAACTTCTTACCAGCCATTCACGAATACAGTGTGGAAATGAGCGATCTTGTGCGCAGGGCTGTGGAACAGAAGAACCTTGCCATCAGAAACGCTGTGGAGAGCATGCAAGGGATCGCAACCATTGAATCTGTCATCTCAAGTCTCAATGCCGAGCTTGAGCAGATCAGCATCCCCCAAGAAGGAGTGGCTGCTTTTGAGTTGATTTCCCTTGTCGGCCGACTGCCTTATGTATACGGGACTTTGCTGGTCGAAGCTGTGCGAAGGCGCGAGTGGACAGAGAGGATAGAGAAGGATACGTCCTCACTGGCTGAAGAGATGGCAACGTTCCAGGAGGAAGAAGAGCGCCGACGCAAGAGATGGCTAAAGCCGATCGCAGACGTCATAAACCTTGATGCTGTACAAGGTGGCTTGCTGGGATTCGAGATGAATGTGCAGCCGGAGAAGAACATCTGGCCCCAAGTTGCACGCGAAGATCTCCAGGACTACCTTCGAGTCCTGCAAGGTCTAGAGGGACAGAACTCAGAAGCAGAAGCACTCAGCCAGGCCATCAAGGACCTGGATCGACCTACAAAGCAGCAGATCAAGCGCGCGAAAAACTTCAAGATGGGCAGTGTCCATGAGCCGGCGTTTGGTAAAGGTTCGCAACTCGTGGTTCGAGGTGATGATGAGCTACGGGTGCTCAAGGAAGCTAATTCAAAACTTGAGGACGAGCTCAAAGGGTCCAAAAGCCGAGTACGAAGACTGGAAGACCTGCTGCATCGCCAAACTCATGTCAGCAGGCTCTCGATAGGAGGTGCCCCACCATCCTTTGGACTGCAAAGCCCTGGCGATCCATCAACTCCCACAGTCGAAGCACCTTCTCCTAAGCCGTACGATGAGCTCTCGCGGCGATCCTCAGTGTCCTCGCGACGATTTTCTACGAACCAAGGACAGGATGACAAGCGCCGTATTGTTCGACTCGAGCAGGAACTCGTAGCTGAGAAAGAAGCCCGTGCTAATCTCGAGAAAGAAGCACAGGCCCGGAAAGATGAAGACACAGAGCAGCAACGTCGATTTGAAGAGGCCATGTCGACCAAGAACAATATCATGGAGAACATGAAAGCTCAGCAGCGGGAGTTCGCCGATGAGCGCCGATCTCTCGAAGACGAGATACAAGCGTACAAGGGCAAGGTTGAGGAAGCTGAAGATGAGCTAGATCGCGTGCTTGGAAGCCGAGACAATGAGCGAACCGGTGTCGACACTAGGTTACAGGAGCTTGTATCTGAGCTTGAAAAGGCACGCGAGAAAGCCACCGTGCAAAGCAGCCAGGCTAACGAGCGGATCGCGGCACTACAATCCGACCTTGACGGTGCGAGGGCAGTACAGACAAAACAGCTTGACTCTCTCACTACAGCTTTCACTCACCTTTCTCCTGGTACAGACGTACCTAGCGACCATTCTATCTTGGTTGCTCAACTTGAAGATCTGGCTGCACGGTCGTTCAATCATCAGAAGGACTTGGAGCAAGCGGTTGCGATTGCAAAGTCGGAGAACAAGAATACACATGCAAGAGCTGAGCAGCGCGAGAAAGAACTCGAAGTCCAGCTTTCTAATCATGAAAAGGAAGTTGCGTCCGCTCACGAACAGCTCGAAGTAGAGAAGGCCAAAGTTGCATCAATTACAGCTGAGCTGGAAGAGGAACGTGGGCACCTACACGATCTCCGCACCAAGTTTGCTGAGGGCGAGACCGGCTCGGAAGCTCTCCGAAGACGAGTGGATGAAGAGGAGGCCAAGGTGGGACGCTTGCAGGTCGACTTGGCAGAGAAGAGTTCGCATGCCAACAGTCTCGATGTAGAGATTATGCGTCTTGAGAAAAAGGTTCGTAAGTATGAGGAGTTCGATTCTTCTCGTACACACCAGCGCGTCCTTCGTGCGAAGGAGCTCAGCCAGCGCCTCTATGAGCAGCATGAGCGTCTCATCCGACTGCTTGAAGCGCTTGGGTTCGTCATCACCCATGAGGACGGCGAGATGGTCCTTCAGCGCGCTTCGAAGCTTGGCAATAGTACTATCATGTCAGATACAAATGCCGGGCTGAGTCGCAGCACAACAACGCCATCGCCTACACCTATGAAACGCTTTCTGGAGGATATTGGAGACCTCTCTTTTCTGCAATGGACCGAATCGACGAGTCCTACAGAGGAAGACCAGCGGTATAAAGAGCTCACGGACAAGCTTGACTTGTTCAACCTCGAAACGTTCAGCGATGCAGTTGCGAAGCGTATGCGAGACATGGAGCACACCGCGCGGAAGTGGCAGAAAGAAGCTCGTGCTTATCGAGATAAATCGCATCGCTTCCAGGCTGAAGCACATGAGAAGATCGCGTATCGTTCGTTCAAAGAAGGCGATCTTGCGCTCTTCTTGCCAACACGTAACAATGCGCATCGTCCTTGGGCTGCTTTCAATGTTGGCGCACCGCACTTCTTCCTTCGAGAACAGGATTCACATAGACTACTTGGAAAGGAGTGGCTTGTTGCACGTATTTCCAAGGTCGAAGAGCGAGTTGTCGACCTATCCAAGACACTAGATGGCGCGCCACGAGCTTCAATAGATGGGCACTCCATTGCCTCCAGCAATGCAGTGTCATTCGAAGATGACAACCCCTTTGAGCTCTCTGACGGCTTGCGGTGGTACTTGCTCGATGCGACTGAAGAGAAAGCAATGGCACCCGGGACACCCGGCATCAAGGGCGCAGTCACCGTCAAGAGCAGTATGGAGATTGGGCAAGGTCAGATGCAACTTGCCAAAAAGAAGTCAGCAATGGACCCAGCAACACAACTCGGCAAGTCACTTGACAGTCGCCGCAGCAGCGGTACAAGCAAGAAGAGTGTACCCGTAGTCGGCGGTCGTCCATCAGCTGAAGCTCTATCTCCAGGCGAGCACCCAGATCCGAATTCAAACTCCAATGCCGCGACAAGAGGAGCTAGCCCCGCAGGAACTCATGGACCAAGCCATCTGAGGGAGACTGAAACTAGTGGGAACGGCTCCGGTACTGATAGGCTAGTAGAGGATCCTAATGGAGACAATGTGCGCAAGGACTTGCTCTGGGGACCTTAGGTTTGCTTATGCTGTAAATCTAAGCTCCCCCCGTCTTTATGAACCCATTGCTGACACTGCACAGCACCATGATCCACAACAGTCGAGTCCAAGCCTTCAACCATTTACGCACAAGCTGTCCACGCCTGGTCCGTCGAATCTTAGCAATAGTGGTACCCTTCGATTAGCAAGTATATCGCCAAATAAGAACAGAATGGGCAGCCAAAGCGACTTGAGGAATACTAGCCCTAACGCAAGCCCACGTAAACAATCTTCTGGTGCGAGGAGGGGGAGTTTGTGGGATAGTTTCTTCCAGTACGATATCACCTACCAGGGTGGGAAGCTGCCAAAAAAGTAGGCGCTCCAAGTTACTCTGCCATTATCTGTACACAGTATTCACGCATAGCGGTCAGCGCTCTATCGATGAGTCCACAAGATTTTAGTTCTGGAAGGTGAGAAAGGTAGGATACGTTGTAGATAAGCAAATGCCGTGCAAGGCAAGCACCGTGAATACCACAACATGTAACTATATTGACTTGGAGATGACTGCATCCTGTGTGATATGGGTAGATTTCCTCATCGACCAGAGTCGCAAGCCGCTGACACGTAACCTATTTCGCGACTATTAATATCCGGGGTGCGCATTAGAACGGACGCACACTTAGTTAGTGCTACCCCGTTCCAAAGCAATAATCAGGAGACTCGAGCTTTCTTAAGGTGGAGTTGTTGTACCTGCACCACGCTCCACTATTTTCGAAAAGAGTCGGATCGGATAGTTTGTTTAGGGTTACCCCGCTCATAATGTATATAGCTGGAGCTCCACTGCGGAAAAAAATGCCCGATCTTGTTTGAAGTGAAGAATAAGTGGTGCTTGTAGGCTGGGGGGACGTTTCCCCAGGGCTGTGCTTGCTTACTACCTTTTTGCCTTCTTAGGGGACGTCCTACGCCTACGCAGCACATTACGCACGATTACGCAGCACGAGGGTGGAGCCTGATCGAGTAATAGGTATATTATAGGTACATACTTGGCGTGCGGAGATTCCGGTGAGGAGTTGGAGGTAACAAGCATTATTAGTAGGCTGACTGCCTGAGGTAGTAGTTCTTGAGCATGCACCAAGTCCTAGCCTTTTAACGCTGATCTGAGGTGGTTGGTTGGTTGGTGTAGTTCAGGTGCTGACATAGCAGATGGGTTACTCTGCGATCAGCAGTGTAGTGTCGCAACACGCCACAACGTTGTCGTCATGGGAGGAGGTTCTCTGCCTCTTCAGTTACACTTGTGCGTCAGAGACGATAAAGCTGCGTGAGGACATCTGGGCTTTCACGCTGGAATGGAGAGAATGATATGGAGCACAGGGTGCTCCAGAGCTCTTACTCATGAGGTATCAGCGTATCTGGTGGGGCTGTGCCGGAATGTAATTGCTAGAGGTATGTATGTCTGTAGCAAACGGCACTCGGCATCTGGGCTTGCGGACGAAACGTGCAAGGACAGCTGGTGGAGTCGGTATACTTGCTCACAGACGGACATGACATCGCCACAACAGTCGATCGACACGACAAGCAGCAGCGCCACTGCCACTCTAGACAGTGATACAACACCCGGACCGTCCCTAGTGCATACCGCAGCGTTGGTACAAAGTGCCGCAGGGTAATCCGGAGCATTTACATTGCCCTAATCAGGCAGTTACACGGAGGTGCACGGAAATGAGAAAGCAAGCTTTTGCCAAACGTCTTGGTTGTGTGCTTGTTTACCTTGGGTGACGTGGCCTGGCGAGACACGGTACCCGTCAGTGTGGGCGTGGATTAAGTTCCCCCCCTTGATGCAAATGCGCAAACAATGTGTCACAAAGGAGTATATTACGCACGCGGGACCAAGCTCTTTGCTCGCAGGCTTGGTGGTGCTTGTTGTGACCTTGCGTGAAACTTTCCGAGCGTCTGGGAGTGATTCAATAAACTCTGATAAGGGATTCAGTTGCTTCATCATGGTTAATGCTTGTAGCGTGGACGGCGAGGGAGGAGGTGTGTGTGCCGAGGAAGCGCAGTCGTCGTCACCTCTATATTCTATCGTCAGCATCTGAACCTCGGTCAACGCGGTTAAGCGGTGAGCAACCGAGCGGAGCGGAACGTTGAGGTGCATACTTGGCGGGCATGTTGGTTCTAGTATGCAGGAGAGGCTAGATTTCACATGTTGCGCGAGCGGAAGACAAGTGGGCTGCACGGTCAATATCGAAAATCGGCTGAAATGGATAATCATTACGTGAAAATCCGCAAATATATTCTTTACGAAGACGCTACTTTGTGGGTTCCTCGTCCGTGCGAGGAAGTTTAAACATTGATTCATGAATCTCGTAGCAACAAGCGAGAAGCGCTTGTGCTTGACTGACTGACTGTCGCAGCCCAACCCAACGCACCGTGCGAATACCAAGAAAACCCTAATGATCCTAAACGAGAACAGAGGCCATGATTCGCAGGTCGCCCTTGCGTTTGAGTCATCCGGGTTTTCCCTGTCTTTTTCACACACACATACACAACGCCATCGTGAGTCCGAATGGAAAGCGCAGTATCCCCGACAATTTGGGGTATAGTGCGCAAAGCCTGCGCGTATCCTGGAATGCAAGAAAAATGTGGGTATCCAGAAAGTTGAGATAAGGAACAGAGCGCAAATCGCACTAGGCGGTGTCGGAAAAGTAAACACAAAATAGAAGTGAAGAGCGGAATTTTGGTGGTTGTGTTGAGTAGAGATGATGCTCTTTATGTCGGTTTGCATGTGGTTTGCACAGTCGTGTTGTCCTGAGGTGTCGGACCGAGCGTCGTCCATGTGGGCCGGCTAAGAACTGCGGAGTGTGGCTCAGCGCCGGTCTAGATGCGCTCACGAACGCTGTCCTAGACACATGAGCTGGGTGGGGACCAGCTGGGTGGAGTAAGCTGCAGCTAAGATGACGTGGCCTGGGGAGTCGATATTGACCGGTTGATCATCTGAATATGCCAGAAAGGCGCTTGGTCCTTCGCCGCACGCGCGAAAACATGTTGACTTTGTAGGGTTCAGTAGACATAGAGGCTTGTCGCACGCTGGTATGATCGTTACTGGAGGTGTCACTCGGGCTTGCAACGCCGCTCTCGTTGTCGTCTTCTCGTACAGATGGGTATGGCGAGTCGGTAGAGGGGAAGAAGTAGGCGTCCAGTCGAGAGTTCATGGCGCGGTTCTTCTCCGACGCAGCTGTGACTAAACTACTCTTGCTGCCAACACTTGTGGCACTGTCGCTCCTGGTGATGTTGTCGAGACGGATATCGCGTCGGGCTGCGTTCAGGGAAGTCGAATGTGCGCGCGCAAGGCCTGACAGTGATCCGACGGGTGGCGCTGGGCCATCGCCAATGAGTTTGTATTCAAACTCAGAAACGTGGCCTTGACAGTAGGGGCAGTGTTCGACCTTGACTTCCCAGCCTGAGATGCCTAGCTTCTTCCCGCATGTGGAGAGGTTGCTGGAGGGACTGCAGGGTCGAACGAGGTGGTACCAGCGATGCTGGCACGGGAGCACTGTGACGCAGAGTTCGGCGACGCACATTGCTGCGTTGTCGTCGAGTGATGACGAGGTGGGTTCGTTTGCGAGGCGCTTTGCCTTGGAGCAGGCGACGTTGTGGCCTAGAGTTGAAGGGCGATGTGCAGGATGCTGTCACGAGACAAAGGCGGGTGGCAATCTGATCCTGGGGTAGGCGCTAGTTGCCACTATGGACTGGATGGACGAGAGTGATGGACTGCTGGCGTAGGTGAAGATGGACTGATGGAGTGATGGTTTCCAAACAGGCAGCAGGGGCAAACGTTATAACTGCAAGGTGGCAGTGATATGGAGGCGGACGTTACGGGTAACGTAGTTGTGCCAAGGTGTGCAAGCTGATAGGCGGGAGCGGACGGACGATCCCCCTTGCGCCTCCTTCAGGTCGAGGTGAGCGGGGAATGTGATGGCGCGGACTTGGGAACGGACGAGTGTGATTTGGAGGACGGCACTGCGGGGAGTACGGAAGCCGCTGGGAGGATGACGATTTGGGGTGGAGTGGATGCCGGTGGGTTGATGATGGATGGCTTACCGAAGCAACGCGGCGGAGTAGTAGGGACAAAGAAGTAAGAGCGGGAGATGGTTGCTGCAAGGTGAGGGTAAGGGTGAAGGTGAGGTCAGCCTTAACTTGCTGGCACTCGTATATATGTCTTATTATGTATGTCTGAGGGTGTATGTGAATCGTGTGATGAGCAGCACGCCGTCCTTATTTAACACAACAACCACTGCGCTGGGCAGCGGAGGGGGCCCAGGTCTAGACATGGGGGGGCAAGTCTAGCGCAGGTGGAGAAATGAAGAGCAATGGCCAGCGTCGATGAATTCGCCCAGTTGTTACTACGCTGGTGTTGCCCAAGGCGGCCTAGGTCTACACACCTCCATCAGCACTCCCCGTCGCGGCAGCCGGGACGAAGCACGCGATGTTTACGCTAACGGCGCACCAAAACTTGGTCACCAAGCCCCTGAGTAGATCCGTGCCAGAACGCTGGAATCCTGTGGTCCTGTTTGCGGTCGAAACCTCGTCCAGAGTCGCACACGTCTCACCGCTCCCGGACATCAGCGTCCTCTGGCACTGTTGTTGAACGCCGTCCAGATGGCCATTGTCGAGGAGCATGCTGAACCTGGGCCACCCCATTGGCACAGGGCCGCCGCTTGCATCAGGCGACGTCGCGTCGTGTGTGCTTTTTAGGGCGCCCCTGTGCAACAATCAAAAGACTTATTATTACTCCTGGCGGTGGCGCTCTGACATTGTGGTAACCAGCGTCGTGACCAGGGGCTGAGATTTTGCCAGAATTTTGCCAGAAGGGATGCGACCACACACCGACTGAAAACGGGGCTCGTCTCCACCACCAACACTCGACAAATTTTCACTACTCGTCACACTCACCTGCTAGCTTTGTGGGAAACCAGAGCCTGAATGAATGAACAGCGCGCTGCAGATATCGCCAGTCGAGAATACCAGGTGGTCAAGAAAGAGCCCGCGGCGGACTAAGCTGGCTGATCGCTCAACTTGCTAGGATAAAATAAACCCGAAGCATTTCAGATCAAGTCATGCCTCCCTCCCGTGGCCTGATCGCATCGCAACCTCTCGTTGCTCCATCATGAGACCCTCAGTCACGCTCATCTCTGTCATTTCAGTCGATCCCCTATGCGTTCTGCTGCAACACCGATGCCCCACGCTTCTCCTGACCATCTCCCGCGTTGAAGCCCAAACCCAGCCGTTGGAAGAAGCAACATGACTGACGCACGTCACTTATCTGAGCACAGTGACACGGACACCAACGATCGCACAATCCACAATCGCTTTGGACGCCCTCTCCTGTGTGTTTCGCCCGGCCCTTGTTTGAAAGAGCCACCTCTGCGGCTATCCATGCACCTCTCCGCTAAGACAATGCTCTGTCACAGGCTACAGCAGTGCCCATGCAGAGGTGTGAGCCTGCAGGCCCGCCGATAGTACTGCACACCAAACATCTTACCCGGTTCCAACAGGGGGTCCCCGTTGCACAGACCGACAACAGTCTTTGACCCTCGCCCTTCATTTTAGCATGCTTGGAGTCGTTTCCCAATTTCGAAATTACTTCAGGCGTACATTCAGGCATCAGTTTCTGAACGCACCACTGGACACCGAGGGAAGCGGGAAACATGCCGTTCAGATGGCTCGTGAGACACATGGCACGTGTACCCCAGTCGGCCCATTTGCACAGCCTCCGCGCCATCATGCACCAACTCGCCTTGCAACGCCCACTTATTCGTTCCGCTCCCTCCTCGCCTCTTGGCTCTTCTTTCCTACGGCCTTGGCACTTGGGAGAGATATGCTTGCCGGCGAAGCACCCGTCATTCATGTGCACGTCGCCACGCGGCTTCAGACTTGGAAGGACCAAACGGCTGCACGCGCCATAGTAAATAACCAACCGAACATACAAACAAGCAGCCAGCCAAGGGCCTCTTCTCGTGGTGCGCATTCCTCGACCTATCGCATTTCCATTTGATCAAGTTTGCCCAGACTCGGTGTAACTCCTCCGACAAGACAATCACGGTTCCGGGGCTGCGGTAACGACACCACCACCGTTGCCGACGAGCTCGGTACTAACGGTCCCAGCACACAATGTACTGGAGCCAGCAAAGCCACCTCTGCCACGCGACATATTCAGCATGTCTCTAAAGTCAAACTGTGCACACACTGGTTGTCTCCAGACGACCTGATTAGCCCTACATGTCCTCATCTTGCGTTCTATGCGATCGGAATCCTTCATGCATGTCAAGCGTGAATAAGAATGATCTCAGTTTTACCTGAAGCTTAGCACTCCCTTGCCGGCATTATGTAAGAGCTTATCGATCTGTTTACACTTACATGTCGTAAAGACCATCTCATTTGATCCGGAACTATGCATACCACCCTGTCGTAACGTGAAGCACCTCAGCTGGCGATCAACGGCTACTACTGGAGCAGGCTTACGACCCCACCAACGGAAAGCAAATCTACACGCACGACCGAACACTTCCGCACGTAAACTGATCGGCAACTTGTGTCCTGTACAGCCTCAGCTTGTCGCGAATATACAAGCCACATGTTTTATAGTTTTATCAAGCTACTATGCTTGAACCAATGCTACTCTTAGAACTCAGAGAGCCACCAATACTAACATCCTGCTCTCCTACTCGCAAACACATCCCGAAGCTTACCCCCCATAGTCACTTGGCTAAGAACAGGCATTTCAGCAGCTTCACGCATATCCAGCTCTGTATCTGCTATACTCCGTCTCCGCCCCGCAAGGACCAAATCCACGGAGCACACCACAACCTAGCCATGCCTTGGCACGCATCGTCAAGCGCGGAGTCTGACAGATTTACAGTTCCGCAGGTTCAATCACATCAAAACACCCACATGGCGACAAGTGCCGGAGGGGATCGCTTGCAGTCACGCCCCAGGATCCAGTGGCGCTGCACCAGTGTCCAATACCGGCTGTACTACCTTACTAGAGGAGTGGTAATCAAGCCGACCTTCCCGTATCCAGTGCCATCATGGAGTGGCATTTGACACCTGTGTGTTTGTGACGGGGCCTAGAAGAAGTCGACTGTGGGGGAATCCGTGTAGCTCTCCGGATTTAAGGGTGAGGTGCTGCTACCAGCCTCTTGAGACTCATGCGGAAGGCTCAATTCACAGTACTGGAATCCATCATGGATAGTGATTTTATTTTGAGAATGCAACATCATGACTGACAACACTCAGACAGATAACACCCCTCGCTCCATCCGAGCAGGTCGAGACCGTGTCTTCAAGACATCCAAGACTTCATTGACGTTACACGACATACCAAAACACCAGTCATGTAGCTGGTCGATCACACAACTTCGCCGAAGCACTGGGTTGCATAATAGCGCTTCGATTGACCCTAGTTTCTCGTTTACCTTAGATCGGGGCATTACGGAATCTTCAGGGTGATGTGTGGCGCTTTCGGCAGTTGCTGTCAGTGGGGAGGTTGTACGGTGTTGTAACTTTAGGTGCAGATTGGTCATAGGCCTTGGCCTACATAGGTGGTGTTTGGAGATCAAAATTTAGGATGCTCTCTCATCGGTCGGACTGCTGCCTGTGGATAATTGGCATTGCAACAGTAGGCCACGTTTTGCTAAGAGCGTGTGTCACACCTCTGACATATTACTTGAACGATAATTTCGAGACTCTAGACTGGTGTCTTCTAGGTCCTATTAGTATCTTTCAGAGATGGTACCGCTACGAAGATGCTAGAATTAAGTGAAGTAAATGATTAAGAAAGGTAACTATATTGAACATAAAGGCCGGAATATAGTTGATATAGTTGGTTACACGCAAATGTGAGACGTAAACTTCGTGACTACCACAGCCCCTTGATTTGCGACACCCGCTGCGTCGGCTCAAATACCTCGTTGCTGTCCGACATATTTGTTGTCGACATGCTTCCACTATCTCGAAACGTTGGAAAGACTGATGCGTCGTGATCAGCACTCGCGTCCCAACCCAACGTCTCCTCTTTTTCGTAGTCCAACGGCGCCCATGCCGACTCCTCGTCGTCTTCTCGCCTTCTTGCGTCTTGGGCGTCTGGGATGAAGAGGCTTTCAGGATCTTCCTGCGCTGCCGATGAACTCTGCCGTGATCCGGGATTTCGTAATCGCCCTGAGCGGTCACGTCGGGATGCTGGTTCGGTCGGTGGGGGCATATCGGATCGTATACTAGTACGATCTGTGACCGTTAATGGTGCACGCGAGGCTCCTCTGCTACCAAGCGTTTGCGGTGCTGGCGTCGACGTCAGCGGAGCGCCCGTGTAGTCGCCTGATGTCATCAACGTGAATTCGCAGAGTAGGCCGTCGCATCCGTAGCTGAATTGCAAGGGCCGTGTCGGTTGCGAGTAGTATGCTTTCAGACTCGTCTTGAGCGTATCCGCATGGACGACAATGGCCTTGAAGTCTTTGACGCTGATGACGATGTGTGTCCCTGCTTGCACGGTGAATTGCTCGAAATCAGACGTGCTGACCGCGACCGCTGTAACGAGCGGATGCTTTAAGATTTCTTTCCCGTTCGAGATTTTCTCAGTATAGCTTTTGAAGACACATCGTCCGTCTTCTCCAGCAAAGATGTCAAGCATCTCCGTCTTTGTACCGAAATACTCAATATACTCCTTGATTACCCCAGAACTCATACTCCAATAGTTCTTTGCAACACTGCGATCGAAAAGCGCGTGCATAACGTCGACAGCTTCGTAGGTCAATTTGTATGTCTTGATGACGCCTTGATTGCACACCATCTTCACGATGAACCGACATTGCGTCTCGTTCTCCCGCTCTTGTACGCTGACCTCGCAACGATCAATGGCGCCATCTCGACCCAGCGGATCATACAGTCGCCCCTTGAAGACTGATAAGAGGGCTTTGGTGTACATGCTACACGTGAAGCGGCCATCAGGCCCGCCACTGCTTGGAATGCACTCATACTTGGTAAAGAAAAGTTTGCCGTCGAGGGTGACGGCAGCATAGGCGGATTTTGACGAGTTGAGAGCCGTGAATGTGAACTAAGACGAGACGTATGAGATGACGGAAGTGACTCGAAGGGATAATGCTGACCTACTTTTTCTCGACGCGCTTCGACCGCGACTGTGTCGCTAAATTTTCCGAGGCAGACGAGCAGATCGTGGAGCTTGGATGCCGCCTGGGGTGTCAGCGTGAAGTTGAGGACCACCATCTTCGCTCTGCACAAATGCTTGCTTGCATGCTGGTGAGTAATGCTGTCGACTGGTCTGGTGCATGTGGGCATTCGGCAGTCAACCAGATGCGGAAGTCGCGTCAAAAAACGCGCTAGCGTGACGATCAACCCGTGGACCGTCATAGACGCACATCCTGGCTCTGCAGCTTTACAACATCCATCACCTCCATATTATTAGAAGTATGGCTTCGCCTGCGCTGCCAGACGACGTCTTACACGTCCTCTGTGAAGAGCTAGCAAACCAGGAACAATTCGACACGCTCTTCAACTGCGCTTGTTCTAGCCGGGTGCTTGCTGTACCAGCATTAACCCACCTATACAGGTACGTCTGCACGTGTTTTGACAAGCTTGTCCTTTTTCAGCGCCTTCAATGTACCATCTTACTAAGATATGATCAAGGTCTCACCATCAGGCACCTGTTCGAGGCGGCGGGGAAGATTTATACGGCCTTCCACCTGCCACAAAGCTATTGACGATTCAGAGATGGTCCATCTTGTGGAGGTCAATCATCGCATCTAGTCTTGGTGCTACGCTATTTCCATACTGTCGCTATATTAGATCACTCGATTTTCGAGACTTGGGTTATCTACTCGACGATGATCAGTTCCGCGTTAAGGTCTCAAAGTAAGCTGAGCTTCGTTCGTGGTCAACGCCAATTTGGTGCTGATGAACCGAACCAGACAATTCTTCTCCGGACCGCTGAAGCAGTTCGAGAAGATTGAGACACGGACAAATATCAAAGGAAAGAAGTTTACGCGACTCAAGACTCCTGATATTATCGATGCTGTTGGAGAAGGTAAGTGATCCACATGTCACAGAATCTTTAATAAGTCAGAACGCTAACCCATGCCAGTCGTCACACAACATACACCCATGCTTGATATCATAAGTGGCGAACGTAGGTCTACCGCTTCGAAGACGCATGACATATCTAACTCCCTATAGTCCTCTCTGGTGCCTTAGTCCGATGGACTCCCCGCCTTCCCCGTCTCCAGAGCTTAGAGCTTTGGGACGGCAAGCCATTAGAGGATGAACTAGTTCATGCTTCCATTTACGAGTATTGTCCGCAGTTCAGATCTCTCATGATATACACGTGGATGTCCGAGGGTATTGACCACAAGTTCTCCAAATTCCTCTCATCGATGCGGCCGAACTCTCTCAAAACGCTACAAACCATCGGCGACATACGAGCAGGCGCTGAAACATTTCTCGCACTGAACCATCACGGCAAGTCACTCGAAGATTTGAGGCTCTGCGTATCGAACGACTCGCTGCCGCACCTGTCACTCCTACAAGGATGCACTGCTTTGAAAAACCTGCGGGTCGAAGACATACACGGCTCGGTTGACCTAGAAGCGACTCAACATGATGTCTTCCTCGAGATGATTGCGTGGTTGAGAAATTGCGAGAGCCTCCAACGTCTCAGCTTCTCAAAACTTCAGTCTGGAGCTGCGATCATCACGCCGGTGCTGCTAGAGCACAACATCAAACTGATCAACCTAGAGATTGATACTTATTCGCTCACGGATCACAAGACCTTCCACAAAGCACTTGTTCATCAACAGTCATCACTCAGATATTTATCACTAAGCGGCGATACCGATGGCATGTTTCGGGACGACCTTGACATTCTGGTCGACTCGTTGAAGCAATTGCACGAGCTGAGAGATCTCAAATTGATCTTGCCAGAGGTTCTACGAGACGAGCATCTCATCGTGATCATCAGAAACCTTACTCAACTCGAAGACCTATATGTTAGCGGGTTGGAGCTCAACGACATCGTTTTGGACAGCCTTGCAAGCCTTCCAAACCTCCGAAATGTCACTCTATCAGGTATATCCAAGTTCACCATTGAGGGACTTCTCGACTTCGTAAATGGACTTGGGTCGGGCAATCAAGGCATCCGTATTACGATCGATATGGCAGACCCAGATACTTTGCTGACCGAGGAGAACCTCAATGTGGTAAGAGATTGTCTTACCGAGAAGACCGGCGGTGCTTTGGAATACATGGCACTAAGAGGTACGTGAGAGTTGCGTGCAGATCTACAATTGAGAAGTGGGACTGATGACTTGTGTGCAGATCCGAATGTTTCAGAGTTTGAAGGTGACTCCGACTGAGACATCAACAGTCTATTACCACTATACCATGGGGTTGCGGTAGTTAAGAGGGCTAGCCATTAGATGAAGCTATTTGCGACACATTGATCCGTTGCTACTTACAAAATCGATACGGCATTCGGCAAAGCGTTCTCAATGTTTACCTCCCTATAAGTGCGGGTGAGGTCGCTAGAATATCGCCACCATGATATTGGGATGCATCAAAATTAGGTATTCGATGGATATGAAAGGTCTTCCCGTTTTTGATATGCACGGGTGCGAAACGGATGGTTACAAGTGGATGACGTGGGTCCGCCTAACTCCGGATGGCGGGGCTTGGAAATGGTACCTAAGAACCTTCACAATCCAGACTCAAATCAACAAAGGTGTCCTAATCTAGTTACCATGACTTCAAAACGTATCCTGGTGATCGCCGGTTCAGACAGCTCAGGCGGGGCGTATGCATGCTTCCACCCACAGCACCAAAACCAACAAGCTAATGTAGCGACAACAGTGGATTGGAAGCAGATCAGAAAGTCATTGCGGCGCATGGACACTATGCGATGACCGCTACGACTGCATTGACAGCGCAAAACACCCTCGGTGTGCAAGGCATTCACCATACGCCACCAGATTTTGTGAGGAGGCAGATTGATGCTGTTTGCGAAGATGTCAAGGTGGATGTTGTTAAGACTGGTAGCCCAATGCGTCTCAAACTAATAGGTAGGGTGAAGAGCTGATCGTATGTAGGTATGCTTGCATCTGCAGAGACCATCGAAGTTATAGCCGATGCGTTTGAGAGATACAATGTCCGCACGAGTGTTGTCGATCCTGTATGTCGATACGACCCAACCCCATGCACCAACAACTTTGAGGGCAAGTTAAGGCTGATATTCGGAGTAGGTCATGGTGTCCACCTCTGGCTCACAGCTACTCCCTCCATCAGCTATAGTCACACTCATCAACAACCTCTTACCCCTGACCACGATTCTAACGCCGAACCTGCCTGAAGCAAAGTTACTCTTGCAGACTGCTGGCGTGGATGTCAAAGACCCGGAGAATGTTGACGATATCGTTGCCATGGCTAAGCACATCCAGGAGCGCGGACCCAAGTGGGTATTGCTCAAAGGGGGACATCTGCCGCTCACGAAAGGACGGCTAGTCAGCAAGGATGAGAGCGAAAGGGATATCGTTCTGAATGTCTTGGTAGGAGATGGTGGAGTTACCCTAATGGAAAGCGAATACCTGAGGAGTAGGAATACGCATGGAACAGGATGTTCGCTTGCGTGTACGTCTCAACACCTCCCCGGCGTAGAGTTCCCCTCTGAACGCTGACTTGGATGTAGCCGCAATTGCATGCAACCTCGCATCCGGAATGAACGTTGTCAAAGCGGTCAAGAGGGCGAATCTCTACATCGAAGCAGGGATCAAGACAAGTACAGAGTTGGGACATGGGAGTGGGCCGATTAATCATTTCCACTCAACTTATAGTCTACCGTTCGCGTCGTAAGCTTCCAACAACCTCAATTCAGGCTTTGATGCTGACATAACCTAGGGGCGGTTTCATCCCCTACCTTCTCGACCGCGAGGACGTTCAAAAGCCGTGGAAGCAGTACACTAAGCACGAGTTCGTAAGGAAGATGGCCGACGGCTCGCTCTCGATCGAAAAATTCAAGTACTACATGATACAGGACTACTTATTCTTGGTACTCTCCTCATGCAGGCGATGCGGGTACTCAGAGTCGGGGCTGACAGTGAGATAGATACAGTTTGCGCGAGCCAACGCCCTCGCGGCGTACAAGTCAAGTTCTTTACCCGACATCGGCAGATCAGTGCAGCAAGTCGTCACTCTCCAGGAGGAGATCAAACTGCATATCGATTTCTGCAAGGAGTATGGGCTTGAGGTTGAGGATATCGAGAGGGAAGAGGAAGACCAAGGTACATACCCTGTCGCGTGCCTCGTCCCAAGATACACTGAGGAAGCAGGCAAAATGGAGTCTATGACTGACGTGGATCACAGCGACGACTGCATACACCAGATATGTACTCGATATTGGTCAATCGCAAGATTGGCTGGCTCTCCAGATTGCCATGTTGCCCTGTCTCATCGGCTATGGAATCATTGCGACACGCTTGTTCGAAGACCCACAGACGATCAGAAAAGGCAACGAGTACTGGAAATGGATCGAGAACTATGTGGCACAGGAGTACATGGAGGCGATGATGAGAGGCTCAGGTAGGTCGAGTCTTCCGCATTGCTGGGTAAGCCCCAGTCTCACAACATGCGGCAGATCTGATCGAGAAACATGCGGTGAAGCAGTCCGTTTCGAGAATCGACGAGCTTGCGCGAATCTTCATTCATGCGACAAATGTGAGTTTTGGCGTTCACCGACCGCGATTGCTCGGTGCGGCAGCTAATTTGCCACAGATGGAAAGGGGATTCTGGGACATGGGCATGAGAGCGGGCGAGTCGCGCGGGTAGAGTTCAGATTGATATGCACACGGCAGTACCAATTGAGAACCAGTGTATCATCCGGAACATGTGAAATGGGGTCATAGTGAGACGCGATGAGCGGTAATGGTAATGGTGATGATGATGATGAGGGTGAGGGTCCTTGCACGTGATGATAAGGGAAGGCAATTTTCCTGCAGCTCGGCGGTCCCTTTCCCGGCTAGCGCCTTGGTCTAACAAAAACTGCAAGCGCGACGGGAGAGGCAAAGGCACCGACTGCTTTTTTTTTCTCGCTCTCCTCCATCTCTCACTACATAACCGCCCCCCTACTTTCTGTGCCCTTCCTACTGCACAACTCGCGACACTTTTTCCGTCGCTCTTCTACACTTATTACACCCTCGCGCTTTCGACGCAAGGTTACGCTCCCTTTAGCCCGACAGTCTCTCCTTTGACCACCGGTCTCTACCAACCCTCACACATCATGTCTTCCTACGGAGGCGGAGGCGGATACGGCGGCGGCGGCGGACGCGATGGCGGCCGCGGCTACTCGAACGGGTACGAAAACAGCAATACAGGATACGGGTCTCACAACGACCATGACTACTCAAGCCAGCACACCTCGTACGGGTAGGGCGATACACCCCAGCACGGGATAGGCACCAGAGTCGTAGTTTTTGGACGCTCCCTCCATTTGCAATCTCTTTTCTCACACTATTCTGCGCGCAGACAGAGTCCGGCGACCGCGCTTGCTTCGCTTGCTGCTGTAGGTCGAACGGCCGGTCACGTACTTGCTGCAGTAGCGTAGAATCCCCTTCCTCTCACCCACTCGACCTCTATGATCGTGGCTAACGTACTCAACAGTGGCGGCTATGGCGGCAGCAACGGCGGCTCCAACGGTTATTCCGGCGGTGGTGGCTACGGCGGCGGCGGAGGAGGATACGGTGGTGGTGGTGGTGGCTTTGGCGGCCGCGATGGAGGAGGTGGTGACAGAATGTCCAACCTCGGCCAGGGCTTGAAGCAGCAAGTCTGGGGTGCGTTCGACCCTTGCCCATTCACTCACAACAAAGCTAACGTGTGTCTAGACATCGATACCATGCCTAAATTCGAGAAGTCCTTCTACAAGGAGGACGAGGCAGTCACCGCACGCTCGGTCGCCGAGGTCGACGAGTACCGCAAGGAACACCAGATGACTGTCCAGGGCAAGAACATCCCCAAGCCCGTCACCACCTTCGATGAGGCTGGCTTCCCAAGCTACGTCATGAACGAGGTCAAGGCACAAGGTTTTGCGAAGCCCACCGCCATTCAAGCCCAGGGTTGGCCCATGGCTCTCTCTGGTCGCGATGTCGTCGGTGTCGCTGAGACCGGTTCCGGAAAGACACTCACCTACTGCCTTCCCGCCATTGTCCACATCAACGCCCAGCCTCTGCTCGCTCCTGGCGACGGCCCTATCGTCCTGATCCTCGCCCCTACCCGTGAGCTTGCTGTCCAAATTCAGCAGGAAATCAGCAAATTCGGAAAGTCTTCCCGCATCCGAAACACCTGCGTCTACGGAGGTGTCCCCAAGGGCCCGCAAATCCGTGACCTCTCTCGCGGTGTCGAGGTGTGCATTGCCACGCCTGGTCGTCTTATCGACATGCTTGAGGCTGGCAAGACTAATCTGCGCCGTGTCACTTATCTCGTGCTCGACGAGGCCGATCGCATGCTTGACATGGGTTTCGAGCCTCAGATTCGCAAGATTATCGGACAGATTCGACCTGATCGTCAGACTTGCATGTGGTCCGCTACTTGGCCCAAGGAAGTCCGCCAGTTGGCTGCCGACTACCAGAACGACTGGATTCAGGTCAACATCGGCTCCATGGACCTGTCAGCTAATCACCGCATTCAACAGATTGTCGAAGTCGTTTCCGAGTTCGAGAAGCGTGACAGGATGGCCAAGCACCTCGAGACCATCATGAGCGACAAGGAGAACAAGATCCTGATCTTCACAGGCACCAAGCGCGTCGCTGACGAGATTACCCGATTCCTCCGCCAAGATGGCTGGCCGGCGCTGTGTAAGTTTACATGAAAGCCACGACTTCGAATACTGCTAACGCAATGTACAGCTATTCACGGTGACAAGCAACAGAACGAGCGCGATTGGGTCTTGAACGAATTCAAGACCGGAAAGAGCCCCATCATGGTTGCTACTGACGTAGCTTCCCGTGGTATCGGTATGATTGCAAACCCCCGACATTCCCTCCCCCTCCCCCCAACTATTGTTATGCGTGAACTGCCATTGTGCTCTGCTTAGGTCGTCTTGTGCGCTCGTTACACTCGCTTCCATGACATCGTTCCAGGGCTTGCAATATTTCTCGAATCTGATCCCCAGGGATCCTTGGTCACGCTGGCGAAGCTTCATTCTTCGCTATTTTCTGTTTCAGGTATTACTAAGGTATTACTGAAGCAAGCTGAGATACTTTGACTTACACAAGTCGCAGTCTCTTCCAAGGGTTTCCTGGACCAGGAGATATCCATAGCCTTCCCCACTGGACTCGGATGCCGTGATCTTCGTTGTAGCGCACAGTGACGGTTGCATGCAACATACTGCAGCTTCACGCGATCCAATTATGATCGTCGTTTGCTCGTTTTCTTTATCAGTTGCTAACCTTTTGCCTTTCAAGATGTCCGCAATATTACCCATGTGTTCAACTATGACTATCCGAATAACTCGGAAGACTATGTTCATCGCATTGGTCGAACTGGTCGTGCTGGCGCTAACGGTACCGCTATCACGCTTTTCACTACAGAAAGTACGTATGCTTTCCCTCCAGAGACTTGCACACCGCTGACATGTATAATAGACTCCAAGCAGGCCCGTGATCTCGTACAGATTCTCACAGAGTCCAAGCAGCAGATTGATCCCCGCCTACACGAGATGGCTCGCTACGGCGGCGGTGGAGGCGGCGGAGGTCGCTGGGGAGGTGGCCGTGGCCGCGGTGGAGGCCGTGGCGGAGGCCGTGGTGGTATGTACTCTCAAATAATCTCAGCATGCATAGAAAGCTAATTATATCTCAGGCTGGTCTGGAGGTAACGGCGATCCTATCCGCAACAGCCGCTGGTAAACCCAGTGAGACTTTCGACCGCATCAGCTTATCACCCTGAAGGACGATAAGCAATTTCTCACACCCATCCGGCGTTCGTGGTAGATATTTCTTTATTTCCGACCCACCTGACCTATCGTTTTCTCGATTTCGGCAGAAGGTCACTGTACTGGATCAGGCACCGTCGATGTACGCTGATACCCCAAGGAAGCCGAGCACTAGTCGTCATGCAAGGGCACGACGTCGGTAAGGCAGCATGACATATGCGTATAATAGACTGGCATTTTGTTTCTTCCTACTCTAGGCCACCTCGATGTGGCTCCTTGTTCTTACTCCGGTTGGCTGCTCTGAATGCGAGGGTCTTTCGACCGCTTTCCATGGTGGAGCTGGCGGCGTTCTGTTCAGAAAAGTTTCTGTTAAAGTAATACCGATATAGAATACACTTTGTCACATGTTACTCAGCATTCTCTTCATTCTCCATTTGATTATCCTAGGCTGTATCTTTCTAGAGACTAACGAATACAAGCTCGAGTCCACAAACAGAGATATCTCTCTATAATGATTTGGAGCAGTGCATCTAGTGTGCAGCTCATGGGCACGAAGGAAACTCGATGCTTTCGTCGCTTATAGTTCCAGTGCCTCAGCCTTTCAAGAAGATAAATGGGTTCACGGGGACAGATCTAAGGTCTAGGGCTGAAGGGGTTTACAATCGTGAGACGAAAAGGAGGGTCAGGAACAGCAGATTAATGACGGGAAAAAAGAGCGTTACAGGAGAGTTTTGAGGATATGTAATATGAACATGGATATATGTAATGGTTAATAAGGATAGAGAAGATAGACGCTTCTTACTATTTACGTTACGACTCCGTAAACTATAACATGGCCGTCTTTAATTTTGTGTAGAAGGAGGGTAGGTTTTGATGATGAAAGAACAAATCAGCAGTGTGAAGAGGAAGGTTATCTGTTAGTTCAGTGAAGAAAGACTAAAGCTGCTTAGGCAGGATGATATGGCAATACTATATACAATAAATCCATGTGGCCATGCTAGTTTACTGTATCAAGCGTCAGTTCATTTTATGTTCATTACTCTTGCTGCAAAACTTCTGGTATCAGATCCAACGACCGCTGACTGTCGTCTGGATTATTGCGATCCGGTACAGGCTCGTGTATATGTAGAGTGTGACTTGATGCAAGTACTACTGTAAAGGGGAACGAGGAAGAGAGGATTGTATACCTATATATATCTACATATAGTAAAGATACCATCACGATGTGAATAGTCTATACCTTCATCGATGACTTACAATCTCCATAAAAAAAAAAGGTTGTAAGCGTATTTAGAGAGAGGAGGTGTTTGCAATTAGACTGCGGCATTTTGAATAAGTTTTCTGTTTTGATTTACGAGTCGCTGATGTGGTTAATATCCACAGTAGGACATGGAAATTCTTCGAACCCCATTTACACCTTAGCTTCAACGACAAGACTAAACATTCTCTCACTTCGAGTAATAGGACAGCACAAACACAAACACAAACACAAACACATAGAACATCTCCACGTGATTCCCAACGCCAAGGGATCAACAGCCAAACCCCCATCTCAGTTTCTTTGTCCTCGAAAAGTTTCCCAGCAGACAAAGAAAAGAGAACCATGATATCTTCCTCCGAAACGTGAACGGCGAATAGCGGCAAGTGTTTTCCTCACTCATGGTTCCCCAACAAAGGAACCCACCCCGAAAGAAAATTTGATTTCACTGTCTCTTTGTTCAACGACATCCGAACACATTGCGCCCCAGCACGGTACCAGCACGGTACTCCGGAGAAATGCTGCTCACCCGGGACGATAGATGAGTGGAGCAACTTGGAGTCACGACCTAGTTGCAGTCTAGCTCGATAGTGAGTACAAATATGTTTGTGTGGAGGAAAGAGTCATCGCGCACATCTCCGCATACGGACGTTCTAGACCGGTAATTGAACGCGGGAGCCATCGGAGTATTGGGGGAAAACTGAGTAGGTTTGCGTGTGTTGTTGCGTACATGCTGCCGACGACGTCGTAATAATCTGGAAAGAAAATTTGGAATAGCTACAGATGGCCGATTCCTTCTTCCGAATACGCCACACTGCGCTGGCCCGCAGTTCAACGTGTATTGCTTTCCCCGTTTGATAATGGGGATGAAGCATACGTGGACTACCTTGAATGTGCTTTTCGTTGTTTAGAGAAGAGATGGGAGTTTGGCCCAGCAGAGTGGGATTTAAAAGAAGCATCTGATGTCTAGGTAGTGGGTCATGATATTGAGAATCCATTAGATTCTTATCCGAGAGGAGGTGCGAAGAAACGTAGATTGGTAGCGTGATAAGGGTCAGGGTCTCACGCGGAAAAATGAAAAGAGAGCGAACTTGTTGATTGGTCTTGTCTGGAGATGGTACCTTTTTAACTTTGATATCCACTATGAATCACCTCATAGCGATGAATAGCATATGAGGGGGGTGTTTCGTATTGTGGGGAAGAAACCCGTGGAAGATGTTGCGTTTGTCCACTGGGCTAACGTCTCGGATTCTCTTGGTGGTTAGTTGTCTCATTGGATATCTGACTGTAACTTGAAAGGTTGCTCATGCTCATGCTGACTTTGAAATCGCGGTTACTTTATGCCACTAGGTGGTGAGGTGATAGTGATGGTAATGAACGCAAAGTGTGAGTGCAATACAGCGGTGAAGTGCGGATAAGGTTCACGGGATTGCCAGGGTTCGACAACTGCAACTCTTTAAAGCAGCGCCCTTGAAGAATGACGGTAGCATATGCGACACGGCTGTGGTCCATGTAGAGATATGGGCGAATTGTGCAGGTGGCCAATACCTTCAGTTCATAACGGGGCACCTCGAGCATGTTAGGCGAAGTAAAGGGCAAAGGTTCACGAAAGGGCGAAGTAAGAGACATACCGACCACTCACCCGGTGATTTTGCAGAGAGTCGCATTGATGGAGGCATCTTGACGGACGGTGAGCCGTCAGTATGCATCTGAGGCCAGATACGCAGTCCAGACACCGACTCGACACCTAGGAGAGCCACACCCTAGTGCTGCTATGCAGAATGGGAAAGGACGCGAAGCCCGTGGTTGCCTGCTTCACCTTGGCATGGCAAGACTTTGCTCTGCACCGTTGAGCTGAGATGTTGCTCACAATCAACCCCTCACCAGTGATCCTGAAATTCGTCACGGATACAGCCCCTGAGGCATACGAACCCAGCGCTGAGGTTGAGATAAAGTAATAGGCTACCATTGCTCCGTTTCGACCGGTTCGAAGACGGTATCTGGGAACGGCATCTGACACGGTCGAGAGTCGGCCCTATAGGACATGAGAGCGGGACCATGCGCTCGTGCGAGAGAATAAGAGTAGCTCATCCGGAAGTGAAGTTCCTCTTGTGGTGTCACTACTGATTAGTTCCCGAAGAGAAAAAAGCGACTTGGTGTATAATTTGGAATAACCAGAATACAATATTCCAAATCGAATACTGCGTACGAGTGAAGTTCGCACTGAATGTACCTCTCTTTTTGATATTCGGAATATAGTCCGCTGAAAAACTTGCTCACATGTATGACCAAAGGAGTTGTGCAATCATCGTCAACGGAGCCTTCACCGTCGTGCAGGGCCAAGGTTGTAGTTGAGATGGCGCCCCACGGTGGCCAACGAGCACCTTGATGTCCAAAGGGGCATGACTGGAGAAGAGAGTTTTGAGCGGTTGTCTGTTCTTCGAGACGAGGTTTGTTGCGGAAGGTTTTCTGATCGACGCGTGGAACTTTGTTGCACGTCAGCAATAACAAGCATTCCCATCGGATCTGCACAAAGCTCGCCATGGTACTGCATATATTGACCATAAGAATGATGGTGTTTCCAAATCAGTTGCGAAAAGGAAGTGGACCATAGTATAGAGTTCAAGTTTCGGAACCGTCTCTGCCTACTCTGCGCCGTCGCCCTCGTTAGGCTTCTTCAGGTGTCATTGAGAGTGCATGTTTCGGGCGTTCCTGCAGATTCGAGCTAGGATGCGGTACGAGGAAGGCTGCTTTGACGCGCATGTCACGACAAGTCGGAGTACGCGTCTCGAAACGTCCCATAGTGTGGTGGCGTGGCGTGGCGTGGAGTGGATTAGCCTCGCGTTGGTATCCTGCTTTGATGAGCAAGTACCAGAACTGTAGCTCGGGGCTTTAATTGACAGGTCGTGCCGCAGCTTTTGGTCCCCGAGATAAGGATAGCTCCGGCTGGATGGCCTGGATGGGGATGGGATTCATCTCCAGCTAAGTTCGCGCTATAGAGCATACGAATCGCGTTTCATGTCGCTGGCCGCCTCGGTTCCGAATTTGTAGACTAAACTAAACAAGCTTTATCGATTCTCCTCAGAAGACGCGCAGACATGGTCTCAGGACCTGGGAAGAAACGTGGGAAGCCTCGTTGCAACCCTGCGCAGGCACGTGCCACTGTTTTGGGCGTTGAGATTGAGCCACAGGAGATTGAAATGAGATGAGCTGACAATCACGCAAGGTCGGATATTACTCACTCTCACACGTCTGAATTGGGCCTGACTCGACAACGTGGAGACGCGTAGGGTTGTCGATTAGAGCAAAAAGTCACGGCTGCCGATGGAGATGGCCGATCGTAGCGGCACGTCCAGCTCCGCTAACGCTACGTAGTCATGGGCGGACAAGATAAGGGAAAAACAGACGAGAGTGGCATTCTGCCGAGGCATGATGGCAATGGTAACGAGAATCGGATAATAGAAGCGAAGGCGAACCGGAAGCATGTGGGCCACGTTCAGGGCGAATTCAAATCGAGGAAGGCTTCCAGGACGGGCTCCGCAATCGGGCAATCCTCGGTTGTCTGGGCATTCGTCTTTGCAGAGACAAAGGAAACGCGATTACTCCGCGGGGGTGATATTTTGTGGATCAGGGGAAGGTGTACCACAGATTTGCTTCGTCGTGCGGGAGGTCTATCGGATCTAGCGGCATACGACACTGGATCCCCTGGAGTGAGAAAAGTGGACGTTATGCTGTGAGGTTATGTCATCCCAGCAGACTGACAGTATGAAGACGTGCAGTGCATATGCAGAATGCAGTTGCAGAATGCCATGGTGGCTGCGTTTGGTTAACGGAGGGCGAAGGCTGCGCAGCGATTGGCTCGACGGTGCAAAGACGTTTGGTAGTCAATGGGCCACCAAACAGGGAAGGCGCCTGTGGGACGTTGTGAGAAGGAACGCGCAGTGTGACGCCAAAGTTTGAACCTACATTGCATATAGATAATACAACATGATACCTCATCCAACCGACTTTGCCGTCGTGTACACGTCCACGTACATACAGCTTCTCTGACGCACACGGCCGCACTTTCTGGGGGCCGTGTAAATTCATGCTGAATGGCACATGGGCCGGTGAAGGCCAGCCGCCCAGGACCACCTCACACATGATCTTCAATAAATACCCTTCAAGGTTCTAGTGGGCTTCCAGTGGAGGAAGAATGCATCGAGGCTGCGCACTGTGGGCGTTGTCGACAAGGTTCTGACGCCGCCTGATCCTGGCCCTGGTCTATTATCGAAGAGAGCGGGAACTTGACTCCAGTCGCTGGGTGTCAGCAGCATTTGGAAACGGAAGGTAGCCCGCTTGCAGCGCGAGATGCCGCGTGTTCGCATTCAACAGCAGCAGCGGAGTATTGCAGAGACGCGTATTCGTATGCACGCTGAAATGCAGCAAAGTGACGATGCCCCTCGATCAGGATAGCAAGGCGTCCCAAAAGGCCTCAAGATCCACCACGGAACCTATAGTGACGAAATACGGACTGGTTCCATCCCAAGCCTCTGGGAAGCTCGTCGACATGGGATGAACACAAAAGGCGGGACTCGGCCGGTCCAAACTTGGGCGCCACGTGAGAGGCTTCGGCCGTACTGTGGCTCTATTAATCACTTGGGAAAAGCCACAAACCCCACTTGGCACAGTGGGCATGGGGTTGCCCTTGTCAGTGTCACCCGCTCGCCCAAATCTCCAGAGCGTTCCTGAATACGAACTTCTGCCAGACACTAGCCGCAAGATCCGTGACTAAGAATACATGTCTGTCAGCACCGCCTACTTGAATGATTACTCGAGAGTGATTCGGAATCGAGACAGCTGTGGTTATCGCGACCAGCTGTCGATGACGGGATGCCTTGATTGATGACACTTTTGCCAAGAGGCACATGTAGTGTCTAATCTCCTCGAATCACAACGTGATTCCAACGCCCGCTCCTGCAATCACTCTCCTGCAATCACTCTCCTCAACCTTATGAGACACAATTCATCTGATATTGGGATGACGCTTTGGGATGCAGGGCGGCTCGGAATCATCACCGCGAGGGGCTGGGTGTATACAGCCGGCGGGACAGCCATGGTGCTTTGAAAGAGTCTTGTGTGTCATGACAGTTGAAGGCGACAACATGTTCGCGTTGTGATCGAGGTTACTTCCCGCTCCCGTTCGACGGCGCACATGCAATGAAGCTAGGGCGTATATTCGCATTCATCCTGGGTCTGATCAGGCTTGGTATTTGAACACGAATCAAAGCGCTCGTTTATTTTTTTGTTACCCAGCTGTGGATTTGACGGATAACCGGCGGAGAGAGGGCGATCGGGTCTGAATGCTGACCTTCCTATTTTATATTTCCTACTGTGCGGTGAGTTTACTGACAAGGATGCGCAGCTGACGAGGTCCAGCCTTGAATATGAGAGGTGGCTGGCACTAGCTTTTCATCGGATGCGAGCAAGCGGATCAGTGTCTCATTGGTTCGGTAGGCGGATTTATGCATGAATGATTCAGGATGCAATGCAGCGTCAAGCCGCCATCATCATTTCAGGCCGACGATCGCATGTACAGCCCACGTCCTGGCATACAGTGCAGGCAAGGGAGTGTGTGTTTTCCTGTGAGCATGTTGAAGTGATGGGCCAAGGTGGCTGCTGGCATGCGGGATGATTCAGGATGCAATGCGATGAGCAAGACCAATCAATGAGGGATGTTCGAGGAGGAAGCGGTCTATGATGTCGACAAGATGGCATGGCACACGGCAGCATGCACAAGAAATGGGATTCACGAAGCTGTACCGCCCCGCTTTTCCCAGCTGACAGCAGCGAGACACGATGCTAACCGCCCCTCCCACGTTGCTGTGCGCTCCAACCCAGACGAAAAGGTAGGAGAGAGAAGAAAAATAGCCAGGTCGGATTTGGTTCCCGACAACGTGGCTGGACGCGAGCATGCTGGGTCGGCTGACCACAGGACCAGGTTGGTTGTGATTATACGGGCTGCTGGTGTGGGCTGGCCTGTGCTTGCTGGGGAGGGAAGTGGGATGGGCGAGGCTGGTGAAACGGACAGTATTCATTCATGTCAGAATTGATGCCTGTCGGTCATACGAGACCAAAGTAGTAGAGCACAGAGGAGGATTGCTGGAGGATTGTGGGCCTCGCACTGTGAGGTGCTTCCTGCTGCTGGGTGGTGGGCAGAAACGGTAGGTAACGCGGCAAGATTGACGGGCTCTTACCGCCCTCTCTGCCAACGTGTGGGCGCGCCGTGTGTCAGTTGACGATGCATCAACGAAAGGGTCGGTCAGGTCGCCGTCAGCGAAGGGACAGCATCGCTACAGGCCGCTTTGGGCAGGATTACCGCTTCTGACGTTTCTGCCGTGTCCAATATTTGCGTGCAGTTGATTCCGGCTGCCGCTGCTGCCGAGGGCCGCAATCGCCCGACCGCCGCGAGGGTTGCCGTCGGCGATGCTGGCGTCATTGCTTTTTTGGATGCGCGTCTTGGCATGGGGCGATGAGGTTGGGTGATGTGGTGATTGATGTGGTGGTGATGTTGGATGGGAGCGAACTTCTTGGTGGTATACCTAGCCCTCAGTCTCACCTGCTAACGGGGTTTTGGTGCTAGCTAGAGCCTCGCGCGCCACGTCTAGCGCAGAGGCTAGCTTTCAGCCTCATCTCATCGCATCGCTGCTGCATCTGCCAAAGGCACGTCTTTGAGCGCTGCTGGCTGCAAACGAGAAAACAAAGGCGGCAGGCCGAGGCGGTCAGAGAGAGAGAGAGAGCCCTGAGCAGGCAGGCGGGGTTAGTCAGCCAAATTCCAGTCGAGGAACTGGCCTTTTTCGCCGATTAGCAGTCTCCAGCTTTCCCTTTGCCACCCTCACGCCTTCCCATCTTCGTCCCTAGCCTCCCATCGCGAATCTTTGCGACGGCTTCCAGTGCTCGCCCATATCACCAAACGCGTCCAGGAGCCAGCCTTGCCTTGCCCTGCCCCTAACGCTGCCGTCGCCAGCGTAGTAGCCCGCCGCTTGCCCCCCCAGACACACTACTACATCTCGCGCCCGCGGTGCTACTACACGTGCACCCGCCGCCGCCAGCCAGCCCATCGACCCTCGCCTTGTTGGCGCGTCCCAAGGCCATAGCCAAAAAAACCCGCGACCATCCCATCTGCCCGTTGCGCGAGTCACCTGCGCGCATAAAAGAAGGCACCAGATCGCCCACCGCCTTGGACGACCCACCTCTGCCGAGCATCTGCGCACACAAATCCTAGCACTCTTGCCAGCACTCCGCCGTGTCGACTGTGCCCCGTCCAAGTTGCACGGAATTCCGGCCGCACGAGAAAAAAAAGGCTGATCGCTCGGCATCCTCGGCGCACTGGGAGCCTGTGGCAGCACCCAGACACGGAGGAAGCACTGTGTGAACGAGTGAGAAATTTTTCTGTCATCCATACCGACAACGGGCCGACTGCTTTTCCTTTGCAGCGCGCGCGACAGAGACGTCTTCTGTGGCCCGCCTGTCATCATCCATTCACTCTCGCCCAGCACGCTACCTCGACCCGTTTTCCCTCGTTGCCTAGTGCAGCCTAACAACGACGTGCGCACGCTCCCCCGCGCCATATCTCACTAAAAAGCCGCTTGCTCATCATCCTCGACCCTGGGCCAACGTTCCCATACTTTTTGCTCACGCCGCCATTCCACATCCGTCCTAGCCTCTCTCCCCCCTCCCCCCCCAAGACCAGCTCCCAATTCCCACGGCTAGGCCTCGGCTTAACCGAATTCGTTCCCACCCTCGACTCGGAGCTCCACTACCTCATCCAGAGTACTAAGCTCCGCTGGGTTTAAGCGGCACGCCGTTTCCAGCGACTCGATTGGCCGTCATTGCCCCCCCCCAGGACTTGCGCCACCCAGTCTTAAAAAGCCTTTCTTGACCGTGTTGCCGCTAGCTGCGCTCAAACTCCACCCTTCGCCCCTACCCAGACCCGCAGTGGAAAGTCATCCACCGCTAGCACCTTTTGGTGTAACCACTGCGTCGTTGCACCTTTCTCTGCACCGCGCCATCTGCTCGGCGATTCGAGCGACTAGCCATCGCCCCCCTGTCCCGGTGGCCTTCAGCGTGCGCCTTCCGTGCGTTATCTTTTCGACGGCGTCCAATCTGCCGAACAGCTTGTCCCTCCATCTGGGCGCTTTCGAAAACACACCGTCTGCAAATCATCCGCGTTTAAGTTCTGCGCTACCGGCGTCCTGTCAACCATTTCCATTCTCCGGTTTCTGGCTGCGTTCCTTGGCTCTGCTCCCGTGTACTTTTCTACGCCTTAGCTGCCTGTCTCCCCTGCTACCACGGCGAATCAACCCAAGTCGGTTTGCAACCGTCATATCTCTGCAGCCATCCCTCCTCTTGGACTCGTGCAGCCCATCTCAGCTTAGAGCTTAGGTGTAAATTCAAACGCCTGCAAAGCTACACAGTCTATGGACGCAAGGCAACAAGAGTACCCGCAGTCAGGTTTGAGCTCGCCCTACCCAACCTTTCCTGAACCGTCTTCTGAGGGAACATCTGCAGATCCAGCGTCTGCTGCGCAATACCCTCCACAAGGACAAGACCCACGATCTTCAAACCTTACCCCCACCTCAGACTACAGCCTGAATCCCTCGTCTGCCCGATCAGGGTCCTTCCCGGAGTACATTCAACGCTCGTATCAACCAGGCGCTCAAGGGCAAGCACCGGGAGGTATGGCGCAACAACAGAGTCCGTCAATGCCTCTTCCAGATGGTCAATCAAATGGCCATCAATCACCACAACATCTCAAGTCTGACTCGGATGTACCTATAGATCCATCAATCGCCGCCCAAACGAGCCCGACCTACCCTCAACACCAGCAGTACTCGCCTTATACGCCGCATCACGACATGCAACATTATCCGGGTCAACCTCAGACCCCAATGTACGCGTCGCGCCCCGAGTGGGCAGGGCATTATCCTCAGCCAGGTATGCATTATGCCCATGCTGCGACATCAGGTCCCCCTGCGCCTGCCATGGTTTCTCCGGTCCAGCGTCCTCCCACAGTAAGTTTACCAGGCGCGTCACAAACTTCATCAGTCGCGTCAAGATCTTCAAGTTCGTCTCGTTGTGCGCGTGACCGTCACGTCGCGCGCCAATTTGCCTTTCTACTTTTGATCCCATGTTTGTTGTACAAAATTTAAAACCAAACTAATAGTATCCGCAGGGCGGACATCCACTTTCCACCGTGTATTCATTTGTCCCAATTCCGGGCGCACAGCAACATAAGCGACCACGTCGGCGATACGAGGAAATTGAGCGCATGTACAAGTGCGGTTGGAACGGCTGTGAGAAGGCCTATGGCACTTTAAATCATTTAAACGCTCACGTCACGATGCAATCGCATGGCGCAAAGCGAACTCCAGAAGGTACGTGTGCTGTCAATTCCATAGTAGCGCGTTGGACATATGTCTCCCGTTATTTTTGGTGGTCCCCGCAAGCCTAGCGCGCTAGGTTAGCACTTGGGAATGGTGTTGGTCCTGTACCCGCTGCACTGGATAGCTTTTGCTGACGGAAGCTAACCACTGTCGACCCATGCCTACTTTTCTTGGCACTCTCTTCTTATTGCACTTGTATATGATACTAACTTTTCCGACTATATAGAGTTTAAAGAGATTCGCAAAGAGTGGAAGGCGAAGAAGAAGGAGGAAGAGGCCGCGCGCAAGGCTGACGAGGAGCGTCACCGCGCCGACGTCCAGCAGCGTCAACATGATGGTGTCGCTCCTGGCGAGCCCCCCGTCTATGGTCAGATGCGACAGGCAGTCGGCGTGCCTGGTCAGCCTCCTCAACATCCCCAACTACCTCCCATCGGGTACCAACCTGCGGCCTCGAGCAACACAGCTGCTCCTCAGTATGGCACGCAGAGTCCAGGTCTTCCCGAGGGCATGGCCCAGTATGCCGCCCCCAACAGCAATGCGTACAACAGTCCCAATAGTAACAGCAGCAGTTATCCCCAATCGCCATACGGTCAAAACCCGCAGATGTACTCACAAGGTCATTAGTCAGGCTTTGTAGATGACGATGCGTGGTCTGAGTCTTCGGAATTGGATGCCTCGTCGACCCCCTTCTAAAAGACGAAAGGCACCAAAGGTCAGCTTCCTCCGTTGTGACTTGACCGAGTACCTCCGAGTTTTGACAGCTTTCCTAGTGGGTAATTTGCATTCATGCTGCAGGGACATGGGTCAGTTTTCAACATCTCTTATCACTGGTGGGGGCTTGCATTTTCAACTGGGGGCGGCTGTATGTTTCTAATTGACGGTGTTACGGCCGGAACAAGATGTCTTTCCTTTCTTCCTAGTTTGGTTGACATTTGCACAGAGGCAAATCGAAAGAGTTAGCATAGGCTGTTCAACTATTCCACAAAATGTTCCGAAGGAGGGAGGGGGGTTAGAGCTGTTTGAAAAGCTTGGAATTACGCATTAGTGGTTTGCTGCGATGACGCCTCTGGTTTTCTGTTCGGATGAGGGCCTTCAAAAATTTCTTGGTTTCATTCGTCCACTTGGGGTAGAACGCGACTGCATGTGAATGGCGCTCCACAGAAACAATTCATTCGATTATTTTTTGACTTGCGCACATGAGACAGATGCTTGGTTTTCCTCGTCCGCAGCCTTTGGTCTGGTGAGCTGCTTGGGCGCGCTGATGCTGGCCACGATGATTTGGCTGCTAGTTCTCAGACCCTGCGTGATCGCCCTTTGTGCTCTTGTACAAGCAACGTGGAACGAACTAAGATCAAGGCCCGGGTCACTTCTCCACTCCCTTCCTCTATCTGCGACCCGGCAAGGGAAGCCCTAGACGAAACCGTGGGCCTCGCAATGCAATCCGTCGCATGATCATCAAACGGTGTATAACAAATCAAATGGGTCAGTAACGTGCCGCTACAGTCGGATATTTCCGTTACCCAAGTTCCACATATCAGTCTTTCTTTGATTGCAACGTTGTGCTTGTGTTCCGCTGTCCGCATTATTATTTTCTCCAGGCCTAGGAGACGATATGGTGGTGGTAGTAGCTCCGCTTTTTGAAACTACATGTCTTGTATGATTCAGCAGTCGGGTGTCAGTGCTGGTTTCAAGCAACTAGACTACACCAAGCAAGCGAGCGTGGTGCGGTGCGGATGCTGAAACGAAGGCCTTGTTCTGCTGAGGAAGTTGGCAGGGCATGCTTGCTCCATCCTTGCAGTGAAGATGGCAAACCAGCTCCTCACCCCCTCACTTCGCACTCTGCATGCTTCGCCACGTACGTACGCAAAAAATCGCAACACTACTCAGACATGGCAGGCCACCAATGGACATTTGAGAAGCAGCTTATTTACCAAGTGTCACCTGCAACAGCGCACCACTTTTCTCTGCATTCTAGATGCTGAATGCTGATTGCCCACAGCAGGGATTATGGAAGGAAGTGCTGCGAACAGCGGGCCAATCATGGACATGGAAAGGGGGATTTGGAAGATGTTTGTATTACGACGGTGATGACGCACAGGAAAGCTCACGAGAAAGGGTTATCGTATCCGGGGATTAGTAGCAGATTACGATGCTGTCAGACTGGGGGCGCCGGGGTTTGCTTGTAGATAGATTGGGAAGGAGGGGAAGTCAGTCAGGATGTACGTGGCTTGCCTCCACAACATGCCATCAATCAATATATCCACATTTGCCGAGATATGCATCTATGACGACTGAAGAGAAGAAACGAGAAGCCACACCCGATCAAGTATCGACAAGCTCTACCCCAGCAGCTCGCATGCAGCAAGGGCTGGAATTGTGATGAAGCGCGGTTCGACGGAGGACAGGCCTAAGGAAGTAATACTTGTTGTCGGTACCAAGGACCAATCGTAAGGGCCAGAGTCCCGTCACTCCGTTCGTGTCATTCACCACGACATCACGATCTCGAGGCCTTGCTTGATCACACGACTAAGCGATATTGGTGGAAGCCTCCCTGGGATTGCTTCTGCAAACCCTGAAGCGAGCTGCGTCTTTTGCCTTTACCAGGTATCAACCGCAGTGTGAAGCGCAAGTATAATGACGAAGGCATGGCATAACAAAGGCAACATCCGCGGCAAAGAAAACCCTCAACGGCCAGGATGAAGGTTCAACGAACACGAGACATGAATTCCCTCGGCAACCCCAAACCTCAGATGATGCTGGATCGGATATCGAGCACGCTAGGATCTGGAATACATCTGCGAGATCGTTGTTAGCGGGCAGCTATGAGATTAAACTACCACTACTTTCTTAACCATGTTGCGTTTTTTGGCGCCAGCGCCGTTGGAGAACTAAGGCCAGGGCAAGCGTGACAACTAGAACGGCGCCATCTGACGGCGGAAACTAGCAGATGGATGCATGCGCGCGGACCTGGTCAAGAGGCGCGGACTGGTGTGTTACACGGCCGCAGCGATCAGGCTCCACGAGGACTTGGCCGTAAGACCACGCTTTGGGAGGAGCCATCTGGGACGACGCTCATAACTTGCCTGTGCCGGCCCATGGACAAGGTAGTGTGGGGCCTTGAGTAGTAGTATACGGGACAGTTTCGGCATCATGGAATAATAATACTTTGGTAGAGAGAAGCAATGACAGAACCCTTGCACCACAACCCAAGTACGAAATACCATGTTGCACTCACCCACCTTGCGCCCACAACACACGCTTCCTCTACCAATCCCCCCCTCGTACCACTCTACGCCCTCGAAATCGGCGTGCGCCATGCTCGCCGCCCATGCTCGCACAGACGCATCACGAGCCGGAAAGCAAGACATTTTGATGCGTTTCATGCATCTCAAGGGAGCCACGCTCGCAGATCCTCCATGTGCCACCTTTCAACGGTACTTAGGTCCCGCCACCTTGGCCGAAGGATGCAAGAAAGAAAAAAAAGCGCCGGCGTGTGCGCGTCTTGGTCTAGCAGGCAGAAGGCTCACCGATCAGTCAACAGGCTACTATACCGCAGCCGGTGTAGCAGAGGCAAGCTATGTATGTCTTGCACTAGCTTCGCTCCCGTCGTCTATTTTTTGTCGGTAACTCTTAGAGCATACCCTGGCGCTGCGCTACGACGGCCCCGGACGCTCGGCTGCGGTAGGCCTCCTCGGGCCAGGGCTACTTTTCTCAGCCTTGCCTTTAGGAGGGCCCCCGGGAGGAGAAAGCAAGACCAGAGCTAAGCTAACAAGGCGTTAATGAGTAGCTTCATGGTCGTTGAATTAGGGTACATTGTTTTTCCGCCTGCTCTTTCCACGGCGTGATGCAAAGCGGATACCGGCCTTGAAGGCTTGTTAACGGGTTCTGTGTGCTACGAGGGTCCCAAGTAGTCCGTCCCCATGTTGGATGGTTCGGTTCGGATGCGTCGTGTGTTGCGGAATATCACGTGGTGGATTTTCGGCCCGGTCATCCGCTACCGTTGGGAACTTTTTTTGTGAACGACCAGACGCGTTTCCTTTGCCTGCATATACCGAACCGCTCTCCTCATGCTGAATTGCCGCGCTTGTCTCTGGCGATGCCTTCAAGCCCTCGATGTCCCGTCTACCAACGCCCACCGCCTTCGCCGAAATGTAAATCCACTCCTGGAACAGGGCCAGCGGCGGCTGCTATCCACAGTCGTCCGCACGGTAGACACGAAGCCTGTATACCGCAACAAAGTCGAGCAACTTTCAAAGCATAGGGAAGAGCCATGGCAGAAGTCTGCCGTCGCTGCAAATCAGAAGAAGAGGGAGAGAGCAGTCCTGCGCCAACGACCTGCGCCTGGAGTAGCGGAGACGCCCAACTTGTCCAGACTCAGCAAGCGCGACCCTTCCCTATCGGTGAGCGAATGGGAAAGAAGGAAAAAAGAGTTGCGATATTTGCAGGACCCGGTAGAGCTGGCTGGCTTTGTGAGAAAGGAGCTGGGCAAAGACAAAGTGACGGAGATGGTGCAGCTGGTGCGCATGGCGAGTCAATCTATGCAATGCGTTGTCAGCTGGAACCATATCATCGATCATTATCTAGCCAAAGAGAGGGTCAATGATGCGCTCAAGGTGTATAACGAAGTACGTCTGGTCTACCCTGGGTTATCGAGAGGCTAGCTAACTCGACCTCAGATGAAGAAGCGCGCACAGTTTCCGGATTCATACACGTACACGATCCTGCTTCGAGGACTGTCTATAAACGCACATACCTCGGGTGTCCTCAGCAAAGCGCTTTCAGTATACCACTCGCTCTACGCACCAAACTCACGAGTCGAGCCGTCCATCATCCATACAAATGCCGCCCTGCGAGTTTGCGCCCGGGCGCTGGATATGGACGCATTATGGGGCGTGGCGGGAAAGATACCAGAAACTGGGCGTGGGGCGGCGAACGAGGTCACATACATCACCATAATCAACGCCATGAGACAAAGCCTGCTGATCAACGCTCCAAAAGGAGAGACGGAAGAAGAGGCTGCAGCACGTAAGGAACGAGGTATCATGGAAGGGCGAAGGATGTGGGAAGGCATCGTTAACAGGTGGAGAAACGCCGACATGATCATTGATGAAGAGCTGGTTTGCGCAATGGGTAGACTGCTTCTGATTGGCAGCCGACCTCGCGACTGGGATGATGTGCTCTCTCTGGTTGAGCAAACCATGGACATCCCGCGACTCCTCCCTCGATTAGGTAGCCCAGGAAGGCAAGAAGCACCGCTTCCACATCTGCGAGCTTCGTACGTCTCCAAACAACAGCGCTTCGACGATGATCACCTGGCACCTGGGAAACCACCAAAGCGTGGAGACGAATTCCTTGCTCTGACCCCTCAAGGTGTAGGAAGTGCAGTGTCAAATCCACTTTCATACGCCCAACCAGGCAATAACACGCTTTCCGTGGTACAGGAAGCATGCCAGAAGATTGCCGCAAGCAAAGCTGCTCGAGAGTACTGGGACCTGCTGACCGACCCTACTACCTACAATATCACCCCTGATCTCAACAACCTCCACATGCGTCTCCGCAACCTACGCCAGAACCGTGCTTCCGCTGCTGCCGTCAAGCTTCTGCAAGAAGACTTGGTGGGCAAAGGCTTCGAGCCTCGACCTGGTACCTTCAGAATCGCAATGAGCACCTGCGTTCGCGACAAGAACAACCACAACTCGCTCAAGCACGCAAGCCAAATACTGAACTTGATGTCAAAAACGCTCGAAGATGTAGATGCGAAGGCTGTCAGTATGTTTGCCGAGCTTGCCGGCGCATTCCCGCTAGCGAAGGCTTCGGATCTCATCGATGCATTGACCGTTCTCAGGCCCATTGCCCAGAACATCCGCCTTCAGCTCGGCGTCGGTGGGCAGCAGAAGTACGGCAACGGTGTCGGTGCCGTATATCTCAAGGGCGAGGCGCGAGAAGATGCTATCATCGCGCTACGCAAAATCCACGGCGTGTACGACAGATTGCTCTTCTCCAACTTGGTAGCGGAAGAGCAGAAGCCACCTTTCAAGAAGGAGAGAGCGATACTTTCGTCGTTCATCCAGCGGATCATGTACAAAAGTGGCCGGAAGTGGGAGGGAGCAAAGGACGCGCAAGACAAAGGAATGGCATCCGAAGAGGTGGACTTACATGGGTATCTAAATGATGAGGCAGAAGGAGATGTGGTGAAGGCTGCAAGAGGAAAGAGCGGCAACGGACCTTGGAGAAAATACTGGGAAACCCCGGGGGACGTGAGAGCATAACGCCTCGGGCCTAGATGCCTGTGGTTCTACCCAAGATGTAGATACGTATACGAGCATAGATAGGCGTTTTGAGGCATATAACGCAACTAGAAGCATGAGGATATGGGGGTTCCTGTATATTATAGATGTATCATATTAGGCGGCTACACTTCCGCTGAAAGCAACAAGTGTTTCCAAAGATCTTCTAAGATGCACTCTTCGTTGCAGGTTAACTTGAGTTTCAATCTCACCTTTGGTTTCCAAAATTCATGTACCTCTGGCCCGTGCGCTCTGTCCTAATCCATCTCAAACCTCCGCATCTTCTCCGCAACACAACCACCACCTGCCCCAACAACCTATTCCCACTACCCGTACAACCATGGGTAACGACGGCGGTAGCATCCCTAAGCGGCGTGAACTTGTCAAAGAAGCCGCCAAAGCTCTCACATCCGCGCAAATCAAAGAGGCGCAATCCGAAAAGCAGGAATACGCATGGTCGGTGGATCCCCTCACCCGGAAACCGCTGGCACGACCAGTTGTCAGCGATGCGGCGGGTGTGCTATACAATAAAGACAGCATCATCGAGTTCCTCCTCAAAGACGACGACGATGCTCAGAAGGCGGAGATGCGCAAAGTGGGCGGAGTGAAGGGTACGGTTGAGGGTGGATTTGCCGAGCTAGGGACATTTGGCGATAGAGTCAAGGGCCTGAAGGATGTCGTAGAGATCAAGTTTGAGATTGCTCAAGAGGAGGGCGAGAAGGGGAGGGGAGAGAAGTGGGTGTGTCCGATTACAGGGACGGCGCTGGGACCGAATGCAAAGGCGGTGTATCTCGTGCCGTGTGGGCATGCATTTGCGGGAAGTGTGGTCAAGGAGGTCAAAGGGAATGGTTGCTTGACGGTACGCATATCCCAGTCCCCTGGCACAGCTAGAAATCTAACGAGACGACAGTGTAACGAGCCCTACGCCGAAAACGACGTTATACCCATCGCCCCAACCGCACCAACCGACATCGCCCGTCTAAACCTCCGCGTCAAAACACTGAAGGAAAAGGGCCTCACGCACGCGCTGAAGAAAGCGCCCGGAAGCAAGAAGAGGAAGAAGAACGCCGAGAAAGACACAAACGGCGAAACCGGCGAGAACGGCACCACATCCAAACAGCCGTCCTCCGACGAGGACAAACAGAAAGCCAAAAACGACAAGCCCGTACCAGCAGCTAGCAATGGTATCAAGAACTCCACGACAGCGTCACTGACGCGGAAAGTCTTGGCGGAGCAGGAAGAGAGGAACAAGAGGAGAAAGCTCGCGCAAAACGATAATGTCAATAGCTTGTTCAACAAGACTGATAATAAGCCGAAGATGGGGAATAGCGCTGATTATATGACGAGGGGGTTCAGCATTGGGAAGAAGTGAGGCGAGAGTATGAGAGGAGGCATACCGTGTATATTCAGCGTTACAGGGACATTGGTCTCGTGCATTGGGTTGGCGTACTGGGATGTGTACAGGTAGGTTAGTCATTATGCTCGAATGACGGTCGGTGAGACTGATACTGATGCTGATGCTATTAGATTAGAATATGAAATGATACCCTTCGATTCTCCCCATCGCACGATCCTAATTAGAAGAACCCTTCCGTGGATCATCGATAGGCGTTGTTCTCATCTAACTAATCTCACTCGTACGCATCACCCACCCTCGGATTCCACAAAACGAGACAAAGCAAAAAGAATCAGGCCTGGCGAGACTCGAACTCGCGTCTCCCACAACACACATTCCATCCCAGTCGACTCGGACTACCGACTACCAACCAACCAACGCTCGGAGTCATTAAGCTTTAGAACAAAGTTGGCTCGGAATTCAAGGCTTTGACCGGGTTTGGACAAAGTTGGCTCGGATAACAAGGCTTTGGACGGCGGCTTGTTCGGCTCGGAAAGCGGATGGGAGGGAGGGAGGCTTTGGGCGGGCCGGCTCGGATTGTTTGTGGACTTGTTGTGTGGGCGTCTTACCACTGGACTACAGGCCCCTTGCGAGGGTTTTTGATGGGGGCTTGCTGAATTAAGGATAACATATGGGGGTAAACGGGGTGAGAGCACGTTGGAAGCCGACTGCAAATACGTCGTGGACAGACGCTACTGTGTACCTGAGAAGTATACATTATCTACTGTGGTTGGAAGTCAAGTTCGAGTTGGCTGTCATCCAGACTTATATAGGCGTTTGACAGATCGCCACCGTCAGGGTCTCCAAATGTACCACTCGCCTCACTCAGTGTACTGAACCATGCCGGGTGTACATTCCATTCACTTCCGACGATGTTGCTCTCCGAAGGTGGCTCACCCACAATGTTTTCAGGGGAAGTATTTTCATGGAGCTCTGACTCCGATTGATACGTGACCGGTGGAACATGTGAGATATCTCCAGACTGCTCAATTCCAGGAAAAGAGTCGTTTCTCGCTCGGCGTTGGTATCGATTCAGGATTCGCTCAAAGTCTGGCTTCTCCGGAATAGCTTTGACCAGTACACCAGTCGATGTAGCAAGCATACTCAGAGCGCGCTCCAGGAAATCAGCAGATTTCGAAGACAGCCGCAACATCCACCGATATTCGTCGAGCCGCTCTCGATACGTTTGGGCTTCTTCCTTATCAGACGCCGTCGCCCAAAGGAGTGATATGAACGTGCCAACAAGTGCGAAGTTGTATTTTGATGCCGAGTACCAAAATGACTGAAGATGTTCCGGTCGAAGATGTTGAACAAACTCCATGGCAGAAATCAGCCGGGTTTGGGCTGCTTGGCGGCATATCGATCGAAGAACTGGCTCATCTGCTGAAGACAAAGAGCGTATAATCCGTCGATGCAATGTGATTTCCACAGCGTAATATCCAAGGTGAAGATAGCCTGTACTGCGATGAGTCAAACGCAAAAAAAAAACTGTTTACATCGAAATATGGCTTGGGTAAGCAGATAGGCGTATGAGATGAGGGCTGACCTGTTGAAGAAAGCTTCCTTGCGGCCAGATCCTCCATCTTCAAGGTAACCGGTAAGTTAGAGTGCCACTGTCGAAGGCTTATCTGTAAGGGCTTTGCCGTTTCAAGGATCCAACGCACTCCCTCGTGCGCACGACGTGCAAACTCGCGTTCTGCCTTGAGTGTGTAAAAGCTCGATAGGATGAGCGCTAGAATCTGGGTGAGCTTGATCATCTCGCAAAAAAGCGTTCGCCCTTTCTCCACCTCAGTACTGCCGTCTTCGTCATCCTCGTCAGCAGCATTCTCGGGGAAGTCGTCGTCCTGAAGAGGCTGCGCGTCCCAGTCTGTGGACGTTACATGCGACGGCCTTCCATGTACTAGAGCACCCCACTTGTCCTGCATAAATATCGCCCACGCTAGGCGCTTCCTCAACCCCTTTTCCCACAGGGGTATTTTCCAACTGGTGCAATCAAGGTGAAGACCCAACTGTTGCCCAAGTCCGACCAATTGAGAAGTTAGCGCCCAGCAATCTCCTTCGGGGCGTTGAAGCAAGAGCAGTCCCGCTTGGATGGTAGAGAGCTTCGGCCGATGGATGATGTTACTTATAGATGTCAGTGCTAGCATCTCCAGGCGAGAAACATCAGGCTTCGGAAGGAAGGACAGTTCAGTTGAGTAAGACCACCAATTCAACGCTAATAGGTATACTGCGGCCAAAAGTGGTGGAGAGAACTCTCGATGGGTTCGCTCATACTTTTCCAAAAACACCTTCTTGTGCAAGATTGGAAAACTGGGATGCACTATTCGAAAATACAGATGTATCAGAGCTTGGCCGTGGGGTGCAACAATCGTCTCGATCGCATCTAGGTCTGGTATATCGTTTTGGTGATTCTGTGTCCCCACATCTAGCGACAATACGAATGTTGTATCAACAGAAACCCTTCTCAGTGCAGACAGACCGAAAGCAATTTCCCCCTTTCCTCCAGATTGATCAAGTTCCAGGAGCAATTGCTCATACTCGGAAGTGGAGCCTATAAGTCGACTGTGCCTGTGTGACTGTAGACCTAGAGTTTTTTTTAGTAGTGAAGGTCCTCTCAAATTTGCATAATCGTCAATAGGCTGATCTTGTCGAATCTTCGGTCCATCTTGAGGTGACAGTCCAGCACTTCTACTAGTCTCAAGAACAACAGACGATTGAACCCGGTTGGCTGGAGTAAGCTCTTCATTCATGGCCGCTGCTCGCCGTTTCCGTGGCTGTGGGTCGTCATTGAAAGTGCATTCCTGTCGATGGAAGCGGCACAGAAGACAGGGTGGATTGCCTCCAATTACTTCGCATCGCGACTTGCGGCGTCGGCAAGGATCACATGGACGGCGAGCACGTATCTTTGCGCCATTCTGATGTTCAACAGAAGCCGGAAAGAATTCATTCGGCGTGAAAGGTTGCGTCGGGCTGAACTCCATGGCTGAAGGTGGGGGTAACAGCTAGTGAGATATTATTAGCGTATAACTATGAAGAGTAACAAATGGGAAGACTTGAGAATGATGAATATATCTTACCTACGCCTGGAATATTTCGCGTAAATCCCGAGTTGTTTTCGGCATTCGGAAAGATCCGCAAAGTCCTTCAGACCTATATGTGTCAGAGAGTGTAGAATATGATTGCGAAGGACTCCTAGTCAGCTATTTTAGAACGAAGCGGAGCTAGTGATGAGATGAATGGCTCACATTCACAGATTCTGCTTCTATATAAACATTCGCCTGTGGTTCGAAGTGTAAGCTGTAATAGGTGTTACGGTAAGTACACAGAAGAGCGAGGTTGATCTTTGGTTAGACTTTAGCAACAAAGATAGCCTTGAACTTTACATGAAATTTGAAGAAAATTATTACCGATACGATGAACTGGACTGCAAACTTCGTTGACGGTGGCGTGCGGTCGATGCTTGATATACTCCCAGCGTCGTGGTAAAGGATCTGGATAGAGCGAGATGCACGCCAGATGCAAAACAACTGGAATGGAGATTGCGGAGCGAGGCACCGGGCCCCAGGCACTGGACATAGGTGCATGATAGCAATCGTGGAGACGTCGAGGTGGAGATAAGATGTAGAAGACTGAACGAATCAAGTCGCTGAACAAGCGAGTATTATTCAGCGCGCGACTAAGGAGAACGCCAGCCACCATCACAGCTAGAGTCGAACACCAACATCAGCAATCTAGACGAACATCACGATATTCTGCAAACTATCTCTCGAGGTTCATACACGTTTTCTATCCTGCAATACCGGATCCTACCGCCCAAAGAAGACTCGAGCCTATCTAGGCCATATCGGCTATCTCCTTCTCCTTAGTGACATATGTCTCCTTCGCTAGTTCATCTTGACCTTCAAGGACAGGAGAGGTCTCTTCTTCCTTCTGTGGCGGGTAGACTGCATGCTCAACCAAGGACTCTGTCGGCACTGCGACGTAGGTGCAGATAATGTAGTGCGTCAGAAGCGACAGGAAGAAACCAAAGATCCAAGCGAATGTGTAAATCTTCCAAGCACCGCCAACATTGAGCGAATGATCAATACTCTTTGCAAATCCAGCTAGAAGAGGAGCGAAGCCCATGATGAAGGACACGTATGCTCTCCAGTTCCAGCCGCCGTTGTACCAGTAGATACCACGACCAGTGTACAATTGATCAACGTCGAGTTTACATTTCTTGATGAGGTAGTAGTCGCAGACCATTGTACCAGCGAGAGGGCCCATGAGACAAGAATAGCCAGATAGAAAAGCAAGCAGACCGGATGCATTCTTGATGATGTTCCATGGCGTAGAGATGATACAGAAGATCGAGATGAAGATGGTAGCCCTGAAGATGTTGATATACTTCGGTGCCTGACAGGGTAGAATTATACAGTCAGTGTAAGTCTTAGACGCAGCTCGTACATGGAATGTCTTACCATCCCCGTGATATCGTTTGAGAAAGGATAGGTACCGGCGGCGACCTGATTGCCAATGGTTGCAAGAATGAAGGAGGCAGAAACGAAGAACTTCGCAGCACGGGAGTCGAACTTAGCTATGACCGCCGGCATGTACCACTCGAACTCACCCCACAGATAGGAGTGGGCGTCAGTAACAAAGATGGGTGTAAGAGCACCTAGCGTGCCGATGATTGGAAGAGCAAGAAACTGATGGGGACCCGCGAGCCTATTCTTGGAAAATCGACCGAAATCTGGCATGTTGACAGCTAATGATGAGAAGAGGCCGATGATGACATTAAGTCCTGTAAGGGCTGAGTATGCAGAATTCATGTAGTCAGACTTTATATCAACCTTCCCCCTGATCAGAGGACCACCGCTAGACAACCGGTCAGCCTCATATCTTGCGCATGGCAGACTTACTCACCCTTTTGTTACAATAACCGCCCAGAGAAACAAGGCGAAGAAAGTCGGCGGGACAACAACACCCTTGACCCAGAAGAGGATGCGCAGCTTTGAAATGGGCATGAGCGCAAGCGCAGTCTGCATGAACCAGTACAGGAACACGCAGAGGATCCCAGCAGCTGTATCAGAGTTAGTAAATCGCGTATATCTTCAATGGGATGCGTCTCTCACAGTCTATGCCAGCATCCTTCGAGAGATGATTCGGAAAGTGAATGAAGCTTGGCCAGATAGCCTCGATGCAGCGCTGTAGAAAATTTCCAGCCTGTACTGTAAGAATCGCAGTCCACATAAGGGCAACGAAAGCTGAAACTACGTTAGCAGTTCTTCGTGTAGACATGAGACAAGAGTATACCTCTAATACAAATCGCTGGGAACGACCCATACATCCCAAAGGTGCTTCGGATGATGACTGGGAAAGGAGCCTAAAGGTGCAGGTTTGAAGTCAGCGTATGTTTCGCTTGAAATTTAATGGACTTTACGAACAGCGTAGGTAGCACCCATCTTGCCAGTCAACGTAATCACCACACTGCAGATTGCAAACCCGAAGAAAACGATGGGGATGGTTTCTCTAGCTGTGAAGCCCAATGCCATGACACTACTAACAGTAGCAGCCAGCGGAGGGGCCAACATATCCGACGCCCAGTATGCCCAATAATCGATGCCGCCCCATGTACGTTTCTCGGGAGGGATGGGGTCAAGATCTGTATTCGTCAGCTGTGCTATGAGTGACTGAATGGTGGGCCCTCTGCATATACCTTTATTAGACCAACGCGAACCATACTTGCCACTCTTAGCGGGGACTCTGAGATGGAGGTGAGGTGCGAGCTTCGCCTTGTGGACGAACATGGTGATATACGTGGTAGTACAATACGAGTATTGGGTCTGAAGAGATGAACCGCATTGGATGTGGACTTCATGCACATACATATACTTCAAACAAGGGTCAGCATTCATCATTAAGGCCACCTCTAGGATGCGAAATCAGCATTCTTATCCTGCCGAGAGATAGGGGCCTACGGCGCGCCAGAGTGCCAGAGTGCCAGTGACAGGGCGGACTTGTCGCATATCGCTTTCAAAGGGTCTGCAAGATCTAGAGAATGATGCAAATCACCTGTGGCGCTAGACCTGACAACTATAATAGACTTGTTGATGGATGGAGGAAGCATGATTGGTGCAGCGATCCATATTGTGGACATATGAAGCACTAGATATGATTTGGTTAGTCTTCCCCAGATAACGAACCTTGACGCTTCGCGCCGCCGCCCGCCGAAGGCCCGCACATGCGCCGCCCGGTGAGCTCTGATACTGCAACATTTATCTGATAGCTATGCGATTGTGAATGTAGGTATTGTAGTTCCTTTTTCCTTGTCTCTTGCCCTAACTATTCTGTCTCACCATCTCCTTCCCGTCATCATCGCTGTCAGGCAGTGCTCCAGTTATTCAGACGTCGTCTTTTTGTCCGGCCTTGGAGCCTTGAACATCCTCGATTATAATTTTGAAAAGAATGTCGAAATCGATGTTGACTTCGTCGATGCTATCCTTCGACGCAAAGCCATATGCCTTCAGGTTCCCTCTCGAGAGAACGGCCCTCCTCATCATCGACATGCAGCGAGACTTTCTCCTTGCTAAAGGCTTCGGCGAGATACAGGGAGGCAACCTTGAAGCTGTGCAGGCTTCGATTACTCCGACTCAAAGGCTCCTTGAGGCATGTCGAAACGTTGGAATGAGGATTGTCCATACACGAGAAGGGCACAACCCAGATCTTTCGGATTGCCCTTCATCAAAGCTGGTCAGACAGTCTGCTGCACCAGGCAATACACAACATAAGCTAGTTATTGGCGATAAAGGGGAACTTGGCCGCTTACTCACTCGAGGAGAGTATGGCCACGACATCGTCGACGAGCTGAGACCACTACCTGGAGAGGTCGTCATCGACAAGCCCGGCAAAGGATCGTTCTGGAACACTCCGATACTCCATCAGCTGAAAGCGCGAGCTATTACGCATCTCATCGTCGCAGGAGTCACCACAGAATGCTGCTTTGCTACCACAATTCGAGAAGCGAATGATCGCGGCTTTGAGTGCTGCGGTATCGAGGAAGCAACAAGCGGATACAACAATGTATGTTTCAAGAAGTCGACACTGGATATGATACATTGGTCACAGGGGCTGTTCGGATTCATCGGTAGCTTGCAGCCACTCCTGGATGTTCTCGCACCTATGTCGAGCAGAAACGTTGATGTTGGGTCGACTCCACCACAAACTCCGCCAGCTTTCGATGGGGGCTTAACAATACCAAGTTTACATGGAGCCTACAAGAATGGGCTTTCTCCCCTGACTGTGGTCAATGCACTCTATGATAAGATCGAAGCGTACAAGAGTATTGATCCAGCGGTGTGGATACATCTCGAATCAAGAGAGAACGCTCTTGATACCGCAAGGAAGCTTGTAGCCCAATTTCCTGATCGTAATACGCTCCCACCGCTCTTCGGCATCCCATTTAGTGTGAAGGACTCGATAGACGTTGCGGGAATCGCCACGACAACTGCCTGTCCTCCACTCGCCCACGTACCCTCTGTGTCCGCTGTGGTGTACGACAGAGTCACTGCTGAGGGCGCTCTATTCATCGGTAAGACCAACCTCGATCAGCTCGCCACTGGGCTAGTTGGGTGTCGCAGCCCCTATGGCATCACCCACTCGGTTCATCACAAAGACTATATCAGCGGCGGCTCAAGCAGTGGTAGCGCACTGTCCGTGGGTGCAAACCTAGTCTCCTTTTCTCTGGCCACGGACACAGCTGGATCAGGTCGAGTACCAGCAGGCTTTAACGGAATCGTCGGCTACAAGCCCACACGCGGGACCATATCGTTCCGCGGTGTGACGCCCGCCTGCTTGTCACTAGACTGCATTGCCCTCAGCACCAAGACTGTATCTGACGCCCGAACCATATGGCAGATACTCGAAGGGCACGACCCCCTAGATCCGTATGCCAAACCCGAGATAGCCTTTGAGCGACACATCAACAGCATCGGCCCGCAATCGCGAACTTTCAAGTTCGGCATTCCGCCGCCTGAAGCATTAGCAATCTGCTCCCTCCCTGCCCGTAGAATGTTCAACGAAGCAATAGCAAAGCTACAAAGGCTCGGCGGAGCACTCAAGCCCATCGACTGGTCGCCCTTTCAAAAGGCTGGACAACTTCTTTATGACGGATCTTTCGTCTCGGAACGTCTTGCTTCGCTGCCAGACGACTTCCTAAAAAAGAACCGCGCCGCTCTCCATCCCATCATCACACAGATCATGGACGCCGTCGTGAATCGAAAAAGCTCCGCAGTCGACGCTTACCGGGACTTGCAAGCAAAAGCGTTGTATATGCGACAAGCAGAGCACGTCTTCGCTTACGCTGCAACCGGTGTTGATATTGTGGTTGTACCCACCACACCGACACATTGGAGGATCGACGAAGTACTTGCTGACCCTATCAAGACGAACAGTGTCTTAGGTGAGTTTACGCATTTCGCTAACGTGCTTGATCTTTGTGGTGTTGCTGTGCCGGCTGGTATGTATCCAGTTTCTGAACTGAGCGGAAGAGAGGAAGACGAAGGTATGTTGCCGTTTAGCATTACATTCTTGAGCGGCTCGAGACTTGATGCCGAGATGCTAGAGATAGCGAGACAGTTTGAGGAGAGCCTGTTCTAGCGTTGCCTCGCAATATAACATATTGATCAGCCTGGGGCCCTTTACCTGTAATCCCTAGTCCACGCACCCCATTTCTCACTGTCGTTCGCTGTAGTATTGATAAGCACTGTTGCTCTATCACCTCACTCATCGCTTAATCGTAAGGCGCCCGCACCAAATGGCGTAAGCCGCGCCCGGCAAATTCGTAATTTGATAAGTCGCGCGCGCATCCAGCTCAATTCTGTTCAAGCTTAACCACTTCAGCCGGGTGGGGTGATGCAGAAGATTACAGGTTCGAGCCCTGCTGCGTCTAGTCTTCTTTTTGGCTTTGGATTAGGTGTAGGCCGTGGTTCTAGGAAGAAGACAGGGAAGGAGACAGTGAAGTGGGAGAGATGACATAGTAGCTATTAGACAACATCCTTTGTCAGTGACCCCTAGCGTGCATTTGCCACTAGGAAAATACTATAAAGATGATATAGAGTAGTATTGTGAAACACGAAGCCTTAGTGTGTGTGTGTGTGTGTGTGTGTGTGTGTGTGGAGCTCAGTAGTGTACCTGTAGAGAATATTCCTTCATTCGTGCAACTCTGCCATGGATATTCAGTGCCTCAAGACCGACGGTGTTATTAAGCGTCGCTACATGCATGGACCAGTGGAGAACTAATCAAACCCAGATAGTAATTCTCCTTTATATCGTACTTGCGGTAGGTAGGTGGTGCACATTTTCAACCTCTGGACGCCAACGCTGATGATTAAATCAAATCCACTTTAGGGCAGACATACCCTACTTCAGCCAGTCTCACAGCCTCGCTAAACTTACACCTCAACACCCTCAGCCCTCCGCCTAAACACCTCCCTCCTTTCCGCCTCACCGCCTGGCTCCCGTCCCGCAGCCTCAATTACATCCACCTTCTGCTCCTCGCCCACCAAGTCGACTCGACCGGGTCGTCGTGGCCGAATGCTCGTCTTCTGGATAATGGGGTAAAAGTACGCCGCCTTTTGTAACTTGGTATCCCTCAGCCTCTGCTCTGCATGTCTCTCCGGATCATGCAAAGCCAGCGCCACCACGTCGCCATAGGTATCGTGTGGGTCGCCAACCTGTTGCGACGTCTCATACGTGCGGACGTTCTCGTATTTGAAGCATTTGCGCGGTTGGCCTTCGTCGTCTTCGGCAATGTCGAAATCGATGTCTGCGTCGTTTGTGGGGTCGTGCGTTGTGAAGTTGCGTTTGATGCCGTGGACTTTGTCTTTGCTCGGGGGCAGGAAGAACTCGAACTGGTATCGCGGGATAGGTACCGGTGCTGTGTGGTCGTTCTTGTGTGCTTCTCGCTCTTGGTGGTACAGGTCTTGGTCTTGTATCGTCTGACCGGCTGGACGAAGGAGTGCGACATCGAGACGTGCATCGTACGAGGGGTCGAGAGGGTTGTTGATTGGCGGCGCCGTGAACTTGAAGACCATGTATCCACCCGTGTCAGGTGTGGCGTCCCAGTCTGGCAGAAGCGGATAGGAATCGAGGAGTTTGAGGCTGGGGTTCCTAGGATTCTTGGGCTTGTTCCAGGCTTGTCGCTCTTCAGGTGTTGTGTCTGCTGCCCTGAGGTTCTCTGCGCTGTCCTGTCCGTTGTACGCGTCCGCCGGATATGCGATATTGAAGCCCTTTAGTATGTGTCTGGCGATGTTTGTCGGGTCGTCCAGAGACGTCTCTGCCGTCTTCCGCTTCCTTCGCAGGCGCATAGTGTTCGTCGAGTTACTAGACTCAAACTTTGACCCGCCTGTTGTGCTGGAGGTGACATATTCGGTTCGTCGCAGGAAAGTGATGCTCGTCGCATTGTTATTCACTTTTCCGAGCGCATTGGGCGGGCGCATTAATGCCCTATCGGCAGCATGTAGTGGCGGTGGTTGTGGCATCGCCTGGATAGCTATACTACGCGTTAGGTTGTGAAAGAAAGCGCGCGCTATGCTCCCTCTTACCAGATTCATCGCCATCGAAGACCTTTGGGATACCGACCAAGTCGATTGACATGCCCAGCTCAGCATCCGCCTCGATATTCAGCGGCTGTTCACGCGCGAGCCTGGAAGCAAACCCCGCTGAAGTGTATTGTCCGCTTGAAAGACCAGTGTTGGGGATGTCGAGGAGCTTGGGAGGACATGGCGGCGGAGGCAGCGCGTTGGAGTATCTGATCTTCGCAATATAGTCCTGGTGGACAACTGGCCGCGCGGAAGAGCTCATATTATCAACTAGGTGGTGGTAAGAGTCGTGTGGTGGTCTTTGCGGGTTCCAGGTCGCTCAAAGAAAGTTGAGGGAGCTTGAGATGCCCGAAAATCATCCGACGATTCACTCCCGCCAAGACCGTAACCAAATCGCGCCTTCACCTGATTGCTCGACTCCATATCAAATATCAAGTGCGTGCTCAGATATGAATATCGCAAAATGAAATGATTTTTGCTCGTCATCACAGAGCCTTTGCACATAGCCTAATGCACAGGCGAGCATTGAAAAATAGCAAGTCAGCGTAGCGACCGTGATAGTTATTAGGTATAGTGATTCTATGAAGACCCCTCCTATATATACAAGTTCCCCTGCCACCCATTACCACGGGTCATTAGTTTCTAGTATTCCTGCCAAAGGGCATGCCAGCCGCTGCCCATCTACCCAAACGCCGATTCCGGTTTCCACTCAGAGCTCGGACCTTATATGGGGTGAGTGGTGAGTAGTCCCACGATGGCTCAAACCATCGGACTTTTGGCAGTTTCACGGGTTGATATCAGTATCTTGTCGTTCGATTCATCTTCCCGTTGATTTACTGAGCCTTCCTGAGCTTGGCAATCTTCTTTTCCCTTCTCTTCTTGGAGGCCTCGGCACCAGCCTCGGTGTCAAGGCAGAAGTCCCACCACCTGAAGCTGCTCGCATAGTTTCCAATAAACTTCTCGTGGTGCACATCATGATGTTCAGCGCCAGCCCAGAAGGGCAGGAAGTGGTGCAGGCTCCAGGGGAACTCGTAACCGCTGTGCGCATCGATGGCCTGGAACAGACGGAGCACGATCCAAGTGTACATGGTCAAAATGTGAAGATCCTTGGTGATGGCGCACCATATGATGGGTGCACTGACGGTTCCAAAACCAAGCACCATGACCTCGATGGGGGAGGCATATTCAGCGGCGAGGCCGAACGGAGCCGAGTACTGATGGTGAATCTTGTGGATGTTCTTGTAGAGGAACGAGCTTGCGTGCATGAGGCGGTGCATCCAGTAGTGCCAGGCGTCCTCGAGGACGAAGAAGATGGCAATCTGGTAGGCCATTGTGAAAAGGCTGGGGAACGGGACAGAGGTGCCGAGACCAAAGTACTGGCATATAGGGTGGAAGAGCCAGATCTGAGGGAGCTCGACAGTAAAGTGGGAAACGAGGACGAGGAGGGCGCATTGCAGCTGTTCCCAAGCGGTGGGGATTTTTGCCTGCTTGCCGTTAGCTTTGATCGTGCCTACGCTCGCCATGGTCTGGACATACCGGTTGAAGCTTGTACCGCCTGAAGTACGGAATGGTGTCGACGATGATCCAGGGTAGCGAGCGCCCGAAGTAGAATGCCTCATGGATGACAAAAGACATGATACCCGTTGCCAGGACGTCGTTGCCCATCCATGTGTACCATGCGAGCCACATCTTCTCGAAGTAGTTGAGCTGGACATTGTACTTTGAGATCTCCTCGAAGGAGCCCCAATACGTGTCCTGCGCCATTGGCGTCAGGAAGGCGGTGGAATTCCTGGCGCAACCGTTAGCACCTGGGTGTATTCGCCACGCGTCTTATCGGGCACGTACATTGTGGCTGCGTTGCGATAACAATGAAAAGTTGCTGTGCGCACTTCTCGTCGGTAGAGGCTCACAAAAGAAGGACTGTGGGAGGAGTGAGAGGCTCGGTGGCGAGGGGTGTGGTGCAGTGAAGAGGGGAGTAAAAGAAGAGCAAAGGAGGCGGATTAAATTGGAGAAGGTTGACGCCCTGATCTGCGTTCGCACCACTTTGGCAGCTCAGGGACAATCGGTTCCGGGTGGATGCTAGGGCGTAGTGGCAAGCTTTAGTGCCTGCTGCGGGCTGGCTAGAACCAATGAGCCACCGCTCTTCGACCCTCATTTTGTTTCACCGCCTTCCGCTGCAGGGGCAGAGTTCTGCGGCTGCGGGCTACGAGATGCCGCATCACACCAGTCGGCCTGCGCTGGGTACGCAAAACCCCAGTGTATCATGTCACTGTGAACCCACCATATGCCCATGACGCCCACATGGCTCTTCCCGTCGCTTCTCATGTCGAACCACATTCGTGGCCTTGCGGCGCTGCTCCTGGCTTGACGTGCGGCAATCAACAGCGCGGCCAGTAGCGGCAAAGACACAACTTCTTGTGGCCCAGGAGCGTGTAGTCCTGAAGATGAAGAAACGCTGATTTCCATTTATTACTGATATGTTTGTTGAAGACCGGGGGATTGCACAACTTTCCACAAGAGCTATCCGCTCTCCATAGGATCGTTGTCAACAGCGTACAACCAGTTCATTTAAAATGTAGAACCTAATGGAATCCAAATCTACAGCGTGCTTTTGTTGAGAGCTTCTATTGTCCGACTTTGCTGTCTTCTCCCCGTCCATTCCCTTCCTCGAAAGCCATCTGCTTCTCCACCTCGACTCTCCTGGCCTGCCTTGTGAGCTGCGTACGCCCACAGTCCTAGACTACGACGCAGCCCAACAGTATGAAGAAATGTCATATGTAATAGTCCAAGGCCATGTGCCATTTGTGCGAGGCAAATGTCTTAGGCAGACTTGCTCCGTAGGCTTTCACCAATAGAACTTGTCGATGCCTTGGATCTTCCCGGCCTCATCTGCATGATATGTAATATCGGATACGGGACTCTTTCTCTTGATTAACCTCATCGTAGATTCCAACGCCACACTCTGCTCGTCCATGTGCCATTCCCATGCGGGGTGCACTGTCCCATCATCAACCGGAAAGCACTTGGCGAACCTGAGTGCCGTCCCATATGGTCGAGCCCCATGTCGATGCGCTACGCATTGGCTTAATGGGCGCAAGTGAGCTCCTAGGTGGCCTAAATTCCGTGTCGCTCTCCCCAAACGTCGGGCTAGGTGAGGGAATGATAGGCGTTCTAGGCATCACAGGGCTCAAGGGCGTTGATCCATCCCCAACCAAACGCACAGCCGGGCTCGGGCTGGGCTGCTCTCTGCTCCTCACTTTTGTCAACGCTCTGCGGAAAATGGGCCGTAGAAATGGTATCGAAGCCGCAACTATGCCCGTGTGTTGCTCGACTTGACTCCAGATCAACAGGTTGGCGGTATTATTGCCTTGATTCACAAGGTCGGACAGCCAGAGCACCATAATACGGAGCCTGACTGCGGAAGCGACAATGGCCAGTAGACCGACTGAGAAGATTGCGATGAGCTCCAAGCGCCGCCTCAGCGGCAATGTCTGAAGATTCAAGAAGAAGAGGATCGGTAGCGTCCATATCATCACATCTGTGACGAGGTTGAATGCCGCATTGAAGAGCCAGAAATGTCCTGGGTTATAGCATTGCGCTGCATGGATCCCGTGGAGTCCAGCCTCGAATACTTTGAACGACCATGCGTCAGCGATCGGGTAACACATGAATATAGCGGCGAAGATCATGGAGGCACCGCCTAGTAGAATGATGGTAAGCAGAGCGCGGACGACGTAGTGGAAATGTTTGTTCGAGGCGGCAATGTGACTGTAGACTAGGATGGTACTACATCAGCGGAGTACTTCAGGACTACCATGCAGGCGGCATACAACGTACAGAGTAGTATGGACGTCTTGATCAAGCATAGATCGAGGATGTAGTTCACGCGATAGGTCCAGAACATCAACAGTGACCCGGTGACTACCTCTGCAAAGGTCTCTCTATTCTGCCAAGACTTAGCTGGGACGCATAAAGAGCTTGAATCGGCTTACATGAACACCACTGTAGTCTAAGAAGTGGATCATATACCAGTTGACAACGGCGGAGCCCCATGCTGCGATCTAGTATTGGTAAGTCGTGGCTTCTTCACAGCGCGGTGGAGGAGATGCGTACGAGCGCGAGCAACATACACCAGTCCGAGGCGCTGAGTTTGCCCACGAGAAAGTGGCGACTGTAGAACCTGGAGAGTGAGTAACTGCTCGAATCATACGTCAGTAGGAGTAGTGGTTACCTCAATGCTACGATGAGCGTTGATATTCCCGTAAGTACAAATGCCAGTATCACCGACAGTCTTCCATGAACCGCCATTGATGATCCGTGACCCACTAGCTACTCTTGAACTGAAAGACGGAAGACGTCGTCAACGAACCACAGCTACGACAGTGGCATGAAGAAGCGATGGACGTCTAAAGCAGGCGCTGGCTATCAAACATATAAAACGCGGCGCCACGGCTGCTGACCCCTAGATGGCGTTTCGTTACTTGTAAACTTGAGGAGGGAAATCATACATCGGAGCTGCAAGCCGCAAGGATATGAGCCAGGAGAAGCCTGTCGCGGATCTGCAAAGTACCATGCACCTGAAATTGGTAGTAAGGTACCAACAATGCTGGGCCTCCACGTTGCCTTTGTCTCTCCACACTCAGATATATGAGAAGGCCGATAGTAGTCTGTCACGTTCATATGTTTCCCCGCATTTGTACGACGCGTAATGTTTGGGCGATTGCGACTGCTGGCATTACCAGGGCAGCGAAGTTGCGGTTAAATCAATATGAGAGCTTGGACCTGCAGCGTCTGTATAACCCAGGTATAGTATAGGTATTATCACACCGTCGGCCAATTGTTTGAACTGTACAGACTCGGCTGAGGACCAGAACTGATCCCAACCGTTTACAGGCTGCTGTCCGTAACGAGTGCGGAATTGAGGTTAAAGCTGACTCGAATCAGCACCCCGTCCCATCTACAACATGATGTAGGCCAGCTGCACGTAATTGATGCTTCGTCGGCGCATGAACTAGCAGGTCCCCTTATACAGGCTTCCTTGGCAAGCAATATCCATGGGCTGGGTTGTGATGCAGTGAGGCCTGTGACCAGTATGACTGCCGCCTGGTCCGGCAATTGCAACGCTGGGAATATTTCCCAAGGTTGTTTCCGCTCCTGTTGTCTAGTTGATGACATAGTAGATGTACGCGATGCCTCCAGGAGCACTTGGTTCTATGTCAGCCCTACCCGACTCCGCTTCATCACTACGTCGGATTGGGCGAGGCGTATACATGGTGTGGAAAAGATACGATGAGATGACAGATCAGCTAAACAACGTCAATGATGAAACACAGAGCACCGGGGCGCTAGAAAGGCGTTGCGGCGCATCGCGAAAGAGGGCTGAAGCTGAGGGCTGCCTGGGTGGCTATGTGATGTCTTTGGATGCAGCGTGGCTCGGAAACAAATGGTTTGTGTTGGGGAGGCGTGACAAAGGGTTCTGCCAAGATTGGAAGGAGGGACCGGCACACCAGCGAAGGAATTTGCAACGCGACAGCCACTCCTTTTAAAGTGCAACATACCATGGAGAGAGAAAGAAGCGAGAATTTGGCAACTACATAGACACTGGCGCAATGCGCTTGATGGTGACCTACCTCGTTTTCACAGTGGAGCCATGTTTAAATATAGCCGTGCAGGTGGCGTCCAAGTGCTCCCGGCCAACGCCCAGGCTCAGGTTGGAAAAGCGCAGTCCGCCCCTGTGTATCGCTTTTCCACCCATCATCCGCCCTCCTATCCAGCTTGACACGACCTCTCAATCGCTAACCGCCCTTTCTTGACGCCTTCCATCTGCCTATTCCTTCGCCAGTCGCTCGTTTTTCGACGAAGGAGTGCCATTCAGCTTGCTTGTACAACCCACCCGTGTGCCTGCCGCGTCCTTTCGGCTTGTTGACATCCGCCCGAACACCAACAATTGTCGTTGCACCACCGCCCCCACGAGTCCATCCTCCCGCTCGCTTCTCCGCATCACCTCGACAAGAGCCCTGCCGCTTCGACTTTCGATTCTTTCCGTTTCTTGAGACACTTGGGCTGCAACATGAGGCCGTCACAGCTGCTCGCCGCCGTTCTGGCCATGTCATCTGTCTCGGTGGCCCTGACGGATGCTTTTGACAACATACACGCCCTAGCAGACGTCAAGGACGTACTCTTCGGACGACAAGACAACAACAATAATAACAACAATAACAACAACAACAATGACAGTACGTTCATTCTCGCAGATTGACCAAAGCCAATTACTGTACTGACGCACGACTCAGACAAAGCCACCTCAGAAGCACCGAAGAGCTCAGAAGCACAGCGATCGTCAGCTACGCCTGCACCCACGAAATCGGACAACAACAAGGACAACAATGATGATAAAAAATCCACAACTGAAAAGGCAGCGAGTGGCTCAGGGAAGGAGTCGGGCAAGGGTACCAAGACTACCGGAAAGCCCAAGGAGACAAGTTTCGACGCCCGCTTGCCCGCTGGTGGGCTCTCCATGGTCACCCCAGACGCCGTCGCAGGCCAGCCATTCTACAAAGTGGGCGACTGGATAACCTTCGCCTGGAACTACACTTCGGTGTCCGTAACACCGTCAGTCATTGATGTCCTCGCATCGTGCACTGCAAATCAAGCCACCTATACCATCGCCGTCAACATATCGGCGTCTCAAACCAAAGTACTGTGGGACACGAAGAACACACCAGACGGCCAGGCACCATTTCTTACGGAGAAGTACACACTGATAGTCTACGATGCCGACTTGAGTGTCAGCGCCGTTCCTAAGCCAGGCCATTTCGGTTCTTTTACCGGCTTCACCTTCGGCATGTACACACCGCAGCCGGCCGTAGCATTGGGTGGTGAGTATACTTCACATCGCGTCCTGTGACCAGCTCGACTAACTATCCCTAGATTTCAGATGCGCAAATTGCAACAGCGCCCTGTCCCAGTTCGAAAGGATGACTTTCACAGCCCTCCTCATGACCACTGGTACCACCATCGGCTCGCTCCTCTACTTTAGCCACGCTTTCGGCTTATTGTAAACCTCGCAATCCCAACCGCATGCCCTCAAAATGGCACCTCATCGCTTACGATAACGGCATTCCTTACGCTTCACACCTGTCTATATATTACACTCTCTACGTCATTTAAAAAGATGGAGCTGGCGCTGCGGGCTCGATAGCGTTACAGCATGGTTATTGCGCAAAACTTTACAATCATTTTCGGTCGATCTAGTCCTGGTGTACGGCGCTATAAATTTGGAAATGCATCTTGTGCATCTCGGGGACAGGCATGCATTTTAATACTCTAGAAGGCACTCCTGCCAGAGACGTAACGTAGTGGACACTAGATATAGTAATGTTGGTGTTGCATCTGGTCACGATGTTGATGTAGCATAGCAAATATTGAAGCGATATCGAACACTTGAAATCATCTTTAGAAAGTACTGTTTGTTTCTGTGTTGATGAACAGAGTGCGGAATGCTGGCCAGCGCTTGGCAAGAATGCAGTGGTATCTTCCCAGAAATCCCGAACGCCATGCTCGCGAAAATAATGCACCGTTAGATGCTACTACCTTCGTCAATATAAAAAAATGTGCTCCACTTAACAACCCATCTCGCTTGATGAAATCGCAACGCTTAGTCGTCTCATCCGCGCCCAGCTGCTCGTGGCGTCCTCCACTCATCCTTCAACACCCACCGCCCCCTCTGTGCACTGCCACTCTTCTCCAACGTCGCAATGAGCTTCAGCATCTCCTTGAACTCTTCGTTCCTGCCCGGCTGCGCACGACAATAGTGATCGAAATGATCGACCAGCATGCGTGAAGGCACAACGCCGCCATGCGTCATCATAAAGTCGCGGATCATCTCGAGCATACGGCGGCCGCGGAAGGACTGCGGTGTCGTAGCTGAAGGAGTAGATGCGCGGGACGAGGATGCAGATGTGGTGTTGGGGGTGGCGGATGCAGGATTGGGACGGCCTTGACGCGCTGCTAGGTTGGATAGGATGGAAGTCGATGACGGGCCTCCGCCTCTGCCACCCCTTGTGGACCCCCTCGGGGCATCAGGCCGTCCTGCCTCGCCATATTGACCCGTCCACGTTGGCACACCAGCAGGTACCTGGCGGGCCTCTTCCATGCTCTTCTTTAGCTGCTCAGCGGCAAGGGCAGCTTGTCGCTTTGCTTCACGTTGAATGAAGGCGGGATCAGCTTGTACCTTGCGCCTGCGACCCCCCGCTGTGGAGTTTACGATAGCTTCGTGTTCGAGGACCGAGTGGACGCCTGTTCTGGCGAAAATCGTGGACATTAGGCGAGAGTCTGTTGGCGCTTCCTTCTCAGCAGTGTTGGCTGAGCCATCTGGTCCATTGGTAGTGGCACTGGTATCTTCACCGTCAGGGATTGGAGCTTTGAAAGCCTCGGATCTCGAAATGCCCTTTACGGCGGCGAGGTCTCCGGCTGCTGTAGCATCCGGTGCTGCCGTCTCCCCATTCTCCTCAAATGTGACTTCACTCCCGCGGAACATACTTCCAGTTTCTGTTTCGCCATCCAGACTCTCGCCACCTAGTGTAAACAAATCGTGTAAATCGCTCATCTGAAATGTTTGACGCTGTTTCGGATCCTTCAACACCTTATTCGTAAGGAACTGCTTGAAGATCTGCCGATGGTATATCTTCTCTTCAATAGTACCTGCAGACATCAGACGGTATATCTCAACCTCTCGTTTCTGTCCGAGACGCCACGAACGCTCTCGCGCTTGAATGTCGGTTGAAGGATTCCAGTCTGGGTCGTAAATGATGACACGGTTAGCGCCCGTCAGGTTGACGCCCAAACCTCCGACCTTCGTCGTGAGGAGGAAGACGTCCAAATTGGGGTTGTTGTTAAATTCATCTACGAGATCCTGGCGGTCCTTGATAGGCGTCTCCCCATCCATACGGCGCCAATTGATATCAGGTAGTTGGTTGAGAAACCTTTGTAGAATATCAAGCATGATCCGGTGTTGAGCGAAGAGCAGTGTCTTGTGTCCACCCTTCTTCCAAAGCGAGAGCAGCTCTTTCACAACCTGCATCTTGCCAGATTTGTTTGGAGCACCGTAGTCGTATCCGGGCTTCTTCGAAAGTGTCTTGTGCTCCGTTAGATCCGGATGATTGCACACTTTACGCAGATAATCTACACCAAATAACATCTGGCGCTTGCCATTCGAAATTGATTTCATATCCTCTGATGCCAAAAAGCCCTCGTATGCCATGCGCTGCTGACGCGTCAACTTGCAGAACAGCACCTGCTCCTTCTTTTGCGGTAGGTCGGTTGCTACGTCGGCTTTGAAACGCTGAAGTAGGTAGGGGCTGACTGCATCCTTGAGAGTCTCTGCGCATCGTACTGCCGTCTCAAACTCTAGGTTTGATGCATTCGCGTAGCCACCACGTTTGATGGGAAACTCAAATTGATTCCTGAAGCTGACGAGTGTCCCGAGGCGCATCGGAAAGACGAAGTCGAACAACGACCATAACTCGGTTAGATTGTTCTGCATTGGTGTGCCTGAAAGAATGATGCGATTCGGCGTCCGCAGCTCCTTGCAATGAATCGTGATTGACGTGTTAGGATTCCGAATTTTATGACCTTCATCTAAAATGGCGCACTCCCACTCAGTCGGTATCAAAAACTCAGAGTAAGTTTGAAGACCAGAGTACGTGGTGACAAGAACATGACCATCTCGCTTGACCTTCTCGAGAATCTTCTTGGCGGCTTTTCCAGCGCCAGTCAAAGTCGTATCGTAGTCACCATAGCTCCGCAGTTCCATCTCTCGTTCTAGACGGTCTTCTCGTCGAGTATCTAACATACCACTGCCAGAAGTGTGCAAGATTGAAACCCGTAGAGCAGGCCACCAGCGGTGGAACTCGTTGACCCACTGCTTCATGACGGTAGCCGGACATACCACAATGACAGGCTTCGTGAGTAGCTTCGAGTAGTGTAGACCAGCAACGAAGGAGATGGCCTGGATCGTCTTGCCCAGGCCCATCTCGTCGCCAATGATACCACCAACATTCTGCGAGTACAGCTCCCAGAGCCATTGCACGCCAGTCTTTTGGTAGTCAAACAACGCCGGATAGATATCGCCTGGAATCCGAAAACCGCCATCGAACTCGGTATCAGCCTCAGTAGGGTGAGGTAGGAAGCATTCGTCTTCTTCGTCCTCGTCCTCAGCAATGGCCTCACCGTCCTTCTCTTTTGCCTTCTTCCTCGCGGTAGCACGGTTCTTCGTCCAGTTCTCCATTCGTTTCCTATATACCCGCTCATTGCCATCGTCTACACCTGCAAGGTCCTCCTCTACCGGTTCCTCTCTCGGAGCAGTCCTTGCTTTCCTTGCCTTCTTGCCACCAACTTTACGTTTGCGACTAGTAGCCTCTTCTGCATACGAATCATCTTGAGTAACATCATCCGACTGTCCCTCAGACTCGTCTAATATCGCAAGCTGACGATCGGTCAGGCCGGGCTCGAAAGCGTCGTCGGATTCGGCGTCGGTAGTTCCATGGGCAATGCTTGACTCGCGTGACCCTAGTGTATCACTGAGCCGAGTTGTCTTCCGCCGCTTGCTTGATCGCGGTGTCGACTGTGGGCTAGGAGCCTCTGAGCTGGACTCTACATCTTGAAAGCCGGGCTTCATGAGATTGCGATGCGACACTGGGCCCTTGGCAGCCTCCTCTACCATATCCTCGACCTCAGCATCCAGCATAACTTCTCCCAGTGTTCCTGCTCCAGGCTGGTTTTGCGCCAACTTTGAGAAGGGTGTGATTTTGCCCGTTCGTATAAGGTAGTCGCGCTGACTCTCATGTGGTAACGGTCCGCTGACGCCGTCCTCGGTGGTCTGCTTCTCTCCAGGCACCTGATGCCGTTCGTTGATGCGCTGCTGTATCGCGTCCATATCCGAATCCAAGTCTTCGATCTTCATTTGATATGCTGCAATCTCGCCGCGGAGCTTCGCCTTCTGCGTCGTGAGAGCGGGCAACGCCAACCGATTGCGTAGCTTTTGTATGGCTGCCTCGGCGCGCTTTGCCTCTAACTCTGCCTTCTCCATGCGCTTTCTATCTCGTGCATCAGCTTGCTCGGTGAGCAGCTGGTCCGCCTGGCGACCGATGTCTCGTTCCAAATCATCTTGCGCTCGAGTACCAGTCGTGAGGTACTTGAGCCGTGTTTCTTCGTCGGCGTCAGATGGTGGGTCTTCTATCAAAACTGGTGTCTCATTGTCTTTCGTGGCATCGTTTGGCTCAACGCCACTCGTATCTTCGATATTCGCGACGGTGATTTCGGGTGCAGTAGCTGGTGTAACCTCGTCTTCTCCCGGGGGAAGCATACTGAGCGTACGTACGCTCAAACGCGAGGGCGAAAACGCAATTCTAAACCGAGTAGAAATAAAACACAAAAAGGGCGGCAGAACGGGGTTGCTCGGGAGTGTGAAGGTGAAAGTTGCGCCGAAGGCAACAGTGGCGGGTGAAGATCAGAAAGACGTTGAGCACTTCTAGGCAGACAACATGTCCGCAAGATGGCAGTCAAAGCAAAGTTGACCCGGGAACGTAGAAGCGCAAGACGAATAAAGTTCGCGCGGCAAAGAGGCGCGACAATGGTTGACTCTTTCACTTGCGACAGTCCACCGAAATGATATCATTGGGCGGCCCGCTAAGGAAGCACAGACCGCGGCTAACTTCCGCATCCTAGCACCTTTCTCACACGTGCAGAACGCGTTCAAACGGCTAGCTCAACATCAACTGGACGTTCCTATAATCATCTCATGTTTGTCCTCATGGTCTTTACGACATCTCTTCTTTTCTCACTCAAACCGTTCCTGATATTATAGCTTCTCCACACTTATTCTTCGATGTCTTTTTTTACAAATCTATACAGACAACTTATAGCCTTGCCCTAGGTACCTCATCATGCTGCCATCCAGGCATATCCGCTAGATCCTTAGCAGGTGCTGCTCTCCTTGACTTCAGCGCATCGCCACCCGGCCGCCACCTCCAAGCCTGCGCCAGGTCTTCCGCCAAGGTACCCTCGATAAGCTCAACGACGTGCTTGCCGATATTTGGCAGCAACTTGAATGAGTGGCTATGAGTGGAAGCGTTAGCACCTGCCCTTCAATCAGCATGGAATTACACTTACCCGCTATCCCCGGTAGCTAGCACAAAGTTACGCCACTGCGGATGTTCGCAAATCAACAACGAAGCATCAGCTGTATCCGTACACCAGCACAATGCTCGGTTAAATAGCTCCTTATCCTTGAATCTGGGCAAGAATGTGGCAACTGCCTTCCGGATGTTGACTTCTGACGAATCCGGGTAGGTGTCGGTAGGGTGCTTTGCATGTGATCTGGGTACCGAGATGCGCTTTGGTGTTGAGGCCCCGTACGGTTGATGTTCCTTGAAGCGAGTGAAACCCGGGAATTCATCGCAGACTTTGATTATTCCATTCCTAAGATTGTCGTTAGTGGGGGATGGGAAGAGCATTAAGATGGGAGACATACTCATTGGGCTCGAAGAAGAAGCCTACATCACCGTTGTACACCACGGGGGTATCCTTGTACCCTGCAGCCTCTTCGGGGGTAAGCTGCAGATGCGCGAAAACCCAAGCCTAGAAGTGGGTTAGAGGTAGCAATAATCACAATATTTAGACAGCCTACTTTTGAAACGCACTGATCCTCGAGATCCACCAGTGTAGGACTCCACGCACCAGCCGCCAGGACGACTTTATTAGCATAGTACCTCGTCCCATCGACTGTCTCGACGCCAATGCAAATGCCCTCCGCAAGGAGCGGCTGCTTGAAAGAACCTGCACCACCAAATCCGAATTTGACACCTTGATCGCGCAAGTACTCGCCTATCGCGTTGATTGCTTTTGCTGCTGCAAGCCATCCACCGTCTTTGCTAAAGACGGCTTTCCATCCCTAAATATGGTTAAATATCTGCATAGCGCTTCCTCACGGGCGCACTTACCTTAATTTGCTCACGCTCGAGGAGTGGCATCTTCGCTAGAATCTCGTCTTCTGAGTCCAGCCACTCATTCGTCTCTTCCAAACCAGCGTTGGCATCAAGGAGGGCCTGGTACTCCTCCTTCAATTCCGTGATGCCTTCCTGGCCATGAGCGCAATCGAGCTGCGCCTGTATTAGCCCAATTACTCTATCTTCATCTCAAGCGGCAGGCTTACTCTTCCAGTATTGTGGAAAAAACCTTTGAATAGCTCGTCTTCTTTCCACATCTGCCGTGCTTCCAAGCTCAACTGCAAGTCCACCTTGTTCCGCAAGCGGATGCCCATGATCTTGTTTAGGTCATTACCAGCTGACTGTGATGACGGAATGGGATATGTATCCAAGACTGTGATGTTTGAGGGCGTGTATCCTGCGCGGACGAGATGCAGCGCTGTTGATGAGCCGATAGTGCCCCCACCGCCAACAACGATGACGGTTGCCTTTTCCCTGGAATCCGCCATATCGAATGTATAAGTTTGGTGTTCTCTACCCGAAAACTCGAAGCCCGGATGTTGTTATCAGAGTATTTCAAACATGAGATACCGATGTGTCATCCCGAGAATGCGTGGTTTAAGTATCAATGGGGTGTGAACACGCCACCAACCCAATGGCACGGTATCAACTCATTATTCCGGCGGTGATGAAGCCCCTAGTTAAAGCAAATGACTAATTGTCGTCTGTGGTGCGGAGGTGTCGTTGGTTCAGGCACGCCGGTCGGACATCGGATGCTGCTCGCCTTTCGCTTGCTGATCCTGGACTGTTAATATTTCCCAACTTGGTTAGGATGATATCCTAACTGCCGGCACCGGAACGGTTGCTGGATGAAGTAGACTGTTTCTTTACTTTGACGATAAGAAAGAAAGCCTTGCGGTATATGTCAAAGATTCGGTCATCGCTGATAACAATAAATCTCCGTCTTCATTTCTTACTTGAATGGCGACATGGAAGGAATACGAGTTGCTCTGTCCACCACTGACTCACCTCAACCGGCAATAACCCGATCGCCAAGCGTAGCCAACCACTACAACGTCTTAGTGAAGTCTTACTTGCCCTACCTGCATTAGCTCCAACCCTTACCATACCCAACTGTTCTGATTGCCTTCTTTGTCCTAGTTACAGACCCTTCCGATATTGCGATCTCGCCGAAGAAAGACCCGCCACAACGTTCGCGCTCACTATCAGTATCGGCTCGACTCCACAGTCCCTATCAATCGCGTGTCTACCCCAGCTTGGGGTGAACTAGCCCCGGGCTCCACAGATAAGCAGCATGACTGAGTACGCGAGGGTAGGAGCGATTGGGGAGGAGACCATTGATATGCGACCGTATAAAGAGTCGCGTGGTCTGTTGTCGTGTAGTACCCCAGCTCCAAGCTCGATTCCACATCCTACGCTCTCGAAGCTTGACTCTTGTTGCCCTCTTGCGGCTTGTTCACCATGTCCAACTTCGATGCTGCTCCTCCCAACACCCATGCTGGTGGCGATGACGATGCTCTTCGCACGAAGGGTGACGATCCGATGAACGCTCCTGCAACCTACGAGATTGCCGACGAGAGAATGAACATGGAGGAGTACGCGAGAACTGTGCCGTTGTGGCGGCGAGTCTGGCAGCATAGTCTGACGCAGATGATACTTATCAGTATACAAGCGTTCTGCGGTCCTGCTATGGCTGATGCTATTGCTGGTATACTAGCTATCTTGATGGTGGATCAAGGTCTTAGACGACTGACATCTACTAGGGCTTGGTGGAGGTGGTTTGGCTACCCCTCGAACGTCTAACATCGCGAACGCAATCAGTTACGCCATGCTTGCTGTCTGCTGTGCCCTTGGAGGCCCCATCGTTAACAAACTGGGCACCAAATGGGCATTGGTCATTGGCGCCTGCTCTTTCCCTATCCGCGGTTCATCATACTACTGCAACTCCAAATTTGGAAACCAATGGTACCTAATTCTGGGTGGATTCATTGACGGCATTGGGACAGGCACTTGGTATGTTGCAGAGTCGGGCACAATCATGTCCCTTGCTCCATCAGGCTCTCGTGGAAAGTACCTAGCGCTGTGGATTGTTGCTCGGAATCTTGGACAGCTGGTGGGAGGTGCTATCAAGTAAGTCAACCTCAAACGCAGCAATGAGCAAAGCAATACAGGAGATACTGATGATACTCAGCCTGTCTAAGAACTATACAAAGGGTCTGGAAGGCGGTGTAACGCCTGATACATACATCGCCTTCTTGATCATTGAGTGCCTGGCAGTGCCGTTCGCTTTCCTCATCTCACCTCTCGAGCGAGTCGTTCGGTCTGATGGAACGCGCATTCTCGTTTCGGAGAAGCTATCAACCAAAACGGAATTTAAGCTCATCAAGGTCACGATGACATCGAAGCTCATTGTGCTATCCGCCATGTGGGCGCTCTGGTCGTTCTTCTACAGGTCAGTCAAACCATACGTGTTGAAGAGCCACGGTAGAGCTAACTGAAATTGAAGTGGAACTTGGTCGACTTACCTAGGAATTTATTTCACCGTTCGGGCTCGCGCACTCTCATCGCTTGTCTCACCCTTCTTCTGCATTGTCGGCTGCTTCGGTCTTGGCTTCATCCTCGACATAAAGAGCCTCAGTCAGCGCCGCCGCGCCCAAATTGGCCTCTTCGTCATCGTCATCACCAATCTTGCCGTATACATCTGGTCAATCGTGATGCAGGTGAGATTCAACAGCAACAACCCTGGCAAGATTGACTGGGATGAACCGCTCTATGCGCGCTCCTTCTTACCGTACTTCTTCGTCCAGACAACTGGACCTCTGTCCCAGTCGTACATGTACTGGTTACTATCGTCCTTTGCGACCGATGCTCAAGGTATATTCTCTTTTACACGTAAATCCCACTGCGAAAGACTCTAACTGACAATTTCTAGCAAATGTCCGCAACGGAGCTGCCTTTCGCTGTATTGAGGCTATTGGTCAAGCCATCTCATTCGGCATGAACACTCAGATTGAGACCAGCCCTCTTATCGGCTTTTGTGTGACCTTCGGCTTAATGGGTCTAGCTATAGTCCCAATGCTGATGCTTGTCAACTCAACACCAGACCGCATCCCTGCCGATGTTATTGCCGAGGAGATGGCACGTGAGGAGAAAAAGGTCGGTACGGTTCAGGTTGAGTCGAAAGCTTAGTGTGCTGTCGAGGGGGAACAAATATCGATGCATAGATGAAATCGATTAGAGGTAGTCGATTTAGTAATTCATGGCACTCAAGAGGAGTTCATTTAACGTTTTCCTCTAATATTTGATGAAAGCGTGAACTATTTCAAAGTGTACAATTGAGCAGCCAATCCATCACACCAATGGAATGTGGAGCGTCGTTAGAAACTACTCCACCCTAAGGCAACGGCACTGGCCTCGATGTATAGATTATGAAAGTTAGATGGGCAAGAGTGCCCTCAATGCGTGCCCGCCTCAATGGTTAGGCGGCTTGCACGCCTTGATCCTCACACCAGTCTTTATAGATTTCGTGTGCATGATGCCTCCTATTGACGTCGTAGGTCTGCCCGCAGGTATTTTCAAGGTTGTCAAGATGAACCAAGTGGATGGCCTTAAATGCCCACCACATACAATCACCACCCTTTACGAGAATTTGAAAACACAGGAACTACTCAAGTCTTTGGATTTTGTCGTCTATGTCGGTGCGACCATGGATCGAGCAACTGGCGATGATTTATGCCAGTATACGCGACTAATCCCAATGATTGGCTCCACAGAAACAGGAGATCAGATCAGCTTACGGCCAGCTGACAGGAAGCTTTAGCATACACATGATTACGTGCCAGATAATGGTCATCTGATAATTCGTATCGACAGGGGTTGTTCTTCGGAAGATGTTCACGAACTTGTCTTGGAGAGCTCGCACGATGGGAGAGCAAATCCCTTCCAGTTCGCGCTCTGAAATCTGGCATCAAGGGCATAAAGCGTATCGAAGTGAATAAAGCGTATCGAAGTGAACGAACTATGCACACCAGTCAAAGATTTAGACGGTCGAACGCGATGGGTTTTTGTAACGCGCAAGGACGACTTGACGAAACTGAACTGGCTAGCCAAGTGCCATGCTCAAGTAAGAAGTCCATGTCGGACTGCATGTGAGACAAACGCTGATTTCGTACTTCTAAGGACATGGAAGGCCGCATCCAGCAGCATGCTGACGTACAAGGTGTTTCCGCTGGAGGGGAGGGACGGCCAATACCCTTTGTCATTGTGGAAGCCAAGGAAGGTGTCATGGGTAGCAAGAGCGAGAAACACCTGCTCGACGAATTGTACACGGGAGTGATTGCAAGAACAAAAGAGACCGATATTGATGAGATTAGGATACCGAAGGAGACAATTATTATTGTGAAGAAGGAGAAACCGTCCAAGCGTGATTTCAAAACGCGGTACTCAGGAGGGAGGTCGAGAAGGACTACTTGGAGGAAATCGAGCAGGCGTACTGGTGGTTAGAGAAGGTGAAGGCTGGCGTGACTTCATCTAATTGATAGTAGCAATGGCACATGACCTACCTTCTACGACCCTAAATGTTTGCTTTCTCTCACTAACATCAGACATCGTTAACGCCACAGCCCATCAATATCTCGCTTCTATCGCTGCACTACCGTCTATCACTAGGATTTATGCTTCGCATTCCTCTCATCATTACCGTAACGAGACTACAACCGCATGTGAAGCAGCTGTTTACATCATTGCTGGTATCGCATCCTCAGCAACCCTCAAGGGCTTCCATAGCAGCATTCCTCAGTTCCAACAATCGCTCTTTGCATCCCTCAAGGTCCAACCCATGGCAAAAGAGCAAGAACCCGACGGCCCAAGTTGGTGGTTATGGGGATCGCTTCTCGTTGGTATCGTGCTCATGTTGGTCCTATCACGGACCCCTTGGTTCTCTTCCCGACGTCCAGCGATCGAGGCAGAATTGCACAAAGCCTGGACATGCATCCATAATCAATTTAGTTCCAGGTCTCGCAAGGCTGAAGAGCCCCATTCTGCACGCGTCCTTACCGATGATACCGGAGCAGCGGCAATAGCTCAAGCTCGCGCCACTTTCGCCATGAACGATATACAACGCGTGAATGATATAGCGCCAATCGGAAGCCTCATGGGCGTATCTCAGCCAGGCCAGCTCGTCAGAGGTCTTCATGGGGATCTGTATAATTCTAGGTTGTCGGCAGCGATGAAACATCTGTCGAAAGAAAGTGTCGACAGATTCCATCAGAACCTTGATAAACGCCGCGTTTCTGCCGCTAGCGCAAAGAAAGAACACCTGGAACCAAGGCTTGCGGAGCTCTCCAAGCCCGAAACGGAGAATATGAACGATCTTGACGCGTCCCAGAATACAGCTTCGACCAGGATCGGGTCACCTTATTCCTCCATGGTTGCGGACACGTATAGACAATCTGCGACATCCATTTCAGCATCTACGACTCTAGAGGCCACAACTCCCTTATCAACTTTGAGCACAGAGGAATTACTTGGCTCTATCAACGCAACCGAGACCGAGCTTGAAGCGTCTTCGGATATAGAACTATCTAACCATGGCTTACCGGATCCGGCACCAAGTCCAGTTCCGGGTATCGGAGAACATACAGCACGCTCTACCGTTGCCTTACCCAGCAACGATGTCGCACAAACTTCTGGACGTCCGATACTAAATTGGGATTATGCAGTGCATCCGACGAGTGTCGTGACCCATGGACCATATGCCACAGAGTATCCGACAATGATTGCGCAGTTACAGGATGGGGCTACCGGGAGGTAGTACTTCCTTCCATCCAGAATATCTTCCGATGCGGTGGAGGCACGCAACGCTCAGCTACAGCCATCTCACAACAACGCTGACAGAGCTGGTCACGACGCTCGCGACCTCTTAGGAATCGATGACAGATCTTTTCCACCTGAATGATTCTTAGCTAAGGTCCTCTTCCCGGACAACTTCTGGGGGATTCTCGCTCCTTTCCTATCGATCGTCTTCCAACCCAAACGCGGAACCGAAATGGGGGGCAGGTCCGAAAAGGGCCGATTGGGAAGGAGGTTGTTACAATATCGAATGGAAGGACGAAGCGCATCAAATAAAGCGTAGTAGGCATTCGTAGGTGCGGGGTGATTTTTAGGCTCGTGGTAGGGTTGTGGTTCGTAAAGTTCGAAGCTTCGCCAAACACAATATTACATTGCCAGGCGGCTATCGATAGTTTACATGGTATTCAGTTAACTATTTGGAGCAATGCCAAAGATCTTCTGTTCCAGAGGGCAGTGTTGTTGCTGACGTTGGTGGCGAGCCCCTGGACGACGTCTAATTTTAGGCGGCTAACTAAACCTAACGTAGAAAGTCCACCCAGCCGCACTGTTCACCTTGTCTTTGATCTATCAGCAGACAATGGCGACACATGTACATACCAGGGCCAGGTCTACAATGGAGCCAAAACTTCACATTGATAAACCTACAAATGTGCAGAGACGCAATGACCGCATCGACCGCCGCCTTCGCCCCAAGATCGATTGGCAGTACTGGCCCGATACCACTAGCCTGAAGCATGATGCTACGAACGATATCTCCAACCTAGACATTGAAAGTCGTCCCGATCTTGAAGACAATGCAGTTATTGCTTGGGGTCTTGCGCAAAGCGAAAAGACGAAGGGTCTCGACGTAGATATCGACGTGCTTTACGGAGAGGGAATGAACCTGAGTAGGTGGCAACTTTTAGGAAGATATTGCTACCAAGCTAACGACGCTCGAGATTGGAAACAAAATGCCAAAGATGAGGAACTGGAACGTATCATGCAGGTATGAGGAGACATTGCCAATCTTGGATACAGTCTGACGAAGATTAGCCCATAGACGGAAATACACAAGAACACTCGCTTCGGATGTGGTATGTGCGGAAATGTTTCGTCTTTCAGGTTGACAAATGGAAATGTACCGCACCATAGTAGATCGCTTGCTCCGTCAGACAATGGCACCATCTACGGACCTCAACTAATCAGGCATATCAAGCTTCATTAACACATTGAACACGGAAGCCAGTTGGCTGCCAGGAAACTTTGATATACGGCCTCAAACTATCCGCATACTCCAAAAAGCCGGGTTTTCGAAAATTCTCCTTACCAACATCTATTCTGGGCAGGGCTACTGGGCCAAGATGGGAAACCAAAGATTCCTACGCTTTAACGCAAACGGTTGTCTAACCTCCTTCGGTACGGTTTCATTTCCATCTGGCGAAAGATCATCTAATACTATCAAGAAATCTGCTATCAGTATCGCTGTGGCTGGGACACTGGTGTCAGCTTCGTTCACTTTATACGCACGCCACGCCAAAGTGTATACTTCTTCATCAACTACCCTACATGTGCGTTGACGCGATTGAAAGCTGTAGTCAAGAACAACCCTATGATTGCGCATCGGGACTTCTTTCCCGACGCTCTGGTCGCCGATGACAGCTTGAAGCAATGGCAATACGAGATCGGGCATCGCCGCGATATGCTTCAGAAATATGTACACTGCCTCTCACACGCCTCCATCATACCCCAATAGCTAACCAAACATTTCAGGAGAAGCAATATGAGGATGAAGGTACTGATTTCAAGCTGGCAACGATTCAACTGCATCGTCTTGCGCGACACTGGCTTACACTAGGCCAAGACAGCGTAGATTTTCAAGCACAGCTGGGCTTTCTGCGTGAGTCGTATGCGATGTACAAAAAAGCCTTGGGATCACAGTCACCTGGTTGGAGCATTGACAAGGCTGTTGACATGTGTGAGTCCTTCGACATACTCATATCGCAATGTGACACCTGTATTCGATGGACAAAAGTGTATCATGAAAGGACCAACCTCCGCATCAACCTTGTACGTATTGTCCTTGAAAGGAGCTACTAAGAAAGCGACCCTAACTTACCCTACAGCTATTTCACCTCGCAAATCAACGAGAGGCGCGCACCAGTACCCAAATCGCAACATCCACCGCTGAAGTCGCCCGACGTACACAACGCGATTCCGCATCGATGATCACGATCGCGGCTGTGACAATGTTGTTCTTACCAGGCACGTTCATCTCAGCTATTCTGAGCACAACCTTCTTCGATTATGGAGACGATGGGCTACATGTCTCGGCAAAGTGGTGGGTTCTGCTCGCCTCAACGATACCGCTCACTATCGTTGTGTTTGGTGTATGGCTAGGATGGCGGTATGTGAGGCTACGGAAACAAAAGGCTGAAGCACCTGTCAAGCTACCTTGATGAGGTTGTTTGAAAAGACTACTATCTTTATTAGGGACATTCAACCATCAATCATGCTTTCCGCTCTGTCGTTGGAGGTGGACCCGGAGGTTGGCTACATCGGCACGGGAACATGCCCACATCCGTTCCGACATTTCTCTTCCACTACATATAAGGCAGCCATGTTTTCTACGGTCATCATTCGTCCTTGTTCACAGATAACAGATAAGCATGTTTGAGGGGTTTCCGAGAATACAAGGACTTTTTACGTCTACGGATAGCATTTATCGGAGCGGATGTATTTTCGTAACCGGTGCGGGTGATAATACGGTGTATATAATGCATATACTGCACCACCGCCAGAAGTTAAATCATCATCAACATTCATTCTCACCCAATTTTCTCTATCTCAGAACCTCAAGTCAAGTCTCTCAACCCAAATCGACCACAATGTCCAACCCTAACAGCACTACGAAACCCCTACGCGTCGGCGTCCTATACGAAGAAACGCAAATGAGCGACCTCGTAGGCCTCGACCTCCTCGGCAACCTGACTCCCAAAACCCTCAATATGATTGCCGAAATGGAGCCAGCACTTGCACCCCTCAAACAGTACGCCATCCCCATAGAGTTCCTCTACATCTCCTCCTCGCTCGAACTCGCCTGGACCACGCCCGAGATGTTTGTCAAACCAACACACACGTACGAGACTGCTCCGCGCGATCTCGACATTCTCCTACTCGGTGGGCCGAACCCAGCCGCCGTCAAGGACGAGAGCCTCACATTCCTTAGGGAAGCGAGCAAGTCGACGAAAGTCATTCTGACGACCTGCACGGGGGCCATGTGGCTTGCGAGGTCGGGAGTGCTAGATGGGAAGAAGGCTACTACTAACAGGATGATGTTGAACGTAGCGAGGAAGATGCTGCCGCAGGTGGAGTGGATGGATCAGCGATGGGTGGTTGACGAAGGGCATTTTGAGGGTGCGCAGCTTTGGACTGCGGGAGGCGCAGGCTGTGGTACGTCTCTGGCTATGTCTTTCGATTCATGGTGAAAGCTTGATCTGCATTTGAAGCTGACAAAGAAACAATAGGTATTGATATGTTTATGGAGTACACGTACCAGAATTTTGACAAAAGAGTAGTGGAGACTGGTTGTGAAGGCTTCGACTTTGACTTCCATGGCCGTAGTCAGTTCTACAAGTCGCCACTTCCTAGCTTTTCCTAGGTTGGTACGTGCCGTGCCATGGAAATTTGGCCAATGATGTCTCGTAATGAAGCGGACGGATGAACATGTATATGAATTTCCAATTCCACTCTTCTGCAGATATCTTCCAAAGTCGGTGAAGAAAACGCCATAGACACGCACTTCATCTTGGAGGAGGGTTCCAGGACACCTCTACGAAATTGCCTGAGTGAACATATCAGAAAGAGGAATGCAAATTATAAGATAGAACCTTGCGAGGCTGGGGTAAGTCGGCCTGGGCTCGTGATATCTCGTATTCGTGGGATAACATCTTTCAGATCGTTGGCATTGACGCCAATTGCTGGTAAGCATTACACACCCAACAGATACACGTCTGATTGCTCACTCTAGCCACATACATACAATATTGGTGATCTTAACAATGCTACATACTAGGTATACCATGGCACAAATCGTTATTTGCCAAGGAGTACTACAAATCCTTGTCGGTTTAATCGTACAAGGAGCTCCAGGCCGAACGTCAACCACTTTGCCAACCACTTTGCACACTTTGCCTTACCATTAATTATTTCGCTGCCGTCACCACACCCTCATATTCTCGGCTCGTTATATAATCAAGTGTGCGCTGGAAGTGCTTTCTGGGATTCTCCAGCGATGATGCGTTTTCGTTGGATTGAAGATTTGAGTGGATGAGCTCGATGAGGCCGTTGAGGTATTTTGTAGTAACCTGCACTATGTTAAAAATGTTTTTATTGTGAGGAAGAGCACTTACGGCATCGTTCTCTTGGTCAAAGTAGTACACGTATCTGTTTAGAATCTCGACAAAAAGTTCCACCGACACCGCAGCATCCATGCACGCGTCCGCAACACGCAGCGCACGTTGTAGGCACTCGAGCACTCGTTTGCCGTCGCGATAAAGCTATATATGTCAGTCTCCTTCCCGTCAAACACAAGAACGAGGTACTTACAGTCTTCGGATCCTCATCCCCCAACGCTCTAATCTCCGTCGCCCACCAAAGATGACTCGCCAAATACACCGCACGACACTGATCCGGCTTTTTCAACAACTTGCTTCCATGCAGCGCACACTTCGTAATTAAAGTATCATAATTCTCCTTTCCGAAATGCCGCGTGGTATGCAACCCACTCGCGATCACGCAAACAGCTTGGAACTGCGCTCTCGAGTCGCTAATCGCCTCCTCATATATCGTGAAGGCCTGGGCGAAATACTCGTACGCGACTTCTTCAAAGTTATTTTGGTCAGCGACTTGACCGCAAGCGATGAACAGGCGGAGAGCGAGGTCTGCGGAGCCGGTGACGCGGGTGTAGAGCGTGGAGAGTGTATTATGCATGAACTTGTAGAGGGCGGAGGATTGGGATTGCCAGTTGTCTTCGAAGTGTTCGCGCTTCTTGTACTGTCGCGCGAGTTTGAGGGAGGCTGTGATTATGGCGGGGGAAGTGTATTTGACGCGTTCGTTTCCTTCTGCGAAGGACTTGCGAGCGGCTTGGAGGAGCTGCGGATTGTGTTAGTGTCTTTAATACAAATGAAGCCGGAGGTGCTCACCTTGAATTGGGTATCGTTGTCCTTTCCGCGGATGAGATGTACTATCCGTGCTAACCAACCCTGCTCCTCTATCGTCTCATCTGTCTCTTGTGCTCTTCTCTGGATAGGCCCCCCGGGATATCCTGTAGCTTGCTGAATGCCTTCCCGGATCAGGACTTTGAGGATCTCCAGTACGCTTTCAAGATTCTCCACGGAGGTGATGTAGGTCTGGTTCCGCATTAAGCTTCTTGCAATTTCGCCGGCTACCGCTCTTCGGGTCGGATACGGCTGCGAGTGCAAGAGAGGGATGAAGTTGGGTAATGCTAGCGCAGTGAACAGAGACACGTAGGTCTTGATCGGCGAAAGGAGAAGGTTGAGGATCTGGCTTTGTGTTGCTTGTGAATGTAGGTCAGCACTGTTTTGGTACTCTGCGACCTTTTGGTTTGCAAAGGTCAGTACTTGGTCGATGTAGTCAAGTCGCTCGGGGTAAATGTTTCTAGCAAAATTAGCGAAATCCTGTTAGAGTGCAAGATGCCAGCTCACAATGCAAGGTTGGCAAGCGATACCAGCAGTCCGATTGTGTCTTGTATTGGCAACCGCTGCATCTTGACCAAGGTCTGCACCTGTTCGTGAAAGATCTCAAAGAGCTTGACATTGTTGGGTATTCCCCGCCTTTTCTCGATCGCGCCGTCTGTCTCGGTGGTCTCGGTGGTCTCTGTATCCGCGGTTGACACAGCTGTTGTTGAGGAAGCCGAGTCCTCTTCAGCGCCTGGTTCTGTCTCCGCGGCGTCTCCATTCTGTGCTGGCGCTGGCGCTGGCTCTGGCTCTGCCGCTTTCTTGTCTTTCGCTATACGCATTTTTTCCAGAAGCTGTTCTATTGACTCTTCCTCGGTCTTCTTGCGCTGCTCTGGGCTTTCCGTCTCGGCTTCTCTTTGCGCATACGAAGATAATCGGTCCATCAGGCCTACAACGATGGCTTTGACGTTGACATGCGGGTTTAGGCGCGCGACGGCGGAAAGGAATTGGTCGAGGGTGTGCAGGTGGAATTCGTCTGGGAAGACCTGGGTGACGACTGCTGTAAGTTAGCTAGAAGGTTCAGAATTCAATCTTCACACACACACCTTCCAAGAGGTACTCCTGCGCCAGAACATCTCGACATTGCACAATCTGCTCCAACAGCGGATTCAGAATCTTCTTGTAGTTCTCCAAGTCCACGAGCTGGCTAAGCCTAACCAGATTGCTCCCGACAAGAAGCTGCAACTCCTGGCGCTCTTTTGTGCGCTGCTCGCGCTCCCTCGAGTGTCCTTGATGCTGCAACCGCACCCACAGCTTATTCATCTCGACAAAGTTGGTCAAGATGAAGCTAATCGAGTCCTGCAAATTGCCCTCGGGTCCCTCGCCATCACCGGAGGGAAGGCAATCGCGCGCCTGGCCAGCAAGATAGTAGCGCAGAAAGAGGCCGCGAATGGGGTGCTGCACTCCGCGACTCATCTCCATCATGTCCTTCATAATCTCCTTGACCGGCGCATCCTCAATGGCCATGTACACGGTGCCCACGGTGACCATGAGATACAGACGGGGAATGATATTCCCCGCATACTGGACGAGCTCGTAGAGGTCAGCGAGGTGGTTTACAGGGTGGTTCTCGCGGAGGTAGACGGATAGATGGCGGAGGGCATCGAAGACGGCCATATAGAGTTCGTAGTACTGTTTGGGGCCGAGGCTGCTGGTCCGCAGCTCCGAGACGAGGGTTGAGCTGTGCGTGCATGCGATTAGCATCTAGAGCTGTAGCTAGGGTGGTCGTATAGTGATATCATAGCTCTTACCTGTTCTTGAGCGCATCCATCAGTTTGCCGGGCGTCTCGAGGCACCGCCGCATGAGCATCGTCTGCTGGCGCACCACGGCAAGGGCATCTTCAAGCAGGCGAGCCTGGTCTTCTACGGGGGGCGGCGACGACGCCATTGTGTGCTGTAACGGCAGATGTTCCGGGGTGGGGAGAGCTGGTGGAGGAGCAGGCAGTCGAATAGTTAGTTGGGTGGCATGTCAACCGACGCCAAGGACAGGGATTAGAGCTCTTGAGCCTCCCCTTCTAGTCGCGTCATCACTCAGCCAGCATGTACGTCGAAACAATGTATTATACGTGTGAAGAGGTCTATTGTCTATTCTAATTGTCTTTCTGTTTATACATGTGTCGTTAGAAACTATCTGTTGATTCGTCGGATTCGTAACGCCGTCCCAAATGCTTAGCCCCGTGGCCATTTCAATGCCGCCATATATCCGTTACCCATGCATCATGTACTCTTTAACCTACTACTGATAAATCAAGTAGGTAGTATGGTCCAGTCTAAGTTAAGTATGCTCAAGAATGAAAATTATCGATTCGCGCACTCAATACGCCGTCTGGTTCCAAGACCGCACGGGAGCGAGAGAAGTGGTGTTGTAAAGCTGACCCAGAGCTCTGCGCACAACAGGAGTCGGCAACACCGGTAGGGTTGAAGTCGAAACGGTTGAGTTCGAGAGAGAAGTAGAGTTGTAAAGCTGACCCAGAGCTCTGCGCACAACAGGAGTTGGCAACACCGGTAGGGTTGAAGTCGAAATGGTTGAGTTCGAGAGAGAAGTAGAGTTGTAAAGCCCGCCTAGGGCTCTGCGCACTGGGGTTGGCAACACCGGTAGGGTCGAATTCGAGATGGTCGAAGCCAAGAGAGAAGTGGAGTTGTAAAACCCACCCAGAGCTCTCCGGACTGGAATTGGCAACGCTGATGGGGCCGTGTATAACGAAGTTGAAACGGTCGAATTAGAGATGGTTGAAGTCGAGAAAGTCGAAACGGTCGATGCTGTAACCGCAGCTTCGGGTGTTTTGACTTGATAATACGTGTGCCACATACCGTTATCGTAGTATGAGGGGCTGGCTGTCTCAATGGGTGTCGAGGCCGATGTTGAAGCCAAAACGGTTGAAGAGGCTACGAGCGAAGATGTCGATGCGCTGCTTGTGGAGATAGAACTTGAGTTGGTCGAGGCAGGTGCCGGCGCAGCAGGCTGATAGACAACGGATGTGATTTGTTGTGTGACAGTTGGTCCAGGGTTGGCGACTTGGACAGTTTGTGTCTCCTTGAGAACTGTCGTCGCTTGTGCAGGTGCTCCGGTCGATGATCCGCCGTCGACATTGATGATCGTATAGCTTCTTGAGCGTGCGGCGAGATCACGAGGATTTTGAGCATCTAGGGGTCGTGCACTTGCTAGTGTCGAGAAGAGTGCGGCCAAGGGGAGAATTTGAGTGTTGAAGAGCATCTTGATGTTCAAGAAGAGATGCTTGTTTGGATGGTTTCGAGTGTTGATGTTTCGAGTGTTGATTGTTTGCGGCGGGTGAAGAAGTGTGATGAACGCGATCGGTTGATAGCTGATTGTGGCTGATAGAAAATAGGCTTAGGCGAAAGATGTAGTCTTATACTTAGGAAACCCATCGTAGCAAGTTGTGGTGCGTAATTTTGTTGAAGGCTGGAAATCTGGGGGCTGGGGTTCATGAGGCTGGCATCGGGTCACTAGCGCATCGTCGACATGGCGGACCCACATAAGACAACCTCCTTTCCCACTTTTGCCAGCAACCAGCCCAACGTTGATCCAGAATTACGTGCTTGATCGCAGTGAGAGTCGTAAGCAGTCCACAAATTCTCGACTTCTATCCGCCTCGGGTGCCGCGCGTCCCAGTCCTGCCCAGCGACACGCTGCTTGGCCGTCTGCCTCCTGCTTTTACGCCTGCGCCAGCATCATTGGAGGCCAACAAGGTCTCTTCCAAGCAAAAGCCAATTCCTTCAGGAAAAGACAGCCAGTAGGCCGGAGAAAACTGACGATCTCTATCGCTTCCACATAGTAGACTCCGCGGCGGGCTCGTCCTCAGCTCTTGCGGCAATATATCCTGCGGAAGCTCTGTTATGGATCCCTGATCTTCTAATTCAGCTTGAGGTTCAAGTGCTTCCGGTTCAATCCGGAGGGATTTTCGACCGCGGAGGAGGAAACTGATATCGATAACTAGCAGTAAAGTAATCGCCGCTCCCAGACCAATCCCGACCCCAGCTCCCAAAGTGAGACCCGAGGAAATTCCAGTGGTTGGCGTTGGCCCTGGAGTACCGCTTTCAAGCCAATGGAAGAGATTGAACGCGATTGCGAAGTCGTTGGTACCCTGCTTCCTACAGACGGGATTGTCGATACTAGAAAGTTGGTCGGTACAACCCGTGAGATGTCGAGGTATCAACAGCCTGCGTCGACGTGGTGATTAGTGTCGAGTCAGGTAAAGTGGCCTCCAACTTCGGTGCTGTCGTTTTTGGGACTTGCACGATTGTGCCTTCCTAAAGAGCTAGTGGGTACGCTGTATCAACAGGAGCATCCGTGGAAGTCGTCATGTTACACAAAGAGAAGAGTCAACGTAACGTAAGAAAGCGGGGTGGGGGGGTTTGCATTGTCACGTATCTATACTTGCAATGAGGCTGCGTATGCTTCTTAGGGAAGCACAGAGAATGATAGTCGGCAGTACTACGCGGTCGAGGCTGCACAGAGATTCATTGGAGCGCCTAATCGTCTTCGAGTTGAGTACGAAGCACGACACCCGGAGATCAACTTCACAAAGAGAAACGAACGTTTGGTTTTGGAAAGGATGTGGAAAGCATCGAGCTATGAATCTAAGAATATATCTAGTCTGAACACACAACGACGTCTTACTCCGGCTTGGGCTGGCCGTTAGGAACCGCTTTGGCGTTGCCTTCCAACTGCTTCGCATACCCCCGTGCTGTCTCCAGCGAGTCATGCAACAGTCGCGAAAACCCCCAAACATCGAATTGCACAGCAATGGCTCGCGAGCCTGTTTGTATCAACATGGGAATCATATCCAGAGACATAGCACCGCTGTTCTATTGTCAGTTGGATACTTGCAGTTGAAAGGTTGGTGAACTCACCCAAAGATTGGCACATTGCTCTTCGCTGCCGCAGCTCCGAACTTGCCCATAGCCTCCAAGAATGCAGGCTCTGGCTTACCACTGAGCACGTTGGCGAGATCGATACCGGCATCAATCATGTAGTCGCCGGGGCCGAACATAATAGCGTGGATGCCTTCAACGGCAGCAATCTCCTCGGCATTCTCAATGCCCTTGACTGACTCGATCTGCGGGATGATGCAAACGTGGTTGTTGGACGTTGCGACGTTGTACGGATCATTAGCGTACAACGAAGTCGTGAGTCCTGGTGTGAATGTCCAGGGGCTGAATGAGCGGCGGCCGATCGGTCCATAGTACATCTCCTTGATAAACTTTTTGACCTCTTGCGCTGATTCGCAATGAGGAATTATAATGCCTGCTGCACCAGCATCAAGCGCGGTGGTGAGGCTGACCTCATCATGCTTGGGTACGCGTACAATAACCATTGATTTACCTTCTGAATGGTGCTGAGCGGCGTGGATAGCGCTGGTGTGTATTAGTATCCACTGCATGTCTCCTTCCCTCTTAGATGTTTCGGCTTACTCTTGCAATTCCAGACGGTTGAACATGGCATGCTCGACGTCTATCCAAATGAAGTCAGGCTTTGTGGTCGCAATCAACTTGGTGACGAAGGTGCTTGGAATGCCGTGAGCGACACCGAAAAGTGTTTTGCTGGGATCTGCTTGTGCGTCTGCGAGGGCTTTGCGCAGGTTGCCCGGTAATGTGAGCATTGATGAGCGATAGGGTGCCTCCACATGAAGGTCTTTCTGCTCGCTATAGGGCTTAAAATCTGCCATTTTGGAAGTCGTTGGACAAAAATAGGAAGCTGTATAGAGATGATGGTGTCGAAAAGTCGGGGATAGCTGCTGAATTTCGAACAGGCTCCTCCGACATTTTATACTTTGTCAACTCTCACAACACGAAAAGTAGTTTCACTACAATCGAATCTCACTCTACAGCTCTCGCACAATAGGATTCTGGACCTGCAATGGGCAACCAACAATTCGACGGTTGAAGCCATGGAAGGGATGACGGACGCCTAGTTTGATTAGTGCTGACGACACAGACAGTTTCTGTTCAACTAACAGGCTGTACCCACAGCCAACGACACAGAAGATGAGGCGACAGTATGCTTAGGAAAGGTGATGATATAAAATGCTGACTATCTAGGTACGTGGGTTTCGGCATGGCCTTCTCAGTAACAATGTTGACTCAGCAATCATCGTAAGGTTGAGTGCTGTAGCCATGGCTGACTATCAGTTCGACGACTCGATCCTGGAAGCCGTAACGTTAATTACAAAACGTATCCCCTTTAAATTACACTTGCAGACTAACAATAGCTCTAGAGATAATCCTGTGGTCTAGGCGCTTCTAAACTTTTTTGATAGTGCTGACTTGATTACATGATCGTAAGCTATCTCGGTAGATTTCCCCACCGGGTTGGTAACCCAGGAGTAATGTTCCGAAGCGCGGAGACAGCTACTCAGAGGAGAGTCGGAACCTTCTGATTACATGTAGGTTCGGCAACATGAAATGTATGGAAGTATCTTAGTGCCGTTACAGTTTGCCCCACCAACCATTCGCAGCCTTGCTTTGGTCAGTCAACATTAAGTAGGCTTTGGATCTCAAGCCAATGAAAGGGTATCCAAATCTCCAAACCCAGCCAGGTTGCATAGCCCCAACGCCAGATAAGTATCCGAGAATGTAGTAAGACGGAAGACGGGTAACGCCGAATCGAGATGATAGATGCTCCACCCCGACCCCGACTCCACCGATGTTGGAAGGTCATAGCATATATATATGTCTCTGCTTGTCTCGAGACAAACCCGAGGACTGCTGATATCGATGTCGGTATAGCTTCTTAATAGGCCCGCGGCGGGTTTGGTGATGCCACTGGGTGTTCACAGTGGCATTCTGGAGAAGCTGGTCGGGTCGGTTGAACGCTCGAGTAGTTTGTTGAAGAGTTGGTCGACGGTACTTCTGTTACCGAAGCATCCACACTACCCTTCTCCACTTCGGAGATCTCTAGGCTCTTCTTTCCGGAAGGCTCCATGATTCCAGTGTGCTTTCTTCGCTTCATTCGCTTCGGTATGTCACAGAGGACGGCAAGGATAATGGTGATGGCCAACAGACCGAAGATGCCGCCTGCTGCAATGGCAGCAATGACACTGGCGGAAAGGCCACCGATCTTTGCTGTCATTGTGATCGAAGTTCGAAGGTTATTTGTGGAAACGGGGTGACGGCGAGGACGGAACTGATTGGATTGTGGCGAAGTGATGAACAATAGTGGTAAAGAGGTAGTCACAGAGATAATGTATAGTAGATTATGCTATATTGTATTCAGAACGAGTGACAGAGGACAAAGGGTGTGTGTAGTTGTTGTATCGAGGCGAAGTTCGAAAACACGGAAACACGACGAAGCGGATACCACCCCTTATACGATCGTAGACCTCCACAGGCGGGATAATCCTACGCTCCACAAGCGGGAAAATCTCTCTCTCCATGCCAGTCTAGATGCGCGCGTCCTGTGACGACCCAACTGGTGGCTTCCACAAACGCAAACGCTACATCTTTCCGGACAGCCACAGCGCTGGGCATTTGCCGAGCGAGTTAGGACGGTAGGCACCCGGCCCAGTAGCGAGGTAACCATCGTGGATTACCCAGTAAGGTACTAGGGTTGCACGGGCTACACGGGGCTGCTAACGCTACAAGCTAGCCAACAATGGGAATCTGGGCTTCGTGGCGGTATCGAATCTTCAGCTTTTGGGCTGCTTTCGTGTTCTATGCGAAGCTGGCCCCTTGTAGTTGATCTTTTAGCGTAGAATATGTCGGTTGCGTTGAGACGTGACACATGTGGTGCATGCGTCTGGACCTCGAGCATTAAGTTTGCAATTATCCCACAACCTGTCGCGAGTGTCGCGACATACCACCCTAGGGCAAGACAGACAAGACGCTGCAGAACAACGCATTGACGAAGCTTGCATGGTTGACCGAAAGAGTAAGAGTCGAAACTGGCCTCGGTAGTCAAACAACCACGTGGGTCTAGAATCGCTAGCTACATGTAGCCCTACGCACGCCTTTGCACAACCTTCGCCAGCCTTACGGACGCCCCCGACTAATAATACCCGCCCGTCGGATGCAGCCGTCCTGCTAATTCAAGTCATTATCCTGCCGTGACGTGATTCGGTAATTCTACTCACAACCATGTCCATCGACAGCTCTCCCAGATCTTAGTTGACTTCGTGGGATCCAGTCTGCTACTTAGTCTGCGGGGATGACTATGGGGATATTCTTTCGTTTTGAGGCTATCTCGAAGTGCGAATAGCTGCTTGCTGTAGGAACTCTCGCGTCGCAAATGTACCGGCAATTAAACCTCGGCGTGCTCATCTTACGCTGCTTGGCAGGAGGATGGCGGATGTGTCCCTTGCCCGAGCAAATGCTGTGAAAGGCTGCCCCACCTTTACTGCGTGCGGTGCTTTCTGGATTAAGGGCGAAAGGGATATCTTCAACTTCTCAATGTCGGCCATCAGCGTATGGGGAGGTCATCAGCAAAATCTATACCAAATGCGGTAAGCATAGCGACTAACAGGCCAGAGGGCAAGGGAAGAAGCAGGCATTCTGCGGACACTCGTATACGAGAACTGATCTTATTGATCCTCTGATACTTCGTATTTGCACAACAATAGCCAGCACATTGCGTGATATCCAATCACGCTAATGCCGTTGCACATCTCCGTCATGTCATCCAATACCGGAAAACACGGCCTGTTAGTGACACTGCGTCTTGGGAGAACTGTGGGAGAACTGTGAGAGAACAGCGAGGCGACGACCCGAGCAGAGGACATCTAAAGTCCTCCGAAATTAAGGCTCAAGGGCGAAAGCGAAGTACGAGCTTTTTTCGAATTACTTCAATCACATACACGCCATAGGTTTGCCCGGATTGTAAACATAAATAAAATCTCCAATGTGGCGTCCAATATGAGTCGCTGTGTATACCTACGTGGCTGCAAAGTGATCGAGGATCCCGGTCGCTCGATAGTGATTCGTGCTCAAAGGTAACACACATTTACGCGAACTCATATCTGAAGACTATTTTCTGTCGCTTAACCTGTCTCTCAGCCTAGCTTGTGTAAAGACTATGATGAAGACCTCCAGTGACCTCCCTCTTGCTCGAAAACTCTCCACCCGTACACTTCAGGGACTGCGACCCGATCGTGGAAAACCTCTTTGGGATGGCTCTAAGAGCGCATGGGCGATACCAACTGCGAGACTACATCCAATTTCGAATTGATGACACTCAGTCGGCGGTAGCGACATAGGGTCATATTCGATTGGCTTTATTCGTTTTCTGGTGCATCCATTCGGTGATGTCTCAACCGAGCAAAGTCGTGCCAGCCAACTCTCCCATTTAGATGTAAACCCCATGCCTAGTATCCGCCAATATTAGTTTGGGCTTTTGGACGAGTATAAAAGGCTCCCTTATCCATGCACGCATACCTCTCTGTACGCAGTCATCGCAGTCTCAGATCCGCCCATCCCCTCTCCTCTGCCTGCTCCACAAGCTCACCATCCATGCATCCATACACATATGTCTCACCTATGAGCCTATACTCTCCAGAGCCCATCGGCCTCACCGTAAACAGCACCCTTGCCTCCTTAACGAGCCAAACCTCATCGTTTTCTTGTATCGACTGAGGCCCCAGCCCTAGGCGGCATCCATCAGTAGCGAAGATAAGCCTATTAAACCCATGTTTACACATAGAGCTTTCGAATCGTCGAGCATCCGAGATTGTACTGTTCAGTGGGGCAATATCGGCTTCTGTCATGTCCTGTCGGTGCTCGATACAGTGTTCATAGCGACTGATGAAGGTTTGCATTTCCTGTTTCGTGGGTAGAAATTCGTGGTCAGCGTCATCGGGTTCCGGGAGTATTACAAGTCTCTCTTCGTCTACTTGTGTTCCTTCGTTCTGAGCCCATGTTTTATGTAAGGCGTACATGCACTCGGTAATGTAAGCTTTGAAATGTTTCGGCGCTACAGGCAATGTCCACATGTTCTCCGGTCGACCGGCTAGGAGCGTGTGAAACAGAGCTCTCCATTTAGGTTGCGTATCGAATGCTGTGACATGGCCAAGGAGCGATTGCCAGCCCTGAATCTCCTTCTTGCGGTATAGGATGACGGAAGTGTTTGTGATACGAACATTAGCTTCTTGAACAGTTTTGATGATGCCAACGAGGTGTCCCTGTAGGATCAAACGAGACCCTGGAGACGGAGTAAGCCGCATCAATTTAGATTGTCCTCGAGGGACCGCACAATTTGATGCGTTGTATCGGTCGTACAAGTCACTGTGGTACAGGGACTGATGTACAGTAGCACTGAAGTCCGGGACCCAGGAAGGAAGACCATCTATGCTCGTCATCGAACGATCTTGGACCTCAGAAAGCATCGAAAGGTCAGCGGTCTCGATTAGGAGGACACGCATCGTGTCTTCGTACACCTCTGCAAGTGACTTGGTGTAATTAGGTATAACTCTAGGATCAGGTGCCATATTGAGTGGCTTGAGCGCTGTTCGAAGGAACCCGTGTGTGGCGAAAATCTTGTCGCGCTTGTCTGTTGCTTCCAGGTGACGCAGCCCCACAAGGGTGTAGGCCCAGAATGAATATGCGGCAAACTTGAGGTCTGTACTCTTCAACATTTCAGCGGTTTTTTCCAACCAAGGTAAAGTGCCAATACCCTTCATCTTTTGGCGAATATTGTGTACATTCTCGAGCCATGTTCCTGGTGTGGACTCAAAACCTGAGCTTTCATGAGCTTCTTCAGTTCTTGATTCGATCTCTTCCCATCTGTTATTCTCCGTAAGTTGATGCGTCAGCCCTGCCAACCTCAGAAATAAAGCTACGCGAGTTAGAAGCTCCAGGTTGGGAACAAGATTGGCGAACATGACTACCGCATCAGGCGCGAAACATATCTCTTGCAGAACCCAGGCGCGAGTGAACCATGCACGCTCGTTAAAGAACCTAGCATAGCCTTTCCAGTCAAGCTGACCTCTGACATGCTCCAGCTTCAGCCGACCGTAGAAGTTAACCTCATTCCAGCCGTCTTCAACAATTCCCGATCCGCGCTCTTCCAAATATTCATTTATGGCGTCATAGACTTCCACATGTAGCTCGTAGAATTTACCCAAGTCGACACCTAATTCAGCGCAGTCGCCTAGCCAGACAATTGTACGAGTGCAGCGTGCGTATATTTCCGTCATCATGGATACCTGAGAGGCGCGCTCGTCGAGGTCGCCTTGATTTATACTTATGGCATCGATCCAGATGTAAGAAATATCTGATGGATTCTGACAGAGACGGCGAAGTTGGAACCAAAGATTTTTCCCGATCAGTAACATGGCGAAGTCTGGAAAAGGGATACAACGGTCCCCCTCTATACTAGGAGCAGAGCTGGCAATAACCCATCCTTTCTTCTGGGCATATTCTTCTTGGTTTTTCTCATCTAGCAAAGGTGCACCCCACGTGTAACTTAAGGCTAGATATGGCGGCAGGGAGTCGATGGTAAACGTTTCGAGGGCACAAAGTTTCTGGATTGGACATGCTTCAATTCTTAGTGTTATATCTGTAAGATGGAGAAGTCGGATGGAGTCCTGACTTGGCAGCTGTTCGTACGTGTACATGACAGGTGCTTCGTCGTCGAGATCGATGCAATAGCCTTCGGAGGCCATTTCAGCCTTGCCGTATCGCTATAATATTATGTCCTGAGTTTCACAATAACCCAGAGGGCATCTCGCGCTCGCTATCGCAGTTGGGGTAGCCTTTGCGCAAATACGTATGAGAGGCTTGGGTGGTTTTGGGAGAAGCATGAGGCAGCAGCCGAGCTGAATCCAGCAACGACATCATTGGCCAACTGTCATATCCGTGAGTGAGACGCGCAAAGTATGCAGGCCAATGATCGAACAGAGTGTCTTGGAGCACGACTAGCTAACGATATACACCGTCGATAGAGAATATCATCCGCATTGCAGAAGCTTAATAGGTTCCACGAGTCGTTCGTTACTGCTCCGATATCCTCTGCGCTCAAGATCAAAGTCGCGAGCCGATCGGAGTAGTACATATAAGTAGTTCTTGTAAATCAACTGCATTATGAACTATAGGTGTTACAACTGCACTAGAAATGTGCTGAACCATGTAGTCAGCGAAACAAAGGTCATATGCAGAAAACGAGTAGTTTGACTTCTCATAACTTGATATCAAAACTCGTCCCACACCCGCAACTACTCGTAGCGCCGGGTATACCAGTAATCTTGAATTGACTCCCAATCAGTTCCATGGTGTAATCGACCGTACTCCCATTTAGTAACTCCAAGCTCGGTTCGTCGATGATGACCTTCTCTCCCTTGTCTCCCTCGAATATTGTGTCTTCCTCTGTCGCTGGCGTCTTTGACAAATCGGTCAAGTCCATCAAATACTGAAAGCCGTGGCAGCCGCCGCTTTCAATGGTTACTCGCAAGGCGAGGTTTGGGTTATTGTCCTTGGCGGATATTGTATGCAAGCGATTTGAGGCGCGAGGCGAGATGGATATGAGCATAGGGTTGCCGGAGTCGTCGTTGCGTGGGTTTTGTATTGCGTGGGCGGGCTTTGCGGATGATGGATCGGCAACTGTGGCGAGTGTTCGTCGGGGGGTGCGTTGCGCTTGCGTGAGGACTGGTGTGCGTGATTTGAAGGCTGAGACTGGCCTCAGATGTGCCTTTATGGCGGATGGTACTAGGAAGTCGAGATGTAGCGATTGCGACGTGGCGGCCGCGGTTACTCTACTGTATGCTCGCAAGGAGTAGTGTGCTGTGTTTGCAGCTTTGATGGGTGACCTTGTCCCTGATCTCGTTGCTGCACGCAGGCACGACGCACACATGGTGAATGAAGACGCCATGATGGCCGGATTGGGGAAAAGATGATGTCCAGAGTGGGAGTTGTAGGTGGAGACATTCACAGGTCCGGGTCTGAGGTCATTCTAAGAAGACGGCGCGCCAATCGCACTCTCCGTCTTACCACAGGTCTGGCCCGCTTAGTCAGGCACCAAACCCCTCCGCTATCGTACGAGCTGCTGTTTGAGGCCAGCCCCGCGCCTCACCCGCTGCAGCCCGACTTTTTGAATAATGCGGACTTAAAGACACCTGCCCGAACTCTCTTGTCTGCAATTGCGACTTCACCACGCCGAACTCTCCTCTCCCTCATCCTCTTCTTGTAGCAGGCTTTTCCGCGCCTTCCATCAGCCTTTCGCTCGTTCATCGCTGCTGGCATGCCGAAGCTTCACAACTCTTATCTGGAAATTGAGGATGCGAAGCTATGCTCGGAAGAGTTTGCGAAGAAAGAAGACGAAAAAGATGAACTGAGAAAATTGAGGCAAGAGTTTGTAATACCAACGAAAGGCGATCTCAAGACGAGAAAGTTTGGCTTCGAAACTAAAATCAAAAGCGCGTCAACCGACGCCGTTGCAGCTTCAAAAGAAGACCCTGTGGACGAGTCGATATACTTTTGCGGTAATTCACTCGGCCTGCAGCCTCAACGGACAAAGGAGTATATCAACCGATACTTGGACACTTGGGCATCTAAAGGCGTCTTCGGCCACTTCACCGAATACGAGGGAGGCTTACCCCCATGGCTACATATCGACGATGCGATCAAAGAACAGACGGCCAAGGTGGTTGGGGCACTACCGAGTGAAGTGGTGATTATGGAGACTTTGACGGCGAACCTACACTTGCTCATGTCGAGCTTCTACCGGCCAACCAAGGATAGGTGGAAGATCATCATCGAGGGCAAAGCGTTTCCTAGTGATCATGTACGTCACTCCACCGATTTCCCTAGTGCTCAGTAGCTGACCAGACAGTACGCTGTCCTCTCACAGATCGCGCACCACAACCTCGACTCATCCGCCCTCATCACCATCGAACCTCCCTCGCCGTCTTCACCATACCTCACCATTGAACACATACTCTCGGTGATATCCGAACACGCACCAACAACCGCTTTAGTCCTTCTACCCGGTATCCAATTCTACTCAGGTCAATTCTTTGATATCGAGCTCATCACACGACACTGCCGGTCGCTAGGTATAACGGTAGGATGGGATCTTGCACATGCAGCGGGCAACGTGCCATTGAAGTTGCATGACTGGAATGTGGACTTTGCAGCATGGTGCAACTATAAGTACCTCAACGGTGGGCCGGGTGTCATTGGTGGTTTATTCGTACACGAGCGGCATGGTACGGTCGAAAAAGCGCGAGCGGCCAAGGCAGACGGAATCGACGGTGGTGACAGCGCGAACGGTGCACCGACTAGAGAACAGCAGGGAAGCAATGACTCGCAACTCGTCTACCGACCACGACTGAGCGGCTGGTGGGGAAGCGATAAAAGTAGCAGGTTTCGTATGGAGAACAAGTTCGTCCCGATAGCTGGAGCAAGCGGCTTTCAGCTTAGCAATCCGAGTGCCCTAGATTTGACGTCCGTCATGGCGAGTTTGGAAGTGTTTGCGCTGACTAACATGGAGGCGTTGCGTCAACGAAGTTTGCGATTGACGGGATATCTTGAGGCAAGACTCCTACGGTATGCAGGCGGAGAAGCACCGTACAAGATAATCACGCCATCGAACCCGGCAGAGCGCGGTGCACAGCTTAGCGTTCTACTCAACCCAGGCTTGCTAGATCATGTGATGCATTACATTGAGGAACACGGAGTGGTGGTGGATGAGCGAAAACCTGACGTGGTGAGAGTTGCGCCTGCGCCACTGTATAACTCTTTTCACGATATCCACCGCTTCATCATCATCTTCCATGAGGCCTGTCGTAGAGCTGTGAAGGGCGTCGACCAAACACATACTAAGGACACAGGAGTTCCAAGCCGCATTGCTGCCACATAAGTCTCTCCGCCAGACAGCAGGCAGCATGTTGTTTCCCAAGCTCGTGGGCACGCGCACTGTTGAAAAAGGCACAGTTTCATTTCTATTTGATCAGCAACACATATACCCTGGCAACGACATGTTATTTCTTATCAAGAATATCTCGAAAGTATATTAGAACGAAGTAATGTAATATTCGAAAGTTCGAAAAAGCTACGTTATGTACCCAAACACCATCGTGACGTGAAGGAGATGAACTGTCCTATACCCAAGAGCGAACTCTCTACTCCAAAATGCTCTTAACGCCCGCTCGTACCCAAACAAAATCCACGTCTCAATATCCAAACAGGTCATCTTACGACTTCAGCGCAAAGCTGAACAGACTATCCATCTGTACCCACTGCCGCCCATTCCTCTCCAACCACCTCTCCACAACTCCCTTCAATGTGCCAAACCTCTCCCTATTGACCTCCGCCAACACCTTTAGTTTCTCTGCGCCCTCCTCGACCTTGACCCCCGCTTCGCCCTTGCCAACCCTATCTACGTCAAAGAGGGACTGGAAGTACAAGAGCTGGTTCCAGACATCCCTCTCCTTTATTTCATACGTCATTTTCCCTAAACAGTCTTTAGCCAGCCCCTTGGGACCTAAACAGCGATGGCCGTAGACGGAAATACTCCTCGTGCGATTGGAGTTATTGACGCACTGCGGATCGTCGCAGAGGAGGTTGCCGGCGTAGTATGAGGATAGGTATTGTCGGATGGAGGACTCGAGTTGAGCAACCACACTAATCGTCTGCAGTAACTTGCCACAGCCTGGACTGGGACATTGAATCCCACTATGGGTAATCGTCTGTATTGACATGGCAGTCGGAGAGGTTGATGAGAGGCCCTGGAATGGGAAGACGGTAGTGCAAGAGCGACAACGCAGCCATAGCGGTGTGCAGGCTTGGAATCGCACAGAGTCTGGGATTTGTGATTCAAGGGGGTGAATCTCCGTGTCTTGTTGTGCACCGCCCGATACTGATGACACGCGGTACTTGCTGGTGTCGAGGCCGAGACAAGCAGCGAGGAGTGTGATATTTGTACCGCTGATAGGAGCGCATAGCCGCTCTACCGGTGGCAGGATCTGTTTGTGAAGGTAGTACTCCACATCTGGCTTCAACCCACTATCCGCTTTCAGTACCTCGTCTACAGGATACGCGTTCTTCGCTGCATTTTCTGCTGAGCCTGACGACTCGCCTGTGATGATAAAGCTCATGACATCTTTAGCTTTGACATGCTTGCCTTTTGCCTGCAAGCGAAGGGCGACTTGCACAGAAGGCATGGAGCCGCCATTAGGATACTCCTTGGGGTTCTTGCCGAGCTGCGTGTAGATTGTGTATTTGCGGGTTGGGACTGTGTATTCGCGCATTTGTTTGCTGAGTTCGCGGAGATGATTGTGAATTTTCTCGACGACGGTTTCGGGGTCTTCTCCACTAAGAAGGAAGTTAAGGAGTTCGCTGTGACATGTTAGCACATTCAGTTTCTCCGGGGATGTGGTTAGACCTACGTTGAAGTCTCCTTCGAGAGCGCACAGTACTCTCGGCGCCTCATATCTAGACCCTTGACCTCAAGTTTCTCGATATATTTGCCATCAACAGGTACCATGTTGATAGCAGCATACTTCTTCTTTGCGTGCAGCAATATGCGACGGAAAACATTATCAATATCAATTTCCAAAAGCCTATAGCTGTCATTGACATCCTTCTTGAATTCGTTGCCAAGCTTCAGCGCATCCTGGATATTGTCCACATTTGTGTTGATCATGACGGAGTCAGTATCACCGTAAATGACGCGCAACATCTTCTCCTCAGCCATGTCTTTGGTCCTTCGAAGAATCTCTCGGCCCTTATACGTGGTAAGCATAGCGAGTGGTCGAGCGTAGAAACGTGACTTGGTGTATCCCAAACAGCCGTACATGGAGTTAGCGGTAAGCTTCAGAGCGAGTTGCTTGATGTCCCAAGTGGCCAATTGATCCGGTGTAGCGTCCTTCGCTTTCATGAGCTTCTTGACCTCCCGACGGCGAGAGACGAGAGTGGCAATGAGTCGAGGTAAGATACCTTGGTCTTGGTTCGCATCTGGGACCTCAGGCACTTTGTCGTCCTCCTCGGAAAGATCGGCTCGCTCGACTGTCGTGAAGCAGATGTTGAACTCCTGGATGATACTGGGGTAAAGAGAGTTGAAGTCCATGACCAAGATGAACTTGTCGTACAAGCCCTTTTCAGGCTCGAAGACGAGACCACCCTTGAACTTATCCTTCTTCTTCGCGTCTGCGCCTTCTTCACCCTCGGCTGCGTCTTCTTCGATCTTGACTTTGCTCTTGCCCCACTGCTTGTCTGGGCAGATATACTTATTCTTATAGAACTCATGGAGCAGAATGTACTCGTTTCGTTCAGCACGGGTCCCGCTCAGTGTTCGGGCCCAGGAGTTACCAGCAAGATTGGTCAAGACCTTGGTAAGAGGAAGCATCTGCACCTTCATTGAAATGGCGGCAATAAAATATGCGTCGGCCTGGCAATGCTTGACGTAGTTGAGCAGGCCTTCCTTCGTGGTTGCCCAGCTCTTTAAAGCTGCTTCATTGTCGAGCTCTTCGCGCCGCTTATTGAGAACGAGCTGGCACATCTCCTCGAGACTCCATGACTGACACTTTGTCATAAGAGACTTTCCGAGATCATTGGCGAGATCGCAAAGTAAGCGACCAGAAGCTAGCTGCTTCTCAGCAAAGAAGCTGCCACCGCCCTTGCCCATACTCTTAGGCCAATCGCTCCTCTTGAGACGTCCAATACGGTGCCACCCAGGGGTCTTCTTTTCGCGCAAACGGCTGAGTAGAACACTATAGTCCACATCATCCAGCCGGTGGCCGACGAGAACGTCTGGGTCATGTCGCTGAAACATAGCCATCAACAAGCTGAGGAGCTCCTGTTCTGTCTTCTTGAGCATGAAGTTGCCCTTAACCTTCTCGACTTCAGCCTGGAAGCCGGTTGGGAATGCAGCGCCGTTGGGTCGCATGATGGTGAAACTCTTGCACTGCATCTCGTCGACTGGAGTGGTATCGGTCAAAGAGAAGTTATCGTAAATCATGGCGCTGGCCATCAGAATCTCTTGCTTGTTGTCCTTCGCATTGAATGTCGTTCGGAGCGAAAGGCTCATGAGTGTCATAGGCGGAGCATCCAGATTGTCCGAGTTGCTCAATACTGAGATGCTGTTAGGTTTGGCGACCTGAAGTTCGAGCTTACACCAGGAGGCGTTGTGGATGGCGTTCAAGTCAGGAGCGTCGATCTTGAGCCAGCATGGACCCATGATGTTCTTCCAGAGAACGAACTGTTCGAAGAGCGAGGTATTGGTGCCGAAGACATGCGAGAAGGTTTCTCCCGTCAATTCGGCGGAAAGAGGCATCTTGTCGTACCCGTAGAGCAACTTAAGATAATCTGCTTCCTTGGGTATGTCTGCTAGCTCGAATGCATACTTCCTAGTGCATGGCTTGATCTTGTGTAGGTTGACGCGATGCTTGCTCATAATCGAGTCCACCTCATCAGACACGTCGCTTAGTCCGACCTCTTCATCGGTAGTCACTCCCCTGATATGGCGGTACTCCCGGGGTAGGAAGTACAACTTTCGGAGAATGTTATCGACCTTCATGAAGCAACTCGCGTAGTTGCCCGACTTCTTGTCTTTGACCTTGCCGAACAAACACAGACTGCCGTTGACCTCGGTGTAGTCTGTCCAAAACATTCGCAGGCTGCCATCTTCTTCTAGTGCGTCCTCTGGCCTCATTTTGCCAACGCCAGTAGACTGCGGGGCGGGGCTGCTCATAACGTTGAGCTTGCTAGTGACATCGTTCCAAGAAGATGCGTCGATGGCAGTAGAAGGTCCTACAGGAGATGAGGTGGCTGGTGTAGGGTAATCGGCCTTCTTGATTTTGGCTACTGGCCGCCTCCCAGCCATATTCACACTAGCAGTAGGAACCCCGAGGTGACCAGTAGGCTGAGCCACCTCCATCAGGTCGTCTTCTTCCTCCTCGATCTTGACCGGCGGCTGTGCTCTTCGTTCTACAGCCTTTGCAACGGGCGATGACTGTAGCGGAGGATCGCTCATGGGGACATCGTCGTCAAATGTGGGAAGGCCATCATCTGCGTATGTATTCTCCGCTGGCGGTGTATCGGGCATATATGAATCTGAGTCGGTTGTCCGCCTCTTCGTCGTAGCTGGGCGATTTTCGGATATCGGCGGGGACAAGACGCGGGTCTTTCGTCGTGCTTCGATCTTGACAGGTCGCATACGGGGTGCAGAGCGGCGGACGGGGTTAGTATCGATTTCACCAAGCAGATCGTCCATGAAGTCTTTGTCGGCGGCAGTAGCCAGCGGCTGACAATGTCAGTCCTTTCTTGAAGCTTTGCTATAAGTCAATGCGACTCACCTTCGGTTTTGGTGCCTTTGCAGCATTCTTCGCGCTGAAGTACTTGCTGATACCGTTGTTGATCTTCTCCTGCTTTTCCTTTTCTTCGTCGCGTTTACGTTTGGCTGCCACGCGTTAGTAGGCTCGCAGCTGTTATTTACATGTATGTGAGTACACACCAGCCTTTCCTTTGGCGGGCCGCTCGTCTTCTCCCTCGCTGTCCGTGGCAGCATTGCGGTGGCGGCCCTGTCCATCTTCCCACTCTTCTCTACCATCATCAACATATCCCTCGCCGTTGTCGTCGACAATGAAGTCATCCTGATCTAACCGGCTTCGGACAATCTTCTTGTATCCGTCTTCGTCGACCTCGTCGTACAATTGCTCTTCTTCTTCGACTTCGTATGTGGAGAAGCGCGTCTTGCCAGCAGCGCGATTGGCTTTGAGTTCGGCCAACTTGGCCCGACTTGCTGCACGAGACATGATGGATTATGGTTTATAATGTATTCGAGCAAGAAAAGAAGGAAAGGCGATACACGGACGACGGTTCGTGGTGGTTGCGTGCGTGGAAAGCTGGAGGGGGGATGAGTGTTAAAGTGCCAAACACGCAGGAGCGACACGCTAGTGCACGCGAACGCGTTGCGCGACTTCCCATTAACAAGCGCCAAGCCACTAATTGCCCAAATCGTTCACTCCGCCATTTCGACATCACCAACATCCAAGATACAACAAACGAGAATGGCGTCTGTATCGAAAGCTCCTCTAGTATGGATAGACTGCGAGGTATTTACACTGACAGCTATCTGAATAAACCTACTGAATCCAGTAGATGACCGGCCTGGACACGGATAACGATACTATCATGTCTCTTGCTGCCTTTGTCACAGATGCCGACCTCAATATCATCGATGAACAGGGACACGAAGCCGTCATCCACCACAGCAAAGAGCAGCTCGACCGTATGGGCGAGTGGTGCACCCAGCATCACGGCCAGTCCGGACTAACACAAGCCTGCCTGGACTCCTCCACCACCTCAGAAGATGCCGCAGAGGCTCTACTCCAGTACATCAAGAAATATGTACCGGAACGTCGGACCGCTTTGCTTGCCGGGAATTCGGTACATGCCGACAAGTCGTTTCTAGTCAAACAACCTTACAAGATTGTCACCGATCATCTTCATTATCGGATTCTAGACGTAAGTAGCATTAAGGAAGCTGCGAGACGATGGGCGCCTAAGGATGTCCTGAAGAAGATTCCGAGGAAGCAGATGCTGCATGAAGCGCGGGCCGACATCTTGGAGAGCATCGAGGAGGCAAGGTACTATCGCGAGGCTTTCTTTCTTGCGCCAAAACAATAAGCAGAGCCGTATTCCTAGAATAAAGGCTAGGTCAACCCTTCTATTGAAGTCTGGTGAGCGTATTACGAGCCCGTGGACAGCAATGTCTTCCTTCCCCATCCGCTCTCATCAGATCACACTTTGCGATATTTTGCTCGAACCTTAACGCATGCCTTCTTTGTCCCCAACGCCAGTCACGTTCGTACTGAACAGCCGTCAATGTTTCAGGACATAAGAATTAGCAAAAACAAAACATACAACAGCGGGGATTCGCCAGTGGTCACCCACCTGACTACTAATCCGCCGGTATCCTGCTTAAGTACCGCTGAGCGAACGGGAAGCGCTGAATTCAGGATCCTATGGTCGTATGTGAAGGTCTAGGCTTTTAGAAAGTATAGATACACCGTAGAAACACAATGTGGTTGTCTGGGCGTTTTGTTAGAAGCGAAGTTGGCCGAGCTATAATATCATCGGTTGTTGATTCAGTTTGGGACGCGTTGATGCGTAGCGAACACTCAGCAAACCTTGTCAGGGAAGGATGCGCACGTGCGCACAGATTTCTACACCTTGCTCTTCGCCTTTCGACATGGCATGGACACAATCAAACTTCTCTCTGGTCGCTCACCGGATGGCAAGACTAAAAAAAGCGACTCTGGACTATCATGCGAACGAGAAGATAACGTAGAAGCCGTAATTAAGCGTGGTTTTGTAAAACCGACCCGTGGGAGTCGACACTCTGTAGGTTCACAAATAGTAATGGTCAATCCGCGATCAGAGATCCCATGAAGGACTCGTTCAGCAAATGATACTCTAGAGCTTTGCTTGAAGACCTTGAGCACGGAGTCCCTTCTAGATTGAGCCACACAACGCGGCGTAATGCAGAAAACGGCATAGATGGATTCGAAAGGTCAAACACTTCACCTTCAAACTTCTTCATGGATGGTCAACAAGGCGAACAAAGTCCATTCCAATATTTAGTAGCAAACTGTAGCATGAGGGAAGCGCTACTTAAGGATCGTTGCTTTGCTCGTTGGCTCGCTTTTCTTCACTCACATTCGGTAGACCCTAAATCGGCTCACGAAATGGACGAACACGCCCCAACCGGTCTCGCGAATCAATCACTTCTCAACAAGATCGACAAGCTACGCGAACTCAACGTCAAGTCCCTCGAACTGCCCCAGCTTGTTGTAGTTGGAGATCAGTCATCTGGAAAAAGCTCGGTCCTTGAGAGTCTGACAGGCTTCTCGTTTCCTCAAGACCCTGGTCTCTGCACTCGATATGCTACACAAATCTCCTGTCGCCGCGAGCCTCGGCAGAACGGTTTTGTGTCTATCATCCCTCGCGCAGGTGCCGACGCGGCAACTGTAGACCGGCTCCGCTCTTTCAAGCGCCCCATTCCGTATCCCACGAACGAAATTCTTACCAGAATCATGACGGAGGCAAACCAGGCCATGGGGATTAGAATGAGTAAGAACGATACGGACTTGAGCCTGCAGGCCTTCAGTGAGCACATTCTCAAGATCGAAATAAACGGACCTCATCAAGAGCACTTTACAGTTATCGATGTACCTGGCATCTTTCGCGTTCCTTCGCCGCCACTCACAACGGACAGCGACGTCTTCTTAGTTCGTAATTTAGTCGAATCATACATGCAGAACAGTCGAACCATCATTCTTGCGGTCTTACCAAGCACTATCGATATCTCAACTCAGGAAGTCTTGAAGATGGCAGAGAATGCCGACCCGGATGGAATACGGACTATGGGTGTGCTTACCAAGGCAGACCTTGCCATCGAACAAGCTACCCAGGATGTGGTCAAAGAGCTCGTGCTGGGAAAACGCAATCAAGTTCGATTGGGCTACTGCGTCGTCAGAAACCGTAGCGCTGACGACGAAAAGTCCACAATCTCCGACCGTCTAGCTCAGGAGAAAGCATTCTTTATGGAATCTGCATGGAAATCCTTGGAAGGTTCTGGCAGATGCGGTATTGAATCATTAAAATCACGACTCAGTGACCTCTTGCTCACCATCTCCAAGAAAGAGTTCCCAAACGTCAAGTCTGATGTCGCTAAAAATCTAGATCAATGTCGAAACGAGCTAGAGAATATCGGACCTTCCCGCAAGGAGCAGAACGCCCAAAGAATGTACCTTGGGCGGCTAGGATCCAAGTTTCAAAGTATCACGCAATGTGCCTTGAACGGGTACTATAACAGCGAAGCCATCTTCGTAAAAGATACGAGCCTGAAGTTGATCACGGGTATAACGAGGATGAATGAAAGCTTCGCAAACGATGTGTGGAAGAAGGGACACAAACGACATATCTCTCCAAGCTGGAACAGCGAAGGCGAAGTAGCGTACGACATTGCGGACAGTGACGAGTGCAAAAGCCCTTTCAAAGAGATCCATGATAATCATCCCGAACTCCACGACATCGTTGAGATGGAAGACTACGAGTGCTCCGAGCCCAAGGCATTCAGCAATGATCCGATCACCGAGCACATCGAACGTGTCTACCAGGAGAATCGTGGACCGGAGCTAGGAACGGTAGGATCAACCACTCCTTCAAGATATACATGCTAATAACTTATGATCGATAGTTTTCAGGGGTGATTCTAGCCGTCACCTTCAAGGAGCAGTCGCAGAAATGGGAGCCCCTTGTGCTCGCGCATGTCAGCAAATCCATAATGCTTGTACACGACTACATATACAGGCTTCTCGCAAACGTCTGCCCGGACAAGCAAGTGCGCGATCAGTTATGGGGTTTCCTCGTCGATGAGCTTCGAGCGGCGTACACCCGGGCAATGGAGCAGGCTCGCTTCTTGTTGCGAATCGAGCGTAACGGTACACCATCTACTTTTAACCACTACTTCAACTCAGAGGTACAGAAGAAGCGACAGGATAGAATGAGTGCGACTCTGGAGAAAGAGGCGGGTACTTACTATACTGTTGATCGACACACTACCACCAAAGCAGTCCCTCTCACCAGCATTGGGAACCTCGTTATCAACATAGAAAACATGCAACAAATGCGTGAAGATATCTTGGATGTTCTCTCCAGCTACTACAAAGTCTCCCGGAAGCGCTTTGTCGATGTCATATGCCGGCAAGTCATCGGTCACTTTCTTCTCGAAGGAGAAGAAAGTCCACTGAGAGTCTTCTCCCCTGAACTAGTAATGGGTCTGGAAGCTGAGCAACTTGAGATGATTGCCGGAGAAGATGCGGAGACGAAGCATCGAAGAGCTATGCTGGAGGCAGAGATCAAGAATCTGGAGACTGCCATGAAGTTGTTGAGAGGTTAAGTGTACGAGAATGTTAGTGTTGGATCATCGGTAAGACTAAATTGGCATAGCGAATAGATGATAGCTACATGGAGACAAGGAAACTGCACTCTTTTGTAAAGAACTATATGTGATCATGGAATAGGGCAGATGCGATGATCACTACCTAGCTAGATACCTACTCTCCTAATGAGGCTAACTGTGGGTCACCACCGTGCGCGCAATTTCAACCCATTATAAATAGAAAAGTTAGGCATGACACCGCCAGTCTAAACGATATTGCTACAAGTGCTCGATGCCCGAGCGAAAAATAACAGATTTCTTCTTGCCTCGCTCCGCCGCTGTTTCCAATGAACGCGGCGAGAAGCGGGCAGTCAACGACACCCCCAACACACTAGGATTCAAACGCCCAAAGCAATCGCATAATGCGGCACAGGACCTTCCCATCAAAGACCCGTTGAAACATACCACCGCTCAAGTTCGGGGCCGCAGAGGCACCCCATTTTTTCATGAAGGAAGTCACGAGAGCAACAAAGGGTTCCTTGAGCAAGAGCAGAAAGGCGAAAGGGAAGTTGATGCATGGGTGCAGGAGGTCATCCCACGACTCCAAAGCGGCGAGAAGATACCAATTGGCGATGTCTTTGCCCATGAATTCATGCTCTCCTGTCCCGAGTTCTTCACGCAGTACATCGGCTGGGATCGAGATTGGTCTGCAGCTCAGCCGTACACTAGAATTGGCTTCCCAAAAAACCGGGAACCTATAGAGAATCCATTCCCGGAACTTTTAACAGCGCCTCACCAGATGTCAGCAGATATAATGCTGCACGCCGATATCCACCCAGGCGCCTGTACGACGCTTCCGTTTACTCGACGTAAGTTTGCGAGCTTGGACCCTGTGCTGATTAAGCTATTTCACTGGGAGAACAGGACCCCGAAGCAGGGGTTGTGGAAGCTGTGGTTTCTGGGTAATGGGTTCTTGAGGTTGGAGATAGATACGCAGCCGTATACTGGGAAGCCCGGGAAGCTTATGATATCCGGCATCCAAGAGAAGGGTATATCAGACACCAAGAGGGCAACCGATTCGAAAGAGGCTTCAAGCGAAGAGTCTGAGCCTAAAGAAAGTTGAACATAGAACCAGGGGGGGATGGGGAGGACTACTCCGGCGACAATGTAGGTGAAAAACCAGTGGAAGAATCAGACGGTTCCGAGGGGTCTATAGATGAACAGCTACAGAAAGCTGCCTAGCATGAGTACGAAACTAGACACAAAACCAACGACTGAAAGCGTGGCCACATACTGTGTGGAAACTCCGGATCGGTTCCAACTCTGCTCAACATGGAACGTGGTATGGCCCCCCATATGGGAGTAAATCGGTTATCCAAGATAAGAAAGCCGAGTGTTGGATCGATAGATTTGGGACAATATACCAATGGGAGAGGCGGATACAAGCGAACCTTCGGGCTGATGCATACACGAAGAGGATGAACGCAGCAATTGCCCGTAATACCAAGGGGGATATTGTTCATAGTCTAATTGACCCCGAAAACGATTACATAGATGGGCGGCGATGCTCAAAAAGGGTTACCAAATTCATGCTCCGGGTATCTTGTTCCTTGGTGTCTTTTGACCCGTTCGTGCGCGCTCTTTGCGTGCCTTTTTGGCCATGCTGCGATGAGAACGGAGGTTGAACACTTGGAGCTGACGCTGTTTCATGCCAAGCCGGAACTAAAGTGGTTGATAGTAAGAGACACAGGGGGAAAGGGGCCATCGCTGAGATTTGCTAGTATGCTGAACTCAGACACGACTAGGTATGCGGGCGCCTGGATATCATGACGCTCAAATATGATGTTTCTACAAGAATACTCGCTAATATGTCTTCCTCCCCACAAGTCTTCGATTCTTTGGTCTTAAAGGTCTAAATGGCCTAAGCGTGACAACAGCCTAATGAAGGCACTGCCTCCTTTATAGCTGTCGATGGGACTAAACTGGTAAAAGAAAAGCAAGGAGAGAAATGTGTGAGAACTCGTTGCATCCCATGGTGATTCGATAGCCTCTATCAACGTGATTAAATGGCAAGTGATTGAAGTCTCGCAATATAGAAAAGTTAATACTCCTTGACTGAGTAATGTAGCAGTAATGATCGAAACCACAGTAACTCTGCGTCGCACAAAACAGGGCAGCCATTGATGTAGAGCCACTCTAAAACATCTAAATTGATATAAGGTACTGTATTTCAGAAGGCTTGTTGGTCACCTTCGAGGACGTCCAATCCGGAAAGGAGCAACCGACACGTCTCGATCTGGTTTGTCCTCGACTTGGATGGAAGTACTACGACATATATTAAAGGAGACCAGTCAATGTCGTTCATGTCAGGCATCAGTCCGTAGTCGAGGAGTAATCGACATAGTCGGGTCTAGAATTCCGTGCAGCTTCCCAAGTAGCCGGTTAGACATACATTGTAGTCAAAAGATGGCGGCGACTTACGTGAAGCAAAGGGAATTTATGGTTGTCCCGCGTGTAAGAACGAAGCGTACGAGCTCGTTCGCTCCGCATTGGTTCTGGGATCTGCATGCATACTCCGACCGGTCAGAAGGAGAATCAGCAAGAGCAACTAGTATCGTCAAGATGCCAAGAAATTCAACAAACACATAACCACAAGAATACCAGTCATGTCGAGCACATTCCCATGTTATGGTCAAATATCTTCGTTCTTATCAATTCTACCATCTACATGCATTCTTCATTTCCGCTCAGAAAAACACTCTAGCACATCATGCTCATCAATCATGCAGGACCGATCATCTCTATATGAAAAAAAAAACCCCGACCAAGGATATAAACTCCACTCATGCAAAAATTCCCGCAGTTATTCATGCCACTTTTTCTTTTTGCGAAACTTGGCAGGCTCATTAACAAAGAACAAGTAGCCCACAACCAGGATAGTACCTGGATCTAAAAAGCATGAACATGGACCGGCTAGCTCCGGTCCTCCTGAAAGGGGGTATGATTGGAGAAGTGAATAAAAAGCAGAACACGTGGTAGAGTAAAGGATACAGAATGCTACAAAATGGACATGTGAGAAGGTGGTTGTGGCCGTGGACAAAATCGTGCCGAATGGAAGGTGTGAAAGAGGAGACATGACGTTCATGGTTCGGTGAAGGGTGATGTAAGGGTGGGTGTCGCTAGGAGGGCGACGCCAATAGTGACGAGAGTCACTAGGAGTCAAAGGATGCTGCAACCGTTGCCCGAAGACCTGTTGGTATGCTGTCAGTATTTGGCCTTTAAATAACCGAAGTATTCGGATCGAGAGCACGGCGGGAAACCTCCAGCTGCCATGCAATATAGTATCGTCATTATTACATGTCAATGCCGACGTTGACGAAGGGTCCCAACGGCATGTGCATATGCTGCACGACACCGTCGATCGCCGTTGTTCCGTGTGACCCCGGTCCGGGTGCCTGAACGACTACCGGAGAAACGGACGAGAAAGGAAATGAGGTGGACTTACAATCGCTGCCCACGAATCCTTCCGATCCACGAGTAAACAATCTTCAAGCGCTCGCGGACACGCGTGGTTTGTAATAGTAGATACTTTTCCTCTTCTAGGATTGGTACCACAGACGCGAACCAATACGGGAATATTGCGGGATCCTCAGGTGGTTCGCCATAGACCTGGATGATGCGTTCGCGAAGCCATGGTGCGCTGGACTCTCTCATCTCTCGAACGAAGGCGGTGCACGCATCGAGCAATTGTTGTGTTGACAGGGTCTCCAGAGCTACGTTGGTAGGCAGTTGAGTCCGCGGATTTGCGCGGAAGAATGCTTCGGCATAATCTCGTGCCATGGTTGTCTCACGCTGCTCCAGGGCTCCTTCTTCCGCGAGGGAAACATCCTCCACGCGCTCAATACGGCTGACATTGTACCCGTCTAGCATGCCATGTGCCTTGACCTGGAAGCGGCCTACACCTCGTGTCTCGATGAAACTGCGTCCGTCGCGGAGGAGTTCGTAGTTGACAATCTCGAGTAGAGTTCCGTATTCCAGGAACTGGGTCGCACCAAGATCGCCTTGTGCAGCGTGTGTACGGTTGTACATGACCATGCCGAATTGCCTGTTGCCTTCGATTACGCGTCGCATCATCAGTCGGTACCGAGGTTCGAAGACGTGGAGGAAGGTAGGCATCGCCGGGAGTGACAATGTGCAAATGAATAACGGGGTGCTAAGGACGTCGTCTCCAGCCTGTTCTTCTGCTCTCAGAGCTGCGGCACGCGCAGTGACAAGATCTGGACATAATGCGTTCAGAATGGAGTTGAGTGTGGAATTGCTGGATTGATTCTGGAGTGAAGCAGGCACATGCAATCCCCTTCGGCAGAAAGGACATATGCTACTGTGATCCATAGCGCGCGCGAGACAGCGACGACAGAAAGTGTGGCCACACGTGGTAGTCATCGGATCCAACATTAGATTGTAGCAGACCAGGCAATCCATCTCTTTAAGTGCAACGTCGCGCAGACGCTCGAGGAGGGCGATGTCCAGTTTCCCGTAGTCGTCTCCATTTGAAGACATGGTCCGATATTCTGTTTCGGAGCTGTAGCGAAGCTCGCCTGTTTGGGCCATGGTGAATGTCGACACCAAGCGTCCACCGTGCAGCACCTGCTGATGACCCTTTTCATATACTATCTCCTTCTCTTCCGTGAACGTGTCGTTATTCTGCAGGGTCTCTTGGACAAGTGTCGGAGTATCTTCCGTAGCTGGTTTGTGCTGCGCTATCTCCGCCTTGATCAGTTCCATCAACTTGGCCAACGTCACATCCACAGAGCACTCTGCCGCCGCGTGCTCGGCCCCACAGCCACGCAGCGGACATGCGATACCAGTCAGTCGCTCTGGTGTATTCGGATATGATATATTCGCACGCGGTTGGGGCGCGGGTAGGCAACTGCGACAGACAGTGTGACTGCATGGCAGTGTGACCGGGGTGCTGAGAGGACGAGAGCACCGCGGGCACTGCACAAGACGCACTAGCTGTCTCGCATCGCGGTGGGCGTCCAAGGCGACAACCTCCTGAGCCTCTACCGAAGACTCATTGTCGATCATCAAGTCTTTTGCAGACACCGGAGGCTCAAAGGTAAGCTCAATACTGTTAGCGATTGAGCACCCTTTCGCCCTTTGGCAATTCATGTAGATGCAGTGTGTCGCGTGATGGCTCCGTCAGCCATGTATTGCTCGAGAGTCGGCCGATGTGGTTTGGTCTTGGGGTGCGGCGAGCCGAGGCTTGGGGGGTGAATGAGTGAGGTGAGGGGGTGAGGGGTGTAGATTGAAGCGGGGATGTAGGCTCTCGAATATATATGGCAAACCCGAGGTTTTCAAGAACAGATCACACCTCAGCGGCAGTAGTGCGAAGTAGAAAGTGATGGCGGCTTCCAGGTTCTAGGCTGGCTGGTAGGGCTGTCAATCAAGGGTGCTGATGCAGGGACGGATGACGACGGCAGCGACCGAGGAATGATAAGTATTTCCAAAAAAGACTATGGTAGCTTATAATAGTCCAGGGTGGCAGCAGCAGGTCCAAGTGTACGGAAACAGTGGTAGAAAGGTAGAAAGGCTAGAGGGGAGGTGCCAGAGCAAGGCCGGGCGGAGTCAAACAAGAGAAGGTTGAAGCGGTCATCCATCTTCCCAAATAGATGACAGCTTCACGGATCGGCGATGGTGTTATACGCATGGCAAAGGACCGCTTTCGATAAGCTAGCTACCCACAAACAGGGTCATTCGAATCGAGAGCCATGCCCGTCATCGGGCTTCCCGCTAGGCGAACCCAGGGCCAAGCCTGGTATAAAAAAAATGCACGGTCTTTCTCCAACCACAGGTACCGGTTTGCGTGCTGGCGCTTCATGCGTTTAAAAGACACCTATCGCGAAGACACACCGGTGTAGGGGCGAATGCGGGCTACTGTCTCTGGCTGATATGCGCTAACAGCTCACTCTTTTCAATGCTTCTGCTGCGTAAAACGTGATCAGCAAATGGGCGACAAGCCATGGTTGAAATTTCACTCTGCGCACCACCATGCCCTATTACCCCCCCCTCCCTCACAGCGTGCGCGCAAAAACTCTCTCTGCAAGGCAAAAGCTGTTTGGGTATGTAAACGGGGTGCGCGGCCTTGCCAGAGTCCGGCGTTCGCGGACTCCCAAGGAAGCGAATCCAAGCGTCATTGATGTAGTCGCGTCAAAGAAGCAGGCGACCAATGGTAGCGAAGATGCACTAGCGGTACCGAAATGCCTCCATCCATGTGCTACCGGTGCATCTGTCATTTTGCGGAGGCTCGATCGAGGGCACGCCTAGCCGCTGCGGAAGGACCCTGCCTTTCGTGACGGATGGTATTCATATACACTAGCTAGCACATGCTCGTTCATCTTCAATGTTGACTTTGTGAATATGCATTTGCACGAAGCCATCCGGTTTCGTACAGTTTCCATCCATGAGTCTGTGACGCTTTCAATTCACAATCAAATACTACAATGTGCCTCCTGACAGCGCAAACACCATCATCCGCCGATGACTTCCGGAATGAACGCTAGACACGCTTGCGTGGCCACCCCGTACCACACACAAAGTACCATGGGCCTCCCATATGCAAAAGAAGCCCCCTGAACCGACCGTTAGAATGCTCGAGCTGACACAGGAACTATGGTACAATGACTTTCTTGTATGCTCCCCAACGCCAATAATGATAACATCGGGTTCGTATCGCATGAAGCAACATTTCAGCATGTCTTCGTTGCGCCGTTCGTATCCATTCGCTCCGGTTCTGACTCGTAGTCCGAGTCACTGCTTTCCTCTTCCTCTTCCTCTTCAAGCACAATCCGTTCCAGCACCCGCTTGTCAAACAGATCTAGGACGAACCGACATGCCGGGAGGCGGAAGTGATGTGCCTCCAGTATTTGCATGACCTTGTGAAAGATGGATGGCCTGCTGAATCCAGGTACTTTTTTAGATTTGATCCTGTTGCATTTGCATTAGCGTGCGACGTAGGATACCCGATCAAGATGTACTGACGTCTGTAAATCATTTGCAGCCTTCTTTGCTAGCACCGTGTTACCCAGGTCGGTTGCATGCTTCAAAATGCGCGCATTCACCGGGTCGCTATCCGTGACCGCAACTCTGACTTCTGCTTCGCGCTTCCACTCAACGTCGTCCGATTTTGCGGCCCATGGCGTCATCTGTAACTGATTAACGACTTGTTGCAAAGTCTTAAGCAAAGGTACTAACCGCAAAAAGCTTGTTAAAGTTCAAGGGAAGACAGAATCCTAATGCTTCACCAGCCTCGTTAACGACCCCATCCCACCCGTACTCAAGCAGAATCTCCTGACCGTGAAGACTTCTCGAAATCAAGCCTAGTACGTAGAAGGCCGTACCTCTGAGCGACATGACCTCAGATTGTTCGGCAATCTGCACAATCCACTTGACTACATCGGAATTCTCAAGGAATGGTGCGCCTAGCTCCATGGAACCGACATTCCCAACCGCCCATAAGCAGCCTTTGACTTTGAGGATGATTTCTGAATCATCATTTTCCATGGCAAAGTCACGGATGGAGGCTGCGAACTCATCGAAGTGACCTTTTTGTCGGAGCAGTTTGCATCCCTCTTTTGTCCTGGTAAGTTCTCGATAGAAGTGCGGAGGCACGAGCCCGTACTCGGTAGGTTCAGGCGTGTCATCATAGGTCAAATGCGTGGCTGGCTTCTCGGGTATGTCCGCTAGAGCGCGAGCCACTGAAGCTTCGATCAAAGCCACATAAGTATCGTTTCTTCCCAAGAACCAGTCATCCATCTCTCTCGTGATGTAATCTAGTCCGTCGAGATAGTGGTACCCTACCGACGTTGACAAGAACCGCAGGAGCAGAGGGGCACCAATCTCACCCAAATGATCCAACGCAGGGCGACATTTCACCACAAACTCCAGAGACTCTGTTTGGTTGCAAGCCTCTTCGAGAATCTTGATTGCAACTTCGCAGACCTCTACATCAGGGTCATAGAGCTGCGTCACAAGTAACCTGATAGCCCACTCCGCAACGCCAGTAGTACCGGTCAACTGCATTGGCTTCGTCGCGTACTTGCGTAGCAATCTGGTCGCGAAGATTCGGACTTCCTTCGAACATGACGTCATAGCTTTGGAGATGATGATGCGTAGATGACCATCTAGGGTGTAGTCCATGTTGCTGAGAAGGGTCCGGATCAAGTCGTCGCGGTCATTGAGCTCGACAATATGGTAGAACATGTTGATGACTCTCCACCTTTCCAGTATTTGGATGCCTTTCGGGTCTTTCGTCAATGCACCCAACAGTGCGAAGTAACCGCCGGTGAGCGTCTCGTTCATGCGATCTGCTTGGAATATGGGCGACTCCGACGTCAGCCCACTCATCCTGTCAAAGTGCGACAAGCATTCTGCGAGCTGACGGATGAACTTGCTCTCGCCAAGGTATTTGACTCCCTCGGGGTTCTGTAGGAGACTGTGCATCAGGGCGCAACCCGCTCGAACATACCGCTGATTTGGCTTTGTGTTCTTGACCTCAGAAAATCGGTATTTAAAGGGTCGGTAAAATCCTAGTAGACGATGGACAAATTTCGTTACTTTCATGGCTTCGTCTAGACGCTTAGCATTCAGCAGGGGGCCCTCAATGATGGTGTGGATCAAATCCCATCTCCACTTCTGGAAGGAGACTGTATTTAGGACCTGGGTATCAAGCATCAAAGACCTGAATTGCGCTTCATCCATCTGCATGGCCGCTTGTACCTTGGACTGGTCAGTTTGTCGACTGGACGAGGTGTTGTCAGCACTGGCAGTACCCTTATTTGGGTATAGCGATGTAGGTCCTGATCGGTAGAGTGTTCTGTTGATGCTGTCGACTTGATATATCGTTCCAATGGCAACAAAACGGTCCTCTGACTGGAATTTTGCAGCAGAGTGCAATAACTGGGGGAGCACTTGCAGTTGTGCGCTCCAAGACGGCGGCAAAAGTTCGTTCGCCATTTTCAAGACTTCTCCAAGTAACAGTGTTGTCTTTCGCTTTAGTGGCAGTGTTAGAGGCTCTTCGTCGGCGTGCAACAACGCAGGTACCAGTCCTGCATGCAGGAACGCTGCCAGGACGACCGAGACATAATGATCTAGTAAGCTCCACTTATTTGTGTCCGTCTCGATGCTAGAAGTGGTGGCTTCCTTGACTTGTTGGTTCTTGAAATTTGTGACGCGGCCATACGTGGTCAGTCGTCGGCCTGCGAGGAAGGAGGAAGACCATGAAGGAGGCTTGATCCGGAGAAGATCGAACAAGAGCTCTAGGATAACGTTCCGCACATGGGGTGCTGGGATCTGTAATGATAAAAGTAGAGATCGGAGAGGAAGAAAATCGTTCATAGACAGAGTAAGCAACCCCGGCCAGCTTCTGAGTAAGGACGCGATAACCTTGGCGTTCACTTTGAGCTTCTCCTCGTGTAAGTACCCATGGGTCAGGCTTGCATCGGTGAACAAAGCAAATGGAGCCTCCAACTCGCGACCAGAGCGCAAGTATCGACGCCGCCGCGGCGTATCTAGAAGATACAAAAAGGACATGCCAATACTCTCAGCAGCTTGGTAGCTTCCTTCCCCGAGCGCATCGGCCAGCGCTCCCATACCACCAGCGGTAACGAGAAGAGATGGCTTCCGAACGAGAATCTCGGCAAGAGTCAGGATTGCAATATTTCTGAGGCGGTCTTCCGCATGTTCAGCTACTGCCACAATGATGCGAACTACCGCACGGGCAATCTCCTCAACACCACCTTTGACGTCCAGGAAGGCTCGGACGAACTTCAGAGCCTGCTCGCGCTCCACGCTAGCTTTGCTCTCTTTCACCAGTGATAGAATGACCAGATAATCCGTGTGTAGTCCTCGGATAATCCGGAGAGATTTGCGGTCGGTAAAGGCATAGCGCATGACACGATAGGCAGCTGCCACAACCTCGCGACTATCGCTAAGGAGCATCGTCTGCATCCTCAAGCCAAAGATTGACCAAGCCAGATCGTACTTGAGCGTAGGGTGTCGTTTGAACAGAAGGACCAAAGAGTTCGCCCGCTCCACGTAGTACTCTGGCTGCATGCCCTGCACCTCCAGCGCCTGTAGGATTTCAGCTAGCACAAATGTTGGCGACTCTGTCTCTTCGTCCTCTGTTTCAGCCTGCTTGATGACATGCCGCGACGGCGAACGCGACAGATTTCGACGAAATAGATACGAAAGTCTGCTCTGAGGATCCGCTGGCGGTGATTTGACGTCCTTTGCCCTTTGGATCTCTGCGGCCAGTACTGCCTTTAATTGCACGAGCTTTCTATTCGAGATGTTGAGCTGCTCTTCGACCTGCAGCCTCTGATCTCTCGTATTCTTTGCGTTCTTTGCATTCAATGCCTCTAGCAGGTTTTCCGACCCGATCTTTATCTTCGTCTCCTTCTCAATCTGGTCCTGCAGCTCAGCCTGCCTCTGTTCGGTGGTTGTATCATCGTTGTCCCCCACGGTAATCGCGTGCATATCAAACTCTGGGCGCTGTCGGCCATCTTGTGATGTCGTTGGCCGGGTCAGCTGGGAGTTGAAGCTGCCCGGGCCCGGATTCGCCGTCGCGTATGACGACTTGGTAGTGGACGACAAGGAGCGGCCATCTCTAGTGGGCGGGAGTAGTGAGCTCTGTGCTGTAATGGGCACGTCGGCCTGCGTGTTCGCGGATCTGGCGATTGGAGGCGTCATGAGCATGCCTTAACCGTGGGCTCGCGAACCGCATCGCATTTCTTTTATCCCGGCGGAACCTCCTCTTGCCTCATGGGGTGTTCGCGTGTGAGTGTCAAGTTGGCGGTGCTTGATCGGACGGTTGTGGCCAGCGGGCCGTGAGGCTAGATAGAGTGTGGCGCGCAAGGTGGGGTTAGGGAGTGTGTAATGCGAGTAATGACAGTGAGTGAATGAGATTGCACGTCACAACAGCTTGTGCATCAACATGCAGCATTGGGAAGACATGGCCTACCTCTCGAGTGGAACCTTGCCCAGCCGCCCTACGACCTACGACTCGGTCCGTGCATAGGCGTTCCCGCCGCATCTCCAAGGCCTCTCGGCTGCTGCAGCGCGCCGACGGCCTCAAACCTCACCATTCTGGCCTGATATGGCGCACAATTCAACCCGCCGATGCTCCGAACTCCACCAGCTCTGCAGTCTGGTCGAGCGGAGTTGGCCTGAAAGAGTCACGTGCACAGGCATCCTGGAGCCGTTCCATCGATCTTCGGCGAGCTCCGATCTCAACCAATGCGAACGCATCCTTGAAGCCTCTTTCGTCTGTGTATCAGAGCTCGTCGTGCTCTATTCGTGAAGGGCAACATAGCTACAGACGGCCACCTCCGCATATGCTAAAGTTCCGATAAGACATCTAGCTGAGGGTATAACTACCGTCACTGCCCATCATTGATAGCTACCATCAGTTACATTCCACCTTGAATTGGCCTCCAAGCTACTCACTGCAGTTACTGTTTGCCTGCCCCAAGCTTCCTCTCAAGCTAAACAGCATCAACTCTCACGTCGACAGTTTCAATCGCCATGTCACAACTCAGCTACGCCCGCTATGGCAAGGACAATGTCCGCCTGTACAAGGTTGATAAGGACCCCAAGACCGGAATCCACACTATTGTCGAGCAGACTGTTCGTATCCTGCTCGAGGGAGATATTGAGACGTCGTAAGAAGCCCAATGGCCATAACCTCCGACATCTACTAACGGTCCCAGCTATACCAAAGCAGACAACTCAGTCGTGGTTGCGACCGACACCCAGAAGCAGACCACCTACATCCTCGCAAAGCAGCACCCAATCGACCCACCCGAGCAGTTCGCCGCCATCATTGGCAATCACTTCATCTCGACCTACCCGCATATCCACGCCGCACACGTCAAGATCATCCAGCACCGATGGACTCGCATGAACATTGACGGCAAGCCTCACCCACACTCCTTCTACCGCGACGGTGAGGAGATCCGCGTTATCGAGTCCGTCACACGGGAAGGCGAGGGTGTCTCTATCCGCTCCAAGATCGAGAAGCTGCTGGTCCTCAAGAGCACTGGGTCTGCTTTCCACGGCTTCCACCGTGACGAGTATACCAAGTTGCCAGAGACGTGGGACCGCATTCTCAGCACGGAGATTGAGGCTGGCTGGCAGTGGAAGCTGTTCAAGAGTATGTCTGAGGTCAAGGCTGTTGACTTTAATGGCGCATGGAAGGCCGCAAGGGACATCACCATGAAGATCTTCGCCGAAGACGACAGCGCCAGCGTCCAGGCCACCATGTTTAAGATGGGCGACAAGATTCTCGCAACGGTTCCTCTGGTTGAGGCCGTTGACTATGCTTTGCCCAACAAGCACTACTTCGAAATCGGTAAGCCTCATCCGACACACCTTGATGCAGAATATGAGTTAATATGAGTTATAGATCTCTCATGGCACAAGGGCATCGAGAACCTAGGCAAGGATGCCACCGTTCTCGCTCCTCAGTCCGACCCGAACGGTCTTATCCAGTGCACCATCACGCGCCAGGGCACCAAGTCCAAGCTATAAATCAGCTCAACATAACGATTTGATGACTTGACTTCTTGCATATCATATATGGCGTTCGGCATGGCTAGGGTCGATTGTACAGTGAGAGTAGCACATTATACCATTTGAATAGGGACTGGGCGTGGGATTTGGGGACGAGTGAGAGTAGAAACCTTCTACGAGTAGAACAAATTGAACTGTCACTCGTGATAAAGCTATAGCTGTGCCTCTTGAGTTACCAATCTTGAAATAATAATACATAACTAGACCGAGCTACGTCTGAAGACCTGATGACAAGTGCAGGCGCGGATGGCATATGACGTCTCAGGGAACATAGATCATTCAAGAGTACTGTCTTGAATCTGTGTTCACTATTGTATCGTCCTCAGATGAAATAGGACACTTATTCAACTCAGCTTATCACATTAAAAACGTTCTCCTTGTCGTGACCTGTGTAGGTTGTCTGTTGAACTGAAAGGTCAAGGTAAGAAAGTCTTACTAAGCAAACCCGGACCCCAAAAGTTTCTCGAACTCCATCATCGGTAGCGCATCAACAGCAAGCTCGCAGCATCACCCTAACCGACTCTAATTCGAACCTAATCCGATCAGTACGCGCCTGCGACCCCGTTCCGACAACTACCTACGACTAACAACGAAACGCAGCTCTCGTCAACCCATATCCACCACAATGCCCCCCAAGCAAATCCACGGAAAGGGCGGTCGCACCCTCGCCGAGCCCAGCTTCGCGCGCAATGCTATCCGGACATTTACGAGCGCGGAGAACAGGGGTGTTGTCTCTGCCGTTGGCATGTTTGCTGTAAGACACTACAATCCTTTGGTAGATGACGAGCCAGTGGAGGGCTATGGAGTAGACAGGAAGGGAAAGCCTGGACAAGACTATGATGAATTTGATGACCATGGAACGCTGACAGTATTTTCGCAGATTGGCGTCGCATTCCTGCACAGCAGCTGGGCCGAGATCCTTCTTCCTGCGTAAACGACGGACCGCAGTCTAAACATTACGAGACGAGCAGGCCGAGAGGCGAGCTGCCAGAGGATAGGAAGCTGCCAAGATGCGAAGCTACTTGATGAATCTTTACAACATGTAAAAAGTACGGTCTTTGTTTGGGCTGGAAAGCATCAGAATGGCGTTCAGGTACACCTTGGGGGTAGGCAGACCCAGGTCCAATCTATCCGGCAAATGCCATGGACTTGTAACATATGTGTATATCACGACTCATCACACACACACACCTTCGGTTTCGTCTTCTTGACCTACTCTTCAGTCATATTTTCATCATCACACCGTTATCGAACGATACGTCACAGTCGGTCCTATCTATAGGCCTGAAACACCTTCTGCATCGAACGCGTCCTAACACCATACCCACCCACGTGTCCATCCACTCAGCTGGAACGTCCAAGAAGACCAAGAACCGGTCTTTCCGCGCACTGCCGGTTCGCTTTGCTTCACATCCTGCTCTTTCCCTTCCTCCCACCCAGACGTGCATTGCCGCACGTGAAGCACAAAGCCACAGTCGAGTCTCACATCCAACATGTCATGTCGGCCTTATCCAAAATTACCTAATGTGATGATCTAGGTGCAGCGGATTTGCCATGCGGTACATTTATTCGTCCATATCAAAACAATATGGTCTGATGGCTCGCGTGGTATCCTCGGTTTCGAAGCGCCCTACGCACGCATGCAGCCGCCGTCCAACACAGCCAGCCCCAACAGTCTGTCTACGCCGCGAGGATTTGTTTCGTTCCTACAGTATGTACAAATGTGGCACGGTGATGCGAGTATTTGTGTTGGTGGTTGGTATTATTATAATTGGCGTGCGGCGCAGATACCGGAAGCGCTGGTGGCTTTTGCTTGCGAGAAACATACGCCTCTATGGTATCCACCTTCCCAGCCACCGTACGGCAGTTGCGGCAGTGTTGGTTACTATTGATAATGCTGCAATGTACTAATGCAACAGGTGCTGTGGAATCACAATCACGTCCTAAATCAAGGCACAGTACGCAGTAAGATGTTAGGCCAGTGCTATCTTTAGAATGGGGGGATTGTAATTGCATCACAAACGAGATTGGTGTAGATTGTGATTTTTATAGATTACGGTAACTTCATTCGTACGTACATACATGCAAGCCGACAAACGACCACTTCCCAAGGTCAAAAATTCTAAAGCGGATCAACAGTCCGGCTGTGAAGAGGTATATGGATACGGGCTAATGATGATGTGCTCGCTAACATTACAAGATGCGTGGGCTAACAGAATATGCATCGATGCAACCACCAGCAGTGGAGTTTGGTGAGAAAAGGAAACTAAAAATTCAAATGTGTATGGTAAATGTCGTAAGAGTTGCGTGACGCTGGGGTATCTCTAGTCTATACTTCTTTAACCCAAACCTGCAATTTGTTAGCATGAGACCGAATACTTTGTTAGGGAGTAGAGAATCACTGACCTCCATCTTTGCCATGTCGCTGCCTTCCTTCCTCGCAGTGCCCTTTGCTGTCTGAATAGCCATATCCAGATCGTCTTGATCCGCCATGGTAATCATATCGCCATCGTCCTTGATCTCAACCTTGAAGTTGTTTCTTACGCCGAACTTCTCGCGGATCGACTGCCAGAATTCGCGTATTGTTTGATCCTGGTTGATGAAGACATAGCGTGTGTCACCAGCGTGGACCTTGACTCTAATCTTGCTGCCAACTCCGCGGTTGCTGACACTCGATTTGGTAGAGCGTGCTGGTGATCGTCTCCGAGTTTTGGTACGCGACAACATTTCGAACTCTGCGTCGTCAAGATCGCTGCCGTCGTAGTCTTCCTCATCTTCCTCCTCAATGTATGCAGGTCGCCGCCCTTGCTTTGAGCGAGGGTATGCACCACGACTACTACGCGAGTTCTGATACCCGTCGTCGTTGTCATAATACTCGTCGATGATATCGTCATCTGATCCACGACGACGCCTGTATTCACGCGGACGGCTGCGCATGGATTCGGCACGGGTTGGCGGAGGCCGTTCAGAAGCAGAGCGTTGTGTGCCCTGGCGACGAGGCTCACTATTGCTTTGCTGGTCAAACGCAGCTCTTCCGAGGTTCAGCGGTTGAGGCTTGGGGCCACCACCGCGTACAGATTGGGCACGGGTCATGGGACCATCGCCGTTACCTCCACTGCCACCAGATCTCCGATCTGCCTCCGGTGGTGGTGTGGGAGGGAACATATTGCGGTTCATGGGCGGCTCTGATTGTTGGCGTGATCTGCTCTGGAGCTCTGGCTTGACGAGGTTTGTGGCGGCGAAGGAAAGCTTCTCTTCCGGTCTGTCGTCCTTTGCTTGCTGGCCTCCCTTCTTGATCTCAGAGCCAGCAAATCCAGTGAAGGCATTTGATCGGTCTGACGCGGCGACTAGACGAGCCTTCCCGAGGTAGTCTTTCGTCTTTAGGTTCTTGACCTTGGCGTCATTAGGACGGTAGACAATGCCGACTGGAATGGAGAAAACAGTGTAACCCTAGGTAATGTCAGTCCGAAGTCTAACTAGAAGAGTGCCGAGTCCTGTACCTCTGCTTCCTCCCTGATGGCCTCATCGATCACGTCGTGGTCTGGGACAACCTTCTCTTTGGCTGCGAATGACAGGTCCTGCAGGCCAGCGTCCCTCTGCTGAAGATAGATGTAGCAGAGACCGCGGTTGAAGAGGACTTCGCATGAATACAATTTAAACTTTAGGCCCAGCTGTTCGTAATCGATGTTGTTGTTGCCGCGCAAATACAGGAGCGTGTCGTTGAAGTTGGCGAGGGCTTCCTCGAAGTCTCCCATTAGGAAGTTTGACACGCCCTGCTGGAAGTAGGCGACGGCGAGATAGCGGTCCAGGCCCACGGCGCGCTGGTAGCAATCGACCTGCGTCACCATCAGCACGTGCTCTCTTGCACATTCCGAGGTCTTGTTCTCGACTTACTGCCTTCTCATGTTCGCCCAGCGTCGCATGGATTACGCCGCAATTGAACAGGATCTTGGACGTATCCGCAATGCCGTCGAACGTCTTCAATGCCTCGTCGAACTCGTTGCTGTCATAGCTAGCGAGGGCTGCCACCCAGGTCTCGATTTCCTACCCCGCAATCAGCAATTGACTCGCAAGTCGCAGACGGAGGCGCGCACCTGCTTCAGAGACATGACGAGCGAGTGTTCTTTCACTGGTTACCCGGCAGTATGGTGTCGTCAAGCCTCAGCTGACTGTCTCTTCTACCACTCCACGGTTCGGGGAGAGGTACGGTTCCGTCTCAAGCGCAACCAGCTAGATGTCCTCCTCTTCGTTTCTACCAAATGATAGCGTAGCCACCGGGGCTTCGAGTTTGCGCAACGCTGAGTATGAGTAGGTGGTGGATGGCGCGGTTCTGCTATTATACCGAGGTAGCTAGACGTGTCGTCGAGGCGGTGCGCGGGGGAAACGATCGTACTGCGTGCAAGTAGTATTAAGGCACAAGTTGGGAAGCCGGACGAGGGAGAAGGAGGCTTAGAGGGCACGACTTGGAGAAGACAGGGACCCGGTGGGAATTCGGCGGGCGGTTGCAGCACTTACCCAGTCACCCAGGTGGGGAGGCCAAATCTGAGGTCCAGCGCGTCTGAGGACAACCCTTGGCTGGCACCGGGCCTCTGGGCGCTGATTGGCCGCCTGCATCGTGAATCCGACATCCACGGCGCTTGGAGGCTCTCCCAGGCCTGTCAACCTAGCCTCTTCCCAGCATGACACCACCACTGCCATCCCATATCACAGTGCACTAACGGCGCTTTCCAACGGCGCTTCCAAGACCACCGCTTCGTAAGCCTGCCATCACAGCGAATGCTGCCAGCGTAGCAGCGCGGCGACCCTCGCAAGTCGCCTCTTACGATAATGGACTGACGGCGTTTGAGGTCTGTTACATGGCAATCTTGCAACTTGAGACAGCCACGTGACGGGTGCTCTTCCTAGCCACTCATCCTGTCGCCTTGGGCTTCTAGGCATGAACGCATAACCTCACCAGGCTTCGCGACTCCGTCTTCGCGCAGTGTTAGTTTCGGCCTAGATTACAACGTGCCTGCGTTATCACCTGGCCACCGAATACAGCAGTTGGATGGCATTTCATTCTTCTTGGAGAGCTTCATCTATCTTGGCATATCATAGTGCTCATAGCATACCACGGTCCCGCTGTTCCTCTCTCTCCTGCCACACTGTCTTTCCAGAGCACGAGCACACGGTTTTGTCATCTTCAGGCGAGCAGTCGTTAGCAGCTGTGCGCACGAAAAAGGAAAGCGAGAGGATAGATGAAGGATAAGAGAAGAGCCACTCACTGTCCCAGACGCCAGCGCTGCGTGCAATGACGCCCACTAGCGTATCCGGATCATTCTTATCGAACTGCTAGGGTATTAGTTCCGATCAAGCACGGATATCAGTTCTGCATACCTTTCCATCCTGTTCTCTTGCAACCACTATGCTGCGGCCGATCATCTCCCAGATCTGAATAGGTTTGTCAAGGAAGACAGCACCATCGCCCCCCTTCCCTACTTCGACTGTGCCAAAGATGCCTCGAGAAGGTTTGCTCTCTTTTTTTGCGGTCAAAGCTTCCCAGATGCCACCAGTAGATTCAGGACCCTCAGATATGTCTCCAGATTCTCGAACTGTGGCATGGTAGGTTCCAGGAGATAGTCCTCTTATACTCAGATCGACGACCGTGATACCGGGAGCAACTTCGACCATGCGCGCCAATCCGCGTACCTTGTTCTCTACATGAGAAGCGTGCGATTCTAGGATACATACTGCTGCACCTACCGCTCAAGTCAATACGACATGAACAAGTTCTATCCTCATTGAACTTACTTTCGGACTTTCCACTTCCACGTAGAATAGCATCACGGCCCGTAGCTTGTATAGCTTCTACAATAGCCGAAGGTGCAACTGTGCCTTCAACCGAGACTAGTTGATGTTCCAAGTTGGCAGTGATTTTGTTGATGCCTGCGTTCGGTCAGAAGCCGAATGACGTGCGTGGACATGACTGATCGTGCTCGTACCACTCAATTGATGTAGCGAGCCTTCAATGTCCTTAACACATGATTGGCAGGTCATGGGCACCGCGAAGGTAGTTTCAAATGCTGGGACTGTCATCGTTCAAGTTGTGTATTCGCGCTGAGATTTTCAATATGGTGGGGAGGTGTTTTCGTAGAGTCTCACGTATTCACCTTCTACTCGCTTTGAAATCCATCGGTCCGCGCCGAATCCACGCCGACCATAGCGACACGTGATCACGAGCACCTGGAAATTGTTCGATGGCTTGGCATATCGAACTTCGACTTCACGATAGGCTATTGCGGACGACAGCGACCACGTCCATTCATTCCGTCGTCGACTACAGGTTCGGAGGCCATTCTAAACTATCGAAAGAGTTAAAGGATTGAGACTTGGGCCATTGCCCTGACACATCATGTCGCAAGTCGTAGGGAAGGTACGTTACTGTCGGACCTCCGCATCTTCAGATGCCCACAACCAAAGCTAGTAGCTCTTTCGCTACAGTCTTTCCGTTCAGAGAGAATCAATTTTAACAACTGTTCACATAGACGCGCCTCGCCTACGCCCGCTCATGGCACCTAGTCGACATCGGCTCCGACCCGCGCGCCCTCGGCCGCGTCGCCTCCTCAATAGCCCTCGCCCTAATGGGCAAACATAAACCCATTTTCGACCCATCGACCGACTGCGGCGACTACGTAGTCGCCATTGACTGCACCAATCTGCACACCACCGGCAAAAAGCGCTTCCAGAAACTCTACCGCACACATACCACCCGCCCAGGATCACTAAAGGAGCTGAGCATGGACAGAATGATCGCAAAGTGGGGAGGCGGAGAAGTGCTGAGGAAGGCGGTGAGCGGTATGCTGCCGAAGAATCGGTTAAGGAAGGGGAGGTTGGCGAGATTGAAGACGTTTGAGGGAAGAGCGCATCCTTATAAAGAGAATTTGATTCGAGTCGAGAATGGAGGTGGGCAGAGCATATTGGAGCATGAGGCCGTGCAAAGGACGTTCGCAGACGCGAAAGCAGCTGTAAAGGAAGCACCAGCATCATGACGGGACGAGAGGGTCATTTAAGAACATGTGGAATAGAAAGCTTGTAAACCAGGGCTTGTAAGATGTATGTAGATCTACGAGCGACATCACATGGCATATGGAGTTCAGCCGTCAATATGCTCTTTGTAGCATACCAGCAATGTCATTTGAATCTTTTACAATATAGACCAGCGAGGACAACTTGCCCTTCAACAGTCCTCTACGGGAATGTGTACTAGATGACTCTGGAGACACTAAACACGCAAACGCACGACTTATAAGGGAGATGGAAAAGCATAGCATTCTACTATTACAAGTAATCCATGAAATCACGGCTGAGCCATCCTCCGAACCATCCTAGGCTGCTTGTGGCAGCCAACCAGCGCCTCATGCCTATGCCTATCTATGCATGTGCCCAGCCGTATCGTGATGATTGATGGATCTCATATCCATCAGTGCCGAAAGGAATGTCCGCTATACAAAACCACCTTTAAAAGCCATCAACGCCATGCTCATGTATGCTCTCGGAAACCTTCGGGGGAATGAAAACGCGTAGATTAGATGTCCAAAATGTAGAAATGTGCAATCTAGTGCCGGAAGTTGCATTGGAGACAATCTTCCGGGGTGGAACTATGGCTCGAAGCCCGCTCTATCCAGGGATCCCGCTTGCCTTATTCCTTCTTCGATGCTAGGACACTGTACTGGCCACCACAGCCAGCCCAGGTGAGCTTCGTCTCCCGTACAGCGGTGTTGTCGATCATCGTTGGAACGTCGATGTCGTCGTCAGTACCCTGGCCAGTCTGGTAATTCGCTGAGAAACCCCAAGAGTAGGCTTTACCATTCTTGTCGATGACGATGGTATGATCGGGACCACATGCGCCAGCAACGATATTCTTCAGGTTTGGAATAGGAGTGGGCTGAACCAGAATCTTCGGCTTGCCGTTGTTTTTCAAGACCTTGTCCTCGTCGGTCTCAGCGTTGAGCTGGTCCGCGGGAAGACCGGTTTGCGAGCCATCGCATCGACCCCATACGAGGACTTGTCCGTCCTTGGTGATGGCGATGTTGTGATGCGAACCACCAGCAAGCGACTCGACATTCTTACCCTCTAAACTTTGGATGATTCGGGGCGTCAGGACGCTGGCATCATCTGCGCCAGCGTTATCGGTATAACCCGTCTCACAGTAGTTGTTCACGCCCCAAGCCCAGATATGCCCGTCCTCTGCGATTGCTAGGCCATGGTAGTCACCGGAAGCGATCGAGACTATGCGCTGGCTCGGGCGCTTGAAGGTGGAGTCGTGGAAGCCAACGCGATTCGGTTGTAGAGATTCGGTAAGAGTTCGCTCGGTGACACGGCGACCAAGTTGGTTCTGCTGGCCATTGCCCCAAGCAAAAACGTGTCGGTCCTTGTCCAGCGCGAAGATATGGTTTGTGCCACATACAATTTGGGTGACCTTGGTCACACCATCAATGTAGACTGGAAATTTGGCAGTATGACTGCCACGCTCAAAGCCGAGAATGCCTTCGTTCTTGCGGAAAGTTCCCCAACCGTAGATAGCACCTTCGGTAGTCAGCGCGAAAGAGCAACTATCACCCGCCGCAATGTCAACAAAAATTGTGTCTTCGGGAAAGTATTCGGAGGGGACAGCTGTCGGTGTCGATTCGAGGTCGTTCAGGCCGCCAGTCTCGTCCTCTGAGTCAGAATCAGAATCATCTGCGTCTAAATCCCGCATCTTGACGTCGGCGTTCGATGTGTCGCGTCCAAGTGCGCCATTGTCATTGACGCCCCATGTCAGGATCCTATTATCCTTCGTCAACGCGACGACGTGCATACCACCCGTAGCGACCCTAACGACGTTCTGGTTTGTCAGGGCCTCGTTGTAGCGCGGTCGCTTCACGTCGATGGCCTTCTTCGTCGCGCCGAAGCCAAGCTCACCGGAGCTACCTTCGCCGAAAACAAAGACTTTCAGCGGCTCCGTGTATCGGATCGCGTTGATCTCAGTCTTCTTTCCGCGCACTCGTCGAGGTCCCTTGGGCTGTGGTTTTGAGGGATCCTTTACAGACTTGGCGGCCTTTGGTGCAGCCTTTGGCCGCTCAACCTTCGCCTTCTTGACTGCCTGCTCAGGTTCAGCTTCAGGTTCGCTCTCGTCATCCTTTTTGCGCTTCGTCGTCTTCTTTGGCGCAGGTTCAGGCGCAGGAGCGGGTGTTTCGGCCTTCTTTGCGCGGCTTCGTCCAGCAGCTGGAGGCTTGTCAGCGCGAGTTCGCGTTCGTCGAGACGCGTTAACTTTACGTTTTTGTGTGGGCTCTTCAGTTATACCGTTGGTAATGTGCGTGTCGTCTGTCTTCTTCGCGCCTCTTCGTGCAAGGCCTGGTTTCTTTAGCGATGGCTTCGAAGCTGTCGATGGCTGTGACGTACCGGTGCCGTTCACTTTGACTTCTTTCGTCTCGACAGGCTTAGCGCTCGCAGCGCGGGAACTTGCAGCTCGAGCCATTGTTGTCGATGCAAATTGGATGAGTTGCGCACGAGAGCGTCAAGTTGATATTGTAATGAGGTGGTTGGTGTGTTGTGGTGTGGAATTTATTTTGTCACGCTATTTCTGTAGAGCTCGAGCGGACCTGGACTCGCAGCATACGCTAAGCCTCACAGGGTCCAGGTCGATGCAGCAGCAGTCATTCATCGCAAGTACCATACTGCTTGATTGGCTGTTTACCACCTATCAACCATTGTCCTTTCATCGCTGTCAAGTCTCGATTTTGCATCGCCTTTTGCTCCTTTCATACCGCCCACCGGCTCACATTAGTCATATTTGAGGCAGCTTCCAGGCACTGTTTAGGCACCTAGATGGTCGCATAAACAACATCAAGAGCCTGGAGCAGGGGAATCGATTATGGTGAACATGGCTTTCCACACGTTGGAGACATCCGTCATTCTCTTTGCGTTTACCCTTCTTCGAGGGGCGTCCTGCATCCAGCCGGAGGCGCCTTCTCCCATAGCTGCACCCTTGCGTGAGCTACCCTGGGCCCAACTGAACTTTCTGCACACAACCGATATCCATGGCTGGTGGGGGGGACACCTTCAGGAGTAAGTAGATTCTTTCTGTAGTATTTTGAACAAAGAGTGGACTAAGGCCTGGAGCTGCTAAAGATACCCATGCTACAGTTTGGTTACTTGTGTCCCTATCAATGTGACCTTACCATTCAGGGCACTAGCAGTCTCAATTTCACAGCTCTAACACCTATCAGAGCCTCTTTCTCGGCCGACTGGGGAGACTACGTCTCCTTCGCCAAACATCTCCGCGATAAAGCAGATGCAGATGGCTCTGACCTCCTTCTCATTGACACAGGAGACCGCGTAGAAGGAAACGCAATCTACGACTCGTCAAAGCCCCGAGGGAAGTTCACTTATGAGATCGCTAAGGAACAGTCAATCGATCTGATTAGTTCTGGCAACCACGAGCTCTACAAAGCAAACACTGCTGAAGGCGAATTCTTCCACACGGTTCCTGACTTTAAAGGAAATTATCTAGCCTCCAACTTGGACATCTACAATCCAGTGAGCGGGAAGCTGGAGCCACTAGCACCGCGTTTCAAGAAGTTCACCACGAAGAATCAAGGTATTCGAATCTTGGCTTTTGGCTTTATCTTCGATTTCACAGGTAATGCAAACAACACCGTTGTGCAAAGAGTTGAAGATACGGTTAAAGAGGAATGGTTCAAGGAATCTCTTAAAGACAAGGATCTCGACCTGATCATCGTGTTCGGCCACGTTGATATCCGCTCTAACGAATATAAACTACTGTTCTCCAATATTCGGTCCTCGCAACGGGATACGCCAATACAATTCTTCGGTGGACACTCGCATATTAGGGACTACAAGATCTTCGACAGCAAGTCCGTGGCGCTAGAAAGTGGTCGGTATATGGAAACGCTAGGTTTCATGTCGATTGATGGACTGAGTACTGGTGGTACGAAAAAGCACGCACCCGTGTCCCAAAAGTCGAAGATTGCCTTCTCTCGTCGGTATATTGATAATAACTTGTACTCTCTGCGCCATCACAGCAATAAAGATGAAAAGACCTTCCCGACTGACCATGGAGAGAATGTCTCCAAAGCAATCGGCGATGCTAGGAAGTCGCTCGGCCTTGGTGAGCGATATGGTTGCGCGCCACAGGATTACTGGGTCAGTCGCCGACCGTATCCACACAGGGAGAGCATATTCACCTGGATCGAGAATCAACTCCTCCCGCAGTCCATCGGAAAGTCTAAGAGGATCAAGAATGGAGGTAAAGCGCTGGTCATCACCAATACAGGCGCTATTCGTTTTGATATCTTCAAAGGCGCATTCACCAAGGATACAAAGTTTCTTATCTCGCCGTTTACTAGCGGGATCCGTTATGTCAAGGATGTGCCGTACAAAGCAGCTAGCCAGGTCCTGAAGCTGCTCAATAATGAGGGGCCAATCATGCTCGAACTGATGGAAAATAACGCGTTTTTGCAGCCCCCAGAGGTCTTCGCGGCACGATACCGTCCTCATATATTCTCCTCTCCAGATCGTATATACTCCACGCCCTTTGAAAAGCATGCACAAGCTCCCATGGCCGCCGACGAAGAGCCTAAACCATTCCCCGGTTATACAACACAAGATGACGCTGGCGAAGACGGAGATGATACAGTGCACGAGCGGATCGAGTTCTACAATGTGCCGAACTGTATCCAGTCGACAGTAGGCTTTCAGCAAAACGATTTCTATGAGCCTGACACTGTTGACTTGATGTACAACGAGTTCATCCAGCAGTGGATATTGCTTGCGTTGGAATATGTAGGACATAACTACACTTCAGATGACACGGAGTCGTTCGCACATGGGAAGAGTTTTACTGATATCATGACGGACTGGGTTGAAGAACACTGGAGCACGAAGGAGGAGACATGTCTTTAGTGATGTGGCGTCGTATAACTCTAGATCGATCGTTGCACCTTCGTAAATATGTGCTTTACCCTTGTGTATTAGCGTTAAGGTTCCTCATTCACGGCAAAATCTGACAAGTTGAACGGTTCAAAGGATCTCATTTCTCTCTAATCTCAAAGGGACATGACAATGAGGGCTTTCCATTCCATTCATAGTCCGGTAGACAACTGGAAACCGCACCGAAAATGTCCGAACCATGACGCCGCGCAAATGCCCTAAAAACTCCGTTGTCGCCCTCCATATCCATCATTGTCCCCTTCATCCTATCATGCCTTACTAGCCAAGCTACCGGCCCCCTCGTGCAGCCCTCGCTTGCTCCCGTTCACTTGCGTTGTACCTAAATTATGCCGTTAGCCCCTGGCCGGGACATTGAGGGTCGACCCATCTGAACCTGAACAGAACGCTTGCGCGCCTCTGCTTGCTGCTCGGCTCGATCGCCGTTGGGAACGTACTTGAGGAGTTTCTCGATCAGATCGACGTGAGTGAGGATCATGCGTCGGCAACAGTAGCGTGAGAGACCGATGGCGTCGAGTGCGTCACTAAATCACATGTCTTGCTCAGTATATGGACATTTGGGTGGACCTGAGGAGCAGAGAGGGTGAGAGCAGGTGGGATCGTGATTTGGAGATACAGCGCTTCGCGGCGCACGTGTGAGGTCTGGTAGGATGTTGTTGCGGGAAAGGACAGCTTACACTTCCTCTGTTCCTTCACTAAGCAGGGCCATGTATTTCTCCCAAAGGTCGCCGGTGACCTGTAGTCTTGTTAGTATGCGCGGGCTTTGAGCTTTGAGCAGGAGAAATAGTACCTTGCCGCATGAGAAGCAACGGATAGGAACAATCATCTTGAGACTTCTGAATGTACAGGTAACTTGCAAAGAGCCCCGCGACCGAGTTGATCAAGTTGTGTGGGCGGGAGCAGAGGTGTGTGAGTGATATTGTTTGAAGCTCGCGATGCGCTCAAAGAAAGTTGCGCGCTAAGACCCGCGGGCGGTGAAAAGCATGGGCCACTCGAAATAACTTTTTCGAACTTTGGGTTGCGGAGCACGCTGTAACTCCACACTTGCGCTCAGCTGGAATTCTTCGACAATATAACCTTCGGCGACGAAACATAAAAAATGGCGGATACTACGCCTCCGCTAAAGAGGAAGGCAGAGGAAGCGCCTGCCAAGAAGAGATCGAAGAAGAGGAGACCAGCGGAGAAGGCAGGACAGCCTACTGGGGCTACAGACGCTCAGTCTACACCAAGATCGCATTCTACGCCTATATTGAAGAATGCGTCGGAATTAAACTCAAATGTCGTCCAAACAAACGGCGTGAGCAAGGAGCAGCGAAAGAAGGATAAGAAGAGCGGTACAATCGTGAACGAGGAGCTCAAAGATGGAGGCAAGCAAGTGGAGGACAGTGAGGTGCAAAGCACGCCAGCTCGACGTATTTCGCAACCGCAACAGTCGGACAGGTCAAAGCAGAAAAAGGAGAAGAAGGACAGTAATCCAGAAAACAAAGCGGACTCAACAGAACTTGTAAAAGTTGCGATGACAGAATTGGACAGGCTACTAGGGTCAAGCCCTACTCAGGCGAAGAAGCCAAAGCCCAAGACTCTGGCAAAGTGGACCATGTCACCAGCTCAGGGTGGATGGTTCCTACCTGCGGACCCCGTCTTTTCTCGCGATGAGAAGTTCGTCATCCTCGCGAACCTCAGGTCCCTCCAGATTTATGAGACCGAAACGTCTACCCTCGCCAATGTGCTTTCTATAGGCAGCACCGGAGTGCTTACAGCCTATGCGCTCTCGCCTACGAAGCCAAACCAAGTATACGTCGCCGACTCGACTGGCCTCATTACGTTGTGGGATTGGGTAGACGGGTCAAAGATCGGACGATGGGATATCGGAGCTACGGTTCGGACTATGACCGTGATCACCCGACCCGAGTCCAACGAAGATCTCATATATTGCTATGAGCATGGAAAGAGTCATGTCATCAACGTCCACGCGCTTCGCACCAAAGCTCAGGGATCAAAGACGGATCTCAAGCGTGTACTGAAGGCAAGCTCTTCAATAAGTGGGATACAAGTCCTCTTGCAGGGCAAGTATGTCGTCGTCGCATGCACCGATTCTATTATGATCGCCAAGCGCCTAAGGCTCAATAAGACGGCTGTGCAAGACTTCGAATACATCTGGCGAGAATTGAAATTCTCTAAGCGTATCACCACTTTCAACGCGTATCTTCGCGACTCAGAGCAAACTGGCAAGGGAAAGAAGTCGGCACAAGATCAAAGGGATGTTCTAGACATCGCGGTTGGAGATGAGGCGGGCGTGATCCTCCTATTCGAAGACATCTTGACAACTTTCGCTGCGATTGAGAGCACCCAGAAAGGCAACAAAAGCAATTCAGACGATGCTGAGAGTCTCAGACCAAAGAGGCTCCATTGGCACAGAGACGCAGTGGGCGCAGTCAAGTGGTCGCTTGATGGTAAGCAGCGTATCCTCATCTTCTATACTTCAACACTAACATAGTCCAGGTAATTACCTTGTCTCGGGAGGCGACGAGACTGTCCTCACTATCTGGCAACTTGCCACAGGAAAGCCACAACATCTACCTCATCTTACTGCAGCTATCGAGAATGTTGTAGTGTCTCCTTCAGGCTCTGCTTATGCTGTGACACTTGCGAATAACTCCGTCATCGTACTGTCGACGACTGAACTGGAAGCCAAAACAAACATTGTCGGTATCCAATCACGCCGAGTGGACTACGAGTTGTTTCCCAAGGATTCGAATTCGAGTAAAGCTTTGTTTGATATCTATCGCTCGGTGCCAATGGCCGTCAATCCAAAATCACCAGGTGAAGTACTGTTCTCAGTACCCTCATCGCAATGGCGTCAAAGAACTGTGGGCCTTCGACCGGAACCGTATCTACAGACATTCGACTTGGCAAACCACCGTGCGAAGTCCCGACAAGCCCTGACGCGCAACAATGCGACCGATGTAAATATGGCACCCGAAGGAGGCCGTATCATCGAGCCGAGCGTGCAACTCCTACAAGTCAGTCATGATGGTGAATGGCTCGCCACAGTGGATGAATGGGTACCACCACAAGCTGATACTGGATATCTCAACGAAGGTATCACTGAGTTCAACGACGAGGAACGTCTACACCGCCGCGAGGTGTATCTCAAGATTTGGCAGTGGGATGAGCAGAATCAACAGTGGAAGCTTGGAGCCCGAATCGATGCCCCACACTTCTTCGAGGACGTTTGTGGAAACGGAAGGGTGTTTGACCTCGTTGCTGATCCCTCAGCTGCTGGCTTTGCGACCATTGGTGAGGATCGTGTCGTTCGGATCTGGAGGCCCAAGACCCGGCTACGCGATGGGATTGTGGTCCGTGGAGCGGAGGAAGGGGGGCTGGTCACTTGGTCGCTTGACCGTTCCATCGAGATCAGCGATAAGCTTGATGTTCTTGAGGGATCGCAACAGTCCCTCGTGCCACGCACTTCGCGACTAGCCTTTTCCGCGGATGGCTCGATAATTGCTGCTGCTATCTCTTGGCCGTCAGAGTCAGACCCTGGAGTCACTCATCTTATCGACACTAACACCGCAACTATTCGACGATCAATGACTGAGATTGATGTCACCGCGCTTTCTGGTCTTGGAATTGTAGGCCGCCATCTGGTCGTCATTGCGGATACTATTACTGTGTGGGACATGGTAGTGGACCAGCTTGTCTATAGTGTCTCCGTCGTCCCCTTTGGTATCGACCGCTTTGAGCGAATCCCCCTCGTACGTTTCGCCATCAATGAGGCAGATGGTACGTTCTGCGTAGCACTACCCCAGTTCGAGAGGAACGAGTCTTCCAATTCCCGATTGCAGAAGACATCGTCCAAAGTCTTGATTTTCGATCCTGAGTCTCGAGAAGCTTTATGGTCGCACACGGCTCCATACATTACATTAGCACTCGTGTCACAGAAGGGCGAACGAGGATATATCGCGCTAGACTCCAAGTCGTGTATCAAGACCATAAGCCCGCGCACTGGCGCACTACAGCTGCCTACTCCGCCACCCGAAGGAAATGATAAGCTACAGCGCACAATGTACACGGGAGAGGATGAGGGTGAAGAAAAGTCCGAAAACGGCATACTGAAGCCCTTGGTATTGGAGGACCTCTCACAAGACATCCAGGAAGGTGGATCCTTCCTCAACCAGCAGGATCTACAAGATGTGCTCGACAACGGATCTGTGCCACCTCCGCCTCAGGGGCTGTTCAGTGCTGTCTTGGCATTAGTGGGCAGGGCGTCAAAGGCTGCTGCGTAGAAGCTATTGCGATATATACCTAGGGATTAGTGTAAATTTAGATAAGCAAGCCACGTTCATACCTCATTTTCCGAGGCCTTAGACCCGTTTCGTGCCGACATACATTTTCGCATTTACAGGTTGAGATGTACAGTACAGGTTAAAAGACGAGGAACGCAGGATGGCTCATATTCATGCGCTTGAGTCACTCAACGTGTTGTCATGAGGTTGTCAGAGTTGTAATACACCGACTAAACTTTAGACTAGCAAAAATCACGGGGAATGTGATCTTCTACTCCTACTCTTGATACACTTTGTTTGCAGAATGAGAATCTTAAAATATAAGGACGTGGATGCAAACAGTCTTATACGACGCACTTACATAAGTGGAATAAAGCACATCTAAAAATTCTGCAGCCCTCATCCACTACCATCTCCAACATACCCCTTCTTCTTATTCACCGTCCATGAGACAAAAAATCGCAAAAAGAATGTGAGTCTTGCCCATTCGCGGAATCGCTAATTGAGTGTTAGTTGTGAGTCTCGAACTCGGGGTTTTACTGGGTGTACTAACAACCGCGGATCTTCGCATGTCGGTTATAAGTACGAGTGCGACGCTGTACCACTAAGCCAAACGGGCATTATCTTGAATTGATGACGTTTTAGAATCCTGATCGTTTATATTTGCAACGAAAGAATAGGAATAGGGCGCGTTAATATGGAAATGTATCCATGGCAAGGCTGAGACTTTAGTGGTCTTACCCCGCAGCTGTAGTGGGGTGGATTAACTCTGGCTGCAATGTGGTTGGCGCTCATGGGTCGATAAGCGAGGCGGAATTGAACCTGGAAGTGTGTCCTCGACTCTCGAGCTTAGTTGATACAACAGCTGCTCGACGCATGGTGTTTGTTGCTAAGAAAGTTGTATGTCTTTGGGCAATTTGTAGTGTATTTGCGTCTAGTCGCCATTATAGCTAGTACTGGGACACAAGCAGAGCCGTAACTCCACCACGCTTGGGGCAGTAAGTCTCGCGAACATATTCCAGCTTACAGTGACAGTAGGAATAAACGTAACGATTATTCAAAGGGCTAGCTAGCCGCACGATTACCAGAGTACTCGACCTGTTTATTCAATTCGCGGAGAACAGTAGCCCTTCTAGTCCAAAACGACTCTAGAAACCGGTTCAACCTCACGCTACATCAGCTCGCACCACATCATGATCAAGTATCTGACTATGGTAGGATATAGCTCCTATTCCGATGGCCTTGCGCCTGTGGTAAATGAGTCAACTAGCGTTATTAAAGGGTGTAGCTAATCGAGCGGTGTGAGCATGAGCGGTGATAGAGTAGAGTTTCGGCCAGAGAGTACTATGCCTACGCCCGGTACTTGGACGGGAACAGGATGTAAGAAGGACATACCAGCCCTTCGTGAATAGACCGGAAGTAAAAGATCTTTAAGATCTCTTACGTGCGGATGATCGTTGCCTTGTCAAGAGGTGTGGTAAGCGGTTGTCGATCAGCGGGAAGCGGATATAAGCATGGGCTATTAACCCCACAAGGTCCGTTCGAGAAAGATCATCAACGACACGATCAACACGTCACGTCTAGTTGAGTTTCAAACTCTGATCTATTTGGGCTGTTAATAATGTTGATACTAGTGATTGAAGTAATGTTATTGTGGCGTTGCTAATGACGTAGCTACGGTCACCAAGCACGCTGGACGCTCCGTCAGGAATTGGGAGTGTGAAGATTCTCCGTCCATGGGTATCATGTCGCTGGGTGCTTTCCCATGTTTTCCTATGCTTTTCCGTTATTCCCATTCGGGTAATGATAAAACCTACCAATTCTGCAAGGCATATGCACATGAAAAAGGCTTGAGGGGTGTATCCTGCCGAGTCTTCACTATGCAGCGGCAGCGCCATGGAATATGCAAGGACGGTTAGAAACGGTTCCTTCTGGTGCGATACATAGAAGCTCTCGAACAAGCTAGTTTGCGCCTGCAGCAGGGCAGTAAATTTGCGAGCATGCGGATGATACTCTTGGTAAGGAACGTACTGTTACCAAGCAGTGTATGGCTTTTCCTAGCTTCCCTAATGCAAACCAGTTCGCCGATACTTCGCGGCCAAGCTTGTTAAGCTTTAAAGCTAGTTGCAAGTCAGAACTCTTTTGTCATGATGGCGTCGGCCAGTGGACGCAAAGAGTGACGTGGTAATCAAGATGTTGAATAGCTTGTCGACGCAGAGGACTAATGGCTATGAGGTGGTGCTTAGTGATGCACGTCTATGCTCGGTTATCTGATGAGTAAAGACTGGCAAGGGAGCAGAAGGATCAGTAGGTCCTTTTGGGTAAGGGTGACTTTTACTTCCACGGGGATTGGTGGAAACCCGTCGTCGAGTTGAGATGCGTCGAGGATGCCGTGGAGATGTCGGGTAGCATAGGGCTGCATACGTTCTGGGGTTTAGTCAGTGGACTGTCGAAGCAGTGGGTCTTCTAGAAAACTACTCAAGCGGGAAACGAGTGTCTTTGAGTGAAAACGCGGTTCGGTTCTCATTGTACCGTCAATATAACGAGAGCTCCCCATTTGGTAGTAGCATAGTGATGCGTGGTGTTGAGGACGTGCATACGCGCATAACGTTACGGTATCAGGGGCTGAGCCATCGTTTGTGGAGGCGCGTCGAACGCCAACCCCCACCAACGTCTTCGCGATGTTCGTACTGCGTGCGTACGCGACTGGAGTGCGCCTTGGAGATGCGGTTGTATTCGCGGTCAACTCGTCCTCCCCGGCATCCTGCGGCTGTTCATATTTTGCAATCTCGTATGCGTCGACTCATTCTTTCTCATGCAATGTAGAATTGGGCTACACTGCTGCACCCGTGCGCGTCTAGCAGGACCGCAATTCCTCGGCGTTCGCGAGCTCCATTTCAGCCTCGCACAGCTCCAGCGGTGAGATAAAAAATGGTACCCAAGCGATGGGTACGTGTCATAGGCATATTCCCGCCCATGCTGCTGTACGACGCCTTTGCGACGCGAGGAATGGGACGGTAGGGCTGTGTGAGCAGGGGTGAATGCACGCTAAGTGAGGATCCGGTATGCGAAGCGAGCTAATGTACTAACTGCTTTGGACATGGTCTGCTTCAGGATGGCAGCGCTAGACGGGAGGGTAACGGGTGCTACAGTGCCTGTTCAGTGCCCTGTGAGTCTTTTAGGGCGTGTCATGTCAGGGTCCCAAATAGAAGTAGATTAGAAATTTGGAAACTACATGAAGGGGTTGACAAATCCTCAAGGCTGATGATGGCTGCAAGATGCGGGGTATAACAGACACTGAAGCTTTGTAGTGAGTGGCCGACTGCGGAGCGTTTCAGCCTACCCTTTCGTTACAGATGCAATCTCCAATCTCTGCGCACGCAAGCAGATCGCATAGGGCGTGGGAGAATGGGCATGGGATTTTAGCGGTGGCTGCATGTGACTCTTCCAGCGAACAGGGGGGGGTTAGCGGCTTTGTCAGATGGGATTCCTCAGCGAGGTTGACAAAGCCAGCACCCTCGACCAATGATGGGCGTCAAGGAGCGGGGAGGAGATGGTGCGTTTGTAATCGGGGAGTCAGAGGGTTCCAAGGCGCCCTTTTCCCTGAGGAATGATGTGCGGCATGGGGTAATTTGTGATCACTCATTTTCCATGACGCCGGGACGACACTGGATGACAGGCCCGCGTGGACTGGGACAGGTGTCGCTGATATTCGCGGACGAAAGCTTTCCAGGACGCCGAGACGCCGTTTTGCGACGCGCGCTAGGCATCGCGACCAAGGTTCGTCCGAGGTGGTAACTTTTGCATCAACGCATCCGGTCAAGCGAAGCGAAAGGAGCCACACTTTGTTTGCGACGGTTGGTCCGACCCGCCGAGTGTGCTGTCGTGTAGTGAAGAATTGAGCTGTACTGTGCTGTGCTATGGCTCTCTCAGCCTTGCACAACCAGCATGACTTCGTATGAGCCAGCAGTAGGGTCGCATTCCACGCCCATTGTAGGCATGCATACAAGTCGGTAAGCACAGGGGACGACACGCTTGAAAGCCACAGATGGAGCATCGGGTTGACCGCTCTGCTCGTTGACGGACCCGTGGCTTGGACTTGGCCTGCTGAGCCTGAGGCTTACGACAGCGCATCCCATCCTAGATCAATAGGCAGCCAGGCACTAGGTATCAATCTCCCACCCACCAGCGCGCGCCCTTGCTGAACAGCGCACGCACGCAAACAGTCAGTATGGCGGAAAAGCTGGAAACTATGATACCATGTTGCAAGCAAAACAGTGATGCCATGATCCAACATGCTTTCGTGGGTTACTAAAACCCGACATTGCGCCGTCTTGCTGCAGCCTTGATAGGTAATCCATGTGTGAACCATGGCTTTTCTGTAGCTCCGTCCATTCTCCGTGCCGATGCGGCCGAAAAGTCTCTGGCGTGGGGCCCGCGGACAGTCAGCTCTAGTGCAGCCCGCACAACCCCTGCTGCACTGCTTGTGAATCATAGCTCACCGCTCGGCCAAGAGCGGTGGAAACAGCGGCATCTCGGAATTTATTGGCGTTAAGCTTCGTGGTCATCCTCCGAGCGCCAGCCAACATAAGAAACACGCTGGCCCACTCTTCACAGGGCACCACACACAGCTTTACATCGAGAACACACAGACAACAACCAAGTACTCAAACTTACTTACTCGAAAGCTACCCACCATCACAACAACTATCCATTACATTGACTTCTCGGCCAACCTGCACGCTCGGATCACCTTCCACCCATTGGCTACTACTGCATCCAGGTTCGTGAAGCCTCGTCTTTGCCTCCAGTCATCAACCAAACTGACTCACAATTTTTAGGCATTTATATTTCTGCCTAACACCACAAAGATGCCTTCCTCATCACATCTCCGCATACAAACTGCCTTTGAACCCGTCTCGGCTGAGACTGCCCGCTCCCACTTTGTCTCTTCACCACCACAGAAGAAGCAAAAGATGTCTTTGACCCAAACCTACTACATCGCCGCCTCCGCCCGCTCCAAGCTGGGCAAGGAGGCCTGCCGGGCTGACCACGACCTCCGCCTCCTTGTTGGTCACGCAAATCTCCTCGACAGCCTCATGGTCGAGCTTCAAGATGCTGAACGCCAGCAAGAAGCCTGGTTCAACCAGACCATGGCCAAGGCCTCCAAGGCTGAGGAACCTCGACACATCCAGTGGGCCGACAGCATTGCTGAAGAGGCCGAGGACTACTCTGATTCCGACTCTGATTCCGAGTGCGAGGACGACTTCGACATGGTCACACTGCCCCGCCGCATTACCCAAGCACCAGTTCAGATCACCACTATGGAGATTGAGGAGGATGACGAGGAGGAATTCTACGACGACATGGAGGACGATTCAGAACTTGCCCTCACCCGGGTACCCTCGCAATCACAATCACCACCGGAGCTCGTTTACGAAGAAGACTCGGACGACGAGTCGCCTCTCGCTTCGCCTCCACAGTCGACTCTCAACTTCTCCGACAAAGAAGCCATGCTCACCACATCCTACTACAACGCAAAGTCGCAATCACAATATCTAGAAGACGACCATCCGCTGTTCATGGATACGACTGCTCCGCTCATCTCAAGTTATTAGGCCAGCACACGAATCTGTTCCGACCTTTTGATTTTTGATCACCATCTTAGCGAGCGAGTCCTTTTCAGCATGGCGCATTTGGGAGCATTATACCTCATACTTTTATTGTTATTATTTATTGGCGCAAACCGCAGCGCGGTCAACGGGAATTACGAAGAGCACTCGACAGCAACTCTACTCAGGGAACGGGATACGAAGAAGGAGACACGGGAATTTGGACATTTGGACCAGCGGTTTGAGCTCTCCCACTTCTTTGGTTGAGACTCCCGCCTTAGCTAGGAAATCAAATATCATCATTACACCCAATAAGCAATTCCTCTTTACTTCATGTGATGCCTTGCTATCGCTGCACGCTGCATACTAATCTAGAGACAAGGGTCACAAGCACACTGCACCCGCCATGCCCCGGAGAACTCGGTACGCTTCGCAGCTGCCAACTGACAATTGCATCGTTCAGCAAAGTCATCTAGGCTCTGATTCTGCCAAACATTTGCCCACAGATCCCTCAAAGTAATTTTTCTAGGTTGACCGACTTTTGGCGGCCAGTGCGGCAGGACCCTGGTCAGCATCTGTCCAACAAGGTGGACACGCGGCGGAAAACCCCATGCCATATGCATCCTGGCATATGGCTGCGCGCAGATCACTGGGCAAATCGTCGCAACTCGCGCCTGATGAATGCATCCCATCCGGTGAAAGTGCGATTCCTGTTTTTCGCTTTCGAACGCGAGGCACCACTATTGCGAATCTTGTTGCGCGGCGTACGATTACGAAACACACGGCCTGCCGCCAATGCACACTTACCCCAAGGTACGTACCCAAAGTGTCTGCCTAGCAGGAAGGATGCGCATATTGCGTGTGCCATGGAGATACGGTTGCGATACGGTTTCCGCAGGGCGCCGCGGGCACACTCGGCTTCCGTGGCAGGGGGCTCGGGGTATGCAGACGTCCGACCAGAGAGCGACACCAGCCAAGGGGAGGAGGGGGACGGTCACGTTGGCCCTCCGCTCGGTCGAAACGCGGCTGGCGAGCGAACAGAGCGGATAAGGGCGAATTAACGATTCCGTGTGTGTGTGTGTGTCGCAAGCATCCATACTGCTAGCTGCTTCCGGTGCACTTTCATCATTTGACGACATGGCTGGTAACAGACAGGCAGGCGGACTATCATGGATGGCCATCTTGTCGCAGAACCCACATTTTGATGATTCTGGACCCTCCCAGCTACCATAATCTGATCACCATCGTCCGCCCCCAGGTTGGCAGAGGATAAAAGGGGCAGTGACAGTGCTGATCCCCTTATTTCCCCACACTCCACCCAGGTGTCAGTGCGACACCGGCTTTCGGATTTCAGAGAGAGTGCTCAGTACCTCTGCGAACATAAACCGGATCCGATATTAGAGTCGCTACTCTCGCCCCTGGCGTACTGGGACGTGCGGAGTTGCAACGGCGTGTTCAATCCCTAATTTGTGCTACGCAGCTTCTTCATGCACAATGCGGTTTGACGGCGGCCTGATCGTGCGTTGTACCGCTCACCGAAAGTCGTTGTGAAACAGGTATCCCGCTCGACGCTTAGCCCGGCATGACTTGAAATGAAAGCGCAATAGTATTCCTCCAATTGCGCTTGATACGAGCATAACTCGACGTGCACTAACACTGGACACTGATGAGCTGGCACTGCCAACTCGACATAACAACAGCCCCTGTCTTCCCTAGCAACGCCCCCTTTTGGGACCTGTCTTGACTTCTTATCGCCCAAAGAGGGAAATGCATAGAGCCTCAGGCAGCCTCAATCCAACAACCACATCAGATACGCCAGTAACGCCAGGGCGCATACATCACACATGCTAGACGAGCAACCGATTTCGGATGTCTCTGCACACGGCTCAACACAGCCACATAGTTGCAGCTATCAATGCATTTGCTGATGTTATACGCCTTTAGGTATATATCTGACTCAGCCCTTGAGCATATTGAGCGACTTTGAGCGAACCGAGGTACGCCCGATGAGTACCTGAGTGAGGTGTGGCTTGGTTTGCTCACTGTGCCTCTTATCAACACTATACCTACCTCTACCGTAGATCTTACACTAGTTCGTATATTCAGGCAGCCTGTCTTGCTCAAGCGTTGCGGATATAGCAAACGGTTTTAAGCTTATCAACTGTACATCACCACCAACCATCGGTATCAGCAGCCATTGTCTCACCCGCGATCATCAACTTCCCCTCAGAAGATGTACGGACATACTGTGGCCATTACTGTTCGTTTGCATCATCAGCAAGGTTTTCGCATCGCGAGGCTGGACCATCGAGCCTTATCAGGTTATCGACAGCACTTTGAGCACGCCATGCCAAAATGATGCAAACGGCCAAATCGACGGTTCATGACGCTCACAACTCAAACTTCATACGCCAGACTGGATGATCTCTTCTCTCCTCTTTTGATGATCGATGACCAACGTCATTATCATCTGCGAGCGATCGAGGACATCGCATGCTGATCACGTCTAGAATCTTTTCCGGACCGGGTGTCGCGGATAAAGGTGGCAAGGCCAACCTCGTCCCCTTCCCTCCGTCTCACAACGACTCCACAAAAACCTCACGATGCCCTCTCAAACTTCACAGCAAGCCTTCATCGTCGGCTAATCTCCGTCCTTATCCGAAAAGATAGCGGGAAAAAAGAACAACACACCCGGAAACGGAAGCTCTACCTACCCGATCGCGAAAACTTCGTCCTTTGCAAGTCTTAACGACTTGGACCCACTCAAACCTCGCGCCGACCCGCACCGAGGCAGCAGTCACAAGCCAAAGAAGGCAAAGAAGGACAAGTTTCCCTTTTCCCTGAGCCGAATTTTCCTTAGCGCGCGGAAAAGGTAGGGTGGGGGGCAAGAAAAATATGACTGAGCTTCGCCATGCATGGGTTTTATATCCCGATGGACAAAGTTTCCCGCCGTTGGATGGGAATTCTGGAACGAACCTGCCATCTGAATGAAGAATCTGCCTTCTCCACTTACAGCTGAGGGTATACGAGGTGTGATCACCAGATCAATTTGGTGACTAAAGTTGCCGTCTTGGTTCGCTCGAAGCTCGGTTATTAGTACACACTTCCCGTCCATCGTGAGATTTCCGCCATGGTGTTGAGGCGCATAATACGCGGCTGGTCGGCATCGCAAGCCTCACCATCCGAGGAAAGATTTTTTCTTTCTTCCTCTTAGTTCCGTCTCAGTTTAAAGCAATGCATACTGCGGCTTGATGCGGCGTGTAGCATCTGAGAGGTCAGGGGTAGGGTGGTGAGTAGTTTTTTTTTTTCATCAGGCTGCTTATTGACCGCCAGCGAAGTTTCGAGTCGCTACGGTGAGGCGGGAACTAGGCCATCCCTTCATCAGGGTCTTTAATGATCGAAATCTTTAGCGAGCGTCACATGCGTATGCTTCAGTTTGTCAAAAAAAAAAAATGGGGCCTAGTGCTCTGGATTGTACTTGCCTCGACATACGTGGACAATGGTGATAGCTCCTTGACAGTCTACTTTAGCAAGTTAGTTGAGTGGGTAGGCAAAAAGGCCTGAGGACATTCAGCCCAACGCATACCAGGGTGCCAAGGTCTACGCCTAATTGCTATGTGAGAGCTCCACCAGTGCCCCTCTAAAACGCAACATGGGCGAAAATAACAATGACACGTGCACGAGTGGCTAGTAGTCGATATTCTAGACTTTAAGCCTGTTTCGAATACTGTTCTCTCTTTACCGCGTCCCTTGTTGGATTTCGCGTCGTGGATTTATAGGCAACTAGGCTTAGACAGGGGGTGAGTCTTGTACACGATAAAAAAGAGCTTTACATCTATTTGAGATATTGAAGTGAAAAGGGTCATGGTGAACGATTGTGCTCGTCCAGTAGTCTTGATATTCATGGGGGGGCAGTCCCAAGCGACGTTCGACGAAGAAGATCCGTACGAGTCAGCCGATAAAATTAATCATGAACCCAATAGATATGGGCAACAGGACCTAGGAGAGAATCCATGTATTCCATGATCCTACCTCGCTACCTAGAACCAAACTCACTCATCCATCTAAGTAGTACCCCTCATTGGTCGCGTCTTCCCACCACCCGCACTGAAGAACCGCAGCGTTGTACTTTGTCCCAGAGCATACTCATCGTCCACGACTTGATCTTTGTCTCCTTCACTACTGCTACTCAATTCCTCCCATTCCCAAACTTCTGCCTTGCACAAACCCATGCTCTCCCACAGCCTCTTCACTCGTACATCGAAGATCGACGGTATCCAAAGGCATGTTCTCATCTTCTCCAGCAGCAGCTCGAGATCCGTTGACGCCACGCTATTATCGTGGCCAAGAAATGCAGTATAGGAGTACTGCGTGAAAAACGAGAGTTCCGACTCAGCGCTGGAGGTTGCTCTTGAGCCTTTGGGCAGACCTTTTGCACCGAGCGCGCCCATTGTAAGTGTCCAGAGGAGGATATCGGGAGCGTTGGTCCAGCGGAGTAGAGGAACTCTTTGGAGGGATTTGCGCAGTTTGGTGACTGTTTTGGAGAGGCGTGAGCCAAAGGACAAGGCATTGGGTTCTGTTGCGTTGACCATGAAGATCAAGAGTGCAAGGCAGATGCTTTGATCGACAAGTGTGGCACTTTGGTCTTGATACCTGGCATTTTGTTCGTACCAATCGAAGAGTCGGTACATCAGCAAGCTAGCGTGTTTTTGCAGCTCAAATGAATCAACGGGACATATGCCGGACTCGTACCAGGCGGTAAGATCCGAGACGAAGATGGTGATTGTGGAGACAATGTCGAAGAGTGCGCGGCCGATAGAAAGGTTTTGAAACGGCCGTAAGATCCGTGTGAATGAGTTTGGAGACTGCAGAGAGATGGATCTGTAGTCTTGGATCTGACCATCGGCGTCGATTAGTAGAGCGTAAGGAGGCTTGAATGTTGTGATGGATTGCGCAATGCTATGCCTATTGAAACTAGTCAGCTGCTTGTAAAGATGTTTCAGTGATTGCCAATAGGTATTGAGTAAGAAATTCGAGAACCATAGTGACATGGCCAGTCAAATAAGAAAAGTTGGGGTAGACTTACATCAATATAAAAACCTGTAAACATCGGTTCTGACCTAACGCAGCAAGACCCCCTCTCTGCCCAATCATCGTCCTTAACCCACTCAAGTGAGCTTCGTTTACACTTTTACTCCACCTCCTCTCATCGCCTTTCCTTCTAGGGTCTGCCAAACTGGCCTCTTCAAGAGCAAGCAGCATAAAAACAGTAGCAATAGTCGTGTCGTCAGTATTCTTGTTTGAGTCAGTGAGAAGCATGTTCACTTCTGAAATGGCGCGCCATTTGTACACCTCTGGGTCGAGTTTTGCGACTCGTGCGGATGAAGTGAGGGTAGCGTAGATGAAGGGTGCGCCAATGGGGCTTTGAATACAAGTCGCGAACCAATCTGTAGCTGCTGCTTCGGATGATTTGTGGGGATCTATAGGGAGTAGCCGGGGTGTCGAGGCTTCGATGACTGGTTGTTTGATTAGTGAACTATAACTAACGAGCTTGAATCATGGGGAGCATACATTGATGGAGGAGACCTTCTGCATCTGCGTTCAATCGCACTGCTAAGCAGTCGAAGGAACCCGTGAGGCTAACATTTAAGCTGGTCTGACATGCCATTCCTAGTAGTGTTGGATGTAAAGAGTCGTAAACTTCTTCCGCGTGATCTGACCCCACGCAAGGGCTGGTGGACGTGGACACGGGGCTTTCGCAAGCCCAGTTGCTGCTATGACTAGAGAAGACACTATTGCTCCTGCTACTACGGGGTGATGTAACTGGATGCTTCACCCAGGGTGCTGAATACGGGTCCCATTCCAGTTGGGGTAAAGGAGCGATGTTTTGAGGCGGTTCATTGCTACCCTGGGTCCGAGATGGCGATAGTCGCCGAGGTTTCTCACCTGTCAAAGTTTCGGTCTTCGAGCTCCTAGGTCGAGTGCTCCAAGGCTTCTTATTGCGGGCCGACTTCATAACAAAAGAACGGACCTCCCTGTCTGGCTTTGCGTTTATGCCGCCATTGCTGGAATCAATGAACATGAAGGCCATGGGGCGCCTCTCCTTCCTGCAGGATTGAAGGGGTCGGCTTCCATTTCCACCATTCGAATCGAGTCCCTTGGTTTGCCGAGCAGGCATGCTGTCTTACGAACCCGGTGCTGGTAGTGAATGGACTTGGCGAATCTGCAACTGTAGAGTGATTGATGAGCATTGAACGTTATGGGAAGGAAATCGGGTTCGGAAATGCAGAATATGTGTGTGCAGAGCGCCAAAAAGGAAGTTCATAGTCGCGAGGGGAATGTTCTTTAACCCGTAAGTTTGGATCTTGGCTCCCTGCGCTAACCGTATCGGTGTACTGTCTTCGATGGGATAAGGAAGGGGCGAAAAGCTCCAAGACCGTGGCTGTCTGGACTCGACGAGCGGATCTGTCATAGGTGAGGTATCGGTAAAGCAAAACATGCTTGATAATTACTCCAAAGGCGACGCAAAGCACGGTTGTTCTGCTGCACACATCGAATGATCAGTGATGGTAATCCTACACTAGGAGACAATTGGACAAAGCTGGAAGAGGAGAAACAACCAGCGAGCGTCAAACCATGGCCGGAACCGCTGCTTACTAAAGGCAGAGTATTAGCTTGATGAACAAGGTCTGAGAAGTAACCCAAAGCAAAGTTGAGCACCGTCGCTGAAATTCGCACGAGGAATGGGGAAACTTGAGACTTTAGTAAAACATGGTAATTTGTGCGACCGCACTACTACCAAGGCGGTGAGAAGGCCAAGCACGAGCTGAGAGCACCAGCGAAGGTTCCTATGTGATGGAGTGGGAGCTTTGCCTTCGAAAAGCGATGAATGCAGAAATGTTCAGGGCATTCGGCCTGCCGCTTGTAACGTAATCTGGAGATCGGCGAACAGAGATTTGATAATGGCGTATGATCTTGGCTCGCTCCAAATGTCCGCCGTGGAACGTACCACATCGATCACGTATCGGCTCGCTCATCGCGCACTCCTCACCCACCCTACAACACCAACACTATACCCTACCAACCCACCTACTCTCTCCCTCTCCCTCTTCGCTTCCTCTTGCCACTTCCTCAGCCCATCCATCAGCTCCTCGCTCTTGACAATTGTATCTCCATGCAACCTCAAAAATACGCTCATCCAAGCCTGCACGAGTTCGTAGTCTCTTCTCTCCCTGAGCCTCGCGGTAAGTACATGAATGAACGTCCTCAACTCGATGTACGGCTCCGTGTTGTCGAGCGTGCGGATGGCAATGTCGGCGGCGGAGGGAGGCAGGGAGGAAAGATACGAGATGAGCGGTGCATATTCAAAGGTTTGCGTGGCCTGGGCGAGAAGGCGGGTAAATTCGTTTGTAGCTGCGGCAGCTGTTGACCGCGAGGCGAGTGCGGAGCTGGATATACGGGATGCCGGTTCCTGATCAGGTAGTGCAAGAGCAGTACTGTCTACTCCCGCGACTTGATTTTGACCGAGCGAAGGTAGGAAGAAAGGCGCTTTCTCAGGCGCCTTGGGCGCTTCTTGAGGCTTGTTGCGTGCTCGAATTAGGTCGAGGTGGAGAAGTGTTTGCCAGCGCGACTTAGGAACTAAGCTCAGAGTCGTGATTTTGTCACTGAGTTGATCCATAATCGGAACTGTGGTTTCGTCCTGTTGCTCATCTTCCGACTGCTCTTCAGCGGCTGCTTCAACGACAGCCACGCCACCTTCGCCAGAAGCCGTAGGTGCACTAACAGTCGCAATATCCGTTTCCGTGATTTGACGTGTAGACACATGCGTAAACAGCGTCCTATTCGTCCAAATATGGACGCCTACCTCACCATCTAAGCCCGTGGCAAGAAATTCACCTGAAGGAGAGAATGCTACAGTGTTGCACTTTCTCGGTAACTTCATGGCGTCAATAAGATGACCAGTTGGAAGATCCCAGACTCTAACGGTAGAATCAGATGCTGCAGATATGATCCATCGGCCATCGTTCGAGAAGGTATAATCGAGCGTATCCAGCTCAGCATGAGATCGAGATGCCCAGAGCTCTCGAATGAGCTTCCTTGTCGTGATGTCCACAACACGGATTGAGCCGTCGTCGCAGCTCAGTGCTATTAGGTCGCTGTTGCGATGGTAGCGAAGTCCAAAGATTTTGGTCATGGGATACCAGTCGATCTCGTGTAGGAGATGGCCGGTAGCAAAATCCCAGAACTTGTCACAACGTCAGTTAACCTCTTCAAGTTGAATCAGCGGTACAACTCACTTTTACTTTGCCGTCGTCAGAGCAGCTTATGAGTGTACGGTTCATGCCATCTACGGCGAGCCCCGTAACGGCTCCCTTGTGTTTACCTTCACCCTTTGCGAACTTCCGAGGAGAATCGTCCTCAACAAGGAGGGCGTCTTCGGCCTGCAATTGTTGTAGCTTGTACTTTTTCGCTTCTACTGGGGTTAATCGAGTGGGAAATCTCCTCCGATGTTGTCCAGATTGAAGGTTGTACATGTCGATGGAGCCGCCGGCCGAACCAATCAAAGCGAATGTGCCGCAAGATGAGATTGCAACACTCTTGACTTCAGACCCGTCACTTGTGTCGAACGCCCATCTTCCTGCTCGTTTTCGTCCCCAGAACCAGGTTCTCGCAGTCTTGTCTCCAGCATGTCCTGTGACGATACTTTCCCATCCTGTCATGTTGACTTCAGGCTTCTTTTTGTCCTGTCCCTTGACGCTCGACGAGTTGTTCCAGATGCCATTGACGCCAGGCATGGCTCCCATTCCCCCGTCGCGGTTAAGAGAACATGCAATGCATGTGATTGAAGGAGCCTTGAGGTCTTCAAGCTTCACATGATGTTTCGAACCTTCAGCATCGCCGCTGAGAAGCCCCATTTTCTTGGCTTTCTTTTGAATTGCACCTTGACTAAGCTCTGTGCTTTGTCCGTCTCTTCGCAAGCTCCAACCCCATAGACTTCGATCTTTGCTTGCACTGAGTAGCCACTTGCCAGTATCATCCGAACCGTCTGAGTTGGAGGGCAGGAAGCGAAGCGCGGAGACAGGAGCAGCATGGCCACCGCGCGAGTGTAGAATGCGTGGTATAGGTGAGAACGGGGTCTCGTCGAAGATCCAGCTTTTCAATGAATTGTCCAAGCCGCTCGACACAATCACTGCTTGACCAGCCAAGAACTCGATTTTGCTGATGCCACCGCCAACGCCGCCACTTGCAGAAGGCGGAGGCCCGTGAGCTCCCCGCAAGGTTCCTTTCTTACGGCCGCCTTTATTGAGATCCCAGAAGGTAATATCTCCGCTGTCGTGACTTGCAGTCGCCATGACTCCGTCTTCTCGGCCATCATCGCCAGCACCGAGTCCATCAGTCCTGAACGAGATGGAGGTGATGGGAAGCTTCTGCGATCCGCCCGTGTTCAATCGCATGACCTCCTTGTCAGCTCGTATATCATGTATGGTAACTGGGCCTGATTCGTATGCGATCGCAAGCAGAGATAAGGCGGGGGTCGGCTGCAATGCGGTCACAGAGCCAAAGTCTGCGGCAGGTGGGAGGAGTGTATAGAGTAGCTTTCCAGTGCTGAGGTTCCAGATCTCCACCGAACCATCCCTTCGTCCCACGAATATTTTGTTCAGGTATGTCGGCATGTTGCAGATGGATCCAGAGAGAGGACTGGAAGAGGGACTTTGAAGGGTGGTGTAGTGCTCCAACGTAGCCGTTCTCCACACTTCAATTTTGCCAGTGCCGCATCCTACAATCCACTCGCCCATGACAACAAGGCGGCTTATCCTTTCGATCCCGCCTCGCGGTAATTCCAATTCGGCCACTTTCTTTCCACGTTGAAAAACCCAGACACCGCGCGAAGCACTGCGCTTTTGGCCGGACCAAGCTGCAAAGACGACCTTCTTCCATGCTATTGTTGCGGTGATGTCCTCGGGAGTTTGTGGTCGGGTGATGAAGACGAGATGTAGTCCGCGCTTCAAATCGTACGTCTGTAGCGAGCGGCCAACCGAGGTGGTGATTTGGAAGGTTGTTTTTCCGAGCGGGAGGGAGGTAAAAGGTACGCTGGTGGGAGACACGAGACCTACAGTCTATCATCAGAGTGTCAGTTAAAGCGTTGGACTTGTGGGTGTGTAAAGCTTCAAACAACATACTCGGAACGGCGCAAATATTTTGGATTGGCGAACCAGCGGCGAAGAGCTCTTCTCACCGGCGCCGTCGACTTTCTGGCGCTTGGAAACTGGGCCATTGGTGGTAGCCGGAAGTAGTTTTGGGCCCGCCATGTCGACTTCTCTCTCGACTTTGGGGTGGTGCTTGGAAAAGCAGGCGCGCGTTGTGCTGTCTTGCAGACGTCGAGACTGCTGCCACAAAAAGTTTGCGAAGATTAGATGAGATGAGATTAGATAGATTAGATTAGATCCTTTTGCGCCGAGGGACCCCCGGCGCCAAGAGATCCCCGCAGGGTTACTGGGCTTGTCAGACATGCATGCATTCATCATTCATTCATTCATTCATTCATTCAGGCGGTGGACTCACACTCACAAGTGGTTTGGTCTGATAAGATGGTGATGCAGCTTGCTGACTCTATACCGTGTTCTGGGACGTTCTGATTCCTCCTCGAAAAGACTCCTGTATGTATCGCTGTGTGCGCTGGTTGTTCAGCGACCGACACTTGAATCGTGTAAGCGTCTACAATGTACGAATGGCAGTCCAGGCCTTTGTGGATTGTAACATGCATATGCACCTCTCGCTCCCGCGACGCATTCCTGCTGCTCGTGGTCGCGTCTATTTGGATCAGGAGGTACAGCCCATGCTGCCAAGTCGTACCCAATGACGTCTGCTGGAGTAGCTAGACTACCTTTCGCGCTGCATTTGAGGTGCATGCAATCGCCCTCATTCATTCATTCCCTGTGAACAAGCTTGGCTCATACTATTGAACCTCTACGCCATGGCTGCCAGCTCACTCGCTTTCTGGAAAGGTAGTTGTCCGGCATAGACTCTGCGAGACACAGCCAAAAGACGACGACGACACATGGACCAGCCGCTGTCCCGCACAGTGAGTGCGGAGAGCCCACAGACATGGCAGCAACTTTCGTCTGCAAGCGGCGCATCGACAGCGGGCAGCAAGGCAAAGTCGAGCGAGCCGGAGACGGGCGGACGCAATGTCGAGCGAGCGAGCGTGTCGCTGCCCCCACTGGGGTCAAAGGCCATGCAACAAATGCCCGCGCGCCGGCCGTCCAAGGCGTCCGATAGCAACCTCTTTGAGTATTTTGGAAGCGCGAGAAGTGGCTCTGCAATTGAGGAATCAGATACTACGCCAACGCTAGAGGGCACCCGTGGAGGGCTCGGCCAAGTGAATCCTCTGCTGCTGCCGGAAGCCTTCCGACCTCCGCGATCTGACGTCGATGCTACACCTGCAGATTCTCATCGATTGTCTTTTTCGTCTTTGTATTCGATAGGATCCGCAATCTTCGCCAACAACCGCGGAAACAATTGGAGCGGACGAAGCTCTCTCGTAGGCTCCGAGCCAGAAGGTGTGTCAAACTTGGAAACCAATTTTGCCTGCAACGTATAACACAGGCACTGCATTACATGGACTGACACCACTTTGAGCAGTCAAGATGGAAGGCGCCCCACACACCACCACGGCCACCACTTCGCTGTCCGTCACCACGTCGAGCCAAAATGGCAGCCTGGGAACCAAAGTGTCACCAACGCAATTGCTCTTCCCCCACGACCAAGCGGCAAACACGGCCAGTCCCAGCATCGGCCCAACCAACCCCGCCGCCTCGCCCACCCCCGGCCAACAGCCACTATCTTCGCAGCCTCGCCGCTCACGAAGCCGAACAACTCAGAGGCGCATCAGTGGAAGCACTGCTCCGAGCAGCAGCCCCGCGAGCAGGGACATGAGGGAGAAGAAGCCAACAAAGGGAATCATTGGCGTCTGTGCCCTCGAGTCCAAGGCACGCAGTAAACCTGCGCGCAACATCTTCGGCAAACTGGTAGATGAATTCGAGGTCAAGATCTTTGGCGACAAGATCATTCTCGACGAGGCGGTGGAGAACTGGCCCATCTGTGACTTCCTCATATCCTTCTTCTCAGACGGCTTCCCCCTGGACAAGGCCATAGCATACACCCGACTACGCAAGCCATTCTGCGTCAATGACCTGCCCATGCAACAAGTGCTTTGGGACCGCCGCTTATGCCTGGGTATCCTCGACCAGCTCAATGTCCCCACGCCTAAGCGGATTGATGTAAGTCGCGATGGCGGCCCGCGGTTACCATCGCCCGAATTCGCAAAAACGTTGTACGAGCGAACCGGACTGAAGCTTCAGGGGCCAGAAGATGGCACGGGTGGGGGTGTTCAGGCACCAAAAAAGGTCGAACTTATCGATAACGGTAATGCGATTCGCGTAGACGGTGTCACTCTTACGAAGCCTTTCGTTGAGAAGCCGATGAGTGGTGAAGACCACAACATTCACATCTACTTCCACAAGAAAGATGGTGGTGGCGGCCGAAGACTCTTCAGGAAGATCAACAATAAGAGTTCAGAGAGAGATGATACTCTCGATGTACCCCGGGCTATTCTAGAGCCCACAAGCAGCTACATTTTCGAACAGTTCTTGCATGTGGAAAATGCCGAAGATGTCAAAGCCTACACCGTCGGACCAAACTTCTGTCACGCCGAGACGCGGAAATCGCCTGTAGTGGATGGCTTGGTCAAGCGCAACCCCAGTGGTAAGGAGGTTCGATATGTGACAAAGCTCAGTGAGTCCGAAGCACTCATCGCATCCAAGATTTCCGAAGGATTCGGCCAGCGAGTCTGCGGATTTGACCTTCTTCGAACCGGAGACCAAAGTTACGTTATTGATGTCAATGGGTGGAGCTTTGTCAAAGATAACGGAGACTACTACGACAAGGCAGCCAACATTTTGAAAGATATGTTTCTCAAGGAAATATCACGCAAACAACGCAAAGACGCCGCCCAGAACGCCGCTGCCGATGCACAGGAAGGTACGGATAGGACTTCTGGAACGTCACAGAAAGGTGCTTCGAGCCATCGCAAGACTTTGGGAAGGTTATTCAAGAGTCCTAGTATGTCAAAAATGGCTAACCACCCTCACTCCCATCTGCCCCACATACGGCAAGCCAATACTATGCCGCCGTCGCCTGAGACATCACTAAGCACAACCCCTGTCGCAGCTTCGCCGAGTATTGAAAAGCCAAACCCTCTTGCCGCTCTCAGTCCTCCCACAGTCGGCTCTATCCCCGACAAGCCACGTTCCGAGCCAGACATATCACTTCCGCCTGTCATCGACGACGACGACGATCTCCATCATGATTCCAAGGGTTCACTCTCAGACGACCAAATCGTTGTCCCCCCGCCGGCTTCGAAGGCGCAGTGGAAGCTCAAAGGCGTTGTGTCCGTCATTCGACATGCCGACCGCACACCAAAGCAAAAGTTCAAGTATACATTTCACAGCAAGCCCTTTGTCAATCTACTCAAAGGGCACCAGGCTGAAGTTTTATTGATTGGTGAGGCAGCCCTGCAAAGTGTTAGCGATGCAGTCAAGGTTGCTATTGACGAAGGACTGGAGGATTTAAAGAAGCTCCGTGAGTTGCAACTGTACCTGAACAAAAAGGGGGCATGGCCTGGTACGAAGGTGCAGATCAAACCAATGTTTCGCAAGAGGAGGAAAGAGGAGTTGCAACCTGGAGAGTCCATGCCAGAAGAGTCTCCAGAGAAACAGAAACAGGCAACGGCCGGTCATAGCAACGAACCAACGCCGGTCGCTGATGATGCGGATCCAGAACCACTCAAGAACAGGAGTGACTCCATGTCTGGCGTGACTTTGTCTCGTATTACCGCCCAAGACAACAACATGGTTCTCGATAAACTGCAGTTGATCATCAAGTGGGGCGGAGAACCCACACATTCCGCTCGCCATCAAACCCAGGACATGGGTGCAAACTTCCGGAATGATCTTTTACTCATGAACAGAGACGTACTCGATGACGTCCATATCTTCAGTAGTTCAGAGCGTCGAGTTACCACAAGTGCACAGATCTTCGGCGCGTCCTTCCTGGATAAAGATCAGTACCTAGCTGAGCATATCCAAGTTCGCAAGGATCTTCTAGACGACTCCAATGCCGCAAAGGATGTTATGGATAAGGTCAAGAAGAGACTCAAAACCCTGCTGCGTGCAGGCGACAAAGCCCCGCCGCAATTCGCGTGGCCGAAAGGCGAGCCGGAGCCTTACATTGTCGTGCGACAAGTCGTGGATTTGATGAAGTTCCATCAGCGCGTCATGAATCACAACTTCAAGAAGATTGAGTCTGAAGCCATCTCGTCCCTTACTGCACTAACGTCACCACCATCACAACCAGCTACTCCTGGCGCATCTCTCCATCAACACACCAATGTGAATCACATCCAATCGCGCTGGTGCTGCAACGAGGGTCCCGAGCTCTTCAAGGAACGCTGGGAGAAGTTGTTCAAGGAGTTCGCAGATGCCGATAAAGTTGATCCTAGCAAAATCTCTGAACTATATGACACGATGAAATTCGATGCTCTTCATAATCGCTCTTTCCTTGAGTGGGTCTTCACTCCGGACGCTACCTTTGTTGACGAGGAGTCTGTTATAGATTCTTCAAAGCAGACAACACCCGACAACCATTCTACCAAGTCAATACCAACTGGCTTAGTCCCGTCGGAGGCCCAAATGAAGGCGGAAGCAAAGGAGCAGGGCAGTGAAAAACCTCAAGAGCGAGGCAGTATCACTCAACGAATGGGTTTCAGGCGCAAATCTGAGATAGCTATCAAGCCCTCCGCACCTCCAGCATATGTGCACGAATCCTATTTCAAACTCTACACGGGTGTCAGCACCGCCGCTACAAAGGCCCAAACTGATGCACGTTTGATCAAGCTTCGGGAGATGTACCATCTTTGCAAGGTTCTCTTCGATTACATTGGTCCACAAGAGTACGGTATTGAGAGCGAAGAGAAGTTGGAGATTGGTCTGCTTACGTCACTCCCCTTGCTCAAGGAAATCGTTGGCGACTTGGAAGAGCTACAGGCGTCTGATTTGCCAAAGTCTTTCTTCTATTTCACCAAGGAATCACATATCTACACCCTACTCAATTGTATCTTGGAGGGCGGCATCAAGACGAAGATCGAACGCAACGCTATCCCTGAGCTCGATTACTTGTCTCAGATCAATTTCGAGCTGTATGAGTCAGAGAACGCCAGTATTGACAACCAGCCGCATACATTTAACTATAGCATCCGCATCACGTTATCTCCCGGCTGTCATGCTTTTGCTCCTCTTGATGTGTAAGTCTTTTAAAATCGACATTACTCATGTACAAACACGCTAACGGCCTGATAGACAACTCGACTCGCGCCACATGATTGGCTTCTCGCCTCGCCGCGGTCTTACGGATCACCAGGAGTGGAAGAAGGTGCTCGAAACACTCCGCGCCAAGTTTCATACGTAAATATTAGACCCAGTCCACGTAGCCTTAGCAACTAATTAACGCCATCCAGTGTCAAACTGCCGAAGTCCTTCGTCGCCATCGACCTCAGCGAAAAGGTCCCGGACGCCTTTGAGCGCCGCGCCAACGGGAAGGGGAAAGAAAAAGAAGACTCTAAATCTGAAGACGAAGAGAGGGGTAGATCGGAAGAGAGGAAGGACGATGCCACCCCAAAGGAACCAATTCCAATGACTGATGAAAAGGGCAATGTTGTTTCACCCGCATTGCAGCATGAAATATCACCGACCAGACTACCTCCGCCGGCGTTGGATGCCTAGGAGGCGTCTAGCTATGAGGCAATGACTTTGCATATGTGGGCTGAATTCTGAGCGTCTTCATTTCCAACTAGACAAGTGATAGACAACAGTAGTTGTAGAGTATTTATACTACATACCGTAAATAAGCAAGCGATTAAAGACAAAACACCTAATCACGCGTGCCGTCGAGTCTGGCCATCATGCAAGACATGTCTCGATTGCTATGCTACGATAAGCGAACTGTTCAATACACCCCTTTCCACAAACGATAAATCAGCACGCTGATCAAGACAGACCAGGACTAGACCGCGTCTTGGATCTAAAATCCACTCTTGCAAGATGATTACATGGGATTTTCACTTTCCCCTATTACCGCAAGTACCTCGATTTCGATTGTAGGTACTGTTGTCAGCATTTCCGAGCCGCTGTTAGTTCATAAGAGAACGCGAAAACAAAGTAGAGCGAAGGAGTACGCATTTGGAGCAAGAGACCTGTTCCTACTTCAGGGCAACTGAAGATGAACCGTTTCTATGACTTGTGACTCATGCTCGACAGTGTCGAATTCACAATGTCACCAAATGACCGTCGTGACTTCCAGGATTCTCGAAGGATTGTTGAAGTGTAGTGCACATAGATAGGACTTTGAGCATGGTGAAGAAACGAGTGTTCGACTTGAGAGCGCTTAGAAGGCCATTATGAGTGTCCTGGCTTCTCAATCATCTCCTAGACTATCTAAATGCCCCGTTTATACCGTACATTTGAAATCTCTTGATAGCTTTCTACAGGTTTAGCATTTGGTCGAGCTCCCAAGCCCTCTCAAGAGCGAAGAGATTCACTTAGCCACAAAACCTGTGTCGAGCAGACCTCGACCACTCATTCAATCCCCAGCAGCCCCGAAGACGTCTACGACTACACAATGTCGACTTGGGTTTTTGCATATCATCCTGCCCGCGCTTCTCCCCTCGGAGCCACCGCATCTAGCATCATTCCCGCGATCATAACACAACCGTCAGCACCAAAGGAGCAAGGAGAAGAAAGACCTAGCCGCCTTGAAACTACCCTCGAATATCGAAGTTCTATTTGGAGAAGCCCCAACTATCTGCAATGTCTTCTCGCCAACACGCTCGCGCCCACTCTTTCATTTCCGAATGTCGATATGGAGTCGAGTCATTCGCACGAACAACTAATGATGCCATCGACGAGGTGCTACAAATGTACGCAAATGAAGATTTTCACGACCAACAGACCTCAGGCCGCTGCGGTCAACAACACGAAGCTGCTCCGGCATTCAACATTCGTCGTAAGCCAGTACCGCCGTCTAAACAGCATGTCGGCTCTGTGGATGCTTCTTCTCACTCCCAGATGCCTGAAGATCAGCCCGGCAATGTCCCTGCTCCAACACCTGGGCTAGACGTTCGTCGTGGACGCAGTGATTCGGTGATGGATACTTGGCCAAACCCCGATGCTTGCCTCGATCAACATACCAGCTTCCCTCGTCGAGAGAGTATTCCAGCTTGTCTGCGACCAGGCTATGGTAGAGTCGTTAAGAATCATTCTGATGCGCGCCCTCTGAATCCAACTTCCATACCACAGATACAGCCTAATCCAAATGTTGCTCAGTCAAATAGACAGCAGCGTCGACTATTAGGCTCCTCATCAACATATGCTCAGACTGGTGGCATTCCTAGACACGGTCAATCACACTCTCAACACCAAGCGTTGAGTACGGTCGCTGACGGCAACTACTTGCCTCATGATCTTGACCGCTTCGATACAACGCGCTTCGTCGACCCTCAAGACCAGATCGACATCGACATGTGCAACATCCGCCGTGAACATTTCCGCGATTCACTCGGGTACATCTACGCTGATCATCTGGATTCCGAGGTCGCGCATCATTTGCGGAAGCACGTTCCCACGCCATACTTTGCGCCTTGGGATTATGTTCAACAGGGGTTTCGGTACGCAACTTCTTCGAAGGTGTGGACTGAGAAAAAGGAATGGGCGAAGAAGTTCTTCCAGTAGAGTCGATAATAGACGCCGGGCTCGGAGAAGGGAGGTCTCAGATGCGAAATTAAGCGAGTAGAGGATGAATGAGGTTGTTCTTCCGTTGGAGAGGCTATCTGTGTGCTGCGTTTGGGCTCGATGGCAATAGTAGCAGTGTTGTACTTTAGTATACTGCCAAAAATTCCTCGTCTCTGCTATACACCCTTTTAATGTTATGTCATTTTGGTGTTATCGCTGGCGCTTTTCTGTTCTGCATCATGGCGCAATGACTGGCTGTAAGCAGAGACTCATGTTGTTACATTTGAGGTCAGTGAGGTCAAAGCAAAAAAAGTAAAAATTAAACCATAGAGAGATAATAGGAACTTGAGCAGCAGCAAGGGATTCGGTGACGTGAGACGAACGAGATCAAACGAGTATTGTCAATGCTGTGGTAATATTTTAGCTTCAAAACAAATGATAACGTGAGAGCGAAACCCCATACTCCACACTACGTGAAGACAACGTCTCCTCGGCCACTTACGAAGATACATTTTCGATTTTTTGTGCTAGTAGCGCCTCAGACGAAGTGTTGATAAAGATTATCGAAGGCATCCGAGTTGTGTCAATGGCATGACTCTACACGATCACGCAATAGCATGTGCTTTAGCAATCCTCGCAATCTTGACTACCTCGGAACGTGAATTTTGGCACTTGGAAGACTCGCATTCGTCTTTCAAGCCGTCAAACAGGCAACAATATTCATCGCGAGATCAGACTATTGCTTCTACCGCAATCGATCGCGAACTGTCCCAAGGTTCAATGCTTTTCGATAAAGCAAAGCCAGACGAGGGTTGTTGGAGATTTCAGGCACCGTCAGTTCTCGCGACATGATAGGCCCGAATTCTGTTGCCTTGAAACAGCGACGAATGTTGGTGGATCTGGAAGACGACTACAGCTAATGAAGAAACACGAATGAGACAATAGGAGGCGATTACGTACGCTGGGTCACTGATAACAAGCTCGTCATAGCCTGTGGGGACGACACTTCGGATGTCCATGGAATGTCGCAGACAGAGGGCAATTTCAGACCGGCCACCGGCAACGTATTTTTCCGCCACCGTCTCGAACGCTCGTCAAGACCAGACACCGAATTTCAGTCCAGGGCAGCAAAAGTTGTGCAAATGACTGTAGAGTGCATGTGATGCTACAATTTTGCAACAATAATGCAGGAGGCTAAAGTTCTGTGCAGCCTTCTCTCGTGCTTCCAGGGTCTTTACCCCAGGTTGCGCCAATCTTCCGGTAGTAGCTGCAATCTGGATGCTGAGATAGATTGCAGGAGTGCGTGGGGATATGAACTTTTGTGGGTGATGCGGGAAGATAGATTAAAACCTATGGGGTGCAGATGCTTCCAGAAGGGACATGCTCATGCCTTCATCTACATGCCCTATAGGGACATATGGGCGCAATCATCAGGAGCGAAACGTGATTGTGTAAACCAGCCGGAAGGGGTAGTTGATGCAGGATCGCCCGGGGCTGATTGGGAAACGCTGACGGCGTCTTACGACATGGACCTGTCTCGTGTCGCCACAGAGGTGCAGCAGTGGTGCAGGTGGGTCAGTAAGAGACTCAGGTCATCTCGTACTCCGCCTCGAACTCTCTTTAATTAGTGAGCCTTGGTTCTGACTGTGCCTGTTGGAGGGGGCAGTGGGGAAGCCGCCTACACCTATCACCAGGAGAGAGCCCAAGTTGCTCAACAAACTGAGAGGAATGAGAAGGCCGGACGCGAGGCACGTTGGAAGGGCTCCACCACGTCTCCCCTGACTTTCCCACTACAGGGACGGGCGAAATCCGAAGTGCGGTGGTGAAACTCACGGCTGAGTGCCTAGCGTACGGGGACCAAGGGCGGTTGTATTTATTCTCGGCGCGGACCCAAACAGGATAAGCGCCGGCCAGGGGTTGCAGCTGCCCTTTAGAGGGCTTGGCGGTTGCCTTTGTACTTAAGCCCCAGAGAGGACACTCTGGCAACTTCGAGCACAGCCCAGCCCAGTCATAGCTATAGTCATATTGATCCGCCCCCTCCCAGATGCCCGCTACTTCGCATCGACAACACAACACACAATGGGGATGGAACACGCTTTCGACACTTCCTTTTCTCAAACAATGAACACACCCACCATGATGGCCACAGCGCCCCTCACCCCGTCGACGACTAGCTCAATACCCACGACCATTAAGATGGAGGACCTCCAGGTCCCCTTTGACACACCTTCACCCCACGACTCATACCCCGCAATGTCCGAGGCCTCCTCAACGCCCGCACCGTCGGGCACCGAGTCCAGGCAGGTCAAGAAGCGCAAGTCGTGGGGCCAAGTGCTCCCCGAGCCAAAGACGACGCTGCCACCCCGCAAACGGGCCAAGACGGCCGACGAGAAGGAGCAGCGTCGCATTGAACGAGTAAAGCGAAACCGACTCGCCGCCCACAATTCTCGTGAACGCAAGCGACAAGAATATGAGCTCCTCCAGGCCGAGAAGGACCAAATGGAGGCCGACCTCAAGTCGTACCAACATAAGATGGCCCAAATGAAGAGCGAACTTGAGTTCTACCGCACAAAGTACCCTGGCGAAGCACCCGAGCCTGTCTTCGACCTGACCACCACATCCTCTACCGACGCTGTCGACACGGTCTGCCCCGCGCGGACCTCAGTGTCGTTCCCCAGTCCCATCTCCATGGACTCGATGGACTCGCCCCGCGACTCCTCGTGCCAGCCCGAGACACCCGCCTCCACCTTTGAGGCCACACCCGATTTCGACTCGACACAATATCCTGCCGCGGTATTGTGCGACCTGCAGTGTCAGTCGATTTCGGGAATGGCCTCTCCCTCTGTGGCGGCGATCTGGACCTATCTTACACTTTTCAATCTGACGCTCCAGTCGACGAAAAGCCTGTTGTCCTCGACAACCTCTTCGACTTCTCCCAGTTCCCTGAAGGCAGCCCATCAGCTGCTTGCATGGAACCCACTACTGGCTTGGCTGACCCTTCTTCCGTCGACTTCTTCGGCTCAGCCCTCTTCGGCCACAGCTCTTCCTCAACTTCTTACGGCTTTCCTGACGGCTTTGATGCAAAGTTCTCTGACTTGCAGAGTGCCTCTGGCGCAACTTTTGTTAGCGACGAGGCTCTCGCAGCGGAGCTCTAGCGTTGAACGTGTCTCGAGATCCAGTGAGGGGATGAAACGAGCTGGGTCTGTTGACGGCGTCCTTGGATCACGACTGACGAGGTCAGGTAAGCTTAGACAATTGGGTAGGCGTAAGGGTGTACGATCAATGGAATCATCACAGGGAAGGGCAAATATGGCATGTGGTTTTACTCGGCGTCAAAAGGAGTCTTGAGCGTGCTTTTGACTGTAGCAACAAACTTCTCTCTTTGACAAGGACTTGGTATGCCTTTCAGGATATCGCTTCTTGGAATGGTTATGGCGGACAAGATAGTACACCAAGGGCTGGTGCCTTTCCTGTACCCAATACACCAAGCTTCACGACTCAAATTGCGTGCACCACTATTGTGACCTTTCTTTACACTTTTTCCAAGTTGCCTTGCACAGCTCATCGTGAACTCTGTTTTGTCCTATTTTCCTCCTTCCATCGACTCTCCTCCCTTCCGATGACGCTGCAATTCTCGACGATTCTACGCCCCTAGTTGACTCGAGCCGTCTCCACTTCGCCCAGCTAAATCAAGCACCATCCGCATGCAGGCTGACGCCACCTACCACATAGGCCTTGCGCCACCCCGAAGAACGAACGAGAACGAGCAAGCACCACGAGAATCAAGGGGGGGGAATTGTTGTTCTATTCATAGATGACACCACACTCTCACACACACGAGAATCATTAGATGGCGAGGGCGACGGATGGAGTCGTTCCACTGCCGTATACGAAGCGGAGTGCGAGACCGTATACGAGATTTCTCGACTCTCGATTCTCGATTCGATTCGATCGATTGATTCGTTTTAGTCGGTTGGTAAGAAGTGGAGGTCGGGTAGCTGATCGGACTTCGCTAATAAAGCCATGCTAATCTCTACTGTACTCGGTCTTTCGAAAAAGGGCAAAAATATGTCGTGTGTGCATGTGCGTGAGAGAGGGCTTGCAGAAATTCGCCTATTCTACCCCTACTACCATGTATGCTTGTTGGTTACATGCATGCTACGGGCATCGGACTGGACTTTTTGCCCCCCTTCGACATGCATAGAGTTTCACACCGCTTCGTTCAATTTCAGGCCAGCAAGTCAAATCACGTCACGTCATTCGCGTCGAAGATGCAACAAGTTGACAAAAAAAGGGGAGCATTCCTGGATTCCTTATCTATTCGTCATATTCTGTAGATTCTAGGCCCTCACATGCAGCGGAGATTCGACAGTGCGTATGTAGTTGTGCGTACTACATGCGTGCTCTGTCCTCCCTCGCATGCGTGCATGCTAGCCGACCAATTGAAAATGGCCATAGCAACGTCCTCTTTCGCTCTCCCTTGCCAAAATTGCATTGCTTTTCTTTATATGCTATCCGGAGCGCTATTTGCTAGCCTTGCTGTCGCTGCCCTGGTCGGATGCCTTGGGTGCGGCACCCGCGCCGCTGGCGTTGAGGCCTTCGAGAGCTGTAGCGTAGATATGTTAGTATGGAGGTCGGTGCGAAGAGGTGGCGGAGACGGGGAAAGACGTACCTTCGCCCTTCTCGATCTCTGGCATAGGGGCTACATTGTTCTTGGTGTGCTGGAGCGTGGTCTAAAAGGGTAATTGGTCAGCTCATGTCTCGTACGGTTTTTGCAGAGTCGAGGAAAGTGTGGTTACGTACGTCGCCAGAGTTACCGTGGACAATGTCGTGGCCCTCGATGGGGCCGTTGTCAGATGATCCGTCTCCGTTGCGAGGCATATTGATTGATTGGTCTGGTGGAAGGAGGTGTTTGTGGGAAGGAAGGTGATGATGTAGAAGTTTCGTCTGTAATTGTAGGTAGAAGAAGGCTGAACTGTTGTTATATACTCGACGTAACTGATGAAATTTGGTTGCGGAAAGGCAAAATGATGTCATTATGATGAATATTATTATCAGCACGACCCACTCTTTTGGTGAAGCTCTCCACCGATCTAATGAGTAGATTGACATTGACATTGCGTATCCGGTCACACGACCTAGGAAGGTTGTAACAAAAGCTTGGTGTACAAATAAGGTACCCGAAAAGTCACTATGTATGTCCTAAAGCAGAACCGTGACGACCAACCGAAGTGCTCTGTCGAGACACCAGTTCAACACTTTTAGTGTACTGTACAACCCTAAGCAGGTAAACGTAGAGCTTCAATCTTCGCACTCGTCTGGCGGCCCTCGATGAGTTCCGCTAGTACAAGACCAGTGCCAGGTGCATGTGAAATGCCCCAAGCACCGTGTCCCGCGGCAATGAACACTCCTCCCTCACCTCCACCGCGAGTCTTTATTTTTCCAAGCTTCTCGTCAGGTATCCGAGATACTAGCGGGCGGCCACTAGATGTTATAGGGCGGAAGCACTGTCATTGACGTTAGCATAAGTTGCAAATGGACGCGACGTAAAAAGTGCACATACCAAGCTTTCTCTCAAAACCTCAAACTCTTTCCCCTCCACATCCAACATCATAGCCTTTGCACAACTCTTCAACTGCTCGATTGCCTTTTCGTTGTACTTCACATCCGTGGCCACGTCGGGCAAAGGTATGTTTGTACTATTCAGGCCTGCCAGGTACAACTCGCCACCGATCCTGGCAAACCATTCTGGCGAGAAACCCAATGTGTCTGTTGCAAAGATGGCATGGCAAACCTCCTTGTCGAGCTCAGCGGGGTTGAAATGAGGGTTGCGGACGAGGAGGGAATGGCCTGCGAGGGAGGAGACGGGTATGCGAGTGTTGACCGACGGGAAGAGCGTGGCAAAGACGCGGGGCGACCAGGCGCCCGAGGTGATGACGAGGCGGTTACATTGTACTGTGAGCGTTAGCAGTGAATTTGGTCGAGGGTTCGAGTGAGCCTCACTCTCGGTTTCGACGCCATCTTTGCTTATCCGTACGCCATTCAAGGTGCCATTGGCGTCTTTGGACACAGATATCGCTCTTGCGGGCTGAAGGACTTGCACGCCTCTTTCTTTACACCGCTGCAAGAGCCATTGGCAGAACCTCGAGGGATCAATTTGTGCCGCGGTCCCATCTTTACTAATCACCTCCATGATGCCCTCTTTTGTTCGCCTCAGCCATTGCGGCCCAGCAGGCCCCTCTTCCCAAGGTCGGTTATGGTTCGCTAGCTGTGCTCTGCTTGTACCACTTTCAAGCCAGTCTTCGCCGCTGCCACTAACTGCTGACTCTGACTCGCTGTCTTGGCTGAGCGAGATGCCCGTGGATCGAGCGTAGCCCCATGTTGTGCGGCCGGCGTGGGCAGATGCGAGGTCGGCGTGAAGTTTGAACGAGAGGGCGCCGAGGGAGGACACCGAGGGAGCAAACCCTGTGGTGCCTGGTTAGAGGGTGAAGCTCATGGTCCAATGAAGCAACAACGTACAATCAGCAGACAGAAAGCCAGCAGCAAAGCCCGAGGCGCAATGAAAGAGCTTCGGACTCGAATCTACCAGCAGAATGCTCTTTGGATCGGTATTACCACTCTCAGAAAGATAGTAGGCCGTGCACAGGCCGATGATACCTGCTCCGAGGATGACCGTGTTCGGGTGGGGGGTGGTGTTGGTGTTGGAGCTATCGCTAGGGCTCATGTTGAATAGGATACGCGGGGCAATGAGGGGCAGACAAACTGGACGCGCCCCAGTCGCACGATTGATGGCATCCTTATAGCTGCGACTAAACCATTAGCAGGTCCCCACTGGAGGGGGCCATGATTGCGCTTTCTAAGGAGAGGGCTGTCTGGGTCCGGCTGTGGTGGCCCAAGGCAAGCAAACGGGGTAGAAAAAAATGTCGTACGAGTCGGTCGCCCCCCTCCCTTGTCCAAACTCGGGGAAGACATGCCAAGATGCAGCGCGTGAGCCGACATCATTCGACTTTTGCAGTCTGATTTTGTCCAAAGTGGCATGGCCCCAGAGAAGTTCCCTGGCCACCTGCCCACTTGATCAGGCCATTTCTGTACCTCGCATTGTTTCACCGCGAACTCTCTTGCCCGGCCATTACGCGTGGAACCTGTTGGGAGAGTCGCTATTGGACTTGGGACGCTTTTGGTAGCAGACAGTGTAAGAAAACATCCAAGGAGAATTCGCCAGCCTTGGATACCTAGCTGCTATTACTACTGTTACGACTACCTACTACGACTATTACGATCACTACTACTATTGTTACGACTACTACTGCTACTACTATTACTACTACTACTGCCACCACTGCCCCTTCTGTAAAGTGACGTGTGCTATGAATGGTTACCAGCACAACTTCCCTCCCGTCGTACTCGTACCATGTTGTTGGACATGGCAACAATACCCAAGCGACCATGCAACGTGTGCGACTGACCATGTATGCGCCCGACTCAACATCTATCAGCATCATCCTGTCAGAGACGTAGACGTCGACGTCGACGTCTTCATGCCCTTATCCGAGTCGTACACAGAACTCTTGTCGGTCATGCCAGAATCACCTCGGATGATCTTCCAACATTGCATATGCATGCATAGCATCCGCCAAACTCTCGTGGTCACCTGTAGTACTAGGCGCTGACCCTAGCACAAACGAGGCAGGCGCGGCTTCGGCAGCGCCCCCGACCAACAAACTATCGGCTCGAACCTCTCTAGGCTTTGAGACACTCACCTCGGGTACCATGGGAGTCTTCTCCGTCGATGTTGAGGGACGAGAGCTGATTAAGCCCGAGTCGTCGCCATAGCCAGTACCGTCGTAGAGTCCAGTATGCGCTCCCCAGGTGCTCTGACGATGCTCTAGCCTGACTTTATCGTCTGATGTCGGTGCAAACATGGTGAAGGCCATTTCATCACCTGGGAATCGGAAATCTTCCACCCACGTCATGTCCTCACTTCTGTCCATGGGGCCTTCGTCGACAATGCTGCTACGGTTCAGAGGCATCATTCGCTGGCCCCGTCTACCGTTGGCTCGGCGGTAGTTCATAGCACAATGTCTACCTGCGAGAGCCCCCATCGACGTCTTTGAATTCGGGTTGCTAGAAATGCACTTCGTCATGTCGTCGCTGGGGTTAGCGGGGATTTCGTAAATAACCGCAGCACCTGCCTAAAGGTACCAGATGTCAGTAATAACACTATAGTAGGACAAAAAGACTCCACCATGTCCTAGTAGGTTGAAGAATCGACTACCTCAGGCAACCTGCTATCTAACAGCGTCTTACGTACCTCTCGCGCCACCTCGCGATCGAACTGGATATGGCTGTAGTCGACCTTCCCTTCGTGGCCATCGTGTAGCGGAATATCAAAGTAGCCTAACTGGCCCTGAGAAGACGCCGTCGCATAAGGTGGTCGCCCATTATCCGGAAGGATGTCTTCGAAGGTTTGGTTGGTACCAGGCATCGGTGTGGGAACCGGCTCGGCGATTATCCTCCTTTCAAGTGCCGGGCTTGGAACTGGCGAAGGAGTCAATTTGCTTGGATCCATATCCAACGCTCTCTGAAACGGAGCTGGCGAGTCCGGAACCGTGCCAGCGGGCAAAATCGATGGTAGGTCAGGTGTACTGAACGGAGCCTCTTGCTTGCACAAAGTAGGAACAGCGATGGGCGAGGAATGGTGCACTATCAAATTGGAAGCAGTAGAGCGTCCGGATCTGGGAATCTCAAACATATGTTGATCTGGCGGAGACTCCTCCAAGTTGAGTATGAGCGACGGCTTGTCGAGACGGGCCGGTGTACAGGGACTCTATCGAAGAGTGGTCAGTAAAACTAGGCTGATAACACTAACCTGATAGTGTACCTCAGGCTCGTCGCGCTTCTTGGTCTTGCTGGGAGGTGATCGAATGCTCCGCAACGAGCTGATTCTTCGCAGTGACCCCATCAATTTGTTGCGCCTTGACGGGCTGTCTCTACCGGGGGACAGAATCTTCGCGTTTGAGCCAGGAGAGCGTCCGCATGACATAGTTGAGCCAAATTCTTCGAGGTGCGGCGTATCATTTTCTTTCCCGTGCTGAGAGGGTTTGACCGTGTCGTTCCTTGGGAATGTTAGCGTGGTCGACCAGGGTAACGTAGCATTGATGATTTACAAAGGGTCTTGTCCGTCGACGAACGTGAAGAGGCCTGAGACACTCTTCTTGGCCCGAATGACGATGTGATTGAGGCTCATGATCGCAAACTGATGATGATGCCTCGTTGTGTAGGCAGGGAGAGCTTTGGACCTGAGTCGATCGTAGAATGGGGATGGCAAAAGGGGCGGGGGAGCTGTCAAACCCAGTCGCGTGGCTTCTCCTTGTGCGCTTAACTATCGAAGGCATGTTTGTTGACACTGGATAGATCTTGCTTGCCAGCTCGCGTGGCGCAAGTGCTGGATGTAAGTTCCATGTATCGAGGTCAAGAGCATTCAGATAATGGGAATCTGCCAACAGCGGCAACCTAAACCGGCAAGTAGTATGGGCTATGTTTCTTAGGGTACAGTAAGTCATGAGGAAGACGAAATAGTATCTTGGTCAATCTGGCGATCCGTGGGTGGCTACATTAATATGTAATGTTTTATGGTGAATAAGTGTCCAACAAGCACTACAATTAGCTTTCGAGACATCAAATATGTCTGAAAATAGTAGACAGGGCCAAGATGTGTTTGAGTAATGCTCGCTTCGCTGAGACGAATGGTGCAATCGATGAAAGGTAATTCGAGCCATGGCCAGCACGTGATTATGCATCCGTGCACTTTATCCTTGCTTAGCTCTCAGGCACGTCCAGAAGTCGCGATGTTCACTCAGCGCAATCGCATCAAGCATCAGCCGTTCCCGCCTTTCACCACCTAATCCCCCCGAAGTGAAACTTCCGTCATTCAGCCGGCCACGACAGCCCGCACCAACACCGCACGCTTTAGTCGAAGATTCACTCGGTAGCCGCAATGGCGCGTGGTCGACCTTCGCGAGCTGCAGCGCGTCGCAGCACACCTCTTCACAGCGCAACGCCGCAACAAGAGAGCGACGAGGACATGATGGATGCCCCAGAATCGCGCGCCGAAACGCCCAAGGATGACGAGGAAGAAGAAGCCGAATCAATAGCCCAAGTCAGTGACGACGAACAGGCGCCTTCGGAGCGCTCGCCATCTCCCTTGGTAATTCAACCATTTCCGCGTAAGAAGCGACTCGGTCGACCACCAAAAAACAGGCCGCCGGACTGGAATGCCACTGAACCAGACAACTCAGAGGGAGGTACCCCCATCAAGCGCAAGCGTGGGCGGCCTTCTGGTGGAGGTCGAGGACGTCCGCCCAAGGGAGGACCGTCGCATAGTACGCGGGTTCCAATTGACAAGGAGGGAAACATGATGGATGTGGTCAACGATGAGGTCGACCTCCCTGAAGATGAGGAGGGCGAAGAAAAGGTGGACAAGCTGGGCACCCTCCAGGGCGGACGGGACTACCGTGTGCGCATATTCACAATCAAAGGCAGAGGAGAGCGGCAGTACATGCTGTCCACTGAACCGGCCCGTTGTTGCGGTTTCAGGGACAGCTATCTCTTCTTCACCAAACACATGAAGCTCTACAAGATCATTATCGATGATGCCGAGAAGAGAGACCTGATTGAGCGCGAGATCATTCCACACTCGTACAAAGGTCGCGCTATCGGTGTAGTCACGGCACGCTCCGTCTTTCGAGAGTTTGGAGCACGCATTGTTATTGGCGGCAAGAGGATCATCGACGACTACTACGTTACCGCAATGAAGGAACAGGGTGCCGTCGAGGGCGAGCTTGCCGACCCGAACGACAGACTACCGCCTCCCGGGGAGCCGTACAACAAAAACCAGTATGTTGCTTGGCATGGAGCTAGTAGTGTCTACCATACTGGCGTTCCAAGCGTACCAACAGCGAGCGGCAAGCCTGTGCCTGGCAAGCGGAAGGTTAACATCACTTCCGCTAATTGGCAGTTCGAGCATGGACGAGCTGCGAGGTATGTACCCATCAATCTGTTTAGCCCTCATTGAAATTAACAGACTGTAGCCGATTCAACTCCAACCTTTCTGCGTTGCGAAAAGCAAACCTGACGGGTGTGTACGACCCGCATACCAATCTCATGTGTTATCCCAAGGTCACCCAGCCGACACACGCACGGTGGGAGGAGGTTGCACCAGAAGCAACGGACGTCCCTCCACTTGTTCGCCACAAATACCTTGTCGTGGACTCGGTCTTCCAACAGCCTCCTTTTGCTGGTTTAGGTCTCCCAGGCCCCGATGGCGACTACCTCGACGTGGGCACCAACGGTCTGCCGGATCTGGACGCCGAAGACGAACAAAACATGAAGCCTGAGGAGCTGGCAGCTTTCACCCAAGTCAAGCGTGAGGAAGAAGAGTGGCGGAGTCAGTGGGGAGGCGAGAGCACAGACGGTGCGCGAGTGAAGCCAAGGATTGGTTTTGTAGGCGTTCCGGTCTGAAAAGTTTACAAGGCTAGATCTTGAAGAATTCTTCCAGGTTAAATGATACCAAATTAGCTGTTTGAACAACGGCGTGTAGGATAACGAGTCGGGACTAATTTACATTGTCATCGTCAGTCCGCTTTTCTTGCCCTTACATGTCCACTCGGAGTCTCGAGAATCATGCCGTGTCCTGTGTTTGATCTAGGACTGCATCTTTCGTCCCTCCGGGCGTCTATCCACTTCCAGCTTCATAGAGCCAGCTGGACTATATTGCACGTGAGGTCAGGTGCTAGCTTTTCCATGCTCAGACACACCTCGTGCCCTGTCACGATACTGCAACGCTCACAATGCTCTAGGGGTGCGAATTCGTGTTTCAATCTTCTCTGTCCTGACTCAAGCTACTTCTTCGGTGTTGTCCCCAGGCTCGTCCCAAACTTCCATCATATCCAGCCATTCCAGCGCAAACGCAGCGAAAATCTTACTCCAGTCCCTCACAGTGCGCATATCTAGATGCTCCCCATCATCAGTAATCTTGTGCCACACCTTTGGAAACGGATGGGGAATAACATGCAGCACCTCCACTCCGCCTCTTATAAAGGGTAAATGGTCGTCACTCACGGCCATGTGCTCGCCTGTCGTCACGTTCACGTCCGGCAGGAAAGGTGTAGGCGGCGAGGACTCGAGGAGCTGGAGAGCGCGCATGCGGGATTCAATCGTGGAGAGATGCTGGTATGCCCAGTGCGTGGTTGGGAAGTACGAAGGGACACTCGGAGCTGCGGCGCCGAGCAGATCGAGGAGAAGAAACAGGGATATCTGCGAGAGAGGCGTGCGGTATCTGTAGAATTTGGCGGATGGAGGGTTTGGGGAGAGAGACCACTGCTGTGCAAGAGCTCTGTTTAACATCATCGTTAGTACAAATGTCGATCAACTGAGAAGATGGATTGGAAAAGAAAAGGATTATTACACACCTACTCCCATACAAGCTATCCTCGTCCGTCCACTTCTCAAACGCCTCCTCCCCATCAAGCAGCAAGATCTGGATCCCCATGTCCATCTTTACACTTCCCCCCTCGCCCAGCTCTTGCATCTCATCGTACATGCGCTGCACATACCCATCCACCACCTTGGCAACATGTAACAACATCGCACACGGCGCCGCACTATCCGTCGCCCCTATGAACCCCTCAGGCTGGTACTTGGAGTCATAGTGCGCCACGAGCGTGAGTAGATTCGCCTGTCCCGGCTTAACCCACGGCGGCTCGCGCTTGAAGATCAGGTTCGCAAAGGGGAGTTCAGCGCCGCCGGATATCGGGGTGCGGGCAGTGCTGTTTTGCCATTGTATGCTCCAGTTTGGCAATTCGGATTGGAAGAAGTTGATAAAGTGGCGTTGGGCTGTGGTTTGGCCCGGTGTGCCTGGTACGCGTGGAATGAGTATGGGTGCGAGTAGTGGGCCGTTGAGCGGATCTATGGCGTCGCCGGGGGAGGGTATGGCCTGTAGGAAGCTGTCTGAGAGGGGTTTGTAGGCGTTGACGGGGAATGGAGATTGAAGGAGGAGGAGCGCTGAGAAGACGGAGAGCGAAGGTGGTAAAGGGAAGAACATCTTGTTGTGAGGGTTAATGAAACAAGTTTGTTTGCGTACGCCTTGGACTTCAATGCCGTGAAATGTTCATTTGAAGCTGCCCTGACATTGACGATCTGGCTGATTGAATCATGCGCAAATCGCACTCGGCGTAGACGTAACTCTTAAGGAAGAGTGGAAGGTGCAAGTTGAAGTCGTCGCGACCCCTCACTTCCAACTCCCATGTTTCATTGCAGGAATATTTGAAACTTCCGAACTATCTCAGGCATCTTTCACGCACGCGCCGGTAAGCCATTCGTGCCGTATGTGATGAACGCTATTCCTGTTGGTGTCGGTGTTGCGTTTCGCGTTTCGGCTTCACGCATGCCCACGTGAGACGCGCTTTCATCTTATCAGATCAATCTCGGCATCTAGAGCGGAGGATCTAACGCAACTAATTCACATTTAGCTATTTAGCTTTGTATAGCTCTACATTCAACATCCAACACATAACTACCCATCGTCTACAACTTCGCCTTGACCTGGCCCTCAGGCTTAACAAGTGCCCTTCCGTTTGTCAAAACAGTCTTACCACCCTCGACACGCACAGTGAACCTGATTTCCTCGAACCCGTCCTTGTTTACATCTCCCGTCCTCCACATCTCTGTAATCAGCTTATCCGCAGGCTTCACCGGCGCCGCAAAACGGGCCTGGAACTCCTTCAGATTCTCTGGCTTGCTGTTGCCAAACGCCTGCAAGATGGCGTGCGCGCTCATGTTCCAGGAGAAGAGTCCGTGGATGATAGGGCCGCCGAACCCCATCTTCTTACCCGGCTCAGGGTCCGCATGCAGGGGATTGTAGTCGCCGTTTAGGCGGTAGAGGTGCGGGGTTTCGAGGGTAGTCTGGAAGACTCGCGTCGCATCGGGTGCGCGATCGGCTGGGGGAGGGTAGTTTGGTACCTTGGGTCCTGTTCAAGAGTCAGTACATATTTTTTCAGATATCCCCTTGCATCATGTGTAAGTAGAGGGTCCAACTCACCCTTTGGTCCTCCCCAACCGCCCTGCCCAACATAGAACCCGCTGCCAACCGCCCTGCTATACGTCTCTCCACTCTCGGCGTCCACAAGACGCTGCTCCGTCTCCACCACCGTTCCCGGTTTGCCCTTGTCGTATACACCGAGCACCTTGCTTCTGATCTCGAACTTGCGGCCCTCGCTCGTCACGGGCAGCGGTTTGAGGAACTCGAGCTTGCGCTCGCCGTCGAGGACATGCTTAGTGTCGAACTTCGGGACACCTTCGATGGGTTCAGAGTTGCTGCGTGCGTAGAAGTCGATAACTTCTTGATCGCTGTGTTTGAAGGGGAGGATGATAGGGTAGGTCGGGAAAGCAGCGAAGTTGGGGTGGAGTTCCTGTTCTGGTTGTTAATGGCAAGTTGGAAGATTGGACACGATGAAGTGGCCTAGAGGTCGGGTTGAGACGAAAGCAACAAGAATAAGCCTCACTTACGTAGAGGAAGTGCAGCTCATCCGGGTACGTAGCTCCAATGCTCGCGGCAAAGAGCAGCAGATCACGCTTCAGCCATGAAACCGGGAAGGAAGGAAACTCGAAGCCCACACCAGGACCCAATTCTTTGCCCATCTTGAACAGTCGGTTGTCTCTACCTTAATAGTAGTAGGTAAGAAAGTGTTTATAGTAGCCTAAAGGTCTTCACGACTGTTAGATCCAAGAGAAGTCGTCAGCGTTTAGGTATTGAGCGGGGCGGTAACCGCGACGTCCGCTCTGAAGCTCATGCGGAGCTCCTGGTTTTGCCGAGGTTCGATTCGTTCACTCAACACCGAAGACAAGCTATCCCAGAACAGAGTTAGTGGAGCAGGGGAGATGAAGATGCACGACAGCAGGGTTGAAGCCGAAGTCGGCTGCTTGTGAACTCGAAAACGTAAACAGCCTGCATCTCAAACATTATCCCTGTTGATACGTGCTCGTATGGGCTTCTACAGCGGCTTGAAGACGTAATGGACGAGACAGTGTGGGTTGCATGTACCGAATCTGGTCGGTAAATCATATTTCTTGAATTCCATTACCATATGTACAGAGCACAAGAATCGTTCCAATCCAGTTTGATGATGTTCCCATGACGATGCGAACGAATTGACCGGAATTAACATGAAAACGCCAAGTGCCAGCACGTGCAAACGTCCAAGAAAGCAGACCATAAACCCGGCAATACCTATAAGAAAGCCCAGCAAGCAAGCGATCGCAATGCTCCAATGAAAATAACCCCACGCAATGCAAAAAGGGCAATTCGGCGTACAGAAATCGTGCATGTAGTGTGACGCAAGAACCATCCATGATATAGAATCGCTCGGTAACATATCAATGGATCGCGCGGCGAGAACGTGTTAGTGTTGGTGATTGAGCGGGAGCGAACAGGTATTCTAGAGCCAAACGTCCGACAATATGTAGTCATCAGATTGTAGCCGTGTCCACCATCAGCCTCAGTTTTTGCTGAGTAGCTAACAGTCCCGTGTGGATGCCGTTCGATTGGGAGGGATGATTTTGTTGAGGGGGGATATCTCAACCTTTTGTGAAGAAGGCCGTTAAAGCTATGATCAAAGGATGACGATCACGCGCAAGGCTTGGACGCAATTTGGGGCCTTTATATAGTAATAGGCGCCGGGTATCCAAATGAAACTCGTCGTACCGATGCCACCGTACCGATGTAAGTTGAATAGTCCGTGAAAATCATAACAGCAAAGTCGAAACAACTTTTGTCGAGATCGCCAAGATATAGAAATATTGTGTGGACCTAGAACACGGGGAAGGGGCGCGGAAGTGGATGGATGTTGGCCTTCACTAGACGTCGAAGTTGCCACCGCCGTGGGTGAAGATATCATGGTCTTGACTGGGGATGACGCCAGACATTCTATCTCCACGTCCTGCAGGCTTGTCCCAATCGACGTCATCTTTCTCGTCCTCGTCCATTCGCTCCATGTCGTCTCTTTGCCGGTGGGCAAACTGCTGCTCAATCGTGCTTTGATCAGTGAAAGTGAAGCCAGCAAAGTTCGCCTGCATAGTTGGCGATAGTGGTGTGGATGCGGGATTAACACCGGAAGCCAGAGCCGCGGCTCGAGCATTCAGAGAGCCGTTGCCGTTCAAGGCGTTTGTGAACTCGGGATCAAAGTTGGAGACATCTAGCTCTCCCTTCAACTTGGGCTTGAATGGCGGTACAACATTCTTCTTCGCCAGGGCTTCCCAGTCAACATCGGAAAAGAATGGGTGAGCCTTCAGCTCCTCGGCGTCTCGGGTCGCACCAAGCCTGTGCTTCGGGTTCCGGTTTAGAAGGCCCTTGACAAAGTTTCGACCCTCTGTACTAAGAGCGTCTCGAGGAAACCTAACTTTGCCAAATGCAATGTTCTTGTACATCTGTTGTGTGTCTTCCGCATAAAAAGGGCTCCAACCGCAGCACATCTCAAAGACCAACACCCCGAGTGACCAGAAATCGACCATCTTGGTGTAGCCGTGCTCGTCCAGGAGTACTTCTGGCGCCAGGTACTCGGTTGTACCGCAGAAAGTGTTGGTTGTGGCGTTCTCTGTAAGATTTGCTTTGGACAAACCAAAGTCACAGAGCGCGATGTGACCATTCGCATCTAGAAGAATGTTCTCTGGTTTCAGATCTCGGTATACGATATTGTGATCGTGTAGATGCTGCAGCGCTAGGATAAGTTCGGCAATGTAAAACTTTGCTCGAGCTTCCTGAAAGCGACCTTCTCGTTGAAGATGCCAGAAGAGCTCGCCTCCGGACATGTAATCTGTGACTAGGTAAAGGTCGGAGGGCGTCTGGAAGGAAAACTTCAAGCCCACAATGAAAGCCGAGTCAGCCATGGCCGTCCGGACTAGAATATTGCGTTCTCCGAGCGTGTGGGCTACCTCCTTCTTCTGCACGATGACCTTCTTCGATAACACCTTCATAGCATATATACGGCGAGTGTCACGTTTGCGAACCTGGAAAACCTGCCCGAACGTGCCTTTGCCAATGAGCTTAAGGATCTCAAAATCTTCCGGGCCGTAGTGCCTCTTCTCCACCTTGTGGAAGTTGAGTTTGAGGTGGATCTCTCCTGTGACCTTTTCTCCGTCACCCTCCCGAGGCTCGAGAGGGAACCAACCATCGTACGGCTCGTTGTACTCGACGAGATTGGGGCAGAAGCGAACATGGCCCAAGAAGGCTTCGCCATTCGATCGGTCGTAGACGGACACGTCAATCTCGGCATGGTCGCCAATAACGTCACTGTGGCCCAGTTAGTGATGATGCTGGGCAGTAGTGATGCATCAACTTACAAAACGGCTTCATGTTCCCACTTTGGATTAGTGACTTCCTCAAGCGCGCTATTTTCCCTTGGATCTGAGCTGTGGCCGCTGTTACTGCTTTGCCGACTCTTCATGGGAATGGCCATTGGCCTGGCCAGTTCGCTCTCTGTCCGCCTCATCTGCATAGGTGCATGGTGGCTTTGCTTCGCCTCGTCATGTCTCGGCCCATCCGATATGTATTCCGCCCACTGAAACTGACAGACGACGTACGGGTCTACGCTGGGCCGCAAGCCCCGTCCTTCTGATATCATGACTGCGAGCTTGCCCTTTGGCGTACCCACCACAGGCTGCCCCTTGCTCTCCTTTGACTTGTCCGATGCATTCGACGTTCGCGACAAATTCGACGGAAGAGGCTTGGTCTCTTGCGAGCGTGTGCGGGGGGTCTGAGGAGGAGTAGCCTGAAATTGCGGCGGCGCAAAATCGCCTTGTGTTAGCTTCTCCGTGTCACCAGTCAACTGCGAGGTTGAGGGGGTTCGGGAAGATGCACTGGGAGAAGGACTGGGCAGCATTGTGGGACGGGGTTCTTTCTCCTTCTCCCTGTCTTGCTTTTCCGACGAGGCAGACTCGGGGCGAGCTTGTACAGAGGAGTTTTGGGCTGCGGGAGAGGGGTCCACCGCGGAAGACTTTCGTCGGGGCATAAAAGAGTCACGAACCTGGCCAAAGTAACTGTGCAGAATACCCGGCAGTCGCTTGTCCGTGGGGTCGGGTCGCGGTGTCATGGCACCGGGCGGCGTTGAGCTGGTGGAGCCGATCTGATCGGGGGCGTCCGCTTCGTCGTTGTTGGTCGCTCTGTAGGGCATTAGCAGGGCGGTCGAGGAGGGCATCGTAGCGGGCGAGAGTGAGGAAGGAGGGGCGAGAGAGCAGTAAGACGAGCGCAGGAGCGGCGAGAATGCAGAGGCAAGCTGGCGGACCAAGAAATAAGTGTGTAACGTTGACTTGGGCCATCGACTCAGCTGCGTTACCAGTGCATGACTGCTGAGCTAAGCGACAAAGGACCCGCGCCGCTCCCCTCGTGTGCTTTGCTTTATCATCGCAGTCGGCCAACAAGACGCACTCGCACAAGCAGAACAGAGCAGAAAACGAGACTCAAAAGACAGCAAAGGGCGGCTTACCTCTGCAGCATGGCCTGGCGCAGCAGGTCTGCGGCTCCCGAGGAAGTGGCGCCGGTGGAAGAGGTCATGGTGGGCGACCTGGAGGAGGGCGTGGTACCGACGTGAGGCGTGGAGAGGGTCGGGATCACACTCGATGACTTGATGCGTAGATGATGGCGGGGTCGAATCGTCTTGGTGGAGCTCTCTGAAGCGCGGGAAACTAGTCCGGGTCGGTTGCTGGGACGAGCATCGACGGCAGTGCTCTTGGACGGAATGGTGTTGGTTTCTCGAAGAAGGCGGGCTCTCGAGAGGGTGTCGGCAAAGGGCGAGGTGGAGGGAGCGGGAGAGGACGTGGAAAGTGAGGTGACCACACCTCGAGATTCGGATTCAGGGCGTGAAGTCATAATCAACTCGATCCTGGCTCGCTGCTCTGCTCCGAAGCCGCGTTAGCCCTAAACAAGCGGCGTCCGCAATGAAAGGCGAAAACTCTGCCCAAGGGCTCTGCTCGTGCGTCCGGCGCGAGGGCAACCAGCCCGACTTCTTCCAGGGCTCAGCACGCGGCGGTGAACAGAGCGGTACGTACACTGGGGCGCGGGAGGTACCTTGTGGGCTGCTCAGGGCGGACTTTCGGTAGCAGTTGTTGGTCAAAAGGCAAAACGCCAGGTCAGCACAGCACGGCACAGTACAGTACAGCAGTACAGCAGCACAGCGAGCGCCCAGAGCCTTCACATATACCCTCTCTCTCTCTCTCTCTCCCTGATCTCTGATAGCGGACGAGGCTGTTGGGAGGGGGCCAGAGGGAGATAGGCAGTCGCCGTGCAGCTCACTTGATCACTTGCAGAAGACCAGAGGCGACTGCATTTGCTTGCTTTCATGCCATCGGTACCTTCACTGCACACACACACACACACATCCACCCACACAGACGTCGTGCTCCGGCTTTTCACCGCCACTGTCACCTGTCTCGTCACTGCTCGGCAACAGACAGGTCAACCAGACTTGCTTGACCCATTGTCTCTGCGCCAAGGCTAGCAAAGCACGCTGACGTCTATCCCCACTTGCTGTTGTTGAACCACCTGGTAATGGGTCAGCTTCTCCCAATCCGGCCGGCAAAGCGGAGCGTCCCTGGCTCACATCTCGGAGCCACGCAAATCACCGCCAGGCGCAGGCTCCACCACGCCCGTGTCCAAGTGGAGCGGAGACAAAGACCCCTCGCATTTCCCTAGGCGCAATCAGGGACCAATCTCCTTCAGCCACCATCCCAGCCTGGTGTTTGAGGAAAAGACGCAGTGACCCACAGATTGCAGTTGTCAGGGACTCTGCGTGGGCCGCTGCCGCTGCCGCCCGATATGGCGACATAATAGATGGATGGTAACCGCAACGCTGGAAGCTGGTGCTGGAGCTGGGAGCTGGTGCTGGTGCCGTCTACCAGCTGACGCGGATAATAAGCGAGCTGGGGGACTGGAATGGAATGCCTCCATCTAAATTTGGGCTACAGGCACCTTTCACAGCTCCAAGTCGTCCGGTGAGCACTTTAGTCGCACAGGAATGATGCGCTCGAGTGGCGTAAATGTGATTATGAGCCTCTCCCTCGGCGGGCAGAACTTTTCCCCGACGCGCCTTCCTGCTTTCAACCACCCGTTCACGTTCTTAAGCCAGAGCTGCGACCAGTGCAGAGTGGGAGCTCAAAGCCCTTATTTCACGGCGCACTCAACCCACCATGTCTGACCGCGAGTTTGGCGGCAACGATGACCTGTCGCTGCCAAAGGGTATGTGAATTACGCCATCTGAGCGCTTCCCCAAGCTGACCGCGACGTAGCGACTGTGCAAAAGATTGTCCAGGACATCCTCTCCAGCGAGCCTGGCATGACGTTTGCAAAGGACTCGCGAGACCTCCTGATCGAGTGCTGCGTCGAGTTCATCACCCTCATCTCCTCCGAGGCCAACGAGATCGCCGAAAAGGACGCCAAAAAGACCATAGCCTGCGAGCACGTCAAGGCAGCGCTAGAGGAACTCGACTTTGGCGACTACGTGCCTGCGATTCTCGAGGTCGCGCAAGACTATAAGAAGCAGCAACAGGTGTGCTTTACCCGCTCCCCGAATCATGCAGCCTTCCGCTAACGCGCAGCAGAACCGCGAGAAGAAGCAGACCAAGATCGAGCAGAGCGGCATGACCGAGGAGGAGCTCATTCGCGCGCAAGAAGAGCTGTTCAAGTCGGCGACCAACAAGTTCAACGCAGCGCCCCCAGCATGAGTTGACTCGAACAAGGATCATGCATGATGAATTTTTTCGCGCGGCGTCGGGGCGTTGACATGGACGTCTTTGGGATGGCGTTTGGGATAGAAAAGGACACACTATGGGAACCTGGGATGTACGGCCCGCCACGCGCGGCAAGATGCTTACAACGTTATGATATCTGGCGCTCACGTCTAGAGATCCCGACGAGCCCCAGGGCAGGGCTACGTCATGAATTGAGAGAAAATTCACTTTAGCAATCATACGAGACTGCCAAGCCTCGCTGTTGAAACTAACTGATACTTTGTGAATGAGCACTGGAACCAACTGCACGGATTATGAAAACTAGGCGCGGAGAGATTCAGTGCCCTGCCCAGGCGTGACGTCGAGCGCTAAGCCCCGCGCCCGGAATTTAGCCGCATCCCACCTGCACCTCAAGTGCTACTGCCTACAGCACTTCCGCCTATCTCCCGCGCTATCCACCACCTTACCTACGACGCGTTCTAGCCCATAAACTGCAGTATGTCGGGCCTCGAAAATGCTCTCTTCAACCTAAAGGTATGCTTGTGAAGATGCTCAAAATGCTCCACACGCTCACCACTAGCAGTTCACCGCGAAATCGCTGAACAGACAGGCGCTCAAGGCCGGAAAGGAGGAGCAGGCGGAGAAGACCAAGCTCGAAAAGGTAGGCAGGGCTCTGCTCTCCACAAAGCGCTCACCGCTGACAAGAGTGCACAGGCTATGAAGCAAGGCCACGGCGACATCGCCCGCATCTACGCCGGAAATGCGATCCGCAAGCAGAACGAGAAGCTCAACCTCCTACAGCTAGCCTCCCGCGTCGATGCCGTCGCCGGCCGCGTACAGACCGCAGTCACGATGCGACAGATTACCGGCAATATGATGAAGGTCAACCGGAGTCTGGATGTGGCTATGAAGTCTATGAGTCCGGAGAGGGTGCGTCAAACTCAGCTCCTCGTGCTTCCCCGCAGCTACATAAGCTATGGAGTACCCGAGTCATACTGACACCACATGTAGATCGCCTCCGTTATGGTCGACTTTGAGAAGCAGTTTGAGAACGTGGACTCCGCAACCGAGCTCTATCAGGACATCACATCCTCCGCCACTGCAGTCGGCACACCACAAGAAGACGTTGACCGCTTGATGGCGCAGGCTGCGGATAAGGCGGGCGTAGATCTGCAGGAAGACCTCCAATCGGCTACTCCGGCCAAGACGAAGGTGGGCCCTACTGAGCAGGAGGAAGAAGCGTTCACAGAGAGGCTGCGCGCATTGAGAAATTGAGCAACGGATCGAAGTGAATATTGGAGTTTTGGGCGCAAGCGCTGGGATCCTGGGTCAGTGATACTGCATCTTTCATGACAGTCCATGTTAAAGAGATATTCCTTGTTCCTACACAACTACCTGCAACATCAGACGCCGTGTCTTACACTGACCAGTTTGAATTCGGGCGTGGTGAGCAATGTCGTGTCTCAGATGTCTGCTGTTTCTTCGTTTGTTTTCCGATTCTCCGACACTACTCGAAACTAGTACTGTGGATTCGACCACTTGGAAAGAACTATCACAACTTAGGTACACAACGCGTGGCTGGTGCACCCACGACCGCACTTCGAGTACATCAGATCTTCTCCAAAACCTGGTATATATATTCTACCAACGAACCTATCTTCCACATACGACCATAGGATCTTGAATTCAGCGCTTCCCGTTCGCTCAGCGGTACTTAAGCAGGATACCGGCGGATTAGTAGTTAGGTGGGTGACCACTAGCGAATCCCCGCTGTTGTATGTTTTTGTCTTTTTGTCCCATCTTTTTGCTCTGGCAAGAGTTTGCAGGTGGGGACTGACCTTTTGCGTGTCTGATGCAAATTGGTCTGTGGACGACTGAATGATTCGATGTTTAAGAACATATATACTAATTGTCTAGTGCCTATGTTTTGAAGACTATAGATTGGCCATTATGGTAGTATACAGGCGTCGGTCATCAACAATCAAAGCAGTCTCAGTAAACATCATATTAGTCTATCTACAGTAGAGCTCCCTAGTGAAGCAGGTATTAAGATAGCAAATCTCTTAGTCGACTATCATGCAGATATCGACAACTCTATGTGTCAGTTCCTATCCATCCATCTCATCCCTCATGACTTTCATATAACGCGTCCTAGCGTCGCCCTGCAGTCTCCAATACGGCCGGATGTGTCCAAACGCCTAGCGTGAAAAGGTGCAACCTCACGAGTCTATGCTGAATCATCGAATGACCCCTGCAAATGCCCAGAATGCAACTGAAGATGAATTGAAAATGTGGCGCGAGTGTGGCAGTTCATGGTAAATCTACTGCTTGATCTCGTAGGTGCGGCGGAACATGCCGTCGATGCCGGTAAGGTAGTAAGTACCCGGGAAGATGGTATCAACCTTGCCAAGAGGAGTATAGTCCTTCTTGAGATGAGCCTTCTCGCGGAGGTTGCACATCTAGTTTTCGGCGTTAGTCACGGGTTCCACGAACAATATTAAGACAGCATCAAAGGGAGCTTACCTCATCATACACCTCGGGGGCGACCACGCGCCTGCTGTCCAAGCGGCTCTGGATATCAAGCTGCTTCGCAATGGTCTCGGTGTTGCCCTTGACTATGAAAGAGAACAAGGAAGAAGCAAGACCGCTGCCGTAGCTGAACATGCCAATACGCTTGCCCTGCAGGTCCTCGCTCTTGACGTTGGCGAGCAAGCTGCACAAGCTGCCGTATACACTGCCGCAGTACATGTTACCGCACTGAGTGGGGACTTGAATGCCGGGCTGGACACGAGACGCAAAGCGCTTCTTCGCTAGACCCATGAAGGTCTTCTCCACTGTCTTGTCGCTGACGGACGTCGCATAGTCCATATCAAGGAGCTCAGCAGGGACCTCGGCGAAGATGGGGTTCGAAGGATTTACGAGGTAATCGTTGTAGAGCATACGCGCATACGACTTGGAGACGAGCTTGCAGGTAGGGGCGTGGAAAGCCATCAGGTCGAATCGGTCGAGGGGCGTCTCGAGATCCTGAGAGTGGCCATTTACACCGTTTCCGTTCTTCTGCGACTTGAGGGTCTCCTCTCGCGCATTGTAGGCCTTGTAGCAGGCGTCTACGGCCTCTGTGTAGCACTTGATGGAGAACTGGCCATCGACAATGGGGTACTCGCTCGTCAAATCAGGCTTGTAGAAATCGTACGCGTGCCTAACGTAGGTGCCGCGCTGACCGGGCTCCATAACAATAGGGGCGTTGGGGCCGATGAGCATAGCTACGCAGCCAGCTCCACCAGTAGGACGGGCGTTGCCCTTCTTGTACAACGCAATGTCGCCTGCCACGACAACCGCATCACGGCCGTCCCAGGCCGAGGACTCGACCCAATTTATGCTGTTAAACAGGGCGTTGGTTCCGCCGTAGCATGCGTTCACGGTATCCACGCCCTCAACGTTGAAGTTGCCAGATTCCTCGAACAACTGCATGAGAACGGACTTGACCGACTTGGACTTGTCGAGGAGCGTCTCGGTGCCGACTTCTAGGCGGCCAATGCTGTTGGGATCGACATTGTACTTCTTGAAGAGCGAAGAAACGGCAGTCAGGGCGAGCGAGTAGATGTCTGCGCGCCAAACATGTCAATTTCCTCTTCTTTGTAGCGAGAAGCCTCTCGTGCAAGGCAGGTGTTGGGGTACTCACCCTCGCGGTCGTCGCAGAAAGACATCTTGGTCTGGCCGAGGCCAATAGTGTACTTGCCCTGGGAGACGCCATCGAACTTCTCGAGTTCGGCCTGGTCAACGCACTGTAGGTGAAATGTTAGTACATGGTGGGGCACAGAGGGGGAGGGGCAAATGTTGCGCGTGCTGTGTTGACATACCTGGCTAGGGATGTAGAGCTCAATGCCTTTGATACCGATGTTGGAGGGACGGGCAGCCATGGTTGCGGTAGTAGTTTGTGTGGTGGGAGGGACAGAAGCGTAGTGTTGGCGAAGAGGGGGTGTTCACACCGCTGGTTTAAGTACCTTAAGCAGAGTTACCTACGCGACAAAGGCTAGGTGCGGTCAAGTAGCGGCGATCTCTATGTGGCAATGCTAGTAAAGACGAGGATTTATGGCTCGAAAGAATAGTTAGCAGGTTTTGGGGCAGGCCTTTGCTCTCAACGGCGCCAATTTCCCGCTCGCTTGAACATTTGTAGGTAAGCTGATTTTTGCTCAGGGTTTGGCTGGGAGGCGCCGGCGCACATGGCCGCGGGGCAACCACCATATACGGATGAAGCAGGCGCGTCTTTGATCGCTTTGCTCTGTCTCTCATCCGTCTTCGTGATCACACGCTCCCAGCGTTCTTCTTCCTGGTCACCGCAATCGGAGCCGCCGTGGGCCGTCCCTCTGCAGCAAAAAATTCGGGGCCGGTTGAGCCTATCGTAGTCGGTCTTGGCCCGCAGGGAAGCCGCATCCCGATTGCGGCCTAGCGTCAGGCACGAGGTCTAGAGGTGAATAGGATCCATCAGCTTGTCGCATACCGCGGCCTACCAAGTTACATTCGCGATAGGGGGGCCCGACTTGTATCCAACGTGATCTATCTGCCCCACTGTCGAAACTGGCAACCTGCAGTAACCAGGACACAGCCTTGAACCTTGCGCGGCGCCGCGTAGCCATGTACCGCACTATCGAGCTCCCCAAGTCATGGAATTTGGGATCTGAAATGTGAAGAGCGTGGTGAGACTCAAAGACTGCTAATGAAATTGCCTACGTGTTTCCATAGCAGACATCTAACCTACCTGTCGATAGATGCGGTGTTCTCACGGCTTGTTCGTGCCACTGTTTACGCACAAGGAAGCCTAGATGGCTTCATCATACTCGAGCAGGAAAAGGCGCTTGACTGTCTGAGTCCCTACCAGATCCCTATCAGTCACCATGCGGTCAGGTGTCGAATTTTGTCACGAACTCGTTAGGCTGCACAATTACAACATATGATGCCTTACACTATATGTAGAGTGGCAAGTTTTGAGTCGGATGCCTGTCCACAAGTGGAGTCCGAAACAAGCAATTTATTCTTCAAGGTGGAGTTACAAAGAACACGAAAACTACTGTCAGACCGCAAAGTCAAGAGTGTCTAAGATGTTTGAACGGTCATCTAAGTTGACCAGCATAAGCTCTCATCACACCAGGTCCTGCTATACGTACTCCAGAGTAATCTTTTGGTAGTGCAATGATGTCATAGGGAAGTGCCGTGCTCCGTGTATATTGGGCAGGCGGCGATTGCGCACAAGACGATGTCAACAGACGATTGTTGGCCACAATTACCGGAAGTTTTTATACTATCAGTCCTACTGCCTTGTACAATCCTAGCGGTAGGAATGAATTTGAAGGAAGGCAGAGGGTATATAAGTCCTTCGCTCTCCACACCAAATTCTATCCAGTATTACAGAACATTTGTGACTACTCAAACTCTCAGGCGCGAGTGCCCTAGTTGTGCTAGTTCCATCTCCCAAAATATGCGCTCACTTCCTTGCCATAGATCTCGGCATGGAACAATGTAAAGTCTATGGTTCTGACTAGTTACCGCAGAGACACGATGTAGGTTTGGAGTCGTTCTGTACTACTAATATTAGACTGGAGAAATCTTGAAATCTTATATGGCTTCACAGATCTGCCATAATCCATGAGCAAAACTGTAATTCTAGATGTTGCGAAGCTCTCTGTCGGTACCGCTATATTAATGCACCCAACTCTCGTTTCAACATAATCTCTGTCACTGACCTTATCGCTAATGTGTTCTGAATCGTGCATCTCCTTGTAAGTCCTTAGGCTCATCGGGCAAGTGTTACGAAGTTCGGATGCAAGACAAAGTCCGCTACATCGCATAACTGTAAATGACGAGACACTCAGTAACCTACTTAACCTTTTTGACCTATATGCGTAGTTGCAGGCGTAATGTGCAGCGCTGCACGTCTGGGGGTAAATTCGAGGGCTGGAGAACTTCTAGATGACAAGATGTAGCGGTGCGCGCTATTCTTTGCTCAACTGTTCTTGGTCAGTTCTCATATTCATCAGCTTGGAGTGGGAACATAGCACCCAAAGCATCCAGATTCGCGCTCACCAACTTCATAAGTCATCCATGCGCTAACAGTCAAAGGTACTTCTCTCTGCCAACTTCCCTTCCCCTTCGTTTCTTCTCCAAGACTATTTCCTCTCCCGCAGGATATCTAGTCTCTTCAGCAAGGTTGTCCTTGATCTGCGCATCTTGCGCCACAGATCTGAGACAATCTGACAAGCGATAATGGTTAGACTCTAAATAAGCAGATATGTCTTAACAGTCGTATCTCTGAATATCGAAATCAAGCCGGGAAGCCATAGTAAGAAAAGCAAAAATCAACTCCCGGACTGAATATGATGTTACTTTTGCGTCGCAATATAAATATATTGGCCAATTGGGTGACAGATTGCGAAACGGCCTAGTTTTCCACCAAGTGGGTCGGGTCAAACCAGATTGCCCAGCCTCCGCTCGCATCCAACGTCCAACAACCCGCCTTCTACACGTTCATTTTCGACTGCACTCGCTACCTACTTGACGCTCATCGCTTTCGAGCGCCCCTGGTTCAGTTCTACGCCGAGGACACTATTGCACCGCGACTAGGAGGATTAGAAGAGGGGGAATAGGGCCCCTGTGGCTCTCCTGGAACCGTTAGGCGCGATGGAGCGACGCAATAGCGACAGCGACGAGCCCGCACGACGGCCTAGCAATCCCGATATCTTCGACGATGACTACGAAATTGATCCGAACGTGGACCCGGACGAGGAAGACTTTATGCCCTCTGTATCCGATGGGTTTCGACCGACAGACACGAACGCGGCGTGGCACAACGACCGGCAGGATCACGATCGGAACGAGACACCGCAGCGGCAAACTTCGACGACAAAGCCCAGCGATAATAATCTGCGAAGAATGGCAACGCGAAATAGTACGGCTAAAGTACAAGACTCAACCACACCAGACAGTCGGCCGCCACTCAACAGGCGGTCCACTACTCAGTCACCCCTAACACACCGCGACTCCGTGAGCACCACTGCTTCGTTTGCGACAACGAGCAACTCGGAGAACCCCTTCGAGACAGGCCCAAGCCACCCATATGGCATGTATCCGCAACACACCACGGCGCGACCCTTAAGCATAGCAACGACCTCGACTGAACGACAGCCACATCGATCAATGTCACTGCAGCGCCCAACACACCCTTACGCCATGTACTCGCAGAGTGGACTGGCGGAAGAGGAGCCTCTAGAAGAGCCAGCGCTACCGTCAGCGCCGCAGATACAGACCGCTAATCACGTGGGGTTCCCCGGCCTGAATACGGGCTACCACCGGGTACTAGGACCAGATGGTGAAGAGCAGGATATCATCGGACCAGACGGTCACACTGAACAACTTCCACCGTACTCGAGATTTCCTGACGAAGGACCGACCAAAGCGTCTATGGCTGCAGAGGCAAGCGCGTCACGTATCCTTCCGGCACCTAACCAGGTGGCAGACCCAGAGGATCCATTCTCAACGCCAGTCTCTCCCGTATCGCCCTCGAGCACACACTCTTTCTCGCCTCCTCTCTTGCCTACGGCACCCCTGCTACCTTCTGTTACGCCCGCTCGCCTACCACCACAAAGGCCAGAAACCCAGACAGGAAATGTGGCGCCGACAATCTCTACCCAATCCAACACCATCCCGGCTGAACCATCGGATTCGTCTTCGGCGTCATTGTTAACGACCGAGAATAGCTTCTCAGAGAAGGCAGAGCCAACTGAGAACAAAATTAGCTGGCGCAAGAGGAAGTTATGGGGCAAGATCCCAATGGGAGTCGTCGTAGTCATCCTTGTCCTGACGCTGATCGTTGCTGTTGCTCTTGGAGCGGCAATCGGTGTTGCTGTTGCCAAGAAACACAATTCTAATAAGGACCGTCCCAAACCTCATGATAAACCGTAAGTGCCCAGAGTCTTCAGTATGATATAGACGCTAACCATTATTAGGCAATCTCAAGTCACAGGTCCAAACGGGTCGCTCTTCGATGCTGTACCCATCCCAACACCATCTGGGTTTGCTCCGCTGCCCACCGGGGCATTTTCACTACCCTTGGGAATACCACAAGAGAGTAATCCAGGATGCTTGTCACAGGCAAATCAATACTCAGCATGGTCATGCAAGATGACTTTTGCGCCACTTGTTATTACTATTAACAACACCTCATACACCGACGGCCCCCTACAATTTGCCTCTATGAAAGGAGGTTCCGCAGTACCCGAAGGCGCCGTCTTATATGGCCTACAAACCCCCCAATTGGATCTCAAACCAATGCAGCTCGTGCTTGACTTGGACTACAAAGCGTACGGACCAGCATACCATTTCGCAGCTCAATACGACAAGATGGTCATTTTGAGACCAGAAGAACTTAGCCTCACTACGGGCTCCGCACCCTGGAAGCGGCAAGATGACAAGGGATTCCGCCAACGCTTCCAAGTCAAACCTGGCGATCAGCCTTGGTATTGCTTTTGGAACCAGACCTACATCGAAGGCTACATTTACGCCGAAGACAACTCAACAGCGGCTTCTTTTACAGCTTTCCCTACCCAATGGAGCAGCAATTCGCCCAGCCCAACATCCCTAGACTCTGCAGCTTTTGGAGTAGCAACAGCTACAGCGACGTCAACCAGTGACACAAAAACAATTCCCAAACAACCTACCCGGGTCGCTGCAACCCCCTCCCCCGTTGTTCGCCGCGACGCCCCTCCAGATTCAGCAACCTCTCGCATACCGCCCTATCCCCGCATCGTCAAGATCGAGGAGCGCCGTCTGCCCTATTCACCACAACCTTACTGTCAGCAAATGCTTCTACTCGATAATGGAAAAATGACTCTTGCACCGAACAGCAATGATAGTCCTACGAGAATCTGGTTGCAGGAAACAGATCCGAGCTATGAGGAGTATTATTCTACTCAGCCCACGCAGACGGGTGATGCGAAGAGAAAGAGCAAAAGGTCATTGGCGCCGGAGAAGCAGAAAAGAAGGGATCCCAGTGATGCCTGCCATTGTCAGTGGATGTTCAAGTAGAAGTATGGCTTTTGTGGCAGGCCGTTCCCCTTCGAATATGGGTGAGGGGTAAGGTTCGGAATGATTGTTGCTTTTTTCCTTTCATCATTTGCGCAGGGCATCTGGCGTATACCTGTTGGACATGTTATGGCCTCTTGGCGTTTCTCACGTTGACTTGCGGGTCTCGTTCTATTTCTGGCATCTACTTTTTCTGTCTCCTTTGTCATATCCTGCATGCCGTCACAACAGCCTTTTTACATTTCCTGTTATTTGTTGAGATGATCGTATGCTCTATGGGCATACATGGGAGTTATATCCGCTATTGATTACTTGTATATACCGCGGAGGGCCTAGGGATAAGCCCACATGATTATTGAAGTCTCCGATAGGGGGCTGAAGATAGATAGAACAACGTATCAAACTTTCCACGTGCTCTCCTAGCCCGGTGATGAAGTGATAGATCTAAATTAGTGTGCCAACTTTTACGACCTGCGGCTCTGCAACCCTTCGTGGTTAATGTTTATACCTACAATGCGGTCGTAGTTGACAATGGGCCTGGAAGACCCTACCATCATCCACATCGTTTGCGTACACCTTTCCAAACTCCTTACAGAGACTTGTAGGCTGCTTAGAATCCTGAAAGCCCACCTAGGCCGACCATGCTATGTCAAAATGGAGAATAGATAACGCCATGCCCCATGCTTGTTACAATGCTCATGCAGTATGTCTCAAACTAAAGTACCATCCGGCTCGCCTGGTAACCGCTTAACGCGCCTTTGCTCCCAGTCCTCAAGGTCTTTCGCTTGTAGTCTCTGTATATTTGTCAGCCCTTATCCAATTTATGCCCATGATGCGCCTCCCCCCCCCTCTCTCTCTCATTTCCTCTTTGCAAGCTTCCGATCCCACCTCGCTGCCAACTCTCACATAGTCCCACAATCCACATCCTTTCCCCCATAGGTGAAAATGGGATATACGTACATAATATTCATCTTTCATGTTCACTTTCCTCCTCTCCCCTCTCAGTCCCATTGCCTCTTCTTGCGTTATCTGTTGGTTTTTGCGATCATAGCGCTCGTAGCGGAGGGCGGTCGCGGGCGTGAGCATGAACGACCCAGCTACTATGGTCGAGAGGAAGGGTAGCCCGAAGAGGAGGAAAGGATGTTTCTGGAGTGCTTTTCGGTATTTGGCAGCGAGGGAGTTGGGGAGCGTGGCGGAGAAGGATTTGGACGAGAACGGGCCCGGCATTGCGGCGTTTTCCAGGACGCTCAAAGGCTGGTAGTAAGAATGGTGTATGTCGTGGGCACTGTAGGTACAGCGATCAACTCGCTAGCTTGTTGAGCATTCGACGTATATCTCAATGGCGAGTACTGGGATGTGGAGGACGGATGGCCTGATGCTTGAATCCTCGTAATGCGGAGAACGCTCTTTCCCGCGGCTTGGCAGGGTCCCGTGATTACGTGAATCTATCTTGACGCGCCTCACGTTGATCCGCGCATTGCATCACTCAAAGGCGAAACTTCCTCCGCTCACTAATTCTCTTGAACCAAGCCGGAACCCCCTCTCGATATTTAAGACCTGACAATATCGCAAAAGGTTTGCGAAGCCTCTTTCACGTTACATCCCACCGGAGCCCCGCCAATCGTCCCTCGTGGACCGCTACCGCCACACGTCGCTAATTCCTTTGCAGCGAGATTTGACTTGCCGGGCAGTTCACGTGCCAAGGGCTTACTCTGTTGAAAGTGTCATTAATCGCCTGGGAAAATCGGAAACTCAGCGTACTGTTACTCACGAGAGGTTTCTAACAGCTGCCTGAAGGTTTTCAAATTCTATTCCCGTCTCTCCTCGCTATGATCCGATAGCTATCACCATGGCCCGCAAAGGCGGGAGTTCAGTTCAACGGATGGCGCCGCCTCCCATAACGAACGGACACATGAATGGCAACCCACCTCCATCCACCATTGCCGCCCAGATTGTCCACAATGCCTCGAACATACATGCCCGGCAGGATTCAGCAGCTAAAGTTACGTTCGGAGAGCTAGTTAAAGAATTCTTACAGCATCCAAGCACTGATGAACCCGACCCACAGCTTGTTGCACTCATCTGCGTCATTGCTGATGCGGGACTGGAAGGCCTTTTGAAAGACGACCCTTTCGCCCAAGACCAGCAGAGACAGCAGGGTATCGACGGCATAGCGGTAATCAAACTCATTCTACAGCAGAAGCCTCATCTGCTGCTAAGTGCTAAAGACGACGACGATGAAGGAAGTCCACGACCTCCGCTTCTGCTCTGGTTGTATCCCAAATTGCTAGGATTATTAACTCAAGCAACCCTACAACCAATTCATGGGCAGGTTCAAAATCTTCTCGACCTCTGTCTGATTGTGTCCACTCGGGCATCTGCTCTATGGCGTCAGGCGGCAGCGGTTGTGCAGCTGTACAGATCATGCGTCCAGAGTATGTATATCCTTAGTCCTCCATTAGTCACGCTAAACATGCACAGCTATATTATCAAATTTGGAGTTCGAGGAAGATCCATCATCGACCGTGAATACAGCTTTCCATGCTACTCTACCATCATCAAGTAGCATAGGCGAGTTTTGGCCAGAAAGCCACCAGTACGTTGCACTTCCTCACGACTTGCAGAGAACAGTTGCTTCCCATATCGGAGCTATTTATGTTGGAAACCGCCTTCTCCTCGCACTTCTAGATGCTGTTCATCCGCAGACGAGGAAGAGTACAAGCTCTGCCGCCTTTCAGCATTATCTGCCGTGGGTCTTGGATAGTTGCCTTGCACTATGGCAACACTTCAAACGTTGGACGATAGGTTCCGACCAACACTTACTCTACAACGATATTGTAGCCCTCCATATACAGCTACTTGACTTGTTGGTATTTCCTACGGTAGCGCCAGAGCGCTGCTTCTCTACGACGCCAAAGGCTGCTCAATTTCTTGCCAGCAGCCTCACTGACCTTCTCGAGCGCTTTCTGGCGCCCCCTTTGCCTGACCTCATCCAAATTGATCTTGCCTCAATGATCACTCGCTTACGTGGGATTCTCAACGTCTCGACATCGCGCAAATCAGCTCCTCTACGTCGACAAGATGTCACTAGATCTGTCGTTTCAAGAGATTTGGAGTCAAGTATAGCTAAGGTGTGCCAGAATATCGAAAAGTTCTCCGGTCTACACAAGGACTTACAAGTACGTGTTGGACCACCATTCTGCCTACTTGAGCTAACAAAGACTAGCTAGCATTATGTCTCTGGACATCACCAGGACCTTGGCCTACGGAAGTCGCAGACTTGCGTCAGGAGATCTGTAGCGACGAATCCGAGAGCTTTTCATCTACTCAACTCGTCGAGCAATCTATGTCCGTCATAAAAACGTTTCGAGAGTTGAATATGGGCGACGAAGACAGGCCGTCGAAGCGACGTAAGACATTGCCAGACTCTCCGGAAGATGCCTATGGATCGACTTATGAGTACCTTATGATGGTTTTGAACGGCAGCACGCAAGCGTCTCCCGTGTTAAATTTATCTAATCTTCATAACATCGTTCAGTAAGTCTCTCAAGTTTACTCATTGACGTATGCTTACAGTATCAGGGCTAGATATTCCTCGATGGAGGGCGATAATCAGCAAGATGGAAGTGCCCAATTTGAACTACTAGCAGCTTTGGCAAAAATCGCTTGTGCGGGTTCACATTGCCTGGAGCCCTTATCTACCAAGTCGCACCAATGGAGGGCACTTCATTGCACCATGTGCGATATATCGGGTGACACTGAACGAAGCGCCACGGCTTATTGGAATCATGATGATGGCACCGGAGAGTGGAAAGATGTCATCGCCGCCATGCTTGTGATCACGAAAGAACCCGTATTCCAAAGATCATCAAAAGCCCGCGTTCTTATGGCAGTGGCTATTGGCCGACTTTTCAATCACATTTCAGATCCAGATTATCTGAATCTGGAGGTGTGCGAACTGGGACAGTGGCTACTTGGTTCGATGAGCAGATCGTTACGAGAGCTGAAACTGGCGGCCATGTAAGTTGTAGACCAAACCCACGTAAATCGGTGATTAATCAAGAGACAGGAGCTCGTTGATGGTATTTCTGAGGGGTGACATCTCGAAGAGCACGCGCCAAAAGAACCGAAGGTCCACTATAGAGTTTCTTGACGCACTCGCGAAGCGGGATGTCTTGTCTGATCAAGAAACACTCATCATGGCGTATGGTCAGATTGCCTAGTAAGCTCTTCCTCCTAACACTTTGTGCATTGACTAATCGCAGGCAGTGTGTGTGGCGAGCTGGAGCTCCCTATTATCCTACATCATCTTGTCGAATATCTTGGCCATCCCAACGCTCTGGTTTGTGGCATGGCTTACTGTGAGGTGAGTATCTCGATCCAATCTGCAAATTAATTTTGACCAAGAACAGCTCGAATCGATTGCGAAGCGATTTTCCATGGAGACGACGCAACTATTGAGCCCATATTGGAAAGTGATCGGCTTTTCAGTCATCAAAGATATCATCCACAAGCCACAGAAAGCACAGCAGTTGGCAGATCTAACTGAGCAAAGCGTCCGTCAGCTGCTAGTACTTACTCAAACAGATACTCTACCTCACCTCGTCCTAAGTAAAAGAAGAGATATCGTCGAAAAGATTGCCCAGGCTCGAAAGGTGTCAATTGCCGAGGTTTTGACACAGCCCAGAGCAAACCTTGCGAAGATCCTCGCTTTGCTTCTATCGCAGCCAGTTGCAGACGTCGAGAGGAATGCGATGGAAATTTTAGGTGCCATTGAGCCGGCGATGCGGGAAGGTAGCAACAACAGGCTCGAAGCCTGGGTGGCATTGGACATCACTGGCATAGCCATCGAAATATTAATGTTGGCAGCAGATCAAGAGGGGTCAAGAAAGAAACCGGTGCGTGTATTGTTCAAGCCGCATATCGACGTTGCTAATCGATTAGTTCTACAACGGATTCACGACGCTTGCGACGCTCGCTGACTCGAAAACTGGGCAACGCAAGTCAGCGTCCAAAACTAAGGTCTTGGATGCGTTTTGTGAGACGCACATCTTGGGTATTATAGCACACTTCTCGGATATCATCGAGAGCTCGCTTGCGCAGAGCAAGACTGTACCGCAGACGGTGCCCGAGCGAAAGAGGTGTATAGCTGCTATCGGTGATCTCGTCAGCCTTGCACGTTATAGCGTGAATGGGGCGTTGCCGCAGGTGAGTCATGCTATGTCTTTTCTTTCTCAAGCCTACTCACAGAATTTAGATTCGTGCTTGCCTTCAGTCTGCCATGGCGGACCCTGATCTTTGCGATGACACATTCATCGTATGGTCTGCCTTTCTCACAGCTCTCGATGCGGACGATGCCATGCTTGTAGTCGACCAAACCTTTGCCTTGATCGTTCAGCATTGGTCGTTATTTTCGGAAGAAACTCAAATCAAAGCAAATAAGACTATCGTCAACCTCACACAGCAATACAACTCACAGCTCATGGCGCGAATAGAGTACCTTCCTTCTCTAGCAGGTATACCGATGATGGCGAAGACTGAAGCAGAGTTGGTGCGCTTCAAAGACATGGTGGACACGATTAAAAAATTTCAAGCATTCAGCAACCGATGCAAAGACCAGAACTCTGTCGTGGTACGTCAAGCACTAAAAGAACTTGTACCATTCCTCGACGCCAATCAAAAGGAGTTACATCAGTCGATTGTTGGCCAAAAACCCCTCTCGGTGTTGGCAGCTTTGAGTCGTTCCCTTCTCGATGCTAGTGTTCGATTTTCGGAAGACCATACCGACATCACTGTCCTCTGTGCTCAATGTCTTGGTATTATCGGTGGCTTGGATCCGTACCGCGTGGAGACAGTGCGTGAGAAGAAACGCGTGCTCATGTTGTCGAACTTCTCGCGGAGAGACGAAGACATCGACTTCGTAGCGCTACTTCTCGAGCAGGTACTCGTCAAGGTCTTCCTCTCGACGACAAACGCCAAAGCACAGGGATGGATAGCCTACGTTATGCAGGAGATGCTCAAGCACTGTGGATTTAGTGCCCTTCACGTATCAAAGCCTCGGTCTTCGCAGACTAGCACTGAGGCGCACCGCTGGAACGAGATACCTGAGGCCGTAAGGAACGTCCTAACACCCTTTTTGAGCTCAAGATACTCAGTCAACCAAAACCCTGCCTTACAGTATGAAGGCGCGAAGTACCCAATCTTCGATTCGAAAATTAGCCATGCAACTTGGCTACAGACTTTTGTTTACGACTTGTTACGGAAAGGGCAAGGCGTCAACGTCGAGATGGTCTTCCCTGTCTTGGCTCGCATCATCAGAGGTTATGATCTCTCGATCGCTACCTTCATACTTCCTTTCGCGGCATTGAACGTCGTCGTCTCTGATGACGAACAGAACATGTCGAACGTTGGACTGGAATTACTAAATGTACTGGAGAGAGAAATCAGATCGCCAGATCAGCCGGATGCTACGATCATCAAACAATGCAGCGAGGTAATGACTTCATTTTCTGGTTTATTCTTTCTTTTACTGATTGATGGTAGAACGTTTTCCAGACGCTTGACTACTTGTCGTTATGGCTACAAGAGAAAAGAAAGGCTGTCGCAGAGGCAAGAACAATGGCCGGCAAAACTGGTCGTGGAGTTTCAGAGGACGAAGAGATGAACGCTATCAAACAGATCAGTCGTGTCGAAGGTATCCTTCAAACCATCCCCGCTGAGGTTATATCTCGACGTTCTGTCGAGTGCGGGTCATATGCTCGGGCCCTTTTCCACTGGGAACAATACTATCGCCAACAGCAGCAGGTCAAGGCGGAGGCAAAGCAGCTCTTCTCTGAGAAGGACGAACTGCTCCAACACTTGCAGATGATTTATGCACATATCGATGAACCGGATAGCATGGAAGGAATTTCTGCTCATCTCAAGGTGCTTAATCCAGAGCAGCAGATTATGGAAGACCGTAAAGCTGGGCGATGGACGGCAGCCCAAAGTTGGTATGAGATTGCGCTGGCTGAGAAACCAAACGACGTTGAGACACAGATCAACCTTTTGACTTGTCTGAAAGAATCTGGTCAATATGGTAAGCTTGAAATTAGCGATTTCAAAACATCAGCTAATATACGCCGTCAGACTCCATTCTTAATTATGTAGACGGGTTTCATGCAAGCAATTCGATTTCTAGCAGTACGCTGCCGTTTGCAGCTGAAGCAGCTTGGTCGGCAGGCAAGTGGGAACAGCTCGAGAGACACCTTGGAACTTCCCCCAGTACTAATACAAACACCTTCATGGACTTCAATGTCGGTATAGGGCGAGCACTGCTTGCACTGCGCCACAAAAAGAGTGCAGAATTCGCGGATATTATTGCTACACTGCGAGAAACAGTGGCCAAAGGTTTTACTCCATCAACAACCACTTCTATACAGGCCTGTCATGACCACTTGGTCAAGCTCCATGCCCTATACGAAATTGAGGCTGTCAGCGGTATGACTGCCCACGCTACACCAGAGCGTGAAGTCATCCTCGAGAATATGGATCGGCGATTAGACATCATTGGAGCGTACACTTCGGATAAGCAATACCTCCTGGGAGTGCGCCGCGCGGCCATGTCGCTATCTTGGTGAGTACCAACGTTCTGAGTATGTTAACAGATACTGACCGAGCCTAGTATCAACTTCACGAATCTAGACATTGCATCAGCATGGCTGACGACTGGGAGACTGGCTCGCCAAGGAGACTTTATAACCACTGCTTTCAACTCCGTGCTGCACGCCGAGCGGCTAGGAGACAATGCATCGAAGATCGAGTACTCAAAACTGCTCTGGAAAGAAGGACATCACCGCAAAGCTATCCAAAACCTGCGTGGTGCAATTGATAGCAACGTGTTCCATTCAGACGACAACGTACCGATAAACGTTTCCGTCACAACGACTGGCCGCGGTGACGAACAAATGAACAAGATCAAATGCCACGCCCAGCTACTCCTCGCAAAATGGTTAGACCGAGCTGGTCAGACGCAATCGATCTCTTTGAAAGAGGAATATGTCATTGGCGTTCAGACGTACCCTAGATGGGACAAGGGTCACTATTACCTAGGACGATGGTACCTCAAACTTCTGGAGTCCGAAAAACGACAACCGGTATCGAAACAAAGCTCGGAGTATCTGTCAGGAAGCTTGATCAAGCTTGTGATCGAAAATTTCGTCCGCTCCACCGTCTACGGCACAAAGTACTATTACCAGACCTTGCCCAAGATCCTTACGCTTTGGCTAGATATGGGAATGGAGGTTATGAATACTGTTCCTCGAGCAGCTAAGGACAAAGAATTTCACGAACATAGATTGGCCTACCTGGATCATATCAACGAGTATCTCAAGCGGTACGCTAGTGAGCGAATGCCTGCCTTTGCATGGTATACCACGTTCCCGCAAATCATCACCCGCATCAGTCATCCGAACAAGAACGTATGGGAAGCACTTCAGACAATCATCATTCGAGTCGCTTCGTCATACCCGCAACAAGCTCTTTGGAGTTTGCTAGCTGTACTTCACTCGACGCAGGATGATCGTCGAAACCGCGGGACTGCGGTGCTCCAAAAGTTACGCGTAAGTGATCGAACCAGTCAAGATCATTGCCCAGCTAACAACTACAAGGATGCATCAAAACGCAAGGGAGTTTCTCTTGATCTGAAGAACCTGATCATCCAGGGTCAGCGACTTACTGACGCGCTACTAGCGGCTTGTGATGCTCCAGTAGAGCAAAGAGTTGCACACGTAAGCTTATCAAGGGACCTAGGATTCAGCCACAAGCTTGCTCCTACCCAGTTGGTCGTGCCGATCGAAGCCAACATGCTTCCAAATCTCCCAGCAGGTAATAACAGTCAAACAATTCGTCGGCACAATCCATTCCCGCAAGACGCCATCACTATACAAGCTTTCAAGGACGATGTACTTGTCTTATCTTCACTCCAACGTCCGCGAAAGGTGGACGTTCGCGGCTCAGATGGACGTTCCTACGGTCTGCTATGCAAGCCGAAAGACGATCTGCGCAAAGACCAGCGTCTCATGGAGTTCAACGCTATGATCAATCGCGCTCTTCAGAAGGATGTCGAGTCCAGCAAGCGCCGTCTATACATCAAGACTTACGCTGTGACACCTTTGAACGAAGAATGCGGAACAATTGAGTGGGTTGAAGGTCTCAAGCCGATGCGTGATATCATCATCCGCTTTTATCGCCAACAAAACGTGCAGATCGACTACAGCGAAATTCGCATGCTACTTACTGAAGCCTCGTCTTCGCCCTCTAAATTATCCATATTTACTGAGCGTATCCTCGGGAAGTTTCAGCCTGTCCTACACGGATGGTTTGTTGAAACCTTCCCCGAGCCAGAGGCTTGGTTCGCCGCACGGCTACGCTACACACGCTCCTGTGCGGTAATGAGCATTATAGGCCACATTCTCGGCCTCGGTGATCGACACGGCGAAAACGTCCTACTAGAACAAGGCGACGGCGGCACCTTCCACGTCGACTTCAACTGTCTCTTCGACAAGGGTCTCACTTTCGAGAAACCAGAACTCGTCCCCTTCCGCCTGACACACAACATGGTCGATGCCATGGGTCCGCAAGGCGTCGAAGGCCCGTTTAGAAAAGCCGCTGAACTTACGTACAAACTCCTCCGCCAGCACGAGGACACTCTTATCACGATCCTAGAGACTTTTGTGCATGATCCCACGGCGGACTTTTTGGGTGGTCGCAAGAGGAAGAAGATCCAGGGTGTGCCTGATACGCCGCAAGAGGTCCTGGATATCACGAGGACAAAGGTTGGGGGCTTCTTCAAGGGGGAGAGTGTCCCGCTTAGTGTGGAGGGCTATGTCGAGGCATTGATTGCTATGGCATTGGATCCGTCGAATCTGGCGGCTATGTATATTGGGTGGTGTGCTTTCTTCTAGTTTCGCGTTGCTTCGAGCTGGTTCATGGGTGAGTCAAATAATCACTACTCTAGCTCAAGACCTCATTGTCCGGTGCGGGACAATTGGTATATACAAAGATGGAAAATTGAGTGTAAGAGGTGTAACATATGTTTGCATGTGTCAATACGATCAAGCATGGTCATTTAAAAAGTACGTCAACTGTGAAGTGTGTGACTTGTTTGTACTGAGATAGGCTCAGCGGGTGGCTAATAGGTATGTCTACAATTCATCTGCAGAGAGCTAGACCTAAAGCTCAATCTACTAGGTGTGGATGCACAGACTTGAAGAGTCTGCTATTAAATAAGATGCTCACACGGGAGCTCAATATTTGATTCCAGATGACCTTGACTCAGCATACTAATGGGTCTTCTTGAGCAAGCTAGGAAGAGCGCGAATACCGAACACACGCATGTGTCCGCTCGCTGAAGCATACACTTCTCGAGTTTGAATCGCAATCTTAGTTTTCAAGCTCCTCGTCACTGTCTTCTCCGTCACTGTCTTCTCCATCACTATCTTCTCCATCACTATCTTCTCCATCACTATCTTCTCCATCACTATCTATGAGCAGGGATATCATATCCGTACGCTTCCGAACGACCTCATTATTCATGTCCAAACCTGTCCCCTGGAAACAACCGTATATCTGGAATATTTTCCGAAGCACACAGCCTTCCACGGGCTCCACGCCACTATAGTCCCCAATCGCCTTGCCCTCTTTCGTCAATCCTAAGTTGACTTCCACTCCTTTAGGAATGTTTGCAATGACATGTTGCATCGTGTGATAGTATATGGGCCTGCGACGCCAGAAGTAGTTGAAGAAGTGGGTTTGGTTCCACCCATCAGGTTCATCGCAGAGTGTGACCACAAGCTGTAGCGACTTCAAAGACGTCATATCACGGAATGATGACCAGGTATCCAGACGGCGAAATTGGGCGGGGTCGTACTGACAATTAGGAGCTTCGACGTGGACCTCGAGGCGCAGGCGCTGAATGCGAGAAGTGGGAAGCTCGAGGTTACTGAACTTGGCGCCAAATGGTTCTTTATGGCGAGAAGGTCGGACAGTGACTGCGAAGGTGTTGCGAGAGTACAAGATGTACGATCCTTCTTGGTGGGTCTGATGACATAGGCGCAGAATGCTCGTCTCGAGGAGTGGAGGTAGCCCGAGGACACGCTTCTTGAGTCGCTTTAGGGTAACTTCTGTTTCATTGTACATGTCGTGCCTCTTTGCGAGTGCTTGAGATTTCTTAGAGCGTCCAGTGCTTAGCGGGTGGAGGCCGTGGGTCCGGCGGCGCTCCTTCCTGCGGTTGAGGTCATTGACGAGGATGACTGTGTCGCAGAAGTCGTCCGGACCGCGCGTGTCGACGAGGAGAAGCTCATAGATTCGGTTCCGCAGTTCTCCTGGTAGGCTGAGGAAAGCAAAAGTTCCAGACCGGGTAAAGCTATGGCTAGAAGTCAGTAACTGTAGCGAGTAAGGAAAGACGGAAAGCAGTGTAGGACCAACCTGAGGTTCTCTTCTACCATTGAGGCTGCCTGTGTGCAAGTGAGAGCTTTCATCGCCTCTTCGATAGTAGTCGGGCTGAACATGTGAGCATACTATTTCGAGTCAAGGAGAGCTGGTTGTACTTACTCGAGTCCTGAAAGATGGTCATCCATCTCGTCGCAAACTGCACCTGTTGGTAACGTGGAGTAGTCGTGAGAGATGTACTGCAGTTGTAGAGGGTGGGTTTTTGGGGTCGGGGACTGTTTATTTATCATGAAAAGAGGGAGGAGCAACGACGCTAAGATGCCCTGCACCTCCAAGTGAAAGTCGTAGGAAGGAAATGTTTTCTTGGATATGAAATTTCGAAACGGTCGACAGGAACTGACATTTACCAATAGAATGTGAGTGAATTGACACGTAGAGACATTATAACAGTCTTTCGTATTGCGTAATACAACGACTTCTAAGTAAACATGCGCATGTACCATGCATGGAAATACCCTATATACAAGCACAAGCGATGGCTGGAGATTCGATTGACCTGCTCTTTGGTCTCCAATGTTGACTTCCAGCCAGAAGTAGGGCCCTCTTTCGCTACGTCTCTTCTCTTCCTCGTTTGTTCAATGGCTCAGCGCGCCCAAGGCCGCATCTAAAAATTCGCGCAAACAACAGTGAAACAAACTATCTAGGTACTGTGTGAGGCTTAGACCAGAAGCAGTCCCAACACATGACTAGACAGCCCACGTTAAATAATACATGTTAGACATGGCAATTAACAAGGCAAACTGATCACACGTTGCTCCGTCTCAATGAAAAGAGAGCAGTCCGGAACGTGGGGGGGCGGCCAAGTCTCGGCATGGTACGGGAAAGGTGGCGCTTCTTACACGTGAGCGTCTTGGGCCGATCCAGCGCTTTGCCTCTTGCGTTGCGCAGTAATGGGGTCGTTCGAGGCAAGAAAATTTCTATCGAGAAGTTTGGGCGTGGCTATCGAATTCATTTCTAGCCATCTGAGGTTCCAAGATGGCCGGCGCGGTGGTGTGACCCCACTTCTCGGCGGGCCGACCAGGGAGCTTTCTTTTGGAGTCCCACGTCATGCTGCAGAGCTTGAGAAACACCTTGTACAAACTTGCCATCACCTTATCGCCAGCCCGCCATAGATATAGAGAGAGCTTGGCCCGGTATACACTCCTTTCAATTACCCGCACGACTATCGGCTGCCCTTGCTTTTGGGTCCCATCAAAACCTATTTAGCGTGACCAGGCAAGAGCTACTACCCCTCCAACGAAGCTGCTCAACATCCAGCAGGACCCGCTTCGGCCTCTTTGTACTTTTCAGTTGAACCCACCTTGACCTCATACCCGCCCCACGAATATTGGGCAAAATCTCACCTACGACTACTGCTTACCTTCATCCACCTACCCTCAGTTTCCGACCCTCCCAACCCTCAAACTAAACTCACATTCGACCCAAACGCCGTGACCCGCCCGCCATGGCGCCCACCAACCTGCCCCCGCCTCTCGAGGGGAAGAAGAGAAGAATTGGTGTCATGACAAGTGGAGGAGACGCGCCCGGCATGAACGGAGCCGTGCGAGCGGTTGTCCGCATGGCCATCCACAACAATTGCGAAGCATACGCCATCTACGAGGGCTACGATGGACTCGTCAAAGGCGGAGACATGATTAAAGAAATGAAGTGGGACGACGTGAGAGGCTTCCTGTCCGAGGGAGGTACTCTCATTGGCACAGCACGGTGCATGGAATTCATACAGCGTGAGGGTCGTCGGAGAGCCGCAAAGAATATGATCATCAAGGGCATCGACGCTCTGATCATCTGTGGTGGTGATGGCTCCCTCACCGGAGCGGACAAGTTTCGCGCAGAATGGCCAGAGCTACTAGAAGAATTGGTGCAAAGCAGCGAGCTCACCAAGGAGCAAATAGAGCCATTTCGGCACCTCAACATTGTCGGTTTGGTCGGCTCCATCGACAACGATCTCTCCATGACCGACGCAACCATCGGCTGCTACACATCCCTCGCCCGTATCTGCGAAGCTATCGATTCCGTAGACACCACCGCCGTGAGCCATCAACGCGCCTTCGTCATCGAAGTCATGGGCAGACACTGTGGCTGGCTCGCTCTCAGTGCTGGTGTAGCCACCGGCGCAGACTTTGTCTTCACACCCGAGAACCCTCCTTTCGAGGGATGGGAGACGGACATGTGTGCTCAGATCAAAAAGCACAGGGGTATGGGCAAGCGGAAGACCATTGTCGTTGTTGCCGAGGGTGCCATTGATCGGAATCTGAACAAGATCACACCTCAACAAGTCAAAGACATCCTCTCCAACGACGCCAAGCTCGACACAAGAATCACAACACTGGGCCATGTTCAGCGTGGAGGCACACCCTGTGCTTACGATCGCATGTTGTCGACATTACAAGGTGCTGAAGCTGTCAAAGCAGTTCTCGAAGCTACCCCCGAAACCCCCAGCCCGGTCATCTGCATGCAGGAGAACAAGATTGTTCGTCGCCCACTCCTCGAAGCCGTCGCTCAGACCAAGGAAGTAGCTGTTGCTATTCACAACAAGGACTTCCAGCGAGCCATGGACCTCCGCGACACAGAGTTCGAAGAGCAGTACAAGTCATATCTCATCACCACGGCCGCCGACCAACCTGAATTACTAGTACCAGAGAACAAGCGTATGCGTGTTGGCATTATCCACGTTGGAGCGCCTGCAGGAGGAATGAATGCCGCAACACGAGCAGCCGTAGCGTACTGTCTTGCTCGGGGACACACCCCAGTCGCCCTTCACAACGGCTTCCCGGGTATCATTCGTCATCATTCGGATGAGCCGGTCGGTGCAGTTCGAGAAATCGACTGGATCGACGCTGAGACGTGGGCCTCGAAGGGTGGGTCCGAAATTGGAACAAACCGTGGTCTACCTAGTGAGGACCTCGAGACTGTCGCGCTGGTATTCAAGAAATTCAAGATCCAGTCGTTACTTGTCGTCGGAGGATTCGAGGCGTTCACAGCTGTCTCCGAACTACGGAAAGCGCGAGTACACTACAAGTCGTTCAAGATTCCTATGGTAAGTGCATACATTGCTTCGCTTTCCCCAGCACTGCATCATTGTCCGCCAGGCTTCGCGACATGCTAACAAACTTCTAGGTGATTATCCCCGCCACAATCTCGAATAACGTCCCGGGAACCGAATACTCAATCGGCTCCGACACGTGCTTGAATGCACTCATTCAGTACTGCGATGCCTGCCGGCAGTCAGCATCAGCATCCCGCCGCCGCGTCTTCGTCATCGAAACCCAAGGCGGCGAATCCGGCTACATTGCGACCGTTGCTGGCCTCAGTATCGGCGCCTTAGCTGTCTACACCCCAGAGGATGGCATCGACATCAAGATGCTAGATCGCGACATCGATCACCTTCGAGAGGTCTTTACGGAGGACAAAGGAAATAGCCGATCGGGCAAAGTCATCCTCGTGAATGAAAAGGCGTCCAAGACCTATTCTGTCCAGATTATTGCTCAGATGATTGCGGAAGCTGGCAAGGGCAAGTTCGAGTCCAGGCACGGTGTCCCAGGTCACTTCCAGCAAGGCACCACCCCTTCACCCATGGATCGTGTCAGGGCTGTCAGGTTTGCGACCAAGGCTTTGCAGCATCTAGAAGGCTTTGCTGGCGAGGACCCAGAGGATGTTGATGATGATCCTATGTCCATCAGCGTCATTGGTATCAAGGGCTCGAAACTACTCTTCTCACCAATGGAAACTGTTGAGAGGAAAGAGACTGAGTGGCATCGTCGCCGGCCGAAACATGAGTTCTGGATGGCACTTAAGGAGACGGTGGATACGTTGAGTGGTCGGCCACATGCGCCTGCGAAGCCGATAGATATAGACACTCTAGCGGGGAGGCCGGCGAAGAATTAGGGCGCTTTAACGTTCAGATCACGAAGGACTTTAGGGTGTTACGAGGGAATTTAGTCTGCAGTTGCAAAGGGTTACCGCAAGTGAGGCATGACTCATGAGATACATGTACATTCTTCTCTATGGCTTTTTTCTCATTCCATTCAATCAACTCATCAATCAATCATGACATTGATTACTCTTCCTGGAACTCCTTCAAACTCTCATCATTCCAGTTCAGGAACTTGCCACTCAACTCCTTCCCTCCACTAACAGCAAGCTTAGCGATAACATGCCCCGGCTGCTCGGGCCTCAGCAAACCTCCATCTTTCTTCAAGCCTGCAAACTTGGTGCGATCGCTCTCACTCATACGCTCATGATGAACCTCACGGATCTCTCTCTGCATCTCCGTATCCACGACGCCGGGCCGAACGGAAATAGTCGTCACATCCGGTTCTTCCACCGCCAATGTGAGAGCTAGGTGGTTCAGGACGGCTTTTCCAGCACCGTAGGCGCCCCAGCCTTGGTACGCGGAGATAGAGGCCCCGGACGAAGTTAGCAGGATGCGGCCGTTTGATGCGCGGAGAGAGGGGAGGGCTGCTTGGATCTGTGGATGTAGATGTTAGCAATTAGGTAGAATTCAGTTTAGATGGGTTCTGTGTGGGTTGATACTAGTAATTGAGAGTAGGTAGAGGAAAATGGATGAAAAAAAAGATATAGAGAGAGAGAGAGAGAAACATACAAGTCCCACAGCACTAAAAACATTAATATCAAACGCCTCCCTCCACTCCTCGACCGTCGAATCGCCCACTCTCTTCACCGGGTCCAAAGTCCCGTGGTTCACAATCAGCGCATCAACGCGTCCCCACCGCTCATTCGCTCTCTCGACGCTCCGCTTTGCCAGCGAGAAATCCGACACGTCGCCTGCGAGCACTTCGACTTTGTCTGAGCCGTACTGCTTGTGCAGGTCGTTGAGAGCGGATTCCGTGCGCGAGATTAGGAGGAGTTTGTGGGAGCGCGAGAGCAGGTAGTGCGCTATTGCTAGCCCGATTCCTGGTAGGATCAAAGTTGTTAGTATTGGAATACTTGTTCGAAGGAATTGGGTATCATGTCTACGGGGATATGTGATTCAATGCACACGTGAGTTTGTTGTGGTTGTTGGTACTACAAGACTTGTCATGCTGGTAGTGGGGTGGTAATTGTACATGGAGATGGGATTACCTCTTGAAGCACCAGTCAGTATAATGACCATTTCTTTCGACTCGCTCATCTTGGTGTGCGATTGTGTAGTATTACTTCAGATGTTAGGATAGGAAACTATTAAGTTGGGTATGAAAGCTGCGTGCGTCATATTAGTCATCATCCGACGGCTCCACCAAGAAAAGCTCAGAGGTGGCATGTGTTGTAGTCTATACAATTGGTGTCTACACTGTCCAAACAGCCCCTCGTACTAGATTAGGCGCTTCGATACCCCAAAACCTATCTTATTACTCAAGTTTAGGTGTCTTCCGCCAGAATTACCAACGATTAGCAATGGAACCGTAGAGGCTCATACCATCTCAACTACACTTGAAAACTTCCTCCTCTAATAAGCACCCACATCTTGCCCCTCTCGAGCTAGTGTTTCAAACACCCTCGGGGGCAACTTATACTTGATCAGACCCGCAAAAACCATCAAGTCCTTCGCCTTTTGCAGCAACTGATCCGCGAGCACCTTGCGCATTGGATCATCAAATTGTCCACTCAGAAGATGTTCACGGTGCCTTGAGCAGCACCCGATGCACCATAAGAGCACATTGCCGATGTTGCGCGCGATCTCGGGAGGATAAGAGGAGAATGAGTTGGCAGTGGAGCGGATTTCGGATAGATTTCCGCGTGCAGAGAGGGGCAGGATACGGAGGTTTTCGATTTGCTAAGTGGGCATATTAGTATGGAAATGAGAAGGGGGGTAACAGTGACTTACATCGAGCGCTTCCATATACGACCGAGCTTCGATGATGTTCTTTGCGTTGTTGAGCTGGTACAAGATGCGAATCGTGTCGCGATTGACCTGCGAGACCTTCCTCCACCACAAGCTGTTCTCATTGTAGAGGGCAATCACCTTTTGTGCGAGTTCGACGGGGTCGTCTGTTCCGAGCATGCTCAAGCTCGATGAAGTCAGATCAGATGCCTGTTGCTGCTGTTGCTGCTGCAATTCTGCACCGGTCAATCGTGGCTTCAGCGGCTCTAGACGAAGCGGCTCTTGACCCAGTTCGACAGAAAGAGCTTCCGCGAGGGCTCGGTTTAGGATTCCGATTACGCTGTCGTACTCGCCTGCTAAGTGACAGAGCAAGATAGCGTCGTTGGTGCGGCCGTTATCATCCGCCATCTTAGCTGCTTCCCGAGTGATTGTGTTGAGCAGGCCATTTTCGCCCTTGAGCTTGAGCAGCGGTGTTCTTTCCTGAATGAGACCAGGTGTTGTCTGTCCATTAGACTTGACATCACCTAACAACGTAGAGAACTCGCGGGTCTCGAGCACAAGTTCTCGAAGAGCTTCATGACAAAGCCCTGCCTGTTGCTTGCCTGCTTCACCGGGTAGGTCCGCGTTCATGCAGATCAGGACCAAGTAATCTGCAGCAGCATCGGCTCGAGCAGCGCGGAAATCCGCTGTGTACGCGCCTACTGCCCGTCCAAAGTTCAGCTGCGGTTGTTGTCGTGTGGTGAATGTTAGGAGCTCGCCGCCTGCAGTACTCCATTCCGAGACTCTGAGTAGGCCATAGTAGTCGAGAGCGATGGCGAAATGTACCGCAGTGACGTAATTGTGATCGTAGAGGTATTTGACAGCTGGCTCGAACATACCCGCAAGTACAGCAAGGTAAAAGTAGACGCCATATCCACCAGCAGCTTCAGCCTCATCGTTCATGAAGTGCCGCTGGCCAATATCACGGATAGTGGACCGGAGCTCTTCCAGACCGAAAATCTCTCCCGCGTTCTCTTCAGCTCGGTTGCCTTCGCGAGCCAAGTTGAACTGCAACCATACCCAGTCATCCATAGTCTCCTTGATTGGCTCCAGGTTACGTTTGCTCATCTCGCATCGACCCACGATCTTATAACAGGCCGTCCGGTAGGGGTCTTCTGGTGTGTTTATTCGCACTCGCTGAGCATGCGTATGGCTAACCTTTTGTTGCGTTTCCGGGCTGAGCCTACGGTCCGGGTCGGTAGCATACTGTGTTATCGCGCCTTGGAAATTCCTGTCCGTGTTTTGGAAGAAGTTTCGCTTTTCCCGGACATAGTCAGCGGCTTCCGTCAGTAAGCCGCCTCTTAGCAGGTAGAAGACAATGACCCAAGGGAACTCCTCGCCGGTGTCGCCTATCCTCTGGAAGAATTCTGTATCTGCGCCGAGCTCCTTGAAGGCAACCTTGGCTCGCACAAAACCCCGAATCTTGTTAAGCAAGGATGGAACACCTCCGACAAGCGCCTCTGCCGGGTTCCTCCTCAGAACCTCGTCTATTTGTTCTAGGAACTTTTTCTCGAGGTACTTTCGAGAGCCGTCCAGTATGCGTTTGCGCATTCGGACGCTGGCAGCAGAGTTGGACTGGTCATCTAGGTAGTCCTTGGCGAAGCTCCGTTCCTTTGGATTGCTTGAACCCGGGTTCGACGCTTCCAACTCGTTCTGCTCGCCAGTACAGGAAATAAGCGCCCCATAAGCATTGATGAACTGATCCGAGTACTCAGTGCCTGCAGCCTTCTCTACTTCAGAAAATGCATGGAGGATCGAGAACGTGTTCTCTCTTAACCTCGCATCGTTGAGCTTCTTCACTTCGTCCATGAACTTCTCTTGCTTGTCCCGAACGTATCGGTCCTGTAGCCCGACTTGTCCACCGAGGATGGACTTGTCAGATCCGTCTCGTCCACCCAGTACACTTCCAGAGGCGCCAAGGACAGGCGGCCCACCTGCAGTCGCTCCAAACGTGGATTTACCATTAACCGATGCTCCCTTAGGGCCCATGGAGCGACCCTTACGAGTAGAACGTCCGAAAGCTCCGCGAGCTGTATTGCCGAATGTGCTCTGTGACGCTGCCATCTCTTCACTTTGTCTTCCCAGCCCGAAGTGCTCGTATATCCTCTGTCGTTGCTTGTCCCACTCAATTTGAACATTGTCCTCTAAGAAAGTATCAAAGTCGCGCTTAGACTGTTCGAGCCCCTCTTGTATCAGAGCTAGAGTAGATTGCGAGTGAAGATTTGAGATGTAACTATCGACGTCGGTGTCAAACTGGTTCTGAGCTGGTCCGGTCGCGCCAATGCCCGCCTGGGTGGAGAATTGGTTAAGGTCGCGCAGGGTGCTGCCCATCTTCACTCCAGAAGCGGAGAGAAGGTAGTGTCTAAAGGCAATCAGTACAGGTTCCACATGGTACATCAGGCTATAACTCACGCCGCACGATCTTGTGTGCCATCTCGCGCCTGATCCGCCGAGGGACCGCCAGCACCGAGATTGCGCACCTTGCGTGCAATGTCTCCAAGACCTAGTTGCAACGATGGTAGCTCATCGAAGTTACTGGAGCCATTCTCGCCGGCATTGCGTTTGCGGCCTCGCTCGAGCAGGTGATCAAAATGCGCCGAGCGAGTGGTGCCTGCGTTTGACTGCGACAGAGACGCGCCCTGCTGTTGCTGCTGTGGTTGCTGCTGCGGTTGCTGTGTCGAGGCCGAGCCAAAGAGGAATCCTTGTCCGAGGCCGGTGGTTTGTTGCTGGTTAGACAGCGGATTGGCCGTTGTTGATTGCGTCCCCGGTTTGGAAAACAAAGAGAAGCCGCTCGACTGCGTTTGTGGTTGCTGTTGCGGTTGCGAGGTCGATGTCGCGCCAGAGAAGAGAGAGGGCGTTGCGGTTGCTGTCGACTTTGGTCCGCCTAGACTACTGCCAAACAGACCTCCTCCCAAGCCTCCACCGCTTGCTGGCTGTGTTGTACCAGCTTGTGCGCTTGAGGCTCCTCCGCCTAGGTTGCCAAACAAGCTTGGTGTCGTCGCAGTGGATGCGCCCGTGGTATTGCCAAACAGGCCTCCTGTCGATGGGCCACTCGAGGCAGGCTGCGAGGCTCCAAGATTACCGAAAAGCGACGACATGGTGGTGGTGGTAGCGCCGTGTTGTTAAGGCCGAAAACAAAGCTGGAGAAACGAGATCGCGTTGTTCCAGCTCTGGGAGCTCGGGCCACGACTGATCCCCGTCGGCCAGGTACCACTTCAATCGTGTGAATGTGACAACAGTGTTGTCTATGTCGAGCTGCTGGAAAGTCTCCAGACCTGAGATAGAGTCTCGTTTGATCTAAGTAATAGTAGTAGTACAAGGAGCTGAATCTGAGTTTGTTGAAAGTATGTTTACTGTTGGAGCTGATTGCAAGACTACTGAGGACGATATTGCATGCTCTATAGCAACTATTTGCGCAAACGACTGTACAGATGACCGTTCAGCAATCGCCTCCGTGTATTGTTCCTAAACCCCTCTATATTCCAGGTACTTTCTGTAAACGGCGAAAGGTATAAAATGCTCAACAGCTAATGTTATCTCGCCCCCTTTCATACAACCTCCTACGTTTTCCTCTTGCTACTACCTCTGTACTATGCCGATCCTGCCTAACCCTCCAGGATTCCAGCGCATCGACATACCGTGGAGCCACAGACCAGCCGAATATGTTCGCGAGCCTGGAGTACCCCGGGGTTGGTACCAAGACGGTCGAAAACTCCACCATGTGAAAGCATCGAAGGCCTTCATCTGGCCAAAGGACGGAAAGAACGGCTCTACCTGGGGGCGCATGAAAGACATATTGAAGAACAGGGGCCCCGATATCCATGTCGCTTTCGCTGCCAATAAAGCAGACTGTGTGTCCAACCGTCCGCCGCGAGCCCAATGGTCACGGCATACGAATCTAGATGACCGCGATCTAAGGTTCGGATTCAACTCGCAGAAGTTTGCTCCTTGGACCAATAGCCGCGGGCTCGGTGGACGAATGCCTGGCATGAGCTACGACTTCCGAACTCGGAAATATGGCCCGCCGTACTCGCGTATGTGGACCGACGCCGTTTGGCAGCAGGAGCCGTATAAGAACCGAAAGTGGAATACCTATCCCGAAGCTGTACGAATGTGGGATGGGAGTTGGTTGCAAGACAGGCAGTACATGCCACAATCTCTGAATGGCCCTACCCATAACGAGTATGGCCGCGGAATAGACGGGTTTCACCTTCCCTATGGGCCTTTGATATGATGCCGGTCTGGTGGGTTTGGGGCGGTTGTGCTATCCTAAACATCCTTCGTGCAGCGCTTCCCAAACCAACTCTGGGGAGTCACCAGCAACCTTCTTGCTTCGTCTCGCGGTTGGCGTCAATAGTGAGTTGTCGAGCAGTTTTTTGCATTTGGCACAGGAAGTCCCTTTGACGGTTTTGTACGCGGCAATCATATCCTGTCAATGTTAGCACGCATTTACAATGCCAAACATGGCAACTGCAATCAGGGTAGCTAGGCATACCAACAGATACTTTAGATCGTTTACTTGTGGCCGTGACGCAATGCATCTTGTGATGGCTTGCCAGGGCTCTGTGGTCCCCAAACACTCGGCGTTAAGTTTGTACCGGCCGTTTGCTTCGCGTTCGATGCTGATATGGAATTTCAACATAACAGCGCCAGAGACGAATCGTGTCTATCCAATGTGTTAGCTTATGATGGCGGTAGCCCTTTCTTGGCCGTCCTACTGATATGCTGCAATTCTCATCCCGCGTCTCCAGCTTGATGTTCGTATACGTCTTCTGGAAACCCACAACGATTCCCGCAATATCTTCATCTGTGAGGATGTTGCCGAAATCTTCTACAGTTTCACTCCTATTCTCCTTTTTTAACACTCCTTCCCTCCGCTCTCTTTCCACCCATCCGTGAGACGGTATCGATGCGCTTGCAGCAAGATCTGCGTTCTTGGTCAAGCTGAGCTTGACTTGCTCGAGTGTGCGTTGTGTTTCGGGGCTCCTCCAAGCTTCGTGAAGATTCTTGAGGTCGTTTTGAGAGCCGACAACGCCTTGGGCGTATAACTTAAAGGTAGCGGGGTTAGGAGGGCGTTGAAAGGGCTCAATTACTCGTGGTATCGCCAGGCGTAGATCGTCAAGCTAGCTTAAAGTGAGTTATAGCCTGTCTAAAGAGGGTCAAATAGCCTCACCTGTGCCTGTAGCTGCTCAAGATGCGCGAGTGCTGCTGTGCATTGTGCTTCGTCCCAGCCAGGGCCCGGCTGCGCTGCGAGGTCGGTAGTACTCATAGGAATAACTGAAAGAAAGAATGTTAGAGACAACGTCGCGAAGGCAATACAAATGTGGCTAAAAATAGATGCTAGCAGGCAGCTGCGAGTGTGAAGAAATGGGGAAGAGCGGCGTTTGTAGAACTATGGTCTCGGGAAGCTTGACGAACGGCAGACCCACCCCAGCAGCGCTTTTCCCCACGGGCGCGCTCTCACGTGGTCACGCTTCAAATAGTTCGCGATAATCCGCGCAGTCAGGTTTTAACCCCTAGCTATTTCCTCGAGGAACTCGATGTATTTGTTAGTCAACCAGAAAGACTTAGTGATTTCTGGGCCAAGATTTGGGGTACAGATGTTCAATATTCAATAGATCTGCGCAGCCTACAAACAAGAACAATATTCTTTAACGCTGCAAAACAATGCCTATGTACAGTACCATCACGCTTCTTTGCTTATATCTTACAGCTTCGACTTCTCCTGGACAACCTTCTCTTGTGGGCCAAGGAGCGGGTCATAGACGTTCAGCCCAAGTGTGTCGTGCGGCACAGGTGCAGTGTGCATGCTGAGTCCTCTCGTATCAAGCATGGAAGGATTCAGATCAGAGATGCTCGAAGCGCCAATCAACCGCATATTCATCTCCATCTCGTCCCTCAGCAACTGCATAGCACGGTCCACACCTGGCAAACCGTACGCAGACATGGCGTAAAGGAACGGTCGGCCAATACCCACGCCCTTTGCCCCCAAGCACACGGCCTTGATGATGTCTGTCGCTCGTCGTACACCACCGTCGATGTAGACCTCGATACGGTCTTGCCAGCCGCGTTGGCGGAGTACGGGCATGACCTCAGCGAGGACCTCGACACCAGAGCGGGCGAAATCGAGCTGGCGACCTCCGTGATTCGAAAGAACAACACCCTCCACCCCAACCTCAACAGCACGAATAACGTCCTCGACGCACTGGACGCCCTTTAGGATGATAGGCATTTTGGTAATGCTCTTGAACCAGGGTATGTCCTTCCAGCTCAGGCTCGGGTCAATAAAGGACGAGATGGCTCGTGCAGCGCCCTGGCTTCGATCCACCTCACCACCGCTAGTACTTTGTACGTTGGAGCCAACATCGTCAAATTTTGATCGCATGTCTTTCTCGCGACGACCGAGCTGTGGCGCATCGACCGTGATGAAGAGACCCTTGCAGCCGCGCCTTTCGGCATGTTCTACGATGCGCTTTGTGACCGCTCGGTCTTTGTTCACGTAGAGCTGCAGCCATTGGCATTGGCCGTCTTCTGCTGCATCGCAGATCTCGTCGAATGAGCAGGATGCAAGTGTTGGTATCATCTGGATAACATTGTGCTTCTTGGCACCTCGTGTGAGGATGACTTCTCCCTCTGGATGGCCGAGCTTGCCCAGCGCTGTGGCAGTGACGTAGAAGGGCATGTCGACCTTTGTGCCGAGCATGGTGGTGGACATGTCTACCTTCTCCACATCGACGAGTACCCGAGGGCGGAACCAGATCTTATGGAATGCGCTGTGATTTTCTCGTAGGGTCTGGTGGTTTGTTAGCGATGCAGCGCTGGGGAAAACATTCACAGCAACTTACGATCTCGTCGTCTGCACCACTGGAGTAGTAGGCCCATGCCGTCTTCTTCATGACCTTGCGTGCCACGGCCTCGAAGTCCATCAGATTGTAGCATTGCTCCAGGATGGGCATGCGCTCAATGCGCTTCTGCCTCTCCTCCTCGTCAGGGTCAAACTCCTTCTCTTCCTGCTCCACTGTGTTCATGTCGACCTCTCCCAAATGCTTCGACTTGTCTAGGTACTTGTCCAGGGTGTCGGGCGGGTGGATGGGCTCATACACTTCCGTCGCATCTTTGCCAGCATACTTCAAGATGATCTTGGGGCCTCCTGGGTGCTCGGGCAGGAACTCGGTGACATCGTAGACGCGGCCGTGGACGATGACCCAGCACGAGTCCCTGCTGCTGTGCTTTGCGACCTCCTCGCCCGTGAGCTTCACCGCCTGGGTGTCGTTGCTATCGTGATTCATTGCGGGATGCTACGATGCGTGAGGTCGAAGGGAACGATGCAGGCTCAGGCTCGCAAGGAACGTGGAATGAAGGTATATAGATAGTCAGAGGCCGTCTTGCTTGCCACAACCGCCACGAGATGCTTGGATTGGCGGATAATGACGGCAGCATCTCTTGGAAGGTTAGCTCGGGACATGTATCCCGGCGTCGAGCTTCGGATGCTGCCCACGGAGAGGACTATTGCCCCATACTCGGCATGGGTAAGGGCCCACATGGATGTCGGGTCGAGAGCGCCGCCCTTGGCCTTTGTAATTCCTCGCACTTCACTGGAGCGAGGCCGGCCACAGCAAAGGACTGCAAATGTAAGCACCTACTCGCCGCTGTCGCAGCGAAACTTGTCTTATTAATCTCCAATCGGGAGTGCTTGCACCTCCGATGCGCGGGGAAGATACCCGCCGTGCATCTACATACTGCCAGCAGACGCGCATTTTCCTAACAGAAAAGCTACCATCCCGTTCCTACCGTGATCACCCTCCCACAGTCACAATGGACGCCCAATTGCCCATCTCACCCTACGGTTGATCCATATTAGGCCTGCGGCGTCGGTCACATGGCTCCTCTAGGGCCAAGACAATCCGCGGCAAGCGCCAAATGCTCCGGCTATGTCATTTGTTGATAGTACCGCCTGAAGCTCCTTACGTGCCCACGTCCACCTCTTGGAGTCGTTATAGTCACGTACGACACGCTTCTCAGGACGCGCTATGCAACTTGCCGTGCGACCGCCAAACCAACCGTCCTCTGCTGTTTCCCGAGTCCAAGGCACCACGCCGGTGGCCGTTGTGCGCACCTGAGCACCGTCCCACTCGCCGACCTCTGCACAACGAACGGGCCACTCTATCACTCGGGAACTTCGCGAGCACAACATAGAACGCCATGTCGAATAGTCTGGAAGCAAAAATAGTCGTGCTGGGAAGCCAGGGCGTGGGCAAAACCTCGCTCGTCCATCGCTACGTCAAGAACGCATTCACACCGCCTACAACCCAATCTACAATCGGCGCATCGTTCTTGACCAAGCGAGTAATGGACATTGATACATCGACAGTTGTCCGTCTGCAGATATGGGACACAGCTGGGCAAGAAAGATTTAGATCTATTTCCAAGCTATACTATAGAGGTACGCTCAGTCACACCTTGTCATGCGCCGGGCACAGAGCACATTGTTCAGTCTCTCGGGTTACCTTTCCTTCTACACAGTCTTCCTTGCATAATCGTTTTTGTGCCGCGATACCCTGATTATGAATGGTGCCCAAATGCCCGAGAATTATCGTGGGTTAAAGAGTCGACGGCCTGAGCTCACTCTGACTGTTTCGGCTATATGCTGTTGGGTTTACGATGCTAACATAAACCTCGAACAGGCGCAAACGCAGCCGTACTTTGCTATGACATCACCGACCCGCAATCCTTCGAAGAAATGGGCCGCTGGCTGAAAGAGCTCAAGACCAACCTCGGTGATGACATAATCCTGCATGTTGTAGGCACCAAATCCGACGTCGTCGCTGAAGATCCCTCCAGACGCAAAGTTCCGTTCGAGCGCTGCACTGCATACGTCGCCGAGAATCTATATCCCGCACAGAACAATGCGAACGGCTGGGGCTCTGCACCGGTAGCCTTCCAGAGCGGCGGCATGGCGTCGCCGCAGAGCAATAGATCGAGCGGATTTTGGGGTCAGGATATTGGATGGGACTGTTGCCATGAGATTAGTGCCAAGGATGGTGAGGGAGTCGAGGAGGTTTTCCGAGTCATTACAAGAAAGCTGGTCGAACAGCAGCAGAAGAAGGTTGAAGCAGAACACAAACAACTTGCGATGGCTGGCGTCACTCCTGGTATTGACAGCAACGGCAACGTGAACGGCTACTTTGACTATCCTGGGAATGCTAATGGGAGCTTCAGGCTAGGCGCGGGAGACAAGAGGCGGAGTTGGCTAGGGTTTCCTACCACACCCGGTGTTGTCGGTCATCAGCAGGAGTGGGAAGAGGATATTGACAGAGTCAGGAAGAACAAAGCTGGGAAGTGCTGTTGACCTAAGCTGCGCTTCACCAGTAGGTCCGGACCTGCTGCTGGTTCGCTTCCTTCAAGAGCACGTCTGGAGCGTTCGAGCATCATGGCCGATTTGATTCGAGATACCCACCGATGTTTTGCTATACCCGCTTTGTTCTGGATACCCAGTTATGATGCTCGAACGGTTACCAGGGGTCGCCCTCCATTATCTTTGTTCTTCGCGGAGCCGTAAGAGCTTCCATTTGTTCCATCGACCACCTTTTTTTTGTGGTTGTAATGACTGTTTTTCTATGTACAGCATTAGCATGGCATCATTATGCATTAATACTGTTTCCATTGTATTTCTCTTTTCGTTCAACTATAGGGACTGAGTAGTATACACGAAGAAATGAACACGTCCACTCTTGAACTCATGCTCAACAAATGTGATTTGATGGTAAACCATACATTGCAATGTAATTGTTCATGCGTCTAAAGGGTATCTGAGAGGTTTCTAATTCTATGGCTCAAAGCCAGGCCTAGGGATTCAAAGTCGCAAATGCCGTCTGCAATCTATATTCTAACAAGCGCCGAATCCATGAAATAGCAAAGTAACAATCCTCCACCAAAGCTGCGCAGGTATGTTCAAGCGCTCGCCGCCCTCTCAAAGACCTTGACCCCGAATTTCCAAACCTCGTCGACAACCAACTTCCTCTCTTCACCCACGGCGCTGCCTTGCAACTCGAGAACGAGAAGATCTGCATCAGCGCCTTCCTTCAGCGTGCCCTTGATGTCTTGCATACCCAGCATCCTCGCCGGTGTCTCTGTAACCGCCTTCAGCGCCTCCGGGACACTCGCACCCGTCCAGTTCAAGAAGTTGCTTACGCAGTCGACGAGTTGTATGCTGCTCCCAGCAATCTTCCCGTTCTCTTCCAAAGTAAGCATGGCGCCATGCTTGATGATGCGCGACCCGTTTGTCCAGTCGTAAGTGCCGTCTGGCATGCCTGCGAGGCGCATCGCGTCTGTGACGAGGATAAGGCCCTCGGGGTGTGCGTTCCATGCAATCTTGATCGAAGTTGGGTGGAGGTGGATGCCGTCTGCGATGATGCCAAAGTACGGTTTTTGGATCGAGGAAGATGGGGTGCCGAGTAGGCCGAAGATGCCTGGGTTTCGGTGGTGGAGAGGGCGCATGGCGTTGAAGAGGTGTGTGATCATGCTTGAACCAGACTTGATGCCGGCTTTTGCTTCTTCGTAAGAGGCTTCGGAATGACCGATGGAGACAGTTATGCCATGGGAAGTGAGGGCTTGGATGGCGGGGAGGGCACCGGGAAGTTCAGGGGCAATAGTGACGAGCTTGATAATGGAGGGCTGGAGGTTGGAGGCGCCATAGCAGTCTGATAGATCTGAGACGCCGTTGACAGGCGAGCGGAGGACGGAGGCATTGTGGATACCGTTTTTGGTTGGACTCAGGAAGGGTCCTTCGCAGTGGGCGCCGAGAGATTCAGAGCCGTAAGATGGGTCGCGAGCGGAGCCTGAAGGGCCTAGGAAGGGCAGAGCCTAGTCTTGAGTCAGCATGTGTAGGGCTGACGATAACGTTGATGTGATGAACAACCTTCTGGTAAACCTCTGGCGGCTGCGAGGTCAATGTCGGCAAGTACGACGTGACACCCGTCGCGATCAGATTTCTGTTTACTCGATGGACTCCCTTGCCGTATGCCGCTGTGCCCTCTTCTGGAATAACTGAGAAGTCGAATCCATATGCGCCATTGAGCTGTGTATCAATGAGACCAGGGGACAGTATGCGGCCGCCGAGATCAACAATCTCCTCTGGCGCCGTCCGGTGCTCGTATAGTATCTCTTGCCCATTCAGGATCTTGCCGTTCACCGAGCTCACCCAAAGATCCTCTTTGACAAGTTCATTGCCTTTTACCAATAGGCAATTTGTGAACTTGACTACGCCGGAAGTGTCATTTGTCGAGATGATTGACGGCATAGTGCATATGCAGGTCTTTAGAAGACCCAAAGTAGGAGAGATGGTGCAACAATGATGTTTGACAGACAAGGAAAGGCAGGTACAAAAGTAGCGAAAATGGCCGGAAATGGAAGAAACTATCCGTCGCACGCGGTTGAGACAAGCTCAACAGTCTTCGCAGAGTACGCAGACCTTGCCTTGGTCTTATCAAACGGAACGTCTACACACTCTTGGCAGGCATAACGCTACATGGCCAAACGGGAGCGGGCGAAGTTGCGTTTCCCGGCATTACGCGGCCGTCGCAAAGCGCACACGCTGCCTGTTCGCAGAGCGTGACTGGGTGTTGGGCGCGATGTGACACAACGACGATCATGTCAAGCTGATCGAGTGGATCCAACGGCAATGACTCGAGGGGGGATTTTCAGCATGTGAGGTGGTATCATAGTGGATGTCTTCGAGAATGGCGAGGGGTGTGGAGGTTGGTGTAACACCGCTGTCGTTCGCGATAGCGGCCCTCGCTTACTGGCCCCAGCGCGGAGAGGCGTGAATGCTACGGTTCCATCTTCCCCATCTTTCACCCATTAACAAGCAGTTCCGAGTCACGTTCGAGCCTCGGTGCCTCTCGCAAACCCAAAGTCGCATCCAAGACTGCATGTGGCGGGCGGCATCATCATGGCCAAGCATGATAAACTCAATCCCGTGTGGAATGACCTCGATAGGTGAGCATTGATAGCGTTCGCTCCCAATCTACGCCATGCGCAATGCGACCAGGGATCCGGCTAACGTGCTCATGATGCAGAACCATGGTGGGTCGCTCCGGGCAAACTGCTGCAACGGGATTAGCTAATGGTGCATGTAAAAGGCCCAGCTGTTTATGATGGGCTTTGATGGCACGTCGGTTACCCCCCACATCAGGACGCTTATTGAAGAGCATCACGTTGGCTGTTTACTTCTTACTGCAAAGAATCTCAAATGTAAGAGACACATGTCTCAACACCATAGCTTGCGGCTTCGAAACCTTCTTAACGCTCTGCAGCGGCCGAGGACACGACGAAACTCTGTTTCGAGCTGCAAAAGATTGCCCATGATGCCGGTCACCCAGTCCCCCTGGCCATCGGCATCGATCAGGAAAATGGCGGGGTGAACAGCCTTTTCGATGAGATCTACATTCGCCAATACCCTAGCAACATGGGCATGGCAGCAACGGGTTCGACTGACCTAGCTTTTGAGGTAGCAAAGTCGACTGCGCAAGAGATAGCTGCTTGTGGCATCAACTGGATCTTTGGGCCTTGCCTAGATGTGCTCACCAATGCTCGAAATCAGCCCCTTGGAGTCAGAACGGCGGGCGACGATCCTCAGGAGGTCTCTGCCTTTGGATGCGCTTTCATGCAGGGCTATAAAGAAGCTGGCGTGGTGACTCTGGGTAAACACTTCCCATCCTATGGCAATCTAGAATTCCTAGGATCAACGCTGGATGTCCCCATCATTACCGAGTCTTTAGAACAGCTCAGTCTAAGTGCTCTGATCCCGTTCAAGAAGGCCATCGAGCGGGGACTTGACTCCATGATGGTTGGCGGCTGTGCAATGTCCTCAGCAGGCCTAAATGCCATGCACGCTTGCCTTTCCGAACAAGTCGTCGATGAACTACTCCGAAAAGATCTTCGATTTGATGGCGTAGTAGTTTCAGAGTGCCTGGAAATGGATGCTCTCAGCCACAACATTGGGGTGGGCGGTGGTACTGTCATGGCAGTCAATGCTGGCTGCGACGTCGTGCTACTATGTCGGTCTTTCTCGCTACAACAAGAGGGACTGAAAGGGCTGAAGACCGGCATTGAGAGTGAGATGGTCTCGAAGAAACGAATATATGACTCACTCAGGCGTGTATTAACTATGAAGGCGAAGTGCACATCATGGGAGAAGGCATTGAATCCTCCGGGCATCAACTACCTGGAGACATTACAACCATCACACACGGCCCTTTCAACCAAAGCATACAACAGCTCCATCACGGTGGTGCGCGATAAAAACAGGCTTCTGCCACTCACAAACATACTTGAGAGCGAAGAGGAATTACTACTCTTGACACCGTTAGTAAAGCCGTTGGCTGCATCCGCTGCATCACGAGCGTTGTCTGATGCTGCTACCACACACTCTCCCGAGCCTGCTGCGTGGGAGCACAGTTCGTCGGTCATGAGTGGAGAACGAGTGTTTAGGGAACTCGGCAGGTCTTTGGCTAGACAGCGCAACGGCCGGGTGCTGCACACGTCCTACACTGCCAACGGTGTCCGACCTGTGCACGAAAACCTCATCAACCGAGCAAGCGCCATCATTGTGCTGACGGCTGATGCGAACCGGAACCTCTATCAACATGGCTTCACCAAGCACGTTTCCATGATCTGTAACATGCAATACACGACCGGCGGCGAACGACGGGAGAAGCCGTTGATTGTAGTTTCGGTCAGCTCGCCATACGACTTCGCCATGGACACCTCCATTGGCACGTACATTTGTACTTATGACTTTACGGAAACGGCGCTCAATTCCTTGGTGAGGGTTCTATATGGAGAACTCTCACCCACTGGAACATTGCCTGGCACCATCAGCAAGAGTCAGAAGCTGCATCCTTCAAGGCAGCATTGGCTGGTTGAGATTTTCAATGAAGATCGCGACGCAAATGCCTTGGATACACTGATTACAGCCGTCATCGACAGCACAACGCCAAACCAACGGTCGGAATTGTCAAGCGCCACGTCGAATTCGTTTATCCTACATCACCCAGAGGTGGAAGAGTCGCATTTCGTCGTCAGGAATAGCAGTACACAAGCGCTGTACGGCTTTTGCTCCACCTACTTCTTCAAGTCAACCGGCACCGGCGTGATTGGTGCTTTGTTTGTCGATCCAGCAAGAAGGAAACTCTCGATTGGTCATTCACTTCACAACAGGGCTATCCGAACGCTGCTGCAGAAAGACGGCATCAAACGTTTCCAGCTAGGGTCACGGCTACCGAGCATGTACCTTGGAATCCCAACTGGACACGGCAACGAACGGAAACGCCTGCGCTCATGGTTCGCGGGCCTTGGCTGGGGCGCTGCGCTTTCCCGACCAGTGTGCAACATGGTGGCGCGCAATTTGCAAACATGGACGCCGCCCGAGGGCATGGCAAAGAGTTTGGCGGGCGCTGGAGCGCAGTTCGACCTCGTTTATGGATGGGACTATGCGGGGCCCATACTCGATCACATCAAGACAAGCAATCGGCAAGGGCTAGCTGAGGTGTACAAGCTTGCACTGTCGGACCCTGCGGCCTGTGGCATCATTCGAGCAAAACGGCCTGAAGATGGGGCGCTGGTGGGCACGGTAGTTCTGTACAACCATCAATCGCGGCTGTCCGAGTATATACCCCCGCTGAAGGATCTCAACGAGGCTGCTGGTGGTATTTCGTCGCCCGTCATTTCGCCGGGGGTAGGCGAGTACTCGACACTGCTGCAAGGGCTCATTCTTCTTGGCATGCGGCAGATCAAGGCTCAGGGGTGCAATGCCTGTGTGCTCGACTATGTAAGTAGCCGCGCCCATGGACGCTATCGACAGCAAACTAACACGTGCAGATGGATGGCGACGGTAACTTTGACGGCTTCTCAGCCATGGGGTTCGATGTCATGCACAATTTCGAGGAGGTGAGCTGTGACGCTGCTACCTGGACCATGATTCCGCCAGCTTGAGCCCAAGGCAACGCTGGCCATGCCACGCTGACGTAGGGGTGTATTATTACTGGGAGTTCTGAATGGACGGGACTTGGGAAAGCTAAATGCGGTTTGGTATGCGCGGGCGCTGGGGGGGTTTTCACTCTGTACCACCTAGCCTTATGTCAGGATTCTAGCGAAGCCGTTAGGACGGTGGGCAATGCGCAGGTACCACGACGTACTTGACTGAAGTTGTCCATGTCGGGACTCTGTGCTTCTCGTGCAAGCTTACCGCATCCATGGCTGGGCTGTCGCGGAGAATGTCACCCGGAGGACCTGGACTTGGACCTGGACCTGGACCAGTTGATGAGCCTCGTCAGGGCATCCGATAAGCTTACTCGGGTCGGGCTGCCCCGGCGGAGAGGCAGCGGAGGGGCCTTGTGTGTAACACTGGTCTTGGTGTGCGTCTGAGATGCGCTACAGTGGAATCGATAGCTAGAGTAAACCTTGGAAGAAGGGCCTACATGGATGGAGAAGGCGACCAACCTCACACACACACAACACACACTGTTGATGTCCAAGAGACGACGTCAGATTAAAGCTGACAACGTCGACCGCGCTTGGCTTATTCCTAATAGTAATAGCCTGGTAAGAGCGGAAGAAGAGCCGTGACTGGACAATGGCGCGCGGATCATGGGACGGTAGGCTTGTCTCTTCGAGAAGTATTCCGGAAGGGCCCCTTGTAAACTAAACCCTCGACGGTGCCTGAAATCATTGTTTGACAATGCGCCTGGCGTCTTGTTATTATTACAAAAGGCTTATCATCGCCCTTCTTCCTAGACGCCCGCTCCTTTACCTTAGTAGGAGCCCCACTTGCTACCCGCCCTCGAACGACTCCCCTTTGAGCCTGGCCCAAACTGCATGTGATCGTTTCCGTTGTCGCACAGCTTCACCAACGACGGGTGCTGGAGACAGCTACAGCGTTATTGCCTGGTGCGCGCGCGCGCTGTGTGAGCCACTGCCCGTCGCGCAGCCGCTGTCTGTCTTGTGTCTCCCCAGCTATTACCGCGCTGACTGAGCGCATCTCGCATCTCTCTGATCTGCTTCACCTCTCCGTCTTCCGTCCCGTCTCGCGACCCGCACCTCCACCCTCTACTCTCCACTCTCCACTCTCCACTCTCCACTCTCCACCCCTCCCCAAGTGCCCCCGTGCCAGCACCACCAACACCATCCTCACTGCCTGTCGCTACACGCTCCGTCGCCCTTCGCTACCGTTGCGCGCATGCGCCAAATCCACAGCGGCCTGCCCCCTCGACCCCGGCCCCTCCCCACCGCGTCATGGAGGGCTTCGACACGCTCACCATGTCGTACCTGGCCACCCCAATGCCTATCCAGACCGTGACAGGGCCCGACCAGCAGCTGTCTTTGCCCATGGTGTCCATGGATCAGTACGACCAGCGCTCCGCCTACGAGGCTGATACTTTTGCTGGGTACGAGCAACATGGGACTAGTAGCCATCCTATACTTCTGCTGACAAGACTACATAGCAGCGAAGACGCCTTCTCCACATATCACCTCCACCAACCACCACCACCCATGAAGCGCTTCTCCAGTACCTACGAAGACCCTTTCTCCGACGTCCAAAGCGGATACGAGCAGTCGATCCACCCACACGAGCAGAGTGGCCTGCCCGAGAGCCCCAGTATCGAGAGCAACAACAAGCTGCTTGGATTCTCCCTCCCGAACGTGCCATACACAATACTGAGCTATGCCATGCAAAGAGTGTCGATATCCATGTCAGCCCAGCTTCACGGCATGTTCTTCCTTGCCGAGTCGCCCTGGGCCACAGCCAGCGATGTACAGGCCCCGCCAACGGAATTAACATGCTACAGGAGGAATCTCTTTCAGATTACGGGCACCGTCACTCTGCCCAGAAATCTGCAGTTGCTCATGACTGACCAAGGCGACCAAATACCCATCCTCGGCCAGGAACTCACCATATCTGCTACCGAATCGCTCGAAGGCAACCCCGTCAAGATCATCTCTGTGCCCTGGAAGACACCCGCGACCAGCAACGCGCCTTTGGAAGACAAGACGGAGAAGGAACCACCGACGTTTCCACTTGACCTATCAACAGGCCAGGACATGGATTCCGAGTATGTAAGCTGCCCCATCAGCTGGAAGCGATTGCAGTTCCGAATAGCGACAGCAAACAATGGTCGCAGAAAAGAGCTGCAGCAACACTTCGTCGTGCGCCTAAAAGTGGTGGCGACCCTAGCCACTGGCGCCAAAGTACCGATATGTGAAATCCATTCAGGTGCTATCATTGTGCGAGGCAGAAGTCCGCGCAATTTCCAGTCCCGAAAGGACATGCCCATCAGTGGAGGAACCACTTCTGCAAGGAAAACACATTTGCCTCAGCACCCAAGCAGGACGCCCACAGGCGAAACCGTCCAGGCGAACCCGTCAAATCAGGGTCACACGCAGAATCAGAATGCGGCCACCTCAAAGCCGATGGACATGCTACAGATGCCGTTCGACTTTAACGCGAATGAAATACCAGTCTCGCCAGACTTCCTCGACTGGAAGGTGCCAGCAGGAGCCTTGACTGCCATACCACCCGACCCACCCTCATCCCAAATACCTCACGCCACCCCGTACGCACACTCGACGCCTGAGATCTCAAGGAGCGTTCCTCCACTGCAACGAACCTCAATAGCCCCCGTCACACTCTCACTAACCGATGACGAGCCGAAGAAAGCACCTTCACCTAGCGAACAACATAGAAAACGAGCCACCCCTGTGCGACCACCATCATTCTCGATTGGCGTCATCAACAGCCCAGATGAGAGTGCCGATCTGCTTTACGAGTACTTCCCGCTAGGCCTCGATGACTGGATGCCGCCTGTTGACGCTGTATATCGACCGCATGTCGTTCACCATACAAATCTTCCGCAGGATCCGAAGGCGCTTGCTGTGAAGAGTCGATCGAAACGATACTTTTCGGACGCTTGGTGAAAACGGACCTGCTACAAGACTAACCCCGTGCTTGTTTTTATTGAGCGCACATCACGAAGCAAAGACGACTCACGACGGCTTAACGACAATTCCGAGTCCTTCCTTTATTGACTGTCCGTACTGGAAGAGAATATTCGTCGTTCAAGTCCAGCTCAGAGGTCGACATTCCGTAACAGGTATCGCGGATAGGGAGAGACCGCGAGAACGAGACCATCATCATGTACCGCATCGAACGAAAGAAAAAAGTGTAGAGAAGATACAGCCGGGTCGGAGAATTTCGATGCTGACATACAAGAGAATCTACAAGAAGGGTAATTACACGGGCCAGCTTTTTGAGTATCAGCTCAACTCTCGTCCTTTTAGCGGGCGCACGGTTTTCAACTTACGACGAAACGATTCCCCTTCTAAATCCACTGGCGTGGACGGAAGGCACGATATACAAGGGGATAGCTTTCTTGGATGTCATTATTATACCATTTTGTGTTTGGATGTCACGTCATCTACAGGTAGCATTATATCCCACTGTTCTTACTCAATTTATTGGGCTCTCATGTCACATATTGGACTCTAGCCTATGCCACTTTCGGGAGTGCTTCTGCTGGACGACATGGGCACACTTACGAGTACGCGTGCTGATCAGACAGGACCACAGCGAGCAAGCAACCTCGATCTGACACGTCGAGCGCGTATTGCAACAATCGCATCGCACGCCTTCGCAACTCTTGGTACGATTCGCCGCAGTACGTATACGAATCATAACACTGCGACGAGGGTACGGCAGCGGCGCGGCAATGTAACAACATCAGCATATCAGAGTCTCGCCGCAAAGGAAATTAGGGCGAGGAGGCTGTGATATCAGGCATTTTCATCTTGCCCACATGATTACCTGAATCCCAAGCTTTTTTTCCCCACCGAATCCTCAGCTCCAGATGGGCCTGGCGAACACAACCCCAAAACTGAGGCGGGGCATTAGGACGAGGAGAAGCACTCGTCGTTACCGTAGACGCGCCCATGCGGGTGCTTGTGGCGTGTGGCCGTTGCTGCGCCATGTAGGTTGTAGCAGAAGCAGAAGCAGCCGATGGACCCCGCCGATGCAACACTGTAACCTCAGCCAGCAAAAGCAACCGGAACCCACATAGATGATTTTACCTAACCTTGCCTACTATAATCCAGCAGGCGGCTAGCCGAGGCCATCCGAGGTTCCAACTTGCCTTGCGCTATCGAGCTTACCTTTTAACGCACTTGGCGATGGAAAAATCCGAGATGAGTACCGGTGGTAGCGTCAGACTAGTTTCGGCTTTACAACAGGTACCATTGTGGGTCTATAGCTCCACGTGGAGTCTCTCCTTGATGGTAGCCTTTGCTACTGTAGCCGGAGCTGCTTGCTTGAGTGGGAAGGTGGGATATCAGTATCGGCAAGGAAAAGAAGTCGAGCGGACAACTTGACAGTTTCGCGCTTATGTTCCATCGTCGTCGTACCGCATGCAATGCATACTGGCTCGACTAGTGGGGTCTGTACATCGATCCCATCCGACTTCCGAGCCAATGTTTATCTCTTCCAATTTGTAATTCTCATGTTCAACTTCAACTTTCCTGTTCTGTGCACGTGGTCCCGGCGTAATCCACAGCACAATGACACCTCCCCCAAACGCAGTGCAGTAGTATGTCATGACGAGCACATGGAGTAAAATGGAGGCGAATCCCTTACGAGACTCATTGTAGCCGCGACCCTGCTTTCCGTATTACTCTGCAAGCATTACGATTCCCTTCTCAGCGTCACCTCGTTTCATCATTTCGTCTACTCTACAGTGTAGCATAGCCAGCCCTCTTGCTTCTCTAACGTTTCATTCCGCGATGTTAGCTCTGCTGTCACTACATACTCCGGTCACGATCGGTGTCTACAAGGCAGTTCGTCTGGTCCGGGTTAAAAAGCCGGAGGTGGCTCTCCTCTGGTCTGGTATGAATGAGTGAATGAATGGGTGCATGAGTAGGAAGGGAGTAGTAGTACTGTATCTGATTCTCATGCTGCGATACGACCCGAACACTGGGCTGTATGCGGGGAAAGGAATGGTGTGCTTGCTTTCACCGGTTGGCCCCTCGTTGTGGGCGCATTCCTAGTATGCGAGGGCGAGGCTCCATGTTGCTGGTTATTGGAGTGGTGTGTGGAATGAGCTCATGAATTGAATGCACGTTGTGCGCACTTTCAACGCAGGGCCATTTGGTTTACCGGTAGCTCCCACTAGCTCTCCCCTTTGTGTTACCTTGCTGTATCATGATGGATGGTAGGAAATCAGACAACGTGTGGAGCAAAACGAGATGCGGTGAGAATTCTGATGAGTAGTAGATCAAACGACGTTTCATTGCTCATGCCTGCCATTGCAATTGTTGCAAGGCGAGAGATGCGTTTGTTAGATGCCCGTAGGGAACTAGCTGCCGTAAAGTTCCCGTATGCATTTTGTGATGCCCCTTATGCCCATATCTAGTCCAAGTGGTTTCTAGATGCCGGAAAAAATAGTGTGAGAGAAATATTCGCCAATGCAATATGTACAACTGCTGTCGCTGAAAGGGTATAAAGTAAGACACGCGTCGAATGCTTTGCACTGTAAAGATGGCATCTACAATCCTTCTAAACAGCATGCAGCGACAGCTGCGCCGAAGATCGCCGACTCCATGGCAATTTCAAGAGAAATTGACTTGGGCTCGGCGCCAGATGCGATAGCTAGCTCATCCAGATGTGACTGGCACAGTTCCCTAAAGAAGGGATATTTTTCGATCACGGACCCGTTGCAACCAATGCTAGTTCGTCCGGCAGATGCGGATGTCAGACCCTCCGACTCAATACGTAAGGCCCATAAGGCATGGATACCAGTAGCGAGGAAGGCTGCCGCGCGGTGGGAGACGAGTTGGGAGATTTGGCGGACAAATTGGATATCGTTATAGGTGGGTGGCTTGCTGAGAGAATGGTTTGATTGGAACAAAGCAGTGGCGTTTGTCAGATGCTTTGAGCCATCCATCTCCATGGCGGCGATGGTTCCGGTGTCGAGAGTGTATGGCTCGTTTAGTAGATTAGGCATTTCACCACTGAAGAGGCCTGCTGTCCGCACAGCTTCGACTATTATCAATCGAACGATTTCGCCTAGGTAGCGGCCACTAATCATATGCTCAAAGGGTTGGAAGTCTGGTCGCACATGTGCATCGTTGAGCTGGTCGTCCCACCGTGTGGTAGGAAAAATATTCTTGCCGAACATGCTGCACTCGGTATTGACGAGGACATGCGTGGCCTCGTCTAGCCATTTCTGGGGATAGCCTTTGTACTTGGTAGTCGCAAGCGATGAAACAGGCAGGTGCACGGAAATATTGAAACCGGTTCCGAGGATCACTGCAAAGCGCGTCGATGGATCCTCGTAAGCACGTGAAAGTAAGGTTGCAGACGAGTCATTGACGATGGAGTCCATGTGGACAGGCAGGTTCTAAACATGTATATTAGTGGCTGGCTATTGCCTGGTGGTGACGGTCGAAGCTTACTCGCTTTCTGCATGGCGCCATGATCAGCTCGCTGAGGTCTTGACCAAGGAGTCCTTCCGTCGCGCGGAAACCTTTGCCCATATCCAGAAGGTTTGCACTACGTGTTGATGTTTGTCTAGGTAGCTGTTAGTCGGGAATCTTCATGATATATGCAGCTTCACATACTCAACCGGGAAGGACCACGCCAAGCCCATCGGGAAGCTTGTGGTGCCTGTCGACTTTTGTAATTGAGGATCTGCAAGTGCTTGTTGAATCTTTTCAGCCATCCAGTCGAAGAATTGGGCTCCACTTCGCTGCCGAACTTTTTCATCGATCTTATAGCACTTCATGGTAACGATGCTCATGTTTTTGGCACCGGGTTGCTTCCCATTCAACTCCACAAGTGCAATGCGGAACGTGGAGCCACCAACGTCGAGAGCAAGATATGTTCCCTTTTCGAGACCGGTGGGCAGCTTGTCATTGTAGGAAGGAAGCATGCAGATGTCGCTGGCTTGAAGTTTGGGGGTGAATTGTCTCTGCAGCTCTGCAGACATTTGAAGTAGCTTTGCAGGCTCCAGAGGTGCTTCAAGGAGGCGTTGGATTTCGCGCAGGAGGTCGTCCATGGTTCGATCATAAGTCCGGAGTGCATCTCGTACACGTTTTCGTGAGGATAGTGATGGGAGCACAGAGTGGATGAGTGATGGTAACATGGCGATCCTTTCCAGAGCCGCAAGAAGGCCCTGCCAAAAATCAAACATGGGCTTTTTGTACCAACAGCGTTTGACGTGGTCGGAAGTTGGATGTTGAGAGTCACGGGTGCCGTCAGACTCCGGAGTGAGGGTGACGCGGCGGCTTTTGAAGCGTTTCAGTAGCTTGGAGGGCATGGATGGGGCCGCAGATTTGAGTTGTTGATGGTGACAGCGGGGCTAGGTCTTAGGGTGAAAGTTGTTTGCGGGCGTTATATCAGACTTGCAGAGACCAACAGGAGGTTCCAAGCGTGTGGATTGCAAGGCACAGAGATTCCAAGCGGGCCGCAGGCATTAGCAAAGACCGATGTCGCAAACGGCTCTTAAGCATGGTTGTACGGCTTGTCAGAGCATCAGAGAGGTTGTATCCGCTAGAGGAGGTAGCCAGAATGCTTCGGCGACTGGCGGGCAAGGCCCCAGGCCCGCTGCTGAGGCACGGCCAACAGGGCACGTAAGGGTGGCTGCGGGGGGTCCAGGGGGAATGGCAGCAGCAAAAGGGGCCGGGGAAACCACGCGTGTATCCGGGAACAGCGGTCGACAGCGTGTCGCTCGCGTCAGGCACGCCGCGGTAGACAGGCGAGGAGGATAGGGCATCGTCATGGCGAGCGTTTGGTGGGGGGTGTCTTGGGATGTTTCTTGACGGCCATGCTACCGTTACGTCGGCCAGACCGGCTAGGCAGTTTTGGGGCTCGCGCCGCTAGCCGGAAGCAGATGTGATAGGAGATCCGTCGCCCGACGAGGTTGCCGCGGCCATGCTTCATCAACTAGATTGCTGTCGTTATGCCGCAGTAGGGCCATCTTTGTTCGAGGCCCTTTCAACCTGTATGTGTGTGTGAGGATGCAACGCTGAACTAGGAAGCTGCACAGTGTATGGGATGCACGTGCGGACGCCTCCGCCCCGTCCTGCGCCAAGTTCACCTCTCTCAACCTCTATCCAACTGTCTGTTGGCATGAAGATGCCATATCAGAAGAAATAGCCGCCCACCATCACCGATGGCGCTTTCGATGGACTCCTTGCGTGCTGAGAACTCGGGCATACTCGAATATGGCAGCTGACAACACACATTTACCCCGCGTCTATCCTCCCTCGGTGTAACCATTCATGCGCCCTCGTGGTGCCCAGGCACATGCTTACGTCGGGGGGGCCAGGACTCGAGGATGGGGAGAGGCTGTTGGAACATCGTATCCAGACTCATGTGGATAAGAACGAGCAATTTGAACGTATAGATCCCTCGGGTAGAAAGTCTTTCCTGTTGGGTGCCATCCTACGGTCAATCGAGTCTTAGTAATATAACATCATGAGATCTGATTGCCGTCTAAATGCGGGCGATAGGAGGCCAGGAATGCCATCCTAGCACTACTGCAATACGAGATGCGATTTCGATCAACCCTGAACTATTGCCCCTTGGAGCAATTCTTTGTATATACCCCGGTGATCGATAAGGAAGTTGTGGGCCAACGAATCGACCCATAAATATAGCCAGGGGTATGAAACATCCTGGCACTGTGCAACCTCACACATCACCGAACAATGAGCAATCAAGAGAGTGCAGGTAAGTTGAGTTGAACATGTCAAATCATTAGATACACTACAGGTTTCTGAGCTGTGACACAACATATAACATGACAGCAATTAGTCGCCAGACGCCTGCTCGTGTGCTACGCTAATAAGATTCGAAACACGGGATATCGTGCAGAGACCTGTAAACATCGCTCAAAGCTCCGAGTGTCTGGGAATCCGGCTTCAGGACTCTGCGAAGCCATTTACAGGGAAAACATAAACGTGCAGATTGGGTCGAGGTATCATGAAAGTAGTATACTACGAGTCGCCCCCCTCTCGATAGTATCAAACAGTTTTGTCTCGTGATAGTAGAGTCACCAGCGCGGAATAAATCACACCTTCTCGGCGTCGCTATGCGCACTGAGGACATGGGCCTTCGGGGCGACCTCTGCGATGGTCTCGTCTGTGAACTCAATATCCTTCTCCAGAGAGACGGTATCTTCAACCTTCCAGAGAATGACGGGAAGGGCGACAAGCAAACTGCCAGCGAGCAGACCCCAGTTGGATGCGAACATATGCATGTACGGAATCTTCAAGTCGTCCAGACGCCAGGTGATGGCACCACCGGCGGACTGGATGCCCTTGTAGAAACCAGCAAAGTTGGCAAGTTTGCGGCCGTTGTTGGTCAAGGCGCCCATGAACCAGTAGACGCACGTCTGCCAAGCGGCATCGGAGAAGCCGTAGAACATGTAGAGCACGAAAGGACCGGCGTAGCCAGCGTCCGACCAATCTTTCTTCACTGTGGCTTTGTCCGAGGCCCAAGCGCGGTCGTACGTCGTTTGGAACTTGTAACCACAACCCCAGACGATCATAATGGTAGCGAACAATGCGCCCCAAGCGGCCTTGGCACGAGTCGTTCGGCGAATACCCTTGATGTCGAGAGCAAAGCCAAAGATGTAAGCGCCAATGATTTGCATGATGTAGTAGACTACGCCGTTGAGCGCTCGTGTGCGAGTGTTGAAATACGCGGCATTGATTTCGGTAAAGTGGTAGTTGTAAAACCAGTTAGAGGCGAGGAACATGGGGAATAGGAGGATGATATAGGGATCCGTAAAGAAGGTCTGCCACAGGCCAACAATCTCTGACTTCCACGAAGGATGCTTCATGACGATAACTTTGGATCCATCCGCGCGGACAACGTCCTTGGCATCAACGAGAGTCCAAGCGAGAGCCGCACCGATGAGGGTGAGGATGAGAAAGCCGACATAGGTGCCATCTGTGACAGTTGCGGCTGTTGTGGTGTGGATGTTCTGACCAAGGGGAATCTGAAACTGTCAGCAATTGATTTTCGTAACCGCAATCTCGTGTTGCACGGATGAGCTCATGACATACCAAGCTGCCAATCACGGCACCCAAATTGAAGATCATCCAGAACCACGAAATGTAGCGCCCCTTGGACGCCTCAGGAGGATAAGACATCATGATGGCTCCCTGTGCGCACCAGAGCAGGCCAGCGCACACACCGAGCAGCGCACCTGCAAAGGTGGTGAAGCCTAGATTCTGCGTGTGGTTGTAACAGAGGTAGGAGGCCACATAGACGGAGTAGCCGATTCCACCAAAGGACAAAGCAGTGCGGACGCCGAGCTTATTGGTGAAAGTTCCAGCGAAGAATCCAACCACAGCAAAGGTCGAGTACAAGGCCGTGTTTGCGCGATTGTTTGCGGTTGGGTCAAGCTGGCCGCCACCGCCCATGCCGTTGAGGGCATTGAACATGCCCGGGCATAGGAAGCACACGAAGCCAACAATGACCAGCTGAACTGGTGGCGAGGCGAACCATGGCAACTTGAAGCCGGCGAGGCTCAAGCGCTTGTACTTCCAAGAGTTGGGAAGCTCAAGCGTGTTGCTGTCCGTCAGTGAATGCTCCGGGGTGCGTACATCGTGGACAGGGATGACGTCCTTCTCGTTGGTTGACATGTTGGGTTGCGCCGTGAATGTTGTTGGCGGGGAGGGGGTTGTCTTTGTCGAACGAACAGGCAGAGAGCAGGCGAGCAGAAGGGCCTTTGAAAATAAGAGATACTGAGTGCTCGAGCTCAGGCCACGGCGATGGTCACCGTCTATATACGTGTGGTTTGGCGGTGGTGAAAGCGAGGGGCACCTCCGATTTAAGCATCTGTCAGCTAGGGTCTTCCCACGGTCCATTCACATTCAAATCTCCTTGAGCTACCCATATCGGGCCACAAGCGGCGGGCGTCAGCACGCGACACCTTTCTGACCGGGGAGATAATCCAAGTTCAAGCCTCCGTCGCAGCTGTCGAGGATCCGTTGGTACTGGGCAAACGCCTCCAAGCAGCAAACTGCCGTATTCGGGACCCCCGTCTGTAACACCACAGGACTCCAAGGCCGGGCTATAGTACGCGGTGCTGCAGCTGTTCGGGTGGCGCTTCCAAAGGCTTTTGCGGGAGGGCAGTTCGAGGCTTGAGGTGGGCGGAGTGGTGGAGGCCTAGCTTATCGGGGCCCCAGGATGCGCGACAGTTTGCCTTCACTCTGTTGGCTGCTGATTCACCACCCCGGCACATAAGGCAAGCTAGATGTCGGCCGTCCAAGCCACGCCTGCAACGCTCTCCGCTCATTTTACCCCGGTCTACTAGCTAGTAGGAAATGTAACATCAACGTCGACGTCTCTATCAGTCTATCGGTCTATCGGTCTACCAGACTATCAGTCTACCAGACGGCCTTATTACCCACGAACGCTCAGCATCGTGATCCGCCAGCGCACTGATCATTTCCCATCATGGTTTAACACGCGACGTAGGCTCAAGGAGCCTATGGAGCCTCGCCGGCAGTCTATGGCACTTGTTGCGATAGCTCATGCTGCCGTAGCATGATAGCTAGCTGGGATCGTCATGCTCTCTGCGTCCAGAGATAGGCGCGTTGTACCACCACGTTCACCCTACCGTCCATCGGTTTGTATGACCCACCACGAGTGCCCCCGTGTTGCCAAGTAGGGAACGAGAGAAACTGCTCAATGAGCCGAGTTGCTCAGAGAACGTGTTCGCATCCGGCAACCCTCCCCGCTGTCACGCGTCCTGACAAAGAAGACCCTGATCGATGAACGAGCTTGCTATCCTACCTTGCCCGCAACAGTTCCGTGAAGTCCTTGCATCTCTCGCTGATAACTCTGCCCCATCCGCTGCAGAGTCCTGCAAACTACCTGAGATCTTACCTCTTACCGCTCATCCAAATAGCCCCCCTCGAGTACCACAAGCAAGACAACGCACACCATGTACGCATATGCAATGCCCCATTGGCATCCAACAGTACGCTTACTGCTTACAGGCGACTAATCATCAGAGACGACCCTCAGGCTGCGTCCAAGTACATTGCTGATTATCTCATTGGTGCGCATCTCACTCCCTTGCATGCAGACAACGTCAGCTAACGCCTATACATAGAACGCATCAACGCCTTCAGCCCTACTTCAGAGAGGCCTTTTGTCCTGGGCTTGCCCACAGGAAGCAGCCCAGTCTTGATCTACCAACATCTTGTCCAACGCCACAAAGCTGGCGAAATCTCGTTCCGCAATGTGGTCACTTTCAATATGGTACGAGCAATTGCCCTGCATCGTTGCAGCACCCTTGCTCCAGGGCGTAGTACAACCGCGTGGCTTGCAGAAGGAGCTGACCCAATCAGGACGAGTACGTTGGGATCCCGCGAGACCACCCAGAGAGCTACCATAGCTTCATGTACAAACACTTTTTCTCGCATGTTGATGTGAAGCCCGACAACATCAACATCTTGAACGGAAACGCACTCGACTTAGAGCTCGAATGCCACGAGTACGAAGAGAAGATCAAGCGTGCCGGTGGCATCGAGCTGTTCCTCGGCGGCATCGGCCCTGATGGGCACATCGCTTTCAATGAGCCCGGTTCCAGCCTCAAGTCTCGGACCCGTGTGAAGACGCTTGCGTACGATACTATACTCGCCAACTCGAGGTTTTTCGGAAACAACCTGGATCAGGTGCCCAGAATGGCGCTGACTGTGGGAGTTCAGACAGTGCTGGATGTAAGTTACACAGCCAGGAACAGCTCAGCAGTGTCTCACAAAATCTAGGCCCGCGAGGTTGTCATCATCATCTTAGGCGCCCATAAGGCCTTGGCCCTCCAGAGATGCATCGAAGGCGGTGTGAATCATATGTGGACGCTGTCCAGCCTCCAACTACATCCGCATCCATTGATTGTCGTCGACGAGGATGCTACGTTGGAGCTGCAGGTCAAGACTGTCAAGGTGTGTTGGCGTGCATCCTTTCTGTCGGATCTCTCTAACATCCTCAAGTACTTCAAGAGCATCGAGATGGTCGCCAACGAGCTCGGTTTCCGCCAAAAGCTTCCTCGAAAGCGCGACTCGCTCGTCGAACTGGGGACCTTGCCGCCTCCCGAGCCCCAAACAAACGGTATCAAGTTGACCGTGCCGCAAGTCGACCTCTCGCGCTCAGCGAGTCCGGTTCTAGAACCAATGAGCGCCCGACTTTCCGACGAGGAAGCGAGAACACTGCGGCCTATGAATGAAATTGAGGACCAGCCATCAAGCCGGATGAGCGCTCGCGTCGGCAATTGAATCGGTAAACCTTTTTCAAGTGGATGGTGAGATTATACCAGGGCATAAATGCTCTCTCCAGGGTAGAGGCTGGCTTCTCAATCCATATTGATTGCTCTTATCTTATAAACTGTTTAGGGAGTTGAATGGCACTAGATTGTTAGCATCAGGGACGTATATGGCAGTACCATCATTCAGTACAAGACTGTACAGTATGAGGATATGACTTGCATGATAGAGCGTTAGATGCATATTTCAATGAGACCATGAGGCAGCGGCAAGCGTCTCCCTATGCGTTGTGTTTGTCGTGTATTTGCAGTTGTATATATATTCGTACACGTAGCCTCGATCAATACGCACATTCCCAACGGACGGCTGAGCGGCTGCCACGCAAGATGATCGTTCCCTTCGATCCTCGGGATCCTCGCAACCAGATTAGGATCTTTGCATCATCTGTCTGCATCGAACGATGAGAGAATGAGGGCGTCGTATCGTGTCGTCTTGTATTGGGCGAGTAATTAGTTAAGCATACGTACCTTATCATTACATTCGTTGTCTTAGTATCGATCGATCGATCAGCTTTGAAGCCGAGAGGAATGAAGCCAGCCCAACGTCCCATCCTGCACATACATCTGGATACAAATCACGCGTGCGCAAGTCCAAGTCTACACACGGGCGATCAACATGTTGAACTCTGGCTACCCGTGACAGACTGACAACGTTAAGCCTGCGGAAACATAACATACCCCAGACAAGATAGTACGTCCCGTAGTCAAAGCCTTGGATAATAAGATTATAGCCTGGCTGCAATATTAGCGAACATATGTCACATCCTTGTCATTCTCTCTTGTTGAAGTAGCCTCCTCTCCGAGCAGCCTCTGGTAGCTCAGTTGGCCGGTTGTTACCTTCGCCACTCGATCTCCACAGGAGCTGTGCCTGTTCACACCATCGAAAATGTTGCAAAAAGCCATCTCGCGCATATACTTTGTCTCGAGCCTCGAATGCCCATTTCTCGCCCCTAGTGCCGATGATGTCTTTTTCAAGACCAAGTTGACACCCGGCACACGACAGTCCGTGTTCGACTTTTCCAGTTAGTTTATCGTAATAAGGAAGTGCGCACGACCCCATAAAGTTGAATTTTTGATTTCGTTCTGAGCTCGCTGGTCGGGCTTGTGCCAGTGGACGTGGTTGCCGTTCGCAAATCAACATGGCCTAATGTACCGAAACGATGGCAATGCGGGATTTGTGCATGGATTCCTTCATCGAATATATTCCCGGCAAGGTCTTGAATGACCCCAGTTGGTCTAATTCGACCTTGGTCAAGTGGAATTGCTTTCGGGCAGTGTTGAGAGTTTGTACTTGGAATTCTGGAGCCTCCTGGAGGCATTTGAAACAGCATCGCTTCCAAGTTAGGAGGGATATAAATCCGCCGAATTCGCCGCAAAGAGTGCAAGCCTTGGTACATAGTGCGTTGTAAAAGTCGAGTAGAGAAATGCCGACGGCAAGTCGTGTTCGTAACAAGGCGCAGAGAAGGTTCAGTCCATGCGAGACTACCATCTGATACTGCTTGAGAGAGTCTACCGTCTGTCTCGATCTGAGATTTGCTTGTCGAAACTTGAATAGAGAATGCATATCCAGACGAAACAACGTGTCATGCAAGAGCTCGAGGGGTAGCCGATCGAGGGAGCCGAGTCCCATAGGCGAAGTCCACCGGAAGGGTGTTGCTATTGATAGACGAATATCGACATGTTCACGAGGCGAAAACCAGATAACAGAGAGACAGTAGTCTTTGCGATGGTAGGCGGCGGTTCGAACAATGGAATCGGTCTGTTCTTCGCCGAAACAGTATTCGGTGGTGGAGCGATAACCGCGAGGCATAAGCATTTTCGAGGTTTTTCGGCACGCTTAAAGTGAAAGAGGCGCGGGCCTTGGTATACGTCGTTGGTGGGCGACGGTCTTAATAAGGCGTTCAGTTAGGTTTGTATACTACCCGTTATAGGATGATCGGCACGTAATAGAGTGCTTGCTAGAAACGCAGGCGTCAGTACCACCCCCTCTCTGGGCGGCTCTGGGCAGTGCTGCGTTTGGCTCGTTTCTACAATCCGTTCGCCCCTTAGATTCCTATTCGGAGCAAAATCTGGTGACTCTAGGGAGCGGGGGGGGGGAGGGGTCAGCGGCACAAACTTCACGCGCAGATGCGGTTATGATGCGATTAGTCGTGAAATAGAAGAGCCAGATCGGCAGTGGAACGAGTAAGTGAAGTGAAGAATGCGAGAAGGTATCGTCGTGATCAGGACTCAGGAGGGCATCTATCGATGCTGCAGCCCTAGCCGAGGTAGATTAACGACGTGCCTTCTATGGGTCCAGGGTTCCAGCGCATGTGCCAGCTTCCCCAGCTTTCAATGTCAACAACAAGCACCCCTCGAATCATGGTCTAGACAGTACACACGACTGCTCAAGACGCCCACCATGTCGTCGACAAGCGCATCACAACCATCTCCATCCGGAAAACCGCACTCGGACAAGGCGCAACAGATCGACCCAATATTGCGCAATGCGCTGCGCTACACGATCAGCGCAAAGGAGTACCAGCTCCTGCACCAATACCTCCTTTCGCGCGCACCGGCCGTGAAGAAGCGCACGCCGACCCCGAAGAAATATGATGCAATTGTAAAAGGACCGGATGACTATAATGTTGCTGCTATCCGCGCTTCGTTGAGATTAGGCGTATTGACCTTCTCTGGGTTAAAGGCATGGGAGTTGATTAGTACGAAGCTGTTATCGCGAGGAGAGGTCAAGAGGTAACCACCATCACTGTATCCTTAGAAGGAGCAAGTACTAACATTTCCCGACAGACGCCAACCCCAACTACCCCTCTGGAAGTCTACAAACGTCCGCTTGAGTAGTTCACTCGCCCTCATCCTCCTCTTCCATCGCCTGCTGCGGCGCTTCTTCGTCCGAATCCGCGAATCCCTCCTTAGCAATGAAGCAAAATCATTTCGGCGGCGCAACCCACGTATATCACGGTCCTTGACATCCAAGTTGGCACCAGCCATCGGATCGAGCTTAGCAGGTTTCTTCCTCGCCGTGTATCCTGGAGACCAGCTGCGCATCACGATAGCAATATACATATTCACACGAGCTCTAGAGTTTTGCTACAACTACTTGGAAGAGCTGGGGTACTTCAGGAACAGACCATATTGGTTTGGAAGCTGGATGCTTATGCCTTTAACTTGTGGACAATTGCTACATGCTTTTGTGTTCGACCGGGACTGCTTCCCCCCAGGATTAGCAAGCTATATCATGGGCAATTCTCCCGAGTACCTTCAAAAACGACCAGCCGATTACCCAAAGAATCTACGCTGGCCAGACACATACGACATCGTCGACAGCCTAGCAGAGATATCGAAGCAGCGCTGGCCCCCATTCGTTTCCCCGATCTTGTTCCCACAACACGAAACACTTCCAAAGGGCCTTAGTTCCATCTCCTCAATTACCTCGCCTGCGCACCCAGCCATCAAGTCTCTCTCCTGCGCCTTATTACACCCACAAGATCCTTCATGTCTACGCACATATGTACAATACTGGATCCAGGCCTTTCCCAAACTAGCCCGCCTATTCACCATAATTTTCGCCGCCATGAGCGTCACGCGCTACAAAGCATTTCTAGACTCACCCGTCGCGGCACTCAACAATCTCGCAAAACGCATACTCCGCATGTCTCTCTTCATCTCTGGCGCCATTGGCACGAGCTGGGGTTCTATATGTCTCTTCACGAACATCTTTCCCCGCACCTTCCTGCCAACCCAAAGATGGTTCTTAGGCGGTTTTCTTGGGGGAATGTGGGCGTTCCTCGAAAGGAAGGGTGGGAGGGGCAATTTCTTATATTCGGCACGCATGTCGCTTGACTCGCTTTGGAAAGTGGGTGTTAAGAGAGGCTGGTGGAGGGGCATCAAGAATGGCGATGTGCTACTATTCGTGCTGAGCCTGGCTACTGTCAATGTTTTATACGAGGTTTCTCCGCGCTCTGTGAGCAGTGGTGTGGCGCGGAAGGGGTTGGGGGTTTTGAGAGGCGAAGGATGGGTCGATCGGGCAGATCTTCCGCGAGAGGGCAAAGTCAAAAGCAGCGATGACGAAGAGTAAGATTGTGCGCTTGTTGGAGTGGTTTTGCGCACGCTGTCTTGGTATTCATGAGTTACGAAGAGTATGCGTTGATTATATCGCTAATTGTAATGCTTGTACATAATTAATTCTTTTTCAATGCCCATCGACTTTAATGATCTTTTCCGATGTGCTTGTAATTCTATGCAGTTATATCATCAGACTCATATGCGGAAACACGTGATGGCGCGATTGCGACATTCGGGGTTTATGACCTGATCTCCGACAACCTCAAACACTCGAACAATTCCCCAAACACACCTACTCTCCTCCAATCCATAACTCTTTCAAAATGGCAGCAAAACTAGAAGAAGTCAGCACAGCACCTACTGAGGGTGTCGGAATCGCCGGCGCTACAAACTCAGAGAAGCAATCGGAGACTCCCGCGCCTGCGTCCGCAGCAAAACAAGACGAAACCCTCACCGAAAAGACGGGAGTCGAAGATGCAACCGCCGGTGTGGCTGACCTCGCAGTTTCCGACAAGGATGTCTCAGCAAAGAAGGAAGAAGAAGCCGCTGCAGGTGTAGCTGCGCCTACTACCGGTACCACACCATCCACAACCGGCCCAACCTGGCCAGATACCGCGCCGGAACATCCGCTCACGAAGTTCTACGACGTATTCGAAACTCTCGTAGCTGAAGCCGCTCACAACGAAGTCTATGGCATCGAGTTGTCCAAAACAAGCCCCTTCCACACCAAGCTCATTCTCCAGAAATTTCTCCGCGCGAATCAAAATGATCTCGAAAAGGCGAAGCAGCAGTTGCTTGACACGCTAAAGTGGCGCAAGGAGTTTGATCCGACCAAAGCGGCGAGCGAGAGCTTTGAGAGGCGTAGGTTCGACGGGCTGGGTTACGTGCTTGAGGTGGAGGGTGTGCCAGAAAGCCCTAACAAGACGGACGTTGTTACGTTCAACATTTATGGCGCAGTCAAGGACAACAAGGCTACTTTTGGGGATCTGGAAGGGTACGTCTCTCCTGAGTTTGGGATGTGTTATAGAGTCATGCTAATGGTTGCAACGTAGGTTCCTCAGATGGCGTGTAGGCCTCATGGAGAAGTCGGTTCTAAAACTGAACCTCTCCAATGCCACCCAACCCATCCCCGACTACAACGAAGGCCCCGACCCTTACCAAGGTTTCCAAATCCACGATTACCTCCGAGTCTCCTTCTTACGTCAGGACCCCCTCGTCAAAGCCGCCACCAAGAAAACTATTGAGATACTCGGCCACCACTACCCCGAAACGCTTTCGCGGAAGTTCTTCGTGAATGTGCCGGTCGTCATGGGATGGCTCTATTCAGCCATGAAGATGGTCATTGCGAAGGAGACTGTCAAGAAGTTCACAGTGTTGAGCTATGGAAATCAGTTGGTTACTGAGTTAGGACCAAATATCCCCAAGGTCTATGGCGGCAACGCTGGGGAGCTCAGCGAGGTTGGCGAGGGAGTGAAGTTCACTGAGTAGGAAACAGTAGAGGGCTATCTAGGACTGGTTAGGTGATGTCTGGGGAGCGGAGTGGAGCGAAGAGTGTAATGGCAGGGGATCATTTTAGTTCAGAATCGGCTCGCATGATAAGCGTCTGCTGCGTAAGAGTCTTGGAGGAGCGATTTAGCGTTGTATTTGGCTACGATAGCCTCGATGTATACCCCACTCAGAGAATCGTTTTAGATTTGCGAGTTAGTCCTCCCACGACTCAAGTCATGCAGCTGCTAACAAGGCTGAATATAGTATTCAAATTCGTGTCTACATGCACATTTCTTGCTACGACTCTTACTACGACGTGGGTTTCTATACAGATGAGGAATTGATTAAGCCAGTGAAGACGATGAATTCTATCTATGTACACGGCCATCCTCCATCACCTACCTTCCCTAGCTACACCTAAGCTGTTCACCTCACTAAGACTCTCAATGCTCGCGGTCGTAGGAATTGATTGCCGGCGATGCTTGCATATAATCTTTGATACTAATCTAGTTTCTCCTGTTAGCGGGGAACAAGATGCGATATGCTTGACAAAGCAGTAAAAAGTAGCATCAGTTGAAAGATGAAAAGTCTCGTGTTTGTTCGATCATGAAGCCGAAGCCATCTGTGTTAGCATGAAATTTTTTAACATCATAGCAGTATGCGTAAAGAAAGGGTGCTCATTACCTTTTGAAGGGCCGCTGTTAGTCACGACAGAGTGAGTAAGTTGACGATGCAAGTGTAACCAAGTGAAGAAAATGCCCTGATTCAGAGTCAGCGACAGGTCGGAGATAGAGACAATGCCATTGAAGGCCGCATATAGGATGTGATCAGGTAATCGAACTAGTTTTGTTCCCCATTAAATGGTCGGCATTTGATAGTATATAGGTTGCTCATCATTGTACAACATGTGCGGAATCTAGGTATGGGTAATCAACTGACCTTTTGAGGCCTATCGTAGCTTAACGAACCCTCGCTCAAGTGGGGAAAATCTTCTCATAAACAGACACCCAACAGCGAAAACCAATGTCGATGGTACGAGAGCGGTCGGGGTTTGTTAAGCTACGAAAGGTAATAGCGCGAGCGCGTGAACACAAGCGTGCGACACATAGATCGGAGAGCTCATGCCGGCTGGATAGTCCCTACAAAGCTTGAGGATATTAGCAAAGGTCCTCGATACGCATCATTCGTGAGTTTGGAAGAAGTGGAAAAGATCAGTAGTCCCGTTTGGCTTGGGTGGTCGAATCACCATAGAATGTATGATAGGGGCGACACGAATGTTCATCATGTAGAAAGGGTATTAGGAGGTTGGAGTGTAACTTACAGAAACTTGTGGTGTGTTGGAAAGAAGAAGTGTACGGCTGGAAAGTTTTGAAGGTAACTTTTCGCCGGGCCTTGAGTTTCACCGGCCCGAAGGCACGGGCCAGCGGCTTCGCTCCTCCCATCGACGCGCCCCAATGCTCTACACCCACGCGCTCTCTCCTGTACAACTCCACATACGCATCTACGTCGTCCACACTCTATCGCATCCACCATGCCCGAGACCGCCTCATTCGCAAGTTTTGTCAAAGACGCGCGAGAAAAAAAGAAGCACGAAGCTCTCGCCCAAGAATTCCTAGGAGGAAATCGAGGGAGGAAAACCAATGCCTCAGGTGCAGGAGGAGTCGCTAAAGCGCGCACTGAATCAGCAAAGCCAACACTTTTGAGTCGCATAAGCGGCGCCGGTGTACAGAAACGCTCTTCATCCGCAAAACCAGATTCGAGAGCCAACATCGAAGGGAAATGGCAGCACGACTTGCACAAACTGAACAACCCCAACGGCCCGGCAGGAGCAAAAGGGCGACTTAACCGCCCAGCTTCTGCTTCACAAGTCGATCGTAATAGCAGAACCTATGACAAGTTCGCATCGGTTCTGAATAGAAATGCGAATACGCGCAGCAACGATGCGCCCGGCTTCAACATTAGGGGCGTTGCAACGGGTGGGCCATACACAGTCATTGCTAGCAACTTTGCGCCAGGAACGACTGCTGCGGATATCGAAGCGGTCATGTCGCCACACGGAGGCGAGACATTGGGTTGCAGGCTCATCTCTGCGTCACCGACGGTCATGGTGGAGCTACAATTTGCCAACAAGGAGGGTGCCGAGAACGTGATTGCGATGTTCAACAACCAGAAGGTAAGTGCGGTCTGAGCGCGATGTGCTGGACAAGACTAACGTTTTTGAACAGGCGGACGGAAGGCTACTCTACGTATACCTGAAGGAGACTCCCTCGAGCAACGCCCTTGCGCACTCCCGACCACCGCCTGCCCGCCTAGCGCATCCAGTCGATGATATGGATGTTGATACAAATGCCGGTGCCCGTAATGGTAGCTTTCAAGACGGACGATATGGTTTCAATGAAGGCGCTGGCAGAGACCCACCTCGAGGACCGCGCAGGCGATACTAGACATCTGCATAGAAGTCTAACATTTTTCGATTACGATACCCTTCATGACTATCTATAATTCTAGCGAACGTTCTGCAAGCGATGGAGGTTTGCGATTAGAATAGCAATATCTGATGCTTGGTCTAGCCAGAATAGTCTTCATGTGCGTTGCATGAACAAGGAATATGGTTATAATACGCAGAAGCGGGATCAAGGATATTCATTGACGGTGCACGTGGAATGCAGAATCAGAATACCCTACCAAGCCTGGTCTTGAGATGTTTTATTCTTGTTGACAGCACCGTGGTGTGCCTAGCAATATGCACCGTGCATTGCGATGCCGCGCTTGCTGTTGCTCAATTCAATGCTTCAAGAGCCCTTTCAATGTGTTGCGACTTAGGCTTGACGACCTTTGCATATTGCTCAGGCTTTTGCGTATGATCATTTGTATCTCGCAATTAGATACCCGTACCATGAAATATCTGTATCTAGTTCTTCCTCTTATCACCATCATTTCCCATCTCCACCGCCTGCAACGAGCTGAATGACGAGGAAGAGTGCAACGACCCACCAGTACCTGCACCAATGTTAGCAGGAAATCCTCTCGTATCGTCATAAGAGCTACGCACTTCTGCAGGAAAGATTTCTCCGGCTCCGCCGACTCCAACTTCCCCTCCGCATTCAAGACGATTGGCTTATTCAACACCGGCTTTGGCCCAGCCGCCCTCGTCGTTATCTCCACTTCCACCTCATTCGTACTCGCACTACTCTTTGCGCTTGTTCCAAAGCCTACGTGGAATGGCTCGCCCTTCTCATCGACGTGGATAGTGAACTTCTTTTGGTACTGATCCGCGAAGTTGGCTGCTGACGTGACGATACCGCGCCATGATCCTGTTTTCGGGTCTGTGAGGCCGACGCGTAGGAGATGGTCGGGGGAGTATGAGCCTGTCGGCGGGGTGTATGAGGCTAGAGTACCGATAGGTTGGTCTGCATCGTACTCAATCTGTGCGAGGGGAATGGGCGATGGGATGATGGAGGCATCCGAGGAGACAGGGACGGAGGAGACGTAGAGGGTCACAGAGGATGCGACTGCAACGGGCAGAAGGAGGAGCTTCGAGAGCAGCATTTTGGCGTGTATTGTTGCACTGATAGCGCGATGGCGTCGAAGACAGACGGCATTCGGCTTCCACGGCGAATTGTTACTCCGAACCGCATTCCCTTAATCACATCTATCTCCTCGCCTGTGCACTTTCGCCCTATCTAGGCTTCGATTGGAGCTCCTTCTCGAGCCTTCTCCCGCATTGCCTTGGGATTTCGAACCCAAGACCTAAGTTACCTTGGGTGGCGTCGTCAATGGCCAACAACATTCGGAATCCCTAAATAAGTGGGCCCGGAGATTCACCGACCTCCACATTTCTCTGTCGTGTCTGGCGACCCGATCGGCAGCAGAGGCAGCAAGCCGGACCCAATTGCTCAGAAACTCAGGGTCATTGCCCCGCCCCCACCGTGCTAAAGCTTCTGATGGCTCTTATGAGCTCATCTTGCAGCAGAAGCTGTGCTGTCATTACCTAGGAACCCCCCCAGTATTTTTGATCAAATCTCCACATCTCTTGCTTTCTCATCACTGTCCGTCTCTATACTCGATCAATATGGCTGGCACAGTTCCATTCAGACAAAACCTACGGAAGCAGTCGCGACAGCTGTCGACCGACCCTCGCAATGAGCTTCGTCCTCAAGTCGACCACTACATTGGTATCGATGTTGGCACAGGCAGCGCCAGAGCCTGCATCATGAATGATCAAGGCGATATTGTAGGACTAGCTTCAGAAAACATTGGTCTTTGGCAGCCACAGACCGGCTACTATGTACTTCTCCCTGAACTTCAGTGAGCAACTGGGAGAACAGATATTGAGCTAGACCAGGAACAATCTACAACCGACATATGGCGCTGCATTTGCTCCTCCGTTCGGCGAGCACTAGACCAACACAACATCGACCGAGAATCCATCCGTGGAATTGGTTTCGACGCTACGTGCTCGCTCGCAGTCTTCCGGGACGACACAGATGAACCCGTGTCTGTCACTGGACCCAACTTTGACAACAAGGATGGCAATGACCGCAACGTCGTGTTGTGGCTAGATCACCGTCCCGTAGAAGAAACGAACAAGATCAATGCTACGAATCACAACCTCCTCCGGTATGTTGGAGGTAAGATGTCGATCGAGATGGAGATTCCGAAAGTGTTGTGGCTCAAGAACAACATGCCCAAGGAGCTCTTTGACCGCTGCAAGTTCTACGACTTGACTGATGCGCTTACACATATGGCTACGGGAAGCGATACTCGAAGCTACTGCAGCGTGGTTTGCAAGCAAGGTTTCGTTCCCGTTGGCGTGGACGGAAGTGTCAAGGGCTGGCAAGAAGACTTCCTTAAAGAAGTTGGTCTTGAAGAGCTGGTCGAGGACAACTTCAAGCGCATGGGAGGTGTAGACAAAGTGGTTTGTCCCACGATCGTATATTCTAAGGCCTCAGCTAATTCACGGTCAGAATGGACGTTACCTCACTGCTGGTGAGCTTGTAGGAACTCTCAGTGAGAAAGCAGCCCAAGAAATGGGCCTTCTACCTGGTATCGCTATCGGTAGCGGCGTCATTGATGCTTATGCCGGATGGATCGGTACAGTTGGCGCCAAAGTCAAGCTTAATGAAGATACTCTCGATATGGAGATGCCAAAGAACGACGTCTCACAGGCTTTCACACGTCTCGCCGCCGTAGCAGGAACATCTACGTGCCATCTTGCTATGTCCCGCGACCCTGTCTTCGTAGATGGCGTATGGGGCCCATACCGAGACGTCTTACTTCCCGGATACTGGATGGCGGAAGGCGGGCAAAGTGCAACAGGAGAGCTCCTCAAACACGTCATCGAAACACATCCCGCCTTCAACGAAGCTGTGTCCGTCGCGGAGACTTACAACACAAACATCTACGACTACTTGAACGAGCACCTCCGCGAAATGGCTGAGAAGGAATCTGCACCCCACATCTCCTGGCTAGGCCGACACTTCTTCTTCTACGGCGACCTTTTCGGAAACCGCTCTCCCATTGCAGACCCCAACATGCAGGGCTCCGTCATTGGCCTCAGCTCCGACAAATCCCTCGACGGCCTGGCGATATACTACTACGGCACATTGGAGTTCATCGCTCTCCAAACTCATCAGATTGTCTCTGCAATGAACAAGTCGGGCCACGTCATCTCGTCGATTTTCATGTCGGGCAGCCAGTGCCAGAATAGCCTTTTAATGCAGCTCATGGCCACCGCGTGTGACATGCCGGTCCTCATTCCGCGTTATGTACATGCCGCTGTTGTGCATGGTGCGGCCATGCTGGGCGCGAAGGCTGCCAGCACCGACAAGGATGGTAACAGTGAGCCGCTGTGGGACATTATGGACAGATTCAGCAAGCCCGGTAAGACGGTCAAGCCGCTTGGTGATAAAACCTTGAAAAAGCTACTAGACGCCAAGTACAAGGTCTTCTTGGAGCAATGCGAGGGGCAGCAACGGTACCGAAGTGATGTCGATGCTGCTATTGAGGGTTGGAAACCTGCTTAGATGTAGCTAGAGAAAGACTAGGTCCAAGTGGACTCGAGCAGCTAGGGTAGCCTGCCATAGTTTGAAATAGCATGCATCTGCAGTGCTGAAACAATTATTTTCATCGTAAACATAAATACATTGAATACCATATTCCCAGTTTGGCAAGTCTGTAAGAGCGAACTCGCGGTACAAGATCTATGATGTTGGATATCTCTATGCGTTTCGTGGCAACGTCAATCAAACCAGGGCTGGTGTAGAACTGGCCTGGAGGGGCAAGGTTGGAGTAGAAGCAGCGGATGTAGGAAGGGGTGGCGAGAGGAGCGCTGGTGGCGGCGTCGACTTCGGCTGATGGACATCCATGGGAAGAATCTCTGTCTTCAGCTCCCTTGTCTTCTTCTGCTTGGGCTCTGGTGCCTTCTCGTTCTCCTGGACATAGAACTTTCTCAATAGCATAATGGCTTCCTCTCTGAAGATGCCCCCCGTAACTGGATACGGCCTGTCGACGCTGGGGCTGGGGAACATTAGTATGCTTGTCTGCTAAGATTGTACGGGTATTCACTTACTCGGAGTGAATGTTCAATACGCCCCCCGTTCCGCCAAACCGCTCATTCCAGCAGCCAAAGTACACGGCTCTAATGCCGTACTGACGTAGCATGGAGGCACACATGACGCATGGCTCGACCGTGACATAGAGGTCCGTCTCATTGAGGACGGTGAGAGGGTGCTTCGACAGGATGCCAGCAATAGCGACGAACTCGGCGTGTCGGGTGCCGTTCAAGGTCCGATTCGTCTCGTTCATTCCCCGGCCGATGATGTCGCCGTCTTTGACAAAGACACAGCCGACAGGCGTCTCGTCGCTCTTGAGAGCAAGCTCGGCCTGTACATGATGAGTCAGCCATATGTTGAGTGAAGATGGGTGAGATATAGAGGTGTGCTTCACCATAGCAATAGCCTCACGCATGAAGCGCTCATGATACGCCCTCTCCTCCGAACCCATGGCGTTTGGTGCGTGATGTGTTTCTTCGTCTTGGCACGGCTGTTCGTTCACTCGAGACAGATCCGAATCTGCCTGTGTCGATGACTGGCGAGCATTCAGGTAGTAGAGGGCCAGGCCGAGCGCCGCAGACGCAATTACAAGAGTCGTCCATGGTTCCTTCTCTTGCCAGAGTGCCTTCCTAAACATGAAGAATCCGCGACCATAAAAGTTCCTGAAACAGAAAGTGCACGTCGGTGTTCTCCAAGTGTGACTGCCGCGCCACACACGCAGTCCGCAGCCCAGGACAGTTTCGGCAAGCGTCACCCAGCACCCGCTAGTGGAGTTACGTGGAACTTTGGGAAGCCGCGACTCCGACTGCTCAGCAGAGCAGCAGCTATTGCCATCGCAACCACCAGGCAACAAGATACTCTCCACACGACTAGGATCCCCAGCATAGCCACAATCCCTTTACCCATTGCAACACGTACGCAAACGCCGCCAAGAGACGTTCAAAGAACAGATATCGAACGAGCAGCCAAGCTCGCCTGATTGCATCCTCCAAGAGCTCTATCCAGCTTGCGCCGTCAACACCAACAAAGCTATCTGGAGAACACCTTCGGACCTCCAACATATCTCATCGCCCCGCGTATTGCCGCATACTATAGCGCCGTAGAGGAGGTCGCATCGCAAAGATGACGCTTGCAGAGGAGTTCAGGTCGAGGAATTTCAGTAAGGAGCCCAACGATGGGAGTGGTTGAGCTACAGCTGACAAGGCATGCTTGTAGGTATCTACGGTCAATGGTTAGTCGCGCCCGTATAATCTGCCCTCCGTACCCTCCGCAATACCATCGAGATCAATTGGAGGTGCTTTTGCAAGGCGGAAGTCCGCCACGGCCGATGACGAAGGGTCGCTGTGCGGAGTCGTCGTACACCAGCAATAAATACCTCAACACAAGTCACGGCGAACATTCATGATTCAAACACAGGCAGTCCTGGAAGGCATAGAGACTAACACTACCACCAGGACCGGAGTGCTGTGCATATTCCTCTGCTTCGCACTTGGAGTCGCCAACATCTTCCACGCCAACTTTGTCATCGCATTCAGCATCGTATGCCTGTGTGTCTCCACAAACCCAACTTTGGCAAAATTATGATTTAACTTTCTTGCAGAGTATGTTCGTTCGTCATCATATTCATCGAGATCCCGCTGCTCCTCCGTATCTGCCCAACCTCGCCCAAATTCGACACGTTCATCCGTAAATTCAGCTCAAATTACATGCGTGCCGCAATCTACCTCGGCATGAGTGTGATACAGTGGGTTAGCATCGTAGCCATGGCGACAAGCTTGATCGTCGCAGCTGTGTTCTTGTTGATCGCTGCCATCTTCTATGCGCTTGCGGGCTTCAAGGGCCAAGAGTTCCAAGGCAGCAAGACGCTAGGTGGACAGGGCGTTGCGCAAATGATCATATAAAAGGGAGCATTGAAGCACAGGCCTGGAAGCCAGTGAAGGACAAGAGGGAGCAGTGGACACGAGGACGGACGCCAGGATGGACGCGAAGGAAGGATATACTGCTTCGCACGAGCAACGAGGCACAATACCACAAACTGCGACGACGATTGCGGTCATTGGAGATGTTTTGACATTGCGGCTTGATTTCTTGTATCATGGATGGAACAGCCAGGCGTTCTTAGGGAAATGTGATGCCACCGGGTCATGGATCGTGTATGGGCGAGCTTGAATGGTATCTAGCTAAATAAAATGCAAAAACACCTGCAAGTGTTTCTTTGACCGTCAAGGATTTGTCGTAAACCATGTCATGTTATAGTCTGGGTGGGGGTGCTCAGTATTGAGACCACTCGAAGATCAACATGCTGCTATGACGGCGTTCCAGAAGCTCGCATATCCCACGCGTCGTAAGTTCCGTGGGACAATCACCACAGATACGACAGCAATGAGACACGGTTCACACATGAATAGATGGAATGTATAAAGGCTGTCCTAGAGGTCGACTACCCATGATGAAGCTAATGAAGACTAACATGTCTGCTCCGCGGCAAAGTCTACACCTGGCCGCTTTCCAGATGACGATAAATGGCCAGGATGTCGCCAGGAACCACCACCTGCGCTCCAGGTGATCAGGCGCGGGGAGGGCTAAGGTGCTAACGGCTTAGTATATAGTGGCGTTGCTCGCGAACGTGTGGAAGATTCTGCGCGCCGGTGAGGTTGAAAAGAATGATGAGGCCGTCCAAGTATTTGAGGCATTATTGAAACACTGCCTGGCCATGCCGTGGTCAAAAGCACTCGCTTGGTTCCCGGTACAGCCTAGTGACTAGCCACCGGACGCCCGTTGAAGGCCGCGGGCATGTCCCAGAGAGCAGCCGTGATGGATCAGCGGTAATGCAGAAGCAGGTATTGGTGGGCTACATGGTGAACCTCTAGCTGGAGAGGAGATGGATTCTGCATAACAGCAGGAATGAGATCTTGTCTAATATAGAACCAAGCTCGAAAAAAGTAGGCCAGGTGACAGGTCCTGCAAGTTTTTTGTGAGCTGACGATGGCTAGCTGCTGCATGCAAATCGCCAGGGCCACCATCATGATGCAAGATGCGGGTCGAGGGCTCTTACTACCTACATAAGTGCACCACCCCAGCTGTGCAGCATTGATCGGTTTTGCGCCTTTTGACCGGCCTATCTACTACACCATCTCGCCATTTTCCCCTCCTCGTCTTCTTCCCGAGTCTCTGCGTCGATTGCGTGCTTGACGTGAGTCCCCCATATAGTCCCGCTTTGTCCGTCCAGCCTCATCGGGCCCTCAATTGCAGCCACGCTTATTGGCTGGCTATCAGTTGGCCTGCGTCGAAGCTGCTGCAGGTGCTGAGCGGTTCCTACAGAGCGTCTGCCGTCATCGATTCGCTCGACGACGCTGCTTATTAGCCCGCGTTTTGCTTTTTCAGCATTCAATTGCTCGTGCCTGTCACTGTCACTGTTACTGTCACTGACACCTCACACCTCGCAGTCCCTCGATATCTCTCCCCCTCCCCACCAAACCACACCACACATCCAAAACCAGGCATACACACACAATGAGCGCTCCTCCAGCAATACCTCCTCGCCCGGCACGAGCCCAGAATAGCCCCGCGCCCGCGCCCTCTTCTCAACTAGACACTCCCAAAATCCCTCCACGCCCGAAGCGCGGCATCGAACGTTCAGTCTCTCCAAGCGGAGACAGATACGCCCCTTCTCCGCTAAACGACCCAACCTACCTACACAGCCGCCCCGCATCCAAGGATGGCAGCCGTCTCACCGCCGAGGTGCCCTCCCGCCCCCCGAGCGTTTCAATGCCTTCGCTCGGTGAGGAAGGCAATGAATACGCCAGCTTTGACGACCTTTCCAAGACACTCACAGATGAGAGCATCAACCGGGGCGGCTCCCCCCAACACAAAAATATAGCAGGAGACTTGCCCCTCCATGCTCCAACAGCTTCGGTTCCAAGCTCCACCGCGAAAAGTAGAATTCAGCTGGTGACACGCACCGATTCGTCGCAGGCTGAGGCAGCTGGCTTTGGCAAGCAGCTTTCGGTCGATGAAAAGATTGCCCAGAGCACCAAGACTGGCCGCTCTGGATCCTCGGTCAGCTCTCGTCCCAGCTCGCTATACAATGATAAGGAGGAGCAGGGCATTCCCGAAATTGGCGTTCAGGTGCCCATGTTCCGCAATGCTGGTGACGTCCAGGCTCCCAGTCCAGCCCCCTCTGCGCAACAAAGCCATTCTTCTAGAGCTGGATTCCACCAGAAGTCTGGTGGTCGCCATCACGGACGGACCAAGAGCGGCCGCGAGATCTTCCATGGTCCTCCCGGTAGCTACGGCATGCACGGTCACGGCGTCATCTCCAACCACGAATTTGAGCAGAAGTGGTACGAGAGGCATCCAGAGGACCTAAAGCGCGAAAAGGCCGGCGAATATGGGCCGCACATTCAGGAGAATAGGAAGGATTACCACTGGCGTGCGGACAATCTAGAGAAGCTGGTGCATACTAGGGCTCAAGATATTGGAATGGGTACGCTACTACTGACAGTTGCGCCAACATGTAGCTGATACTAATTGTTACTTTGCAGGTACTTCGCGCGAAGCCGCCAGTACTCCCGACGAGCATATCGGTTTTATGGCTAGTGATCAATATGCTTCGAGAATGGCATCGCCGAGACCAGCACCATCAGGCCGCCCCGCCTCGATCAAGGCCGGTTACACTGATTCACCTCTGCGTAACGAAGCCGGCGAAGAGGTCAACGAGGCCGGTGAGGTTATCCACATTGATCCCCCCGCTCACCGTAGCAACAAGATCCATGGCACAAATTATGACAACAAGCCGACCGAGGATCTGGGCCCTGAGGGGGGTAACACGGCAAAAGAGGGTGGATGGGTCACTGAGCATGGCTACGGTACCCCCATTTTGGCTTCTGATGAGTTGGAGAAACATCCCGAAGCCGAGTGGAGACAGCCCGCTGTGTCACCTGAGCTTGAGCGCCATGGCGATGAATACCTGGTCAATGAGGACGGTACTCCAGCGTATACCACCAAGGGTCGCAGCCATAGCAGGAACTCCAGCCTTCAGGCGCAACGCGCCATTACCAGCCCTACGCACTTTGACAGGGGTAGTACTCCCCTCGAGTCACATAAGGAGTACGAGCCGCTCTTCCCTGAAGAACACCAGGACACCAAGAGGCCCAAGTCGCAAGTCGACAAACTCAAGCGTCCTAGCGCCCGCCACCAGTTCCCGAGCCAGGACGTCTGGGAAGACACTCCTGGCAGTCTACAGCTCGAGACTACCGTCGAGACCCCTGAAGCTCCTGAAGAGCCAGAAACCCCAGTTGGTGACAATGTCGATGCTGCCAAGGTATTTGAAAAGCCAGAGACGGAGGAGCAGCGCAAGACGGACATCACGGACGAAGATCAGCAGTCATTTCTTCCTGAGCATACGAGACGCTTTGCAGTTGAGAACAAGCACCTTGGAAAGGTGCGTGACGACACAGTGTTGCGGCCCGGCCTGCAACAACGCTTCCCGAGTCAAGATATCTGGGAAGATGCCCCCTCACATGGTCACCTCGAGACAACTGTTAGCACACCGCAGATCGAAGAGACGAATGATTACGCCGACGACTCCCCAGTATCTGAGAAACCTGGCGTACCAGCACGACCCAATATTCCCCTTCGACCTGCGAAGAAGGAATTTTCGCCCATAGACAAAAAAGGTCCCATCATTCCCGACCGCCCAAAACCTCAAATTCCGGCGCGCCCTAGCAAGCCATCAACCGGCTCATCAGATAAAGTGCCAACCGTAGAATCACAGGCTAGCGAAAACGAAGCTCCGCTACCCAAAGCTAAGCCTCCAGTCCCCGCTCGCCCAGCAGGTTCGAAGATCGCTGCCCTCCAAGCTGGTTTCCTGAAAGATTTAAACAGCAAACTAGGACTCGGACCACAAGCTCCCAAGGTTCAAGAGCCTGAACCAGAGCAGCAAGAAGAAGCTGCCCCTCTGCAAGATGCTCGCAAGGGACGGGCTAAGGGCCCGCAAAGGAGGAAACCGGCAGCTTCGCCTACTCCAGCTGCTACTATTACTGCCGAGGTTGCGGTACCGAGAGTGAAGCTGGACTTGGCCCCGGTAACGGCAATTTGGAGTTTCGGGGAGGATGGAGCTTTGGATGTGCCGGCTGCGAAGTTGGCTGCAAGCCTTTCTAAAGCATTGAAACCAACGTCATCTGCAAAGTCGGACGAGCCTGAGCCTGAGCCTGAACTTGCGAAGATTACTACGAGGGATAGTGAGCCCGCGTCTACCCTCGAAACAACGACTAGTGAGGCACTATCTGCTCTTGCAAAGCCTGCTTCTCAGGTGTCGTCTACTTTTGAGACATCAGCGTCCAAGGCATCTTCGACAGTCGAGGAATCAGTGGCCAAGGCTGCGTCTGCTGTCGAATCAGAGGAGCCGGTAGTAAGCGAAACGGTCAGGGGTTCTGTCGACGCTCCTGGTGCGTTTCCTGGATCCGGGCCTGATTTAGAGGATGAGGATGGTGCGAAGGGTGGTATCTCGTTGGAGAAGGAGCCCAGTACGGAGAAGCTGGAGAAGGAGGTCGAACTTCCTACTGCTGCTGCTCCTGTCGCTGCTTCAGCGGAACATGATGTTGTTGAAAAGGAAGGTGCGGGGCATACGCAGTCTCTTGCGGGTTAAGAGACAGTTGAAAGGAAAGGGGAAAAGCGAGGGTAATGTTACTACTATGGGATTGCAGTACTATCGAGAACTAGGTAGCTGAGCTGCGTGTATTAATTTGGTTCATCGACATCCACCGCCTTTGGCCTTGAAATGACTTTTGATTTTGGTCTAGACAAAGATGCGTTGACTTCCCAGGATGATCATCCGTGATTTGGTAACACTGCTTCAGTTCTTGGTTTGATAGATCTTCAAGCTAATCAGACGCAGTTTATCATTATTAAAACCAAGCCGTAGTATCCGGTAAATATGTACAAAAGCAGTATATACTGCGGATCAAAACACTAAACTTAACTTGAGGGAATTTTAGACGCTCGTAATATCGGCATATCTGCACACGAAAGTTACAGCGGGACTTGAATTCCGAATAGTTCATGCCACCTGGACGACTTCCGGAAAGTCCTTGCTTGCATGTTCCAACTTCGTCTCCGAGCCTGACTTGAACAAAAAGTCTAGAAACGCCGTAACATAGGTGACGGTGAGTTTCATCATCCTACGACCTTCTACAGACCCCAAAACCTGGTTCGGCAGTTGTTTCTGAAAGCCCAAGACGGACGTGATAAGCGGCAGATCGGAGAAACCGTAATGTTCAGAGCCTCTGACTTCGTACTCCTTTTTCCATCCCGTCAGCCGAGGCCATGTGGCTTTCCAGGACGGGTCTGTTTCTTGTGTCTTGTTGTCGTGTCCTAGCAAGACGAAGGGGCGGTCAAGGCCGGCTGTGATGACGGGGCCAAACATTGTGCCGTCGAGATTCATGCCACCACGGAGGGAGGGAATTTGGAGCATTGCAGCAGCAGCCGCGGCTCCACCGAAAGAGTGTCCGACGATGGCGGTGTGGGCAAAGCGATGGCGGTGAGGGTAGCCGGGGAAGAAGTGATCGGTAAGTGAAGAGTTTCCCCCCAGTTGCTGGTACAGAAAAGCAATATCTTCGACGCGCGTGGTGAGCGCAGACTCCAGCTCTTCGTCGCTGATATCCACACCCGTGATGACGGTACCATCTGGGAACTCGACGAAATCAGCGTCGTATGGGTGGTCTACGGATATGACTAGGTATCCCGCCGCGGCCACGCTTTGCAGCATGCTGTTATACAGCAGCCGCGATGTACCAAGCGCACCGGAGAACAAGACAAGAGGCAAAGGCTTGGAAAAGCAACTGTTCGACTTTGCAATCTTGTCACACGTCTCGAGGGTCAAGGAGCCGAAGGTGCCGTTTGGCAGTCCGTAGGCCCCGAACTTCTTGTCCTGCAAAGAGGCCAGTTTGGTAGGCATGTAGGGCTCCTGGTGCTTGCGGCGACAGGCTGATACGGGATAGTACCCAGACGCCATGATGGATCTGGAGCGGCCATCCTTTGCGAAGGGGTCGAGGCGGTTTGCATCCGTCAAGGGGACGGAGGTGGTTATCACGTCGAAGTGGACAGGTCCGACAATGGGGAGGCGAGTCGCAGAGACTGTAGATGATAACGTGAGAACTTGAAGTGCTGCGACCCAAAGGGGGAGAAACGGTGCCATGATGGAATGTATAGCAATGGAAAGATGGGAGAGGAATGAGAGTAGAAATGTGTTTCAATCGCAAGTGGTGTCTTCATTCTAGGACTACGGTTTACACGTCTTTATATAGCTAGATGTGAAAATCTGCTTTCATAGAAAGAAAAAAAGTGTCAACGGCGTGCAATGGCACAGCCTCAACCGCTCTATCATGGCTTGATATGGTCAGGTGGTATTGAGAGCGGAAGGTTCGGAAATTATGGATCTACAAGAGACCTTGGAGCGCGTATACGGACTTGGTTTTGGCCAAGTGGGGATCGCTGCATGGTGTTGTTCTTGGTCCACATGTGCAAGGCTCTTCTACTCAAGCTAGATGCGCCCTATAATTGCCGGATAGGGTTAGCGTATGGACTCAGTCGGCCTCATCATCTGCATCATCCTGTAAACCCCAAGAGATTTAGTCCGATCACGCGTGCCTAGAGAAATTATTTCTCCTGATGAGTCCATCATTGCGCAGTACTACTTCCTAATCGTGTACTTGTAGATGCGCAGCTCCCAGATTCGGGCGTCCGCAGTTCCCTGGCTGTCACGCTAGTCTCCCACGCATTCGCTTCGCAGCAGCCGGGGGTGGCTCGACTTACTCACATGCCTTCGATTATCGGTCCCTATGATGGACGGAAAGCACGTCGAAAACGCTGCGATTCATGTGTCAGACGCCAGATAAAGGTATTGTTTTCCTGGGCCGAACGCTATTTCCAGCTTTCGTCCACAGTTTTCTGACGCCTCCAGTGCCATGGAGGAAGACCTTGCGAGAACTGTAGACGAACCAACCAACCATGCGGGATGGCGACTAGGCATACGGGGGCCAGTTTTGTTTTCGTTGGTCAAGCATCGGACAGCAAAACTGAGAAGACTGGCCCTGCTTTACCAGGAGCGCAGATGGTATCTCCTCTGCCCAAGTCAATATGCCCCAAAAGAACAGACCGCTACCTGCCGTACTTCTTTACGTCGTTCCTGCCAATGAATCTTTTCACAGGCAGGACTATCCCCATACGTGAGGACTTGCTAGCCATGTCCAAATCCTCGCCTGCGCTGAAAGATGCCATCGATGCCGTGGCCGCATTACATTCCCAAAGACAGCGCCAATTGTCCTTTGTTGCGCAGAACGAGAATGTTGAAAGTATTCAGGCCTTGCAGGCTTACACGCGATCTGTACGCTGTATCCAGGAAGAAATTGCAGCTGGCACGTTTATGGCTAATCAGTCGGCGCTGTGGGTGACCTTTTTATTGGGTCTCTTTGAGGTACGTGTGTGACATCTGTACAGACATTAGATGCCCTCCTGCATGTTCAGACACTAACACAAACAATGTTAGCTCATGCGTGACTCGACAGGTACGAACTGGCTATCCCATTTCCTGCACGGGACGTCCACGATGCTCCGTCTCCAGAGGCCTGAGGCCCTAGCTTGCTCAGATCCGTACAGTTCACAACGACGGTCCTTCTTCCTCGCTACGCGGATCTTTGAAATTTCGCGCTCCTTTATCTTTTCGTCGCCTACGTTTCTCAGTACACCTGAATGGACCGCTGCTCTTGCGAGACTCTGGGAGGGCGAGGGCGCGGCCTTGTGGCATCCCAAGGAAGCATTGTTCGACATGCTACCACAGTTCTCAGACCTTAGTATCCGTACAATCCATTTCTGCGAGGATGCAGATCAACTGCCGCTCAACGCGCGACGTGCTCTGATCAGGTCGCTGGCCAGGGAAGGTCTGATTCTACAAGCATGGCTGCAGAAATGGGATGTAGACGCGAGAACGTGGGAAAAGGTTCCTGGTCACAAGCCGGACACGGAGCTCATGATCGGGCATATCTACTATCACGCCACAAGTATATATCATTCGGGGACTTACGATTACCACCCGCACTGGACCTGTGCTGACGCGCCCATTCTGCCAAGAGAGACCATCAACTGGCACGCCTCAGAGATCCTCCGTTTAAGCCATGAGCTGTTGGCGCAAGGCGTTGCTAGCCCCCTGTTGCTCTATCCTCTACGAGTCGCTGGAGCCCGAGCGAAAGACGAGCGATCGAGGAATGATATACTCGGCTTACTACAGATGACAGCAAGACGGGGGTTCGTAGTAGCAGATGCTTTTACAGATGAATTGTCCGAGTTATGGGCGGACAATGACATGTCCTCTCCGACAGAGGTGGATTGATGGCATCACGCAGCTGAGCGTGTTCTTAAAAAATGACGTCAGGCCTCTCGTCATTGTACAAAACGCGTCGATGCCATGCAGCCGCGGAGTGCTTTGTGTTGGATTACATGTCGCCAACAGACAGGGGGCGTTTGATCGAAGCAGGGAACGCAGTGGGGGATCGCGATGATCTGAGTTAGGCATTGTTAAGCGAGAAGTCCGTCCAGACACATGGGAAAGTTGCTGAAACGCCACATCTTACTCCAATAATACATGTCACCATCAGCATGGTTGGAAACAATTGCATGGAACTGCTATAGTGTCCCCTGTCTTAATGTACGTTACCTGAAGAGCGCAGCTGTCTTATGAGTAGAAATATTGAAGCCCCAGGCAGTCCGATCGAGTGATGGAAGTGGCGCCCCACTGGCAACCGCTCATTGTGCATGGATGACGCAATGGGCAATCCCACCTTTACGCGTCTTCCCTGGCCTTGTATGAAAGTGCCAGATAGACCTCGAGACCACGGCTCCGCGTCTCTCTAGTCCTACTCTCCCCCCAGATATTTTTTGCTCGACCCTGGTATCACCATGTCCACCGAGGGTTTGGTCTTCAAGGATCTCCTGCCCATCCCGGACACAGATCCTACCGAACATGAAGGAACGACGACTACGCTACGGGATGCGCCCACAGAGAGCCATGCGCTAGCTCACGAGGCAGCAAATGCACCTCATCCAGATGCGACGGGTGCAGCGCAGGTTCAGCATGGGGAAGAGGTGGTCAACTTGGGTTGGAACGAGCCGAAAGAGCATATCGAGAGCCCGCTTGTTGGCGGTCTGTCAAATGAGGACCTATGGCTACTGGTTCGGCGATTCAACAAGGTCAGAGCCACCTGCATATGGTTCGAGATTCACGAGGCTGACCCTGTGTAGCAAATGTACCATGTCAAGGAGATCGCAACAGCGCCCCCAGGAGGCTTGGACATGAACATTGCGGATGAGGAAGAGTTCTCGCCAGACAAGCTGCGTTCCAATGTCGAGCGCTTGTACATGACAATCGTAAGCGCCTAGCCTGGAAGAGCATCTGACCTTGGCTAACTAGGTTATAGGGCATTGGCATGATGGCTTTCGGAAAGCACATTGTGCGAATTCGCTCATGGCGAGAGACTCGCCGCACCGCCTGGTTCTGTTCTGCCTACTTTCTGGCTTGGTTTTTCGACCTGGTCATGCCTTTGGTCTCTTTGACCCTCATCACACTCATACTCTACCCGCAATCACGGGAAGTCATGTTTCCTCCTGCACCCATTGCGCTCGTTAGCTCTACGGGAGGTGTCCAGAAGCCGAAAGCTGGAACCTTGGGTAGTACAGACAGTGCTACTGGAGCTCCAGAAAACCACAAGGGTGAGGCTGTTGAGCAGGAAGCGTCCAACTTCTTCAATGGTTTCACTTCGATAGCGTTGTCAAGTGCTTCTGGTAAGCATCCCCAAGGTGAACCCCCGGAAGCCGATGCGCAGGACGATAAAATTCCTGATCCCACTGCCATGGCAGTTGGTGCAGCAGATGCCAAAGACCAAGTTGCTGGTGGTGCTACGTCGAAAGAGCACGATAAGACCAAAGTCCCTATGGAGACTGCGATGTGGACGAAGATGAGACCTATCATGCATGGCATTGCCGATGTTACGGATACATGGGAGCGTTTTGCGAAGTAAGTGGTCATCTGCAGCGCCAACATGGCTTGTTATCGCTAACCTTGTGCAGTATGCTAGAACCAACCCGCCCGTTCCCCAAGAACAGGTACCATTTGCGACTCGCAGGCGTTGTCGCACCCCTTCTCTTGATCTCTCTATTCGTAACCTCCTACATGTTCATGAAAGGAGTAACATTCGGCGTCGGGTTTGGCTTCTTTGGAGATCCCATCATCTCTCGAGGATTTACCTTACTCAATCGCAAGTTCCCTAACTGGCAGAAGCTTCTTGAGCTCCGTAACACACTGCTTAAGGGCGTACCTACCAATGCGCAGTTGGCCATCACTCTACTCCGCATTGGCGAAGCGAACAAGGCTCCCCTTCCGCCACCACCGCATATTGACCATCCGCCACCAGAGCGACCCGCCGATATCAGCGAAAAGGAACTGCGCGCAACGGGATCAGACTGGCCTCTTAACGCAACGCAGGAAGAACTCGACGTAGCCATGGCACCCGATCCCACAATCCCACACGAAACCGGCGGCAGCGACATCGACCAAGCCAAGGACACCAAACACGGCAAAAAGGGAAGTAAGATTTTAAACTTCTTCCGCGGAACCGTCAAGGGAGGCGTTGAGACTACCATGACAGCAGATAAAGTCAAAGCCGCTGTCGGTTCAAAACACGCAAAGAACAGACTCGGTGCTGTGCCGCACAAGGACCAGGATCTTACGTCTGGTCCGGTAGAGTTCAAAGCCCGACACGATGGTAAGAAGGGCCATGTGTACATCACCACCAAGGCCACGATCCCCTGTATCGCTTTCTCGACAGACAAGACGATTGAGAAGATTGGCAGCGTGGACAGAGAAGATCTGCACCCACTGTGGAGTATTCCTGTCGGGCGGATCAGCGAGCTGAGGAAGGTCGGTGGTTTCGGGTGGAAGGCGAAGATAGTGGTTGGATGGGCTATGGGCCGCGAGGTTGCGGATGGTCTGGTCATCACGGACCGGACAGGTGAAGAGACAAGACTCACAGCTATACCGCTGAGAGATGAGCTGTTCAATAGGCTCATTGCTATGGGTGGTCAGAAGTGGGAGTGTTGGTAGATGCTGGCCGACTACAGAGCGGGTGGAAGTGTCGGCGAAAAGGCCGATGAAACGGCCTGGAAGCCTTCGATGTACTGGCGGAGTTTGGAGTTCAGATTGATAGCTGACTGCGGAGGGATTCAGAGCAGCATGGAGAACGGTTCCCTAACACTCGGAAAGCACACCTAAGATACCTTTTTCTCATTATGTGTTGGTCATTGACAAGATTTACTGTATATAGTTGTTCACGAATCAAAACACGTACACATAATACACATTACTAGCCAGAATCGTTTCAGGCGTGAACTAGCAGCTGCATGTATGCTGGTTTTCAGTACCAAGGACACTGTGTCCATAGCCCTCCGTGACGGGCCTCAAATCACTTTTCGTCATCGCTCACTTCCGCCATGGTACCCCGAATCCATCCATGCCCCCTCCAAACCGAACCAATCGACCATCCAAAACACCCTCGTAGCCACCAAACCCCACCCTCCTACTCCTCCTCATCAGCCATTTCGTCGTCGTCCGACGCGGCCTCAACGCCAGCAGCGAATGACGGACAGACCTGCGCAGCAGCCAGCGCGAGCTGGTACCGCATCTGGACCTTGCTGCCGTTCGTGTTCAAGCCCTTGGAGCGACACATCTTCTTGAGATCGTTCTGCGAGTATTCTTCATCGGCGTCCTGGAGCTCCTGAATCAGCTGATCCTTGCCTTTGCCCGACCCCTGAATGCCCCTACCAGCGCACATCTTTGCGAGATCCTGGAGCGACAGGTAGCCACGCGGATCCGGCGTTTCGGTAGTAACGGTTTTGATGTTGGTGAGGGTCAGCGTGACGTTGGCGTTCACTGCGCGCTTGTTCCTGGCCCGCTTCGCTTCGCGATCTTCTTTTTGTTTCTTGAGCTGCGCGTTGCGCTGGGCTTTTGCGGCATGGTTCTCGACGGAGCGCTGGGCGCGGACCTGGGCTTGGGCAGCACGCTGCATTGCGCGCTGGGCTTTCTCCGTCTCCTTTGCGGCACGCTTGTTAGCCGTTTCTTCGGCCTTTTGCGCGTTGCGGACTTTGGCTTCGTCCTTGGTCTTGCGCTCGAGAGCCTCCTTGGCATTCTTCTCGCCTTGTTCCTTGTTGCGAACTTGCTCGCGAGACTCGCGGTAGGCTTCCATCTCGGCGCGACGGGCATCAGGGTCGTCATCCATGTCGATGGGAATGCGGGCCGTACCCTCTATGAGGGCATTGTAGCGTTCACGGCAGGCAGTTGCGGAGAAAAGAGTGTCCTTGTTAAGACGACGCATATAGTCGGAGACCTTGCGGAAGCGCCAGGCACGCACACGCTCGATTTCGTAGTTGATCTCAATGTCGGCGAGGGCGTGAGCCTGCATAAGGAGACAATCCTACATATCAGTGTCAGTATGGTTTCAACGAGAAAAGCGAATTAGATGTGTGACGTACATCGTCGAAGCCCCACTCCTTGTACCCCTCCTTGAGCAAGAAGTCTACGTTCTCAGCCTGAGCAAGGCGGATGCGCATGATACGCGTAGAGATAGACTTCTGATCATAACGAACACGACCGTCCTTGGCGAGCTTATCAGCAATCTGGCGATCACTGAAGCCCTTCTCGCGCATCTCCATCATGAGCTCATCGTCCGAGTCCAATTCATGGGAGACACGCTTGTGGTAGGCAGGCAGGGTCTCGCCCTTGCGGCGATCGCGATGGCCAAAGGTACCAGGCTTGCGAGCGGCCAGCGTGCCGAGGAAGTCGTTGCTGTCGTCCAAGATGAAGGCCTCTGCGTTGATGACGGAATCAATGGTAGGTTGAAATATACTAGTTCGGATACGCTTGCGCTTCTGACCGATCACGTTATCATCGTACTCAGGGTCGTAGCCTGCTTTGGCGTCGTCCTCGTCCTCATCATCTCCGAGGTCGCCATAGCCGTCGAGCTTGAAGTCGTCATCGGCGGGCTACCCTATCTTAGTAAATGTATGAGAATTGCTTGATATTACGTACATCGTCGGGCGTCTCAGTATCATCTCTGTCGGCGCCATCATTGCTACCGGTGTCCATGTCCACGTCGTCAACGTTGTCCTCGAGGTTGGACTGTTCGATGGGCTCATCGCCTGTGAAGCTCGTTAGTGGGAAACGTAGGCACAGCGACCACAACGTATTTACTACCGAGGACTGACTCATTGTCAGTCATGACGTTGGCTTCAGTGGGCGGTGGTTTTGTGCTATTGTGTCTTTGTTTTTACCGTGAAGTGGAACACAGTGGACTGTTCAAAGGTCTCTCGTGGTCTACTGTAAGTGTGAGTTACACCACGGTCAATTTTCAGGCTGTATAAGAGTTTATCAGTCAGTGTATCGTAGCCGTCGGGGCGGAAGGTGAGGGGAAAGAGATATCTGGATATCGGTTGCTGGCTTCAGGCGAGGCTGAACAAGCTGACACATACCTGAATTCTGTTGCCTGGGAAGACTGTCGAATCTATTGTTGGCGGAAAGTGGGTTTTCCGGAGATGAAGAGGCTCTAGAGGGGGGGTTATATATACAGTCGGGCTGAAGCGGTGGCTGCGCGCGATTCCGACGACGTCGTCACGTTACCGCTGCGGATCCTAATGTTGTGAGAGAAGAGAAGAGGTGAAAAAGCGGCAAAAGATACAACAGGCAGATGCGGGAGGAGAGCGCAGTGTGTCACAGATCTTTCACTGCTTGGCTTCGTGGGTGGTACTTGCACATGAATTGTGAAATACGGTATCCGAAGTCCTGGTCTACTTCTGCTCTTTGCGCTTTACTCCATTGTATGACGGATAACCCATGCTTTTCTCTTTCCATCTTTCGAAGATTGCATTGCTGTTATGCTGCTTAAGCGGACTGTATTTGTGTGATCCATTGAATGTAAGGTCATTAGCAGTGATTCCTAGGGAAGATAGATAGCTAAAGAATAGACTAGAGTATTATTCAACTATGAATTGAGCCAAAGGAGAAAAGAGGGCTGTAAAAATACGATGTTACGTTGTCTGGTATCGAGGAGATAGCAGTCATGGTGTTGCACAAGTCTAGATCCCTAGCGCATCGTCCTAGGTGTGGCGCAAGCTCAGAGTGGCGAACCCTGTCGATGCCTGTCGATGACGCACCGTTTCTTGGACGCGGGACAGCAATCAAGACGCCAACAAGGAGCTACGACGACATGCTTACCACCGCCGAGCAGAGAATATCGCCTCCAAGAACTACTCGCTCAGCCTGATTTCCGACGAATTCTTTGTACCCGCGACACCCACACTCCAACTATGGCATCCTACCTCCAGAAGCTGCGACGGCACTCGAAGCAGCTAATTCCCCAGCACGAGTCGAAGTCTGTGGAACCGAAGGCCCAGGAGTCCTCCAACATCTCAGAACCTGTGGCTGGACCAAGCGAGCCTGCAAAGTCTCCGCCCGCACCCACTGTCACTGAACCTAGCGAAGAACCAGCCGCGGAACCTGTACTAGACGAGGAAGATGAACAGTTCCTCGAACGGCTCGCCGCCATCGCGTCAGAGCCAGAAGGCACACCCCCGCCCCTACCCACACGGAGAATGGAGGCAGTCGACGATAATGGAGAGAAGAAAGTGGGCCGAGACGCACAGGAGGCGCTGATGGACGGCGCGGACAAAGTTGCGCTGCCTATGAGTCCGCCTGAGACAACTGCTGACACTACCGAAAAGGGCAAGGAGAAGGCCAAGGATGGCGGGCTGGCCAGAAAGAAGAGCGTCATGTCGTACTTCTCGCTACCGAAGTTCAACAAGAAAGATGGTGACAAGGGAAAGGAGAAGGTGGCAAAGGACCTCAAGACGAAGGCGGTCACGGACAAGGACAGAGCGCAGTTTGCCGACGACCTCCTCGCAGCCGCCGAAGCTGCCAAAACTGCACAGCTGACCGAGGCGCAAAAAGAGAATAAAGAACTTACCGATATCCTCGATCAACTCAACCTCTCCGCGGTGAACAACCGCGTCTTCTCCTTCAGCAAGGAATCCGAGGAGCTCCTCAACAAGTTCACGCAAGTTCTCAAAGACTTGGTCAATGGCGCGCCAACGGCGTACAACGACCTCGAGAAACTCTTCACAGATTACGATAATCAGCTGAAGAAGATGTACAGCGGTTTACCACCGTTCCTACAAAACCTCGTCAAGAGTCTTCCAGCTAAGCTAACTGCCACACTTGGACCAGAACTGCTGGCAGCGGGTGCAGAGAAGCCTGGTTTCGATGCAAAGATGGCTGCTGGTGCAAGCAAGGGCAAGAGGAGCAAGATTCCGAGCGTCCCGAGTCTGAAGAGCTTGGTAACCGCTCAGGGCGCTGTTGCGACTGCGCTGAGGAGCATTGTGAACTTTCTCAAGTTCAGGTTCCCAGCTCTGGCGACAGGCACGAATGTCATTATGAGCTTGGCAGTATTCGGTAAGACTTAATCCCATTCCTGTTTTTACTTGAGGGGAGCTGACAATCTCCAGTACTCTTGTTCGTTTTCTGGTATTGCCACAAGCGCGGCCGCGAAACACGTCTCGAGAAAGAGCGTCTGGCTGCTGAAGAAGCAAACTCAGGACGCGTCAGCAGTGCGTCTTCGATCAACGATGATACCGATTCTATCTTTGGGGATAAGACATCGAAGCCTGCGCAGAAGGCCAAGGAGGGAGAGAAAGAAGCACCCAAGCCCCCAGTCATCATCAGCGACACTAAGCAGATCGAAGAGCAGCCTGCGACGGTGGACGATATGCCCAGTGTGAGCCATCTACCTGATCCGAAAGATGGACAAGTCCCGGTCTCGGCACCACCGCCTTCGCAACGCAAGTGAGGGTTGAGTGGATGGTATTGAAGATGAGAAGGAGCGTCCTTGCGGTTCAGATTGATATTCCCTATGCGTATACCCTGTTTTTAGTAATGCCCTAATGAACAATGGAACTCGATTAGCACACGAATCGTTAAATGAGCGCGATTTCACGCTTAAGCCTAGTTTTCATCTCCTAAGATGTGACCCTAGGCCCTATCTTCTTTTTCTTGTTTTGGCCTTACGCTGTCGGCTTCCGCGCATGTATAACTACGACTTCAAAATACGCATGCACTCTCCTCTCTTTCAACCCGTTCCGAAACTTCGCAATAAAAACCTGCGCCTCCTCGATACTCCACCCCATAACCTTGGTCAACAGCATCAATCCCCACCCCTCCGCTCCCTGCGTGCAATGCAAAAAGTTCCATCGCCCAAGCTCCTTCATGTGCGGGTCCGCTGGCCACCCATTAACAGGCACCTTGTAGATTTGTTCGACTACGTCCGTGAAGCCCGTGTCCTTGATGTATGTGGATAGATTCCAGACTTCAAAGAAGGATTTCCCAAATTTCTTCGAGGCTTCGTGGAAGATGTCGGACCATTGGGAGAGGGCGTGGTCTGGGGTCAGTGTGCCGTCGTCGGATTTGAACTGGATGCTCATCTCGAGTTGGTGTATATAGCCGCCTGGTTGCATGTGGTTGAAGGCCTGGGCGTACAGTGCTCGCCAGTCTGCTATGCTGCCGTAGAGACCTCTGATGTTGACAAAGTCGAATTGGGTGGGCTGGTACGTCCAAGGGGAGGTCACGTCGTCGATTTCGAATTTGCAGTTTGGGGGCGTGAAGGAAGGCTGAATAGGTGAGAGGTCCACGCCGATAATCTCTGCGCCTGGGTGTTCTGCTCGAAGGTTAGCGATATGCTTGATCATGATTTCAACGAAAACGGGGCTGCTTGCCATCGGCCATGTCCATACACCAAATTCCGGTTCCACATCCTAGATCGATTATGCTCTTTGGCTCCTTGATGGGTGCCAAATGGAGCTTCTGGTGAAGCAATATCAAGAACATGTGATGTGCAATGTCCAGCTGATCGTTTTGCACCTCATCATTTGGGCCCCAATATTCTCCCTCGCGGAATTTATGGTATCGTCGGCCATTCTCATAACGATGCCTCCATATTGTCGAGGGGATGGAAGTTGTGTCACTTAGGTGATCATCATCGCCGTAAGCCGAGTCTGAATCATCTGGGCTGGTGGTGTTGTCATCCTACTTCTCATTAGAGTCGAAATGGCGTATAATTGCTGGGGAAGATGTGTCTCTAATTTGCTAGCTAATCTTCGAGGGACACGGGATTCAGTAAGTTTTTGCATCACTTACAACTGTAACAATAGGATTGATCTGCTGCGCAGTTGACGACGAAGCCCCAGTGGATGTTTCTGCTGGGGGGGCCGGTATCGCAGAGGCTACTGGCACTGATGCAGACAATGCAGTTGTGTCTTCGTGTGTAGTATCACCTCGAGCCACAGGAGCATCTGCAGGTATTTGAGACGTCACTTCCTTCTCTTTCCCAGATGCGGGCATTTTAGCTATTGCGTTTGACTGATGATAAAACTGGCGGGAGACTATGCCAGACCCTTATAATAAAACGGCTCGGAATGAGGTGCGTCGTCAGACACCGAAACTTCCTCTAGCTTGAACGCCCCCCATTTTGACCAAGATTGGCACACGAGCAGGAAACACCGAACATCCGGATGCCGGAGAGTGGCCGAGTTGTACCTTTCTAAACCTGGGAAGGATAAAGAAAGCAACGATTTGGCCCTACGGCCCTACTGCAGAACAGGGCTAGAGGCGGAAGGGTAATGCCCAGGTGGGTTATCGGCGGGTAGAAAACGTGGCCGTGGGCTGACGTGCAGGTACACGTGCGGAGTCGTTCATTTTGAGTTTAGACTGGCTCATAGTTCATTGGGCGCAATGGGCCTGGGGTCTAGACTTGTCGCTTGTACCTAGATAGCAGTTGAATCCTTCAATTGCAGTATTATGGCGTATTTCAACCCTGAGGGCTATTCGTCTGATATTAGACGTGAGCTCAATGCCCGTCCACAAGCTGCATACATGTGCTCATTTTATCGCAGCCGTAAGTTGTCGATACAGTACCGCGAAGCGAACGCACAAGCGCTGACGCATTGCGATTCAAATACCATGTAACACATGCTAAAACCAGCACGGTCAACTGGATTGCGATGCTACGTCGCTGAACAGAATATGTTCTTCCCCGTTGCGCACTTAAAAACGGCAGCTGCATGGCGCCCTCGTCAGATAACGGCTCGCCCAAGATGTGAAGAAGGCCGCATCTAAGACCTGCATACGTGCTGGCTAGTCCCGCATAGCGTATGTCCGCAAATCATACCCCGCTGATTACAACGACTCTCGTCTTCACCATCTGGCATCAACAACCTTGGGGCACCGAATCCCACTACTGACTCGGCTCTCTGCAAGCCATGGAATCAGAACCGCTTGAGCTGGGAGAGGTCTTTCAACGGCTGTACCCAATCCTTCTGCTCGCTGCGGCTTACACTCTGATTGGCCGAATCCGCGAATACTGGCGCTTGAGGCACTTTCGAGGTCCTCCTACGACAGGTATCTCGTGGTGGTGGCACTCGAAGGCAGTCTTTAGTGGCCGAGCTCATGAATACTATGGCAATGCCACAGAAAAATACGGTATGTAGAGAATCTGGAGGGTGTCAAAGGATATGAGATGCTGATATGCGCTTCAAAGGACCAATTGCGAGAGTTGCACCGAACCATCTCATAACTTCAGATCCTGAATTCTGGGCAAAGTGCAACGCGGTGCGGTCGCCGTACCGAAGGGCGCCTTGGTACTACCATGCCGCTCGTTTTGAGCCTGGAAAGGATAACGTATTCACCGAATGCGACAATGATAGCCATGATGCGAGACGTAAGAAGATGGCTTCTGGTGTAAGTAACACTGAGGGCCCAAAGCCCTACAGCAAACTTTGCGACATGCTTCCAATATCGACATGGCCTTCAAACATGCTAATCACTCGCAGTATTCCGGCAAAGAGAACCCAACACTAGAGTCTTCAATCGACACCCACGTGAAAGAGCTAGTAGAGTTGGTGCGCAAGTACGCCACCCCTAAAGCCTCAACCACAACATCTAAACCCATGGACTTGGCCAGAAAGATACCGTTCTTCACCCTGGACGTCATCAGTCATGTCGGACTGGGTGAGGCTTTCGGAGATCTCAAAGCCGACGAAGACCTCAAAGATTATCTGACTTCAAGTGAGCAAGGCCTAAAAATTTCAAACACAACTTTTGCCATGGGCATAGCGTGGCTCAGGGAGATACCCATCATTGGACCCGCAATCAGTCCGTCGGAGAAAGATGTGTCCGGTTTTGGTAGGATGATGGCCGAAGCGCGGAAGATTGTTGACGGGCGGAAGGCGAAGTCCACGGAGAGCAAGTCTGATATGCTTGCATCGTTTGTAAGGCATGGCGTAAGCGGCGAGAACCTTTTTCAGGAAGCTTTTGTGAGTAGAACCCGTGGCCACTGCAGGTGAGATATACGCTGACATATTTTCCCCATCTTTAGGAGCAGATTCTGGCAGGGTCTGATACGACGGCTGCTGCTATCCGAATCATTATGCTCTATATTACGAGCCACCCGCGTGTTTACGCAAAGCTACAGACCGAGATTGACGAAGCTGTCAAATCGGGCATTGCGTTGTCAGGCGTGGTACCAGATGCAGAAACGCGTCGACTGCCGTACCTGGCCGCTGTCATTCGAGAAGGGCTCAGAGTGAGTTGTCCCCGTTCATAGCTCCTGTCGAGCTGCACTGTCCTCAGATAGTATTTCGAATTCCTCCAGGCTACTTATCTTGATCTTTCCTTTTACTAACGGGACGTGTCGCGCTAGGTGCACCCGCCAGTAGTCAACCTTTTCTCCCGGATCGTGCCAGAGGGGGGAGACGTCGTGACCATAGATGGGAAGGAGTACCACATACCCGGCGACACAATGGTCGGCTATGCAGCCTGGAGTATGCACCGCAACAACCGCGCTCTCTACGGCGAAGACGCTCACGTCTTCCGCCCGGAGAGATGGTTCATTGACGAGAGTATCCCAGAAGAAAAGGAGCGTCTGGCAAGGATGACCAAGACCAACGACTTGATCTTTGGATATGGAAGATGGCATTGTTTGGGACAAAATATCGCCTTAATCGAGATACACAAGTGTATCTTTGAGCTGTTTCGGCATTTCGATTTGGCGCTGACGAATCCACAACAGCCGTGGCATACCTTCAACTCGATGGGTCTATGGGAGATCACGGATATGTGGGTAGATGTTACCGAACGAACGTAACTAAGCGATGAGAATGTTTTTTTAGGGAGCTTCTCGTACGTAGGTAATGCATTCATGAGATACACGGGAAATATGACCACGACTTTTGCCTTCAAACCTGTAAATGCCCGACATAGCAACGTGCAAGGGAATCCCTACCATACTCGCTTACGAACGCCGACCGCGGCAAACCTCCGTTTAGCGGCTACTACGGAGCATGCACTACTCTACGGAGCAAGTCCAGAGATCTGATGATACCATCCCTCAATCTTGCGCAACGCGCCCCTATTTATGTGCCTTCGCACTCGGCGTATCGAGCCTTTCCCACCCGGCTCCACCATGTCGAGGCTTCCAACGACCGTCATGGGCCGAGCTACGAGCCCAAGGAGCAGCAGAACTCTGATGTGCAGCAATCAAGTGTAAACCACGATGAGAATACAGTAGATGACCAGCCGACTGGGATACAGCTGCTGTCAGGCACACAACATGCTCCAGCACCGCCGCTGATGCGCAATACCGCGCCTCTAGGACACTTCGATATGCTTCCTCCACCAAATTCCACGCATACCTCCTGGCAAGCACTCCATGACTATGCCCAGTCCCACGCCTCAGAGCACGGCTACGCCCTCTCCATAAATACTACGGCCAAGAATCGCTCCCGTATCAAGCTCGCTTGCGTTTGCTACGGACAGCCCAAAAATACACACAAGCTCACGCCCGAGACGCGTGTGAGAAAGAACAGGGTCAGCTATAAAACGGGATGTAAGATGTGGATAGAGGGCAAAAGAAATGACGATGAGACATGGATATTGAGGGTGGGAGAGCCGGGGCATAACCACTCTGGGAGGGCAAGCGAAGGGTGGGCGGTGCAGAGGAAGCGGACCTGGGGTGTTGTCGGGGGGAGGATTGGGGTTGGGGGTGTTACAGCGAAAGAGGAGTTGGCTAGGAGGGCTGTCTCCGATACCAAGGGCGTTAGAGATGAGTGTGTCGACGAGGACGAGGGTAACGATCTAGAGTCTGGTCAGCAGGGCGAGCCGAGTCACAGTCTCGAGCGCGGTGGCCTAGTGTGGGACATTGTCGAGCAAGAAATGCTGCGAAAGGGCGAGCCGAATCAGGGACGCGATCGAGGTGTGGGTCGGACAGTCGAAGTACTTCAGGCACGATTACCAGGCATACACATCTTCAAGCGTGATGTGTACAATATTCGGGCGCAGATCAAGAGAGCGAGGAAAGCAGCGGGCCAGAAAGCAGGGGACAGCCTCCATGAAAATGACGATGAAGGGACTGAGGCTGGGGCAGAGGACAATGTCGATGTCGAATCTCCTGAGATACAACAACACCCAAAGGCACCCAGCCAGCCCGATCAGGCTAATCGGCGACGTTCAGAGCCTATTGCCACAACCCACAACAATCTACAGGTTGACCCTTTGCTCAGCACACGATTCAGCATAGACGCTGCATCTACGTCGGCTCAAACACAACCAGGCGAATACGAAGTCGGACAACTGAGGCAGGAGAATGCAGAATTGAAAAGAGCACTGAGTGAGAGAACAAAGGACCTACAGGAGAAAACCATGGAGATTGCAAGATTACGCTCGCAAGTCGAGTACATGACGAATATGGTATTGTCAAGATGAGAGCCGGAGTGTTTGGCTCGTGAAGCAGCGTGTGTATTTTTTATAGATACCCAATTATCATTTCGGTTGGGGGACTGTAATGATGAAGTGTGATACTCGATGGTCATCGCCACACACCTTAGAACCGCCCCCTGAATCAAGACCGGTACCTGCTCAGTTTTGCAACCATGATTCGATGTGAATAACCTACGAAGTATAAATGGAATACTTTGGCCTGCTCTTGAAATTTTAGGGAAAAGAAACTATGTTAAGTGGGCAATAGCTATGCATGTGGATCTTTGTGAATCAACTTGACTCGAAAGCACGGGAAGCAACACGCTCAACGTAAGTAAGGATGGCAGCATTTTGAAAAATTCGTGGATAGTAACAACAATTGTCGAACTGCTCCATTCACTTGCTTGGGTTTATAGCTTCTAACCTCTACGCAAGCTGAAAAGATGACCTCAGGTCCTAGTCCGTCAGTACTAAGTGCTGGGTTCAGACGTCTCGTCGAATTGGCATGATCACTTCTTCACGTCATGCAAATGTCAGAGAACAGACAGAATGGAGAACTTGACATGGGTGTATTGAGGCTCGGGTTCATCCTGCGACGGTTAGATTGACGATCAATCACTCCGCTTTCCGACTGCCCACCCGAGTGTGTGCCACAAGTTTGTAGGTCTCGTTCTTGTCCATTATTTGGAGAGAGAGGTTGGCGACATATAGCATGACATGAGCCTTAGATTGTGGAGTAGTGTGACTGAGCGCCTTGCTGATCGAGGGATTGCCTGTCACCGTCCCACGAGCTGGCGAGAGAGATATATGAATATATATATGCCTCATTCCACCCAGCTCTTGACTACCTCTTTGAGAGATATTGCTTCTTTCTGCCCATTCCAGGTGTGCACTCGCTCGGAATCTTCGGCCCCTTCCTGTGGGTTGACAGCTGTCGCCGTGACCTTCAACTCACCATGCTGGACCTCGACCGAAATATCTTTCGAGGCAGTGGAGCCCTTTTTGGTTCCCCTGCTGACGATCGTAACCCTTTGGCCATGGGTTTTGATGACTACTCGCGAAGAGTATTCGCTCTTGACTAGCCTATGCGCTATTTGAAGGGTGAGGATCCAGTCTATGTAGGACTTGACCTCTTCAACGACCGAAAACTTCAACTCCTGGAATAGCCCAAGATCCGACGTTAGCGAGGATGGCATGGTGAGTTTGTGCTCTGTGCCGAATGTGGGCTGGCCGACTATAGTTCGTGTAGCTATAGTCATGCTCTCCGATTGCCCACTCCATGATGGCAGAGTCAATGTAGCCCTTCCGTCGAATGGCTTCATAAATACATCGAGCAGTTGATCAGTGGCGGAAAGACCTTTTTTGGAGGACTCTTTCAGGCTTTCCGTAAGCTTTGCCCAGGAGGTTTCGAGGGTCGTTGTTAATGTCACATCTAAGCCGGCGCTGTTCAATGTCCTTGCGACAGTTTCGAGATAAACGTGAAGAGAGCCAACACCTTCAAGATGGCGGAACACTGCTAGTAGAGTGCGAAGTAATGGTGGTGGTGGCTTCTCTCGTGCTCGTCCGGTCAGCGGAGGTGGGAGCTGGGATCTTCGGTAGAGGCGCATGCTGTGTTCGTGAGCGAGGAGAAGGCGTAACGCTTCGGCGACGTTCTGCGCGAGCCAATCATGCGAACGCTCTTGACCGCCGGGAACAGAATCATCTCGGGGAATACAATCGATCAGCAGCTTTCGAGAATGCGATGTACCACCCATTCGCGGTGCATCCACATGTATAACTGAATCTCGAAACTCGACTCCGTAGGCTAACAGTTGTCGTGTCTCCAGGCTCATCTCGTGATATAGTTCCTCTTCCAACAAGGAGTCCCGCGCGAGTTGAATGGATTTCTCGATCGGAAGTTCTTTGCATTCGGCTTCGATTGGAAGTTGTGATGTGCCTATGATCCTTCCGTTCTCGCTGATCCTCACGCGGAATGTCTTGGGCTTCAGTCGCAGTGCTGGGTCTAGAATGATGCTTCCGTCTTTGTCCATGTTCAGAGGCGCAAAGCCGCGTGCCTTGAAGTGATCGCTCGCTAGATCCGGGTCAGTTTTGGATACATAATTCACAGTCTAAGAAGAAGCATACCTTCAGGAAGGCCATAACGCACGCCAAAGGGCACGTGGCGCGCATTTTGACGCAGTCGTTGGATTGGCCAGCCCTTGTCAGATACAGACACAATCTCCTTCCAGTACTTTGTCTCCCTGCGTACTTCCTTTTCCAACTTCTTCGCTGCTTTGAGTATCTCGTCTACCGCAGAGTCGAGCGATTCCATCCTCGATCCTTTTGCCGCGACTACTTGTCTGTCCTCTTGTTCCTGCAACCTCAGTATTTCATCTGGCTTCCGCACGTGAAATTCGTGATTCTCTCTGCTGATTCCAAACGAACCAAACGGAATGCCTTGACTCAACCCCATTTCTCGAAAAGTATGGCTAAAGGATGCCGCCGAGCGCTTGTTCGGATCTTGGGACAGCACGAGCGAGATAAGGTCGAGCGCATTTTCTGCAGCAAACTTGGCCCATCTACCATTCGTTAGTCTAGGTCGCATCGTACAGGAAGGGACGGTTCAGTCATACTCTAGGTGTCCGTACATCTCCCTCTGCGCATTGAAGACCTTCTCAAGCATCTCTTGCTTGGTTGGAGCATCCTTCTCCTTCGCACCCGACTCCACGTCTTCCTTGGCCTCATCTGGAACGTCTTTGCCTGCAGCAATATCCTCGTGGAGGGACTTCTCGGTGATGTCGCGTAAATGTCCCCGTTCAGTCGTGAGCTGCTGGATTTGGAGGAACAAGTCTTCCTGGCTTAGCTCCTCCTTCTTCGGTGCTGGCCATGGTCGCAGTGTCACGTCCCTCAACGACTCGGTTCCAGCCATGGCTCAAGTCGTCTCCCCAGCTCGTGGTTCGGTTTGTTGGTATTTCGGTGGTTCATCAAACGCAGTGGGGTCCTTGCGTGTAGGTAGGTCGGAGCTTAGCTCGGTAGCGCCCGCTGCAGATCTGGCTGACGCAGGGCAGGGCAGCTCACTCGTTACATACAGCGACATCTAATTCGAGGTAGATTTACTATCAGTAAATTATTCCCATAAAAAGCTCGCATGCATAATTTACACTTCTCAGGAAGAAGCACAGCTCCAGGGCTCCACCTTCGCATTGTTCTTTCCTCTTTCGGCTAACGGCGGTCTCCGGTAAATCAGCTGCAGGTGACGGTGACGGGTCAGAGCTCACCGTCTGTCTCACTCTCTCTCCTCTCGTATTCTATTGATCAAGGTCCCTCAACATGACGACAAGATACCGTGTAGAATGTAGGTGGAAATTCTATCACTGAGAGCCCTCTAGCCCTTTGAAATACTACATCGAGATTGGTTTGCTAACTTGATCGCCATGTAGATGCTCTCAAGGTGCGTTTGAACGTCCAGACTTCGCCAGCGAATTACGACTACTAACAGCGTTAAGACGCATCGCAGAGACCAGCTTGTAAGTCTTAGCCCTTGAAACAAACGAGGGCATTGTCTAACGTTATTCTAGATTGAATGGATCAAGGTATGGTCTAGACTGTGAAGCCCAATACTTCAGTATCTGACATCGACAAGGGTCTCTTAGCGGTTCCCTTCGTCTTGAATTCACACCCGACAGCAGTCTTTGAGCCAGATGGAGAGTCAGTAGATCAACAAGCCAGTATCGCCCAGCGGCGATACGCTGAGATTATGCGTGATGTCGAAGAAATAATCAACGATCACAGTGAGTTGGTCTAGACTACATTGGTTTCGAACTGGTTACAAGAAACACATACGTCTTAGAAGTCCTGCGCTGATCATACCGAAATAGTCGAACATCAAAAGGTCGGCAAACGAGACCGGTCAAAGCTGAGGCTCCTCGTTCCGACGGTAGCAAACTTCTTCACGCCCCTAGCACTACATGACGCTTTCATCTGGCAAGACCAACGCCGCTCTATCAGCCACCGTCGCTTTGTGCCTCCTTCATTCAACGATATCCGTCTAGTTTTGAACACAGCTCAGGTGATGAGTCTGGTTCGTGGTGGGCCACTAGACCTGGTAACATTTGACGGAGATGTCACCTTGTACGACGACGGACAGTGTCTCACTCCAGATAACCCAGTTATCCCGAAGATTCTGCATCTTATGCGACGTGGATCTAAAATTGGTATCGTCACGGCAGCAGGGTACACCGAAGCCAAGCGTTACTATGAAAGGCTGTTCGGGCTCCTAAACGCTATTCAAGCGTCTGACTTGCCTTTAGAGTCCAAGCAGAATCTGATTGTTATGGGAGGCGAGAGTAATTTCTGCTTCAAGTTCGATGGAAACAGTGCCGATATGTTACGATTGGTACCAAGGGAGGAATGGTTGCTGAAAGAGATGTTGTTGTGGCATGAATCGGACATCACGGAGCTTTTGGATTTAGCGGAAGCCTCTCTGACAGACACGATGAGAAACTTTCGAATGGAGGCCATGGTTGTTAGGAAAGAGAGGGCGGTAGGTATCGTGCCCAAGGGGGGCCATAAGTTCTGTCGCGAGACGTTGGAGGAGACGGTCTTGATCGTACAGAAGATACTGGTATGTCCCTCGTATGTTCCGATAGATTTGGTTATTGACAGACATGAAGGAAATATCCGAAGTTGGCCAGCGACTGCCATTCTGCGCCTTCAATGGTACGTATGAAGCTAGCTTATTCTAGAGACGTACTAACGTGTAGCCCAGGCGGTAACGATGTGTTTGTCGACATCGGGGACAAGTCCTGGGGTGTTCTAGCCTGCCAACGGATCTTCGGAGGCATTGAGGGCGGCAAAACGCTGCATGTTGGCGACCAGTTCCTAAGTGCGGGAGCCAATGACTTCAAGGCTCGATTAGCCTGTACTACGGCTTGGATCGCGAACCCGCAAGAGACATGTCAATTGCTGGACGAGATTGCGGAGCTGGACGAAATGCAGCAACGCAAGACGAGGTGAACAAACAACGTCGTCCACGAGAGGCTGTGTGGCTAGAGACGACATGAGCCGTGTCCGAAAGCGAGGGCCATGGTGCTAAGCAGGATGTCAGGGCACAGTCGGCTTTTGGAGAAGATGCAGTATCAAGGCATGGAGAGTATGCAATCCAAGATAGATGAATAAGACCCTCCCTTTCGATATGCGGAGGGCAATGACGAATTGAGATGCCCGTCTAGTAAAACAGAAGGTTGCACGCTTGACCCTGACTCGAGACGGCCCGCAGCTTCCTGTTCTGGGCGTCCCGCCAAGTCCTTGTGCAGCGTTGCTGTGGAAAAGGCGCAAAAGGTACAGTGACCCTCATCGCTGCGCCGCTTTGATCAGGACGGCTTCATTTGGCCGTACCATACTGCTTTCCCAAGCCATATTCCGTTGTTGCTGCGGAGCCATAGCTACTACGTTCACGGCGCACCCCCAGTCCGCGCCTCGTGTTGTGCAAACAACAGATCCCTGCGACGCCTTGTAAACCCTGTCAGGGCTACGCTACTTCTCCACAGACAGCAACCTCCTGAGCTTCCGCCTGCCTGCGGCTATTGCGACATTCATTCACCTCTCTACGCCGAACCCTTCCACCAGCCATTGCCTCCGGATCAGTGGGATTCTCCTCGATTGATCAGCGAGAACGACGACACCCTACACCAGCTATCATGGCGCCCGGCAAGTTCGAATGGAAGCCGCTGACGCTCAAGCCCATCAACTTCTCTCTCACAGAGGGCACCTCGATTCCCGCGCCGCTGGACAGCCCGCCCGACACACCTCGTCCTCCTACACCCGGAAAAGGCCCTCTGTCATCACACCCCACACCAAAGTCGCCTGGCTTCCCACCCACCAAAGGCTCGCCACAGAGCAAAGAGTCCCAGGACTCGGCAGCAGGAAGCCATCTTCAACAGACGCGTACAAATGATGCGGCTAGCGGACCGCTGTCGCCCACAAGCCCCTCGGCCAGGCGGCCAGCATCGGTTCGAAAATTCTTGGGCCTTCGCACACTATCGTCGTCAGACAGTCTAAAGTCAGAGAGGCCAGGCTCGCCGGCTACAATAAACAGCCAGGCGCCAAGTCTGAACAGGAGGAAGAGCGGCAGCTGGTTTGGCAAGAAGAAGACGTTCAACGTTGGATCGGTACCAGAAGGCAAGGAGAGTTTGACGCCCTACGCCAACGGTCGTGCGGCCTCGCAACCCCCGGCGCAGCCAGTACAGCCACCCAAGGCCAAAGGGCCACCACCCCCGGCCCTCCCCGAACTAAAGTCCTTTGGTGTCAACAACGACTCGCTGAGTTTAGGAGGTGATGATATGTTCAAAAACATAAAGTAATACACAACAAGCGAATTTGGGACGGTGGCATGTTCATGATGCATTTCTAACGGATCTTGAGTTTAATGGCTGTGGCCATGGAGATGGAGTTTGAAAATTGTCCGATTCTTCCTTTGGCTTGCATATGCACACGATACCCCAGTCGAGACAGGATAGCGCAGAGTGGCATGGACGGAATACGTCTTGGGATAAGACTTTCAGATGGCTGGGGACAAAGCACGAGACTGGCAGCCACCACCTTTATATTTGGCTTCACATAGGACGCTTGCGGGCATCTTCTACGTGTACATTCTATATAGCGGTGCCCCACGCTGTTAGACACTGCATATATTCATTTCCTCTTTTGTTAATTCAAGTCTATTCTCTGTGGCGGTCTTTGTGAGATACTCTCCATCTAGTGTCAATTCCACCAACCATGTTCCACCAACCAATGTACCTAGGTACGGTCCTGTAGCTTATTATCCGTGGTGGGAGAGGTAGTCCACACGTGGCGCAGACCAATGGAGGTGGAGGGGGCGTTGCTGCTGCCCCTACTACAGCGCTAGTGCGGAAGGGGGTGCCACAACAACAAACATGCCAGGCGCATCATCAGCCCTCTTCAGATGTCACAGCCCTACCGTACTTAACATATAGTATTACTACACGCACCCCTTAACAAAGCAACTCTACGCGTGGAACAGTACTGGAACAACAACACATGCAACTATGGCCCAAGAATCGGGCATGTTCTCGGTCCGCCGGCCGCGCGAGGTGAGTTCCTGCCCGCGCACCCTTCCTGTCGCAATTCACCCACCAGACGCTCCTTCTGACCTTTGGCGCAGACCCTCGGCCCTGTAAACAACAACAGCTCGGCGATTCCCATGCCGGCGTCAGCCATGAAGCGCTCCAGCTCGATATCAAATCTACAGCAACCCCAGTTTCCACCGAATCTGGCACGTTCGCAGAGCGGATCTAGAATGTCCCTCGCGCCCAGTCGCCCCAGCCAGCCGCTCTTCCAGCGCTCTTCGTCTGGCACAAACCTCGCCGAGGGCTTTCCATCGGCCCATCGCAATTCCATGAGCAATGTCTTCGGCACAGCAAGCAGCGGGAGGAAGAGCTTCGCACCGGGCGCGTCAGTCTTCCAGACACCAGCGCCGCCCACATCAGGGCTGAACTTCGAACAGAGCGCACAGCGGCGGAGTAGTGTATTCAAGTCGCGCACATCGCACGTATCCGGTCAGTCGGGCGTGAAGCAGTCTTTCTTCCAGACTGCACCCATGCCCGCAGCTCCACCTGCCGATCCACGACGGCTAAAAGATGCAAGCACGCGCGCCCACATGGCCCAAGAACTACTCGAGTTCTTGACACACAATAACTTTGAGATGGAGTCTAAACATGTCCTCTCTAACAAGGCCATGACGTCGCCGACACAAAAGGACTTCAACTGCATGTTTCAGTGGCTCTATAATCGAATTGATCCCAGCTACCGCTTCCTAAAATCAATCGACCAGGAAGTGCCTGTGCTACTCAAGCAAATGCGCTACCCGTTCGAAAAGTCCATTATGAAGTCGCAGATCGCGGCTGTTGGTGGAAACAACTGGTCGACCTTCCTCGGACTGCTACATTGGATGATGCAGCTTGCGCGCCTTATGCAAGCGTACGAGTCTGGCACATACGATGAAGCTTGCTTCGAGGCTGGTTATGACGTCTCCGGAGACCGCATCATTTTCGACTTCTTGTCAGACGCATATAGCACATGGCTGTCGGCAGAAGATGATGACGATGACGAAGAGGCGCAAGAACGGCATATGAAGCCACACATCGATGCCATGGCTGCAAAGTTTGACATGGCAAACGCACAACATCACGAGCAGGTGAAGCTATTGGAGGCTGAGCACAAGTACCTCCAGGATCAAATCGAAGAGCTGGGCAAGTCTGGTCCGAGGATCCAGAAGCTGGAGGAGCAGATCCGAATCCTTGAGGAAGATCGTGTCAAATTCGAAAACTACAACAACTCGATGGATGCGAAGGTCAAGAAGTATTCCGATCGATGCTCATTCCTTAACAAGTCAATTGAGGAAATCGAAGCCGAGCTGGAAGCATCTGAGAAAGAGCAACAAGAGCTCCAAGCCATCATCGATGGCCGGGGGATGACGGTTGCGGATATCGACCGCATGGCTAACGAGAAGGATCGCCTAGACACCGCTCTTCAAGCCACGTCCACCCGCCTCGAGGAGTCGAAGAAGCGTGTCGCAGAGAAGGAACTCGCCGCATCCCGCAAACTAGACGAGCTTGAGCAAACCATTGAACGTTACAACAATCTTGGCTATCAAATCGGCGTCATCCCCTCCACAGCCGCCAACGCAAAGGGACAAGATTACGAACTGATCCTTACTGTCACCGATGGTCCCAACTTTTCAGGTTCGCAAATGGGCGGCTCAACACAGGACGCTTCAGACCGATTGCTCCACGACTCCGGCACAGGGTATTCCCCTGCTCATCTCCTCAACCTTGATTTACGGGGCAATGTCAAGGCGAATATACTTGCCCTGCGTAAAGAGATTGCCGAGCGCAGGAATGTTGCCATGGAGGCGGATATGAACAACCATGACCTGCTCGACAAGATCAAGGAGGCTATGGACGACAAGCAAGCCGAAGTCGAAGCACTAGGCCACCGCGTTGCGCAGGCGGAAGAAGAGTTGGAAAAGCTACGCGAGATCACAAACACTCAGAAGTCGCAGTCTGATGCGCAGATTGAGCGGATGGAGAAGGAGCTGGGCAGAATGCGCAGCGGTCTTGGAGAGTCTGTGCAACTAATGGTGCAACGAGAAATGGCTGTTAACATTGAGTAAGTGTCCTTTTCCTGTCCACGCAATCGCAACCATCACGGTGCTAACAGCTTTAAAAGGCACGAACAACTACAACTACGCGCCAACTCCCTGCGCGAGGAGCTACACACAGAGATTGAGCGAATGCTCGATGATATTGTGCGCTTCAAGCTGCATGTTCAGCGTAGCTTGGAGGAGTATGAGCAGTTCATTGCCGATGAGGTCGAGCGAAGTTGTGAGGAGCAGGATCAACTTGCTGAGAGCGGGGAGGAAGAGGTTGATGAGTAGAAATGAAGGCGCCCTTTTGAAACGTGAGGTTTATGAGTGTATGATGGAGTTTGGTGGGGTTTTGTCATTGAATTTGGCTTGTGCTTGTTGGCTCCTCTTCTTCTAACGCCGCTGGATATCTTGGCAGTTAGGGTTGAAATTGGCTGGGATGGTTGGATGACTTCTGAGATACCTCTTGCTCTTTGATTGGATACGGAGTTGCGAATTTATTGTTTATATAGCATCGTTGTTATGCTACAACAGCTCTGTGCCTCCAAATTACTCCCTATGTCTTTCCAAACACGAAAACACCCTTGCCTTCCCGATACCCCTCGAGAGTGTCTTTGACCTTGGCAATCAGCTCCTCCCCTTTCGTCTCCCACTCCCACTTGATCTCATCCACCGGGGTATCCTTGAACTCGTTTCTACGGTACATTTCCAACACATCTGCAACTGTTGCCTGTTTATCTTCTGGGTTCTTTTCCGCCCATCTGCTGACCCAGAAGCCGTGGAAGTGTATATCCTTGAAGATGAGCATGGACGCTGGGATCGTCAACGGTTGTTTCGACATGGCGCCGTAGGTAACAAAGTGAGACGACGAGGAGAGCAGTTTCGCCATTGCAGTCGCGGCTTTGCCGTTTACGCAGTTCAGTGCCAGGCGTATCTTTTCACGGCCGCCGTTTGTCCATTCCTTGCTTATATCTCTTATGCCCTGGGACTGCAGCTCCGCGTCTGTGATGACCACGTCTGCACCCAACGCCTTCAATTCGCTCTTCAGTTTGTCTTCTCCAGCTTTGTCGTCTCTTCCCCGGATCACATTGATACTCTTATACCCCCACTTCTTCCCAAGTTGTATCGCTGCTCTCCCTACTCCTGAATTCGCACCGTTTTGGATAAACCACTCGCCCTCCTTCAACGTGGTGAAATCCCGCAGCATGCGATACGCCGTGCAGGGGTTTATGCTCACAGTCCCCGCCTGGATCGCACTGATGCCCTCTCTCATCTGATCATCTAGCTTCACAACGTCCCCCGTCGTGGCTTGCGCATGCGTCCTCCATGTGCCAAACCCAGGACCCTTCATAAACACCCAGTCGCCCTTTTTGAATCCTTCCTGCTTCACTTTATCGCCCAGTGCAATAATCTCGGCGACGCCCTCATTTCCCGCAACTGCAATTGGGTTTGGGGTTGCGAGGGCTGTAGTGAATGTTGGTTTGGAGGGGTATACGCCTTGGATTTGGTTGATGTCGGCGGGGTTGATGGGGCTGGCGAGGAAGCGCAGGGTCATAAGATTGCTATGCGGCGGCGAAATGGAGTGGCTGTGGAGGGAGAGAACGGCTGGGGGGTCGCCATAGTCCGAGAAGGTCAGGGCTTTGGCTTGCTCGTAGCCGTATGCGGAGATGTAGCGGCGTTGGGGGAGGTGTGAGGGGGCGCAGGACCGGGCTGGGAGTTTACGGAGGCATTGCTTCGTGAGGCTTGGAGCTGGAGAGAAGAGTTTGAATGCCATTAGCGGTTACAGGGCGAGTAAGCGATTTGGTGTTTTGGCATCGGAGAAGGGAGCTCTCGGAGGATGTTTGCGACTTTTTGGAGCTATGACGTGGGTCCAAGCCGAGGCTTGGTGAGACTGCATCACAATGAGCCACGCGTAGGCTGACTGTTCGCGAGTAGTGTTAATTTGTTCGAAGGAAATATACCATCTATTGCTAGCTAGACAGTTACCCATACCATGATGTCTGATCGCCCAATCGCCCCAGAGCTTCAACAACTATAACCGTTAACGTCAGCAAGCACCAATGTACCACCAGCCTTCGGTCTAATAAAACTAGACATCATGTGCACTCGAACCCTCCAAATTTTGGGAAGATTAGTCTTCAAACCGCCTCCAATTTCGGTTCGTATTTGCTCACAACGGTTTTCTGCCAGACCCCGTTCCTTGTCCACCATGACAGACCAGAGTCTCATTCGCACTTTTCCTGTGGACGGCTATGGGTTTGTGGCTCAGCAGGACAAGTTTGAAGAAGAAAGATTACCAAACTATCATGCTGAGCGATTTTATCCCGTTCAGATAGGTGGCGTATACAATGACCGATATCAGGTTCTCGCCAAGCTCGGGTTTGGTACGTCGTCAACTGTCTGGCTATGTCGAGATCTACGGTAGGTGCTCTTTCGATTTTTTCAAGGATCTCTTCTCAGCAATTCATATGGCTTGCATGATCGTCTTTCGCTAAAATTACCATTTTATACAGAAAGAACATATATCTTGCCCTCAAGATATGCACAATCAGTAACAGCAACAAGACCGAGAATCATGCTGATATTGAAATTGAAATTTCCAACTATCTCAAATCAATAGAGGCCGACCATCCTGGCAGGGATTTTCTTCGACTTACCGTGGATGACTTCAGACTCCAAGGACCACATGGAATGCACCAATGTTTACTGTTCTCACCACTTGGTCTCACTTTCACTAAATTGCGTAGCAAATTTCCTGGAGGCTCTATTCTAAAGGAGCTTGTCCAACATACATTACAAGTCATCCTTGTTGGTCTGGACTTTCTTCATCAAACAGGCGTGGTGCATACTGGTCAGTGCTTGCATGATATATGTATGTTTCTGACATAATCTAAACTCAATCCAGATCTGTCTCCAAACAACATTCTCCTCGGTCTGACAGACCACTCTGTGCTTGCCGATATAGAGAAATTAGAGCTTGAGCAGCCATCATACCGCAAAGTTCTTCCAGACCGTGTCATACATATGTCACATACCCTCCCTATTACCAGCGGTCTACCAGCGATTTGCGACTTTGAGTGCGGTAGAATTGGAGAGAAGCATTCTGGGGATGTGATGCCTGGACGATACCGCGCGCCAGAGGTGATCCTGGGTATGGAATGGGATTCTAAAATTGATATCTGGGCACTTGGACTGATGCTTTGGGATTTTCTCGAAGGACGGACCTTGTTTGATGCCGCCAAAGATGGACTCCTTCACGATGAACGGCATATTGCTGAAATGGTGTCCTTTATTGGTCCGCCACCGAAAGCCTTCTTAGAAAGGAGCGAAAACTGTCGGAAATATTGGGATATGGAAGGTATTTTATCCACTCTCTTTAGCTCTAAGATCTGCTAATACAGCCAGGGAACTGGATTGCCGAGACGCCCGTTCCTGATCAATCACTCGAAAATCGGGTAAAAAGCTTGAGTGGAGATGACAGAGAACTCTTTCTTCGATTGCTCCGGAAAACTCTCCGCTGGCTCCCAGAGGACCGACCGGCTGCGCAGGAGCTGTTTCAGGATGAGTTTATCTACCAAGATCGACTCGTAGGAAGAACAGATGCGAGTGGCAATGCTTGATCCGATAGCTTTACTATAATTGTATCATCACAACCGAGGTAGATTTTCAAAGGAGTATATAGGTGGATTTTAGGAATGCTAGACTGGACATTTTTATAGTTCTCTCTTAAGTATTCCGAATGACTCTAACTCGGTGCAACTCACTTGTACAACATCTGAGGCGTCGACCTGCTCATACATGAGGTAACAACTTCTACACCATCCTCGACGGAAATGGCCGCGTTAAGCATATCATAAGGGCGGTGCCCAAGGTGCAAGATAATTTGCTCTCCACAGGGTCCATGAATGTGTCGCAAGACCTCTCTTATTGTAATAGAACCGTGAGCTCACAAAAGCCTCTTGCAGGTTGAAGATTGTTGATTAAAGGAAAGCATTGCCAGTACAGGGAGCCGAGAGCCAAGCCGCAGACTCTGGGGCCAGTTAATCTTAGACTATCGCATCTCTCAGAGCTGATTAGAGCCCAATTTCAGGCTCTCTTCATGCTGCCCAAGCGCGAAGGACGAAACCAGACACAATCACGAGGAGCTCAGGCTTAATCAAGCATCATTCGCGATTTGTGCCACCAGCCACGGCAGCACCGCCCCGCCGACGTCATCGCGACCACCCGCAACTTTTACGCATACGCATACGTCGGCCACTTCGCCCCTCACCTGACAGGGATATTCAAACGTCACTACCGCAAACCTACTACAAATACCTAGCCTGCTGCCGCTTTCTAGATTTTACTCTCACACCATCACACTCCCATATCCTCTAACTTGTATCACTTCTGCGTTACACGTACCAAACACACAAAATACATCACGATGGCTTCCACGGTTAACGTCGAGAACATCTCTACCAAGACAAGCGAAGATGAGATCAAGTCCTTCTTCAGCTTCTGCGGAAAGATCCAGTCCCTCAGCGTAAAGTCCACGGGCAACGACACCCAGTCCGCCTCCGTCACCTTCGAGAAGGCCGCCGCCGCAAAGACCGCCCTCCTCCTAGACAACACACAGCTCGGCCCCAACTCGGTGCAAGTCAGCTCAGCGAAATCCATCGACGAAATCGCCGGTGACAAGGCCGCGTCTGCCGAGGAAGCCAAAGACGGCGACAACACCATCGAGCAGGAGCAGAAGCCCCGCGCCCGCATCATCGCCGAGTACCTCGCCCACGGTTATGCCATCTCAGACAAGGCAATCGAGTCTGCTCTCGCCGTGGACAAGCAGCACGGATACAGCACCAAGTTCCTGAACATTCTCAACAACTTCGACCAGAAGACGCAGGCCACACAGAAGGCGCAAGCCGTTGATGCCAAACTCGGTGTCACCAACAAGGCATACGCTGCCTACAACAGCCTGACGACCTACTTCGACAAGGCTGCCAACACACCCACAGGCCAGAAACTACGAGGCTTCTACGACCAAGGAAACAAGACAGTCGTCGACGTCCACAATGAGGCCCGCCACTTGGCAGACCTTAAGAAGAGTGACAAGAGCGGCAAGCCTTCAGCGGAGGAAAGCAACGTGCACGCCGTGTCTGGCAGTGACAAGACGCAATGCAATTGTGCTAGTGACGCTGGCAAGTGCGGATGTCCCGAGGGCAAGTGTGCATGCGCTGGGTGCGCAAAGGCATAGGATGCTGATAGCGAGTCTGCCGCTGCTACCCACGACTTGAGTTAGATTCAGGATGAAGGTTGTGGAAGGCGAGGTTTCTGTTTTCTTAACGTGATTGATGATTCCCCTTGGTTATACAGTCTGTATAAGTTCGCGTGATAGCGATGGCGAGGCGAGACGTGGAGTTTCGGGGGCTTAAACTATTGTGTAGATGTACACTAGTCCCTCAAAATTGACACTCCTATGATATCATTGCACTTCTGCCGTGTTGCTGCGTGAGTGGAGCTGAAGTATTAACATGTTGTCACAAGTTCAATTAAAAGACCCGATAGTTCGTTCAATGATAAGGTAAGGTATAGACATGGAAAAGGCGACAACAACACGTCTTTGCGCCTTGGCTCTATAAACGTAACAATAAGCATCGAATCATCGCTCCCAACAATTACACACCAAACCACTCGAAATCCAAAATCAGCCCCAAAGACACATGAACATGAACAAGAAACAAACAACACAACTCCTAAAAGCTATTGAGAAGAAAAATAGGCTTCTAGTATCCCCACTCCCCAGCCTCGAGCAAACTCTGACTAGCCACGAAGCTGAACCCGCCAAACGGATTCGTCGGCGTATCATTCCACATGTCATCAAACTTCTTCGTAAGCACTGGACTGAGTGGAAGATCTGTAAAGTCCTGGGCAAAGTTCTCAGCCAAGATAGGATCGGTGATGAGCGGCTGAATAGGCGGCTCCAGTTCCCTGGCCTCCAACTTCTTCCAGTCGATTTTGCGGAAGAAGCGGTGATTCTTGACGGTTTGGAGATCCTTGGGCATGTTGAAACCGAGACGCTTCTTTGGCTCTTTGCGGAGAAGGCGGGTCAGGAGGTCCTTTGCGTCGGCGCTGAGATAGTACGGCAAGCTGAGCTTCTGCTTGACAATCTTTTCCTGGATCTTGGCGTTGTTGTTGCCCGCAAAGGGCGGAGCGCCGGTCAGCAAGTCGAAACCCAGCGCGCCGAGGGACCACCAGTCCACAGCCGCGCCATACTCAAGGCCCTGCACAACTTCAGGTGCCATGTATTCGACAGTACCGAGGAATGAGTTGCAAGGATTGTCTTCGTCTAGGGAGACTTTGGAAAGGCCAAAGTCGGTGAGCAGCAGGTGCCCTTCGGAATCCAGAAGACAGTTCTCGGGTTTCAAGTCGCGGTAGATGACGCCGACTGTACGATGCAAATGGTCCAGGGCGAGAATCATTTCGGCCATGTAAAAAGCTGTTACGTCTTCGGAGAACATGCGCTCGGCAGCCAGATGATGGAACAACTCGCCACCCTGCGCGTACTCAAGAATGAGGTAGAGTTTCTCGTGATCTTGAAAGGCGTAGTACAAGCTCACGATGAACGGGTGTCGGTTTACGCTCTCCAGAATGTTGCGCTCCGTCTTGGTCTGCTCGATGAGCTTCTTATGCACGGTAATCGATGCCTTCTTGAACTGCTTCTGCGCGAAGAGACGGCCTGTAGCGCGCTGTCTGACAAGTAGAACGGTGCCATAGCTGCCCTTTCCAAGACACATGAGCGGCTCGAAGTCGTCGGCCGTCATCTTGCGCGACATGTCGCTGCTGAGCATGGTAGACGTCTTGGAGAGTGTGTCGCCATTGAAGTCCTCGACGAGGTCGACTTCGTAGCTTTCCATCTCTGTGCGGTCGCTGTCGCCCGAGACACTGGTGTTGCTGGAGAGCCCAGATACAACTCGAGACATGGGAATGGCTTTCATTGGAGAGTCTGTCCTGGGACCCAGGTTCAAGGCCTCAAGCTGGGCCTTGAGGTTGGTGATGCCTCCAACGGTAGACGCTGGCCTCAGAGCAGGGCTACTGGTGACGCTGGGAAGTCCAGATCGGACAGGGCCAAAGCGCGGCGTAGCTGCTATGGAGAAATCCGACTCTTCGCCACCGGAAGTGACGGGCGTGTGGAAGCCGCGCGTGATATTGGTAGCTAGATCACCCTTTGCGGTCTTCTTTTTCTTCTTCTTGTTCTTCTGTGCCTTCTTCATGACCACGTCAAAATCCAGCTTATCCGACCCTTGCTGCTTGCCCTCCAGGTTGGGCTGCACAGCGCGCTTCGGGAAAGGCGACACAATGTTGATGGGCGGGGTCCCCACGTGAAGAGGCGCCTTTGGCGGGCTCATATCCATCGCGTCTGCCGTAACTATGTCGTCGCGGACTATGGGTTCAGGCGCTTGTTGCGCTCTGCCCGGAAGATGCGCATCGTTGTGATCGAATGCGAAGAGCCCCATGAGGGCGGCGGTGTTAGAGATATGCACGAGTGCTTGCTCTACGGGTTAATCTGCGCTTGGTTCTGCTGACTCTGCGCGCTTCGTATTAGTATTCGCAGACGTTTAGAGATAGGGGCACTGCGCACATCCAACTCCGGTCTTGTTTGCACCAATATTACCGTCCGCCTTTCACGGCGGACCGGCCTCCCCTACACAGGGATTCACCAGGCTGGCGAACGAAGCGTCCGTCTTGTTGAGTCCCGACTTCAGTGTGCTATAGGGGAGTACAGAGCCAACCAGGGTGATGTGGGCGGGGAAGAAAGAAGCGGTCGCGGAGGGAGAAGCAGAGCCCATAGATGGTGAGTAGTTGAATAGTCTACTGTCGATAGTGAAAGCCAGGTTTCGGTGCCTGGCTGGGTGCGTTTGCGGGAGTGGTATGTCGGGGTGTGGAGTGTCTGGGGGTGAGAGTTGGAAAAAGGCCAGCGATCAGCGATGGAGGCTGAAATTCCCGGTTTCTTAATTTGGGGCCTTGGCACCCTGGATGCGGAGAGAGCGTGGCCAGGGTTGGCATGTGAACAATAAGCTTACCCTTAGCGGCTGCCCGGACCCAGCTCCCCATCCACGGAGATCAACGAGCAGCAACATGCAAGCGATTATTTATTTATCGACACTCCTGGTTGCTGCCATTGTACGAGCCCTTGGTCCATCGGATTGCAGTACTTACTTGCGCCACGGACCGCACGCGAGCGGCAAACCAAATTTCGAAGCGCCTGCTGCTCAACGGTGGTTTCTCATTACATGACGCATGGAGCGCAAAAGGGATGAAATGACAAGCCGCCATCTCTATCCCTTCAATCACAGTCCCCGCCTGTCTCGCGCACTTGGACGGGCGGTACTGGCGGTATTAGCTGAATAGCTAACCGGGTACTACCGCTAGGCGACCCGCTCGTTTCTGGACCCCACCTTTCTTTTGCAATCTCTGCCTCTGGAGCGCCGTTGTCGGTTCGCAGAGCAGATGGAAGCTTGTATAACAGTATATATATTATATAATCTTTGAAAAGAAACAAAGAAGCCAACCAGTTGTTGAACTGGACCGCGTTCTTGGCCTAACAGCCGGTCGCCCTCTTGGCTTAGTGGTAAAGCGTATCACTAGTATTGAATGCTATGATAAGATCGCTAGTTCGATTCTGGCAGAGGGCATCTCTTTTTGCCTATTCCATGTCAACTCCACCCAGTTGGAGTTGTCTGGCTACACATCCTGTTGATACCAGGACTTTCCCTCCAATCGTCGAGTCAGAACAGTTGTTACAATTTCAGTCTTTCGTTCTATCTTTTTACGCCAAAGGGCGGATATACAATCACTTTCCTTCAGGGTAGCGAATACCTTCACGGTCATGCAACCGCCCACTCTTATTTCTTTCATCGCTAACCGAATCACCCCTTGCCTACGCGTGGGCCGCTACCCTCTAAACGAAATGTGTCTCTGATGGATACGACACATGGATGTAACTGCTGAGTATGCCGAGCTATCGACAGTCGTCTGTCTGCGACTATGTCAACTACCCATTCTTCCCGACGTCCATGTCATACCAATTGCACTGACTGTACACTATTCTTGAGGTGTACACACACGCATGACGTTGGAGAATCCGCATGATCTCTCAACGGAAATGATCTTTCACTTGGGGCATTACTTCAAGCATCTCGGCTATCATAAAATCGTTGATGTAGATTACTACAACAGGGTATCATACAGATATCGTACAACATGAAGCGATATGTTGCCAGCACATACTAAAACAAACTGTTATCCCCACAGGTAAAAGGTCCGTTCAAGGTCGTATTCGGGTCATTGAAGATGTCAAGCAGTGCCTTCAGCGACGTATACAGGCCCCCTGCGTTTAAGAAAAGCGTCATAAGTATGATCGCGTAGTTCACAATGGCTAGAGCCGTCTTCCTTGGCGTACTCCATTGTGCCTTCCAGTTCAAGTGTAGCCAGAAAATGCTCGTCAGGCCAAAAGTAAACCAACTAATGAAGATAGCCGACGAGATATTGAGGATCGACGAGAATATGGGGATCGCGTTTGACACGACAAACGTAACGATCCAGAAGGCCGATCCAATAGCGACCCAGAGCGTCCAAGTAAAGGCATTGTGTTCATTGACTTGATCAGGCTTCGTGTGGCGCATGATGGTGATGTACATGTACTTGATGGCTGTGATGCCAATGACAAGACCAGTGCCCAGGACGGATGGGATCAAGATGCCGTAGGCAATTTTCGCCGACATTATGGGCGCGGAACCAAGTGCGGGAGATTTGACTGAATTGCCGGCCAAGCCGTAGATGACACACGCAACGGCAATATAGACCACGACTTCGAAACTCTTTTGCATGAACAGGGCTGGTGGAAAGTCCTTGGGCGCGTTACGCATTTCGGCCATGACGGAGATAAAGCTCTGGTTTCCTGCGAATGCGAAGGCGATATTGAGGAGTGCGTTCACAGCCTCGACGAAAGTTGGCTTGCCAACTAGCGTGATCTTGGTATCGAAACCGGGAGGAGCCCGTGGCCCAGATACTCCGAGAGCGATCATGACGATGAGGACGGCTGCAACAATGGAGATTGTGCAGACCCAGCTGAAGGCAGCGGCGAACGTGAGCTTGCGCGGGAGACAGAGCAGCCAGCACACAATGTGTGGAAAGGCCATGAATGCTACGGTACTAGATTGGCGATGTAGTTAGTATCATGCAAGTACGAGATAATGCAAGGGCTTGCTTACCAAAGGGCGTGATTCGAAAGCGTGTTCAAAGCGACCGACATGGTGATGTTGGCCGAAGCGCAGATGAGCACCAGGTTGAATATGAACGCCACACCAAGGAAATACTCAAAGGGCTTGCCTCCGACATATTGCGCGCAGTCAACAAGGTTCGTGACCATTGGGTATCGGCGGTAGAATTGAACCAGAATGTAGCCACAGTAAGTCGTGAGGCCTCCAAACCCAAGGATTGCGATAATACCAGGAATCAGCCCGAGCGTCTTGAGAGCCGATGGCAGACTGAGAACACCGATGCCGACTTCGATAGTAATGAGGATGACGCATGCTCGCCATCTCCCTAGGGTACGGTAATTCTCTCCGCCCGCGTTGGGATATTCGTTGGCTCCAGCGTGCCCGTCGCCTGTCCACCCTGTCTGAATCTTCGTATGTTGTCCGTAGCCTTCTTCCATATCGTCCTTCTCTGATCCCCGGGAGTAGGATGGGGGGTTCTCAAGAGATGGCCCACGCCCATCTTTCTTGAGGAAGCTTTTGATGCCCATGACCGCTGAGTCAATGGTACCGATGTGTGATAGAAATGCGAATATGTGCAAGTATCATGGTACTCATCCCATGCGAACCTTATAAACGATCTTGCCTCCTGTATCGGCCACCACGGATCTACCGCACTGCGTCATGTCCGCTAGCGTCCGAGTCCATCGTGGGAGATCGGCCTTCGATGGATCGTTGCATAAAGGGCGTTAATGCTCCCCAGATCTTGCCTTCTTCCGACGGATGCGCGTCAAATTTGGCATTGCGGAGAGTAGGATTGGGGGAACGGAGCCAGTATGGCTAATCACGGTGCTATAGTGAGGATACCATCGCTGCACGCTGCGAGATCGCCAGAGTGTTCATGTCTGGCAAGACGAGTGGGTCGTCATGAGTAATAGTTTGGTGGTCAGAGGTAACTGTAACTTCTTGGGATCCACATATCACGTAAAACCCTTTAAGAAAACTTCTTTGCCGGGATTGACCTGCTTGGCATCACGCTGGAGTGGCCCGAGGTAGCCGCACTGCGGATGCCAATCGTATGACCGATGTCTATTGGCTTTGTGACGGTGCCGTGGTGTTCATAAAAGTGGTAGGCTCCTGACGGTGTTTGTTCTGTCGGGGGAGGTCGACGGGTGGATGATGCCAGTTCAGCCTTAAAGCGGGCGCTAGTGCTAGATGCGCTCCCGCTACGCCAAGAGCTCCAACAAGCTCTTCGGTCAAAGATAACACATGCAGTTCCGATAATATTGATTCTCTAATGGAACTTTTTCCGTTTCATTCCCACGAAGGTCCCATAAGCTTGGTAATCTAGGTGCTAGGTCGTTATCTAAGGACAAGGCGGCTGAAGACCACTATTTTGAGCGGCCGCAACGCATGACACTGGATTATTCTGTATGGTTCAGTTAACGACTCGCAGTAGACGGCTTAGCAAATGCAGAAAAGCACGAACGAGTCTGTAAGCTGATCGGCTGACCAAGTGTGGAGATACTCGGCACCATTTCGTGACCCCTTTCACCAAGGTGTGCTGACATGCTAGCAGACGAGAATGAGGACAAGTGCAAGTACGATGGGGCAACAAAGAGAAGGAAGTTTGAAGAAGCTTTGGTTTTGGGATGGAGGAGTTAGAGGGACCTACAACCCTTTATACTATATAGCTGAAGGTAGGATAGAGAGAATTAGATATATATGCAAATGAGCCACACCATAGCCTCCTACGATTCCTTGAGAACACCCTTCTTAGCTAGTAGGAAACAACGTTGTAAGTGTACGAAACACAAGATAAGGCTCCGAGCCCTGGTGGTTCAATGAAATGCGCAAAGAACCTCTAGTCCAACTATACCAACTTTGTACCTCGTATGCTCTACAATTGGCTTACGCCCTGATATACGAATTTTGGCCCTTGACTACTTGCGGGGCTACAGTGGTTATGTCTATAGCGGATAATAGGAAACAATATCCAGTCCGCCAAACAAATGCAGTGCAAGTTGAGGCAGCGTTGCATTTTGTGGCACAGGTCTCTGGGGTTATACCTGCCACGTAAAAGGAGGATTGCCCAGTGACATAGGTATACTTCCGCGGCGTGGTCTCACAATAGACCTTATAGCCCAAGGCAATAGCTGGACTGCAAATGTTGCTATTGGTGCTCGCAGGACAAGCCATAGAAAGTGTGCCGGTGTAGGGTGTGCAGGTAGGGGGAGTAGGAGTCGGGGTCGGAGTCGGGGTCGGAGTAGGAGTGGGGGTTGGAGTAGGAGTCGGGGTTGGCTCTGGCGTTGGTTCCGGTGTTGGTTCCGGTGTTGGTTCGGGCGAAGGAGATGACAGAGCAGAAGAGCTCGAGCTCTGGACCACCGAGGATAAGGAAGATGAGGGGGAAGACGAGGGCGAGGGAGAGGGCTCTGCTGAGCTCGAAAGCGTGATAGAAGAGCTCGAGCTTTGAACCTCTGATGTACTTGACTGTACGTCTGATGAGCTTGAGCTCTGAACCACCGAAGATGAGGTAGGCGAAGGCGAAGGCGACGACGAGGACTCTGCTGTGCTTGAAAGTATGGCAGAAGAGCTCGAGCTTTGGGCCAATGGTGTACTTGACGATACGTCTGATGAGCTTGAGCTCTGAACTACCGAGGATGAGGAAGATGAGGGGGGAGACGAGGGCGAAGGAGAGGGCTCTGCTGAGCTTGACAGCGCGGTAGAAGAGCTCGAGATCTGAACCTCTGATGTACTGGACTGCGCATCTGAGGAGCTTGAACTTTGAACAACAGAGGACGAGGTAGGCGAAGGCGTGCTTGAAGTCTCGATGCTGCTTGAAGAGATGGTGGAAGCATCGGTGGGGGTGGACACACTGCTAGACCCGACACTGCTGCTGAGACTAGATGTTGCAGAGCTTGAGCTGGAGATTTGAGGACTAGCAGCATCACAAATCTTGACGTATGAGTTTTGGTTTGCAACTGGACTACCAGGAGCAGTCGTGTCGATGGCGCTCAGTTGGAAGCAACTATTTTGCCGATACACAAACGCAACGCAGCCTCGGCTGGCATTCGCATCACAATTTGCTGCACATCCCTCAGCGGTGGAAGGGGAGGTTACTGGAACACCCGCAATGAAGCTATATTTTGTTGGCGTGTAACTGCAATAGATCTTGTAGCCGAGGTTGCAATTGTTGTTGTTCGCAGGGCAAGCAGATGCAAATGTGCCACTGTAAGGTGTACAGCCCGGCTCGTTTAGGTATGGACAGGCTGATGGAGACGGTGTGGCGGACACTGAGGCTGAAGAGGAGATGTCCGATGACGATGCCGATGGTGTAGTAGAAGATGGCGACGGCGTAGACGATATCGAACTCTCGATCGAGGAGGAGATGTCTGATGACGATGCCGATGCTGATGGTGTAGTCGAAGACTGCGACGGCGTAGATGATACCGAACTCTCGATCGAGGAGATGACCGATGACGATGCCGATGGTGTAATAGAGGACGGCGACGGCGTAGATGATACAGAGCTCTCGATCGAGGATGATGCACTGGTGCTAGACAGGCTCTGCGCTGACGAGCTGACGGATGTAGAAGAGCTTGAAGCGGAGCTGGTTGACTCAGGCGCGGAGCTTGTGGAGGAGCTGACGGGTGTAGAAGAGCTCGTGGAGGAGGAGATCACTGTAGAAGAGATTGAAGCGGAGCTCGTGGAGGAGACCAGTGTAGACGAGCTCGAGGACGACAGACTTTGCGAAGATGATTGCGACAGGGAAGAGCTGCTGCTCGACCTGGCCGTTGAAGTCGAGGATCTGGTGGTGGCAGAAGTACTGGATGAGCTGACGGTGTTACACTTTCCAAAGCCCTTCTGGCAGGTTTTGGCATCGCAGTAATCTAATTTGGTGAGTGACATAAACAGGAGATTACCAGAGAGTTTGAATGCTTACCATTTGTAGAGCCACAGTAGGAGTACTGGCTGCAGCCTGGAACGAGAGGTCAGCTCATATTCATCCAGTCATGGAGCTGGAATACACACAGTTACCCCACTTTGATCCCTGACATGTTTTCCCGCCGAAAGACGGTCCACAGCGACTGTTGGTAGTGACAGCCTGGGAAGAGGCGGCAGGCGCGGCGGAAGTCCTGGAACTGGAACGGGACTGGGGAGACGTTGAGCTGGAACGGGACTGGGAAGACGTTGAACTGCGTAGCGTGCTGGTCTTGATAGTTGTGGGAACTACTAAACAAGTTCCAAAACTCGGATTACAGCCGGTACCACACTGGAGACACTCATGTCAGTTTTCGTGCTGGTAATAAGATAAGAAGGGTCAAACTTACGTATGCAGTAGTGCTACCACACCAACCGTACCTTGGGACGAAGTTAGACAATGTTGTACAGTGGGTAGTGTATACGCAACTGGCTACAGCAGTTTCCCCAAGTCGACTTCAGACAAGTATATCCCTTGGTTCCACCACAGGTCGCATCCTTCGAGGTAGTTTTCCCCTGAGCGAGCGTTCCAAGAGGAGCAAGCAGAAGAAGGGAAGCGAGGGATGAGGTACGCATCGTGATTAAGAGGACGAAGCAAGATGCTTCAAAAACGAAGGTACAGACTGTAATGACAGACTACTCGCGCTGGATTAATTAAAATGGCTACACGAAGCTGTTGCTTTCCTAACTACGGGGGACGCCCAAATATATATTCTGTTGTTTGTGGCTTGGATGATGGGATGTTGGACTAGGTCCAAGCCAGAATAGGGTAAACGCAGCTGCAGAGTGATCTGCACATGGACGGCACATGGATAGCACTAAATCGACGGACTTGCAGCTTTAGGTTTTCGATATCGCTTCCCCATGACGACTAATTTGACGTCGGGATTCTGCTCAAGGCTGCCTATTGGATAAGATCTAGATTTAGGCGAGGGACAAACCAGCGCACTGGTGGGAATGCCGGCTTCATGACTTTCGAGATCTGCTTGTAGATCTAGAACGCTTACCTGAACCGTGACTTTCTTGATAAATCCCGATGTTCTTCATCTTCAGATCTCGGGACGAGTCAAATGATAGGGGTGCGCTAACCACGTCGAGCGATGGGGCTGAACGCCACTGGCCCTGCAGAGGGCTGAAAGTCAGCCGCGTTACTAGCGACGGTGGACTACTCGGTCGTTCTCGAAGTCCAGCCTTGCTGCCGAGCAGAATCTAACCTCGAAAATTGATGGCGTCCAGGAAAAGCGAGTCCCGAAGATTTACACTAAGCTCTTTTACGGTCACCCCCAGTTCACTTGCCAGATAGAGGAGCCGATTTCGAGTTGGGCTCCAGCCTAGAGTGTTGTCTTACTCGACCTGGCGCATATCGTGAGCTGGCTGTTCAAGAAATTTTCCGGTGGCTTGTCGGGGACCGCGAGGCTACCATAATGGCGCTGTTGGCTTTTCCTATCTTCCCCTGAAGGCCTTGACATTTTCTCTTCCTCTTCCTTCATATTCATCAGCTAGTTGCTTGTTGTCTTTTGTTCAATCGGAGTACACGCGTCTCATTTGGGTCATTTGCTCACGACCTTTTTGCCCACCTAGGGCGGATGCGGTGTCGCTTTCACTGCCGCTTTCCATTAATGATCGAAGAGACCCCGCTACCAGAATGGTGGGGACCCCTCAATCTGAGCTCTGCCCGCTCGTGTTGATCACTGAACAATCGCCGACTTCTCTATTCAAGCTTATCATTAGCTCGCCCCGATTAGAAGTAGAAAGGCGTCTTCGAGAGATGCGGTAGGCATTCTCCGTCGAGTAAGGTCGATGAAAAGCGAGTGAAGAAGCCTGCGCTGAGTCGGTTCTTGGTCTTCGCGGACAAGGTGCTAAGGCCGGCTTCCATAGACCCGAGGCTGCCAGACGCAGAACGGCTTCCACTAAGATTTTCAGCGCATACTGAGGTTACTCGGGCTTAGTCGTCGAGTGACAGCTCGTTATCCTCCCTCAAAGACTCGATGGCCAGGAAGAGGTAGAATGCCTAAACAGCCAGAGCGATGGGCGCTAGATCCGCCGTGCCGCTGACCACTTGTCTTTGGTACTCATAGCGCTTGGTGGTCTAAATTCTCGACATGAGTGCCTGCAACACTGCCAAAGCGCGACGATGTAAGATCAAACGGTGCAAGCCATTGCAGGTTGGCCGTCGAACGTTGAGATGAGGAGGGAGAAAGATGTCGTAGCAGTCCAGGCAACGATGCAGAGCGTCTTCCAGGGCTTTCAGCCAAGCTTCTAGCGGCTCTTCAACCGCCGCGCCGGGTCCCTGGCGGCGGCAAGCTAGTAAGGTTCCCCAATGCGCTCCACACCTTTTTCCTCAAGGACTTGTCGACGTTGGAGAAGATAAAACCGCTACAGAGGCGTGCTTTGCATGTGCGCGAAGCCTAGCGACGAGGATGGTTGAGTAGCAATTGCAGACCGCAAACAGGAGCGTGGAGGTTGCCAAGTAGCCGTGCCTGCTAACGGCTCGTCGCGGCCGATCGTCACCGGCCCAGACTCACAGGCACTGATTCGCTGGCTGTTAGATAACAAAACCTTCCTACCCTCCTCCACTTTCTCTTCTTCATTCCTGGGCTTCTTTTCGTGCCACTCGACTCTTTCGCGCCTCTGTTTTCGGCCACTGCTTACTACAATTGTTGGTTTTGGGGTGCCTTGGGCCAAACGCAGAGAAAGCTCTACTAACATAGTGACCCTCCCCCCGAGCTTGAGGACGACTGCGTGTTGGAGAAGCCGTAAGAACCAATCCAGGTTGAAGGATGCCATTTCTTACCAAACGAAGAACACGCCCTCAAGATGCTGCCGATGACGCATTCCCTACGTCCCAGCTTTTTCTCCTTGGTGCGTACCCCATACGTCGCGGACCACAACGCCCGTGACAGCCAGCCCGAGCCACTGCTAACGCCCTACTGCAGCCCTCGTTCGAGTCGCCGAACCCATCGCCTTGACATCGATACTGCCATACGCTTGGAAGCTTGTCTTAGACTTTCATGTGTGTTCCGAGTCGAATGCGCCATTGTTTGCTGGCTTGCTCATTTCTGCCTGTAAGTTACACGGCCGTACGAATTGCATGTGAGGCATATACTAATATCTTACCTCATCTTTAGTCTCGCTAGCTGAAGCATGCAGTGGCATGTACTGGGGCGGCGTCTCGGATCGCATAGGAAGAAAACCAGTGGTTATCTGTGGATCTCTTGGTACACTGTCTTCTCTACTACTCGTCGGTCTAGCTCCGAACTTCTGGGTTGCCCTCGCTGGCAGAATTATCGGCGGTGCTCTCAATGGCAACATTGGCGTCATTCAGACGATGGTGGGAGAGATTGTCAAGCGACCCGAACACGAACGTAAGTAAGATCAACGACCACACGAGGATATCCGCTAACCAGAGCCTAGCACGCGCGTTCGCCGTGATGCCGTTTGTTTGGTCAGTGGGCACGATTATAGGACGTAAGAATCCTCCCAACTCCTTGATACTACCAACTTTTGATGCTGACTGAATAGCCACCATTGGTGGGTACTTTGCCGATCCAGCCCATAACTTCCCGTCTCTGTTCGGTACTACAGGTCTTTTCGCAAAATTCCCATACCTGCTTCCAAATCTCATTTGCTCCTCTTTGCTTATGCTTTCCATCGTCATGGCATACTTCTTCCTTGAAGAGACCCATCCAGACAGACAGCCACGAGGCCATTTCGAAGAGTACGATGCAGCTGTCGCGGAGACCCCACTTCTCCCAGCCCAAGGCGCCACGGCCGACGCTCCAACGAACCTGACGACAGATTCATACGGAACGTTCAACTCGGTTGAGATTCAGCATGATGAGATATGGCGTGTGCGGTCCAATGGCGATTGGATCGAGCCGCCAGCCAGCGAGAAGGTGTTCACAAATACCGTGGTCATGTTCGTCGTAGCACTCGGTATCTTTACCTACCACTCTGTAAGTCAGTTGTACATTTACGCACAGGACTGGATCTTTTCGTGCAACTGCCTACTTTCTGTTTCGTGTCGCCCAATGCACCGAACACCCCTAGGCTAACCTACCTACTTACAGATGACATACGATCACCTCCTCCCTATTTTCCTCCAAGACAAGCGCGCTGATGAAGACTTCAACGCACTCGAGTTCTCCTCTTCCTCGCTAGGAGGTGGGCTCGGCATACCGATTCAGAACGTCGGCATCATCATGTCCATCAATGGGATCATCCAACTGGGAATCCAAGCATTCGTCTTCCCTCTCTTGGCTGACTGCTTTGGCGTATGGAGACTACTGCTTATGGTCACCGTCGCCCACCCGATCGCGTACTTTATTGTACCGTTTTTACAACTTCTACCGGCCAATCTGCTCTATCCGGGTCTCTTTGTTTGCCTGACTGTTCGGAATCTGACCTCGATTATCGCCTTTCCACTACTTCTAATAATGATCAAGGAGGCTACGCCCGACAGGTCCCACTTGGGCAAAATCAATGGATTGGCTGCTTCAACAGGCGCTGCCTGCCGCACGGTTGCGAGCCCTATCGCTGGTCTCCTTTACGGTATCTCCCTTGAGTTTCACTTCACACCTCTGGCCTGGTGGGGCTCGGCCTTTGTTGCCATCGTCGGTGCACTACAAGTCCCATTCCTGAACCGCGCAGCGAACAACTGCCACGCTCGAGTCCGCACTGCTGCTCGATGCTGCTTATCAAAGGATCGTCCGCGAAACGACGTAGTGCGTATAACCATTGAGGGCGAGGAGTAAGACGAGAAGACGCGGATCGGAGCGCGGCCGGAGATAGCGATTCAGCATCAAAGTGTTTTTGAGCGTTTGCAGCGTGCTGTTTTTCTTGTGAGCTAGATTGCATGTAGGACTATGATCCAGCATTACGGCGTTTGAAGACGACAACTTTGTCAACAGCCTGGACGGCATCGGCGTTGGGCATCACCTTTATCTTTAGCGCAAAGCATCACCGGCGTTGGGATGATTAGCATCGGCGTATGAAGTTTTCCCTCTAGAAGCATACTCATCATGTCCATATCAGGTATAGATGCAATCAAACGTACATTTGTTTCAAAACAACCTTGGGTTGCAAGTGGACTAGAACACCGCATGAAGTAGGTAAATAAGCACGATCCTTTGTGGGCTTCTATGAACATGGTGTATCGTAGAAGGACTGGGTTCATGAATAGTGAAACCAGAAATAGAAACGAGTGGGGATTTTGAAAGACGAGGCTTTGTTCAAGGTTTGAAACTGGAGATGTATCAGCCTCTAGAGGTGAGTGTAGTTTGAGAGCGGGAACACTGCAAACAAGGAGCTCAACTCTAGTTTCCCACCCTCTCTGATTTATGCGCACATTGTGGAACCGTGTGCAATGGTCTGGGTGCTTAGGCTGCGTTACTAGAAAGAGGATGGATGGACATGGCTTCGGCTGTCCTATCGTGGCCTTAGCTTGGGGACCCTGCACGTGCTTCGCTCACATCGCGTTCGAGTGGCATGAGAAAACCAAACAGGCCACAAACAACTGCATTGCTTCTCCACCCCTCGGCTCCCCTTTCGTATTGCAATCAAGCTTTTGATGCGCGGCATCCATAGCCTCTGGCGGCTGGCCTCGGAAGCTTGTCGTTCGGGGGTGCGGAACACTCGTGAAACGGGTCTGTGTAGCTATTTCGGGGAAACAGCGTTACGCTTGGGGTTAGCGCAAGGGGAGAGTGACATGATACACCTAAACGGGTCATGTAAATAGCGTGGAACGGCTCTTTTGGAGTGTGGGTCGAAGAGGATGCAGGAGTAGGGGCATGTGGGCTGTGTATGGCGAGACACGGGCGTCGGGAAAGAAGAATGTCACGACCGTCCAAGGCCGGATTTCCGAGATATTCGAGATCTATCAGAAGAGAGGCGGCAGGGCGCGTTGCCAACAGTAGGTCGACAACAGGGACGGACGCTCTCTGCGTGATTCCGGCGCGACTACAACGAACGAAGCTGACCCAGTCGAGTAGGCTTCCAAGAAACGACGTGACGCCCTACTTGCTCGCCCAGTTCGAGGCCCTTCACATGATTGGCTTGTACCTGCATAACTCTTTACATACGCCTGCTAGTCAGGGCGTTTCAGGAGGTCTCCCCTGGCGCTCGCTTATCCAGTACCTAAAACCGTTCGGCATCTGTATTCGACCTCTTCGCAGACCACCTCGGCCGCGATCTAAGCTATGTGGGCCTACCGAGCGCGCGACAAAGCATCGAGGCCTTGTCCATGGCCGTGTGGCTGAGTCGTCTTGAGCATGTTGCCTCTGCCGTCCAATCATTTGTGAATGTGCATCAAATGTTTTGAACTGCTGGTTTCATGCCCGTGCATGAGGGTCGAGTATATATCTATCGCCTTTGTCCACTACAACAATCAGTATCCTCACGGTGCTTCATCTTAATAACACTCATTCCTACTCCTTTCGCTTGTTTAGTTGAATAAGGTGCCATTCGTTAGGCCTTGTTCACTTTCAAGTCTATCCTTCGTTACTTCTCAACACTACATAATCAACATCACTTCTTACGTTCTTTTTGGATCGCATATCTTCTTTCCATTCTCCCATACGATTCAAGTCTCATTCGGATTAGAATCGCTATGAGGACCACGTACACTCTCCTCGTTACTGGGCTCGCTGCCCAGCAGGTCGCAGCGACCTGGAACTACTACGACAACTTCAAGACGCCGCAGTACAACGACAATGAATGTAGCGACAAGCAGAAGAGCGGCTTCGACTGGTCGGATCTCAAGGATGGCGACCAGGACTTCTCCTATGGAGACTTTGATTTCTCCGGCGGATGGAGCTGCTCCAGCTCCTTCGGCAAGCGTGATCATGTCACCAAGAGGACCTTTGGCAACAAGGTCATCAAGAACTACGTCCGCAAGGACAAGCCTGCTTCCTTTGGCTGCGGACAGCGCAAGTCTGGATTCTCCATTACCGACATCGATGTGAGCGTCGAGTTCGACGTTGATCTCGAGCTGCACTACACCATGACCGATGGATCCAAGTGCAAGAGCTACAGCCCATGCTCCGCAGGCGGCTCCACGATCAAGAACACCCAGTGCGGTGGTGCCAAGTCGGTTGACGTCTATCTTGGTGCTCACTACAAGGGTGAGAAGAAGGAGTGCGAGATCGGTTTCCACCACATCGGCTTCGACTGCAACCCCGGAAAGGGATACACCCCACCGCCTCCCCCAGAGGTCCCCGTCTGCCACAAGTGCCAGGAGAAGTCTACCAGCGTGGCCACCCCGCCACCAACCGAGTCTACGGCTACCCCCAAGGTCTCGACGCTTTCTTCAGCTACCCCTTACTCCAGCGGTTCGCCCTACACCAACAGCTCTGCTTCAGCTTCTCCCCCACCCCCTACGCAAAAGACCACTGTCGTGCCTCCCCCAAGCCGCGAGAGCAGCACCGTGACCCCTCCCAAGGAGAGCTCCGGTGTTCCATCGCCACCTCCTTCCAGCAGCGGTTACCCAGTTCCCATTACGAGCTCCGCTTCTTCCACTGGTCCTAAGCCTTCTACCCCAGCCTACCCTCCCGCGTCCCCACCTGATGTGCTCCCCAAGTGCATGAACACATGGCTCGCAATCGACGCGTCTTGCAAGAACAATGCCGACAAGAGCTGCTACTGCGTCAACCCTGAATTCACCAAGAACGTCATCGACTGCGTCTCGGCTCGCTGCGACACTGACGAGGAGACCAAGAAGGCGCTCCAGTACCTCATCGGTATCTGCGCAGACTATGTCCCCAAGAACCCCAAGATCATCGAGGACTGCCCGCCGTACATTCCCTTGAACCCGGCTCCTGCTCCTACACCCTCTGCTGGTGTCCCCACGCCTTCTGCTGGTGTTCCCACACCTTCTGCTGGTGTCCCTACGCCTTCTGCCGGTGTTCCAGGAACCACACCCTCTGCCTACGTCCCAGGCAAGCCTGCTCCTCCACCTTCTGCCGGTGTGCCAGGAAAGCCCGCGCCTCCACCTTCTGCCGGCGTGCCAGGCACCGTCACCGCCACCGCTCCTGGATCCAGCGTGACTCCCGCACCCCCTGCGCCACCAGCCCCCGAAGTGCCATGCACCACCATCACCTACGGAACGACCTCGCTCACTGTCCCCCAAGTCCACTTCACCACCCAGACCCCCGCGGTTACGGGCCCGAAGCCCACGGAGCCAGTAGGTCTTGTTCCCGGACCGCCCCAGACCCCCGCCGAGACTACCGGTGGTGGCGCTCCTTATCCCGTTCCTACCACGCTGGGCACCAAGCCCGTTCCCGCTGGTACAGGCACTGGAGCGTACCGCCCCTCGGCGCCAGCTGAGTTCACCGGTGCAGCATCGTCTCTGCACTTCGCACCCCAGGGTGCCTTGTTCGGCGCGGCGCTCGCCTTCTTCGCCTTGTAAATGTCTACTTTTCCGACTGAAGTGTGTTAATAAGACCATATTTCCCTTTCTCTTTTGTTGTTGTTTGAACATGCATTGTTTTGCGGGTGGGGGAAATGCAACGCCTTTCGTAATAAGTCCTCTGTAAAGGCATTTCCTTTTGGGATATTCATCACATAGTACAATATATGAACCGAGTTCCACACCAAGATGTCCACGTTCGTTGTACCCGTGTTTCGTGGAGTAATTTGCCGCATGTGCTGCACTGCACGGCCCTGGCCAGAGTGAGACACGTCTCTGTGCATTGATCGAGAGATAGCATGCACAATCTTGCGTTTTTTTGACGGATACTCTCCAGAGTGTCTTACTCTTCGCCGGATACCCGCGGGTTGAGGCGTTACCGATAAACTCTCATGCCATTATCCGTGCTCTTCGAGGCTCCTGCTTGTATCCACCAAGGGATTTGTACGCTTTCACCGAAACGAAAACAAGGATCCCCACAGCTCCAGACCCCCTGTCTCACGTATCGACCCATGCAGAGACTTCTAACATCCAAAGGCCTACTGCCGAGGCTAGGAGATTCCCTAGATTTTAGCCACCGTATCGTCAGCGTCACTGTTCTCGTGTCGAATTTAAGCCGTAAGCCCAAAAGAATAAAAAAAGACTGATAAACACGCAGGTCTAAAGAAGAGGAAACCTCAAAATGTGCATGTACAAGTGGCATTACAAAGAGTAATGTAGACAGCTAGACAGAATCCCAAGTCTCTCAAAAACGCCAAGATAAGTACCGTTGAAGAAAATGATGATACCCTGAAAATCGCTCAAGCGAGGATCAAATGTGTGATATCGCCCGTGCAGCCACTCGCTCCTCTTCCAGTTCTTCTAGCTAGAACAAATTCGATCAAGAAGCGCTTTTCGCTCTTCGAGAAAGGCCGCCTGGTCCTTTGTTCTGCCCCATGCTCGTTCATCCACAATCTCATCCCTTTCTTCTCTGTCTTCGTTTGCTAACAGCACTTTCCGCCCATTCCCGCGTTTCCTCCATCCGTCCCGCCAACATCCACCTTTGGCTGCGCTGTCTGGTCCGTCCGCGCGGTATCAATCAACCTCGTCTTAATATCGCTCGCGAGCGAGTAGAAGGCCTTGTCCACGTTGATGTTGCTCTTGGCGCTAACTTCGAGGAATGGGATACCAAGTTCGTCTGCGAGGGCTTGGCCCTGCTCTGTTGAGACGGCGCGCTTCTCTTCCCAGTCACACTTATTGCCAATGAGGATCTTGTTGACGCCTTCGGTAGCGTGTTGTTCGACGTTGGAGAACCATGTGCGGATGTCTGTCTCGTATTTTAGCATGTGTTATCTCGCTATCGTTGTCTGTGCCCGTGCATCTTCCACTCCTCGATGCTAGAACGGAAAGTGTCAGTAGGTAGACATACTGTTGAAGCTCCTCTCGTCGGTAACATCATAAACCAGCAGAATGCCCATGGCACCCCTGTAATACGCCGTCGTAATCGTCCTGAACCTCTCCTGGCCTGCGGTATCCCATATCTGCAGCTTGACGCGCTTGCCGTCGAGCTCAATGGTCCGGATCTTGAAGTCGATGCCAATGGTGGTGATGAACGAGGGCGTGAACGAGTCTTCGCTGAAGCGTAGTAAGCAGCACGACTTGCCTACACCTGAATCGCCGATGAGAAGCAGTTTGATCTATGCGGGAGCGTTAGCAGCTTCACCCAGGGTTAAGAAGGCGGGGGAAGAGCAGAGGAGATAGGACCGGGGGCGTGCAGGTAGGGTAGGTGCGCGCAGAGGGCTGCTTACAAGAAAGTCGTAATTCCTGGAGCCAGCCATGTTTATGTATGGCCGTCGTCGTTGTCTGCGTTATCGGCGAGAGTGGTTTGCGGTGCTGCACCCGCTGGGGGAGGATGTGCGGAGAGGTTGGGATAGCTGGTGATGGTGGAGAGGTGCGGTGGCGATAGGAGTCGTCGTAGAGCTAAGGTGTAAGCCGAGGACAGGTGTCTCGTCTCGGTGGGCGACAGTTTGTCAGGATAGGCAGTGCAATAAGGTGTTTGGGGGAAGTGGAACCAGGTGTAAGGCCAAAGGTACGTTGACGTTGGGGGCTCAAGCGCCAAGCGGCGAGCCACGCCCGCCTAATCACCTGCCACAGCCGAGTAGTGTGAAAACAGACAGCTTGGTGGCGACCACCCGTTGAACCTGCTTGCTCACCCCAAGTGGTTGGCAGTATATTAAGTCGTCGCTATGTATGCTAATCACTAATACACTTCATCCCTTCACCGCCGTCATCGTGGCCTTTCCATGCTCACGTGAACCATTTCGAGTAGGCCCATCGAATCCGCTCCACCACTTTTTGCTGCCGATCAAGACCACTCCGAACATCGACAAGCTCATCTATTTCCACCAAGAAATCATGGAATATCCGTCTCGGGAGAATATCGCTCGCAGCCTGTCTCAGTAGATGCACTTCACAGAGGAGCAGGCCATGGTCCTTGTACGATATCTCGCCGAACTCTGTAGGCGTCGCACCCGTGAGTATGCGGTCAATGTTGCGCAGAATGAGTAGCATGCGGCCTTGCTTCGCCCACCTCTGTACGCCTTTGCGACTGCTGAAGACGCCTTGTAGCCATCTGTAGGCGCCAATGCTGACAAGCAAACCTGGCGTGAGCCCAATGAATCCAAACAGCAGCTCCTGGCTTTTGAGAATGCTGTCGATGCCGCTCATGGCAACTTCCACGTCGACTTTGGTCTTCTGGACCTGGATCAGCAGAGCGCTGGCCAGGTTGCCGACAATTGCGCCCTTGACTGGGCTTTGAATGTCCCTCTCGTATGATCTCAGCACCGTTGTCAGATCACCCTCCCTGACTTTGGCCCTGATATCAGCGATCTGTGTATCGTTCAACGCTGGACCTTCAGGATTCTTGACAGCAAAGTCAACCACCATGCGTTCGAGGCTCGCGCGGTCGGCTTCCAGGCTGCGTTTGCTCATAATGGACACCTCGCTGTCCTCGTCATGGCGGATGGTGCCAATGACCTTCTTAGCAGGCTCGATCACCCAGTTTGACCAGAAGTCAATGACTGTTTGTCCGAATTCGCGTATCCAGTTGAGGATCTCTTCTTTTCGGTTGACGAATATGCGTAAGATAGTAGTCGATGAGATCAAGAGTGCTGCTGCTGGTAGCCAATACCGAATGAGGCGCGACGGCCGTCCGTTCTCCTTTACGACAGCGTTGAAGTTCGTCGAGTAAGTGGGTAAGGCACGCCGGAGTAGATACTCAAGACGCTCTGCTACATCTCCCGGTCTCAGTGTGGTCGCCGTTCGCTCACCAGTGGGCTCATGCAATTCGTAATACTGATCGTCTTGAGTTATGCTGGCGACTGAATCGTCGAACTTATCGACGGACAATTCTGCTGTGTTAACGCTCTGGATGACAGCATCCATGAGGGCGATGCTTTTCGAAACGGTACTCTTCCACCTGTTTCTGCTACTGTCTTGCGTGTTGAGGAGCCCGGGGGATTGTGTGCCGTCGTCCTGGAAGCTGATCTTTGTTAGTATGGTGTTTGCAAGAATCATAATCAAGGCTTACCTCTCGTTGCTCAAGCCCTCGCCCAAAAGCACACCAAGTGCATTGGCATTGATTAGCCGTATCTTGCGTAAAGCTGCACGCTTTTTTCTGCCCTCATTCCTCACCAGCGCCAGCGGGCTCACCACCCTCTGCTGGATGTTGGCAATACTTCGCTCCTGCACAGCATTCTTGACCAAGCCATAGAACTGGCTCCACCCGTCGGCTAGTTGACCACCTCTTGACCGCACGTCATGGTATATTTCCTGCGACCACTTCCACACCCGGAGCGGCGATGTCTGTATCGAATATAGACCGGCAAAGCGATATGTCGAGAGGATATCATCCCAGTACCATATATCGTCTTCGAGCGGAATGGTCTGCTCTAGAATTGTGTTCAACACCTGTCCGTAGGCTTGCGTCGTCGCTTTGCTTAGCAGCAGCCACTCCAGCTCATGCTCATAGCTCGCGTCCGCCCTTGTATTCTCATCGCTGTAGCCGTTATCCTCGCCCTGCGTAAACCATTGATTGCACGTTGAGCAGCTACTCGATATCTCTGCACGTTGCAGTGTCTCCAAGATTCGTCCTGCGGGGACGAGATCGGACTTGGACGAAGCTGTTGTGGATAATGACTTGATTAGGTTCTGGAGCTGTGCGATGCGTGCCGCCTTGGCCGGGTCATGAGCCTCTTCGGCGGTAAGGGTCGAAAAGCTGCCGCCGGTTCGCGTCGTTGACAGCTGTACCCGGTCGAGCTGGCTGTCTATGCGGCGCACCTGGCTACCATCATGTTAGCTGATGCTGTGAGATTCTGACAGGTGTTCCCAAAGCCTTGGATGCCGGCAAGGAATTACTTACTCGACTACCAACGACATGGCTCACCGATTAACACCTGCTGGAAGGTTGAGCGAAATTGTTTGCTTGAAGATTGATCTGAGCCAGCATGTCGCGCGCCTTCCCGCTCCACAAAAAGAAAGCCTCGGATGACGTCGTTGGAGGCTCGTGCTGTGCATTCAGCCATGCCAACACTGCAAACCCCTCTAGAAGTCGTGCAAGTTCAAATCTATTATTCACATACGACGATATTGGCAAAGCTATTGTGACTACTTCTAATGGAGTCGATAATCAAGGCCCGTGTTTCAATTTTACCTTATGGGTATTTATCCAAGTAAGAACTATGCATATGGACACTACCCTCTGATCTAAACCCAAAATATGTCTCGTGTTGCAACCAAAGTATCTCAGCACGAGTTAGAAACTCTCAGAGTGTAGGAAGTTGCCTCATACCACCATCGAAAAGCTAGATCGCTCGTATCTGTCCCCAGCTTCCCTACAAGCTAGCCTTCCCCCGACTCTCGAAAGGCAGAAGCAGCACCAATGATCCGGCCGCGATGAATAATGCCCCAGAAACATAGACTGGAGCACTCGTCTCTAGGTTTGCAAACATGGCGATGATTGGTGCCATGATACCAAAAATCCTGTTCGCGCTGGCTGTGATCGCATTGCCCGTACCTCTGTCCTTTGTTGGGAATAACTCTGGCGTATACGCATACAGAACTGCATACATAATATTCGAAAAGAAGTTGAAAGCACAGTTCCATCCTAGAAGACTGTTGGAGTTGAGTGCGGTGGTGGAGCAGAACAAGAAGACACCGGTAAGGACGGTGGATGCGGCGAGAGCTCCTTTTCGGCCTATGCGTGGTGTTTCGACGAGCAGGCCGCCCAGCAAGCATCCCGGGACGCCCAACACGGCGATGATGAGACTGTTGCGGTAAGTGAGGTAGGTGCTGCCGTCCCCAAAATCGGCGCCACGGGTAGCCTGAATAAACGGGAGGAAACTGTTGTACAACGGGTAGGCCAGTCCCAGGCTTGCCCATATCAATGTCATAAGGCTAGTAGAAAGAGCAAGTCTCTTTGTGGCAAACAACGCTTTCACGTGTGAGGAGTCGAGCTTTTGGAGGTTGCGCTTCACAACTGCGGCGGCCGTGGTCTGCTGATGGGCTGTTAGCCCTCCGATGGCGAGGTTGTTGCAGACTTCCAAGTCCTCCAGTGTTAGTGTCGACGTTTTGCCGTTTCGACGGGCTACCTCGTGAACTACGCGGACCGCCTCTTCATCTCTGCCCTTGCCCATGAGGAACTTTGGCGATTCGTAGACTGTGAAGCAGACGAAGCGTAGAAGGAACATGACTAAAGCAGTTGCTCCCATCACGAGGATAAAGTACTAGAAGGTGGGAATTAGCAAAAGTCTCACGTACAATACATGCCAGGAACACTTACGCGCCACCCCATATTTTCCCCTCTAGTACAGTTCTTATCCGTTTGCTGGCATGTGTAATTCCCCAGCAACGGCCACGCAATAAGCGTGGCAAAGACTTGCGCAAGTGCCCAGTTAATCGACAGAATGGTAAGGAGATACTGATGCGATCCCGGCAAGAACTCCAAAAAGATTGCAGAATCGACAGGGAGGTTACCTCCGACACCGACAGACCATAGCGCAGCGAACGTGCCTATAGCAGCGAAGTTGGGGCTGCTTGCTGCAATCATCCCGAACACGGCAGTGATACCGATGGTGAGGTTGAAGGCCCATCGTCGGCCAAAGATGTCGCATCCAAAGCCCCAGAAGACGGCCCCGAAGAGGAGACCGATGTTTTGCGCCAGGCTAAGGAGCGGGCCGTATTTGGGTCTGAATTCGTTTTTGACTGGTGTGAAAATGAGGGATGTGACGATGGGCCATAGATTATCCATCGCCCACCCGAACCCGATGACGACGAAGAGCTATGTAGGATGTTAAGACTTTAGTAACGAACGGATGATGCGCTGGACATACCTGCCACTGATACCTCCCCATACCAATATCCTGAATCGCTTTGTTTAGAACTTTCGCCTTGGCTTGATACTCCGGATCCAGAGACCCCTCCTCAAGCACACTGATAGGCGCTTCATGGATCGAGGGAATGTCCTGTGTCGCATCCTTGTGCTCGTCTTCGATCTTCTTCGACCCGTAATCGGCCATTATAGTTGTCCACCTTCAACGTCGATAAGGAAATCGGCCGAGGTAATATCGAGAGACAGACGGGGTAGTTAATCGAGAAACTAGCCGGGTAGTGGGGACGTGAGGTGAAGCTCACCGAGCGTTGACTCAACCGTGGTCTAGGTTGATCAAAACCTGGGGTCCGACCGGGGCATTAAAGCAGTGAAACCGCTCTGCTCAAGCTGCCTATTTGGGCAGCCTGTAGGATTCGCGAAAAGAAACTTTGTCACGCAATCGGCAATCCTGCTCACGCAATTCGTGGATACGCATGTGGGCGTTTGTGCAACCTACAGCAACAAAGCCAATGAATGTGTGGTCCTGCGGGTGTTGTTTACGTCATCGTTGCGATCGTCAGTCCCAGAATATGGTTGTCTAGCTTCACAAGTGCGATAAGAGGTTCAGATGTGGTTGTGGACGCAGTTTGGAAATATACAGACGGTAGGAAAAAGCTGTTGGTCTCGTTCACAGTAAGCAGTATGTTGTATGGGGAAGATCTGCAAACGGATGGTGTAGTAGGGCGGGATGCGGGATGGAGTCAATGGAACTTCACGACTGGAGCCAACCGCGCTAAGGATGACGTGCTGTCACGTGCGTGCATGGCTACGCGATTTGCGCGCTGAAAACGTTCGTCAAGTTCGGATTAGAAGGTGGTCTATGCCAGGAGTATCTATACCGCTATGCTTGGTGTACATGACCTGAATTTCGGCATCGTCAAAATCGTGAGTAAGCAGCGCCCAAAACACCATGCCACACAAGCTGTCGTCTACTTCCACAGCTTGCTCAAACTGGTAGCCTTGTCGTCGTGCTTGTTCAGCACCTTGGCGGTCGCAAGATCAAAATCTTCCTGCGTAACGTGTACTCTCCTCTCCCTGAGCGCGAACATACCGGCTTCCGTGCAGACACCCTTGAGCTCGGCACCTGAGCATCCGTTCATCTTCTCAGCGATCTTGTTGAGGTTGATTCCGCGCGTTAGATTCATACTCCTCGAGTGAATTCGCAGGATGTCTGCACGCGCTTCGACAGTTGGTGGCGGGAACTCGATTTTCCGATCGATACGGCCGGGCCGCAGCAGGGCAGGGTCCAGAATGTCCAGGCGATTGGTTGCCATGATGATCTTGATGTTCTTCGTGGGCTCGAAACCGTCCAGCTGATTCAACAGTTCCAACATGGTACGCTGCACCTCCGAGTCACCCCCCGAGCTACCTTCCACACGACTTGAGCCAATGCTGTCGATCTCGTCCATGAAGATGATGCTGGGTGCGTGTTCTCGTGCCATGATAAACAGCTCTCGGACCATGCGACTGCCCTCGCCAATGTACTTTTGCACCAATTCGCTGCCTGAGACTCGGATGAACTTGCAGTCGGCGTGATGTGCCACTGCACGGGCAAGCAGAGTCTTTCCTGTTCCTGGCGGGCCATATAACAGGACACCCTTGGGCTGTGCTATACCGAGCGATTCGAAGAGTTCAGGATGTTGTAGACCCAGCTCGATGACTTCCTTGATCTCCTTGATCTGCTGGTCGAGACCGCCTATCATGTCGTACGTGCTGTCTGGCACCTTCTCGACCATCATGAGGGACACCAGCGGATCGACGGACGATGGAAGCAGCTTCTCGAGCTTGTAAGAGTCGCTAAGTAGGGTGACGCGCTTGCCGGCGGTCAGTTTGCTGATATCGACGCTATCGGCGACATCGACGACTGCGGGTTACTAGTCAGTGCGGGGTTCATGATTGCTGCTGCTTCAAGTACATACCGTATTTGCCCTCTGGATGCACCTTGACGAGCACCTTCTTCGTGCCCATAACCTTGACCACCTCGCCGACGTAGGAGCCTGGTTGTTGCAAGAGGCCGAGCTCTTCTCGCAGTAACCGCACTCTGGAGTTGTAGTCATTTCGCTGGGCTTCGAGGCGTCGCAGTTTGGCTTGGCCCTGTATGATCTCGAGCTTCATTGCCTCGATCTTGTTGTGGAAGAACGTGTCGAGCGCCATGGTTGTGGGGGCGCTGGCGGCGGTGGACGGCTGAGGAGGACGGATGGGTGTTGGTGATGTAGAGGCGGGCAGAAGACGCGTATTGCCTGGAGAGCGCGGGGTGGGGCGACGAGAAGCTGCGGCGAGAGCTTCGGCCTAGCGATAGATAGGTACGGCGGTGGGCGACTGTTGCACGTTTGCAAGTAGTGTTGACACCATCACTGGAAGCTCCCGAGAAGAGAAGGCGCGCAACAACGTCGGGCCGGAATACGCGCTAGTGTCAAGAGGCCCCCGGAGCCCCACCCACTGCTTATCCCTTCCCTGAGGGCCATGTCATGCCTGCCTGTGTACACATTCCATAGCAACTGGGGTGCATATTCTGGGGAAATGAATACGTGCGTGAATAGCATCTAATGGCCCGTAAATTCATTCCATTTGCTCTGAAGGCAAAAATAAAATCCCATGTTGACGTGGCCGTCTGATCTGGCATGAGACAGGATCCGGGCGCAAGTTTGCTGCAGGGCCTTGTTGATGAATGGCTGATCCCGGGCCTTTAACAGGTCATCTGCGTCGACGGGTGCTACTCGACATCCACCACACCAGAGGGGCACGACCTGTACCGGTAATGCATCTTTGTCCTCTCTCCGTCGTGACCGCATGGCGGCTGAGATTTGACTCGCGCAAATAAACTCACATACCGCGCTGTGACCCGCGTCCACACTGCCAGGCCAAGCCCCATACAGCTTCCCTTGCACAACATCGCATCGTGGTACCGCCATGGAGGATCGCACGCCCACTGGAGGCAGAGCCAATCCACCGCCAGAGAACGCCCGCCAGAGCAGCGCATATGGCAGTGACATGCCTACATCGACGGCTACAAGTGCGGAGACGGCGCGCTGGCGATCGCAAGCTGCCATGCCGCCAACAGGCTATGGTAAGGCTTTGCCAGCATGCACCACCAGGAACGAAGCTGATGAGGATATAGGGTCCATCACCTCTGGCATCGACCGTCGGCAGCAAAGTACCGGCACGTCTGACCAGGGATCGTCGACTGCGAAACCGAAGAAGCCCTCGATGAGCCGCCGCGCCACATCGTCCAAGTTTCCACACAAGGGCCAGGAGTTCAGTGTTGATGACGCTGAGGAGGAAGTGCAGCTCGATCAAGCTCAGCTAGAGCAGCTGCTCAAGCAACATCGGCAACCCCAGCCATTACGCCGGAAACCGTCGACGGTCCGCCGCAAGACTGGCGCGCAACCAGCGACACTTACGACGATAGAGTCGACCGAGGACGATGAAATCGAGCAAGAGCGTGCAGGCCCTCCAGTAGGGCAAGAGGCGGAGGTTCAACCTGGCTCATCGGAGGAGGAAACCGTACGAGCAGAAGACGACGACGACGAGAGCGGCACTCCTGACGAGGACGACGACGAGGCCGAGCTCAGCGATACCGAGAGCTTCACGCTACGGGACCGCCAGGACGCCATCAACGTGACACACCCGTTCGGTATCCGCATCTGGAAGCCTGCCTTGTACAAGAAGGGACGCTCAGTGCAACGCAACGCAGAGGCCGACATTCATTCTTCGCCGGGCCTTTTCGTGAGCAGATGGCTCGTCGTCTTCAACATCGCTTGGACACTGGTCTTTGGCTGGTGGTTGGCCATAATCGCGGCTGGTGGTGGCCTTCTGTGTGCCGTGCTTGGATTCGATGATAGCTGCCGGGAGTACTCACATCTACTCCTTCATCTCGCCGTCTACGTCTTCTATCCGTTTGGCAAGTACGTCAAGCTGCTGCAAGACGATGCATACGTGGAAGAAGATGAAGGCGAAGGCCGCAGCATCAGCGAATACGAGCAGTGGCAGAGCGGTGACATTGAAGAAGGACGGCTCTTCTTTGGCCCCACGACTGGCACGAGCTCTCTTATCGGCCGACGACGCAATAGCGTAGACTCTTCTGGCGGCGAAACAACAAGTCTGCTTGGGCGAGACGGCCGGGCCAACATCGTCCAGTCTGACACCGCGAAAACTAAGCGGAGGCTGTTTGGTCGTGGGAAATGGAATCTCGGCCGCGTCATCTTCTTCGTCTACTTCTATGGCATCTTGACCCCAGCACTGTTCCTGGTCTCGGGACTGTGTTTCTTCCTCGTCTTCACAATACCCATGGGCAAAGTCACGCTACTCCTCTTCGACCATCTACGACGTCACCCCTTGGCTTTGTCTTTCCACTCTGACAACGGTAATGTCCGTCGTCCCGGCGAGTCTTCCTCGATTCTACTATGCACCTATCGTGCAGTCGGTATCAAATACTGGAAATACACAATCGACGGCACCAATATCTTCCTCATCAACCTCCTCGGTCTTGTAGCCTTCACCATTTTCGACTACTGGGTTTTGGATGAAGTGATGGGTCTTAAGATCTGGCTAACGGATCAGTTCCTCCTTTTCACACTGGCGTTGTTATCTATCATCCCTCTGGCGTACTTCATTGGTCAAGCAGTCGCCTCCATCTCTGCCCAGTCCTCCATGGGTGTTGGCGCAACAATCAACGCCTTCTTCTCGACAGTCGTCGAGGTCTTCCTGTACTGTGTGGCACTCAAGCAGGGCAAAGCACAGCTTGTCGAAGGTAGTATTATCGGCAGCATTTTCGCAGGTATCCTATTCCTGCCAGGCTTGTCCATGTGTTTTGGTGCCTTGAAGCGTAAGACTCAACGCTTCAACGTAAGGTCGGCCGGCGTGACGTCTACTATGCTTTTGTTTGCTGTAATTGGCGCATTCGGGCCCACATTGTTCTATCAGGTCTATGGAAGCGTAAGGTGCTCTCAGCCTCTTTTATGACTTTGCTAACAACGTGTAGCACGAACTCAACTGTCACTCATGCATTACCCACCATAACCTTCCATCAGAGAGAGACTGTCGGAGATGTTACTATTCACAGGTGCCAGCGCTGAACGATCGCTTTTACAACGAGGCCGTGAAGCCATACACGTGGTTTGCCGCTGCTCTGCTCTTCTGCTCCTACGTGATTGGCTTGCTGTTCACCCTGCGAACACATGCGGCAACAATCTGGACTAGCGAACCCGAGGAGAAAGAAAAGAAGCCTATGGAAATGAGTGCGAGCGGTCTCAGCAACAGCGGGCATCTAGACTTTCCTCATTCATCGTTTGTCAGACAAGCGACGGGTCAGTCTGTGTCGCGTGCACATATACGGGACAGTCAGCTATACAAGCGCATCGTTGGTCAGACCCTGCACGAAGTCGGCCTTGGTCATGAGGATACGCACTCGGAGAACCCCCGTCCGAGCTCGAAATCAGATGGACAGACTCCACACATGGTACCGCCCAAGGATGGGGACACGCGATTGCACCATGCCTTCCACGTTGAAGGCCTCACAGATGACGCTGCCGAGTCACTCGCACGACAAATTACCGAGATTGCCGCAACGACGACAGCTTTAGCAACGCGTGATGTCACAAGAGACCCGCGCAAAGCTGCTCACCGTGTAAACACACCGAGTAAAGGACATGCTGAGCGTCCGGCCAATACGCGAACTACGACTGAGGCCCCAGAGGAACCGGAGACGGCCCCCGGTCACACGTCAGGGGGACACGACGCGCCCAACTGGAGTCGGCAGAAGAGTGCTGCGATTCTTCTATCGGCGACGATTGCCTATGCCATCATCGCTGAGATCCTAGTCAACACAGTCGATGCAGTCCTAGACGGCTCAGATATTGACGAGAAGTTCCTCGGCATCACACTGTTCGCCCTGGTGCCCAACACGACCGAGTTCCTCAACGCCATATCCTTCGCCATGAACGGTAACATTGCATTGTCCATGGAGATTGGATCCGCATACGCCCTGCAAGTCTGTCTTCTCCAGATCCCAGCTCTGGTCTTCTATAGTGCAGTACATGCATCGTACATTCCGGCTCGGGAAGTCGCCCATCAAACCTTTACCCTCATCTTCCCCCAGTGGGACATGATTACGGTCATCCTTTGCGTCTTCCTCCTCTCCTACATGTACGGGGAGGGGAAGAGCAACTACTTCAAAGGCTCGATTCTCATCCTATCGTATCTGGTTGTCATTGCTGGCTTCTATCTCTCCGGCTTCAACATGGACTACGAGAGGATGGGTGTCGATCCAAACGATACACTAGCGCTTGGGGGTCTAATGGAGCAGTCAATGACATTCAAGACGGCTGGAAGGGGCCGAAGTGGTGCCGCTTACTGACGAAGTGACGCTGTGTAGGGGTTGTAGAGCTGGCGGAGGTGGTTCAATGATAATATTAGCTCGATCCAGCATTATGCTGAACTGCATTGGTGTATAGGATTGGCATACAGAGCTCATAGCGCAGGCGTCCGGTCTTGGTTGTTTTGTTTCTTTCCCACAGCAAGTCTAGTATTGCAGCATCGGTATCTGTCACAAATAAAGCACAGTACCATATCAATAGGCTTTGTGTTCCCGTGCTAGTGACGAGGGCTTGCTTTTTGTGCATGTGGTCTTGGAAACGCGGGGTAAGATTGGGGAAGGCCGAAGTGCGATTGATTCTCTAGTTTGCATCCACGGTGCCATTCCACAGTAGCAACAAGATGTACAGTGTCCAAGAACAGGGCACTAGCAGTTCAGGTCGTCGTCTACGTCGTGCCGCGACTAGAGCCGGCACATGTTGTCTCCGAAACAAGGCTGCGTCGTCATGCACTAGCCGGCCAAGTATCATGGCAGTGGAGCCACTCGCGATGCGCTGTTCCGTGTTTGTGGCGATGAACTCGATGCTGTCCCCCCATACCTGAGACATGCTGGTATCGAGAAGAGCAGTCTGTTGTAATTGTTGCTCAGCCCTAAAGCACCATGACGGCAGCCTGTCAGCCGGTGGTCATGTTTTGCAATGTTGCGCGGAGAGCCACGGATGCTTCTGAACGGGCAATTGGGAGTATTTGAGAAAAGTTGACAAATGCAAGGGCTTGGATTGAGGCAGTGCAGCGGCAAGCAAGGGCACTAGGCCAGGTTTCAGAAGTGAGATGCTCGCCGGCACCTGGGTGGGTGGTGGATATGTACCACAGAAGTTCAATCCTTGCATGCATCATGGTCCCGGCACGCCTCGGAGTGGAGAAGCCATGCCCTCCACGAGTGGATCGGCCGGCCTCGCGCGGGTGTCATCATCAATTGATGTCCATCTTGGGTCCACATCCCCGCAACAGCTGCCAGTTTCTCTCTTGTTCCCTTCTCTCCGCCATTCTCTCCGGCTAGAAATGGTAGTGCTATACGCTTTTCGTACTTTTCATTTCGCATTGCTTGGTTAGCTTGGAGGCGTATTGCTGAAGCCACCACCACCCCCGCCCTCTGAGTCTATGGAGAATCCGGACTTCTGTGCTTGTCATCGATAAAAAAGACGCGCAACCTTGCTGCTACCCTTACCGTTTCATATCATCGCCATATACGCATATACAATCCGCGGGCAACGATGCGGCTCCATCGGTTACAGACCTGTCTGCTGTTCGCATCCGTCGCGACAGCCACTATCACATCCTCAAACACCTCGACGGCCGGCCCACGATTCCAGGGCACTATACCTTTGAAGCACGCCGAAGGCGATAAAGCTCAGATCGCACAACTCGTCCCATTGACACGGGAAGCAGCACAACGAACAGTTCGTCCCATGCCCGCGGATCATGCAATATCACTCGAGCTAACAGCGCTTAGATTGAGGGCAACCTGTACAGCACCAACGCCTCCACCGTCGCCAACATCACCAACAGCGAGATCGCATACATCAGTTGCAACCTGAACGACTATACCGGCTTCATAGACCCCCAGCGTGTCTTCGAGGACGCCTATCGGAATGCAAACATATCAGGCGTTATATTATATAGCACGGAAACGGACTACTGCGACTACGAGCAGAACAACAGCCAGGAGATGATGCAAGCCTTCCCGGTACTGTCAATGACCAACAAGCAGGACTCGGCGACGCTTCGGGATGCTATCAGCAACCTGCCCGTACACATGAAGTTTTTTGTGCGTGTGCAAGGTCGAGGGGATGATAACAATAGCAACAATGGAGGTTTCCAGCAGCAGAATCCGTTGGGCCCATCACCGTCGACAGCCGTAGCCATGATCATCCTTTACAGCATCACTGGCATCATCACTGCCCTATTCTTAGTCATCATTATCACGGGCGCTATCCGAGCGCATCGCCATCCAGAGCGGTATGGGCCTCGAAACGTGCTGGGACGACCGAGGCAGAGTAGGGCCAGGGGACTGGGTAGAGCTATTCTCGAGACTATCCCGATCGTCAAGTTTGGCGAGAAAGAGCCCGCGAAACCAACCGATGTCGAACTTGGGTCGACGATAGAGGCAAGCAATGTGACTGGCGCGGATGCGCATGCGCATGACAAGACAGTGCAAACAACAGCCGGAGAGGAGGCGCCTGATGCAACGCCGAAGACTGTCGCCGATGTGACTGATACACCACAAGAGGCAACAAGAGCCGCAGCAGACGAACATCAAGATGGTATTGCACCAGCACAAACTCTCGCTGGAGGTGCTATGTCGGGCACAAACAACAGTGCCTCTCATGACGAGAACCTTGGCTGCTCCATCTGCACGGAAGACTTCGAAAAGGGCCAGGACCTTCGCGTCCTACCTTGTGACCACAAATTCCACCCTGAATGCGTAGATCCATGGCTACTAAATGTTTCTGGTACATGTCCACTATGGTAAGATTTTCACCAACCCTTCTTATTTATAAGATGAGCAGTCGTCTAACCTTGTATGTAGCCGTGTCGACCTCCGCCCCGTAACCTCCCACGACTCCACCGCCTCCCAACCCAACCCTGACGACCTAGCCCCGCCCCTGGACCCCACAGCAGATACCTCACACCGCCGCCGCACCGCCTTCCGCGATATTCTCTCCCTTCGCCACCGCCCCAACGCATCAGCCGAGGAACGCATATCCGCTCTCCGACGCCTGAGAGAGCAGCGAGGAAATCAGAGTAGAGAAGTGGTGGTGGATGGTAATTTAAATACAAGTGCTGAGGATGTCGCCGCGGCGAGTAGTAGGGATAGGAGGAGTAAGAGGATGAGTGCTAGGCTGAGCGATGTGTTTAGTGGGCGGACGAGGAGGGATAGGACGGATGAGAGTCCCGGGCAGGTCGAGTCGAGTAGGGATGGCGCTGGCGCGCAGCAGGCGCCTCCCGCAGATGGGTCAACTGTGCCTAATGCTACTGCAAGGTAGCCGTTAGGGCTTTCGCTTTCACAAGAGTCGAGACGGTGTCTGAGTCTTGTATGATTTGACGTTCGGCGTTCTGAAATTGGTCATTCGGATCACATTTGCATGGGCTCCTCTGGGTATTTTTTTTCTAGATTGGGCAATTCGCATCGCATGGCGTTTTGGGGGATACCATCATTTAGCTCTAGCTCGAGCTTGGGTTTATCTTTCGGGGGTTTACTGGATATGTTGTCATGATTGCAGTTCATCATGTAAGATGCCATCTACGAGAAAAATGAAGTCTTATTTGCTGTGTTTAGATTTTGGGTATTGCGTTCATGTCAGTGAGTTTAGATTAACGTTTACTTAGTGATGTTACGTGATGTTGATGTTGATGGGACGTGATGAAAGGTATGTAGGACTTCTGAGTCCGTACCGTGGAACTCGCCGTCATCCAACTTTTGCAGTTTCTACTGAGTAACGGTTCATCACTGACAGCCAAATAATCTCGGACCCTCGCAGTCCGCAACCTGTATGTCTTCTCGTCCACCAGCAAGGAGTTGGATTAGAGCAGGTACCACACCGGGAGCAAGACAGCAACCGAGGCTCTGGTTCATTTCTCGAGACCCACAACCGCAGCGTAATCTACGTCATCCCTTGAGAACCCCACCTGAACCGCCTCCGGCTTCTGTCCGTGCAGCCTGAGGCGTGGGGGAGCTCGGAATGCTCGAGCGTCATGTCTCTGTATAAGGCCACGTGAGCATCCGTACCATCCGAACTATGGCTGCAGAGCTAGCGTGATGCATCTTACGCTACGTATCCACGGTATACATCATGTTGACGAGACTACAGTGTTCACAAGCCATTGTGGCATGCTGCAGAGGACGATGGTAGCATTCACTCTATCTCCGAGCTGCCATGTCAATCGTCCGTCCGCCGGCTCATACGCCCCTACCGCGCCGCAGAGAAAGTCCCCACAATGCGGTCTATTACAGCGTATCATCTCCCGAGGCGAACACGTCTTTAACCGGCGTGAACGCAGGATTCTTCAGACTTGATCTCACCCGTTAGTTTTGCCTGTTTCACACGAGAGCAAGCGCCGTGGAACCAACCACAAACTCACCCGTCTTCCACCAGCGAAATCCGCACCATCTTCACCTGTCCCTCGTACTGCAACGGCACCGTCCACAGCGTACATCCGCATTTACAGCAAAAGTGCTTTTCTTGTGGGAACCCAGAGTCTGTCTTGGTGATGGTGTAGGTGCGTATCCAGCCGTAGGGGTCTTTAGTCGTAACTGATGTGTTATTGTACGCCGCCATCTGCATTTGATTAGCTGCTGTGTATCCACGCAGGTAAGACCAGGGGGGAAAACAGACAATTTGATAAGGTGCTCCGGCACTTTTCGCGCAGTCGCTGCAGTGGCATCGTAACGTTTTCGTGGGGGCGCCGTGGAGCGTGAAGGTTACCGATCCACACTGACAACTCCCAGGATGCTGTTCGCTTCCCTCGACGCTCATGGCTTGTGGCGGTGTGTATGGAAGAAGAGGGAACATGGATAATAAACAAACAAGCAAGAAGCCACGGGAGCGAGGGCATTTATACTTTGACTGCTTGCCAAGCACGACGGATATCCTGGTCCATATGTACCACTCTGTCCCAATTCCGTCATTCTATACTCTATGAGGAGCGCTACAAACGCGATCGATGGCCTTTTTCCTTTCCGTCGTGGCTTGTCATGGGTCGCTTTCTCTTTCAATGCCTCTCTATTGAACCCGACCTAGCCGCACTAAAGTAGCACTCATAATAAAGGAAACCAGCGGTAGAGATGGCGTGGCAGTTGTGAAATTCTATATCTTGCAAGTCCATTTCCCAATTACCAAATGGACCGAAGGGCTTCTCCCTAATTCTGGCCAAGCGAAGGGAAGAAATTTGAAGTTGAAAATGGCGACAGATGAATGGGCAAGTGGAAGAGGCGACTATCAGCTTCTCGTATTGGAGGAAAGCAATGTGGATGTATTGCTGAATGGTAGCATCGTCAAAGCGCACGTGGTGTGGACGTTGTAGGATCGAAGCGTGGGGGCATTCGGCTCCCATGACGATAAGAAGTGCGCCCCATCTGATTCAGTCCGCACTAAGACCGCAAAATGGTACTTAAGGAATAGAGGGTCTCTCTTGGTTAGTAATAAAATGTCGAACCACTGTGGCACTTTCCGTTTCCAAGTCTTCTCAATCTTAAGTCCCTGCCTCGCGTAGATGGAATGCGATCCGGAACAACCAGGGGGTATAACACGGACGCGGATCTAGGCTCTGCAAAGAGGAGCCCCAAGGCCACTCCAAGACAATTTATCTTGGCTTTCTTGGTTTTCTGGAGGGCCTGACTGCAAAATAACGGAAAACCACCAAATGGGGGAAAGCGAAGGATCACGACAAGTAAACCAAGCAAAGCTTGATTTGAAGATTTCATGAAAGCAGACGGCAGAGTACGAGTTCTCGGAAAATAATATGTGCGTTCGATTGTAAGATTATGCACATTTTGAACCCCTGACACATTGTGTTCCATCTTCGACAAACACAGCTGAACGCAAAACGAGGGCTAACCCAATCTCAATGTACAAAACATAGTACAGGGGAAATAAGTATATGCTAGCTTTTTACCTCATCATGTGTCATTAACACCACATGTCCCTCCATTTGAAATATACAGGTACGCCTTCTTCCAAGCCGAAGCTTCCAGGGGACAAAGAGATGGGGAAAGGTGATGCTTAGGTGCAAGTGCCGAAGGCCGATTGGCAGCCTGTGGTGCAGTGGCCGGTTGTCGAACCGCACCAGCCGTATTGCGAGCAGCAGTTTCCGTACGAGGAGCCCTGGCAGGTGAAGCCAGAGGTTCCAGCACAGGTACCGTCGGTGGAGGCCTTCTTGGTAGCGGCGGGTGGCGCGGCAGATGAGGTCCTCACAGTGGATGAGGCGGGCCTCACAGTGGAAGACGCAGCTCCAGTGCCAGAGCAGGTACCAAAGGCAGAGTTGCAACCAGCAGAGCAGTGGTCCGTGGTAGAGCCACACCATCCGTACTGGCTGCAGCAATTGCCGTAGGAGGAGCCCTGGCAAGTGAAGCCGCCGGTGCCGGCGCAGCTACCATCAGTAGAGACTTTGCCAGCGGAGGCAGAAGGAGCAGCCGAGGAAACCCTGGTAGAAGAGGTCCTCAGAGTAGAGCTAACAGCGGGAGTGCTGGAGGCCCTGACGGACGAGCTGACAGCACTGTTGGAGCCGCAGTTACCGAAGGCAGATTGACAGCCAGTTCCACAGTAGTCGGCGGTAGTGCCGCACCAGCCATTGGCGCTGCAGCAGTTGCCGAATGAGCCACCTAAGCAAGTGCTTCGAAACGTCAGTGTTGTGTGAGACGATTGAATGTAGCGGCACGTACTATTGGTTAGTGCCACCGCAAGTAGCGTCGGTGGTCACCTTCTTTGTTCCCGAGGAAGCAGGGGCGGAGGAAGAACGAGTCGCCGTACCGGTAGCCTTGAGGGCGTTATGTTAGACGAGTAAAAGTAATAGCTTAAATAGCCAGTGTGAACGACAACGATAGCACGATGGCAAGAAGGGATACTGGACCTCTACGGGTCCAGCCTTGGCTCGCAGAGCCGGTTTGGGGTTGTTCAGACGAAGCAGTGCCCCCAGCCTTGCTGTTCTTAATCTCAGACTGGGACAGGGGCGAACTGCTTGGCTCCGAATTATCGGAATCCTTGATAATCAAGGTTAGATGGCAGAGCCGAGAGTTGATTCAATGACATGAAGAAGCTTGAGGACGACTCTCAAGAAGGCTAAGTTTTGTTTAGTGAAATTATGTGCTTACTGAGGTAGCGGTGCCGGCGCCGGAAGCGACGCGGTACCAGTTGGCCTTGGGGTCGCCGAGGCAGTCGCCGACTGTGACGGCCTTGTAACCGAGCTGGGTCAGGGTGGAGAGCATGTACTCGGTCAAGTTGTTGGCGGTTTGCTCGTGGATGTCGTGGGAGATCTCGAGCCACTTGGCTCCGTTGGTGCCGGTAGCACCACCCTGGGTGATGTTACCCCTGAACCAGTTCTTGGAGTTCTGGATCTCATCGGGAGCATCCTGGTTGTAGTCATCGGTATCGACATCGAAGTAGGTGACGTGGTAGCCGAGCGCAGCCATGTCGGTCTGGCACGCGCCAGTGCAGCTAGAGTACGGCGGGCGCATGTAGGTAGGAATCTTGCCGACGATGTTGCGAAGAGCCATCTCGTTCTTCCACATCTGTTGCTTGCGATCAATCGAGGAAACGACGCTCAAGTCCAAGTGAGTCCAGGTATGGGAGGCGATCTGGTGGCCCTCGGCGTCCATGCGCTTGATGACATCGATGTATTCCTGGGTGATGTCGATCTGGCCCTTGTTGATGTTGTTGCCAGTGATGAAGAAGGTAGCCTTGGCGTTGTGGCTCGCCATGACGTCCAGAATATGGTTGGTGAGAACCTTCTGTGGGCCGTCATCATAGGTGATGGCGACGGTGCCGGGGGTGACGCAGTTGTAAATACCTCCACCGCCATAGGAAATGGAACCAATCTTGGTTCGGGCAATGGAAGAAGTGTTGGTACCCGCGGGGGTTGCGTTTTCAGGGCAGCCAGGACCGTATGCGTAGTTGCATCCTGGCGAGTAGCAGAAGTCTCCAGTCGTACCACAGTCTGGGATTCGTTAGTGACATGGACGTTTGTGGCATGACATTGAAACATACATCCATTTGGTGAGCAGCAGAGACCGGCACCACAGGAACCAATATTGGCACCACACTCTTTACCATCCTGACGGGGCTTGACTTGGTTCTCTGGGGCCTTGACGAACTCGTGGACGTCAGTGAAGCGTGCCCCGAGGCTGCTGAGCAAGTCCCTGGCCTTGAGGTCCCTCGGGTTTAGTCCAACAATGTTGGGGAGAGCCGCTCCATGAGCGCTGACAAGGGGAGTGGCAGCCACAATGGCAGCGACGGCCGCGGAATAGAGCATCTTGGGAATAGTTGTGTGTTCGTATTACTGAATTACTAGGTATGGTAGTTTGAGGGTGTTGAAGCAAGCGAGCGGATAGTGATAGTCGATATTGACAAGACACTGAGTGACCTTGGGACCGGAAACGAAGGACGGGCCGCAAATAAGGCGGAGGATTGATTGAGTCTTCGACGCAGAGAAGGTGGACAAGAAAAACATCACGGGCTGAAGGTAGCCTCGCCTTATGAGGGAGAGGAGAGATCTGCAGCCAGCAAGCCATCCCTGCAAGGCGTGAGCTAAACTTGACTCGCGCCGCAGCTAGAAGGGCATTGGCGCATCGAAGCGGTGCCTGGACACAACCGTGGAGGCCGGTGAAGCTAGAAAAAGTAAGCCTCGTGCCGCGGACTCGTGGACTCTCACACTTCGAGCCCTCGATCCGTGGCGCCGGCGTCGCATCGGCTCGGACGAGGTTGTGTATTTAGGAGAGTTTGCCTTGGAGGGCAGCACGGCCTGCGTTGCCATGCAGTCTCTGGGCTTCCATCACGTCGCCTAGGAGCAACACGAGCAAAACAGAATGAGGGTTGGCTTCGAAACGACGGACGATTCACAGCTGACGCTGCCCAACCGTGTCCATCCTCATCAATATCGTTTCTCGGCACCATCGTCATGGTGTGAGTCGTTGTTCAACACTCTGCTAGCGCCAGGGAGAGGATTATCGCTAGACACGCAGTGCAACCTCGACCGCATGGCAAGTGTGACGACGCCTGTAATCATGGCTGGCTGCTGAAGCCCCTAGCAGATGCTTCTTCCACCCGTGGCTCAACGCTACACAAATACCGACACCCCTAGGAGTATTGGCAACTGCCGCCTCCGACGCCCACGAGCCATATACGGCTCTTGGGGAGGAGCTTGTTGGGAAGCATCTCATCCCCAGCATGCACATCTACTTTTAGACGAGAGTCTAACATGGCATGAATCTGCTGCCTGCAAGCGGGAAGCCTCCAGCCAGCTTGACCCTACGGCAATTTCGTCGCTTGCGTGCGAGCCCCTGACCCTACCTCGTACCCTAGGCGCTCGTAACTCCGGCCGAGGGACAGCATGTCCCTCGAACATGTTACTCCTTTCTGGCCCATCACCTTCACCCGGTGACACGGAGACAGCCAACCACGTGTCTCACGAAGCGAATCTCATTTCTTCACGCCATTGACAACAAGTTGCTTGTAGGCTTCCGCCACCGGAGCTGAGAGCAGCATGGCGGAATTACCCTGTAGCTTGCAAGCCTCCGACGCATAGCTTTCCAATATTCCCTGAGAGTTAGTAGCGCCAGTAGAATCCAGGCGCCGCAAAACCTCGTATCCCCTCTTTTCTAACATGCAGCATGCCTAGCAGCTACCACCTGCACGCTTAGTCCACGGCGTCAGCCTACACAATTTCCACCACTCGACCATCCGAGTGGAGCCTGAGTGGAGACAGTCATCATACAAATCCGGAAATCTGTTGGCGGCAGAGTCCGACATCCTTCCTTGCGACCCGCCCCCAACATGCAGGTGGGCTCCTGGTGGAGTGAAACAAGCTTCCTTTAGCCTCCCGCAATTTTCAGCCCTAGACTGGACTCGCTTCGTCGCAATATTGGAATGCGCAAACCCTCGCTACCTAGTCACCAGCACGCTCCACATCTTATTGAACTCCGGTCCTCGAGACTCGAGTCTGAGACCGCCGCCTGCCGAGTAACCACTATGACGCGAAAATGTGTCCGTCTCCCGATGCCGCGGCAGCTGGGTGCTTTGTACCACTTACTCCCTGTGGGACTCGCATGTTCTACCAACAACTTGTCATGCAACCTCGCACAGAACGCCCGCTCCCAGGTCCCATGTAGCACAACTCCGGAAGTCTGTCGCGCTCAAGAGCCTCCATAGTACTTGACCGCATTTTCTTAACATATCATTGCTACGCTATTTAATCTTGGGCGGCGACTCAACATGAAATATTGTGTGGAGACGAAAGGGGACAGCTGAAAAAAAATTATTAGGCAAGCGGGGTTATGGGGAGAATCTTATTGGCTGCAAATGTAGTGTAGCTTTCGGGTCGATCACTCGTGTCCCCGCAAGGCTACTTCGTATTCTACGGGATGAGATGCATATTGGTGATTCGTAAGCGTTCCAGTGAGATGTCGATACACATTCTGCCTCCGCGGGGCTTACCTTGTCCTCACTTTACATTGCATACGAAAATGTCTCCGAGACTTGTAGCACAGCATGTTACGATCGTGGCTTGCCTCTCAATTCATTAACTGGCGTCGCCTGCTCGGCGAGCATCCGCAATGAGGGTTTCAAGCAATCTAGGTGTGTTCAGGGCAATGTTCACGTCTGGACATCTGGCAAGGAGAATGTATCACTGCTGCCTCGGATGTACACTCTATCGCCATCGATAATCTTCTCTGCAACACTACACTGCGCTTTAGGTTCTATCTAGTTAGTTCGTTACTAAACATCAGCTTGCGCGTTTCTGCGTCCTCGGATCGCACCACAGCGAGATCAGCCGTTGCTCCACAGCACATTACACCCGTCTTCGTTACAAACGGTACGCGAGCTATTCCCAGCTATACCCGTGGAATGGTTGAGCCCACTACGAAGCCTAGTTACGTCTCATGACAAAAGGTTCCTGCATGTAGCGTCATCGAACAGCTTCATCATCTCGCATAAACTGCACTAGTTCCACCACCGATATGCGAATTAAACTCAAATCTTCGCATAAATTCTCAATGTAGACGTCTACCACACCACATGAGCCGCTACTGCAAGTCCCCCTACCATTCCTTGCCCATTATCTCACCGTCCAGTGATGTACCTATTCCGCCCTGCCATTCCGTTATTCACCGCAATAGCAAGGGCCGTAATATCATTGTTCACTGCGACGTTCCGAGGTTTGTCGAACGGGAAGACTACGCTTTTATCCCTGATTCCTAGGGCATCTACAAACAGCACATTGGGAAAACTCTCGGGCGTGAAGGCATTCCACGCCTCGCTAACTAGTTCGTCAAATGCCGAAGCTGCCAGATTCATGATTGCGCGGTCCATGTTCAGCACATCCTCTGGCTGCTGCGTTAGCGTCCAGGAGAGGAGGTGGAATTTGTCCTTGCGTGTTGATGCGTCGGAGACTAGATTGCGATTCGCCTTTAACTTGGCGAGTTGGTCGGACTTCATGTTGGGCAGCTTGTTGGAGTTGGAGTAGGAGTCGAAAAAGGGGAAGTTTTCCGATGAGAAGAAGCCCTCGTTTGCGTAGTCGCCTAGACTGATGCCGTTGGGGAGTTGGGCTACGATGAACACTGATGCGCGATCTGTGATGAACTCGCCCAAGACACTATTAGAAAAATCGGTGTTGCCTGGGTTGCGGACCGTGTAGCGGCTGTTGAGTCCCTTCAAAGTGTCGAATAGGCTGTTCCATTGATCCTGTGAGAGGTCTTTGTATCTGTTGTCCGTGTCAAGAGTGTGACTGAGGTTGATGATGACAAGCTCTTTGTACTGCGCCGTGAAGTCATTGACCTGTTTAATGATATCCGCGATTGACTGTCCGTTGCCGCCCAGCCAGATGTCTTCAACGTCGTTCCTCAGCGCGCTGTAGTGCCCGGCTACCCACTGTCCGCTAGAGATGACAGGCCGCAGGTCGAAGAATCGGGAGCCCGCCACTAGCTGTTGATAGAAATCGAGGTATTGGGTTTGCGTGTTCGCCATATTAGCGCCAACAGTACCCGGCCTGAAGGTGCTCATGCCAGCGTCGTGCGAGCCAGGCATGCATATTTGCTTCAGCGTCCTATTAGCCAGCGAACCCATGCTCTGCTGCATCCAGTCGGTGTAAGTGCCGCTATTGGACCACCACTGTCCAGCCTCGTCTGTCGACATGATCCAGTTTACCGTAGCATCATGTCGGAAACCGAGGTCAATATTCGACCCCTGCGGACTTTGCTTCATGGACATGCTATCCAGGGATATAGTAAGCTTGTAGTCCGTAGGTTTCCTAGCTAGCACCGTAAACTTGTTTGACGTTCCAGCGATGCTATAGTAGGCTTCCCCTGCATCGTCACGAGTGTTTCCTTTGGTCCCAAACTCGACATAGACTCTTGATGCCTTTCCTGATCAATGTCAAGACCTGATAATGTCGTTTTTTGGGGGGAACGCTCTTACCTGTGCTGATTGTTGGCCAGTTCCAGGAATCCATCTGATACGCATGCTGGCTGGCTAATGTCCAGTCGAACGGTGAGCCGTTCACCAGTGTTAATGCTCCGCCTGTTGATCATGTAGTCAGCTTCCTTTATCGCACAATATCAATCCAATGGGGTAACGCAGGGATCATTACCGTAACCCATGATAGAATTTCTTTCCTACTTCCTTCTCTTGTGAAACTCTGTGGCAGTCAAGCAGTGGCAACTCCTGCTGAGAGATATATTTTTCAGTTCCCACGAAACTAGCGACCCTCGAACAACCTCACGCAGGGCCACCGCCATTCTTAACACTCTACAGGCTCCGTAGTAAGGGCGCATGATGCTTTCTCACCCCTGGGCCATGTGCTGTACCCATACCAGCCTATACTAGATCATCCGTCCTGCAGTTACCCGGCACGCGCCGCTGTCAGGCAGTTGATTGGACTGCAATTATATTGCAGAAGGTGCTAAGTCCTCTGGCGCTACTTGGCTACTTGCTGTGCCATTCAGACACGCGAAGATTGGTGCCCACGAGGATGTTTGTTCAGCCAGTTGCCTGATTGGGTGACTGTACGTTTCAGCACTTTACCCACCAGCCATTCCCGACCCACGCCGAGAGCCTCAGGGGCCAAGGCTCTAGAACTTCACTGCCCTTTAGTTTTTGATTATCCAATAAGCGCAAGAAGTCGAGAATTCATGGCGGAGTGCAGCGACGCCGAAAAGCGCTTTGGAGCATGAGTAAGGAAGAGGAGGTAGATTTAGAGAGAGCAAGTGCTAAGAAAGCGTGGGGCGCTAGGACTCGATATGGGCAATTGGTAACAAGTCGACATAAACCCCGCCCACGTTGTGCACTTCGCAGATTTAACTCAACGACTACCTCAACGAGAGTCGCACGACATGATCCTATCTATCTACTGTAATCATCCACCCATCACCAAGAATCCTACCATTGGCATCCACACCGCCCCATACGACAGCCGTCGCCCCATCGACTTCGGTGCCTTTGGCAATGCCGAAATGTCCTCTTATGCCCAAACCTCTCTTTGGCTCCCCAGGAATCTCCTTTTCTTCTTCGCCCTTGGTGTCCACATAGGTGTACAGCACCTCCGCCCATTCGGACTCATGCGTATCCCTCTTGAAACTCGCGCGAATGCTGTCCTTCGTCGCAGCTGCCGTCGAGCGCTCGGGCGGAAGCTGTAGTGCCCAGATGTCATCGAAGAAAGTACCATCCTCGGTCTCGCCGCCGATAGCGAGGAGGTAGTGCCGTCCCTGCCCTGTAGTAACACCCACGAGACCGGCATTCGAGCGTGCTTGTGGTGCGGCCGCGGTACCGCCTTTGATGTCGGTGTGTGATACTTCCTCCCAGGCCCAACCACTAGCCAGTGGTGTAGTGCCGCCTTCGGCGTGTGTCCAGACATGCGAGACATTGAGGAATTCTGTTGCACCGGAGGCCAATGTCTCTACGCCTTTCCCACCGAACCGGTATAAGCGGTCGCCCACAAGGGACAAACTCGCACCATCTCGTGGCTGGCCGGACGGGGTGGGTATGTTACTCCATGAGCGGGTTTTGACATCGAATGCCAGTGCATCGTTCGACAGTCTACCGCTCGAAGTATCGTGACCACCCACTACAAAGATGGTGCCCCAAGAGTCTGCCTCTGCTGGCTCCGGGACAACCTTCGCTGGGTCAGCTGGCGCCTGAGGCGCTGTTTCGTGGTACGTCGTCGTCTTTGGACCAGGAAGTTCGGAGCTGGCCGACGCATGACCAGTGCGTTGGCTGGGGAAGAGCGTATCCGATGCAGAATCGAGGTATGACCACGTATTTGACACAGTGTCGTACACCCACATTCGCCCCTTTTCGTTTGTAACGCCTTCTACCTCCCCGCCAAATATGTATATACTGTCACCAATCACCACGGCGGCATGCCCTTTCCTCGAGTTGGGGACATCATCCAAGCCGTTCACAGATCGCGCAGGGAATGTCGTATAATCGGCATCGAGAACACCGCTGGAAGGCAGGATGACAACGTGCATATCATTGTCGGCGAGTCTGCCGTGTTCTGTCTCTCCACCAAAGATGTATGCGCGACCTTTGACTACTGAGACAGTGTGTTGCGATCGTGGTAGTGAAAGAGAAGTGACACGGGTAAGGTTTGCTTTGATTGGAAGTGTTGGGTGAGTTATGCCCTTGACGAGCGCTGCAGCACCTTGAAGCAGGTTCTCGGCAGCATAGACTAAAAGTAGCGCCACGATTAGCACTTTATATGGAGAACGTGAACTTTATATAAGAAAATCTAAGACGTGTATAGATATATTGAAGCAGCGGCTTAGCGCGATATCTTAGAAAAGGAGGGTCAGCTACTTACTATTCACATGTTAGCAAAACATTCGATTAGTATTCGTAGGACTTTCGCACCGAACTCCAGCTGCGGCGGGCTCCATGGTGGCAGGGTTGTGAGTGGGTCTGATTTGATCCGAATCGCTATTGTAAGCGTTCAGGTCAGCTTAAGAAGGATGAAGAAGGAGTATGATTGTGAAGCGTTCGTGTGAGAGGTGTTGTTGTATTGCAGAGCTCGTGAAGCTACGTCATTTCGTGACCCTTGTCAGCCCCCGCGATCCATTTCTTGGATACGCTTGCGCAGCCCCGTGGAGCTGGTACATCGGGCTTATACTGCTGTTGATCTATATTCGAGGCCCAAGAGGACCACTGCTCGCCTCTATTGTTGTGCAGCAAACCAAATCCGACATCAATTGCAAAGTTTGCCGTAACAAGGCTGATTGTGTATAGGACCGCATCGGAACTATAGAGCGTAGCACAATTGCCCTACCAGGGCTAAGAGAGCTATATGTCGATATGAGAGATTTAAGAGCGGCGTGATTGACCATCCATTAAGTATGGGCTGTCAATGGGGCGGGTTCATATATTGGGCGCTAGCTGGTCGTACTTGACACATCGTTCCACCTGTTTCTGTTAGGGATGTTAACAAATAGGGGCACCAAATTACATACCGTATCGATCGAAGCCTGCAAGAAGCTGCGGGCCTCAAGACCCACCCAGACCTTGAGCATCGAGAAGTCGCCCCCGCGGATCATCGAGGAGCCGCTTTGAGCACCAAGTTGTCGCAGTATTGGAAGAGCACTGACAAGAGTTAGCTGATTTGTGTATATCAAGGCCACTTTTAGTACTCACCCTGCGAAGAGGTCCAAGTTGGGGTTGAGACTCCTGCCGATACCTTCCAGCAGTAGAATGCTGAGGACGACATTTACGAAGTCACCCTCGAGACGAACGTGGTGCGTCCGTACCATGGACAACACCTCATTGAGAATGTCGCCGATCTTGATATTGCCGAGCGCGAACGTACGGCTTTTGACGCCCAGAACCAAATGTTGCATGCGTAACGCAAATACCTCCCCATCCAGCACGGCATCTGGTTGTCTACACCGCTCAACCATCAGATGCCCAGCTTTATACCCATCGAACTCGGCCACAGCCTTGAAGAGGTCAAGGAAGTTGGCGCGATTCTTCGTATTGAGTTCCGTGACGAGACCTGTATCGATGAAGATGAGCTGTGGGCGGTATCCTTCATTGTCAAGCTCCTGAAGCCTTGCTTTCCACTGCTCCGGATCCTTCCTGTGCGGTCGTAGCCGCTGCAATGCTTCTTCAGTAACGTCGAGCGACTCCTTAGGTCCAGTAACTCGATCTTCTTTTCGAGTGAAGATGGATACATCGAGCTGTTCGGGCTTGTAGAATCGAACCATGATATTACCTGGATGCAAGTCTGCGTGAATAAAGTTATCAATGAGGAGCATGGTGAGGAAAGCATCAAGCCCCTCATCCGCGATGTCTTTCTGGTACACCCCTCCTCCATTCTGTAGGAAGTCTTCCATAGGGATACCTTGCGCAAACTCCTCAATTAGAACACTGCGCGTACTGTATTCTGTGTATGGGTAAGGAAACCAGGCTGTTGTCCGGTCTTTGAAATTGTTACGGAACATTGTGAGGTTCGCAGCCTCAATGCGTAGATCCAACTGCAGCCTCATCATCTCACCAAACTGCTCCACCTCGTCTGGGAAGGACAGCCACTCCATGGTAGGGATCGCATTGATGATAACAGCAAAGAAGGCCATGATGCGCAAGTCTCTTCGCACAATCTTCTCGATTTTGGGATGTAAAACCTTGACGGCGACATGACTGGAAGGAACTCTTGAAGGAGTGCTCTTCAGTGTAATGTCGACATTCTTCTTTATCTTGTGAGCCAAGTTGGGCTCCTCCAGCGCAGCAGTATTCTCTTGTAGGGTCGCAAAGTGTGGTTTCAGCTTCGCCTTGTATACCTGGGCAATTGCGCCAACGCCCAATGGTGTCTCGTCGAACTCTTGGAATATGTCGTCGAAGCGTTGGCCGTCGAAGGCATCCTCGATGGTCTGTTTCGAGACCTTGAGCGAATGAGCGGGTGCGTTTGAATGGAGTGTTGACATGATGAGGCACATCTCGGTCGGAAAGACGTCTGTTCGTGAGGCTGCCCATTGCCCAAGCTGTAATGCAGTTAGTTACGCCTGGAACTGCAACTTCCGTAACTTTGTACTGCATACCTTGATGAAAGCGGCTCCCGCCCTCTCCATGGACGAGACCAAGAAGCCATACCACCACAAGGTGCCACTGCGCTCATTATCCCTCTTAGTCTGTCTCGCGCCAATCCAAATAGCTGGGATAGTAACGATGACGGGCACGAAGATGATTAGCAAGTGCAGAAACCGCAGGCCCGTGGCTATCGGCTCGATTATGTAGTCGTCAATGAAAAAGTATATGCCTCTGCGGTATTTGGTCGAGTTCTTCAGCGCCTTAGGTACCTGCTCATCGAGCTCCTTCCTCGATGCTTCAAGCATGGCGGCTTCGTGCGTCTTCTCTCCACTGTCCGACTTGTCATGGCTAATTTCTACAAAAGCAAGCGGACTGAGTAGTGCGCCGGTAGCTGCGCCAGTCGCTGCGCCAGACCATAGTATAGTCCTGCCGCGAAAGCGAGGGGAAGCGAATTGCTGGCGGATGAACGAGGCGGTTGCGAACCGTCGCGTCGCAGCTCGGCTTGCGAAGGTGGCCGTTGACTTTGGAGGGCCATGGCGAAGACATTGGCGTCCGAACAAGAGGACCGTCCTCATGATACCGGATACTGGGCGGATGCGGATGCGACGCGAGAGAGTTCCATTCCGTGAGGCGTGAAGCAACAAGCGCAAGTCGCGCACATCGTGACGTCGGTCGGTACCGCTGGCTTCCTTGTGATACCGATGCGGAAAAGTCCCCGCCCCTGCTCCTCCGCGGCCAAACATGCAGCTTTCGCCGTCAACTACAGGACCTTCTCGCCATGGTCTGGCAACGAGAACATATCTTCCTTGATTACAGTATCTTCGTTAGCATAGTTAGCTCGAACCCGAGAGCACGTCGAGGAGTGGAAGCTCATGCAATTGATCCACAACCACATACACTTGAACATATAAATGCGTTTGAACTGGACATCGCTGTTAATTCTCTACCATTATAGCCCTCTTAAATTGTCTTCGAATAAGGCTTATGTCATCTGTTCGTCATGGAAACTCGTTATATACATGTCAAAGTACAACAGGGCCTTCCTGTGCGACGACTTGGAGATGAACGCTGCGACAACTGGTACAACACTGGCCAGGGGCCGCTTCAGATGCCTTTAGGTTTCCTAGGGACCAGACGATCCTTCTTATCTTCTCGGACATGGTGACCCTCCTGATCTTGAAAGCTGCTGTCTGAACCTCTAGCGCCCAATTCATGGCTGGAGTAGCCTGTAGTATGCTTCGACATATGCGCCGCGGCGACGACAAGGCATACAGGAGATTCTAAGCCTAGAGTCTCTCAGTCCGAACAATCATGCGGGTGGATCCTTATCTTGGAGTGGGCCAGATCGCTCATCAATGTTCCTTAGGAGGCCAAGATAGATGGGGCGTAGGAGCAAGTATATAAACGTGAAAAAGATGCCAACCTTCCACATACGACCATAGGATCTTGAATTCAGCGCTTCCCGTTCGCTCAGCGGTACTTAAGCAGGATACCGGCGGATTAGTAGTTAGGTGGGTGACCACTAGCGAATCCCCGCTGTTGTATGTTTTTGCCATTTTGCTTTACTTGAAGCTAGTATCGAACGCGACAATCTATAATACAAGCATGCGCCTTGAGAGCTTTGGCTCTTTCGTAGTGCAAGTACTGTTAGCTTCTACTACAGCTCAATCAACCTGCAAATAACTATACGCTTTTCTTTCTTTGTGTTAGCTATAGGGTTACTTGAAGACCTCCTCGCTGCATCCATCCCGAGAACATAGTAGTTGAGCAGTGACAACGACATGGCGCCCCTGTTCTGTGAAGCGACGCTTGAAGTAACGACAGAGGTCGGAGATTGCCTGAAGATGCGCAGCCTTAGCGTCGTCCATGACTACGACGTTGTGGTGGACAACTTGTTTGCTGCGGTTGCAATAGCCACTCGTTCCGACGATGACCAGCTTTTGCAGCTCCTTCAAGCATAAGATGGCCTCCGGCTTGAATCCTACTAAAAAATCATCGATTGGAATAGCTTGAACGGAAATTGGTCGATTCTCGTCCCCGGAGTCACCCGAGTAGAGAAGGGGCGCGTGGAGTGTCACTGTGAGCTCACGGACACGTGGAAGGGCGTGAATGATGTCGATGTGCTCTTCGTTCGATAAATCTGTAACCCTGAGATTGGCTTCCCGGTTAATAGGCCCATATATGATAGAACCTCTCTGGCCGTTGACGTTGTTCAAGGTCAACTTTCGTACCATGTTGGAGAGGGACCTCGCATGCTGCTGCAAGTAAAGGAAAGCGAAAAAATCGCCAAAGGCGTCATCGTCATTGAAATGGAAGTGGGCTGACTCAAGCAAGCAGAAGCCGACTTCATTGTGGAGCCCTTTGCTCGTGAAGCAGAGATCTGGTAGAAATGGTGCATATCTCCTTTTGTGGACTCTTCTCCTCCAAGAAGTACTGTTCGTAGATGTTGCAACGGATCTCGATGGGCAGGTCCATAAAGCGGGTGAATTCTGGAAGGGGGAATAGTTCGTCGTCAAGGTACGCGTTGAATGTGGCCAGAAGGTCCGCGAAGCCGTCTTGCACCTCAACGGCCCCAGTGCCAGTGTTTGGGGCGCCTGAGCCGCTAGCGTTTGTGACCGAATCCATGGCGAACGAGTTGGTCGGCGTGCAAGGCACGGGTGGTGGGTGCAGTGGCTACCGCGGTGGAGCGGGAAGGTGGGTGTCGCCAAGCAAAGCACGAGCGTATTGCTTCTAGAAGGAAGGTGCGAGCGATGATGGGCAATTCTTGAAGGATTTTGAATTCCGTCAGAGGAGAAAAAGCGTCATTTCACTGCGCTGGTGTTGGCTGTTGTCATTGTCATGTTGTTGCTTTGGTGTTGTTCTTATTGTTGTTGTACGTTGCACAGTTTATAGGCAAGTTTGCCCTGCTAGTCATAGCACGCGAGTTGCTTCGGTGACCACCTCCCTCGTGGTACAGTCACCACAGTCTGTTACTTGGCCCTACTATGTCGAGTATATCAGGTTCCTATTCAATCCCATCTCTGTCCAGCCTGTCCAGGTAGCCTATCCAGAGTCTAAAATCCGCCAAGCCCGGAGCTCGCGCCACTGGCATCATCGTCCCCTCTCTACTCCGTTCCTGCATCACGACAATGGTCAAGCGGCCCTTGGCAGAAGACAAGATAGAAGCTCACCAAGGTTTCTTATCACGTCTTGACATGGCCGTGCCAATCCTTCGGTCGCGTGTGCGCTGCCATTGGCGGATAGGCGCTCGCCCTCGTATACAGGGGTGAGCTACTATCCTAAAGCAGCAGGTGCTTCAATTGTGAGCTTCGGTCTTGTTATATCGCAATGTCAGCACGACGGCACCGCTTGGCTTTCTGCGAGTACCGGTAATATGCGAGGCACTGCAAGGTCATGGATCGTCGTGGCACGTATAAATTGCGCAGCCTGTCCGGCATTTTGGGCGGCGGCACTTCTCTCGCACTTTGTCAAAGCAGTTTCGCACGGAAGAAACAAGCTCCATAATGGGTGTTTTCAGATCAATTGCGGCCGTGGCTGCGAGTGCTGCCATGGTTGCAGATGCTGCAGCTGTACAGCCCCGCGACTACAAGACGCTGGTCTCTTCGGTACCTCGCTCCACCGAACCCGGGCATATTCCAACTGAATGCTAATACCCGCTATAGAAGTCTCTTCGCGATTCCCTTCACATTGACAACCTGTTCGCAAAGGCCGAGATCTTGCAGGACATTGCGTACAAGACGCCGGGGAAAAACCGCATCATTGGCAGCAAAGGTCATGAGGATACCGTCGCCTACATCAAAGGCCAGCTCGAGCAGTTTCCCGATTACTACACGGTGGAGACCCAGGCTGTACCGTTGAACATTGGCACCAACGCAACCCTGAAAGCGAACAACAAGGACATCAAAGCTTATCCCGTAACGCTTGCGCCAGGAGGCAATGTCACGGGTCCTCTGGTTGCCATTCCCAACTTGGGATGTAATGAGGTACAATGTTTGCTGAACTGTACGACGACCAGGACTAACATCAAGTAGACCGACTTCCCCACAAGCCTCAACGGTTCCATTGCGCTGATCAAGCGCGGCGTGTGCGATTACGGTGCCAAGGTTCAGCTTGCTGCTGCTCATGGCGCTTCCGCAGTAGTAGCATGGAACAACGGCGAGGGCACGCTCCAAGGCTATTCACTCAGTGTTTTGTTTCCCAAGGGCAAACTGGTTCCAGTCGTTGGCATCACCTTGGGCCAGGGCGAATCTTTGTTAGCACAACTCACGGCTGGGGTGAAGATCACTGTCGACCTGTCAACAGAAGTCAAGCTCTACGAGACGTTGAATGTCATCGCTGAGACAAAAGCTGGAGATCACAACAACGTAATCCACGTCAGTGGTCATTCCGACTCGGTATACGCCGGTCCTGGAATCAACGACAACGGATCTGGGACGATTTCCATCCTTGAGATCGCCCTTCAATTGACTAACTTCACTGTCAACAACGCCGTGCGATTTTCCTGGTGGGCGGCTGAGGAAGCCGGGCTGCTCGGAGCCGAGTACTATGTCAGCAAGCTTTCGCAAGCCGAGAAGAACAAGATCCGGCTCATGCTCGATTTTGACATGATGGCCTCACCCAACTTCGCCTATCAGATCTATGACGGCGATGGTTCTGCTTACAACCTCACCGGCCCTGCTGGCTCTGCCGAGGCTGAACACGAGTTTGCCTCGTACTTTGACAGCATCGGCCTGAACCACACCGAGATCGAGTTTGACGGTCGCTCAGACTATGGTCCTTTCCTTGAGGCTGGTATTGCCGCAGGAGGTATTGCCGGTGGTGCTGAAGGCATCAAGACTGAAGAGGAGGCGGAGCAGTTTGGCGGAGCTGCTGGCGTGCCATACGATGTCAACTACCACGAGGATGGTGATACCGTCAACAACCTCAACCTAGACGCTTGGATCCAGTTCTCCAGGGCGATTGCACACATGACTGCCAAGTATGCTGTCAGCTGGGACGGCATTCCGCCGCGCAACGCGACGGCGGCTCACAAGCGATCGGAGAGGTATGCCGATTTGAAGAGCAGGTTCCAGATGACCAAGAGGTATCAGAACTGGGTGTAGTTGCACATTTACGTAGCACATGACCTAATGAGTCTTGATATTAGTCAATGACAATGATGATTACCAAAAACGACCAGTGCACAGGTTCGCGAGGCATGTTGTGTGAAATTTCCAATGTACGCAAGTGATGCTATTACTAGACTATCGCTGCGAAGCAGAGACGGTACTGCGTACGGGGATTCCGTCAGCGACACATTACTCTTCTTCATCCTCGTCATCGTCATCAACAACAGGGACTGGGTCGGCTTGACTGGTGGTCTTGACTTTCCGGTCCTTCTCAGCACCAGCCGGCTTTTTGCCCGTTGGGTTGGCATCCTCATCTTCTTCGTCGCCCTCGGGCACGGGCTCCGGGGCATCGTCTTCCTCGTCTTCGTCTTCGAGGTCGTCCTCCTCCTCGTCCTCCTCTCCGTCATCTTCTCCGCCCTTGGATGCAGTGCGCTTGGTCTTCTTCTTTGGTGCTAAGAAAAAGTCAGAGAGGGCATGGGAGGGTATCGAGCAAGATGGGCAGACTTACGAGGGTCCTCATCAGAATCCTCTTCGCCAAAGTCGGAGCCTTCAGATTCGGCGTATCTGTGAGGTGCCATGTCAGCCTTGTGACCTTGTTCAACGCTGTCCCATATGCCAAAACAGCGCAAAGTCTACATTTTTCAGGTTGTCCGCGACTCAGCTGATATAGTCGTCGCATAGAGAGCGCAGTCGTATCAATTGCAGGTCAAGAAAGGTGCAGAAGCGCGCGGGGAAGGGGGTGCGACTCGGTCAGGCTGACAGGCGCGGCTTTTGACAGCTACGCAGCGACAACAGGGCGCGATGGGAGAAAATTCAAAACTTCAATGCAACAAAGCGAGGACAGGCGACTAGAATGCATACAAAATCGCACAATTCGCGACGTGGAAGGGTGATGGCATGACGTCAAGCAAGCAGGCGCTTCACTTACTCCTCTTCCTCGTCAGATTCGTCACTTGGGAGGGCAACAAGCTCCTCCTCCTCCTGCTTCCTCTTGCGAGTGGACATTGTCTCTAAGGGTGATGGAGATGTGGTAGAATTTTGATTGATGGTTGTGTGGAGGTGAATGAGAATGGGCTTGGAGGATTAAAAGCTGGGAGTTCAGCTCTGCGGGGACCGGATGAAGTACCTACGTAGGCGGCCCTGCTTGTCACTTCGGAGGAGGCTGGGGGGAGCCCGCAAGGGAACTTGATCTGACCTAAGATGGGGCCCCAGCCAATGGCGGGTGGCGAAGTAGTGACGTGCAGTGCACAAGTGTCCGCTGCTGCAGGTACCGCATTCAAGGGAGTCTGCGCGGTCTGGATGGAACTGACTGAGGGTATTGCATAATTTGGCCGCCGTATACTTGATTTGCGCGGTTCTGCGTGGCCTTGCTTCTATGTTGAGGTGCAGAGCTCACCGGCCGAAAAGGGGAACGCGGCATCTTGCTGACTGAAAGAGGTAAAGCGTGACCTCGCTGACCGAACAAGACTTAGTTATCTCACGTGACACGCTAGTCGATGCAAGCCAATGGGAATAAGGATATACTATGGCTTAGTGACTGTGCCACAGAGTCGTCTCACGTGAGTGTCCGAGTCATTCTAACCAGGTGGTGGAGGGAGGACTAAGAAAAACGAAAAGCGCAACTCACGCTAACACCAACCCAAACGCCCCGCTCTCCCGCGGTACCGAAGTCGATTCTCATTTGCCGTCTGCCTTGCAATGATTTCCTCGACCTGACTCGCTCTAATCCTCAATACTCGCTCTCAACTCAAACTCCACCACACCACAGCCCACACATCGATTCACCAACAACATGTCTGCGCCCACGGTGGCGCGGCCTAGGGCTCCCCGCATCGGAGGCCTCAGCTCTTCCAAGAAACCAGACCCCTACCAATCCATAACCACGAAACGAAACGCCTTGCCCGCACCTCCGCCGCCCAAGCCCGTCGACCGCGCGAAATGCTGTGACAGCCCGGACGTCCATAGCGAGGACAATCTGACTCTCTGCTACTCGTGCGGTAAAGTCTTCGAGGAGAGCTCCATTGTCGCCGAGGTCACGTTTGGTGAGACGGCAGGCGGAGCGGCCATAGTCGAGGGTGGCTTCATCGGAGAGAACCAGCGTCACGCCAACTCCATGGGTGGCACTATGCGAGGTCTTGGCGGCATGGAGAGCAGAGAGCAGGCGGCCATGCATGGCAGGCATGCCATCGAGGCCCTTGCCCACTCCCTGCAAGTTCGACAGTCAGTCATCGATCAAGCGGTTGGCTGGTACAAGCTCGCCATGAACCACAACTTTATCCAGGGTCGTCGCATGAGGAATGTCGCTGCCGTAGCTATCTACATGGCAGCACGGCGGCAGCCCGAAAACACACTCATGCTCATGGATCTGGCCGAGAAGATCCAGACCAACGTGTGGGCATTAGGTGATACCTACAAGGCCTTTTTGAAGAAGCTCGGCGAAGAAGACCCAGCACAACTTGTGGGCAACAAGGCTGTCCAGGAGATCGAGCCGCTAATGCTAAAGTACTGCCGCAAACTCGAGTTCTACCAAGATTCGCACAAAGTCGCCGACGACGCTTGCAAGCTGTTGAAGCGTATGAGCCGGGATTGGATGGTACAGGGACGCCAGCCTGCTGGCCTTTGCGGCGCATGCATCATTATTGCTGCTCGTATGAACAATTTTCGTCGAACCGTTCGCGAGGTTGTCTATGTCGTCAAGGTCGCCGATTCTACCATCAATTCTCGCCTGTATGAGTTCAAGAGGACACCTACCTCAGCTTTGTCTGTCGACCAGTTCCGTCAGATCGGTCAGCGACTCAAGGTCACGACCCAGCCACCCGCCATCTGGAGGCGCGCCGAGAAAGAGGAGCGTAAGGAGAAGAGGAAGAATGCCCAAGAGAATGTACGAGCAGATGACGGCACCGAAGTCGCCCCTGCAGAGCAATCAGGAAACAGCGGACCCGACGCAGGTCCGAGTTCGTCGTCAACGAGGGCAAGCAAAAGACGCAAATCCAACTCTGAGGCGTCTCAAGCTGTCGCTACACAGTCCCATGATTCAGACACACAGGACAACGATCCACCCGTGCCCGATGCGGATGCCCTTGACGGCAACAACGATAATGTAGTGGACTCTGTAGGCTCTGCCCTTGCAGAAGTCGAGGCAGGCGAAGCCAGTGATCCCGACTTCACCATGCCCAAGAAACGCGGTCGACCAAAGCAGCGGGACCCCATCGTCATACCGCCAGAGGACCTCGAGATTGAGCAGGACATCGAGTCCGAGCTCACCCATGTCATCAAAGACTGGGAGGGTATATTCAAGGAGTTTGCCAACAACGAGAATCACGAACTGTTGAAGCGAACCGGGTGGACAGCCCAAGAAATGACGCGTGCGCACACGGATTCCCGCGACGTTCCTGTCAACCTCTCGCCCGACATTGGTGAAGACGAATTCGACGATGACCCCGACGTCGCTAACTGCATCCTCGGCCCCGACGAAGTCCGCCGCAAAGAGGCCATCTGGATTACAGAGAATGAAGACTGGCTGAGAACGCAGCAGAAGAAGATGTTGGAGGCTGAGCTCGAAGCAGCAGAAGATAAGCCCAAGAAACCAAAGCAGAAGCGCAGACACCACCAAATGGGTGACGGCAGCCTTCTTGATGGCCAACCCGCGGCCAGCGCGGCAGAGGCAGCGCATAAAATGCTCAAGAAGCGCGCAAACGGCTTCAGTCACGGTATCAACTACGAAAAGCTGAAGGAGTTGTTTCCAGGCGGAGACACGGCTTCGAGCCCGTCTGACAGCGGCCAAGGTGCAAGTGCAAGTCCTGCTGCCTCTCAAGTCACACGAGCACCACCCATTGTCCAGGTCACCAATGCCCATGCTGAAGGTGAAGAGGAAGAGAACGAGGACATGCAGGATGCAGCCTCGGAAGACGATCTTGAGCACCAGTACATGGAGGACGAGGATGAAGGTTTCGGTGAGGACTACGAGTACGAGTAGCGTTCTGTTTTTTGGGGAAATATCCTCTGGGTCCGGAGAGGAGCAGTTTGTGAATATCGGTAAATGGATACTCATGGAATACTGTCTGATCACATCTTTGGCTATTGGGCCATCCATCCCTTCAACGGCGTTTTTATTGGGGAACAGTTACTTTTTTGCATAGATACCCCCAAGTGTAAGCATGGCACGGCATATATAGAAACGGAGTTCTTGTCTTCTATCTCATCCCCCGCCCCCCCCGCCCCCCCAAAAAAATCACAGATCCTGGGTTTTTTTTATGTACACGTGAAGATGATTTGCGTTGTTGTAGGGGAGGAATTCCCAACCATAAAGATTGGTCCCTGCTTTTCGTAACTCGTGACACATGCTCATGCTACCCTAGATTTTTCATGGCCCCGCCCCTAAAATTCCCATCGAACGCCGAAGTCTGCAAAAAAAGTCTATTGAAACATTACTCTTCTTTTTGTGGGAGAAACCGTCTGATCCCGGCCTGCACACACAAAGACGGACGAAGACGGCACTTAGCACATTCTGTACTGAGCCTGTCCTGCTGCCTGCCTGTGCATGTCGTCCGTGTCCAGCTTGTATGAGATGTTGATGTCCAGATCGCGATGGTTCTTGTCGCTGGGCTTGGTATCTATCACGCCGCTGATCGTCTCGCCCTCCTCCACGGTCAATACATCCTTGAGGTAGAATACCGTCTGTTTCCAGTGCGTATACTTGGTGTGGGGGCCGGTAGAGAAACGGATGGGCTTGTGGCAAGCCGCAAACTCGATATCGAACCAGGCAATGACGGCGTGGACAAAGTCGCTGCGGCGCACCTTAAGCTCGTAGGGTAACCGGAACGCGAGGTCGGCGACAGTGCAGGTGTAGAGGTCGAGGGTGATGACGGGGGAGGGGTCGGTGACGACGGCTTTGATGTCGACCGTGTCAACGAGGGGCTCGGTCATGGCGGTGGCCTTGAGCGGGGTGTAGTCGAAGCCCCAGACGTTGTCCCAGACTGAATTCAAGTTAGCATCTGATATCTGCAAGCAGGAATCGAATCAGACGTAGGCGCTTACATCCAATCTTCTCCTCCTTGTAGTCGCCGTCTTCGATACCAGCCATGAAGATGGTGGCCTTGTCGGGGAAGATCAAACCATCCTTGACGAGGTACTTGTCCCTTGCGTAGAGAACGGTGTCCAGCATGCTCTCGTACAGCAGGAAGTAGCCCATCCACTCGGAGATTATAATGTCGACCTTGTCGAACGGTAGCACGACCTCTTCCATCTTGCCCTGGAGTAGGGTAATCTTGTCCGACATGCCGTTCTGCTCGACGATCTCGCGCGCCTTGTCAATGATGGTAGACATATCGACACCGATAACGTGCTTTGCTCCGGCCTTGACCGCGAACCTGTATCGCGGCTATTAGTGCCTACTCGTGTGCCGTTGGGGGAGGTTGTGGGGAGCGCATACATGCTGAGGATAGATGTACCGCATCCGACATCGAGGACTACCTTGTCCTTGAACAGGTGCCCGTTCTGGTAGATGGCGTCCCGGTAGCTCTTGGTCCGGACTTCATCTTTCTACTCCGTGTTAGTCGCTTGCTGAGAGGGGCTGTGAATGCAGACAACAGCGGCAGAATCGGACGGTACGCACCAGCATTTCCTCGTGGATGCCTTCATATGCGCATTAGTAGTATTCTCAACGCTACAGTACAAAAGCTTAACGGACCGTGGTGGTTGTAGCTGCGCGCATTATCGTTAGCATAAGTTTCCTATTGCTACAGCCTAGTGAATCTGCGCACCTGTTGAAATAATGCGCTTCAGAGTGCGCCATGCCGGTGAGCGGGTCCGTCTTTGCCGCATCCTGTTGGTTCGCCATGTTGACGGCGAAATATAAAGAGGTTGAAGAGAGAGAGGAGTGAAAATGTGGATGAACAAAGCAACCTTTGGCTCACGAAATTTTGGGTAGGTCGCACAGACTCGCCGGGCGGTCCAGTGCCCCGCTACCACCTTACGGGCAAAACTAGGCCGGAAAGAATCATGCCACGAGAATGTCAGGGAAGCCTATTCGGTCTATATTATAATGGTGCATAATGAGATACCCAACTATGTATGTCCCCTGTCATGTCCGCGAAAATACTAGGTGAAGCAAAAACACAACGCTTGTCAATATCAAAACTATACCAGAATCAATTTTCGGTGCTCAAAAACATGTGCGTACGGTCGGAGAGGGTATATCGTGCAAATAGCAGAAACCGCCCTCGTCGTATCGTCGTCAGTCATCAGTCATAAGATTTTTTCCCTAATTTCGTCGAGCAAATCCCAGGGAGAAGCAAGCGATGCTTCTGTCATGCCTGATTTTCGATCATCAGATCCTAATGTGATGGAACCACTCCTTGAAGTTCCTTGCATCTAGTATACAAGTCAGTAACCCTTAATATCGATGAGACCGGACAAGCATACCTTCGGGTGTAGTGAACGTCAACTGATACCTGCCCGTCGGCCCTTTTGGTAACTTGTACCCTTCACAAAACACATATGGGTGAAGCTCGCCAAACTGGATTGTAGTATTGCCAACTCGCTTCATCCAACCTCTGTGCCCAATATACTGTGTGACAAAGGCGGTCCAGATAGGTATTGTCTTGAGTGGTCCCCGACGAGCTGTCGCCTCGAAGCGAACGCAACCAGAGTCTACGTCACGGTATATGCGGAATGCATGGAGGTATTTGCTGTCTTTGATCTCGCTACACATGGTTAGTATATAGTGTCATGTATGTCTAGTCCAACACGTACCCGCTGAATTCTAGCTCCCCAGGATGGAAGAAGTCTACCAGTCCTTCGGCAATGCCATTTTCATCTTGGCGTTTCATGGCAACAGCGGTGCAGTAGAAAAGGACCATTCCTGTTGCGTTGATTAGATCGCTTGTCTGTATGACGCAATATAGTAACACTCACGCTCATACAAAGTGAATCGGAGCTTAGCCCACACATCGAGCCGTCCATCTCTTTTGTTGACACGGCAGAGCTGCAAACAAGACTCTGCACGAAGCAATTTTAATCCGGTCAATGGGAAGCAATATCTCATGCGGCGTCCAGTGGGATCCATTGTGAGAAAGAGAATTCGGGCGCGGTTGTCCTCTGGCCTCCAGTATAGCCTTACCCAAACGTTGGTGGCCTCAAAAGGCAACTCCAGTACCTTCTCGAATCCGTCACTATCGAGTAACTCAATAGCCCGGGGCTCATCCCTTCCGAGACATGTCGTAGGGTCTCCAAATGTGTGGAACCGTGTTGAAGAATGGCGTCCATCAAAGATCTTCATGGCCCAGTGGGCTACCGGTTCTCCTGAATCAGTTGAGTGGTTGGAGTAGGACTGTGAAGACGCTGACGAATATGTCGGCGACTGAGGAATCTCTGGTACCGGCGGTGGTATAAACGGTATTTCTCCTATGCCTCCCCAGGTTGGTGCAATATGGGCTCGATGTGGCAATGGCATCGGCTGTGGTGGTGCATAGTGGGGCCCATATCCCGGAGCTGGATAGGTAGGAAGACTGTGGATCTTCGGTCTCGGGACTTTGGGAGAGGGGGGCTTTGGCGTTCTGGCATAGCCTTGCCCATGCCCATGCACAGACAGTTTATTGAAGTATGATTCGATAGGCTCTTGCTTCTTAAGCAGCTTTGATAGACGGACCCTGATCTGGTGGAGTTCTTCTTCGTCTTCCTCGCTACGGGAAATCAGCTTGACTTTGACGTGTCTTGCATTCTTACACGTACCCTTTCAATGCGTCGTACATACCCTGCAGATATGTCCTGAATAATTCCAGCCGTACAGGTAAGGATATGCCCTGCGCTTTCAGATCCGCGAGAACGTCTTCCCATATCACTGCATATGGCGGGGTACCAGGAAAAGCACCTGGTGCCGTGTATTTACCCTTCTTGGACTTGCTGAACATATCTCGTACATCATCGAGCGTATGTCCCAAGCTCGGGAGGCATACTTCCAGATCTTTTAGGATGCGGCCTGAATATCGTCCGTAGCGGGACAGCTCCAATGCCTCGTTCAACACATGAAGGGCATTCGATATAGCAAAGAGCTCGGCAATATCGCCAGTGATATCCTTGCGATATTGCGGGATCTCGCCTAGGAAGACTTGGAGGTCCGAACCGGTGTCCTCGGCCAATTTGGCGTAGTCCTGGAGTCGCCAGTCCATGGTGGATCGGGTGCCGGGAGTGTTCAATCAACAGGAGAGCGTCACCAGCGGCGCATGCTTCCGACGCCAGAAATTACAGCGGACAAAGAGAATGTGCTCGCTCGAGCAACAGGGCTGCAAAACGATCGTCTGGCGTAAGAATCTGTTGATGTGCGCGCCTTGAAGAGGGCCGGCTCTTGACGTGTTTCCTGCAGCACGCCGGTCAGGAAGCCAATCGATTATGCCGCAAAACCCCCTTACCAATCTGCACGTTACCCACAGCTGTTCCCTTCTCCTTCGTGCGATTTGTCTGTTGGCTCGATTTGGCCCCCAACCTGATGACTTTGTCAATCCTTTCAGAGCTAGTTTTCGGGTGCAGTTGCGTCCTAATGCCGGGCGAAGAAGACGCTATTTTGGATGGGACTGGGAACGCCCCTCCGATGTAGGGCTGACCCGCTTCGCTGTCAGCGATAGTTGAAAGCCGTGGTCGTGCGATGCGATGCTAGCAGACCAGTGCGAATAGAAAAGTTAGAGCTCATGGCCCACAACATGGCCCTTCTCTTCGAAAAGTAGTAGTGGTTCTGCCTAACGTCTCTCCACCACGGCTCAAGCTAACTATGCATTGTAAGCAACCCCTGTTCAATCGATCGATGCACAAGGGCAGCAAAATGGGATCCTATTGCTCCGGGTATGTGAAGATGCGCGTCGTAGCCAGCTGTCAAGACTGTGAGTGGAAGATGGTCGAGGTGCATCATGCACCGACTAGGCAACAAGGACCGGCGATCGGACATGGTTTCGAATATATTGATTCGGGAACGACAATACATCTAAGTTCTACAGTAGAAGGGAAGGAGGCTAGATTTTTATTGACAGTCGTCGCGATATATACGGCTCAGAAAAAGTAGGGCTGCGCCTCACTCTTCGCGCCACGGATACTGGTTGCCCAACCACCCTCATAATCCCTCTCCAGGCAACAGGTGTAGTCAGAGAGTACATTATTCTATTGGAGTGGGCTTAGCGGGACCATAGCTGGCTTGACTCCGTTGGGCCCAACCCTCGCCTAATCCTTCGTAATGGCAAACTGGTAACTGGTACCACATTTGCGTAGTTCCCCAGACTCTAGCCTTTTGGTGACAGTGGCCATTTGCATGTTGACGTTGGTGCCTGGGTTTACTTGCCAAGCGCCTTCAGCCGCTCATCTACAAGCTTCGCGACCATCTTTTCGAGTATCGCAAACTCGCCATTGGCGGAACCCTCAAAGTATCCTGCCACGCTCTTCTCCACGTATTTGCCGACTTGGTCTACTTCGACGTTGACATCTTCGCCCGGCTTCTTGCTCGCTGTGATGACCTTTTCTTGCGTATAGGCAATGAGCATCACCTCCCACCAGCCGTCCGGGCCATCTTGCACTTTGGTGACGGTCAAGCTGGCGCCATCTATTGTAACGTATCCCTTCTCGACAATGTATCGTAGGACGGCGGGATCTCGCGGCTTGAAACGGAAGGTTAGAGCGTTGCCGTCGGGAGTTACGGATTCGATGGTCGCAATGGTATCGACATGGCCCTGTACAAAGTGTCCACCCATGCGAGTCTCTGCCGATACTGCGCGTTCTAAATTGACCTTGGAGCCTTGTTTCAGCGCCCCCAAATTGGTGCGACGGAGCGTCTCGGGCGCGCACCCAATCTTGAAGGACGACTTGTCGAACTCGGTGACGGTGAGACAGGTTCCTGCAGGCGGCTTAGTCGATGCTTGGCCTAGGAGAGAGCGGCGGCATACCATTGACGCTGATACTATCCCCCAAATGCGCGTCTCCCAGTATGTCAGACGCGGAAATTGTCAACGAGGTGCCGCCGCCTCCAGACGCCGACTTGTCCAGCTCCTCGAGCGAGGCAACAGCTAGCCATCGTCAGCTGAGCCGCGCAGGAACATGGCAGCGACCGCTTGCTTACTGCCAATTGTTTCTACGAGACCGGTAAACATGGTGGGGTCGATGGTAGATGAGGATGCAGCAATGGTGGGGGTGAAGCTAGCTGTGTACCTCGGATCGGGAACTACAGCTAGCTCAAGCTCGGGAATATGTACGTCGTTGGGGAATCCAGTCGCCGGTACCGAATGTCCTTCTCTACACTCGTGCCGACCTCTACTTCAACATGGTGGGCTTGATGCTCAGGAGCTCGAGACGCCTTCAGGCGTCATTGCAGCGCTCACAGTGCAATGCCTCGCAATACTTTACCCGACGTAGGCTTACAACACCCGCAAGCGGTGATACTGCACATCTACCGTTGGCTGGAATCAAAGTACTTGACATGACCCGAGTATTGGCCGGAGTGAGTCCTGAGAGCGAGGACAGCCATGATAGCGTCTAACAACGACATAGCCCTACTGTACACAAATTCTTGGAGATCTTGGGTATGCCATGGACAGCCCAGTATGGACCAGCATCCAAGGTTGGCAAGCACAAGGACAGCGAACTGACGAGTGAGTCCAGAGCGGACGTTATCAAGGTTGAACATCCCACAAGAGGAGGTGAGCATGACCTAGTGCCGTCCATGGCAGCAGGGAACCTAAAGCCCAAGCAGATGATACTCGAGCATGGGGCCCCCCATACGCAAAGTACACGGACGGTAAAGAAGGCCCTGGAGAAAGCGCATATTATCTTGGTGTACGTCAACAGAGCTACATTTCAGCTTGTGAAGATGTAACACATCACAGGTAAATCGAAACAAACGATCAATGGGTCTATCATTCGCACACCCAGCTGGCGTTGATATCTTACACCGTCTGGTTAAAGAATGCGATGTCCTGGTCGAGAACTATCTCCCAGGTTCGCTCGCAAAGTACGCAATGGACTACGACACTGTATCCAATATCAACCCAAGTATTGTCTACGCCAGTATTACTGGATATGGCCAGACAGGGCCGTACCGCAACAGAGCTGGATACGACGTCATGGTTGAAGCGTACGTCTCCCAAGCTGAGCTGCGATATTCATGTTGATATCTAGTAGCGAAATGGGTTTGATGCACATTACAGGGCAACGCGACGGGCCGCCAGTCAAGGTCGGCGTAGCAGTCACTGATCTCACAACTGGACTCTACACCTCAAATTCAATCATGGCAGCTCTTCTAGGCCGGATAAAGACGGGCAGGGGCCAGCATATCGATGTTGCCCTCAGCGACTGCCAGGTAGCTACGCTTGCGAACATAGCTAGCTCGTGTCTCATTAGCGGCCAAAGGGATACTGGGAGATGGGGAACATCGCACCGTAGGTCAGCTTTGTTCGACCAGCAGAATCCTACTGATGTGGAGCAGCATCCATTGTGCCCTACAAAGCTTTCAAGACATCTGACGGAGATATTCTGCTAGGAGGTGGCAACGACCGTCTTTATGGCGTTATATGTAACAAGATCGGCAAGCCCGAGTGGATATTCGATGAAAGGTTCAAAACCAATGCTTTGAGGGTCCGGAACCGAGATACATTGGAAGAGCTCATCGAAAATGAGACTCGGCAAAAGAGCACTCAAGAATGGCTTGAGATTCTAGAAGGGTCGGGCATGCGTAAGTAAACCTGCTCAAGCAGAAGACGTATGGGTGGCTGATGATCCTAGCCTATGCCGCTATCAACGATGTGCAGGACACTCTCAATCACGAGCATGGTACGCTCCCTTTCCTAGACCGGATGCGCTCACATGCTGATTTGCTATAGTCCGCGCCCGCGATATGGTAAAAGAAATAGACCACCCAGAATGCGGGCCTATCAAGCTCATAAACACACCGGTCAAATGGTCGGAATCTAAGCCTGGCATTCGACTACCACCGCCTACACTTGGTCAGCACACTAACGAAATACTTGGGGCTATGTTGGGCTTGAGCAAGGAAGATGTTGAGAGTCTGCGAAGCGAGGGAGTCATAGCGTAGTGTATCATCAGAGAAAAAAGTACATCACGCACATCTAAATAGCTCTACAAAGATTTCTCAACTATTGTCAGATCCATTCCTAATCACACATACTACCAGACATATCCAAGACATGATGTGACTAACTGCTTTTGTTCCTTGCTCCATTGGAACTCGCTAACCCGCTAGCCCAAGAGCACGGACTGGGCGCATCCGCAACCTTCATGGTTGAAGTTGCAGTAGTCCTCGACACGCTCGTTGAGCGCCATTGCACTATTTCTAATTAGATATTGTCAGTCGCAAGACTTGGTAGAGTAATATGGACTCCTCCAATCCTCTGAATGGTCATCACGCCACCGGCAATGGTGTGTCAGCTACCGGCAGCGGCGCAGCCAATACGCCCGCCTCTACTCCGCAATCGACAACGGCCATAGCACCAGCGCCGTCGCAGATGTCTAACTTCCCAGCCAACAATAGCACCACTACTGGTCCCAGCTATCCTCAGTTCTCCGCATCTACTGCCGCCATTCTTGAGCGACTCCACGGAAAAGGTAGTCATGCCTCCGGAAGTGCTGCGTTCGAAGCAAAGAGGGCGGAGATACTGCAGAACTACGTTACTAGCGACAAATTGCCGACACCCTCCCCAATCTTAAACAGTGGCCGCAGAGGGAAAGCAGGAGGAAGACTTGAAATGCCAGGTGCCCTAAAGTCGGAAGTGGGCACATCGCCTGCCGGTGCTTCATCTGCGCGAGCGTCAGGTCGAGGGCGCGGGCGGGGACGAGGAAGAGGACGAGGAAGAGGCGGCAAGCGGAAGCGCTCTGAGAGTGAGGAAGATGAGCATGTGAGTCGAGTTGACATAGTGCCCAGCCTCTGTCTAATATCACGTAGGACGATGACGATTCCGACATCTCATCCTCATACACACCACTCCCTACACAAACGAAGTCCGGTCGAAACGTGAACAGGCCAGTCGCATTCGTACCAACACTACCAGAACCATCACAAGGCGTCAAGCGGAGGAAGTCAACCAAGACTTTACTTGCAGCAAAGTGCAAGACATGTCACCGAGAAACAGAACCCTCAAACAATCGCATAGTATTCTGTGATGCGTGTAGTACCGCGTACCACCAATACTGTCATAACCCACCTATTAGCAACGAAGTTGTGACGGTGCTTGAGAAGGAGTGGCTATGTGGGCCATGTGTACGGTCGAAGCAGAGCGTAGTGGAAGGAACACAGGATCTGGTCGCAGCACAGAATCTATCCATAGATGAGGTGAGTCTGGCCGGGTTTCGGACTATACAATACTAATAATGCGATAGAAACGCGCCTATTTCTCAACCCTCCAACAGCATCAATTGGTGGGCCTACTACTCACAGCTACGATTCGGCACCCGGAACTCCCCATCTTCCCACCAAACGTGCAAGACCTAATACCCGACCCTACAGCGATCAAATCTCAGCCGCAAGCACCTCCAGCTGGACAACGCTTCCCACAACCGCAATACCAACCACCACCCGCATTCCATACCAAAATAACCTCTCCACCCAGTGGCCACACCACTACAACAAGCCATACCCCACACTCCCACAACTTCTCCGACGTAGACCCCGCGGAAGCACAACTCCTGGGCGAGTTCCGCTCGCAAAAACCGCAAGCGCAACCACGCACCACCATTGACCTTGCAGGAAACCAATACGAGGAAGACGACGGCTACGACACCGATCCGCCAGCACATTACCCCAAGGCCGGCAACGGGTTCGCCAGGACACTACGGCCCGAGAGCGAGGATTTGAATTGGCTCGTCGATGACAATTTTGAAGTCTTTAGTCATGGTTGGAAGGGCGATGGGACGGGTATGGGAGCGGATGGGACATTGGATGGCATGGGTGGTGGATCCAAGGTGGCCTAGGATGCTACTGAAAAGGCTAAGCTATCCACGAAAGGGGAGAGAGCTGGAGGTGAGGGGGTGGGTAGTCCGCTTACAGATACGAGTGATATCCTTTCGGAGATGGACAATGATGATATTCAGAGACTGGCTGAAGAGGTCGACGCGATGAGCTAAGTCAAGTTTTAGCTAAGTTTTAGCTAGAACACGGATTGCCACTATCAAGTATTCGGTAGCTCGAAGCTTCAGCCAAGATCCTATAAATGGGTGACTTCCTGTTATTTTCTACTCATATTTGTAGTCTCTCCTTGATCATTTTTGGTTGGCACGTCAATCCCATCCTCTTCTCGATGATAGCTAGCATATTGCCGGCTAATACGAGCCTAATATATCGCAATTTTTCTTCAAAACCGTAGAACTACGCCTAGGTTGAAAGATAATAGAATAGAGCAAAACAAAACAAGATATACCTGAACCTACAGTAAAGTAGTATTGTACCCTATAGCGACCACGGAGCTTACCATCTCGGCATTAAACCTTTAAGAAGATATATATTGATAATGCAGTACAGAAGGGATGTGGGAACGTGATACTAAAGGAAACTTAACATGAAAAGAAATGTATATAGAGCACGAGAGCTGCCTTACTATATATATTAAAAAGTTATACTTGTTTCTATATGTGATAGAGCAGATAGGAGTCTTCATACCCTTAACAAGGTCGTGAATCGCATTCGAAGAGAAAAGAATAAAAGCGTGGTATAGTTTATCAAGTAGGAACGCCGCCAACGCCACGCTATACACACTTCATCAGACATTAATTAACCTCACCACATTAGCCTCCTTCAAATATCATCACACCCCATAGTACTCTCTGGATCAACCCACTTCTTCGTCTTTAGAACCCTCATCTTCCTGACCGGGCTGGCAGATCTGTACTGTACTTCGCGATCTTTCGCGTCTACTCTAGCCCGAAGCAACTCATTCTCGCGCTCCAGCTCGTCTATCCTATCCCTTAATTCTGGATCCGGATCCTCGTACACTTTAATCTCTTGTCGCATCTGCGCCTTCGTCGCTTTTATAACAACATCAATCTTGTTGTCTAAATGTGCTTGCTGGTTGTCCTTTTCGTTGTCGAGGGCGGCTTGCCAGCGTCGGCGCTCTTGATCGACTGCCGTCTCCAACTCGAGATAACAGTCATCGCGAATTTCCTGCTCAAGGTCCACCATGTGGTCTTCTGCAGCGGCCCAGGAGCTTTCTGCAGCTCTGCGGCGGGCCGTTTCCTCCGAGAGACGGAGAGCGAAGACTTCGACTTCTGCAGTTAGACGGGCGATTTCGGCGTTGGCACTCTCGAGTTCTTCGAGCACAGCGGAGGGGGTGGTTCGACCTGATGAGGTGGTGGTCGCCTTGAGTGGTACGCCGGAGAGAATAGTGGCTGTTGTAGAAGGTATTCGAGGAACTGTTACTTCGCGTGCAAGGGCGGAATAGCGAAGGATTTGGGAAGTAGCATTGAAGTCGCCTTGAGGGTCAGCCGTGACGACCATGATTGACTTCTGAGGTTGGTGATGTTGGTGCTGTTGTGTTTGGCGGGTCGACGATGGGAATGAGTTCGAGAAGAGGAGTTCTGTAAGTTTGCATTGGCGGAAAGGAACAATGTTCTGGCCGTGTGTTAGTAAACAGAACGTGAAGGGCCAGGGATTGCTATACCTTGGAGCCTCCTTGGTTATCAGACTGCATCTGCATGCACTGACCCAGATACATAAGGGACTCGTTGATCTTGCCAGCCTCAGCAAGTGTCTCGCCAGCAGTCTTTGCATTTCGAGCACGCTCCGAGCCAGCCAGATCGACGATGGTCAAATTGCTGCTTGACCACGAGCCCTTTCGTTCTGCATTTCGCTTCTTGACTTCCACGCAGAAGAAGCCGTGGCTACGCGAGCTGACGGCGTTGCTACCTGTTCCTGCGACCTTTCGCTCCATGAGGCCAGTCTCTAGCACCATCATGGCCTCCTCGAAGCTACCGCAAATGATTTTGGTAAGCCCAGCCACGACCTTCCGATCCGGGCTCTGCTCTGTGCTCTTGAAGAGCAGCGCTCGGCGCTTGACGTTGGGCTGCTTGTTTCTCGTCGCATTTCCACTCAGAAGGTCAAATATGCGATCGTTGTACACTTCATACATAGAAATGACGATCGCGTACTCAGCGCTCGGGTCCGAGGATACCTTAATGTCCGCGACAGAAGGAGTTTGTGGTAGTACGGAGGGACGTGGGATCTTGTTGGAACGTGATGTGCCGCCGTTGGAGAAGATGCTACAATCCTTTTTGGTTGGTGAGCCCGTGTTCCCAACAGATCGGGAAAAGTTGGAAAGAAGCCCGTTGACGGGACGAAGGGAATGAAGAGCTGCGCTCGGCCGGCTGGAGAAAGTTGAGATGTATGAAGACGGACTTACCGGCATGGGAGTCTGCGCTCGCGACGGGAAACGCTCGGACTGGTTATCGCCATATAGAGAATCCAAGTAGGCGGTTGCGGTGAACATGTGTGCCTCAGACACATCGGCCGCGGCGAGTGTTGAGAAAGCTGGGGCTCCGTAGAAGGACTGTACAAGCTGGCCTTCGCAAGTTTGGAAGACGACATCGAGCGTCATCTGGACAAGACCACGCTGTGTCTTGGTTCCGAGAATTGTGTGCCTCTGCACCCAGTTAGTCTTCATTGCCAGAATCTCTTTGCGATTCTTTCATTGTACCTTTCCAGAGCCTGTCACACCCAATGTTGCCAATAATCCGTCTCGTCCATGATGACCCGGTGCGCCCAGCACGCCCTCGATCATCGGGACCACGCCTATACCCTTGAACAAGTCCATTTGCCGCGCCTCCTCCTCGAAGACCTGGGTAAACGCGAACCGCTCGATGGCTCGCTTGCGGTTGTCGTGGGAAGGCGGTTTTATCGTAATATGGGTCGGGTGGTTTCCCGCGCCTTCTTCAACACTGAGGAATCGCGCATTCCCAGAGCTGGAAGGGCGCAGTCGGAGAAAGACATCGAAGAGCGAGCTCGACGGACGCCGGGGAGGTTCCATGGTCATGGTGCTTGTCTCAGTATGAATTGTGGGTGGAGTGGTACCTAGTATGGCAGTAGGAGACTAGTTGTAGAAGCTCGTGCGTGTCGATCAACAAACGCCGGCCGTTGTTGCCCCAAGCAACCGACGCGACTTCCCATTTCGCGCTATGACGCCACTCGTCGCGCACCTTGATATCCACCTATGGACCAACTTGACCCTCTACCGCAGTGCGCTCGACGAATGAACCCAGAGATGTTACCCATGTCCTATTGAACATCACCGATGGCTTTCGCAGCATCGTTGGGCCGACGTCCTCCTCTGATCTAGAAATGGTGCCCAACTCTGTACGCCTCACGTCTTCACTGCCTTGCAAGACTCCTCCCAGATACAGTCCTTTACTTGTTCACTGAAGTTTCAACATGGCGGCCGTGCCAGACGATATTCTCATAGCCATAGCCACACAGCTGAAGCGTAATGACTCCGGCACCAGCCATCTTTTTGCCTTCATCCAAGTGTCTCGAAGATGGCACATGTTAGGCCTCCCACTCCTCTACGGCAACATCAGCGTCACGACAAGAGGTCTCGAGCGGTTCGCGAATATCTTCCTCCCCAAATATGGGAAACTCGTGCGCTCTCTATCCTTGCGGGTCGGCGCCATAAGATCACACGTGGATATGGATCCTTACCTCCCCAGTAACGACCGGGATCCATGGAACCTAGAAGGAGACCTCAGCGACGGGAACTTGACTATGGAAGCAGGAGCCTTGAACGCCGACGAGAACCACGCGAGGAGCGAGGGGGAAGAATGGCCGTTTGACGAAAATCAAGAGCGTCGAGTCACAAACTCCGTCCTACTATTCGCACGCTTCATTCCAATATTGACCAGTTTGCAAAATCTCGCTTCTTTTTCGCTGGTCGTAGAAACGCGCGCATCATGGTGCTTAGTCCCGCGAGCCACGATAGCTGGACTGATTGATGCCTTGCCTACGAGTTGCACGAATTTAGAGCTGGACACGAATGGCAACGATAAGCACCACGACAATGATCACACTCATATATGCGACTCTATTCGCCGTATCCTGCCACGCATGCAGAATGTACGCGTGCGATTAGGAGCCATGTGTTCAGCTATATTTGAGCGTAGGCAATCTCCAAATGTCGATACTAGATCGAGTGGGCTTTCAGATATGTTACCAACTTTCGAGCCGATTCTGTCGCCGAACCTTCAGTCCTTAGTGGTCAACTGCGGAATCACGGCTTGCGGCGAGCTGTTACCGCAATGCGGGTATGAAGATCACCTAAAATGGGATATAAGTGCTGAAGCCTGGTGTGCTATGATCTCCTGTCTCATGGACGTCGTCACGCAACCTCATGCAACAAACCTTAGAAAAACCAAAATACTTGTTCTATCACCGACCTGGGGAAAAGATTCCAACTTATCATTAGACACACAGCTCTGCACAGATATGGTGAACAAGGTAACGTGGGCCTTTCCCTGTATACCTGAAGGCCGCTGGTCTTCGGTTTCGGGATGTTTCCTCGTCCGATCGCCCGATGGCTCTGAGCAGGTCATAAAAGATATAGAAGATATGGATGACATTGCTGAAGGGCACGTTTGGGCAGACGTCGTCGGTGGTGCAAGATTGCCTGCCGACGCGCTACAGGCGGAAAGGAGAGGCTTTCCTTCATTCGCGACAGGCTGTGTTGAGAGACCGGTTGCCGATCTGATGGATCAGTGGCTGGAGGTGTATCCTGGGGTGCCCAAGTCGAGAACGTTTCGCAACGAGCAGAAGACGGGCACGAAGCTGGTTTTGGCGGAGAAGAGGACTGGGAGCGACTTCTTGGCTTTGCGACCTATCAAGGAGATTACTCCAAACGGTTGGGTACGCACCGGTCCAGATTTAGACTTGGAGCGAGCATGAAGTCTTGCTCTCTGGCATTTCCCGTATGATCTGCATCTGTGCAATGCGGTATTCCCGGATGTAGCGTATACTGAACAACCAAGGACTCGAGACTGTCGATTTCTAAGGTTTACAGCAAGGAACCACACTTTCCATTGATCAAAGCTGACGCAAATGCACATAGACGCGTTAATGCGAGACGGTTTGCCATATCTAATCTATACACCTATCGCTCCTTCTCTCTATCGCGATGGAGCGAGGACTGTCATGGGAAAACCATCGGAAGGCCGAACCCCTAAAATCAAAATGGTCTAGGGAGAATCCTAGCCTAATAACGCCGCGACAATTGCACCCATCCTGCCCTGTATCCCTTAGCGTCCTGTATCCGAATGTCCTATCCATCGCTTAGGCCGCTATCCAACTTGTTTCCGCTCGATCGCCCTCTAGCAGTCTCTCCCGGGCTCGGATGGCTTTCAGGCAGTCTCGCCCCGACGACCAAACATCTCCACCTCGCTATCGGACACGCTCGTGACTTTGGAATGGTTTTGCTTCTTCCCAAAAGTGTTTGCCAAAGCAGGAAAGCAAAAGCCAGGATGGAAGATCGTTTGCGCTGCTACAGTGAGGACAATCATGATACCTTCCAGTACGATGAAGTCTGTCTCCACCCGCATAAGCGGGCCACCCCAGCCACTTAGCAGTTCTGGGATCCGGTATACGCATCGTATGAAGATGGTAACATAGGCAACCACGACGGCACCGCAGAAAAATCTGAAGCGGCGATTGCCCCAGAGTTCAAGGGCGGAGTGGGTGAGTTGATCGCGGCGCTTGTATGTTCGTACACTGTATTCAACAACGAGGAGACCGAAGACAACAAGCACTGTGGACATCAGCTACGCGATCAACTTTGGAGATGAAGACAACTTACCAACAACCTGCCAGATAATACCCGCGACCATGAGATTCGTTCCGATCTCGCCCATATTTTCTCCTGGTTCTGCTATGGCAGCCAGTGCTCCTCCGGCACTCTGCATGAGCAAGGAAGTAATATCGCAGGCGATAAAGATATAGGTGTACCAATTTGGCCTTAACCGCGACCATTCCTCGCCAAACTGGATAACGACATGCTTCAGTGTGAGGTAGATACCAGCAGCCAGGAACGCTGGAGCGAAGATGAGAAGAACGATCTGGAGCTTGAAACCGTTGTCGTCGTACGGGTTGTTATGCATAATGATACGGCCGGCATATCCAGCGGATTCTGCAACACATCCCAGCGAAAGGGCGATCATGTATGTCCATGTCTTGTATCGAATGCCGAGATACAGTTGTAAGATGAGCGCGAGACCGAAGAATCCGGCAAAGAAGGCGTTCGCCGCGAGACTGGGTGCATATCCATATAAAGTGCCTTCGACCGGACACTCTGGAGTGACAGATACACACCATTCGGGTACTCTTGGTCGAGGTGGTGCGCCCATTGTGAGATGGGGGAGAGCGATGTGAGCGATATAAAGGCGACTGGCGAAGGGTGCGGTGAACTCAAGAAGTCGATTATTGGGGATGTAAGCGTATATGCGCGTGAGGCTGTAGATTGAAGTCTTGTTGATGATGATTTAGGCCTTAGGGGAAGGTTGAAGGGCATATATATGTACACCATTGTACAACGCGGCTTGGGCTTGCACCGCCCTTATAGTACGCACGTAGATACCAAGTGTTTCTCACACATCAATACTCGATTGGCCAGGATTGGCATCTGTGGCTTGAAATTACACCTTCGCAACACAACGCGGTTTTCGCAAGACGGTCCACATTGGGCGCCTTCAAGCACAGACCCCTGGTGAGATCTTAGTCCCAACCGGTCAAACACTGTGTCACATACAACCACACGTCAATACGTTCGACGCATATGTCAACGTCGACATTGAGGTTTAACGCAAGCTTCACAAACCTAAAGCCTAGTACAGGCAGTACTCAGATTGTGGCAGTAGTACGTGAGTCATTATCTTCAAGTTCTGCCCTGAGCAAAGTAAGTTACCATGCCGGCCATGTTCTGCGACACTCGCTCGAGATGCGCTCGCTTCTCGCTACGAATCCGGAGCCTAAGGCACCCCACCCTGACAAGTGATCATTGGCTGGGTACGCCCCCATAGCCTTACAGCCGCTGAAGGAGCTTGTTGCTTGCCTTATTTTTGGAGGCTTAGATATGACGCGTCGGCTGTACCGTCAGCCGGGGAATTGGATAAGCTCCATGGGAAAAGACCGAGCGCTCTATGCGCAAAGACCGAGCGGGAAACGCACTTTCATTTCCACAATAGGGTCCTTGAAATTACGGTCTGGTCAATAAAAGGCGTCTTCATGTACTTGGCAAGAAAGTCTATCTGTCATACACTTTCTTGCTTATAATCATTCGCTGCGAATGATGACATGTCGTATACATGCATGCAGAGCTCCTACGTTGAGCTTACAGGCGATGAGCTAAATTATCGCCAAGAACGCTGATTCAAATTCACTGTTGGCTGTACGACGTGGTGACCTAACCTCCACTGGATTTTGGGGCGACGCTGCAGGTGAAGTAAGAAGGAAAGTTGGATTGGGTTTATGCTGTTTCAAAGACGAAGGGACGGTGCTATTAGTTGACGAGTAAGACGTAGGATCTAGGTTTGGTGAATTGGGGTGTTGGGGTGTTCTTGTCTATCTCTAGGCTATGTGAGTGGAGTCAGTAGATACGACGTCACGACTTGTAGATGCTAACTCCCAGCTGCAATGACTATTTTTGTTTTGAAATACCAGTACTCTAACGTTTCAAGTTCATTCCATATACCACCTATAGTGACTATAGTTTCGATTTCAAGCCAGACAGTCTATTCCCGGTTCCTCGACTAACTCTTCAATCATTCATCCCTCCAAAGGCGAAGATCCTTTGGATGGGGTAACGACCTTACAGTAAAGGGCCGTTTCTTTCCTCTGTCCGCCACCCAATCGACACCCACATCCATATACTTCACCCCTTGGACAGCCTCCAACGGGGAAAACAAGAGATCTTCGTAGTCGGCGCCGTATTTCGATATCGGATCAATGCTCGTCATGTCAACCCTCACGTACTTCAGCCCTTTTATTCCTGAAATCTCTTGCCAGGTTTGATTCCAAGACGAGATATCGTAGGGGATAAAACCATACCTTTCATAGCCAAACAGTTCGCAACATATGGGGGACTCCCATTTCATATGAATAGACTGAATGGCTTGAAATGAGTTAGCGGGGAGGAGGCGTTGGAAGCATACATATGATGTGAGGTCAGGGATTTGGAAGGTGTTGGAAGCATAAATAAACTGCGCTGCTTCTAAGTATCTAACATTCAATCAGTACGATGCTAACTAACAAATACCCATATTTGGGAAGAAGTGATCAGTATGCACATACGCCAGCTTGCAGGTTTTTGGAAAGGCCAGAAGCGGTTGTGCCGCACGGCATGTCAGCATAAAAGGAGCGCCCAATTGTTCGAAATCAACTTCGAGTGGGAGCTTTTCTCCGCCCATGGCATGCGTATAAATGAGTCTCCGGAGTTCCAGTGGTAGCTTTTAGAAGAAAGCGGACTGTTGCTGGGTCGACACATCTGCTAATCCCCTGATGTCGAGGAAATCTTCTCTTGAACGAACAGGAGGAAGGCGGCCGGGCCAGATTGCCTTACGATGGGCCCGCAGTTTGTTCCGTCGCCTTATACGCTTGATAGAATTGTGGCGCTCAAGCCGGTCAAAGAAGTTGCTGGGAATAGTCAAGATGAAGCCGGGGATGGCCACCATTTTCACCGTCACGGCGACCGAAGGAGATGTGCTAAAGGTATTTAGGTAGGCAATGTACGTTAGTAACTAACTTGTAACTAACTTGTAGGTAACTAGATTGCCTATAAAGAACGTTGTGTACATTAGTGACTTGCTCATAGTGTACGTAGTTTTTGTGTGGGTATGGAGATTTACTTTAGGAGGAAGTTTGTGCTAGCCTACATACCTGTGGTGTATAATTTCGTACTATTGTAGTGGTACGGTTTGCGATGGGATGAAGGTGGTAGCCTAAATATGCACGTGAACAGGTGTCGCCAAGAAATCGCGACTTGCATAGGAAATCGCAACCTGACATTGCAGCTTCAACACCAAGATGCCACCCAAAGGTTCTAGAAAGTCCGCCGCTACCACACCTAATAAAACACTCGTCCTCGACAACGGCGCGTACACGCTCAAGGCCGGTCTGGTCCCTGCAAATGCGAACCCTACGTACGATGACTGCACCGTGACGCCAAACTGCATTGCGCGGAGTACACGCGACAAGCGCACCTACATGTCATCGGAGCTCGCGTCATGTAAAGACTTTGGCGAGCTAGCGTTCCGTCGGCCAGTAGAGAAAGGCTTCATTGTCAACTGGGAGGCCGAGAAGGCTATATGGGAGCATGAGTTCCTGGGAGCTGCGGCGGGGGAGGGGCTGAGGGTGGGTACGAGGTTGTACAAAGCCCTTAAGGCAATAGGCTGATAGCTATCCAGTGTGATCCCAAGGAGACGAACCTACTCTTGACCGAGAAGCCCAATTGCCCCAAAGAGTTGCAGAAGAACTGCGATGAGATTGTGTTCGAGCAGTTCGAGTTTGCGGCATACTATCGCTGCGTGGGCCCAACGCTCAACGCCTACAACGCTACCAATGACGCTTCGTTATCCTCACTCCCGCAAGAGTGCCTCCTCATCATCGACACATCGTACTCGGACACGACGATACTGCCCCTCTACAATGGCAGGCTCATCCAGTCGGCCGTGCGGCGTCTGACAGTTGGCGGGAAGCTGCTCACCAACTATCTCAAAGAGCTGTCATCGCTACGACACTACAACATGATGGAGGAAACCTACTTGCTCAACGAGATCAAAGAAGCGGTATCCTACGTCTCGCCTTCGCCACAGCAGTACGCGAAAGATCTGGAGCGGACGTGGAAGGGGCGCTTAGGAGACAAACGGGCGCTAGACTCGAGCATAGTAATGGACTACGTGCTACCAGACTACGAGAAGTCAATACACGGTTATGCACGCCCGCACGATGCCGCAACGTCAGGCGTGCGTCGTGGGTTGCAGCCGTTGCAAGGGCCGAGGGAAGACGTGCTGCCACTTGGCAACGAGCGTTTCGCCGTTCCAGAGCTGCTCTTCAATCCATCAGATATTGGCATTCGCGAAGCTGGCCTCGCTGGTGCCACGATGGAATCGCTGAGCGCGCTGCCTGAAGCACTAAAGGTCGGACTGTTGGCCAACGTGGTGGTCGTGGGCGGAAACTCGTTGATAAGTGGGTTCCTGGAGAGGCTGGAGGCGGAGCTGAGGAGTCTAGTACCAGCAGGATATCTGCTAAAGGTATCTAGAGCAGAAGATCCAATCAAGCATACATGGCTTGGGGGTGCACGTTTTGCTAGCCAGCCGGAGCTGCTGAAGCAGGTGCTGGTGGACAAGGCCGAGTATGACGAAAGGGGCTCGACGTGGCTCTTGAAGAAGTTTTCATAGCTATAGTATGAAGCTTTACGAATTAATTACATGCGAGTGACAAAGTTACCCAACCTGTGTTCTAGTCGTGAGACCTGAATGCTCGGCTCATTGATTTGACGGAGACTTTCCGACGGTGATTGGCCAATCCGCGGGGCCTTGGCGTGTGGTCCATTTGCTCTGCTAGGACGAAGACGTGAGAATTTCCAGGTCGCTCCCATCTCCAGCATCTCGACTCCAATGCGCCGAATACCGCGCCCTTTACGGGCACTTGAACCTTCGCACGCCTTCTGCCCATCTGCGTCCGCACGGCAACAACTCTCGCCATGGTCCTGCGCTCACCTCCAGACCACCTCGCCCGCCTTCTCAACGACTGCTTCCCGCTCCTTCCTCCTGCCGGGCAAGCAAGATAAGAAGAAGCACCAGCAATTCGTGCGCCGATGGCAGAAGCGGTTACTTGGCGACTCGGAGCCCATTGGCGCACACGTCGATCCATATGATCCCACGTCGCCCGTTCGAATAGCGCCCGAGGAGCAGGGCGAGTACGAGGAAGTGCTGGCGGAAGATAGGCTGGACGATGCCGAATTTCCTTTGTATACTCCTGCGGAGAAGAGCAGTCGCCTCTTGCGCGTCGGCGGTGAGCAATGGCTCAAACAGAAGCTGGAGGGCGACATGGCCAAGGAGTTTGAGAAGCTCACGCTGCGGACATACACACCTTTGACTTTGGACATGGCAAATGACGTCGAGGAACTGACGGGCACGCCCTATACCCTGAAGGACGAGAACTTGCTCATGGCGCAGACGGTACACGATCTAACGGGGCGGCCTTATACCAAGTACAACTTCGGCCTGCATAAGAAGACTACCTCAGCACGTGAGCTCCGCAGCCGGTTTGCGCAAGCTGTGGCTGAAGTATATGCCCTCAAGCAAGCCGGTCGGGACATGGACATCTCTAAATTCCCTAACCGAGGCGTCTACGATCCGCCTCGCTGGGTCAAGGATATTAAGTTGTCCAGGACGGACAGTGGCGAACTCGCTCTTGCCTTTCCAAGGTACAAGAGCGCCGAGCAACTCCTACAGGCCATGCAGGCAGCACCAGAATGGGAGTCAGCTCAGGCGGACGAGGAGCTTCTCATTGACGAAGCTGCACATTTGCAGGAGCAAGAGCCCGTCATGGACCCGGATACACCCGCATTCAAGCGAGCGGCTGTGGTGAAGATGGATGCTGAGAAGAAGCCGTTTGACTTCATGTCGAACCGCCCTGTGCCGCGAGCAAAACCCATTCAGAAAGCAAACGTGGACGAGGTCGCCGCAACGCAAGAGCCAGCACTGTCGGAACAGACTCCCGCGCCCTCGCCTTTGGCTGAGCTTACGTCCGCTATTGAGACTTCTCAATCTGCCATAAGCCAATTGTGCCATTCCGTGATCGAACACAGGGCGCAGCGCTTGACGGACGATATCCTAGCTTTGAGGAAAGCTGCTAAACAGGACAAGTCCGATTCGGTTGCCCCCAAGATCGAAGATGCGAAATGGCGACATGTTCCCATTACTGACCTCGCTATCAAGTTCGCCGTAAGTACATCAATATGCACATCTAGATCACGAGATACTGATTCTGCTAGCTCTTCAAACGCCTTCTCCAACTTACTGGCCTCCGCATTTCCGACCCACAGCTCACATCTACCAAAACCCTCGGCGACCTATACGGCTACCTTTGTGCCGCCGCAAAACCCCAAACAACAAGTTTGTTCTCCGCAATCCACCTTGAAGGCCAAAAGGCACGCGAGCGAGCTAAGCAGCAGTCGTCCGTGCCTGATGCCCTTTCTAGGAGGAGAGCCGACCTAGGCGATCTCATCAATCTCGGCAACGTTGAACTACGCCGCGTCAAGGCTACCAAGACTGAGAAGCGCACCAAGACTGGTCTCGATAAGGTGGTGCAGTATGCACTATGGGAACGAGGTCTAGGTGGTAATAAATCGTCAACATCAGCTAAACACGGGAAGAGCAAGCCGCGGATTTTGGAAGGAACACGGCAAGCGCCTGCATTCGGAAAGCCGATGAGCGGCAAGGGAGCGACCTTTTTGGCAAAGAAGACAAGCGAGTGGAAAGTGGAGCAAGAGAGACAGGCTCGAGCATCAATTGTATAGTAAGATGAGTTTCTAAGGAACGCGCATTACAAGCTCGTCAGCAGCGGGTTGACGGGAGCTATTGTATAGTATAGGATCTGATCAACGACATGTATACTATGGCTCCAGACATCGAGAGACCGACACAAAAGAGAATCTTTTGAGCAGGATATGCTGCCGTCTTGTCTACTTTTTACTAATTTGCTACTTACCGCTTCTCTATTACCTGTTTCCCTCAACCTGCTCACCCTTTTCAAATCATTCATCCTCTGTCGAATACATCGCACTGGGCATGCTGAAGGGCAACACTGATTGCCATTCGTCCCCTGACCACCCGTATGATTGCCCTAGAAAGCAACCTTATATCTATTCTGTATTCACCCCGTAGAGAAGACACTATCTTTTATACTTATAATTCCTAGAGGCAATGCTTTTGGGCTCGGCGGACTAGTTATTCTATCAACATGCCAGGGTGGAGAACAAAATGATGATATCAGAGATTTGGGAGGGCGGAGGGGGGGATGTGAAGAGGTGAGTTGTCGGTAAGTTTTAGTATGCGAGTATATTGACATGACTGACAGGAGTAATAGATGCATTAGCTCGCTAGGAGTCTAATTACTTGCACATGCATTTCTTAGTAGATAACTACTCTGAGAAATGATATAATAATGCTAGGCTATGCTACTAGAAATCCGGCCGTTTGACGCCGGCGGTCAAGATTTATCTAGTCCTTTCGAGCGCCTACGCCATAATCAGTCGTCGGCAATTTCACTGGGAAGCAGAGGGTAAGCGAAGAGGCCGAGAGTAGCGTAAGGTTGAGCCAAGGCATGCTTCCATTATTCCTTGAGTCGCGTACCTGCTGCCATGTCTTGCTGTGCATCCCTTACGAGGAAACTGTTCTTCGTTAGCCTGTAATTCCACCATCAGCTTAAGATAAACGTACTTGTACCACAACACGGTTGGCACCACAGTGCCCAAATGCCACAAGCTGTGCGCGTCGACCATGCCCTTCCACGGCGGGAAATCCAGCAACTCCATACTCATAGCCATGATGATCCACGCAACGCAAAGACCCGGCCACACTGCCCACGTCCGCCCCGTTTTTTTGTACCGAACGTAGCTAAAGCCGCTCCAGAGCACGTTGGCTACGATACCGACGACCACGTTCGCAGCCATGTTGTACGTGTAGTCCCACGACCAGAGCGAGAGGTAGAGGACATGCATCGTGTATAGAAGCATACAGAGCACTGTCCACAGCCGCAACAAAGACTGCTTCCTCGGCTCATCCTTATCCCACCTAAACACTCGTATGGGCGCATAATAAAGCCCGTACAACACGTTTGCGCCTGCCGCGAAGTAGTCCAACTTCTCCGTCAGATTGAAATCTCTAGTATGGAATATCATGCTGAACGTCCAACTCGCAAGCCCAACGTATCCAAACCAGAGATAGTATTTTCGGAGCGGGTACGACGCGGGAATCGTGTCACGGAGCTGCCGCATACCCCAGTCGTGGGCGAGGTAGTTGAACAGCGAGAAGATGACGCTGAAGGGCTCTTGCATGCCCATGAAGCGGTAAAAAGGCCATTTACCATGGAATTGGTGGATGGGCTGCATGTACGGCGGGTCGCGGGCGAGACGTTTGTCGGTCACGATGTGTTGGCAGGTATAGTCGCATTCTGAGGTACAGTCCCAAAATAGCATGCGGCGATGGAAGGCTAGAAAATGTAAGCTAGTTGCGTGTCTTAGATCTGTGAGGCTGTCGTACGGATTGGTGTAGGATCCTCGCCGCAATTGGCGTTTTTGCAGACCTGATAGGTTGGTCAAATGTCCAGCTTCAAGCTGTTCCAGACTTGCTTACTTGCAAACAGTCTTTGAAGTCTGGCAATCTGTCACCAGACGAAGCCTGCGCGACCCCGCCTAGCAAAAGAAACACAGCAAACATGTGCCATGCTGGAGCTGTGTGTATCCTCATGGTCACCGACGTGAAACAGTTCCAGATGCCATGTAGTGTTTGTTTTCCTGAGTTCGTCGCGTGTCATCAATGATCGACAGGGTCTTGGCGGGCCGATGAACGCCGACAAGACTCTTGCGAATTCATGCTCACACAACAACAGCATCCATTCATGCAAAGAGGGGTTGTGGGTGCCAAAAAAAGCGCAAAAAGAAAAATACTGGACGGGCGGGTGATCGAAACCCGGACCTTCCGCATACATAGAGGATATGCAAAGCGGACGCTCTACCACTGAGCCACACGCCCATTACTGCTCATTAAGATGAGATGAAAGTTTTGCAATGTTGGGAAATATATCTAGATTGAACAATTAACTTTCGATCGCCCGTCCATCCATCTGTCAAGAAAGTTCGAAGCTGACTACCGAGTACGAAGCGGGATCTTGTCATCCATTAGTGCGCCGAACTTGGCGTCGTTGAGCCGTTTTATGCCGATCTTTGAACGCCAAAAATGAAACGTCACTCAGCGCTCTTCCGTGTCACTCAAGACCACAAAACTATTCCAGAACGAGTCAATCCTTTACATAAAGACACTACAAATGACATAAGTTTACCCCTTGATGCGACTCGACTTACTTCAACGGTTTCTATTCACCTGGTGTAATATGCTGTGACATTTGTACGCCACGTCTACCTTGCTATCATGACAAGGATAAAGGATGCAAAGCTCCGCATCACAGCCATGTCTTTCGAGTAGCCAGAATCTGAATAAACGCGCAATGAATTCTACTGGAGGCCGTAAAAGACGCAATATCGTGTCCCTAGGTATCATCAAACGCCCAAACGCCCTCTTCCCCCGTGCTGAATGAGCGAACTGTCCCGCAGCCTTATAAACAAGTTCAACTTAAAAAAGATGTACATAGCGAAGGTATTTTCTCTCTACAATCTTCTATCAGATCGATGGGATTCATCTCACTCATTCGGGATCGCTAGTGTTCCCTTCGTCCACTCGCCTCCAGCCAATGGACGCGTGAAAGCGGTAATGTCATCGCCGGCAGTCTGATAGAAGACATATAAACTGTCCCAGAGCGTCTTTCTATCAGCATCTTTTTCCGCAAACGCCGTGACTGTGAGATGTGTGCCCCCAAGTCCCTTGACTGGGCCGGCGGGATCCGTAATCGTGAACGTTTGGTCCTCAACGAACGTCGTGTTCTCGGCTTGGTACGTGATGTTGTATCCTTTGATACTCTTGTCCGCCATTTGAGCATAGAAGTACGTGGTATAGCCGAGGGAGGTGGTCGGATAGACACCGCGGATTGCCCCAGACGTGGAGTTCACCCACGAATTGATGGGATGTTTGTCTTGGGAGCTGGTTGTGGTGTTTGTGTCCTTCCACCAAAACTCAATGTCGTTTTGTTTGTTGGATAACATAGCGTAGGTGGTGGTGCCCTCACCCCAACTGTAGCATCCAACACCGGCGTGAGTATTGAAACCTTGCCAGCGCTGGATGGGAACCCATACGTTCTGCCCATTGTACCAGGCATATTGCTGAAACGTCGAATCATCAATCGCGAACCAGATATTTATACCGAGGCGCTCCTCGAAAGGCTGCTGGTTTTGCTGGCCCGAAGCAGTTGGAAATTTAGTGAAATCAGAGTCGCCATAGTAGTTGCCCTTCCAGCACGCCTGCAATCCCACACTGGGATTGTCGTAGGCCTTCAGTTTGAGATCAGTCAACGGTCCAGGCTGCCAGATGTCGCTAGTATTGGTCTTGGTCACCTGTTTGATCGTGTGGTTCTTGTCAACATAGAAAATGTGGAACTGTATGTGTGTTAGCACAAAGAAGCAGACCGATTGTACCGATAGTCCATCTCTTACATATTGGGTGGAGTTTATGAAAGTAGCTACAGCTGAGATGGGTGAACCATCTTTTGCATCACTCGCGACGGTTTCAGACTTCTTGCCGCCAACCCACTTGCGGTCGGTCGTGTATTGCATGAACCTGATGTCACCGGTGTGATGCTGGAAATAGAGTGTGAAGATTCGTCGCTGGCCTGTGTTCCATGACTCTCCAGCCAACGCAATACCTGTCCCGTTGAAGGCGCCCTGCTTGGAAAAATAGTTTGATTGGAGTGCTCCACCAATACATAGCTCGGGCTTGCTGCGACAAAATGGATCAGACTTGGTCTCATTCCTACGTTGTCGTTAGCAAATAGTGAGCCAGACCATAGAGGGGCTTTAAAACACACGAGCTCTTCTTCTTCAGACCCAGACCTAGGCCCAGACCAAGACCTAATCCGAGAGCAATGAGCCAGATGAGCACGCATCCGATGAGAATGAAGAATGTGCGCTTCTTCATGCCGCACTTTCGGTCATCCTTCGGTGGAACAGGTGGAGGAACGGTTCCAGGTCGCGAGATTGAATCACTGGGGTCGACATGCTCTTTGAACCCATATGGCCGTAGCTGCGGAGATGTGAGCGTTGTGCCTCCTTGCGACGAGGGCGACAATGATCGATGACCGTGGGGGTATTCGGAGAATTGTCCTGGTACGACCTGTGGTCCTGAAAAATCAGGGGTTGGGTTTCCAAGCGCATTATATGTAGTATACGGTGTTTCCTTCTCCGTCGAGTACCTGCCGCCCGGTTAGACGACCGTGTTACATACAACAAAAAGCATTCCGATTCGACCCATAATAGGTCGCTAGAATGGAGAACCTACGGCGAGTTTGAATACCCATCCTGGTATCCCTCATGGTTTTGCGATGAGATCTGCGAGTGTTGATATTCGTGTTGCTGATATTCCTGAAGATGCGGGGAGAGACCTGGAGGAGAATTTGGGTTCGGTGAGTAGGTTTGAGGTGATCCCTCAGCTGCATAGACCTGATCGTGCTCTTGAAACCGGGGTGGGGGGCTCCATTGACCGTCAGTATAGCTCCGAGGGCTACTCATGTTGTCTCGAGGCTCGTCGTGGCGATCCATTCTGTCGGGCAAAGATGTCGAAAGGTGAAATGGGTGGGTCGGACTTTTAACGAACCTGCGCAACCCAGATGTTTCGGGCCTCAGCCAAGTGGCATATACCTAATGCGGCTATGCTTTTGACCGGGGACAGGACGGCGAACCTGAGCAGTCAGGGCAAGCTGAGATGCATACTAGTGTGCGGCCGCACGCTTCTCGGTTCCCCGGGTTGGCAGCGAGACATGCCATCGCACTACAGTAAGCACAGAGTTAATATACTAATCCAATCGGGAACCGTATGGCTTGAGTAAGCGTGGTCATACTTGGATAGCGTTTTGGCGATCTATGATATTATTCGTTCTCTTTTGGTCCATGCTTCCACTTGTGTAAGTCAGATGGGGCCAACGATGCAGTGTAATCAAGGCCAGCGTAGATCCAATGTAAGCACTCCGGGGTGGGGATATTGAAATCCCCAAAAATTGACCACCGATATACTGCACCGGAACTCTTCCTCGATTTTCTGCAAAACTAGCATCTCAATCGAGATTGTGTTTGAAATCATGGAGATTTCCCCAAGAGTCGAGTGCAATTGTGACCTCTTCTGCATGTTGAGCTCAGCTCAGATGCAGGGCAGAGAGCTGAGCTAAGCTTACGCTCTTGATTCGTCGACTCCAACTCATCCTGCATACACTGCTGCACTTGAGCCTGTTAGCTTCGATCACATCTCAGCTGGAGAAAACAGCGTGTGATTATTAGTCGTTGTGTGCGAAAGAACTCGGTCTGGACGTAGTAGGGTGATCGGCGAAGTGGCTCTCTTGAAGGTTCGCAATGAGCGGAGATTCTCTCAGGGCCTGCACGTTTGGCAGAGGTTGTTGTTAAGGGTCAAGACGATTGGTTTAGATTGACATATTGAAGCCGTCGCTGACAAACATTTCATCAATAAGTATTCCGGAGCCGACACAGCCGTCCGACGGTATATCAGAGTCTGGTATGGTGGGGGATGCTGCGGCTTGTTGCATTCAACCCTCATCCGGGTAAAGCACCTGCTTGTGATTTCCATTGCCGCCCACAGAGCGTGATCAGCATGGAGCTTCTCTTCTGCGAGCCTGTAGTGTGGGGTTCGACGTGGCTGCCCGCATCGCGCGAACCTCCGAACTTTGTTTGCGAGACAGCCTCAAATAAGGGAATACCAGCCAGGTCAGCAAAAGGAGCAACACGGACTGGATGCGAATTACGGACGTTAGGTACAATGTCAATAAGGAAAGAGGTTCCAGAGAGAAATAAAGGTGGCTGGGCGGGCATTAGCAAACGCAAAGGGAGGGGCGGAAAGTGTCCCGACTGGTACTTTTCGTATTCGGTATATCAGCCCACTGCAACGAGACTTGGTAAGGAACGGGCTGTCGAGCCGTCGATGTTTGTGCGCCTTGTGCCTGGTTCAGCGATGACTGTCATGACTGCTTCGCGCCAAGGGCTTGTGAAGCGCGTAGTCCTTAGTTACTCTCCTCACTACCACATTGCTGGAGATTCAAAACTGTCACAGGCGCCTTGCTTGCTCGGGTGTATTTAAGATGTTGAGTAGGTCAAGGGGCGAGTAATCGTTTGGGAGCTTAACCGAGTCCAAGCTTTGATCCTTCCGAGACCCGACGCTACTGTAGCGCCTTACCAAATACTCCGCATGCGCGAAGACTTTGACAAGCCATATAGCAATTTTGACTTGACTTAAAGGGGAGTTCCCCGGTAGATTAGGATAACCATTCGAGCAGAATACTTCCTGTCTTTCTTGACAGTTCCTCATACAGAGCCGGTAATCGTGAAATCAGAATGCGCCTCTCGGTTGCAGGAGTGAATATTAAATAGGCTATCCACCCAGAGCTTCAGCAAATTATAGGGGCAGTATTGGTATACATAGGAAGCATATACACCGAAAGAGTTTTTAGAGTCAGAAGAACTCGTAGAGTGACCGTAAAACTACTTGAAAACATGATAAATGCTGCCTGCAGCATCCCTCTGAACGCCTCGCCAATGCGAAAACCCATCACTCCTTTCCCCCCAAACTCCAGACGCCATCGCTTTTTGGGCTCAATCCAGTTTGATACTGGTCAAGGCATACTTGAGCTCCTCCAGGAGGCTTTTCCCTTGCTCCAAGCTCAGCAGGTTCGTTGGCGTGAAAACGCCTATATCCAAAGACCCGTTGCGGACGGCAGCCTCAATGTTGATCGCATACTATAAACACGTTAGCTATTGTTCCAATTGCCTGTAGAAAATATAGACCGTGGCATACCAGATATGCATCGCTGACGCGCTCGTTGTGAAGTCCAGAAGGCACCTCTGAACTCTTGTCTTCAATTTCTGAGACCCGGCAGACTGCTTGCTCCCACTGCTTGACTAAATTGATCTTGATATCATTCTCGCCACTGATAAGTTTTTGCTCTTCGTCGTTTGGAAGAGTGAGGAAGTTGACAAAGGTATCGACTTTAACGCCTGTCCACTCGCTAATCTCGAAGAGGCTCGCGGCGGCGTTCACTGGCTTGCTGATCTCTTGAAGGTCACGCTGGATTTGGATCGCTACAGCTACGAGATCCTGTTCCTTTGATGTCGTCACCCGAAGTGGAAGTATATTCACCGTAGGAACAGCAGCTGATGCGATGTTCTCGACAGGAAGCGAGCGATTTGCGAGGTACACTCCAATGAATACGTCCTCACCAATAGCAGTGCCTGTCATGGTGGCATAACACCTTGCATATGAGGCGAGGAAGAGCGATTGGATCGAGATACCATGTGTACGAGCAAGTGCGTCCAACCCGGATGTTGGAACGTACCCCGGATTGAAGATTTCCACCTTGGCCTTTGTTGCTGCAAACAATTGAGACAGGTGCTGTTGCTTTGAAGACTTGAGGTACTTCTTCCAGAATGATTGACGGTCGTTGCGCTTGGCCGCGATAGAGGAGGCAGCTATAAGCTTGTTGAATGTGTCGTTTGGTGAGGGTGCAGCGATGTTGTTGCAGAGATCCTGAAACTGCGCCATCACAAGAGGCAAGCTAACACCGTCGTACAGCGCATGGTGGATCCTAAGCCCAATATTCCAGCCATTCGATGTTTGTGAGACCAGTAGATGTGCCCATGGCTGCCTTGGAGCGAGCCTACTGATAGTATCGCTAATTTGATCTTCGTCGAGCCCAGTGATGTTTGTTGCAGAGGCGTCTGATTCTCGTAATACTACCTGCACGTAGGGCGTATGCTCGTTCTTGGTAGGAACGAAACATGTCCGCAGAATCGGATTCGCCGACACCAGGTCTTGCCACAACTTGAGAAGTTCTTCGAAATTAACTGATCCTTGGAGCTCGTAGGAGAAGTTGGGATACAAGTTGGTATCCTTCCCACTGAGCCACATCGACAAAGTATACAGTTGTCCAGCGGTTATCGGTAACACGTCTGAAACGTTGGTGTCCTTTATATCCGCTCGATAGCAGATGTCCGCACGATCAAGATCCTTTAGGGCTTCGTTGAGGGCAGCTGCATAGTCACCATTTTCCTCTCTAGGATCAATCATTCGTGTATCAACCAACTTGGCCATCTTTTCGACCGTGCCCGCTTGAAGCATCTCTCCAACACTGAGGACTATGTTCTGTTTGCGAAGAAGCGACGAAACTTTGATCGCGCTAATGGAGTCTAGGCCGACGTGGAAGATGCTCATGTCTTTCGTAATCTCGTCTTCAGGCGTTCTGGAAACAGCAGCCAGGACCGCACGAATTCTGCGTGCGGTTTGTGATTCTGGCTCGCTTTCGGTATCCGTGGGTTGGCCGATTGATGTGCCGTTAGTAATGCGAGCATCTTGTTGTTTCTCCTCGAATGCGCGCAGGCCGTAGACAGATGTGCCCTGCGACGTAACCTCGATCACAGGGGCTTCCGGTTGACTAATAATGTGTCGCAGCACATCGTCCAGCTGGTCCAGTAATTCTTGTGCCCCTCCTTCCGAAAACACATCATCCTTCACGGCGCACCGCCATATCAGCTGGTCTTTCACCAGCTCCATTTCCACGCAAACCAAATACTCGACATCGCTATGCCCCTCAATGCTCGTATAGAGCTTCTGCCCTTTGCTTTCCCCCCCGTCTAAACTCTTCTGATATATGAACAAAGTTTCGGCCAGTTTGCCATCAAAGCTTGCCAGGGACCAAGCTTTGCGAAGCGGGAAGTGCTGCCACTTTTTGATGCTTGTGAAGTTGTCCTGAACATAGCGCAACATGTCGTTTCCAGTCCCGTGCAGCACTGTACGTATCGCGACAGTGTTCATTGTGGGAAATAGTAGCTGCGAACTTTTGTCATCGTCACGACCTAGGAGGACAGAACCGAACGTCACGTCTAGAGACTGCGTATACGATGCTAGTACCAAAGCGAAGACCGTCTGTCCAAGCGTTTGCAAGGATATGTCACTCTTCCTAGCAAAGGACGAGACATCGCTGAGAAGCGCCTGGCTGCCTTTCTGGTGGCGATGCGCATGTCCCTTATTGTCACTGGAATCTTTCGGTCGACGAGGAAAGGGGCTAGGTTTGGCGCCTGAGAGAAAGTCTTGCCAGAATGATGTAGCATTTGAATCGGATGCTGATAGAATCTCCGCCAACGAGAGCTCGTAGCTTGGTCGAGGTGTGTAGTGGTCGTGATAAGCGTCATGAACATCGGAGTGCAGCAAACTAAGAGACCAGCCATCGTAGAGGGCATGTGCGATTGACAGGACAAGATAGACGTGTGTGGGTGCCTCAACTACCATGACATGAAATAGAGGCTCATGTAGACCAAGATTGATCGCATCATTGCGGAGCCTTTCGAACACCTCAGGAAAGTCGGGGTCGTTCTCCACTTTGGTCCGTGACCAGAAGTCATGGGGCTGTTTGTGGACGATCTGTATGAAAGAGGCGTCTAGACTGGGATCCTGCACTTCCACGAAAGAAGTGCGCAAGATTGGCGACTTTACAACGACCTGGGTCCAGGCATCTTGTAGCGTGTCGAGGTTGGTGCTAGGATCCAGCTTCAGCACATCGTAGTTGTAGTACCTCGTATACTCGGATGCGATCATTTCGGCGACCATGGCTTCTTGCAGAGGCGTCAGAGGGAAAATATCCTCGAAATTGCTGGTATCGAAGTCGCTTTGATCGAGGTAACCATTGAGGTTATGCTTGTCAAGATATATGTCTACATCGATAGAGCTTTCGCCTTGCTGCGTCTCATCGCCTAAGATGTTCGGGACCATTTTCGCGATGGTGAGGCCACGCATGATACCGCTGACCGGAAGTTCAACGTTGCGTTTCTTGAGCTTTGACGATAGCTTGATTGCGTCGATACTGTCAAGGCCAAGCTCAAAGATGGACGTTGTTTCGTTAATATCCTCAACCGCAACGCCAGAGAGACCAGCAATCTCTTCCTTGATTTTGATGGCATTTTCCGTCCAACTGAAATCTGTTGTGCCATTGATCCCGTTCATCGGATGCTTCTCTCCAGATGTTCCGTTCATCATAGTGCCGTTTAGCATGACAGGTAGCTCCAACATGGCCGCTGGATCTGCCAAAACCTGTCGCAGTGCTTCCTCAAATTGGTCGAGGAGTTCGAGCGAGGTTTTCTGATTCGAAATGTGCCCCTGTGAGACCAATGTCAAGCTGAAGTGATCGTCTGCCTTCTGCTCAATCTCGAACGCGAGAGGGTAGTCTGCAATGGCGCCCCCATCGAACACCTCCCAACTATCGTTTTTCGCCCACTCTTCCCCGCCTGTTCCCACCTGGTAGACGAAAAGATTGTCGAAGAGTGGCTGGCTTGGACTCCTCTTACACCACTTCATGATGTCTCTTAGTGGAGTGTGCTGGTACGGATGAGCAGCTGTGTTGAACTCATGCACCCCTTTGATGATATCAGCCCAGGTTTGGCCGCTTTGGAGACTCTGCTGATACGGGATGGTGTTGAACATTGGCCCCATGATGCGATCCGCATCCACAAGGTCCATACTGCGACCTGAGACGATTACACCTGTTGTTACTGTTCCCTTGACGTATTTTTGAAGAACACTGTGCCAGCAAGCCTGAGCGATAGCTTGAGGTGTAACACCAAGTTTGCGCCTGATGGTGTCGAAGGATGTCAACGCATGTAACTCTCGTGTGACAATGACGGTATCTTCGCTTGGGTTGTCGACAAGGATAGGAAACGGCCTGAAATTCATGTCTGACAGCTGTTCCCGCCAGAAGGTCTTTGCGCCGTCGATCACCCGCAACGGACCGTGAGCGAGGGCAGAGTGGAACGATGGTCCACGGTTGTCGAGCTTTCGTCCGTTATAGGCATCCCAAATCGATCTGAACATGAGTCCAATGCTATTGCCATCATACAATCCATGGAAAATGTGAACTACGAGGAGCTTGTGGGTCGGTGTTGTAACTAAAACGACTTGGAACGGCTGTAGGAGTTCGGTGTGATTGAGCGGTAGCCAATTCTGCCTCAGCCGATCCACACAGCTGGTCACAGACTCATGCTTGGTGAGGGTTTGTAGTGACCAAGCAAGAGGGATCCCTTGTAGTACTGCCTGAACGTAGCCGTCTTCCGTGTTTGCGAACACGGTTCGCAAGATCTGGGTTGACGCAAACACGCTCTCCCAGGCTGCCTGAAGCCTTTCTTCGTTGACATTGCCATTCAGTTGGAACTGAAAACTATTGAAGTAAAGGCCATTATCGCTTTCCAGATATCGTGCGATCATGCCTTGCTGGAGGGGTGTACATGGCGCCAGTGCCTCGATCGTTGATGGGTCGATCGAAAGAGAATGAGCGACCGTTCGCCTGTGACGATGCTGGATCGCGGTAATAGCCTGTTGTGCTGCGAGTATCGAACCACGATCACTTTGGATAGTGCCCTTGCTCGTAAAAGCCTTGGAGAGTCGGCGAATGGTAGGGCACCTCATTACCACTGACGCGGTTACGTTCGCAAAGCCTGCCTGCTTCATTGCCCTTGACAAACCAATCACGGATATAGAATCCATACCCAGCTCGAAGAAGCTGGTATCTTTACTGATCGAATCCTCGGCTACATCTAGGTTCTCCTTGAGCACCTGGCGAAGTTCCCTGTCTTGCTCTGACCAAACGTCCGCATCTCGTCCGTTCGATGTGATTGACAGCCTTTGCAAATCGCTAGCTGATAAGGCATCGTAGATCTCTCTTAGCTTTCTTGCATCTGCCTTGTTGTTGACGTTCAGGGGCATGGACGTAAGCGGAATAAAATGCGTCGGAACCATATAGGGTGGTAGCTTCTCTTGACATGCTTCCTTCGCACTAGTTGTACCGCTTGCGGTGTCTAGTAGAACCTTGGGTGGACCGCCCGTTCTTCTTCCCAGAACCATGAATGAGACAAGCTGCTCCTTTTGCTGGTTGGCGTGCTTGAGTACCAGCGTTGCAACGTCCGATATGTCATCTCCGGCTTGCATGACAACCGAGTTGATCTCGCCAACCTCTAGTCGTTGTCCGCGCAACTTGACTTGGTCGTCCGCACGACCTAGAAAGTCGAATGCACCGTCGTACAGGAGTCTCACTAGATCGCCGGTTCGATACACGCGCTCTTCAAAACGTTGCAGGTACGGAAATCGTTCCTCAGTCAGGTCAGGACGGTTGAGGTAACCTTGCCCAACGAGTTTGCCTGAGACACACAGCTCGCCAACACCGCCTCGAAGCACGGGGACGTCTGAACCAGGCTGCAGCACAAAAGATCCCACGTTGTCGAACTGTGGACCGATGTTGGAAGGTTTACCATTAGCGGGCACGCGAGGGTACATCGTAACGCCGATCGTCGCTTCAGTCGGGCCATAGCCGTTGTAGATCACATCCGTTGGGCCCCACACGTCTAATATCTCTTGCTTCAGGCTCTCGCCTCCAGTAATAAAGACCCCTTTACAAAGACTTGGTACGTCATCGGGGTGTAGTAACTGGGCAAGACTAGGTGTCAGGTCGATATGCGTAATGCCCATAGTCCTGATTGAAACTGCTAAATCTTCAAAGATGAGATCTCGGGGCGCTGATACAACGCAGATACCAACAGCCCAGCTCCAGTATTGTTCAAGCACAGAAACGTCGAAATGGAAGGATGCGAATTGTAGCCACCGCGACTCTGCGTCCCAATGTCCGGCGAACAAGCGTTGGAAGGCGAGGAGAGCTTGTACAGCATTCTCATGCGTCAATATGCATCCTTTGGGCGTACCAGTGGTACCACTGGTATATAAGCAGTAGCTGCGATCCTGAGGCCCGACCTTCTTGTTTTGTAAGGGGGCGTTCTTGGACATTGAATGCACCGCAACCTTATCCAGGTTCAGAACTAGTAAATCCACGCTCTCCTTGAATCGAGCGGATTGGGTTGACATTGAAAGAACGGCCCGAGCCTGAGAGTCCTTGATAATGAAGGCTTGACGTGCAGCGGGCGCTCCGGGATCGATTGCGACGAAAGCACACCCTGCCTTCAAGATGCCCAACATTGCGAAAGAAGCCTCTGGACACTTTTCAAAGCACACCCCGATTAGGTTGCCTGGCTGAATGCCATGGGTGATAAGGAGGTTTGCAATTTTGTTCCCTTCAGCATCGAGCTCCGCGTACGTCCACTTTTGACTCCAGAGAGCGCCATTAGGTCGTGCACGAACAAATTCAAAAGCGAGGCGCTGTGGGTGCTTCGTTACGCTAAGCTCGACCAGCTCATGTAACAGGCTAGCTTCTGAAGGCAAACACGGCTCTTTCGCCGGATTGATAGAGTAGAGCTTTGGATCGAATGAAGGTTCGAGCGTGGGAGATGTTGCAGGAAAGATGAAGCGCTCCATCAAATGGTCGATCTGTTCGAGGATTAAACCAGCCTGTTCCCTTGGTATGACGTGCGGCAAGAAGGTAATTCGATATTCCAGATAACCATTCTTAGGCTCTAATTCGATGGATACCGGGTATTCGATTGTTCCTTGTTCATCAACTACCCTCCAAGGACATTCCTGGTTCTTGTTGTCGGAAAGTTTTTGATAGGCGAAAATGGAATCGAATAGAGGCTCATTCGGGTAGCCCATCAGTTTCTGTATGTCATTAAGTGGAGTAAACTGATATCTTTGGACCTCAGCATTCAGCTGCATGACTGCATCAAGCATCTCTTTGCTCTCCTCGGCTACCGTACATACAAAAGGCACGGTGTTAATGCAAGGGAAGACGGCATCTTCAGCAGCCTCAAAGTTGCGGCCCGAAAGTACTACTCCGCAGGTGACTGATCTCTCTCCGGTGTATGCGGATAAAAGGCAAAGCCAGCTCGCAATACCGGCGGCCTGGAGTGTGATGTTTCCTAGTTGGCATCCCTTTTCTAGCTCAGGTAAAGGCCGTGCTGACTGTTTCGTAAATACTACTGAAGGCTTGGGGTCGTATCGCAAAGGCGCTAGATTGGGAAAACGGCATGGACTGCCTTTCTTCCCGAGCTGCATCCAGAAGCTTTCTGCACCCTTGGTGTCGTCGTAATTTGAACAGAGAATGTGATCAATGACTGGGATCAAGCTGATTGGTGTCGAGAGAGATTGGCCCTGGTAGAGAGCCGTGACATCATTGAAAATAGACTGAAGACTTTGTGCGTCAAAAAGTCCATGGAACATGCCAATGTCGAGGTATACTTTTGATCCATCTGAAACAACTCGTAATGCCCAGGGCGGCGAATGAAGCTTTCTCAAAGCTCTGTCCTGTAGCGTTCGTAGCCAATCGTTGGTTGTTTCAATCCGGTCGTTCTCTTGCGTTGTGTCGCTCCAAGGTAGATTGACAGCTTCTGGATTATATTGAATCATGAGAAAAGCATGGTGAGTGTCCTTGACGTGAGCAAAACCGGTTCGTAACATGGCATGGCGTTTCATCACCGCGGTCCATGCATCTTTCAGGTTTTCGAGGTTTGCGTTGGATTCTAATTGCAAGCGCAGATAGTTCATATAAGTGGCTCCCTCTTTCGCAATGAACAGCGAAATCATACCCTTTTGAAGAGGGGTACAGGGCCGGATGGCCTCGACATTCTCTCCATTGATATCGCATGCTATCAGCACCAGTGCTTTGTGCTTTTGTTCGAAAGCATTGAAGTCGAACTGTAAAGCTGTCGGTATCACTGAAGGTATTGGTTGATCAATGCATGCTGCAATCGCAGTGCAAGTCATATGTTTCATGACATCCGCAGCATCCACGCTATGGCCTTGTCTGCGCAGGGTAGCAGCAACTTGGACTGCGCTGATGCTATCAAGGCCAAGTTGGTACATTGACGTGGTTGGTAGTATGTCTTCTGGTAATGTTTTCGATAGTCGTGCGAATATATCCCGAACTTGATTCTCAAGTTCAGTCCAGTGATGAACTGAACCATGCTCAGCAGTCCCGTTCGGAAGTGGCTTCACTTCTGCTGCTTCGCAAAAGTTCCTTGTTAAAGCCGTCTTGTCAATCTTGCCAGCCATCGATCGTGGTATACTTTTAACAAAGAGGAAGAACTGAGGCACCATGTACGACGGAAGGCGTTTGCTGGCACGCTCTCTCAGCGCGTGTTGGATCTCGGCATGTTCACTCTCATCGATCTCTCGATTCGCGACGAGGAACGCTACAAGCTGCTCCTTCGCTGTTGCATCTTTCTTCAAGATCTGCGTAACAACAGTTGTAACATCAGGATGAGAGTCTTGAAGCACATGATTAACCTCGCCCAGCTCGACTCTTAGTCCTCGAATTTTAACCTGGTCATCTACACGGCCAACAAATTCAAATTTACCGTCGCCTAACATTCGGACCATGTCGCCGCTCTTATAGAATCTCTGCCCACATCGAGAGACAAAAGTCTCCTCTGTAAGCTGAGATTTGCCTAGGTAGCATCGCGCTAGCTGTGCACCTCCGATGTACAATTCTCCGATGCTCAGTAGTGGTAATGGTCGGTCGCCTAGTGGAGGGAAGACAGCGAAAGAGGTCGTTGCAAAGGGCTTTCCGATGACAGAAGTGCTAACACTTTCTTTCACTGGAAACATTGTCGTGCAGAAGGCAGCCTCAGTTGGCCCGTAGGAGTTGAAACTCGCGCTACCCCATTCCTTCACGATCTCGACTGACATGACTTCGCCGATGCAGTACAGCCATGTAACTCTAGGTAGCTCAGATCTTTTTAGCGACACGGCAACAGAAGGCGTGAGATCCAGTAAATCGACATGGAGAGTGTTGATGACCTTTGGCAGCTCATTCAGCATCTCCCTTTGCTCTGCGGCACAAAGAGTGAAGCCCAAGGTCCAAGCGAGGAAACAATCGAAGTAGCACATGTCGAAAGTAATTGCTGCGTATTGAAGGAGCCTTGAGGAAGAATTCCACGGAACAATCGACCTGGAGCTTTCAATAGTTTGACAAGGAGCGCGATGTTCCATGCTGACGGCTTTCGGAACTCCTGTTGAGCCACTAGTGAAAAGACAATAGGCCAAGTTCGAGTTCTTGAAACCTAGGATGGGAGGGGTGAGTTTGGAGCTGTGATCGATGCTTTCTACTTGAATCATTTGCGCTTCAGTGCAGACTTTCGGGACTGCCTGATCTTTAGAACAGAGGACCACTTTCGCTTCCAACTCTGTGAACATGAACTTCTTTCGTGCTTCCGGAAGATCAGGGTGCACGGGGGCGAACGCAGCACCAGCCTTGAGAACACCTAGGATGCTGGCGTAAAATTGGGGGCATTTCGGCATGTATATGGGGACGATCTCTTCCAGCCCCACGTGGTGATCCATCAGGGCATGCGCAATGTCGTTAGCTTTTTCATTCAGTGTTTTAAATGACCACACCGTTTTTGTTCCGTCTGCATGCAGAAAGTCTAGCGCGATAGCATCCGGCTGATGCAATGCGTTTCGCTCGAATCCAGAATGCAAAAAGCTTGCGTGAGTGTCGAAGGGCTGGAAGTTGGTGTTGGACTCCGCCCGAAGATGGCTCGGAAATCCCACAGTATCATTAGCAGGTGCCTGAGGAAACTTAATCGAGGTCGAAAGACTGTTGTCGAAAGTTTCGGCAACGATCTTGGCATCCGCATCCGAGAGTAAAGAGGTCTGGTAGTGGAGGACTAACGTCAAGGTATCTTTGATCTGGTCTTGGAGCACCTCACAGACTATCGGCAGATCCATCTCACCCAAATCCTGCTCAAGTGTCCAAATAGAATCGTCTAGTGGCTTACCCGGCTGCTGGAGGATGACAAGGGTATCGAATAGATGGCCACCGTCCTTGAGCACAAGGTTTTGAATCCGACGGAGAGGCGTCAATTGAAACGCCAGTGATTCGACATTGAAATCGTGGACTAGGCTGGTCAAGGTCGAGTTTTTTTCGTGGAAGTCGAACTTAACACGAATAGGCAAGGTGTTGAAGCATGGTGCAACAAGGCGTTCTAGGCTATCACCGGGCAAAGTGCGCCCACTCACAACATTTCCGAAACATATGTCGTTCTCCCCGGTATAGTAATGCAGCAGTTTAGCCCACGCAGTCTGTACTACCGAAAGCAGTGAGATGGATGCGCTCTTACAAGCTTGACGCACCTCACTAAGAGGTATCTGCAAACACCTGGTGACAGAAGCTGGACCGGGTCGGAGTATGGTAGCTTGGCCAGTAAGATTAGGGAAAAACGTCGGTTCGCAGTCCTTGAAAGATTCAGTCCAGTATTGATCAGCTTTGATAAAGTCCTGGGAAAGCATATGCTGCAAGTAGACGTTGTAAGATATTGGAGGTGAAAGTTCGCGTCCGGAGTAAGAGTCTTGTATCTCCTGGAGAATTGTTTCAATAGCAATGCCGTCGTATAGTGCGTGATGGCAACAAAACAACAATTCAGTGGAGGTGTCTTCGTGGGCAAGAGCGAGAAAGACGGGTGGTTTGTTGGTCTCGAGAAGGGTCCTCATAACCTCATTGGTGCGTGATCGCACATCGGCTTGTAAATCCTGATGGTGCCAGAGGACTTCATTCTCGTTTAGGACGACTTGGGCGAAAGCGTACGACGGATCCTCTGTCGATATGAAAGCCGTGCGAAGGATTTCATGCCGTCGAGTCATAAGCGCCCAGCAATCTTGTAGACGAGACACATCTCCCTTGATGTCAAATATCATCACGTTACAGTATGCCGATGCCGACGATGACTGTCCGCTAGATAGCATAGCTTCTTGAAGTGGCGTGCATGGTAGAACCTTTTCCACTTGTTTACCCCTTTTATCGTAAAGCGAACGAATCTGAGCAATCTGGTCCGGTTCCAATACACAGGTGGGATCTACTGCAGAAACTCCAGTCAAGGGCCTGGGTGATATGCCTGTATCTTTGACTGACGCTAGACGGGCTATAGTTGGATTTTTGAGAACCATAGATACGGCAACGTCGCCCAAATCTGCCGCCCTGAGAGAGTTGCAGAAGCTTATGGCCGATATGGAGTCGAGTCCCAAGCTGAAAAAGGAAGACGTTCTACGAATCTCGCTTAGAGGCAAGTCAAGCGCTCGGGCTAGAACTGCGGTAGCCCTATTCTCCCATTCTGAAGACGGATCAGCCACTTCATCAGTATCTTGTGGCTCGGTGGTATGGATCAGTGCGCCTTCTGGCAAGCTTTCTAGCATGCTGTGAAGAAGCCGCTTATTAATCTTAGCCTGTGCCGTCATCGGAATGCGCGATATGGGGAGGACGTGTGAGGGGACCATATACGAAGGAAGCCGATGCGACAAGGACGTGAACAACTCCACGATCACGGTTCGAAACTCTTCGGGCTGTAAAAGTTCTACTGAATCCATGGTAAGCCCAGTAGGTACCCAAAAGTTGACTAGGGCCTTTGCTGTGTTGGGGAGCGACACGAGAAGAGTCACACAATCCTGGACTCTGTTGTGATCGAGGATAGCAGATGTAATCTCTCCAAGCTCGACCCGCTGCCCGCGAATCTTTACTTGATCGTCCAAACGACCAGAGAAGAGGATGGAATCATCGCCGAGGAGTATGCCCATATCTCCTGATCGATAAATCCGCCCGTACGAAGGATGCTCAATGATTTTGGTGGCGTTTAACTCCGGTCTGTTGAGATAGCCTCGAAAGACCTGCGCTCCACCAAAGCAGAGTTCCCCAATGGCACCACGTGGAAGGATGAATTCGCTATCCGGGTCTAGCACAAACGCTGAAGTGTTGTCAAAAGGCGGGCCAATATTGTTGATCTCATCCGTGGGAGTGACCGACGCATTAACAGTACAAATGTTGGTGGTCTCGGAGGGACCATAGCCTGCATATTCTTTTAGCTCGTACGTATGGAGTGGATTGGCTATTTTTACCTTGATACAAGCCTTTGCCTGCCCATCTTCTGCGAACGCGTTCTGTTAAGGCTTCTCCAGCAGTCACAAGGAACTCCACCTTTGGCACATTCTCCGGGTCCACTAGTGCTGCAACGGTCGGTGTAAGGCTGAGGTGCGTGACACCTAAGCGATTAATTGCAGCTTCCAAGTCCCGGAACAAATCGTCTTTACTAGCTGTGCACAAGCACATGCCGACGTGCCAGGAAAAGAAGATCTCGAAGACGGAAACATCAAAAGCTTGTGAGCAAGCCTGGAGCATCTTTGAATCCTCCGAGAATGGATATATACTTGCGAGATACTCTAGGTTGCTCATCAAATTGTCCTGTGTCACGAGAACACCCTTAGGTGTGCCAGTGCTTCCACTTGTGAAGACGGCATAGGCGACGTGCGAGCCGTTGTATGGAGTTCTTAAGGCTTCATCAGAATAGCATGAAAGATCGACAGAGTCCAAGTCTATAATCTTAGTGGAAAGACCTTGTCGAAAAGAAGCCGAGATTGCAGACTCGCTAACGCAAATCGCGACGTTAGCGTCGCCTAGAATCGTGTGTATTCTATCAAGAGGGGTATCGGGAACCAGAGGTAAGTAGCCCGAGCCAAGTTTCAGTATGGCGAGGATAGCGACGTAGAAGTCAACGGATTTCTCCATAATGACACCCACTAGCTGATCTTGGCCAACGCCGTGTTCCGAAAGAACTCGAGCAAACTGGTTTGCACGGGAATTTAACGCGCTGTATGTGAGTGAGTTCTTGATCTCCATAACGCCGTTAACAATATGACCGAAAGCAACTGCCTCTTTTTCTGGAGATTTCATAGCCCACACCTCAACTGCGTACGATGGTCCATTTGGAATAGACTTTTGACGAGGTTCGGGATTGGCGATGGAGCAAGAGTTGTTGGTAAAACACTTGCTAATCTCAGACACCTTGCAGTTGGTATCCTGAAGGAATAAATGAACGACCTCGTCAATATGTCGCGACAAGTATTTGACCTGGTCCTCAGGAATCTTCGATGGATCGAAAATGGTGCGAAACGATATATAGTCCTGGTGAGGTTCAAATTCGAGCGTGATCGTGTACTCCAGATCATCTGCACTATCGACAATCTTCGCGGCAGTCGATGATTCAACGATGGGATTCAAGGTCTGTTGCCACACAAATAGTACCTCAAATAAACGCGTCCCTGGCGGCACATTTGTCACCCTTGCTATTTCACGCAGGGGCAAGGAGCAATGTTGCAAGCCATCTCGGTTGAGATTCTGTATTTTGTGCAAGATGTCTTGAACGCGAGAGAGGTGTCGAAAGTCCAAACGAAATGGAAGTGAAGCTATGCAAGGACCAAGGATATCTTCGACGCCGGACACAGGGATTGTTCTGCCCGAAGTAACATTACCAAGTACTACATCAGTCGAGCCCATGTAAAGTGACAAAACGTATGCAGCCGCTGCCTGAAAGAACACTTGGGGGTTAATCGCAAGCTCCTTGGCGCGTTCGAATAATGTATCGACGCTGATCGCGGAGCGTCCAGAAACAGCACGAACGCCTGTACTGTGAATTATTTTTCCATTGTAGTTCGGAAGAGACACAGGGACGTGATCATAAAGCAGGCTAGCCCAGTACTCCTTGGCGCTTTTGTCTTCGCTCGCTCGTTGTTCGCGTGTGTAGTATTGAACAATATCCCGATATTGCGGCCGCTTCATAGCTCGCTCTTCGCGCAAAAGCTTGTCGAGATCCTGAAGTAAAAGGTCAAACGACCATCCGTCGTACAAGGCATGGTGTATCTGGAAAAGGAGTCGTGCCTTCTGGGGACCTGTCTTCACTTGAACGCTTAGGGGGCGTAATAGCGACTCGTCAGACCCTAAAGAGTAAGCTTTGGAAAAAGCGGCTACCTCTTGGATTTGAGAGTCCTTCAAACTCTTCCACACAAGCTGAACGAACGTCCCCGTATGTTGGACTGTAGAATGAAAGCCAGTACGTAGAATCTCGTTGGCCTGAGCGAGAGATCGAAGTACATCCTGGATCTGGTCATATGCGCGCGAAACTGGAAGCTCGATCTCGATCCAGTTGCAGTAGGCACTAGGCCTAGCTGTTGTTTCTGCAAGCATGGCTTCCTGCAACGGAGTGCATGGAAGAACCTGAGCAATCTCTGCACGCCAGCGCTTGAGTTCAGGATGCTCGGGTTGTTTTGAGTTGCCAGGCAGAACCTCTGGTGTGTTCTCAAAGCTTGTCGTGCTTTCGCAGTTTCTACAAAAGGCAATGAGATCACCAAGGGTGGTCGCCATTAATATATCGATCGCACCAAGCTTGTAACCCTCTTGGCGTAGAGCTGATGCTATGCGAATAGCCTGGAGCGAGTCCAGCCCGGCAGATGCAAGAGTTGAACTCATTTCCAGATTGCGCGTCGTATGTTTCCGGAGTATACGAGAAACAGCAGAACCCACGCGATCGTCTGTATCTGATACGGAAGTGCCATTGCAATGAAGCGTGCGCAGATAATTCGACCCCAATGCCTTCTTATCTATTTTGCCTGATGGGAGCTGCGGTATGCTGGATACGAACACTACGTCTGATGGGACCATGAAACTTGGGAGCCAACGTTTGCAGGTTTCAAGGATGTCTGCGCGGGAGAGTTTGCGGTAGTCAGTAGCGCAAAAGGCGACTAGAACTTCTTCGATAACCATGACCGCAGCCGTGTGACAAGCATCGATCTTCATGATGATATTTTCGATTTCGCCAAGCTCAACCCTTTGACCTCTCAATTTGACTTGGCCCGCAACAACACGCCCCAAACATTCCAGGCTCCCGTCGCCACGCACTTTTGCTCGATCGCCTGTCCGATATAAGCGACCATAATCCGGGTGGTCGATGAAGGATGTTGCGGTCAGCTCTGGACGATTAAGATACTCTTGGGCGATTTGTGGGCCTCCAACAACAAGCTCACCCACCTGGCCTATTGGAAGAACCTCGTAGTTAACTGCAACATCGCCTTCGTGAGATGGAGCGACTATGAAGACCGAGACCGTGTCAAGCGGTGTCCCTATTGTGCCAGTGGATGAAGATGCCGAAAACTGTGGCTGCAAGGTGCAGTGAATTGCCGCTTCCGTGGGTCCGTACATGGCCCACAACATGCTCTCCTTGCTCTCGTTCCCGCCATACTCATCAACAACATGTTGAGTAAGCATCTCGCCGATGGTGAGTAATAGTTTCAAGTTAGGCACGCTTGACCGACCACGAAGAAGATTGCTCACAACTGTCGGCGTGAGTTCGGCGGCATCCACTTCAAGGACATTGATGATCCTTGGAAGATCTTCAATCATTTGGGCGCGTGTACATCCTACCAGGGTTCGTCCGCGAAACCATGGGAAGAAGATTTCGAAGATCGACACGTCAAACGTAGGGGCGGCAAACTGAAGAAAGCGAGCAAAGTCTGGAATGTGACGATCGTGGGCCAAGAGACTCTGGGTCACGGCTCGATGTGACACGCTCACAGCCTTGGGTAGTCCAGTGGAACCACTAGTATACAGGACATAGGCCAGGTTGTTGTGGCCTACTCGTGGTAACTGAGGAAGTGGTTCATCGTCGCGCTCAGAAAGCTCAACGTCAGCAAGCATTGCTCGGATGCCTGTATATGCTCGTATCTTCTCGCCCCATGTCGACGTGGTGATTATTAGATCTGCCGAAACATCCTGAAGAACAAAATTGAGTCGCTCCGCAGGCGTGTCGAGATTCAGGGGACAGAATGCTTTCCCTGCCTTTAGAATTGCTAACAAAACAATGTAGAGCTCGGGACACTGTGGTAAAAAGACCGGAATGATTGGCGAGGCACTTTCGAGCTTTGCCAGGATTCTAGTGATCTTGCCAGCGAGAGTATCGCTCAAGGCGTGCAGTGTCTGGTAGCACAACGTCCGTCGTTTCGAACCATTTTCCAGGAAGTTGATAGCGGGTCTGTCAGAGCAAGCTCGTACTAGGTCGTGTAGCAGACTTGGGCCTTCGATCACTGAAGGATGTCTATTCAGGATGGATAGCTCAAGACTTGGTTGGCTGATTTGGAGCATTTTGTTTGCTGCGAATTAGGAGGTCAAGGAGCTGATGGAAGTAGTGCACCAAAAGTAACTGTGCCAACAAGCCACAACAATATGTCAGGAAGACTTGGACAAGGTCAAATCTGACGAAGTTGCTTGTTCGGCCTCTATACTTGAAGACGTGAAAAATATAGGCTCCTCTAGTACATCTAAGTGATGAGAAACTACGGGGCACTGATTGGTCGGCGAGCTTGGAGTACCTTCAGGCGAGTATGTGTAAGGCTGGTATACACGTGAGGACGGGTCCTATCACCTCGTAGCGCGACACACTCGATGACGGGATGGACGTGCAGTCTTTCGTTGAAAGTGCCCAACGCAGTGGCAATATCGCAGCATTGGGCAAAGGTCGAAATGGGGGCGGGATCAGGTAGCAGCGCGAATGGCCCGACAGTCAGCGTTTGAGGCGCAAGATGGCTTGAAAAGAAGAGTTGATTGTTGCTTCCCGCGCGATGCTCTGCGCGTCGTTGGCAGGCGCAGCGTCATGCATCCTCCCGTTGGTAGTAGTGGTGGTGTCATTCATCGATCGTGGAGTCTATGACCGGCACCTATCATCCAGATCTTATCAGATTTCTGCGGCAGGCAGGCAGGCAGCAACCTCACTCACTCTGAGGGGAAGAAAAAATTGATTCGATAAAGCGAAGCTCCACCATAACAACTGCTAGCTTCGAGACGCTCTGCGCGATACGGCAGGTGCAGCGATGGTGCGAACGGGCACCACTGGACGCCTCCAATGACGACAAGCCTGTCCCTTGAAACTCGACGGGTCTGCGTTCCTCGCCCCACGCTGACTGCGGATTCTGTTTGTCAAGCGCAAAGAAATCGCGTGTGGCGTCGTCGAAGCTGGCTCCAACGCGTTCTCTGGCGTGCGACTTCGGCATTCGGTCCCAAGACAGGTGGGCGGGCGGAGAAGAGGGCGCATGTGAAGCCGGCGCACACTGGGGCCAGTGCCGAGATATGCGCGGCCTCGGGGTACTGTCATCTGATAATTCTTTTATATGGGGCTACAGCGGATCAGATAACCTTGAACCCATCTCCTGGCCGCTAGTCTGTGGAGGGGAGGACCTAAAGAGCACTCTCAGCCCTTTCAAGATTCCCAATCGACCTCGGGCAACTTCACACGCTTCTGAGCCACACAACCCACTGGCTACACCAGTGTTTGCTCATACTGTCCATCTAGTGTTCACGGTTGAATCTTTTCATGAATAGATTAGAAACTGGTAGGAGCCGTGGATCGGGGGTGGCGCCAAGATTGGCTAAGCCTCGTCAGGAACGCTCCTGCCATCATTACAGGTAGCTCCAACGCGACTCAGAACCTTCAACACCTTCTCCATGGTCTCTTCTCTTACTCCAACGAGCACTCGTCGCGACCCCCTTTCTTCCAAGGTTTTGCTGCACCGCTGAGACCATGCAAACCCAAGCGACGCCTCGCGTGACGCCAAGCGCTTCCATCCCATATTCCGACGACGATACAAGCTCCGAGAGTCAACCTCTTCTCGACTCTGACGACGACCATGGGGAAGATCAGATTTCTATCCGCCACAGCATGCAATGGGACCGACGCGTCGAGCCGTCCTTGGCGACTGTGCAACCACAAGCCTGGCAAGGCGTGGCGGCCTTTCGCCAGCAATTCATTCGACAGATCTTGGGTCTCAATCCATTCAAAACCTCGTACTTCACACTCTACAGATCACTGAGTGATACTGAATCGAGAATCATTCTTGCGCTAGGCATTCTGCTGGCCGTGACTGCGGGCGTTCCACTTCGTACGCAACCATAATGAACAAACCACATGTGACATGTACACTAACTTCACACCCAAATATTAGCTCTCATTGGTGTTATTTTTGGCAAGATTATCAACAACTTTCCGCCCACACAAGATGAGTTGAGGAGTCTATTGTCCCGTCTCATGGCGGTGGCAGTTGGCTACTTTGTCGTTACTTGGGGATGGGCTGTCTGCTGGGCTGTAATTGGTGAACGCGTTAGCCGGAGAACTCGAGAGAACCTCCTTTACCGGGCCCTGGGCATGGACATGACATACTTTGACACTATTTCGCCCGACATGTCGAGCGTTCTTACCGAGAAGACGCAAACCATCCAACTTGGTACCTCGGAGAAAGTCGGTTTGTTCATCGCTTCAATAAGCTATTTTATATCAGCTTTTACGGTGGGCTTCGTACTCAATCCAAGGCTCACTGCTGTCATGTAAGAGAGTCCTGTCATTCTAGTCACACGTGTGGAGTAGGCTACATAAAAAGGTGGCGTTGCTAATTATTTTAGGTTTGTAACTGTAATACCATCGATGGCCTGTGTAGTATATTTCGGAACCAAGTCAATCTCTAAATTCTCCCGACAGGCTACAGTGTACACTGAGAAAGCTGCTTCTGTTGCAGAGAGTGCTATTAGGGCAGTTCAGATCGTCCAAGCCTTCGGGCTGTTTAAGCAGCTCAGCGAAGAGCATGTTAGCCATCTACGATCCGCGTTGCGGGTTGGAATCAAGAAAAGCATTGCTGGGGCTCTCATGCTTGGCTCGGTCTATTTCATTGCATACGCGACGAACGCACTTGCGTTTTGGTACGGAGATCACCTACGGAATGGCAGCGCTGAAGCAGGCACCATATATGCCGTTGTTTTCCTCATTCTGGACGCGTCTTTCGTGGTTGGTTCATTTGGACCTTTCATTCAGACTTTCGCAATGGCTGCAGCTGCTAACGAAACCATTCTGGGAATCTTAGATCACCCACCAACCGATATCGACGTCTACTCAACCAAAGGAAAGCTTGTCGATCAATCATACTTCCAAAGGGAGATCGTGTTTTCAGAGGTTTCTTTTGTTTACCCTGCTCGACCCACTGTTCGAATTCTCGACAATCTTAACTTAAAAATCGCGCCTGGGCAAGTAACGGGCCTTGTTGGCCCATCCGGTTAGTAACGTCGTTGTACGAGCTGCGTATGAGACATACTAACTTTACATATCAAAAGGCTCCGGAAAATCAACCATTTCCTTGCTGCTCCTGCGACTTTACGACCCTACATATGGCACGATTTCGCTCGGTCATGATCCACTGAAGGTTTTCAACGTCCACAGTCTACGTTCTCACATTGCGCTTGTCACACAAAATCCAGTGCTCTTTACTGGAACTATCCTCGACAATATTAAGCACGGTTTGCCATATGGTGACCAACTATCCGAAGAAGAGGTCCTCGCAAGATGCGAGGCAGCGGCTGCAGAAGCTCACTGTGAATTCTTGGGCCGCCTCCCTGATGGAATCTATACCAAAGTTGGCTCAGGGCCTGATTCCCAGCTCTCCGGGGGACAGAAGCAGCGTATTACGCTTGCACGTGCCTTAGTCGGGAATCCGTCTCTACTCCTATTAGACGAGTTTACCAGTGCCATGGACGGTATGTATGAATATGCCTCTGATTGTGGTTTTGGATACTGCACCCGAAATATTCCGAAATAATTTACTGACTAGACGCTACCTTTAGGTACGAGCGAGGCTATAGTACTAGAGAACCTGAGGCGTTCTTCGGCAGCTACTGGCCGAACAACGATCATAATCGCCCACCGTCTTGCAACTGTGAAAGATGCCGACCGCATTATCGTGATGAAAGACGGGGTTGTTGTAGAGGAAGGAGGTCACGAACCCCTTATCAAAGCCAACGGTGTTTATGCGGAACTTATAAGAGCCCAACAATTTGACAAAAAGCGACAGCCGTCTGCTGCATCCTCTATACGGTCTCGCCTATACAAGGAAAACGATTCTACCGAGAGCCACAAGACCGAGTCCCAGACTGGAGAGAGTTCACCAGCAAGCAGCGAGCAAAAGAGCGCCATGGAGTTGATATCGAGAACGGTAGCCATGAGTCGGCATGAGACACCGGCTATTGTCATTGGTCTTTTCTCTTCGATCCTTAGCGGAGGCGTTATTATCGGAGAGGTAAGTACACCATAAAGCATATACTGGACAATCAACTGCGGAAATTCGAACGTTTACTGACAGATGTATCAGGCACTCATATTCGGAAACCTCGTCGAACTTTTAAACAATACGACGAAATCTGGCCAGCTCACATTACGTGTGTCGTTTTTCTGTCTGATGTTCTTCGTACTCGCTATCATTGCCCTATTGTCTCACTGCTGCGGCAAGACAGCTTTTGGTATTGTCTCAGAGAATCTAGCTTTGCGTGTTCGAGATATCTCATTTCGCACGATCCTTCAACAGGATATAGCTTGGTTCTCTAAACCCGGACATTCACATCACGCTCTCATGTCACGGCTCAATATGGACAGCGGCAGTATCAGTGGACTCTCTGGCGTCATACTCGGCACTATATTCTCTATTACAACCTCTGTCCTTGGCGGCATAATTTTGGCTCACATAGTAGCCTGGAAGATCGCCATAGTGTTACTAGCAGCCGTTCCGGTCATGCTCGTTGCGGGTTTCCTGCGCCTCCGCATCCTAGCTATAGCGGAAGAACACCACCAGACAGCGTACAACGACGCGGCAGCTCTAGCCTCTGAGGCTACATCTTCTATGCAGATCGTTGCATCCTTTGGACTGGAATCTTACTTTCTCGAAAGGTACCGTGAAGCGATCCGCCAACCCTATGAGGAACACTTCAAATTTAGCGTACTTGGCAACATTTTATTCGCCTTTTCCCTCTCAGTAACGTATTTTGTGTACTCCCTAGCATACTGGTGGTAAGTGCCACGTTACAGTCTCTATTGGTTTTCTTTGGCTTTCACGGCAGTAGCTACGCTCCAAAATCTATGTGAAGACACCCACTGACAAATCTCGTAGGGGTTCTAGACAAGTTCGGAATGGGTCTTACAGTCAACGAGACTTCTTCATCGTTTTGCCTGCCCTCCTCTTCTCCGCTCAAGCAGCTGGCCAACTGTTTAGCTTAGCGCCGGAGGTGACTAGAGCGAAGGCTGCTGCAGAAAGCGTTTTCTCTTTACACGATGAGAAGCCAACGATAATCACGGAATCTCCAGACCCGAGTGCCGCGCCCCCAACGAATGGGGACGCCTTGCTTCCAAACGCCTCAGCCTCTTATGGAACCTTCGGTATAAGAGGCGAGCTCGAATTCCGCGGAGTCAGTCTCTACTATGAAAGTCGGCCGGAGCTTCCTGCACTGAATAACGTTTCCTGTACGTAAGCTTGCGGTTCACTCTGTTAAACCTTCTCAGCAGGTACTGGAATACTGACTCCTCTGCCACCTCTAGTTCTCATAAGGCAGGGTGAATACGTGGCCTTTGTTGGCCGTTCGGTAAGATCCTAACGTACGAACTGGCAAACATACACACTAATTTCGTACTTCCAATATTGTAGGGAGCAGGAAAGTCTAGTACCATTCACTTGATCGAGAGATTTTTCGATCCTACCCTAGGACAGGTGTTTTTGGATGGTCAAGATATACGCAAAGAGGCCGTAGGGAATCACCGGGCTCGCTTAGCGCTTGTGGTATGTCATCTCGAAGACCCCGATCATGTCGCCTTCCTACTTCAATCGCCAATGATGATCAAACCGCATTTCGACCATGTCATGAATTGGTCCAGCGCGCTGATCACGCAACCCGTCGTTGGGACCTAATTCTCCGCATGAGTATCGCTGACAATATACTAGGAGCAAGAGCCCGATCTCTTCCCTGGGACGGTCAAGTTCAACATTGGCCTCGGTAGCCGGCCAGGAGCCCATGTTAGCATCGAAGACATCATGCGAGTTGCAAAGGAATGTGAATTGCACGATTTCATCATGAGTCTCCCTGAGGGTTATGACACCGAAGTTGGCGCACATGGTTCGAAGCTTTCGGGAGGCCAACGACAGCGGCTTGCCATTGCGAGAGCACTCATACGAGACCCAGAGATACTGCTTCTTGACGAGGCCACCTCTCAACTTGACGCAAACACAGAACAATCGATTCGCAGAGCCATAGCAGCTGCGTCGAAAGGTCGAACTACAATCATGATCGCACATCGATTGGCGAGTGTACAACATGCGGATCGTATCTTTGTATTCGACGCTGGCCGGGTAGTGGCACAAGGGAACCACGATGAGCTTGTAGCCATGGGCGGTATATATGCCGCTATGGTCGCTGCACAAGAGCTGGATTGAAACGTTGATTTAACACGCCGACTTAGAGGGTACTTGAAGACTTATTTAGATTTTAGTTAGGGAGGTTTAGAGTTCGTTGGGCCCACGCAGCCTCCGGCCTGCTGTTCATTTTAGGCATCTGTATAGAAGAGGCTCACTTGAGTGTGTCATTCATAATATCTCCTCCTTCATCTGGAAGGAGGTTCCGGTATCCAGCTTCCTTCATGGCCCTTAGCGAAGCTAAGCGGTGGGGTTCTATTTATTGATCTCGCACTCGGCCTGGCTACATGCATCGCATTAACGTCCAGCTTTTAGTGAGATTATTTTCCCTGTCATATACCTCTGCGAAACACACCGTACTGCCGATTATATTCTAATGAAATTGATGCTGGACTGGGATCTTAAAATCGAATCCGCTTTATGCTACAGAGCTATCTCCTTTGCGGGGTCAAATGCTGTGTATCCTTCACGAGGTGGGCCCCGCGCGCGTGGTGTCATCCGCGTCAGCCCGAGGATATGTCTGTCACAACCTTGCAAAACCCCAACGCTGCGACTTTCTCCGTCCTCATCAGCAGGTTCTCAGGCGACTGGTCAACTAGCGCAAGGCCCCATGAATGAACGAGTCGGAGATATTATTGCAGCTCAATCGTCATCGACCACCAGTCTACCCGCTAAGATGATGTATGTGTAATGGATCAGCGGTTGCGGCCAAGCATGGTATCAACGCCGAAATGACCTGCATGTGTAGGGTTGTGGTGATCAGCACGCATCTAGAAGATCAAAGTTTTCATCTGATTAGATTGAAATGGGTTACGCCGACATCGCTCCGAGGTTGTTCCTAGCCCGCCAAGCTGCCATCGAGCCACACCATCCCACGCTTGACATGGCATCTGCAGTAATCGACACAACCTAGGTAAGCGTAGCGGGCGAGCGAGAAAATTTTGCTTGCGTCATGACTGTGCTTTTTCCCTCGAGCCGCCGTGTCGAAACCTTTCCTCCGACCTCGTTATCTGATCTGATTAGATTGATGATGATCCCTTGTGCGTTTCTAGGATGCCACGGCGCCATTAGTACACAATAAATGCGCACGCCTCTTGGAACGGGCCGTAAGCGTAAGGGTCTAATGACGAACGCGCATCGAGCCATCTTCTCACGAGCGTCGGAGACTTCCTAGGTCGACATGGGCTCACTGATCGCAAGTAACAAGAGACCGGGTCCTCCTGGACAGGCACACACGTAGTGGATGCCGTCACTTTTCCCCATATCATAGGGCTGGCAGCCCTACTGATTGTTTCATTGCTCAAGAAGTCAGTGTCTGTTCTTCTCTTCCTCAGACTCGTCGACATTGGTAGGTTTGATACTCATTCCTTTGTGTCTTTTACTTGGTCCGAGTGTAGACGTCATTGTTCATCGCAGAGCAGCTGACAGTTTTTTTTTTTTGGCAGACAGCAATACTCCTCGGAACAGTTTCTCTATTAGCTTCGCGAAAAAGCACCTGTTATTGTCTCAGTGACAAGTCGCAGGTATCTGAGTACGTACCATTCCATCCAATTGCGTGAGGCGGATTAACAAACAACATCTTGCCTATTAAAGCCGCCATACTAATGCTAACACCGGTAGACATTACCTCGCCACTTTTACAACCTCTATCCTCCAGTATGAGTCCTCACGCCGAAATCTCGTCAAGTTCGTCTGATGGCCCTGCGCCTGCGGTGCAAAAAGCTTTTGGGGGCTTCCTCTCCAATGATTTGGAAGAGAGCCTTCCCGCATTCGAGAACCGATCGCATCTTCGATATACCCCTGAAGAGGAGCTGCACGATCTGATTTGCGTTGGTTTTGGACCAGCATCGTTAGCCATTGGTGTTGCTCTTCATGATGCCCTAGATGGCACAGATCCATCGCTCGTGGATGTACCAGGACTTCAGAGCAGACCACCACGCGTTGCATTCTTAGAGAAGCAATCTCAGTTTGCATGGCATGCAGGCATGCTTCTGCCGGGTGCGAAGATGCAGATCACCTTCATGAAAGACATGGCAACTATGAGGAACCCGCGAAGCGAGTTCACATTCATCAACTATCTACACCAAAAGGACCGCCTTATCGAGTTCGCCAACCTCAACACTTTCCTACCCGCAAGAGTAGAGTATGAGGATTACATGAAGTGGTGCGCAAGTTGGTTTGAGGAGGTGGTGTCATATGACCAGGAGGTCATCAGTGTTATGCCTGAGAAATCGGCTAGCGGCGAGATCGCCACCTTCAGCGTTGTCTCGCGCAACAACCAGACTGGCAAAACTGAGTCGCGGAGAACTAAGCATGTTGTCATCGCGACTGGTGGTAGACCGAACATCCCGAAGCCATTCCCCACGAACCATCCCAAGGTGGTTCACTCTTCAAAGTTCTCATACATTTCCAGGGAGATTCTCACGGACTTCAAGGCGCCGTACAAGGTGGCGGTGATTGGCAACGGCCAAAGTGCGGCTGAGATCTTTGACTTTCTGCATGCGAACTATCCCAACTCACAGACGCGGTTGATGATCAAGGGGGGTGCTCTGCGACCAAGTGATGACTCGCCTTTGTTAGTATAATCAGTGCGCGATTCAACAAACAAAGTGACTAACTTTAGGCAGTGTCAACGAGATCTTCAACCCAAGCCGTGTGGACTGCACATTTAGCCGTGAACCCACGCTCCGAAGCGCGACGCTGGTCGAGGACAAGGGCACCAACTACGGCGTAGTCCGCCTGAACCTCTTGGAGCATATTTACGAGACACTGTACATGCAACGGATACGCTACGGCAACTCACCAGAAGAAGAAAGCCAGTGGCCGCACAGGATCCTCCCCTATCGACGCGTCGTCGATGTGGAAGATTCCCCCGTCCAGAAAGGTGGTATTCGTCTAAAAGTTCGTGACCAAAGTCCGCTGTACTTCTCCGAAGTACCTGGTGCAGAGGAGCAGACCGAGATTTTCGACGTCGATGCCGTCTTCGTGGCCACGGGATACTTCCGCGACCTTCACGAGACGCTCCTGAAAGACGCCCGGCACCTTATGCCCGGCGGCGACCTCAAGGACGCGAAGTGGCAAGTTCAGAGGGATTACAAGGTGAACTTTGAGAACAAGAAAGTTAGCGATGAGGCGGGCGTGTGGTTACAGGGATGCTGTGAGACAACACATGGTGTAAGTTCTGCTCTATCCACTGTTTTTGGTCCGCCACGATGCTAATATATTTGACAGTTGAGTGATACCCTCTTGTCCATTCTTGCAAGCCGGGGAGGAGAGGTTGTTCGAGCGGTCTTCGAGAAGCAGCCTAAATGGGACAATGCTGATGTTTTGGGCGGATTTGAGGAGCGTGTGTAACCGAAGTTGGGTTCCAAGGCGTGTGGGCAGCAGAAGTGACAAGTTTGCAAGCGCTTCGTGATATAGAGCAGAGAGCAATATGGCAGTAGAAACAATTTCGATTCCATGTTCAGTCCTACGTTTCTCTAAAACTACAAGTCTAGAGCTGTGCTTTGTGGAGCCGGAGAATCTGAGACGGACTCGAGGCGTACTAGGACGCCTACAGTAGGTACAAGCTGAACTGGAGCACGCCACCAACCTTTTATGGCGCGGCGGGCTGACTAAATGATCCACTTCTGTGTTGCAGCGGCTATCTAGAATAGAAAACTATGTCTAGACGAGTTCGGGAGTTGACAATCTGCCCGTGTAGATAGAGAGGTGAAGCTGGAGTGCTGGGCTCTGCATCGGTCGGCTTCTAACCCAATACGGCGAGCCAACGGAAGACCAGCCCAATGTTCATCACCAACTTCATCGCTGACCCCAGAGACCATTTTTCCCCCTAGCATCCCCTCTCGCCCTGCGAATTGCCCTCTCCCGCGCCGTCAATCGCCGCAGCTCTCGCCCTGCCGGCCCCTTGCTGCTGCGACCGCGCAAAGCAGCCGCCGACACAGCAAAAGCCTCGTGGCTCGCACGTCAACAACCCCCGCAGAGCGCAGCCGTGCCCCCATCGCCAGACGCTCCTCGAGCCCCCCAACGCCGACACCAGCGCACTCTCTCGTCCTCGTGACACGCTGGTCTCGTCAGACGGCATTGTCGACACTGCTACAGTACTTCTTGGACTCAAGGGCATACCTCGACTAGCGGCGCAATTCGGCATGCCACGCGTGAATTGACTGCGTCACAGCTGAAGAAGTTGGCCATCCGCGACTCGCTCGTACCTACCCACCTACCTATACCCTCTGCACACGTACCCATTCCCTGTCCTCCTCTCTTGTCCTCGCCATGGACCAGCAGTGGACAGCCTACTCCGAAGCGCCCGGTGGTGCGGCCCGCCAGGCGCGGTACGCTCCGCACACCATGCCCTCCCCTCAGCACTCCCAGAGAGACGTCAGCGTGCCCACGCAAGTCAAACAGGAGCAGTACGCATCGCCCACGGCCCCCTCGCGCCAGAACTCAGTTGCCATGCAGTCGCCCGGTGGCAGCCGTGGCCCCGAATACAACGACGGAGACGGCGACGTCGCGATGGAGGATGCAGACCCCTACAAGCCCAAGTATAACATGTCGCGGCCAAACCACCAGCACAGGAACTCGCAGCAATTCCTGCAGAACGAAGAAAGCGCAGCAGCGCGGAGATACTCGCCCATGAATTTGTCGCCAACATCGCCCTATACTGGTAACCCACAGCAGGGCGGGCAAAACTACACCACCTTCTCGCCACAGGCCCAGACGCAATCGCAGGGCCAGAGCCAGAGTAACCGACAGAGCCCGACGCGGAACAACCCCTATATATCGCCGCCGAACAGCTACTACTCCCCTCCATGTACGTCCCGCACCAACTTGCCAACCTTACTCCTAGCGCCGCACACTGACCAGCCTCCCTCCAGCTTCCCGACCGCATGCGCCCCAACTGCCGCCCATCCAGTCCAACATGAGCCCAGAGAGCTTCTACCCGCAATCTGCAACTGCGCAACTAAATGCCGTGTACAATAGGGAGGCACGTTCGCCGCGGACAGCTTCGAACCCCAACCCCCCCCAGCCCCTACCAATTGGGCGTGGGCCTGTACCCAAGTTCGACAAGGTCACGAATACAGGTGACTTGCAGCCCAAGATTAACGCCCAGCCCCCGTTCCGCCGCGCTAATCCAGAAGGAGGCTTCATCAGCGTAAGTCAAAAGTAATCTGAGATAAAAGCAAGTATGCTGACTGTGTGATTGATAGCCTCTACAAGCTCTAACGGCGCATTTGCCCATGACATACAAGCTGTGCAATGGCGGATTCAATTACCAATCCTCACGCAATCCGCGCCGAGTCCTCACGAAGCCAAGCAAAGGAGTTAAAAATGATGGTTACGACAACGAGGACAGCGATTACATTCTCTACGTCAACGACATCCTCGGTTCAGAGGAATCTGGGCACAAGAATCGTTACCTGATATTGGACGTGCTGGGCCAAGGTACATTCGGACAGGTCGTCAAATGTCAGAACTTGAAGACGCAAGAGGTAGTCGCAGTAAAGGTCATCAAGAACCGGACAGCCTACTTCAACCAGAGTATGATGGAAGTATCGGTGCTCGATCTGGTAGGTGCCTCTGGGAACGCACATTTTTGTATGTGGCGCTAACATCGGGCTTAGTTGAACAAGCAAATGGACAAGAACGACGATCACCATTTACTGAGACTTAAGGATACCTTTATCCACAGGCAACATCTGTGCTTGGTCTTCGAGCTGCTGAGTGTCAATCTCTACGAATTGATCAAGCAGAACCAGTTCCGCGGACTGTCAACAACTCTGGTGCGCGTGTTCGCACAGCAGCTGATCAATGGTCTCGCATTGCTGGGCAAAGCGAAATTGATACATTGCGACTTGAAGCCAGAGAACATCCTTCTCAAGAAGTAGGTCCCAAGTTGAACCGGAAGAAGAAATGCGCCTAACATAGCTACAGTCTCGAAAGTCCTATCATCAAGATCATTGATTTTGGTTCCGCCTGCGACGAACGGCAAACGGTTTACACGTACATTCAGTCGCGCTTCTATCGTTCCCCTGAAGTCTTGCTCGGCCTACCATACTCTGCCGCGATCGATATGTGGTCGTTGGGCTGCATCGTTGTGGAGTTGTTCCTCGGCCTACCGTTGTTCCCCGGATCTTCCGAATACAACCAAGTTTCGAGGATAACGGAAATGCTCAGCCTACCGCCGCATTGGATGTTAGAGATGGGCAAGCAATCGGGTGAGTTCTACGAGAAGACTCAGGATGAATATGGTCGGAAACAGTACCGACTAAAGTCGATGGAACAATACTCAAGAGAGCATGGGACAAAGGAACAACCTAGCAAGAAGTACTTTTCCGCTACGACTTTGCCAGACATTATCAAGAACTATCCAATGCCGAGGAAGAACATGAAGCCAAATGAAATCGAGCGAGGTAAGCGGAGTGAATGGACTATGACTTTTGCACAGCTAAATCGTTCCTAGAAATGGCAAACCGAGCCGCCTTCATCGACTTCGCGCAAGGGCTGCTCAATCTGAACCCCCTGGAACGATGGACACCTGCACAAGCGAAGTTGCATCCTTTCATTACACAGGCAAAGTTCACCGGTCCTTTCGTACCACCAATGACGTTAAAGTCAAGCTCGAGCAGATCTCCGGCACCTGGTGTACAAGAGCAGCAGCGGTTCGAGGGCATGAGCAGGCAACGCCAACAGGCGCAGCAGCAAGTTGTCGCCGCACAACAAGCTCAGGCAGCACAAAATGCAGCGTATGCTAACATGCAGATGAACCAATATGCTGCCTCTCAAAGCCCGCACGCTCAGCCGAACATGTACAACAACATGTACAGCAATCAAGCTGCTCCTCCACCTTATCCAGCTCAGGCCGCAGCATACGGCCCACAGATGAATATGATGCAGCCACAACAGCCGCGGCAATACAATCAACCTCAGAACCTGTATGCCCAGGCGACAACACGGGCAGGGCGACAACGAGCATCCACCATGGACCAACAACAGTCTGGCCAGTCTGGTATCCCGCCAGCGCTCCAAAGAGTCATCAGCCATTTGGATCCAAACGCGCCCATCAGGTTACAGCCATCGCCCGCCTATTATCCGCCCCCTCCGGATGGCGCCCCAGAGAGTGCGGGGAGCGCGAGAAGGAGAGGGTCGCGAGCAGGGAACTCGGCGAGGCAGCAAAACTTTGTCCGCAATTTGGAGGATCGGTCACTTGAGGAGGGTTATATGACGCAGAACCATTGGCAATGACGGGAGAAGGTTTAGTATCAGTATCCGACTTTGCAACATGGACGCCGCGACATACAGCAAGAGGACCTAGCAGTGGACGAGTCGCGGCGTTCCGAGTTCCTTTACATGCCTTTATCCCGCAGTCCATCCTCGCGTATCAGCAGCTATGACATGGACAGTACGATTGCCTCGAAGCGAGGAGTAGAGCAGAATATCAGTCAAGCGCACAAGCCGATTGTCGTGCAATAAATTGCATCTCTTCACTCTACGCCACGGCGGTGTGCAGCAACTGTCCAGTTTCAACATTGTCAGACGTGGTGATGGCACTGAGGGATTCCTAGGCGACCAAGAACGTACTCAGTATGATTGCGTCAAGGCGGAGTGAGGCATGGCCCCATGAAGGAGACGTTCGAGGCGTGGGTACAGATGGTTGTCGTTTCAGTCGGTGTTAGGCAGTATGTATGAGTTCAAAGTCCAAGTTCAAGTGTGCTGCAACGTGGCTAGATGAGGAACAAGCTGGGCTGCGAAACGATGGTGGTATATGTAGTTTTATCCACGGTTCGTATAAATATATCAATACTTTTGGCTGTCTTATTTGCCAAGTTGGTTGGTACCCAAGTGCATTAAAAGCACGTGAGTCAGGCGTGTTTAGGGGATGGATGAGAAATGGATGGTGCGGGGCAGGCAGGCTGCGGCGCTCGGACGCGGCGCAACGCACACAGTCATTTGCCAAGGCCGGTTCGAAATTCCATCACGGAAAGTTGCAACGAGGCAGGCAGGCAATCGCAACACGCTCGGGTGCCGCCACTTATTAACCTCGACCCCTCCGGCAAATCCTACTCTCGAGCACAGCAACCATGGCGTCCCGATTCTTTGCCGCCAGCGACAGCTCCTCGGACGAGTCCAGCGAGGAGGAGCTCTACTCCAACGACGAGGAGTCCGCACAGGAAGACTCGGACAAGGACTCTGATGACGATGACTCCGACGACTCCGACTCGTCGTCTGGGTCGGAAACAGGAGCCAACCGCTTCTTGAAGGACGCTGAGAGCGACAGCGAGAGCGAAGACGAGGACGCGAACAAGGTGCTCAAGAGCGCCAAAGACAAGCGCTTCGACGAGCTGGAGGCGACCATCAGGCAGATTGAGAATGCGCAGAAGATCAACGACTGGGCCGTCATTTCAGACCGTATGTACTACTCGACATTCTCCGCTGCAGGCTGCCTTGAACCATGCTAACCCCGCGATACAGAGTTCGACAAGTTGAACCGCCAGGCCCCTACCCTGATGAAGCAAAACGATGGCAAGGTGCCCAAGCTGTACATCCAGGCCATCGCCGACCTCGAGACGATCGTGCTCGAGACGCACGAGAAGCAGAAGGTGACACCCAAGAAGATGAACGCCGTCAACACCCGCGGATTCAACGCCGTCCGCCAGAAGGTCAAGAAGCACAACCGCGAATTCCAAAGGGACATCGATGCCTATAGAGAGAACAAGGACGAGTTCATGCGCGAAATCGAGCCAGTCGAGGCGGCGCCCAAGGACAAGAAGAAGAAGTCTAAGATTCCCCAGCTCGGCACCGAGACCATCGAAGATGCGACAGACGATGGCTTCATCACGGTTGTCGGCGGCAAGGCTGTCAAATACACACCCGAGGGCATCCTCAAGCACCTGCGGTCAATTGTCGAGCAGCGTGGACGCAAGAACTCCGACAAGCTCGACCACATCCGCACACTGGAGAAGCTCTTCGATGTAGCCGTCAACGACTACCAGAAGATCCGTGTTCTCTTGACACTCATCTCTACACGCTTTGACTTGACGTCTGGGACCGCAAGCCACATGCACCAGGAGCAGTGGAAGCTGTAAGTTTAGCCGAAATTGAAACACATGATCTTGTACTGATGAGAACGCAGGGCCGACCAAGAGTTTACCAAGCTCCTTGAAATTCTCGAGAACACCAAGGAGATCGTAGTGATCGAGAACGCTGAGGAGTGGGAGGACGATGAGAAGCTGCCCACCATCACGCCTGGCGAGATCTTCCGCATCCCTGGAAGCGTTGTATCCTTCGTCGAGAGGCTTGATGACGAGCTCACTCGCTCCCTTCAGCACATCGACCCGCATACGGCCGAGTACGTTGAGCGATTGACAGACGAAGCTCTGCTGTACGCTCAGCTTGTGCGTGCTCTAGTGTACGTTGAGAGCTTGAAGAAGAACCCAGGCCTAGATCTACCACAAGAACCGCTGAACCGCATTGTCATGCGGAGACTGGAGCACGTCTACTTCAAGGTATGTAAACCGCCCTTTCACTGCTGGATAATTTACTAAGAATAGTAGCCCTCGCAAGTCATCACCATTCTCGAGAGCAACGTCTGGAAGGCAATTCCCGAAACCCTTGACTCAGAAATCACCCCTCGTGCCATCTCCAACGACACCGCCTCGCTTGTCCAGACTCTCTGCACATACCTTTTCCAGAACAGCGAAGGCATCATCCGCGCTCGAGCTATGCTGTGCCAGATCTACTTCCTGTCACTACACGACGAGTACTACAAGGCTCGTGACATGATGCTCATGTCCCACTTGCAGGAGACGATCAGCAACTTCGATGTCAACACCCAGATTCTCTTCAACCGCGCGCTCGTACAAGTCGGTCTCTGCGCGTTCCGTGCGGGTCTCGTCTATGAGGCTCAGACGTCGCTACAAGAGATTTGTGGCAGCAACAGGCAGAAGGAGCTGCTCGCACAGGGTCTGCAGATGCAGCGGTATTCACAGATCTCGCCCGAGCAGGAACGTCTCGAGCGCCAGCGACAACTTCCATTCCACATGCACATCAATCTCGAGCTGCTCGAGTGTGTATACCTCACCTGCTCCATGTTACTCGAGATTCCTCTTCTCGCACAGCTCGGCTCGTCACCCGACCTCAGGAAGCGGGTGATTAGCAAGACCTATCGCCGTCTGTTAGAGTACCATGAGCGACAGATCTTCACCGGCCCGCCTGAGAACACCCGCGACCACGTTATGCAGGCATCGAAAGCACTGTCTGCTGGCGAGTGGAAGAAGGCTGCTGAGTTCATCAACTCGATCAAGATCTGGGAACTTATCGCCAACGCGGACAAGATTCAGGAGATGCTGTCCGCGCAGATCCAGGAGGAAGGTCTACGGACATACCTCTTCACCTATGCTCCTTTCTATGACACGCTTGCTGTCTCCACACTCGCAGGCATGTTCGAGCTCTCAGAACGCAAGGTCTCGGCCGTTGTATCGAAGATGATCTCTCACGAGGAGCTCGGTGCCGCCCTTGACCAGGTCAACTCAGTCATCATATTCAGGAAGGGTGTCGAATTGTCGAGATTGCAAACCCTCGCCCTCAGCCTGTCCGACAAGGCATCGGGTCTCATCGAGTCGAACGAGAAGACGCTCGAACAACGGACACAAGGCACAGCCCATGCTTTCGAGAGACAAGGCGGAAGGGGCGGCCGCGGAGGACGTGGAGGTGGACGCGGGGGAGGAGGACGTGGCGGTGGTGGACCAAGAGGCGGTCGGAATCAGCAGTTCACAGGTGGTGCTTTGGGACGAGCCATTCAGGCCTAAGAGAGTGGCGCTTTCGTGTTAGGAAGTGCAGGGTCATTGGCGGCGAATAGGGTCTGGTGAGTGCACACTTCATGCGCCTCACGGTAATGCGATGATTTTGATCAACGATATGAGTAGAGTGCATGAATCAAAAGTACATGATCAACGTTGTCTTAGCATATGGTTGAACTTTCATGTGTCTACCACTACATGCATAGCTATTGCCCACTTGTTATGGTTGCATGTTTCTTCTATGTCAAGGGCCAGCACTGTGAGGGGGATCGCTTTAAGTAAGGTAGATAGGGTTAGGTCTTTGTCTTCCCAAGCCCCAATGCTCTCTATAACAATAGTGTTGTTTTCGTTCAAACAGAGTTTTGTGTGCTGAAGTCTTGCTCAAAGGCTATGCTAAGGTGTGGCGATGACCGCCGGGTATCAAATCAAACTTTCTATTTACAGTCCCCCAAAATCCATCCACGTTCTCTATGCCCCAATGCCCGCCAAGGTGATGAATGCCGGGCTCCAGTATTCGTTCTCGCCGGCTTGTGTGTCGACCCAAACCAAGCTGTCGGCCATGAGATCCTCGACCACAGCATGTGCCCTCGGGCGCTCCCAACTCAGATTGAGCTGCAGCATCGACACAGTCACGTAGCCCAGGATCTGTATCGCCTCCAAAACCGTACTCTGATCTGTATTCAGTTCCTTGGGCACACTGCGTATCAAGCTCCTATGCCCAATCTTCATGATGGAGAAACACGAGCCAAGTGGCGCGAGCGAGTCGACAGCGCGCTTGACATCGTCGTCGCTCACCTCCATGCTCCCGCCTATGCGCTGGGACTTTGATATCCGCGCTTTGAGATCCGACACGCTGATCAGGCCGCCGTTTTCCGCGCGCGTAGCCCGGCACTCCTCGACGATCAGCACGCCTAGGTTGAAGTAGAAGTCGTTTACACTCCCGCCTAGCAATTGCGCCCATATACTCTCTCCTCCACCACCACCGCTTGCAGTTGGTGTAGCACCAGACCCAGCACCTGCCTTGTTGTCCCTGTGATGGCTCGACGCGAGGAAATCAATGTTCAGCGCGGTGCACATGCGTGCGAATTCGGCGCGGAAGGCGGGGTTCGCTCGTATGTCTTTGGAGTGCGTGAGGGCAAAGTTGTGGAGGAGCGATTGGAAGACGGCGAGTTGGGTTTCGAGCGAGGCCGTGTTGCGGGTGCGCAGGGTGGCGCCGTGGGCTGTGTAGTGGTGGTTTTGGAGGCGCGTCGAGGAGAGCGAGGAGAGGCCTGGGGTGCGGCGGCGGTCCATTGTGAGGGCTGTATTGCGCGGAGAGTGGGAGAAGATGGATTGGTGTTCGTGTCTGTACTTGGTAGCTTCTCGTGCGTTACTTGACGTGCGTGTGGAGTAAGTTCAGGTGGCAAGGCGGTGGTGGTGATGTGCAGGCTTGCTCGTTGGAGCAGAGCACTAAAGACAACAAGTCAAGGCAAGTCCTTCTTCTTCTTCAAGGAATTGATTGAATATAATTCATGTTGGAGTTGTATGCTGGAGCTTCACGAGCGGGTGAGTGGTGGGGTAGATGCTGCACCCGGAATAGATCGACGTGGGCTTCACCGTGGCGTCTTCGTGCCGATCCAGTCTAGACAAAACGATATTCGACATTCAACATGAACGAAGCAGCAACACGGACTTTTTTTAATATCAAGATGCGGAGCAGAGGCCAGCAGAGACGGATGCAGCCTGTCCCTCCTGCCGTATCAAGCTGCAAGCTAGCCAGATGACGCATGACTGACTCGTTGACAAAAAGTCGGTCGCTCGTCCCAACCCATCCATCCGATACCCACCGGACTGGCATCTGGACTTGCATGCCAGTTCCCATGGCCTTGGTCTACCATGGCACTACTCTGAACTGTATTTCGCCCTAGAAGAAGCGGTACTTTCCTCTTCTTCTCCACCCATCTTCTGTTCTCTTTACATATTCACCGCACAAGCAAAGATTTCAATTGGATCAACTAGCAAGGCTTCCGCGATCACGTGCCATCGTATATCCGCCGAACCGGCCGTTTGTAGATTCTATGATACCCATTTCTCAACTTCACGTCTCAACCCTGTCTTTGAACATTCCTTCCAAAATTCTACGACGCACGTGGTTTGAGGATTTATTCCCGTCGAGGATGGATCCCTCCACAATCAACAACTGCGTCCTAGTGCTAAATTTACCGCCAAATGCGCTTGCTGGCATCGATTTACTATCCTTCACAACTTCACCTCGCTTTCACGGGGTCAAGAATATACCACCTGGACTGCATTTTGTTTTCGCTGCCAGTAACAGTGCGCTCTCGGTGCGACAAGGCGCATGGTTCTACGTCACGCCTGGGACCGGCTCGCCACAGGTGTTTGTCAAGAAGTGGGATGAGAAGACGGAAGATTTAATAGCAGAAACGGCGCAGACGGAAGTGCTGCGATGGAAGGCGAATTTAGGGAGCGTATGGAAGGACGGCTTGACACCGTATCGACAGACCGTGCAAGAAGGGGACTCTGGCGCAGAGGAAGGCTGGTCTGAGGAGAGCGCAGATTGGGGTAAACTCACCTCGCACATATCACCAACCATCTTGTCTCGAATATGCGGTTTGAATCCCGATCACTGGAGCATAACGTCCGCATCATCCGCCACTCAGGATCTAGAGCAAATACCGGGCCTGGAGTCGAGTAACAGCATGTTGCATCCAGAGAAGGAGCTCAAGTTTTTGCCCATAGACCTGAAGCGGACGTGGAGGGAAGGCGCGACAGGGCGAGAACGAACGGAAGCTGCACAAGACCGGTCCTGGTTTCTGGGTGACCTAATCGATCATCACTGCCAGGGGGAGAAACAAGGACGAGAGTTCCAAGTACTGGGCGAGCTGCAGTTCGCCTTTCTGATGGTCCTGACGCTCAACAACGACTCCTGCCTCGAACAATGGAAGCGATTGCTCCAACTGCTCCTCACCTGCCGGCAGGCCGTCAAGGACCGCTCCCAGATGTTTCTCGAGTTGCTGAAGACCCTGCGCGCACAGCTTAGTCACTGCGCCGACATAGAGGGCGACCTTTTCGACATGAGCGAGGTTGGTGGAGGCTTCTTAAGACCGCTATTCAGCCGGTTTCGCAAAAGTCTGGACGAATTTGACGGCAAGTGGAAAGGCGCTCTTGTGTACGAGTTGGAGGACCTGCAAGAATATCTACAGAAAGAGTTTGGCTGGGAGCTGGACGATTCGTACGTGAAGCGCGGCATGCTAGAGTTGGAAGACGGCGAGCGTGTGGAGATGGAGGTCAACGGCGCAGACGAAGACGATGAGTTGGGCGACTATGCGCCGGTAGTCGTGGATCTGACGCCAGAACAGTTGAAGCTGTTAAACGGGAGCGACATCGGTCACTCCAAGGATACGAGTTCGGAAGAGGAAGCTGGCATGGACGAAATGGATACGCGATACTAAAAGCTGGCTAGGCCGTGCATATCCGGTGAGTCGATTCGGACTGCGAACAAGATAGCCCACCGGTCATTTGGGTCGTTTCGCACTAGACTCCCACTTTACGTTTTTGCACACGTTCAAGCGTGTGCTAGAGTGCTAGAGGGGCGTCTTACAAACGCCTGGCCCTCGTGTCAAGCGCTCAGTTGGGGAGGGTCGGTAACTCACAGCCTTGCGGTGTGTAGCTTCGCCTGACGCTAACGGGGGGCTTGTTGGCGCCACAGCGTCTCGAAATAGCAAGCCGAAGCGCCTGCAGAAACCGCCCGTCTTTCAACTCAAGAGCCAGGCCGTTTTTACGAGCACTAGCACAACTACCTACACGGCGAACCATCAAATGCCATTCTTGTTGCTCCCCTCTTTCTGACAATTGTGTAAATGCAGTCAGTGAAGGCATGCAACGTCCGCATTGCTTACGGGGCGACTTGGGCCAGCACCTTTGAGCTGACACTTGCGTAACATGAAGACTAGGTTTGAGGTTGCGGCCCCCAAAGCAGATGCGCACCAGGAAATGATGGGCTTGGCTCGCTACTGCCTGTAACCCGTCCCCTGTCCATGTATCCACCCGAGCCCTCATTTCCCAAAGCAGGACGCCGAGGCTGAGGCGATGAAGATTTCGGGTTTGCTGATTGGCCTAGGAGGCTCAGCTGAGATCCTAACGCGGGGAGTTGGGCCATTGATCTTCGTTTGGATAGGGCAGTGCTCTTTGACACCTAGGCGCAGAGCCCCCGTGGCCGTGACCCAGCCGATGGCGGTACGCCTAAAGCCTTCGATAAAACCCACGTCGAGGTCGTTTCATACTTTTTGTGCGCCCTGTGACATTCTGCTTATACTCTCTGCTTATATTCAGCCGCCCTGATTCCCCTATATTCACGAGGTTTTCTCTCCACGGTTCTTCAAGTCTAGTCTGATACTACGCGCCCGTCGATACATACGTTTTACAAGACCAAACGACATATACAATCACAATGGAGAAGCAAGGTGGTGAGTGACACCATTCTGTCCGCTTTGAAACGCGCCTCGCTGGTGCTTTTCTCTATCACACGGAATTCATCCTAACATGTTCAAAGTCCCCATGCAGCAATATCCTCAGTCGCCAGACGTGACGGGCCAGCAACAACCACCCACCTACCACCAGGACCCGAACATGCAGTACCAGCAACAACAGCCCGTCTACGCACAGCAACCTCAGCAGCAGTACGCCGGCTCTCCGCCTCCTCAACAACCCCAGGGCGCATACATCCAGCCCCAGCAACCCGGCATGCCGCCGCAGCAACAGGGCGGCAACGTCTACCAAAACGTAACGCCAATCGCAAGCCTGAGCCGTGGACCCGCGCCTGTAGACTGCCCTGCGTGCGGCCAGCGGGCCATGACCAACACGGCGTTTGAGATTGGAAATACCAACCAGTAAGCCATCCATGTCCTGGAGTTTGTGTGTGTTGCTGGAAGATTCTCGTTTGCTAACGCTAGCTGTCTGTAGTGCCTGGGCGCTCGGTGTCTGCTGCTTTACGCTGTGCTTGGGTTTCATTCCTTATGTCGTCAACTCGCTCAAGGATGTACAGCACAAGTGCGGGCGCTGCGGTGTCTTGCTTGCTACATGGCATCGTAGCGGTACCACCGAGGTGCATATCCATGCTTAAGTGCCTTGACGAGCCTGCGCGTGTCGCTATGCATGTTCTAGGTGGAAGTGGGTGAGGGGGAGAGGGGGCGTATAGGGCGTTACTTTTCACATCATACCCTGACATGAGTCGTTTTTTGTATGTAGCTTTCTGGGGCGTTGTAGAAGAATAAAAAGTACTATGACCAAAGCATTTGCACCCGATGGATGACACTGCGCTCGTCGAGATGCTTATATTCAACTGCAGACATGTGCAGGATAGATGGTGCCTAAAAGCTCTTTTACTCTTTGGTTTATTGAAACTATGTATTACGAGGCATAATAGGGAGAGCTAAGTAGTTTTGAACGTAACTTACAGGTCGTTAGTTCAGATCTCGCCCTATAATCATTTAAACCTAGATTCAAGAATTTCATATCAAGAGCTTGTACTCGTACAGTGGCTTTGCCCTCCTTCTCGGTCTTACCAGCATCGCTGTTACGTGGCTGGTGGTTCTGCGAGCAGATCTTTGCGTCGCGATGCCGTACCGTTCATTGTGTTGCAACACCGCTTTTACGATTTGCAGAGAGCTCTCCGAGCATTACAACTTTTTTTTATTCTCTCATGCGCATTCTAAGCCATGATGCTGGAATCTTTCTGGTGCCTGCTGCGAAAGGCCACCGAACCTCGTCGGAAGAGTCCAAGTATCTGGTCTACTTGAATTTGCAGCTTGACGAAAGCTACAGCGCGGGACCGGCTTATCGACGTATTGGTCTTACGAAGCTGAGTCCATACGGAGACCACAAGGCTCTGAACAGGCTGGAAATCCTGAAGTGTATGCAAGTGATAGAGCCCTGCCTCATCAGGCCTACGATCCGAAGACGGGTAGGCATAGCTTCCTCCTAATTTGAGAAGGGCTCTGGAGGCTGTTTGATGATTATTAGATGATACGAAACGCGGGATCTAGAGGGAGGAGGGCGAGGATGTTGACAAGCGCACTCCCCGTGACGTCACCCGGTTAGACGGCATTTCCTACCTCGATCCTTCAATTCCCATGGTACTAAGACGGGGTTTCAGGCATGCATGTGCACAGTCTGCATAGATTGGCACAAATTGGTCGTCATCACAGCCACAGCCAGCAAATCCAAGCTTTCCACGCGCTAACCAAGCTTTTGCCAACTTCCAAGATTCAGTAGATTCCGTGTGTCAGGCCGCCCAAGACAGTAAAGATCGTCTTTCTTTTCACATCACTACTTCGTCAACCGCCTAAACGAGGGCTCTAACAGGCTTTTCACCCGGTTTGAGGCTTGTCGTTTTACCAAAGCGGGCGACGCGACGCGAGGGATGATGTAAGTACTGTGGCCGTGTGACGGGACGACGTGAGGAGATTGGCATTCTGGCTGGGATAAATAGCCAGAGCCTGGCTGGCCATCGTAACCCTTTTTTCTTCTGCAGTCATCAGGCCCATTGCTCTTCTCTCCTCCTCCCGGCGAAGTTGACCGAGTGTTGCTTCTTTGGTAACGCCCGCAGTTTGGTGGTTCCCCTCACACAACCGTTTGTTTGTTGTCCCAAACAGTCAACGCTACGTCATTGAGCCTAGCTGTTGTGTACTCACCTACCACACTCTTAAACAAACATTTCCTCGCACCCTCCACCAACACCACTGCTCGCTCACGATTGCCTACCATGGGTCTTTTCAACAAGCGCAACACGCCCGCGCCGGTAGATACCACTACGGCAACCGGAACTCATCATACCCACGAGAAGAAGCCCGGCATGTTTGCTCGCAGACAGCCTAGGGCAACCCCGACAGGAGCATCTTCGCATAACAGCAGGCCCACGTTCGGACAATGGATCAAGGCCACGGCCCTAGACATCGTCACCATGGCTGTCATGGGCGCCATCGGCTTGGGAGTGTACATGGCTGACCCGGCACCGAGCCGCAGCTTTCCTGGTACGTCTGAGATTCAGCAGCATCGCCTTCCCGTGTCGCGACTAACAGACAAACAGTCGTCTTCAAGGATGGCGAGATCGTATACCCAGAGTTTGCCTATCCTCTGCGGAACGAAATCATCCCCATCTGGGCTGCCGCTCTCCTGGCTTTCTTCATCCCCTTCCTGGTCTTTTTGATCGTCCAGATCCGAGCCCGCAGCTTCTGGGATGTCAACAACGCTACAATCGGACTGCTGTACGCGCTCATCTCTGCTGCCGTGTTCCAGGTCTTCATCAAGTGGCTCATCGGAGGTCTTCGCCCTCACTTCCTCGCCGTGTGCAAGCCCGTCATTCCAGCCGGCCTTGGTGTCGGTGACAACGACAACGGCGTTGATGGTGGCCTCAACGGCAACACCGCCAACGGTTACCGCCAGATCATGTTTGACCGCAGCATCTGCACGGGCGACAAGAAGCAAATCAACGACAGCCTGGAATCTATGCCTTCTGGTCACACCACCGCTGCCTTCGCCGGCTTCGTCTTCCTATATCTCTACCTCAACGCTAAGCTCAAGGTCTTTGCCAACTACCACCCTGCCATGTGGAAGCTCATTGCCATCTACGCACCTCTTCTTGGAGCAGTCTTGATCGGTGGAGCGCTTACTATTGATGAGTATCACAACTGGTACGACATCTTTGCTGGTGCGGTTATTGGCACCATGATGGCCTTCAGCGCCTATCGCATGGTTTACGCTGCAGTCTGGGACTTCCGCTTCAACCACATCCCGCTCCTTCGCCATGCGCCCTTTGTATACGGTGCCGGCCCAAGCTCCTTCGATGGCTTCCATGATGCCATCTTTACCCGCAAGGCAGGCTGGGGTACGCATGAGGGCAGTAGCTGGGGCGGTGCGCCAGGCGATGCTGCTGATGGACCGCGTGGTACCATGGCGCCGCACCCTGACGGCCCCGCGCATGGTCACCACCATGACGACGCATATGGAAGCACTACGAGTCGTGTGCAGAGGAAGCCTCTTGGAGCAGATAGGCACGGCGAGCAGATGGTGTAGGCTACTACTCCCAGATTCTGCGCGATACTATTATGGCTCGTTGTCCCTTCCGCTTGGATTTCCAAAGCGCAATTCACGACCTTACTTCTACGGTCGGTGAGCCTGCATGGATAGATGGATTGGTGCGACGTTTGGCGGATGACTCAGGACGGTGGAGTTGATTTTATGAACGTCATGACGACTTTTCCCTGCAAGATACCACTCTACTATAGTCTCTTAATCAACTTAATGAATCTTCAAATCACTGTATTCGTGTCAACGTGGGAAGCACTGAGTAGGCAGAACGAACTCTTCGAACCAGCCTTGTTCACGTTCTGGCCAATATCGAAGGTAGTGACATGTATATTTTTGAGCAAGAAAAGTATTCAAAGGGTATCCAAACCAGCCTAACACAAAAACACCAATACCAAACTCCTACAAGCCTCAAGCATGTTCGCCAAGATGACAGCCATTCCAAACTTCACTACCTCAGGCCGCCAACTCCTCCACCTGCGAAAAGATGGGCACATTGATATCCCACGCCTCGCCCGGCCCAGCCACCCGACCCAATATACAATTGACCTTTCTCCTCGTCTGCTCACTCATATCTGCCACGTGCGTCAGGGCAATATGATTCATCAGCGTCTCCAACCCGCCATACACACCGGTCACGTTCCCCTCGACACTACACAGCACACACCCATAATTGCCCTCGTCGCTATTGAAGCAATCGCCCGCCTTCTTCTTAACATGGCTCTTGGCCAGGAAGATCCAGCGATAGCGGATGCCGGCCATGGAAACATAAATACGCTGATCGACCACGGTTTCGGTTTTACTCTTCTTGGTCGGATGCGGCGTGGTAAACGTGTCGCCTTTGAAAGTGCACGAAGTGCATTCCCAGATCTGCTTGGTGTTGTACAAGCCGGACGGCTGGGTGCGGATAGCAAGGCCCTTTTTCACGTCCTCGCGGACGGCCCAGGCGCCTTTGCAGAAGCCCCAGTAGTTGTTGTCTTTGCAGGGGCGGCCGTCCATCATCTTCTCCTGGCCCGCGGGCCCGCTTTGGATCGTGTCGGACCGGATCGTGTGGCGCATGCGCGAGCCGGGCAGGATGCCGATGGAGCCTGAGCCGCTGCTGTCGGTCGAGGCTATCGAGGCGGCTATGCTGGTGTGCCGGAGGCCAGCGAGGGCGGGTGCTGTGCCTAGGGAGGTGGCTGCTGCTGCTACGGCGGCGAATCCAGACGGTGTTATGGTGCGCGCGCTCTTGCTGCTGTGCAGACTTGAAGCGTCGGGTGCGATGGGTTGTCCGAGTTGATACTGGGGATACACTGGCTTGGTTACATTTGCCTGTTCTTCCTCCATGGGCGGCGCATACGGTGTTACGGGGGACGAATCTCGATGCTGCTGGCTACCAGGCCACGGCTTGGGCACTGGCAGACTAAGGGCCTCACGTGAATGAATTGGCGCAGGCGCACTGGCTGGTGAGTTCAACCGTGGAGAAGCTTGCGGTGATACGCTAGTTTGACTTGCTGCGCGTTGGGGTGCAAGTGGTGCAATGGGAGAAGGATATCGTTCTTCTAGCGGAGCATAGGGAACTCGATGGTCTTCATCGTGATGTTGGTAAGATACGTTCTGCTGAGCCAACCGGGGTTGAGGTGGAAGGCTAGAACTCATAGAAAGCGACTGAAAATCTTGGGGTAGTGGAGGAGTATTCGCATTTGAGCCCTGTGACGAATTGGAGCTGTTGCGATTGATCGATGTAGAGTCTGAGAATGTGGAGCTAGATGCCGAGGCGTCCGACCATCGAGACTTTGATGTTTGCGTTTGCATGTGAGGAAACGGATTCTTTGCTGCTGCGTTTTGATGGTTGTAGAGATGATGCTCTTGGTGTGGGTCTAGGTTGTGATTGAAAGCAGGATAGCCTAGTAGGCTCCCCGCTCCGTATTCCTCTGGTGTTGGTGAGCCGTAACCTCCACTGTACCTGTTGTTACCCCACGAGTCGCTTGGCTGGTTGCTCACATGTAGGCCTCTATAAGAGCTGATCATCTCATCGATGTCTTTCATGATGACGGCGCGGTCTCCTCCTCTTGATCTGACAAGATGTTCTAGCGCTTCGCTGGAGTTGATATTGGTAGGTTGTGTAGATGAGTTCGATTTTGGCGCAGATGTGCTGTTCTTGCGCCTTGACCGAAAATACTCAGTTAAGCCGTGCTTTGAGCTTGGAGAATCTCCCTGCGGGGGTAGAGTAACAGCTGGCGGGATGTAGTTATCCGGTATGGGACTCAATGGTCTGTAGTTGTTCGTGAGCATCGTTTGCACAGTCGCCGTCGAATGTCGTGACCCTAAGCCTTCAGGTGCACCCTGCAATTGTCGCGCCATGGGTCTAGTAATCAGGATCCTTTGTTTCAGCTCGTCCAAGGTAGAAAACGTATCTTTCCTGTTCATGATGGATGCCTCATGGAGCAGGCGTAAATTGAGTACGGCAGTTTCGTGTTGGCATGCCATCTGCAAGCTGCGAATGACTTCGGCTTGCAGTGTAATAGCAATATGGAAGAGGCGATCCCGGGCCACAACTGCAGACACGGATATGTTAGTGTCACCAACTCGCACACGGAGTTCGGACAATGTGAGACTTGCCATCACCAACACGCATAAGATCACCCAGCTCCCTCATGTCCTGTGTATATCGAAAGCCGATTTGTTGCTCTCCTGTCACAAGAGACTCCTGCAGTTGCTTTTCCTCGAATTCTTGTTGGGCCTGATCGCGGGCTTTGCGCGTGCGACGCTTCGTTTTGATATGCTTGAGCAGCTCCGACCCGCCATGGAACGCGGATATCACAGCGGACACAGCAGCGACGACCTAAGCACAAGTAAGCCAAGTCAGCGAGGTTCTGTTCACCATTGATAGTGTCCTATGAAGGTCGCGTGCTCCTCTTCCATTGAAGGAAACGTGCGTGCGCATATGGAGGTGTCTTCGGATCCGAAGCCGCAACGAGAGAAGGTCTGGCATACCTCAAGACCAGACATCTTGCTGACCACAGGCAACGCCTGTAACTTTTATATCGAATGTAGTGCCAGGAAAGATTCACAGCAGTCCCCCGGAGGCGATGGCACTCGCCGCCCCGACAGGTAGAGCCAGATCGCGGGGTACCTCAAGGCAGATTAACAGAGATGGTTATGGTAGAGCAAAGTCCAAGGATGCCGAGTATCTGGAGTCAAGGCCAATTGCACTGTTCAACGGGGCCTAGGTGTGACCAGGAACCGTTGTCTATCAGCCAACCCAGCCGATGGTGAGATGAGCCTCGAGCCGTACGTTTGGACGTGGGGTGGCGATGAGCGTTACTGAGCTCGAGTCTTGAAGCAAAGAAGAGACCGAGGAAGAGAGGACAAAGTGCCAGTACAGTAAAGTAAAGAAACGGTCGCTGGGAAGGCTGGAACCAAGAGTACCGCCTGTACTCAGCCTCACTCCTCGATCCTCACGGCCATGCAACCGGACTGTAGATTGGGCTAGCCGTGGGATGGGCCAACAGCAGGCGGCAGAATGTCTTGACCGAGGTGCATCGCGCAGTAATGTTCGACTGCAAGCCTCTCCAATGATACGCAGCTGTGGCGGCAAGCTAGACAGGCTGTGTGCAGGATAGAGGCAGCCGTCCACGCTGAACTTGTGCCCTTAGGAACGGCCGCGACTTGGCTAGTCGCTCCTTATCGAATCCTGTGCAATCATGACTGCGACTATTTAGGCGAAGGCTGATTGAGTGATGCAGAAGCGTGGTTTTCTCATTCCGCTCGGTTGGAACTGATCGTCGCTTTGGCTGGAGCATGCCCTTCAGCTGGAGAGAGACAGGACGTGCTAGCTGCCGTTATAGCGGATAACTGTGCTGTTTAAAGCGAAACCTGTTCAGGCTTAGGGAGACAAAGGATAAGATGAGTTTGATGGGCGGGAGTGTAACTTGGAGGAGGTGTACGACTGCTAGGCACGGCCCTCGCTTGCTGCGGGACGTGGATTTATCAAGCGGGGTTCTGCGATGTGGTCCGGCCTGGTGTTGGTGTGGAGTACAGAGGTGTTGCCACGCCTCACCGGTGGCTTACACTGCCCCAGATATAAGCTCAAAAGAGTTGCTTAATGTGTAGTTTGGCGCAACAATCACAGAGTGATAAGGCGGGCGAGCAAAGCCGACAGCGACTAGCGAAAGTCTTTGCCCAAGAGCCAGTCAAAGTACGATTTCAATTCGGGACTGGAGCACAGGCAAAAGGGAAGCTTAATTGAGCTTGTATGAGCCGTCAAGGGATAATGGGTGCATCTGCACTTCGCCTAGCTCCAAAAACATGGTATCTTCCTTCCTTCCCAACTCAATTTCATGCGTACCGCTCTGCGGTGACAAGATCATGTCCCAAACATACGAGAAGAGCAATCTCCGAAGATATATAATCCATCCAGCAGAACACCCTAGCCTAAGGAAGACGGCATGATCCAACGCTCAACGCTGCAACTCGCGTTGTATCAGGACGCCCGATGCATCTCCAACACCGACAACACCAAGAAAAAAAAAGGGCGCTTTCCAAAACCAGACTCCAAGCTGGGCCCCAGTCGCTAACAAAGAAGGTGTAAAAGTAATCAACACGAAAAGAATCAAAGTCGTGGGTGGAGGGAAAAGAAAAGACGGCCTAGGCGTCCACGAGCTGCACCCTGTGGCTTCTCCGGTTCTTGACGTCCACCATCGTAGGCGTGAGCACTTGTCTTGCCACCAACCGCTCGGTATTGGGACTCGCAACATCTAGCGTCGTTTGGACCAGCGCTCGGGGGCTGTTTGCCCTGGATACACTAATCGATCTTGCAACTCCAACCATAGCCTTTGGCGCCGTCGCTCCATCCCCGCGAGTCTCACTTTCAGTACGTTTCTCGTTGCGTCTAACCACGTCTGCTCGACTAGCACCCGGCGGCGGACTGGAAGATTCAGAGGGATGGGATGACAAAGCGCTCATCTTTGTGACTTTTGGTTGGCGTTGCGAGGCTGTACGTGCTAGATTCGTTGTTGATGCCGCCTTGATCAACAGAGGCGTAGCGCCAGAGGCCGTATTGTCACGCTTGGAAATCGCCAGTGGTTTTGGTTTCGGGTACATCTCCCATTCCGGTTCCCGTTCGTCGAGATGAAATTTCAACGGCTGGGATTGGGAGTGCCCTACTAAGATGGTGATGGATTCCGCGTCCGACTCGAAGCTTTCGACTGAAGTTGGCGTAAAGACGGGTTGCAATGGCGATGCTGTCGGTCTGAGCGTCGCCAAGTCGGATTTCGTTGGTTTCTCCTCCGTGGTCGGAACAAGAGGTTGTCTAAGTGGTGATTTAGCTGGTGCCGTCCTCGATCGCTGGAGTGCTTTCGTTGCGCGGTTTGCGGATGTCAAGTGTGGTGAGGGTGCGCGAGCGGGATTTGTGGACGGAAAGAGGGATAGTCTTGGCGATGGAGACGGAAATGTGGGTGATGTTGCCCTGCGCTGGAGTTTGTAGTCCATGGGGCTCTCATGTTCGCCCTATTCAAACGTTAGCGAGTGCCTAACCTAAGAACACTCCTACAATACGTACTTTAACGAATAGCCCATTCAGCGGTTTGAGCTTTTCAGCATTCCCATTTCTTCTCGCCAGAAGTGAGGACGACCGGTTCGAATTCGATTGAAGCAGGTTGCCAAACATGACACTGTACCTTTCCATTGTGATATCAGGAATGCTAATGTCGAGGAGTCCCCCTTCAGATGCAGGAACTGATGCATTGCTCGCGCTCTTTGAGACCACCACTTGCGGTACATTGGGAGGCTTGTCTGGCATATTCCTGGGAAGATTGGGTGTTGTATTGGACCGTTGAATTGTCGCCGTTGATTGGGGGTTGAACGCAGCAACCCCAAGAGTTACCGCGCGACCTCTTTTCATAGATGGCTCCGGTGGTGACCGAGGAGCGATGAAATCATCTTCGCCTGCTTTGCGAGAGGCTCTGATATCCGGCTTATAGGTGAGAGGCGAAGCGGTGCGCGACGTTCCCTTCTCTTGCTTTAATGTTACAGGCGACTCCAATGAATGCTTGTCCTGGGGACTGTCTGCGCGAGGCCCAGCCGTCACAGTTTGTGCCAGCTGATAGAAAGCAGGCTTCTCCTGCGGTGGCGGTGCCGCTTTTCTGAACAATGATTTCCATCGGCTGATCTTGGCCTTGGCGGGTTCCTGGCGGCTAGCTACAGAGCCGTTTGAATGGAGGGTTGCCATTTGAGTGTCTTTACCATGCGAATCCAACTCCAAGCATGAGGCCTGAGGTGTTGTGTTCCAGTGCGAACCCACCGTGGGAGAGCCCAAAGCAATTCCAATAATTCCCTGCTCCTCTGTGACTTCTGCGGTGTAGAGTACTGTGGTCGAATTGGTGGGAGGAATGAAGGCTTGGACTTGGTCCTGCGAATCTGCAGATGTGGAAGTATTTGTTTTCTTCGTGTAGAACATTGTTGCGCGGTCTTCGGTCCCACCTGACGTGCTCGGCCGTACCATCAGATCCTGGGTTTCCAATTTGCTTTCTGGTCTTGGGATTTGGGTAGCCGAGGTGTATCTGTCAAGGTCTGTTTGAGGCGCGTTCGGGGGCGGCATGGAATATTCATGTTCCTGCTCCTTGCGGCTGCCCTTTAGAAACCTTAGGGACTTTGATCGCGTGAGCAGTCCGGGCATGGCTACGGTTGGCGTTTCAAGAATACTAGTGGGTATCAAGTGGTAAAGTGGGGATGAAGCAGCGACAAGAAGATAAAGGGAGATTTGGACAAAGGAATGGACAGCTCGACAGAGCAAAAAGGTGTACCGGTGGCGACGCGGTCGACGTAGGTAGTTGGAAGAATGAAGAAGAGACCGACCTGGGCGGGATTTACACCAGTATCATCAGCGCGCCTAGAAACAAACCTTGCCCACTCCACACTCTTCCGCTCTCATACCAGCGGCAATCAATCCATCCACACCATGGCGTCAGGGACAGATTGCACGCCGCTAGGAATCCGTCGAGGGATTCAGCCCGTCGAGTGACCAGGATACGAAGGACTAGCATAGCACAGGAACTGCGGCTCCCATTGGCTACCTATCGAGGTTGCGACGGCAACACCCATGATGAGTGACGGGGGTTGTCTGGAAAGCCGTTGTGTCATGGAGACGAGATGGGGGCAAGAGGCTGTTCCTGCGGCTAGATGGACTACGCACGAACCCCCGTTTCAAGATGAGGCCGCGCCAGGTGCCGTGGGCAATCTCGCTATCCGCTGCCAAGCCATGCTCTCCAGCAACAACACTGGCTGGAACTGAAATAATCGGAACTGGACGGCGGCACACAAACAATGAATCCACAAACAACTTCACAGCTGGAAATTGGCAGTAGCACCGAGAATGCAAAGCCATATTATGTGCGACCTTGTGCCATCGAAAAGCACTGCGACGGCCTGCTCGAATGAGCGAGTTTGGTCGTCTGACGGGATCGACCGGAGATGAAGCACCAGGGCAAGGATGACAGCGTTTCGGAAATATCCAAGATTGCTATTATCTTCTGGTCGTATATGTCGGCGGTGAGCGAGCAAAAGCAGCCGCATCGGAACTCTGAACAAGCATGGCCTGGCGAGTAGCTTTGCGAAGACATGGCAGGCCGTCTCGCCCTCGGTTTGATATGCGGCTATTCTGTCTGCTTTCCCAAAATCGGGTCTTTGTTATGCGCTTGTCCTCGATAAATTTGCCGGAGGTCAGAGCGAGCATGTTGGTTAAACCATAGAAAACCGACAAATGTGGTAGAATCATTAGACATCAGCCTCGATACCATTATGCGGCTAATCGATCAAACAACTCCATCTTGTTGAACCGAACTCTCGTCCGAGTCATCAAGCACCTAGCGGCGCATCATCATGAACCCTCGATCTTCCCCGGAATCTACACTCCTCCGTGCGCGCGCTCCGAAGACGGAACAACGGCTATTGATCTACGGATAACGACATCCCTGGTCGCCAGTTTTGATACCGTTCAGCCTCTGCTTTGACTGTATGGGGAACATGTTGTTGCAGCGCCTGCTCGAAGTGACACATGCATATCTGAGGCTCACGGTCGGGGTCCTTCTCATATTCTGAGATAGCCAGCTCAACAGCCACCGAGCATAGACCACTGATGTCTGCACCACTGCTGCCCTCCGTTCTGGCAGCAACGACGCTCAGATCAACATCTGCCGCAAGTGGCCTCTTCTTGGTGTGAATCTGAAGAATCTGCTTACGTGCCTCTTCAGTCGGCAGTCCAATATGAATGTGTGCGTCAAAACGGCCGGTGCGGATGAGCGCTGAGTCCAAGATGTCTGGTCGATTGGTTGCGCCAATAATGAAGACGTCTTTCAGTGCCTCGATTCCATCCATCTCGTTGAGCAGTGTTGCGACGACGTTTAGGCCGCTATCCTGTGTCTTCTCGCGTGATTTGCCAATGGAGTCAATCTCGTCGAAGAAGATGATGCAAGGTTTCGCCGCACGTGCGCGACGAAAGATATCCCGAACCGCTCGCTCAGACTCACCAACGTACATCTTGATAAGTTCGGACCCCTTGACTGCTAGGAAATTTTGATTGCTTTCGGTTGCAACGGCTTGGGCGATCAACGTCTTTGCGCAGCCTGGGGGTCCGTATAGTAGCACGCCCTTGCGCGACTGGGGTCCGCCAAACTTGACATCAAGATCAGGGTACTACAGTGGTTAGTCCTGATGTTACTCGAGCATACAAGCACAACGAACCTTGAATGGGCGAATGGTTATGGCCTCGAGGAGAGCGCGAACGTGGTCCAAGCCAGCTATATCTGTCCATCTGACTTTCGGCACCTCGAGAATACTGTCCTTGAGCACAGTCGGCTGCACCTGGTCGATCACTGCATCGAAATCTTCCTGGGCGACAAAGTCCGTTTTCTCAAGAGTGTCACTAAACGCAGCTTTTTTGTCATCGTCTAACGACTCGTACACTTGCTGTACCCGTCTATTCCTTGCGAGACCACACAATTTGTGAATATCACGACCGACGAAGCCGTGCGAGCGTTCTGCCACCGCAAAGAAATCGACGTTCGAAAGTAGTCGAGTAGGTCCAACAATCTGTCGTAGGATATCCTCTCTTTGTTTTACATTAGGCGGGAAAAGCTCAAGCTCATTTTTGAAGGCTGAAGTCGTTCGAAGACTTGCGTCGACATCGTATATGCTACGAGTAGCAGCAGCCACCACCACCTGACTTCCCTCTAATTTCGACAACTCGATACGTAGTTTGGTCACCAGTGACTCCGCTTTTTCGAGGAATCTGTCAAGATTGTCCATTAGGATCAAGCTTGGCTGGTTCTGACGGGCATCTTCAAAGGTTTCAGAAATTGCCTTAGCTTGGCCCTTGGGATGTGACTCAGGGCTCACTCGGTATACTTCTTGCCAAGAGCAGTCCGCTAATCGTTCAAGTAGTAGGCTCTTACCAGTGCCTTCTGGCCCGTGTAAGAGATAGGCGGTAGGTCCAAGAAGGTGTTGATCGGGTAAAGTAAGTGCGACATTAGTGAGGAAGAATAGGTCTCTATTGATTGCCGCCACTTGCTCAGATAAGCCTCCAATACCGTCGCTCTTCACCTGTAGGACTCCTGGCGAGGATTGAGCTGGTGAATGGGTTGGAATTTTCGTCGCAGTGGTCACTTGAGTTTTGAGGGGATCAAAGTAGAAAGGATGCTTTTCGTTTGGGAGTGGTTCGATGTTTTGCACGATCACTCGCAATTTCGCGCCCTTTGGCTGATTCCTTGGCCCCTTCTGTTGGACCGGGAAACTGTAACCAGGAAGGATGATGTCAAGATCCACTGTAACGCTGTTAGATGAACCAGATAAAAAGAGATATCATTTGGCTTACCCTACCTAAAGCGTATTGGACCCAGTACAACAATTCCTCAGTCGAGATGAACTTCGCTAACTGATCTGATAGTTCTGGGAGGCTGACCTCGATTGACCTGAGGGGCTTCCAGGAGTCGCTCACTTTCTCAATGAAGACAGGGTCGTTTAGTGACAAGTCATAGTGCTCACGTAGCAGATCCGTGACCTTTGCTATAGGCTTGTTTCCAGGATTGGTTTGCGAAGCTGTCCACGCAACACCGTAGCCTTTGAACCCAGCCAAGGTGTTGAGGCGGACTAGGTCGCCATTTGTAAGACCAAGGTTCTTCTGCTCTTTCTGAGAGAGATGGACTCGAAAGGAGCCTTCGAGCGCATTACTCGGAGCATTAGGCGGGTTGCGCTCTAGCGGACGGAGAGCGAAAGCCGTACCGGTACTCATGAATCGTTCCTCTATTTTGTTTCTTGGTGCTTCGAACTGACAAAGAGCGCTATTTTGATGAAGAATATCTTCGCAGTGATGACTGACTAAGCGATTAGCAAGCTAGGTCGGATGGGGTAAAATCATCTCTTAGCGCAAGAGGCCCTGGGAGACTTTTCTAGATGTCGCGTCGATGAAGGCTTACAGCTTGCAATGTAACGGAGCTCAGCAATTGATGCCACCACCGCGTCTTCCTCGAAATCTGCGGTCATGCTACCCCCCCGCGACCGCTCACCAGGTTCGCTGCGCTTCCAAGACGGGCCGCGTCCAATCCTCCATCGACGGTCATGACCCTCCGCAAAGCTCGAGCGCGGCCGGCCATCACGGGGAGACAAGTTCAGATATAGGGGAGAAAAAGAGCTGGTGGGCTGCGACTATGAGCAGGGCCGCGTCGTCAGTATCGAGGTCTGTTCCTACGGAGCCGACCGAGCGCGGTTCACAGCCATCCAACGCCCCGACGGCGTCTTCTCCATCACCCAGCGGGGGCGGTGCGCAAATAGTCCAAGGGAACGTGCAGGGGACGTGTAGTGAAGACGCTCAAGGAGAGCACGTAGGGGAGAAGAATTTGGAAGCTGGCAGGCGATTCCGGACGCATTTTGCCAGGTTAGTTATCAGGAAACAGTGGAAGGATTCTTCGAAGCAACGGAAGGTCGGGTCAAAGAGTGCGCAGCCAGGGCTCTGGGTTCAGCGAGTTGCTTCCAGCAAAGAGAGTCGTTGCACCGCCCTATACACTAATCTACCTACATCCGCTTCTCGTCCGAGTGCTTCACCGTCCGCAAGTCAGGCATCTCAAAGTGTCGCGCAGACTGGCGAGAAAATTGCATTTAACAAGCCACCTCGGCATAAACTTCTCCTGTACGCCTGCAATCGATATCAGCTCTTGATCCGTCTCTTTGTAACTACAGTAATAGCTCTCGAGGACGTGTCGCCACGATCAACTACGCCCATAATATCGTCTTTTTTGCACCGGCTACGCGTGATAGCGCGAGACGCTGCTATAGAGAAAGACCACAGGATAGAAGCGTTGTTGCGACGACACGCAGGAGCTATAAATGCCTTTGCTGCCAAACTAGGTTCACTTGGCTCAGAGTCAAGCACGGTGCCCGTAGTTGTGCCGTCCCCCGGGAGTGTTTGTTCTGGAGAAACGGGGCTAGACGTGGCAAACCTCCAAGCTCAGAGCCAAGATTCAAAATCAATGTCTAACGAGGGCGCAAGTAAAGATAGTGCGAGCAAGGATGGCACGGCGGAAGACAGGAAGACGGAAAGTAAGATATTAAAGAGGGAGGATGACGGTCAGAGACTCACACGACTGAGCAACACCCAGTCACACTCAAAGAGTTCATCAGACCACTTTAAGGTCTTCGCGTCCACAGCCATGACCTCACCAGAGCTAGCAGCCGATGCGAAAGACTCCTCGACCATCGAAACACCTCCAAAGTCCTCACCTCGAACTAGTCGAGTCAGCAAGAAATCACTCATGGAAGAACTCTTCCCAGAAGCGAGTAGCCCTCGTCCACAGCACTCAGAAAAGAGAGACCAGTATCCAAAGCTCGACTTGCCATATGTCACGCCCACCACCCCCCTACGCGTTGTAGAGGAGCGCAAGTCTCTAAAAGAGCAAGTAAATGAATCTTTCCAGAAATCGGGAGAGCAGACCACTGTGCTTCAGCTGGCCCACTGCAGCACAGAGCTTACGGAGGCTGACTTCCTTCGCGTAATTCCTAAGGGCAAGCACATTGAATCATGGCGTCGAGAAGGCGAGTTCGACAAGATTATCCCTGGGCGCGACCCGTTGAGCCTAGAGCGCATGCCATTCTATTACATTCTCTTTAGGGACCCAATATCTGCGCTTGCATATCAGAAGAATGCGTCGCGTCTCCACAAACTTACCGCGCTTCACCAACCCTCCAACATCTTTTCCGCCATTCCACCGCCAAAAGGCTTCCTCGAAGATGGCGAAGACCTTGATAAAGTCACGTCATTGTACAACCTACTACCTACGCAGCACCCCATCAGTCTCCTCACGATTATGCAACCCTATCACTCTGCTCTACGCGCCCTGATCGAACGAGGCGGTTACCAACCTATCATGCCTAATGTCGACGAAACTGGAAATCGGATTTGGAAAGTGTTAATGCGCATCGAAGGGCACGAGCCATCTCGTACTGACCTCTTCAAAATCCTCCGCCGGGTCGCGTACATGCACGGTATGCCACTCACCCTACGCAATGAATCAAGCACCTCGATTCACCGCCTCCGCGACCTCGTCAATCTCAAAACCGCTACCACGCCGTTATCTTCTATCGGACCCCGCGCATACGGATCCTTTGACCGTGATATTGAGAAAACTAGGGCAAGTGTAGACTTTGAAGATCCCGGGATACAAGTCCTTATGGCTAGTGCGGGCGAAGACAGTACGGCCCAGGAGGTTCATCAGATGGTGATGAACCGCGTCTACAATCGATGGGTTTTGGATTTTAGTGATGAAAATGCTGCTAGGAGGTTTGCGCTTACATGGCACAGAAGAGCGCTGCCGGATTGGGAGGGGGGGAAGACGGAGGGGATGGATGTGGACGAGGTACGGATGTGCAATACAGAGGTTCTTTGGTGAGGAGCTGTAGAATATGTACTATAGTGTGATAGATATATGGGTGGACGACGCATGTGTCTATGTATAGCGTGCATGGCCTCTGTGAACTTATTAGCTTCTTGATTTCTCCAATAATATTCCTCTCAATCAGCGATAGCCCAAAGTGGTATTTTGCCGATCTATGAATCTGCGCTTCATGTAGACATGACTCAAGGACCACGGAAAGCATACCACACTAGGCGATGTAAGAGTCACCAGTAATATAAAACAGTTCGAGAAAAAATCAATGGTACAGACAGACGGACGATAAATTCAACTCCCTCAATATGCAATTGCAATTCACAACCCTCGACGTCTTCACGCAATCCCGCTACGTGGGCAATCCACTCGCCGTCATCCGCGTCCCGGCATCCCTTCGCAACGAGCTTACAGAAGAACAAAAGCAAAAGATTGCCAGGGAGTTCAACTATTCCGAGATCACATTCCTCCACGAGCCAGCGGAAAGCGAAGACGTAGCAGATTTTGACATCTTCACGCCGTCTGCACGCATGAGCTTCGCTGGCCATCCAACCATTGGCACAGCAGTGTATGTCGCACAGCACAAAGATGCGTATCCCCAGATCAACAAACTCCGCACGGTAGCTGGATTGATCCCGTTTGCGTATGACGCGGACACAGGACGAGCAGCCGTGGCCATTCCGCATGATGTTCACGTCCACCGCGCACGCCTTGCGCACCCGTTCCCCAGTAACAAGGCAAACAAGAGCACCGTTCCTATCGTCTCAATTGTCAAGGGCATGGCCTTTGGCCTCGCGCAACTCGTCGACTTGGATGCTCTCGGCGCAGTTTCTACCCCTCTCATCCCACCGGCCGATCGCTACAAGCGCGAATTCCTGGATGCGGGGAGTGGATGGGATGTCGGGTATACTGGCTCCTTTTACTATGTCGACCTTGGTGTCGATCCAGACTTACCTTCCTCTGATTCTGTACGGCTTCTTCGAACACGCAGCATACCGCTCCACGAGGATCCAGGAACAGGAAGCGCTAGTGCGGCGCTGTGCTGCTATATTGCCTTGTCTGAAGGTGGAAAGGGACTAAAGAAGTTTCATCTCACACAGGGCGTGGAGATGGGTAGGCGATGTGATATTTTTGTTGCTGTGAGGATGAGGGAGGATGGGAAAGGTATTGAGGACGTGCAGTTGAGTGGGACGGCGGTAGAGGTCATGGAGGGGAGCTTGACTGTTGGCTGATACAAGAGTCCTAGACTTCTAGTAGACGCACAGGATTAGCTGATAATAAAGAACCAGTCACAAAGTTAACCAAATTGTTAGCAAGTCCCAGTTCCTATAATTGCCAGCAAGTTGTCGGCACCATGGGGCTCAATAGAAAGATAGGATTGTCCCTATTCGGGAGTCCTTCGGCTTGAATATGTTCCCAGTTACTTAGGTTTCCCCAACGCCACGCTATGCTAGGTGAATATGCAACGATTTTAATCTCTTACTCGTCCATCTGCCATTGATACTCTAGTTTTTCAATGTTCGCCTTTTTGTTTCTCGAATTGAACCATTGGCTTTCGAATCCGTTGCCCCTATCTACGCCATCCCATCGATGGCCGGGGCGGATACCGTACCGATTTGGTTGGAACGCTCCCTGGTATAGCGGTTTGCCTGTTATACTTCGTCCCGCTTTCTTCTTGCGCAAGAAGCCAGCAGCAGGATCGTTCCACTGACTCCGCTCTTTCAACTCGTCGTTCATTTCTGCGTCGTCTGCGTGCCGTGCGACCGTCATCGTCTTGGCATCCTGGAGTTGCTGTTTTCTCCGTGTGGCTTCCGCGTTCTGTACATCTCCGCGCGCCGCCTTTTCCTTCTCAAGTTTCTTGCGTTCTTCATCCTCGGCCTTCTTCCGCGCTTCCGCACGCTTCATTGCGACGTTGATAATGCGACCACTTGCGTCTCGGTAGATAGTTTCCTGGGCGGTATTGCCCATCTCCTTTACTACCTCTGCCGCTTTCCGCTTCTCCTCATCTTGTTTCTGCTTCACATCTGCTGCTACTTCCGCGGCAGATTGTAGGCCTGCCTTTGCGCCTGAAGCCATTCTTAGCACACCCTCTGTGTCCACCATTTCCGGCGCCTCGTCCTCTTCTTCAGCCGCCTTTTGGCGGTCCGCGGCGGTCCCCGCTATGATCGCATCTGCAGCGGCAGCATCGGCGGCGAGCTGTTCCGCGTGTGAGGGTGCGGCGACGCCAACGGCTGTCCAGATCGCGGCGCTGGTGCCTTTCGACTTCTTCTTGGATTTCTTAAGTGTGCCTCCACCAACTATATAATCCGCGTTAGCGATGAGCTTTCCTAATCCAAGGATTTCGAAGGGTACATACCAATCATGGGTGCATCCTCATCGCCCTCATCTGCCTTCTCTGTCCAACCGAGATTATCATCGTCGTCGATTGTGAGTCCTCCGTCCCTGTGTTTCCGTTTGCGCTTTTTAGATTTCTTTTCCGAATCTGCAGTAAGGTAGTTCTTCGCCAAGTAGTCAGCGAGAGACATGCTTAGGTTGGGCGTTGAATGCGGGGAGTGACTCGCGAGCAGTAAAGCTCGAAGCTCGGTTTGGAAAGTCGATGGATCTTGGCATACTCAAGTCACGTGCTTTGGCGTGTCAGATGCGTTCGACCGCGTCTGGCGTCTGCTGCTCTCACTCCACATCGCAAGTCTTACTACGACCATGGCGCCGGGCGAGCGTTCTGAAGAGGCGTGGCTGTGGTATACTGCAGTCTACGAGGCGATTCAAGAGATTCCGCACTCTAGAGTCACTAGCTATGGGCATATCGCTAGGCTGGTCGGGAAGCGTGAGCCTCCATCCTGTACACATGCCGTATGACACTATGGGAAGCTGACATGTTCCTCGCGGTGTAGCCCAGTGTCCAAGGTAACACAGTGCACATGCATTCAGGCGATAGGACTAACGCATGACGTCAAAGACAGGTTGGAGTCTGTCTCAAAAACCTGCCATCACCTTTGCCCGATAGCAGCAAGAAGAGTGCTACATTCCATAGTGGCAATGTGCCTTGGCAGCGCGTGATCAATGCTAAAGGCGGTATTAGTCCGAGGTCAGTACCACTCCTTTGGTCACTTTGGAGTCTTTGTTGCCTGTTGCTAACAAAGACAAAGGGGACCAAGCGCGGCTAGCCAGCAGGCCGATGCTTTGAGGAGAGAGGGGGTTGAGGTCAGACAAGACGCCATGGGGCAATATACTGTGGATTTCGGGGAGTATGGATGGTTCCCTGACGTGCTTCCAAGCGAGGCTGGGTTGGTGGAGAGCAGTGACGACGAAGAAGCTGAGGACGAGGCTGCGTACCATACCTGAAGCAGCGTGTCTCGAAGGACGTCAGGACGCATGTCTGGGCTGGACCAGAAAATGCAGGTTCCTGCACGTTATTGTTCCATGACATTTGATTGATGGAAATGGTGTGAAGTGGCTGTTGGACAGTGCGAAGTAGAGCATGTTGTGATAATGGGGTACATAACTGGAGGGTTCACGGCGGTAGTTCTGACTCGCTCGAGTACGGGTAGATAGAAGAGTGGCCTAGCCGACAAGGGCGCAGTTGCTCAGCGGCCGAATCCGGGTCCTTATCGAGTTTGCGTGCTAAGAGGCGTCCATCTCATAAGCTACGGCACGTAATCCAAGGCCTCGTGATATCTGTTGGGGATTCCGTGTGCTGCCGGCAGAGTGGAGTGCAGGACCCTTGTGGGGTCGGCCATGGAAGTACGCGCAACAGCATCAGCGCCTGAGAGCTCCCATGTACGCAAGCCAGCCTCCAAACCGCCCACGTTTGCGACCAAGACGCATGATTCCCGATGATGACATCGTGGAGAAGGTGTCAAACCGGATCTCATCTGGGTGCAGGCGCAGGCGGAGGCGGACCTCGGCGACTCGGACCAGGCACCTTGGTCATGAGCTCCCACTCTCTCAAACAGCTCCTTATCAGGAACTACAACAAACCGAGCGGGGAGGCGCCCTACGCCTTTGATCTCATAAAGGGCGGCACTGCCCGTGGGGTGAACACCTGCCCTATTTCATCATAACCCATATTCTGCCTACCTGCATAGCCACTTACCTACAGTACCGCCTGCTACCTGAGTCACCCTTCAGAGTCATTCACAGGATAGCCGTAGCTACCAGTCATCCGTCACACCTTTTCTCACTTCCTCACCTATTACTACCTTGAACCTATCTTACTTGTCATCGCTCGCTCTCATTTCTCTCTGTACCTTCTACCTAATCTACGTAGCTACCTACCGCGAAGCCCTGTAGTACACATCAACACCAGCTCTACAGCAGCACACCAGAGCCTCAGTCCCTTTATCAAACCAGCATCTTATCCGCAAAGCCTACGCGCAGCATCACCATGTCGACCGTACAGACCTTCACAAACGACCTCCGCAGCGACGCCAAGGAGTTCAACCGCGATAAGAACAGTAGGGTCAAGTGGGCGCATGGCCAGTCGTTCGGCCCTGGGCGACGAGAGGAAGATGGTCGACCTCGCCCTGCTAAGATTGTCCCACATATTAGGTAAGTTTGGGCCTCCCTATCCTACAAGCAGCTTCTCACTCATACAGGTCAACCTTCCCCGGCCCCATGAAGGCTCGAACTGCAGTCAACAAGGACATGGCCTCCGCCAGCGGCGATTCGTCGGCCGATGAGGATGTCGAGCACCCGTCTACTGCCCCAGACGCCGAGATCGCGTATTCGTACGACGCTACAAGAGGACCAAGCCATGGCAGCCAGATCTTGAACCACGCCCTTGAGAAGGCCATCGAGCGCTTCGAGACCAAGGAGACCGATAAGTTAATCAAGAACGAGTACGAGGTGCTGGACATTGATGCGGAGGAATCCCCGTCATCACGCCCCAACCGGCACACTGTCGCCCCAGAGGATGAGGAGTACGAGTTCGTCGACGCATGACTACTCCGACCAGTCTCCTGACTTCTTCTCGCCTTGTTGTTGTTTGATTATGAGTGATTCGGCATACTTCCATTGGCGTTTTCAAGGTATCCATCGACTTCGCTGTCGACTTGATACCACTAGTGTTTTGGGGTTACTTGCATTGTACGGCTTCCTGGCAGCATCAATAGGTGAGCGTCTGGCGCTTTCTGAGGACTTGAGCAGCCCTATACCCGTTTTGGCTTGCCCACTTGCTTTTGTTATGGCGTAAGACTTGTATACGACTGGTGGGCGATAGTGGTGGGGGTGGTCTTGCCTGTACCGTTACTCTATCAGTATGGGCTTGGTTCCCTGCTTGTCGCACCTGTGCGTCCTAATCAGCAATGATATTCACTAGTGAGTAGCGTGAATTCATGCTACTCCGACCGAATGTTCTTGACCGAGTGTGCTTGCGTCGCTTTTGGTTGTGATGTTCAGAGCTTTCAATACATTGGGGCTGTTCAGTCCATGTGAAGGCTGAGAACATAGCAAGTAGTGGTTTGCTACAGCATTTGCTTGTGGAGAAGTCGTGCTGTTTCAGGTGTCAACTGCCGGCGGCTCGTCACCCATACATTGCCAAAGCCATGCCCCGCGACGTCTATCCACTATCCAGGAGGGGTGGGTGGATTGCGCCACGACGATGCATATCAATGGGTGAGTGCACGCTTGGCAAGCCGCTGATGAAGTTCTCCAGGGTCTACGTCATCACCCATCAGGTCCACAAGTTTCCAAGCGTCTGATATTTCTAGAACACCTCCCATGCGCTACTAGTTCCACTTCCTAACGGCTAAGGACTACCCGGCCCTCTCACTAAGCGCGTCGCAAGCTGTTGGCATCGACCAGGAGATAGCACGCCACCCTCTGCTCACAAATTCCAATTCTTTCTTCGAGCACAGCCCCGATCCAGCTGTGTCTTTTGAACCTTTGATGGCACACTGGTTGTAGAGGCATCCCACGTCAAAATGCCCTCGACGAAGACACCAAGCCCCAGCCCGAAGCCCGGCAATCGCCCACGATGGATGCTGCACGTCCAAGCGCAGTTCTGGCGCGTCCTCATGGGCATCGGAATGATGCTCCATCGACTCGCACGGCCACGGCCACGACGCCCTGCCTTTAATAAAGATATCGATGCGACCGTCTCGCCGCTGAAGGGGAAGTTTAGATTGAACTTCTACGTCCCCAAGGATTACAAGCGGCACAAGAAGCTCAAGGGTGTTAAGAGGTACCCTGTTGTCATCAACTTCCATGGCGGTGGTTTCGTCTTGGGCACGGCACACGACGATGCCCGCTGGTGCAATATCGTGGTCGAGGAGGTCGGAGCTGTCGTCGTCAGCGTCGACTATCGGCTTGCACCCGAGTATCCGTTTCCTACAGCAGTCGAGGATGGTGCAGATGCGATCCTATGGCTAGCCCAAAACGCGGAAGAACTTATGCTGGATCCCGACCGTTTTGCCGTATCAGGCTTCTCGTCAGGAGGGAACATGAGTTTTACAGTCCCGCTGTGTCTCCAAGGCGAATTGTTCGAGCGAACACCATCTGGAGCGTACATTCTCGACGACCGAGCAGGCAGCATCCCGGCCGCAGTCATTCAGCCTCCTGCCGCCACGTATGGAGCGCATCTCACTCCAAATGGCTCACGCGTTCCTCTTGTGCGCCAGAAATCCCGCCTCGACAGGATTGCTATGCTTCGGCAAACAGGCGCATCGTCCCTCTCGCTCATCTCTTCGTACAAGGACGGCTCAGCGGTATCTGTCATGACAGAGGCCTCCAACGCAATTGTCAAGATCCGAGGCATCGTCTCCTTCTACCCACCGACAGACTACACCCAAACCCGTGCCCAGCGCCGCGCCACCTGCGTGCGAGCAGATCAGCAACTCCCCGCCGTCTTCACAGAACTTTTCGACGACTCATACCTTCAACCGCCTTCGCTAGACCTTGCGCATCCCTGGCTAAGCCCTGGCGTGGCACCGAAACGCATGCTCGAAGCCCTCCCAGACGACATTGTCCTATTCTGCTGCGAGTGGGATATGCTGCTTGCCGAGGGTGAACGCTTCCGCGACACCCTTTCAAAGGACCTGGGAAAGAGAGTACATTATCATTGTGTCCCTGGGGTACCGCATGGATGGGATAAGGCGCCAAATCCACTAAGAGAGAGCCCGGGCGCGAGGCAACAGTATTTGGTTGCGTGTAAGGAGTTGAAGCGCATGTTTGAGATTGAAGACGACGACGACGATGAGGAGCATGATTACAGGAAGGATCTGCCGTGCAGGCAGTATCATAAGTCTGTGGATTTGGGGCAGCATCCTTTGGCACAACAGCAAACATAGGCTCGGGATATTGGGCACGCTCTTGGTCATGCTTCTGGCGTTTTGATGGCATATAAATGTAGCGGTTACGTATTCATGTGGTGTTCTTTCATGTTCTAGCAGTACACGGATCTATATAGAGGTCGATGCTTCAAATCTTGGACTTTTGAGACGGTTTTTCTAAATGTACATATATTGGTCACAGCCTGTATGAAAGCATATCTCTAATGGTGAAAAGTTGAGCATTGACTTGTGTATTACGACCATGAAGACGCTATCACATGACGTCGCGCCCACTTTTTGTCTCGCTCACGAACTTCAGAGCTCAAATCCGCGCCCACGCGTCGGCATGCCTCCTATCCTCCATGTCCCTCTCTAAGCATGCGAAATCCTACTTAATCAACCAGTCAAAATATGCACACCTCAATGCCTTCGTATCGCGCGTCGAACCCTCCGTCCTGCTTGCGCGCACCGGTTCCTCGAGGCTTACCAGCGAGGGGGAGGACGGACGCCTTGTCCTCAATGACAAGCCAATTGCGATAAAAGACAACATCTGCACGAAGGATTTCAAGACGACAGCTTCTTCGGGGATACTGAGAGACTTTACGAGCCCGTACGATGCGACGGTTGTGAAGCTCTTGCAAGATGCGGGCGCGGTGGTTGCGGGCAAGACAAACATGGATGAGTTTGGCATGGGATCACACTCGACACACTCGTACCATGGACCAGTGAAGATGCAGAGATATGAGGATGAAGAAGCAAGCGCGGGAGGGAGTTCAGGAGGCAGTGCGCTTGCAGTTGCGAGTGCACAGTGTTGGGCGTGAGTAATGCAAAGGGAATGGTGGGATGGAAAGCTAATGGTGTACAGGGCGTTGGGAACAGACACGGGGGGTTCTGTTAGACTTCCCGCTGCGTATACAGGCGTTGTTGGCTTCAAACCGAGCTACGGACTGCTGTCTAGGTGGGGCGTCATTGCCTATGCGAATTCACTGGATACTGTCGGTATCCTGGGGACCAGCGCAACAAGTGTAGAGGCCATCTTTGGTGAGTTAGATCAATCCACCAGCGCATTGCTTTACGCCTGTATCTAACCTCAATTCGCAGATCAGCTCAATCTCTACGATCCTCAGGATCCCACCTCACTCCCTCCTTCGACACGCTCACGTCTAGGGAGTAAAGCGAGAGCTTCAGACTCAGTCAGGATTGGGATTCCTCTAGACTACAACATTACCACACTACACCCCATTGTTCGAAACGCGTGGGTACGCACGCTCAAGGCATTACATGAGCGTGGGCATACGTTACATCCCGTTAGGCTACCAGCAACACAACGCGCCCTCTCAGCGTACTACGTGCTCGCACCAGCAGAAGCATCCAGTAATCTCGCAAAGTACGACGGTGTCCGCTATGGCAGCAGAGCCGAAGGCATCGACGGAACACCCGATAGCGTCCTTTTCGCCAAAACTCGAGGTCAAGGCTTTGGACCAGAAGTTCAGCGTCGCATCTTGCTCGGTGCTTTCTCACTGAGCGCGCAAGCTATCGACAATTACTTTATCCAAGCACAGAAAGTCCGCCGACTAGTGCAACAAGATTTCAACAAAGTCTTCGCTACACAAAATCCGCTCTTAGATGAGACTACCCACGCGGAAGAAACGGAAGAGAAAGTCGACGTGCTATTGTGTCCAACGGCTCCTTCGCTTGCGCCGTCGCTGTCGGATGTCAAGGCTCAAGACCCTATTCAGGCGTACATGAATGACGTCTTCACTGTTCCAGCTAGCCTCGCAGGACTGCCGGCCATCAGTGTTCCCGTACCTATCGCAGGGAAGGACCGAACCAAGGAAAACGAAGAGTTCAGCGTTGGAATTCAGATCATCGGCCAGTATGGAGACGACAAGCTAGTCTTGGATTTTGCAAAGGAGCTCGAAGTGGCTGCTCCATGTCCTCACGCTGGTATCAAAATAGACACGGCCGAAGAGGTGTCTCGAAGATCATGACAGGGGTGGTGGAGATGGATATTCGAGATCGGAGTCACTGAGGCGCATGGGTCAAAGAAGTAATGACATGACATGACATGAGTGGCTTGTGGATGTGTAAATGCATGTAACACGGCTGTATAAATTTCATCGCATATTGGAGTGTAATGGTGAGAATTCTCAAAAGAATGTCCTTTCATTCATGATATACCCCTAGGAAACTCGGCCCTATAATACGTGTACACGTCCCTTGAAGTCCACTAAACATTGCCGTTCTAGTCGAGTCCGCGCGGTGGAACATGGCCAGGTAGCCCTTGTCAAAGTTCAGGGTATCCGATGCTTAATGCTATCAAGAAACATTAGTTGACTAACCCGCCACAACCACCAACAAAATAGGACGTACGGAGCAGCTTCCGCAACCGCAGCTGGAGCAGTCACCCTTGCAGGAGCACGAGGAGCAGTCGCTGGGCAATTGGTTAGCTGGAGTGTCATGTCAAGTATCCATCATGGTACTGAGGCTAGGCCGCATCCAGCATCCAACAGCCAGCACAGTGAAGACCGTATGGAATAACGAGCTTGTATTGGTAGGGAGACATACCATGGAGACATGATGGAGGTGGTGATTGGTTGGTGGGGAGCGTGAAAGCTTGAGTGTTGCTGTTTTGTATTGGTGATTTGGTTTGGATTGAGTGCCTGAGTGAGCTGGCTGGCTATCCATCAGGGTGCTGAGGACGGGGTTTATATATCCCATTCCCCCTCCTCTATAGCAGATGCGGAGACAGCTCAGGTCATGCGCGCCTTCTGCTGCCGACTGGTCGCCGAGGGCGTGGACAGTGACATATCGAGTTGCTAATACACCACTCCACTTCTCAGCCCTTTTTGCCGAAGTCTCACGAGGTTGCCGCCAGATCTGTTAGTAAAAGCAGTGTGTGGACAGAGTACAGCAGCATATCAGTGGCCGAGAGGCATTCCACATTCGCTAGTGAATATGCGGCCGCAGTCCTTTGCAAAGAGGCCGCAGCTGTTCGCCGTTGAGTGGGAGAATAGCGCCTAGGCTGACATGATCGTCTCCATGCTGCTGGAGATGCGATTGGAGAGCAGGGCCATGAGGTAGGCTCTCGAAGCCGCCGAGCCCAGGCTAGACTGCACTTATGCTTTGGGCAATGTCCATCAAACTGGGGTCTGGAGATCTTCGGGGCCTCTGACCACACTCAATCGCTCGGAGATGCCCTATCGTAAGGATCTAGCGTTCAACGCCCTGGGCGGTATATGTCCAAAGGGCTTGCAAACCCCTCAACAGGACTGGCGACCCGGTCTTCTGTGACAAGTTATCTGTAGATATGGGACGGCGCGGCCCCTTGGACACGTGGGATGAGCTTAGTTCTTGCTTGTTATCAACTGAGGCACTGCTACGTTGGAGCCTTTTACTGGTCATCCTCGAGACGAGCGTGATACAGCAGCTGCGACCCCGCTTGTCTGCATATGCATTGCATGCCGAGACATCAGTTGGGTGTCGACGCTGTGTGAGAACTGGCTGGTTGGAATAGCCAGGCAAATCTCGAATGTACACGTTCACCCTGCGGACTGAAGAATTCATGGTTCCACAACTCAAAAGCAGGGAGCAACTTCTTTATCTGGAAGTTGAGTTACATTTCGAGATTGGTAGGTCCATGGATGGACTGGTCGACCTAGAGAAACTGTGAGGTTGTCAGCTGTAGAGTACTCGAGGGATCAGCGAGCATAGAAGACTAGCAAAGCCCGATGCACTTAGCGTTAACACGGGATGAGACTTTGTCGGGCTGTCGATTGACGGGCTATCGCGGCACATTGCAAGACGGCCCCACGTAAGGACTGTCCGAGTATGTACGTAGTACGTATCTCTTATGTAACTCTACCTGATGAGAGGTCTCTCGTCTACCGAAACAACCGGCGTGTAAGGGTACCGTTTACTAAGGGGTTGATGTCACCTAGTGCGTGTACCTTCCTCGTGATTAAGCAAAGTGACGTCTTCATAATTGTATATGAGTATGGATTTCGGTGAAGTTATAACCCACACTTTATCAAAACTAAAGGGAGAGGATACTGATCATGATACGAAGACAACTCATACCGTTCGCGGTGTCGATACTCGAGGTTCGGAAGCGCTAGAACATAGATGACCGATGTTTCGCGTTTAAGATGACGGTTATAGCCTTGATCATATTTGCACTAACAAGGACACATAATAGTCCAGTTATGGGACGTTTAAAAATCGATTAAGAAACTGAGGGACGTAAACGTTAGCTAAGCGCTTTATTCCATGTTCCAACGTGTTTCTTACACCACTTGATGGCGATCCACTCGGTGAATCATAGTACGTTACGCCCCAGTCCACTTCGAAACCTGAGCGCAAAGTGTGCGTCCCTAGAGATATCGTTGCCATCGCCACGAAAACAATCAATTAGATATCGAGGTGTTGGCGAATGTCATCCCCCAATCTCCACTCATCCTCCCTAGCGATCCTATCAAGCGGACTCTGCACATCATCCTCATCACTCCTCCGACTAACATCTGTATTCGTCGAGCTAGCGACGGTTGCATTACTCACACTGCCTCCCGTACTCTTACTCCGCCTTTTCTTATTGAACCAGCTTCTCTTACTCTTCGTACTTGCTGCATCTGTGTCAGACATTGCAGAGTCAACCAAGGTCGGGTCGGTAGTTGTAGATGTAGATGTGGTGCTAAGGTTTGAAGAGAGTTTTGTGAGGTGGTTGGGATCAAGAGGCTCTGTTGAGTCGTCTACGGGCTTGCGTTTTGGTGTCGGCACCGGTGTTATTTCTGTGGAGGGTGTGGCCTCGACAAGTTCGGCGTCGCGGTACCACTTTCGACGGCGAGTGTAGCGACCCCAGCCATCTTGACCTCTACGTCCATCTCGCCACTAAAGAAATTAGTCGTGTTCAACATGTAAGTTTGGTGTTGGCCGTACCTTGTTGTCGTAGTAGATCCACCCTTCGTCCTCCTTCGGAGCAGTCTTGTCTGCTTTGCGATCCTTCTCACCACCTTCAACCCTCCACTCGCTTCCCTGGACCCAGCGCCATCTCGAGTGGCCTCCCTCGACCTCTGGGAGCTCAAACTGGTCCTTCGGTGGCACAGAATTCAGATGCTCATCTGTCCAAGAAGCTCGTTCGTAGGCAAGCATAGAAGAGGTCCATCCAATACCCAGCCAGCGTCGTTGATTTTCGTAGATGGAGAAAGTAAAACGCACACCTGTAGACTCGGGTCGGCGCTTAGCCGCCAAGGAAGCTGCTACTTCTTGTGTGCTCTTCTTCCGAGGCGGAAGTGGTGGTGCTCCTTTCTTGTCCGTTGATACAATTTTGCCGAAGTCAAGCCCAGTAAGAAAGGCGCAAGTTTTCCGTACTGTCCTTGATCTCCAAAGTAGAGTGCGTGTGACACGCGCTGGTCGTGAATGCCAACTAAGTATTACTGTGCCAACCGCTAGTACAACTCGCTTTGTTGACAGGATGTAGAAGGGTGGAAATGTAAGGAGTATCCATAGCGGCAATACAAACAGTATCCGGATGAAAAGTATAGTGAGTGCTGGTCGTGTTGTGGCAGACGTCGCCGTCCTTTGAGTTGAGAGAAAGTCGGTTAACCGGAGGAAGGGATCCAGCAAGATGTTGCAGCGTGACGTAAATAGCTTCAAACTATCCACAATTTCCTCTAAGCTCTTATGATGCTTGATGTTGCTATCCGACTCGATCCGCTTATGTCCCTTCTGGCCCTTCTCTCCAGTCCATCCTGTCGAAGAGAGTGGAGAGTATCTGCGCGTGTACATGCCTAATATCAAGCCAGAGACGAGGATGACAGGCCCTGCATATCTCGTCACCGCATCACCATACATGACCACGGCCCAAAAGCTCGCAACCAGGAGAAAGCTCTCCCACGGATCCCCAGTGGTCCATGTTAGCAACCCAGCCAATCTGTTCAGAGGCAGTATAAACGGATGCGAATAGGCGAGTACACGAGTAATCTGCGGCGGGGTAGCAGCGAGTAACGGCGACTTCTGGTGTACCAGTATCGCAGAGCGGAGCTTCGTCTGCGGCGTGGTCTGGCCTAGGTTCGAGGGCGTAAAGGTGGCATAGGTGGGCGGGTTCGGGTCACCCGTGGGCAACGGCGACGACGCATCGTTGGTGGATCTTGAAGGGGTGGACATGTGCTCTATCCAGGGTATATCTAATTGCATATGAGCATGTTGTGTGTGCGACTACCAGTATACAGCCATGATTGCGAATGTTGGAAGTCTACCTACCTAGTGCTGCCATGCAACCCAAAGTGCGTCATCGCCTAGCTACACGAATGAGCTGGATGTCGCGTTTACTGTTGAGCCACGCTTGAGCTTTCACAACCGTATGTTATCAGGTGGGAGAGAAGTAGCTTGTAAGGAACATATGCCAGGCAGGAGCACATGATGCGGTCACTGATGGCGATGAGCTGTGGCGGGGACCTTTGTGCATGTGAAGGTCCTTAGCCCGAGCTTGCGGAAGCACATGCAGCCTCGCAGTCGACGGCTTAGGTCGAATTCGGGCGTTGATGGACATGGTAAAGGGAACAATATATGCTCCTCACCTAGGTCTACATTGCACAAGCCCATCAGCTGTCTATAACCGCGCGACGGTGCTTGAGAAGATGGGTGGTTTGCGATCGGGATATGATTGGCCGTAGCCAACCCCAACACACGTGATCCCTCGGAGCAACGTCGAAAGTGCGGAAAGGCAATCCAGAAATTTTGGAGACGTCGTTCATCGTCAACAGCATCCAACCACAAAACACAGTGTCAACTGGTCTTTGCACCTCCGTGCAAACAGTCACTCTCTAGTTCTTCTCGTCTTGCTGTCTCTCATAATGGTACGTTCCTCCATGCTGGCTCGCCAGGCCAGCTCCGTCTAACGTTCTTAGGCGCATCGCATAATAACACAAGTCGTCTTTTCTGGCGCCCGAATAATAGGCCGCGCAGTCTCCGAATCCTACCGTCAAGCCGCCGCCTCCCAGAAATTCGCCGCCGCAAATAAGAACGGCAATGGCGGTACCTCCTCCGCCTTCTCCGCCTCGAACATCACTATGGATGAAGCCTGCCAGATCCTCAACGTTGGACCGGGGAAGATGGGGAATATAGAAATAGAGGCAGTGACGGAGAGGTTCAAGAGGCTGTTTGATCTGAATGACCCGAAGAAGGGCGGAAGTTTCTACCTGCAGAGCAAGATTTTGAGGGCAAGAGAGAGGATTGAGAGGGAGGTACAGGGGCATCAAAGGGTGGCGGAGAGGGAGACAGAGCTAAGAGACGGGTTCAAGCCGAAATTCACGAAAGAGGATTGAGGTGCTCCACAACCACCTTGCGATTAGAACTCGATATGGCCTCTGGCCAATGCGTGGCAATCGGCTTCACAACGGACCTTGTGCTCTGGTTCTCGAACCACATCATTGATCGATTATACGGAGTGACAGGGGGCAATTACGTGCATATGGACGGCGTTCGAGCGTAGCCTTTGGGCCTTTTATACTGGTGCTAGGAGCGGTGGCGCATTCAAGTGCGATTGGAGACGATTCGCAGCGCGAACGTGCTTGTTTGGTACTCCACTCCTACCTGTACATATATATCTGTTTTGAAATCGTCACGTACTGTATCAATACAAGCCAACTGAAGACGGCTTTCGCTCAATTCGAAGTTGGCTCTCAACAATTTGATGATTGCCATCTACAAATGATACTACTTGATGACGACGGGCGAACGTAAGCAGTCAGAATGTTCTAGACACTAAGTGTTTATGTAGATATAAGCGATCAGCTCACAAGACATAGAATAGTCATGTTGGTTCAGTGACCCACTTATGTGTACAAACAGCCCGCCCTGGGGATAGTACCTCTAGGAATGCCTGTACCCTGACTAAAACAACAATAGATCCAGTCAGCTTACCGGTATACTGCTCGTTTGGATTGCTATGAAAACGAAGTGACTAAGACCCCGGGCGCGTCGCGCCTTCCCCAGCATCTGCTCGTGCCCGCGCTAATGTCTTGGCAGATTCGGTCTCTAACAAATCTTTTGCGGTCTTTGTTTCTTTCGCACCACCATCATCAACAACCCCGACAAAGAAAACTCCTGTCCACCTTCCGCAATCGCATCAAAACGGCGGACAGAACAGCAATATGGGGGACTCGTACCGCCCCAGCCGAAACGAGCGCGATCGCCCGCCAGCACTTGCAGACCGCATGACGTTCACCCACGGTGGTGGAGACAACTACCGGCCAGGTGGCCCACAGCGACAGCAAGGTCGCGCAGGCAACCAGTCTGAGTTTACGTTTGAGGCGCATCATCCTGCTCCGCGCTTTCCGCCCGCTGGGCCGGCGAACGCAGGCACGCGTGACCCAAATAGAAGACGCAACCGCGGCGATTTAGGCGCACGCGGCTACAGACGTGGGGATTCGTCTCATCCCCACGGTAGAGGAAACGCAAACGGTTTCCGCAGAGGAGGTTACCGCAAGGCTGCGCCCCACGAGCGCGCTCTGCTCACTCATAGAGATGACGGCAGCCCTGAGCATGCCATGGGTGTCTCTGATGGCCCCAACAAGTTCTTGGACCTAGACGATTTGCCTGACGACGAAGAGGCAGAAATGGGAGTGGAGAGTGGCAAGTCTGTCGGTGATGACAGCGACACAGACGGTCAGGATGGAAACCAGAAGGTAGCCCGGACGCAGGCGATCACCCGTGCCGATGGCGATTCAGTACCAAAGTGGTCCAATCCTGATCCGTACACTGTATTACCACCTCCCGACGAGACCACCGGGAAGAAGACGGATTTCGTCAAGTTGATTCGCAAAGCGAAGAACCAGGCGGCTGAGAAGGCGGCCGGGCACAACGCTGTAGCTGCCAACGATGATTTCATCTCTTTTGGTGACGAAGACGGAGTTGTCGAGGAATCGGAACTGCGGGCACAAGAAGACGAGGTACCTGTGTCGACTCGGCAGCGGCCCAATGCTACCGCAAGGCGACCTGTACAGACTTCGCTGAGCGAAGTCGCCTATATTGACTCTATCGTCAATGGGTCACATAACACACATCAAGCAGCTGGACCATCTGATCAACTACAGTATCCCGTCCGATCAAATAAACGTAAGCATGGGGGCTTTGGAGCAGGCATTGTTCAGGCATGGTTGCCTCAGCCCAACTCAAACCCGACGCCTTGGCTCCTTGCCCCCGAAACATACTCTCACCTCGCTCGTCAGCCAGACAAATGGCTTCATAACGAGATACTGGATTTTTACGACTTCGTAGCACCTCAGCCTTTCGAGCATGAAATTCGAAACAAATTGGTCCATCGGGTGAATAGTGCTCTTGGACCTCGCAGGTTTCCCCAAGATTCTGGTCGCATCCTCTGTTTTGGGTCGTTCCCAGCAGGGTTATACCTACCAACAGCTGACATGGATCTGGTCTACACCTCAGATAGGCATTACAACGGAGGTCCCCCAGTTCTAGATTTCTCCCAGAAGGGCGCCCACAAGTCATTACTTTACAAGGCGGCGAGGAGGTTGACAGATTTGCGCATCTGCCGTGGTCACCCCAACGTTATTGCCAACGCCAAGGTTCCCATCATCAAGTTCACGGACGATCTCACTGGCCTCGAGGTAGATATCTCCTTCGAGAATCTAAGCGGCGTCCAAGCTCAAGCAACATTCGCGGAGTGGAAGCGTCTGTATCCGGATATGGTACGTAAGGTGTCGGTGCGCATAGTACCTGGTTTATATACCTTTAGTACTTCGCGTACCTCTTTGCACTGATGCAGTACACTGCTAACTATGCATTCTGATAGGTATTCATGGTAGCTCTCCTGAAGCAATTCCTTGCCATGCATGGGCTTAATGAGGTCCATACGGGTGGCATTGGCGGCTTCAGCATAATATGCCTCATTGTGAGCTATATCCACCATGCTGAGAAACCAGCCAATCTCGGAGAATGTTTCCTAGGATTTCTCAAATATTACGGCCACTTCGATCTCTCCAGGAAGCGTATCCAAATGCACCCTCCGGCCATCGTTGACAAGGTGAGTAACGATCATTTTATGATTGATTGGCGTATGCGGGCGTCGATCCTTCTTATTCATAAGTCACAGCTGACCTTTCTTAGACCTCATATGGAATCGACAATCGACCGGAGAAACCGGACGGCCTCTCTATTCAAGACCCAAATCGCCCTGACAACAACGTTTCCGGCGGATCATCCAAAGCCAAAGATGCGTTCAAAGCGTTCGGAATGGCGTACAAAACACTAGACGACCGCATGAAAGCTTCGGCAGCCGGTCACAAGATCGGGCCGAGCATTCTCGAATGTATTTTCGGCGGCAATTACGAGACGTACATAAATCAACGGCGCCACCTAAAGTCTGTCAAGTAAGTTGTTTGCACTGGATTTGAAGCATTGTTGCTCCAAGCTGGTGTGCTGGCCCTGGTCACCCAGCTTGGACGTCTTCAAGTACCTTTGCATTTATGATGTGAGAGATGCAGGATCCTCGCGATATCGAGGCTGGTCCATGTAACAGCGCGTTTGCTCTCTAGGATCACGACCGAGTTTCGATGGTCCTTTGCGCATTGCAAGCTACTTGAACCATCAACATTATCCTGCAGCAACTTACATTATTGATATAGCCAGTATCATCTCGACTCCATCGATCAAGGAGTCGACGATTCTCAGTTGTACGATGATTTCTGGGTGTGACAGCCCCAGCAAACCGATTAGGCGCCATTGGATGGATCAATGACTGTATAAACCGGTCAAACATGGGCGTTATGGGACACGAAACTAGGGGCTCAGGCGAGTACGAATGCTTCGGCACGGTCTACTCACGTCTTGAACAGGTTAGGGCGGCTTATTGTATTATGCTCTTTCGTATGATACCCGGAAATAGCGACTCCCAGCGTTCGGTTGTTAATATTGCACGCATATCCGGACGGACCCTCGATCGAACGAATAGGTCTCGCAGCATGTTGTTGATGATGCCCATGGTATCGACGCGGCCACGCGAGGCCTTGCCGATCTACCGTGTTGTTGTCCTGTCCGGACTCTATCTGCCTGGAGCGGCTACGAGATGTCCGTTCTCGATGCGCTATCTCCAGGATTCTGTTTCTGTACTCTAGATCTTTCATGACATCAGTTTCACTTTTCTGCTCTTCTTCTGCTCTTCTTCTGCTCTGTTGTGGCAGCCAGCCACTTTCCTCTTAGGTCCTACTAATACGTACCCGGTGCGGGCAAGACAACTTTTCAAATCCGAAGACTGGCGACCCATGCACGCTGCAAGGCAGTATGGGCCTAGCACTTCAGAAATGTCGCCGGCAACGGGACGTCTTTTCTCATTGAGTAGCATGCTTGACGCGTGGGCTTGAGGAAGAAAGACGGTGATTATTTACTTCTGTGTAGAAGATTCAGTGTGGTAGATGTTGGTGGAAAATGCCCCCTGTAACAGAGTAGAGTACAGAGTAGACTCGTAGCTAAGCTTAACATGGACGATTGATTGAATCGAGATGTAGTGCCATGACCAAGTTGAATTCCTGGTAATAGACGATGATCTATCCTGTTTGCTCATCCCGCGGGCCCGCTGTCCCAAGTGTGATAGATGGGTGATGTGGTGCAAGGGTGCATGGCCCAGGCGGATCGACGCGACGATGACGTTGGTGTCCCCGAGATCTTGGCTGGAACCACAAAGCAACTTCCTGGGAATGTCGACGCAAAAAGAGGGGCCCGTCCCTGGAATACCCTACTTTACCTCGCTCTCCTCCAACATCTACCTCCTCAAGACCGCCCTGCTCACCTCGAGCTCATCGTCAGCCATGGCGAAATCTCAGGCGCTTCAATCCAACCTGGACGTCGACTACGTGATCAGCTATCGGTTTGCAAAGACTGGTAGGTTGCATGCCCATGGCGGGGTGAGGCATTCCAAGGCTAACAATGCCGTGTATAGACAAGGCCACGGCTGCTGCCAAGTTCGAAAAGCTGTGTGAGGCGCTGTCAAATGTCGGCCTGCAGACCGAAGTCCGCAATGGAGACTCGCACTCGGTGCTCCTCTTCGTGAGGGTTGCTTCCGATGAGCACCTGTTCGGTGAAGTGTACAGATCACGGCAAGTGCTAATTACACTGTCCTTCAAAGCATAGCAGCTGCTAACGCCCATGGCAGCGTCCGCGATTGGATCCACGGCGTGCGAGCTGCTGCCCCGTCAAAGGAGACCCGCGAATCCCTCGAAGCAGAGCCCCTCTACGAAGCCGAGAGACTACGAACCATATACCAGCTCATCACAAACCCAGTGTCTGAAGGCGGCGCCGGCATCACACCCAAGGAGGGCGAGTGGGAGAGCGTCGAGTCCATCTTCGCCCTGCACGACCATGCCTATAATAAGGATTGGATCAAAAAGTGGTCTTCACAGTGGTTCCTCAATACCGAGGATCTTGATGACATCCGAAATCGTCTGGGCGAAAAGATTGCCTTCTACTTTGCCTTTACACAGTCCTACTTCACCTTCCTCGTCTTCCCAGCCGCATTCGGATTCGCCGCATGGCTCGTGCTCGGTTCCTTCTCTCCTATCTACGGCATCGTGAGCGCCGTGTGGTGCACTGTCTTCACTGAGTACTGGAAGCAGCAGGAGATCGACCTCGGGGTTCGATGGGGCGTCAAGGGCGTCTCTAAGATCGACATCAAGAGGAGAGACTTTCAACATGAGAAGACCAATACAGACCCCATCACTGGCGAACAGGTCGGCTTCTTCTCTGCCTCGAAGCGCTTCCAGAGGCAGTTGTTGCAGATACCGTTCGCTCTCATTGCAGCCTTGTCTCTTGGAGCTGTCATCACAACCTGCTTCGGCATTGAAGTGTTCATTTCGGAGGTCTACAATGGCCCGCTTAAGAGTGTCCTCGTAAGTCTGTTGCGCGTATGCAGTAGTGCACACCACTAACTACTTCCAGGTCTTCATCCCTACCGGCATCCTCACAACGGTCAACCCTATCCTTAATACGCTTCTTACGCAGGTCGCTACTCGACTCACCGACTTCGAAAACTACGAGACCGCGGCCGCACACGACACAGCTCTAACCCAGAAGATATTCGTCATGAACTTCATCATGTCCTACCTCGGTATCTTCTTGACAGCATTTGTCTACGTCCCCTTTGGTACCCTCATCGTACCGCATCTCGATATCTTTAATGTAGCTGTGCGACCTTTCGCCGAGGATGAGAAGCAACTCCACCATACAACCACCAGCTGGAGCATCAATCCTGATCGTCTTCGCAAGCAAGTCATCTACTTCACCGTGACTGCCCAGGTTGTCAACCTTGGCATGGAACTCATTGTACCATACCTTAAGCGTCGTGGCTTCGCCAAGTTCAAGCAATTCCAGTCGGCAAGGGCCGCAAAGAACGGCGGAGCATCACCTTCTGCTGCTGCCAATGACTCGCCAGAGGACTCCGCATTCCTCGAACGCGTGAGGAAAGAGGCCGAACTCGACGTCTACGACGTCACCGCCGACCTTCGAGAGATGGTTGTTCAATTCGGTTACCTCTCCCTCTTCTCTGTCGTCTGGCCCCTTACCGCCGTATCATTCCTCATAAATGACTGGATCGAGCTCCGCGCCGACGCCATGAAGATATGCGTCGAAATGCAACGTCCTGTCCCCTGGCGCGCAGACACCATCGGTCCCTGGCTCGACTCGCTTTCCTTTCTTACCTGGTTGGGAAGTCTCACCACATCAGCCCTTGTATACATGTTCTGGAACCAGAGCGCAGGCCCTGGCGGCAATCCCTCCACCATCCAACTTTGGGCACTCCTCCTCACCGTCTTCTTCTCCGAGCACCTCTTCATCCTGTTCCGTTGGGCAGTCCGCATTGTTATCTCCAAACTTGACTCTCCTGGTCTGCAGAAGGAGCGTCGTGATCGCTTCCTTGTGCGCAAGCAATACTTTGAGGAGAACCTTAGTGCGATGGAAAAGATTCCTAGGATGACTGACAATGGCGGGGAGATTACGAGAAGGAGCCTCGAGGACGATGCGAGGCAGTCTAGTCTCAGTGATAGTACGCCTGAGGGGAGGTTTTGGGGACGACAGAGGGGCTGGAGGGAGACTGCGACCGTAGCGAAGGGGTTGATTGAGCAGGCCCAGAACGAGACGACTACGGAGAGGAAAAAAGAGCTGTAGGTTCAGATGGCGGATGATGGAATACTTCCATCAGCAAACTGAGGGCTGGCGAGACAATGCAGTTGGTAGCTGGGGAGTGATCCAATTGCCTGACGACATTGATGACTTGAGCATTATCAGCATGGCGTTCCTCGTAGGGGTCTCAAAAAGTACATAGCATGAGTAGCAATACACGAATATATTTGAGAGATCATGAGTTGAGCACAGGATATGTTTGGTGTGAAACGAGAGCATCTAATCGCTAGAGAAAAGCGTGAAGTTGCGTCATATGAACGATTTGCAATTGTCTCGTCGAGCTCTCATATCAACCTAACGCCACGCCACTGAAGCCCCTCTTCGAAAGGCGTTCGGCTTTCCTCTTCCGGGTCATTGGAGTGGGTTTGAAAGCCGCCTATCCGTCGGGCAGTCTCGCCGTCCAGCCATTCGACGACGAGTAGAAAACGCTGGTGATTTCCGCTCCCTATCATTGTCCCCAGCAACAAACAGGACCAAGTACCACTGACTAAGTTTGGCAGAAAGCAGCTGTAAAAGTCGGACGAGGTCGCAAGCCAACCATGACTAAAAACACCTCGGACTTCTAAATGCAATATTGTTCTCTTATCGTTGTCGTGCGAATCGGTGGTCGTGTGTTCACCATATGCAATTTCTTCCGCGGGCACAACGAGGGCGTCGAAACGGATCGCTGTGACAGAGTCTAGAAGCGCCTGAAGAGCATCAGAGGCGTGCGGGTCACCGAGCGTTGTAGGGAGTGCTACGATTCCACGGGCGGACTCGAGACGTACATTTCGTAGACTGGGCCGTTGATTTGGGCGACCGCGAAATGAGAAGCGCAACCAGTAGACGCCGTCTGACCAGCCCGCCCAAGTCCACGAGGGAAACATGGCTCTTCGTTGCGACGGGGGCGAAGTATGGAGCCAGGACAGGGAGAAGAAGAGTTGGTGCTCTAGACACAGGTCTAGCTCCTCGTCACTGTTGTATCCTTCCGGGAGAAGGTATGGCAAGCCGGAAATATTGTACAGGGAGCAACTCGATCGGCGTAGGAACTGCATTACGCCGGAAAACGCTCGCAGGGCGTCGGACTCGAAGCTGAGTTCGCGGACGCTGTATTTCTGCACTATCGACAGGAAGAAGGTGAGTTGTTTGAAGCCTTCCGTACGTATTGTGTAGAGTTTGAGCGGCAGTTGAAACGATGAGCCGCGGACGGGCCAGCGCTTCCAGTTCACAGCAGCCTGGTCGGTAATATATTCTGGCCCGCCGAGACGTTCCATCCACGAAGCCTGCTGGCAATAATACGACATTTGCTCGTCGGTGAAAACAAGCAAGCGCTTCGACAACCAACCCTCTTGGAAAATCCACCCTCGAGTAAACCATTTCGACGTCTCGATGTGGAGTTTGGGATCCTGGCCGATGCTGAAGATGGTTATGCCGTTGAGGCGGACTATTTCAACCTTATTTCTGCTACTAGGTGTGCTGCTGACGCCTGGCAGGCCGTACGTTTTGTCCTGGCCGGCTGCAGCTACGATGACGAGATCGGCGCCTCGGTATATCTGGTCCATTCTGCTGATCTGGTCATCTCGGTGCGCGGCATAGGTCTGATCGACGCAGTACTCGTCGACCCATAAGAAGCGGTACCCCAGACCCTTGGTAACGCTGATGGCATCTTGGATCGTCCTGGGGAGGTCGGCGGGTAATTGTCCGCATGTAGTAGTCGGATGCGGGTTATTCGACTCCCAATCTGTAGGTGGTTGAGTCCGACTGCCCCATACATAACTGAGCGCTATCCACCGCGAGGATTCCCTTTCCGCCTTCACAACGCACGATTGCTCGCAGTCGATAAGGTGTAAACCCTCAATGAAAGCAGGCACCTCATTGCATAAAGAACCATGCCGTTCCTTACAGTTCGACAGCCAAGATGCGGCCAGCTCACAGTCCCATCTATTCCGTATCCTCATACGCGGTACGAACAGGCCGCCAGCGGGGCCCTCCGCTCCCTCATCTGCACTGCAGCAAAAAACATACTTATGTTCTGGTCTTCGTAAAAAGGGACGACCATGCTTGACAGCCAGCAGCTGCACACTGTCTTGCAACTCAGGAACGACATCCGCAGCCGCCCAATCACAGTTCCGCAGAAACGAGAAGGATTTGAGTCCAAATTGCCTGTTTTGCATTCGGGGTGGGAATGTAGGGGATAGGAGGAGGTTGCAGAGGACGCAATTTAGTGTGTATGTAAGGAGGAAGCCAGGACGGTGGGGTTCATCGCGGACGCTATTTAGGGGGTATTTGAGTAGGTATGAGAAGTCGATTTTGCGGCATGTTTCGCAGATGAATTGTTTTTCCGGGTTGGTGTTTTCCATGCTGGAGGGGGCCGGTAGTTTTTGTTGCTTCAGTGCCGTTTCCGTTGCTCGACAGTATGCAGTTACTCACGCGAGGGCTTTGAGCCTGGATCGATCGAAATGGACCAGCTGATTCAAGGAAATCAACCACTAGACATATAGGGTTGATGGTTAGGAAGACCAGAAGGGTAGCCGTCATAGGTTGTCCTGTCAAAGCTTAGTCATATCCGAGCTGAACACTCAGCTGAAGTTATGCAGACGCATCCTCAGCTCCGGGAAACGCAACCGAAACTCAATTGAAAATAATGTACCTTGTATTCTTCGACTACTATCATGTTCTCATATCGGACAATACAATCTCCTCGCAGGGCGACTATGACTTCTTCACATTATTATTTCATTGCTCCAACTATTTCAGGGATCTTGCGTGTTCTGCAAAATCACCTTGATCATCTCGTTCCCCAACTTGGTAGCCTCTGGAAACCTGGGCTCAAAGTACTTCTGGATCCTCTCAAACTTCTCCCTATATCCATCGAAGTTACCAAGGCTGACACGTGAACTCCAGTCCCTAGCGGCAAAGGTGAATTCAAGGTCGTCGGCACGGAACGTGTTGTCGTCGATGGCAGTATCTATGGCTTCTTCGAGGAGTGTGGGGTTGCGGAAGAGATATTCTGTGATGCCGAGCCACATGCGCGAGGGCTGTACGTATGTTAGCTAAATGGAAGCGAGTATCGGTGTCGTAGCTTACGGGAGTTGAACAGATCATATGGTCATATGGTACGATGCCTAGCTTCCACCAGCAGTCTACCATGGCCAGTAGACTGAGATGGTTGTTCTTCAGCTTCTTCTCTGGGATCGTGCCCAGAGCAAACTTGTCGAGCAGATCATCTCGCAGGAGAAGCTTCTTGCCGTCATGGTTGTCTCCAAATACAGCCTTGCGGGCAGTGTGCACTCGTTCGCGCAACTCGTCCCGTTGACCGGCAAGCATGAGCTTGAAAAGTTCAGTGACAGACTCGGCGTACTGCTTGATCTGCTTCTTTGCATCCGGGTTCAGTATGGCGAGACCAGCGTAGACGTGCCACTTGTTGGAGTAGATGCGAAGTGTGATATTCATCTTCACGTTCTCGATACCGCCGACGTAGCGCGAGGAATCCCAAGGAAACTGGTTGTTCGCAAACCAAGCACCACCCATGCTGAGGAAGGCGGCATGGGTAACGGCCTGTGTATCTGCGGTAATGCGATCGTGTTGTTCGGCTGTTAGGTAAACGTGCTTTGACCCGAGGCATGACATGACCTTCTCGACGAAGGCAAAGTCGGCATCTGAGGCTCGATACTTGATCAAGACCAAGGGCTGGCCTTTCGGGTCGAGACCAGGGCCGTGTAGAGAGTGGACAGAGACGATGCTGACGTCTTTGGGAAGGTGTCTCTCAAATGCTTCCATCTCTGGAGCTTTGCATGATGTCTGTCCACCGACGATCGCTCCAACCTTGGTTGCTGCACACAGGACCGCGTTAATTCAGGAAAACATCAGTGGCAGGAGATGTCATACAGGGACCAAAAGCTTTCACAACGGCGTCGATGTTCTTTGCCTCGACGCTGTAGATGATGTAGTCGCTGCATCGAGAGACGAAATGACCACTTTGCATGATCTCAACTTTGGGCTGGCGCAATCTCAGCATGCGTTCATTCATGTTATAATATATAAGGTGCTATCCTACAAAGTCCTTGAACTCGTCCACCAAGGAATCGAACTTATCCGGAAGATCGCACGCATGGACTCTTCGCAAGGCAGCATGTCAGCTAGTGTGAGCAGGGAATGTATACTGTGAGCCACTGGTTAGCAAGGTCCAAGCCATGAAGATTTGAACAATGCGACAAAGTAATTTGTGGATCAGAGTTGTAATAAAAAAGGTAGCGAGGGTTCACATCATGGACAGCAACTTGCCCAATTACTGCTAACCAAGACGGCAACAGTGTGGGCAAGCGCTATACTCGAGCCAAATGCACTCACGGTCATCATAATAAAGAGGGGAAAAGAAAAATGGGAGCTGACTTACCAATTGCAAAGACGAAGCATTCTGAGCTTGTCACGCAAGAGCACTCACTTCCATCCAGCGTTGCTCAGCCGCCGAGCATACATCTTCCCCATATCGCCCATGCCGATAATTCCAACGCTCTTGCCATGGTCCATGATGTTGAGAGGGATACACGCTCCAGTGCGTGAGTGAGGTGAAAGAGTTCAGCCCATGTTGGAGGTGGAAGATGGGAGTAGCTTCGCAGCCGCCAAAGAAAAGTTCACCACGCGGCGCGCTAGGCGTTCGGCGCCACTTTCCTCCGCACACAACCGAAAACCGCGCCCACCAAAAGTTCGACCTCGAATCGACCACCTTCACGAACCAGCCAGTCCCAGCTAATACACAGCCAAAATGCCTCCCAAGAAGAAGGTCGAGCGCGCCACGACCGAGAACATCCAGCTCGGTCCCCAGGTCCGCGAGGTACGTCAACGACAGCTCCAGCTTGCACGAGCGCGAACTGACAGGAAAACAGGGCGAGCTCGTCTTTGGCGTTGCCCGCATCTTCGCGTCCTTCAATGACACCTTCGTCCACATCACCGATCTGTCCGGTCGCGAGACCATCTCCCGTGTCACCGGTGGCATGAAGGTCAAGGCCGACCGTGACGAGTCCTCCCCATACGCTGCCATGTTGGCTGCCCAGGACGTCGGTACGTAAAACCAAAGGCCACTTTGGAAAAGGACTTTTTACTGATTGCTGGAATAGCCGCCCGCTGCAAGGAACTCGGAATCTCCGCCCTGCACGTCAAGATCCGCGCCACTGGTGGTAACGGCACCAAGACCCCCGGCCCCGGTGCCCAGTCCGCTCTCCGCGCTCTTGCCCGTGCTGGCATGCGCATCGGACGTATCGAGGACGTCACCCCCACCCCGTCCGACTCCACCAGGAGGAAGGGTGGTCGCCGTGGTCGTCGTCTCTGAGCATGTGCGCATACATTTGGCTCAGTGGTGGAATATGGCATGGCATGGTTGGCACGATTTATGGTTTCATGACCACGATCAAATAAAGTCGCGGGGAACGGCACATATCGCCTGGTCTCCATGTTGAACTTGGCTTCTCTAGCGAGGTAGTCAAGCGAAATCAACAGAATCCTTTTTAGTTCGAAAAGGCTTCCCGACAATCAAGTGCTTCCTATTGTGCCTAATCAAGATTGCGTTTATACATTACGATTACTATTCGACTGTGACGATGTACATTATATGTCGACAACCTGGACGGGATTGCCTAGCTTTCCCGTGTTGCCATGCATTTGAGCTGCATTTACCAGGATGGTGTTTGGGCTTTGCCCTCCCCATACGCGGTCCCATAGCAGCTCTCGGGTTCCGCGATACAGGACCCTGACAACGCTCCACCACAATCGCGGATTGAGTAAACCATGTGTCCACTTTGAATTTGTAGCCAGCCCTTGAACATAGGCATCATGGGCCTTATCCCACCACACCACTGTCATCCCCGCCCCCCAATGCACATGGCCGAACACATGGAGCGTTGGCTTGACTCGCCTGACTTCTTCCAGCAGATGCTCACAGCCCATACCGTGAGGGAGGGATAGGTCTAAGTGGTACTTTGGTGGCGTATGTGTGACAAGAATGTCTGTATTCTTGGGCACAGTCTCTGACCACGCATCTCGTCCTCTTGGATATTGGAAGGCATGCACGCTCATGGGCCCGCATGCTGGTATTTGTGGTGCGCCGTAGATGCGTATTCGTCTCTGGTCTCGCTCTGCCGCGAGTAGTGGCGTTCTTGCGCTGGCCGGATCGGTGCTCTTGGGCTCGGTGGTAATCGTAAGGCTGAGCCGCCTGTGTTGTAGATAGTGCAGCCTCTTCCAATTAAGAGTCCCCCTCCTCTGTTCTTCGGATAACGACGGCCTTGTCCGTGGATCTAGATATGTATCATGGTTTCCGCTAATCACCACAATCTCCTTGTGCGGTAACGAGACCAACCAGTCGATCTGTTTTTGTATTTCCGCAATGCTCCCATCATTCGTCAGGTCCCCCGCGTGTATCAGTATATCTCCCGGTGGTACGTCCTCTGGTATGTTGCTATGTGTATCCGATATGCACACGACTCGAATCGAAGGCTGCGTAGGTGTAGGCGTGGAGCGCAGGTATGTTATCAGGTGGTAAGCATGGTATAGCAGTAGCTTCACTGGCGCTCGGAACAGTAGTGCGGCGAAGGAGTAAGGCTCAAAGTCATCTTTCGGGCGGTGGAATGGGTTGAGGAACTCGAGGACCATCGCCGAGGGCGTCGAGCGTCGTGACCGGTATTGTCAAGCTTGTAGCACCCGTGGTGGTGAGCAAAGTCATAGCATTGCGGCAAGTGGCGTGCACTTGCCATTGCGTGGCTGTGCCAGTCGCGGCTTACCTCGAGGCACACTCCACTCTTGCCGACATCACCATCTCTCGTGACGCCAAATGGACCCCAACGAGAACCATCTTCAGCCACACATGAGGCTACAGCATGTAGCAGAGAGCGCCATCGCGTTTCGAGCGAGGAGGCCTTGACCGGATCCTAGCAAACCAATCTGGTTATTGGCCTAGGCCTTGCAGCAGGCCTTCAGCTCGAGGCAATGGGGGCGGTGTTAGTGACTGACTGCGCGCTTGCATGAAGACGTATTTTGAGTAGCCTTGGAGGATGCATATGGTTAAGTACCAGCCTTCTCCCTTCATTTCAAATTCGTTTAGACTATTGTGACCACTTTGTTCACGTATTTCTTCTCGTCGTCCTATTTCTGGCCCCTTCGTCCTTCTGACCTTGAATATTTGAGCTGCTTCGCGAGACCCAGCCCCTACGAATCGCAACATGGCCGAATTAGCTATTGGGGGTGTATCCTTCTTTTTCCAGGTGTTTGCCGGATGTATCCAAGGTTTGTATCTCCCGCTAGACGCTGTGCAAGCCTTGTCCAACCGTGCCTAGGCTATGAGTTGATCGCGGATGCGTGTCGTTTGCGGGATGACTGCCAGGCTCTTCTTCTGAAATTCAAGATCGAGGAGCATCGACTGCTCAATTGGGCTAAACTTGTTCAGCTCGATTACCGAGATGACAAGTTAGTTCTTAATCACCTATCGAAGGGGTTGATCATCAACATCATGGAGCAGCAACAGAAGCTCCTGTTCTCGTTCGGCCGCCTCAACAAGAAGTACGAGAGACTCACAGACCCCCTGCTGGTAGAAGAGGTTCAAGAGTTTGTCTTGGAGAACTCTGATCGGCTGCTCGAGAATGGCAGCACGAACGGTACTAACGGTACCAACGGCACCGCGAAAGGACATAAGAAGTCCGTCCAGTTTCCACCAACCGAAGAGCTCGTCAAAATGTCCCTCAAATTCATGCAAAACTTCAAAGACACTCCAAGGCGGCTCAAATGGGCGGTGTTCGATCATAAGAAGATGGAGAGCTTGATCGTCAAATTGACCGACTTCAACGACAAGATGCACGATGCCCTCGACAAGGCACAAATGGACCTCCTTATCGACATGCAGACCCGTACGAATGACCAAATCGTTCTCCTCAACAGGACCATGTCGCACATGGTTCAGATCTATAGATCTGAGCAGCTTGCATTCCACCGACACTACTCCATCATGGATGTCGAGGACTCCGAGTACGATGAACTTTATGGCGGTGTGGGACCTGTGACTCGCGATGCCGCGCCACAAGCCCTCGCTGCACTGGCGCAGCAGAATTACATCCACCTTGCGATCGAAGAGTCACAACTTGTTACGGAGGGGGATGCAAATGAGATTGGGTTGCCACGCCTGGCAAAAGACACTGAACTCCTGTTCGAGGACGTGTATCCCAAAACAGGGCGATATTTCCCCGCCGACATTGATGAAGGTCTCCGGACGGAAGCAGTCTACAACAACACTTCCGTCTGGATCGAATGGAAGAATCCCGATCCATCGGGCCCGGCCCAGCACGACGGTGCGATTGATCCCAAGATCCACGCGCGCGTCAAGAAACTAGCTACTTTACTCAACAAGAATAACAGAACGGTCCGCTTTAGAGCGCCGTTCTGTCGCGGGTACTTCATTGATGAAGATGAAGGACGCTTCGGCTTGGTGTTTGAGAAGCCTGCATCAGTGCCTGCAGACACGGAGCCTACGTCTCTATACTCGCTGATCAAGGCTGCAAACGAGGATGGCTCAAGCATCGAAATGCCCTCCCTCACAGACCGCATCAAGCTCATGAAACTTGTCTGCGAAACAGTTGAGCGCCTCCACGCCGTCGACTGGCTGCACAAGGGCCTGCGCTCCGCCAACATCCTCCTGTTCCCCAAGAAAGATGGCGAGATAAACTATATCGATCCGTACATCTCAGGATTCGACTACTCCCGCCCCGCCGCCAGCGACGACATGACGGAGCGGCCTCTCGAGAATCCTTCAGCGGATATCTACCGCCACCCCACCGTGCAGCACGAGGGCAACCGCGAGAAAACCTCCGGTCGCGAGAGCTACAAGAAATCCTTCGACCTCTACTCGCTGGGCATCGTGCTCCTCGAGATTGCGTACTGGAAGACGATTGATCAGATTCTCGACATCAATCTGGACAATCCTCGATTGAAACCAAAGGATACGTGGGCGGTCAGAGAGCGGTTGTTGTTCACGCAGCATGGGCATTTGAAGTTTGTCAAGAGTTATCTGGGAAACACGGTGGAGAAGGTGATTAGGTCTTGCCTTGAGGGGCCTACTGCGTTTGGGCTGGAGGCGGATTGTGATGAGAAGAGGGAGGTGGTTGCTGCTGCGTTGCAGAGGGCGTTTGGCGAGAACGTTGTGAAGAAGTTGGCCTTTATGCAGGGGTTGTAGATTTTTGGCTGTTGTGTAGGCGTCTGGAGTCTTCTCTATGTAATTGTAACGCAGTTATGACATTCTCGGCGATTGTTTGTTGGTCTTAAGACCTAGCATTGTGCTAACAACATCGATCTTCCATCCCTAGGTCCATAAGTGATTTTCAATTATGTAAATCCTCATGTCCGATTGGGTGAAGATTAGATGGGCCCACTTGCATTGCCCTGGAAGCGGTGTGGTAAAGGGAATGAAACTTGTACCTAGATAATCATCTTCACAAGTCAAAGTCCAATCGTCGCGTGTGGTGTCACTGGGTATTGATGTCACCTAACCTATCGAGAAAGACTTTCCAATATATCGCTATGTATCCCACCGCTACTCGTGCCTATCCGCTCCAAAGCGACTGCCATCCCATGGTTAGGCCATGTCGCCCACCGCTCCCTCGTCTGGGGTTATGCAAATGATTCTAAAGTATGAACAAGGGTCGGTCGAAAGCGCTTAATATCCGACCTTCTTGAGGTACTCTCCCAACTCGACGACCGAGTTGAAGGCATTGGGTGTCTGGATGGTGTCGGGGTGGTGGGCGATAAGAAGGGCTTGCGTGGTCTTGTAGGCGACGATACCCTCTTTGCCCTGTGATATACGTCAGTATCTAGTGCTATGTCGTGCTTTGTAGACTCGCGAAGCATCTCGTGTGGGAGCGCACCTTCTTGGCCTTCAGCGAGTCGTCGGTCGACTCGATGGTCATGTACTTTTGGCCGTTCACCTTGACGCCATTTGCGATAATAGCCTTGGTCTCGCTCTTGTCGTTGAAGGAAGCAGCGATGGCGCTCATTTCAGCAGCAGTCAGCTGTAGCTTTGTTAGTGACTGCACTTCTTCCCTGTGTGTGTATGCTAGCCCATGCTGAGACCCATGCCCAGGGGTGAATTTGTGCGCGAAAGGGTCGAGAGACGTACGGAGAAGTCTGAGGACGAGGCCCAAGTGGTCTGACCATTGACATCGCAGATGAGGGCTTTGTCGATGTTGCCGGTGCCGACGAGGCTGAAGCGCGAGGGTTAGAAAGATTCTAGTTTCTTCTGAACGGTCGAACGAATGTACCTCTGATCAACGTATGCTGGCCATAGTGTTAGCTACTCGTGTCTGAAGCGTGTGTGATGATGCCCACCTTGCCACGACATGTTTACTGAGGGGTGATGTGCGTGCTGCGGGAGCCTGTGGTGGGATATGCAAAGGATGTGTCGCGGAAGAAAATGGCAGATCGGAGGCGGAAGTCGATCCAGGTACTTTTGACTAAGCAGGGAAAAGGTGTATATGCGGTGTGAGAGGCTCAGGCTGCAGGTGTTGGGCAAGTCGCGAGGTCGGGTTAAGCCGTTGATGGGCGAGCGCGAGCTTTAGATAGTGGGGCAATCTTTTTCTGTGTCAAGGCAACCCCGCAGTGCCATGTTACACTCATATGGGCGACGCAACCAACGCACTTTTACTTGTCTACAACCAACTGCCTATTTCGCAAATGCCCGTGAGACGGAGATGCTGCGCTTATGGCGCCATCATGCAGCCGCCGGTCGTGTGGGCGTCTCACACGCTTTCACGGCTGCGGCAGGTGTAGTTTCATGCAGACTATGGAGCTGAACGAGACATGCAGAAGCCTGAATCCATGGAGAGATCAAGGACGCTATGCAGTTTGCGAAAGGCACCTACAAAGAAAAATTGAAGCCATTCAGATAGCCTGTTTAGGATTAGGACTGAATCAGGGAAAGGCGGTATAGATGGTGAAAGGTATGCTCTGCTGTTGAGTCCGACATTTGCAAGCTGGTAGTTACTCAAATCTTCTTTCTGCTATAACAATTAGGCGCCTATCATAATATTAATAATATTCGACAATGCGTGTGTGGTGTGCTTCATCTTTTCATGTGTTACGTCAATCGAGCCCTTTGCCGCTGTTTGCGGACGTCTCCGCGAGTCACGTGCTAGCGCCTGAGCTAGGAGCTCTCCCAGCTATCCAAAATGTTCCGACGCGTTCATCATAGGCGAAGCCTGAAGCATCTCTCCACACGTCGAAGCGCATGTAGCAGTGAACGGCCCCTAATTCAGATCGTACGCGTATACGGTATCATAGAATGCCGTCTCCTTCGCCCTCCCCGGCGCGTTCGCGCCCGCAATCACGCTCTCCCAGTCCTTCGCGCGACCGTTCACGAACTCAATCACCAAGTCGTCCTAGATCAGCCGGCGTAGGGTCACAGAGGCGCTCGATATCTCCACGCTCACCCTCGCGATCGCGATCCCCTACATCTCATTCCCCGAGGCGCAATGGACGACGAAGCTACACCCCAGACAGTCGGTCAAGGTCAAGAGGACGAAGCTATACGCGCAGTCCGACACCAAGGGACGCGTCGCCAGCTCCTAGAAGTGCGAAGGTGAGATTCTCCATGTACAGAGCAGCTTCCAGATAGCTGTCTCTTGGTGCAGCCTGGCGCCCTTGATAGTAGCTAACCCTCAATAGATTGTAGTCGAGGCATTGACTAGAAACGTCAAAGAAGACCATATTCGCGAGATATTCGGCAAATACGGCGTTATCAAAGACCTTAGAATGCCTATGAATCCAACTTGTAAGTCCATCAGCCTCATTCCAATGCCAAGGCTAACTGCGTACGTAGTCAACGTAAATCGGGGAACCGCCTATATCATGTACGAAGAAGTCGACGACGCCGAGCGCGCAATCGCGAAAATGCACGATGCGCAGTTGGATGGCGCCAAGATACAGGTCTCAATTGTTCTTCCACGACGCCGTTTTTCGCGGACACCACCGCCTGCGCGCAGAGGTCCACCGCCCCGAGAAAGATACAACGACGATTATGACAGTTATGGAGGCGGCCGTGGTGGAAGGGGACGTGGGGGAGGACCTCCTGGTGGATATCGACCACCGCCGATGGATGGACCACGCTATCGATCTCCACCGCGCAGACGGTCGCCAGATCGAGGAGGGCATTGGGGACGTGGTAGGGGTGGACGAGGAGGTGGTGGTGGAGGTTATGGCCGACCGCGCTCATACACCAGATCTCGGAGTCGATCACCACGGCGAAGTCGATCACCGTCTTTCAGCAGATCACCATCTAGGACGCCACCCAGACGGCGAGGTGGGTACGGTAGGCGTGATAGTCCACCCAGGAGAGGCAGGGGTGGCGGCGGAGGAGGTGGGAGAGGTCGAAGGAGTCCGAGCTATAGTTCGTATGGCAGTCGTAGCCCTAGGGATCGCAGCCTGAGCAGGGATCGTAGATGAGCAGCTGCGTGACTAATAGCCATTTAGTATGGTCTAAAGCCTTTAGACATTATCAGTTGTTATAACTAATAGCCGTTTAGTGTAGTCTGGAGGCATTCGGATGCTTTTCACATGCCGAACAAAAATTACATTTAATTAACCACTGAGGATGCCCAGTCTCCACTATCAAGCCATCTTCAACTGAAATCCAGCTCCTTTCTCTTCCGCTTCCCTAGTCGCAAATATGCTACTAAAGTCCACGTTCTTCAAACCAGGTGCCTCGCCGCGCTTCGGCGCATGCGGACTCTTCTTCCTCCGCCGCTCTTGACCCGCTTTACTCGGGAAGGTAGGGAACATCTCTGATGGCTTAGGTTTGGGCTGCTCCTTGAAGTATGAATGCCCGAGTACTTCTTTGGATGTCGGCCTATGCTCTGGATTCAAGGATAGAAGAGAAAAGAGCAGATCAACGCCCGCGGCCGTCAGGAAGGGGAACTTTGCCCTGTTGAAGCCAGGCGCGTTGCGATGATCGCGAGGCATCTTGAGTGATTTCGCGTTGGGAAGGCGGTAGAAGCCCGGCCAGCTCTTCTCGGACGGCAGCCCGCAGAGCGAGAATATAAGACTTAGCTCGTCCACCTCGTTTTTCCCCTGTAATACTGGCTCTTTGGCAAGTAGCTCTGCGAATATACATCCGATACTCCACATATCGACTTCAGTTCCATACGTCGTTGTTCCGAGAAGTAATTCAGGCGCGCGATACCACAGCGTGACAACGAGTTGGGTGAGCGGTGCATTCGACGGAGGAATATAGCGCGCCATGCCGAAATCAGCGAGTTTGAGCTGTCCGCGGTTGTTGAGCAGGATGTTGGACGTCTTGAGATCACGGTGCATGATGTAGTTGTCGTGGAGGAAGCCCACTGCACCCACGAGTTGTCGTAGCAGTGTCTTGACTTCGCTGGCCATGAACGGTTCCGACATATCTTCCTGCAGCGTCTTGAGATCGTGCTCCAGAAACTCCATGACCAAGACGCATTCTTGCGGATCGTCGCCGGATAGGATTTCTTTCAGGTCAACGATGTTGATGTGGCGGGCTTTTTGGAGGATGCTGATTTCGCGGAGGGCGGTGATGGGGAAGCCGTCCTGGTTGTAGTCCATCTTGACTTTCTTCAGGGCTACGACTTCGCTGGTGGAGACTTCTCGCGCGCGTGATACCCAGCCATAGGAGCCTTCTTCGATGTGGTTTAGGGTTTCGAAATTGGATGTGTGACGGCAGGGTCCCCATGATCCACCGTCGAATCTTAGTAGTTTCCTCTCACTTTCCTGCTCTTGAGTTTGTGGCACTTGGTCGTTTTCATCGCCGGTCGACAGTCGTCGCCGCTTTGCTGGCCGTGCTGCCTCTTCCGCTTCTTGCTGTTTTTGGAGCTTCAATCGCTTCTTTTCTTCCTTCTCTCTTTTTCGACGAAGCTCTTCTGCTTTATCTACTTCATCATTTGCCCATCGTGATGCCATTTTCTCGTCACTTTGTGTCTGATTACCGCCGGTAGTAAGTCCCCTAGGCTCCTCAGAAATAGGAGTAGCGTAAGATGATCCAGTGGTATAGACGAGCTCAATTCGAATGTTTCACTGGTCTTGGTTGATGACAAGTAGCACGTGGTGGTGTAGGTACGAGGAGGTGGTGGTCATAGCTCTTTCACTTCCGCGTTCCGACTAAACTTTTTGTGAACCCGACCGCGCAAGACGTCATGGAGTTGCGATAATACAATTCGAGATGAGAGCGCACACTCTTAATCTACTTCAGACGGCAACGCGATGTAGTCGCGTGCGACCGCAGCCAAACGCGCATCAACTCGCGAAGTGCGCATCTCGGTGGTCTTCGACATCAACGTCCGCAAGCACAGAGCGAAAATGGTCAACACCACTTGCAAAGACGTTGGCTGAAGCCATTACGGTACAGAGTCATGGTTTTCAATGTTGGATTTGGCTAACAACCCAGCTAGACAACAGGCCCTATATCCGTTGCTGCTTACATGCGGCAATGCCTCACCCATCCCGAAGGCGGCTACTACACGCGACAGACTAGCACTGGGCAAGACCAATTTGGCACAAAGGGTGACTTCGTAACATCGCCGGAGATCAGCCAGGTGTTTGGCGAGCTGGTCGGCATATGGCTGTACGCGGAATGGCTTGCGCAAGGAAAGAAAGAAAAAGTACAGATAATCGAAGTGGGACCCGGACGGGGAACGCTTATGGATGATGTTCTGCGGGTATGTGGATGAGATCGAGAATGGACCGGCTCTCAAGCTGACAGCTTATAAGACTATTTCAAGTTTCAAGGCGTTTGCAAACAGCATTGAAGGAATCTACCTCATCGAAGCGTCACCTCATCTACAGAAACAACAAGCGAAGCTCCTCTCCGGAACCGAGGACTTGCACACAAGTGAGATTGGGTTGACTGCGCCGTGCAAGTACATCCCAGGGTGTAAGATCGAATGGTGTGAGGACATACGCCTCTTGCCAAAGGGTGAGTGTATACCGTATATTGCACCCGCACGGGGTACTGACACAGTATGTAGAGGAAACATCGACGCCGTTCATACTCGCGCATGAGTTCTTTGACGCCCTTCCTATCCACATCTTCCAAAACATCGCACAGTCATCCATTCCTGCTTCCTCGACTATCATAACCCCAACTGGGCCCATCAAGCCGAAGCATGGCGTCACAACACCAAAGAACACCTGGCATGAGCTTGTTGTCTCACCTACGTCGCCATACGCTAGCGCGGGTACTACTATAACAACAGCGACAGGTAAAGCGGATGAGAAGCTTGACTTCGAAATGACAATCTCGAAAACACCAACCCCACACTCACTCTATCTACCCAAGATGTCGAGCCGATATAAGAAACTAGAAAACACTCCCGATGCCATTATCGAGATCTCTCCGGAATCATTCGCCTACGTATCTGACTTCGCCATACGAATAGGTGGTAGCAACTCTGTACCAAGCAGTCCACAACCTGCTTCCTCACCAAATGCTCCAACCTCCAACCAAGCTTCCTTTCCAAAACCCGAACCTTCGGGTGCTGCTCTCATTCTAGACTATGGACCCTTGGATACCATACCGGCCAATACACTACGCGGCATCCGCTCCCATCGCGCCGTTTCCCCATTCGACTCACCAGGCAAAGTGGATCTTAGCGCAGATGTTGATTTCGTCGCTTTGGCCGAGTCGGCACTGGGCGCCTCCCCCGGTGTTGAGGTTCACGGCCCAGTAGAGCAGAGCTTCTTTCTGTCAACGATGGGTATCAAAGAGCGCGCTGGCCGGCTACTAAAGGGTGCAAAGGACGAAGAGACGAGAAGAAGGCTAGAAGTAGGCTGGAGGAGGCTTATTGATATAGGTCCTGATGGTATGGGCAAGACTTATAAGGCTATGGCTATTGTGCCATATAAGAAGAAGGGGCCTGTACGTAGGCCGATTGGGTTTGGGGGGGATATTGTTGGTTAATGCCATTACTTATCATGAAACCAATACCGACAAAGGGCTTCAACACCAATTATCTGACCTGAAGTACTCATCGCAAAGCTCCAACACGTGGACTCCGCGGCACTCTCAACGATTGACGCACGGTGACTAAGCAGGGCATGCATGTCAGCCTAACGCTACTGCCTTGTATGCTTCATCGACGTTGCGTGTTTCAACTATATAAATCCCAAGTCTAAATATCCTCTACTGTTCTTCGATACGACCCCATCGAACAGTCGCCATCGTCATGGACTTCTATCCAGGGTACTTCGTGGTCACTCCGCTGCTTGCTGTACTGTCAGAAGAAGCAGCAGCAGCGAATTACACCACATGCGCAAATGGTGTAAGGTCTTTCAGCCCCACCGATCAGTTCATCTGTGACGCATGTCGCGCTCTGAAGTTCAGCGATCGCGTCCTCGAGCAACCAGTGGGTGCAGTCACCCTTATAATCGACCGGAAGCCTTCTAGATTCGAATCAATGGAGACCATGCGTTGCGTTCTTTGTCTGGTGTTATGTCAAATCATTGAAAATTTCCATCCCGATGTTCACTGGGTTCCTACCGCAATGACCAGCCCACGATTATTGGAGATCCTTTGGAGGTCCTGGGCACCCGCAGCCTCCACTGAGGGAGAAAGGCCTTATGTCATCATATCTTCCCGCAGCGATAAAGGTGGCTTCAAGCCTCAACGAGTTCCAGAGCGATACGATCACCGTCGCGCGAAGCTATGGATTGCGAATTGCATCGAGTCCCATGTCCAGTGTAGCGATGAAAGGTTTATAATTGATGGAATGCGACTCATCGATTGCCAGACAATGAAGATCGTCAACGCCACGCCTGGGGCGTGGAAACTTCAATAAAGCTATCACAAAAACCGCCTCACGGAGATGTGAGTTAGTTGCCACCTGAGATACCAAGAACAGTCAGAGACGCCATAACCGTCACCGTCGATGTTGGCTATCGCTATTTGTGGGTCGATGAGTACTGTATTGATCAAGGCCACGAAGCACACAAGGTAGATCAGATTAGTAAAATGGATAGAATCTATCACGGTGCTGATTTCACGATCGTAGCCACAGGCCCCGATAAAAATCATGGCCTCCCTGGAGTCGTCTCAGCAAGGGAATTAGGACCCCAGGTTTTCCACTTAAACGGTAAGAGCATTGTCTTCACTGGTCCAGATCCCTTGTGGTCAATACGAGATTGTACATGGATGACTACAGCATGGACATTTCAAGAAGGGTATCTCTCCAAGCGACTCCTGGTGTTTACTGATCACCAGATGTCGTTCTACTGTGGGGCAGCCTCTTGGATGGAGTCCCTAGGCGGTCTGGAACAGTTCAAGGATCCAGGCAGTATAAACTGGAATACATGGGACGCAAGGTGCTCGCCCTACGGTATACCTGAGTCAAGCACACATCCATTATCTACGTCCTCTCGTACAGGTTCGACACCGGAGATACTCCGTTTTAGATATAATAACTTTATGGACCTGGCAACACAGTATACCAATCGAGGCCTGCGTTACGATTCCGACGCGATAAACGGCTTTTCAGGTGTTATGCACTTTTTAGAGAAAGAGGCTCCACCCATTCTCAACGTCATAGGGCTACCGTATATCCACTGGGACACTCAAAGACAGAAGCGCTTCATCCTGTCCCTTTGCTGGTATCACAGCGTATCTCCAGAAGTTACCAGGCGCAGAGCAGCTTTCCCATCTTGGAGCTGGGCTGACTGGACGGCTGGTATAAACTGGCACACTCGGAATCCATTATGGAACCTAGATATTATGGAAAGCTCGGTGCGAAATGTGTCCTTGGAGTCAAGGGACCCTTCCAGAAGTATCATTTCCATTGATTCGCAGCCCTCTCAGGAATTCCTCGCAACGGTTACTACGATCCACTTGGAAGCATTGATATTCCCCGCGCACCTTCTCTCTGCCAGAAGCGCAGAATCAATATGGACAACTGACTCATGGGATGATATCATCGTCCATGAGGATTTTGAAACCCTCACAGCAATGGCTCAACCTACTTGGTCGCCGAGCCATTTCAGAAGAAGCCTTGAAGAAGGCATCTGGTCTTGCCTCATGCTTGAGCTCGATCTTGTTTTCCCAAGCCGCCCAGGGTTCCTTATCGTAGTGGAATGGAAGGACAATGAGACAGCAGTTCGGGTGGGCGGTTTACTAATCGATATCTACAGTAACGACCCCTGGCCCCCAATGGAGTATAGAAAAGTCAGACTTGTGTAGTAACAGGCGCAATGGCTATCTACTGGAGCATTCTTGGAATCTTTGCATACATTGACATTTTTAGCGTTATGTAACAGGATGGATGACGTTAAAGAAGTCTCGCGCCCGCCAGCCAGGAGCAACAGCAGAAGTAAAAGTTACCCAGACGATACCGTAGAGCAGAACCTGTCTAAGCAACACGAACCCTTGGCTTGAGATTACTGTTACGACTGCTCAGCTCTGGATTCATATTGGGTCTTTACCAGTACGAACTCTTGTCGATGTTTCCTGCGCTCTAGCCCTGGCCACCACCACTACGGAGTCAGACCACAAAGCCTCGCACCCTAAAGGAGTTGAACTTGTTTGAGATATAACAAGGCCTTCTAGCTAGGATGCGAAGTCACGAAAGTCAATGAGAGAAATGTCACAGGAAACAAATATACGGCACGAATAATAACTTTGCAGGGTTTTTCATATCTTTTTCTAAATTACACATTATAATTACTCCATCTTATACTCTATCCAACCCCGTCTATCCAATGACAAAACCAAAACTAAGACATTGCGAACGAAACCAGTAAATCCAATACATGACGAAATCACAACTCAGCGAAGATCAAGCCCATAAGACCCATGGCACCAGCCATCATGACGTTCTTAGCATCAACGGCGACAGCAGCACCGGTGTACGCGCTGGGGGGAGCCACAGGGGCAGTAGTCTTAGCGACCGCGGGTGGTGGCGGCACAACGGACTGGATGGTGGTAGGCTGGCCAGCAGAGTTGGTGGTAACGATCTGGATAGTCTGGGTGGTGGTGACGGTGGCCGTGGGGTAGACGATGGTGGTGTTGACAACGGGAGCCGGGGGCGCCGAAGAGGTAGCATTGGCGCTGTAGGGCTTGGGGGTATAGGCCCAGCTGGAGCTGGAGCTGGCAGGCGGTGCGGGCTTGTAGCCGCAGACCTCGTCCTGGAACGCATCGTACTCGAGGCACTCGGCCGCAGAGCAGGCGGCAGCGACCTTGGCGTGAAGGTCGAGCTTCTTCAGCTCCTCGCAGACACAGGCGAAGTCATGGGGCTCGCACTGGGAAGTGGAGAGACACTCGAAGACGACGGTTTGCTAGGAGATGAGTGTTAGTATGTTTGCATGTTGGGTAGGTGGAAGGGGAAAAGACATACAGCGCACTGAGACAGATGCTCAATGGGACCAATGATGTCCGGGGGAAGGTAGGATCCCGAGCTGGAGGTGGGGTACCACTCGCTGGTGTGCGCTGGGGGCGCAGTGGGGTATGGCTCCGGTGTGTACGGTGCCGGGGGAGTCCACGCACTGTACGCAGCAGGAGCAGAAGAGTATGGCACCGGGGTGTAGACTACAACTGGGCTGGGCGTCGAGTACGGCTCTGGGTAGTACTCCTCTGGGGTAGGGGAGGGGTAATACGGCTCAGGGCTGGTGTATGGCTCTGGGACATACTGTCCAGCGGTGACAGTGACGAAGCTCGTCAGAGTGACGGCCGAGGTCAAGATGGTGGTGATGGTGGAAGGCATGCTGAACGAAGGGGCTTGAGTCGAAACGACAGAAGGGAGATGGTAAGATACGGAAGTGGAAGAGTATCCAAGAGGAAGAAGTGAGTGTCTTGTCCAGTGGTATCGAATCTGCATCACGACTCAGACATAAGAATAAATACTTTTTCCAAGGAGAGAATTCCGCTCGAGCAGCGCCGTGGCTGCGTGCGGTTTTTTCATCCTGTACGCTACGATAGAGCTGTTTGCGGGACTATCGTCGACATGAATCAAAGAGTTGAGCAAAAAAAGTTGGTGTTTAAAAATAACTTTGATACGCATCCGGGACTTGTCTTTGTTCCTGGCGATGATGTTGCGTAGGTTGATGGATTCGGGCCGCGCTGCCGCATTCGGCCATGGCCCTGGAATGTAACCTTTCCCGACTAGTCCCCCAGCCACAGCATTCGCGCAAATGCCTGCGAGCAACACCGCTTCCGACTTTTTTTTGGTAATACTGAAGAGGGTGATTGACTGAAACTAGTAAGTCTCGTGGCCATGTGCGGATAATCTGCCGCTTTCGCGCTGCTCGCTGGTTCCCGCTCGCGCTACGCCTTCACGGGTTCCTATGGAGGATGAACACAATCAGATCCGCGGACAGACTGTAGATACTGGTGTTCGATGTTGTTAGTTAATGGCTTTGGTGAGCTAGGTCGGAGCGGCATCGCCCAGCCACCCAATAATGCGGTCAATGTCCCTGATCTCGTAGAAGCACTCGTAGTGTGTCTTCGCGTATCGAATGGCACGTGAGCGATCATCCGTCGCGTCGCCATCAGGATCAGGTTGGTTGGCTAGCAGATTCTCGTAGTAGGGGTTGCAGCTCTCGCGACGAAGTCTAGGGTTTTCGGTCAAGTAGTCCCAGTACTTGTATGCTAGAACATAGGGGTCCTTATGGAGAGAGGGTAATTTAGCCATATCATAAACTGTTTGCGTCGGTGAGTATGAAGATGCTGTCTGTGATAATTCGAAGTGTTGAGGTGTTGGACCCGAGACAAAGGTAGAGCCCATTGTCGAAGTCAAAGAACTTTTGGCATGGATCACTCGGTATATGAGACAGTTTCGATGAACAACAATCAGTTGCCGCCTTTTTTTAGCAAAACAATGCTGCTCTCATTGTTCAAGTTGACTTTGGACATCCTAGAATGAACTGGCTTGCTGTGATCAGAGACATGAGGCTGGACCAGTGGTCTGTATTGCATGTCTCGAAACATCACGTCGAAGCGTCAAGGACGAGAGAGCAATAGGAAGGTCTGTCCAAGCTTCGTTATGGGTGCGCTAGATCTTGTTGTCTATCGAATGATGCTGCGCTACAGCACAATCAGATTCGAGTACACAAAGTGTCTCAGTGGAGTTGGGGTGTTTAGCCGTCGTCGTGGCCTGGCTTACATTATCAGAAGATTAGGCAAAAAACAAAGGCTTCGGTATGCGTAGGGTGCTCTATGCCCCTCAAGGGTCGCTTTGAATGTCAGTACTCTGGGGACACCTCTACCAGGCTTTGTTGAACTTTCGTCGCAATATGCTGGCCTGTTGATACAAGTCGTGTGCCCGAGTGTAGACAATACAAGGGGATTCCCACTTAGAAGGGTCGATGATTTGGAGAATTACTAGGTAGTAAGTAGCCTCCACTCTAGACACAGTGGATACGTTTATGAACCATGTATTGTATTCAGGTGGTGAGGGGAAGGTTCAAGGTCATGTGCAAGTGGACCCCGCCCAGCCACCTCGAGGCTTTAAGACAGACATGGTTAGCGTGTGCGCTAAGGGAATTGGCAAAAATCAAAACTTTGGAGATTTTTCGAACTTTGGACAACGCTACAGTTTCAACATGGCGTCCAAGTCGTAAGTTCCCTTGCGCTCCTCTTTCCTCTGGTGTACTCCAGCGTCATTTTAGTCGAAGCTGCAATTGCTAACACACCCTTCACAGAAGTGTCCCGACGCAAAATGACATTCTCGTCCCCGAGACACTCCTAAAGAAGCGGAAGTCTCAAGAGAAGGCCCGCGAGGAGCGCGCGCTTGCGACGAAGGAAAAGCGAGGTACGACGACTCCCTATGCCGTCGATGACTCCAGGAAGGCGATTGTGATGATGAAAACAACCACACTATCGGCTAGACTACGGTCAATGTTGTCGAACTGTTAACCATCTTTCGGGACTGATACAATCACCCTCCATGGAGCTCATGGCATGCATGCATAACACATGTGGCCAGTGCTGACTTGGAACAGACAAGAACAAGAAGAAGCGGGACGTCATCTTCACAAGGGCTGAAAAGTATGTGAAGGAATACCGCGATGCGGACAAGGAGAGGATACGGCTGTCTCGCGAGGCCAAGAAGGTTGATAGCCTTTATGTGCCTGAGGAGCCCAAGCTCGTCTTCGTCGTTCGCATCAAGGGTATCAACAAGATCGACCCCAAGAAGCGCAAGACGCTGCAGCTTCTGCGCCTTCTTCAGATCAACAATGGTGTTTTCATCAGGCTCACCAAGGCTACGTTGGAGATGTTGAAGATTGTCGAGCCCTTTGTCGCCTATGGCTACCCGAACCAGAAGTCGGTTCGCGAACTCGTCTACAGTAAGGCTGCCCATGTCACCAAGTATGCCTAGCATCACTGACCCCATGTGCAGAGCGTGGTTATGGCAAGGTTGATAAGCAGCGTATACCGTTGACGGACAACGAGCTGATCGAGGAGAACATGGGCAAGTACGGCATGATTTGTATGGAGGACTTGATCCACGAAATCTACACGGTCGGCCCCAACTTCAAGCAGGCGTCCAACTTCCTATGGCCGTTCAAGCTGAACAGCCCGACGGGCGGCTTCCGTAAAAGGAAGTTTAAGCACTTCATCGAGGGCGGTGATTTGGGTAACCGGGAAGACAAGATCAACGAGTTGATCAGGCAGATGAATTAATCAAGGGAATCGAAAGGGTCCGTTTCGTAGGTTTGGCTCGGTAAAAGCTGTGCAGAGATACCATGGGATTGTGCATTTGCATTGGCGTTTTGGGGATCCCGGACTTTAGGACATTGCGGACGGATCATTTAACGAGTTCACGTGCCAATGCAGCTTTTATTGAATGACACGGAAGTGCGGGCAATTTGCGCTCGAGCATTTGGCACATGGCATGTTTCGGAGTGCGAGACGGATGTTGGTGGCAGGATTACACAGAGTAAAGCCACTGCAAAGTGCTGGCGTGAGTGAAAGCGGCCCCGTGTGCATTGCGCCGTCATGCATCCATCTATCTACTAGGCAGCTGCCTTTTGTTTTTGAGTGCCGGGTTTCCGCGGCATGACGATGACAATCAGAAATCCAGCTATCGTGTGAATCAATCAAGGCTGTGTGTGTACCGATACGATATAGTATAGTTTCTGGTCTGCTGCTGCCTGCATGTTGAAGATCTGGTGAGCGTTACGAGAGAGAGCGATGAGTAGCTGCGAATAGGCTGACGAGTTGGACGCTTGGCTGATGTGGGTGGAGCCAAAGTCAGGCTCGACTCGTAAATTTCTTCCATGTGGGCACTTGATTACGGATGGCCGCGGGCCAGGCGTGCGAAACGGCCGAGAGGCTTGGGGTTGCCACTGGGCCAAAGTGACGATGATGGACTTGAGTTTTCTTGGTGATGGTGGTGGTGGTAGTGATGGTGGCATGCACGAGCAGACAGACAAGCCCGTGGACAGGCGGCCGCGGGTGTGTGTGACGCCCAACAACATGCTACCTACTACTGCTATACTCCTGACGCAACCCTCTCACCCAGCCATCAAAAATGGTCATTAGTTTTGGAGACGATGGCTGACGGTCCCTCGTCGTCGATGCTACTGCAGCTTGTCGGGCGCCTGGTGGGACATGACGCCCGCCTCCAAGACAGAACGAGGGCTGATTACCATTGATCGCTTGGGGGCCAGACGCCGTGGGCTCCATCCTGTTGCATGCTCAACACACGGTAGGTGTAGCCTACGGTCAGAAACGGGAGAGAGAAAAGCCAACCTAAGGGCTCGTCATGCGGCACATGGGAACTGCACGCAGCCTGGCACAATTTTTTCTTCACACAACTAGGGGCGACGAAGGAGGGTCTGGTGCACGCCTCTCTCTCCTCTCAAGATCAGCGCAAAGTATAGTACAGCAAGTAGGAAATGAAAATAGAGATGGCTACGCGTCGCAAGGGCTGGCTGGCTAGTCTATTGTACAGTATTGTCTGTCCACACGGTCCGCGTCGTCTCTATTTATGAACTGGCTGCTGGAATGGAAGAGGCGACACACCAAGAGAAACCCACCCACGGGCTACGTGGCTCACTCGCGGGCTTCGCTGCAGACGAGGGTCAGAGGAGGGTCAGAGGGTGGTCCCTGGGAGCGTTCATTGGTGTTGCGCATTAAGGGAAATGCAGAGGGTGCAGCAATTTGTGCCTGACGACGCAGCAGCAGCACAGCCGAGTCATGACTGGCCCGACGCTTTTATGACGCCCTAACCTACAACAGGCAGAGTTTTCATAGCACCCGGCTTGCTGAGTGGCCCCCCCTAATGAACAAAGGTATTAGCTTTCATGGCATGGGGGGGGACAGGAGACGAGGAGGAGTAGGAGGAGGTGGAGGGAGCGAGAGCGGGCCTTGCCAGAAGACGTTCGCTTCGCCGCTGCAGCGCACCAAACGGCCGGGCAACCAGCACATTCATTGTCAATCCCATCCGTCCATCTCTCTGTCTCCTCTCCACCTCTCTCTCTCTACCTCACACCTCTCCTCTTCCTCTCTCTCTCCCACGCCCCGTTGCGACTGTTGCCGCTGAGCCTCTCCGACTGTCTCGTGAGAGCGGGCTGATTCTTGCTGGAAGACGCTCGGGCAACCCTCGTCAAAGCCCTCGGACTCGTTCGCGGCCATCCCTCCCTGCTCAGCACCTTCACCTGGCGCGCTGCTGGCTTCTTACTTTTACTTATTGTCGCCTTGCACCTGGACTTGGACCTGGCAAAACGGACCGCGGCAGTGCTGCATCACGTCGGTGGTTTGACTTATTGGCTATAATTCGAGCACCCTGGTTCGCTGACACCTCTATCCGGTCGTCGCCTCCCTGCAACCTCGACCTGCTTCGTCACCACCTCCATCTTCGTTCCAATTTGTCCTTCCCCCTTCCCCGTCGGCTCGGTTTTGGATTGCATTCTACTTCGCTTGCGGTTTCGAGTGCTTTCTTTTCCTTCTTCCGCCTGCGACAGCTTGCGCCTGCCCGCAAGGACAACCCAACCTCCCACCCCCCATCGACCCGCGACACCACCATCGCCCGTCGATATCTTCACATCAATCACCGGCGATCTATTCACTTAGACCTCGCCCCGGTCCGCGTTACAGTTCCTGCCACTCGCGCTCGACTGTCATCACCAACAACAACGACCGCATTGTCTGAGTGAGACATATTTTTACACGACCTCTCGACGCTTCTCTCGATTATCCCACACGCACAACAACCTTCTTTACGCGAATCTTCTCCTTTGTGTGCATGAGCGCATCCCATTAGAGCGTCGGTAGACTCCCCACAGAGCGCACGCTCACCACCTACGCGGCGAACGAAAAGACTGTACGTCACCACCAACAAAACATCGCTGGCAGCGTCGTCACTTTGCGGCGCGCTTGTCACTTCCAAAGGCCACTGCTAACATCACATCCAGGTGCCTCGCCAGTCTTCTTCGTTCTTCTGCGACAGCTCCTCCACCACCATCATGCCGTCCTTCTACCCCCGCCACAACCTGCCGCGGCAGCTTCTGACACCCCCCGAATTCGTACCAAGTTACCACACTGCCTGCGGCACCACCTACCAGCAGCAGAACGCCTACACTGGTCAGCCAGCAATTCGGCAACAAGATGATGGCTACGACTTCGCAGACCGCTATGGCCAACTCGCCATCGCTATGCCACCCATGTATCCGCAGTCTGGCACCTACCTAAGCAACGCACCACCTAGCCTCCCGCCCGCGAGCTCATTCTACGAGCAATCTGGAGCGACCATTCTCCCGCCAATGCGCGTTCAGTCCGGTCACTCCATGGCAGAGGCTGCGGCCCAACAGCAGCGTGCGCAAGAGTACAACCAGCGCGTGAACCAGCCAGCCAAGGACGAGAAGCCTGTTGGAGGCGTGTCCGCGAAGCTGGACTACGACATGGACGTCATGACCGACTTTGTTTGCGAGACGGCGTTGCAACTCATCACTCCAGGTCGGATGATGCCCACGTCATTCCGAAAGTGGGTACACCAGGTTCTGTGTGCGACGAGGCTGCCGTCTGCGACTATCCTGCTTAGCATGTTCTACCTGTCCAGCAGGATGCCCATGCTCATCGCCGAGCCAAAGACGGATACACACTTGTTCCGTCTTCTCACCATCGCGCTGGTCCTGGGCAGCAAATTCCTCGATGACAACACCTTCATCAACCGTTCCTGGTCCGAAGTCAGCGGCATCCGAGTTGACGAGCTCAACAGACTCGAGATGGAGTGGTTGAACGCCATCGACTACAAGCTCCACCGTGACCCTACGGAACAGCAAGGCTGGACTTCCTGGTCAGAGCACTGGAAGGTCTACCAGGGCCAGGCTGCCACGCGGGCTGGCCGAAGCAATAAGCTCAGCCCCATCGATACGACTATGCATCGCCGCTCTCTTAATCCCAATAAGCCGCTTCCTCCGCTGCCTATGCAGCAGGCGTACAACCCGCCGTCCTACGAGTACACGCCCAAGTCGGCGCAGCCCTCCTACAACCTTCCCAGCTACTCCCAGTACGATCCGTGGAGGTCTGCCAATGACCACTCCCCCGCATCTGCGCCGACCACGGGACCTGCTACTCCGGAGTACTATGGCACAACAGGAACCTGGGCTCCAGCAGAAGGGTATTCCCGTCGCACCATGTTCGGTTTCCCACCCCTGTCCCAGCCTGCCCCTGCCCAATCCCAGCAGCCATCCACGTACGGTGCACATGCCTACCACCCACAGTACAACACCTCCGTTTGGAATCAGCATGGTGTCAACTGTGGTTGCAGCTATTGCTCGCAGAGGCATCCACCGTACTTCATGGCTCCTGGTTACGGCCCCCAGGCTGTTGCTGTTTAGTCACTAGCCCTTCCCTAGGGCGTTGTCGACCAAGAGACACTTGTCTCTTTACACCTTTCTCGGATACATATTCGACGTTCGATTTCATCTTAGCGATTCATTTGTCCAAAAGTTTCTGCTCAATTTCACACATCATGGTCGACTGGACCTGCCTTTGACCATGGACCTATCTAGGTCTCTGGATACCCATTGGCCGCTCTTCGCTTCGAACCAAGCCTTAGACCACCCGATCTGGACCTGTATCCTTCAAGACCTCGCCTGGGTCTATTCTTTCCGCAATTTGCACGCATTTTGGCGCCCCTCCGGATCTCATGAAAACGCATAAGGCTTGCGATCATCCTGCATGATAGATTTTCCTAGTCCTGTTTTGGGCCCTCTTTTTTCTTTTTGTTTCCATCGGTATTGTTTAGAATTCTGGGTTGTCCATGGTTGCCGGCACGTTCAGCGAAATTGCGGGTTACAGGCGTTTTCGTTCCTTTCACTGCAGTGTCACAGAGCACTTTACGATTTTATTTCTCATCCAGCGCTGCACCTCAAGAATGGACGGAGGGCACACTTGCATGCACTTGTTAATGGTTTATTCTCTGGGGCTGTCTATCGTTCTCGGTGCGCTGGGTTACTCGACGCTTCCATTACGAATGGTCTGTCTCAAGCCATGTCCGCCCCGTCATCATCTCGGCAGCGGTATGCAACACTCACCATCTTGGAGCGTCTGCGTGTAACGTTTCACATCACGACTTCTTACTTTTCGATCATCGCCTTCCGCTGTAGCCGGGTTGTAATTAATGGCATAGGATCAATGACTGGCGTCGCTTTCTTTTCCTTCCTTCTCGGAGCGGCGGAAAATACCTCTTTCTTTTTTTTATCATGGTTCCAATACCACACATGGCATTGTTTTGGGCAACGGGGTGGGAACAACTGTTTGGTGTATTATTGCGAGAAATAGCAGAGGCTTCGATAGTTGCAACAGCACAAAATGCGAAAAAAAAGGTCCCTGGAATGCGGCATTGCCGCGTGGAAAACACTTCTTCAGCTCTTCGATGTTGTGATGATGCATTTGAGCAATGGTTACAATGAGTGTTGTCTCACGTGGAGCACGATGCAACTGGGCGGCTTCTCACGTCAGCAGCTGCGATATATGCTGACCGAGTCCCTGGGGGCTTTCACTTCAAGTCTATACACTCGCCTTCGGTCTCCGCGTATCTCTTCATGCTCAGGCTATACACCCACTCGAGGACGCTGACACATTGCGGGGAAGCCGATGCAGGAGCATCATGCAGGCAGAGCCACGAGGCGCGACGAGGCACTTTAACTCCGACACCGCGATTCGTCCGTAAGAAGGCTGCGCCCGTTGATGGAGTATTACCTACCCCCACAATGCGATTTATCTGATCATCATCATACTATAGCCAGGGCCAAATCCTTCCCAACAGCGCGCCGGAGTCGCTTTTCCCACCGAGAAATACGGGGCTTATTGGACGACGAGATGCGCCGGCGTTCCGGGTCGCCAGGAGGGCCGAGCCAGCGAACTACATATAGAGCATCTTGAAGGGAACCAATGACGAGTATCTGCTACTGCCAGTCAAGGCAAAAGCGGTCTAACAGGTACGAATTCCTTCGTTGAGGAAGGAGAGAATGAACGAATCATATCGGCTAGAAGGGGGACTGGAGGGAATGTGATTCGTTCGTTGTGTGTTCAGTCAACTCCACACCCCTGCGCACTTTTTGTACGTCCGAGAAGACTACGTCAACGATATCTCCGTTTTGGTGTCGGGGATAGCGGGACGTCTCTTCTTCCTGGCTGGCATCTCGGTGTTTATTGGCGTATTAGTTAGAAAAGAGAGACGGAGAGAGAAATAGAGAGAGGGTGCAAAGTGTCACTCCTATAGAAAGACGCGCCATGTCCCGCCCATGCCTCATCAGACGCATACTAAACAACCACTCGACATCGACGCCGCGACAACGAGCCTACTACTCTCCAAGCAAGACAGACAGACCTCGTCCATCAAACTACTGGCAACAACCTCGTTTCAGCACAGGTAAAATGAGTTCCCTCGGCGGCGGCGCGGGCATCGTCGGCGCGGGACTGTATGCTGTCGTGAGTACGCCGGCGCAACAGGTGGGCGGCGCTGCGAGTGTGCCCGAAGACGCAAAGGACAAGAGGCATCATTTGAAGGGTGGCAAGGGCTTTGTCAATCCGTGGGAGAGTTATATTGATATTCCTGTGTGGGACTTGTTGGTCAAGGGCATGTTTTGGTGAGTTTGTTTTCTGGAGATGTATGATTGGGTTATGAAGTGGGTGAATTGGTATGAGAGAGAGACCTTGATGAGAAGGGTATAAAAGATGGAAAATAGAGCGTTGACAGCGGATAGTCTTGTCGAGTAACTAACCTGATATTCATAAACAGGAGAAAAATATCAGGCCAAGCAAACAAACCAGACACGACGTCCCCCACCGTCCCCGTCCGCCATCCTTCTTTCCTCCCGACGCGCTCCACGCCAAAACTAAGAGCGACATGGCTCGGCCACGCGTGCTATTACATCGAATACCCCAGTGGCCTGCGCGTCCTGTTCGACCCCGTCTTCGAAGACTGCTGCTCGCCCGTCCAGATGAAAGGGCTGAAGCGGTACACGCCGCCGCCGTGCGAGATTGAAGAGTTGCCCTTTGTCGACGTCGTGGTCATTAGTCATAACCACTATGATCACCTGAGTTATCCGACGACGCAGAGAATCCGGAAGAAGTTTCCCAATGCGCACTTTTTCGCGCCCCTGGGGAACAAGAAGTGGTTTGAAAGCTGTGGTGTGAGTGGTGATCAGGTGACTGAGCTCGATTGGTGGGAAACAAGAGATATCACGCTGGAAGAAGTCGGCACGTCCAAGGAGAAGGTGAAGAAGAAGGTATCCGTGAGTTCGACAGGAGAGAAAGATGCAGAGAACACGTCGTCGTCGCCTCCTCCCATCACAGCAACCATCAGCGCGCTCCCCTGCCAACACGTCAGCGCCCGCGGCCCGTTTGACAAGTGCAAAACCCTCTGGGCAAGCTGGAGCGTTGCGTCGTCTACGTCAAACGTCTACTTCGCCGGCGACACAGGCTACCGCGGCATCCCGCCACACGCCTGCCCGCCCACAGACACCGACGACCACGACGACTACCCCCCACACCTCGCCCACCTCCCCACGTGCCCTGCCTTCACACAAATCGGCCAGCACCGCGGTCCCTTTGATCTCGGCTTGATACCCATCGGCGCCTACGCGCCGCGCTGGATGTTCAGCAGCGTGCACGCGAGCCCCCAGGACGCGGTGAATATCTTCGTCGACACACAGTGTCGCAACGCGCTGGGTATGCATTGGGGCACGTGGGTGTTGACTGAAGAGGAGGTTTTGGAGCCGCCGCGCAGGCTGAAGGAGGCTTTGGCTTGGAAGGGCGTCCTGGATCAGAGCGCGTTTGGCGTGTGTGATATTGGCGAGTCGCGCGAGTTTGAGAGTGGGGTTAGGGGACGGGGTGGTGGTGTGTGAGGGTAGGTTGCTCGGGGGAGTAGATGTGTATGGACTTGTGTTCGAGTTGTATGATGATAATGGAGGTCTGACTCGTGATGTGAGGTGGACGTGTTCAAGTCGAGCAGGGCACACTCTACTAGTGTATTATTAATATTCAACGCCTTTGTACTTTGATCCATGCTGACGGGAAATAAGCAGCTCGTGGCATGCTGTATGGTACTTGAGTGTTTGACTATCACTTTAAGTGCAGTCTATCGTCACATTAGAGGGGAGTAAGCTTTACTAAAGTATAAAAAGTTTGATATGGTAAAACTAACATGCTAGAAGAAAGGGGCTGCTGACTGGCGATTTGTACTTTGATCAAGGCCAACTAACGATACGACGCGAGGTGGAGGTATTGAAGTAGAACAGGGTATAGATAACCATGTATTGCAATTTAAACATCACTGTCTTTGTAAATTGACTGTCTTTACAATCTGTGAAGCCGCCTTGATCAAAGGTCGATTGAACCTACTTACTATCTATACCAAACGCCTGTTCCTACTATTACTACAACGACCATGTCCTCTAGGAGTGAACAATTGTTCTGTTTTGTGATTAACGTGTATGCGTATCCCATGTTCCGATGGTGTAATTATATCAACATGATTAATGTTAGATCGTGGAACTTGGAACTTGGAACTTGGAAGTGTAGGAGTAGAAGAGTCATGATATTGTGAACAGAACAATCATAGAGCGTAACACCAATCAGATAGTTTCATTATATCTGACCCAACTGCATTCCTTGCCCAACTACGCGTATGAAAGAACCCCGCTGCATTAACCATAGAACACCAACTCCTAGCATCAATCTGGCTCCTCGAAAGGGCGTGGTCGTAATAAACAGCACTGCATCTCGCGAGATGTCATACTAGGCTTCGGCAGTACTACAAACGTCTAAAAATTAGCTTGACCACTCCCAACAAAGTTACAATTTGACTCACTCTTACAATAAACCAATCGTTATGTCTCCCTTGACACGTGCATAGATCTCGACCTAGGGCTACATCAGCCCAATCGTTATATCGCCCTTGACGCGTGCGTAGATTTCTACCTCGACTTCGAGATCCAGCTCGATCTTGATCTTCAGCGAACTGTCCTTTTCGCCTACTTTGGCGGGACGGTCGGTGATGCGCGACTGGTGGACGGGCACTATGCGACGGCCGCCGCTCCGTCGCGGCGCCATGGCGGGCTGGAGTTGCTCTGAGCCGTCATCGTCCTCGTTGTCCGAGGGCGCGTATTGTGGGGGAGGCGCTTTCTGGAGCGAGTTGTTCTCCTTTTGGCCGCCGAGCTTGGTGGGCTTTTTGCGATTGGCTTGGGGGCTTGACGAGGCTTCCGAGGTCGTGTCGTTGGTTGGGTAGTCGGTGACGGGGGCTCTGGATGCAAGTCAGAAGGAAGGTAGGTGTAGTAGACAGGAGCGTTGCGACTTACCCTGCGGACATGTTTACAGCGCTATCTAGCCTCTGGATTTTATGTGGAGAAGTCGTAGTGGATTTGAATTGTTGCGGGGAAGTGAAGTGAAGAATATAATTGGAATGGTTCGAGTGGGATTGACCCTTCTTTATGCTTCACAAATATAACTGGACACCCCAGCCGTAACGACGGCATACCGGTCAGAAACCCATATTTAAACCGGATGCCATGTTCATGACGGCGCCAACCAGGTTCTGTTTCACTATACTGCACCGAGACGCGCAGCTTTTCCAACGGCATGACAATCAGATGCCCCGTCTTTAAAAGCGGACTCCACGTTCATGACGGGTGCGAACCAGGTTTCAGTTCACCAAATTACAGAGGAGCGCTGCTTTTTCCTGCGGCTAGCCCTGTCAGGACCAAGCAGTAGATCTGCGCCTCCTTCGGCTTCCGAGTCAAAAGCAGGTTTGTATAGATATCAGCCCATAAACCCGCCGTTCTCACATGCCTCCTTCAGCGCTCTTCGTTGCCGCACCCACATCATGGTGCTGGGCATTATGACTGCCATTGCGGCCTGCCCTGCGATAATAGGAACCACTGAAGCCGTGCGCCAAGGCCAAAGACAGAACGCCAGGGAGAAGCACCGGGGCCTAAAGACGAATCTTTCCATAGTGTGCTCGCGAGCTACAAAGGGCGGCCGTGAAATCGATGGATGCGAGCTGGTCCTCAGCGAAAACAAGGTATGCCATCCCCCTCTATTCTCGGCACCCAGTCGGTCATTCTGTCTTCGGGCCTCCCAGGGGCTGACGAGATATACCTAGCTATATCTCAATGTGCCCTCGGATGAGTTTCCGGAAGGCCATCCCGAAGACCATCCATTCGCTGGCTACTTCCTGCCCTACCCCGACCAGGACTGGGGACGACAGGGCGAAGGCATGGTGTCGACCATTTCAGACGACCCGCCACAGCTGAATTGGATCTATATAGACCGCGATACCTGCGAGGTCAAGTATGGCGACCGAATCACCTCAGAACCTCACATCGTCGGCCCATGGGATGTGACCAAGATGGACCGGAGAGTCATGCTGACGGGTTGGGAAGGGTTTATGGCAGTTCGATACGGGCCTGGAGAATGGGCACTCTATTTCGACGTCGACGACAACGGACTGCAGGGAGTTGTTGGAGAAGAATTGCTGAAAATGGAGGTTGAACTGGTGCGAAGGGAAAAGAGGCAGGAGCGGACGTCGACTGGTCCGGCAACCGTTGCCGAAGCCAAGGCCACAGAGGGCAATGACGCAGCATGACTTGGCGGTATGCCCCCATGCCTTAGCTTAGAACAGGTTCCTAGATAATGCAGGGCATTACAAACCTATGGTGCCGGAAATACCAGTTTTAAATTCATTAATGCACGTCGAGGTTTTGGGATATTCGAGAACAATAGAAATTACGTTATTCCGTGATTGCAACACTACTCAATAGACCCTAAAAGCGCCTTGCACCACTATAATACAGACGCCAGTTTTACAAAGCTACCCTCACAGTCATGCCCCCCTAGTAAGAAGCATTGCCCAAATCATGCTCTTTGATATACTCGGCGCCCTTTTCTAGAAACTCGGCCTTGGTAATGAAGTTCTGCTTCGACTCTTTCTTGCCCGCCCATTGCGCTGCTCCGCGCCACGCATCCAGCACACAGTCCTTTGCTCTGCGCACGTTAGTCCCCTGCTCTGCTGGCAAAACAGCGCGCAGCTCTGCTCTGAGTCGCTCTTCAAAGCCCTGGAACAGGGTATTCCCACCCGTGAGGAAGATGTCCTTGAGTACATCGTCGCGGTACGGCGAGTCAGCTAAACGCTCGTTGAGGATAGTGGATGCAATCTCGATGATGCCGGCTTGATCGAGCCCAGCAATCGAGGGCTGAAACACCACTTCCGGGACACGGATCCGCTCGACGTTGAGGTGGACCTGATTGCTCTCCTTTTGGCTTTCGTGATCAAATGGATACGGGCCGTGCAAAAAGGAATGTAGGATACTCTTCGTCCAGTCCGTCTGCGCTTCACGCGTCGATTCCTCGGTGAAGTTGGGATCGTGCTTGAGAAGCTGCGACTCGATATCTTTTAGGTTTTTGTTGAGATCCTCCTCTTCTTCATCGTCCGATCCCTCGCCTGTCGCGATGGTGCGGTACACACCCCAATCTGCGTCATCAGCGCCAAATGTATCGTCGTCTCCACCTCCCCTTCGCCGTTTCTTAGTAGGGTTGTCTGAGGCTAGGTTCGCGATGGACTTCATTCGCATTTGGTTGGCAAGAGACTTTCGGTTTCCGAGTTCGGCTTTGAGACGCTCGCGGTCTTTCATCTTCTGGACGATGGCTTGTCGGGCTATCCGCCGCTCGTCGATCCAGCCTTGGGGATCTGTTTCTCTTCGCTCATCATCGAGTCGCTGTTCTTCTGCTTGGCGGGCCTTCTCCTTCTCCTTTTCTATCTTTGCACGCTGGCGAGCATCGTAGTTGGACTTCATCAAGCGTTGTTGGCGCTTCTGCTTGATGCCCTCTTCGTCGAGTTGATCGTCGGGTACTTCGAGCAGCGGGAAAGTGGGCTCCTCAACCTGTTCCTCCTCGACATCGCCTACGTCCTTGTTGCGAGCCTTCTTGATCGACGACTCCAGCTCCTTGACCTTTTTGTTCAATTGATTCTCGTCATCAAAGTCATTCGACTCCAGTACACGGGCCTTCTCTTTTTTGGTAGTGATTTCCTCGAGTTGCGCTTGCAGCTGTATGTAGTATTCCAACTCCTCCTCCTTCCTCTTGAGTTTGTCTAAACGCATCTTTGCGGCTTGAGCCTGTAACCTTCGTCCGCTCTCTTTGCGCTTTTCCGCTGCAGCTGCCAGTTCCTCCTCCGTCTTCTGCACCACGATTGCCTCTGTGTACGGGAACTGCACAATGTGATTTCGGTCCTCGAGCCCCGTCCAGTCCAGATAGCGGCTGAGGTCTTCTTCGTAATTCTGTGACACATAGCAATGTTCCCGTACAAGATCCTCGGCTTGATTGTCGCTGATTTTGCCAGGAAAAGTAGGGTACTTGAGTCTCAGCAACTTCAGGAGATATTGGGCGGACTGGAAACGGCCCCAGTTGAGGCGCGTAGTCTGTGATAGGAGCGGTTTCGAATCTATAACGGGTATCAGGTGGGTTGATGTGTATGACGAATCCATGATCAGGCCATTGCGACCGCCGTTGTAGGAGTAGGAGAAGAGCGAGTCGATGCCGTATGCGACCGAGGGCGCGCCGTAGCACTCGAAGAGGATCTCGGACATGGCTATAGCGTGTTAGCATAGCTCGATCAACTCGACACGAGTCCGGTTCCTAGTATAAGCACGTACTCTTCCTCGAGTATCCCAAGTTTGCAATAGGCTCAGTCATGACAATCGGCCTGTCTATGCGCCCATTCCGTCCGTCCAAGCCCATCTTGATGAAGCAGTAGTCGAGCACACCCTCCATGGCATCCCAGTTGTTCACAATGTTGCTACCAGGCTCATAGACGGGTTTCGACTGCCCGCGCGCCGTGCCATCCGAGTAGACGTCGGAGCCGACAAAGGTGAATGTTCGGTTTAGCTTCCTATCGCGATACCGCGCCATATTCGGGAGTACTGATAATCGCGGCTTTGAATCGAAGGACCACCCTGCGCGGACTGCCGACGAGCCTATAGGTTATTAGCACTCGTAGAGGATAGGTATCAAGGGTTGGGTCATCACCATTGTCAATTACTATGGCGGTCTCGTGGTTACTGCGCGCATAGCCTTCGGTATCTATGCGCCTGAAGCCTTCGAAGGGCGGTTCATTCACGCTCCAGATCTTCGCTGGTGGAGGTTTGGGCGAGTTGCGCCCCGAGGCCAGCGGCGCATCGTTGATGGCCGAGGGCGCCATGGTGGTGATAGTTTATAAGTGGACGGGGCTTGAGACAGAGCCTTTATATCATGTTGTGAGTCCGAAATGTGGTGTATAACAGTCGTTAGCGCATGTGGTGCTGAAGCAGTGCGCCGGGCAATTGTTCGTGAGGCTCGTTCCAAAGCATTACATCGGAGGTCCTAGCGCCTCGCGTCCTTAGTGAACCGTGTCTCACTTGCATAAGAACATCGGTTGATCCAGTGGCATCAAGCCGTTTCTATCAGCCATGATAGAAAATTCCAGTAATAAAGAGTTTCATTGTATTGTCTCCGCACGCATACGTTCACATGACGAAAGCGTGAGAATTATATCTCATTGCTTCTGGGTATCGTAGCTAATTTCATGGTGCCTAATTCCCTCCTACACGCTTACGGCGCCCATCTTTACGCTGGATCTTTCAAACCATTCGTGGCTAGTGATGATCAGTATTCATCTCTATAACAGACGTGATTGTGAAGCATACCTTCGAGGTGGAAGAGGACATTCGATTGATAGTTCTTGAACATTTGCGCCACGAGCTCGGTGTCCATATTTTGGATATTGATCTCTTGTAAATTCTTGTTCAGCATCATGATCGCCTCGTTGAGTTTCTCCTGCTACTTGGTTAGTTCGTCTAGGCCACTTAAGCTGTGTTCCGTGGTTACAACGGACAACGTTGACAATGATGCGGGAGAGCAGAAGGCTCTGTTGATGTTCGTGCGGACTCTCCTGCAGTAAAGTCAGATTTACGCGTCTTTTTTGCACAAGGTTCCTGTGTATCCTACCATGCTTGCGTTTGAGAATGTGGTGTTTATTTATCGAGCGTGTTTGGTTCGTCTGCGTGGCCATCAAAGCAGTTAGCAGGGCCAAGATTTAGTGAACTATGGTCCGGGAGAGCTCCACCTCCGCAAGATCCCACCTCTCGACCTTGGAAGGCAAGTTCCAATCCACGCCAGCACTTGTTCATTATCTACGATATATACCCAAGTACCCGAATCCTCGTCTCTTACTATTACAAACAAATCTATAAATACCGAGCTCGTACACGGCTGCTTTCGCGAGCTTCATCATCAAGTAAACATTCATCATGGCGCCCTTAACAGCCGCCTCGGACGAGAAGACACACCAAGCGCTCCTCGATAAGCTCGACATACACGCCGTCTCAAAACCCTTCCGCAACCCACACTGGAAGCCACCGCAGCGCCGCAACAAGAACTTGAAGCAGATTCTTGGTGAAGCTTCGCGCAAAGAAGCTTCCGTGATGGCTACACAGAACAACAGCGGTATCTCCACACCCGTGGTGCCACCCTCAGAAGGCATGACGGGCAACGTCACACCGGCCGGCAACGTGGGCCGGCCGCCAAACATTGCGCAAGCAGCCCAAAGTCTGAGCACGTTGGTCCTGGAGAAGAACGGCAGAGCAGCGGCGGCGGCAGCAGGGAATGGATCGGGACCCGCGCCTACGTACACGAACATCGAATCGGCACCGAGCTTCCACCCGAGCAGCCAGAAGAAGTACTGCGATATCACCGGTCTACCTGCGCCGTATACAGATCCGAAGACAAGGTTGAGATATCACAACAAGGAGGTGTTTGGGAGCATCAGGACGATGCCGCAGAATGTGTACGAGGGCTACCTGGCGGCAAGAGGGGCGCATACCATCCTGAAGTGAGTTGTGTACTTGTCTTGCGCTCTCCGTGAACAGTCTCTGGATTTCTTCCGAGGCTGCTCATCAAAGAGCGCAACGACAGTATGCACTTCTTCAAGATTATGCTATTACCTTTCTACCGCTAAACCACAACTATAGAATTGACAGGGACGAGAAACTCACGGAGAGCGCTATACGTCTTCCAGCCCGACCAGGTGGCATTCAATACAGCTCAAGTAAACTCCCCTTCGGCTTCGGCATGTAGGAGTGCGCTGGGAAAGGGATATTGCATCCATGATTGGCTTTGGGCTTGGACAAGATATGTATGACCATCAAAGTCAAGCACCTTCCACCCACCATGCGCCTTTCGACGCATGGCTCAAGAAGGCGCTCCGGCTTAATCGTGATCCTGTATTGTTCTGCGCCCATGACGGTATACCAGGATCTCGAGGGAGGGTTCCTAGTTACAGCAGCGTAGAAGCATGCTGTTGTCTGGGCGCTTTTGTATTCATCTAAACTATTGTATGAACCTGGCGGAGTGTAATGAAAACAATACATCAATTGCTTCAAACATCTCGCTCCTAGCAATCTGCACGTGAGATTGCTCTCAAAGTTATCCGTGTGTAGTGATGATAGAGTGGAGGAGAAGGCATATCGAAGCTCAAAAATCTGCCTATCAACTCACCACCGCGCTAGACAGGGATCCGTGTCGGGCCGATCATGCAGCGCGCCGCCGCGTCTTCCCCAACGGCTCTCCGCGAAGGGGACACGAGACAAAAAAGTTTAGGAGCCCACGATTACCACTTGATGCCAGATCTCTTCTGACCAGGCAGCAGCCCTTACTCTTCTACTTTCTCTTGCGCTTCTCACCCCCGTCGTACTCTACTTCCAATCGACGAGCAATCGTCGCAACTCATTCAAGATGCCTACAATGTGGCTGTCAGATACCCAGAGTACGTTGCGCTGCGCATACCTTGGAGATGGAGTTGGCGAGAGTCGCAGACGAGGAATGAAAAGTTACTGACGTTTGGAATAGAGATTGGCGTCGCCTTCTGCTCAGGGGGTAGGTACGCGCCCCTCGACCACGAATGCGTAGACTGGCAGATTGACAAAGAATGAACAGGCGGACTCTTTCTCATGGGCGGCGTGATGATGTTTTTTGATCGCGCAATGTACGTCTGCTTTCTCTCTGCGATATGCGCCTGGATAATCTACTAACAACGTGGATTGTAGGTTAGCAATGGGAAATGTACGCGCCCCCCTCACCCGCAAACACCCCTCCATCTCCATCCGCACTCCTACCTACCTACCTACCGATAAACCACAACCCCTCACTACATGTTAAAAAAATATCCCCACCCTAACGCACCATCCTCTATAGATCCTCTTCATAATCGGCCTAACCCTCATCATCGGCACAACAAAAACAATCGCCTTCTTCGCGCGCAAGCAGAAATGGAAGGGCACACTCGCCTTCACCGCAGGCATAACCCTGATCCTCATGCGCTGGGCTTTCATCGGCTTCGTCGTGGAAATGTACGGCATCCTCGTCCTGTTTGGCGACTTCTTTGCTACGATTGCGGGCTTCGTGGGGAATATACCTGTTATTGGACCGTACATTGCGCGCGGGCTGGAGGCGATTAGTGGTGCGCGGCGGAATGCTGATTTGCCCGTGTGATGTGTGAGAGAGAGAGTGTGAGAAAGGGTTGGCGTTGGAGTTGGGGTGGGAATGAGGAATGAAAGTGCTGAAGAAACGAAACGTCAAGACGAGGGGATTTGTATCATAACTTTGGCGCAGGCACATGGCGAACGGGCTTTGTTTCTTTCGACGAAGAAGAAGCAGACCGAGAAACGTTTCGCAGCATACCAAGGCGTTGAGGAACTCTGTATACGTATATCAACAGGCTTGAATATTCACAATCTACGTTAACAAACTCACTCTTCCCGTCGTTTCTTTCCTCATCATCTAATTTACTTTCGACTCTGCACTCTTTCAAGTCACATTCGTATTGGGCTGGATAGACAAAAGGTTCGATTGATGAAAAGAAGACGGTGATGTGCATGCAGCTTAACGCCCTGTCCAATGTCGCCGAACCTATCCCAATGCGTGCTCTGTATACTCTAATAAAAAGCAATGCAAAACGCCTCCCGATGTGCCACCTCAATGATGATAATGCTGCACCCAGTCCCTGACCCTGTTCGTATCGTCATTCTCGTAATCGGCATACCCATTCTCATCCATCTTAGACCAGATGGCTATCGAGGGGACAATAGTGCCATCGAAGGTTGCCCCATGTGTCTGCGCCTACGCCGACCTAGGGTGCTGCTCAACCAGCCACTCCATCACACTCTCGTAACACAGGACGAACTGCCTTAGACTCTGCACCATACTTAAGCGCTGTAGTCTGAAGTCTTCAACCGTCTTCGCAATCAGGTCAACATCCTCATCCATGACCCAGCTGCCCTCTTCGCGCTCGTTTTTGTTCTTGTTCTTCTTCGTCTTCTCTTCGTCGACTTCCATGGGGGTACCGTGTCTTTCCTGCCTTGCCTGTCGCTGTCGCTTGAGCATGTCGAGGACGGAATCAACGGTGCAGAAAGTGCCTGTACGACCACACCCGGCAGAACAGTGCACAATGATTGGACGACTATTGGCAGGCTCAGGTTGAGATATCGAGCTGCCGTTCACCGAGCGGACTACTGCATCGCATTGCTCGATAAGACCGAGAAGATGAGTAGGATGTGCTGGAGCGCCAAAGTCAGGCCAATTGGAGTATTGCAGTTGTGTGATCTCTCGCATCCGGGCGAACGGCTCATCGTCATTCGATAGAGTGAACTTGCGGACAATGACGTAGGGTTGCTCCTGATTAGGGGATCCGGCAGTTGCTTCTTTGGTGAAATTGGCGGGCCTGGATGGATTCGTTGACCTTCGCTGACCCAGTGATGGCCTTGACTGCTCTCGACGTTTGTGAATCTTGGAGGGCTCGAGAGATGCTCTTCGTTCACCTAGCTGGTTCAGGTGTAGAGGACCATATCGCTTGTCTGACCAGTAGTTGTGTGCTTTGACTTGACCCCCTTCTTGCTCGGCCGTAAGCATGACAATCACCCGCACATCCTGCTGCCACACAACATTCCAAAAGTCCTGTATAAGGTTAGCTATTATTCAAGAGAAAGGTGGAATATATTGTTTGTACCTTGAAGGTGGCCGGTATTGGCCCCTGCGTAGCAATATAACGCTTGTTGGAGTATGCGGCTTGGACATGGTTGGCGTTGACGTAATCGCAGCTTCCGTCGGTGAGTCCCTCAATTTTGACGCGCGAATGCTCGTAGGGCCAGATGTTATTGTAGCGGTTCTTTGATCCCTTTTCAATGCCAGCAATCTGTATTTGCTTCGCCGTACCTAACCCAGTGGGAGTACCGTAGATGACCTTGCCCGATAGCGCTTCCTGCATGCGCTTCTGTTCTCGCTTTTCGATATGCAAGAACTTGTCGGAGACGGTCCGACCGTTGTCCTTCTCTTCTGAAGCTTTCTGAAGCCAGTGGGGAAGCTCCTCCCTGGCTGACTGAGTCATGTCTGCTGGCTGCTTGACGGGCATCTGTCCAACGCCGCCAATGAGATCCATGTTCTGCCGAATGTTGCCAAAGAAGGGGTTTGCAGCGCTCTGCGTAGCGGGCATGGGACAGCCGCCAATGACTGGAGCAACTGAAGGAAGGCCAGAATCGAGCCGAAGGCCAGCTGTGGCAGACGACGTTGGGCTATGAGAGCTTCCCTGCCTTATCCACGCAGGGAATATCCTGGAGAATTCCTGGAAGCCGCCGCGGATTATGAAGGTCCCACCTGACCAGCCTTCGTTGGTGAACTTCTTGAGCGTATTGATGCAGGTTGCGGCATCCTTGAGTTGCGAAGAACTAGAGTCATACACTATGATGTATTTACTACTCCTCCATCGTTCAAACATCTCTCTTTGCTCGTCATCTTTGAACGTCTCTGCCAGTTTCTGAGAGTTGAATGAAGCCCGTTTGAGCAACGTGGTGGGTATGCACAAGCTCAGGGCGCCTGCTATGCGACTCTTTGCATACTGCGTCGAGACGCGGAGGTCCAGGAGGAGGACTTCTTCTACCGCGGATTCTAATATATTGACAATGTGCTGGGCCGTGGCCATGGTTGGTCCGTCCGTCGCTGTCTCATCGCCTATGTTTGCCGGTAATGTTTCTGCGCGATGACTTGCTAATTGGATGTGAGGAGGCTTATTGGTAGGTAGTGATGGCCGTGGAATTCGATCTTCGGCAAACTCTGCTATGGCATCGGTACGGCCATGACCTTCGAAGCTTGCGGGAGAATTGCGTCGCGGTCGGTCAGGAAACAAGGTAGACTCGGAGGAGAGCATTCGCTTCGGAGAACGTGGCTTGGGCTGGGCTTCATGGTCTTCCTTTGCATCATGTTTCTCACCGCTGGGGGCTGATGGCGGTGTCATGGATTGAGGTGACAGCGGCGTCTTGAAGTTGCTGAAGAAGGGGCTCTTTGCAGACGCTCCCGAGCCTGCTGATGCAAAGTCGAAGCTCCCCAACGCAAACGACCTATTGTTCTCCGACTGTTTCCTGAACTGCTCGAACTCGGGGTTATGCTCTACGGGTAGTATGCGAGGAGAGGCAGCAGCCGTGGAGCGCACATTCGACGTCGGTGGACTCCAGTTGCCGCGGATGTGCTGTGCGGCACTGGAAGAAAAGTGATCTGCAGCCGAGTTGATCGTCAGGCCAAAGTAATTGGGGGAAGGCATTCCAGGTTCCTTTGACTTTTGCGAGACAACATGGCTCGGTGTCTTCGCTACCCCGTTCATGCGGGGGGTGAGGGCAGCGGGGGGCCCAGCTGGATGTAGTGAGGTACTTGGCCTCGTCATGGGCTGTGTCGATCTCGGGCGGGCAGACGTGTGCGAGTGCGACGAGCCTCGAGGTCGCGGTGAGATGGCAGGAGTCGACATAAAAAGTCGTGAATGGCGCTCACACGCGTCAACTAGTGAAGCGTGGGTGTGGGTAGGGTAGAAGGGTAGGGGAAATAGTAGGAGATAGGTACATGGAATATGGGGCGGTCCGCGGCGTGGTGGTGAAGGGGGGGGGGGTGTGGGACGCTGGGGGATGCGTGAAGTGCTAGGGTCTGGAAGCTGCGGTTGGGTTCAAAGGAAGTGGTTGAACGTATGACATCACCGCACCACTCTGGGCGAATGGGCAAAGCGGCGATGGGAGCACCTCGGAATGCGAAGCCACAATCCTCGACGCAGCACGCACTTGTCGAAACGAGTCAGCCTTGATGAATGTTTGAGGCGAAGTTGACTGAACAGCGGCGCTGGCTGTACCCGGGTCGACTGCGACACCTGGCTGTGTGGGTGTCTTGGGGGCGTCGCCCAAAGCGTGGTGTATGATGATGTATTCGCTAAAGACGCAGGGACTCAGGGTCCATGAAAATCAGGTAAAAAGAGGGCCAACAATGGCTAATAATCCCGTGATCAACGAGACAGGCAAATAGGGCTGAGTTGGATCCAAGCAAAGAGGCGGAGAGAGACGGCGGAGCGTCAGGGACCGCGGGAGGGCAGCGGAAACGAAGCAGACGAAGGACGGTGGATCGAGCTGGATATGAGAGATCGGGGGGGCACAGGAGGGATCGCCAGGTATGATGAAAAGCAGCGCGACGCCCGTTTCCAAGCCAGGGAAAGGCTGGGCAGCGGTACTGTTCAGTGTGCAGGTGTGTGTGAGACGCCCTGGTCTGGGCCTGTCAATCGCGGCGCCGGTTCGGAATTGCCCTTGCCCCTGGCAGCCGCCTGGCAAGCTGGTGCTGCTGCTGCGCTATCTCGTCGCCTGTTGTCCTGTCCTGTCCTGTCCTGTCCTATCTGTCGATTGCGACATTGATTTGCTTACCGAGCCAGCACGGGGTTCGATTTGCCATCACTCCAAAGTTACCTTGCTTGTCAGCTGTCATTCTTCTCAAAGGCTCGCGTGCGACCAGCTGACCGAGGGAGACAGTTTGTCCCGGCGTCAAACTTGGTGTCTCCTTTCCGTCCGAGAGCAAGCCCGAAACCGCTGACGCTGGACCCTCTTTGATCGGCATTGGACCATGTCTGCATGCGACGATCAAGGTCGCCATTAGTCTCTTGCGAAGAGGGGATAGACGAAAGAATACAGGTCGAGGCTCGCCAGTATCCTCCTCGGTTCAAAACAACTCCGCGGTCACTGCCCCTGCTGTCGTGTGCTGCCTATCAAGTTCGCCCGGTATTGGCCCGCCAACTCAACCACTGCACATCCATTCGAGATCCAGAAGTATCAGTCGCCAAGAGGTCGAATGACTCTTTAGCTCTCCATCTCTTCCAAACGTTGTAGCGGCATGCCCCCGCGTGAGTGAACCGTCTGTACCGTGCACGTGTCCGTCTAGCCTTCGCCATGTCATGTGCAGATACAGCGCAGTTAGTGGTGATGTCTTCCATTCTGACAGCTCCACGTAACGATGCATGTGGAAGAGCCATGCCTGAAGTGACGAGGTATCTTCATCCGCTCTAGTTTCCACGAGTATAGGCAAGCAGTGCTCTCTGACTAGAGCGCTCCAAGTTGAGTTGAACTAGACTAGTTCCACCCTGAGTAGTGTAGGGTCATGTTGAGATTTGGGTGGAGTGCTCGTGAAGAAGCGTTCAAAGGTGAGAAGAGCCACATAACGAGGCAGATGTCAAACAAGGGGTGAAGGCGTGGGTCAGTTCTCGTCACTGTCAGACATTAGCTAGCGTGCTGGACAGCCCAAATGCTTGAAAAGACGTGAGTGTGTTCGACAGATCAAAGATACGGCTGAGGGCGGAGTGAGTTCACGTGCTTACGCGCTGTCGCGTTTCTGAATTTCCCCGCGTTCGCGATGCACATCTTCAAAACTGCACAACGCTACCACTTTCTACCCACACCTCCTTGCCCTCCAATTCCCGAGGTTTATTACATTCACAATGTCGCGCGACGAGTCGCCCGTCGTTCGTGCCGTATCGCCAGACGAAGGCTATACGTGGATCCACCGCGCATTTCTACAGGCCTTCAAAACGCACAGCGTCCTGACAGTAGATGAAATGAAACCCATTCTAGCCTACGTAATGACTGCACACAGTATGCCTGTCTCTCTAAAACTGCATTATATCCTAACAATCCTCCAGACCCCGACCGGCCATGGACAGAAGGCGACATTACGCAACCGCAAATCACCAACACAGTCCAGACCATCAACGCGAAAATCGAGCCCTACGACTTCGAAATACGCTCGATACGCGACCAACATACGAAACTGCCGACCTACGCCTTTGTGAACAAGACATCTGACTCGCTCACCCAGCTGGCAACCAAGTTCTCCGCCAGTGAAATCGCATACATACGGCGCCTGCTAGACGCCATGTTCGAGACAAACAACACCCACAATCGCGAAACCATGGCCTTGAAACACACAGAAGCATCCCAGCTCGCCCGCCCGCGGCGCAACCGGCAATCACAAGCCAACGGTACCGGCAACACCGAAGACGGCGAGACATCGCAAGTCGCGGCCGACGCGGGCATTTCCATCCAAGAAGCCGACGACGTCCTCGACACGCTGGTAAACGAGTCCTTCTTCCAACAGTCGAGCGCAGGCTACTACTCCCTCGCGCCCCGCGGCCTCATGGAACTCGGCGCCTACCTGAAAGAAACGTACAACGAGGACGCAGACGACGCGGAAGATGGCGTGGAAAGAATTCGGATACGAGACTGCGAGGGCTGCAGGGAGCTCGTCACATATGGCATACGGTGTAGTAATAGGGAGTGTGGCGTGCGCTGGCATGATGCATGTGCGAATTCGTACTACAGGGGCCGCGCGAGGGAACAGAGAAAGTGCCCCAAGTGCGAGACGGAGTGTACGGGCGATGTTTATGTAGGAGAGAGGGCGGATAGGGCGGGTGGGAGGAGCAGTACGGGCGGGAACAGAAGGAGTACCCAGGTCCAGAGGGATGAAGACGAGGACTCAGAGACGACGTAACGAGATAGAACATTAATTTACGAAGCGGAGATGTGCCATAACATTCATGATTTCAAGGATATTCGTAAAAGTGACGCAAACTCAAAGCCGTAACCTTTCCCCCCTCCCTAATTTCCCATGTAAACTTTTTCCACATCTCCCAAAATAAACCACTACCTATATACAAAATCCAAACTCGAAACTCGACCCCACAACATGCATTTACTGCGCGCCGTTGGTCTTGTTCGATCTCCTCTCCGCAACAGCAGAGGCAAGATCCTCGAGAACAGCGACGGTGCTGTCCCAGCCAATACAAGCGTCGGTGATGGAGACACCCCTCTTCAGGCCCTTGGGGCCCTCGGGCGGGACCTTTTGGCTGCCCTCGTTGATATTAGACTCGATCATGACGCCGACGATGCCAGTCTCGCCGTTGCGGATCTGGTCAGCAATGTCCTTGGCGACGATAGGCTGGTTTCGGTGGTCCTTATTCGAGTTGCCTAGTGGGGTATCAGTACGCGTACGCTTTTCTAGTTACGAATTCCAGAACGTACCGTGTGAGCAGTCGACCATCATGACCTCCGCTTGGCCCTTCTTCCTCAACGCTTCCCGGGCAGCCTTGATGCTGTCCTTGTCGAAGTTTGTACCCTTGGTGCCACCGCGCAGAATAACGAAGCAGTGCTCGTTGCCGGCTGTTCGGGTGATGGCTGCCAGTCCCTGCTTTGTCACACCCAGGAAGTGGTGCTTCGCAGCCGCAGCGCCAATGGCATCTACCGCCACGGTCAAACCTCCATCGGTGCCGTTCTTGAAGCCAATAGGGAAAGACAGCCCAGATGCGAGTTCACGGTGCAATTGAGACTCGGTTGTGCGTGCACCAATCGCGCCGAGAGAGATCAGGTCGGCAAGGAACTGAGGAGAAATGGTGTCGAGCATCTCAGAGGCAATGGGCATGCCAGAAGACGTAAGGTCGACGAACAACTTGCGGGACACGCGGAGACCCTTGTTAATCTGGAAGCTCTCGTCCATGTCCGGGTCGTTGATCAGGCCCTTCCAGCCAACCGTTGTGCGTGGTTTCTCGAGGTAGGCGCGCATAATGATACAGAGATTGTCTTGGAGCTTGTCGGCGAGCGTCTTCAGCCGCTGGCAGTATTCGACGGCCTGCTCGGGGTCGTGGAGGGAGCAGGGTCCGACCATGACCAGGAGACGGTCATCTTGCTGTTTGATGATTCTGGCAGCGTCTTTGCGGCCCTGCACAATGGTCTTCTCGGCGTGTGGTGGGATGGGAAGTTCGGCAGCGAGGAGGGCCGGTGGGATCAGCGGGTCGTAGCCGGTGACTAGACATTGGCATTAGCACATGAGCCTGGAGACGGGGTGCTAGGTGAGGATATGTACCGCGCACATCGTCGTTTGAAGAATCCTGGGAGGGCATGTCGGCGTGCGTCTTCGGGTCTGATGATGCCATGGCTGTAGCGGGGTATGGTGTCTTTATATCTTTGTATCAGCACACGCCCTACCGACTCAAAGGGTCGTAGTCCTTTGTGGATTCAACGTACGATGCTCAAGCGACTGTCACTGCGGTCAATCTTACAGGCTGGGCTGTACAGGGGGCCAATGTGGTGTCGAGTTGCAGCGGTGAGGGGCAGTTCTTGACGTGTTGCGTCAATTGGGTGTGGAGAGCTGGCTAGTCAATTGCTGCGATTCCTCCAGGGTGTTTTGTAGGAATGTGCAGCTGCAAGGCCGAGTTCGGAAGTAAGGTGAAGGGCTAGCAAAGGGTATAGTTCCTATTCACGTTACAAGAGTCATAGACGCCACTGAAATTATTTCAAGTGCGGCTGGGGAGTCTTGGTTATCGATAGCGCCTAGTCCACGGCGATTCCACAGCGCCCGCAGCGCCAAGTCGACCAATGCTCACCACCGACAATTCCTCTGCTCCTGTTGGCTGACTTTATAGTTGACTCTATACTTTGGTCTGCTCATCTTGTTTCCTGAGGCCAGGATGAATTTCATGCATGCAATGTAGCAGTACGCTGCGGCTGCATATTGTTCCTCAGCTCCCTCCGACGCTTGTAGATGCCACCTTGCCAGCTGAGAAGCATGCTATGCTACCTCAGCTCCCTCGCAGCTTCACAAAGCTCGCCTCCTGCGGCTACTACTGATGATAGGGTACAAACTTTTCACGTCTCCTTGACTGTGCAGCTCAGCGCGGGTCACATGATGTGGTGGCTGTCCACTCGAGCTTACTTATAACCTGCTTTGTGTGCCGGGGCCGCGGCTTCACTTCCCCACACCATCGTTTGCGCGTCACTAAAGGCTCCGGTTGCAGGCAAAGGTCTTTCAACTGCGCAACGACAGAGGGGACCTATCCCCACAGGATCACCTGGCGATCAAGCATTAGAGGCGCCACTCTTCCTTGCCAGGGTGGATTTGATGCAACCTTGATCCGAAACGCCTACCGCAACTTGCCCCTGATAAATGAACCTCCTCGCCTCCTGCTTCCAAACATATGCACCTGGCAATTCTACCACGATCTCGGACACCCATCACTGCAGTCTTTGATCCTTCTGCCTGTTTCTGGAATCCTGTCCCTCCGCTTCACCAACGCGTTGATCGTGTTGCGACTATATAAATCCACTCGTTACATACAACCACCATGTTCACGTTTCAGACGATGAACAGGAAGCGGGGCAGGGACGACGATTCCGACTCGGACGATGCTCATAGTCGTGACCTCAAGGTACACAATCTGTATGACTTGAAGAACAAGGGCTAATTGCTCACCCAGAAATCTCGCCCGTGGTCCAATGAGCACATCAATTATAGTCACAGACGCTACCCGACGCCGACGAATCTACCTCACAAACCCTCTATGACACCATCGCCGCCCAGGATAGTCACGGATATAGAAGCAATGACGCCGGCACAATCAGAATATGGAGGGGCCAATTCTCCAGAGTCTATCACCTGTGGCCGTGATTTGCAGTCCTTTGAATCGAATACGATGGACTACGATATGGATATGGAAGACGATGTCGATGTTCGCAGCCAGCCGCCAGAGTCGCCCGCGTTCAGTACCGTTGGAAGTGTTTTCATGCGCCCCGCAATGCTAAAGCCTTCCTTATTCGAGTCAGACGCCGCCAACACCGGACGAGTACCAACACCCATATATCCAACGTTCAAGCGAGGAGGAATGCACGGGCTGGGATATCCAACAAGTGGCTCCGCGGGTGGCATGAACACAAGTAATGGCAGTCTGAGTGCGCTGTCAATGCAAGCGCCGCCTGCACGACATGGAAACAGGCAAGAGATGGACGATGACCGAAGCAGGCGCATACCGTCGCCAATATCAGAGGACGAGGATATACCGGATACACCGACCGCGCTCACACAATCGCAACTATCGCGACTTAGTTTCTCGCATGCAAACGCTGACCAGATGGAGACGGAAATACCCCCAACAACCCTAACCTTACCGCCTACACCTCGGGGTAGGAAACGAAGTGGTGCTTTGACTGGCATGGGGCGCTTCAGCATGGGCTACCGAGAGGATTGCGACAAGTGCAGACAGCGGGTACCAGGGCATTACTCGCATTTCTTGCCTTGACCGCCTTTGCCAATCGAAGAAGGCTTTTCTGTATCGCACCACAATCCGGTGATTCTTCTCCATCCACAGGTTTTGGATGTCCGGGCGGTGGTTTTATCACGACAACGTAGCATGAATGGGTAATGCATGGAGGCATTTTTCGTACTTTAGAATTCACGGCACACTACGCATACTTGGAACTGGGGTCTTTCCTTGCCGAGCGTTCAAGCGATATTACGACAACATACAAGCATTCATGTCTTTTCAGCGGGTTATTGTTATTGGCCAAACTGCATGTCTTGTTTCTCGCGGCGTAAATGATATACTGCATTACTACTGCATTGCGCATCTATCCGATAGTTTCTATTATTATTTCCGCATTTCATGATTCCACACCTCAGATACTTTTGTTGTTCATTACTTCTACAATCATGATATTACCTGACCAGCCCATCTAGCTGAAACAGCCATATGCTATGTACTAGAGTGGGAACAAGGTTGTTGAAACGAAACAGGGTACTAAATGATATCTTGAAACGAAATATCGCCGGTCTAGCCTCGTGTACAAGGGACTAGTGTGCGTGCTAACGGACGGTGGAGATTCGGATCTGGTCGCGCCTAACAGTGACATGTCTTGATGCATGGTGGATTACATTAACCCAACAAGATATACAGTACTCACCTATCTTGACCAAACCACACATGTCTAGAAAGTGCTTGCTTGGATCCAGTCTACCCCAAAGTCGAACTAACTAAGCTGTAAACCCCACCTACTCCAAGAACCTCACACCCTCCAGCGTCGTAGGATCAGCCCGCCGCAACTGCTGCTGTAACGGCTACGCTCGCGCCTACTATGAGGGCTACTTCGGCCGCACTGGCACCTTCTTTCTTCTCTTCCTTCTTGTTCTCATTGTGGATTAGGTTGTCGAAGAGTTTATTGAAGAGTCGGAAGCCGGTGAGGGTGCCGTTTGCGTGACCAACAGCGGGGCCGGCATTTTTGTTGTCGGTGACTGTCTTTTTAGGTCGCTGTAGGTAGAGAAGTCGAATTAGGCTTTCTGTGTCATGTTGGTATTTACCCTGTGGAGTTGTGTACGTACATGGACGGCTGTGATACTTCTAGCTGAGATCTCAAGTTTAAAGTTATAGATCAGAATCTTATTGTTGTGATTAGAGGAGCAGATGGTTTTTTTAAACGCTTTCAGAAGGCCGGCATGTGTGCTGCTTAAATGTTAAGACTTCGCCATGATAGTGCTTACAGTGCCCTCATAGGTGTTGAGAAAAACCATAATTTATCAAGTTGTTGCCGTTCCATGCTCATCTCCTGCAATCCCACGATTCAAAATCCTATATGATCTAGTAGCTTTATCAACTGAGCTTCATTCTCGTCTCTGCACTTCAGTATCACTGCCTCTGACTGTAGGCGCAAGACGTCCGAGTTTGTAACGCGCCACGGCAGAATTGAGCGAAGAACAGCGTCGACATCTGCAACCTTCTCAATCCCTTTCATGGTTTTCGGTCGCTGTATACCCATGCTCTCTAATTCATCCTCCCAAGCCTTGGCAACATCCCATTTCACCCCATCCTTGGTGTTTTCAGGCAGTGGCGAGGGGAAGCCGTGAAGCTTAGCATCTCGCAAAGCTGTCTGCTCACTGGATTCAATATCAGACCAGCCTTGGAATTGGCCTCCAGCGCCGCTAAATGAGCGAAGGAATTCATAGGATGGGTGCAGTATGCATGCAAAATCGTAGTCGATTAAGGCTGTAATGCGCTGGGTAGCAGCATCGTAGAGCAGATTGTTTGGGGCTACAAGCGAACAGTATTAGTCTTGTAAATTTGGACTTTATAGAGAAGAAGAGACCGCTTACTGAAGTCGGCATGTACAATAGTCTTTTCATGTTTGGAATCGAGGGCTTTGAACTGGGCCGGGATGCCGTTCTTAACAAAGGCATCAAGGCGCTTCCTCACGTCATTTGCATGCCATCCCTTGATATAAGGGTTGCTGTCAGTTTTTTGCAAAGCTCGTTCGAGTCGGTCTGTGAAGTAGTCCTCATACGACAGCCAAGGTCCACTGCCCACGCTGGTCATTGTCGTGCTCACAATCTGACCGGCCGTGTCAAAAGTCACTCCGCCGTACTGTTGGATGCTGTGTGGAAGCTTGAAGTCTTGCAAAGCCTTCAAGAACGCGGCCATCTGCGCAAGAATCCCTTTCTTCTCGTCAAAAGGCATGCTGTCGAAGGTTTCGTCGACCGGCGTGCCAGGCATTAGTTCCTGGAGGATCCACCCTTGTGTCGATGGCGCAGCTGCACTTCCCCAACCATACACCAAAGGAACTACGTGTGGTTGGAAGCCACTGAGAGCAGCAGCAGCGAGAGAGATGATGGCAACCTCATTTTCCACTCTGGTATGCTGATTCATCCCCTCGGCGTCAGGATTAGTGAGGCGCATGATGAAGTCTTTTGTGCCTTTTGGAAGAGGGGAGGTGCCGGGCTGACGTGGTCTATCGCTGCCGCCATTGTAGGTAGTGAACGGCGGCGAAGGCAGACTGATGCGGTAAACGAAATTGTTGTACTTGAATGGACTGTCTGGGTCGTATTGGATGGGATCGATCTTAGCATTCTTGGGCAATAAGGTTAGTGCTTCAGGCGATGAGTATTATGTGCAGTCCGTACATGTACGTCGCAGCTGAACTGTTGGTGCAACAGCCTCTGGATGAATTCCAACCGCCCGTCAAAGTTTGCGTGATTATGGCTCATAGTGGTGTAGAACTGTTGGGGTGAGGAGTTCGTTATAGAGCGTGTGTAATGGACGCTTAATACGCGCTGTAAAGCGTGTCGTTGTTCGTCAACGCATGCGGGGCATTGCGACAGGATCATTCTGTGACACGTGCTTATCTTGACAGAAACAGAATTATGCTCACATTTATCACTCCACGGCCAAGTCTAAAGCCCACAAACCAGTTCCCTCAGAACTTCTTGAATTGCCAATTTTCATTCCACAGGCTGTTGAAATGAGCACCTATGGGAAGGACTGATTGATTGAGTGATCGGCAGGACATACTACTGAGAAAGACTATATATAGACATGGCCACGTGACCTGATCCTTCACTAAGAAACCGGCTTCACAGCCAAGTTTGCAAGTTCTTATTCGAGGGAGCGTCTGAATACAGCCAAACCTGAATGCAAACACGAGTCAGAATTGTACCTGGTCATCACGTGTGCCTTGTAGCCCTGTTCGAGAATGCTCATATCCAAGTATGCTGGACATTGGTTCCTTGGTTTCAAGCGAGAAGGAAAGTCTCCTCACGTCTCTTGGGGTAGACCAGTCTTTTATTGCTGTCAAGGAGTACAGTGTTAGCCATGTCCGCATGGCCTTGCAAGAACTGCAGAGGGAACAATTTAACATGAAGGCCTGTCTCGAAGGATTATACAAGGACTTGGGCATCATAGCTGAGGTGGAATATCGCGAGCCGACACAATGAATGAGGACAAGTACAAACCATCTTAATGAGCGCGGATGTAGAAAAAGAGTCGACTTGGAGTAATTGTGTATCAATTTAAAGATAATTCGACCTAGCTCAAAGTCAATATAGAGGTGCCGTTAATGTATATTATATATCGATGTTTCTCTTATAGAAGTAGAATGAATGCCACGCTATGTACAAACTAAACGCTATGCTCACAGGATTTCGCTTCCGATGACCATCCGAGGAACGCCTTTGCAAATCAAACGCCTGGATATCGATAATTTCTCGCATATTTCCGAGTGTGAAGGTACTCTAAATTACAACTCCATAAAACGAACGTCCAGTACGGATATGTTTACATCTCCATTCTCTCAGTAATGGGCTGCTGTGAACTTGTTTTTCTGTGCTTCTTCGATTTGTCAAAACATATCAGGCCAAAGAATCCCTCAGACGTGCATGATGTAGTAGAGACAGAGGCAGTGGGCGTCGGTGTGTGTGGCCTCGTCTTCAAAGGTGGATCATCTCCGTCTAGACATCCACCGAACCAGCCTGGGTATTTGCACGATGAGGTGGAGGTGGGTGTAGATGAAGTCGTCGTTGCTGTCGGTACTGGTGCAGGGGTGGTAGTGTGGGATGCTTTGGTTGTGGATGTCTCCGTGTCGTCTTTGCAACCGAACCAGCCTGGTGTCTTGCACGTTGACGTTGATGACGTTGATGTGGTTTTTGTCTTGGAATGTGTCCCAGTGGTGGATTCGTCAAGACATCCCCACCAACCTGGCGTTTTACACGTCTCCGTTCGCGTGCGTGTAGACTTTGAGGTCGATGTTGATGTGGGTTTGGACGATGAAGAGGTTGTTGTCTCCGTGCCATTGCTCTCGAAGTACTCCCACGTGTAACAGTCGGTACAATTGAGATATGGCTCGCACTTTGCAGGCTGATCGTACTTTAGTATCACATCGCGGATGACTTCAACAATCTTATGTGTGCCGATGCCCACGCGCCAGCCCAAGTCTTTGACAGTATCGTATACACATTTTTGACCTGTGTGGCAAACGCTTTGCATGGCGTACCCGCCGAACGTGCATACGCTGGTAGCTTGGTTACACGTTCCCATATATACTGGATCTGCTGTATGCCCGAAGTGGAAACCACCGGTAAATTCGCGTTTCTGAAGCGAGCCAATTTGGTGGCCCGGGGGAACTGGGAGGCCGAGGCGAGATGCTGGCATGGCTTCGGGGACGGCTTCGAACGTCACAGCAGGAAGCCCGAAAGTCAGAGCGAGGAAGGAGGATACAGCACCACCCAGAGAATGGCCTGCCATCCAGACCTCAGCGTCGGGATATAGTGCCGTGACATTGTGGTAGAGATCTTGGGCAGCGTAGTAGTAGCGATTCTTCTCGCGAAGCGCCGTGACGAGGCAGGTAGAGTTGCAAGTGAAGGCTGATGTTTGACAGTCGCACACTTGTCGCCACAGGTACTGCCCACCCTGTCCGCAGCAACAGCTGAAGAACAAGTTGTCGTTGATCTTGTCGTTCGTCGTAGTCTCTGAGCCGTCGAACATGGCGGGCGAAGTGCCTTTCAAGCCTATGACGATTGTCGAATTCTCAGTATCGGCGAAGATGTGCCCTCGTAACCCATCTGATTCCCAGCCAAAGTCTTCTGTGTAATTGAAGCCTCCGCCCACTTCTTCCCACTCGCCTGTGTTGGGCTCTAATATGTACGCGTTCGAGGCCATGCGCGCGAAGCTTAGTACCGTCTCCTTGTCGGTTACATTTGGCCCTGGAATCTCATCGATGGTCCAGTCCTCGGCAGCCAGCTGCACAGGCCTTCCTTTTGTTCTCCCCCAGTCTAGTATGCCATTGATTGTGTCCTTGGTTCTATCTGCAAGTCTTTGGATACTCATGGCCTGCGACTTGACGCGCAATCGAGGAACGGGCTCGCGATGGGTGTTGTCACCGTCCTCGGCCATCCATACTGCTGCCTGCTCTGGCACATCGAGCCGTCGGTGCAGCTGTGGATACTTGTACGTGCCATGGTGGAAGATGTGTCGCAGCGAAAAGTCCTTTTCTGCGCTGTGTGTTGTCGGTGGCGGAGGCAGAATAGGCAGCTCTATGGCGTTGCTACCTGTCACAGCAAGGAACGACAGCAAAAGGGATGTGGTCACGCGTGATGCAGAGGTACATAGAGGTGGGCGTCGCATCATGAATATGTTTACAAAGAAAACGGTATGAGGAAGCGTCGAGGTGCGTTCAAGTGAATGGGGATCAATGACGCATGCTACACTTGACCCCAGCTGCACGTGTCGTGGGGAGGCTCTAGGGCGGCTGCATGTGGAACCCGCAGCCGCGGTTGCGCGGTTGCGCTTGCTGATAGCGGATGGAAATGGAACCACGCTCCACCATATAGCCCTGCAACGCAACGAGATAGCTACCCCTTGTTGTCTCTCGCTGGCCAAACAAGTCATTACCATCCACAATATTATACTAGCCAAGTCATCCTAGACGGATCAAAGACGGCCTCCGCTAGCTTTTGGAACCGTTTCGGAGCTCACGCCAGCTCCACAGTCCCGCATGACGTTGAGGGCACGAGCGCAACGTTTGGTCTTAGAAACGCGTCCAGCTCGATGCAAGCATACGACCTCCTTGGAGCTTGCCTAACTTTTCAACATCAGTAGCAATCATCATGTCTGATAGACCCAAGAATCTGCACCCATCACGGTCCTTTACGCGACTCGACTCTGCGCCTCAGAGTCCAACCTCTCGCAGTCGGGCGAGTACGCTTCAAGGCCCACCTGTGCCGGATATGTTAGACCCCCTGAAGGCAAATATGGTCCCAGAAGAGGACGAGAATGTCGACGGGGATGTCTTTGCGAAGAAAGACGAGGATGAAGAGGGAACCAAAGAGGAACCGCGGGTGCCGGATACTTTCGAAGAACTGCCTATTGAGATTCGAAGTTTGACTGAAAGGTATTGCACTGTTATTCGCATGAAGTGGAGACAAGAATTGACACAATGATCAGATTCCTCGAATCCCTCACAGCCAAAGTTCATCCAACCCCACCGTCCGCCGACTCCCTCGCCGACCTCTTCCAAGACTTCTACATTCGTGCTTCCGCCAAGATCAACACACACATAGCTACCCTGTCCGCTCGATTAACAAGCGAGTCATTTATTGCGCACTCTAAGAAGACGTCTGCTCCGTCAAGTAAACCAAGCTCTATACGAAAGGGAGGTGACCCATCAGGAGAACAACAGATGCTGAGTGCAACTGAGATGTCAGAGCGCAAAAGGGCGAGAAAATCATTGGAATCAAAGCGCTTTGCACTTGAGGAGGCCGTGGAGCGAGCAGTGTGTGAAAAGGTGTACGAGAGAATATGGCGGCACCGGAGCACTGATGACGAAGAAAGGGACCATAAGCTCCGATCGCGAACGGCCGCACTTTCGCTTGTTGGCATAGGGCTGCAGGAGCTTTTGATGGCTGGCGATGAGTTGACGGACGAGGCACGACAGAAGGCGAAAGAGAAAGAGCCGGAGATCAAAGAGTGGCTGTCGGCTGCCCGGCAAGATATCCTCAGCATGAACGACGAAAAGTATCCGTTTGGAAAGGTTCAGCACTTGACTGCTGCACACAAGTCCATCGTTGAAGCGCTATCGAAGATCTTCCCCGCGACCTCATCCGCGGACGAGATCCTTCCAACCCTCATCTACGCGCTCATCACTCTACCGCCTGTGCACCTAAACGTCATCAGTGATCTGAAATTTATACAGAGGTTTCGAGGCTCGAGTCGAATGGATGGCGAAACTGCCTACTGCCTCGTCAATCTAGAAGCAGCTGTTTCTTTTCTGGAGACAGTCGATCTTTCCTCGCTACGTGCAGAGGAGTCCTTTTCTAGAAAGCTGGATTCGCGACCATTGACCCCCAAGTCAGAGGTCACACCCATGGCTTTGGGTCTCTCTGAAGCACCAGATTTGATTCAAACTCCGGCCACACCAACCTCGACGACCACCTCGAAAGAGCCATCAAGTCCAACTACTACAAAAGCTCAGCGCCGGTTGAGCAACCTTATCCAAACGCAGACGAACAAATTCGAAGCTGCTTCAGACGCTGTTCGCGACTCCATCCTCGATTCAGCCGACCAGGCAATGGGCAGAATTAACAACACGCTAGACACCAGTTTCAAGTTCTTCTTCGGTGGCTTACGGGATCAAAACCCTAATAGTCCTGTGCAGCAACAACCTGCGCTACCGAAAACGCTGGAAGATGCGAGGAAACTCGTCAGCTCGCCTACCCGCATTGATGGTGATGATGATAGCTTCACCGTAAGCGCTGCGAGCTCGATACAAGGAGACGACCATCAAGAACCCACTGGTAACAAAGGATTTGAGGCAAAGATGACAGATATATTTGCCGGGAGAAGACCAATTCGAGAGCGTAGTGTCGACTCCGCTCAATCTGGAGGTAGCAATAGTGGACGACGCGCTGCATTTACAGCAGCACCGAGCGTAGAAGAGAAATCGACTTCGCCATCAGCAGTCAAGTCCGAACCGCCAGCACAAAATAACCCCTCAGCAGTCGACTCGCTCCGCAATATGGGCAACAGTCTCAATCCCCTGAACCGCTTCGCAAGCATCAACGTTCTACCACGTTTTGGCCGTGCAATAAGTAGTAGCAGCACGCCGGTTCTCCCGTCGCCTTCTACTGAGCAGCCCAAAGCATCACAGTCTCCGGGTCCCTTGAGTCGGACGGTGACCGGTGAAGGGCTGCAGGTAGATGAAAAGGGAGCAAGGGCAGTGGCTGCGTTAGAGCAATTGAAGAAGACAACTCCGCCTGTGAAGCGTTTTGTCGAAGCGAAGGATGTGCAGGATCTCAAGTTGAAGGAGGTTGATGAGCTGTTAAAGGAGTATCAGAGGTTGGCTGCAGCGCTGAGGGGGGCCATCAACTATTGAGGTGGAATGCTGAACTTCACATAGATGTATGTATATCAATATCGTTAAAAAGTTACCACATTCCCGTCTCTCTGTACAGGTGCTCATGTTGAGTGATGTTGGTTCCGTTGGTGCACAGCGTTCCGACCCCGGTCGGAACGAAAACCCCCCAAATTGGGAAGGGGCAACAAAGCACGGGCCACAAACAAACACAGGGACTTGCGATTTCATGCACGCCACACCATAACACCGACTGTCCACAGCCTTAACAATTCTGTGATCTCAACCATGGCAGAACCAATGTCAACGCTCTCGCCGGGCAAGCTCAATGCGAATTCGAACTCGATGCTGATCGAAGACTACTTTGACATGACTTTCCACGAACAACCTTCGTCGCCTTTTGTGTCGCATATCGAGAACGACCAGGAGAACATTGCGCCTAATGTCGCACCGACACCCTCGAAGCTCCTGCCCGAATTTAGTGACGAAGTACTGCAGTCCGCCATCAAGATTTCACCTGAAAAGAAGTTTGGAACAAAGGAGCGCGCAAGCCCAATGAAGAATTCACCTGTTAAGAATTTGATGGATGACTTCGAAGAGGCAGCATTCAAGTCCAGCGTCGGTAGTCAAAATAGCCCCAAGAAGTGTTCGCCAGTCAAGCAGATCGCTATGGAGCGACCCGAGTCCGCCATGAGCAGCCGTTCCCTTAAGAGTCGGTCGCGTCCGGAGTCTCCTCGCGCGCCATCATTTGAATCCTCACAACAAATAGCACCTTCCGAGGACGATACCCAAGAAATACTTCCTACACCTTCTAAACGCCCGCCATCCTTTCATAGGGACTCTGCACTGCGCGAAAACGAAGGATTGACGGTTGCCATGAGATACATGGAAGAGACACGCACAGAAAGCCATGAGAATCTCACCAGACAGAGATCGCCGGAGGATGAGTTTGAAGTAGATCTGGGGTTCGAGAATACCGATTTCAACCCCGACGGGCCCGAGTGCACGTCAGCAGATATGGACGATACCTGCTTCAGCAACTTTTCCGAGATGCCTGGGCTAGACATGACCAAGTTTGCATTCCTCAAGCAGAGCCCTGCGAAGGGTGAACCACAAGATGTAAGCTATATAAATACAAAGAGAGTTGCAACACTAACAGTTTGTTAAGGCCACTCCTCGGGCTCGCCCACACATGACACCTTCAACGGTCCGCCGCGCCGAACGCACACCTTCTCCCACACCTCGCCGTACATACAAGGAGAACGACACTACAAACCTGCTTCTCGATTTCACAGCGCAGTTTGAGTCGTTCTCATCGTCTCGCCGTAACTCCCCAGCTCGCGGACGCCCCTCACCCCCCAAATCCTCAACACAACCAGACCTTCGCTCTTACTATCAGAACCAGCGATCGCCTGCCAAGGGTGGACCGTACGTCCCGGCTACTCCAAGCCAGAGTCGCCAGATGTTCAATCTTCTGGACTTCGAGCTGCCTCCGCCACCAACACCGCGATCTTTGCCTACCGTAACTATCCGGGAAATGGAGTCTGTGAAGTCACATTTCCAATCTCAGATCTCATCGCTGACCGCCAGCTTGTCTGGTAAGGAGGCCGAAGTAGGGTCTCTATCGAAAGCTATCGCTGACGCCGAGCGTCGGGTCGGCGAGGCCCACGAGACAGTTCGCGACGAGCGATCAGCCCGCGAGTATGCGGAGGCACAGATGACAGACTGGAAGATGAAGGGCGAAGAAGTCCAGAAGCTTTTGCAGGATGTACAGTCTGAGTTGGCACGTAATGATAACGAGCGTGAGCAGCTTCTTGCGCGACTTGCTGAAGCAGAGAGGCGTACCGAAGATGCTGAAAACCGCTCATCCGAGCTCGAGACTAAGGTCATCGAAGCTGAGAGCAAGAACGTGGACATGACTACTTTCATTAACAACGACGAAGAAGAAAACAAGAAAATCTACTCTGAGATGGAATGCCAGGCGGCGATCGCCGAGAAGGTCAATGAGGTTGCACGCGAATTGCATTCCGCGTACAAGGCTAAGCACGAGAAGAAGATAAAGGCGCTCAAAGACAACTACCAGAAGAAAGCCGATGAGCGGTGTAAGGAGCTTCGCGTTCAGATTATTCGTCTCGAGCGACAAGTCGAAGAGACTGAGAAGAAGCGCGATAACACTTTCAGTAAGATCATGCATGGAGAGCCGGGATCCACAACGGACGATACGTGCGAGAAATGCGGCAAGAACGCAAAGGCTTTGTCCTCGGTATCCTCCTCGAACGCAGAATATGTCCAGAAACTCGAGGCTCAACGCGCCGAGCTTGAAAACCTCAAGGCCAAACTCGCCGGTCTACAATCCGAGCTCCAGTCCCTTCGCAGATCTCACGACACGCTCGTCGATGACCTTGAAGCCGAGCGTATAGAGAAAGGAGAACTAGTCGCCGCAGCAGAGCAGATGCTCTCCATGTGCGGCGAGAAGATGGAGGAACTGCAACAAGGAGACCGACGCTCACATACTGGAACTGCACCACCAAGCGCACCCACACAACACGCTCCCCCTGAGCAGGTCATGCGCAACACTGGCTTTCTTGCCGGCAGTTCCACAAACTCGCGCCCAGGCTCCGCCCTCGGAGGACGACCAGGTAGTGCCATGGGTGCTAGGCATGAACGTAGTGGTAGTGGGACTGCGAAACCGTCCGGTCTGAGGGCGCCGGGCGGTTTTGGTTTCCAAGGCGGTGCTCCAGCGCTGAACAGAAGTACGAGTGGTGCGGGGAAGAGTAGGCTATTAAGTAACATTGAGAGGATGGGTGGGGGTAGGACTCAGGAGTAGCATGTCTGGCCTGCTGGCATTGGGATTTCGAAGTGGTTTGGGGGTGTTTTGGCTATGAGGACGGATCTCGGGTGGGATGTGAGAACGTGATATGGTGTCTGTGTATATTGGCGCTTTCTGCTTTTTGGGTGGCGTGTTGGTTGGGAACTGTACGACTTGACTCTTCAAGGTCGTTTCGTTGGATGTCTTTAGCTACCGTGCGTAGCTTGTAAAGTAATGAAGTCTATGCAGCTCTATAGAGAAATGTGTACATGGGTCTCACGTGCACACGCTTTTGTAATATTGTTATAGCAGCTATGGGTGTTGCATTTCCCCCCACAAGCTTCGGGAAATGCGCCATAGCGTGTAACATTTCTCACTCTGAGTTATACTCAAACTAGCCCAAGACTGACTGTTCGCCTATCAGAGATTGTCAGTTCGCAGTGAGTACTGTCTCACAGCATTAGTGGTGACTTCACTTTCACCTCATCTCCGCACATATAAAGGTTTCTTGGTGCCGTTCTCCTGTTTCTTATCCCCCACCGCTTATCTTGGCACTCTCACCCGCATTAACTTGAGGCAAGGCCGCTCCTTCCTACATTATCTTATAGAGAGAAAATGATGTCGGAGTCGAGTTCATCATCTGGAACTGCCAACATAATTCAGACACCCGGCGAACAGAACGAATCGAGCCCCACTTTTGAAGTGGCGAAGCATTACGCTCCGCAGGGAGAATGGACACTGCATCGGCTTGTTACATGTACCGGTTTTCTGTGCCATCGTTGCAATAAGCAGAAGAAAGCGAAGCTTGTTGCTACCCGCCACAATCAATGGGACGAGGTTTGCTGCAATGGTTGTTATGGCGAGCTTCTCTCAAAGGGAAAATAAGGTCTGTACTACCCTAGCGCTGTTAAGGCGCCGCACATCCTAATGCACTATAGAATAATCGCCATTCTCAGGGTTGAAATGTGTAAAGAGTTAGCGTTGTTGTTAGTGGCCTCATAGCAGTAGCAGCATACACGCACGGTACATGAATCCGTTACCCCGCCTTTCTGGCCCAATTGTCTTCCAGTGCGATAAGCATGCGTCCGTTTCGCGGAAGAACCAGTTTAACGGGCCCAAATTCTAGGCAGACGGCTGAGGAAGCTTGCTAGCGTTGGAAGGGTTAGAAAAGAGAGCCCTGCGCGGTCCTAGGTCTAAACTGCTAATCCGTACCATGATCTCTCACCTTTAGCCCTTACGCCCAACTGTGTCAATATGGAGCTTTTCATGCACAATCTACCTCCACATATCACCGACAATGAGCTAAAAAGGCATCTGACGCCCTTGGTGAATTCTCTCGGGATCAGGGACTGGAGCTGTCAGAAGCAGCGGAAGAAGAAGTTTGGAAACATCACATTCCTATATGCCAATGACGGCACGCGATTTCAGAAACAGTACGGACCAACCAAGCTCGGCGTCAATCGCTCTGATTAATCAAAGCGCAGGACCCCCGTGGTGATACTAAACACCCCCGCCTACTGCAAGCCTAGCAAATACGATCCGGATCCTTTCCTCCTAAAAAGCTTGGCCAAGTCAGCCGAGGATCGTCAGGAAGCCGAACAGTGAGTCGTGACTACATTACGAGAACTCACCTATCTAATCCTAAACAGATATCAATATCCCCATAAGGCAGCAAATGTGGTAGTCGCCGTTCAGTCGTTTTCATGTGGTTATTACAGCTACGTTGATAACAAACTCGTCTATTCACCCGAACTAGAGTGGGAGACGGAAAGAGGGATTGCAAAGTTTGTCAAAAATACACTGATAGTCACGTTCGGTGGTCCTGGGCGTCCGAAGCGTATTGAGATACCTTATCGAATCGTCGAGGGGATTATCGTCTCGACACAGCTGCGAGCCTTGACCTTGACATTGTGGGAAACCCCACGATTGTTTGAGGAGGCCGATCAAGATTTGGCTATGCTCATGGCTAGTCTAGGATTCCAACAACGATCCCACGTCCCTTCGAGAACCCGACTTTCTGAGCTTCCACACAGTACACAGAGTCACCGCGCAATTTCTGGGCAGTCACTAGTCTACCGTATGGTACTATCGGCTGCAGAATTTGGCAAAACCACCAAGCAATTGCTCGAGTTGGACTGCTTTGCAATTTCACACTATAATTTCCCAGCAGTTCCGTTACATGCACAAAGAAGCTTGGTAGAAGGACTGAAGTCTTTCAACATGGCAGTTCAAGAGTTTGCTGATGTGCTGCCATTCAGCGTGCTCTATCAATTAGAGGCCTTAGTAAGGAATGGATTCCTCCTCCCGTGGACGGTTGAGACGCTCCTGATACGGATGGCGACGATTACAAAGGGAAAGCAGAAACTCAACAAGGAAGAAAATGCCAGAGTGAGCTCTGTCCCAAATACCAAGCAACTGCCATACGATATGAAGCGATGTCCAATCTCAGCTGGGGCCGTGAAGAAGCTGTTCTCACAATTACCCTTCCCTAGCCTTGAGGTTGACGCTTCCACATTTGGGGTTAGCGAGATCTGGGGATACCTCGAGGACAACGAGAAGGAAATTCGAAAGGGGCTTGGCATGAAACTCATATCAGTACGTTACCCCACATAAGACAATCAGTTTACCAACATATGAACAGGAGAGAGCACGTCAAAACCTCACCGAGGTCTTTAAGGTCAATATCACGCCAACTGGAATGACTTTGCAGGGGCCCGAACCTGAGGCAAAGAATCGCATACTACGGCGGTTCCCCGACCACACCGAGTACTTTATTCGGGTGCAGTTTTGCGAAGAGGATGGAACAGACGTCCAATTCAACTCGAGAGTCTCTAACGACCGGATCTATCAGCGGTTCAAGGATGTTTTCAAGAACGGTATCGCTATTGGTGGAAGAGTGTACGGCTTTCTGGGATTCTCCCATTCCTCGCTCCGGAGCCACGCAGCCTGGTTTATGGCTCCGTTCGTTCACGAGTCCAAGCTTCAGACCTACTTCTCCATTATATCCCACCTTGGCCACTTTTCCGACATATACTCTACGGCTCGTTGCGCCGCTCGAATCGGGCAAGCATTCTCTGAAACCCCAGTCGCGGTTTCGCTCAGTGCAAACAGCATCCAGAACGATTTACTCCCAGATGTCAAATCGAAGGACGGTAGTCGAGTCTTTAGCGATGGCGTAGGAACAATATCCCAACAAGCTATGGAAGCTATTCATGCAGTAATGGCCCGGCGAAAAGCTCTTCCCACTTGTTTCCAGATTAGGTGGGGTGGCGCGAAGGGTATGCTTGCGCTTGATGCCCGCCTAGAAGGCAAGGTGATGATGGTGCGTCCTTCGATGGTCAAATTCGAGAGTAACGATAAGGCAAACCTCGAGATTTGCGATATGGCTAACAAGCCAATTCCCCTGGTGCTAAATCGACAGGTACGTTGTGCGATGCCCACCGATCTAAATCAATGTTCACAGGTAGTATTTACTGATTCTCTTTTTTCAGACAATCAAGATTTTGGAAGATCTGGGCGTGCCTAAAGAATGGTTCTTTCAGCAGCAGAATCGAGCCCTGCGTCGCCTCCAACTGATTACAGCTCATATAGCCAACACTGTTGGATTTCTCCAAAGACAGAAGATTGCTGATAGCATCGGATTCCCACAGCTGCTCAGGCGACTGAGTGAAATCGGAATTGACTACCGGAATGATCGTTTCCTCTGCTCGGTAGTGGAAACAACAATTCTCTGTGAGCTGCGTTTACTGAAGCATAAGGCGAGAATACCGATTGAAAAAGGCGTTACGCTCTTTGGAATCATGGATGAAACGGGCTATCTCGAAGAAGGAGAAGTATACGTGACCTTCGATGATGCTGACTTTATTAGCGGCCACATGTCAGATCTTGATGGGTTGGAGGTCATTGTCACCCGCTCGCCTGCTTTGCACCCAGGCGACATACAACTGGCCACTAACATCATTCCACCTGACTTCCATCCGCTACGGATGTTGAAGAACTGCATTGTATTCTCGCAGAAGGGCAAAAGAGATCTGCCTAGTTGTCTCAGTGGAGGTGACTTGGACGGCGACCTCTACGGCATCATATGGGATCAGCGTGCCGTAAAACAGTGCAATTCCCTCTACGAACCTGCCGACTATCCCCGTGTTGAGCCTCTAAACCTTGGACGGACAGTTACTCGTGAGGACATGACCGACTTTTTCGTGCAATTCATGGCAACGGATCAACTTGGCCTCATCGCTGTGAAGCACATGATATTAGCGGACCAGAAAGATGCAGGTACCGCGGATCAAGGTACGAAACGATATCAAAAGCCTAAATGTAGTATTTCTAACAGCCCTCGGAAGATTGTTTGTTGCTAGCCCAGATGCATTCGACCGGTGTTGATTACTCAAAATCGGGCATACCCGTTGATATGTCATTGTTCAGGCAACTCAAATCGAACAAATACCGGCCTGACTTGTAAGCTCGATGAACAGTCTAATGGAATGCTGCGAGACCATAGCTAACATGACCCTAGCCTTGCACCTGCCCCGCCCGCCAATATACAGGACCGAACCGAGATCTTGTTCGATGTGCCAACTGCCCCATCAGCCAACGACAACGACGAAGACGAGAATCCTGGGCCGACCCACCTCTACTATCGCTCCGATAGAATCCTTGGACTACTATACAGAGCGATTGATGAGAAGAAGATCTGGTTTGAGAACATAAAGTTTCCAGTCCACCACGGTGTTGGCGTCTTCGATGGGCTCTTTAGCTATATCAAGTCAGAGTGCGCTAGCAAGCTCGGAGGGATCAGTTGGACGAGTGCCATTACAGAAAAGGCATGGGAAATTCGGCATGCGTGAGTCTTGTGTGTACGAACACTGCTAGACCAGCGACCACTAACCACCGTTTCCAGCTATGAGGGCGCTATCGCTACGACGACCCTGGATTATTCAGAACATGCTGCCATCAGTATCACAGAACTCGAAGTCTTCACGGGTAGCATCTACAATAGGTCTGGTGTCCATACACGTCGTCAACGAGACAAGTCCCTTCGTCTTAGGGATGAGTTTGAACGTATTGCAAAGTGGGCACAGGGTGTCATGCGCAAGCGCGACATAGCAACTGAAGAAGAAGGACAAAACGATGAAGCAGATACGCCTGATGAAGCCCTTGCTCTTAGTCTTGCCTGCCTGCATGTAGGTTGTATCAATGACACAGGCAAATCTTCCTCGGACTTGGTGCGACGTGGGGGAAGCCCGTTTTACAGCTTCAAGGTTGTCGCTGCCTGTTGCGCGGTAAAGGAACTTGATGCTGCTATCAGACGGGCAGAAACGGTCAGTGTAGAAACTGAATTTGCTAGCCTGACTTGACTGCTCATGCAAGCGGGCGGCATTGTCGTCTTAATAATCCCTAGCCCTAGGGGAGATGAAATATAACATTGACATACGTTTCCTTCGTTGATAAAAGTCTACGAGTATAACAACTGCGGTACTTTGAGGCATTTCATGTGGCATTTCAATCGTCATATCGTTCCATGTACCAGGTACTGGATCTCGTCATCGGCCCCACATCTTGCGCAGATAACACTACAGAATACTAATGCTACGCTACCTAGCCCACAGGATTCTATGCTGACATGAAGCAGGGTGCAGCAGCTTCAAGCAGAAGGTGGATACCCAAGCAGCGACAAGCTCCTCCAAGCTCCTCCAAGCTTTGCACATACCTGCCTATTTAGGCATCGCTCGCTGCACCGCTGCCCCGCCTTGGAGATAAAGCCGAAGAGCGAGCGACCGGACCTGCATCCCGGGAACGCGCTTCAGGTATGTTTATAAGCTGTGTGCAGTCCTCTTGATTTCTTGGTACGCAAAAAGACCTGCATGATGAAGATCCTGACATTGCTTTGCAGTTTTGCCGCCTTGGGCTCAGCGACTCCAGCTCCTTCACGATGGCAAAGCAAGAGAGCGTCGGCTGCTGCACCAGTTTATGCAGCTCACGCCATTGACCAGCCTGTATGCGTCTTCGCATTCTTTCATTCTTCGTGTTCCCTCTGACCAAGTGCAGATTGATCATTTCCCGAAATCTGACCGTTATGAACCGCACACCAAAGACACGTTCAAGCAGCGGTACTTCTTCGACTCGTCATACTACAAGCCTGGAGGACCAGTATTTCTATATATTGGTGGAGAGACGAGCGGAGAAAGTCGATTCTCGAACCTACAAACTGGGAGTGAGTGCAAAATACCCACTGCAACTACACAGCAATATACTGACCTGTATAGTCATCCAGATTCTCATGGAAAAGTTCAATGGTCTTGGAGTCATTCTAGAGAACCGTTATTATGGACAGAGCTGGCCCTACAACACGAGCACGACGGATGAATTGAGATTTCTTACCACCGAACAAAGTAAGAAATACATTCATCGTTCCTTGTTCTTTGGTCTAACATGAAGCAGCCATTGCCGACAACGCGTACTTCAGGCAACATGCTACGTTCCCTGGGGTCAACAGCAGCCTCAGTGGTCCTGATGTTCCATGGATCATGTATGGTGGTTCTCTTGCCGGTGCACATACTGCCTTCACTATGAAGACCTACAACTCCATCTTTGCTGGCGGCATTGGTAGCAGTGCTACCACCCAAGCATTGCTTGAGTATCCTCAGTGGTACGACCCGATTATCAAGTACGGCCCTGCAGACTGCATTTCCAGAGTCGTCAACATCGTCGACAAGATTGATGCTCTTATTAAGTCTGGTGATAAGCAAGGCATCCAGCAACTTAAGGACATATTTGGTCTTGGTGCATTGCAGAGCCTAGGAGACTTCGCTATGACGATTGCGTTTCCCATCGGTGGCCCTATGAACTACCCAACTAACACCTGGCAAGAGCTCAACTGGTCCGACCGCTACGGCTCCAGCGACTTTTGGGACTTCTGCTCCAATGTTACAAACATCAACCCCCCGAAGAACATCAGCAGTGTTGACACCGCGCTTTCGAAATACTCCAACGGAGAGGCTTGGACCGGCTTAGGCGGATACGCCGATTACGTGAAGAAGGTTCTCATCCCAACCTGCGAAAGCGGTAGAATCGACAGTACAGACACCGGCTGCTACGGCACGCAGAACCAGACTTATTACGCCGATCCCACTAACGGCGCTTCTCGATCATACCTCTACTCGACATGCGCCGAGTCAGGCGCCTATCAAGTCGCCCCCAAACATGGCCCGTCGCTCATCTCCCGCGTCTTGCAAATCCCCTACACGCAACAATGGTGCACCTGGGCCTTCCCGCCTGGCAAACACAACAGCATCCCTAAGAGCCCTGAGCTGCACTACTACAACAAGTACGGTGGATGGAACACCCAAGCACCCAATCTTGCGCTCATTGACGGAAGTACCGATGTCTGGCTTGATCTCTGTTATCACTCAGACCTGGCGCCCAAGCCGAGAGTTAGCAGCGACAAGTATCCGAGTTATCTGATTGCCGGCGCGGGACATCATTGGGATAGTTTCGGGATCAAGAACGTTACTGCTGAGCCGGCGTATATTCGCGAGGCGCACCTCTGGGAGGAGAGGACCGTGAGCAGGTTTTTGCAGTTTTGGTCGGAGAAGAAGCATTGAGATTAGTGGAGGGGTCATGTATTGCTCGCGTTATAAAGGTATTCTGCCATCGCGCAGGGACACTGCTTTCCACACAAGTTCTATGGCCTCACCCTACGCACTACAGATGTAATGATGTTTGTACTGATTCACTGTTTCGTTTGAGACCCAGTCGTATCGAAGCAGTCGGTATTCTCGTAGTTCGCCTAAGAAGCTCTAAAGTCCGACCTATGGAGAAAGGACTACAGCACTAAAGAATACCTACGAAAAGCGAGGGCGTATATACATCTCCCATACGCAGTTCAATCTATAAATCCATCCTCACAACTCCCTCCCTAATTTCCCTTACTTCTTCTCACACCACGCCTTGAACTCTTGATTAAATCCCTCCCAGCCCTTGACCGTCTTCGCCGCAAAACCCAATTGCCTTGCAATGACATTCTGACCCATCATGAACCCTAGTGCACCGCTGAAATACTCTTCTTGAGTGAATTTTGTGCCGCCTGGGATGGATGTGCTGGGCTCGAATCTGAAGCCGTGGTCACCAGTGAAGAGAACGGGAATGGAGCCTCTCCATTGGAAGTGTTCAGGCTTGTTTTCCTGAATGGAGTTAGTATTGCGGGGGGTTGGATTTATGAAATATAGTATCAATGATGATGAGAAGGAGAAGGAGGATGTAGTAATGGAGATTTGGATGAGTTTCATGAAAGGTTATTAACAAGGCTTGAACAGGGCCACTTACAAGAATGATTGCATCCATTTTTTGCCCCGCGCCTGCAAATACGACATGGACTTTGTTGCCTGGAGCGAGCGACTTGCTTGGAGCGAGCGGGGTGATGGAGCCGAAGAAGTCTTTGTGGTATTTTGGGAGGGATTCGAAGTCCAAGAACTAAGAGATGAGAAGGTTAGCTACTGGTACTAGTTGGAAAGCGTGTAAGTCCGAGTTCGCGTGCTGACAATGCCATAGTAGGGAGTAGTATCAATGGAATTACCTTCGCTCTTACAACCTCAGGAGGGGCTGCGATGTCGATTGTTGCTGCGATGGCCATATTGATTCTAGGAAGGCTTGTGATCTAAAGGACGCGGATGCTTTGATACTTTGCTCGTGTGGCTATGGAAGGGCTACCACCTGGAGCGATAGTGGACCGGAAAGTGCACGTTCTGAAGGCTTTGTGGACTGTTTAGTTCTCTAATGTAAAACGCGAGTTTGGATCTAGTTGTCGTATGCCTGAGGTCCCCCCTCACTCTCTCACTCTCTTACTATATATATGCATTGTCAGACGCTTAGCGCAAGAGGAAACCAAGATTACTGTGCATATCGCCCGGGAAATCGCACGATCTTACTGACTGGGGTACTCGTGCAATGAGCCGCAAGCGGTATACTCTGCGCAGGGGACGTGCGGGGTACCTGTCAGGCAGCAACCACCGATACCACCACGACCCTCACCTTGGCTATCATATAGCCCTTTGGCCAAACGTCTCTCGACGCCTGCATACTGCACAGCTGACTCATGGTCAATGTGGGCGGCAGGTCTAAAGGATGCTCACACTGCCGCAGAAGGCGCATCAAATGCGGTAGGCCTTAAGTTTTCGCACTTTGCACACTCGCGGCTCACATCGCTCCAGATGAGAACCGTCCCATCTGCAGGCGGTGCCAGGGAAGCGGTCTTCAATGTGACGGACCGAGAGACACAGCTTTCATTGAAGGAACGATTGTGAGATCTAGGAGGTCTCAAAACCCAGCGATAGCATGGGTGAGGCGTGACATTGAAGAGCAAAACCGTGCTGTTCAGACAATACTGCAGTCCACTGTCCCTTTAAAGCAGAACGAGCATGAGGTATACATTTGCTATACGCGCAAGCACCTCCTCCCCGGTGGCCCCCTGGACGTGGGACTGCAGGACCTCCAACTTGCTGACATCACAACGACGAGCCGAAAGACTACCGATAGCGTGAAAGGACCGGTCTTCAACCAAGCCATGCTGAGCTTCGCCGCCGTGTTTTTCGGTGCTCAACACAAACAAACCAGGATCCTGACACAAGGATATGCCATGCACGGAGCTGCACTCAAGCAGCTAAACTTCACCCTATCAGACTCAAGCTGCTACATCCGCGATGAAGTCATCGTCTCCGTTATCGCGCTGGCTATGCTGGAATGCCTTGTACCCACTGGGCCCAAGAACTATCTCAAGCACATGCTTGGCCTCGAAAGACTGCTCGAGCTGCGTAAGCCAGAATACCTTGCGCATTGTGTGAGGAATATGATTCTGTTTGCGTCGGTGCGGGCAAGGAAACCATCGATTTTGGCGAGACCAGAATGGAAGAAGGTATTGAGAGTGCACTGCGCCGACCAAGACATGCAAGAGCAGGACTTGTGCGACGCTTTGGCCGACTGTACCGTCCTGCTCGCGGAGTGCGACAAGTTGATGACACTCTGGGCATTTGATATGGAAAAGGCAGTTCCGCAGCGAGATAAGTTGGAGCGAAATGCTGTGGCGCTGTTGACGTATTTGCGTACTTGGAAAGACGCATGGGATAGCGACGAACAAAATGCTTATTATGTGGAGTTAGCACCTCCTAGCGACTCGCAGTCTCCGCCGGCACAGAGTGTGGGTGATGACTCGCGACGCATGAGTACGGTTCTAAGGTTCGGAACAGGCTCGGCAGCAAGAATGTTGATGCTGCACAGCACAACACTTATTCATGTCCTCCAAATCCTTGCTTCTCTTCCACTCAACAGCTCGGAAGACCGCAGCGAGCAAACCGCGTCTCTGATCCCCTGGCAGTACACTGCACGTGAGGACGATGACATCTGGGAATGCATCGCAAATGCTGAATGGGCTGCTGCGGCACGCTTAGCCGCTCTGCAAGCTGGACAGTGTCTCCCCGACTATCTGGATCACGAGAGGGCACTTTCTGATCTGCAATTCGCTTCACCAGTGGTTCAATGGGCTGTTAGCACATCGTGGAAGACACTTGGTGAAAATGGGACGGCCGAGGGGCGGTGGATGATGGGCCTACTGAATGAAAGAAGTAACCAGGCTATTGCGAGAGGTATGTGGGATGCATGATATATCGAATCGAGGGATGAATGTGGGTGCATTTGTAAGTCTTCTAGCTTCATACTTTTGTATTTACATTTGTCGTTTATTACATCGTCCATATAAGTAAATACATCAAGCTACATAATTCAACAGTCTCACGCCCTAATCATCAACCCCCACCCCTTGAACGCCACCCGTGCCATAACCAACATTGCCGCACTACCAAACAACATGCATCCCCCAAACGTCCACACGGCATCAAATCCACTACGATCGAGCACCGCCCCACCGATCGGCGTCCCAATCAAGACCCCCACTGCAATGCAAGCGAAACTCTGCCCTAGGCGTGTGCCAATCTTGTCCCTTGCATCCGTGCTAAGATGCATAATGATGGTTGGCGGCAGACTAACAAAGGACCCAGAAAAGAATCCATAGAACGCCATGAGAACAACGATGCCCGCGGTGTTTGAGACGGCCATGAAGCACACACAGAGAAGCCCAGAGACGAGGCAGCAAGGTATAACGACGTTGAAAGGCCCGACTTTGTCAGAGAAGAGGTTGGGAAGAATACGTCTGTGAACGTCAGTTGTTATATCCTCACACACCTTTCCGTACAAGTGGGACTGTGAGTTTGCTTACCCGAAAACACTCGTGCTGTTCATAACAGCCAGCAGATAGAACCCCAGGTCCGGATTCGTAATATGTTGTCGTATCGCATACACCTGGGCATAGAAAAACGGCATATACAGCCCCATGAAGCCGCAAAAGAACCCAAACACCTGAAAACTATACGCGGGGATGAGGAACGCGGGTAGATCGAGCAAAGAGCGCGATTTAGCGGGCAAAACGCGTACGCGCATGACTACATTGGGTATAATCATGGTGCCGAGCACGATGAAGCCGAGCACGCGCGTCGTCCACGCGAAACCGATTTTCGGCAGCAGCTTGTGGAAGACGATGGGGTAGATGACGCCGCCGAAGGAGGAGCCTGACGCTGCGATGCCGATGGCTGTACCAATGCGGGTGGAGAAGTAAGTAGAGAGGATAGCGACGCTGGGGATGAACAGGGCGCCTGTGCCTATGCCGATGCAAAATCCCTGCGCGAGGAGAATTTGCCAGTACTCTGTGCAGAGCGAGAGCATCATTTGGCCGAGGACGAGCATGACGCTCCCGAAGATGAGGAGTTCGCGGAAGTAGCCGGCATCGTAGATTGGTCCCGTGAGCGCGCCTACTTCGAGGAGTAGAAAGGCTTGGATGGAGCCGATCCATGATATGGCCGAGGGACTTGTGTTGGGTAGGAGCGTGGTTCCGTAATATGCAGAATATGACCCGTATGTGTTAATTACGCCCCAGGAGTTGAAGAGGAGGAAGAAACCACCTAGAACTTGCAGCCAGGCCCATAGACCGCCGTCTGGTATACTCGAAGCATCTCTTACACTATGTTTTGATTGGACTGGCTCGAGAGCTGCATCATCCGTCTCTTCCTGGTTCTCCCCGTCTCCTATTACGTGCTGCATCTTCTCTTGCACCTCAAGCTGACTCGCCACTTCGCTGTCGCGAGTTCGTATCGAGTCGCTTGAAAGCGATGGCTGGCTTGGTGTTTCATCCGACACTGTGTTGGACTGCTTTTCTAGCGTTCCTCTCGGTTGATCCATTTTCGGTTGATCCACTTTCGCAACTGGCGACGCTGATGTTGAAGTCTGGGTATGCATCGGCTTTAAGCGCTCTCGCCAAGTGCTAAGAACCTACAACTCAACGGTTATCCGCCTCCCAGGAATCTAGCGTCCTTCCTCTAAGAACAGCCAAGAGATGAACAAGAAATACAAATACGCAGAACCGCAGAGAAGAAGAGACGTGTAGGCGCAAACCTGGGGAGCGGGGCGGCAATTATATAATGTACAGACTGTGGAGAAAAAGGGACTACTAACGCAAATGGTTCAGCCCACACGGTACGGAGTCTGCCCGGCAGTGTGCCCGGAGCACGCCTGAGGCTTGCCTGGCCATGACTCCGTGCGGGCTACGGAATCAAACAATGGCGGCGTGTAAGCACGTCACGAAACGCTCCATGGAGGCTAAAGCCATGTTATACCCGCCACGCTTGTGCGTCTCTGGTTACGGTGGCCCGTTAGTAATCCGCCAGGGGGAAGCCGAGGAGGAAAAGAGTGGAAAACGAACATGTAAGATTTCAAGGCACCAGAACTTTGTCACGGGGAGTATCGTTTGCTGGGTAGGGTATGCGGAGGTCCTGCAAGAGTTGGTAGGTGGCCACGTCTATATACGCAACCGCCGTAAACCTCTCGGGGACATTTGATCTTATATCTCCCCGAGAGGAATGGTATAGAATATTTGGGAGCCAATGTGCGAACAGCCTTCAACAATATGACCCTGTTGTGACTCACGACGTGCATGCACTGCTGACGTTCAGATACTATGTGATACAATTTTTCCGCCTTTCGGCGTATCTACCTAGATGAAGAGAAAGTAAAGTAGCGGTAAGAGGCCCTATAGGGGTATTGCTCGGGCGAGTAGAAACAAGTAAGATGATGCCGTAGTGGTGTACAAAGCAAAGTCGGTCTGTCTTATGCTGTCGTGATCTTATGGGAATATGCTTCGTCGTATCGTTTCGTACTTTTGGTGTGAAGAATCGCTGGGAACGCCTCTGCAAAACGCCTCAAACGCTCGCTATGCTATACACCCTGAAGAGCAAACCCACCAGAGATTTTGTATGTTGCGCGCGAATACCAGCGCCGAAATCATGTGGACATGCCCGTAGATATGAAAAAAATTACCGTGGTCCATGGTCCCGAGAATGAAATGGAGTCTTCAAGCCTCGCCGGCCAAGTGCTGGGTGGCCAAGCGGTGACCGGAGGGATGAAGAGGGGATGGCTCGACTTGCTCAACACGCTCTTCGATGTACATGTTGCCAAGGAGAGCAGGGGAAATGGTCCCGTCCACAGAAGGCTGCAGCTGACCGCGCAATGCTTTCTGGCGACGATTCTCACGCTCGTTGATCACGTTTTGCATGGTCCTGACCGTGCCAGTCCAGCCAATCTGGTTAGCTGTTGCGCGATGATTGAACAAGCGCTCCAAGAGAGGAACTGGCAGCGACAGCAGAATAGTGGAGAGTACCCGAGTAGCGTGGCTTGCCTGGAAATCATCCTCGGGGGGCGCATCGCCGAAACGAATCTTGCTCAATCGAGGGTTGTGGGTAGGCGGTCGAGGCTCAACAAGAGTTGGGAGACGCGGCGCATCTTTCAACTCGGGCGCAATCGTATACAAGGAGAAGTCAACAGGAAAAATATATGCCATGAATTCGATAGCATAGTTGAGCAAAGCATTGGTGAACGGGTCATCCTTTGAGGACCGAGACGCCGAGCTGGCTTGCAATGCGTAATGTAGGACTTGGTCGATAGTGTCCCATCGAAGAAGCATACGCGCAATCTCAACACCACGCGCTTGCATACTAGGAATATGCAGTGTCCTTGCTGCCGCAATGTAGCTTAGAACCTGTTGCATGCGTCTTCGAGCCTCGTTTGACGGGACAGCCTGATCGCTGTCATACAAGTAAGGCGCAAGGCCATACAAGAAGGTTTGCGCCGACAGAAGCGGTGCCCCATACAAGACTTTGACTGCCTCCTCGATAGATTCGCGGGTGACAAATGGGTCCAGCGCGAGGATGTCGATAGGGCGGCGCGCATCCCTCGAACGGTGGCTAGGGGTAGGGCTACGACGAACAGCATCTGCGACGACTACACTGCGCACAACTATGATGCCGTGAACCGGAATAGAGACAAGGATGGACTCTGGCGATCGAACTTGCAAGATGAAATCAGCAAACTGTGGATTGCCAAATTGAGTGGACAAGTAGGCGGCAAGCTCGAAAGGCGACTCCTCAAGACGTTCTGCTGGCGGCGCAGTGCTGTTTTGATACATGACTGCATGCTGATCTTCTCCGCGATCAGAGGCGAGTTTCGTCTCTCCGAACTGGGACTTGCTGGGTGATTGAGGGTGCGGAGTACCCGTTCCATTCGTGATGAAAGCTGCATCCCTTGAAGGGAAGTGACCGTTGAAGGCACTTGGATCTGCAATGGGCCCATTGGAGAAGGTTGGGGATCGAAAGGCACCGCTAGTCTCGTTAGTAGGGTCCATTGGCGCAGCGGAATATGGCGGCTGGAGCCAAGGTGCCGTTGCCTCCGATGGGTGCTGAGAATGCCCCTGGAAGAACGGGGTGTACTGCGCAGGAGCGAATCCAGGCGGAGGGCGAGGCACGGTCTGCTGCTCTATATGTACATTCGATTCAGTCTCCTGGGGCGTCGCCGAAATCACGGGTGATGCATTCGCGCTCTGGAATACGACGGCTCCTGCGCTGAGTCGGTGTCGATGATACGGCGCGTGAGCCTGGTCACTACCATCTGCAGGTGGCGTGTGTATATCCGTCCTGCTTGTGCTTGAGGGGTAGAAGGGCGGTGGCAGTTCAGCGGGTACGGCCAATTTGCGGTGGACACCATTCACGTCTGCCTTAATCTCGGGGCGGTACGCAGATGGTGGGGTTGGGTCTTGGGTTGGTTGGCCTTTGATAGTGACATCTGCGGTTTGGTGGGTTAGTTGAGTAGTTCTAAGGGGTACAAGCCTGGGGGAGGGGCGTGGAGGCATACCTTGAGCGTCTGCACCATGTTCGACATGGTCATCGTGCGAAGTCGCTGGCGAGGCACCCAAGACGGGCGTGTCCGCGTCGTTGATAGAGGCTCTAGAGTCTGGTGTCAAGGGAGTCTCCCCAGATCTTGCGTGCTGGTCTGCCGGCTGCTCGTCCACCTGCTTCTCCTCGACCGCGGTCTTGGGCTCTGGCTCCTGCTGCGGCGCAACGGCAGCACCTTTATTAGATTCCTCTGGGGTAATAGGCCTTGCCGAGGGCGGAGCACGCGACAAACGGTGAGGGATGGCAGGAACAATGCGAGGCAGCGGGCGACGGGCCTGCTTCTGCTTCTGCGACGAGGGCGCGGTATCGGCAGAGAGGGGCGCCATGGCTGTCCTTGATATCAAGAACCGAGCCGAGCAGGAGAAGGAGCGAAGGTGTCGCAGCGGCTCCAGGTAATTGCGGCGTCGTTGTGTTTGCCAATTATCCTGGAGCGCCTTCAGACGGGGAGAAGGCTTGGAGGCGAGAGGGGTGGGGGGTGTCGCAGAGTGAACGCAAAGGCAGATGGAGACTTCCGATTCATGTGGGGATGATTTTTAGCCTGCATATATGCGTCATAGCTCGCCGGTTAGTCAGCACCCACTATGATCTACCAGCAACCCACCTGTTGCCTACATGCATCTTCGCGTCTCGTAATCTCTTTCCGACACGTCGTCACACGTCGCCGTTCACATTCTGGCCTCTCAGGAAGCGCTATTCCGCTTCTGCGTTACCTGCTGGAGGCCGCCGTGGTACCATTCGACTGCTCGCCTTGGGCTGACCGCTTCTCCTTCAAACGAATGCGACCTGGCCTCGCCCCAGGCAGCGGCAACCTCTAATGTGGCCTGATAATCTTAGACATGATCAAGCTACCCGGGTAATGGAGCAATGGGCTACCTTGGGTTGGTCCAGAAAGGTGGAAAGAGCGGTACTGTGAATCTAGGTAGTTATCTAGAAGACGCGGGACGTCCCTGTGAACGGGACTTGGATAAGTAACCATCGAGAATTGAGCAACATGCCATGGTCCAGCCAATTGCGCATACCTGAATTTAAAAAAAAACCACTATGGTTCCGTGGGTTGATGTCAAAATCAATATTCCTATTCTTTTGAGGGTTTCAACTCCACATTTCCCAATAAATCCCCAGTCTGTCCCTCCCATTACACATCGCCACTTCCAGGAGTATTCAGACTATCTGACACCTTCTCCACCTGGGCGGCATTGCCAAAACAAACACCATAGTCCTCTTGCCGCAAGCCTGCGCGTTCTTCCTCCCTATCTGCGACCCTACGTTGACCTCATATTCCCTTTAATCGCCTAATTCCTGGACTATACGCTCTTTAGTATCACATATTCCATCATGGTTCTTGGACAGGCTCTGTCCCCTTACCATAACAGACATCCTATCCCGGGGCTATTGCCGATGCGCACAGTGAAGAGCAAACAGTCACGATTCTTCCCTCCGCCAACATTCCTTGCCTCCCCCGACACGACAGAATGCTATTCTTCGACGCCCAAGGTACTGGATTCCGCACCCACAGAATCAGAACCTTCTGACTCGAAATTTTCCAATGTGCCAACACGTCCCACTCATGCACAGAAGAAAGCCGCCTCTGCTGCATGCCGCGCTCTTGCGTCGATGAAGGTCAACTCTACTTTTGCTCTGTCAGATAACGTCTCACATGCCAACAATACCTTACATAAGGTGCCAATTCAGGAATCGCCATCATTCCCAGTACTAGGTGAATCATGCAGACCATCTACGCCGTGCTCTGTAAGCCACGCATTACATGGTACACACCAGTCGCCGCCACCTCCTTTCAAGCTCAATGTATCCCAGTCATGCTTCGTTCGAAGTTACAGAGAACCATCCGAGGGGATCACCACATTCAAGCCTTCGCCTTCCCCACTCATCACAGCACCGGTAACCTGTCCACACCCTTTCATCAATATGCCAAAGCACCAGCCACCGCCAGCTGTACCAGAGGATCTCTTCCAACATTCTTCCTCGAATTCGATGCCACTCAGCCGAAACCCAGCCCTCGAACCTACAGGCCCAGAAGTGCAACAGGGACTGGACGATTTCTTGGGCATGGGACATCCGAGTCCATGTTGGTGCAGCAAGCATGCAAAGCTGACTGCTCCTTCATGCAAAGTTACTGCCCCTACTCTCGAAGAGACGAAGGCGTCCTATGGAGGGGATTTGTATGACTATACTGGACCCAGCGCAGATTATTCTGATCCTGAAACCGACTCCGACGTGGGCGCCGTCTCCATGTCACCTCCCTCTCAGAGTTCACGACCCGAGATTGATGACCTATACGACATGGTATACCCGGCCGAATCCAGCGACGACGAATGGTCCATCATTTCCCCCGGCTCTCGAAATCGCAAGCTTCGCTCTCAGTTCCTTCCTGCCACACCTGACGGTCACGTAGTAGGTCCTACCCAGCTTTTCCGCTCTCCTCTAGTACCATTCCTAACACCAGAGTATCTGCTCTCTTACTCAGACACCGAGACCTTTTTGCTGAGTCCCTCGATTTTGTCTCCGGCGCTATCCCCAGTTGAGCCAGCGCAGTTCCCGCAAGTCGATAGACGTGAACGTATAAGTAGCACGGCAAGCACTAGTATTGGTGGCGGTTGGCATACGCTATAGGAAGTCTCATATTTCAAGCAGGTAGGAAAAGATATTAGGTGAAGACTAGTCAAGAGAGTGGGGTCGAGATGGTATATATGGGTGGCACGGACTATGTTGTAGGTGTTGACTTCAGTGCTTCGATCGAGGTACATGGCCTTGAATTCGGGATTTACTGGCGCTCGTAAGGAAAGGGTTAGATTGAATTCTGGGATTTCTCATTAGTTTGTATAGTAATCGGTGTACGTCTCACGTTAAGTGAAACAGACAAGAAACTCATTTACACCGACATGAAGCAGCGCAACCTTGTAAATCAGTACCTCATATTCCAGATGCCGGACCAGGGGCCATACTACGGCCAAGCAGGCTGGCTCGCGTACTGCACTGAAAATTTGGAACCCTATCGCACTGGGATTAGGCGTATTATGGGCGTTTTGGAAATCATACTAGCCCAGGATAAAGATGGCTGGTTTGTGGGCGATAAGTGCACTTTCGCGGATCTTGAGTTCTTGTCGTACAATCGGCAGTCTCGCGGTGTTCCTAGGCTGTGCGCAGGCGGGATGTTTCGAGGGTTTGCCGCTTATGAAGGCTTGGTATAAGACGATGAAGGGAAGAGAGAGCTGGAAGACGTCTGTTGAGACGAGGATTCGGTTGATGGATGAGATAGGGTTGTTGCCGAGTGGGACGCCGAAGGGGGGTCATTAATGCTCGAGTGCGAGGAAGAGAAGAGTATGGTCGATTAAAAAGCTACCGCTGCGAAGGACCACCGTGTTATGGGTGGCGACGAGTCGTTGCAGTGATGTGGAGATCTATAAGGAAAGAATAGACTCAATCTGATATATTTAGGACTGGAGGAATTGTGAAAGAACATAGGAGAATTGGGCCGCGCCAAATATTCGAGACAAGCCGCTAATCTTTCGGGTTAAGATATAAGACACACTCCCCAAACACCCTGCCAAAACGGTCCTGTCCAACCACGGTGTTACTGCTAAATTTCTCCGCTGAAACCCCGCGTTTCAGTTTGAATTGAAATAGTCGAGGGCTAGAAGGATCTGAGCGTCGATGATCTTTGCATCCCTCCACACCATCGTCTTGGATGCTGTTACACAGCATACCAGCCGGCCCTCCCTGCGTATGTGTCATGTCTGCGACAATTTGACGCACAGGAAGCCGTTGAGTTTTGCTCATAATGAGACTATTCTTATTAATACGGTGGAAACCTATGGGGGTATCATAAACTGTGATGTTGTAACTCTTCAAAATCGACTTGCATTCTTCGCAGTAGTCGCTGTCTTGAACGCCTACAGTAATCTCCTCTTTCAGGAGATAATCTGAGGAGGTTTCCCGAACTGGTTGCACCTCTTTAAGTACATCTCGGATCTCTAACGCAACTACATGCCGGAGGAAGGAGTTTGCGTCGCTATAACCTTGTTGTTGGGAAAGTTTCAGTGGACCGAATCCAAAACAGAGAATCTCGTTGACCGTTCGCATCCGTGGACCATTTTGTCTGATATGATCTGTCAAAAGTGTACAAAAGGTCGAAGCCCTCCAGGCCGCTCTTTCATTTTCGAAAAGTTGTCGATTGCCGTTGAACCGGCAGCAATCTTCTGGGAGTACAATATCCTGTCTTTCCTTTACTCCGAGTATCATGCCTCTGAACTCAGGAGAGCATGCTGGTTGCAAAATCCTCCTCGATGATAGATCACAGTAGTGGGGCAATAACCACTGGTGGTAACTAAGGAGTACAAACTCTTTGTTTGCTCCCTGAACCGGAATAATATGTTCATTTCCATCAGCATCGAGGGTCTTGATCTGAGCTTGGTTTAGGGGGCCGCTATTCAATAACGCAGAGGCAGCCATCCAATTTCTGAAGAAAGCTGGTGTGAAAACTGGTGGACCGTTGATCCGAGCTACGAACGAGCCCCAGCCTACTGGATTGCTCATGACTGTCAGATACAGGCTAGTATCAGTTTGAGAAGGCTTTTTGTCTTTAGGAATGTGTTGGCTTTCGGAGATATAGGTGGCGTTCGAAATAAGGGGTTGAATGAAGTATAAGCTGTTTCTTGTAGAAGAATATCATTCTGCGAGCACTATTAGCTTGTATTTATATGCCGTTGGATGCATGAGTCTACAGACACAGTCATACAACGACCATCCCCTGTGCCCGTCATATCGGCACGAGCAAAGATGCTAATGAGTAAACAGACCACGTGCATCTGCCATAAGTCTCAAATGCACAAATCCTGCGCTGACCAACTGACACTAATCGCAATGATAGTGCTATTGAAGGTAGCTAGAAGGCCTTCAGTACATTGCTAATGAGCAAATTCGATCACATCAAGCCCTTGCGCTATAGCGTCACGACTGCTGAGTAAGTGACTCTTCAGTCTATAAGTGTTTACCTTTGAGAGCATGTATCATTGTGGCCCCTGCGACGTTCGAGCTGCTATAGATTTGTCCAAGCCGAATGTGACGTCGCGGTGACACGGAGCCTGACATGACGGCACCCCGTTTTATGTAATGTTTGTTGACGATAACAAAACCCGATAGCTGTATAACAGTAGTGAGACCAACGGCGATTCGATAGAGAAGGTGAGTCAGAGTGGGCAGGAGTGAACGCAAAGGTCGGTCGCCGCATGGGCCATTGTACGTCATTACCGATATCTCTCAAAAATAGGCAGGGTGGTAATGAATAGTCACTCTTGAATCACCTGGCTCATCATATAACATACTCGATTAGTCTTTCTTTGTTGTCATTGCTAGCGTATGAGACCGTCGTTAGCGGTTCTTTGTCTATGCCTACTTGAACTTCAGTCTAGCAGGTACCAAATCACTCCATCTCTCTCGTAATGACGTACATGGACTCGCAATCTTTGGCCTAAATCAAAATCTCCTCCGACTTATGGGTTCCCAAGCAGATCCGTTTTTGTTCTTTCCTTCCCAGAATTGAGATATCCCACCTCGCTGTCTACATAATATCCTCTCATCCCACGCAACTGTGCTCATCCTTTAGCGCTCACAGTCTTTGCTTACATCTTCATATAACCTTTTCTGGTGTCATTTACTGTGTGACAATTGCGCCATACGATACTGTCCATGACACAGATCGCGAGAGCTCTGGCCCAAGCGTAATGGTGCATGCTCTGCAATGACATTAATCGAGGTTGGACATGCAAAGAAGGTAATGACTACAGCCCGAACACACAGGCAGGCTGCGCCCTATATAAACCGCTGAGGTGATTCTCTTCATTGAGCTGCACTTGGTTCATCAACAGTTTGCGACAGCCTGTCTAGTGTCTGGGTTTATGTCAGTGAGCATGCCATACGATATTCTTCCGGGTCTTTTTGTTCCTTGGTCTATCTTGCGGCATTCGGCAATAGGCAGCTTGCACAAAAGGAGCTGAAAAAAGAAGCATGTTCATGGCGCTCAGGGGGCTACGTGGATAATTCGCACTTACAGGTATTAAACCATGACAACGGAATTGGCAAGATCCGCATGTGTAATGATGATGATATCGATCAGATTCTGGTGAGACGTTTGATCTTCTATCCTTTTGAGCATGTTGCTGAATCAAACACTAGAGCGAAACCCCTCAACTCCGATTTATCCTGCTAAGCTCTATGAATATGGCGCGGTTGATCCAGCCAACCCCGAGACACCTGCGCCATGGGTGGCCAGCACGTTCAACATCTCTCAGCGTGCGCTATTCAAGATCATGACAAATTACGATATTGCTCCTGCAGCCAGCTCGCATATACGGGGACAAGAGCAGACATTCGGGTCTAAAGTCTCAGTGAACGAGAGTGGCGAAGTGCAGGCGTTTGGTAAGTGAAACGCACATCCTTTTGCGGGTACCCGTACTGACATTCAAAACGTAGAGTTCTGGTACGCCATCCGCGCGAGAGCGTACTTTCGCGAGGTTGATAAAGATGCTGACCTCAAAATGAATATTGTAACGAAGTACGACGTCCCGATCAAATCGACTATTGTGGTCTTAAAATATAGATCCTTCAATGACCTGGCATGCAAGCTGAAGGGTGGGCTTATTTCCAAACTGCACGAGCTGGTTATGGAACCCAGCACTCGAGAGGTTGCGAAAAGTCCGTTCGCAGTTTCCCTTCTGCATTTCAACGCCACCGCGCAATGGTATCGACGAGCAGCACGAGATCCGGGAGATAGCTTGAGAAAAGAGGAAGAAAAAATTCATGACGGACCCGAAAATAATGAAAACGAGGTCAACGCGATCATCGTGCGGAGACTCCATCTCACTATGCGTAACCTTGACCAGGATAAACTACAGCTCACGTTTATTCTTGGTGTTATCGACAGCCTGCGCAAGCAACATGACCTCTTCTACAGGCTTGTCCGGAAGTCTCCTAACCCAGATGATCGAGACTGGCTGTTCTTAAGTGTGAATGGGGAACTTGATCGCATCGGAAACCAGTTGACCTACACTGGGTCATCCATCGAAGGCGTCTGTCATGGGACGCAGAGACTGTTAGATCTTGTGAGTACTTTTACACATCTTTCAAGTTCGCATGCTGATACTGACTGAACAGCTTTTCAACATTTCTGGGCTGCAGAATGCTCGCTGGAGTGAAAAAGTGGAAAAGCAGACCGTGTACGAGGGTGCTTCGATGAGCGCCATGGCCTTATTCTTCATTTTCTTTTTACCAGGCGCCTTCACTTGCGGAAGTGGTCGTTGACCTACAATATCATTTCAATCATTGACTCCTACAGGGTGTGCTGGGTACACATCTATTCACGATGAACTCAAATAAAGCATGCTCCGCCTTGCGCGCAGCCTCGCAAGAGTGGATACTGCTCATTACCATCATCCCGATAGTAGACTTGCCCTTCTTTGCCTGGTCTGTTTGGCGGACGGACCAAGACTAAGACTGAGATCACTCGAAAAATTGAAAAAGATAATATCGAGACCACAACGCTGCAAGGCATGGCCGGTGGACGATAGAAGGAAAAGCGTAACAATGCTTGGGGCCGGCGTGCATATACCCAAAACGCATCGGGGGTTCCTCTTACTTGGGAATGATCCCTCACCTTAAAGGCCTTGGGTAGCTGAGACAGGTTTCTGACGCAGGTTCCTTCATCTCATATTTTCAGGACAACAATAACGACTGCTTTATACTGAGCCAGGTCATTGTACATATCTCACCTCAACCTCACTGAAGGTACTTTCACAGAACTGGCGATACCTCTCCTCGGGCGCAAGCGCTTTTGATACCTTTCTCTCACCTCATCCTCGAATGAGAGTTATCATATCCACAATCATCTTATTTTCGTACCCAATCACCATACGAACCCTACCAACTGAACAAATCATCGTCTTCGGATCTTCGTACCGGAGCGAAATGCAGAGCTACAATGACGATGTAGCTAGTGAAGTATGTTTGATATCTTCAACGCCGAATTCGTTGTTCGCTGAAAAGTCGGGCGTCGATAGTAATCAAGTCTCGAAGATATGTTATGTGGGTGCCGGTTATGTTGGTAAGTGAACCCTAATACGGATTCTACATGGCCAAGGCCTTCGCTGATCCTTTGATAGGCGGTACGAGTGCAGCAGTGATGGCACTAGCGAATCCAGGAATCCAAGTCATCGTCGTTGACACTAGTAGGGCCAAAACCGATCGCTGGAACTCGAAGCATGTACCCATCAATGAGGCCGGCCTGGACCTTGTGATTCGCATCACCCGAGACGGCTTAAGTGAGCATGATTCAGCGCAACCCCAACGTGCGGCAAACTTGGTCTTCTCTACAGATTGTAGTCGTCATGTCAGAGAGGCAGACATAATCTTTCTTACTGTCAGCACCTCCACGAAAGACTATGGGGAGGGCGCTGGGGCTGCGATCGACATTGGAGACCTCAAGATAGCGGTGGAGACCATTGCAGTTGCAGCAAAACCTGGGGCCATCATTGTGGAGAAGAGTACAGTCCCTTGCAAGACTGCACAAATGATTCAAGATATAGTAAGCTTTGCTCGAGTAGTATGATTTGGTGGTTTGGAGGAAATCTGACAGGTTGTGCAGCTCCAATATCACCGGCCAGGAGTTCCTTTCGAAGTTTTGTCTAACCCTGAATTTCTTGCCGAAGGAACCGCGGTAATGGACCTTTTACGCCCCTCCCGCGTCCTCATAGGATCAGGCAAGACAGCATCGGGACTTGCAGCCGCGGAAAAACTTGCTTCTCTCTACCACTGGATTTCGCCCGAAAAGATATTACGAGCCAACCACTGGTCTGCCGAGCTAGCGAAATTAGCATCGAACGCAATTCTGGCACAAAGGTTAAGCAGCATCAACACCATCGGTGCAATGTGTGAAGCCATAGGTGCAGACATAACCGAAGTTTCTCGCGCCGTCGGCATGGATCCGCGAATCGGACCTTCCTACCTCCAGTCAGGTCTCGGCTTTGGAGGCTCCTGCCTTAGAAAGGATACGCTCGGACTTGCTTACCTAGCTGAGGTTCTTAGTCTACCCGAAGTCGCATCGTAATGGAAATCTGTCATTGATATGGACACTTGGCAGGTAGATCGCTTTGTCGAAAGGGTCATTCAGTCATTCCATGGGACTTTGAGGGGCAAGAAGCTGGTAGTGTTTGGCTATGCGTTCAAGGAGAACATATCTGATTCGCGAGAATCACAGTCTATTCAAGTAATTAGGCAGCTTCTGCTCGAGCAACCAGAAGAGATCACTGTCTACGATCCTGGATGCGATCTAGATTTCATGCAGGATGAACTGTTGCGTACTCTCAGCCCCATGAATAGTCCAGTTAAAACGTACCAAAATCCCTACGAGGCTTGTGAAGGAGCGTCTGCAGTATTGATACTTACCCCCTGGGAAGCATTCAAGTATCCGCCTTGTTCAGCAAAAACATCCCCTACGGCGATATTCGAGAATGACAACATACTCATCTCGCAGCCAGATGGGCATATTGAGATCACGTTAGCTGAAAACGTGGAAATTCAAGAAGGATATCTGAAGCCAAGTCCGGGTTGCCCTGAGGGTTGTGCAAAGTGTATGCAAGAATTGGCCAGAGCAAGGTCAAGCCCATGGTGTCAACCAGTCAATTGGGGAAGCTTGTTGAAGCATATGAAACAGCCAAGATGGGTATTTGATACTAGGAGGCAGGTGCAAGCGGAAGAATTGGAGAAACTAGGCTGCAAGGTTGTTACCCTAGGGCGAAGCAGTTTCGGTGCTTGAAAGCGGTGTCAGTATCCACATGTGCTATATGAGGCCATTGGCATATCAAGCTTGGAAGGTTTGTCGGCAATGCCTTCTTTGAGAGATTTGAGGCAAGATAAGAATTACTGGGAGTCATTGATGGTATCAACTATGTTCAAGATCGAGAAAATAGTGTGGGGAGTTCGCAAAGTCGATATCTAGAGCTACGGTTGGGATATGTTTCGAATCTATACACATGATGCTCGAACGCTTCAATCTAATCGCGCCTCTAACCGCTAACACCGTTGCCTCTAAACTCTATTGTCGGACCCAAGCCATAGATTCTACAAGCTCGCCTGCGCCTGCTCAAACTCCTTGCTAAACGGATAGTCAGTGTATCCCTCCTCGCTCTTCGCGTTGTAAAACGTATCGCGGTTGTACTCGTTGAATTCGATACCCTTCTGCAGCCTGAAGACAAGATCGGGGTTAGAGATGAAGTACCGCCCAAACACGACCACAACATCGCGGTCCTTGTGCTCCTCCATGAGGCGCTTAGCGGAGTCAGCTCTGAAACCGCCAGCGATCAAGAGGGGGCCGCGATACAGCGGGAGGAAAGGGTTGAGCTTGTAGGTGCTCTCAATGTCTGCATTGCCGGATACGCGGGATTCCACGAGGTGCACGTAAGAGAGGTTGAAGGCGTCGAGCTTCTTGATGATGTCGCTGAACTGGGGGATCGGATCCTCCATCTTCATGCCTTGGAAGTCGGAGAATGGACTCAGCCTGAGGCCCGTCTTGTCTGCGCCAACGGCGTCAACGACCGCCTGCGTGACCTCGACGGCAAATCTGGATCGATTCTCAACGGAGCCACCGTACGAATCTGTGCGCTTGTTGCAGTTGTCCTGCAAGAACTGATCGATGAGGTAACCGTTTGCGCCATGGATTTCCACACCGTCAAATCCAGCTGCGATGGCGTTCTTAGCCGCTTGTGCGTATGTTGCAACTGTCTCTTTAATGTCTTCAAGCGTCATCTCCTGGGGAACGGCGTCATTTTCGCCTAATTGCGTCGCGCTGGAGCTCTTCACTGTGAAGCCATTTGCCTCTGCGAATTGCTTATTTGCAACGCGGCCCAACGCCCAGAGCTGGATGTAGATGAAGCTACCCTTCTTGTGGACTTGATCGGTGATTTTTTTCCATGCGTCAATCTGCGCTTGGTTGTAGATGCCGGGAATATTGGGGTAGCCACCGTGCTGCTTGGAAATGAAGGTTGCCTCTGAAATGAGCAGTGTGCCAGGGAATGAGGCGCGCTGGCCATAGTAGTCCTTGACAAAGGGAAGGGGGACGTGTTCATCGTCGGCGCGGAACCGTGTCAGGGGAGCCATGGCAACGCGGTTGGTCAGCTCAATAGAGCCCAATTTGAGCGGCTTGAAGAGGCGGGATTCTGGCATCTTGATGGTATTCGCGGTGTATGTTTGAAGACTGAAGGGCGCAACTTGATTGCGGACTCAAAGCTCGATATTGTGATTTAATTTGATACACTGGAAAACAGTCGAGACAGACGCACATTTTATATACTTGTTCCATTTTCTAGTCAATTGCCGGTTAAACTCGGCGCTTTTGTAACGAGTTTTTCTCGCACTTTCTGCGTGATCGTTTGAAGCTTGAAGGGGTAGATGACGTTATTAGCGACTATTTGTCAGCGGCGGAAAATACGCGAGTCATGAAAACAGCAGTAAACTAACATACGACGGAGGAATGATTAGCCCGGAGGCGGAATTCCGTTCGTTCTTCTTTTGTATGATTGGCCTATTGATTGCCCGGTCCGTACACTCCATCTGACTATTCTTACTGTGTTGACAGTTCTGACACAAGCTGCTAAGCATGAATTGTATTTCCAAGCAGTGTGCAAAGTCTAGAACGACTTGCATAGACGTTAACGAAAGATTTTACAGGTAAGACATGACGACAGATCTGGTTAGGCCAGATGCTCTTGCTTTCCTCACGCTTAGCTTCTTTGCACGGATGGTAAAACTTGCATATAGTAGACGAAGTCTTCCCCTTTGTCCTTCTTATAGCTAAATCCATGCATTGTTTAATAATATGAAGGCCCTACCGCGCTTGCGATAATCTTTTTAATGTAGTATATTGCGGATCCTCCGTCCAGTAGTCGCAGATACCAAGGTGCAGCCTAATTTACTGCTAATCGCGATTGAAAGGTCACCGTAGTTCTTATTGCAAATAGCTTAGCGATGTTAAAGGATACATAGCTATAATTAATAAAAAAGTAATACTCTATAATTGTCCTTGCATCGCGCATTGTACTACAACTATACACTGCGATCTTATCGCGTTTGTCAAATCCAAAACAAGCTGCAGTAAAAGATATGTAGAACACAAACGATAACAGGCACTACTATGAAATATATAGTTGCCGTGTGAGATGTAAGATGTAGGGCGGAGAGGGAACAGCGGAGTACATATTTAAGCACACCCCACTAGTAGCGCATGCGTCTCTATCTTAAGTTCAAACAAAACTCCAGCCTCATTCGTGTATCAAGCACTCTACTATCCTCCATTTTTCTAGTAACCCCGCATAAAGACTATACAGATAAGCAAGATCCAAGACCTATATCTACTCGCATTCATTCGCATTATAGCACCCCTCTATTCCATACCTCTATTGAAGCATAATCCAAGAAACTCACCAAAGTACCTAGACATAGCCACGTAGTAGTTACAAAACTCCCACCAACAAACATCTCTTTATTCTCCCCTTCATTTTCCAACACCCCAATCCGCAGCGCAATTCCGAGTCTACCCGCACCCGCACTACAGTCCTCAACATGATCCCCTGCCAGCGCCTCTCAACAACAATCGACAGTATCGGCCCAAACATACAAGCATTCATACATACGCGAAACAAGGGAGGGAAGGATGCGCGCCAACCCACTTAAAAAACAAGGATAACTAGGATATACGAGATAAAAACTAAATATAGTACATGCAGTCCTACTGTAGTATACTAGGAATCGGAACCGGAACCGGAACCGGAATGCACAAGAAACGATACAGTAGCGAACGAGGAATCCTGGGTTTACTGTGATTGTGGCGCATGTGCATGCTGCATGCATTAGTAGTCGATGTGGTACAGGTACAGAGGTACATGTTGTTGAGCTTATCTTTATCTCGACGTTGCCTTCCTCGGGCCATGAGCGATAAGGACATTTCCCATCAGATTTCGGGAAGAGGAAAGCCTTCCATTCTAGAGCCAGCTTGTCGATGTTATACGGTGTTGGATGCACGGCTGCAAGAGAGAAAAGAGGAAGGTGTTTGTTTTAAAATTTTGATTATTTTTTGGAAATTACAATAGTTACACGTTTATTTGCGTTCGAAAATAGATACTATCAAGGTCGTAGAAGGGCACCTCGCATACGCCAATGCATCAGTAAAGGGTTCAATCAGCGTTCTACACACGATCTTGCCAGACTTGTTACCACCCTGCCTCTATCGTGCAAAGCATCAATACATCCGCCCGCGACTAAGGTCTAGAACTGCGCAATAGCAACCGACACAGCCTGGTCGTCCGAGTGACTGATGCTAATGTTGATCTTCTTGAGACCAACGCGTTGGGCCTCTTCTTGGGCGTGCCCATGGAGCTACGTTCAAGTTAGCATATCATCTCTCAACTAATCTGATTCATGAACATACCTGAACAGTCGGCGCGCCCGTCTCGTCATTGATAATCTCAATGTCCTTCAGCGCCGCACCGGCACCCTTGCCCTGCACACCCAGCGACTTGAATACAGCCTCCTTGGCAGACCACTTGCCTGTGAAGCTGGCTTGTGGGCTAGGTGCCTTCTGGCAGTACGCAATCTCCTTCTCGGTGAAGTTGCGCTCGATGAAAGTGTCGTTTTCGATGTTGAGGGCACTCAGGCTTTCGACATCGACACCGACCTTGGTATTGGCAGAGGCGCTGGCCTGAGTGAGCGACTCAACCATCTTCATCGTCTCCTCGGCCTTCTTGTCCTTCTTCGGTGCGTGGGCGAACTGCGCTGGGTACTTGTATGTCGACGTCTTCTTGTCGACAGTGACGCGCGCCTGTGGGTTGAGGAAGACCTCCTGCTGCTTGTCATCTTCATACGGTGCCTTATCCTTGGCGCGGAACATGGTGTTGTTGATGAGGCCATCGTGGAAGTATCGGTAAGCCTTCTTCTGGCGGGCCTGAACCTTCTGCTTGTAGGTAGCGAATTGCGCGTGGTCAAGTGCTGCATAGAGGTACTTGGGGTGGATACCAACAGCTTGGGCACCCTTCTGCCCGAAACCGAACGAGGTGACGGAGAAGGCCTTGACACCATCAGTCTGGATTGGTTGCGATGGATATAGGATGTAGTCAAATTGCTCCATGACCTTATCCACATTGTCGGCGTTGCGGTTACCTGGGACGAGACCAGTGTTAAGCACTTGCAGACAGCCGTTGAACATCCAGGCACCAGCGGCACCCTTGGGGTGACCGGTGAGGTACTTCTGGAATATACCGAGCAAAGCATTGCCCTTCTTGCGACCGAGGTGGCGCATTTGCTGGCAGATGACGTCGGATTCGTTCTTGTCGTTGGCGACAGTGGATGTACCGTGGAATGAAGCAACGTCGAGGTCGTCAATGGTGAGACCCCATGTGGCAAGAGCACCACGGAGAGGGGCGATGCGTGGATCCTGCTTCCAGAAGCTGTTACCAAGGCTGTTAAGCGCATCCTTCTCCTGTCGCTTGGCTTCAAGCTCAATGTTTGAAGCACGCTCTTGCAGGTAGTCGGCCTCGTTGAAGTCTTCGCCGGAGACGGCCTTCATGGCAGCCACCTCTTCTTGGAGATACAAGACCTCGGACTCCTGCCACTGCTTGACCTGTTTGCGTCGCAGATCCATTTGTCGCCGCCTGTACTTGATGTCGAGCAGAGGCGATGGGAACTTGGATGGTACCTCCCGGGCAGTCGTCAGAACACCCTTGCCCGGGGCAGGGACTGAGCGACCGATCTTGTCAGTTGCCGTAGCGGTGAACGCTAGAACACCGTAGATGGGAACACCCATGTCCAATGCTAGCCTAGCATCCATGATGACCTGCATACCGCAACCTTGCGATTCCATGAAGCCATTCCTGGTAGTTGTGGTTGGGCGCGACATTTCCTTGGGCGTGCGTCCGTGGGCAAATTCGTCCTCGGCATTGCTCGTGGCCTTCATGTTGGCGAATTCGTACGAGCCTTCTTCCTGGAAGTCATCAAAGCCACCAACGAAGCAGACACGTGCCTTGCCCTCGACAATGGTGTCGTAACCGATATCGATAGACTCGACAGCAGTAGCACAAGCACCAACAGGTGTCTTGATAGGGCCGGTAGATGACAAGAGCAACATGTTTACCCAGGCACTCATCGTATTGATGAAAGACTCCTGAAGGATATCCTTCTGAACGGGCCTGTCAAGGAAACGATCCTTGTACATGCCTCTCAGAGCAGTAGTACCTCCAATACCGGAACCAACACAGTTACCGACTTGCGACAGGTGGACATACTGGTAAAACTCGTAGGGGTCAGTGATACCACTAGACAGGAGACACTCTGCAGTCGACACGAGCACAAAGAGGGTAACTGGATCGACCTGGGAGATGATGTCGTCTGGGACGCCGTATTGCTTCGCGTTCCAGCCTGTAGGGATCTGGCCAGCGACAAGGCGGTCGAAGCGTAGAGCCTTGGGGATGAGCAGGGTAGCACCCTTCTTCATTCGGACAGTATACTCGCCAGATTCCTCGATCGCGAAGATCTCAACCTTCTCACCATGCTGGCGCTTGAACTCATCCGCGAGCTCCTTGGACGCCTCGAAAGGATCAAGGTCTTCCTCAATCTGGATCTCTTGCATAAGCTGCTTCTTCTTGGGGTCATAGCCGTTGAAGAGCTCGGGTTCGATTAGACGGATACCGGTGTGCTCCAGGATGTACTTCTCGTACTTGGGCTTGATATCTTTATCGTCGACTGGCTCACCGGTCTTGGCATCGACCCAGCCCGAGTAGCTCTTGCCCTTGAGTGGGCCATTGTGGTTCTTGATAAGACCCATGATCCAAGCAATCTCAACGCAGCCCTCGAGGGAGAATTCGCCGTAGGCCTCCATCTCCCACCGAGTCCTTGAGTTACCCCAGGGACCGAGCTCGGCGAAACCTGTAACTACGACAACCTTCTCAAGGTCGACCATGCCCTTGAGATCCTCGTTAAGAGGCTTGACCTCTGCGTCCCAGTCGGGCAGCTTAGGGAAGTCAAACTTCATGTTGGCGCGAGGTTCAATCTTGGCCTTCTTGTACAACGCCTCGCTGGCTTCGCCGTTGACGACCTTGTTCTCGATAGCGTTCTCCTTGATGACAGCCCTTCGAACGTCGCTAGTCTCCATGAGGTCCTTGCGGAGGTCGGTCATGAGGTCCTTGAGGTTTGGAATGTATTGGAAGCCACCGTTCAAGTCAGCCCAAACTGGTTCTATCTGGCAAAGGTTGACAACGGCAGGGGCCATGAGACCGAGCAAGTTGAAAGCCATCTCCTGTTGGGAGAAGGTGCGCACACCATACTTCTCAATACCCTCAGCGACGACGTTATTAGCGCCCATAAGGCCAGTGCCGCGAGTCCATCCGATGACAGCACCACAGATGGTGAGGTAGTTGCCCCAGCTCTCTGAATGCCATCTGGAGAAGAGAGTCTCAAGAGACATCTTGGATTCAGAGTACAGACCGTCGTTACCAAAGGTACCGTGGTTGGGAGATAGCGGTAGGATGACCTGGGCTGGGCGAGTCTCGTAGCCATAGGCCTGCTTCTGCTTCTTGACAGCGCCAAGCATGCGAAGAAGATTGGTCAACATGATGCGATGAGCGAGTTCGGACTTGGAGTCGATGCTGTCGATCTCACGGCCATTCTCGGGAATGGCGGCGAAGGGGACGATGAGATCAAGATCCCAACCGAGACCCTTCTTGACGTCAAAGATGTAGTCGACTAATGCCTCAACATCCTGGTTGCTGCCTTGATTAAAGGGCACAACGATGAGCTGAGAGCCACGAGCACCGTAGCGAGTGTACATGGACTGGTAGTACTCGGTGACCTCGCGGGAGAACCGAGAGGTAGTGACCACGACCTTGGCTCCACCACTGATGAGGCCCTGCAGGACTTGTGCGCCAATGGAGCCAGCACCAGCACCTGTCATTAGGGCGTATTTGCCCTGGAAGGTGACACCTGACTGTGCAGCGTTCTCGAGACAGTCGAGATAAACGCCCGTCAGCTTCTTGCTGTACTCCCAGCCGTGGTCGTCCTTTCTCTTCAAGTGCAGGAAAGGTATAGTCTCGACCTTGCCCTGCTTGGCCGAGCCGTGTACGCGGCCACTGCGGCCCTTCTTGGCGGTGGGCGCGGCTTTGCCATTCTCACTGGGCATGATCTGGCCCTCGTTCATCGACAAAGAGCGAATGACATTGCTGTACAAGCTCTTAATCTGCAGCTGGGATGACTTGGAAAGCTTGTGTTGTTGCTTGATTAGCTTGTAAATGCGCTGTAGATCGTTTTGGACCTTGGTACGGTTGCCGTATTCGGAGAGTTTTCCTCCTTCGGCCATTTCCCGTACGTAGTGCTCTAGCTTGCGCACGCTAGCTCTGGGGGCCTCTTCATAATTCAAGTTGCCCTTGCCGTCGATCTCGAGATGTGGAGCCGTGGGGACAGCGACATCCTTGTATACGGGAGCCTCATTCAGCACGTCCTTGCAGTTGTCGATGAGCTGCTGGCCGAGCTCCTTTGCGAGCTCGTATGTTTCGCCGCGCTCTGTGGGACAATGGTCCATGTGGTACTGCATGAAATCGAGGAGGAGCGGGTTCGATCGGTTCATGATGGCGATGCAGCGGCTGACAATCTCGCGGTCCACGGCCTTGAGCTTGCCGAAGATGATGTCGTAGTACATGCTGAGGGCGTCCTGACGTGCCCAATTCCACGACGAGTCGTATACACGCGCTTTGAGGGGTGTGAACTGGGGCTCGATGCCAGTAGCGTAGAACTCGCCATGCTCCGTGGTCCAAAGGTCCAACTGAGCCTGGAGGGCCGACTGTGTTTTTTGCGAATCGACGAAAGACTTGTCGCCCGAGCGAAGGTCGATCTTCAGGTATCTCGCAAACAGCTCCAGTTGCTGCTTGAACAGCTGGCGCTGGTCTTTGGTGAGTGCGTCAATGGCAGCAGGGTCCATCATCATACCACCACCCGCGCCTGCAGCGTCTCCGCCTGCCGTAGGAGCGGACAAGTTGATTCCAGCAATGGCCGCGTATTTGTTCGCCTGCTCGTCCAAGAAGGCCTTTCCATCGTTCTCTGAGCCCAGACGTGCTGCCGGCTCGTTGGTAATGGCGAACAGCAGAACGCCGTCCTGGCGACCTTGGGCCAAGCCCCATCTTGTCTCCAAGTGCTTTCGCACGGCTGTGATGTTGAAGCCACCGGGCATCTTGGAGGACACCATGCGGGCAATGAGGGAGGAGGACTGCTTTCCAAGCTGACCATTGAAGGTAGCCTGCATCGAAGCACCGAGCTCGTCGAGGGGGGTGTCTTCGGGCTTTTCGGGCGTTGAGCCAAATTCCTTGCCCAAGTCTCCGAGGATCTCATTTTGAAGCGTGGACTTGCCTGCAGGCGTGTTAGTCGATGTTCAGGCCCTAGAGAAAAATAAAATAAAATGCAATTGACGTACCTCCAACAAGATCCTTGATGGCCTTGCTCAGCGGAATGTCCATGAGAGCCTTCTTCAGCTTCTGGGCGACCAAGGCCCGCACAATGTCGGTGGCTGTGACTGGCGCATCGGGCACCTGTGCTGCAGGTCCAGCGCCTGGTGGTGGGGGAGCTGCAGCGACTGGTGCTGATGCCGCAGAAGAGGGCGCTGCTGGAGCTCCTCCACTGCTGGCAGCCGGGGCCTCTGGCTCCTCCTCGATGGGGTCTACGTCGTAGTAGATGTCCTTTGCGTCCTTGTTGTAGCACAGAATTTGGCGCTGCACTGAGAGCGCTGCATCGTGTGCTTCGTATTTGCTGGCGAGTGTCCGCTTCGCCATGACACCAAGCGTGTCTGCGGGGCCGATTTCAACGATGCGCTCTGTGGTCTTCTCGCCGAGGATGACATCTTGCGTCTCAATCCACCTGACGGGCGAAGCAAACTGGTATGCAAGCAGCTCGATGAGCAACGTGTGCGAGAGCTCCTGCTCCACCTCGGGACGCATGGTGGGAGATTATCTGGGGGGAGCAACAATGGGGCGAAAGGAGGGTGTATTGAAGCTCGGGGGAGCTCAATGGGTATCTCTAGTACAAAATTGGAGGAAGGGTCTCTTGGCGTCTAAGGAGGGCAGCAGCGTCGAGAGGGTGACGTGCTATTAGGTGTGTGTGCACTTGGGGAGAGTGGTGAGGAGGATTGGGGAGGGTTGAGGTTGGGGGGTCGAGGGTGCGGGAGGGTGGGCGTGAAGAAGGCCGGGCAAGAAATTAGTTTGGGACAACGAGGAGTGGTGAGCAGCGGGAGTTCCAGGAACACGACACCCAACGCATTGGCAGTTTATGATGTCTCGTTCGAAGGGAAGATAATACCACCAGTCAGTGCGTTGAGGATTTCTCGGGCTGGCCCTACTAAAAATCCACCGACCCCTGCAGCGGCAGCTCGTCCAAGCTCTGGTGGGTGGGTGCTCAACAAACCAACCTGGCCTGGAAGAGGGCAAGCTTGCGAGGGCGACGTGATGCAGCATTGGCTGCTTTTGGGGGCAACATTCTTCTCACTCCTCAACAACGGGGTCAGCAACTATGTATTATTATCTATCTATCGCGACGACGACGTCTTATACACGTCAGGATGTGTGTGGAAGCAATGCCAATGCCAGTGGTGGGAGTGGGAGTGGCAGTGGGAGAGACGGTGAGGGGGCCTGTGCTGGCTTGCCCGCAGTGCCGACGTGCGGCCACAGCAGCCTCGCATCCCCAACATTTATTACCAAAACGAACCCCCCCTGTCCACGCGCTACCAACCAAAAGGCGGGCCCCAAGGACAAGCCTGACCCGGTGTGAGCTACTCTCGTCTGCAAAAAAGTCGACCAGACAGAAGCACGCCGGCGATAATAGAAGCAACCCGCCAGCCAGCCAGCCAGCCAGCGCACTTCCCGACTCTTTCCTCACCTCCTCCCCTCCCCCGCCCAATTGCCTAATTCCGTCTCTCTTGATTACTCGTCATATATCCCCTTGGCCCTCTCTCTCGCACCGCATACCGCACATAGCTAGGGAGCTGCTCTCACCAGCAGTACACACCAATTCCCGAGGCCCTCAGGCAGATTAGTTTCTCCCTGAGCCCATAATAGGTACGCATCGCATTGGGCCTTTTTTGCGAGGCATTGTCTGTGTGGTTTCTCTGGCAGCTTCATTCAATTTCCCCAGAGACCGGACGGAAGCTCACCATTGTCCAGTCGCAGCTTCCTGTGCACGTCGTTCTTTCCATACCCGTCCTTTGCCATCATCTGTCAGTCCTTGAAGTATGCACTATTGTCAATTCCACCTCTACCGCTAGAAGAGCCCTTACAACCACACTTGAATCAAGCACACCAGCTAACTCACTGGTTCAGAACACCACACACACACACACCCCTCTAGAGCGCCCGAATTACCCACCATGTACGGTTCCGGCCAGCAGACGGGCATCTCGACGCCCCGCTCAGCAGCCAACCTCCGCCCCCTCATCCTCACCCATGGCTCGCTCGAATACACGCTCCTTATCCCCACCGCGCTCCACTTCCACGCCCAGCAACTGCGGGACACCTTCAAGACAACCTTGCCCGAGCCCACAGACGAGCTTGCACTCGATGACGAGCCCTCGTCAGTAGCAGAACTGGTCGCGCGATACCTTGGCTTCGTGGCAAAGGAAGTGGACGAGGGCGATGACCCGGACTCGTTCGAGGAGGTGCTGAAGCTCGTCCTCACCGAGTTTGAGCGCGCTTTCCTGCGCGGCAACGAGGTGCACGCTCTGGCTGCCTCTCTGCCCGGCATCACGGAGAAGAAGCTGGTCACGGTTCGGTCATACTACGCTGCCCGTGCGGCGGTAGAGAGGCCCATCAAGCACCATGAATCAGCCCTCTTCCGCGAGGCGGCCGACGAGAATGCCCACATATACGCTGTTCTGGGTGGTCAGGGCAACATCGAGGAGTACTTTGATGAACTTCGCGAGATCTACAACACCTACCCCTCTTTTGTCGAGGACTTCATTGCGGCCGAAGCACAGCACCTGTTGGTTCTGTCGCGAGACCCGCGCGCGGAGAAGCTATACTCAAAGGGCCTGGACGTCATGCGATGGCTCAATAACCGCGAATCGCAGCCAGACACCGACTACCTGGTTTCGGCACCCGTCAGTCTGCCCTTGATTGGGTTGACACAGCTTGCGCATTATGTCGTAACCTGCAGAGTGCTGGGAAGCCACCCCGGACATGTACGCGCCCGCTTCTCTGGTGTCACCGGTCACTCGCAAGGTGTCATCACAGCTACTGCCATTGCCGAAGCAAAGAATTGGGAGACGTTTGAACGGTCTGCCAAGAAGGCCTTGGAAATTCTCTTCTGGATTGGTACCCGCAGTCAGCAAGCATTCCCACGCACATCACTTGCACCATCTGCGCTGCAAGACTCTGTCGACAATGGTGAGGGTACGCCAACACCTATGCTGTCGATCCGCGACCTTTCGAGGAAAGCGGTTCAAGACCACATTGACGCAACCAACGCCCATCTGCCGCAAGACCGACACATTGCCATTTCTCTGGTCAACAGCGCCCGCAACTTTGTCGTTACTGGCCCTCCCATCTCGCTATATGGTCTGAACCTCCGTCTGCGGAAAGACAAGGCTCCAACTGGCTTGGATCAGACAAGGATACCCTTCACTGAGCGCAAAGTGCGCTTCGTCAACCGCTTTCTGCCCATCACTGCGCCATTCCACAGCCCCTACCTGGCCGAGGCGACAAAGCAGCTCGAGGATGATCTCAAGGGAATCAAAATCGCCGCGAGCGATCTTGGCATCCCAATGTACGACACACATACGGGCCAGGACATCCGCGAGGATGGCTCCGACAACGTTGTGCCTAGGCTGATTAGCATGATCACAGCCGACTCTGTGGAGTGGGAGAAGGCCACAGTGTTCCCCAACGCTACTCATATCCTTGACTTTGGTCCTGGTGGCATCTCTGGCCTCGGCGTCCTAACCAACCGTAATAAGGATGGAACTGGTGTCCGTGTCATCCTGGCTGGAGCCATCGATGGCCAAAACGCTGAGGTCGGCTACAAGCCTGAAATCTTTGACCGCGACTCCGAGCACGCGGTCAAATACGCCGTCGACTGGGTCAAGGAACATGGTCCTCGCCTCGTCAAGACCTCGACCGGCCAGACCTACGTCGACACCAAGATGAGCAGAATGATCGGTCTGCCTCCTGTCATGGTTGCTGGTATGACGCCCTGCACCGTTCCTTGGGACTTTGTTGCTGCCACGATGAACGCTGGTTACGAGATTGAACTTGCTGGCGGCGGTTACTACGACGAAAAGTCCATGACTGCTGCCATCAACCAGGTCGAGAAGGCGATTCCCGCTGGTCGTGGTATCACGATCAACTTGATCTACGTCAATCCCCGCGCCATGGGCTGGCAGATTCCACTTTTGGCCAAGCTCAGGTCCGAGGGTGTTCCTATCGAAGGTCTCACCATCGGTGCCGGTGTTCCGTCCATTGAAGTTGCCAACGAGTACATTGAGACTCTGGGCATTAAGCACATCGCGTTCAAGCCTGGTTCGGTCGAGGCCATCCAGCAGACTATCAATATCGCAAAGGCGAACCCGACCTTCCCAGTACTGATGCAGTGGACTGGAGGTCGTGGTGGCGGTCATCATTCATTCGAAGACTTCCATCAGCCTATTCTGCAGATGTACGGCCGTCTCCGTAAGTGCGACAACTTGATCCTCGTGGCAGGGTCCGGCTTCGGCGGGGCAGAAGACACTTACCCCTACCTTTCCGGTTCCTGGTCGACCAAGTTTGGCTACCCGCCCATGCCGTACGACGGTTGCTTGTTCGGTAGTCGCGTGATGACTGCCAAGGAGGCGCACACCTCCAAGATGGCGAAGCAGGCCATCGTCGATGCGCCTGGTCTAGATGACGGCGACTGGGAGAAGACGTACAAGGGCCCGGCTGGTGGTGTCATCACCGTGCGCTCTGAAATGGGTGAGCCTATCCACAAGCTAGCTACTCGAGGTGTCATCTTCTGGCATGAGATGGACCAGAAGATCTTCAGCTTGGACAAGGCGAAACGCGTACCTGAGCTGAAGAAGATGCGCGAGTACATCATCGAGAAGCTGAACAAGGACTTCCAGAAGGTCTGGTTTGGAAAGAACAAGAAGGGAGAGTCTGTCGACCTTGAAGACATGACGTACACCGAAGTCGTCCAACGCATGGTTGATCTGATGTATGTGAAGCACCAGTCGCGCTGGATCGACCAGAGCTTGAAGCGATTGACCGGAGATTTCATTCGACGACTTGAGGAGCGCTTCAGCAGGTCCAGCAGCGAGTCGCTTATTCAGAACTATGAGGAGCTGACCGACCCCTTCCCGATGCTTGAAAAGGTCTTCAAGGCGTACCCCGAAGCAGATGAGCAGTTGATCAACGCTCAGGATGTGCAGCACTTCCTATTGCTCTGCCAACGCCGTGGACAAAAGCCCGTACCTTTCGTCCCCGTCCTCGACGAAACCTTCGAGTTCTTCTTCAAGAAGGATTCGCTCTGGCAATCGGAAGACCTTGATGCTGTTGTCGACCAGGACGTTGGCAGAACTTGCATTCTGCAAGGACCCATGGCCGTCAAGTACTCCAACAAGGTCGACGAGCCAATCAAAGAGATTCTGGATGGCGTCCATGAAGGCCACATCAAGTATCTTCTGCGCGATGTCTACGGTGACGACGAGTCTAAAGTTCCGGTCATTGAGTACTTTGGCAGCAACCTTTTGACAACACCCAAGGGACTGGAGGTTGATGGCCTCACCGTTTCGCACCTTGAGAACAAGGTTGTCTACCGTCTCTCCGCTGCACCGAACGCTACGATGCCCGAGGTTCACTCGTGGCTTCAACTCCTTGCCGGTACCAGTTACTCGTGGAGACATGCCTTCTTCACTGCGGACATCTTCGTGCAAGGCCAGCGCTTCCAGACCAACCCGACTTCCCGGATCTTTGCTCCTACTCCTGGCATGATTGTCGAGATCTTCAGCCCCAATGAGCCTGCTAAGACTTCCATCACTGTCAAGGAACTACACCACAATAGCAAACTCGTCAAGACTGTCGACGTCAGCCTCACAAAAGACAACGAGATCTTGCTCAATATGTTTGAGGAGCGTACTGCACTCAAGCAGCCCGTTGCCTTACCGCTCCGCTTTACCTATCGTCCAGACGTGGGTTACGCACCCATCCACGAAGTCATGGACGCCCGCAACGACCGGATCAAGGAATTCTACTACAAGATCTGGTTCGGTGATGAGGCTTGCCCCTTTGATGCTCCAGTCGATTCCCGTTTCAGTGGTGGTCGTGCTACCGTCACAAGCGAAGCTATCAACGATTTTGTTCATGCGGTCGGAAACACGGGCGAGGCCTTTGTTGACCGACCTGGCAAAGAGGTGTTTGCTCCCATGGACTTCGCCATTGTTGTCGGCTGGAAAGCCATCACTAAGCCCATCTTTCCTCGAGCTATTGACTGTGATCTGCTCAAGCTGGTACACATGTCTAATGGCTTCCGCATGATGGCCGGCGCGGAGCCGTTGAAGAAGGGTGATGTTCTTGATACTTCAGCTCAGATCAATGCAGTCATCAATCAGGAATCTGGTAAGCTGGTTGAGGTATGTGGAACCATCACTCGCAACTACGAGCCCGTGATGCAGGTCACTAGCCAGTTCTTGTACCGTGGCGCATACGACGACTTCGAGAACACATTCCAGCGGAAAAGTGAGAAGCCCATTCAGCTGCACTTGGCTACCAGCAAGGATATCGCCATCCTTCGATCAAAGGAATGGTTCAACTTCGAAGAGCCGGATATCGACCTTTTGAACAAGACGCTGCTGTTTAAGCTTGAGAGTGTTATGTACTACAAGAACAAGACAGTCTTCTCTCACATCACGACCGTCGGAGAGGTCTTGCTCGAGCTTCCGACCAAGGAGGTAATCCAAATTGCTTTTGTTGAGTACCGATCCGGTGACGCCTATGGCAACCCGGTGCTTGACTACTTGGAGCGCAACGGATCCGCCGTGGACCAGCCAGTTCACTTCGAAAACCCTATCCCCCTACACGGCAAAACACCGCTCAGCCTCAAGGCTCCTGCTTCCAACGAGAACTATGCTCGCGTCTCCGGCGACTACAATCCTATTCACGTTTCGCGTGTCTTCGCCAGCTACGCCAACTTGCCAGGTACCATCACTCACGGCATGTACTCGAGCGCTGCTGTTCGAAGTTTGGTCGAGACGTGGGCTGCTGAGAACAACGTCGGCCGTGTCATAAGCTATCATGTCAATCTTGTTGGCATGGTGCTTCCTGATGATATGCTCGACGTCAAGCTTCAGCACGTCGGTATGGTCTCTGGTCGCAAGATCATCAAGATTGAGGTCAGCAATCAGGAGACGGAAGACAAGGTTCTGCTTGGTGAAGCCGAGGTGGAACAACCGACGACGTCGTACGTCTTCACGGGTCAAGGTTCGCAAGAGCAGGGTATGGGTATGGAGTTGTACAACAGCAGTGAAGTGGCTAAAGAGGTCTGGGATCGTGCGGACAAGCACTTCATGGACAACTATGGTACGTCTGTTTATATTCTTTTGACAATGCCATCAACTAACTTTCATAGGTTTCGCCATCACCAACATTGTGAAGAACAACCCCAAGGAGCTCACAATCCACTTTGGTGGTCCCGTCGGAAAGGCCATCCGCCAGAACTACATGTCCATGACCTTTGAGACTGTCAGTGCTGATGGATCCATCAAGTCGGAGAAGATTTTCAAGGAAATCGATGAGAACACCACATCCTACACCTACCGATCACCGACTGGCCTGCTGTCAGCGACTCAATTCACACAGCCTGCTCTTACGCTCATGGAGAAGGCTTCCTTCGAAGACATGCGTGCCAAGGGACTTGTCCAGCGCGACAGCACATTCGCCGGCCACTCGCTAGGAGAGTACTCTGCCCTTGCTGCGCTTGCTGAGGTCATGCCTATTGAGAGCTTGGTGTCCGTCGTGTTCTATCGTGGTCTGACTATGCAGGTCGCAGTCGAGCGTGACGAAGCTGGCCGCTCTAACTACTCCATGTGCGCTGTCAACCCCAGCAGGATTTCCAAGACCTTCAACGAGCAGGCGCTGCAGTACGTTGTTGAGAATATCGCAGAAACAACCGGCTGGCTCTTGGAAATTGTCAACTACAACATCGCCAACATGCAGTACGTCGCGGCCGGTGACCTCCGGGCGCTCGATTGCCTCACCAACGTCACCAACTACCTCAAGCAACAAAAGATCGACATCCAGGCTCTCATGCAGAGCATGTCTCTTGAGGACGTCAAGGCCCACCTTGTTGAGATCATCAAGGGCTGCGCCGAGCAGACAGAGGCCAAGCCCAAGCCGCTCGACCTGCAGCGTGGCTTCGCGACCATTCCGCTCAAGGGTATCGATGTGCCGTTCCACAGCACCTTCCTGCGCTCTGGTGTCAAGCCATTCCGAAGCTTCTTGCTCAAGAAGATCCACAAGACGTCTATTGACCCGTCTAAGCTGGTCGGAAAATACATTCCCAACGTTACTGCGAAGCCTTTCGCATTGACGAAGGAGTACTTTGAGGATGTGTACAAGCTCACCAACTCGCCCAAGATCGGCAACATTTTGGCCAACTGGGAGAAGTATGAGGAGAGCGGGGAAGACACAGATGTTGCGGCATGATCTACTTTGAGATCCTTGTGGGCGTTTCAACGGGTTTGACTAGACTTCTGATATCCAGGCAGCTACATATGCGCGAGGAGGTTGTAGATGTGTTCCATAGTAGAATATAATTATGAATGTTCCAGAATTGTGTAGTTTAACATGACTTGTTCCAGAGCCTGCGTCGCGTGCTGCCTCGTCTCACAAACTTGGGGCTTTCACCCTCCTCTTCATATGCTCTTATGAAGATATATTCTACCTGTCCCCGCGATTTATTCTCTTCTAACCACTGCATCCAAAGAGTCAACCGAGTTGAGATTGGTGGCGTTGGGTAGGTACCGGTACTGTGAGCACAAGCCAGACACTTTTTCGGAGGTCCGCACCGCGTTTGTCAACATTGTGCACCTAGCAACCACCAGTTCAACCCCCCAACAGCAGCAGCAACCCTACCTCCACCTCTCACCCCCTGCATACCGCATTTTCGCAGCAACACAAACAATGTCGCGGGGTCATCGAGCATCCACGACGCCTATGGAATTCGAGTGGTCGAATCAGACGGGTCCGGTAGATTCGCAGTCGCCCTTCTTCACTGCGGGCCAGGCATCTGCAAAGAAGCGACCCCATTCTGTCCTCGATTCGCCCTCCAAGAATGGATTTGCGACGCCGAACCGCCTGCGTGATCCAGACAACCGCCCATTCTTCTTCTCACAGTCCAGCAGCAAGCCGCTCCCCTCGATACCAGCACACGTGCAGAGCGCGTGGGAACCACGCACACCGGCAAGCAACTACGAGAGCTCAGGCGGGGAGACGCCGAACACACCGCAGGTGGATAGCGATGCGGGGACACCGGACACACAGACAGCGAGTGGCATGGGCCGTTTGGGGCTTGGGAACGGCGATGCATATAGCCCCAAGAAGGCGGGGCGGAGGGAGAGCTGGTTCAAGCGATTGACTGGCATGGCAAGCCCTAGTCCTACCAAAGAACGGGACAAGGACGCCGCCGCGCAGAAGTACTACTCCAAGAAGGCTGAGAACCGCATAGTGAAGCGCCGCTCAGAGCGAACCGAGCGGTCACGATCGAAGAAGCGCCCCGCGATGCGCGACAACAGCGACGATTCAGACGACGCACGACCCGGCGCGCAAGATGTATCCAAAAAGGAGCAGGTCAAGCAGACATTCGCAATGAGCATAGCAGGCTTCTTGTCGTGGCTAGAGGCACACCCTCTCCTCCCCTCGGTCCTCTCCTACTACCTGCAGCTCACCGTCAATGCTTGCCTAGGCTTCCTATTTTTATACATTGTCTACTCTGCCTGGTGCGGCGTCATGACTGATGTTGACATTGAATCGTCAAAGCACGCCTCGGAAGTCATGGTCGAGATCGCTGCCTGCGCAATGGAATACAACCGCAACCGCTGTCGCCCGGACGATGTCGTACCCGCCATGGAGAAGGCATGCGGTGTCTGGGAGACGTGCATGAACCGCGACCCGAAGAAGGTTGCGCGTGCGAGCGTCACGGCAAAGACGTTTGCTATGATCTTCAATAGCTTTGTGGAGGAGTTTAGCTACAAGTCTATGGTATGTCTGGTTTTACTTCCCGTCTTAGCACTCTACATCAAGGGACAGTTACAGCAAGTACGTGCCTGGAGTAGGCATGGTGAGCAATTGCGCGCCGATCTGCGGGCATCGCGAGAGCAGCATCAGCATGCTCAGTACTCGTTCCACCCGCGGTCGACTGCTGCTCGACCAGATATCGAAATGGAGGTAGTAGACGATGACACTGAACCTAATCACGGTTTCGCTGACCCAATGTTCGAACACTAGGTCTTCACCGGAATCATCATCTTCGGCGGCTTCAATCTTTCCAACTGGGCATTCGGCCTCCTACGCTCACAGCAACAGCACCAACCCCAACACCAGACGCCTAACCCGAACGATTTCGTCCCACAAACACCGCATAGAGTACCAAGCAACAGCTACATTGAATACAACCAACAAGCCTTTCAACAAAATTGGCAGCAGCAGCAGCAAAACACTCCTTTTCAAACTCCATACGGGGGCATGCGGCATATCGAAGCGCCGCCGCTAATACACGCACAGAGTATGCCGGCATTGCCATCTGTCGCACAACAAGAAGGTGCGCCGGTGCTGGAAGAAAGGAGAAGCCCGAGGAAGAAGGGGCTTTTTCGATGATTATGGATTCTTCTTTTCTTCTACGTTGGGGCTGGTGTCTTTTACGAGCGCTTCACGCATGGAAATGAGCATTGATGTGTTGGGTAATAAGATTATCAATTTCCTTGTAATGATCATGTTTGTTGAATGGACTCACCCGCCCTCTTTTCTTCCAATATGGAGCGTCTCGATGCTATGCTGTACTACGTCCAGAGGTCGTGCTTCCCTTTTGTTGAGCATCTTGCTTGCACTTTCCTTCGTGGCCCTAGCGGCGTCTTACACCACGCCCTTCAAGCGCACCGTATGACACAAACGGAGTGTCTACATTCCAACTACACTCTACTCTCACCCTATTACCTTTCTCAACCCTGTGTTCAAAACATCATCTCTCTAATTTTTACCGACGCTTCTTCCTTCCCTTTCTTGATTCTGTCCATACTACAACGCTCTCGCTACGCTGCCGCCGCTGCCGCACACTTGTCGATGGGAGATGTTGCTCGCTCCGAGTGGCAGTTACTTCGATGGCGAAGGGACCACTGCTCGGCCCACCGCTGAGTTGCTACTAGTAAAAGGCCGGCAGAGTGGGGATATCATGCGTCCAGAACGGAGATCGCTTGGTGACGCGGCAGTCCGCTTCCTGGACGACGACGACGAGAGCCACAGCGGCGTCAGACCTCCACCCCAGACTCCTACTTCGCTCTGTCCTCCCCGTCCCACCGCACTGCGGAGCACGAGTAGTCCGCAACTTGAAACGCGCTCGCGAGTTCACGGCTCGAACACGGAATCCACAGGCTTTTAGGAACAGCTTGTTGCGCAGACTAAATATCCTCCCCGGCCTTTGCGGGTTCGAAACACGTCGACTATACATGAATCGCTGTACAGTGCCAGCCAGGGAAAGCACACCTCTGATTTGGACGATATAAGGGTCCCCGCGAAGCCGAAGAGATACGATGCTAATCTACCGCTCAAGCCGTGTATGAAGAAGAAGAAGAAAGCGAATAGTGCTACGGCAACGCCTACGAATGGGTCTGAAGAGGGTGTGGGTGACTCTACAGCGACTAGGACATTACGACGAGTTAAGACGGTGGACTTTGTAGAGAAGGGGTCGGAGTCGTTGCTCTCAGCACCCTCTACCACCGTTGTACCGGAAAGGGTCGACATGGCCATAAATCAGTCTGGCATATTGCCTGCGTGCGATGGCAGACCCGCAAAGCTGGTTCATAGGGCCCCCTCTTGTCCTAACCTGATTCGAACAGTGAAGAGTAGTCTGGTGGACCCAGCTATCACACGGACCGATGTCCATGTTCTTACCATCGCTCCCTCATGGAGTGCTGAAGACACTGCTAGTGAAGGAGCCGATCCCGCAACGCCCACGATGCAAATCGTGGAATCGAAGAACGGCTGCTACGAGGTAGTCTGGGACGACGTACCAGCAGATCAAAGCATCAGAGTCCGACGACGAAGCTCTTCCGCATGCCACGCACTAGAAATGATCAGCCCATCAGCTAGGGGGCTGGAACGCGTCAACACAAAGTTATCCGACTGGTCTGCAACCTGGAATAGTCCGTCGGGGAGCTTCAAGCCTACGATTGTAGTCTTTCCTGACGATGATGGCCGTGCATCTCTATATGAGTGCTCCGTGGACGACGATGAGGATCTGGTCGTGCTGGCACCTCCAAACAGCCAGATCACCAGTAGAGCGCCGTCACGACTCCCTTCACGACCTGCCAGTGCGCCCATGACGAGAGTAGCATCGCACGAAGACATGGCACTTTCAGGAATGCCGCAACCAGACGAACAAGACGAACAAGAGTCGACAGATCGAGCAGAACAACTGGTTGTATCGAATTCGAACCCTGATAGTCCACCCGAACGCTCCGTCGACGCAAACCGACGAATGAACTGGCCTCCCGCGCCTCGGAAACTCTCCAACATCGAAGAAGCAGATCTAAAGTTCCGCGGTCATCGCGACTCCGTTACCATTGCGCATTCCCGCCTGCTACACTCGGGGGGTATTGCGCCCGAGCTGTTTACTCATCGAGACTCGACGTCTATGGCGAAGAAGCGCATGCATGCACGGAATCATGCTGCGGCAGCATCAGCAGAAGGGCGGAGGCGTTCCCACTCCTACGATGCGCAGTCTGCGGGGCTGAGGTTTGAGGCTGTGGGGGATCTACCGACTGTCACGGAACATGGAACACAACCTGCTCCTACATATGGTAATTTGGCTGCGAGAGTCTGTTTGTAGGATAGTAGGTTAGCGGTTCATTCTAGATTGAACGTCTTGTACGGGAGAGACTAGCTAGCGGTTACCTACATTGTTGAAAGTGAAAGATTCTGCTACTGAAGCGCATGTGTACACTTGCGATGTCAGGCTGAACAAGTGAAGGCCAAGTAGATGAATTCGTTAGCCATGCAGAGAATAGTAGTACGCTATTTGTATCGTAATCGGAGGGCTTCACGTGTCTTTTGTGTTGAATGTTGAAGGCAGTATACATCACAGTTAGTTATAGCTTTGTAATTTGAATTTTGATTTTGAAGTAGATGGAAGAGAGACGGATATACTCACACTTACGTTTGCTCATGACTGTAAACATCATTGAAGGACTAGAGATGATAATACAACAACACTCTATGCAACAAAACCTACATAACCATGCTAATTCGCTATACCAAGCTTCTATACTTTGAAAAAAAGACTCCAGCGTGCGATGGGGTGATTCAACTCCGTGAACATCGTTACAAATTATCCCACTTCTCATTCTCTGTCAGCTTAATACTATCAGTGGACCTGGCGGACGATCTACACCCCGAGTACCTACATCCAAGTACATGCATAAGTACTTGCATAATCATGGGTACCTTTATCCAGCTCTAGGCAGCAGCAATCCTTTGATTCGCGCTCGGTACTATTAGTTTAGGTCTCTACGCACATATACATACCATACTCCTCTACCATAGCGGCGGGGGCTGGGGCGTATTCTCACACGCTTCAAGGCTGAGGCTGGTATACGGGTGCACTGGGCTGGGACGGTGTTGCTGACACGATTTGCCTTGGTCTTTAGCCCACAATTTATACGTATACGCTGTGCTTACTTACCTCTTGCTTCTTTGGTATACGAGGACACGTCGTGTTAGATCTACTCGTATAAGTAAACTCTAGGCGCTTAAATTGTCTCCTGCTTGTTGTGCACTGGGCCTGTCGTGTAAGATAATTAGCGGCACTTCAGACGCTACCTGAAGGGTGTAAAGCCTCGTGTGAATTAATAATGCAGCATGAGACTCGACAGATGTATCGACGCGGCCTTTGTTACTAACGTGCGAGAGCGAAGTGCATAACGCCTGAAGTGACACCTTAGTCTAGTTCCTGTCTCTTATTCTGACTGCGTTTCTGGTACATGTCTAACCTGTCCATTAGCATGGACAATGGTCAGCAGCACATGGCGATGAAACAGATGCGCAAACAAGAACCAATCGGAGACGGAAGAGACCAGCTTGGCAGGACGGAGATGCAGCTCGAACGGCAACGCCGACGAGGTTTCCTTTGACGTGGACCAGCGCGGCAAAAGGTGTAACCTCAGGAGTGGGTCTGGCGTTGCGGCGGAGCTGAGTACTCTTTCTGTGGCTACGCCCGTTGTGAAAATCCGGCGGGATTGTTGTGCCGTATAAGAGGACCGCTGCCCCGTTGATTTGATTAGTATTGCCCCGACGGTCATTCCTCGTCGAATTCCCCGCGAAAATAGGCTCTAAAGCTTAGTAGTGTGGAGCTGGCTTGGACGTATACACAACGTGTATAGGAGCGGATTGCCTCGGAGTGCCCACATTCAACGCTTTGCACTGGGGGCTCGGCCGAACGCGCGAAAGGAGCCGGGAAAGCCCTTACCATTGATTAAGAAACGGGCATTGCGGCCCCGGGATTAAATAAAGACGTGGCGGAGCGAACGCGCATGCATTGCTTCACGAAGAGCTGGACAGTAGAAAGGTGACGGGCTGCAGCTTCGATTTGGAGCTTTTAGACCAAACAGCCGTCTGTTGGGGCGCCGACGTCACCAATCATAACAAGCCCTCTCACCTACAAACCACCTAATTCGACGACACCTCGACTACTACCATCGCTATGGCGCAGTCGCCGCTCATCTTCATCCTCGCGGGTGCCTTTTTCTCCTACATTCTCTACACCCGGATAACCCTCTACCTGGCGCGCAGGCGCTTCATCAAGGAGAACGGCTGCCAACCATGTCTGGGCCGCTTCCACAAAGACCCAATTCTAGGCCTCGATGCTCTGAAGACGATGAACTACAACAGCAAACACCACATTGTGCTACAAGAGAACAAAAAGCGCTTCGAGAGGCTTGGTAGGACGTTCCACAACAGAATGGTCACCATGCCCATCATTGCCACATGCGAGCCCGAGAACGTCAAAACCATCTTGAGCTTGAAGTTCAAAGACTACAGCTTTGGCAACCGCCAGAAAGCCTTCACACCTTTGTTAGGCCATGGCATCTTCAACGCAGACGGGGAGCGGTGGTCGAACAGTCGACATCTTCTACGCCCAAACTTTGCGAGAGATCAAGTCGCGGATCTGGAGGCGTTTGAGCGCCACTTTAAGCTCATGCTCAAGCACCTCCCGCGCGACGGTAAGACTGTCGACCTGCAGAAACTCTTCTTCCGCTTTACAATCGACTCGGCTACCGAGTTCCTGTTCAACCACTCCACCAACTCACTCCGCATGGTCGGCCAGGAGGATGCGAATAATGAGGACGTCATCTTCGGCAAGGCGTTTAATTTCGCGCAAGATGATATCGGAACGCGCATGCGCTTCGGGGCTCTGGACCGCTTCCGGAAGAATGAGAAGGGCCAAGAGGCGATCCGCATCTGTCACGAGTATATCGAGAAGTTTGTCGACGACGCGCTGCGCTTCAGGAAAGAGCTAGATCATGAGAAGAAGGCTGGATCCGCGGAGGATGAGAAGTACTACTTCATCCAGGAGGTTGCAAAGCAGACGACGGATAAAAAGAGGATACGAGACGAGCTCATCAACATCTTGCTCGCTGGGCGCGACACGACAGCCAGTCTCTTGAGCAACATGTTCTTTGAGATTGCGAGGAGGCCGGATATCTACGCGAAGCTGAGGGACGAGGTGGCGACACTAGGTGGGCGGACGCCAACGTATGAAGAGTTGAGGAGTCTGAAGTACCTCAAGCACTGTCTCAATGAATGTAAGACATGTCCGTGCCTTTGTGTTTCCCTTCATGGCTGACCATGACTAGCTCTTCGCATCCACCCAGTCGTCCCAGGAAACACGCGCTTCGCCATTCGCGACACTGTCCTTCCACTCGGCGGCGGCCCAGACGGTAAACATCCCCTCTTTGTTCCCAAAGGTACGACAGTCGGCTACTCACCTTACGTCATGCACCGCCGCAAAGACCTCTACGGACCCGACGCAGACGAGTATAAGCCTGAGCGCTGGGAGACACTCCGTCCCGGCTGGGAATACCTGCCATTCAACGGCGGTCCTCGAATTTGTCTTGGTCAACAGTACGCGCTTACCGAGGCCAGCTACGTCACTGTGAGACTAGTCCAGGAGTTCAAGGAGATGGAGAGCAGAGACCCTGAGCCGTGGATAGAGAGTCTGACTCTGACTTTGTGCTCGCTGAACGGAACAAAGGTCGGTCTTACGCCGGCTTAGGAGGAGCGTAAGCGGTCGCAAAAGAGAAGAGCGAGTTGCTTTGGCCGCTGCCAACTGGGGCGCGAAGGAGAGCACGAGGATAGACACGATGATCTCTGTCTGTTGTCAGAGACTACTGGCGAGCATCCATTTTCGGAAACGGAGTCCATGGGCACTGGGTCTGATTTCACACAGCATAATAAGGCTTGGGCATTGCGGCGGACTTCTCTTTCTTAACGTGGGATCTCTGCGGCGAATACTGACATCGTCTTGGAAGGCGACTACCTAGACGCACGTGTGCTGTATTCATACTATTATTCGATGACATTCGCGTCTATACGGACGCCTTCTGCTGGCAATAGCTTTGAGAATAAGTACTACAGCAGTTATGTCATTTATCTCCTTCCATCGTATACGCGTATACCCGTCTACTTATTAGCGTGAGCTAGAATGCGGCTTCCTTAATTGGTAAGTAGCTTTCCGCGGAACAATCTCCGCCTCAACGACTCACGACCTCCGCATCAGCAACGTGCGCTGGTCGCTCCACAGCCTCGCGTCATCATTGGGGGGTCTTCAACCTTCGCCATGACCTTAGCAATCCTCCAAGATCCCACGCGTTCCTGGATTGCCATGTTCTACACACTTCTCCCCCGCCAACGCGGATAGAACGGGATCGACAAGGACATTTTGCTGTAGCTTCATCTTGTAGCCAAAGAAACAGCAACGTGCGCTTGTATAGCGACTCACGATGGAGCTGTGCCTAGGCATGATCCCTTCGCGTGCCTGATGTATAGAGATTCCGTCATTGGATGACCCGGCATCATCGTGCAGGTATTAATATAGGAAGTCGATCCCACTGGAGCTCCCCCTGTTTAGGCACACGACAAACCCCAATTTCGCATTCAAGATGCTGTTTCCCGTCTCCCTAGGCCTGTTGGCCCTTCCACTAACCCAGGTCCTCGCCAATCCGATCATCGCTCGTGATGCTCCAGCAGCGGTCAATGCCACGACCTGCAATGGCAAGAAATACGTCTACGAAGGGCTGGCCGGCTACGGCAAGCTAGCCAGCGATGCCCGTGACAAGTTTGGCGACACCATTGGCGGTATTGGAAGTGCCATCGCGCTCGACAAGAGCTCGATTAAGAAGAACAAGAGCAAAAAGGGAACGTATTCGGGTATCATCTATGGTTTGCCCGACCGTGGTTGGAATACACAGGGCACACAGAACACGCAGACCCGCGTTCACAAATTTAGCTTCACGTTTGAGGTCGTCGAGGCTACCCTTGCGAAGCCTGCGGCTCCAAACTTCAAGCTCACCTACTTGGATACCGTGCTGCTTACAGGACCCGATGGAACGCCGCTGACGGGTCTTGATCCTACGGACACTGTCACATACGAGGGCTTTCCAACCCTTCCTCTTGCCAAGTGTAAGGACGCCAGACTTTCGTAGGATGTAGCTGACGCTTGTAGATACTGGTAACGGTTTCGGACAAGATGGTCCTGGTGGCGCGCGCGTTCCCCTAGATACGGAGGGCTTGGTGCTCGGTGACGATGGCACGTACTGGATCAGCGATGAGTACGCTGCGTTTGTGTACCAGTTCGACAAGAAGGGTAAGATGATCAAGGTTATTCGCACTCCCGATGCTTTCGTTCCCCTGCGCAACGGCACCGAGAGCTTCAGCGCCGCCTCGCCACCCATCTATGATCAAAAATTCAAGATCTCCCCAGAGGATCCCACCACCGGACGCGGCAACAACCAAGGCCTCGAGGCCCTGACCCGCAGCCCGGATGGCAAGTACCTGTATACCATGCTCCAGAGCGCCACCATCCAAGACGGCGGCAGCAAAAACACCAAGCGCCGCAACACGCGCTTCCTCCAGTATCGCCTCAAGAAGAATAAGATCGAGTTGAAAGCCGAATACGCCGTCCAGCTGCCCGTCCTTCCTTCCGGCAGAGTAGCCAGCCAGTCTGAAATCCACTACATTTCCAAATCCCAATTCCTCGTTCTCGCCCGCGACTCCGGCGCTGGACACGGCCAGGATAAGTCGCAGTCCATCTACCGCAACGCAGACATCATCGACATCTCCAGCGCGACGAACCTCGTCGGCAAAGTCGACGCATTCGACGGCCAAATCGCCACCAAAGACGGCGTGCTGAAGAGCGACATTGTCCCCGCGATCTACTGCCCCTGGCTCTCATATAACAATAATGAAGAACTAGGCAAATTCGGCGTGCGCAACGGCGGCGCGCAAGACGAGAACCTGCTCAATGAGAAGTGGGAGAGCTTTGCGCTTTTGCCTGTTGACGACGAGGATACGGAGAAGACGAAGGAGGGTGGGAAGGACTTCTTCCTTATTTCCTTCTCAGATAATGATTTTATTACGCAGAATGGTCAGTACAATACTATACACCATTTTCTCGATGAGGGATAGTTTGGCTAATGTGGATGACACTAGGTTTTATCAATGGAGGGAAACTGCCGTATAAAGATCAATCGGGGTTTAATCTTGATAATCAGGTTTTGGTGTTCAAGGTCAAGTTGCCAAAGGGAGCGGATCCTTTGTAAGCTGTGTGTTGGCTCGCTGGGAGGATGGGATTGGAGTTTGGATGGAGATGAGAGGTTAGAGACTGGGATACTACGTTTACGAGATAATGTTTGTATATTGTATGGAATAGAAGATTGGTAGTGAGTGAGGGATGTCTTGATTGATGATGAGAGTACAATCTCTCTACTTCCTTAAATGCGTTATGTGCTTACCCATGTATTCGTTCTAGTTCTAATATTTCTCCAACGAACTAATTATAGTCTTATAAGGTGAGGCTTAAATGTAGAACAATGATTAGTAGTAGCATAGTTTGGACTCTACTCTACCCCTTATACAATTCATATTCTTTTATCTATCCTTCTCCTGACACTGAACGTTGTACAGAGAAACGTAATATAGGAAGGAGTACACATCAAACAAATACTCTTGCTTCGAGACTGCGGCCAACTACGAGCGATGGTAAGGCATGAAAGAAGCAAAAGCAGAAGAATAGACACTGTACGAACAAGTCCAGTCCAAAATGCTATTTGAAACTCTCAAGTTCCAAGTTATTGTAAAGAGCTAGGTGGGGAACACTTGTCGTGGATTGCCTATCGTTTATCGTATGCACAGACCACCTGGACCCTTCACCGTTGCGGAGGTTCCAGCTGTCCTAAAGTTCCAAGCTCCAATTCGGCCATTTACACACGAAGATGGGGAGACGACACATATCCTCACTCGCATTATTACTTCCCGTTCTTGCTAGCACTGCAAATGCGGCATCAGACCCTCCCCGGCCGCGGGGTGTAGGCCCCGAGTGTATGTTCACCCGCTAGAGCTCCGCCCGGGCTACGAAATGTCGAATCTTGAGACTAACGCGAGCATTGGCAGTTGCAAAGTTCTATAAAGACGCAGAAACCTTCGCGTGTATTTCGAATCCCTCCATCAAGCTCTCCATCTCCCGCCTCAACGACGATTACTGCGACTGCCCTGACGGCTCCGACGAGCCAGGCACCTCCGCATGCTCCTACCTCTCTCCGCTCTCCCCATCACAACCCTCGAACTTCCAAGGCAGCAACCTAGACACAACACTCGCTCTGCCCGGATTCTACTGCAAGAACAAGGGCCATCAGCCGAGCTACATACCATTCACGAACGTGAATGACGGCGTGTGCGATTACGAGCTGTGTTGCGATGGGAGCGACGAATATGAACGCGTGGGAGGCGTGAAATGCGAAGACCAGTGTGCAAAGATTGGGAAAGAGTGGAGGAAGCAAGACGAAGCTCGGCAGAAGAGCTTGAATGCTGCGAGGCAGCGACGGAAAGAGCTGATAGCCGAGTCTGGGCGACTGCGCAAGGAAGTGGAGGATCGCATTCTGACGCTGAAGACGCAGATTGAGGGACAGAATCTCAAGGTCGACGGGCTGACGAAGAGCTTGGCTGAGATTGAGAGGCAGGAGAGGGGCAAGGTGGTCAAGGGTGCAGGCAAGGGTGGAAAGATCACTGTACTGGCCAGTCTGGCCAAAGAGAGGATTCAGGAGTTGACCGATAACGTGCATCGGGTGCGCATTGAGAGGGACACGAATAGAGGAAGAGTCGAAGAGCTGGAGGCTATGCTTAGACGCTTCAAGGAGGAGTACAATCCCAACTTCAACGATGAGGGCGTTAAGCGCGCTGTCAAGGCTTGGGAGGACTATGCTGCGCAGGAACGCCCGGGACCGAATGAAGCTCTGGATCGTGATCTCGATGAGATACTGCAGCCAGATTCCGAGTCCGCCATCAACTGGGAAGAATTCGAGACTGTCGACGAGACCGATGTCGACGTTCGTAAGTACCTCTAATCCTCGACCTAGAACAACCACTGACAACGTGCAGTCTACAAATTCGAAGAGTACCTTCCCACCCCCGTCCGCGACTGGGTCGACGCAAAGCTCCGAGACCTGCGCGTTGTACTCATCGAAAATGGCATACTCGCAGACCCCAAAACGTCCGATACACCTGAATCCAAGGCCGTCACCGACGCGAGATCCCAGCTCGACTCTGCGAAGAAAGAACTCGACGACGACAAGTCGGAACTGACCAAGCACGAAGACGACTTGACGAAAGACTACGGCCCAGACAGCATATTCCGCGCGCTCAAAGACCGCTGTGTCGAGACAGACAGCGGCGAGTACACGTACGAACACTGCTTCCTCGCCAGCACGACGCAAAAGTCCAAGAAAGGCGGTGGCCACACGGGCATGGGCAACTTTGCACGCATTGAAGTCGTCTCCGTCGACGAGGAGTTGCCTGCTGACGGCAGGGGCCTCGGTAGCGGAGAGCGCATTGCACTCAAGTACGAGAACGGACAGCACTGCTGGAACGGGCCGAATCGCAGTACGCAGGTCATTCTTGCGTGCGCGGAGAAGGATGAGATTTGGAAGATTGTCGAGGAGGAGAAGTGTGTTTATCGCATGGAGATGGGTACCCCTGCGGTTTGTGGTGTGGACGTCAAGAAGTCTGTGGTGCCGGAGCACAACGAGCTATAGTGGGGGGGAAATGATTGAGGGTTGGTTGAGCGACAACTACTAGTAACCAAGGTATCTGAGAATGGGAAAAATATATAGACGTTGATGTAGTTTTTGACGACGAATTGAAATAGCAGGGCTTGCAAGGCGTATTCTAGAATCATATTCGTTACTATACAACATGATGGCCATAACAAGTACGGTTTATTGATACATACTTGACCCTGCTTCACAGAGATTATTTTTCCTCTTCGGTATACACTTCTCTTCACCTACTACGTGGTATGATCCGCTATCGCCAGCGTTGACTTTTACTTTTTGTTCGATTACTCTCCTTTCATCTCTCAACAGTAAAAGAAACACCACACTAATCCGCTATATATATTAAATCTCATACTCCAGATATTACAGCGGGCGAGTAACCCCTACACATCCGTTATATCCAGGTCCAACGTTGGAACTTGCCCTGCATGTGTATTTGTTCGGAAAGCTACGAATGCATGCGTATGCAATGCAGCTAGGTGCAGTGCGCAGTTAACAGACGCTGTTGAACCACGGTCGGCGATATCTGTGCTCTCCTCTGGACCTCATCTCATCTCATCTCATCAGCGAAGATTTCACATATATTAACGGGAATAATATACATGTCGCTTATCGATTGCAGCTCGGCGGAAGTGTGGGTATTGTAGATATTGCGTCAGGGAACAGAGTACAGATAAATTAATGATACTAATTTTAAACCCAGGCATGTTTCCTTTTTTTCTCCTAGAATATGTACAACGGGGGAGTGGCTTCGGTATATGAAACGGAACATTTCAGACGGCTTGCGCTACGCCCCCCTTCGCGGTACTTGCTTGTTCACTGCTTAGATGCAGACGATCAGCCGTCGAGGCGTCTAGCGTATGAGCACTGGGAACTATGTCATCAACCCTCGACCCATGAACAACCGAAGTGGACAAGACCCATAAGATCGTCAAGTGCGCACACTCCATGCAAAATTGGCCATTGAGCCAGATCTCGATTACAGAACGGCTTTCCCAAATCCGATGTCTTCTGTCCATTTTTCATTTCATTTCCGCTTTGGCTTGGCAGGAGGGAAGAGGGGGCTTTGAAGGGTAGGTAAGATGACGACGGCGCTACTCCGCTCCACTACTTTACCTTTTTCTGAGGGGCTAGGCTGGAGTTTTGTGTGGTGACTCGGTCGGCGAGTCTTCCACGTGCATGATGCTTGTGAGTTTCCGAATTTTACGCGATTTGGCGATTGATGAGGCAGGCGGTGCAGTTGGGATGCGGATGTGAGCGTTAGCATTAGGGGGATTCGGCCGTTGGAAGATCTACATGATTCAGCAGCCCTTCTAGCGCTGGATCATCGGAGAGTGCTGTCAATGCAAGGATGAAATGAAGTCGTGTTAATGATGATGGCGGAGGACGAGTTTGCAGGCCTGAGGTTGCGGACGAAGATTATACAGGTAAGAGGCCAACAAGGGATACAAGTCATGAACTTTGCGATGGCGTGTCTCTTGTTTGTTGTTTGAGATGTTACCGCTCGCGTGGCCATGTTTGTCAACAGGCTATGAGCGTTGGCGTGTTTCTGTCGCGTGTGGTGTGGAGAAGCTCACCAGCAAATGGGGATTCGCGGTGTCGCAGGGCTGCTATAGCGCGAGGTAGCGTAGCGTAGATCCTGCTGCAATTTTACGGACGGGTTGGAAATGATCGTCGCCTTCAGGACCACCCGAGCGGAAGAGGGGGAAGTGCGATTCATTGTGGTAACCAACCCGATGCATGGATCGAGCTTCGCTCTTCGCTCTGGAAGCCTCGAGTAAGCGTCTAATGACTGAGACCTGACTCTCACAAGTATTATCTGCTGAGCTCACAACGATATGTTATTTGCAGACAATAAGGAGAAAGGCCAATTGGGCCGAGACAAAATCAAACAGGGTGTGGTCTGATTCGTAGACGGCAATCAAGAAAGCCATTCGGATATTATTCCTCGCTTTGTTGTTGGCTGCGGGTGTACATGCAGGAGCAGACGGCGCTCATGTGAGGCAATCAATCTGTCGAGCAGAAGAGGAGCCACCGCCGCGCTGTGATGTGTATGCAGCAAGGGGCGGGCTGGCGGAAGGGGGGATAGCCAGCCGGGAAGATTGGATGATCCGGGTGCGACCAGGTCTGCGGAGATGAATCTGGGCGGGCCACATAATTATCGCAAGAGTACAAAGGCCGTCAATAGACTGAGACCTGGCGAGCGCAGATCAGGAGCTCACTGTCGCAACTGTTGGACTCGGCACGACGTTGCTGTCCGGGCAGTGGTACAAGGAAAGGAGAGGCAAGACAAGCGGTTAGTAGGCTGGGATAGGAGACGTAATGGCCACCCACCGGGTCCACGAGTACGGTTCACGGACGATTCGTTCGGCTGCTTGTGGCTCCCGAGCTTAGCGGCTTCAGGTACGCGATGGGCGTTTGGTGCTGGATGAGGGTCGCCTCCCCGCATTCCTTTTTGCCCCCTGGATGCCCGAGGGTTAATTGGGTCGACGATATAGGTCGGGAGGTGCAGGGTGACGAACAGAAAGCGAAGCTGGTGATGGTGTCGCATGTCGCGGACAGAGAAGAAGCATCTCTCGACGCTATTCGGGGATGCATGGATCGTCAGCCCCTCCCGACGCCTGCAAGGTACGCATTCAGGGCAGCGAGCTGATTGGACGGGGCACATTGGCTGCACGCTGCAGTCCCCGAATACAGTGGCGGCTGCTGTGTCGTCCAAGGGTCTGCAAGATCGTGCGTTGGGTGCTGCGAGGCGTTATGTGGTGAGGCGTGAGAGTGAATCAGGTTCAGGGTCTGTTGTTGGTGTTGTTATTGTTTTTATCATTGTTGTGTGTTGTTCGAGGAGGGCAGGAATGCGTTTCGGTCACGGCAAGAGCGACGGCAGTGGCAGCGTTGAAGGCAAGAGCGACCCGCACTAGCGCCCGTTTGGCTGCTCCATCCCTCTCTCTGCTATGCTACTCTCCCTCTGCCATATGTATGCGCTCTGCAGCAGCTTTACGTATGTTCCCCTGTGACGGCGCGGGCTTGGGTGCAGGCTGCACACAAACGAGAGGCTGTCTGTGGCCGCCATGATGGCGGGCGTGCAGCCAACACCCCCCAGTGGCCCGCGCACCCGTGGGACTCGTTGGGGCCCTGTCTGAGGTCTCAAGCGCCCAATGCAGGGTGGAAATGAGCCTAGAGGCCATTTTGACCCCTGTTCCTGGTGAAAGTGGTCGTGTTAGTGGTGCTTGTCACTCTTTGCCCCAGGGCCCAGCGAGTGCATATTGTACAGTACCCACGCCGTCCTCGTGTAGGTCGATTTCGGTCGGGAGATCTGCCCTTTCTCTGCATTCCTTTCCTTCACTGCCGCAAAACACCGCTGCGCGCGTGCACCACCACTCTTTTACCCCATCCATTGTTCCCAGCTATACACGCTCCTTAACTTGCAAATAATCCAATCTACTACTGTTTGTTTTTACCTTCTGCCGCCATCCGGCCTACACGTCGACGACACCCGCTCCTGAATCCTCCGCCTTCGACTGCCGGCCGCCCCTCGCCATTCAGACTCGTCTGCCCTTTGTGTGTGTGCCTACCCCAGGCTACATTCCTCCGCATCTTCTGAAACAACACCGTCTTCACGCTTCATCGCCCTCGACTGTACTGCGTACTGTTGTTCCTGCCTCACTCGTCCGCCCCTACATGGAGTTCGCACCTGCTCCTTTACCCCGACCTCTCTCACGAAGCACCCACCTACCGCTACAATACACAATTTAGAAGGGAAACGCGGCTAGACGCTACAATTACAAACGTTGTTATCGACCACAAGCATCGCTCCATCCTAGCAGAAGTGGTGTGGTTCAAGGATAGGAAGGCTTGTCCATCTCCGTGGAAAGGAAGCACCTGCCTGTCGCCAGTCGCACCTGCCCACCCAACTTTAGGTGAGCGGTGAACACGAGCCAGTGTGCAGTCTCAACACATTGTTCTGGTCTAATCGCTTCTCTTCGTATGTCTTTACCCATACTCCAAGCCTCTCCATGAGCTGTCCCTCGTCATGGGAAGCGCCCTCCTTCACCAACCTTGCTAACACGTACCAGGTCGCCATGAATCGCTGGCTCACAAGAAAGAAGGATAACAGCGAGGATGTTACGAGTGGGAAGAAGGCAAAGAAGGGCAAGAAGGGACAGGAGGAGGTCAAGCCCGAATTCAATCTCATCACGGCACTGCCCAAAGCGGACGACTTCCGCACAAGCTTGATCATGCCAGGCCTGTCTACGCGCTTCAGCATGTTAAGAGAGCAGGACGACCCAAGCTCAAAGATCGGCAAGGCCAGCGACGACAGCGTATTGCAACCGAAACGCCAGTCCCGACTCCACGAGTTCGGCTTCGTCCCTGGTGGCCTCTCTGACATAGCCGAAGTTTCATCGCTTAACGGTTCAATACGGCCCCCGTTCGCAAACGAGAGGACTGCCTCCTTTGACAGCAGCAGAGAAGATGACGGCTCTGGCAACATGATGACGCGGTCCAGACCCGGGGAGGGCAATGTCCTGTTCGGTGGCCGACAGAAGATATACATGGTCTCGAACAACAACTCCAAGGGCCTCGGGCGAACACTCTACGACGATGATGTCAACATGTCCACATACCAACGCCTGCGACTAGAAGAAAAGGAAAGGCTTAGGCAGCAGGCCGAGGAGCAGGAGGGCCAGCATTCCGAACCATCCAGCCCTTCGGCTCTCAGTCAGAAAAGAGAAACATCCTCTTCAACAAACTCTGGCACCGTCAACACTCGCACATCTACTGCCGCAACATCAATTGCATCCCAAGGCGCCAACTCCATCTCCGTATCGTCACCTGCATTCCCTCCTTCTGCAGCATCTGCCACCTCTCCAGACCTAACTCGGGCGTCAACAAAGGTCCGAAGACTCTATGATCAAGGCTTGGACCAGCACATCCAGGACCAGCAATCGACTGCCATGAACCGATTGAACTCGATACAGCGGGCTCGAGCGCCAACGGGTCGATCGACCCCGCCCATTCCACTACCTCAGGCACGGTCTGCAACAAACCTCAATGATCGTTTCAACCGGGGCCCCGTCTTCCGCTCAGACAGTCCAAATCCACTCGCATACCCTAACATGAGCAGAAACAATTCGTCCGCTGGCTCTAGCCCCGTTCTTCCTCGACCGCTGTCACCGCCTCTGAGCCCCGTGGGTAGTGATTTCGGGGACGCCCACGCTCTCAATGCTGCCCTTCAGCCGCACGATCGCGGGAAAGCGACCGCTATGGGCGCCTTCAATAAACCAAAGGAAGCCTTTAGTGAAGAACAATACGCAGAGCGATTACGACATATGCAGCCAGAGCGGGAAGTGCGAGAGTTGACATCCCCCAAGGAGGAAAGATCACCACCACAGAAGCCCACTTTAAGGCAGCGTGCGGAGCAGGAGAAGCGAAAGCGAGCTGAAGCAGAGGTTGCAGAGCGACCGAGATCCGAATCTCCCACGGAACAGAAGCCAGCCTCGTCCGCCTTCTCACGATTCCAGGCCGCTGCAAGCCAGATGAAGTTTACAGGTCCCGCAACGCCTAGTTCGCCACCGACCCAGTCGGAGTCATCATCAAAGAATGCAGAAACTACAGATATGCACAAAGGCACGACGTTCTTTGCTTCTCCGGATTCCAGCGATGCCGAGGAGGAAGTACCTAAGCCAAAAGTTGTTCGGGCTCATGAACCTACTCGTAGATTCGACCATCTACCTGTGGCGACGGGGCCAGCACCCTCAATCTTGGAGCACCCTGCCCTACGATCTCGGCCTGCGTCGGATGAGAAGGTCCATCAGGCCAGTCTTGACTCCCCGAGCCAGAACCTCCCTCCGGTTCCCGATCTCTCCCCGAGACTTGACAATTCAGAAGTGGATTCGCCAACTCTTGGTCCAGACAACGGCGGGCTAAGCGGAATGATCCGACAGCATCTGCGCAACGTGAGCAACGTTTCATCAAACTATGGCGAGCTCGATCAATCTTTGGGAAGTCCTATGGGTCTTGCCATCCAGACTCAAGATATTAACCCGCAGCGTCGGCAACCGGGTTCTGAGTCCGTGACACCGGCGCCCTCGACATACAGCCACTCCAACCCCTGGGACTTGGATGACCTCGATAACCCCTTCCGTGATGAACGCGGTAGTCTCAACTCAGTGAGCCCATCTGACCACCAAAAGACCGCACCGCTAGTAATGAGTGCTACTGAACCAACTAGCAACTCAGCACCATGGGACTTGACCCCCCGAAGGAACCACGAGCGCGTTGCTAGCAATGAGACTGAAGCTGATCACGAAGCTTTCCAGCGGGACCTTGCTCACCGACAGCGTCTCATCCAAGAGAATCTCCGTGCCAGGGCTGAAGGTCAATCTACCACCTCAGCCCCTGGATCAGCTGGAGGACTGAAGACGGCACTGAACATGCTCCGCGCAAAGTCTAGCCGGGAGTCGTTTGCAACAGTAGATCGACAACTCGAGATCTCTAACAAGTCTGTGCGGAAGCTTGCACTTGGAGCCGGCTCTGCGAACGTTAGCACGACGTCTCTGTCTGGCTCATATGGAAGTGATTCGCCAGCCTTGAGGCCGAAGCCTTCTCGTGTATTGCAGCAGAGCGAGCACGACGCACAGCGGGAGATGGAGAATAGCCGGCAGCGATCAGCAACCGATAGCAGCCGGACAGGTCGATCCACAGGCAGGTCTGGTATTCCCACTAGATCTTCAACACGGGAACGTTCAAGCTCTGGTACCTCCTCAGCTCGCTCCGGTAGTCGCCCTGATCAATACCGCGACGATCTAGAACAGGCTATGATGGAGGGCTCCAGGGGTGCATACCCGCCAAATACGCTTCCATCGGTGCCTGGATACGTTGCCAACCCAACGCCACCGCTTCCCGCCGAAAGGCCATCGCTGGACAGCCAAGGTCGCATGCGATCGCGAAGCAATAGCAGGACAGCTGCATCAAACCACTTTGATTCAAAGCATCTCCAGCCGATTCAGACCGGTACTGCATCAGGCAATGTTTCTCCTCGCCTTCCTCTTCCCCAGCAGAAGTTTTCTCCAGGTATACCAATCTCGCCTCGCCCATCACCTGGCGGCCACAACGGTCCTAACGTAAATGGATACCCTCATCCAACTTCCCCGATGCCTCCACTCTCAGCGAACCATACCCCACCTGTTTCGAACCCTACAACGCCAAATGCAGTTGCCTTCAATCCAAGCACTGTACAGCCTCTGACCACCAGGCAAGGAATGTTGCGGAAAAAGTCTATTGCCAAAGCCGATATCTCGGAGCCCGTCTTTCTATCTACCACATCTAGCATTGACCTAGTCAACCTGCCGCCAGGTGCGTCTCTGAAGAATGGTGCTGAGGCCGCTGCGCCACCGGTTCCTCCGATCAATCCGATGAGGCGTCGATTCGGCTTTGGTCGTGGCGAGAGCCACAGTCCTTCTCACGATCCTGCTGTTCAGCCCGGTCTAGAAGCCCCACGAGCCCCTTACACCGAGCCAACACGCACGAACTCATCGGACGCACTAGCGAGCCAGACCCAGCTGCCCAGAACCAGGCTTAGGAAAACGTCAAGTGAAGGCAAGAGCCTGCGGGCAAACGCGCAAGGACCCACTGGATCGTCTCCAGCCATGCCACAAACAAGCTTCGGTGGACGTAAAAACTCGCCTCCACGTCCTATCCACAATCAGCCAATGGTGCAACAACCCATGAATGGTGCCATGTTCTAGAGACGGGACAGCGATACCGTTACTTCTGTCAAATTCTCATATTGCCTTTTCGGTACTTATGACATAAAAGCAAGAATCGCCTTCATACCTTTCACACTACTTCGTATATCCGCGGCACTAGTCTCCGCTTCATTACTGTCCTACTTCCTCGTCTGCGACAACGGCCTTGTTTCTTTTCTCAGCAATATACCTCTAAAGTTTTCTGCGAATTATCATCTCTCTTCTCCGATCTTTCTTGCAACGATCAAATCAATGATAGGGTTTCTCCTGGCGGCTTTTGGCGCGAAAAACATTGTACGCTAGCTAGATTGGCGACCCCCGACACCGGGCTGGACACGGTGTTCTGGAGGATATGGACACACAATTAAGTTCGAGTACACTCAGTCTCTGGACGGACGAGTCGGTTTTTTGTTTGAATGTTTATTGGAGGTGGAGTGTACAACAAAGTAGTCACCACGGCTCATCATCTTGGGGCTGGTTGGTTGGTTGCGGCCCAGTTCAGCCTTCGCTGCTGGGAAATGGTCGTCATCTGTCTATCTGGATTGACGACGCTGTAGTGTTGAATGCAAATATGTTACAAGTCAATCGTGTCTGTTCTACTCCGTTCCCGTCCCTCAGTGGCACGGCACCCAACTCTATTTCTCACACGCGCATTGACCGTTCATCTAGCCCGCCCTGTAGCGTCACAGCTCCTCCGCAACAATATGCAAAAGGGAAAAAAGAAAATTGTGAGACATGTAAGGTGCCCCTGATCTACGCAAGGGGTGGGAGAGGACATGACACGACCCCATGATATAATTCCTTTGTGTTATCAACGTACCCGGCACGTCGGATTTGGGATCGGAATCGCGATCGAATCGGGAGAAGGATCAAGATTAGGATGAGGAGTGAGCAGGTGGGTCAGACATGCATTGACTTTTGCTGTCCAAGGATGCTGTGTACTGGGTTGGTGTCACTGTAACTATTACTGATGTGTATACTGCTGCTTTCACTACAATTAGCTCTGTCGCTCTCCATATAGTCGAGTACATCTGGGGCGGTTGCACAGTTTCTGTAAACATTGGATATGTATTGCTGGGCTTGTGTGAAGCGCCTCATAGGTGAGCTCTTCAGCTATCCAATGCAATGTCGGCTTTGGGGTATGCTTAAAAAGACTTCGTCGTCCTCAGACAGCATCAAGTGCATCCACCCATTTGCCAGTCCAAACAGTGAACTCGTCATCTGCACCAGACCAATTCTGTCTGACAAGCTTAACCGCACTTTTTGCCTCAGTACAGCACTTTGCTAGCGTTTGTTTCGCTTCGTCTTCATCGAGATCGTAGAATGCGCTCGCTAGGTCGTCGACAGTCTCTGGTATCGTCTTCAGAAGAGCTATGAGGTCGTCAAGCGTCTTGCTAGGGCTCGAAGCTGCGCCAGCGGTCCCGTTGGTAGTCGCCGTTGTAGCCTCCGCAGATGCTCTCGGGAACGTCTTTAACCTCCTCTTGATCAGAGCCTGGTACAGCATGCCCACTTTTCTCAACTTCTTGACGCTCGTATCCAGTAGCTCTTTCAGCTCCGTATCATCCTTGCCCAACTTATTCGAGGCCCCAAAAATATCGTCTTCATCTCCGAACCCATCGTCCTCGTCGTCCCCGTCACTGCCCTCTGCCTTGTCGTCGTCGTCATCGTCAATGTCTTCACCCCACTCTTTCAGCTCCTCAACCGCATCTAGCAGCACTGCTCTGAACTGTTCTGCCTTCTTGACTACTAGGCCTACAACCCCGTCGGCGCACAGCTTGAGCAGCACATCGCAGGCTTCCCAAAGCACACCAGTAGCAGATAGCACATCCTGTTTCTCCGTCTCCGTCGGGCCATTATCTTTGGCCTTGACAGCTCCATCCCCCTGTGCAGTCTGCCTCCTCTCTGCCATGCGCAATAGCAACGCAAGAACATCCCCCCATGTCCCTAGCAGTCTCCGCACCTGCGCGCGCAGTTCAGTCCGCATTGTATTCCCAACATCATCTTTCTGCCCCGCTTTCGGTGTGTAAGACGCAGCAGCAACCATGCCGCCTAGCACGCCGGAGCTCACATCGCTAATCTTTGCTATTATCGCCGAGGGGGTGAGGGGTGGTGTGATGAGCAGGAGGGAGAGCGTGGTCGTGTGCGATTTCAGAAGCGTAGTCGTCGCCTTGATGGCGTCGAGGGGGTTCGGCAGTTCAGTTTCTGAGGTTTGTGAGGCGGAGGAGGTATTGTCTTTCGAAGGCGCGAGCGAGGATTGGTAGTGGGTTAGGAGTGTTTGTGTTGTTTTCGTCAGGTCGATGAGAGCGCGTATATCTTTTGGTTTCGCCATTTTCTTGTATAGATCGGGGGTGGGGATAGAGAGATATTCGATCTTGGGGTAGGTGACACACTTGAAACACGCTTTTAAATGATTGCAGAATCATGGGTTGGATAGTTGAAAAGACATGTCAAAATTTTGGCGGGGCGGTGACTCGATCTTATCGATAGGTAGCGGGGCTGTTCCGCCCCGGTGATGATGTCTTCCCTTGAATCTTCACCTTTTGAACCCTGGAACACATTTAAATGCATTCTTCTTTTGGAGACTTTTAATATGTGCAAATGCAAGCTGCTGAAGAAGGACTCTTGCCATGCTTCTGGCAGAGCCCCAACTGTTTCAATGGCCATTGCTAGTGCCTCCTGGTCAGAACTAAAGATTGTGGGTATGAGCACTTGAAACGTGTGGATCTGAAATACAAGACAACCGAGAGCCCATAGATCTACAGCACACGACGGTTGGTATCCAAAAAGCAGCTCAGGAGCAGAGAAAGACGCAGGGGTTCCCAGTCCCTTAGGCACGTTATCTTTAAAGAATGCCTCGCCGAAGTCAGTTATAAGAATATTACTTGACAAATGTTCCGTATTTAGATGAGAGTAATCAAGCGCGTCAACGACATGGGTTGGGGCGAATACTGGTGCAGGTTTTCCATCGAGGAATAGCAGTGGGGCCGTTTTAGGTGGTCCTAAGTAACGATGGACCTCATCTTCCGTCCAGTCCTGGAGACCTGTAATTTCGAAAAGCACATTGGAATCTGTGAGGTCTACATTTGAGTGAGTGGGAGCGACTTCTGTAGTGATTCGGGAGAAGGCACTAACCACCATGGCATACACCGGCTTCGTGAAGGGCAGCAACTCCTTCTGCGATTTTCATAGCGGCAACTTTGAGAAATGGAAGTGGTGGGTGTTTGCAGTACAAAGTAACACGCCGGAGGCTTGGCCCACCAAGGTCTAGCACTAGGCATTGATGGAACCCGTTGGGTCCGTGAATCGTAAATGTTTCCTGGAGGTTAGTGATTCGAGTTTTTCCCGCAGCCATTTTTAGATGCTCCAGGATTTTGACCTCATTATCTGAAGCATCTGATCTTAGAATTTTGAGTGCAACGTATCGATCTTGGTTGAGATCCCGAGCTAGCCAGACGAGAGCGAAGCCTCCGTTTCCGAGTTTGTGTATGATTTTGAAGCTGTGTCCGACCACATCGCCGAGGTCAACAGGGTGATACCCACCGGGTCCGTACATATACACGTCCTCGACGTTCTGGAAGACTGGCATTTGGAAAACGATCCGTTGTGATGATGATGATGGTGGCGGCGGCGGCAACCCCGTTTGCGAGTCTTCAGTGCCTCGAGGAGTCATAGTTGAGCGATAATAGCACAGTCCAAGATAGTGAGAATTCTTTGAGGCCTGGGGGTTGGGGGGTTTGTAGCTGCCGAATTCGATCAAAAAATGCGACAGAGCGCAAAGCGCAGGCCGCTGCTGCGGGCGGGTAGTCCGCCGCTTCAAACTCAACAGCCACCATGCCTTCCTCTGGCTTTACTGCCCATGAACATACAACCACCCATAAAAAATAGCCGCCCAATAAATTAGCCGCTGGCCTACTCGCCAGAAGCATAAGGCGCTATGCATCTGCGAGAAAAGAGACTGTACCGTTATTCAAGGATACATGGAGTGACTGACGCGTGTTTAGATGTTCGTTGTTACTGCGTTGGCGAATTCAGCGAGTTTCTTGCTTAATACCGGAGTAGCTCAGGCGATGAAGCTAAACTGATTGAACTGGGAGACGGCCAAAGGGTGGAGATCTTACAATAGCTGACGTTTCAGATTCCGAGGATATTTCAGCCTGGCAGTAGATCGATTAATTTGCTGCGTCCTGCTTTCGGGGTTTGTTCATGAGTATTTGAGGTTACCTCACATTCTGTTGCACCGCCACGTCACGCCACGCGCATCAGCCACGCGCCTTCCTAAATGAGTCAGGCCTTATCGCATGACGCACCCAATTTCCGCACCCATCGATCCGCGTTCTTCCAACACTCAATCACCCATGATTACACGCCACCTACAAACCTACCATTACAGGATACGCGAACCGAGACACCGCCGACAGCAAACTGTGGGCATCAAACGCGCGCACACGACCTATTCGTAGCAGGAACACCTGCCCCGCCATCCGGCCATCAGTATCCGAGGCCCGGTACAAGTGAGCGGCATCGGGCGCACATAGCCCACTGAAGGTCTTTGGCAGAATCTCGAAGAGAGCAAGGAATGGATTCTATTTGCAACAAAGTCATGGCCTGTTCCTGGTACTTTGACCTTCCAGAAGCCGAGAAGTTGGGAAACATCGTCAGCGCCGGCCACTGCCTTTGAACGCGACATTCGGAAAATCACTCTACTTGACTACGATCTAGTTCCTACTAGCCTACATAGTGTTGGGAATACGGAACACCTTCTGCAAGGACAACGCGCAGTAACAGATACAACTAGGAGGACATTACTACGCGTGAACGTGGGGAGAAGCCGGGCTTACGGAACGCTCCTCACTCTCACCCCCAACACGACAAACGCGTCAAAAGCGTGCTATCTGCATCAACACTGAAGGCCTGGGCGAGACAAGGTTTTTCCATCATATTGACCGCGCACAGCGCATTTACGCATTGTCGCCCTCCCCTCAATCGTAACCTCGAGCACAAGTCGTATCGCACGCTACATCAACGAACAAAGCACCACGACGCAGCCATGTCACCCATACCAAATACCACAACAAGAGCTCAGGAGAAGATACCAGCAAACATTATCCTCTCTCCGCGCGAGCTGAAGCATTATCGGCGATGGCAGCATCTCTACACATCCCTCACACCCGCTGAGCAGGGCTACATTCCAACAGCAATGGAGTACGAAGAGTTTCAACAGTGGTTGAAGAGACAGGACTCGGGCTATTTCTCAGACACCTTCGAGGATATTTCCGATCACATCAAGCCCATGGACCTGGATCCGTCTGCGTCCAGTCTTGAGTCACCAGTTGCAGCAATCTGCCGCCACCCAATGCATCCGGTAACAGCGGAAAAAATACGGTCGCGATGTCCTGTCTGCACTATCGATGTGCATATCAATTACATGAAAGTGCTCTCACAAGCCCTCGAGGCCGCCGGCGGTCGAGCACCGTCATGCACGCTTACTACGTCTCAACACCAAGACACCGTATACAGCGCCTGGAGTCGGGAAAAGATATATACACTGAAGGAGCTATCGGAGCTCGAAATGTTGGCCGAGCAAGAGGCCGAGTGGTTAGCAGCACATCCGGAGCCAAAGTTCGATTCCATACAAACAGCCACCAAGGCGCTCGAGCTGTACTGGTTCGAGACCTTTGGCTTGCGAAATGTCAAACCCGTCGCGAAGAAAGCAAGGAAGGTGGGGTTTACGGCAGATACCAGGTTTGAGCTAGGACGTCCGCAAGCGTACTACTGGAAGCGGTCGCCGCGCTACGAGCCCGGCAAATACGCGTTAGTTGAACAGCAAGAGGATGAGGAAGGGGCCATCTCCGAAGACTCGGAAGACTACTCCCAGGGAGTGGCATACCACTTTGGAGCGACTTCGGAGCCAATAAGGGAAGATCCATCACCAGAGGTCCAAGAACCACCACGAACAGATAACCAAGTCGAAGAGCTCGAAGAGGATGATGACGATAGTGACTGGGAAGACATCGACCCCGAAGACGACAGCTCGGACCCTGGCGACGAAGTGGGCGAAGGAGACCACATCTACTTTGAAATTGAGGAAGAAGCAAGTTTCGTCGTCTTTGCTGACGACTGAGTAATTAGTGACAGTAATGGATTGAATCAAAACCATGGTCACATAGGAAGCACATTAGATCAAGCTACATTGCAGCGCACGAGGCACACGACCAGCCATTGAAGGTCTCGATGATGATCTTTAGAACGAAGATAAGAGCGGAGATAAGAGGCAAAGACATGTGCGAAAATCAGCACCGTGGATGTGGATAGTATCTTCCTGAAGTGGAAGTTTACCAAGAGATGGCATCACTGACAGCTTTAACGGCTCGCGTATATACGGAAGGCCGAGGAAGGAGGAAGCAGGAATGAGGAAGGTGAGAGCTAGTTTTACTCACGGCTTTCAAAAGGAATCGTCAAAGAACGAGTCACTGGTATTGTGTGAGTGTGTCAAGAGAGCCATTCATACTGTATGACTAGAACATCAATGACAAAGACATTGTATTATGACAGCGCTTATTGTAATTAACAAGGACATTGTGATATGACAAAGGATCACATATGAGTGGTTCCATCATATATACCACGCACCAGCGCCAGGTCTCTTCAATGCTTCAGTTATCATCTATATCCCCACGATTCCTAGCACTATTATCACTCAAGAAATGTCTAACACACGGGCTAACTTTCAATCTCGTCTTAACGACCAAGGCCTCTCTCTATTCCGCCACAACCTGTTTCCAGCGGCCTATAGAATCTGGCGTCTCGCACACACACTGCATGCCACCACAACCTTCGACTCGGACTGGTGCCGAGCACTAGACCTACTCGGTCTCCAACTCAATTGCCTGGACCGCAATGCACAAGCGGAACCCTACCTGCGCGCCGCACTTGCAGAAAAAGAACGCACGCTACCACCCGGCAATTCAATGATCAATGCGAGTGTGATGAATCTCGCACGCGTGCTGGGCACGTTACCGGTGGGGAAATACGAAGAGGCGGAGGCGCTGTGGCGACGAGCTGTGGGGTACTGGATAGAAAGAGAAGGGGTGAGTGGAGAGAATGTCATGCAGTCCTGGGTTGAGCTTGCTGCTGTGTTGTATAAGCAGGATCGAGAGGAGAAAGTCAAGGAGGCGGAGAGGCTGGCTAGACGCGTGTTGGGACATAGAGAGAGGATATTAGGAGGGAGGCATTACCAGACATTGGAATGTGTTTGGTTGGTGGGTAGTATTGTAGAGAAGAAGGGGAGCTATGAGGAGGCGCTGGGATGTTATGAGAGAGCGTATGAAGGTGCGAGCCAAGTTTTGGGCGAAGGGCATGCCGATACGCAGGATTACTTGTGTGACTTGCTAAGATTGCGCGAGTAACTCGATCTTGCCTCCATTATGCACAATTTGTGCTAGTTTATGATGTTTGTTCTAGGAGTCAGACCTAAAAGTTTTGATTTCTTTGTTTCCTCTTACTACCTTTATCCACAGATCATCATTCTTTCTGCTTTCCCTTCCCAGCATCCTCAACTCTGGGCGCCTCTGGCACTTCCACTCCTTCAATCTTCCACTTCATCCCCGCATATGCATCACTCAGCACGCTAACATCTATTTTCTTACCCTGCGCCATGGGTGGCAAAGTGATCTTCGTCGAGGCTTGAAGCCTTGAATTGTCACTCCCAGCGTGACTTCCGCCGCGCCCACTTCGCCCGCCAGTACCGCCTCTCGTTGAGTCATACCAGCCAACGCGCTTCAGTGCGATAATCTCATCTGTGTTGGAGTATGAAATGATGACAAAAAAGCCTTCGGTTTGAGGCTTGGGATAGCGCGGTGCGAAAATGCGTATTCCACCATTCTGCATTCTTGCAGGGTTCTGTCGCGTGAGACTGACCGAAAGAGAAATAGCGTTGACGGTTCCTAAAACGAGTTTTAGGATGGGCAGACGAGAAATTGGTTCGAGGAAGCGCTTGATAGCTATAGGCGTAACACCCACGAGCTTCGCCGCCCTTTCCAGCGCGGCTGGAGGTGTGTTGATAGTTTCGATGAGACTTGTAGGGCTGGCTTTCGGGTGGTCGAGACGTTTCTTCTCTTTGTCGACGTCTACACCTGCGAAGATAGACAGTGGACCATCGGTAGGCCAACGTGCTGACTTGATCGCCTGTAGGAGCGTGATCATCATTTCGCATGATGAAAGGTATCCAAGCTCAGTTAGGACATCAATTGAAGCTTGTACAATACGAATGCTTTGGTCGAGCACCGAATTAAGATCTCCCACATAATCGGAGATTGGCAGGTCAATGCGCGAAAAGTGTGCTTGTAGGAGCAAAAAGGACTTAACGTGAGGATCCCACATCGGCAGACCAAAGTCATCAGCTTTCAGTGGCAATGCTTTTGATAGTTCGGCGTTGATGAGGTCTTCGTTATGGCGGACGGGAAGCTCGTCGTATTCGGTTGCGTGCGAGACCCACGATAAGACATCCGAGAAATTCGCATCACGCTTCACATTCTTCACTAGGTAGCGAACGGTCTTGTGGCTGAGGTAGTAATAGCTCATGATCTTGCCAAGAGGGGTGGGATTGACCTCGCCTGTAGGTTCAACTGCGGCGCAGGATGAGTCGTTGAGTTCCTTGAGCGAGGTTTCCACTAGTTCAACCATATAGTCGTTCGCCATAGTTTGCGCAGCTATAGTGTTGTGTTCCTCAGCCGAAATCTCGAGGCCATAGAAGGATGGGTTTTTGTGCAGACGGCGGAAGAAGAAGGTCCATGTCAGGTAATCGAGTGCATCCTGCTTTGTTGCGATGGTGCCAGAGGAGATTTCAGCACCCAAATGATTGTCCAGTACCTTGTGTAGCGAAGATTCGACTGGGAAGCCGGTGTGCAAAAAGTGTTTGTAGAATTCTTTCTTTGCATCCTGCGTGAAGATACGGGCGATACCTGAAGAGTCAAATTGCGGGCGACCAGCTCGACCTAACATCTGCAACACATCCGTCAAATCCATATCTTTGTAACCTTCAGTCTTTGCGTCGAAAAATTGTGTGCCTTTGACAACAACAAGGTGAGCTGGTAGATTTACTCCCCAAGCGAGCGTGCTAGTGGCCACCAGGATCTGGATCTTATTGTTTGCAAAAAGTTCTTCTGAAAGGGACCGATCGGTCTCAACAAGACCGGCATGGTGAAGACCGATACCGAAGCTCAGAGCCTCTCGCAGTGCATCATCCTTTACTCGATCGAGGTTGAGCGCAAGATCATCCTCGGACATGTGTAAGAAGCGCCTTGGGTTGTCTTCCATGCCACAGAAGTTAATCAAGTCGCGAGCGGTAAGGCGAGTCTGTCGTCGTGACGCTACGAATACAATGACGGGCTTTTCTGGTGAGTGGGCTTTAATTGCAAGAAAAGTGGGACGATTCATCGATTGCATGAGTGGACAGAATCCTCGCTGCTCGGGGAAGCCATCGATAAATATTTCCAGTGGCACAGGACGGACCGAATGACGGAAATTGAACAGGCCTTCTTTGACACCAAGCCAATTTCCAAGATCTGAAGCGTTGGCACAAGCCGTTGACATACCGAGTAGCCGGATGGAGCCGTCCTTCTTCTGCGAAGCAATGTAGTTCATACGCGAGACGATGATCTCCAGAATCGGGCCACGATCGCCGCCCAACAGATGAATCTCATCGATGATGACTAAGCTGACTTGACGGACATATCCACGAGTCTGCCAACTACGACTGATGCCATCCCATTTCTCGGGTGTTGTGATGATGATATCAGCGTCTCGAATGGTGCGCGTATCCGGAGTATTGTCACCGGTCAGCTCAACGAGCTTCAAGCCCATGGGTCCAGCAAGTCGCTTGCCCCAATCCTTCACTCGCTCCCGAACAAGCGCCTTCATGGGAGCAATGTACACGACCTTCGAACCCGGCTTCTCGCGGAAGGCCCACCACATCGCAAGTTCAGCTGCAACAGTCTTGCCACTACCTGTAGGTGACCCAAGCAAGACATTGGCTGGGGTATGGTACAAGCAGTGGAAGATTTGCGATTGCATCGGATTGAAGTACTGGAAGCGCTGGGCGTACACCTCCTCCAACAGAGGGTTTTTCAACGCTGAGATCGGCAATGGTTGGAGGTTAAGAAGATCGGTATAAACGCTCTCTGTGTCTGGTCGAATGAGATGCTGGAACGAGATCGGATGCACAGTTTCTGCGCCGAGCCATCGATCGGACACTGCTCGGACATAAACCTGCGTAGGCAGAGGATCTGAGAGTGGAATGGTGAAGTTGAGCTCGTGGTCATCATAGAGTTTCCTTCGCGATAGTATGAAGTATTCGTGGTGGTAAATCTCCGAAGTCTCGGAGTTCTCCACCCAAATCCAGAAAGACTCGGAGGTTCCATGATGTCGGTCGTTCCACACGAACTCGGGTGTGAGCCAAAGATGAATGCGGAGTACGTCTCGGTTCAGTGGAGCGATCTCAGACTCAATAGCCAGCGTAGGGAAGTTATTCATGAGCTTCGAGATCACACCTCCCATCTTCTTGTTATGCACCATGTCTCCAATCTCACCCGAGTCCATGTCCCGCAGTGTCTCTATGGAAGGAAATCTTTGGTCGAGCGCACGTAGAACCGGCTGCGGAAGATCGAACTGGTGTAGTGGATGCTCTATAGACCAGCATCGATGTTCGATCGACTGGCAGAGGCTAAGAAGCACGAGGCATTGATATCCCCAGCGCCGATTGAGCGCGATCATGAACAACGCGCGCGCAATACGTGCGGCATTCTGGGTGATGTAGTTGGTATCGGAGACGAGTGTGAAATCATCTAACCTTGCTCTAGAGATGTGGGCCTGTAGAAGATAGTTCGTTTTGCCAGAGGATGTAGCATACCCGCCCTTGACCTCAGTAATGACGTAACCCTCTTCTTTCAGTGCTGAAAGCTCTTTCTCTTCCGTTTCGCGCGACTGTATCTGATCAAACTCACCACTCATACTGATCATAGCCAAAGCATCGGCGTCCGTGCTGCGAGGTCGCATCATGGTGTTGAAAATTTCGATACTCGACTGTTGGACGTAGAACTGACTTGAGATGCGACCGACGTCCTTGGCCCGGAGATCCTCTGTGATTTCGTTGAATATGATCATCTGGCTCTTCTGTAAGATTCGAGCTGCGTCGATAATGAGCTTGCGGCGCCTTTGGACGAGCTGCGGATCATCACGAATCTCCGCCCATTCGATGCCATATACCAGAGGGCTCTTTTGCATCCGAACAAATAAGTACGAGTATCCGAGCCATGTCACAGCTTCTGATACTGTAGTGACCGTCCCCAAAGAGATCTCGGCATTGAGATTGTCTATGAGCTTTGACGAGAACCTAGACTCAATTGGTTGCTGCTCAGTCACTGCTCGCATATAATGGTCGAGTCTATCATGTGTTGTGCAGATAAAACCAATTCCGGTATCTTGAAACTGAGGTCGACCAGCACGGCCAAAGATCTGCAAGACGTCGAGGATGCCAAGATCCGTGAATTTACCTTCCTGTGCGTTATAGACCTGTGTACCCTTGATGAGAACGGCTGCTGCAGGTAAGTTAACACCCCAAGCAAGAGTCGCTGTACAGCAAAGCACTCTGAGGACACCCTCTGCGAAGAGACGCTCAATCAGATTCCGGTCGGAACGGGGCATTCCTGCATGATGCGTGCCCATACCCTTGCCAAGTAGCTCGCGCAGCTCTCGTCCCTTCGATTGCTTCATGTCGCGTACAGCAAACTCATATCGAGGATGATCAGTTGGGTCGAATAGATCTGTACATTGCTCTTCCATAGCCATATCGTATAGTCTTCGGGCCGTCTTGACAGTGTCTTTCCTGGAGTGCACAAAGACCATGATTTGGTGTCCGAGCTTGAGCATCTCGACGACTTTGTCGAAGGCTACTCTTTCTACGTTCTCCCGAGACTTCGCTGAACCGGGCTTTCCTTTGGCACCAATGAAGTGTTGCTCCAATGGAACAGGGCGGAATGACGCATCGAAGTAGAACAGACCAGCCATCTTGTTCACTCGGAGGAAGTCGGCTACATCGACGTAGTTGGGGAGGGTGGCAGAGAGACCAACAATTCGGATAAGTGACTGCGTGCTTTCGACCTGTCGCTGAGTCCTCGCCACCAAGCTTTCTAGGACAGCTCCACGTTCGTCATGGAGCATATGTACCTCATCGATAATGAGCAATCGTACTTTCTGCACAAGCTCAGTGTCTCCTGTGCTTTTCCTTGTGACAACATCCCATTTTTCTGGTGTGGTGACGATGACTTGTGTATCCAAGATCTCAGCCTTGGTGAGGTGCATGTCGCCAGTGAGTTCGCGGGCCTTAATCCCTAGCCATGCTAGACGTTTCCCGAGCTTCTCAGTAACCTCAGCAGCAAGTGCTTTCATGGGAGCGACGTATATGATCTTGAAATCTTCAGTCATGACTGTAAAATCAGTAGCATCTGGTTCCTCCATTGGGTTTGGTACGACATTCTTCGCCACAGTGTTGAGGATCGTGAGCATAGCAGCGTCTGTCTTACCAGCACCAGTGGGCGCGCAGATTAGCATGTTCTCGCTTGTCTTGTATGCAACCGGGTAGACTAAGCTTTGCATGCGATTAAGCGATTTGTAGCCTTTGAAAGTGCGTTGGCAAAGGCCATCCAGTTCATGGATCTCGAGTAACCTGCGGCCGACACCAACGGTACCAACGGCAACTGCAGGAATCTCGTATTCTTCATATAGATTGTTGTCTTCATGCTTGGTGTCGGGAGGCAACGCATACTTCTTACCGTAAGCGGAGAGCTTGTTACCAGCTTCGTGGGCACGGTACACATGCGGATACTGTGGGCCTTTGCGATCCATTGCGGGCGCCAGAGAGGCGGTCTTGTGCTCCCAGTCTTGCTTACGAATAGCTTCCTCGCGCTCAGCTCTGGTCTGTAGGCGGCCCACAATACCATTCTTTTGGGCCGCGGCTGGTGCATGCAGGGACCGCGTGATGTCCTGTCGATGGGAAATGAGGTCGGCCACCAGATCTAACTCTCCATATCCCACGATCTCTGCTAGAATCATTTGCAATTCTTCATCTGTTTCTTGTTAGAGACCATGCTCTCAGTGAGAGAATACACGAAACTCACTTTTGCTATCGCTGGCAAGGATCGCTGAGATTTGCTCCTTCAGCGCTCCAGCATCCAAGCCAGAGCTCCTCCAGGCAACATCGGCACACTTTCCTGTGAGCCATTGCTGGCCGTAAAGACTATTACCCGTCTGGCTATCGGGATATTGATCAAGGTGATCGCTGCTGTACTCGTCCTCGTACTCATCGCTGATGATGTCCCAGATGTCTTCGCCACTGGCGGTTGCAGAGAAGTCGTCGTCGTCGAAGTCGAGGTCGTCGCCATATGCTGGTGCCTTCGGAGCATCAGCGGGAAGATTCAGCTCTGCAATCGCCTGCCGCATAGCAGCGAGCTGCTCGAGCCATTGGGAGTGGGCGTCCGCGACACAAGACGACATGTTTCAGGACGTGTAAGTATTACGGTCTCACCGTGAGTGGCGTAGTCTTCCACTCAAGCAAGGCCCTGTTTGCCTGGGATTCACAGCTTGGTCGAAGCGATGATGGGTGCCTGCTCGGTTAGAGTTTCCCCACCCCCGCGATTAGCCTTATTACGTCAGCATGCAGCGCCACATCCCGCTGGCACTGGACCGGACGTGTGATGCGTTATCGTGGATCTCTCTCCAGGCACCGCTTTCCTAGAATCAAAACTTCACGAACCCGACACATACACGTTTCCATTTCTCTCCCTCTCTCACCTTGGAGTTTTGTTAGACCCGCCGTCGCTATGAAAATCGTATACATCGGTGTAAGCGCCCTCACCGCCAGTTAGCAGCTCAAGTGGCTAATAATGATCCGTAGGTTCTGAAAAACGATAGCAAGCCCGCGGTCGAACTTTCGCTCGAGCGCGAACTCACGAGTTATAGTCGCTTTACGCGTGGTAGCATCAGCGAATTCGTGCGTTACCCTCTTCCACCGCCGCATCTGTTGCCACCATTCTTGTTATAGACGGACGCTAGGAAGTGATGGGCTACGCGAGCTGGCGTATATCTTGTGCCTGCACGACGAGCAGATGTTGAGAAGGTGTACTGATAACCGGCGCAGACATCTGTATTTGCCCAAACAGTGGCTGAGCGCACGCGACCCGGACAGAGACAGGATGTCGAGCAAGATCGTAAGAAACATCGTATACGCTCCTACAGCTCTGCTATCACATCTAACAATGTTTGCAGAATATGTATTCCACGCCTACGCCCGTACAGAAGGCGTATGCGGCATCATAATCTCCGATCAAGAATACCCATCCATTGTAGCCCACCAACTGCTCTCGAAAATCGTTGATGAATTTACCTCCAAATACCCACGCACAGCGTACGCAAGCGCCACGACAGATACCTCAAAGCTTTCCTTCCCCGAACTTAAAGACTATATCGTCAAATATCAGGACCCTCAGCAAGCGGACAACATCATGAAGATTCAGAAGGAGTTGGATGAGACTAAGATTGTGCTGCACAAGACGATTGAGAGCGTGCTGGAGCGAGGGGAGAAGATTGATAACTTGGTTGCGAAGAGTGATGGGCTGAGTGCGCAAAGCAAGATGTTCTACACTCAGGTAAGTTTTAGAAGCTGGGCTACTGTAAAGGAAATATAACTAACGTATAGGATAGGCCAAGAAGCAGAACTCGTGCTGTACAGTCATGTAGATATGTTTTGGCAGCTTTCCAGTCTCGTTCGATGCCGAGATCACAATTCAATAGTCCGACTAAGTCACGCAATGTTATACCCTGTTACCGATCGATCGATTTCTTTCCTCGCAATGTCTATGGTGCTAACGGCTGCATTCTTTGCTGCAACACTTTTTCCAGACTAGGACGCTACAAATACACTTCTCTGCCTCTTTAGCAAGCCCATCACCCTCCATCTCTCCACCTTTTCCCAGCACAGCACTTTGAGTCGTACGGCCTCCACGTCGGCGAGGCTACTGTCATTATCGCCCTCGAGATCCGCAGCACCAGTCTAACCATCGGTCTCCTCCATAAACTCATCATCCGACGCTAATGAAACCTGGGAGGAGTAGTTTTGTTCATCTTCCTCCATGGGATGCGACTCGTACTGTTGAGGTAGATCATGGTCCGCCATATCTTCATCAGTAAGGTCCCCAATGTCGAGCGCGTGTGCCTCTAGATTTGACACGACTAGCGTTACGATCTTGTCCCAATTGTTGAAACCGTCATCGCTGCTAGTGTATGGATCGCTCTTCCACATCACAAATATATCAGTCGTGGCTGTCAGACTGGAGGTCCGTTCTTGTACACAGCCAGGATTAGCCATGCTGCCAAACCACACCTTGACGCCTTCCAGAAGACAGACCTCGAATAAGTCTGTAATTAGTTCACGATACTTTACATCCGGCAGCGAAGGGTTAGGGTCGCAAAGGAGGAGGCGACACTGGCGAACGTTGAACTGCCAACTGTTTTTGTACGAGCTATCTCCCTAGCCGTCATTGTTAGGGCAGGCGTGCGGTGAGTATGGGTCGTAGACCGTGGAGTGGCGCTCATAATATGCACCCGCTCGATGCTGGGGGTCTTCTGGCTTGCTCGGAGACTAGTTCTTCGACTAGTCTCCGATGCATCCGAAAAACGCATACTGCGCACCTCTGAACAGGACCTTGGTCCTTGCGCTTCTCCCTATTACTTGCGCTACATCCCGGCGTAGGAGCTGGTAAGTTTCCATGTCTAGAATGTAACGGGTGGCCGCACTTCTCCCCCAGCATAAAGCCACCATGTGCGGGATCACGATCGCTTCCCGCAATAGAATAGTATACGGACGCTCGCTGGCTATCATAATCGATGAGTTTGTCCAGCTGACGTCGCCCTTGCTGCTCCGCTTTCCACTCTTAAAAATCATCGTATTCCTATGCGGTGGGCAGTAACGGGTCGTCTTCTTGCTCAAACTTATCGAACTGGATGAGCCGCCAACGCTTGTAATGTTGTAAATTACGGGGGGAGGAGATCGTAGGCTTTAGACATGATCGCGCTGCCTGTGAGGCCTGACAGGATCGGCTGCGGCGGAATTGATTAACCTGGGGTTGAAGGCACAGAATTTAAGATTATGGTTCGTTTGTTCATAGTTCAGTAAAGTAGACCGAATCGTGGATATCATACCTTTGATCAGAGTGAATGTCCAATCGCTGCGATGTCAATTTCTACCTTCGCCAACAACCTCGAAGTAGAGAGCACTTTCCCTTATCAGCACTGCACACGGTCTTTTGGTATATTTGTTCAGGTACCGGCACTTGTGTTCTTTCTAATGAATAAATTTGTTGCGGTGCTCTAAATCAGATACGAATACACTGCGATCAAGCCCTCTCACTCTACTGCCTAGCTCAGACCACGATAGCTTGTGGTGGCAAATTAGCTAAAGGCGGCTCTTGAAAATGCCCGCAAACTTCCTTGATCAGCCCGATATCGGTCTCTTCTTGCACCCATTCTAGCTGTTTGTTCTTCGCTTGGTTGAAATCGTTCATGAACTCGATCGTAACAGGATGATCGGTACCATACAGGCTCTTCGTTCCTATATACGCCTGATCAAAGAGGGGAACCGCGTCTCGATGTTTCCCTTGCACATCTAGAATCTTAGCAAGCGTATGAAGCCCAGCTAAAGTATCGCAGTCATCTATTCCGAGAACTCGCCTCCTGGTGTCGACAATATACCTAGCTAGGGATTCGGCCTCTCCAAATTTCTTTTGTTGAGATAATAGTAGAGCAAGGCGTTCCTGAGTCTTCAGGACTTCTGCATGTTCAGGTGAATACACGTCTTTGAAGCCATCCACAGCCTGTCGATACTGGTGCTCTGCTTCCCCGTAACGCTGTTGGAATTCCATCATATTGCCCAGGTTAATTATGCCATTGAAAAACGATAAGCCCTCCTTCCCGTCGTTGTTCTGAAGTTCTAATCTGAGGATTCTGCGATACAGCGACTCGGCCTCGTCATATTTCTCTTGCATATTCAGCGTAGCAGCAAGCATACTCATGAGGCTCAACGCTTCGTCGCTACCTACACCAGATGTAGCTATAGCATGCGTACAAGTACGTCGTTGTATGTCTTCTGCCTCTGCGAACATGCCACGGAGGAAGAAATTAAGTCCAGCGAAGTGAAGACTACGCTGCACCGAAGGATGCTCAAAACCTAACATCTTCTCTTTTGCTTCTCGATGCTTTTTGAAAACTGCGTCACCTTCCTCCATCTTTCCACGTTTATGCAATAAGTCTCCGATGCAACTCAGTGTGTGCAATGTATCTTTGTGCTCTTGACCCAGTAATTTCTGTCTCCCACTCAAAGTCCATCTGTAAATCTTCTCAGCCTCTTCGTTATGATTCCTAGGATGAAGAGCATCGGCAAGCTGCTGAGCACTCCTGAGCGTGTGCTCATTTTCATTCCCAAGTGTAGCCTTGTACAACTCGAAGACGGCACGACTCAGGGATTCCGCTAACGCGTAATTGCTCATATAGCTCGCGTGCGCTGCAACACTGGAGATGAGTGGCGCCCATGTAAGCAGTGCTTCTTCGTTGGTCGGCTTGTATGCTGCTGCTTGCTGAGCATGCGGGGAGAGGTAGACACTGAGGGTCAAATTATCATACTCCGGCTTCGACGGGAAGCATTTCCCCATGATCGCAATGTATCTTCTCATCCAAGACTTTAGTTCTCCGTTCATCTCAAGCCATCTCATAGTTGTGTGCTGCACAAGTCGATGCATGTTAAATTCTCGCCCATCAACGTTCGTTTTGATCAACGCGAAGTCCGTCAGCACTCTCCAGTCATCGTCAAAAGTGCTCTTTATATCTTGTACTGCTGTCTTATCTTCTACGGAGCGCTTGCGTCGTTTCAATCGCAAGGGCCGTCGCCGGAACCGCTTCCACCAAGTAATGCGGGGTTCTAGTGGGGCTATGACAGCGGTTGTTTCTTCCCCGTATTGACCGGAGAGAAGTACGTCCGGAATTCCACGCCGATCGAACAAACACATCAGCGAGAGAAGCCTGGCAGCTGAGGGATTCGTTTCGCGAATATACTGGAAGGACAAATGCCATGTTTTAACGATGGAATTGGTTCGTTGAGTATCCCTACTTGCTTCATGCATACTTGTTTCTAGGAGTTGAATGGTATCTTCGTTTGGACTGAGGAGTTTTTCAGTGGCTCTGACGATAGTAAGACGTGGGTAGTTGATATTGATGTTGGTAGCAATTTGTGAAATTGCGAGGGGCATATAGTCGACAGCTTTGACAAGCTCGGCGGCATCGGTATCGATGTAGAGAACCTTGCTGTTGAGTTTGCTCCCCAACAAGGCCAATGCTTCCCCTTCGTTCATCTCTTCGACGTCAATATGATAGGCGCAATTGCCGGTGATCATTTGCGCCGCATCCCTGTTCCTCGAGGTGACCAATACCGACCCGGTTCGTGAAACTGTTATGAAATCGCGAATCTGATGCAAAGGCGCTTTGTCATCAATGTCCACAAAAGCATTGGCTTTCGCTGGTGTTGCAGTGAGAACGCCAGGATCGTCTAAATTGTCAACGACCATCACCCAAGGCCCGTTGGACTCGTCTTTGAGCCAGTCACGAACCAAAGTAAATATATCTGTGTTTTTCTCGTCCCATCCTGGAAGGCGGACGGCTTTTGCAATCCTTCTGAAATCCAGTTCAATGGCGGTTGTGTCTTTCGCGGATACCCAGAATATCCACATCTGGGGAAAAGCCTCCCGCATGCGATAAGTATACTCAATCGCCAAACGAGACTTGCTGGATCGTTCGAAGTTAGCTTTAATCTACCAGAAAGCAAGAGATGGGTATATTGTTTTGTTGTCATTACTCTTCAATTTAGGGAAAAAGGGACATACCCAACGCCGCCAATGCCCATGAGCGCCAACTTTGTACCAGGCTGACATTTTAACATCACTTCGCCCATAACGTCACGATCTATGAAGTCAGGTTCTTGTTCGAAAGGACACGTGGAGCTTGGTTTTGGTGGGTCTCTTCGACCTGGCGAAAATATGTCAGCGCGAAGGTTTTCGAGGGGAAGGTCTAATAGATTTGGGGGGGGGGGCCAAATACTTTTCCTATCTGGCCATCACTTACCTTCTGAATTGTGATTAGAACTAGATAATTGGCGGTGTTGTGCCATCGCTTCCATGTAATGTCTGATGACCTCGTCCATTTCTTTGACATCATTATCATACTTCACACTGACTACAGCTTTCCAGCCTCGCATTGCCCCAGACTCATTTTCACTTGGCAGAACTTTATCGAGTGTTGCTTCGAGCTTCTGGATCTGTATCAAACATTCTTCAATTGCTGGCCTGATTGCCTTTCTTGCGCTGTCTGTCATATCCTCAAGTCTTGATTTTGTCTCCCTCAGCGCATCAATAAACACCGGTAGTCGGGTATTGATATGCCTGAATGCGTGTGGAAGGGTCGTCCCATTTTTTCGGCTGTCATTGAGACGTTCGACAACTCTGACGCCAACATCGATGATTTGGAGTACGCTGGCAGCAATACCGAGGGCGGCGAGTTCTGCCATGGCATTGCGGATGAAACGGGAGGTCTAAGCTGGAGGAAGTATGGTAATAAGTAAGGGGAATCTGTAGGCAGCGACGAGATAGACATGGCGGGGTGTTCAGCACGACTTGGGCTGGCGGCTGTGTGATGCAGGAGTGCGGCGCAGCCAGGCTGAGGCAAGCCGTGATACGAGACATGGGTGGTGTGCAGGGAAGCGAGAAAAGCAAATCGCAGTCGGCGCGTACAAGCGTGAAAATATCTTGCGCGATACGCCCGGGTCCACTGCTCCTGGGGAAAGTGACACGTCAGTCGGCAGTACTGGTGCTGTACTACTATTGACTGGTGATTCAGATTCCTCTTTCAAGTCGTTTATGAATTATGGCGATAACTAAGTTCACCCTATCGAGATTCTATAAAGTAATAATAGAACAACCTTTCCATAACGTAAGTCTTAAAAGTGATGCAACTAAAAGCTGTCCAAAGCCATTGCCTCGGCAATAAGGAGATTTTCAACTATTTTAGGAAGTCCAATTGCAGATCATAATTGTTCCTTGTCGGACATTCTCACCAAAGACTACAGCCATGTGTCCCACTATTGCACAAAACGTTCCCCAAAGCGCGTCTTTGTTAAACCAAGTTCAGGGCCAGTTCTAAACGCGCAGTACGAGCTTTGCATTTGAATTAGAGGTTGAGCAAACGATCCGGATGCACAGTAGAGAAAACAACCAGGGGGATGCGCAAAGCTGACTCACACAAGGTCTTTCCCATGATGTGTAGAGAAATCCGCGCACTATGTAGAAGCTTCAAGGGTTATTACTGCAAGTACATACGCGGTCCTGGTCTCATGGTGTTACTATAATTCAATAGCTAGGGCGGATACATCCATTTCGCTAAACTACACCCCACGTCGCTTCCGTTGCGATTATTCATCCACAGTATGGTCAACTGCTGGAACCGTCTTAGCCGGCTTCCACATTGGCCAAAACCTCCCCGAGGCAAGTCCAACGAGATTGATCCACTTCGTCATCTTCATAATTCTCGTCCTCGATGTAGTCAGAATGAGACAAGAACACGTCCAGTACCTTGTTTTCATTGACAAGCACTATCATTGCATCCGCGTAGTGAACCATCTCCTTCAGTTCTTCACGGTGTCCGTGCTGCTGCTCTTGGAAATTCTCAAGAAAATCTGAGATGACTTTCACGCCAGGATGTGACCCGACCAGCCCTTGGGATTGACCAGGCCGAAGAGACACGCCTTCGTGAAGCTCATCAAACTCTTTCTGTAAGGTCGTCGCGAAGAGCTTGAGGTTGCAAATGTCAGCTGGGGTCGAGCCACAGCGAGAAACATTGAGCCACCCGTCGTCCAACTGACAAGCATGTGCGCCGGGTTCGTAGGAGTGGCCACTACGGTGGTACTCAGTGCTATGGCGGCTCATCTCGAAGTTGGTGTCCGGAGCGAAGCTGACTAATTTCTTGGAAGTTGACATCTGGCACAGAGGATTTTCGCTTTGTCCCCCTCGCCACAGTCTTGGAGATGAGGGCTGGATATCTATGCTCCATTTCTGCTACCTGGAGGGCCTTTGTGGAACTATTAGTCCTTCGCGCAGCAGCGACTTTGTCCCGATGTTCCGCGTCCCACCGAGCTTCATATTTCACCGAGACTTCGAGCAGATCTATCACACCCTGGAGCTGAAGGCGTCCCAGGTGCCAACCCTGACGGAGAACAGGGTACTTGTTCTTCGTGGGTCTATTCCTGTTCCATGGGCCACCGGCCTCTTGTAACGCGTCGGCGATGGCACCTAGAAACTTTAGCGACATCTGAATCTCGCAGATGGGACAGTAGCCAGCTATCATAGTGTCTGATGGATGGAGCTCGTGACCACACTCAGCGGCTACATGAGAATTATTGGGTGTGGCTGCAACACGTTTGTTAGCATCTTCTTTTCCAGAGCGATGCTGGGTAAAGCGATGGTATCTTATACCACATCGTATGCTCCCTGGTGTATCATTTGGGTAGTGCTCTCCTTGCCATTTTAGGTAAAGTGGGACGTCCTCCGCTGATAGGATTAGTTGAGCTGGAATGAACCTAATTATTGAAGAGGACATGGTTGAAGAAAAGAAAACTCAGAATCCAGAGTACTGTGGTAGAAACTTAAGATTAGAAGGTTAGACTTGTAAAGTGCTGTGAAATCGTTGCAGTAGTCTAACAATGTAAAGAAAGCGACTGGATACTTAATGAATACCATCCACACTGTGAATGCTCAATTGCATTGCCGCACGTGTACCGTCTCTAGCACATACTAGGCCTGCTGGGTCCCCGGAGCGACATACTCAGGTTTACTTTCTTACGTTCTAATCAATATGGTAAGGGTCCAGCCTACCTCTTGATTTCCCAGGCACCCACCTTCTCTTTCGGTTCGCAGGGTCCTACATGCCAATGCTCTCAAGCATGTCAAAGAACGTATCCATATGTAATAAAGCCTTGTGGGTGTTCGAGGGCTCTCCCTTGGGGGACCACACTAGAACGTATGCTAAAGCGGCGAGCTAAATCAACCAAACCCAAAGAAAATGCGAGAGGATCAGTTTCGTCGTTCAGAAGACATTTCATTTGTACCGCAGTATCTGCTTTCAGGCGCACGCTCATGTTAAGGTTGAATCGCGAAATTACACATTCCCGAGTTCAGCGTTCCAGTCGGATAGGCCAGGTCAAGTCCCCATCCTCAAGACCTCTTTGCGCCGTTCTGGCCCACTTAATATTACCCGCATCTTTCCATCGGCGCATTATCGTTTTAGTAGGCACTTTGTGCCAGGCTATTAAAATTCTTTATGTCGTAGCAAGACGCGCCGTAATTTGTTCTAGTATCCCTGGGTAAGTGGATCGTGAGAACGTCCAGTTGCGCTGTAGTAACTGAAGGTTTTGCATCTAGAGTTCCTAGGTTACGTAACAGCCCTACCCCACGCCATCCCTATACTAATGTAGCGCGATACAGTCGCGTGCAATCTTTTTGTCAGGGCAGAGGGTGCTAGTACTTGCCCCGCTAATCCCGCCAGGGAGCGCAAACTCAGCCGTAGACATGCACTGGAGCCCAGGTAACTAGGTTCTGGACGAAAGTTTGATTACGTCTGAATAAATATTTAGCATTTTGAAAATTTACCAATATTGGGCCGGTAACTCAGTGGTAGAGTGTAGGATTGCAGCCAACCATAGTCGTTATCCCGAAGTCACCGGTTCGACTCCGGTTCGGCCCTGTACTTTTTTTTCCTACTCCGCAAACCCTCAAAGCGGAATAGTATCAATATACCTCTATTCTATATTCACTTAAGCAGCACCGGAAGAAGAGAAACGTGAGGAAAGCACTTTTATTTTTAGAAAATATGCTATATGCTATTTACTCGAGAGAGGGAGGTAGTAAAAAACCTATAAAATACCTGTAGTATGCCTACATGTTTTATACTATCACAGAACCAGCGATAGCTCAACTAGGGCGTAGGCGCTTTGAAAATCCTCTTAGCCCCACGCCGTTGCCCGACAACTTTGATCGTCCTATAGCATTCACTCACTCCCTCGCGACGCTGATGTCCATACATCTACGCAGCTCCAACCCGCTGATGTCAATGGGCGCATTCCGACCGGCGAGAGTTTTCTGTAGACAGCGCATCGCTTTTTACGCATTTACATGGTGGGCAACTGCAATGGATGTTCTCCTTTGGGCTAGATGTGGCGGAGTTTAGGCAACCATAAAACCCTAGCCGGCTTGAGTTGAATCCCGGCCTTGGCACAACCGCGGCGCGTTGGAGACCCTAGACCCGAAACCCAGGCTTTGCCGACTAACACCAACATAACCAACACACGAATCATCTCGAACGCTACAGCCTTGATCTAGGCCATCGGTGATCTAGCGCAAAGTTTCTGTATCGCGAATAGAGCAAACCGGATCCCCGTACTAGCTGCCACCGTTTACTTCCCACAACATTTACGAAACCATCATGGGGTTATCTACGTTGCCTCCAGAACTCAAACTCGACATTGCCGAATATCTAGATCCCGAATCGAGCCTTCAACTCGCTCTTACATGTAGAGATCAACACAAGCTCTGCATATCGATACTGAGCGAGTATAGACGATTGCTCTCGGAGGGGCAGGCCATTGATACATCTGACCCTAAGAGTGCTGGCACACTACTTTGGTCTACATTGAAAGAAGTACTTAAGGAACCGCGCAAGGGTTGGTACGTGTGAGAGCTCAACTTGCCGGCTAGCCGGGCGTATCATTGGGACATAACCAACCTCCATCTGGGGCACCCTCAAAACTTGCTTGCTGTTCCACCGGAGGAAGACTAAGAACTGTTTAAGCAGGCAGCACGAGCACTGGAAGAACGTTACCAAAACGTAGACGGCGGCAGCGAGGGATCCAATCAATACAGCTTCTATAGCCGGCCAGACTTTAATGATCTCATCTTGGTTTTGGAAGATCGCATCACCGACGGATGTGACGATGCTATCATCGCAATATTAATACACCATCTACCATTTCTCAAGACAATCAGGATCACAGATGCCGAGACAGACTGCCTACAAATTATGATGCGACACGTTGCCGCTGCTTACAAGAACCCTACTCTCCAGCGCTTGACTACTGCCGCAGTCGCTCGTCGGGATACAGAGTACACCTGCGACGTTGAGTGGGCATGTACATTTCTCTCTCTTCCTTCTATTCGAACCTTTGCCGCAAACATGATGGGTGTGTCACCCGAACTTGGCGGAATATTACGTTACGTACTTGAAGATGGCAAGCGCTATTCCAACGCCACAGAGTTATTTCTGATTCACTGCCAATTTGATGTGAAAGGTCTGGAATTCGTTCTTGCGGCTGTTAAAGATCTGAAGAGGCTTACGTAATTTGGAGGAGGTGGGGGGGGGGGGGGGGGGGGGGGGGGGGGGGGGGGAGGGGGGGGGGGGGGGGGGGGGGGCACGGGCTCGTTTGTCTCTTATGAACCAAAGAGGGTCATCACAGCTGTCGCAAAAGCGGCCGGTCATTCGCTGGAGGAGCTTAAGCTCGCCCAAGACGCCTTCGATGCCGAGGTATGGCGCATTTCCTTCCCATGCCAATGAGTCGCTAACCATAACCACCAGATGAGTGCAGAAGATGACCGGAAAGCCGTCTCACTTCGTGAGTTCAAAAAGCTTAAAAGCCTAAACTGCGAATGGGAAATGCTATTACCGCAGGACATCGAGTCCGATAACGACAGGTCGTTCGAGAATGGGTTCCCAACCGTTGAATTCGACGTCAGGGTTATCCTACCCGAGTCTCTGGAAGAACTATACCTCCATGGGACGTTCGATGATGAGGAATGGGAGGAGCTATCCGGCATTCTCGCATCCCCGAACGCTGCAACACCGAATCTCGACAAGATGTGCATTAGAAGGTTAGCGACAGAATGGCCTCACGATGCCGTAGCAATAATTGGAGATTTACCAGCGCCAAGTCGCAGCCTGCATCCCCTTGTGAGGCTATTCGACGGTCACGGAGACTAATGAAGCCGCTCGACGTCGCATCACGGGTATCAACGCCGACGTTTGGAGTAGCAGCAAAATTCAATTACTGATACGTATACCCTTCCTTACTTTTTCAGTCTCAATCTTTGACAGGCCTGTCCACCTATCTCTTCCGCGGCCTGTTTCAGGAAGGTGACAACATGTTGAGATTGCGCATAATTGCTTCTGAGGTGGCGCGCATGCATCGTCCTCTCATGACCCTACGTTTGCATCTGATAAGCTGGCGTTATTTCTTCTCCATTTGTAAGCAGCTGCTTATATTTGGATGCATGTGCATCAAGGAAGGTGACGGTGAACGCTTGTTCTTCTGGTGTCTACTATCGACATCCCTTCCTAAATGCCTTCAGTCAATCTGGGCGCCCGGGTGCCTTCATCGGTTTGGAACGCCCAAAATGTAACGAGGTCCGTCCTCGAGCGACAACTCATCTATCCCGCAGGGAACCTGATGTGTAATACCGATAGGCAAGCCAGTGGGAAGGCTACCTTGATCGAGTAATGTCTGATCACTTGCAGCGCGTCCTTCCGCGATCCCGCGAGGCGATGGTTTTACCCGCAATGATCGCGGGGTAGGTCAAGAAATTGTGCCACAAGTAGCAGTCTCATTGGTTTGTAGGAGTTGCAATAAGGTGTGGTTTATGCTGAGGGAAACAAAGAAGCTTGGAACCAAGCCACCTTGCCTTCTTGAAGAAGGTGGGTTTCGAAACTTTCGCTTAGATGCAGGAGACCATGTTAGATAAGGATGCCGAATGCCTGCCGGGTTCAAGCCATAGCCGACCTTGGCGACACTGAAATCTCTGGGGTCTTGTAAGGGCTAGCCGTTGTGATTGGAGGCCTTTACAGAGCTTCGGAATAATTCACCATATTGTTCTTGGTACTCTGCAAAGGGAAGGTGAAGACTGTCAGGCAATTTTAGCTTCAACTTCCGCCCTGGAACCCGGAGAGCCTGGAGCTAGAGCGGGCCACCATCATTTTGCTCTGCGACGCAGATTCCTACCCAAACAGGTAGTGTTATATTGCCCTTATGCAATGGAACAGCTTCGTGATATAGCAATGGCGGACTCGTGAGAAATGGGCAGAGCGAGCTCACATACGAGTGGGATGAAGCTATGCACATTCCCCATTCGACGCTGTTCATCCGATATCACACGTTCGTAGTGGCGTGGTCTATCCAACACCGCATTATCAAACGGCCGAATTTTATTCAACTTCCCTTTCATGACTAGATCACCAAGATGAGAAGGCTCACGACGTGAAACTGTACATACAGGGAGCATTACAATCTTGGCCTTCGACGTGTATAAAGCAGGGCCAACTAGCTTTGTGGAAAATCATCCACACCACATCAGCATCAGCATCACTCTTTGGTAACATCCTCCGGTCTACAAACATCACCATGAAGGTCCAGGTCCTCTCATTCGCTGCTTTGGCTTCTTTGGCCACCGCCTTCTCTGATGTCCTCAGCAAGCGCGACTCACCCCTCTCTGTCGCTCTAGAGGTGACGGGCAACACCAATGTCAAGGCCGTCATCACCAACAAGGGCTCCGAGGACCTCAAGCTCTTCAAGACTGGTACCTTCCTTGACGACTCCCAAGTACAGAAAGTTGAAGTCTTTCAATCAGGTAAGGAGGTTGCTTTTGACGGTATTCGCCTCCGTGTCAGCACCGCCAACCTCGACGAGTCTGCTTTCCATATCCTCGCTGCAGGCCAATCCATCGAGGCAGCATTCGATATTGCCGTTGCCCACGACTTGAGTGCAGGTGGTAACTTCGACCTCGTTACTGAAGGAGCTTTTGCTTATGCTGAGCTCGACTCCACGGTGATCGCCGGTGCTGTTCCGTTCACCAGCAACACTGTTTCTGCTGCCGTCAATGGCGAGAAGGCTGCCAAGATCCGCCGTGATTACATTGAACTGGCTAAGCGGACGGTTGTTCAGAGCGATTGCACTGGTACCCGTCGCTCTGCTACTACGACTGCGATTTCCAACTGCGCCTCCCTAGCTCGCGCCGCTTCTGCAGCTGCTGCGAACAATCCCGCGAAGCTGAATGAGTAAGTGCAAGATTTTATAATTACGTACCAAGAAAAGGCTAACCCTAATGTCTTAGATATTTTAAGAGCACGTCTGCCGCCACTGTTGCCACTGTCCAGCGCGTTTTCAACAACGTCGCCTCTCAATGCGGGTCCACCACCTCCGGTAACTCACGTTACTACTGCACCGACGTTCTCGGTGCCTGTTCTAACGGCGTCTTGGCTTACACTTCCCCATCTACCAGCCAGATGGTCAACTGCCCTCTCTTCTTCACCGCGCTTCCCGCACAAAGCCGTACCTGCCACGCTCAGGACCAGGCTACTACTGTCCTTCACGAGACAACCCACTTGACTCAGGTCAAGGGCACCAGCGACTATGGTGGTTACGGGTATAACTTTGTCCGCAGCCTCAGTTCGGCGCAGAACTTGAACCACGCGGACACGTATGCACTTTTCGCGCAAGGTATGTCTGCCGCTGTTATAGTGAAATGGAGATCACGTTCTAACAGATTTAGCCCTCTTCGCCGGCTGCTAGACGATGGTATCCGCCTTATATGCTTGATGGATGTGTCACTGGAAGGGAGACAGTGTCACAGAGCTTGGAATTTGCTTACCAGTGTTGCTGATGTTGGTAAAATCCTGATGCGTGGGATTGTGGATCTCTCTCATTTAGGCCAGTGTAGTCTCTTACCGTTTAGTAGAGATTGATAATGAAACAATGCCAATGTTTGATGATTTCTCAGTTTATTCAATCTGCAAGTTCAGCTCACTAAGCTGTGTTGTACAATTACATTGGAAACTTTCCACCTGCTTGTGGGCTCAGATATGACTGATTCCAGATAACCAACGAGGAAATATGGAAGGTGTTTTGCAACCTGACCTAAAGACAAAGTATTTCAGTTCCGGGGAGGAATATTCTCTCACCATGACCACACTGCCATGCAAGCGTTTTTATTAATGATGGATACCCCAATAATACTGCAGAGCTACTCGAAGTTTCTATACAGTATGTACACGAGCAGATAAAAGCAACCGATGACACTGCCGAATTGATTTTGGATTTTGCCATCTCATGACTTTGTAGCATACATGCTGTGGCGCAAACTGGACATATAAACTCAATCCCCATGCAAATTTTCAGCCGTGCTCCGAGCTTTACAACCCTTTCTTCTTCTGTCACTTGCCACAGCAAGTCCAACAGACGCCTTGTTTATCCGGGTACTGCAGTACTTCGTTAGTATTTATGATCCTGTCGGACTTGAAAGAAAGAAAACTCGCCATATTTTCCCCACAATCAGGCTTTTCAGGGTAACAGATTGCGTAGCAGGAAGTTGATGGTGGCGCCTCGACAGTGGGCGAGGCCATAATGGCAGAAGCCAGGAAGGTAGCGAGGGCGAGGGCAGTAAAGCGCATTTCGGTGGATCAAAAGACTAGTAGTGAGGAATAATTTGCTCAATGAGATTGTGAGAAGTGGTAATTGTGCAGTTGTCGTTGGATTTAATGGATATATATATATAGATGCTCCTCGTAATTTTACACGAGGTAAGGCAAGGGCGACCGATCCTGGTGCGAGGCAAGGATTCCTTTTGCGAGGTAGGTGATCCTTTTACGAGGTAAGCGATCCTGTTGCGAGACAATCACGACTTCGCTTCGTAATTTTCTCGTATTCCATGCAAAGGTGAGACCTAGCTGGCGGTTGAATACCTGACTATCTGAACGTAACCTCGTATGCTGCTTGGAGATGCTCGGCGCTCGTTCATATCTAATTATAGTGACAGAATCACAGGACCTTGGTGAAGAATGATGGCGAGCGCGAAGGAATGCATGAAACTAAACACTAAAGCACGCATACGGCCTGTTATCATGCAGAGACTATGTTGAAGACTTTCCAGTTCCATTTTTAACTTAGGATGACTAATTAATACGGATCGAAGATGGGTCACACGAGGGGTATAAAGCTTTGTTGGACGCGTAGCCTCAGTGCTAGTTAGTGAGGAATAAATAAATTTATCGATGTGATCAGGTCAGCATTGACAAACAGAAGATGACTACGACGAAGCCGACCCCACATCTATGGAAGAAGTCACGATCACGAAGGTATGCTTCGACTGTTACAGCATCAAGCAGTATGGAGATCGAATTGCTGGAGCTGGATAAGCGATTGAACGAGCTCGATGACCTTATAAACGAGCATGACATGAATGGAGATTTCCAACGACGCACGAAGTGCTAGCCGTGTCGCACGCTAGAACATAGTTGAAGCTTGCTCAACGGCCCCCATCTCTCCAACCGCATTGATCGAGGCTCGGCCAAAGAGTACGGCTGCCGAGCATGTCGCGGAGAATGCAATAAGACTAATATGGCTGTGCGAGCTGCGACACCGTCTGCAGTTACCGAAGTACAACAAGGAAACAAATCAAGGCAGTCGATTCTCGAGGAACAAGTAGCTGAGTTGGTGGGAATAGCTCGAGACCTTCGGGTGAGAATGAATTTACGATGACACTGATACGGTCAGATAGAGGGGCCTTATTTGGGCTCGGGTTGAGAGTGGCCGACGCAATCAGTATTACTGTGAAACCTATGATGGGAGATACTATCCTAGGTCGCGTTGGTATTCGATTGTGATAGGTTTCTCTTGGCTTCTTGGGTGGCATTGATCTCAGAAGGCGGCTGGAATGCTCATGATCAACGGTGTTGTACATGTGGCGTTCGACTCTATGTAGACGAGAGTGCGCTTCCAGATGTTCCGAGTCTAGATACCAGGGAAATCAAGCCTCGACCTCTTACACAACACAGTTAAGAAATGAATGCTTTGCGCAAAGAAAGCATACCGACAAATTTTCCTTACTGCAGAAGTGATGCTTTCGTTTCCGGCGATATGAAGCCTCAATACGAGGGCAGGATTAAGGTTGTAGTGAGTTTCCAAGATGACGTCATCGCAGCCTCACTGCATAGGGCTCCTGTCAATGCTGTTCTTCAACTCCGACAGCATAATCAGGCTAGCACCAATTTGTTCATCTTATACGATATCAATCCTCTGTTCTTTGATGGCGTCCATGTCTCGTCTCCACTGGTCCGTGATCTTGTCAATCAACCCAGGTATCCTAAGCACGTCTACCGCCGTCCCTGCTAGGGCCTTTCCCACTCTCAGCGCTCGCAAGAAGGCTTCCTTAGTCCCCGATGCCTCCTCGAAGTCTGGAGTGTGCGGTTGTCCCGCCTGTAGACCTGGTGGAATTGCAAAGCTCGCGTTCACGCTCGGCATTGCATAACTAATGTTTCCCTGATCTGTGCTCGCCTTGACCCAAGTATACTCGTCCCCAGATGGTATCCGCGGGTCCGGCAAGTCCGGCAACAAGTTCCAGTACTTCGTATACGATGCTGCGAGCACGCGGTTCGGCACATGGTCAGCGTACCCTCGAATGATTTTGATCTCGACCCTCGCACCGGTGGCCTCGGCTCCAGCGCGAAAGCAGGCGCTGACTTTTTGCCGGAGTTCTTGGAGTCGGGAAGCACTACTTGCGCGGATTACACAAACACCGGCGGCATACGCGTGGATGACGTTCGGCGCTGCTCCACCGTTGGTGATGCTCATGCCGATGACATCGCTGGGCATTGTCTGCTGGCGCAGGACCGACACTGCATTATACGCGATCACTACCGCGTCGAGCGCGTTGACACCCAGCCAGGGGCTGTTTGCTGCGTGCGCTGCCCGTCCAAAGTACTCAACCTCGAGGCGAGCAAATGCCGTTGTCCGAACAAGAGGGCTGTTGTGCAAGATGCCCGGGTGCGAGATGAGGGAGATGTCGACGCCTTTGTAGGCGCCTGCCTCGAGAAGACGGATCTTGCCGCCCCCGACTCCTTCCTCCCCCGGCGTGCCAAAGACGACAACCTTGCCAGGCAGGTCGTGTCGCTTGATCATCTCAGCTGTCGCAAGACCAGCAGCGACTGAAGCTGTGGCGATGAGATTGTGACCACATGCGTGACCTAGGTTGGGGAGCGCGTCTGGATGATGCAGGTGTCAGCGACGTCTCTTTCTCGGCTACGTGAGAAGCTGACATACCCATCTCAGCATTGAAAGACACAACAGGTCCCGCCTTTCCGCTGTCGTAGACCGCTACCCATGCCGTCTCCATTCCATACGCTGATGTCGTAACTTGCCAACCGTTACACGAACGCATGAAATGCGTCAAGGCATCGTGTGCCTTGTGCTCTTCAAACGCGAGTTCGGGATTCTCGTGTATGAAGTTGTTTAGAGGCCACAGAGAAGCCTGAAGACCATCAATGGTTTTGTCGATCTCTAACAAGTACTTGTCGAGGAAGTATTGAGGGACATCTTCTAGGCGTTCGCTGTCTCGAAGCACGACGATGAACCCGTCCTGCTCCATCTTCTTTCCTTCAAACTGCACGCATTTATGAGTCTTGAAACGCCACCAATTGCCTACCTACCCAAGCACAGCATTGCCATGCGATGATTACGTTCGATTAGTGATGACGCAATATGAAAGGTGGTCCCGACAGGACGAATTCACTTGTAATCGGCTGATGTTGCCTGCACTAAGCTACGGATAATTACCGGCCGGAAGAGGGGCCTCCGTGACATGCCAGGATAATTGATCCCGGCAGTTGGCGAAAGTCAATCTGCTTCCAGACACCAGGGTCTCATAATCTTTCGTTTCACTCGTAAGATGGGAAACCTACTAACAATCAACACTGCCAAGGCATGTCTAAACCGCGTGAAAAACCGACGACGGCCAACGGTGACCAAATTCACAAACACAATGTAGCGACGACACTAAACTACTGGGATGATCCAGGAGACGGATCCCGCCCGACACCAATCTTTATTGGAAAAGGAAGAATCACGAACGAGAGGCCGCATCGTGCACAGAATTTCGTGGTGACCGACATAAGCGGCGACGAAAACAAGTACTCTCTCGACAGCCATGGATTCCAATACTGCCGCCACGAGAGTCGCGAGAAGAATTTCACAGACGAGCAAGCTATTCAAAAGGCCTACTACAAAGAATGCGAGAATTTGTTAAAAGATGTCACTGGGGCTAGTCGCGTTCATATTTTCAACCACAAGGTCCGTCGTGGACCAACTCAGTGGCATCACTTGGGCTTGAACAACCTCGCAAACCGTGGGCCTGTCACACGGACACACGTCGACCAATCTTACGCTGGAGCAGAGCTGAGACTCCGATATGAGTTTCCGAATGAGGCAGATGAGCTGGTGAAGAAGAGGTATCAGATCATCAATATCTGGCGTCCCGTCGAGACGATTTTGAAGGATCCCATCGCCGTTGCTGATGCACACTCAGTTCCGGACGCCGACCTAGTCGGGGCTGAGATGACCGAAGTTGATTTCAAGGGCGAGTCCTGGGTTGTTAGACATAGCCCGACTCATCGTTGGTACTACAAGCACCGAATGACGGCGCAAGACGTGCTTCTTATCAAGTGTTTTGATTCGGACACTTCGGTGGCGCGAAGGTCGCTTCACTCAGCCTTCGAAGATCCCGCTCACCGTGATAAGGAGTCGCGACAGAGCATCGAGGTTAGGTGCCTAGTCTTCTACGATGAGTAGACAGCGCTTTGGTACTCTGTTTTCCCCCTCACCGCGCAGGAAATATATCACCGAGATAAAGAGAAGAGGCGGCCAGTCTTGCCGCATTTGCCATGACGTGTAGTACTAAGATGGAATTAGCGACTTTACAAGCCCGTTAGAATAATAAATCAAGCTGGGCTAAATAGGAAGTCTAGCTGCGTGATTGCATTAGTTGGGGGCATGTGAAGTGTGCTGAAGATTTTGCCAAGGTGAGGGGAAGGGCTCTTGCCGACTTTGTATTGATGCATAGTGCATTATGACCCCTCAATGCACGTCTAGCGAACTACCGGCAGCGATCGGCCAATATGGTAAATGCTGCACCCCCACACCAGACATGGAGAGCGGGGCAGCGAGATAAAGCAACCAACTGCACTCTGATGATGGGTAGACCAAGGTGGAAACTAGCCCAAGTGCTATCAATCAAGTTTTCCTGGGCCACGATTTAATTAATTACGACAACCCGATGATCTCTGGTGTTTAGATGAACTGAATAGCCGCGTGGTCAAACAGCCGAGAACCCAAGGATATATGTATATAAGTCCTGTGTTGTAGAAACCAGAGTCGTCGCACTGCGGTATCTTCAAGAACTCATACGATTATAAGAGAACCCTCTAATCACTGATCATAAATCACCAATACCACTCGAACATCATGGCTCCCGCGATTGATCCCCCGCAGACCGTCGAATGGCAGGGCAAGAGAGTCCCCGTCTGGCCAATGCAGACAGTCGATTATGGACTACTCCTCTCGCAGGATCCCGCTGAAGTGGATAAGGTGCTCAAGGCTTGCCTTGAGGACGGGTACTTCTACCTCGACCTTCACAGCATCGACGGCCATAGAATGCTCGGCGACCAACAAGAAACCCTCAAGCTCATGCACCGCTTCTTCGAGTCGCCGATCGAGGCCAAGAATGAATTTGGGCTGATTTCTTCGCATCTGGGCTATGAGCCGGTGGGTAGTCGCACAGGCGCATTTGGAGCGGGAACCAAGGACGGATATGAGATGCTGAAGGTATCCCGAGATGAGATCCAGAGGGGTAGCCCCAAGGTCCCGGCTGTGATCAAGAACAGTGGCGATCTTCAGGTCTTGGAGAACGCCATCGGCAGCTGCAACACCATCACCAAAGTCATTCTCTCGGCTCTTTCCACCGGAATGAACCTGACTGGAGCCTCACGCTACGAGAACTCGCATCGCAATGACCGGCCCTCGACCACCACGGTAAGTCTATTCACCTGCTTGAACCCCACCGACATAACGTGTCTGGTAACTTATCTAACTCTTACTAGCTCTCTATGATGCACTACCTCCCCTCGGACGTGACCGGCAACAACAAGATCGGCCATCAGAAACACACCGACATCAGCTCGCTGACACTGCTCTTCAGCGAGCAGTGGGGTCTTCAGATCCGCCCACCAGGGACATGCGGCGCCCGTGAGATGGGGTTCGTTGCCCCTAAGCCGGGTTGCGCTTTCGTTCACGTCGGCGACTCGCTCCGATTTGCGAGTGGAATGAAGATGCAATCGTGTATCCACCGCGTTGTGCCCTTCGACCCAACTGAGCACCGTTACTCGATCGCCTATTTCCTCCGAGCTGAGGACGACACCATGTTCGTGGACAGCGAGGGGCGCTACGTGACAGCTGGGCAGTGGCACGATGAGAAATTCAAGGCATTTACCGATCCGTGGCAGTGGCAGGCTATGGCTCCCGGGTCGATGATTCTCGGAGGCATGAAGGAGGCTGGAGAGGATGACCCCACGGGTGAGCCGGTTGCCTTTGCGCCGAGCACTGCCGTGGCGAAGGAGGTAGTCAAGGAGGTATCTGTGCACGCATAAGGTAGTTAGCTTGTACGAATCAACCTCGAAATATAAAATTGAGGGGGCTTTACAGGATAACCTCTTCTCATCGCAGCTAAATGCAAGGTTATATTGAACTTATGGTTCTAGTGTTCTGCTCGGTACTGTTCTCTCTTATTCATTATACACTTTTTTGCTTTCACCATATGACTGCCTTGATAGCTCCACATTCCGCGAGGGTAATCTTGGAGTTTGAGTCTTAGTAGATGGAATTAATTATGATTTAATTTGTAAGCAGCTACCCATCCTGCAACCGGTAAGTGAAAGAGATAGTTTGAGTAGGAAACGCTGCTGCAGGGCATTCTTGTCAGGCAACTACTTGGCTACAGTTTAATAAAGGCCCTGCACTGCATTGTAAGAGGTACCTTTAGTTCCTAGGCACACTAGAGTCGCCATCCACACTAAACCACACATACGAATCAAAACCTAGCCATCGACCAACTTAACCCTACTGCAGTATCGTTCAACCCTAATGCCCTGAAGTATTGGAGGACCTGACAAAGATACGGATGGGGTGGAGGATGCACCATTCGCTGAATTAAGATCGACGTGCAGCACCCGACTCCAATCCAATGTCGTCCATCTTATACTGTGCCAGCCAGTTACTTGTAAGATTTCAACGCTGAAGAGTGTGCGAAGGTACACAAACACATGACTAAACCACTGCACCGCGGCGTATGCGAGGGAGTTCGCTTCGTGGGCGCAGTAAAAGAGTTATTCGCAACACTAGAGGACATCAGAGACGAGTTCGACTTGGATAGGACAACGAGAAAAACCGGACGCACGGAGATTGTGACTGGTTCGCGGGCGGTGATGAAGGCGGAGGGACGTAACGTGTTGAACAGCTTCAGAGTCCAGAGACTCAACATCGACATAAACGATTTAGTTATTGAACCTCAACAGCAGCAAGCCCCTCGTAGACCGCATAGAATGTCCAAAACTTCGAACTGGGTAGATGAAGTACCGGTTCTCTAGCCACCGAATGCCCATGAATTTCTACCTTTTCTCGTACTGAAGGGGAAGCCATCGCCCCGAGACCGGGCCCGGCGAGCATGCCTCCAAGCGACGTGCGGTTTACGGTAAGCCCCATTCTTTCTGAAGACCATTCAATAAAGATTGATGAACGCCATATTTTCGAGAGTGAGGTGAGAGTACAAGAGACGCTATTGGATGATACTGAGCTACTGGCCGCATCATGCATGGGTCCGACCCTGCGTCATAGTTTGATTCTTGCGATTCACACCGCTCGTCAAGTTGACATTGTCGTTGCAGCCCAGACAACTGCCATCCAATTTCTTTAACACAATAAACGCCGATTGCACAATCAATTTGAAAAGCGCAATTGTCCATCAACTTCTGTGAGTTATGGTGTCCACTGTCGTGGATAGAGTGAGATTATCAGTATACGCCAGTTGTGTGCAGATCCATGAAAAAACTTGCTGCAATCGCCCGGTGAGTCATCGTGGGTATCGCTGATTCTTGCTTTGTTTACAGCTATGTCTGCAATGCAAACGACCTATCTTTCACGCGTGAAAACTGTGTGTGGTGCTGTGCGATACCCGCATTTGAAAGAGTAATCTGCCAAAAGTATAAGTGTAACTGGGTTGATGATGATAGCCATACCGCTCTCGTGATTCGGATCTCCGCTACTAGAGGCATGTAAGGCTAACAAATTTGATTTCCATAGGATTAGCTTTATTTAAATTGACAGTAGATCCCTCAACCACATTACACTCCTCAACCTCATAGTAATTTCAAACAAGCTAGATTGATTCTAATTGTTTTGCCGGGGACTTGGCGGCTTCTGTCCATAAACCAACGATCTAGCCACTAGTTAGCTCGAACTCCGCTAAATCTAGTCTCATTACCTACACTTCCTGATAGGCATGAATGCTGCGATCCCGTAATGCCTGCCTCATTTTGGCCAGGTATACGTGTACATCATCAAGACTCCACTTTAGCAGTGAAGTTAGTAAATATATACACCATCCTTCGATTCCTTGCTCCCAGTGTATCCGATTATACTGGCCAATCTCCTTGAACTGCTTATCTGCCGCCCAGCCACCAACAGGGAGCTTCCAACGGCGCTCTACGACGTTGATGAATCCGGCTGCCTCTATCCCGGCTTTTGATTCGTCGACTGTCTGTAGCGATTTTCCGAATTTCTCGCCAAGCGTGAGCGAGATTTTGCCCCATTGATCGAAGATCGAGTCGGGCGTAACAGAACCGTCATCGGATTTGACCCAGACGGACATTTCGAGTTGTTCAAAATAACCGCCGGGTTGGAGGTGGCTTCAACAATCAGCCTAGTGCACATTCCCAGCCGGTCATGTTTACGTACTCTAGGGCTTCTTTGTAAAAGGCCGACCAGTCGGCGACGCAGCCGTATAAACATCGCGCGTGGATGAAATCGAAGCTGTTCCTGCGGAACACCCATGGTTCGGTGAAGTCGTCGACTTCGAATCGGAGGTTTGGGGGCACGAGGGAAGGCTGAGTGGGGCTGAGATCGGTCCCAATCACCTAGACCTGTTAGAGTAATGTTGTGTACAATTTTCGCATGTTGCACGAACCTCGGCAGATGGGAACTTGTCCGCGAACTCGCTGTTCATCGGTCAATCGTTTGGACGATAGATACAGATAAAACACTAACATAGCCCAGATCCCTGGCAGGTTAGCTTGCGTATTGCGTAAGGCGAGTTACTGCTTGCATACCGGTGCCAGTCCCTACATCCAAGACTTTCTAGGCAGAAGACATTGATCAGCAAAAAGCCAATTGCTACTCATCTCGAAACGTACTGTTGGATTCTTCGATATTGGCGCCTTATTCAACTCGCCGTCCAGCAAGAGGAGGGAGATATGGTGACTATCATGTTATTATGGACAGCTAACCGAACAGCTCAGAGGGCATACAAAATATCCAGCTGATCCGCTTGCGTTTCGTCATTCGGACCCCCTGCGCCCACTTAGAAACACCACCGGTATCTAACGAGGAAGCAGCTCACAGTATGAGCCTTCCTTGTACGCATGGTATCGACGACCGTTGCGGTATTTGTAGTTGACGATAGCAGACTTCAGCGACGTGGTATCGCTTCACACCATGTTAGAAGCCGCTTTGCGGGTTGGCTTGAAAGTAGGCTTACGACGCGATGTCCTCGTCATTGTAGGCCGAGTCGGTCTCGTCACCGTCCTATAGTTTCTATTAACATAGTCGTAGTTGTATAATGGCGAAGGGACTTACAATAGCAATCTGAGTCTCAATATTAGCCATCGCTAACAACGCGCAAGACTGTTATCGCCGTGGGAGTACGACGAGTGTCAGAGCTGTTGGTTTGAAGGTCATCTGTCAGCGGGGAGGAGACGGGAAAGGTTAACCACGACCCCATAAGTGGATATAGTATTGGCAGCGGGCGGACGGCACGGCTCGCTAAGTAACCTGTCATTTGTCTTAGCGTGACCCTGGTGAGATTCTCGGCGCTAGGCGCCAAGCCCTCCGGTTGGCTGTAACTGTACGTAAGATTGCATTGGGAAGCCTTTCTAACCGGGGCCTAGGCAGATTGAGGGCAGGACGCCGGCCTTAGAACGCATAGATGTGGAACCATCATACCACCTAACGAGAATATATCCCACAAATTAATGCAGACCCGCAAGAAGACGGGGCTATAGCAGTTAGGTTGCCGGCTGCCCTTCGCGATTGTTGTTACTAAGAGGATTTCAAAGCGCCTACGCCCTAGTTGAGCTATCGCTGGTTCTGTCAAAGTACTTTGAGTGCGGAGATGTTTGTGATTACATTGATTCATTGTTGTTACTAGAAGAAATAGATATTTAAAAAGTGCCTACGCTCTAGGAAGATCTATCAAGCTACGCATAGTTAACGTTCCACATTGCGCACTACACTACTATGGCGTGCTTTGCGAGTACAAGAGTCTATATGCTAACTTTACAATCCTTAGATCCGGTGCAGGAGCAACAAGGATAGCTGCCAGAGAAGCTAGAGCCTTGGTGTTCACTGCGAATATGTCGTGTCCATGGCTGGCAGAACTCCAAAATGACAATGCAAAGCCACCGACTTGCGATCCGATAGAACTCCTCCGTCGCCACCAGAGAGTCGGCCTTCTGAACAGTCCCGAACAAGATCATCTACAAACACTTCTGCAACTGAGCCTCCTCTCCTGAACCCGAGCGACTCTACCGACAACTTCGACATATCACGTACGAGGTTCGGACCTGGAAACTCTCTGACACAGACGGACACCAACGAGTGGCAGCTTTTAGACTTTCTAGACGACGATAGCTGGACGTCCGAACGCGCAGCTTTTCCTGCGAGCATCGACGATGGCTGGTCGTTCCCCCCTGTCACATCCTTTGAGATCGAGGCATTCCCAATGCCATCTGATCTCCAGCAGCCAACCAGCACCAATAGACAGTCTACTTCCATAACCACTTTAGTCTCGCAACCATCTGAACTTCCTTCTAGCACAGCAAATCTCCGTCCGATGAGCCCGCATTCGCCTAAACAACTGACTGGGAGTGGATTAGCTCAGGGCCGTCAGGATTGGACCCAATTCGGGCCCGTTGTCGCCCTTTGTAAGATGGTACGGCTCCTTGAAGCCCAGATGCATGCACATCCGACGGCTGTGGACGAAGTCATGAGGCTGAATCAGGCATGTATCAGAGACGTATCGAAGATATCATCGAAAACGGAGTATATGCAATGCAGGAGCTGCCCCGCTCTGATTTCGACCATTATGGAGCTCATTGTGACACGGTACGAGGATATCACCAACGACCAAGGCCACGGCCGGATGTCTTCGGTTACTTTATCGACACCCAGCACACCATTTCTACAGTTTGGCGTCTTTGAGCTAGATGCCGAAGAACAGACATTGATCCGCAATCGAATCATATGCAAGGAGGCGCAGAAATGTGTTACAATTATACGGACACTCAAACAATTGCTCGTCACGAAGGTGGCCACTGGAACCGATGTTTCTTCGCAGGCCTATGCACTTGGCAACTGGTATGATGGCATGGAGAAGCGGATGACCGATCTTATCTCACGTTTAATACCCGCTTGAGGAGCAGTCTAAAACAAGCAGCATTTATACAGCGAGAGTGGTTTTCAATCGGCGCGGTGTTTAGGGTCTTCTCATGATTATATGAATGCCATCCTGCAGTGCTGCAGGTGCCTATACTGTCTATACAGGTTTAAGCAATGTCCTTCGACTGAATGTTTCAATGTGCACTACGGCCGAATCTCAGGTTTCGTGCAATCTCGAGACACTCCTCGAATTTGGTGCTCCAGCTGTAAGCATAACCCCACATACCTTGAGAAAAGGACCCAAGCATGCATAATGACACCCTCGTCTGAAGAGTGGCTGGCTCCGATACCGTAGCCACCTCACTTCGAACGGCTATTCTATATATCGCCAACGATCCTTCCATTGTCCGGCGCATTCGGAAGGAGCTTGCTGCCGCTTGCGTCTCTACTGAAAGGTCCACTTCCGTAATTATCAGCTATGGTCATGCCCGCAATATCCGTTACATTCTCGCCGTCGTTCGCGAAGTCCTCCGCGTCCACCCACCTGCTATCGCAACAATGGAGAAGCAGTTTGGCAACGAGAGTAACCTTTTCCCCAATAGTCGTGTCATTCCTGCAAGAACTAAGATCGCGTTGTCCTTGACGTCAATTCTTTAAGACCAAGAGACGTTTGGTGCAGATGCGGAGCTGTTTAGACTAGAAAAGTAGCTTAAAGATGTTAATAAAGAGAAGAAACAGAAAATAGATAGAGTGCATGAACTAATTTTCGGCTCCGGGAAGTTTCTTTTTCTTGGAAGGGAGATTGTAATAATACATATTGTAAAAATCGTAATTAAAGTACGCTGTTTATTGCTAACTTTAACCTAAAAGAAATATTAGCATAAACCTAGATTTTTAGCTAATATAATATCTTAATTTTATAATATATTATATCCCGCGAAAACAGGACTTAATGTATTATTAATAGCTTATATTATTAGTATTTTTACTATATATTGCGTACTTTTATTTTTAGAATTGCTAAATAACAAACTTCTAATTTTTAATAATATAACTTTAACTGCTAAAGCGCAGTTTTTTTTAATAATTTTTAAGTATATATTTAAATATCTAGTATAATATTAAACTGCTAAGTAGCTAATTAATACTAGGCTTTTAGGCAACAACAACGCTAATAATAATAATAATAATAATAACTTTTCCTGCAATATTAGCTTAAATACTTAATTATGTTTTTACTCCTCTTTTTTGCCTGCGTAAGCTATTATTTATAGTATATTTAAATTATTATTACTTACTTCTTTTTACGTCTACTTACGCACTAAGTTAACTATTTTAAAAAGCTATATTTTTTAATTATTATACTGCTAGTAATTATAATTTATAAAAAACTATTTTTAATATTTTATAAGTTTTGCATTACTTTTAATATTTTCTGCAAGCTATAAAAGCTTATTTTTTTAATTTTTAATAAAGGCAGCCTAGTTATAGCTAAAAAAAAAGTTAAAGTTTTATATTATTATATAGTAGCTAACTATAGAAAAAATTGTATATTGCTACTGCCTAGTTATAACTAGCTTATTATAAGGAAATGCTAGAAAAGCAAAATTAACTAAGTATAGTAAAAAAAGCTTACTATAAAAAAAAAAGTTAATTTTAAAGTATCTGCATACTTTTTTGTAGTATTAGTAATTACTATTTACTAATTTAAAATAGTAAAAAAGCAGTATTTTATACTAACTAATAAAAGCTGCCCTAATTAATAATATAGTATATATAAATTTAATAGCGCATTGCTAGCTAGTATATATAAATTTATTTATTAGCATTATATTATTTGTAGTTAATATAGATATAAAAAATAAAAAATTTAAAATTTAAAATAAAAATAAATTTTAATTTATAAAATAAGTATTTCTATAAATAAAAGTAAAGTCGACGCAAAAGCAGATTATATAATATAGTAAAAGAAATTAGTATAAAACTATAGTTTAGGTGCTATACTTAGCACTTTAATATAGTATTAAGGCAGTAAAATTTATACAATACTAGGCTAGCTAAATAAATTATTAAAACTAACAATCGCTATTAGCAGACCTAATATATTATTATTTAAAAATTATAGCAATATAACTATTAACTTTTAATAGTAACTAACTTGTTTAGGCAATGCTAGGCAGGTTAGATTAAACTAAAATAAAGTAGTTAGTTAAGTTCTTAAGCTTTGCAGACTATTATTAAATTATAAAAAATACTTAGCTTAATATTAGGAGCTTAATTTAGTTATAAGCTTGTGCTTTATTTAATATTTTCTTAAATAAAAGTAAGCAATTTAATTAGTAATAGCATATAAAGTATTAATTAAAGCTTTAGTTTAGCAAGTTAGCTTGCAAGAATTATAGGCTGTAGTATTTTATATAATTATTAATAAAATTTGCAATAATATATTACATAAGCAAGTTAGTTGCCCAGTTAAGTTAGTTATAATGCTAAGACTTTACTAAAATTAGTACTATGCACAATAGTATAGCACTATAAAAAACTATAATAGTAAATTATAATAAACTAATTTATTTAAAAATTATTTTTATTTTTTGCTTATATATTTACGCGTTATGCCTAGCTTTACTATAGTATTTATAGCACTTTTAAAAGGGCTTACCTGCTTTAGTATATATTTTTTTTTTTATTTTTTTTTTATTACTACGCGCCTTAAACTCCTTTAGAATTATTAGTTAAAAACTATTTTTTACTATAAAAGTTTTTTCTTTTTATACTTGCTTTTTTTTATATAATTTTTATTATATAGCAGCTTTATTAGCTGCTTAAAGCTTAGCAATTTTTTTTTATACTAATATAAATTTGTGCGCAATTATAGCTGCACTTTTTAAAATTTTTTTAAAAGCTTTAACTATTAAAGTAAAAAAATTATTTAAATATTTTTAAATTTTTATTTTAACTAATATTAATTAAAACTTAAATTTTAAAGTATTGCTTAGTATTTTTAACTTTTAAAAACTATTTTTAATAGTAAGTAGTAGTAAAGTACGCAATTAGATATTAAGTTTTAATATTATAGCTTTAAAATTAAAAAAAACTAGACTAGCACTTTTAAAGCTACTTAAAATATTGCTTTTTATAATAGCAGTATTAAAAGCTAGTTTAAAATATAATAAAAACTTAATTTTAATAATATAGTTAATGCTATTGCGTATTAGCTTTTTAGTTTAGTACTTATATGCCTTTTTTAAAAGCGCAAAACAATTTATATTAAGTAGCTATAATAAGTGCAATAAATACAGGAGCATATAAAAAATAATAATTTTTTATTTTTTATAGTATTGCTAGAATTAAACTAATATATAGCTCTTATAACTATTAATAATAAACAAATAATAAGTACTAATAATTTTTTTTTTAGTATACTTATTAAAGTACTTTAACTACTTAAAAGTAAGCTTATTTATTATTTAGCTATTTTTAGAAACTGCAATAATTTAATTATAAAGCAGGCTATTTTTTTTATACTAGGCTAAAAAGTAGTTTTTGCTTATAAAAATAATAAAAAATAAAATAGTTTATTTTATTGCATTAATACTTTAGATTACTATTATTTATTTTTAATTATTTTGCTACACTATTTTCGGCCGTCTTTAATAGTCGGCACTTAAAATAATAATTTTATATAATATCTAGCCTATTATAAAGCCTATTTTATTAAAATTATATATATTTTTATTTTAAATACTATATTTAGCTTTTATATTTTTTACAAATTAAAACTAGCTTTATATAAGCTTAAAATCTTTATATAAAGCTTTTTAGTAATTATACTTTTAAAAAGTCCTAGTACTAAGCTATAAATATTATTTAATAAACGTGCTAGCCTAGTTTCTACTAATAAGTAATTGCTTATATTTAGCTAGTAAAATATTAACTATATTATTTATAGCAGCTAGTTAAGGCGGAAATTTTTAGTTTTTAAAGTAGAATATATACTAAGCAATTACTTCTTTTTTTATTAAAAAAAGCTTTATTTTATTAAGGGTTATTATTGTATTATAGAAGCTTTCTTTTTAATTAATTACTAAATATTATTTAAAAGATGCTATAGATCTGCGCAGTTTTTTATTAAAAAAAATTTGCATTATATTTTAAAGCTTAAACTATAAGCTATATTTAGTTTTTTTTTTAAAAAAATTATATATTATTATATTAAAGCATCGCGTTTAATAGTAGAAAATTACTAATTTTAGTAGAGTTTTAGTATTGTAACTAACTTAACTAAGCAACTAACTCGCCTGTGTAATATATTAGTTAAAAGTAGAAAATTGCAAATAGCAGTTCTAAATATACAATATATATATAAAAGAATATTTTCTTTTTATACAATTATCTGCCTGTGCTTTTACAGCAAGCTATATTAACTACTAATAATTATATAATGCCTACTAACGCCGTTTATATAACGCCTATTAATAATTTCCTTAATTCTGCCCTTTACTTTATTATTTTATTAATATTTATAAAAAGTACTTAGTAGTATAGCTTTTTGTACAAAACTAGCATTTTAAACTAATACTAATAGGCGTTTAAATGCTCTAGCAAGCTTAAATAAATTTTTAAAAGCTTAAATATTAAGCTTTTTAGTATGCTAAAGTATTTTACTTTTAATTAAATTTTTTTTTAAAACTTAAACTTCCTTAGCAAAGAGCTTTGCTAGAGGAAATTAGATATATTAGCTATATTTATTATTAGCTACTAGATATAAATTTTTTACTATAGTCTAACTGCAAGCTAGAAAGCTTTTATTACTAATTAGTAAAATAAGCTTAGAGCTTTCTACTTAGCTTTTTAGAATAAGGAGCTTATTTAACTATACTAAAAATTATTTTTAGGCTACTGCGATTATTTGCAATTTAATAACTAAAAATAATAGTTTTTTGCAGCTATAGAAATTGTACAAACGCTTAAGTAGCTTAATAAAAACTCTAGAAAAAAAAGCGAGCAATTAAACTAGGCATGCGCTTATTAATAGAGGAGAGAAATAGTGCTATATATATTAAATTATTTACTTTTGCTATTAATTCTTGAAAATTCTAGTCTGTATATTATA